AAAATACTGTGGTAAATAATAGCCGTTTTCTAATTATAAGATAATTTTCTATCATTTGTTTTATTGTGCCACCTCCAGATTTTGGATATGTTATAGACAATAAGAATATCTACAATATGGCAAAGTTTAAAAAATTCTACCGTGTAGTTTTTTATTTATATAAAGCTTTGTTTGTTAAAGAACAGGAATTCTTAACTTAAATATGCAATGTCATGCACGTTGCATGATAAAATCGTTATTTTTTTACAACGAAGTCGTCAAAAGAAAAACACTACGTTATTCAACAACAACAACATCTCGAATTGTTTTATTTTCAACAATACTCCCCCCTTCTGTGATAATCCCAAAATGTCAATCACGTGAAATGCACGCGCTACGTCACAACAAAACAAAATAAAAACAACTGTTCATCACATGCAATATTATATTACGCGAATTCGTGTCATCTAACTATGTCGATGGTTTTCTATCATTTATTTTTTTGTGCCACCTCCAGATTTTGGATATGCTATAGACAATAAGAATATCTACATTACGGCCAAGTTTAAAAAAATTCTACCGTGTAGTTTTTTAGCTATAGAGCTGTTTGTCGAATGTGGTGCCAACTTCACGGTTAATACCAGAGTACATTCTCAAGGAATATTATTCCTTTTATTTTTTTGTGCCACCTCCAGGTTTTGGATATGTTATAGACAATAAGAATGTCTACGATATGGCCAAGTTTAAAAAAATTCTACCGTAGAGTTTTTTATTTACAGGCCTTTGTTTAGCAATGACTTGAAATTCTCAACTCAATTATATAAGATCATATTAGGCGCATTCGTGTCATCTCACTATGTCGATGATTTTCTACAACTTATTTTTTTGTGCCACCTCCAGATTTTTGATATATTTTAGACAATATAATTATCTATATTCTGGCCAAGTTTAAAAAAATTCTACCGTGTAGTTTTTTATTTATAGGCCTTTGTTTGTTAAAGAACAGGAATTCTTAACTTAAATATGCAAGATTATATTACGCGCATTCGTGTCATCCGACTTTGTCGATGATTTTCTACAACTTATTTTTTTGTGCCACCTCCAGATTTTGGATATATTTTAGACAATATAATTATCTATATTCTGGCCAAGTTTAAAAAAATTCTACCGTGTAGTTTTTTATTGATAAGGCTTTGTTTTGTTAAAGAACCGGAATTCTTAACTTAAATATGCAAGATTATATTACGCGCATTCGTGTCATCCGACTTTGTCGATGATTTTCTACAACTTATTTTTTTGTGCCACCTCCAGATTTTGGATATATTTTAGACAGTAAGAATATCTACAACATGGCCAAATTTTAAAAATTCTACCGTGTAGTTTTTATTTATAGAGCTGTTTGTCGAATGTGGTGCCAACTTCACAGTTAATACCAGAGTACATTCTCAAGGAATATTATTTTTTTTTTGTGCCACTTCCAGATTTTGGATATGTTATAGACAATATAATTATCTATATTCTGGTCAAGTTTAAAAAAATTCTACCGCGTAGTTTTTTATTTACAGGCCTTTGTTTTCAATGACTTGAAATTCTCAACATAATTATATAAGATTATATTACGCGCATTCGTGTCATCCGACTTTGTCGATGATTTTCTACAACTTATTTTTTTGTGCCACCTCCAGATTTTGGATATATTTTAGACAGTAAGAATATCTACAACATGGCCAAATTTAAAAAAATTCTACCGTGTAGTTTTTTAACTATAGAGCTGTTTGTCGAATGTGGTGCCAACTTCACAGTTAATACCAGAGTACATTCTCAAGGAATATTATTTCTTTTATTTTTTGTGCCACCTCCAGATTTTGGATATGTTATAGACAATATAATTATCTATATTCTGGCCAAGTTTAAAAATTCTACCGTGTAGTTTTTATTTACAGGCCTTTGTTTTAATGACTTGAATTCTCAACATAATTATATAAGATTATATTACGCGCATTCGTGTCATCCGACTTTGTCGATGATTTTCTACAACTTATTTTTTGTGCCACCTCCAGATTTTTGATATATTTTAGGCAATATAATTATCTATATTCTGGCCAAGTTTAAAAAAATTCTACCATGTAGTTTTTTATTTATAGGCCTTTGTTTGTTAAAGAACCGGAATTCTTAACTTAAATATGCAAGATTATATTACGCGCATTCGTGTCATCCAACTTTGTCGATGATTTTCTACAACGTATTTTTTTGTGCCACCTCCAGATTTTGGATATATTTTAGACAATATAATTATCTATATTCTGGCCAAGTTTAAACAAATTCTACCGTGTAGTTTTTTATTTATAGGCCTTTGTTTGTTAAAGAATCGGAATTCTTAACTTAAATATGCAAGATTATATTACGCGCATTCGTGTCATCCGACTTTGTTGATGATTTTCTACAACTTATTTTTTTGTGCCACCTCCAGATTTTGGATATATTTTAGACAATATAATTATCTATATTCTGGCCAAGTTTAAAAAATTCTACCGTGTAGTTTTTATTTATAGGCCTTTGTTTGTTTAAAGAACCGGAATTCTTAACTTAAATATGCAAGATTATATTACGCGCATTCGTGTCATCCGACTTTGTCGATGATTTTCTATAACTTATTTTTGTGCCACCTCCAGATTTTGGATATATTTTAGACAGTAAGAATATCTACAACATGGCCAAGTTTAAAAATTCTACTGTGTAGTTTTTAACTATAGAGCTGTTTGTCGAATGTGGTGCCAACTTCACAGTTAATACCAGAGTACATTCTCAGGAATATTATTTCTTTTATTTTTTGTGCCACCTCCAGATTTTAGATATGTTATAGACAATATAATTATCTATATTCTGGCCAAGTTTAAAAAAATTCTACCGTGTAGTTTTTTATTTACAGGCCTTTGTTTTCAACGACTTGAAATTCTCAACATAATTATATAAGATTATATTACGCGCATTCGTGTCATCCGACTTTGTTGATGATTTTCTACAACTTATTTTTTTGTGCCACCTCCAGATTTTTGATATATTTTAGACAATATAATTATCTATATTCTGGCCAAGTTTAAAAAAATTCTACCGTGTAGTTTTTTATTTATAGGCCTTTGTTTGTTAAAGAACAGGAATTCTTAACTTAAATATGCAAGATCATATTACGCGCATTCGTGTCATCCAACTTTGTCGATGATTTTCTACAACGTATTTTTTTGTGCCACCTCCAGATTTTGGATATATTTTAGACAATATAATTATCTATATTCTGGCCAAGTTTAAAAATTCTACCGTGTAGTTTTTATTTATAAGGCTTTTGTTTTGTTAAAGAACTGGAATTCTTAACTTAAATATGCAAGATTATATTACGCGCATTCGTGTCATCCGACTTTGTCGATGATTTTCTACAACTTATTTTTTGTGCCACCTCCAGATTTTGATATATTTTAGACAATATAATTATCTATATTCTGGCCAAGTTTAAAAAAATTCTACCGTGTAGTTTTTTATTTATAGGCCTTTGTTTGTTAAAGAACCGGAATTCTTAACTTAAATATGCAAGATTATATTACGCGCATTCGTGTCATCCGACTTTGTCGATGATTTTCTACAACTTATTTTTTGTGCCACCTCCAGATTTTGGATATATTTTAGACAGTAAGAATATCTACAACATGGCCAAATTTAAAAAAATTCTACCGTGTAGTTTTTTAACTATAGAGCTGTTTGTCGAATGTGGTGCCAACTTCACAGTTAATACCAAAGTACATTCTCAAGGAATATTATTTCTTTTATTTTTTGTGCCACCTCCAGATTTTGGATATATCTTAGACAATATAATTATCTATATTCTGGCCAAGTTTAAAAAAATTCTACCGTGTAGTTTTTTATTTACAGGCCTTTGTTTTCAACGACTTGAAATTCTCAACATAATTATATAAGATTATATTACGCGCATTCGTGTCATCCGACTTTGTCGATGATTTTCTACAACTTATTTTTTGTGCCACCTCCAGATTTTTGATATATTTTAGACAATATAATTATCTATATTCTGGCCAAGTTTAAAAAAATTCTACCGTGTAGTTTTTTATTTATAAGGCTTTGTTTGTTAAAGAACCGGAATTCTTAACTTAAATATGCAAGATTATATTACGCGCATTCGTGTCATCCAACTTTGTCGATGATTTTCTACAACTTATTTTTGTGCCACCTCCAGATTTTGATATATTTTAGACAATATAATTATCTATATTCTGGCCAAGTTTAAAAAAATTCTACCGTGTAGTTTTTTATTTATAAGGCTTTGTTTGTTAAAGAACCGGAATTCTTAACTTAAATATGCAAGATTATATTACGCGCATTCGTGTCATCCGACTTTGTCGATGATTTTCTACAACTTATTTTTTTGTGCCACTTCCAGATTTTGGATATGTTATAGACAATATAATTATCTATATTCTGGTCAAGTTTAAAAAAATTCTACCGTGTAGTTTTTTATTTACAGGCCTTTGTTTTCAATGTCTTGAAATTCTCAACATAATTATATAAGATTATATTACGTGCATTCGTGTCATCCGACTTTGTCGATGATTTTCTACAAATTATTTTTTGTGCCACCTCCAGATTTTGGATATATTTTAGACAGTAAGAATATCTACAATATGGCCAAATTTAAAAAAATTCTACCGTGTAGTTTTTTATTTATAGGCTAATTAAGAGAAATGGAAAGTACACTGTAATATAAATCTTAGTGTTTTCTTCAATTTCTTGACTTTTATACATTTTTGTGATAGTTAAGGACTGTAAAATAGTAATAAACAGTTAAGAATTGTTTTTTACTGTTGTATTTGATGGGAAACGTGTTTTAAAGACGATTTTTCGATTTATCATTTTGAATGATAAATTTTAGTTGAATGTGGTGATGAATGTTGTGATGAATGTTGTGTTGAATGTGGTGCCCAATGTGGTGCCAATTTCACGGTAGTTGAAAAATGGCAGTGTGACGTTACAAAAGAACTCTTTATCACTCTCATTTATCATATCCCCCCCGGAGTTACAAAGAAGAACTATATATATACTGATGTTCCTTTATAAAAGTAAAATAGTAAAAAGTACAATTAGGAAGTTTCCATGCATTTGAAGAGAGACGCATTCATTGAAGAGTGGTACAAGCGAAGAACTGTCAATGAAGCATTGCAGCTTGTACTAAAACAACAAAATCTCTTTTGTTGCTCTTTTAAAGTCTTTATATAACACATTCCTGAAATTGCTATAATTGAATATGATCAATAAATAATATACATAGAATGTATAACGTACAACGTTTTGTTTAATATACGCAATTGTATGTAAGCAATCTGAATTATGAACGAATATATGAACGATTTCAGTAGCCAGAATCATTTGAAACATAATTATTCTCTTCAGTTGGACTGTTCATTTCTTTTCCTTGTCACCATGTGCTGTAGAGCGAGCACGTCGCCATAAAATAAAGTAATAAACAGCTTCAAAAAGGAATAGGAACATTGTTATATAACCAAACGCAGCTCCAGCTTGTATAGCAGTATTGTTTTTGTCTTTTGCAACGACAATACTGGCTGCAATCAACCAGGTTAGAACAGCAACGCAACAACAAACTAGGAAGACAAGTGGTTGAGTTATAACAGATGGAAGCTTTTCGATGAGATGTGGTATGCCCAAAGCCATATGTACACAGACGATAATCCAACTAAAAATACCCACAAATACGAAGAATTCATATCTCGACTCCTCGTTGAATGAGTTTACAGTTGCAACGCAAATGAAACCAAGAAATGTCGTCAAAAATTCAGCTGCTTTAAAGCGTCCTGGCCAAGAGAATATTATCCATCCAAAATCTAGACATTTCCATCGAAGTCTTTCATGAAGATCCGTGGATTGCCCTTGAGTTTGATAAACGTTTCCTTCGCTTGAAATTTCCTCCATTACTTCACAGTTCGAAGATGCATAAAACGATACCCACTTAGACCTTAGACTAACGACAAACAATCAAAATTCAAAGTCCTGCCGGGGGGGGTATCTTAAAGTTTTACTTTCATAAAATAAAGGTAATAAAGACTCTTTCTTCAAAACTCTCAACCAAATAACCAAATGTTTTCTCGTTTTCTTTACTTCCATCACGTTTTAAATTTTCAAATTACATATAAAACAGCAACATCAAGTCGATGTCATAATATCACTCTGAGACACTCGGGAATTGTTTTACAAGTCATTACAACAATTAAAACCTGTTAACCCGTCCCTCTTTACACCCACGTGTTTTACTATTGTGTGGATATGATGTCATTGAGTTCGTTTTATTACGGCTGAAGGAAGCTTGAACTTGAAGGTAAAATTTTTGTTGTCATCATTTCTTAACAAAACAAATTATTCTTGATCTTTTTAATGATAAACTATTTTAATAGCGACTTGGGTTCAGTCACGAAGACAAGCTGTTGCAGCCATTTTCTGCAATTGCACAAATATTTTGTGTTCATTCACTAGAAACATTACAAATGATATTTTTACTCTAAATAAATGAGAAATAGTTTTACTGTTAGATTTGCATTGTTAGAGTAAAAGATTGAGCTGGCTTTGCCACTGTTTGGGTTGACACTTCCATGTACAGATTTGTTCAGAGTTGGCAAATTTTGTAATTCATTTGTTCTATATGTAAATTTTATTTTCTTCATTAAAAATGACGATATTGTTTTTTTTATAAATGACCTCTTTTGTTTTGTTTTATCTTTTTCAATTTCTTTAAAACAAAAAAATCTTAAATACTTTTCCTCTTTTTTCCTTGAAAGTTCAGTTACTTTAAACACTATAATTCATTTAGTCCAGCTATGTAAATTCTGGTAATTATCATTATTTCAATAATCTATTGTCTACACAATGCACAAATGCTCAAAACTTTACACCAGCATGAGTATATAATTGCTATAGCCTTGCCACTGGTATGATTCACACTTGATTTTTGGCTACTGTTTATTTATTTATTTTTATTATGAATTTATTAAGAGACAATGGTCATTTCAAAACTTGCCACCAATTGTTCAAGAATTTCAAATGCACAATGGTACAAAACGGTAATGATGTGCCGTCCAAAGTATTTTGATGTGTGCCATCATCTTCTTAATGCCCACATGGAGATGAAAATTCCCGTGAAAAAGGGTCTCGCTGCCAAACAATGGGAGAATGCCTATAATACACTTCATGCGAACAATGTGAAAGTGGAACTTTTGGAGCCCCAACAGGGCTTACCTGATATGGTATTCACAGCAAATGCCGGTATTGTCCATGGCAATATAGCTGTTGTCTCCAGCTTTGGTGCTGTACCTCGTCAGCCAGAAACTCAACACCACATTCATTTTTTCAAAGATCGAGGTTTTGAAGTCATTATCCCCTCAGATCATAATGTTCAAATTGAGGGCTGTGGTGATTTTATGCCCACACATGATGGTGAAAATTATTTTGTAGCTTATGGTTTCCGAAGTGCATTTAAAGCATATGCCTTTATTAAGGATGCCTTATCTCTCCCAAAAGATCGTTTACATCACATGAAATTAATGGATCCCCATTTCTACCACATTGACACAGCATTGATGAGCCTAACACGTGGACATCTTATGTACTATCCTGGTGCTTTTGATAAAGAATCAGAGAAGAAGATATTGGATATTGGAAGTCATAAAGTCATCCCAATTGACCGGCAAGATGCCATGGATTTTGCCTGTAATTCAGTGAATTTCATTGACAACGATGAACATATTCTGGTGGGAAACAAATTTAGCAATGATCTCAAAAGAAAACTCAATGACTTTGGTTATAAAGTAATAGAGACACCGTATGAACAGTTCTTATTGGCTGGTGGAAGTATCAGGTGTTCTGTTCTTGACATTGGAAAATCTGACTTGTACGAAAATGAATAATGTTATTTAGAGAATATATTAAAATCTGAAAGAATCTTTGTCATTTGTAGCTTTGTTGATTAAGAACATCAAGAAATTAGTAATTAATTTTCACAATTACATCATTGATAAATTCATTACAAATCTTTGTTGTTTCCAAGGTTGTGCTGATATGGGACAATCAGGTTACTTCAGAGTTTCTATCTTATGAAGGTTTCATTTAGGGATGACAAGCCATCCACAAATGGCGCATTTTCCATTAGGAGAGTAAGAAACCTCTCCAACATCATTTTTATTGCTTTGCAATATTTAGATCCATGAACTTCACATCCTAAATGATAGAAAGAAATTTAATGGAATGGGATGGGGGTACAGATGGAATAGGTTGGGGATAAAAGTAGATTAAATTTCTTAACCAAAAAAACCTCCCAATCATGATATAAGATTAAGAGTAATAGAATTTAACAAAAAATATCTGCACTTACAAATAATTAGCTTCTTAAATCTAATCCAAACTAGAATACCACCACCCTACAAAATCATCCTAGATCATTTAATACCTTTGACAAAAAACGACCAATGGAGGTTCGATAAAAGTCAAATATTTTCTGAGAGCAATCACGCGCCACCATCAAACATGTCTCAAACTGGGAAAATTTAATTATGACATCTCTTCAATTTTCCAAAATGACAATTGTAATAAATTACATAGATAAATACCTTTGGTGAATAGAGTTAGAAATCTACCTGATTTATACTAAATTTTCCTTTGCTGGTCAATAGAATTATATCTTTGTTGACTGAATCAAAGGCAAATGTAATAACTGCTTTTGCATTCTGCAAGTATAATAACACAAAACAACATTAATCTTGAACATTTAATAAGTTCATCCATAAAAAAACTTAAGAAACAAATTTATATAAAGTGCACCTTTTCTTGTTTGCCATCTGGGTCTGTTATAATTACATCATCATCCAGTATCGCTATGGTAATTGAGGCTATAAGGTATCTCATTGGATAACCAGCATTCAACATTGCCATACACCCTGCATTGATACAACATGATATCAACTAGACATTGTTCAGGTACATATATGTTCTGATGATGATAGAGTCTCAGAAATCTCCATGAATTCAAAGTGAACACGATATTATGAACATCAAAGGATACAGATCCATCATTGCAGATTTCTTGTAACACAATAGTCATAGCTGATCGTGGATGCATTGATGTCAGTATAGCAGATTCACAAGTATTTCTGATCAATCTTTCCATTGATTTCTCAGCACAACCTAAAAAAATACATTGTATATACTTTATTGGGTCATGGGATATTATTATATAGGATTTGATTGTTGAAAGATGGGCTGTGCCAGTAAATATGAATAAAACTAAAGAATTCACTCCTATACTAAAGCCACAAAAATTGAGGTCGACGTAGATAGCTAATAAAGTAATGAAATGGAAATATTATAAGGTATTTCAATACTACTTTACCAGGAATGCCGGTTTTTGGACGATACACCACTTCAACAGTAGCTTTATTAACTATCTCTTTATTAAATCGTACTTCAGCAGGACCATAAACTCCTGCCATCGCTGATGTATTGCCTGAGAGAAAATTAATGATATTTAATTGCATTACAAACATAGTATTCAGTCAAAATTCTCAATGTATATGTTTAAATTTTAATTATATTTCTTTCAGTTCACGAGTTTGTCGCGTATTTAGTGCAAGAAACTGAGCTCAATTTTACTAGATTTTGCAAAAATATTGTACTATAGCATTGGCTATACCATGCGAAAAGCAAGCAGATCCATCTGTTTTATTTAAAAGACCTAAATCCCCGCTAAGTGAGCGCAATGCCGCAGAATTCTTTATTTCTCTATCTTCGTTCGCCATGTTGGATGTTTGATGATATACTTTGTGTAAGCCCAACATGAGTGGGAAAAGAATAATTCTAACAACTACAGTTATAAATGAATAAAATGATATTGAATAGAATGGCATTCTTGCTTAAAAATATTTTGTGTCGACCGCTGGCAGTCCGTGGATGTGCAAAACGTGCTCTTGTTATGGGAAGGAAGGTATATGTTTAGACAAAACGCATCAAATAATATCATATGTCGCGTGATAAGTGGTAATAATCAATGTAGTGGCTTGGTAATTAATCAGACGGGGAAATTAAACCATTGTGTTGGTGGCGCCAAATATTTTGCCCATTTTCATCCCTTAGCTTCAAGGTGTTACTAATATTCTTACAAATTAAAATTATTCTGTAAGATGGTTTTAGACCCCTAATCACTCTCTTCTCTTCATACCTACACAAAATATGTACAGAAACCTGAAAATTTCTTTAAACTTTCTCTTCACTAGTGTTTCTCCAATTTATCTGATGAAACCCTAAAAATAGATGCCAATGATGAATTTGCTCAATTCCCTGGATCAAAGTCAAAGTTTACAGATAAATTAGAATTTGTCAATGCAGACGAAGAAAGCCATATTCCTGTGTACAGAGTGATGAATCGTGATGGCATTGTAACAATGAAAGAAAATGAACCAGAGGTATTTTTTTGAAAAAGGAAAACATGATAAGGAATACATCAAATTTTCATGTTATGGTTCATTTAAATTATTATTCTGATAAACAGTTAGGTCGTGATGTGATTGAGAAAATCTACCAAAAATGACATTACTTAGCACAATGGATAGAATCTTGTATGAATCACAGCGGCAGGTAATATTTCTGTGCAAAAAATTTTTCCCAAGTAACAAAAGCATCCTTTACATCAGGCAACTCATCTTTGTCTCACTTCAGTAACCAAACAACGTGAATACAACTTTTCAGGGTCGAATCTCGTTTTATATGACCAATTATGGTGAGGAAGCTGTTCATTTTGGCACAGCATCTGCACTAGATATGGAAGATCTCATATTTGGGCAGTATCGTGAGACTGGTGTTTTCTTCTGGCGAGGTTTTACTCTGGACGATTGTATGAATCAATGTTTTGCAACTAGTTTGGATCCAGGCAAGGGAAGACAGATGCCTGTCCATTATGGATCAAGAAAACTCAATTTCGTCACTATTTCTTCTCCACTGGGCACACAAATGCCACAAGGTAGAAACTTCTTGAAAGTACAACCGCAAGATCAATATATTTGCAACATTACTTTCATTCGTAAAATCATAAAGAAGTCAGAACATGATAACACAAGTTAATTGGCAGTCTTTGTACTCATATCATCTTTTTCATCTAGCTCCAGGAGCAGCATATGCCATTAAAAGAGCGAGAAAACCCAACTGCGTTGTCTGTTATTTTGGCGAGGGAGCTGCAAGCGAAGGTGACGCTCATCCAGCATTTAACTTTGCTGCTACATTAGAAGTGCCTGTGCTGTTTATATGGTGAGGGCCCATGGTTGTTTCTTCCTAATACTGACTCTTGACAAATTCACTGTGGAATAACTACTAGGAAAATCTTATTCTGCTATATTGACTGTAATATATTCCAATAAGAGTTGACAGTCAGTTTCTTTCGTGTTTGCCATTTACATTGAAGTAATGCGTAACAAGACCGATATTTCACTCGCGGAAAACAATACATTTTTAAAGAAATATACAATGTCAACCCTTTGTCACGCGAGTTACATTTTTATGTGAGTTTGATTGGATTTCTTTTGCGGTTGCCATTTGGCACAACGCGCAATGAAGTGTTAATAATTTAAAATTTACACAGAATGGGCAAACTTACGAGCTGGTTATATGTCACTGTATGTAAGTGATGATCATCACAATCGGGATGTTGAAACATATCTATTTTTTAAAAAGTTTCTTGTATTCATTTAATGTTCCATTTTTTTATTACTTAACATTTCTATTGTTATAGTCGTAATAATGGTTACGCAATATCTACACCAACATCTGAGCAGTATCGAGGCGACGGCATTGGTGAGTGACGCTGTATATTGATAACTTTCTCAAAAATTTTTGGATATGTATCAGGCAACTGCCAAATATATTTCAACTACGACAAATATAGTAGGGAGGCCAAGGTTGGGCAAGGTCGGGTTATGACTTTCAAAAGAATAAAATCTTACCATTTAAGTATTTTGCCGTAGGTTAGATCTGTCCTTAGACAAAACCAGCTTGAAAAATGATTTTAGCTACATGAGAAAAACTCGTAGTTCTCAACCTATTTGTCCAGATGTTGATTTATTCAATAATAATTTAACCATTACCAATGCTTTACTAAGATGCAACTTACGCAATCAAAACGTGCCTTTTAATGCTTTCATCTATGACTTAGTTACTATTTTCCTGTCTTTCTTTACAGCTGGCCGTGGTCCTGCATACGGAATTCGGTCTATTAGAGTGGACGGAAATGATCTCTTTGCTGTTTATAATGCAACGAAAGCAGCTAGAGATTATTGCGTGCAGGAATCAAAACCTGCAATAATCGAAGCTATGACATACAGGTACATATTTCTAAATTATACCAGATTATTCCTATTGTCTCGTATCGTTCCTCACCATTGTTGGAAACATTTGAAGAAATTATGATGAAAGTAGAAGTTTGTAGGTAACGTTATAGTCATTGTATAATAGAATTGGTCATCACAGTACAAGCGATGATTCAACGGCATATCGTTCACAAGACGAGGTGAACTATTGGGATAAACTGGATCATCCTATTGCTAGACTGAGGTCTGTATTTGTCATCAAATGATATGTTTTTATGTCTTCACATCCATCTAATGTCGCAGAACTGTTTGCTAGACGTTTCATGGTTTCCAAAGAATGGTGGAATGATGAACAGGAAGAGAAATGGAAACGTGATGCGCGTTTGCAGGTTATGGAGGCGTTTGGGCGAGCGGAGAAGGCCAAGAAGCCGCCAATTAAGTACATGTTCACCGATGTTTACGACGAAATGCCGCTACATTTGAAAGAACAGTATGAAGAATGCATGGCGCATGTGCAAAACTACCCCAACGATTATCCTGTCGATAATCATGCAAGTGACGATGCTACTTAGAGTTTAGGGACGATGGACATCCGGAATAATGTCACTTACTATACGAAGGACATCTGAGATACTATCATGTACTATAAAATGTATTCCTAAAACAACAATTCATATCTCAAATTTACAGACCACTTAAAGAAAGCAAGCTTTGTAGAAAAATCGCAAAATTACAATCAGTGATAAGACATTGTCGTCAGCAATAAAACTTGAAGTGATAAAATCTATGAATCTTTCTCGTGTTTGTGACTTCGTAAAGCCACATTGCAGCAAACAGGTGTGCATTGGGCATAAATAAAAAAACTACTGAATTAAATGTTTCATGGAAGAAATTTAGCTAGTTTCTATTCGTGGAATGGTCGTGAAAGTGTTAGGAACGGTAGATATATAATCACTTATTTTATTGTCAGTCACAATATCTTTTGCTGCGACTTCACTGAAGCTCTTGAATAAAATGGAGTTGAATGTCTTTTTGCTTTAGATAATGGGAGTTATCTAGTTTGCTTGCTGATAGCCTGGGGAGAAACAGACGTTTGACAAATCTTTTCTTGTTGTGCATTGGTCTCAGGTCTACAACTCCAAATAACTCTCTTAGGTGCTATAATCCAATAATTTTCACATGGTTCATCCAGTCTTGTGAAGCGATGTGAGAAAATCAACGTTGCTACAATTTCAGCTTTCAAGTTAGCATAGCACACCTTTAGTCGAGGATAAAGGCTCGCAACACAAGTATGAATTTCTGCCGTATTCAAAGCCTTCAAGGGAGAGCTGCATATTGCTTTTTCAATCAAATCTTCAAATGAAAATGTTTGTGGTAAATCCGTCGTAAACGCATGCCTCGCGTTAAGATGCGCGTCATGTACGTTCTGATGATTTTTTTCTAAGCAACTCCTTTTACTTCGTTTATTTGATCTTTTACGAATGACTCTTGTATTATCCTTAGCGGTGTCAAACAATTTTTTCTTCTTAAAATCTTTAACATCAATCGACTTTTGTCTTACTGACGGTACTGTCCTATTTGCCATGGTCGAAATATTGAAATAAATTCGTGAGATGAATAGTGTATGTAAATAGTGTTAGAGCGAAGTACCTGACGTCATAGCCGTCGTGTTGGTGTACAAATTGAAAAGAATTTTGAAATGATTCGAAGTTCTTTTGTTTGGTAGGCTGCTCCTCCCTTGTCATGTTGATCTCTAGATGACAACTATTTTTTATTTGTATAGCCATGAATAAGAAAAAGTCTTAATGAATAGGCAAAAAGGTGTCAAGCATTTACAATAGATGAAATTGAGGATGAAATCTGAATGAATTATCAAAGGATACTTTCAAAAACTTAAAAGTTGTAGAAAATTTTAATTCGGATAATCGGATTTTTACCACGCAAACATCTCGCAGCCCACGCATGCAATCTCTGCGCGCGTTTTGATTATAGTTTTAGAATTTTGTCATCCCCCCCTGATTACATTTACCACCGCCATTTTGTTACATTGTAAATTGTGAAATTGTGAAACGTTTTCGCCATTTTTTAAAAATATCGGGAATAAGATTCTCATAATGGTTGTTTTTGTCAATATTTTGAATAAAAATGGGGTGTGTTGGATATAAATAGATGTCACGAATTTTCAAGTCTAGAGCTGAAGCGTCAAATCAGCGAAAAAACGGTATGAAATTGAAATATAATAAAAGAGTAGATGATGGCATTTAAATTTTAAAATTTATTTAGAGCATAGCAAGTGATGACATTTACATGACTATTAACGGTCGCAAATTTGAAAACCATTGTAAAGTTGAATTAAATCATGATGTCATCATTCAATGTCATCTCAAAGTGCATGGTGGGAAGGGTGGCTTTGGTTCCATGCTTCGTGCTATTGGTGCACAAATTGAGAAGACAACCAATAGAGAGGCTTGTAGAGATTTGAGCGGTCGACGAATGCGAGATGTCAATGACGAGAAGAAGTGAGTTTTTATTCTTATTAGGTACATATAGGGACATTACAATTCCTGTCCTTGTAAAATTGAGTACATGGAGTAATGATGAATTTCTTACTGTAGAATTGCCGACTGGTTAGCGAAACAAGCAGAAAGAGACCAAGAGAAGGCAAGAAAGAAGCAGGAAAGACTCGAAAGACTACAATCACACCCCAAACATGTCTTTGAGGAAAGTAGCAGCTACACAAATCAACTTCAAAATAACATGGATAGTGTTGATGATGCTTTACGGAAAGGTGATGTTTAAACCACTGTCATGTCTTTGTCTGAAATCATTATAGTAGTGCTTTAAAGAAAGGTGTTGATGTCAGTGTGATGTCATTGTCTAACAACTATATAGTAGTGGTGATGTAACTACGATGTCATTATCTGACATCACTATAGTAGTGGTGATGTCACTATGATGTCATTGTCTGATATCACTATAGTAGTGGGGATGTCACTGTGTAATGTTGCTAAAGTGGTTGCTAATATTGATTGTATTTTTGCAGGTTTAAAATCTAGTAAGGCAGGAAAAAGAAAATTGGAAGGGAAAAATGAAAAAGCAAAGAAACAAAAACTATGGTTTGAATTTGAATTGAACGTTTTCCCGTTTAGCAAAACAAACCTTCAACATATACAAACAATTTCTACCAGTTACACAAATTCAACACTTTCCCTGTTGTCTTACCGTTATTCTTATGTATAATACAAATGTCTTTTTTATTGCTTAAAATTTCACTTCATAACGAAAAACTCTGAAAAACATTAATGGTCGATCGGTCGTTGTTTCATAGGCTAGATATTGATGAAGAATTGAGCAGTGATGATGAAGTCAGTGATTCCTCGACATCTAGTCCTTCAATGACCAAAGCCATTTACAGCACGTCTGAAAAGTCCATCGAAAATAGTGGCATTAAATGCATTAACAAACGAGTTGTTGAATCAGTCGAACTAAATGATAATAACGTTGAAAATACCAGCGATATTAAAACCAGATACGAACAACTTCAAAAACACGATGAAACGCCCAAAATTGAAAGTGAAAATTCCAAAATCCAGTTTGAAAAATCTGTTAAACATACTGAGACAAGTCCTTCACGAAATGACGATACCTGCACAAGTTCTAATGCCGAGAATGATAAAAAAGTTGTGCAAAACGAAGCGACTAGTGGAAAGTTGGAGGAAGAAAAATCGGTATCATTTTTAATTCTTTATACACTTGAAACTTTTGAAACATTAAAGGCGATCAATTGTCAACAGTGAAGGTGACCAGAACAGATGTCATCAAAATCACTAATGTAGATTTTAACTTAGATAATGCTCTAATATTTACCATTTGTTTTGTCAAGGTAACGTTTCCTTTAAATTTGGACGACTATGGATCAGTAAAGGAATTGGAAGAACTTGGTTTGGATGTTTTGAAAAAGGCGTTGATCTCACTTGGAATGAAATGTGGTGGTACTTTACAACAGCGGGCAGAACGATTATTTTCGGTCAGAGGACTAGCACTAGAAAACATCGATCTGTCATTGCTGGCAAAACCACTGGTGGAAAGAAAAATGGGAAAAATAAATGACTGTTTACGAGTCATATGATAAAGCTTGTCGATGTGTTGATTTAGGAACGTGTTGCAAAGTTTTCAAAATGGGTTTTTAGTGCTTTAATGTTTATTTAGTTCACTGTATACTTGTGTTTTGAAAGAGTTACATTTATATGTGTACAAAACTTCAGGTTTCTTGTATATGTCATTCAAAATATTAGTACTTTTGTAGATATAGTGCAGTCTTCATTTCAACAAAAATATTGCTGTAATGTGTTTTATTTTTGTTTTGCAAAAAACTGCCTTTTTGTGAGTTGCTTTGTCGTAATACTTCAAAGCTAGAAATATGTGTTCTTGAAAAAAATAAAGACGACAACGATGGATCTTTGAATCTTTAGTTTAACGATCTATAGTATGTCATATGCTTTCATCTCTGTCATGCCACTCAACACAGGAAGAAACAACTTTTGGACAACTTCCTTACATGTTATATACAATTTTGATCAAAGTCCATAGGAACACAATCATTTTTAAAGTTTTTTTTTATGTGTATCATATATCAAAAAACGAAACTTATTCACCATTCCTTCAACGTTGAACATATGTTTGACACCGTAGAACAATCTCTCATATTCTATTTCTTACATCTACCATGGTCATATAGTCTTTGAATAATTTTGAAGACAAACATAGACTTGTAACGATTTCTACAATGGATATTTGATGACATTGCTTATCAAAATGACCTTCTCAAGGTGATCCACAAGATTACCCAATGATGTTCTCATGATCAACAAGATCACCCAATGATGATCTCATGATCTACAAGATCACCCAATGATGTTCTCATGATCCACAAATTTCCTGTAAAAAACGATTAAAACTCACTAAACTCTTCATGTTCAGACAAAGAGTCAAGACCAAGCTGCTAAGTATTCACAGCAAATGAGAAGTTGTCTTTGGTGAAGAACAATCAACTGTGAAGCATTTGGAAGAAATTCTTATTCACAATGAATTATTTGGCAGTGATCATTCTCATAATTTCGTGCATTTTTCCACTATTCTTGAGTGTGGTAGGTTTTGCGTCTAAAAGTCAAACTTTTTTGAATTCGTCGAAATAACACAGCAATTTAATGTGTACAACCGTTTCCCTTCAGAAAATCGTGAATATCGACGACTATGACCCAGGCAGCTGTAACAAAACCAACGCGTTCCAAGTATATTCTGTGAAAGACAGAAACGATAAAACGAGACTGTGGATATGTAGCAAAGAAAATGGAAAATATTTGTGGAAATCTGTTAATGGTTGGTGTTTATATATAAATTTAAATGATGGATCAAGAACTAAAGAGACAATATTTACAGCATTACTGCATTATAAGTTTTCTACCCAGCAGAAGATGAAAAAATTATACTTTGGAAGTGATTAACATTAATTTTTCTCTACGTAACAATGATTTCATTTAGGTAAGTCATTTGTCGGTGAATACCTGAGCCCAGGCTACGATTGCTCAGATATTTTAAATCGAGAGGAAAATGTTCAGGATGGATATTATTGGATAAATCTGGGAGGCAGCAATAAACGAAAGGTAAATGTTGGATATTCAAAAGATGATGACGTCATAATTTTTATGATTTGAAAAGTGATGCATCTTTATTGAAGGTATGGTGTGACATGAAGACAGATGGTGGTGGATTTATACTTGTTGCTAGAAAACATGATGCTATCACGTGGAACGTTCCCTCAAAAGACAAACCGGTGAATCCATCTGGCAAAGACAAATATTGGACAAGTCAACTGGGAGATCTTCCCATCTTGGATTTCAGAATACAGATGTCAACAAGTGACTCGTTTGTTGACACCAAAGCTCATTGGTAAGTATTAGACTAAGAACAAAACGCAAATTCCGTTTTAATGCTCGCTCATACAACACGATCCCCATTCTTTTAAATTGAAGACCTTGATTTTTTTTAATCAGGTTTTACAGATTGAATGGAACCAGAAAGCTTGAGAACTTAATGATCACAGACCAAGGATGTGATACACTTTCTCCGGGAATTGGAGGCATAGCTTACGTTAAAGATTTGATAGCAAATAAAATTGTAACGACATCTTTTAAATGTTCCGTGTTTGGTCAAAATACAGCAGCAAAAGAAAAATTGGCTGGGTAAATAATTGATAGAGTTTGTTTTACTAAACAATAACACTAATCTGTTAAAGCTTACTTCTATCGTAAAAGGTATTTCTTATATTTTAGTCGATGATGAATGACTGCCTAAAAATCCGTGTGGAGGATCAGGGTATTTACATTTCACAGGTCAAAAACCAATAAAGTTTGAGGAAAACGGTGTATTTAGGTAACAAAATAATGATTTAAATTAGCAACACTTGATGTTTTCAGATTATCTTACTCATAAAAGATCATAAAAGATTAAAAGTTCGGTAAAATTAAAAATTCAATAGATTTGAAAACAATGTATTTGTGTCCGAATCATTTAGTTACAGTGTGTCGAACTCAAAGTCAGGGCTGTTTAGGAATGCAACCGCATATCTTGGCTGTTTACATGGCAAGGTACTTATGAAAAATATCTTAAGTGAAACGTTGAACTGGTAGTGAATAACTTTTTCTTCAGTGTTGTGGATGTTATGGTCCACCAGGAGGAACAGATAATTACTGTGATACAAAATGTAACGCTATCAATGGTGGATCGGTAATCAGTGATAAAAATATTTATACCTGGATCTGGGTAAGATCCAGTCTTCCTAAGCGAATCTGGGACAAATGTATGGAGTATCAAAGTGAAGATGAATTTGGTCAGATACAATGGTACACCTTAAAGGGAGATTCTGTCGTTCCTCAAAAGGTAAAAATGCAAACAAAATTGAATAAATTGATATTTGAAATTATAGAAGAGAAAATTTGTAGCTACGTGCGATCTCTTGATGTATTTAAGATTTATTTCTTTAAAGAGCATAAAATAAGAGATTACAGTAATGTAAAAATACAGCTTGACAAAATCAACATTTATCATTCTCCACACAAAGATATTTCTGCTAATCATGATTTTTACATTAATTACTCAGGGAAAATGTCAGAAGAAAGACAAACCACGTTTAAATAGTGGGGTAAGAACGCAATCCATTTGGGATTTTATCAAAATAATATAAATCCAATGTTTAAAAACTTATAAACGATTGAAGGTTGTCGTTGTTTCTGATAACAAAACTGCAGAAAAAGTTCCTCAAATACCAGGATTGTTGGAATTTCGCCTGGATCAAAAGGAACTTTATGTTAGAGCAAACAAATCATGGAACATTCTTCCACAGGAAAAAGAGGTAAATGAGTAACAGCAATTTTAGTTTTGAATTTCGATGATTCAACATTACAATGTGGGAAAGAGTTTATGTAAAAGAAAACGAAGACAGAGCTGAGGAACTCTAGTTAATATTTAAAAAAAACTAAGCTGGTAGCAAAGCTGTGATGCAGGATGAATTTCAATGATAATTTTTTCCTTATGTGATAGATCAACGGAAAATTTACAAACTTGCAAAAAAATCTGGAAGCAAAACTAAATGAACTAATGAAGAAAATTGAGGAAACGGACGTTGAGTTAAAAAAGAAACTCAATTCGAGCTACACAGAACTGAAAAATGACATGAAAACAACAGATTCACAGTTTAAGAAAAAACTTACCAATCTTGAAGCAGACTTTAAACAAAAACTCAACACAAAATCTGCTGAACTGAACAAGAAGATTAATGATGAAAATACAAAAATAAAGACGAAATTGGTTTTTTCTAAATCAAATCATAAAGAGATCACTGGAGGTTAGCTTATTTTGGTGATTTATAAAAACTTTTTTTCATTCAATTACTTATACTCTAGAAGTTTTATTCTTAACATTGAGAACTGAATATGAAAGAAACAGGCAATAATTTTATTGAATTATTTCATTTTGCAGGGACGACAAGCATTTTGATTGGCTAATAGAAAAAATAAAATAAAGTATTTAATGTCACGAAATTTTCACCCCACACTTTTAATAGCTCTAAATAATTGCAAAGACTATTTTGTGATGAGTTTTTAGTTGATCTGTGTTTGAAGATATATTTTCTGTCGATGATAACTAATAATCACAAAAGTTGATTATTATATTTACTAATAATCCCGCGTTTCTTTATTTTTAAAACATTTCAGTATGCGGAGGACAATATAGATGGTTGACAAGCTCCACAAGGACGTATAACTACAGATCGAACAGCTACTGTGACTCATCTTTATCTGGTTGGTACAGATTTGGAGGAAGTGCTGGAACTATGATGTTCTCAGGGTGTGTTAGAGGTGGTAGAAGCCGTTGTGGTTCATATTTTTCGGGACATTTAACAGGAGGTCATCCAGGAGTGAATGATGGGATTGTTGAACGCGTTGTTTGTTTTTCTCATCGTAGCGGTTCCTATGAATATTGTTGTTTGTACAGACGTACAATCAAAGTTCTCAACTGTGGCTCATTTTATGTTTACAAATTGAATGGAGTACCAACTTGCAACTCAAGATATTGTTCTACAGGATGAAAAAAAGGGAAATAACCAAGTAATAAAAAAGCAATTTGAATTTAAAATTATGGTCAATATTTTCAAAATGATTAAATAAATGATTCCATTTAATATATTTTAAAGTTATGTTACATGTACAAAATGTTATAATGCATTGGGTTATTAAAAATTTTGCAAAGATTGCCTTTAACTATCTTGTTGTTGATTTTTGTAAGGTGAAATAATTTTAGGGTCAGAATTTCTTCTTAACATCCAACGTAAAGATTATCTCCTTTCAAACAAACAAAAATATCTGTAAAGAACTGAAAGGATGAATTATCACAAAAAATCGATCTTAAGCCCCAGCTTTGAATAATCTATTAACTGGAATTTCAAATACAACAAAAATTGCCCTGCTTGATTGAAAACTAATGACTATTAGCTAACTGTTCGTCAGAAGTCAGAAAGTCTCAAATGATGGAAACTTTCTCCATTTCTTCGTTCATATCTTTCTTAAAATTAATTGCAAACATGACACGAGTTGTTTTTTTTTCAAAATGAAAAATGAATAAGTGAAAGTAGAAAAACGAAAATTAGAAAACACTAAAACGATTTTTGTACTACTTCTGACCTCCAATAAAATAAATTCAATTTACCAAATTACAATGTTACAATGATATAAATCACAATGTTACAATGTTAACGAGTAAAGATTTTTAACTTTGTAATTTTTTTAGAGAACATAATTTTTCCGCATAGTAAAAACATTTTATTTACAAGCACAACACTTTATCGAATTCATATGCAGTTTAATACGCGTTTAACGGTACAAGAGTTAGGTATGTATAACAATCAATTAAAACAATTTTCTCCATGATTCAATAATGATATTCATCAATAATTATTCACGCACTTGTTTATTTCAAATTCTACAACATTTCAGTAAGTGGAGTTTAGTACAAGTGGTTAAAAGAGCCTACCGAGAGATATAGAAATATGTTATCTGATGATACTGTCACAACGGGAAGAAGTATGGTTGGTACAAATTTGGTGGAAGTGCTGAAACTATGATGTTTCACAATGTTTAAAGAAGGTGAAAAACATTGTGGTGCAAAATATCCAAGGCATTTAACAGGAGATCAACCCAGAATGAATGATGGGATTGTTGAACGGGATGATCTGCTGTTAAATGAAACTTCAAAATTTTGATAAGGGTTGAATGCTATTTTTTTAAAACAGTTTGCATTTTGTGGTTAAGTTCATATGATTTGATGATATTATATGATTCAATGATATTGAATCTATTATATTAATGATTTCACCAGTAGTGCATTCAGTGAGTGTATTTATGTTATGTGTCTCAAAAAAGGTCATTTATTCAGTAATTTACACCACATAACATTTTTTTGACACACTGTACAACAAAAACAACAAAAGCAAATGCAGTTAAAGCTGTCGTCAAAAAATGTTTTATAATATCAATCTAAAGAAACACTTGTCGTTTTAACCAACCAAAACAACCAATTAATCTGATCTTGAATATTGAGTCCGAATATACTTCAGTCTAGAGTCTCTATGATTAGTAGGATAGCCAACCCAGAGAATTTTTTCCTGCTATGTATGCCTGGACATTGTCATAATTCATTTCTTTATATTGTTACGCTTTCTCAGAGATTGAACACAGAATAAAATTGCATTGTAGGAGTAAACAAGAAAGCTGTCTATATACCATTGTCAATGAAACTATTATAAATTTGATCTTTCTGCATATTGTAAATCTCTCTGATTTCAAACTTGAGTTTCTCCATGCTGCATACAAAGTGTCTTTATCTGCAGTAGAATAGCCAGCCTGCAAAGTTTGTTCATGCTATGTAAATTTTTAGTGTTCACTTAGTGTAAAAACCACAAATTTCTAAAGAAATGAATTAGCTAATGATGACAAATTTACACAGCATGATCAAATTTGCTAGCTGGCTATTCCACTTTTCATCTGGAGTGACAAATCTTGATTGAATGTTAATCATCCATCTCATTATAAAGAATATAAACAATATATATTATGCAATCAAGTAAATCATGTGAATTTTTATTAAAACTATTTTAAAAATGAAATACTTAGTGATCAAAGTTACAAACAATGTGACAATGTTACAAGACCCAATCATTGTCAAGCAATATATAAATCAAATTAGATCCCACTCACTTACAATGAAAATGGTCATTATGCCTCAATACCTTGACCACAGAAACTCTTTCTGGTGGAGGCTGCCATCATGGGAAATGCCCAAATCAACAAGTAAGGCACCATTGATATTAAAATATCGACAACAAGCACAATACGTCAACAGCTTTTATTACCAATCTACCATTGCTGCCCTTTGTATTAATATGGACAGAAAGCTGATAAAAAAAAAACACTCGCAACGTTCAACATAGGTTGCCAGTGTAATTTTAGTTATTCTTCAACGGTTAAGTGTTAAAAGTCGAAAAAATTGATAAATCGATGTCGAAAATGCAAGACTACTATTTACAGTAAGACAGCGTCAGTGGTACATCTGAGGCATCTGGGGTCTGGGGTGCAAAATAAAGGTACATAAAGGTACATGTTTTAAATGGTTAGGATATAAAACAAAATTTCCCGCCGAAGTCGCATCGTAATCTTATTGGGTGATTTACACCAATGACAAGCTGAATTAATAAAGTCCAGCCCATGTGCTAACCTCATTTCTTGTTCAGTTGATTCATTACTATTCTTCAAGAAGACCTCACCTCTCTTAAGTTTTGACAAAAATTTTGAAGATAAATCGCTGAAAGAAGAAGAATTGATAAAATTATCGTTAATTGAATGGAAGGTAACGAATTTCTTGTGGTTTAGAAATTTTCTGTTGAAATTCATCGAATTTTTGAGGTTGAAAGAAAGGAGCTCGGCATGTTTGTCATTTTGCGAAAGATGAAATACTGTGATACTGTCGTAATCCTTCCCATTCCAATTTTTTATCAACTGTTTTGCAATATAGCTTTGTTTCATCCTTTCTTGCATGTTTTGGAATGCTTGGAAGCAAAATTAAGTTGAAACTTTTCGTTTTTTAGGACAAAGTGTGTAGCTACTTCATTCGGCTTGCGCGACAAGCTAACTCTGAACGGTGTCCCATGAATGAAACAACAAACAGCCAGCGCTAACAGGCAACAAACTCCGAAATGAAGATGTCAACTAAAAATACCTAAAGGTAGGACGTGAATGAACTTCTTCATTGTTTAATTTAAGCCAAAAGCGAGTTTTCTTGCTGAAAATTACGAAAGTTAGTTTTGGGCGGTTTATGCAGAATGAAAACTGCAATCCTTTGAAGTCACCGGACGTTTAAAATTTGCATCATTCAGCAGTTAACGATTCCCCAAGGAGATGTGTAACGTGTAAGAACAATTGAATACAATGAAATATACAAGTTGAGGCTACTGCACATTGCAAATGCTGACATCCATTTGAGATATAAAAGCCATTGATGCTCGAAACATGCTAATTAGCTACCTGCCAACTTTAAAACCTTCTAGTACTGAACTATTTTTGTTATTGACAACGAGGATGTTTGTATTAGTTATAAAGTGTCCAGCAAAATAGTTTACGACGAAACGCTTTAATAATTTTCGGTTTGCTAGTAAATTTATGGAAATCAGAACGTTTCTATGAAAAGACGTCTAAGTCACGTTTAAAATTAGTTTATAAGCTAAGCTCCGAGTAAAGATGGGATATTTTGATAAAATTTTCCATTTTTTCGTCAAGATCAGTCTTTCACTCGTGCAATAAAGTTCAAAATATTATTGTTTCTTTCGTATTTGTAATGAAATATAACTTGAAGTATAACATACTAAACGCAAATAACTTGATTTCGTAGGAACTGAGGGGACAATCAAGCTTATACATCGGTTTCCTTGTGCACATATTCAAAAAAATTTTTCAGAACAGAGCTCATTATTTCCAACGCTTTTCAGCTCACCTTTACCTCACCAATGCTAACACTTTGCTTTAAGCTTTCCTTTATATATATTACATATAGTGTTTTAATATGTTAAATAAAGTTAACGGAAAAGGCTGATTGATTAAATGAAAAGTATAAGCCAAAAAGATGAGAGCAGGGTCTGCAATACAGAAGACAATATGAAAGACGATAACAGAAGCTTTAAAGAAAATTTCTACGAACAGAAACACGAAAAAAGGATGTCTGCTACTGGAAGTTGCTTCATTATTTCTTTAAAGTGTTGCGTACTTGGTTGTAAGTTTGCATTATCGGTTCTAAGCACGTTATCTTTTCAATGGATTAAGTTAACGTTATGGGAAATGCTGAAGTATTTGAAAAGCAAAATATAGAAAAGATGAGAGCAAGGATTTAGTGGAATGTGAAGGTGGATAGCAAACGTTTAAAGTAAATTTCAACAAACATGGAAACTTGAGAGAAGTTTACAACTGTCAAAGCTACAAAGAACTCATTTTGCTTTCATCAGGTTTTGCAAGTTCAACGTCTTCCTCTGTTCAGTTGCTTCGTCAGCTATTGCAAACGCAGTGTCTTCATTTGTTCGGTTGCTTCGTCAGCTATTGCAAACGCAGCGTCTTCATTTGTTCGGTTGCTTCGTCAGCTATCGCAAACGCAGCGTCTTCCTCTGTTCGGTTGCTTCGTCAGCTATCGCAAACGCAGCGTCTTCATTTGTCTGGTTGTTTCTGTCAGCTATCGCAAACGCAGCGTCTTCATTTGTTCGGTTGTTTGTCAGCTATCGCAAACGCAGCGTCTTCATTTGTTCGCTTGTTTGTCAACATCGCAAACGCAGCGTCTTCATTTGTTCGCTTGCTTCGTCAGCTATTGCAAACGCGGCGTCTTCATTTGTTCGGTTGCTTCGTCAGCTATTGCAAACGCAGCGTCTTCATTTGTTCGGTTGCTTCGTCAGCTATCGCAAACGCAGTTCTTCATTTGTCTGCTTCGTCAGCTATCGCAAACGCAGCGTCTTCATTTGTTCGGTTGTTTGTCAGCTATCGCAAGCGCAGCGTCTTCATTTGTCTGGTTGTTTGTCAGCTATCGCAAACGCAGCGTCTTCATTTGTTCGGTTGCTTCGTCAGCTATCGCAAACGCAGCGTCTTCATTTGTTCGGTTGCTTCGTCAGCTATCGCAAACGCAGCGTCTTCATTTGTTCGGTTGCTTCGTCAGCTATCGCAAGCGCAGCGTCTTCATTTGTTCGGTTGCTTCGTCAGCTATCGCAAACGCAGCGTCTTCATTTGTTCGGTTACTCCATCAGCTCTTGCAAACTCAGTGTTTTCCTTTTCAGGCTGCTTCATCTAATCTCGTGAGTGCAGCGTTTTCAATTGTTCCGTTGCTACTTCAGCTTCTGCTAAATCAGGGTCTTTATTTTTCGGTTGCTTCATTGCTCTAGACAAAGCGGAGTCTTTTATTTTGTTGCCTTTTCTTGTGAAAGAGAAGTGAGACAGACGAAAAAGTTAATAAAAAGGAGAATGGTTGTTAAATGAAAATTGATATTGAAAGCTACGCCTGAAAGCTGGCAAACTGACAAGTTATAAAGAAGAGAGTCACTGAAGAAGAATATATTTTAACGTTTGATTAGATGTTACAATAATGGCATTTGTTGGGTTGTGTCATCGATATTTGTAAATTAGAATTCAGAGGCAGACACAAAAGAATGTAAGAGACCATCCATTGAAAAGAAAGTTCAACAGCCAAAGAAGAAATGTTAAAGACAAGAGTGATTTAAATGAGGCTATACTGTAACCTGTAAATAGCTAATGTAGTGTTTCTCTTCTCCCTTGTTTTCTTTTAGTTATAAGCCCATTAAGAGTTTTCCATAAAGTTTCATTTGCCTCTTCTTTTGCGTGCACGATTATCATGTTGCTCTATCATGACATTGAGCGTTTTTTTTAACAATGGCCAAACGTTTAGTTTAGTAAACCTTGCTATAAGCTTGGAGTACAGAATAACCGTTATTTACGAAACTAGTCTGAGCTGAAAAACGTTTCTTAGAAAAATATTTTGGTTACGTATTCAACGTTTCATACTGTATATGTGCACAAGTAAATCACTGTTAATGGCTTACGATGAAAAATTGATGTCGACACAGATGAAACACTATTGGACAGTAGTAATGATATGAAAAGATGTTATCGACATGTTTTTGTGTCTCATCAAGAACGAGCTTTGTTAATTATAAATCGTTCTAAAGAAAAATTGGAGTAAACTACCATCTTAACGAAATTAAAGCTCGTGATTAAAATGTTCAGCTAATATATGATGCCTAGTGGAATCTTGTGACGATATCATACACGTTTGAACACTTCTGATACAATGTTTGTGTCAAACTGCATACTGGGAACATATTGCTCGTCGTACAATTATGGACTAATGTTACTTGGAAAGAATCAAAGGTATTCAAAATACGAGAAAAGAAATACATTATTCAATCGAGCATGAACTTCCCCAAAAACCTTGGCAAGATTTCACCTTCATCATCGCTGAACATTACGTATTTATATATCACACATGGCTCTGTTGTCAACATCAAACTTACAGGTATATGTTCAAGGCTGTGTTATCTTTTCCTTCCATATAATATAATTCGAGAAAACCAGTTAAATGTTTTTACATAAATCAATCTTTTATATTCAAAAACACACTTGTTCATTTTTACTAAAAAAGCCGTCTCATATTAAGGAATGAAGCCTCAGGTCGACGGAATACAACATGGATATCATAGATCACATATTGCATATCATGGATTATATCATCAATCTTGTGGGTTATTCAATTTCATAAATATCGTGGATTAATATCATGGATGTCGTGAAGTACATTGTAATTATCATGGATTGTATAATCTGTAACGGATATCGTGGACTTAATCATAAATGTCGTGAAGTACGTTGTGGATATAGATTAAATCATCTATCACGGATATCGTGCACTAAATCAGAAATTTCGTGAACTACATTTTATGGATTGTATCATCTATCACGGATATTGAGGATTAAATCAAATGCCGTGACGAACACATGTATATATATGAATCATATCACAGATACCATGAACTATATCATAATTGTCTTGGATAACATTTTGGGTATCGTGGATTCTATGTCGGATTTTATGGATTCTATGTCGGAAATGTCGTGAACTACATTACGGTTATCACGGACTGTACCATGACTACCATAAAATACATTACAAGTATCATGGATTATATATCAGATACCTGGATTTTACTGTCGGTATCATAAACTATATCACGAACATAATGAACTGACTCATAAATAACCTGGATTACTTACGGATATCATGGACATCGTGGATTATATCATGGACATCGTGGATTATGTCATGGACATCGTGGATTATGTCATGGACATCGTGGATGACGTAATTGTATCCTACAAATGACGACGATAAAGGTGCAATGATTACATTTATTTAATATCTTGGTGATCAGCATTAACAGGAGGATAATTGACGAATGGCTGAGTTGTAAAACAAAGTTATTGGCTCTCTTGATTCCTGTTAGTGTATATACATATAGTTCATAATGTTTTTGTTTCATGGTTATAACGCAACGCGGTACTTTTCAGCGCAAATATTTTCTAGGAAATAATGGTACATCCTATATTGAACGAAAACTTTTAGTAGGCTATCGTTCAATGTGAGACTATCGTTATTTCAAAGCTTCTAAAAACAACATGCATGTAATGTTTTAATGCATGTCAACAGTCTTAACAGGAAAACTGTTGAAGAATGCGATATTTGATCACCAAGATACACGATGCAAACTTCAAGGAAATAAGCATGGGTTTTTTTGAGTTTTTGGTCGTGAGTATGAATACTTAAAATTAAAAATAGAAATTAAAAAGCATAACTAAACATTAACAACATAAAGGTCTGAGTTAAAGCGCGACGTGTACAACAAAATAAATATGGAATGGCGAAAAAATATGGCGAAATCTGTTACGGAAAAATTCGGCATGGCAGGATTCAGCATGGCAGGCGCGTAAAGCAAATTAATAAATTAAATATAATTATAAATGTCTAAAATATTCTTGCTTGATGATGAACATTCAACTTTCACGTTTCGTTTGTATCGTTTGAGTAAAGTTTTGAACCATGCACAAATCAAAAATTGTTTATTATTGACTATTATAAAATGAAAGAAACGAATGAATGTGTTTATCTATTTTTTTCATCGTCAAGAAGAATATGTCTTTCGTGTAACAACAACTGTCTGATGAACAACGAGTGGCGCATAGACAATCTGTAAGTTTGGTCTTGCTCAAATCAATTTCCTATCAGCGTGACTCTTCAAAAATATGTTGTTTTTATCATCAGTGAACATCAAAATACTTACACAGCAACGGCCAAACTTGTTGTTACCTAAGCCACTCTGAACAACAAAACAGAATAGGTGCATGGAAACCTGGCATTGATTTTGCCAGTCGATTAAAATCAATGTTAAGACAGTGGCATGCTCAATTTAAAAAACTCATTGTTATTTAAATTGAAGAAAAATTAATTGCATTAGAAAGATATTTGGATGCCAATCGCCTTGCTTGAAGCGAAATCAATAAGGATTGTTTGGCCGTTTGGTAATGTATAAGGGACCAGGAAGGCGGTTCCCTTCTCTTATGTTTCATTCCGGTTCGGGTACTTAACGTTGCTTTGCTGGTGTCTCATCGTTCAAATGTTTGTCAAAAGCTTAGTTTGTAGGTAGATGTTAAAATCAGTTATTTCATGCCACTGATCGACAGGGTTAGCTAAGGATGCGCATAAGTAAAAAAAAGCGCGCAAATGTCGAAAGCGACTTAAAAATGGCGTTTCGTGTCAGATTCAAAATTTTTTGTTTTCAAAGACTTTTTTTCGAGAATGGATGCTGCTTCTGTCACCTTTTTCCTCAATCTTGCAAAGATAAAAACAGTCTAATTGATTTTGTAAATATAATTAGGGCTTTAAAAGTATAAACATCTTTTGTAAAGATAACTGGTGAAAATAGACAAGGTGACAAAGCAATTTGCATCCAGCAAATTTCTTGATTGAGGGTTTTCCTCCGGCGTATCGCCGGTTTCCCTCAATTGAACATTTTTCAGAGTTTCCTCCAAAAAAGTGTGGCCATTCCTGGGACCATCCCATAGGTTCCCAAATGGAAATTGATGGTTATTGGGGTAATATCCCAATCCACTTGGACAAGTAAATAATAAATGATACAATTTCTCTAAACATTATTCAACACAGCCAAACTTTGGAAGGAAAAGGTACAAAACTTTCACGTCAACTATACATGTTTTGTCGTTAATTATTATATTTTAATAAATGTTGTCTAGCATTGTTTTTTTTTAACATTTTTGTTTGTCTTTTTGTTTAAATTTCTGGGTTTTTCATAGTTTCAGCAACATGCTTCAAAGTAAAATTGACAGTGCCAGCAACGACCGGCAATGCATTGATCCCGTTCCGTGGATCAGAATGTCATATACAGTTAAGAAGACTGTTATACGCATACCGTATGCTTTTGGCATTCAGAAATAGGCCTAACGTATATCTTCTGCGTGTCATAAAAAGCAAATAAAAAACGGCGATGTCAGAAAAGGTGTTTGGCTGGGCAAAAACTATACTTTAATTCTGAAGTGGCAAAGAGTTTGGATAAGTGTAGCTTAAGGATGATAGAGATTATGTTATGTACAGACAAAACCAGGTTAAAATTAAAGATGCACATGTAGAAAAGTGTAGCCAGTTGAAAATACCAATGGTATCGCAGATGGTTTGGTATTCTTCGGACACACTTCTGGTCTTCTCTTGATATATACGATAATAACGCATGAATTAATGAGACTATTACATAGTCTCATTAATTCATGCGTTATTATAGAAAAAAGCCAGGCAACAAAAATGTCCCCTGCAAAATGATATATACATGCATTTTATAATTTTTAGTGCATTAAGCGTCTCAAAAGATTTAAAACATTTAATCAATCTTCTGAATTTTTTGATTATTTAATGAATTTCGTTTTCATCTCACATGCGTTACATTATTTGTTACAACCAAGTAAATCGTGTTTTTTAATTGTTGTTTCATCCTGTAGAACAATATCTTGAGTTGCAAGTTGGTGTTCCATTCAGTTTATAAACGTAAAATGTGCCACAGTTGAGAACTTTGATTGTGCGTCTGTAGTAACAACAATATTCACTATAATAATATCGACTGTAGTGATATGTACGTTGAGTGTGCGAAAAACAAACGACACGAGAGACAATCCCATCATTCACTCCGGGATGACCTCCTGTTAAATGTCCCGGATAATTTGTACCACAACGGCTGCTTCTATGTCTAATACATCCCGAAAACATCATAGTTCCAGCACTTCCTCCAAATCTGTACCAACCAGATAAAGATGAGTCACAGTAGCTGTTTGAGGTATAGCTGTATCTCCTTGTAGACTCGTTTAACCACTTGTACTTACCACCACACACTAAAAATTTTTCAAAGTTTTTCAACATATAAAATTTCTCTGTTGTCAGTAGATTTCCTTATTTTATCTAATTTGTAAGCTAATGCTTGTCCACAAAGTCAAACTGTTTGTCCATCATATTTAACTATCTTGAAATCATCTTATTAAATTTAGTTTTACAGCAATGAGTAAAAGGGGACAGTCTAATATTAAATATACGACAAAAAAAAGTGTCAAAAAATCTCACCTGAAGTAATATTTTCATAGCTTGGTTGGGAGAAAACCAATTTTGTCTTCAATTTTGCGTTTTCAGCTTCAAGTTTTGCAATAGTCTCTCTTAAAGTTACATTTATAGCCTCAATCATTTCTTTTAAATTTTCCGATTTCTTTTCAAAATTTTGCTTTACGTTGACCAATTTTTTCTCCACCTGTGCAATCATTGATTAAATCATTTTTTGGTGTTATCTTTCATCGAACTTGTAGTTATTATCTATGTGTAAGAATTCGTCTGACAAACCTGTTCTTCTTGATTCAGTAGTTTCCATGTTTTGTTTGCTCTTACATAAAGTTTCTTTTGGTCTAAACGATACTCCAACAATCCTGGGATTTTAGGAACATTTTTTGCAGCAACGTTATCGGGTACAACGACGATCTTAAATGATAAATAGGAATATTACCGTTTTACGACATTTCTTGACAATTTTACTTTTTAATTTTCATATTTACACTCACCCCGCTATTTAAACGCAGTTTGTCCCTATTTTTACATCTTCCCTGAAAGTGTCAAGTAGGAAATTATGTTATTGATATAACAAAAAATACCTTATGATGTATTTTTATATTTGCACCATTGGTATATTCATTTCGGCTATTATATTTAATTTTTTGTTTCTGTAATTTTTTCTAAACTTGCCTTCTCAGGAAGGACAGAATCTCCCTTTAAGATATACCATTGCATTTGACCTAATTCATCTTCACTTTGATACTCCATACATTTATTCCAAACACGTTTAGGGTGGGTAGATCTCACCCAAATCCAAACATAGACATTTTTAGCATCAACTATCGTCCCACCATTTGAAGTGTTACAATATGCGTTGCAATAATTCCCTGTTCCTCCTTTAGGACCATAACATCCACAACACTGCAGTTGAAAATACAGACTAAATATCTATTAAACTTTAACCTTGAAAATTCAATTCATTGGTCGAATTTCACCTTTTTGTTCACACATCCTACGAAGGCAGTCGAGTCATATATCATTCCAGACTTGTTACTCGAAGCACTAAAACTTTTGGTGGTAAAATATTAAGATATTCTAAGTAATTCACTCTATAAATTCTGTGTTTAATTTTTTCCTGTTCTAAGAACCTTAACTTGCAGTTTTGCACTTCCTGCGAAACTTGCGTATAAATGACTTGTCACGTGTACTGTTTGTCAATTGAGCTTGTTTACCTGAAAACACCTGAATGATCAAGTGCAATTAGCGGTACATCTTTTTGATGAATAAATCCAGAGCCAGAGCAGGGCGTCTTTAAACATTTGTTCATCATTGACTATTAAATCATACAAACATATGTGAATAACATAAATTTTTAACATACTGTCCATTGCTTACACGACAGCCTCAAATAGATGAACTACAAATTTTTCTCTAATCATGGCATTGAATGATTCTTGTAAGACAGAATCTGTTCAGAAGATCTTTAAACAATCACTATTATACTGATGTAAATTCAGGATAATCTTACCCAGCCTATCTTCCCACTTGACTGCAAACTTCCAAATACGGAGCATTGGAACGATGTTGAAACTATTTTCTCTGTGATGAGCTCCTTTATGTAAGCTATATCTCCAATGCCTGGCTCAAGGTTACTGCATCCACGATTGTTGATCATCAACTTCCCCAACGCTCTTTTATTTTTCAGTCGAAAATACCTTAAAATATTTGATAAAAGGTTTGCCATTGATTGCTTAGAAACTCTTTAAAATCACAGAAATATTTGCTCAAATTGAAATCGTCATCCTTATTTTGTAGCTACTTTATGGTAATTTAGTTTCTTGATTCTTACCAATGAGCTTTGGTATCATCAAATGAGTCACTTGTTGACATCTGCACTCTGAAATCCAAGATAGGAAGATCTCCCAGTTGAGTGGTCCAATATTTGTCTTTCATGGAAGGACCAACTGGCTTATCTTTTGAGGGAACGTTCCACGTGATAGCATCATGTTTTCTAGCAACAAGTATAAATCCACCACCATCTGTCTTCATGTCACACCATACCTTCAGTAAAGATGCATCACTTTTCAAATCATAAAAAATATGACGTCATCATCTTTTTAATATCCAACATTTACCTTCCGTTTATTGCTGCCTCCCAGATTTATCCAATAATATCCATCCTGAACATTTTCCTCTCGATTTAAAATATCTGAGCAATCGTAGCCTGGGCTCAGGTATTCGCCGACAAATGACTTACCTAAATGAAATCATTGTTATGTAGAGAAAAATTAATGTTAATCACTTCCAAAGTATAATTTTTTCATCTTCTGCTGGGTTTAAAACTTATAATGCAGTAATGCTATAAATATTGTTTATATAGTTCTTGATCCATCATTTAAATTTATATATAAACACCAACCATTAACAGATTTCCACAAATATTTTCCATTTTCTTTGCTACATATCCACAGTCTCGTTTTATCGCTTCTGTCTTTCACAGAATATACTTGGAACGCGTTGGTTTTGTTACAGCTGCCTGGGTCATAGTCGTCGATATTCACGATTTTCTGATGGGAAACAGTAGTACACATTAAAATGCAAAGTTATTTCGACGAATTCTAAAAAACAGTTTGAATTAAGATGGAAAACCTACCACACTCAAGAATAGTGGAAAAATGCACGAAATTATGAGGAGAATGATCACGGCCAAATAATTCATTGGGAATAAGAATTTCTTTCAAATACTTCGCAGTTGATTGTTCTTCACCAAAGACAACTTCTCATTTGCTGTGAATACTACAGCAGCTTGGTCTTGACGCTTTATCTGAACATGAAGAGTTAAGTGAGTTTTAATCGTTTTTTATAGGAAATTTGTTGATCATGAGAACATCATTGGGTGATCTTGTGGATCACCTTGAGAAGGTCATTTTGATAAACAATGTCATCAAATATCCATTGTAGAAATCGTTACACGTCAATGTTTGTCTTCAAAATTATTCAAAGACTATATGACCATGGTAGATGTAAGAAATAGAATATCAGAGATTGTTCTATGGTGTCAAACATTTGTTCAACGTTAAAGGAATGGTGAATAAGTTTCGTTTTTTGATATATGATACACATAAAAAAACTTTAAAAATGATTCTGTTCCTGTGGACTTTGATCAAAATTATATATAACATGTAAGGAATTTGTCCAAAACGTTGTTTCTTCCTGTGTTGAGTGGCATGACAGAGATGAAAGCATTCGACATACTATAGATCGTTAAACTAAAGATTCAAAGATCCATCGTTGTCGTCTTTATTTTTTCAAGAACACATATTTCTAGTTTTGAAGTATTACGAAAAAGCAACTGACCAAAAGGCAGTTTTTTGCAAAACAAAAATAAAACACATGAATACAATATTTTTATTGAAATGAAGACTGCACTATGTCTACAAATATAGTCGTTGTTGTAACAAATTGAAGATAACAAGTACTAATATTTTGAATGACATATACAAGAAACTTGAAGTTTTTGTACACATATAAATATAACTCTTTCAAAACACAAGTATACACGGTACAGTGAACTAAATAAAAATTAAAGCATTAAAAATCCATTTTAAAAACTTTGCAATACTTTCCAAAATCAACATATCGACAAGCTTTATCATATGATTCGTAAATTAGTCATTTATTTTTCCCATTTTTCTTTCCACCAGTGGTTTTTGCCATCAATGACAGGTCGATGTTTTCCAGTGCTAGTCCTCTGACCGAAAATAATCGTTCTGCCCGCTGTTGTAAAGTACCACCACATTTCATTCCAAGTGAGATCAATGCAGCACCCTGGTCATAATCGTCGATTTTCACTATAAAATGAAACTATAGTTTTGTTAAAACATGAAATCAAAAGTTATGTCTATATTTCTCAATCTATGTCCCGTCATTTTTAAACTTACCATCAAAAGGTTTCCATAAGTATTTTTAATCTTCTTTACTGCAATTCCACAATTTCGTTTTATCGTTTCTGTCCTTTACAGAATACACTTGAAACGTTGGTTTTTTGTTACATAGCCAATAATCGATTTTACAATATTCTGAGAATAATCAATTTGAAGAACAAAGTTGGTTAGTTGACTCCTTGAAATAACTCAAATAAATTTTATTTTTAGCTGCATTACTTACCACACTTACGGACAGTGTAAATGCAATAAGGCTAGATAACGTTAAAAGAAAAATCATCAAATGGTTCATTGCTGTTGAAGAGAAACACTAGTTTGTTGTGATGCGAGATCTTAATCACAAAACGACAGTGATATGTATATGATTTTTCTGGAAGATTTCCTTTCCAAGCACGACGCAAACCGTCCTAATTGAAGTTCACAGAAATACGATATGAGTTAAAGCGACCTGTTGGGCAATCACTTCTGGTCAATAGATCGAGGTTATGTTACCCTTTGAAGTTTCAATCATTAATAATACAACGGATTCCATAAACTTCATTGAACCACTAAACGCTGATAGTATTGCATAATAACATCGAAAGCAAGTGAAATAAAGAGTTTTTAAACATCATTGTTCCAGTTCTATTTTTCTTAAAGAGTTTTTTATTTTTGATTTCGATAGCAATATTAAAGGGTGATATCGGGATAATTATGAGCTGCCATACCAGTTCCTCGATACATCGGAAGTAAACGATAGGAGTCAAAACATCATTCGTTAGTCTTATCTGTATGCCTACAGTTTTATTTCAAATTATTATTGGTGATATCAGCATTTTTGTATAACCTCCTTACCAGTCTCCTACAGTTGACGTTGCAAGAATTGCAATCAGTGGTTTCAGCTCATTGAGTGAAGATTTTTTACAGTCTCTGATGGAAGAAGGTTTCCGATCAGTAACCATTACTTTTCTATAAATCTTTGAGTTCGAGTCAATTAAATTTGTATAATAGTGGGCTGAATTTATCCTGTGTTCTCATCAAGTGACATTCGATCAAGTTTTTCCCGTTCTTTACAGATAAAAACATCTCCATCTCTTAGGTTTCCTTTCGGCTTGGGTACTTAACTTTGCTTTGCTGGTGTCTCATCGTTCAAATGTTTGTCAAAAGCTTAGTTTGTAGGTAGATGTTAAAATCAGTTATTTATGCACTGATCAACAGGGTTAGCTAAGGATGCGTAAGAGTAGAAAAAAAACGCAAATGTCGAAAGAGACTTAAAAATGGCGTTTCGTGTCAGATTCAATATTTTTTGTTTTTTAAAGGCTTTTTTCGAGAATGGATGCTGCTTCTGTCACCTTTTTCCTCAATCTTGTAAAGATAAAAACAGTCTAATTATTTTTGTAAATATAGTTAGGGCTTTAAAAGTAAAAACATCTTTTGTAAAGATAACTGTTAAAAATAGACAAGGTGACACGGCAATTTGCATCCAGCAATTTTCTTGCTTGAGGGTTTTCCTCCGGCGTATCGCCGGTTTCCCTCAATTGAACATTTTCCAAAGTTCCCACCAAAAAAGGATGGCCATTCCTGGGACCATCCCTTAGGTTCCCAAATGGAAATTGATGGTTATTGGGGTAATATCCCAATCCACTCGGACAAGTAAATAATAAATGATACAATTTCTCCAAACATGATTCAACACAGCCAAACTTTGGAAGGAAAAGGTACAAAACTTTCACGTCAACTATACATGTTTTGTCGTTAATTATTATATTTTCATAAATGTTGTCTAGCATTGTTTTTTTGAACATTTTTGTTTGTCTTTTTGTTTAAATTTCTGGGTTTTTTATAGTTTCAGCAACTTGCTTCAAAATAGAAATGACAGTGCCTGCAACGACTGACAATGTATTGATCCTGTTCCATGGATCAGAATGTCACATACAGTTAAGAAGACTGTTATACGCATACCGTATGCTTTTGGCGTTCAGAAATAGGCCTAACGTGTATAACCTCAGCTTGTCGTAAAAGGCAAATAAAAGACGGTGATGTCAGAAAAGGTGTTTGGCTGAGCAAAAACTACACTTTAATTCTAAAGTGGCAAAGAGTTTGGATAAGTGTAGCTTAAAATGATAGAGATTATGTTATGTACAGACAAAACCAGGTTAAAATTAAGGATGCACATGTAGAAAAGTGTAGCCAGTTGAAAATATCAATGTTATAGAAGATGTTTGGTATTCTTCGGACACACTTCTGGTCTTCTCTTGAAATAGACATTTATAACACATAAATTAATAAGTCTGTTACATGAATACAAAAAAGCCAGGCAATATAAGTGTCCCCTGCAAAATGATGTATACATGCATTTTATAATTTTTAGTGCATTAAGCGTCTCAATAGACTTAAAACATTTAATCAAACTTTTGAATTTTTTGATTATTTAATGAACTTTGTTTTCATCTCACATGCGTTACATTATTTGTTACAACCAAGTAAATCGTGTTTTTTAATTGGTTGTTTCATTCTGATGAACAATATCTTGAGTTGCAAGTTGGTGTTCCATTCAGTTTATAAACGTAAAATGTGCCACAGTTAAGAATTTTGATGGTACGTCTGTAGTAACAACAATATTCTTTATACGAATATCGATTGTAGTGACTATACGAACTGTGAGTGTACGAAAAACAAGCAACACGAGAGACGATCCCATCATTCACTCCGGGATGACCTCCTGTTAAATGTCCCGGATAATTTGTACCACAACGGCTGCTTCCATGTCTAATACATCCTGAGAACATCATAGTTCCAGCGCTTCCTCCAAATCTGTACCAACCAGATAAAGATGAGTCACAGTATCTGTTTGAGCTATAGTTGTATCTCCTTGTGGACTCGTTTAGCCACTTGTACTCACCTCCACACACTGAAAATTTTTCAAAGTTTTTCAACATATAAAATTTTTCTCTTGTCAGAAGATTTCCTTATTTTATCTAATTTATAAGCTAATGCTTGTCCACAAAGTCAAACTGTTTGTCCATCATATTTAACTATCTTGAAATCATCTTATTAAATTTAGTTTTATAGCAATGAGTAAAAGGGGACAGTCTAATATTAAATATACGATGAATGAAAGTGACAAAAAATCTCACCTGAAGTAATATTTTCATAGCTTGGTTGAGAGAAAACCAATTTTGTCTTCAATTTTGCGTTTTCAGCTTCAAGTTTTGCAATAGTCTCTCTTAAAGTTACATTTATAGCCTCAATCATTTCTTTTAACTTTTCCGATTTCTTTTCAAAATTTTGCTCTAGGTTGATCAATTTTTCCTTCACCTGTGCAATCATTGATTAAATCATTCTTTGGTCTTACCTTTCATTGAACTTGTAGTTGTTATCTATGTGTAAAAAATCTTCTGACAAACCTGTTCTTCTGGATTCAGTTGTTTCCATGTTTTGTTTGCTCTTACATAAAGTTTCTTTTGGTCCAAACGATACTCCAACAATCCTGGGATTTTAGGAACATTTTTTGCAGCAACGTTATCGGGGACAACGACGATCTTAAATGATAAATAGAAATATTACCGTTTTACGACATTTTCTGTCAATTTTACTTTTTAATTTCATATTTACACTCACCCCGCTATTTAAACGCAGTTTGTCCCTATTTTTACATCTTCCCTGAAAGTGTCAAGTAGGAAATTATGTTATTGATATAACAAAAAATACCTTATGATATATTTTTACATTTGCACCATTGGTATATTCATTTCGGCTATTATATTTAATTTTTTGTTGCTGTAATTTTTTCTAAACTTGCCTTCTCAGGAACGACAGAATCTCCCTTTAAGATATACCATTGCATTTGACCTAATTCATCTTCACTTTGATACTCCATACATTTATCCCAAACACGTTTAGGGTGGGTAGATCTCACCCAAATCCAAACATAGACATTTTTAGCATCAACTATCGTCCCACCATTTGAAGTATTACAATATGCGTTGCAATAATTCCCTGTTCCTCCTTTAGGACCATAACATCCACAACACTGCAGTTGAAAATACAGACCAAATATCTATTAAACTTTAACCTTGAAAATTTAGTTCATTGGTTGAATTTCACCTTTTTGTTCACACATCCTACGAAGGCAGTCGCATCATTAATCATTCCAGACTTGTTACTCGAAGCACTAAAACTTTTGGTGATAAAATATTAAGATATTGTAAGTAATCCACTCTATAAATTCTCTTTTTAGTTTTTTCCTGTTCTAAGAACCTTAACTTGCAGTTTTGCCCTTCCTGCGAAACTTGCGTATAAGTGACTTGTTACGTGTAATGTTTGTCAATTGAACTTGTTTACCTGAAAACACCTGAATGATCAAGTGCAATTAGCGGTACATCTTTTTGATGAATAAATCCAGAGCCAGAGCAGGGCGTCTTTAAACATTCGTTCATCATTGACTATTAAATCATATAAACATATGTGAATAACATAAATTTTTAACATACTGTCCATTGCTTACACGACAGCCTCAAATAGATGAGCTACAAATATTTCTCTAATCATGGCATTGAATGATTCGTGTAAGACAGAATCTGCTCAGAAGATCTTTAAACAATCACTATTATAGTGATGTAAATTCAGGATAATCTTACCCAGCCTATCTTCCCACTAGACTGCAAACTTCCAAATACGGAGCATTGGAACGATGTTGAAACTATTTTCTCTGTGATGAGCTCCTTTATGTAAGCTATATCTCCAATGCCTGGCTCAAGGTTACTGCATCCACGATTGTTGATCATCAACTTCCCCAACACTCTTTTATTTTCAGTCGAAAATACCTTAAAATATTTGGAAAAAGGTTTGCCATTGATTGCTTACAAACTCTTTAAAATCACAGAAATATTTGCTCAAATTGAAATCTTCATCTTTATTTTGTAGCTAATTTCTTGATTCTTACCAATGAGCTTTGGTATCATCAAATGAGTCACTTGTTGACATCTGCACTCTGAAATCCAAGATAGGAAGATCTCCCAGTTGAGTGGTCCAATATTTGTCTTTCATGGAAGGACCAACTGGCTTATCTTTTGACGGGACGTCCCATGTGGTTCCATTCTGTTTCCTAGCAACAAGTAAAAATCCACCACCATCTGTCGTCATGTCACACCACACCTTCAATAGAAACGCATCACTTTTCAAATCATAAAACATATGGCGTCCTCATCTTTTGAATATCCAACATTTACCTTTCGTTTATTGCTGCCTCCAAGATTTATCCAATAATATCCATCCTGAACATTTTCCTCTCGATTTAAAATATCTGAGCAATCGTAGCCTGGGTTCAAGAATTCACCGACAAATGCCTTTTCTGTAGATGTAACTGAATAGGAGAAAAAAGTTGTGTTGAAAGGTCAAACTAAGGTTTTATTAAAACATGAAGTCAAAAGTTATGTCTATATTTCTCAATCTATGTCCCGTCATTTTTAAAATTTACCATCAAAAGGTTTCCATAAGTATTTTTCATCTTCTTTACTGCAAATCCACAATTTCGTTTTATCGTTTCTGTCCTTTACAGAATACACTTGGAACGCGTTGGTTTTGTTACAGCAGCCTGGGTCATAATCGTCGATTTTTACAATATTCTGAGAATAATCAATTTGAAGAACAAAGTTGGTTAGTTGACTCCTTGAAATAACTCAAATAAATTTTATTTTTAGCTGCATTACTTACCACACTTACGGACAGTGTAAATGCAATAAGGCTAGATAACGTTAAAAGAAAAGCCATCAAGTGATTCATTGCTGTTGAAGAGAAACACTAGTTTGTTGTGATGCGAGATCTTAATCACAAAACGACAGTGATATGTATATGATTTTTCTGGATGATTTCCTTTCCAAGCTTGACGCAAACCGTCCTAATGGCAGTTCACGGAAATACGATATGAGCTATAGCGAACTGTTGGTCAATCACTTGTGGTCAATAGATCGAGGTTATGTTACCCTTTGAAGTTTCAATCATTAATAACACAACGGATTCTATGAGCTTCATTGAACCACTCAACGCTGATAGTATTGCATAATAACATTGAAAGCAAGTGAAATAAAGAGTTTTTAAACATCATTGTTCCAGTTCTATTTTTCTTAAAGAGTTGTCTTATTTTTGATGTTAGTAGCAATATTAAAGGGTGATATCGGGATAATTATGAGCTGCCATACCAGTTCCTCGATACATCGGAAGTAAACGATAGGAGTCAAAACATCGTGCTTTCGTTTTATCTCTGTATGCCTACAGTTTTATTTCATATTACTAGTGGTGATATCAGCAGTATTGTATAACCTCCTTACCAGTCTCCTACTTTTGACGTTGCAAGAGTTCCAATCAGTGGTTTACAGTCTCTAATGGGAGAAGGTTTCCGATCAGTAACCATTACTTTTCTATAAATCTTTAAGTTCGAGTCAATTAAATTTATATAGTAGTGGGCTGAATTTATCCTGTGTTACTCATCAAGTGACATTCGATCAAACTTTTTCCAGTTCTTTATAGATACAAACACAACGAAAGGAACTAGTGTCAAAATAGTACAATATATTTCAAAACTCGTAGGTAAGGTGGTCAACAATGCCAACATTTCTATGAAGACTGAAAATACTGAAAACGTAGAAAAACATTTCTCGAATAATGATCAGATTTGAAGTACTACAGTTTAAAAACAAAGAAAGGGGCATTATTTCAAAGTCTTCTTTATACCGGTTAACTTCAAAAATAATATCTTGTAAAAGCCACGAGGTCTTTATGTATCACATGCAACAATCTCTAGTCTTGACAATTTGTAAATGTTTACTTCATCAAAAAAGCACGAAACGAAATACAAGCATTACTGGTTGTCAATTGTATAAAACAAAAAATTCAAAATAACAATTAGGAGGAATAGAAAAACGTTTGTAAGCGATGTAACTCCGGTGTTACAAAGATCAGTACTACAACATTTACCAGAACATTTCTTGAGAAAGAACTTTTTCGATAATCTTCCACATGCTACTGTAGCATTTGGACAATATCTTTCGTTGAAGTCACATCCCTTAACAATCCAAGTTACATTATTGAAATCTACACTTTCCTCAGTAAAACAATACCCAGTTTGACATTTCACAGTTGCACATTTTTGTGGAGATTTTTTGACAGCAGAATTATAATTGCATTGGTAACAACGCAAAGTCTTTCGAGGTTTATTGAATGGGGGAACATCCTTATTGCATTTAGCTGTTCGACAACAAGTTCCCGTACACGATGTGCCCTTAAATTTTCGTCTAACAAAATAACAAACAGAGTTATTCCGGCAAGAAGGCTCCTTTTCTTTTCCTGCCAAATCAAATCCGCAACCACGTCTATATTGTATACTATTACGAATAAGGTATGTAGCAGAATAACAGAAACTGTCTCCTCGTGAGCATCTTGTTGTTACGTCATATTTGCAAGTTGGTTTATCATTCATGGAGTTCAGCACATCATGACAATACCGACATAACAAGGTATTACCTAAAAAGATTTGTGAACAATACAAGAATGAGTTGACACTGCAAAGAGACACTGCACAAACGCCAACAACTAAAAATTCAAATAAATTATAAAGCAAACGATGAGAGACACACGACAGAAAACAAGGCAAGCTAAACTCAAATTCGTTAAGATCAATAAATACGTGACTCGAACAGGAAGTCATTGCTTCTAAAGGAGTATAACAATTTCTGTTAAGAGTCTGCTAAACTGACCTAATTCCACGAAACATAACACGATCGTTGTAATCGTCATGAAGTTCATCCTTCTGGGAAACCTACACTAATAACCTGAAAAAAACAAACATTTCTAATGAGTGAGTAACCTTTAGTTATGCTTATGTAAATAAGAAATATACTATCCATCGATCTTACTAAGAGATCAACTCGGTTTATGAATGCAAGTAACTACTAACTGTGACGTTCTTCCAAAGTTTAAAATGTCTTCACGTTCATTTATGATTCATTAAAGTGAAATAAATGCGCAATATCGATAGCAATGAATCATAGAAATGCAACACCCTGAGAAACAACCTATGTGGCTGCTATAAACGTTAAGCTTTGAGTACAATCATTACATAAACTGGTTTTGTTGCATTGGTATTTGGTAACATGAGATTCAGTGATGAAAGATGACCGCGTAAGATATACACAAGCAAGGACTATGTACGAGTAGTGTTTGGAAAACAACAACAACGGAGATGACGAAGTCCAAATTGGTGTTCTCTGATGGATGTATTTAATACTTAACGGTTTGCTAAATCAGTCTTCACTGATCTGTGATCACTTGTGGAGGTATTTTTCTCCTCCGTCCTGTTCTGTACTTTGCAGAGATTAGGGTAGCAACATGAACCGGAACACGATTGCAATGAAAATTCAAGAGACTTCCTTCGACGAGTATTTGTTTGATTTGGACAAAGCGATCAGTTGGTGAAATTTCACATCCCTCGTCAACGAAAAATACTCCGTTAGGGCCGGTGTAATTCACCAAGTAGCAGCATCAGGATTGGCAAATTGCTCTGGCAATTACACAGATGACATGGGTTTAGCTTGCCTTTTCTTGAATGGTCAAAGATCATTGTTGCATTTTTAGAGAAGAAGTTAACTACGTTTGCAACGCCTTCATAACTCCCTTTGTTATTTCCCATTCTTCCGGACATACTCAATTTTGCTACGTTTGAATAGAAGATGTGGGTGTTCCGCTTTGACGACTCTGGACAACAGACTTCTAAGTACTTAATATATAAATTCTTTCCTTTGATTTCATTAAATCACAGCCTTCAATTCGTCGAACTGAAGTTTGAAAACAATTACATACTTTAAACGCAACAATTAACATTGGTCTTTTTATCAGTTAAAAATACAATGAAGTGAATATGAAAAATCCATTTTTTAAGTGGAAAATTGCTGAATATTATTTTACGAGCGATAGACACCATCTGCAAAGTGGTACAAAAGAACAGTCTCTTAGATACAGAAATGTATAAAAATATCCGTTGAATGCATGACCGGAGAACTCATGCACGTTCTTATGTACGCTGTGGATATTAAACCTAAATCAGAAAACAAGACGATACTAAATTGTATAATTCATTAATACTAACACGTTAGGTAGATCTAGGGATACTTAACCGAAAGAGAAAATCATTAATTTAATTGAAATTTGAACTCCACGAAACAACACAATTGTTGTTATGATTAACAAGAATTTGCAGTTCATCCTGGGAAACCGACGTTAGTTAACTTTGGAACGATTACACTTGATAAGATCATGGATCATATATTTTACAGTTATGAAGTAGCTACTTCAAATTAATTACTCATGAGTAATTTTCTCTTTCACGATAATTTGATTTTTTTTAATTAACTACTTTTTTAGACCTCTTCTTGTACATTTATGATTCAGCGAGTTGTGTATTAAATAAACGCTGAATATATATTGATATAAACAAAGCATGGAAATGCAACAGTCAAAGAAACAAACACATGTGAGTTATGCTGTTCATTGATGAAAATTGACGGAGTAAAATATACGAGGACTCTAAGCGAGTAAAGTCATGTAATATTTGTTACTTCATATCTATGTTTCGTTCACTTTTAGCTACAATTTAGGGCCTGTATTTATATGATCATAAATTGTATATGATGATATACAATTTAAAAACCACAAAAAATTGCCGATTGTTTTCCTGTGTGGTTATGAAACGGAGTGATCGTCTTCACGAGATTAAATAAAGCATACTTAAATGTGTCCTGTCGTATTCTGCTGGCGCACTCTCCTGTATCTTCTTTGCAGCAAAGAAAAACTTCACACTTGCAACCCTGGACGCATTCACTGGAGAATTTTCGACTTTCTTTAAACATGAAAATACATATAAACAAGAAAGTGGAGTAAAAAAAAGGGAAACTAATTCATAAAAGGCTTTTTGTAATTGAAACTGCCATCTTAACACCCTTGCAATCTTTGTTATTTGCTTGCCCATAAAAACAGCCTCTTTCATGACTGTGGGTGGGCCTCCAGCCCATGTGCCTATGAGGATAACATTGTCGAAGGCGATAACAAACATTTAAACCTATTCATGCTATAACCTACTGATATGCGCAGTAAACATTTAAGAAAATCCAGCTTAATGAAGCACGTTCGTAGATGACGTTCGGTCATCAACCGATTAACAGGATGACCGATATTTTGCAGTAAACAAGCTAGCTTGTTTTTTGAGCATAAAGTATCAAAGGTTACAAGTAATGAAATTAATCAATTCATATTCATTTGAACTTGAAGGTTATGTTTTATATTTGTCAGTGCGTATGTTGGATTCAAAAAAATAACAGTTCCTATGAATTATTGAAAAACTTGTGTGAATAATGTTGTAATTTAGTGACAATAGTTATTGCCAATGTTATTCATTCATAAATTCCCAACGAAAAGACATGCTTAAAAACATCCTTGCAATCCAACAAATTCCCACGTTCAGTTATAACGTGGTGACCAAAGATCTTCATGTGCTTCATGTGACAATTATTGGTAAACAACTTTGAAGGATAGCGATGGATATACTGTAATCAATAACAACAACACTTGATATCTGAGAAGATCTATGTTAATAAGTACTTTTATTGTGAATATTCACTAAAAATTATTTTACAAACAATGAATACCACCTAGGAAAAGTTGGAAAGAAACTCAAGGAAAATTTCCTTTGCATGTGCGAGCAGAGAAGTTAAAGAACAGTTACAACACACATTATACCTGGTGCTGAAAGCAAAATGAAGGGAAACACACAAAGCTGTTATTCAACAGCCAAATATGGCATTATGATGTAAAGATTCTCGAGACACGATCGTGACATTTCGAGACAGGCCGGAACTGGTTTGGGCGCAAATACCGAGCGGTTTATTTGGGTTAGCTGGCATTCTTGTTTTTTACTGGCTCGCAAAACATGGCTGGTATTTTATTGACATTTTCACCACATGCAGTGAATATTGACACGCTAGTACTTCATAGCATGTAGTGTTAATCAACGACAGACGTATTTGGTTGTCGTGGTAGCACTTGCTATCTGTACATGTCGCTGCGTTGTTCATACTCTGAATTTGTGTAAATACATAAGAAAGAACCTTGGCCAGAAACAAAACGACAGGATATTCAACAGAAATAAAATAGGTCATTACAGGCATCAGACAGCGCACAACTCATATCGTGCGGAAACACAGACGCTTTGTGTTACTGTTTGAACATTATAGTTAGCATGGCGAAAGAAAGGGAAATGGAAGACGATTTGAAGAAGGATGAATGTTCACATTACACTGCGCAGGATGCAAAGACCATAAATCATAATATTTACGAAAATCTAAAAGATGTTGAGCTGAGCGATATTGATGTTGATTTCTCGATTGAAGAAAACTATGGTTACGTAGTTTTCGATGGAAAATCTTTTCCCAAGGATAAAGCCAAGGATAAAGACACAACACATTACGCTGAAATTGTGAAAGGAACACCACGTAATGTTGAAAAAACAGTACAGAGAAGGAGACAAACAAGAGAATCCGATCATCCAATATTGCAACTCAGTTCTGATTACAAAGAAAGACAACTGGAGGACTGCGATGAAGGTCTTGTTATGGCAGATGACGTCTCAGTAACAGTCAGTGACGAATACGCAGAAAGTTTAACATCCAACGGCGAGAATTGTTCTGTAAGCCGGTTAGATTCGGAACTCGTATATAAAGATATTCATTCTGAAGTACTTTACACGAACACACGCGAGACAGAAGTTTTGTACGAGAATGCTTCCGTGCCTACTGAACATATCTACGAAAATGTTGAATGTGAGAAAAAGAAAAAACAACGTGAGAAATCAATAACGTCAAACTGTTCCTTTGATACGGAGTCGCTTTATGAACACATCGACATTTACGAATCAATGACTTCACCTCGGCGAAGGTTTGCTTCAGAGCCCATAGATATTGTAAAATCCTCAGTGAACTTCAATAGCAGTGTGTCAAGTGAATCACCAAGGTCCTTGGAATCTTACAGCAACTCAGGTTCGCTCACATCGTATGGAAGTTTTGAGAGACCAGATCTAAGAAGATGCACGTCTTATTGCTACGGAAATGCACCCTTTGGCGTGGGCAGACCTCCAGAGCTGCCACAAAGAGATAGTGTAAACTTTACCAAAAAATGCAGACCACGAAGCTTCTATTTGGGAAATGAAGAAGGCTATCAAGCCGATAATCAAGGCTTGGGTTGTTACACTGGAACTTTAGTAGGCAGTGGTATTGTGAAGAAAACTAGTCCAAAGTCTGTGCAAAAAATCATTGGGGATTATCTATCACGCGAAAAGAAAGATTTCTCTAAACCAGTCAGTCTTCAAATCACGAACGAGTTTATTTGCCTCAGCTATAACTGCGCACCATGGTGGTTGTTAGCAAAGAACAGTTTAGATGATATTGGTTGTATAACAACGTATAACAACAACAGCAAGACAGCATTAGGCTACACGATTAGTAAACCAGGGGAAGATACAAGATTGTTTGTTGTGCATTGCTCAGACGCTGACCAAATTAAAGACGTCATCGTCAAGAATTTTAGACAACCCTACGCACCTAATTCGGTAAGTTTTGAAACTCAACCTAATTTGTCGTTAAGCGAGTCGTAAAAAATGAGTTGCATTCGCTTGCAACAATCTAGGGAAAAAACGGAATGATATAATGTATGAAATTACCATAATAAGCGCTTTTTGTATCTACTTAGTACTAACACGTACGAAGAAAGTGCATATAATGAGAAAACACGCGCGCAAAGTTCAACGTAGTTATGTAGACCTATGTCATCGAGTTAATCTGACATTTATGCTTCTTCAATATCTTAAGCTAATTTGGGTTTAAAAAATGGACATGGGTTCTAGAATTACTTTACGCAAACAAAAACATAAAACACTCGACCGCAAATCAAAACAACAAAGTCTCATTATTTTCGAAAGATTTTAGAAATTTTCCGATTGTGAAACATAGTTGTAAATTATTCTATTGTTTCAAAGAAAAAGATTAAAGTGTCAAATATTTGATTGCTTGATGAAAATCAATTGACGGGCAATTCTTGGTTTGTTTGGTCATAAATTCATCAAACTCGTTTTGTTTTACTAGTTTTATTAAGCACATTTTGATAAAACAAATATTTGGTCTCGACTTGAGAATACAAACATACAGATAAGTTCATGTGCGGGCACCTCACACGATGATTAAACAAAAAGAACATAACATTGTACATTATACTGATTTATAATTGTACCCTATGATAATACAATGTACCATTAAGATGACCATGAAATTTGGTATAAAATGAAAATAACAATAAAATGCACCATTAACTAATAATCAGTGAAATCTGTTTTGATAAGCTGGCCGATCTTCGGCCGTTTCCCGATTACAGCTTTAAAAGACTAAATTTAGAAAACCACAGAGACTGAAAATAGTAAAAAAGCCTTGTGTTTCAGCCAGATCTTTTCAATTCCAACGGAAGCGGTGCATGAACACCGGAAAAATGGTTTCACTGAATATAATCTGCAAATTTTTTTTAATTTGTCATCGCAATAATTTTTCATTTATGTCATCAATTAGAAAGCACGCAATCGCAGACACAAACACGGTCTGAATTCTTTCATAAAATCAAAACAGTGAAAAACATGTGAAATGGTGTAAAAAATTTGGCAAATGACGGGTTGTTTTTTATTTTGTTTTGGAACTATCGCTTTTAAACTTTGCTATTTTATCAAATTAACTTTGTTATTACAAGTCTTAGATGGACCAGAACTTTTGCCGACTTTTCTTTAGTCAATTGTCAAATATTTGACTCAAAAATGGTACAAAAATAATCACCGCGATTAGAGCTTCGAAAATATAAACGAAAAAACCGGAAATTGTCGAAATGGCTGACCTTAGCGGTGACAGGACGTCTTACCAACCAACATACGTATGAGATGAACTCAATTTCTTCACGAACGATGAACCATTTAAGATTATAGTGAAACTCATGGTTCACTACCTGGTTTACAATCATAATGACCTTTAGGCAACGTAGAATGGTAACTAACTGGTTTTTGCCAACGGAATGTTTGTAAACTAATCACTTTGTGTATGGAATAATTTGGTAAAAGTTATAGTGAAAAAGTTTAAAGGCTTTTGCCCTCTGTTCTATGAGTCGACTTGAACAGAATCAAATTTTTGCTTTGACTAGGTTATGGTTAAACTAATCAAACATATAATTACATGTGCGTGGACCCTTCATAAGACCATGCACAATCTTCAAAGGAAAATAAATTAAAAATATCATTCCAAAATGGTCATTTGCAGGGTATATTTTTCCTTGTACAACAACTAAAGGAATACGCCGTTGGGGATTATTAAAATTAACAACGTAATACACACTTATTTGCCGCCAACGGATGCGACAGAACACGTACAGACAACTAGCTGCAGGCCATTCAATGTTTCACGTTTTCAAAACAAAAACGTGTTTAAGTGGAAAAAATCGTGTGCATAAAGATAACACGAGCTTATCACGATGATCACACGTTATTGAAAAGTTTCACTTTTATGAATATGTTAGAAAATAAATGAAATGAATCAAAAAAATTTTCAATTAAAAGACGGCAAAGTTCAACCGTTCAGAGTAGAAAAACCAATAAAAAAGTTGCAAAACTTCAATTACTCTCCTCGCTAAATGGTGGAGTCATTTCTCACCAGAAAACCAATGTTCCCATATGTCAAGCCATCAATCAACGGGTCACCTCCTAGAGGGCGACATTTCAAAACATCAAAACATAAGGAAGAGTAATGGTATTATCTTAAGGCACCGGGCTGAAATTGCTCCATGTAATCGGCCCCTAACACCGTTTATGTGAATAAGTAGTCGAAGCGAAATGGCGATTCAAGTATAACACAGCTTATAGTCTTATGGTTTCCGTCTTAAAACTCTCGTAAAGAGCGTTTCCTTGAAATGGCATTTTAAAGATGGTGCTTAGATTATGAAGAGACGAAGGTTTATATCAACAATAAGGAAAATCTATTTTCATCATGTGTATATTTTTCAACGACGTCGTAGCTGGCACTCAAAAATTAAATATTTGTGCTTGCATCAAGTATTTCATAATAATATAAACATTTTCCTAAGGTCAAGGCTGCGTGCGCAGTTGTAAAACAACCATGTAAAGTTCTCGTCCAGACGCATTTACAAATTCTATTGATTAACGACAAGAACAGCACTGCACGCTTCGACGAGAAATAAACACGAAAATTGGCAGGGTCGAAGATGATCTTCGTAAAAAATCTTTGTAAAAAATCTGAAGCTTTCATGATCTGTTCGAGTTCCTTCATGCAAGATCACGCAATTTAAAGCTTTTAAGCGGTAGGGAAGGTGCTGAATATTATCAACGCTTAAAGTTCCTATATTTGCCGCCTGCGGGGAAAAATCTTTAACTGTGTTTTTGATTATGAAAGCATTCTTTCTTATTTCTCAAAAGCGATCACACTCGCCAAAATCTTTATTTATGGTCTGAACATTCAATCGTAATCTCAAATCAATTTTCGACACATCCAAAAACCTCCTGCTGAGTTCTCTACGTATGTTAATTAGATTTGTCTTGTATTTTTCCAGATTTCCAGATGGGGCTCATTGAACGTCCTGAGCACGCCAAGGTCGGGCAATTCAAGGTCATTACCGCGCATTCGTTCAATGCAAATACCACAGGCCAATGAGATCGCCAGCTATGATGATATTCTATATTTGGGCTGTCAAAAAGTGAGGAAGTCTTTTCTTGTAGTAAATGATAACATTAGCTTAGTTATGGATGGTACGCAGTCCAAAGATTATACCACAGCTAGAATAGAACTCTACCGGGATGGAATTCATCTAAAACACAGTCAACAAGATCGTGTTATGGACATTCACAAACTGGAGTGGATCCTCTCAATGGGTCTCTTTGACGAGGATCGTCGTTACTTCGGATACATATCGTCCAAGGCATTTCAAGGGAAAAAGATTAGCACTTCGTGTCACGTATTTCGTTGTAATCGAGTTGGACTAGCCAGTCAGATAATGGAGACTATACGAAAAGCCTGTCAGGCAACTTACCTTGCTCGCACTAGTCCACCCAAATTTCGCTTTCGGGCATACTCTGGTGGCTCAACAAGCTCCGAGGGATCCGTTTGTTCAAATTCAGAAACATCAAGCCTGGGATCTAATGTAAGCATGCAGCTAAAAGAATTAAGGGTATTTTGCCATTTTCTAAACAACTGAAAAATAACTGGGAGAAAAATTGAACTATTCTCCCCATCCGACATCCTTTTTCTGTCGTTCATTCGTTGATTATTTCTCTTTGTTTTTTAGAGTTCCACTTCTCCAGAAGCAGAAAGAAGTCAGACGTTACCAGCTCGTTTTCGTAAAAGACCAGGACGAAGCATATCCAAACGCATGAGTAACAATCGTATGTCGACCATTCAGTCGTTCGGAGAAGATGACAATGATACGGGTTTTGACACTATCGGAGACGAATCTTCCTATGTATCAGAAGATAGTTCTTGCTCAAGAGAGAGTTGGTATGGAGGTTTACCTCAGATACCGGACAATGTTCTTAAATCAAGAGAAAAAACCTACATGGTTAAAGAGGAAGAGCCCACACAAATAACTTCTACACAATCAGAAGAAACACTTATTCCATCTGACCTATCATCGATCGATAGTGTAAGTTTAACGAGAAGTGTAGCAGGGGAAAGGTCCTCCATTGACACGACTTTAGAGAGGACATTCAGTGTACAATACCTTACCTCAACAATCGTCAGTTCGCCATTGAAATCAAAACACGTCAAGGAATGTCTCAAGCAGTACCAAAAGAACATTGATAAGGCAACGAAAAAGTCTGATGACCATACTCGACATAATAAGAAGGCCCAACTCATAATCAGTCCTCGTGGAGTTACGATTGTGGACGACAAAATCCGAACTTCACAGGCATTCTACGAACATTCCCTCATCTCTGGTGTTCAAACTCATCCGAATGGCAAAAGCGCCTTCGCGTTTACTACTGTGGTCAGCGGCAGCTCGAAACAAAAATGCCACCTTTTCCTCGAAGACAGTGAATCCATTAACGTCATTGTCGAGGAAATAAAAAAATTCACTTCACGGTGATCAAAAATATTTTTCATTCAACGCCGAAGATAGTCAACGTTTATTAAGAGAAATGGTTTTTCATTTCAGACTGGACGTTCTTTATCAAATAATAACAAATGTGATTTAATGTCCCCGCGACAAGAATTTTGTATTGTCTTAAGATATCTAAACTGCAATCAAGTTTTCAACATCATTGTTGACATGCTCACTTCTGGAACTATTGAAGTTTTAGTAATATGTAACTTAGAGAATTTATGTGAGTTGTTTTCGAAAATATTCGTTACTGCTTACAGATATTCTTTTATTTCCATATGACGAAAACTTCAACAGTTTCAAAAGTATGCAAACATTAAAGTTGAAAAGAAAGGACATCTTTTAAGGTTTGTTTAGGGACATCTTTTATTAAGAGGATGAAAAATTCCATGTCGCAGGCAACAATGTTTCACGGTAACATTATGGAGATTGGAAAGCACAATGTGAAATTCATGCAATACTTTATGGGAGGAAAATGAACAAATTCATTAACTTTAACTAATTTAATTTTCTATTTTAATATTGTTTAATTGAACTTTATTTTATTGTTCGACGACGACAAGTGAAAATCGTTGGAGGCTGTAAAATTTTTGTAATATAAATGATTTTCATGCATCGAAAGTATTTGTCATGTAATTAATATATTTGTTAATGTAAATAGACATAGTTTAAGAAATTTACAACAACTAGATGATTCTAGGAGTCTATTTAATAAAATAAACAATTAGGTATGATTTACTAAGTTAATATTAAAACAAAAACACTTTTAAAATCACTCTTCGTTACACAAAGCGTTTATTATCACATTTGTAACTTCATGTTCAACCGAGCCACCGCAGAGACTGTCGGGAAATACTTTGGCATAATGTGTAGCGTCATGGACAGCACTCAGGCGCGGGTTCGATATTTGAAAAGCATCAACTACCTGAATACCTACATCTTTCATTGCATTGTCAAGGATCGAATTCAAATAACTTGTTGTAGATGGTGCTGGCGTCATTGTCCACTTAATAACTTGATGATCTTCGCGCCATTTTAAACTCAAATTGTTCACCCACAAAAACCGCTTTTTTGACGTCTTTGTCACGTGGGAATTCTCCAGCTTCTCACTCGAATAGAGAGTTTGGTTCATTTTTTGAATGGCTTCTATGAAAGACGTAATTTTGGCTCTTATGAAATTGTTAAATGTCATTTCACGAAGGATCCAATGTCCGAAATTCATAATATACAAGTCGCCTTCCAAAATAGAATAGGGAAGTTCGTATGAAAACACAGAGCGCCTAGTTCTAGATTCAACATAAATTTCGTTTGGCCTTCTGATGAACATGGGAAACGTGGCTGGCCATCGTGTACCACGTGCGTCAAACATCCACTCTACTCGGGGCACGTCATTGAAAATGGTCTTGATTTGATTCTTACTGCAGTTCGGGCATGTGCCGTGAAGACGTGTGACCCAATGATAAGTGCGAAATCTTGAATGTGAGTCACCGGTAAAAACTATTCTTTTCCAATCGTTTTTCAAAAGACAATTTTCATATTAAAATCAGTGTAACGATGAAGTTGGCAAGAATATGGTAGCCAAAAAAAACCATGAAGGTAGTCGAAATCGTATCTTGCATCAAACTGCCAAAAACCACAACTGAAAGAAACATTGACATCACGGAATGTTGACTTTCACTTGTCTACTAGAGTAGAGGAAGGTGATAAATATATGTAAATCCTACAGCACAAACTAAGAGAGAGAATGGCGTTTCTTACCGATCAATACCCTTAATAGAACCACATTTCACCCATCTACCCTTCTCTGTTCCGCTTTCCAGCTGTGTACAGTAGCGCGTAATGTTTCTATCTTGTACTCGATCCCACACAAAGACCTGGAAAGGAGAGCCAGATACGTTGATGTATCTGGCCCTTACGTGACGTGAAAAATGTTCAAACTGTTCGCCATTAATATAGGTCAACATTATGTCCACTGTGTACAGGCCAGCAAACGTCGGTGTAAAAGAGGCTCTGTAGACGTCACTACCCACGTGACTGATGTCTAATGCAATTATTTCTAATTTGTGGACAGCTCGCGCCCAGAATGTCGAACGACCGACTTGAATGCCGTCGTGTCTTTTGGCGGGCATCACATGAAGTACGACTTCTTGCCAAGCAAATGCTGGGTTCACCATTTCCACAGCAATATACAAACTTTTACGAAATTTACCTTCACACGACGTGCAATAAAAGAAAGGACGATATTGTTCAACCATCGGTAATTGAGCTATGATAAATTTCCACAGAAACAGCGACGTAAATATAGCAAACCCAAGACATCTATAAAAACATTGTCCACTAACGAATTTCACAATTTTTTTCATGGAAATTAACAATTTTCTATACAACATCAAATGGAGGTAACAGTTAAAGGAAAGACAATTCTTTAATTTATAGTTCATTTGAAGCATATGAAAGCTAAAAGTTGCGTCAACACTTTTGTCTTCTATAAAAGTTGCGAAAAATACAGCGAGCGGAGCACGGAAACAAACATAAAACAGCGACAAATATCAATAAGACCAACACTGTAGCTCGTGTGAAATAAGCCAAGATTCTTTTAAAATGCGGTTGTCATGGTTGCTACTGGTCATTACCACAGGTGACCACACCAGACCACCGTATTCAAAGAAAGTATTGTTCTTTACAAAAGTAGATATATCGCTTGTTTTTAAACTCATCAACTTATGAAAAGAACATAAAAAATATCACGAACGGTGAAGGTCATGCTGTGCAAATCTCAACATAACTTTAAATTTTCTCAGACATTCATTTCTGAGGTCCTGCAGACAAAAGATGTGGGCTGGCTTTATTATTGATAGAGAAGTCAGCTATTTTTGTCTATTTCACCACGTACTGAGTACATCCGCTTCGGACTGGCCTGGTTTTGAAATTGATTGATTTTTTCCTCGTCAGCCACGTTGGAAGTCTTAGACAACAGAATCCTTAATTTACGAATATCTTATTGTGGACTTGAAAAGGCGCGTATTTGAGCGTTATCACACAACATTTGTTTTCAAATCAATAATAAACCATGAAATTTGTTCGAGTTTGTTCACCAAATATCAAAATAAATATTCCCGAGTATCATAAAGCAAATCATGGATAAGAAAATCGTAGAGGTTGTACAACAATTTTAAGCGTTATTTGAAGTTTAAAAATATATTATCATACTCTAAAGAAAACGACGTACGTGAGCACATTAATAGAAAAAAGGTCTCCAATATCCATGCATATCCACAAAATATCATACGCTTGTCTGTCTACATTTGTACATCCATGTCAATATAATTTCGTTGGATTTGTTCATAAGCAGCTTGCAGTAAAAACTGAAAAGTCGCATTGTCAGTCAATCCTGCTGTTATAAGATCATCGCTTGTCAAAACACTCTCCATTGAAGGAAGACAGGAGTGCAGATCGTGACCTTAAAACATATTGACACACATTAGAAATCTCACAAAATTATTAATTAAAAACGTAATTTCTTTACTGATAACTTGATGTAAACAACAAAGTAATTGAAATAACGTACCGGCACGGGAAAGATTTTCAACTGTCTTGAAGAATACAGTATCCTTAGCAGATAGAACTGGATCATCTGATTTAAGGTTATTCCAGCTATAACAAAAATCAATATTAATATCTAAAAACATTTTGATAGGAAAATCAAAAAATCTGGTACTGATAAAAATTGACGAAATCTAAAACTTCTGTGTATCAACAATGCAACATTTCTTCAACTAACTTACTCGTCAACAAGAAGCGCTTGAGTCCATATTTTTAATTTCAACATGTTGTATCTTTCGTGTTCAGTTGCTTCCTACATTTAAGAAAATATTGCCTTGTAAATACAACTGCTCTGTGTTACACATAGAGTAACGATTAAATTAAAGAAATATAACAAGAAAATGAAATACCGAGTATGATATTTTTAATATGTCAATGCCTTCATAAAGTCGTTTTCATTACGTTGTTTGTTCACGTCACTGATAAGAAGCTACACAATATATTCATAAAAACATTACAAATGTTAAAACGTCGTCCGTCGTTGTTCTATTATATTTTCGTTGTCCCATGGAATACTTCATATAGTTCCATGCACTTTAATAACCATCCATGTAATTCCCCGTCACCTCACAGCCTCTCCCGTAATCAAACGATTTCCCCCCTATCACCCTCCCCCCCTAATTTTATAAGTTTAGAAACCTCGATTAACTCTTCTGGTGTTAGCGGAGCCATTTGAACAGGATCAAGAGAGGCATTCTAAAATAACATCAAATCAGACGAAATAATAAACGGTCAACTAGAAAAATCAAGTTAAAGTTTTCACCAAAAAAGTTTGCATTGATCGAGAAGGTAAATAAATCTATGGAAAATATATAGTATTACCAACCTGTAATATGTCAATTGGTAAACTTTCTTGATACATTACGAGTGTTTGTTTGTTTGATATTTCTACAAAGAACAGGAAAAACTAGTCATAAATATTAAAGATAAGATCAATTCGTAGAGGTGTATTTGTAAACAGCTACCTTGAATTATCTTCTCAACATGATCCGTCTCGTCTTTATCCGAGGCAAGCAAAGCGAGTTTCGCTAGACTTAGCAAAGTCTACAGAGAAAAAAGTTCAAATCGACAAAATTCACAACTTCACTGGAAATAGACAATATTTTCCTTGTGTAAACATTACCTTTTTTCTTCCAATATAATGTTTTTCACTCTCGGAAAGCTCTTTCAATGTTTCAAAAGCCTTTAACAATTTTGAAAATTTATTCATTGCTAATGAGTATACAAATCATGCAACACATAGCGTCTATACTTAACTACATGCTCTATAACTTAATGGTAAGTTTATGAACCTTGATTTAGCAATACTTACTGTAAAATAAATATCGCTGAACACAAGTTTTGTTTTACTCACATTATAAAACGAGTTTCTGTCAATGTCATGTAACCATTTTAAGTGATCATGAGAAGATAAGAATTTGGAAAGGTTTTCATGTTGTGTCCACGGTTGACTCATTAGCTTACTCCTTTTACCTGGTTAAAACAAAGCATACACTTCCTTATGAAAGACCATCAGTTTATGATACACATTTTTTATGGTTGATAACGGAATAGCATACACTTCTCTATGGTTGATTACAGTATAGCATACACTTCTCTATGGTTGATTACAGTATAACATACACTTCTATGGTTGATTACAGTATAACATACACTTCTCTATGGTTGATTACAGTGTAGCATACACTTCTCTATGGTTGATTACAGTATAACATACATTTCTCTATGATGTGAGAACAGTACAACATAAACTTCTCTATGGTTGATTACAGTAAAGCATACACTTCTCTATGGTTGATTACAGTAAACCATACACTTCCCTATGATGTGAGAACAGTAAAACATAAACTTCTCTATGGTTGATTACAGTAAACCATACACTTCCCTATAGTTGATAACATTATAGCATACACTTTTCTAATAACATACATTCTCTACGGTTCACTACTGTAAAACATAATTTTACCTCTATCCATATACCACTTGAACGCAACATCCGAGAAATTCTATTCAGTAAAATAAAATATTAATGGCGGAATATGTAGAATGTATGAAATTTCCAATGAAGTATATTGATTCAAAACAACTCTAACGAACATCATACTTCGTTGCGGAATTTATTCATGTAATTCTGAAGCTTCTCTTGATCATCTAGTTCTTCACATATTTCAATCAGTAAGTGAAAATCACGATACTTCTCAGCCAATGACAAAGCTTCCTCCAAATAACCACGTGATACTAAAAAAGAAAGACGCCTTATTGTTTTGATATGCAAACAGACCATCAACATATGTATATTTCTGCAACTCTTGTATCACCTAGGGGATATATTACGGAGCGTCTGTCATGCTCAAACATCTGGTTGATTTTGTGAAATCTTCCTTGGTCTTCAAAATTCCTGAGTAGCGGAATGGAAGTCAGTTAGTCGTGAATCAATGCAAAATCTTATTCCATTTATCCCAAAGTCTCACCTCAAGGAATTTAACTGCGTAACGTAGCTAACCAATACTATATCAGAGAGATTAACCAATTGCTGCACCAAAGTCGCCTTCGTCTAAAGATACCATGTATAAATATTTCATACAATGTAACAACGGCGACATAACATAGAGACGCCATCGCTTGTTTTGGACACAAAAACAATGTTGTGAACTAGAGATCCAAGGATAGTGCAGAATTTAAAAAGCACATTGCTTTCGTCAATTGAATCAAACATAAAATGTTTCACATATTTATTTCATTTCTCCATTATCTCCAATTTAATTTTGATTCACGTATAATGAGGTGAACATCCATGGACCACGTGGAATACTATTTCTTAAATTCTCACCTTCTGATCCTCCGCCAAAGGGAAGGCTCTTTCAGAAGATATTTCTAACTTTAAGAAAAAACCGCATAAATAGTTATTTACGAAGAACATCTATAGGGCGATTGAAATCATCATTGTTCACTTAATGTCATAAACGACAACTGGTACGATGTTCGTGCAATTTGTGCGCTAACCTGTTCCAAAATTAGAGTTCTCATGCCATCCGGGGAACTTGAAGCTATTAAAAAAATTATACCGCTAACAGCTTGCAAAACTATAAGTTATCAGCAATGTTTTTTTCTATCGATATATGTGCTCTGAACGACCCTATACACAAAATCATATATTGCAAAGGTGTGTGCGCGAACTCGCTTATCATTATGAGCATTCGAGTGCAAAACTCTTTCCACAAAATAATTGAAATTTTTGTGAAACAGTCCCATATACATATTTGCACACTATCCCACCAGTCCACGGTTGAATCTCCACGATAATATCATCGTCGTTAGAGCTCCATAGATTTCATAGTTTCCTTTACGATAAAGCCAAACTTCTTTTAAAGCATTCTGAAAATTATAATGAAAGAGGGCCATGTTATTGATAAATGTAAAGTCGTGTTGCATGAAAGTACATCGAAGTCTGCATCGAGGGAAATGCTTTTAGTAATACTGTTTACAATGCTCTCCGTCATTTGCTATATACGGAATAAACAATCACTTTACTATGCAACTTGTTGATTAGCGAGGTCGTGTTCCTATTGGTTAGAAAATACAAATGACATGCTCCCAATATGACAATCAAATGTTACGTAATACGATTTATGAGTGACCCGAAAAATTTCAATGGACTGGCAAAACTGATTGTCCCCTGTACTCCTGTACTACATGTCCAGATCATTGGCTTCCATAGTTGACATCAGAAAGCGTAATATCAATAAATGTAAACCTCTAAAACAGTGTTGACAGTCATGATAATTTCTCGATGATCTTCTTGCGATGGTTGTTTAGATAGTCGTAATTTCTCGCACTCCAAAAGACAAGGAACAATATCAGAGACACGATTGACCTGTAATAAAGAAAACAATTTTTTGCTTATGAAATTTGCACTGGGAATAGCATTAATTGCATTCTATATTGACGAACAACCTCACGATAGAATAAATCTTGTTGCGTCAAATCCTTTGGTGAGGAGTCGAGATCCCTGTTTTTCATAACCAGTTGTATGGCTTCGTCAACAATCTCCTGGTATCTGTAAAAATGAAAGTGTTCAACAAACAAACGGATACATTAAAAATTAAATATTTAAAGCCATGTATTGAGTAATGGCCATTTAATTTTGCCCATAATGCTAACACTTATTAGTAACAAATTGTGTACCAAAACAGGCTCTTTTATCTTGACTCATATGGATAAACAACTGGTTGAATAAATTTCGCTTAAGACATTATTTTGAAACTTTACTTTACTAACTTGTTGTGTTGTCGCCTCAAAGCTACAGCAAACTTCAACTTCTCCGCTTGTTCACACAACAAATACCTCGTATTTACCATTTTACCCAAGTGCTGCGTTGTACTTAACTAAACAGAACGCAGTTACAAGAGTAAGAACTCAAACAAAGCATATGTAAAAGTCCTCTCTCTCCCCACAGTGGTTTTCAAGAAAGAAAAAGTAAAAGTCCTAAAATTTCCATTCTACACCTTTTGAAATAGAAGCATTTCTTTTAAGAACTGCAAAAAGTAACCGTGAGCTTTAAGTTTGTCCTCCAACTGATGAATTATAATAAGGGACGCCGATGACGTGTAGGAATCTATAGTGACAGTTCATTGTATAATGATAGAATATCTGTAAAATAATATGGTGAAGATCCATGTTTGTAAGTATGGGTAAGGCTACTCCTTGTACCTGAAGGTACAGCCTCAGCCCATCTCGGATCTGAAGCAGGATAATCGTCTATGATTTCTTGGCCAACAGAAATGCAAGCAAAATCCAAACTATTCCCATTTTCTCGTTCACCAATATCTCCAAACTGCTCATCACATATAGTTTGTGCTTCATCCTTGTAAAAACATTTAACTAAATCATCACAACACAATACGTATAGTGATTTCCGTAACCCATGGACAGTTTTTAGTTAGAATTTCTGTCGCCTATATTTAATATTTCCAACGGGCTCTGTTTCCTACAATCGTTCTTGATTGGCAAATCAATGACGCAAAAAAAGACTCAACACGACTTTTTGTATTCTGGTATTCTGTGGTAAAGATTTTTACATACCTACAATAATTTTATTTTTCCTACCTGATTTCCTTGACAAAATATCAAAAACGCTTCTCTTAACTTTGTCAAGTTGTCATCCTTGCTATTTTCTTTTAAAGGCGTCATGGATGAAAGCTAAGAGCGTAAGAAATAGCACTTAATAAGGCATATGAACAAACACAATGACATTAAGAGCCTCACTCCCAATCTAAACTACCTGACGGTTAGTAGATGATGAAGGGACTGTTTCGCTGCAATAAAAACAGTGAAATATGAAATGGTTTAGAGTAATCAATGCTTGATATTCTATTCATTAAGCAATATAAAATCAATGTTATTTGAAATAAACTAAAAATTCACACAGTACAACGTCTAATGTTTATAATACAAATCACTCTGTTCATCTTCTGCATATAAATATAAAATATATATAAATATTTTAAGAGGTAAATATTTAAACAACATAGTAAGATAACATACTTTTCTATCTCAGTATTTCCGACCACAGTAACCAGTATGATACCATGTTTACGTGCAAAGAATAACGCATTTTCACTTGTAGAGCCTTAAGAAAACCCGTATTGTTAGCGGGGAAAATTAAAGTTTAAAATTAGTGTAATGTTTTCAATCGCCTATCCCAAATCTTACCAGATCCAACAATGGATTCATCGTCTTGAGGGAATTCGATTTTGTTCAAAACTTCGTCAGTTTTATCGACTAAAAATGAAATTTTGATGTAAATACGTATGACTAAACATTGAGAAAACACTGAGTAACCAGATGAAGGTTGAAAAATGACAAATCCAGCCCTTGATTTAGTTGAAAAATGTGTTGATTTCAGTGTACAAATGCGTCAATTCTCTACGACATGTCATGGTCATTCATGGTAAAGTTGGATTGCTAAGGTGAATCATTAGACTAAATGGATAGAGAACCTACTAAAGAAGTGAAACTCTGAATAAATGTTGCACTTACTTGAAAATGGAACGATGATATTTTCACTGTACAAAAGGCGTATTTACTCAACGCAGGAACACAAAGCTTAAAGTCAATCAGTTGTTGATGCAATTCTTCCTAAAATAATCAGAATCATAAACGACCTTTACAAGCGTAATTCTTGCTACAATGCTATAACGTACAACACCTTAGGGAAAACATACCTTGTAATCTTCGGCAAATTTTAGTTGCACGAACGCGAGAAAGCGACCATATGTGTCACTGTTTTCTTTCACATCAAGGGATCCTTTTATGAAAAAAAATACCAATTTAAAATTCCTTCAAAACTTCATCAAAATCAACTGTGAAATATACCCAGAAAATAGTACATGCGAGTTTCATCCATTTCTGGGTTCTCAACAAGTACTGCGCATAAAATGGATACGCCATAACTAGACAACCAGCAAATTGTTAGCAACTGATGTGGTGAGCGAACTACGTTCCATATGATATGGACTAAGTTAAAGATAGAAATTGCAAACGATTCAAAAAAGGACATTCCTAAATGTACCTTGATTCCTGCGCATCGATACAGAATGGTTTTACTTTATTCAAATCAACCTTAAAGTAAGAAAACAAGCAGAAAAGACACATAAAGTTTACACTCCAAGTTGTCCATTCCACAAAAAAATTTACAAAAAACAGTCCCAATACCCGAAATGTTAGAGACGAATGTTGTTGGAAAAGTTTTCCCACACTCCATTCATCTTCCATCTGAAAACAAACACAATGATATAATGTCATTTTCAAAGTTGTCATTGCTTCTTGCACCATCAAAAAAATCAACAATTAAAAAGAGAAAACTTGCCTTCTCATCAAACACTTTACTGCCTCCGCGCGAATCAACGCTCCACTTATAAAGATTGTTACCACGCAGAACATAGAAACTTCTGCATAGAAATACATCAAGAAATATGTTATTTATTGCTTTCCTAAGGGTAGAAAAGCAATTTTGACTTTTCCAAAAGAAAATTCATCTAACCTTAAATTGCTTTCTAAATTGTTTGACTTCTTGGTAAAAACTTTATGAACCACCTTAAGTCAAAAAGATTCAAAGAGCTCGAAACTGTGGTCGGCTTTTTGGAACACAAAGTATGATTTATTGGTGTGTTTGCATGTAGGAAGAGAGGGTGTGGAGTAGTCTCGACCATGAGGGTAAGGCAAATCCTAAAACCTCATAAAAACTTCTTGAACTTTATAAATTTGGTGTTAATTGCAATCAAATGAATCAAATTAATGCCAAATACTGACAGTCTAAAACCAACTAAAGCCTGATATTTACACCTACAAGGGAAGGACCTTGCATGGGCTAAAAAACATAATCTAAAACCCTGTTGTATTTAACTGTAACAGTAACAGTAACAACACTCAGTTTAAATAGTAAATAAAGATAACTGCCATAAAGGATGTGTCCATTCTTTAACAATTAAAAACAGCTTCAAAGACCTCTACTGACAGGAGTAACAAACCATGGATGATTGGTCTGTTCCTCCAAAAATGAACGAAGACATTCTTCGACCAAAACCTGAGAAAACTCCACCCGGTTGACGGAAATGCTGATACAAAATGGATTTCTATACGAAATTGAAAACATAGAAATATAAAAGAGTCGATTGGAAATTTTTTCCGTCATAAGCAAATGGTACCTTCTGAATGTATAATAAAAGAATTTCATTGGTTGTAGTGGTCATTAGGTATCCATGAGGCTGGATTGAATAGAAATAAAAACTGCATTCCTCAAAACAGCACATACCAGGTATAGCAACTTCTTACAATTTTTTGAACACACATACCTGAAACTCCAGTAAAGAATGACATTCCTGGCCAACAAGTCCAGTACATGTCTCAATAGGACTGCTTTCATGTATCATATTTGGCCAATAACATACTGTGCCTTCGGGTGAAACCACAAGCACTCCACATTGCTGGGAATCCATCCCTGATGCTCGAACTAGGCACACAAGTTTGGCATTGTGATAAAGTTCTGTTGGAGGCAACAAAAATTCTTTGCAAAATGTGACCTAAGGCATCATAGAGTAAAAGAAAGATTTCATAACATTTTGAAGACACCTACAACTTCAAGAATATAAACATTATCTTATCAAACAAACCTTTGATCTTTCTGTGGAAAGGTAACGCCAAACAAGCAGTCGTCTTTCATGCACTAACCATGCCCAGCCTGCAGGGTCGATGTAGACAGTGATTGGAGATTGAGCTGGAAGGACACAAGAAAACCAATCAAAAACTTGTATCAAGTCAACTATTTTCCTGAGAAGACTTACAGCCACTGGAAGAGCCAATAATCTCATTAACTTGAACTGGAAGTGCAAGTCCATAAGTCTCGACACGATGTAAGGAATTTTCATTGATAACTCGAGTGGAAATAACTGATTTTGGTGTTCTGCTGTTTAACCTTAAGATGGAGATTAAAACAGTTGAACTTATTTGTCAAATAAACAGATTGCATTCCGTAGTCAATACTTGACTTTAGAAACAGCTTAACACAAAGCACTAATTTGCCTTAATCCATCAAATGCAGTCATGTTTTCTGTAAAAAAATATTGCTTACAAAGTTGTACTAACTTTAGTACACTAAATTTGAATAAAATATAAAGTCAAACTGAACCTGGTTGAACGCGGAAACAGACGGCTAGTTTGTCCAGGAGATATTATACTTCTTCTTGACGTATTTCTCGGCGTAAAAGCCGATAAAGAAGAACGAGACAATTCGGTTGAATTAAACATTATTGAAGGAAAAAATTACTCCACAAAATAAAATATGTATGCGCCGAACGGCGCCAAAATTAATTTACCAAATTACCATTCCCATATACTACGAGACTATTATGTCAACAAAACTGGGGGCTTGGGGCGAGAAAGCAGGCCACGTTTATGTTCTTCCCGCTTCACGCGTCTTGTTCAAAAACATCTCATGTTTATATTGAAAAATATTTTTTGTAAGTATTTTATGTAATTTATACTTGTTGCCGGATTAGATAGGGTAGTAGCATTCTACTAAGTTTGAATTAACTGTTAATACACGATTATTTTATTTGAAGCTTTTGGGAAAAGACTCTCACGAACTCAGTGAAACGTTGACAAGGCGATTTGTCAAGGAAGGTAGGGAAGTTTTAATGAATATTTTTTTGTTAATTTCCTCCCCTAATACTCGATCATAGATTTGAGCCCTAACTTACGGAGGACATCATTATCATGCATGCCTAGATGATAACTCTGATAATTTACGACTAAATGAGCTAATTGCCACAATCGTAGTGCAAGTACATATAGTTAGTCAATGCCATAACTATGATCAATTATGAAACTTGAAAATGAAACTTCCAACCGTGAAACAAAATCAAGCATGACAGAGAAAAGACAAAGACGCCAGGTTGAAGATAGCTCTATGAAATTGAACGTAGTAGAAGCACCTAGCGTACGCTCGAGAATTTTGGATGAGAACTCGTGGACCAATGAAAGCACGAATGATTCCAAGTATGTTGAAGACGATAAAAGCTCTAGCGAAGACGAGGTTCCAATGGAATATTTTTAAATCATATGGAATATTTTTCAATCCATATGGAATATTTTTAAATCCATATGGAATATTTTAAATCCATATGGAATATTTTAAATCCAATATAGAATATTTTTAATTGAAGATTCAAATATATTAAATAAATCGAATAAAGATATGTTCGGCGCGCCATAGCACCTAGCGTACGCTCGAGAATTTTGGATGAGAACTCGTGGACCAATGAAAACACGAATGATTCCAAGTATGTTGAAGACGATAAAAGCTCTAGCGAAGACGAGGTTCCAATGCAGAAACAATCCATCAAGATATGTTCAAAAGAAATATCGATAAATGACATATTCAGTTTGGAAGCTCGTTGGCTCACGAGGTACAGAAGCTTTGATTTATAGGGTGCAGTAGCTTACTACTTTCCTAACTTTGTAATGTATTCAAGAGCCATTCATTGGAGTAATTTATTATCACATGCAGATTTTGTGTTTTAAATCATTTGGTCAAATTGAAATGAAATCCTTTCAAGCCTGTAACCTCCAATTTCAAATTGTTCCGGTTGCTTGTAGACGATTTAAATGGGTTAGGGGTATACCCCTGGGAAATTTTTGATTTCTTGAATCTGTAAATTGCTATTTAATGCAATTTGAGGAGACTTCTTAACTAGAAAGTATAGTAGAAACAGTGAAAATTATCCAAAAACGTATGCATATAACCATGATATTTCAAACAAACTTCAGTTTTTAAACATTCAATATTGCTTATCTTAGTTATGTGTAATATATATGGATAATCTTTTATTTAAAGCAAGGATTAGTTTTCCATGAATGGTCATTAAGCTGAGTATTAATCCCTAAATATTCAGAAGTGTAAAGAGGCTCATTTAAGCTCAGCTCTTTTTCTAACAATTGCTCTGTACATGCGAGCGATTACATTGACGTGTTTCCTGTGTCGATGTTTCGAGTGTAAGTCGTGTCTGTTTGGCATTTCTGTCAATGTCTTAACGTAAAATCTTCGACGAAACATTTTGCATATTAATTTCTCTCTTGTTTCTGCAATCTGGCTCGCCTAGAAATGAACAAAAATAGGTAGGCAGAGCGTCTAGGTGAAGAAATGCCCAGTTTTTTCTACAGAGTTCATAATGACAAAATATATTCCTTTACAAGACCTCTTACTGACTTTCGTAGTCATTTGCCTAGAGAAGTATTGAGAGCGTGCACGGGGGGGGACATACGTAGGGGAGTTGGAGGTTATGACACCCCAGGTTTTATAAAATATGTAAAAAAAAAGTTTATAAAGAAACTGATAGAGGACGAAAAAAGTCTTTCCAGCAAAATTTGTGGATTTCTCTATCAAATAAGTGAGACTCTACAAATGTTGGTGTCAGAACGTAAAATCTTCCAAGCTTTGAGGAATATGTGTCCCTGGGAACATCACACATGAAACAACGTTTAGTGGTCTGCGAAATGGCTAGCCGCACACAAAATGACGCACCTGTAGCGAAACAAGATTTATTTCGGCTTTTTTTCTCACTGCCTCTATATCACCAACGGCAAGACCAATCTGCAATCATGAATGAATACTGTCGAAACTCTGGTTATAGGAATACTATAATGACGGAATTTAATCCAGCGTACATCTGTAGTTAGTAAACCCAACTCAGCGTACACTTAAAGTTACCGTACACTTGAAAGAATTCACGTAGTTGTCCGCTGAATAGAGGTTCAACGAAACAAATACTGAGGAGTCTTGTTTTAGTTGAAAGCTCACTCACCAAGATATTATTTACGACCAGAGATACGGTCACGCAAAATACAATGAAGACACATATGGCCCCATATTGTAGTTGAAAGCTCACTCACCAAAAGATTATTTACGACCAGAGATACGGTCACACAAAATACAATGAAGACACATATGGCCCCATATTGTAGTTGAAAGCTCACTCACCAAAAGATTATTTACGACTAGAGATACGGTCACACAAAATACAATGAAGACACATATGGCCCCATATTGTAGTTGAAAGCTCACTCACCAAGATATTATTTACGACCAGAGATACGGTCACACAAAATACAATGAAGACACATATGGTCCCATATTGTAGTTGAAAGCTCACTCACCAAAAGATTATTTACGACTAGAGATACCGTCACACAAAATACAATGAAGACACATATGGCCCCATATTGTAGTTGAAAGCTCACTCAGCAAGAGATTATTTACGACTAGAGATACGGTCACACAAAATACAATGAAGACACATATGGCCCCATATTGTAATTGAAAGCTCACTCACCAAGAGATTATTTACGACCAGAGATACGGTCACACAAAATACAATGAAGACACATATGACCACATATTGTAGTTGAAAGCTCACTCACCAAGAGATTATTTACGACCAGAGATACGGTCACACAAACTACTATGAAAACACCTATTGCAACATATTGTCGTTGAAAGCTCACTCACCAAGAGATTATTTACGACCAGAGATACGGTCACACAAAATACAATGAAAACACCTATTGCAACATATTCCATTCCCATAGTTAACAACTCTGTTCTGTGGCGAAATCCTGAATAGTCAAGTTCCCCCATGAGCATTATCATTACTTTAAGAGATGACTCGTGAAACACCTTAAAATCCTCGTGTATCTGAAATGTAAAACACTTGGTGTTTAAAAGACGAATATGAACCTATGCAAAGAGCTTTATTGACGTTAGAAATCAAAAGAACATTTTTTCTCGACTGTTTTCATGGCAAACCAGTAAAAAAACTTTTGACGACAAGTTGGTCTTTGTCATTTGTCTCTATATCAATAACTTCTATAAAATCGGTGATCGAGGAAACATCCGTATTTGTCATTTATCTCTATATCAATATCTATGAAACTGGTGATTGAGAAAGCATTACTGATTTTTATAGATATTTTAATGAAATTAGAAATGAGTGTAGTTCTTATAGAGTTAAAAAGATAGTTAAGTAAATGAGCATTTCTATGCTGCCTTTTAACTGTCTTTAATTCCGTAAAAAAGCACTTTACTGATTTCGGTAATATATATAAAGACATATACTCACTATTGTAGTAAATATGACATAAAATGTTACAGCAAAACAAAGGAGTAGAACAGCAAAAGCAGACATCACCTATCATACAAAATTAAAATTCCTCGTTTGGACATTATCAAATACGTTTTGAAATAATTCACGAAATGTCTACCTTAAGGAGCGTCGCCAATACTTCGAGAAACATCGTAATGTAAACACCAAAACGAGTGAGGCTGAAAAAAGAAGAAATGAAATGAGTAATAACTATGAAAGACCTTGGTGCATCGTTATAATGAAGTCATCAAGTATTGCATTGAATATGGTTTTCAGTGTGTAATAAGTTGCTACACTCGTAACAGCTATTGCAGTATATACAATACATAAATATTATCTTATTCTTATTTTCGATTGACCTCTAAGTAGTCTGCACATTAAATCCTATGTACATGAAAGAATGGCTAATTCAATATCTTTCGACATACCCTCGAGTCCATAGAAACATTAATAAATAATATGCAAATATCCCCATTATTCCGAATTTGAGACGAACATAGGGAATGGGCATTTCGCTTGGAATTTTGACAAACAGGAGAAACAAGACGGCGACCGTCACATCAAGATAGTTTGTTATTTCGAGAAAGTATTCCCAACGCTAAAGAAAAATTGTTAAACTCGTGAAGAATTCAAACCAAAAACCATGACCAGCCGACAATTTGAAGAAATATAGTATAAAGCCTCATTCTGTCTGAGGATGACTTTGAAATAAAGTCGAAAATTTACAGTTCACTTCTCGTCTTGTTTTGATGCATATTTTGCAATCTCAAGATGTCTTGTTTTTTCGGAATTTGTTTTATACTATATTTCATGAAGAATTCCATCACAGCTTTTCTTGTTGATACAAAATTATGAAATAGAAAAAGGTTTTATCTCCATTGATTTGATAAAAATTTGAATGTTTACCTCTAATCTCAGTTGGTTCAATTCCTTCCCAAGATACAAGAGAAAGTATACAAACATAATGGATCTTTTTGCAAGCGTTTTACCTGGCGAATGATTGACCTTAGAGAAAAATAGAACACACAAGGCAAATGTTGAGTGAGAAACGCGAACGATATTTTAAAATACTTTGCTCAAATAGCTTTACCACTTGTAAAATTTAGACTGAAAGATGGATGTTGTTTTACTCTGCTTCAACCTTGCTGGAAAGTGGCTGCAACCTGACTCCCACCTGCTTTAACTTACTCCAACCTACTGCAATCTTACTCCCATCTACTGCAATCTTACTCCCATCTGCTTTAACTTACTCCAACCTCCTGCAATCTTATTCCCATCTGCTTTAACTTACTCCAACCTCCTGCAATCTTACTCCCATCTGCTTTAACTTACTCCCACCTTCTGCAATCCTACTCCCACCTAATGCAACTTTTCTTCCACCTACTGTAATCTTAGTTCAGTGTACCGCAACCGTATTCCAAACTACCGTAATATTACTCAAACCTACTGCAATGTTCTTTACCTTCACGCAACTTGTTTCATTATCTTGATAAAATTGATGGTTACGGGAAAGACAACTTTTATTTTGATAGCATGAGTGGTTCTTCGAATAACCTTCATCTTCTGAAAGTTTGTCATAGCACTCTCCTAAAACTCGTGTAAACCACACAAGAAACACTGTCGTTATGACCAATGCTACAGCCAACAAAAGCATTTGGGAGTAGTAGATGTAACGAACGCCATTTATCCTAGAAAAATCACAACAGAATATACAAATAAAATAAACTATTATAGATTAACTTAGATACAAACAACAGGAATTTATGCTAGATAAGAAATTGGAACTCGTCTCAAATCTTTCATTTCCTGGTATGACAATAACGACTCTGGTGTTTCTCCTAAATAGTCCCTATGGACCGTCAAGACACGATCGATTCAACATTCAGGTGCGGTTACATGTGAAAATTTACAGAGATTCGTTTACTGACCAGTTTGTGTCTAGAAGTTTTCGAGTCAAGGGATGCATTAACAGCTCGTTTCGGCGGGCGATTTTCATCGTCTGAAAGGAAAAATAGATTTTTCGCTTTTCATGAAAATATATCTTTGTGCGATGAATCAAACTGATAATATTATGCTCGTTCTTAGAGTACATAGTTTCCTTCAACTACCATTGGTCCATAATAGTCTTCATCCTCATCCGTGGGTGGATCAAGGAGGTCAAAATTATAGGTCACCTAAGATAAAAGACAGCTCATATACTTAAATGTAAGTGGAACTCAAAGTGAGATGGTTATCTTTAAGGAGTATACTTTATAATCTGCGTCGATTTCTCTTCCACTATACTCGATACATTTGTCTAGAATAACCTGACAAGAATAAAGAAAGAAACTACAAAACCACGATATTTATTGCAAGTAAAATTGTATTTTCTTATCGATAACCTTTGCAACTTCTGGCGAATACTCCAGACATTTTTCCATTATGGAACAAGTGACCAAACTTTTCCACCTGGGGATAGTAGAAATAATCTATATTTGACTGAAAGTCAACTTTGGCTAAAATTCTCTGTAAGAAGAGTTCCTACAACAACAACCGTTAATGCTAACTGTGTAAGATAACTAAGTGAACAAAATTTCTAACAAATAGTTGTGTATTTACTTTTCATTAATGGCAAAATCATCAAACCAATACTTGTCGAGCACATTGCGTAGAACTCAATATAACATGAAGTATATAATCGTTTTCCATTTTATCACTCACTTGTCACTTTTTGCTAGCACCATACAGACATCATGGTGACGATTGTCGAGCGCAATATCCATACAACTGAGATTATCACAATTGAGAATGGTTGGATTAGCGCCATGTTGCAGCAACACCTCCACTGCTTCAGCACAATTGTTTTTCGCGGCCAAACATAACGCTGTCATCTGTTACAAGTAAAGGAAGGAAGCCATGTTTATGAAACTTTGCCAAGAATGACATATATGGTTGTTGATGTCACGAAATTCAAAATCTTAAGTAAGACTTCTGACTGTAAAGGGCAAATCAGATGAATATGGTTAAAAGTTAATTTGAATCTGTTTTAGTCGGCAAACATTTTCTCTGTTGAGCTCAGATGTCAAGAAAACACATACATAGTTCCTTGTAAGTTAGATATAACCCAAATTATTATAGAGAGCATCCAGCATGCTATCTATAATGATTAAAAAATGCAAGTTCTCACTTTGTTTTTATCGCACAAGTTGATATCTGCCCCATACTTGACCAATAGCTGAGTGACGTAAGGGCATCCTTTTGTAGCTACATACAACAACGGTGTCCATCGTCTGTCATCTCTATACAAAGAAATACCAATTACACCCACGCAGCTGTATCATTTAAAAGGGATCTAGAGGGATCATCACCATAAGAACATATTTTTATTACCTTGCGTTTGGATCAGCTCCGTGCTCCAGTAACAGTTCAACTATTTTTAAGTCGCTTCTTGAAAGACACGCAAGATGTAATGCTGTTCGCCACATAAAGTCAGTCACATTTGTAGAACATTTGCAAGATTCAAGAAACAACTTGAGACATTCATATCTTCCATTCCTAGAGGAAAAGACATCAGCTATAGAACAACAACCAAAGATGGTATTCATTATAAACACATTGATACAAAAAGCACACGTGGCACAAAGAAATTACTTACTCAGCGGCAATGTGTATTGCAACCTTTCCTCTGTCATTTATTGCTTTTGTGTTGGGATTGTACGCTAACAAGATGTCAAAAACCTGAAAATGTTCGTTGAAAATGCTCATTATGAAGTACTTGTACGACATTCGACTTTTAAAAAGTTGTGTTTTAATCCTAAGTTTTCATATCTCTTTTGATACTCTTCAATTTTCATTCCTCGAAGTTATCATGCCTCTAAGTAATTCCTATAAATTTTGACCCTTCTAAGTTTCATGTCTCTAAATATCCTCACATCTACCTTTCAACAAATCTAAATTTTTATATCTTTAAATTTTCACATCTCTATGTTTTCATATTTCTATGTTTTCATGTCTTCATATCTTCTCATACCTCTGTGCTTCCATGTCTCTAAACATCTCTATATTTTGATCATTCTAAGTTTTTATACCTCTAAGTTACCAGTTGTTGCTGCCAAATGCAAAGCGGTGTTTTCGTTCTTATCTTTCAGTTCCAACAATTCTCGACCACATTTCTTAGAAAATGTAGAAACCATGTCAGTTCAGAAAAAGACTAGTGAAAAAATCCAAAAACAACGTTGGTATACATGGGGCACGTTGTATACTCGATCGGTGAAAGATACTGAAATTTCAATACAATCAGAGAAGATAATTAAATAAAAAAATTTATTTACCTCCATGATTATCTTAACAGTTGCTACATCAGCATTTTTAACTGCAATATGCAAGCAAGTGTCCAGCATAGTATTACGCATGCTCGGTGATGCACCTTGGTCGAGAAGGAACTTGACAGCTTCGTGTTGTTGAAAGCGGCTAGCAGTTATCAATGCTGTACCACAGGGATGATTGGTGTCTATGAAAGCGCCCTGTGATAAATAAAAAAGTCTTGAAAAATACGTTTCATGAGCATGCAATCACACTTTCGTCACTTTAACAAACAAAAAATCGAGGTTCAACACATACTTTTAACAATTTTATGAAAAAAGACTATCAAAACCTAAATGACCATACTCCCTCTTGCCGATGGTTAACTTTCTTATGCGTTTTCAAGCGTTATAAAAATGATGGAAAATCATGCTTTTCTAAAATCTGAAACAGCCATATCTCTTATAACAGGAAAACATATTGTCATTTGCCAAAGTCTTCAAAGTTTATTACCTTCTTCAAAAGTAAATCACAAACTTCAACACTTCCTTTTGCAGCAGCTCTGAATGGAATAAAATTCATATTTGATGAAGCTGAAAACGTTCCACAATCTTTCTGGTCAAAGCATACCTGTGAATACAATGGCGATTTGTCTTATCCACAATGCCTAGATCTGCTCCGTTCTCCAAAAGAATTTTTGTCGTGCTGGCGTTTCCCTTACAACAGGCAATATGGAGCGGTGTATCTCCATCAGACTATTGAAGGAGGAAATAAAACAAAATTTGATTGAGTACTTGTAGTTTGAAAGCATTTAAAAGGCCACAGGATTAAATCACCGTCTTTTTGTTGATATCAGCTTTGTAATCAAGGCATTTTTGAATAATCTAAACACAAAAGATAGGGGTTTTTGCTACGCGGGTTTTTGCTATGCGGGGACCCATAGCGTACAATAAACGACAAATAGATGATGTCTTAAATACTTTATCGCTGTTGTGTATAACTGCAAGATGGAGGCAGTTATTGCCATCTTTTCCTGGCTTGTCTAAAACTTGCGCAATGCTTGTGAATCCACTTTCATTCTGTTGGAAATGTATTCCTATTAATAGGTAATCAAAAATGAAAACCGAATATTCCACTCATTTTTACATTGAATAATACAATCTTTGGGGTTGGGGGTAAGTAGAGTTGAAGAAAATGTCGGTGCTTCGAGGTACCTTTGTTTTCAATCAAAATATCAAGAACATCATCAACATTATTTCTTGCAGCTTCATGAAATACAGTATTTCCATCGTTGTCTTCACTTAACGAACAGGCACCATTATTTAACTGTAAACATTCAGCAATTCGCATGTATGATTTCATCACTGTGATTTTGTAATGTAGCTTTCTCTCCTTGTTGAAAAAATCTTACCAAAGTTTGGACGATTTTTGAGCGTTCATTGTCATTTCCAGGTGTAGCTGAAAGATGTAATGGGGTGACCATGTCGTTGTCAGTGCAGTTTACACTTACTTTGCCGTGGTTGATTAGGATCTAAAATGGATAATATGAATAAAGGACATAGGGAATAGGTAATAATGATAGGGTTACATTTTTCTACTGATGATGACGTGTAACACTTGTCGACACGTTTAGATTAAATTATGTTTACTATGTACGGAGTGTCTATTGTTTTGTGTTTTACTAGAATGCTTTATGTGTCAGAGTCAGTGGTCAGAGTTCAACTTACGTCAATGACGTCATTGAGTTTTCTTCTCGCCGCCATGTGTAAAGGAGTTTGACCAAATAAGTTTTTGACATTTGCATCTGCGCCATTATCAAGAAGAATTTTTAAACATTCTTTTCTGTCGTACTTTGCTGCCACGTGACACGGAGTGATTTTAATTCCTTCCTCGAGAATTGCTTGTTGATTTACATCTGACGTAATATATATATATATACATCAAACATGTGATAATGATATTCTGATTCTATTATTCATAAACAGACATCACGCAAGATGTTCACAAGTTTATTTTTAGTCATTTTTCAGCTGAGAGTTTCAGCCAAATCACAACGAAGGATAGTCCGAAAGTGGGCGTTGTACAAATGAGCATGATATATTGACAAAAACACGAAAATTTCTATAATTGTAAATATCGATTTAAATATGTACCATCTTAACTAGAATAATGTACTATATCCACTTTTGGAATATCCTTCGTTTCATGTTTAAGTGAATGAAAAAAAGGAAATGCTCAGTTTTTTTCAACAGACAAATACCAGATGTTTCATGCAACAAAATATAGTATAAATTTTCAACCCGTTTAAAAGAAACTATTTTGTAATGAGTCTTACTGGCTCCAGCATTAATAAGATCTCGGACCAGTACAACTCTATCTTTCTGAATGCAATAAAATAGTGCTGTACAGCCATTGCTATCTGGTTGATTGACATCTGTACGTCTAATGTTAATATACCATCGAACTGCCTCGACATCGCCAACTAGACAAGCCTACAGAGAGAGTATGAGTTGATTGGAAATGTCTGTTCTTAAAATATTCTCTGTCACGATTGCTGTAGAAACACAATGCTATTCAGGATTTAGGAAATATTATAGCATACTTTTATCGCTTGTTATTAATACCAACACTATGTACGAATGGAACCACAATTTCGCACGCAAAGGAGGGTAGATCAGCCTATCTACGAGCGTAGTAACCCAATAAAGTTATTTTATATACAATTTTTTTTACATATCTATAATAAACTTGAGCCAAACTCAATCTCCTAGCTCAGGTGAGTAGACTAACCTTTGACAATTTCTGCTATTTACCGAAGGCGAGAAATTTATTGAGTTTACAACTTTTGGATCGTGCGATAAATGCCTTCTACATTCTGCTATTTCATTAAAAAATGAAACTTCACTAGAGTCCATGAGTAGTTATAAAATGAAAAATGTTTTGATAGAGAGAGAGCTTAAACGCGATCTCGCTAACTATATAGATCGTCAATAGACATTAATAACAACAACAAAAATATTAATTATTTAAAAAAGATAGATGTCTTGCTTTTTGGGATAAGTTGAAAAACACAGAGCAGATGATTTACAATCTTTTTGAAATCATTCTCACCTGATAAAGACCAAAGCAGGTCGTCATATATTGATTTCCAAATTCCTGATCAAGTTTTAACTCTTCCTCGTCGTTCGATACTCGCTTTAATTTTTTGCGACAAAACTCCACAAAATACCGGGACATTTTGCTAACCTTCACATGCGGCGACGCAAAAGTAAGTGTTTTCTCCCACTGTAGGATGAGATGTTGAATTATTAAGAGCGTATTGATTACAAAGCTGTACAGAGATTAATTAAGTTATCAGCAAAAAAGTTTTAATCAACTCAAAGTTGTTTTTATAATTAATTTTAAATTACTTTTATGAGGTTTTCTCTTATAGTTTGTTTGCTTATTTTAACAAAGAAGTTTTAGATCGGAGCGCATTAGTCGAATGACAATTTTTTAATAGATAAGACAACATACCAAAAATTATTTAATTGTTGAAAGTCGCAATAAAGAAGAAATATTACATCTTAGATATTTGACATTTTTCTAATTGCATTTAAGTATAAGTCACATGAAATTTTCTTCCGTCCTCAAAACTTCAAATTTACAATATGTTTGCTTAAATTCAGATATTTATTTTTGAATATTTACATCTTGCATTAACATGTATATAACGTATGCAGATAAAGAGGCATTACTCAGAGATGTCATGGGGTGTGAATTATATGACAGAGCATAACATAAAACCGATTTTAATTAAATTCGTGTTTTAATGTGTGTTTTTGTGAAAAACATATATGATTGACTGAGGCAGCATTCATTAAAACGCTTTTTAAAGTCATTGCACAGTTAGCTATCTCTTCGGGTCCGCCTCCGTCATGGAGAAACGCAGCTGCTAGTTGATGGAAAATTCATCACGAAAACGGGAGAGTAATTGGGGAATTATGAATGTCCTTGATTTTGGGAAAAGTTACGGATACTTTGAAATGGTTCTTGTTCATTTGGGAAATCTCAAGCCATAAGTAGCGATAATTGTGGATAATGTGAACACCTGAAGATTGTCAGAGTTGTATGAAGAAACCAGTGAGTGTCGTGCAACAAAATTAATAACATCCGTCACATAATGCCACTTGTTCCTTTCTATAGTCTCGACATGGACACAATCTTCGTACTAAAGGTTGCTTAGCAACACATGAAAACAGCATAACATTCTCTTGAAGATTGCAGGCGTCGTTTTCACTGTTCAACGACGGTGCATGGAGAGCGCTGACTACTTCATATGATCGACATTTTCTTAATCTAGAAAAGAGAAAAGCGTTCTTGTAACCTTTTATAAATAGAACTGTGGTTATGCTCTTTTAACATCAACTACTCACTTCTTCAAGAATGCCCTCTGGTTGATATCTTCCCAATACGCGGGCTCACAAATCTGTCCTGAAGAAAAATTACCATTTAGGTAGAGAGATGACAAGCAAACCGAACCTCACACCACTTACCATGAGCTGCACAAGTCTCCTTACATGAATCGCCAGGTTGGCTTAAAATAATCTTTAGTTTCTTCAACGGGGGCCATAAAATTCGTTCACAAAAATCCTACATAAGAGCAGATGAAGGAATAAGAAAATACTCGAGTTCTAAACGAACTAAAGTAAGATTACCTGGTTCGTAACAAGAGCATCGACTCGCTCTAACATCCCCAGACACGTAAACTCCAATGGTAGAAATGGTGGAACCTTTTAATGTGAAAATTGTTTCAATAAGAAATATGAAAGAAAGCAAGCGACATATTTTGCACGCACAAAATACAACAATTTTTTACAAGACACGTTTTATTATGTTTTGTCTGACACATTACATTATGTACATTACATAGTTTAAGCAATTGCAATATGGGCTAATCAAGGCGGGTTTAGAAGACAACATAAAGCACATAGAATTGGTTTATGAACAGTTTAAACTATAACCGCTTTCAAGCATGTACAAGTAATGTTTTTCTCATTTTATAACGTTCTTTTAAGTGCGCACCTTCTTTTTCAAAATCATTTTTAAAGTTTCGTTTACTTCGGTAAGATTTTTAATGTCAATTGTGTAAACGTAAGGTTTGCCGACAAACTCTTCCAGGTAAGGACTTTGTGATGTTAGCTTAGAAAAACAAAAATATCCTTGGATTAGATGTATAAATATTTGAAATGTAATAATGCATAAAATTTCAACCGGTTACATCATCTTACCGATCTTCCTGTTGGCTTTGCCTTAAAAAATTTTGTATTGAAACGGTTCCTCGGTTCCGTGAACTGGTGACAAATAAAATGTTTAGTAAGATCAATATCTTGAAATGGAAAACGATTAGTTCATGTTTTGTAATGGTTTTGTTACAGATCTCCAACTAACGCAGTTTTTGTGTACTGAAGTATTTGAAACTGCTGAATCGACATAAAAGGTTTATGAAATGACCGTATGAATGAACAGCATTTATTTATGTAACAATAGGAATAATATTTCATTAAGTGCACCTTTGGATTAATAAATACTGCTCCATTGGCAATAGCTTCAAGAGGAGCTGGACCTTCATAGGGAAAACCAAGTCCGATAAATATCTATGTGAAACATAAGAACATGTAGATCTACTTAACGCCTGTGCACAACATCCAGTTATTACTTTCATAAACATACAGAGGAGGTTCTTCAAGGAAATTTTATATTGTTTTCATACCTTAGACTTTTGTAAAAGATTCACGACAGCGCCATGTTGAAGGATTCCATGATTTTCCACATATCCAGGTAATTTGACTCTTTCTCCTTGTTTCTAGAGTAAATAGAAGAATAAACAATCAATAAATACAGAAGTGTGAAAGATAAACCAAAACATAATTATATGATAATACATACGTCACTGATGTCCATACTGATCGTCGTTGCATGAACCTTGACATACTGACTTAGCAGTTTTAAATACTGCATATTACCCTACGGAATCAATTTAAAAGGTACGTTGGTTTCAAATCACTTAAAGCAACATAACAAAATACCAACTAACCCTCCAGTATTCCAGGACTTTGCCATACACTAAACCTTGATCCCTTTTCTTCGCCATGATGCGCTTACTTTCAGACGAACTTAGCTTAACTCCGGACACAAAACCCAAGAATGTGTTGTCGGGACTGTGAGCTAGACATTACAACACAATTGAATGTCACAGAAGAATAAAGGCAGAGCAATAACATCACGTGAATGTGCAACATTAAAATCACTGACTTGACTGGATAACACGCACTTTCATGAAGATCAACAATACAAGTTGAAATGTAGTATCATCGAATATATGATGAGGAACTTTGAATCGTTTACAAGTAGAATGAAGAGGGTGACGTTTTGTCACACCCCCTTGCCTCTGGAACTTAAAAAATGGGATAGTTGTTCGGCATCTTAAATGTTCCGACCTTTTTTGCTGTCCGATTTTATGGCAAGTTTTATGAATGATCTTTGCCCATAGAAGGACAAAGATTTTGCAAAAGAATTCCGATTTATTACAACTTACGGAACATTGTCATGAACTGTCGAAGATCTAGATCCAGGCCTCCCCAAGGTGACTTTCCTCCCTGAATATGTTTCCTGTATCCACGATGATTGAACTCTGCTTCCGTACCAAAGGAGTCCACGACACGTAAACGACATCTATAAAAGTGAGATATCAACAAATATGGATGGAGTCGTTAGAGTTAAAGAATATCAGATACAGACCTTTTAACAACATTTTAATTTATTAAATGCGATCTGAATGTACCTTGGTCATAAATATCCCTTCATGTGGAATATATCGTGAATATTGTACCTCATAAAAAAAGTATCGTATCCGTCCACTTACTTATACTTTGAAAAAAGTGAGCCAGTTGTATTCTTTATGTGAAGAACACCGACGATGTCTGTAAATATGATATCGAATGGAGAAGCCCGCGCGTGTTTGTCAGGAACACAGCCATCTTTATCCGGTTGACCAAGAAGACTAAAGTACGATATATCATTCATAAACAGAGAAACAAAAACCTAGATTTCCCCAATATCCTAAACGAATCTAACCAACATATAATTCGGCTAGTTCACTTACTCGATTATTTGCTTCCGCGATGCACTCACAGTTAGATCATGTCCCAGTAAATATAACGATGTTATGAGATCAGTCCACTGCACAAGTTCTCCCAGAGGGCCGCCAGACGTAGCACCATAAAATAATGCAGGAACGTCAGCGAAAGAGCCGAGATGAACGAGAATCTGATAAAGAACATTATTTGTGTTAGTTCAAATCCTTCCTACATAATGATTTACTCCGGTGTATAAAATGCTAACTAAATAAGTGCTGATGAAACGAGAAGAAAAAAGCGGCGTACACTTTTCGACAAAAATATAATCGAGGACATAGAAATTCAATTCTAAGAACAAGACATAAAAACATGCAAAGGTTAAATAAAATAACCTATGGCCTAATTTCCTATTTTACCGGCCACAACCTGTCGCTACTTATTCATCATTTTAATTAGATAATGACCTTCTGTTTAACTCTCCTTCGTTTTTTGTGGCGCTTCACGGCCAGAGTATCAACGCCATCAATCCATCGGGACCACCAACTGGACAATCGATTTCGACTCCATTTAAAATAAGACTTCTTAAGGATATTAAAAGCACCTTCTATGTTCCGACGTAGGTGCGCCTATCATCGTGAAAAAATTATTAAGACAAGTAAACACAAGTAACAAAGGAGAAAAAGTTATCTATACGTACGTCCTCTACAGATTTCTCTGTGGAAATGTTTCTTCCAGGCTGAAGTGGACACCAATTTTCAACCTGAAAATAACACAAGCCGGAAATTCATCAAAACTTTCTACATGAAGAAGGAATGCATAAAACGTTAAAGTGAAAAACGGTTTTCTTCATTCATTTACACCATTATCTTTTCTTTACCTCACTAAGATATTTCAAAATGGAGCAATCGTCATATTTGTCCACACCAAATTTTTGTAACAAACCCGATCACCATAATCCCACAGTTTCTAAGAAGAAGGTGATAAACATGAAGGTGGTTTCATTGAAAGGCACGTTTCCTCCACGTCACCTTACCACGACATTTTCCTGACAAAAAGGATAAACTCTACTAGGTTCAGGTAGTGGACACTGTAAAGTTTCTGCTCGAATTTCCTCAGACGTCCAAACGTCGGCAGTATTCGTTACTACTAGCGATGAGTTAAGAGGAGCTAAACACACATACATAGTGCAAATTCATATGGGTCACACAGCAGATAAAGGAATTTCTGAGGAATTTAATGAAACGGTAATAAACCTCCGTGATGCTTGTTTACGTTATTTTTACATGTATATCACAACTTACAATAATCATTTTGCCGTTCATAGAGTGGTTCGGTAAAGGTTTTCGTTGGTATGGACTGAGGATCTGGTGAGCCTGATCATTGCAATGAAAGAAGAAATAAAGAAAGAAAAACTCTCATTATAATGCTCTTAAAATTTTAAAATAATTTGTCCTCACGTACCCAAATTGGTGATATATGAAAATATGACGATGAGTGAGCCAAACCACGCGATGATTATGAGCTGATACAGCCGCATTCTTATTGACATTATTATGTTTTCAACATTATATGTCTCAAGGAAACGACTCTTGAATTTTTACAGTGAAAGTTCGTTCATCTAACCGAGAATAAAAAGCTGACAACCAGCCTAAAGATTCATGAAGTTGGAACATTAATACAAGACATTTCACTCTGTCATAACAACAATCCTCAAAATTAAATCTTTTCAAATACGTAATAATAGCAAAGTTGAGTTTTTAATCAAGAAACGTCACCTTTCGGAGAAATTCGAGGTAAATACGTCCATTATAAAATTGTAACTTTGTATTTTGTATTTGAAAGCATGTTCTATATAGTTTGTTGACTTGTAGTTTGTAAACAGCATTAATTATTTCTTGTTGTTAAATACATTTGCATATCAAATGTTAATCACTGGTGCACTTGTCGTGCACATGCATGAAACTCACGTGTGATAGCTGTGACCTACACATTATTCGTTGTCTGGCAACAATTTCAGATTTATTTGAAATATTCGTATTTTTATGAAAGTAGACAATTCTAGCTTTCCTCTTGCTTACGAATCTTTACAGGACTGCATATGAAACAAGCAAAATATTAGGATGCATAGTTATCTTTAAACACTCGTTAAACCTCCTGTTCACGGCGTTTTTTCTCCTCCTACATAACATCATGTAAGGTTTTTATTGAAAAGGAATAATCGTAAGTAACTACCCAAGATGGATGGATTTCCGATTGGGTAAATCACTAATTAATAGTCCAAGATAAGTAGATTTATAATTTCTAAAGTGTATCGTACCTCATTCTACTTCAGAACCAATCATAATTCGTCATTTTATGAGTATATATCGTATTTGTTCAGCGCACACTTGAGACATTTCTTACGCGTGATAGTTTTTGATTTTGGGACGCAAGTGATGAAAAATTTAAATAGTTTGCGCAGTGTTGGAACATGTGAATAGACAACAGATGGCATTTATGACAGTTTGTGAGCGAGGAAGTTATCAATTGCGCCAGGGTTAAAATTTAGGTGACCAGACATGCTTTGCACGATGTATTGTCTTGTCTTCAAACCACCCTGGAGTCTTCTAAAACCCGATACCAAAGGCTCTGCTTCATAAATCTGCACTTCTTAACATTGAAAACGTGAACTTATTTTCCGAATGATCGGATCGTTACGACCTTTTTTTTGCATCATTTGAAGCATTTCATTTACAAGTTTGACAGCTGCTACACAATGTCATATCCGGGTCAAAATAAATCCTATAACCTTTATTTTGTTGTTTTTAGCAAAGCTAAAACTATCATCATTTATTATATGTCAGACTGATGTTTTAGTTAGACGCCTTCAAATCTATTTTCTAAACTACAGCATCGAAGCAAATATAAGCTTTTTACGCTATTTTTGTAACGGAAAGAATTCAACTGTGAACAATCATGCTGGTAAAAGATAGCTCTTACTCGGCAATTTAAGATCACACGCAGTGTTGTCGTGCTCTATCGTCAACATCTGAACGTCAAAAAATCTTAGGCACTCATTGAGTTGAATTTGAGATTAATGGACGTTACATCAACACCTATGACACAAAACACTCAACTGAACGACTACAATAACCCAAAACAATACGTTAAAGTCTGTTAAAGATAAAGTCTTCGAAGAGTTTTCACAAGTTTCCCTTTTGCTTTAATATAATTATAGGACGCTGTTCCTTTGTAAGACGTTAGTTTATGTTCTTGAGAACTAGTATTTAAGAGTAACAAAAATATTTCCTTTTCGTAAGACGGGCTGATAAGTTACAATAATCAAACAATATATTCCGTATTTCATTCAACAATTATTTCAAATCTTTGTCGTAGAAATTCTCTCATTGTAAATTCGTGAAATTATCAACACAGTCGCAAGCACATACCTTTTATTGACCTAATGAGCCATTATAACTGTTGATCCTTGTACAATAATTGAATATTTTATGTCAAAGAACAAATAGAGCGCGACTTTATTTCGTACTGTTACAACACTTCCACTCCCGAGCGCGCGTTATGTTAATGAATTTTAATTGCAAAGTATAATTGAGATGCGTCGCTTAGAAACTATTGTGCGCAGTTTGCATTCGTGAAATACTTTAAGACACCACAAACGTTTTTCTTATATTAGAGTCCCAGGAACTCTTTTCAGGAACTCTTGGAAATAAAAATCATTAAATTAAAACGGTTCATTGCTGCTGAATTATTTGAGTCAATCAAGAAAAAACCAAACTGTGATAATCCTCATTCAGTACCCCTTATGGTTCGTAGTGAAACCCACTCATTCCTCTTGATCATATCAAGTTATTTGTAACCTGAAACTTTTTAATTATATTATTTGCTTTATCACCAATATAATCTATCGCAATCACCCCGATTCACCCCTGTATATAAAATTAAAACTGTGTTCTCCGGATCATTATTGGCAAACAAAACTGAAAAAAATTCAGTGCTTTCATTATCTTTTGCTGTCAATACACGAATGTCGTGCTATAGGAAATATTGTTTCGAAAAATATTTTAAAAATAACAATTGCCATGGTGGAAAACAATTTTTAGACTTTTTACTGCTGTATTTTAAATATTGTTTTACTGAAAATATTCTCAATATCTTACAGAAAGTGATCAAAACACTCAAAATGTTCTTTCCTATTGGCTAATTTTATCTCATTTCTTACTCTTAAGGTTATGTTGCTTCAGCAATAAGAGCCATCAACAAATATAATCATTAAGAAAACACCTGCAACTGCAATTCAAATGCAATATATTATTGGCGCCACTTATTCAAATGTTTGTTCTGTCGACTGCTCAGGTCATCTATGATTTCAATGCACCTGAAGCCGTATTTCTCAAAGCAAGATCATACTATCGTTTTCGTTAAGCAATGTCGAATCTTGATAGCAAATAAGCTCGTTGAATAAGTGAACTTCATTTAGAAATACGAATGCCATCTTTATGAGATACAGGCACTTACAGATATTTTATTGATATACAATACGTCAACAGTTTATTTTGAGATTCATGTAAGACGACTCCCAATGAATTGATACTCCTTGGATACATAGGGTTTTTAGGTCTTGCTATATAAACAAAGTCTTGCTATAAATTCAATTTCATCGAGTGTGCATTTTTAAATAATCTTTCTGCCACAAAGATTATTATTAAACTTAATAATCTTTGTGGCAGAAAAATCAATATAGCTGCATCCTTTCTCCACGGTGTAAACGATAAATTTGAACTGTTGAATGATAGAAACCGTGTTCTAACCATTGAGTTCTATAATAACTCAATGGTTCTAACACGATACTTAAATGAAGGACATGTTCTGAGAAAATTAAATAGTTTAGGCTGATATGAAAATATCTTGAAAAATATACTGAAATATATTTTAGAAATTTTTTCTGATTTTGCCAGACGAACCATATTAGCTTCATTTCAAAATTTTCTGCCAACTAAATTAACGCAGTACAAATAGAAAGATAATAAGGAATCTTAACATAATATCCACTTGTACAACACTATTCTCTTTGAATTTGACTTTTTTTGTGCACTTGTGACATGTCGTACAAGTTGAAACTTACATTTCAAGGAAAAACCACTACATGTTAACTTGCACATTCACACCATATTAGTTTAACTGAAATTTTCCCATTGTCAACGCCGAAACTCCTTTGGATAACAAAATCAATTCATCGACCCTCTTTGACAACAAATTGATAAAAAAATTCATGTTAATTTACGATCGCACACAATATCATGATATATTAGTAATGTTTTTCGTCTATCTCGACTGAAATCTACCGAGGCGATGTTGACCTGTTGTAAATCAAATAAAATTTTATCGTCTGCACTTTCTCACGCATTTAATGCATTCGAATGATTCTATACATTTAAGATATTGGTGAATGATACTTCCTCGATTTCAATGCTATTTTTATTGTAATATAAGCCGGACTATTTAACAAAGAATGTTGAAAATTGTGGCCGTAAGAGGTCTTTCAGTTATTAGTAAAGCTGTTTTTTCATCGTTGTTAATTGAATTATTGGACTAAAATAGTTTCTGCAAAATACGGACTATTTAAGATGTTTAGAAGGAAAAAACCTTTAACCATTCTTTATGCATTAAATGCAGACTTTAAATGCAGATATGAATTGTATAAAAACAATGTTCTATGTATGTCATATTTCATTTTTGTTTTCTATGCATTCCATTGACGATGGGTCCCATACTGTGACATAATTAATAATCGGAGAATGATCTAATGATATTACATCATTTTATTTTTGATTTCCTGCAATCTGATTGGCTGCAGCAGTGAGCAACTTTAACGACATCTTCACATGGTCCCAAAGTAGTTTTTGCTGCAAATTTGTTAACAAAATGAAATTAACAATTTTAAAATTGATTTAAACGCGATTTAAATTCTTAACGACAAAGCAAAATGTATGTACATGGTACTTATCATAGCGAGAGTAAATTTTACTATCAAAGAAAAAGTAAACATTGCAGAAAACAATGCATTTTCAGTCTCAACAAGAAACATCGATCATTTTACAAATGAATTGCTCAATAATAAAAATAAATAAAACAGTAAACATTATTTACCGTTTCAGTTGGTTCTTACTGAAAAAATATTTTCCTTATTCTAAAAAGGGTAAAAATATTTTCAGTACAGACCTCTCACCCAGTAAATATGTATATTGCATAAAAATGACATATATTGTGTGGTTAGGGAATGTGCTACGACCTGAGCGTTAAGGAATCCCAATAACCATGTACTATATTGTATGACGTTCTATTTAATAACTTTTTTAATTTTTAAATGTTCTAAATGTTAAATCTTCCATTTATTTGGTGTTCTATTGCGTCGGATATTTGTTTTACCAAAATCGACTAAATCATGAATTATTTAAAAACTGCATGAATGATGAGAATATTTAACAAAGAAAAGTAGAAAAATTATGCTCTAAAAAATGTGTGAAAATGCATGAATTATAGTCTTTATGTGAAAAAGTAAGAAAATATATGAAAACGCGTGAATTATAGTCTTTTTGTAAAAATGTGTGAAAATGTATATACCTAGCAATCGTGTAATCGATTACAGTTTATGTGATTATCGACCAGTACAATCATGTAATTCGTTACAAGGTAATCGTGTAATCGATTTACACGATTTACACATTTACATTGAAATCGATTAAGCAATTTCGATGTCATTACAATGTGATTACACGAATCGATGACATTTTCACAACAAAGACTATGGTCCAAGCATTTTTACGCAAAAGACTATAGTTCACGAATTTTCATGCAAAAGACGAATTTTCATGTAAAAGACGATTTTTCATGCAAAAGACTATAGTTCACGATTTTTCATGTGATAGACTATAATTCACGCATCTTCATGCAAAAGACTATAGTTCACGCATTTTTTTGCAAAAGACTATAGTTCACGAATTTCTATGCAAAAACTATAGTTCACGAACTTTTGTGTAAGAGAATATAGTTCACGAATTTTAATGGAAAGACTATAGTACATGCATTTTCACGCCAAAGACTATAGTACAAGCATTTTCACCAAAACACTCTAGTTCACACATTTTCATGCCTGTACATTTTCTGCATGAGATCTTCAACTAAATTTAAAAATTGACAAAAATTAAAATAGCAATTAAATCTTTACGTTATGTATATTACAAATGATAAATAAATACTTCTATTTTCAACTCTTGCACCTAGTTAACTATTGTTTAGCGAATTTCTGAGGTTTATAATATGACAGTTTAGTTTCATAGCAGGTCCGAGTTTCAATTTCATCCATTGAATGAGCAAATCCTGATTGAGTAAAGTCAGCGCTTTGCCGTCAATTTCCTAACAGAATAACACAAAATGGATATTGAAGACTGCGCTATTACGTAAGTGAATTATAAACATTAAATACATGGACAAAGATTAACCAAGATAACAATTTTTGATAAAAAAGTCAAATCTACAACTTACTTGATCAACAAAGACGTGCGCATACTCGGAGCAATCCGTTTCTCGTACAAACTTCGCTACATCTTCGGCTGTCCACCTTGTGAGCTCTTTATCACAAATATCACGAACGTTGATACAATCCTCTAGTCTAAGTTCATTCTGCCCCAAATTCACCTCTTTTGGTACAAACACGTCACGTGAGGGCACTGGTGTCAAATTTGTCATCTTTGATTGAGATTTATTCGGTAAGCAGACACCCATTTTGGAGTTGGTCTCAGGTCGAGCTATGGAGCTCGTTTCAGCCCTTACCGAAACAGTTTGGGTTGTCGATAATTCATGTTGCGTTGGTGAAAATTGCTTGTATCCTTGTATCTTTTCAATCCTTTCTTTTTGCATTCTTTGCAACGGAAGACTGTTAAGGAGAGATGGTCGATGTTGAGGAGAATCGACCGTGCTTTTCGAACGAACATCTGGAAGTTGGCTTGGAAACGTTCTGCTTATGGTAGGAACTGCTGAAGTGTTGTTCGCAGTTACCCAGTCGGGTGATGAGGCAATATTGTGGGGTAAGGAGGGGGTGTTGTGTGACGACGAGGAGACATTGTGGGATAAAGAAGTGATGTTGTGGGGTGAGGTAATGCTGCAGGATGACACAATTATATTACTAGTTTGATTGTCTATTTCAGGTTGTGTGACATGACGTTGACAGGGAGAATTCAGTCTTGTTTCACCAGGATTTGTCATTGTTTCTAAAACGAAGAGTTTGGGGTAAGTATTTGGTTTTGATGATTAAGACAGGATGGTAAATAGGTAACACAAATTAACAATCTAGATTTTATCATTGCATTTTTCATAGCATGAACTGACTTTTAGAACGATGAAACATAACAATCAGTGTAGTGTCAAGAGTATTGTTCGCGCCATAGACATAAGGTCTGTTTTTTACGGAAAGCATTTAGACAAAAAAGTAGCAGATATCATCCAAATCTTTCCCTCGAAAAATTAAAAGACATCACTACTCTTTAAAAAAAGAAACTTGCCGTATAGCATCAAAATACCTGTAGTCTCCATTGCGTGACTTGACTGTCCTATGGTCGATGGCTTTTCGTAGGCCAGATTATCTCGTGGCACAATTTGCTTTGTCTTTGTATCTTTTTGAAAGAAAGGATTATAAAAATTACATTGAGATGATATGGTCAATACCCGTTTTGAGCAAGGTAGGTTATGTGTATTCATATAGAATACGTTCCAGCTAACTTCCATTGAATAGTTCATTGTGTTTGTGGTTTGATAGCTTTCATGACAAAAACTCAACAAGTAATGTTTTTAAAATAAGTTATCAAACACATCTTACCAAACAAAACAATTTTCAGATGGCAGTCGCTGATTGTTTCCTCGAATAAAACAGGTTCCTCGACAATCAACAAAGACGTCTGAAATTAAAAACACAGAAAAATCAACATTATGTCCCATTACTCATTCATGTTATAGTAGGGGACTATGACATTATAGAATTGAACCAATGGTGTCCATAAACTACTGGAAAATTGAAGACATGAATGTACTTGAGGTGGAGAAGTCCTAAACGAAGACACTCGCATTACACAACTCCTTGCCTTGGTGTTTGCATTTACATTTTTTCCCGTATTACCTCATAAAAAAGACGAGGTTCTCTTTTTGGGTAGTTTAAATCATCCAAGAGGTTAACATTAGTCAATGAGCTCAAACGCCTACCTGAAGTATTGTTTGGAAGTTTTTGCGTTTTTGCGCCATTTTTTCCACGGCACTAAAAGAATGTGTTCGCGGGCTCCCCATAGCTTGCGAAGGATAATAAAAGGGCGAAATGCGCTTCTCCACAGGAATCGGTACAGTTGACACACACGGTATATCAGAGTCCAGACCGTCACATGACTGATCATCCCCGTCATATCTCTCTATCTTGATTGGTAGGTGGACCATCGTGGGTGGTTCGTATACACCAGGTTGATTAATCTCCATTGCCACGTTGGTTAGCTGTGAAAAGACACAAATTGAGGGCTTAGACACTAGAAATCAATTAAAACCAAATAAATTTTAACTATTTTAGATTCAATGACGCTGCATCGCCTACCACTTGAGATGTTTTTAGAAGGAAAATTTAAGTCGAACAAATGTTTGCGTCGTATTTAAGTATTATTTCCGATCTATAGATTAGACAAAAGTAAATTATAAACATTTGGAAAATTCTCATTAGTAAATCCTTTGTATGTAAACATGTCTTATGCTCGCATTTACAATCCACTAGTGATTTTGTTATGATACTTTTGAAAATCTTCATTTCATACAGATATTTTCCAAATAACGCAATCAATATGGTTGTTCATATTTTAAGCCGAAATTTATTTTGACTAGAAAGAAGATCTCAAATCTTTCATAAGAAGATTACTTATACATATTTCTGAGGATTTTCATTCATAAAACTGCAATTGTCAAAACAAATCTTTCACTATAGGTTACGTTAAATGTTCTTGGACTCATAAGGAAGTCAGCTTATACTAGCGGTGCTTTGAGTAAGATATATTGGAACGCCAATATTAGTAAGTGTTTAATAATAAAGTTTATAGGCTAAACTTTGTCGTCTAAAAGGCACAAGTGCAATTTTCTTTTGTGTCACGACATGTCTTTCACACGCAAGCTTTCAAGCACCATTAATTCAGCTGTTCTGACAACATTGTGATGTATGTTTGTCATATGAATTTAATCTAATTTAAACGACTTGCAATTTCACACAAATACCGGCACTTGTTTGTTAGTTAATGAAACGTGGCAAAAAAAATGTCTAAAAAGAAATATCTATTAAACACTGTTTAGATGGGACTTATATTTTAAAATCATGAGCGCTTCCTTTCTTTTTAATTAACAAATCAGCGAGCGGGAAAAATGTTGCTTTCATACCAAAACAGTTTCGAACTGTTGATTCATGTATATTCTCACAAGAGCAAGCCAAATAATTTTCCTACTCATTTTCCTTTGCTTTAAATTATTATTCCATCTTGCTTGTTTATCTCATACACTTCAATAATGATTTACACTCATTCAATACAAACGACGATTAAATTACAAAATTATGTTGCCCCCTCATGGTCGAGTTCCTTTCTCAAAGACGATGAGCTAGCTACCGTCTTCTTTCGCTTTGAAAATTGAAATCAACAAAATGAATACGAGAAACAAATAAAGAGCGGCAGGTTTGATACAAAAAATTTCATTAAAAGAGAACAACACGCGGGGGCAAGTTTTCATGAAATATTGACACAGGCGAACATATTTATTTCGCAAACGCATGATTAACGAGTAGTGGATCATTAAGGCAAATTTTCACAACATAAAATATTCAATTTAAACATATAATCGTGCAAGCCTAGCAATTCTGACTTTGCTAATACTTGAACTGTACAGCCTGCCGTTTACGAGTCGAAAAATATAAAAAACTGAAGCAATCAATGTGCGGACTTTTAACGAGAAATACTGATTAAAGTCAATCATGAATTAAAGAAATTTGCATGCAAGCGAGCGAGATTATTTCCTAACAATAAATCGTTGAACACCCGCATCCATTTCATTTAACTGTTTCACAAAATGATATGAAGTTCCAGCGGCTACCTTACCTCAGACTTGCGAAAGTTTTAAACTGATAATTCAACAAACGAAGACATTAATTGCTTCTAGTCTCTTTACCCACAGGAAAAAATAATTATTCATGTTCGAGGCAAGATATAATTATTGATTGGAACGGTTGCCTTGACAACACGGCTTATAATGATGTCAGGGCCAATCAGAGAGCTTGTGTAATTAGGGAGATAAAACCTTATTAAGAATAATTTTAAATAGAAACATATCCGGTTTTGCCATAAATGGCGAAAGTCAGCAGGCAAAAATATTCTCCACAACTAGAATAGGAAGGATCAGACTAACAAGAATATGTCTGATTGCTACAAAATTAGTGCATTAAGTATCTTTCAAACTTTTCAGTGATGTTTCCCAAACTCACGCAATGTGTTTCATTTCTAAGGCACGCAATATAATTAACAGCATATTTGCATAGTGGCAAGACAAAGAAATGTGAACATGGTCTTTGTCTTAGTTTGATCGAAACAGGAAAATAAAGCGACACATGACTGTAAGTGAATTATGACAAACATTTAGATATAATGACCTGAAGGCATAATTAAACTCACGCAAGAAATAATATTTGGTCGGAGAAAAATTATGACGTAAAGCTCATTTTGACGATTTTTATCAACTGTATTTGTATTTATTCACATCTTTTCCTTTTCACTCGACTTTTATTACGCCGAAATTTCTTTGAAAACTTTTCTGAATTGCAAACAGTAACAAGGAAATTACAGTAAAAATATGGCAAACATTCATTATTGTCGACAAAATGCATAACTCGTAATTAATCAAATCATAGATCACAAAACAAGCCAAAGAAAGACTCTAATGTACACATTATTACGTATATTCAATAATGTATCGTATTCTTTATATTCATTAATAATTTACACAGTATTGAAGTTTGTTTCGCTGGAATTGACTTAATCTACGTCACTGGCAGAGTTCCCATTATACTTTGCAGCAAAGCTTGAAGAAGTCAATCCAGTCCCTTTTTTAGTTCCACTACCATTGGACGCGATGGTTCCTGACGTCACAGGGCTGACATGGCTTGATGGGGCAGCTGGGGTATTTGCTTGATAACTGAAGCCGTACGCTGCATACGCAGCAGCTGACCCGGCTGCTGCGCCAGCCATTGCAGCTGCTGCCGCTGCCATTGCTCCCGAAGCCCCGCGGGCTCTACCACGTGCACGTCCGCGGGTGGTTACACGTCCTAGGAATTAAATGAAAGAAAATAATCCCTTGGAAAGATTCTAACAAGAATAAACGTTCTTTATCAAGCTAAAAAGAACAAGAATGACAAAAACTACCTCGAGTTCGTCCTCTTCCTCTTACTCGGCCGCGCGATTTTGAACCGGACAGAGGAATGGGACTGTCACGACTAGTGTCCGGATCACTTTTACCTGGTGTAGTGTGCATACTAAGGTCAATAACAAGGCCATCACCAGATGCCACTGAAACTAAAGACAAGCACAAGTCTCACGTTGCAGTTTATCAAATGGTGTAAAAATATTAAACAAATTTACCATCGTCCAAACTTTGAATGCTAACGTCATCTGCAATCGATACATCTATGTCAGCGGTTTCCATCTTCATGTTAACTATCTCGCCATTTGCCGAACCAATGTCAGAAGGTGCACGGGTTTCGCTCGCCATAGGATATGGCAACTCCTCAAATAATTTCTTTTTGCGACCACGTTTCTTTGGTACAGCGTTCTCTTGCTCACTTTCTTTATTCACCTGCAAATGACATCAAGGAAAATGTCCAAAGCCTTACAAGCAATTAACGTTAACATTTCCACTAGGGAAATATAATTAGCATTTTTTCACAGTTTACAAAAAGAGATATAAACCAAGTAAGATAGGGATTAGTGACAAAAGCCTAACCGTTTTCATTGAGAACGATAATGCGAAAATATTTAATAAATGCTGCAATAAATAAAAATATTAACAGCAAATTGTCATTAAAACAAACCTTTCATTGAAAATAAATTTACTTGTGAACACTTCAACAATAAACACACAATAATATAAAAATTTCATTTGGGTTTTCTTGATTTAAGCTGCAGTAGCATTCATTAAAGAACACTCAATGTGTAAATGTATGTTTGACCATCACAAGTTGTTTTATCTCTAATTAAGGCAGTGTTTTACTGTTACACGTGACTAGGTACACAGTTTGTCTGATCTCTAATTAAGGCAGTGTTTTACTGTTACACGTGACTAGGTACACAGTTTGTCTGATCTCTAATTAAGGCAGTGTTTTACTGTTACACGTGACTAGGTACACAGTTTGTCTGATCTCTAATTAAGGCAGTGTTTTACTGTTACACGTGACTAGGTACACAGTTTGTCTGATCTCTAATTAAGGCAGTGTTTTACTGTTACACGTGACTAGGTACACAGTTTGTCTGATCTCTAATTAAGGCAGTGTTTTACTGTTACACGTGACGAGGTACACAGTTTGTCTGATCTCTAATTAAGGCAGTGTTTTACTGTTACACGTGACTAGGTACACAGTTTGTCTGATCTCTAATTAAGGCAGTGTTTTACTGTTACACGTGACGAGGTACACAGTTTGTCTGATCTCTAACTAAGGCAGTGTTTTACTGTTACACGTGACGAGGTACACAGTTTGTCTGATCTCTAATTAAGGCAGTGTTTTACTGTTACACGTGACGAGGTACACAGTTTGTCTGAAACCTAACCTGGTGTTTACACTTTTGACTCGATCTCTTCTCAAAAAAGATCTTACATATTATTCAAACTAGCCACTCTAATAATTAACAATTGGTCTGTAAGACATGTACACACAAACCTGTACTAAAGGACCGCTTTCAGGCGTCTTTCGTTTTTTCTCCCGCCTTTTCTTCTGATCGTCCGCCTTCTTTTCTGCCTGTTTCTGTATAAACTTACATTCCATCTCGGCATCGTCAAGCAACAGGGATACGACCTCTTTGGGTTTGAGCGCATCAGGTTTAAACTGACCTCCAGATATAACCATCTTTTGAATCTAAATAATTTAAAGAACATAATTTAGTGGAACAACGCAATGCAATGACCTCGCTCATTCCGAGGTTGGCAGAGAAATATCATGAAACGCAGGAAAATTTTCTTCAGAGGCACTAAATAACTGCGTCTGCAAAGCATTTCAGAGTGATGTAAAAAAGTGAATAAACAATCAAAATTACTGTCTTTATCTCAAGCTTTTCCATAATTGAGGCAAACCTTTAGGTTGAGAGTTAAGGGGGAAATGCTTTTCAACGCTCGTACACAGTCCCTCTCGATCAATATACCTCACTCTTTTCTTGTGCTCGCTGTAATATCCTTTCCTCGATGGTTCCCCTTGCTATTAATCTGTAAACGGTCACTTGTCTTGTCTGCCCAAGTCGATGAGCTCTGTCCATTGCTTGTTGATCAACTGTTGGATTCCAATCGCTATCGTAGAATATTACAGTGTCTGCTGCAGTAAGGTTTATTCCCAGTCCCCCAGCTCGAGTACTCAACAAGAAAGCAAAGATATCCGTTCTGCAACGAATTAACGTGAAATACTTTTGTTATTGCTACAATTAATAAATTCACGTTCTACACTCTAAAATCGACAAAGAGACAGTTAATAAACAAAAAATAACTATGAAACTTAAACATAAAATGTCTTATTAACTTTCCACAAAAGGTTTTCCCAAAACTTAATCTGATTCTAAAACTTAATAGTTGGTACTTGCATCAGACTTATCTTCTCACATTCATTAAAATTATTATAACTAATATTCATCTTCATTTGACAAAGTATCATCATAAAACGATATCCATACTTCATATAAGCTTACTTTGTTTGAAAGTTTGCCACCATATCTCGTCTCTCAGATATCTTCGATGAGCCATCGAGTCTCATGTATTTATGTTGGCGAAATGCCATGTATTCCTCCAGAAGATCAATCATTCGCGTCATTTGAGAGTAGATCAAGACGCGATGACCTTGAAATTTTAATCTCGTCAATAAGCGATCTAACTCTTTCATTTTACCACTATCTGTGACAAGAATTTCGCGATCTAAATGTGTCAAAAAAAATCCTTCATCAAAGATGGTCGGTTAAAATCAAGGAGACTATTTTCCCATAATAAACTTCTTCATAAAAGCAATCTAGTGTATAAAACTTCCACTCCCCCCGTACTTGTACATTTTACAATACCTGGGATCTGTATATGTGACCAGCCTCCTTGTGGGTCCATACCAATAAACCCACCCAAAGTTTGAGGAAAGAAATGATGTTTCCTCTGTTCCAAATATTCATAATCCAGAGCGCCGTACAGAACTAGATTGTTGTGTAAATCTGACGAAGATCTTTTCATTTCCCGCGCTTTGTACGCCGCATTGCGGTCGCAGGTGTAAAAGCCCGCAGGCTGGGATATCACCTTGGGAACATAAGATAATAAAAACTTTGGAGGTGATGTCGGTTGTAATTTTCTAAGAACAATTTCATTCTTTCTCCTTTCAGTGGTCTTTCCTTGAGAAAAGTTAGGATTGATGCTGTGCCTCAATTGTGACGTCTCGTCGTTGGTAACAGGATAAGAAAGATCCGATTCGATACAGTGAAAATCAGTGTTTTTAGAAAGGGGATGTTTAGGGATCGAAAAAGAGCTTTTAGTTGGTGAAGGTGGATGATGTTTTAACCGTGAAGAAGAGACGTCCATGGAGTGTGAGAGGGGTTGGTCGAGCAATGGGGAATCTTCTATCGCACGTGGACTGTTCTTTTCAACCACGTGATGACGTTTATGATCATCGTCAGATATGATGGGAAGTATCTTGTGAGTCATGTGACCACTAATTGACATTGTTGGTCTCGTGAAAACAAGCTCGTTCATGATTGGACCAGAATGTATTGCGGGATAAGAAAATCGAAAAGATGGCCACAATATCAAGTCGCTTCGATTTAGACACTTGCGTCTAAAGTAAAAAGAAAGAATTTTCAACCCTAAATAAAAGATATCATCGGAGACATGTTATAACTCTTTTCATTCATTTTCATACTTACAAACTAGTCTGAGTGTCTTTATCCTCCCAAAGTCTGCGATGATACAGTCGATAAGCGTCCTCCAAAAGTAGCAACAAAACATAAACCTTCATAAAAGAAACGAGACACTTCAACTGGATTGACAAAAACATGGCTAAACATTTGATTACCAAACGGATAAGCAGTTATGATAAAAAAATAACGAAGAAAAGTTGGAGAAATAAAGAGACCTGAATGCTATGTCTTTGTTCATAATGGCACAAGCCTCAGACGATGACAGGTTGATAAACCGAAGAAATGAAAACATCGAAGACTTTCACCTAAGAAAACAGTTCTTTAAAACAAACAATACATACATATATGTTTAAGATCATTAATATCCACCATGTTCCTCTCATTACTCACGTTCAGAATTTTCTTTGGGAAACATGGAATAATGAATATACTTTTCTGTCCCAACATTCATCAAATTGTACAAAATTCTAGGAATATACGTAGACAATCAGATTCTATGGTTTTAGAATAAATACGTATTCAGATTAAGATAAACAAATATGTCCAAGGAGGAGAGTGTCTTGTTAGAAATAAAATCTTACTTGGATTTCATTGGATTATTAAAACACAGCAGGCCTACAAGGAATAAACAAAATATGCAATCACAATTGGGAGAAAAACACATTTGAAACGCAATGCTTGAGGTCATACCTTCTCGAAATATCAACTTTGGTAACGGGAATGATTTGAGGGATAAATTAAGAGGTGAAGTTACTTCATGTCGTTCAAATAATTCTGGATGATTGCAGACCTAAAAATGACCATATAGAGTTGCTATCAGAGACCAGACTATGCAGTAATACTAAAGACCAGACTATGCAGTAACACAGAAGACCTGATTATGCAGTAACACAAAAGACCAGACTCTACAGTAACCCAAGACACTAGGCAATGCTGGTACATAAGAGACCAGGCTATGTGATGAAACGTGCAACAACACTTTGTACGTATTTGTATCCAACCTTTCTAAACTGCATAACAATATTCATGAGGTTATTGGTAGCAGATGATGACGTTGATGTTGATGTAGAGGTTTGAACAAGATCTTCAATGGAAATTTTATTTCGTATGGCACGATAAAGCCATTTTTGACGTGATGTTAATTCACAAATCACTTTTACTTCAATCTGCAAAAATACAACGAGTATATCAAAATATTTTGCAAACGAACACCGCAAACTGTTCCATTCTTTAATCAACCTTTTCTGACAATTCATTTTCAACGTCTTTCTTAATTCTTCGCAACATAAACGGTTTGAGGATCATATGAAGACGCGACAGCTGATCTAAACCAAGCAAGTTACACATTAAGTCAAGGAAGTCTCTATGAATCCAAGATATTAGAAATAATACCATAAATATTACGTAATCTATCTATGCACGTGACATAAAACATGTCCTCACATGAACCTACTTTGATCCATCGTTGATCCTTTCTCCGCTGAACTTTCAATGTCTTTTGAAAACCATTCATTAAACTCGTCGTGTGAATCAAACAATGTTGGCATAATAAAATGAAGCAATGCCCAAAGCTGTGGAAAACACACATTTAACACGTGAAAAACTTTATTTACTGCACTCCAAATGAGGAAAACTGATATTTAGAATATTATCTCTAGTGATTTTAAATCCCAAGGATACATGAAAATATATAGATTCAAACAAAAAACTACCCGGGGAAACGGGGGAGAGAAATTGCATCTGTTTCTTACCCAGGCTCAATGACGAATCAATGACTGGTAGCCTTCATACAAAAATCACAGAAGGAAACCTTCTGTTTCTTAATATTCTGTTTGTGCTACAAGTGAAAGCATTATGAAATATTTATAAGAACTAGACAAACAATACCTCAGCCATACTGTTTTGTATGGGAGTTCCAGTAAGAAGAAGACGATTTCGACATGTAAAACCAAGAAGAATCTTCCAACGTACACTACAAACAAAAGCAAGAAGAAATTAGAAATAACCTCGACCATGTTCACAGTGCCATCATTTGCTTCGTTGATCGTGTCCCAAAAATATTTCAAACGACGAGTACACAACAACGGGGATTAATAATGGGTACAAGTGACAGAGGAGGATTAATAATGGGTACAAGTGACAGAGGGGGATTAATAATGGGTACAAGTGACAGATATTTTGTTATCATACAGAATTTTTCCATCAATGCATTATACCTGGAACTACTCTTTATTGCCTGTGCCTCATCTAGCACAAGATTTTGCCATTTCACTCGCTGAAAATAGCGTACATCTTGCACAACCTAAAAAAAAGTGTAACATAAATTCTACAATTCAACTCGTCTCCACAACTTCAAATTAAAATGATAAAAAACTTCCAGAAACAAGTTAAAAATCTGGTTTTTAATAATCTGCACATTGGTCTAACGCAAAAACTTTCAACGCAACTAAAATCGTTCCGAAAGGTGTTCCTAGAATATGTCTTGCTCCTGATGTATTATCCAACTACAACTATTGACATGAGGGATTATTGGTGTATACCAGTTGATAGCTGGTGATCAACGTTTCGAATGTTATATAATCCTAATATATCATCCAGCACTGCTATTGACATAAACGATCATAATGCTTACCAGTTGATAGCTAGTGATCAACACGTGAAATGGGGCGTTCTCTCGATCGTGAATATCCGTTTGTTTCTACAAAATAAAAATACAGTTAAAGCTAACCAACCCATCTTAATTTAAACAAAGGACTCAAAGATTGTGCAAAGTTTCTCATGAACTTTCTTCTAATTTAAAGCTGATTAAATGCACGAGTGAATGTTAGAATGACGTACGTAAGTGATAATAAAAACATAAACTTGAATAAATAAAAAGTATTACGAAAATGAAGAAACGACAAAACTTCCAGTTTAGACAAGTTGGGAGGTGAACTTAATATATATCAAATTTTCGAAAATTTTGATAGAATGCACAACAAAGTTCAAACTTTCACCTCTTTGAATTAAAAGAGATTTGGAACCTTTCCTTTCTTAGCACAATCGGTTAAAATTGAAGCTTTTACAAGCCGTTCTCCCGCTTTCCAAGATTAATTTTTCAGGTTATTTTTACTGATAGTTCTCTAGACATTTTTAAATCATCTAACTTTTTTGATACACTTTGTATGATTCTCTCATTCATTATTTAATGCACCATGAATGAAAGCATCTATGCCTTCAAGGCAAACAATGATTATCGGCTTCCCTTCTTACTTTTAAGATTGAAATACATTATTGAGTCCAAAACTTTAAAGTTTTACAATGCTAACACTTCATCACAGAAGCCATTTGTATTGTCTAAATTGAACCCCACTTTCAACCCTTACGTTATAAAATGTTAATAAGTTTTGAATAGAAAACTGACCAAAATAAAATAACTAATAGTTTATCAACTTAACACACGCAACGTAATTTCTGATAGAGAAAGGCATCACATTATAATGAAATATGTTATTAGTTCTCTTACTTTGTACTTGTATACCTGTGATTATTTCATTTTATTTGGAAGTATATTATTTAAGTTCACTAGTTTAAGTGGTTTTTTAGGCTTTTATTCAATGATATTGTACAACATATTAATTGACCTTTGTTTCATTAATCTCAGTGTTAATCAAAAATGTACAGTGTTTTCACTAACAACGCGATTCCTGTTAATTTAATGGTGAGACATCGTAAATACACAGCTTTCAGCTGATGTACAAATAATAAACATCACGTGTATTTAGCGTGGCGTATCACAGAGCATTGAACAACAATGCAACAAGCACACAACAGCTTCGTTTTTGAATACAATAAGAAAGTACTCACTCTGTTCCAATATTTGCGCAGAGATTTTCGATCACTTTGATTGCCCCAATATGGAAGAACCTGAAAGAATAAATAAAACAGTCAGGAGTAATGCACTTTAATGGATACAGTAAAAACGAACGCCTTCATTAAGGACAAACGCACTAACCTTAAAAGCAGGCACAAATCTTGTCACCTCTTGTTGCCAGTTATGTAGAGTGGAGGCTGGTGCAACAACAAGGAAAGGACCCCAGATATTGTGAGCCTATTGTCAACAAGAGATTGGTTAGCTAGAATATTTCACAAAACTTCAATAACTTTATAATATATAATCTTTTACCTCAGCAAGATACGAAAGAAAAGCAATGGATTGGACTGTCTTCCCAAGCCCCATTTCATCTGCCAAAATCCCATTAATACCCTAAAAACATCCATGATCAAATCTATCGCGAAATTCCCTCAAAAACCTGCATAGACCTAAATAAAAATCACCTTACCTGTTCATATAAGTTCACAAGCCAATTCATACCCTACGACATAAAATGAAATCACTATTAAGAAATGGCCTCAAACATGTTTCATACCACATGCTTAATGCAACACAGATTGGTAACTATCTACTATGAACATGTTTTATACCACAAGCTTAATGCACATTGGTAACTATCTACTATGCACATGTTTTATACCACATATTTAATGCAAATTGGTAACTATGTACTATAAACATGCTTTCCCATTGAATGAATCAGTCAAATAGGGATGAACACTTATTATTTACTCTTCCATTTATCCATTCTATAGAGTACTTGCACTTCATATTGTATACATCGAACCAATCATAATCGCTGATTATTTAGCTCTAATGCATTTTTGACAATACCTTGAGTTGGTATGATTTTAGTTTACCATCAAATATCGTGGGTTGTTCAACGTCCTGACCTTTGATTGTGGGGTCAGCAAGACTAAACGCTTGATCAACTGAAAATTCAACATAGAAATGATGAAGCATCAAAAAGTAAAAAGCAAATATCTTACTCCTCCACGAGCAATACAATGACCAATGGATCTCAAAACTTACAGTTTTGTTGGTTCATCGGTTTTTTGACCTCATCATCAAATGCCTTTGTCTAAATAGAGTTACGTTGGAGTTTAACAAATGTTCACTCTTCCAAAATCCTTACTACAACGACGTGCCGCCCCATAACTTCATGAAAATGGCGTGAACTAGACTATACATCGCCATACAACGCCATTTATAGCTACGGCAATTTCACGATGTCTTTGTGGCGTCACGTCGTGTTTTCTAAATTTCATGAATGACCAACCCATGATTCGTGAGCTTTGAAAGCTTTTTTTGCGTTCTCAAATGCTTGATTTTTCACTGCTTCACAATCTGCAAAAGACAAATTAAAAATACAACATGACAAACACGTTGCAACGACAACAGATCGTTTTGCGTATGGTTTCCATGATGCTTTGAATCCATCACATGTATAGAGCAAAAGACAAAAAAAAACACATGTACAAAGAATGGATATTTCAAAGCTTCCTTGTACCGTAATCATCTTTATGTTCGAGATCAACCACCATACTCCCACCAATGTTTTTTACTCTCGATCCACCTGTATCAAGTTCTAACTTCTTTAAAATACCATCAACTTGGGCATTTTCTGATGATACAGATTCTTATAAAAAGAAAAACAATAAAATTTGGCAATACCATCTCAACTGATATGGACCGGATTTAATGTACCAGCACATCTGCTTCAAACTCAGGGTAGGAGGTTGTTTCAAATTTTGATGAATAATTGAATGGGAAAGAAGGGAAAATACGTATGGGTTATAATTTCATATTCTTTAATCCTTTAACGTATTGGGTTGCGGCCAAAATATTGCTTCGAGATTGCATAAATCCTTAAACGTACTATAGGTTATGTCCGGGATACTGCTACGAGATTGGATTAAAAATCTATTTTGTGGACTTGTAGAACGCAGAGTCGCCAGACATGTAAATATCTTAGATTAAAATATTTCAGGAATGATTGACTGAAACAAATATTATTACTAATCGTACCTTTTAGTTTCCTGCTCATAAAATGAGCGTAAAGTTCGGTTTGTGTGATGAGAAAGTTTAATTTGCGTTGCTGCCTTTTGGCCTACAAGACGAAAAGAATATTTATCAATTGAGCACCACATAAAGATATCTTTAATAAAAAAGAATCAAACCTCGTTCATTTCAAAATCAATCTTTCTTTGTTCAATAGCTTCTTTCTCTGCTTTCTTACGATGTTCCTTTTCGACTTTTTCATATTTCTTCCAGTAAAGTAACATCTACACGATAAAAAAAATTAACATGATATTCAGAAACATCCAGCCTTCTTACTACAAGGACAATTAAAGCTAAATTAACCGTTAACGTTCAATTTTTAATAAGAAAAACAAATTTCACTAATCACTAAATACCTCCTTTGCAAGTCTTCTTGCTCGAGGGACAGTTTGAGATGCTGCTTTCTGTGATCTTAAAGCTTCTCGCTTCATTTCTTTTTGACACAACTGTGCAAGCTTAAACATCAAAATATACATTTAAATTATATGTACATATTGAGACTATAAAAGAAAACAACACAGCATTTCCATGACTGTTTAAAAGTTAAATACCTTTTTGGCATTCTGCAAACTTGTATTCCTTGATGTTGTCTTGTGTCTTTGTGTCTAGAATCAAAGATTAAATGTCAATTTCATAACTTAGCTATAAACTAGAAACAGATTTTGTTAACATTGTATAACATAAAGTATTTCATTTGATAGAGTTAATGTTACTTCAGTTAATAGAAATAGATCATCACACACTTAACAATTAAATGTTTATCTAAATTTGCCATGGCCTTTACAAGTTTGAGTATAGAAAGTGTATTGTAAAATTAACAATATCCATATGTAAAACACATATTCTAACAGATTTTACATGTGACAACCTCTCAAACCCAAACTAACCTTTGGTATCTCCTTGCGCACAATAAAAGCCCAAATCTTCCTCCTTTTAACATCAGCATCTTTTGCCCTTTCCTTCCTCTTCTTGGATGGTTTCTCATCCACTGTTTTCTTGCCCCCATTCTAGTAACATAACAAAAATTTTCAATGCAATTAAACCTCGGGATGCATGTGAATTGGGAACCCAAGAACTTTTCTGTAATACATATAAAAGGTCAGTCCAGATATAGCACAAAAAAGTTGATATGGCTCAAATTGTACATTTTTCTATCAACTCTAATTTGAAGAATTTAAAACAATCTCCATTAAGTCTGGATGTCTCTGGAAATGGACATATAGAAGCATGCACAAAAATCACCTGTTCAGGTACTTTCTTCTTTTGCTTCCACTTCAACTTTTCCTTCCTTCCTTTCGATTTTTCTTTCAAAAAAATCCATTTAAAATTTAACTGCAGAGACTTACATTGTAAACTTAACTTTAATGGTTCCTTACCACTAACAGTTGTCTTCTCTTTGAGTTTTTTCTGCACCAGAGGTCTTGGGATGTCATGAAATCTATCTTGACCATTTACCAAACCAATACTGTAGTGTTTGTAGCGCTCCAGCTGAATAGAATATGACCGAAATGAACCCATAAATTTATTACTTAAGTAGAATGCTTTTTTAATTCTTACATTTCTGTCATTTAAAAATCTTTTCCTACAAAGTTTTTGTTCCTTATGAACACGAAGCATTTGTTTGAAATCTTCTTCTGTAACTGGATCATCTTCATCATTGGAACTTTCAGAGCTATCACTCAGCAAAACTTCCTGTAGCAAATAAGGACTTTTCATTCCAAGGTGTCTCATAGTTAACACTAAGTTGACTGCAATGGGGGACTATTAGTTGACTGAAAAACTTTTAAGCTAATGATACATACTTTAACTTCATATACTTAAAATAAGAAACAATTTGAACCAACAATAGAATCTTTTCAAAAGAAGTTCAAAGATAGCACAAAAATACCTTCAGCCACTGTCTGTTCTTCTTCACTTTTGAAAAATCATAAAGACTTCTTTTGTCCCAGAACGGACCTCAATACATAAATAAAAATGTAAAAATACATCATTGATATGAAATGAATATGAAAGTCAGTGTGGAAATGCTTTAAGTTCATTGCACTTCAAAAAAATCTTCATTGTACCTACAAAATATACACAATTTCACTTGATGATACCTTCCTCATTGATTCCATTTGCTTTTTGAGATTTTGAAATCAATTTCTGATCGTAATTGATGTCTAGATCACTCACGCTGCTTTCTTCAGTTTCACTATATTGTAAAGATATATTTACAGAGCGTTCATATTTGTATTGACAAAGAAAGTGAGAATGAAGACTACCTGACATCATCTTTCAATATCTGCTCTGCCTGCCGAAGAAAGATGTCTAAATTCAGGGCCTTGTGAAGCCTCTGAACATGTAATGGTGCTGCAACTGTGAACTTTTGTCCCTGTGAATGGGACACGTCCATCTTGAACTAATCACAGATCTAAAAAATACAAAGATCTTTACACATCGTAAGGTCAGCTTTGGCATTTGTCTCAAATATTACTTTTCAACGCATAGTGAACTAAGATTTTGCCTTTAATCCTTAGGAAGTTACAATTGCTCTAATTCCTACACATGTTAACATGACAACATAAAAAAATTCCCAACAATCCATTCAAAAGTAAAATCATATTGAGAGACATTCATACATATAACTCTACTATGCTATGAGCAGAAAATTTAAGAACTATATTCTACAATCAATTTACCGTAGACATTTCACAGACAAACACAGTCAGCATATTTCAGCCGACGAGCACTAAATGCAACTTTCTATTTTGCCAAAACGGCAAAGCGTGTTGGTTAAAGCGATACTAATCTATAAGTCTTTCCTTCACGATTTTATGGGCAAAAAAGTGCTTAAAATCCTAAATTATTGTTCCTAAAACCCAAATACGACCATAAAGACAACAAACCTCGAAGGATTCCAGCTTTTCTTTGAACATAGTCGCTCAAACAACACTTGCGTGCCTTTAAATGGGCTATGAAAGCCTCGCAGCAATAATATGGCGGAACAATGTTTAGAGATGAATTTCATGACCGAATTCATCGCCGTCATCTTCCTTCGCAGGGGGTCCCTCAACGCCATTTGTAATGTGTGTACTGAACATGCGTGTGATAACCAATACCTAAGAATATTTTCATCACCGAACTTCTTTCAGTTCTTTGGTTGGGTTTACCATGAGAAAAATGTAATAGCAAACGATACGTAATGTAACTATTATTTGAACGTAAAATTGGTAAAAAATGTTCATTAAGTTTGTTCGTCATTCTATGGCGTTAGTGCTATTAGGGCGTGCTTTGCTTGACAACATTGAGCTACCTTTCCAAATAAATGGTCAAACAAGAAACTTATCAAAATTTAAAATTCAACAAACGATGAAAGTCATCACATTTCACTTTTACATGTTTTGAGCATGAGCTGTTGCAATCGGACTACATTTGGTTGGGATCTTGCTCATAAACTGCATTTTTACAATTATACATTTCAACTAACCGCTGGCTCGGTTTTCCAAGCTTATTTCCATAAGGCGAGTTCTCTGGAATGAAATCGTGAATCCCAAGATCGCAAACGAACAACCAAATTCAAATACTAGTAGTTAACAGAAGATTACAGTAGTAGCAGTAAATGCAATCATACTTTAAAAGTTCATATTCATGTTAAAACACTCGCTACGTACAAAACGAGGGTTACGTAAATTTAATTGTGAGACAAACGAAGCCGTTTCGCGGGTCATGCAAATAAAGAAGAAAACGAAGTAAAAAACAACTTTTCTTGTTTTCCAGTAGTTCATTCGCTGCAATGCAGGCAGGTGGATTTTCCTTCTTTTTTCTCAAGTTGATTTTTTTATCTTCGTGATGTAGTGGTCATCTAAACTCTCCTTGAAAAAAACACGAGTAAACATTGATAAATGAATATACACAGCTTCAGATGGAACCTTAATAAGTTAATACATAGCTAAACTTACCTTTTTCCATTCATTTTCCCCCAATTTTCATTCAGCGAGAACATTCCCCTGTAAATAGGCAAATAAAATATATCAGAACCAAATTAATGACTTGAAGCAGACATAGAAGAAAAAGTCGAGATCAAAGCATTATAAGCATGCAAAAAAGATCAATTTAATGTGCTATGTTGTTTCAAAAATTGATTTATATACTGTTCATGCATTCAACATTTCAGGTGTCAAGTCGACAGGAAGAACCCATTCAATTTATTACGTACTTAAGCATATAAACAGCATTTCCAAATCACGTACAAAATTTCCTTCACATGACAAAATTAACGTCTATTAAAACGATGTTATATATAATAAAAAGTTACCTTGACAATTGAAACAAATCCTCCTTTTTCAAAGCATTTGCAACACCTCAAATTCATTCTGAGCTCTTGAATTTCTCAAAGCGTAGCCGAAAGGAATAGGCATATCAAATCACGATACTCATCTCCATCATAACAGCTATTTTGATTTCTACCTTGATCTTTTTCAGCGTCGAGCTTATCTGAAGTGATTTTATTTGCTTAAACAAAACGACATGGGATTTGGAGAGATAAAAGGACGTCCAAGAAGCTGCTGTGCTAAGCATTAGTTAAGGTTCTCCGGATATAAACATCTATACAAAGTATATGACATTAAAAGACAGTAGCTATTAATTCTTCGTCACTTTAATGCTTGTTTTTTCTTAGATCTTCATTTTTTCAAGTGGAACCTTTGAGTGGAAGTTTTAAAAACATCTCTAACATTGCAAAGATATTACGAGTGGCGTAACAAAGTGTTGATGAGTTTCATATGCATTTGTCAAAACAAGCATAAGAAGACAAAGAGCGTAGCAAAAAATGTATGATTGAAAATTTGCTTCAGAGCTCGCTCCCTCACAAATTAATCGAGAGTTAATCTGAGCACGTGTATTCAACTCCACCAACTCTCCAAGGTTATGGCAACAACCAACTGTATGCACTAGTACAGATTAGAAGGGGGTAATTAGCTCGCTCAGTCACAAATTTTTAGATAAATCATCTGCGCATGCGCAGTTGACTTGACCAACTGCCCAAGCTTATACTCATGGCAACGATCAACTGCATCATAGAAGGGGTAATTAGCTCGCTCAGTCGCAAATTTTTAGATAAATCATCTGCGCATGCGCAGTACACTTAAGCACGCGCAGTCGACTTGACCAGCTGCCCAAGCTTATACTCATGGCAACGATCAACTGCATCTACTAGCACCGATTTTGAAGTAGATAGCAGGCTTAGTAACAATTTAAGAGAGAAATAATCTGCGCATGCGCTCAATAGCATGCGCAGTCCACTCGACTAATTGTTCATAGTCATGGTAACGACTAACTATATGTACTTGCACTACATTTGTGACAATTAGCTCACTTAGTCGCAAATTATCAAAGAAATAATCTGGGCATGCGCAGTTGTGACATTTATAATACCATAACTTTCGTAAGCCTTTGAATTTACGTATATATATCTATAAAGCTAAAACTTCATATAGTAGATGTCAATTAGCAGTGGAAGCTGGGTGCGATATAGTATGCAGTGGCTTAGGGGCCCAGACTTCGGTTGCGACCGCACTCTCCCTGCGTACCCCGAGCAAAGCCTATGGCAGATGATCTCGGGGTCTTATGGGCGGAAGCTTGCTATTGCATCTCCCAAGTAGGATAGCGTGGAGGGGCCGAAATCTCCTACCGAAACGTTAACATGCGGCGTTCTAATGCCTTACGTATAACAAGGTATTGGGAAGCATGGCCCGAAAACGGGATTTTTTGCTTTTGAATTTTATCTTTTATCTATTTTTTTTATCTTCTCATAAAGAAACTAGAACATCCAAGTATACTGCAAAGGTTCAACTTCTGCATTTATCTTCTAAACCATCTCTAAACATTTTTATACGTTTTTTACTTGTTACCTTTTACAATGTAACTTTCTCATAACTCTCTCGTGATAAACGAGAGCCTCCTTATATACAATATGACTCTCTCATTATGAACGAAAGTATCCATGGGCTTCGTGGATTATCTACTTTGTTGTAATAGTTTTTGCAAAGATAACATTTAATAAGCCAAGCAATTTGTATTGTCTAAATTGAACCTCGCTTTGATTCATTATGTTTTAAAATTTTGATTCGTTTTGGATAATGAACTTCTTTTTACCTTACAATATTTTTATGGTTCAATCTAGAAATTAAACTTTTCTTCTCGAGCAATTTTACGATTTAACAGCACACTTTTCGAATTCGACGGAATTCTTTTGATGGCATAGAGACAGCCGTCCAATTTATTACGTACCTAAGCGTATATAAAGCATTTTCAAATCACGTACAAAATTTCCTTCACATGACAAAATTACCGTCTATTAAAACAATGTTGTATAAAATAAGAAGCTACCTAGACAACTGAAGCAAACCCTCCTTTTTCCAAGCATTTGAAACACCTCGAATTTATTCTGAACTCACGAATTTCTCAAAGCGTAGCCGAAAGGAATAGGCATATCAAATCAGGATACTCATCTCCATCCATAACAGCTATTTTGATTTCTCCCTTGATCTTTTTCAGCGTTAAGCTTATCTCAACTAATTCTTCTACAATCTTACGGAGAATCTGCCACATTCTCTGTCGGTCCTTGCATTATCCCTCGTCAACAGCATTCCTTAGAGTTCTCTTCTCACAATACTTCATCAGTATATACAAAGTTTGCAGAGTACACTTTGAATCTTCTTGCAAATTTCTTGTGGTGATTGCTTCCTCTTCACTTTCGAAATCAGATTCCTCGTCCTAAAGGAAAGACGCAGGTACTTATTTTTACATATGTTCAGCGACATCATGAACAGTTGCCACTACTATATAACACGTGAGCCAACGAGCTTCCAAACTGTATATGCAATTCAACGATATTTCTTTTGAACATATCTTCAGTAGACTCCGTGTTATCAATGGACTGTTTTTTTATTGGAGCCTCGTCCTCGCTACAGCTTTTGTCGTCGTCATCATGCTTGGAATCATTCGAGTTTTCATTGGTCAACGAGTTCTCATCCAAAACTCTCGAGCTTACGCTGGGTGCTTGAATTACGTTCAATTTTTATTAAGCTATCTTCAATCTGGGCGTCGTTGTTTCTCCTCTGTCACGCTTGATTTTGTTTCACCGTTGTTAGTTTCATCTTCAAGTTTATCTTCTACCTCAATCCACGAATTGCAATATCTTAACTTTAATGGTCCTTTACCAATTATCTTCTCTTTCAAATTTTTTGCACCAGAGGTCTCAGGATGCCATGAAATCCATCTTGACCATTTACCAAAGCAATACTGTAGTGTTTGTAGCGCTCCAGCTGAATAGAATATGACCGAAACGAACCCATAAATTTAATACTTAAGTAGAATGTTTTTTTTAATTCTTACATTTCTGTCATTTAAAAATCTTTTCCTAGAAAGTTTTTGTTCCTTATGAACACGAAGCATTTGTTTGAGATCTTCTGTAACTGAATCATCTTCATCATTGGAGCTTTCAGAGCTATCACACAGCAAATCTTCCTGCATCAAACAATGATTTTTATTCCAAGGTGTGTCATAGTTAACACTAAGTTGATTGCCAAAACGGCAAAGCATGTTGATTAAAGCGATACTAATCTAGCAGTCTTTCCTTCACAATTTTATGGGCAAAAAAGTGCTCAAAATCCTAAATTATTGTTCCTAATACCCAAATACGACCATAAAGACAACAAACTTTGAAGGATTCCAGCTTTTCTTTGAACATAGTCGCTCAAATAACACTTGCGGGCCTTTAAATGGGCTATGAAAGCCTCGCAGCAATAATATGGCGGAACAATGTTTGGTGGTATGTTTTACTACTGGAAAATGGTATGCATAACCACACTTACAACCATCTACATTTTACAAACTTTTTTATGTTTTAACACGTATAGAGTGATCATTAATGGAATCTTAATGTTTTATTTGAAATAATATGTTTAAAAGAACTCTCACAGTTAACACAAGTTGGCAACTTGGCATATTTACACTTGTAGTAGATTTGCTACTAGATATTTAATTCATATGATAATGAAATTGATATCTTCCGTTAAATCAAAGTCACATGGAGTAGTAACTTCCTAACAACAAATTGGCTATTGGAGTTTCGAAGGTTAATGAAAAAATGTATCGTTTTGGGAAAAAGTTTAAGCGTTCAAAGACGTTTTTCTACACTCGAGGCCCTCGACGATCACCTATTGATTCGGTAGGATAAAAATTAATTTGTTTCAAGTAACTCAATTTCAGCTTCAACTTAAGAAATGAAGTTTCATTTCAACTACCACATCTGATCTTTGAGATAATACTCTCCATCCATATACTTTCATGATGGAAATTTGCTGTTGGTGGGCTACAAACAATCAAGCTGCTTTTCGTATTACATAATGCTTATGATTGTGAAATTATTAAAGCCATTCATTCACTTGCATTTGTAGGGAGTTATCTACGGATGATAATTGTGGTGGTATACATTGTTTCAAGTACATATAGATAGCCCTCTTTGGTTTAAATATTTTAACATATTCACTAATGTGCAAGAATTGATAGTTGACTTTGGAATTTGTGAACTATTTTGGAGTTCCTACTTTGCTCTCTGCAAGGTCTCTGTACATATTAGTACAATTATGTTGCTTATAAAATTTTGGCATGTCCAAAGCTTGTACAGAAAGGTAAGAAGGAAATATGTTGCATTTAAGCTTGATTGTTGTAAGCCCACCAGCAGCCGAACAGATACATTTTCTTCCTATTGCAAGTTAATTGTTTAGTGGTAGTAAACATATGTGTGAAATATGTTTTAGTTGACAACTTATAATACATTGTTTCATCACAAAATAGATGGCCCCTCATAGCAGTCAATCTAAATCAAACGAAGACTACGAAGTGGAATGTAATGTGGTTAGTCTCTATGTATCTCAAAATTATGAAGTCTGAAATATCTGTGTGGGATGTGTTGCATTAAAGTTGTGAACCTTAGGTGAAATGAAAAATTAAATATGTTACTTATATATGGAGCATTGCAAACTTTCTCTTAGGAAATGCATGATGATCATCCATTGTTAGAAGAATGTGTTGAGTCAAACATCACTCTTGAACAACCGTTGCATCTGGTTAGTTTTTAGTTGAATTATTCAGGTTTCTGTAAAGTAATACAGTAAATTCTTTATGCTTGTCAGATAGCCAAAGTAATATTGTAAACTCTTTAGATTTCCCAGAATATTGATGAAACTATTACCGTTGATGTCGACAAATCTCAACCTGATGAAGTAAGTGCAACTTGCAGATACAAATATAGTGCTCAGAGCAATATGAAATAAAGTAGCACAGATAAGATGAAATCTTAATAGTTTAAAACTTAACTCAGGATTTATGCTTGATGCAATCTACTATAATGTATTTAATGTGATCCTCACCTATAATATGCAATAATATACTTTCTGCCAAAGTGCAGGGTTACCATCTATGTATATGGTAATCATGAGGAGGACACAATGTTTATGTATAAATATATAAAAGTGACTATAAGTTGACTAAGCTTATTGTGAGTAATGTTTATAGTGAAACACCTTAATCATGTTTTCATTTCTCAAATTAATAAGCATATCATAAAATATTATATATCAAATAAATCTTTAAATACTTCAGTTAGCATTCATAATCAAACATTATTGACAATCATAACAACTTATTCATGACTCAATAATCACTATGTCAACAAGATAAATATTTCTCCCTTAATGGAAACTTGTTCAAATAATCACCAAGATAATGTAAAACTTTAGGAGAAACAACACACTCATAACATGCATTGGTCTCAGAAAAGAACCCTACCACAACCTAGGAAGCACATATGCGTGTTAACACTGACCACTCTAACCCTGGCATACAATGTTTTCATATGAAACTTATCATGAATGTAATTTCCGTTCTCTGCCTAGAAGAAAAACTGTAACCACTTGTTGACTGGAGTTATTTTCCCTCTTGAAACAATTTAAACTTGAGTCAAAGAATTTAAGTTCCCAACAAAATGTATTGTTTTTTTCTAGAAAAATATTGCAGCTGTTTTGCATTATACTGGGTTATTGCTTCAATTTTCTGCAGTAACAAATTTGGGGGAACATCAATCATTTGCTATTCTTGACTATAATGTGGAGAAAAGAAAAATTATGGTGAGCTCCTTAGTAGTGAATGTATTTTATAATGTTATATTCATATATATTTTACATTTAATTAAGCACACTTCATATGTGTTTGTTCATCGGTACCCTCATTATCATGTAAATGGATTTGTCTGGTTGTTTGGCTGTTCATGTGATCGATTGACTGGAATTTGTGCAGGCCCTTAGCTCAAATACTAATTTAAGTACAGATAAAGGTATACAAGATTATTAAAAATGACTAATTGTAAATTTAAGCACTAACTTCTGGAATACTCTTTTAATAGTTGTAAGCTATCCAAAATGCTTACATATATTGGCAATGGAAAGATTTTTGGAGACTTATGATGAAAATTTGGGAATAACCTCACAAGAATCAAGTTTTTTCAAGAGTATGTTATTGTTCTCATAATGCAGAATAAAGTAAATGGTTTGAACTCGGAGTATCGTGACATGTTTGTGGATGTAGGTCGTCCAGGTAGTTGAGTCCTGAGAAGGACTGTTTGTGTTGATGTTCAGATCAAAAATTTTGAAGATGACTACCACTAAGGTTGTAGAAACGTCAGTCAACACCAACAATAACAGTCATTTTCAGGACTCTACTAACCTGGACGATCTACATCCAGAAACATGTAATAATGCAGAATGGTGGTTATTTTGCTATATGAGAACAGTATGCTAATATCATGCCAACCTGTGAAAAAAGTAATTTTGCATAAAATTGATGGTATGTTTGTTTTTAATTTTTAAGTTGTGGAAAAATCAGGAACATCTGACCCAATAGATCATTCATACTGTGGAATGTTTCCTAAAGAGGTTTTTACTTGCAGTCATTGATTAAATTATAATATGTTCTACGATAGCTCCTTTCATGTTACAGGACTTGTTTAAAGCCGTTAGTGGTGGTCCCAACTGGATTGCTGTAAAACCAGTCAATCGCGAATGGGGCGTGTGCACATTTACTTATTCTAAAGTAGCACTACCTCAAGCAGAGCTAAGATGTTCTAATTGTTCATCTTACCTCTGCATTCATGTTACAACTCTTGGGAAGGCGCTGGAAGTCGTACAAGATGATGACGACTCGCAGCTAGCATATTTTAAGTTAGCTTTTGAAACCTCACCTGAAATGAGAAATTACTACGAGTTGGCAACTCGTAGTGAAAAAAAGTTAAATTATTTGAAATAGGTAAAGTAGTGTAGTAAATGGAAATAATATATGTGTGTTTGTGTAATGGGTGGCCAAAAAACATGGAATCGTCATTTAAATTTCAATACTCATTTTTTCACACAGGTTGTGATGAGAATGATGCCAATAATTTTGCTAAGCTTCTGGCTATGAACTGGTCAAAGATATTCGTACCTAGTGCTTGTGGTACTTGCTCTTGTGGTGCTGCTTGGGATAAGCGTGATGTATCAGATGACTGGCTGGATGTGGAAGGCTGTCATGTGGCGTATCTTTATGATTTCCACTGTGTGAATGGTTTGTAAACTGAATTATTTATTACTTTCTTTGTATTAGTGTCACGACTACAATCTTCTGTGAATTTTTAGTGTATTATCGACCGTGTTCTACATGCACAAACAAGAAGCGGTACGATGGTATCGAGAACAACGTCTTGTGGTTTGGATCATTTTCCATTTCGCATGCAGTCCTCAAAGATTATATAAGGCATTTTTTGGTTTCAAGGTACGTGTGATAGTCAGTTATCAAGTATGAAGTAAACATTTTTATCTACATGATTAATTATGAATTCATGAAAATATCTTTTCATCTTTTAAATGGTTTAGCCTGCCCATGTATAAATATTACGTGACGTACGTCCAAAGACAAGTTATGTCAGGAAATTTGAATTTTTCTGGCATTATAACTTACACCAAGTTTCGTCTGGCAGTTACTGCAATGATTAGGTAACTTTGTTTTTTTTATTTCAACCTGCACCAATTTTTTTGGTGAGTTACATGTATTTAAAAGTTTATTTGATCGGATATTCGTTTGTTTAAATTAACTTTTGTTGTAATGCTAAATATAAATGATAAAAGTACGTATGCTACCAATATATATATATATCTGTAGCACTTACGTATGTTTAGCATTTGATCATTTCATTGGTGGTGAATTTATGATAAGGGTGGGGAGTGTAGGTGCACAGAGGTGCTCCCACCTGTAGGTAATGGTCAACAAAGGGTACATAGAGAGGTACAAAAAATGAAAACACTATCCTACTTTTAATGTCCAAGAAAGTCTGAACATTTATTTACTATCATTTTACTTTCCTTATGAAGTGGCAACACTGAATAGATCAAATGGCATTCTTATTTATTTTGTTGACAAAACAGGCAGTATTGTATCCGCTTTTAAGAATAACTATGTTAATTGGTTTTTAACCATAGATCTAAAAAATCCTTGCTGGATACAACACTGATTTTTTACGCTATTTAGATTACTTGACATTGACTTTGTTGACGCTTTTCATTGTAACATCTGTGGAAAACATCCGAAAAAAGTTGTTATGGACGGTACGGCACTTGGTATCCAAAAAACCTTCTTGCCTCGTAAGGTAGCTCCCCAGAAGGCCCTACGATGGATGGAAGATAAGTGTTTTTCTGGGTGTGTATTTTTCATTGGCTAGCTGGACATGTGTTTTATTTTGGGGCGGATTTTTCCAACACTAGGTTCGAACGCGGAACTTCCTCAATCGGAAGAGGCAGAGAGTTGTTGAAGAAATTTATAAAGAACCAAATTACAGAAGACGAACTCGTGGAATTAACCTCGGAAGTATGAATGTTGTTAGTTGTTTATTGATGTACAATATGCTAAGAACATGTTGTAGCTATTTTACAGGCTATTTTACTATTGCTCGTTTATTTAGATTTCATCTCCTGGCCTAAAATGCTAATCGTATCCCTTAGAGAGGAACATTTTGGTGTCACGTTTCCAGAACCTTGCATAAGACTTCTCAAAGCACTTGCGTCAGATAAACCTGTTTGTGCAATTGTACCTCCTGTGAGAGAGGTGAAGGATTTGTTGATCAGAATTGCCAACGGAGCAAATCCAAAGGACAATCCATTGTCTGATTTACAACTTTTGCACGAACAGGTCCCCCTCTTGTTTTGTCTTTGCAATCATTTTGCAGAGCTGCCAAACCCCATACGTGTTTGTGTGGGGAAATGGTCGCCAAAGCGTCCAGTCCTTTTACTGACCAAAACGGGTGTGAGCGTTTGCCCACAACCTTCCCAAGTTCAGTGTGATGGTCAGTTAGGTTTTTTCCATCTTTGCCTTCTCTTGTTGAACGTGGGCACTATGTTCTTGACACAAAAGAGCTGGTCATTTAGATGATTGTGCCAAAGGCGTTCGTTCAAAGAAGAAGCATGGGTCTTTAATTCCTGGGATATTCCTTATTTTATGTCCGCACGGTATGGCAAAGAAGCATTAATGTTCTTGATCATAGAATGACAGGAAAATTCATCCCGTAAACTCTCCTCATTGAAAAATTATGAGATTTTTATTGTTTTTAGGTATTTGTTACGGCTTTCAAGTGATGCCCGATCATGAATCACCCAATGTTCCTTTTACCATTTTAAGAACTCGATTTTCTGAAGGTAATTTGAAGTTTTGAGGTATTTCTCATTCTTTTATGAGAATTGTGAAATTGTTAGCGTTTCGTTACTCCCAATTGTAAACAAATAAACTTATAATGTTTAGCTCCTGAACTAGTGATCTATGACAACGCGTGCAAACTACACGAGTACTGCCTTAACCGCGATCCTGCTTTTTAAAAATCCAAATTCATCGTCGACAAGTTTCATTGGAGAAACCATTCTGGTATAAAACTCGTATTTTATTATGCTAAGTGTGTCGAAATTGAAACGACTCATATCTTTGACTCTTATAGGTTGCTCTGAGGGATACGATATTAATAGATATCCCATTTTAAAAACGCACAACAGCCAAGCTGCAGAGCAGTGTAACTCTGTAATGAAGCCACTTGCGTCAATGGTTTCATACATGGAATATGACAACTTTTTGCTATTTTCGAAATTGTATATTTGGTACAGAAACATGTTGCGCATAATAAAATGCAATCCTGGACGGGATGTTCCAGAGGGAAACGTTTCTTGCAATCAGCAATATTATCAGATAAGTAGTATTTGAAAACCAGTATTATTTAATTGGGAACCATGTTGAAACGAAATGCTAACACTTTGGAACAAACAAAAAAAAGTCTAAGTAACAGTTGAAATATTTTTCTAAATTCATCATTTTTAAAGAAAATACGTCATATTTATGACATGTCTGCGTAACGTATAGCTGTAACATTTTGTCCTCAAACAGCTTCATATTTTTCGCATTTATAGCATAATGAAAAATTTTGGATATGAAAATGAATGAAATCAATTTTTAAAATGTTGAAATCATAACTCGCACGATATTATAGCTTTTCAACGTCAATGGATAATGCTGGTACTCATTAGTTATTAAGTATATATATTTACTCCACGATTATTCTATGTAGTAGTAATGTTGCACCTCATGACACAATCAGAGTTTATATGAAGAAGTAATTGAACAAATGTGCCGAGCATTGACCATTTATATAACGCCTGTTTTTCATTGTGTGTAAACAGGTCGACTGTTACAGGGACTGAAGAAGCTCTTTTAGCTGCGTACGTCTTCCCTCACTGTTTATATTTTCTATCGATGAGTTGATGCATCCCTAAAATATGATAAAATTATCTGTTATATGTCACATACTGGAATATGTTGCTTTTAAATTATTTGCGTATTTTGCGACAGCAAATGTCTACATAACAAAATACCTCCTTTATTATTACTCTTGCAAACTCTAACAAATATACGCCGCAATCGTGACCATTTTTTTGCCTTGCAACCTGAATGGTGATTAAATAACAACGTTTGTGACATATCCATACATTGACTTTATAGATCAATGTGTTTATGCTTGTCAAACAATTACTCGACTTACATCCGCATAAATAGGCTCTGAAATGCTTCCCATGTGGTCTGGCCATTGCTCTTCTTTTTATGTGTTGGAGATACCTTAACGTTAAAAAGCTGTTTATGAAGTTAGAAAACATGTCGGTACATATCAAAAGAGGCAACCTGTTAGTTCAGTATGTATAGAAATAACAACCTTCTTATGTTTGAAGCAACAGTTTTATTCTTCCAACCCATGCTGCACAACACGTATAAACGACTTGTGAAAACTTCAAAGACCACTAGCCACCAATGTGTCCTTTAAAATATATCATGTCTCAAGTATCTCATAGAATTGAACTATAGAAACTGATTTTCTTTGTAAAATTCTTACATGTCGCAGACTGGTATAAAAATCATTTTATATTGATACATGTTCTTAGGTGTGTATCTCCTCACTCCATGTAAGTTGCATCCCGAAAGATCTAATGGTCGCTTTGATCTGAAAAAATTGCAAATATTATAACATGTAATTATCTCTAGAATCTAGGGTGAAATCTTAACCGGACACTTACACGTGTCCTTTCATGAGTAGTTTCTGTTGGAAAAACTAGAAAAGGCATAATATTGTTCCCCATCGTCTTTTCTTTCTGCCGTTTTGCAGTAATACCTATTGCATTCATGTAATTTAAGTTAGCTTGTAAAGTTTTTATTGCTTCCTTCTATATGTTAGATTTGAATCATTTCACATTACCTTAAAAAGTCAATTATGGTATCACACAACCACTTGCTTCCATTTAATGTTTCGACATCACTCTTGTATATTACAATGCCATCAAAACAGTTCACTCTAAAAGGCATTGATGCTACCTTTGTCGTTTTCCTTTTGTCAAATATTTTCAATATATGAATGTCACCTTTCACTCTCTTCACTGCATTCTTTCCTGTCAAAGATATAGTTTTCTATTATCGTCAGGAATTTTCTTCACATATTCAATAGAAACATTTACATGAGACATTCAATTTTTATTGACCTGATTGTAGTTGCTGGCTTTTTCTTCTAGTCGGTCTCTTTTCAGATGTTTGCTCCATAAATACATAACTATTTTGAAAAGTTTTGCCAACTGTCAAACTAAAGTAGCCTATTCCTCCGTTGTCCGTAACTTGGCATAAACACGGAAAATAGATATGGAATAGTTCAAACTGGGGACTCCATATTTCCAATGACGCACGAAGTGCTCCAGCAATGCATTGAACATGCGTGTTAGTAAGGGTAACCTCTAAAAAAGGGAATAATTTGCTTGTCATGTAGGTTTTCTAAATTTGTTTAATATTAAAGAATTTTCTTCGTGATTTGAATTTTGAGAATGTTCACCTTCAGTGTTGAAATCTTGTATTTCTTTTATAATTTCTTCATTTGAAATTGCTTTACTTGTTTGTCGTGAGCGCTAGAAAAGATGTGTTTCTTTTATAAATAAAAACTTAGAGATTTACAGAGCAAAATATTACTTCGGATGCCAAATGACATTGATGTGCAACTCCGTATAGAAATGAATCGAGTTGAAGTCTATTGGGATCAATGCTTAAAGCGTTGAAAATGTCTCCAGGACAACTTGTGTCGTAATCATGTGGAACGCCCATGAGGTCTTTTTCGTGTGACCTACTCAAATATTATTAAGGAATCAACAAATTGTCATTTAGATTAGAACCGTTCAATCAGTCAATAAACATTAGCATTTCATACTTTAAATTTTTCGTAATAGGATGTTGATGTGTATCAGCTAAGTCCAACAATTCGTAGGCTGTTTCAACATATTTTAGGGGGTCTTTTAACATTGCGCGAACAATACAAGCTATTTCTCTCTAAAATGGATTGTGGTATCGTTTTGAAATTTAAAAAAATAAATGTGAGTTTCTAAAAGTTTTCTTACTTTTTCGTACATGTCTCTCATCTGTTGTAAATTCACTAATTGTGTATCCTCTTCCTGATGGGTATAGAAAAAAACGTTCATTTTTGGTACGCTGTTTTTTGTAATTTCCTGGACGTTCATTTACCCTTTCATCCTCTTTTATGTTATTTAATGCAGCTTCGTTATCAACAAATTTGTTTTCGAAATCTTCTCTTTTCTCGCTCTCATCACTTCTTTTATCTTCTTCGCTTGTATACGTATCTTTTCCAACATTCGCATCTCGATTAGTTTTCTTGGGAATAAAAGCAAATAGCAGTTCGTGTTTAAATGTTCTTATATTATTTCTTAAAAGATGGTTAGTGTGTACCTCTTGTCTTCCTTGACCAAATGATTGTGTTGTCTCTTCATTTTTTTCATTTCCAGTAAACTAATTAAACAAAAGTTAAGAGAAGCAGTGAGTTGTCTTCTATATACTAAATCTACAACAATAATACTCACTTCATGAACGTATTCTCCATACGATAGAGCGATCTCTATCAGTTCTTTCTTATTTAAAATTTTTCTCGAGCGTTCTGTTTTATCATCAAATTCTTCTTCATCGTAATCATCCTCTGAGAATGGTGTACAATATGTAAATAAAAACAATGAAAATATTGAAGATTGATTCACTTGATTTACCTGAAGGTTGATTAATCCTGGCAGATGGCGAAACAAATGGGATGTGAGGAGGCCAAAACAACGGTTTCTCTGCTTTAAGCCAAAAGTCTCTCACTCTAGCCACTTTCCACTTCCGTTTTCCTTTCTTGTCTAAAACCAATCTTGAATTCACGAGGTCTGCCGTTGTATATCAGAAATTAGTTACTCACAAATATACAAAAATAGTTTTTACCGATGTCAGCTGTTCTTGGGAGAACCATATTTAAAACCAGTTTCCGTAGCTCTTTGCACGACCAAGTCCCTTGTTTTATTTCTTCCAAAGCATCAGGATCAACAAGATCAGAGCGTATCTCCTGCACTTGATAAACGTCTTCACAGCTTTCTAATATAAAATGATACAGACTTTATTGCAGCATTGTGACACCTTTATTTGTTTTTATACAATTTAGAAACAACAAAATAAAAGTTAGTACTTGGGGAGTCAGTTGTAATCAAAGAATTGTCTTCAACATATTTGCACATGGCATCTCGGGAAATATTCAAGATTTCTCGACGAAGGCCGGGCGTTCCTGTTTAAATGAATTGATTACATTACTTCTATACCGACAATCGTATTTTAAACACAAAAATAATCCAATTCAATTCTTAACTTCTACACAAGTCTAAAATCTTTTTGATAGAAGAATTACCAGCAGCTTTAACCGTTCCATGTCCATCAAGATATAGCAAAACCATCGGATTGAGGCTCTTCTCCGATGACATTAGATCAATCTAAAATATTTATAGAGCATGTGATTTATAGCTGTTACATTTCAAATTTAGTCAATATTTTCTGCATTAATCAAAGAGGGTACAAAAAGTTTATCATTCTTTTACCCTGTCTGCAATACGTTTTTTCTTTCTGTACACATTGTGCGCTTCACTTTGAGAAATCGATAGCTCTTTTTTCTTCAAAAATAAACTTGACGTTCAGATAGAACTCTGGTTGAGAATTCATTTACTGTCAACGTACATATAATCTTACCGGTCTCTTGCTTTTTAGAATAAACTTTTCCCTCGTGAATTTACTTTACTTTTTATATTGGAAGACATCTCAACAATAATTTGAAGCAGTTTTCAGTAAATAAGCGACCTAATCAAATTCTAACAAACCTTGCAGAAATATTAAAGCAAATGTTTTCGGTGCCAAGTAATTTATAACGGATCGAGATGCAGCTATTTATTTATCCTGTGCGTCAAAGAATTTAAGTGTGATCTGTCATATTAGTGTTTTTATAAAAGGAAATGACAAACTTCCGTGACACATTGTGTAAACCAGGTGAGAAAATTAGTAAAATTTCAGATATTATAAAACATACCGGAAAATGGTATGTATAACCATGATGAAATGATGGATAAAAACAAGTAAATTTTACGAGGACTTAAAATTTCGTGTTTGTGTGTCACAATGGTGTAAACCAGATGAGAAAATTAGTAAAATTTCAGATATTATAAAACATACCGGAAAATGGTATGTATAACCATGATGAAATGATGGATAAAAACAAGTAAATTTTACGAGGACTTAAAATTTCGTGTTTGTGTGTCACTATGGTGTAAACCAGATGAGAAAATTAGTAAAATTTCAGATATTATAAAACATACCGGAAAATGGTATGTATAACCATGATGAAATGATGGATAAAAACAAGTAAAATTTTACGAGGACTTAAAATTTCGTGTTTGTGTGTCACTATGGTGTAAACCAGATGAGAAAATTAGTAAAATTTCAGAGATTATAAAACATACCGGAAAATGGTATGTATAACCATGATGAAATGATGATCTAAAAACAAGTAAATTTTACGAGGACTTAAAATTTCGTGTTTGTGTGTCACTATGGTGTAAACCAGATGAGAAAATTAGTAAAATTTCAGATATTATAAAACATACCGGAAAATGGTATGTATAACCATGATGAAATGATGGATAAAAACAAGTAAATTTTACGAGGACTTAAAATTTCGTGTTTGTGTGTCACTATGGTGTAAACCAGATGAGAAAATTAGTAAAATTTCAGATATTATAAAACATACCGGAAAATGGTATGTATAACCATGATGAAATGATAAAAAACAAGTTTTACGAGGACTTAAAATTTCGTGTTTGTGTCACAATGGTGTAAACCAGATGAGAAAATTAGTAAAATTTCAGATATTATAAAACATACCGGAAAATGGTATGTATAACCATGATGAAATGATGGATAAAAACAAGTAAATTTTACGAGGACTTAAAATTTCGTGTTTGTGTGTCACTATGGTGTAAACCAGATGAGAAAATTAGTAAAATTTCAGATATTATAAAACATACCGGAAAATGGTATGTATAACCATGATGAAATGATGTCTAAAAAACAAGTAAATTTTTACGAGGACTTAAAATTTCGTGTTTGTGCGACAGTATGGTGTAAACCAGATGAGAAAATTAGTAAAATTTCAGATATTATAAAACATACCGGAAAATGGTATGTATAACCATGATGAAATGATGGATAAAAAACAAGTCAATTTTTACGAGGACTTAAAATTTCGTGTTTGTGTGTCACTATGGTGTAAACCATATGAGAAAATTAGTAAAATTTCAGATATTATAAAACATACCGGAAAATGGTATGTATAACCATGATGAAATGATGTCTAAAAAACAAGTAAATTTTACGAGGACTTAAAATTTCGTGTTTGTGTGTCACTATGGTGTAAACCAGATGAGAAAATTAGTAAAATTTCAGATATTATAAAACATACCGGAAAATGGTATGTATAACCATGATGAAATGATGGATAAAAAACAAGTAAATTTTTACGAGGACTTAAAATTTCGTGTTTTTGTGTCACTATGGTGTAAACCAGATGAGAAAATTAGTAAAATTTCAGATATTATAAAACATACCGGAAAATGGTATGTATAACCATGATGAAATGATGTCTAAAAACAAGTAAATATTTACGAGGACTTAAAATTTCGTGTTTGTGCGTCACAATGGTGTAAAACCAGATGAGAAAATTAGTAAAATTTCAGATATTATAAAACATACCGGAAAATGGTATGTATAACCATGATGAAATGATGGCTAAAAACAAGTAAATATTTACGAGGACTTAAAATTTCGTGTTTGTGTGTCACTATGGTGTAAACCAGATGAGAAAATTAGTAAAATTTCAGATATTATAAAACATACCGGAAAATGGTATGTATAACCATGATGAAATGATGGATAAAAACAAGTAAATTTTACGAGGACTTAAAATTTCGTGTTTGTGTGTCACTATGGTGTAAACCAGATGAGAAAATTAGTAAAATTTCAGAGATTATAAAACATACCGGAAAATGGTATGTATAACCATGATGAAATGATGTCTAAAAACAAGTAAATTTTACGAGGACTTAAAATTTCGTGTTTGTGTGTCACTATGGTGTAAACCAGATGAGAAAATTAGTAAAATTTCAGATATTATAAAACATACCGGAAAATGGTATGTATAACCATGATGAAATGATGGATAAAAACAAGTAAATTTTACGAGGACTTAAAATTTCGTGTTTGTGTGTCACTATGGTGTAAACCAGATGAGAAAATTAGTAAAATTTCAGATATTATAAAACATACCGGAAAATGGTATGTATAACCATGATGAAATGATGTCTAAAAACAAGTAAATTTTACGAGGACTTAAAATTTCGTGTTTGTGTGACACTATGGTGTAAACCAGATGAGAAAATTAGTAAAATTTCAGATATTATAAAACATACCGGAAAATGGTATGTATAACCATGATGAAATGATGGATAAAAACAAGTAAATTTTTACGAGGACTTAAAATTTCGTGTTTGTGTGTCACTATGGTGTAAACCAGATGAGAAAATTAGTAAAATTTCAGATATTATAAAACATACCGGAAAATGGTATGTATAACCATGATGAAATGATGTCTAAAAAACAAGTAAATTTTTACGAGGACTTAAAATTTCGTGTTTGTGCGACACAATGGTGTAAACCAGATGAGAAAATTAGTAAAATTTCAGATATTATAAAACATACCGGAAAATGGTATGTATAACCATGATGAAATGATGGATAAAAAACAAGTAAATTTTTACGAGGACTTAAAATTTCGTGTTTGTGTGTCACTATGGTGTAAACCAGATGAGAAAATTAGTAAAATTTCAGATATTATAAAACATACCGGAAAATGGTATGTATAACCATGATGAAATGATGTCTAAAAAACAAGTAAATTTTTACGAGGACTTAAAATTTCGTGTTTGTGTGTCACAATGGTGTAAACCAGATGAGAAAATTAGTAAAATTTCAGATATTATAAAACATACCGGAAAATGGTATGTATAACCATGATGAAATGATGGATAAAAAACAAGTAAATTTTTACGAGGACTTAAAATTTCGTGTTTGTGCGACACAATGGTGTAAACCAGATGAGAAAATTAGTAAAAATTCAGAGATTATACAACATACAGAAAATGGTATGGATAACCACGATGGTTATACTTCTATAAATCAAAGTTCTAATCCCTTGTAACCTCACGTACAGGCGTTTTTGTTCATGGTATCGATCTTTTAAATTTTATTGGATTAAATTATTCGTGTTCTTTAGGTTCTATACTAGTGATTCCAGAGCTTTTATTAATGATCAATTCATACGATTCCTGTTTTACTATGTACTATTTCTGAGTTGTCTTTACCAGTGTACAGCGGATACCTCCTTTATTCGCGTGGTTGTAAGTGATGTTATACCTACCAGAAAATGGACGCAATACAAACTTCATGTTTGGAGACGAATTTCATGACCGAATTCATCGCCGTCGTCTTCCTTCGCAGGGGGTCCCTCAACGCCATTTGTAATGTGTGTACTGAACATGCGTGTGATAACCAATACCTAAGAATATTTTCACCACCGAACTTCTTTCAGTTCTTTGGTTGGGTTTACAATGAAAAAAATGTAATAGCAAACGATACGTACTGCAACTATTATTTGAACGTAAAGTTGGTAAAAAATGTTCATTAAGTTTGTTCGTCATTCTATGGCGTTAGTGCAACAGTGGACAACATTGTGAGCTACCTTTCTAATTAATTGGTGGAACAAGAAACTTATGAAAATTAAAGATGAAACATTTAACAGACGATAAATGTCGCCACATTTCACTTTTACATGTTTTGAACATGAACTGTTGCAATCGGTGTGCATTTGTTTGTGGATCTTACTCATAAACTGCATTTTTACAATTACTGATACATTTCAACTAACCGCTGGCTCGGTTTTGTGAGCTTATTTAAGATCGCAGACGAACATCAAATTCAAATACCAATAGTTAACAGAATATTACAGTAGTAGCAGTAAATGCAATCATAACTTTAAAATTCACATTCGTGTTACACTCGCTATACGTGAGACAAACGAAGCCGTTTCGCGGGTCATGCAAATAAAGAAGAAAACGAAGTAAAAAAACAACTTTTCTTGTTTTCCAGTAGTTCATTCACTGCAATGCAGGCAGGTGGATTTTCCTTCTTTTTTTCATAGTTGATTTTTTTGTCTTCGTGATGTACTGGTCATTTTCCCTCAATTTTCTTTCAGCGAGAATATTCTGCCTAAAAATGTGAAGCAGACATAGAAGAGGAAGTCCAGATCTAAGCATTATAAGCATGCAAAAAAGATCAATTTAATGTGCTATGTTGCTTCAAAAATTGATTTATATACTTGTTCATGTATTCAATATTCCAGGTGTCAAGTCGACTTGGAGAGCCCATAATGTCAAGCAATCTCACGAGAAATTTTTGATTTTGTTTTGCTATCACTTCTTGACGCCTTTCTTCGTCCTGCAAACATGATCATATTAGTTGATCAGGCTCTAATTTGTTCATATAACTACTTGTATTTTAGAAAATCCAATTCACCAAAACTCGAGTTATTCTTCTTCGCACGCGATATTCTTCTTCTTCTTTGTTCTTATGTACTTCCTGGTAAATTCTCGGTTTGATAGACTTCAACTAGACAAAATGAAGTAAATTTTCTTATTGACGGATTGCTGCTGAAAATTTTACGAACAATTATGTTGTCCAATCATAAAAAAATTCATCTATATGCTCGAGGCTTTGCCTCATATGCATTGTTCCTAAACTTTTCTATAAAGATTTTAGGTCAGGTTTACTAACTACAAATCAAGCTGGATTTATTTGAAGTGAAAGTAAGTTTTTTAAAAGGTCCTTGCAGGATCTTCTTTCAAAACAAAATGAAGAAATAACCATACAATGTTAAACATGTATGTTCTTCAAAAAGACCTCATCTCGTATCAATTCTGTGCTGCTCTACCAACACGAGAAAACCAAACGATAGTACACAGTTCTAGTGGTTATTGTAAATTTTAAATTCAACATACTTATTATCAAAAGGAATAAAGAGAACCATTTAGAGGTGAAAACATTAATATTCAAACAAAATTCAACAGTAATGAAAATTCTATCTTTGAGGTCAACGAAGTCATATAATAAATGTAAAAACCTTCTGCTTTGTTTGCTGAAGTGATGTTACGAAGTGACGATACAGAATTTTAAAAATGCACTAACAGTATTAAGCCTTTCTTTGTCCTTGTTCAGACGTGACGCTGTTACTGATCGTTTTATCCAATTATCTTCAAGCGTATTTTCGAAACAAACAATGATGGAAAGTATATTTAGCTATAAAACATTTATCTATCCATCGTAAAACATCCAGTCTCACCTTTTCGCGATGTCGCTGATAAGCCATATTTTGCCATTTCCTTTCAAGGTTTTTATTACTGGCACAAAATTGTCGGTTCATTTCAGCAATAAATATCGAAGTGTAAGTTTCTAAACTTCCGCCAACGCAGTAGTGCGTCACTTCATCTTTAAAGTCTTTCAAATATAGCTAAAATTATCTCACAACAAATGCTTAAAAGGGCGACGGATGTCTTCAATAACCACGACAACCATGAGTAAAGTGATCCTTAGATAAATATGCAGTTTAGCACGACTTTAGACAGGAGACAGCCATGCAAATCAGAGTCCCATTTTAAACAAAAATACTTTTACAAAAGAGCATTTATGTTTTGCTGCAGAATTATATTCGAGGAAGTTATAAACAAAAATTGTAAATGGTGCCATACTTTAATGACCAGTAATAAGCACAAATAAAACTGTTGTTCAGTGTCTATAGTCAGCAAAAGAAAACCTGAAACTGAACTTTTCAAGTCAGCTATATCGTGCATTCCCTTAATCCAGAAAAAATCATTTTATTTTGTTTTATGGAAATTTTTCTGCTGTTGAATGTGGTGAAGTGTAAGTTTCACAGAATTATACCTATTTCTCATGTACAGACAAGTTGAGAAAACGCATCGAAATGCAAACATATTTTCACTAAGCTTAACAGAAAGTAATAAGAAACGGGGAAACAGAAATGCTATAGCAATTATCATAAGTTATCAATAGCCTTTTTACCAAATAAAGTCAGTATAGAAATCACAACAAACACATGCTGTGTTTAGAGTAGCTACATCTCAACAGGAGAGAAACAAATTTTTCATCAATACAATTGACAGCACAAGCACTTAGGAAATTCTTTCCATTTAGGCAATTTTTTAAAACAAATAAAAATATGTGTTTTGTAATTACTTTGAAAAGGTTAAGGATAAAAAACAAGACGCCTTCTCAAGGCTTCACTCCAGTCTCGGGTTTATTCAACGCCAACATAGTAAATGAAACAATTGTAGTGAAACTGAAAGTGTAGTCTTTGTCACTCATGTTGGCAAGGATACTTTCATTTCAAACAGACGCTTTTCCATAAGAAATATCTTGTATTTACCACTCTATTAATTAAGTACGAGCGAAGTTTGTACAATCAAGTCCAAAGTTTGACATTCAATCGTACAATACTACCGCTCGTGTATTTTTACGTGTATGAAAGTCTCATATGTACGCTCATACGAATATACTTAATAAAAGCACGCAAATACTGATGATACTCGTGTCTTTTACTATAGTGTATAAAAATTTGAAACATCGGAACTTTAATTTCACGGAAGCGAATTTCGCGTTCTTCAAAGCATCTAAAAACTCTGGGGGGGGGGGATTCCAGACGTTGTATAATAATGAGTATCTCCATAATATCTCACTAAAAGTGTCTCATGGTCTGTCACAAGATCTTCGCGAACATATGCGTACATATGAGTGGCATACGCGTAACGCATGCGTAGCATAACTGTAACACATGCGTAGCATACATGTAACACATGCGTAAAATACGCAAAATATGTGAAAATACACACCTAAGCAGTACCAAAACTGCCAAGGAAATGTCTGGCTCGTACTAAGTACATTTATTTAATTTTATTTGCCTGAACACAAAATCATTCAATCCACATGTTACTACGATAAAATTGTATGGTGCAAAACTGTGAAATGTTCACAAACCTAATTTTTGCTTTAATCCAATTTTAAATTTTCTGGACAATCAGTTTGTCGATATGGATGAGTAACTTTGAAAGCATCTAATTCCATCAGACGATCATTAATTTCAGAAATTCGAGGAAACTTAGTCAAATCAACTTTGAACCTGACAAAAGACATGGATTGAATGAAGAGTTGAGATATTATAAATTCTTGAGACAGGATGTTGTACAATAATGGATATTACTGCGAGGAGATGTTGAACAATCATGGATATTAGAGAGAGAGAGGATATTGAACAATCATGGATATTAGGGAGGAAAATGAGGATGTTTGAATTCTTTCTTACCTGTTTGCATTAAAAACTTGCGGAACTAGGCAAACATCAGCTATTGTCACCTGAGATGAATTGGAAAGCATTAAAAAGACTCCTTCAATTAATATATGCAACTACAAAGAATTTTGGAGCAAACTAACAACTCAACAGACCTTGTCACCAACACAGTATTTTCCACACGTTTTCTTTAGAAGTTCTTCAACATCTGGCAGTTTTAAACAAAACAAATGAATATAAGATGCTGAAAGAGGCAACTAATTATTTATACATTCATATAAATATACAAATACCCTCAAAACGTTTGTCAATCCAATAGTGTCCCCACTCAACTTTTCTTTCTTCGCCAATCTTCTTTAAAGTACCAAGATTCTAAAAATTACATGAATAATTGTTGGTCTGTTTGTACTGATATTGTAAGAATTGAAACAACAAAGTTTATGCACCTGAAGAGGCTGAATGTCACAAGCAATTATTAAAGCAACTTGCCGTGCCTAGAAAAAAGTGATATTAGAAAAAGTGATATCCATTGCTGAAAGAAATGTCCAAATCAAAACTCCATGAAAAGTAAATAAAAAAACCAACACGTATGGCCTGTTTCATGTATAAATCTTAGTCTATGAGTATACTATCTTGGCCAACATGCCATACCATGGCTCTTCTAAATGCATCAGGTGGCAACAAAGGGGGATTAGGTCGTGTCTCCTCTAGATATTCCAAGATGCTGATCTGAAATGAAAATTAAATGATAACAGATAGCTGCAGTCTGTGGGGTATGCACAAAGACAAATCAAGGTTAATATGGAGATTATGAGATATGAAGGTAAGACATACTGATTGTGTTAATGTGTGACCATCAATTTGCAGAGTTGGCAAAATACTGAGAGGATTTAGACTTTTATATTCCTGGGAAAACTAAAAAAGCACAAAAAATTAATAATGGTAAACTATCATATCAGAGGCTTCCTATACTTAATCTTAAAAACTTTCGAAAACAAACCTGTTCACCTCCATTCTTCAGCAAATGGACAGGTATTAATTCATAATGAACATCTTTCATAGCAAGAGCTTGAAAAAATTAAGGAAAAAACGCACGACTACGACACATTAATGAAAACGTGAAATGACAAGAAATAAAGACCATTATTGACGATTGCACAGTTGCACTCACTACTTACCTATACGTACTCTCCACGAACATGAGCTGTGAAAATAGGAATAGAGAACAGTCTAGGTAAAAAGAAAACTTGAATAGTTACATATCACAATGAGAAGTACAGCTCAACTTTAGCATTCAAATTGTAGTTTACTTTGCTCATTGCGTGCAGAAAAAAATAAACGACTTAAATTAACAAATTACGACCAAACTTTACAACCACTGGTCACAACCATGTGTAATTTTTGGTAATTTTTAATTGTGTTATCCTCACTACTTTATTTAATCATGATATAACGGATCGTTGGACGAGGTCAGTTAGAGTTGGTCAAGAAGGACAAGGAAGTCCGAGTCTTTTTCAATAATTTTGGGGATTAAGACAGTTTAAATACCCAATTTCACTTTACTTAAAGAACGAGTTAACAGCTCAAACCATACATGTCACAACGCAAAGTTTTGTTCGAAGTCTGCCCATTTGTACGCGCCAGAAATAGTGCCACTAGAGTAATTCTTTGGGCTGCTATGATGTAGAATAGAGACGCAAGACGTTCGTTTGTTTAGCAGCTCATTTTTGTATTATTGTGATAAAATTGACGAATATATGAGCAGTTTCTTGTAAGTCATTGTTAAAAAACATTTCATTATACTGAGGCTTGGCAAACATGCAATAAAAGATTGGAAGATGCAAAGCGTCTAATGCACAAATCAATAGAATTATAATAAAACTGTGCATTGAGGGTCTGTGCATTTGCATTATTTAAATTCTAGAAGTCATTTCCAAAACTTTTTATATTAAAGTTGAAGTGGAAGAAAATCTGATGATTTTCAGCTTTTGTAGCTTTTTTAATATTTTTGCATAGCTGTTTAAATGATTACGCTTTGCACAATTAATCATTTTTATTTTCCCTAACGTAAGATGTAAATATCTCTTTGTCATATTCGTGGTTAGGGGTGTTGTAGCCAATGGTTGTAGGAATATGTTAGCAGAAAAATGGACTTCCCCTCCAGTAGAGGCTTGTGATTGGCTAAATATGTGAAAGGGAATTCCCCAGAAAATAAAAGATTGAAAAGTAAACATTTTGTATGACCGGCTATATTACGACAACCGTCTAACGTGAAATTTGTCTTTGCCAGAGCATTTATATGCTTTGATTTTGTGCAGTAAATTTTCCGAACTATTTCATTCCAAAGCTGCATTTAGGTGCGACAGCTAAAAGGAAAATTACCACCATTAACAATACAAGATGATGACAACACAAGAAAACAAGAACGGCGTTGTAATGGGTTCACCCAAACAACCAAGAGCTGTTGAAAAAACGAAGGAAGACTATCGTCAGTACTCTAATGATAGCGATTCTAGAGTGGATTCGGGTTTTGCAAGCATGTCGGAAAATGAAAGCCAACATTCTGTCAGTTCTTGTACAGACAGTTATTATGACGAAACGCGAAATCAACAATGCGTGTCGAGCCCTAACGATTCAATGGATATGAAAAAAGTCATAAATAAAACTGAGGATTTGAAGATAGACGAAGGTTATGATTCAATGACTTCGCAAATAAATTACTTTCAAATGAATGTGCATTGTTTACAGAGTTTTGCTCGAACGCAAAACCTGCGTTTTATGATGGCGGCTAATTGGCCATATTTACTGGTACGAAATGGCGATGGAGACACGTATGTATTTGTTTTTGACAAACTTTTATAAGAAATCGATTTATGTATGTTAAGGTGTGATACAGCTCACGTAAAATATACTTTGGGGCGTGAATGCGTGTGATTATGACGGTAGAAAAATTTTGGGAATTACCATTCATTGTTTTTGACTTTGCTTGCTTGACTTTGCTGGGGGGTGAAACGTCATAAGGATTATTATTCTGGAATGTTTTCTACTTAATTTTAAATTTTAATAAGAACTGTAAGCAAATCATGATGACCATTCACTTTAGAGTCGCTCTTTCTATTTTAAGTGTTTTGAACATTTCCGCCCACATTTGATGTGAATTAAATTTTACAAGTGAAGGAGGATGTCAAACATTTTCAAAGAAGTCTTATTGTTAAAAATTCCCTCAGACTTCCTTATTCCATTGTGATTAATCCACAAAATATTTTTCTTATAATAGATCATTACATGTGGCAATTATCAATTGCAATGCTGAAGTCATTGATGCTATTGTGGATGTATTACCAAAAAGGGAATACTTTGATCTTTACAACAACTTAATACAAACGCCACTTCATTTGGCAGTGATAACAAGACAGCATGGAGTTGTTTCAAAACTTATTGATCGCGGAGCTAGTGTTGAACTTGTAGATAGAAATGGTCAGACATGTATACATCTTGCTTGCTATCATGGAGACTTGAAATCTCTGAAAGCTATTTTTAAATCATGCCCAAAGAATTTGGATCACAAGCTGCAGTTGCAAGAGCTACTGGAATCACGAAATTTTGATGGTAGGATTTTGAAATAGTTTTTGTAACACACGGTATCATTTATTTAGAGTTGACAAATTTCTCATCAATTCTTTCAGGCTTGACTCCTCTTGGTGTTGCAGTAAAAGAGAATCACATTGATATTGTTAGAGAACTTATCAAACTTGGAGCAAATGCAAATGCTATGGTACAAACATATTAAATTATAAAAGTTTTCATCTACAACCATTTTCTTAACAATTTGTCTATTTGTTTTCAGGACAGTAAAAATGGTAATACAGTATTGCATTTAGCAGCTGAAAACAACAATCTTCCAATGTTATCCTGTTTATTGTTTGAAGGCCAGGCAGACCCTAATGCACAATCATTTTCTGGCTGCACCCCTTTGCACATTGCTGCAGGATTGAAATTTGAGACAATTATAGCAACTCTTGTTGCAGTTGGGGCAAGTACAACAATAGAAAACGATGAAGGAGATACCCCATATGAAATAGCTAATGATGATGACATAGATGAGGATGATAACTGTATAGATGTGGATGATTAGATATCTGAAGCTTCCAAGCCTAGTATCATGTATAGAAATGTTCAGAAAATTTTAATGCGATTGAGGGTAAGGTGAGCTCAGAAAGAAAAGAAGGGATAAAGGTTAAAAAGGGTAAAGTGAGCTCAGAAAGAAAAGAAGGGATAAAGGATAAAAGTAAGGTGAGCTCAGAAAGAAAAGAAGGGATAAAGGATAAAAAGGGTAAGGTGAGCTCAGAAAGAAAAGAAGGGATAAAGGATAAAAAGGGTAAGGTGAGCTCAGAAAGAAAAGAAGGATAAAGGATAAAAAGGGTAGTGAGAGGGACAGACATTTATTGGGTAATTTATTGAAACATTTTGAAAATGAAAGAAAAGAAACTGTCGCAAAAAATTTCATATGAAAAAGAATGTGATTAGATTGTGCACCTTAATAAAATGCAATTTAATTTAATTTGTCATGTAAAGAGTTGATTTTCTTTTGTTGTTTTCAACATAAGGATTTCATTGTTCTTTTACAAACATCACCACTTAAGTCATAGCTTTCTAGTTTTAAAAAAGTGTATGCACAATCCATTAGAACGTTCCATGTGAGCAAATTGATAATGTAAAATGACAAAATTGAGTGCGTATTGTTCATATTTTTGAGTTGTTATGTGGTTCCATCATTGTATCACATGAAATTAAAAGTTTTTATTCAAGTTTGTGCAGGTTTTTTGAAGGTCTTGTAACACATATTTTATTTAATTTCAAAGCTATATCTTTTTAAAAAAGGTAACTATTGCATGGTTGTTTGAAGAAAACTCCTTTTACTTTGACTAAAAGAATGAGATAGAACTTTCATTAACTACCTTCACAAATTTTAAAGGCATTGCTTTATATGTTATTAAAATTCACAAAACTCAATCTTGAAATAATCAATGTGCCAATTAATTTGTAATGACACAAACTCATTGATTAATTTTCACAACAGCATGGCAACATGTTGTCACAAAATTCCTAAAAGTAAACACAAGTGACAATTTAGATATTTCTAATATCAAATTTAATATATTTCACCCCCTTTCACAAATTCATAAAATTTTCAAAAATTAAAAATTACAATATCGTTCAATATGACTTCTGTCTTCAGTGACGAGTTTAAACCCCTTTTTTGGCATAAAATAAACCCCACTTTTGATATCCAATGGAGCAACGTTTTAGCTTCTTTGTCCATCCAGATATTAAGGCATTATAGTCTTCATGTGTGAAAATCTTACAAAAAAAAAACCTGAAGTAAGTTAATCCGGTTAACAGTTAAGATATACAGAACACACATACCTTCAATAATTCATCCTTGTTTGTCACTGTGCGCTCTTTCTCTTTTGTCAAAACATTTATAAACTGTTCAGTTCTGTCCTGCGCATCAACATCAGCAAAACCAACTTTTTCAAGAAGCTACAATGATTTTAAACACATAAGCAGAATAAAGGCAATGACATATTCAAAAGATTGAAATTGTATTGGACCCAACACCTTTCCATACGAAGATGGATCCAATAAAAAATAGTTTCTTTGCTTCACATAGCTTATAAATTCTTCATTTTCAATATTTGTACCACAGCAGTAATCTGAAATAAGCAGCTGGCCTCCAGGTTTCAACCATTTCTATTCAAATGGAATAAGAGATTTTCTTTACGTAATTATGACTTCTGATGAAGTTTGTTCTTTAACCCATAACAAGTAGGAACTACACTTTACTGACATGACATAATCCAAACAGCTCTTCTTTTTGTTCAATATGTAGTATGGTGTCTCGCGAATATACAACATCAAATGAATTGGCTTCAAATGATGCTTTCAAAGCATCCATCACAAGCAAAGTCACCTAGGGTACACAAAACAATGAATACAAAACGTCTTTCCGATTGTGAAACTCATAAACTGTATTACTTTATCTTTGATATTTGCTTTCTTTGCAGCTCTTTCCAAAGCAATGTTCACCATATTTGTTGAAAGATCAATACCAACAACATTTGCACCAAATTTCTGGGAGAAAAAGCAAATAGATAATATGAATAAAAGCTGAATTTACCCTAATTGCAAAGAATACAACATTGAATTTATCAATACCTCTGCCATATAAAATGCACTTCCTCCAATACCACATCCAATGTCCAATACTCTCTGATTTTCCTTCAGATTTAAACGACTAACAAATTCCTACACGGCAGAGGGATCCAATATTAGGCAAAACAAATTACAAAAAAACAACTTCAATTGGTTAGATTTTATTCTTTAGAGGACTCATCATGAATGGCATGGTAGTTAAAGGATTAGTGCAATGATTTCTTTTGTCAAACCATGAATCTCACTGTTGCTCGAAGCTACAACATTTAAGAAAAGATAAATATGATGGGCTGCTAAATTTATGGTGAATGTTTTAGCTAAAAAAAGGGAATTCAAGAATGTTGAATTCAGGTACAGAAATGCAATGATTTAAAAAAATGTACAATCACAAAGGAGTCCGGTGTTCCCACAGTAACAGGTGATGAAATTATTGCGGTATAACCTGTGTAAAGAATATTTCCAAATTTTCCACACAGCCAACAGAAATTATTTTGACATAAAAAGTGCAGGAATCTCTATTTGCCTTTACCTTGGTTGTCTCAATCCCACCTGTGCTGACAAAATCTTCACCAAAGATTTTTTCATATCGAAGGATGCCGTTTTTGGTGTATTGATTCTGATCCAAAAATTTCTGCAATTTTGTAGAGCTATCTTGTGCCATCTTTGTTTAGTAGGACCAGATTTTGTGATGATTTCTGACTTAATTCTAGTTTTATTCTACAATTTCCAAAATCGCACGAAATTCAAGAAGCATTTGTGTATTCTAAGGGCCTCATGTGTCATGGTGTTATCACAAGAGCTATTGTACCATACGGCAACTGATCTCTACGTTAAACTGAATTTATGGCTGATGTTCAAGTCCAAACTTCTCGAGCCAATATGCTCCAAACGCATTGAAACATGAAACTATATACCCAGCTTGAGGCTTGTAGGACAAATTATAAAGAAAACTCTTTAATAAAAAAAAGTAAAACAAAAACAGTGAAATGCCAACAAACAGAAATAGCGAGTTTTTCCCAATAAATTAATGTAACTATTCTACATAGAATAAATATTTCTGTACAGTTCAAAACAATCTAAATCTTCTCAGAAAGGACGCACCGACTTTACCTACTCTTAAAAACTGGGTGAGAAACGTTGTAATAACAATAGCAATAATATTTAAACCTTTTAAGTTAGTGGGTTTCCATATCAAATATGTTAATTTCATATTTGTAACCGACATAGACGCTAAAAACTAAAGAAAATAAGACAGAAAATACAAAACACAAAAACAGGACTTGTCCAGAAGCACCTAAAAAAATAACAAGAAATAAGAATTTGGATTCAATAATATCCAATAAGAATTCAAACCTGTAGATTTCTCATCAGTTGTCAAAGATTTATGAATGACATCACCAGATTCTGATTTTCCTGTTCCTTCATCTTCACTCGAAAATACATCATTCCTGGTCTCATCTTGGGATTTACCCTTTTCATCAGCAGAAACTTGAAACTGTTCCTCAGAATCGTTTGCACTCTCTTCATGTAATACTTCACGATCCTCGACATGCTCATTATTGGCTATATCATCATCGCCCGTTGGTTGAGAAAACCTTTTCATAGCCGCTAGGAAAAAAACGAAGCATTGATGAAACATAAAACAACATTAGCCCAAGCCCATGAGGTCGTCGTCAGTAGAACTAACACTTTCTGACGCATTGTCTAATTGAAATCATTTCCAGGATTATCATGAAGTTAACGACGTAAATATGGATATTTTTTACGAGAGTTACCATGGAAAATACCTTTAATTTAATGACGGTTAAGAGTTTATAAGCATCTAAAATTTCTAAATGTAATCAGGGAAAGCTAGTCTTGATACAAAAATTCTTAAAATGGCTGGTACTATTCTTATGCTACAGTATTTAGATAATTTCTTCTAGCAACTAGTCGTTGTTCATCATTTCTTACTTTCTGTTCTACAGAAGCACATTACAAGGATTAAAAAGTAGGTTCACTTCCCTGTACAACTTAGTGTTACATAATTAATTAGGTTACAAGCATTTTTAGTTCGATGTTTTATTACAATCAGTAAGTTAGAACATGCATTAGACTGACTGACTCTATGGTAATAACATTTAAAAAAATTTAACAGAGCGGCCTTTTATTTTAACCCTATCGGTAGAGTAGTTCTACAGAAGAATCATTTACCGGTATATTGTTCTCTCCCCATCTTGGCATAGATAAGTGTGAACTGATTGAGGCTTTGAATCGTGATACGATGCGATTCTCCGTACATTCTTTACGAAGCTGTGTTGCCTAATGAAAACAATAGATTATGGATTAAAAAAAATTAGTTTTGATCACTATTATCAGATCAGTGGTTTTGATGCTATAGCAGTTTGAAGTGACGTAATACGTACCTTTCCAGCGTATTCTAAAGCAAGCTGAATGCTGAAAGAGAAACGAAAAGATTTACAATGAAATCTAAGCAACGAAGACGAAGAGCTTTTGTTTCAACCTACTTCTTTTCGTGCAGACACATTTGAGACAATTTTTCGTATTCGTTTGCTGTCAATGCGTCATGGGAACTTGCGTTAGGATCAAGAGACTGAAAGAAAAGTTTCCTTTAAGTGCTTCAGATATTAAACTGTAAAATGGACTTTTTTAACATTAATGTTCGTATGATTACTAGGGGAGTTATATTGAAGTTTTTGTGACATGTAATTTGGAGAATTTATGGTCAGTTGCTTTTAATTAATATAATACTCTCTCCATTTATTGAATAGATTTGTTTTACATCAAGTGATCAGTTTTCATCATATTCAAAATTTTTAGAAATAAGCCAGGGAAGACGATAATAAGACGATATTAGGATAAGTAAATTAAGAAACAACTGACCATAAATCAATATATTTATAATATGCACAAATACTCAGTGATGAGATAACAGCTTACTACCAAATCCCTTTCCTTGTCCTTAAACTCTATATAAAAAGGTGAGTGCGTTGTAAGAAAACATGTGAATCATAGGTTTTACTCACTTTACAATCAATTTACAAATTTTATTACAGAAATTATCTGATTATGTGCAGTCCACTCGATCAATTCCCACTTACTTACAGCTTCACAATAATTTAAAACTGTAACTTTACACTCAAATTTGCTTTGCTTACAATTACTACACATTACATCTGATGCATTTGCTTAAATGCAGCATAACTTAAATCCAACCAGAATATTTAAAGAAAGTTAAGTTTATTCATCCCATCTCGAGAAAACATCATCAACAAGAACATAGACAACTTATTGTATAAAAACAAACTTCTAAATTGAAACAAAATGATAAATTCCTACCATTTGATTCTTGTTTTCCAGCTTGAATAAGTGCAGTTTCATAAAACAGTTTTCTGCCTGGACAAATGGAATGGCCTTCTCAACTGAGAATCAAGTTAGGGAAAGTCAGTTTTGAGTGCATATTTAACAGTAATCAATTATAGGGTAGAAAATGTTATAGAAAAGAAATGCAACAGAATGGTGAATTCTATACAAAAAATGGATACATTGACCAAGTTGGCTGTACATTTCTGCAACCTAAATAGGCATATAAATTGAAACAAAAAAATAAATTATTTTTTTAAAGCAAAAAACAGAAAATGTTAATCTTACATTGTGGAGACAGGAAGGCAACTCAGGAAATGCATCATCTTCTTCAAGATCTTGAAGACAGCAAAGGAAGCATTTTAATGCATTTTCATATGAGGAATTTCTCTGTAATTAAAGGACAACATTTTAGTTGTTGTAGCAAACAGGAATATATTCCTAAGTGACTATTACTTATCTCTATCACAACTCTGGTCTCAGGGTAAATTGAAGCAGTACCTTAAATCTAAAAGAAAAAAGAGTTTCAAATGTATCACCATAGAAACAAACAATGCAACTTAAAATAAAGAATGACATTCACAAAACACATGCCTATCTTTTTTATGCACTCAAATCAAATTAAGCACCTCAATATAAGATAACAAAGAATTACTCACTTAAGTCCTTTTTCATATAAAATTTGTCTTTCGTTTCCAGGTTTTCTTTCTGAGGTTTCTAATAAGCTTTCACCTGACGACAGCTTGTTAATAGTGTCCGAACTAAGCATCTCTATTTCTATTGTTATTTTAATACGTTCAAAAATAGATAGCTACACAAGAATTTTCGTATATATTACTACAAAACAAAAAATGTCGTTTAACCTAACTTTCAAAAGAATGCAGTCGGATTATCGAATAGCTCACAAAGTACAACTGAGTAAAGGAATATTCCCTCCCCCAAAATTAGCGTAAACTGGGACGGCTCTGGAAATCTTGTGAGTATTAAGTAATATGCAGAAATATCACTTGTATTGTTAATTTCATGTATGTAGAATTGTATGCCGACTGGTTTATGTCATACTAGTGTTTTTTTGCGCTTATTACCAACATGATTTTGGACCAATGTTTTGGGCATTCCACTGGATATTCCCTTCCGGGTGTTCTTTAGCACAACCTGAAGATGACTGCCCTTTTTCATCCACTAAAAATATGCTTATTTCTGCAATGGAATGGATTCCATTGCAGAAATAAGCATATTTGTTTCAAATCATGACCTAAGAAAGTCTTTTATAATAACATGTGTTGTTGTGCCATCAAAGCTGTAATTAAATACTACATGCTTGGTCAATTCCAAAATGAGGTAAAACAAGGTTTTTATTATGCAAATTCATGATTACCAACAAAGAAAGAAGACAACCCCTCTTCCAATTATCATTTCGACACAATGATCTTTAATTCTACCCAGTTCTGTAGAACTAAATTTATCAGATGGGGGGGCTCTCTTGACAAAGCTGAAGCCATGAAATTATGAAAAATTACCCATTTCAAAGGTAGAAGGGGGCTCCTCCCCCAAGCACCCCGCACTTCTACAGCACTGATTCTACCCAAAAATAAGCATAAGCATATTATGTATATGCAATTCTCAGAGTTTTGTCTCTCACAAAAAACCTTGCCAGCAAAACTGTATAGATTAGAGTTTGTAGGGTCATGCACAATGTGTGAAGAAATAGACTCGTGATGTTTGGATTTTGGACAGGGGTCTACACTCATCGGTCAGTTGTCTCACTCAAAGGTACACCAGACAATCTCATTATATCACTATCCAGTAAAGATGGTCATGTGACTTTTGGACATGTGATTGGAGAAATGATAGTTTTCACTACTTGTGAAATAGTTCTTGGGGAAAAGAAAAGTTGAAATGTTACTGAAAACCTTTTTGTATAAATAATTCTAATAATTTAGTATAATATAACATATTATTCTTAAATACTAATTCTGATTTATTCTTTCGTTGAATTTCTTCATGAGTAACTCTGAATATTTCTCTAACAACGGAGCGATTTGTTCGTTTTCACGCGTCGAGAGAATATGTTCCGTTTGTTGGGTCTTGTCTATGGTCTTCAAGAGTTGCGAACATTGCGTTTCAGCGTCGCGAGTTTTTGAGTTTTCTTCTGGAGTGATTTCCGCGTTCTTCGTTGTTCGTGGTGAACGCAATAAGCGTTTTTCTCGTTCGCTTTTGCAGTCGGCAATACTTTCTGAGATAGTTGTAAATGTTGCAGCAAGCATAGAAAGACCTTGTCTTTGATCATCTTTTATATCGCCGTTAAGAATCTAGAACGGGTGACAAAAATTATAAAATATTCGAGGGATCTACTAAAATATTGAGAATGCACACATCAATCCAGTGTTACCCCGGAAGGCAACCATTAACAGAATAAACAACACAGATTCGAGCAACATAGCTCTACTACTAAAAATTTAGGATATAATTTTAACCCATGGCCATCAAAGCAGACATTTGTTCTTCATAGAATAAAATCAAGAGATAAAAAAGAATTATTTTAAACCTTAACAATATTCAAGAGATTTTTACCTTCGAATGACACTCTAAGGCTCGTTGAAACGTTCTCACCAAATCGACAACAATCTCTTGACATTCTTTAGTCGTGACCTCTATTGATTCTACGAAAGTAGTTCATGTGAAACAATAAAATGCCAAAAAATTAATAGGCTAAAGTGATCACACAAAAATCAATTGAGATGATCTTCTGCAAGTTTTTGTTCTGTAGTCAATTAAAGTTTTTATTCTTACCATCTTCGTCATTATTTCCACGAGTCCTTCGGTATTCTTCAGAAGTGTCATCATTTCCCATAATGTAATTTCGTGACATACTTAATTTGACCAGTTTTGGTGGTGGAGTTGCCAAGGCAGCGGAGAGCTCAGCAGATAGTTCACTCAAATTAGACTCTGTAATATCTTTTTCGCCGATTTCCTGCGTTGAATCGTACTTCTGTTGACTTTTTGCATTTCTGTACTTCGTCTGTTCATCTAAAGCTTCAATTTTCTGTTCAGCGAGAAGATCGCCACAGGACTTTGTTTTGGATAAGTTATCCTTGGGAACAGAACGTCTTCTCTCATTTGTTTTTTTGGATGTAAGTTTCGCAATATTGAATGGGAAAGATCTTCTGTTTTGTGATTTGTGCTTCTTTTCTTCCTCTTTCGTTCTATTAACGGCATTTTTTCCCTTTTCGTCTTTAGATTTGAGTTTTTTATCGTCTTGCTTGATACGAGTTTGAACCTTTTCAACTTTAATACTTGTTTTACTCGCTTTATCACTCGTGTCAAAGAAAGCTATCAGCTCTGAAGCTTTCTTAGGCGAAGGTTCCTTGGAAGATGTTGCGTTTTTCATTCCCTGGACTTTTCCGGTATTTAGGGAGAGCCCTTCACCTTCCATATTTGATCTCCTTCTCCATAGTGTGGGCTCGTTGTTCTGTTGTGAAATTTCACTAGAAATTTTGATCACAGGTTTCGTTACATTATCTGTAATTTTTTCTTCTTTTTCTCTATTGATTGAGTTCTCTGTGTTCTTTTGGTCACTGCTACATGGTTTCTCATTTTTCGTCGCAGGCGTGTGACGTTTTGTCCAGTTGTCCAATGATTTGAAACCCAGCTATACAGAAGAATGGACGCAATGAGAGAATAATTCTTGATACATGCGAAAAGTATGACGAAAGATCATGTAGATAATTTCCCTAGTTTTGAAAGTTTCTATATCCTACCTCTTCAAGACGTCTCTTGGTGGATTCAAGTTCTTGATCAAGCTACACCATCAAAAAATATCCAAAAAAATAACACTGCATGAAATTTTCCGAATAAACAGTGAAAATAACTATTTAAAACCCACTTTATTAACTTGGTTGATGCTCTTGTTTGCCAAGCCTTCGTCTTTTTTCCCCAGGCCTTCGTCTTTTTTCCCCAGGTCTTCGTCTTTTTCCCCCAGGCCTTCGGCTTTTTCCCCAGGCCTTCGGCTTTGTCGACATTGCTTACCGACCTAAAATAAAACAAATATGTTTGATAAACTGGCGCATAGTTTTTACTTTAAATTTCTCATTTAACATAGAGTTAGCGGGTTCTTAATCCTTTATTGAAGATAACCATGGGCGGCAGAAGTTTGACAATAAGGGGGGGGGGAGGTGTATACATATATTCTTATTGACCACAATTGATTTCAATAAAAAAAATAATAAAGAATATAGTCCCTCCCAGATAAAAACCAACATATATTTAAGTTTTCTTTAAAAAAAACAAGCGTTGTGATCTTTCCCATTCGTACCTGGAGGAACTCAGTTTGGACCTTTGTATGAATCTCGCAGAAATACTGGTGCGATGAAAGTTATTGCGATCAAATGGAAGCGGTTGATCAGGCAAAGCTTTTGTAGCGTCTTGAAATAGCAATTCTTCTTTTATCTCGGTCGGAGTCATGTTGAGATTTTCAAAATTCTCATTGTAGAATTCTTCCCGCGTTTCGACCTGTTCCAGACTACGTGATGGCATATCAGAGAATTCTTCCCATTTTGGAGCAATTTCCGCCGTCAGTAAATCTTCATCATCGGAAATTGAATCACCTAAGTTGTGCAATTTTACAAAACAATTTAAGCAAGGTTTGAAAAAAAAGAAGATAAGGAATTAGAGACGGACGAGTAGGCAAAAGAGGAAATGTAATATATTATGACCAAGAAAATCAAATTTCAATTCGACCAAACTTAAATATGCTACGTTACTGCACAACTACATAAGAGATTTGCCAGTGAGAAAACAAAGTTTTGAGATTGCTTATCTCAAAACAAACTTACTAGCATTGTTTAAAATGTAAATTTCTTTTTTCAGTAACTTTAGACAAAATATGGTATCACATCAGAATGTTAAATATATGGATACTAAAATATTCACAGCTACGTTTTGTGCAGAGTTAATTCGTGTAAAGATGTCTTAACTTTCCCCTGAAACTTCTCCAATACAATCAAAACCATTAAAATGTTATAATTGCTTTAAGCCGAAGTTGTTTATACATAATTCTCTACGTGAATTAAATTTTTTTGTTGAAATGAAAAACTAACATAAGAGAACTGTGTCACCTGTTGGATCGTCCATCTCATCTCTAGGACTCGATCCTTCGTTCTAAAAACAAAAAATTGACCATCAGACAAAGCCCAGCCAAAAAATCGTCTCATTATTTAATCTCCTACCGATCCTTTTTCATCGCTACAGTCTTCATAGACCTTCACGTCATAGGGCCTGAAAAGACACATAAGATTCAATGCACATACATAGCTTAATTGTACAAATCTCACCGAAGGTAAAAGAGTCAGTAACATATATATGAATTCATATAAATTACGTTTTAACATTAGGTTCTTGTATAAGTTATGAAAGTTTAGGATAAAGAAAAAAGAAGCCAACTACGGCGAAGGTTTTTAAGTAGATAGTGTATATCTTTAATAGTTGATTAAAAGACAATACAAATAATACTTTAAGTTGAATGGTCAGTTAGCAAAGCATTTTCCTTTATCGTCAAAATATAAACTTACAATTTGTCTAAAGATTGTTCAGACGAGCGTCCTCTCTTTAAAAGAGCAAATTCAACTTCGTGTATGACGAGGTTGTCCATGGAATGTCCAGAACGCATTTCAAAGAAGCTTATCTCATCCAATGGATTTTGGAGTATGTCCTCTATAGATCGCCTTCTTAGTGATACGGCATTACAAACTGGTGTTATATTTTTTTTAACAGATGTATTCAGTTGCAGATCTTGTTTACTATCGGGTTTAAGAATCGAGTTAACGTTTACAGCTTTGTCATTTGTATTAGTTCTACCTTTCTTTCTGTTGTCAAGTCTTTAAAGAAAAGGTTTAATGATCGGTTAGTTTCTCTTATGTTAGTTTGGAGTGCGCAGAAAAATAAGAATTGGTTAATTTAGATGGTGAATTAATGAATCAACACGAATTTACTTGATAGTATAATCTATAATTTGTATGATCCTTTAACGAAATTTTTGATTTAAAGATTAGCGTTAACTGTAATGTAAACCTTTGAACAGAAGGCTACCTTTAGATAAACATGGCTGTTTTAACATGAAGTCAAATGAACAAATGAACTTTTTGAGTCGTGTGTGGGAGGATTGCTTCAATGAACTTATGGAGATGGCTCCATAGGTTAAGACATCGTTCATCCAACAACAATAACTTGCAACTATTTCAAGGCATCTTACCTGGAAACATCTCCATCTAATTCATCTTCATTGGGATAATAAATGATGCCATCTTCAACATCATCGCTTTCAGTGTTTACCAAATCACCTTCCTCGTTGCTCTTTAGAAAGGTCACATTGACGTCACTGCCACGTGACATGGTGACATTAGACTGAAATTTTGTCACTGCCTGTAAAAACGAAAATTACAAACATAATAAGAGACAAATCAACAAAGTCATGTAAAAGTAAAAGTATACAAAAAAACACTTTTTCGATGTGTTTTACATACTCCAGGCTTATATTTTTATCGAGCAGTAAATTTGAAATCACATAAAATAGGGACTCACTGCATGGTGAATTTCTTTCTCGTATTTTTGCAAAGTCAATTCAGCATTTCCAGAAAAATTAGGTTCATCGTTCATCTATAAATATAAACCTGATGTCCCTTACAGCGTTCAACATAAGCATTGTATTTAAATGTATTGATGGTAGCTTACGGAGCCGTTCGAGAGACGCTTTTCTAAGGGCTAAAAAATGTATAAAGAATGACATTAGACAAAAAATCAGAAAACAAGGATATAGGCATATAGAACAAGGCAAAATGCACTTACAATAGTAGCCAGATTATGAAATGGTTTTGATTCAAGTGTACCGTCTACAAAAGACAAACATATTAAGTTATATATCATCCTCAATAATCCTTTGAAACAATACGTTTTCTTACCAACAGAATGTTCACCGTCATCGACATTGTCTGGAAAAAATTGCATTGGATTGAAACGCTAAATGAAAAAATAAAGGAAAAAATATATTTGATTTAATTATTTATATCCATTCATCGCAACATTTCACATTAACCTCGGCCCAACGTCCTTCAGGTTTTGATTTCGCAGTTGATACAGAAGTTTCTTTTGCAGATTCTGTAATTATTGACACTTCTAAATCATCAGCATTCGCCATCACCTAAAAAATTAAATGAAAAATTGTCGAACGACGGGAATAACAATCTTGAGTTTGAAGTGAACTGGTGGTATAATGGTAAAGAAAAAAGATAAAATGTTTAAACGCGTTCATTACAAATAACTCGGAGTTAAGTGAGATAGTTTATCTAAGTTAAGTACTGATAGCAATAAGCATTTTGACAGCTCACCTGTTTCTTTGCCCAATTGGGCAATCTATGAATGACACTTAAGCGATAACCACCCAGGACTGTATTCGCTGATAAAAAATACACAAAATTCGTGAACTGTCAGTTGATGAAAAAAATTTCAACCCATCATTTCAATCCTTCTAGACATTAGAGCAAATATTGTGATCTTCAATCAGGTTTGATCGCGTGTAGATCTGAATAATATAGACTGTTGCATGACTTTCTTGGATGAATAAAACTTTCAATCAGGATTAAAAAATACTTAAATACCATTTTGTTAATAAGAAATAACAACTAACGTTCATTTGACGTAAACATTTCGTGCGAAGCAGGTTGAAACTCCTCTTCATTGGCATCCAATACATCTATTGCTGTTCTGTTGGGTGTATCTTGTAACTTTTCTATCATATTCTGGGGCAGGCGAACATCAAACGATTTCAAGTAAAAAATGAACAAATTCCAGTTTTAAGAAAGTTAAAAATCAAGACGCATATCAATTTGTTGACTTACCTGACTAAACACCGAAGGTAGTCTCCACACAAAAATACAACTGAAAGCGACAGAAATTGCATTTTAATACAAAAATACGTACATACACTAAACGCAATCGAAAGAAATATTGAAAATGATCAAACCTGTCGGCCGACACTGTTATTAGTCGCTGGCAGTCTAGAGAAAACTGGAAACCAGTAACGATTTCTGCATGTAAATAAAATGGTATTCGTTTTGATAGAAGATAATGAGTTTGTAGCAAATTTAAATGCGATGCAAGAACTTGCCAGAATGTCCAATCATTCCTGCAACACATTCCCCAACATCGAAATCATAAAGTGCAAGAGATTTATCTGAGCAGCTTGTTGCTGCATAAAATCCAGAGCGATCCAACAATACCTGTCAAAACTTAGGAAATCAACAACGATAGCATCAACATTAGCAACCTAATCCCAATCCAATAGTTTGTACTAGGCAAAACTAAAGATCGGAGATATTGACCAGTAAGAGTGGTAAAACCCTGCAGAGATAAACACCCAGGTTCTCAAAATAACCAAAGTTCTACCGTTACATGAAAAAATTCTAACGATTAAACCTTTATATGCTAGAAAGTCAAAACAAAGTTTCCTCCAAGACATTGGGTTGACAAATTTTTAGTGCTTGCCATTTATGATAAAAGGACACAGAGGAATACAAGGACGCATAACATCTCTACACAACCTTGCCATACCATATTATTTACCTTAAATATAACGCCATCGTCGCCCATCGCTGCCTTAAATGATCTCAATTGTTTCCCACTAGCTATGTCATAAACTCTTAATAAACAAAACAAAATGAGTTGAGATCATTGAGCCAATCATCCACCGGATTCTATCATACACGAACCTCATATTTCGATCTTGACCAGCAGTCACAGCACACTCCCTATACGAAGGAAAATATAGATCACGTTATCAAATGCGTTTAAGAGAAATCGATGTAAATGGAAGTATCGAAGAGATATTTCTTCTGTAGAACGCACCTTAATGGATGAATATCCATGTCATAAAAAGTTGTTTTGGTGGCGACATTTGTGTATCTGGTGAATTGAAACTCTGGTTCCTAATTAATTGAAGGGTAATGGTTACTTAATAAAGCAACTGAACAATTCACAGACATGTTCTAGAACTTGTTATACTTTAAGTAACATTTAACAGCAGGTCCATAAGATTGGTAAGTGCAAATATTTCGTTTTTAAAAGAGTTACATGTGAAGTCACAGTTTTGATGAAAACTGGCGCCTACCTTAACTGCAGACCTGAATATCACGGATTTATCAGCAGCACAACTTATCAACTGGAGAGTTTTATCGTTCACTGGCAACAAAAACAACCAAAATTAATATGATCAATTAAGAGAAAAAGTGTAAATGCTCACAGCAAAAATGTACATTAGTGCAATTGAAATAGAAATCAAAATATTTGAAAAACTATTTGTGAAGGGGTATTTATATCCATTAACATCAGACTACTTAGCTACGTTCAAATTACGTATATTGAAGAAATCGACGTTTTTTCTACTTGAAAATCTTCTGAATGAGTGCGTGCTTTAGATGTCACTCTAAGTTAGTAAATGGCCTTTTTAACCACGTAACATAGTGACGGTGTGTGTGTTACAAAAACAGAAAGATAATCTGGAGTGGTTTTCATAACTAGCTATGAACTAGACTCCTCTCCCCCTGAAGAAGATCTTCTTAGTCTTTTACGTTCAAAAACAGAAAAATAATCTGACACTCACTGTTGAATCGTATCGACGTAATTGATGCTGAATGATCATCGATGGTTTGAAGAAGATTGAAATTATCTTCACAGTCAAACACGTGTATCAAACGATCTCTACCAGCGCTCGCTAACAGGCTAAACTCTGAAACCGTTAAAAGAACCCAAGTCTGTGACCATAAGAAATGACCATGAAACGCAAAAACAAGCGTACATTTATACGAACCGGCATCTGGAGAAGAGTATTCAATGCAAAGAACCTCTGACTCGTGCGCTTCTATTTTGAGTATTTCCCGCATTAGAGGTATCTCAAATGTTCTAAGTAAAAGGATAAATAGATATATAAAAATGTTGTAGGCTGGACACGAAGCCCTCGTCGTTGTGTGTACCTTATATTCCCCATTTTATCCCCAGATGCCAACTGACTTCCATCAGGAGACAACTTTATACATCTCAATCCAAGCTTGGACTCAGGCTCCTTGTGACCTTTTTCTTACGTTATAGAATGACATAGGTAACATAAGCAACACTAGCAACATGAGTAACAATACAAGCAACAACATAAGCAACAACGTAAGCATCAACAGTGGCAATAATATGGGCAACAACACGGGCAGCAACATGGGCATCAACATGACCAACAACATGAGAAACGACATAAGAAACAATAGTAGAAGCAACATAAGCAACAACATAAAAACATCTAATCATATAGAAATTGTAGTAAATCACAGTAATCTGTGTAATTTAAATTTTGAGTACTATGAGAAAGCTATATATATGAAAAATTTGATGGGAGGAAAACATCAAAACATCAAGATCAACCTTTATGACATTTCATGTCCTTCAAGTTTGTAAGGTCTTTTTCAGTATACAGAACTTGTAGCAACTCCTAAGAAAGAAAAACATGGCCACAATAGAATAATAATTTTCACATTGCACCAAGTCGTCAGAGCCCACTGTTTTCAAACTCGTACGCAAAGCATCTCTTCACCTTTGGGGGACGCGAGCTTTGAAAAGAAGTTTTCCTTGTTTTAATAAATATCTCACCTTGCTATAGATGTTTCTATATGGCGTCATTTTACTGCCTAGTAACACATGTTAAATAAATGAAAGAATATTTCTCAATAGTAACAGGCAACAGTTTTATCTTTGAAATTGATGTATGTACCAGTTTCAATATTCCACACACGAACAGTACCGTCAGATGAACACGTGAAGAACGAACCAAAAGGTACTTTCCCAGGAATATCTGGAAACGCCTGACGAAATTACGAAAGTTTGGATCATTATCGATAATTACCACCGCTATACGTTAACTTTCCTTATTATTACTTGATACAAATTCAATAATACCTAACTGTACCTTATCTCATTTCTCAAAACATACTCAATTATACATTCATATACCTAATCACTCCTCCATACACACTCGATTATACTTCAATATACCTTATCATACCTCAATGTCCCAGACACAAGAACTATGATAAAGAAAGGATGAAATTTTTCCAATTTTCTTCACGTCGTTAATATCCCAGATGTATATACTATGATCATTATAAATACACGTCAACTAAACAACACAACACAAAAGGCAACATTTTTAGTGTAAACTCAACCAAAGAACAATGTTCGTACATAAAACGAGAAAGTTACCCTTGTTCCATAATGATCTAAAGTTATGGCTATGGTGTCTGGATAGTTTGCATTGTCAACCTTTGTCAGGAGATGGCTGGAAATGAAAGTATGGAAACAAGATTGATTTTGGTTTATCAAACCAAAGATTGATAAAGATTGATTGGTTTATCAAACAAGATTGGCGATGGGTATAACGAGAGATATGGCGAGAGATAGAGACGTTTGGCGTAGAAAAGTTCGTGGACCGGTCAACCCCCCTGGCGGGGATTAATACTGGCCGGTATACAAATGTTGTTTGTTTGATTTCAAATGCAGCCGTTATATTGTTAAATGTTATTGTTTTTTACTGCCGGCAAAAGCATTCAACGCAAAATAAAGTGAAGAGGAAGACTACGATTATTTCTTGTTTTTTACAGTACTTTTGAACTGCAAGAACATAACATTTCTTAAAGATTATGTGAAAACGACGATAATTTTTACAATAAACATGGAACTATACTTACAGTTTCCAGTCATTCACACGTATATTTTGCTCATATTTTATTTTGCATCTTTTTCAAAATAGATGAAAGTTTTCGTTATCACTACGTAGTCTTCCTTCCTGAATGTTATTGTCCATGTTAGTACAGTCCTCGGTACGACTATTTGTGTTAGTGCTCACTGACGTTTCTAAATACGTCCTCAGAGTAAATAAATATTGCTGAGGATGTTAGTCAACATGCACACCAAGTATCCTACTAAGGACTTCACTAACCTGAACGATTAACATCTACAATATCTATGCATAGGATAGTAGTCAAAGGACACCCACACATGATAATTGATTACCTTGCATCATGACCAGCAGCAACATCAACACCAAGACAATGCGGTTTTGGTAAAGAACCAATAAATTGTAAACTGCTAGAAAACACCCTAAATATAAGACCATAAGCACAAATAAGATTACATTAACATACACACAAACAATTTAGCAATGTTTATCCTCCTTATCAAAAACTAAAACAACAAATGAATAGTTAAAAATTCCAGTTTCATTACAACATACCTAATTATCCCATCAGAACAACCACAAAATATAAAGTCTTCCTTAACAGCCAAGCTAAATGCACCATTAACTCGTAAATCTATCCATTTCTTAAGTGAACGCTTTTCATTAAATGCAAACAGTAAGCCAGACTTAGTGACGCTATATGTATGTTTGGAGTTAGGGCCCAGGCCACAAGCCACATCGATAAATTGGTTGTTTCGATTCTCACCCAAGATAGCTGGTCTACCATGCAAAGGTATCTTCTTCTTTACCTAAACAAGATAGAAATAGATTTTCAGATGATTCTCTAATAAAAAAGAATTTTATGTTTTTCTACCACCAACCTTATTTGCACAATCTGTGGAGTCAATGTACCAAAATTTAACAAGTCTAACTCCAACAGTGACAAAATAATCTCCATTTTCAGAAAATGAAATAAGTATACCTAGAGCACATAAAACCTTTAAATACATCATAATACAACAACCAAAAACTACACAAGAAAACAAGCTATTAGATAAAGTACTTTTGATGAAACTTTGTTGCAGGCAATTGCAGTTCCTTCCTGAAAGATATAAAACAAATCATATATAAATTTATAATGCAGACAATGGAATACCTGATAAAATATTCTTATAAAAGAAGACTAAACATAAGATATCGTACCCTCCAATTCCAAATATTAACTAACATATCGTGTTGAAATCCAACCGACACAACATACTTCATGTTGGGAGAAAATGCCTGAAATTTTTCAGCATGTATATAACTTATACAGCATTTTAAATAACTAGTATCACACACAAATGAAATAACATACAACACACTGAATGCCATGTTTATGGCCTTTGGGCATTTCAGATACTTGAGGATGCGACGGTCTTCTACATCCCACATGCGAACAGCAGGCTCATGACCACTCTGAATAATAAAACAAAAAGAATAACATAGTTTTGAGGATAATTTGGAAAACAATAATGGTTATACCTCTCCAGAAACGAGATATTTTCCATCAGGAGAAAAAGCCAAAGATGAAATAGTTTTTCTATTAAACAATGAAACCAAGAACCATTTAAAGGCAGCCTGTGCAAAAAGATATAATAACAAAACATTTCAAAGAAGCCTATCAAGATCTACCTTGATGTATTTATGATGTGCCTTTGACCATGTCCAATGGAGCTTGTTATGACAATAACACATCTAAAATGTTCAAAAACTGTTTTACCTAAGTCAGATAACGTGATGTCAGAAGTTGATTTCATCTTTTGATACAAAGATCAGAACATATGTCAGTTTGTTTACAAAAACGAAAAGCCGAATACCTGCCTTTATCTGGGGACAATAAATCTTTTTGATAAAGTAAAGTTGGAGATGTGTAAAATTTTCATAATTTAGCTGGTATTTAATCGTTTTAACGACTGTTTACCTTAATGCATCAAAGGGAACCAATGACTCATTGGTAATGATTAATAAAAGAAAGGGTAAAAGAAAGCACATTCACCTTTGAAACATGCATCTAGTATACACTGCACGATACATAATAAAACAATAGGTTAGAAAACGCGGTTGTTTTTAAAGTTATGAATACTGCAGGGTATAAAATCAACAATGTTTTAGCACTAATGGACCGTCATTACTATGACAATAAAACACCAGCAACAATCAAATTCACGAAATGAATCCAAAACCTGAAAATAATAGTTGCATGAATATTAAAAGCTCTTCGAGTGAGATTTGCTTACCCAGCTGGAAAGGCAATTTCTCCAGTACCGGGATTGCATGCAAGACCAGAGTTCCCTTTCAAAGTAACTCCGAGTACTTTTTCTAACACAACCTGCAAATTTAGTTAAAACCAGTGCTAGATTTAACAGCATCAAACAGAAAAGTTGAAACATAAAACTCAATATACGCATCGGTATCAATATATTAAAACGTCGTTGTATTTATGTAAAGTACAAACCCGTTCTGTGAGAGGACGTAGATCCCGTAAACTGCTTCCCTTCTTTACTAACTTTCTTGTTGGCGTAAGCCTACCGTTCGGTCTTCTCGAAGAAAACATTTTAGCCCAGAGATATTAACACCTGGCCATTGTTATTTGTTCGTTTTCTTTAGAAAGTTCCTTTTTTAAAACAATTATGCTAAATTTAATGTCACTGCATTTCCGTTTTAGTACTTCCGGTCAGAAAAATGGATCATAATATTCAGAAGCGATATCATCAAAGAGAAGATGAATCAAAAGGACTTGTGAACATGTGATATAAAGACATCCCAATTCACTCGAGAAAAGATGTGCAAAGATAGTTGGACTTTGGATTCAATTTGCTGATATTTAGACTAGTGGTACAGGGTTGCAATTTTGGGAAAACAGAACTTTTGGTTTGAATTGAGGTTCCAACAATGGTTCAACACTTAGGGCCATCACACGTCTTTCATAAAATAAAAATATTCAATACATTCATGCAGTGATTATTGAATAGTAAATTGACTAGTATTATGTGTCTACATGCTTAACACTGACCAACATGGCTAAGACATGTTATCAAAGAATGGCAACAAAATATAGTCAACTACTACAGTTTTAAACATCATTTTTTCATCTGGAATTCATTGACTTGAGTGCACTTCCATTATTCATTGAAAAATCAGTTTCATTCATCGTAACCAAAGCTTCAAACGTAGAGCATCCACGCCATTGAGGTAATATTTAAACAGACGCTTGTCACGAACAAATCCAAGATTCTCATAAAGCAAAGCACCAACATTGGTGATCTCTGTCTCAAGTACAACCTACAACATGAGAATAACTAGGAGTATTTATTATTTAATACATTGGCAGGTTCATGACAAATACCTCATCACATCCAATTTCTATCATTTTCTTGATTGCCTTTATAACTAAATTACTACCTGAAAAAAAAAATAACAAAATATGAAAATGGAAAATCTAATGCTAATATTCACACAGATTAAACAGGCCTGGATAAAGTAATTTGTTTCTTGGCAAAAAATTTGAAAATAGATACTTCTGAATCTAACAACAAAATTACAGGAAAGTTTTTTATCAATAACAACAAAAAACAAGCATTTGCACATCCCATTCAGCAGTTCCAACCATCCCCCCGATAGTAAGAGAACAATGGAATGCTCGCAATGTTGGATAAAATTTGCATTGTAATTAGGGAAAATCCTTTATTAAAATCATCCAACATGACATAGCTTGCAACCCAAGAATACATTCCTAAAAGGTATTGCACACTTTAGATAACAGTGAAATCTCATACACCAGTATTCTATAAAATTCCAAGAAGATACAAAAATATTTCATTGGAGTAATTTGGGAAAAATTTTCCAACTCAACAATCTTTACCTATTTGATGTCTTCTATATAAGTCATCAACAGCTAACATGGATATACCCTCTCCTTGTCATCTTTTGTGAATATCCAATTTACACACAATAGCACCTACACATGTCTCCTCAACATATGCCTAAGAAAAAATTAAACTCATAGGGTTAAACAAAATGTTTCAGGGGTGCTCAATTCAACAAAACAACACTTACTAGAAATGACAACTTAGGCCAGTTATGAATGAAATATCTGTAAGTGTATATAGAATAAGGTTCTGAAAGATCTTTGTAATAAGAGATATTATGTCTTTCATTTGTTTTTCAGACTCATAGTTAGTATAATTCACTGTAACTTTTCCATGTCCTTCAACTTCAATATCTTGTTTATTATCATGCTCCTTAAACTCAACCCTCTTCACAGATGCGGGTTTCACTGGTTTGGGGGTGAAACCCAATGGTAGAACATGTTTACTACAACAGCTTGTTCGGCAGTAGTTCTCTGGGCAATTTGACATAGACGCAGGTATGTATGGAGTATCTGATAAGTTTACGAACGCAGTGGAGCTTTCTTTCAGAGAATCTGAAAATGACTGGTTTTCCTTTACTACCAAATTGCCAGCGACTTTTTCAGTTATCAAATCAACGTCTTTCTGGTTACACCCTGAAGCTTCTTTCTCCATGTATGATAATATATGTTGCCTTCAATTCTCTCTGAACACATAGATCTCTTATTTTCTTTGTAAAATAGCTAACTTTCGAAAGCCATGTGACCCTTTGACGCTAGGAATGTCACTGAGAAAAAATTAATTTGGTTAGAAAAATCCGCATAACTTTCAGCTTCTTACAAAAATATCAATACTCATGCTACACAATTCACTAAAAGTACGCCGATAACACGCCAGATAATCAGAAATAAATAAAAACTCAAATTCGAGATTTGTTCATTATTTAGAGAAAGTTTAATTTGCGAAACCAACGAACGAATCCCGAAAGCTACCGAACGCCTAACGTTCATATTCGAGATTAGTCGAATGCATTCTGCGACAGAAGCTGCAGTGACCATGGCAGTGACAGTGGAAAATGAAAATAGAATAGATGTAATCCAGAATAACTGCATAATAGTTAAATCAGTGCAAAACAAAAAGGAAAAAATACAGTGAATTAAAGATGAACAGCTAGAATAAAAAAAACAATTCATTATGCAGGTTTAAACTTGAAAGATTTTAACTAGGATTGAAAGTGGATAACAAGAAATTGTTGACCTTGACAAAGTTTAAGGTGGATGACAAGAAGTTGTTGACAAACAAGGTGAATGAATTGCAAATATTGAAGGTGAATGCATGGAATAGGTGACAAAGATTAAAGGTGGTTGAATGAAAGGTGTTGACAAGGATTTAAAATGGTGGAAAGGAAGGAGTTAACAGGGACTGAAGGTTGTTTAAAGGAAGGGTTTCACTGGCTAAGTGATCACTATCTGCTATATAGCAAGTAAAACATCCAACATATTTTTTACATTTTTCTTTGAAGGCAGAATCTGGAACATATCAATAGATTTGTTACTACTTTTATATGATATTGGGTGTGCTTATTTGAAAAAGCACAAATTTGCAAATTTGCACAAAATCCACCTCAGCTAATGAACATGTGCCCTTGAAGTATAGTACAGACACATTATAAGGAATATAGATTCACTTTGCTATGCAACTTGGTTAGCCACCACAGAAATCCTAATGGTTATAAATGCATCTGACTGGTTGAACACATGCCTAATACCGTAAGTGTCACACAAATAATTTCAATGAATGGTGGTACCAGAACATTCAACATTGGTACAGATGGTACAGATCAACCATATACATTAGCCTGCACAAGAGACTGTGCCTGACGCACCCGAATGGGCTAAAATTTAAATATCCGTTAACCAACACGTGTATATCAGTGGTGTATATTTGGCGAAATATATTGTTCACAACGTTCAATAATTTACTGCAAATTGAATATGTTTCATGGCAGTACACACAGAAAGCACTGGATATTGCCAAACTTAAATGAAGTGGACAAAAACCGGCTGAAATGCATTGAAAACTATGGTGAAAAATTATCTAAACCTGGAAGCGATTTTCTCAGCATTATGGAGCATAAAGTTATTTGCAAACACTACGAAAAAATACTATTTAATCTTTGCATGCAGTTTCAACCTTCTCTCCCGTATTCGGTGCTGTTCACGACTTTCGTTTATTTCAAACGTATTTATCTAAAGACGAGCGTAATGGAGCATCGACCTCGAGATATGATTTCTGTTTGTTTATACATGGCTTGTAAAGTTGAAGAGTACAATATATCCGTTGATAAATTCATCATGATTTATCCAGAAGCGGATAGGTCAAGAATGACGGACATTATTTTGAAAAATGAAATGGGTTTAATGAAATTGCTTAATTATCATTTAATAGTACACAGTCCAAAAAGAGCCCTTGAAGGGTTCTTCATAGACATCAAGACTCGTTTCCAAAATGCTGAGAATGTGGATGAATTTCGTGAAATTTCAAACCAGTTTCTAAATGCTATCCTTTTCTGTGATGTTGTTCTTTTATATGCCCCATCACAGATTGCACTTGCTGCATTATATGCTGCTTCGAAAGAACTTGTTCGGAACTACATTCTTCATACCCTAGCTCCAGGTGAGCAAGGTCGAAGTTTGTTTGCTAAAGTTGAAGATATTATTAAACTTGTAAATAATAAGATTGTGTGTGACATTGAACATGTTGGATTGATTGAGGATAAATTAAAAAAACTGCCAAATCCTAACTCCGGGAAAACCAAGAAGAGGAAAATGAGTACAGAAGATGGTGATGATGAGGATATGAAACGTCAGAAATCATCAGATTCATAGACCAATGATTAAATATGGAAAGTATAAAAGTTCAATTATATGTGACAAAGTAACAGTTTTTACGACTGAAATATTTATTTAAATGATGATAGAGAATCATTCAAGATTTTTAATGTCTGCATTATCCACCTTTCACTACATGGTACAAATCATTGATACCAAACGTTTGTGTTTACCAAATCGGATAAACCAATAAAACCACCAAAGAAGTTAATATTATTCCAGTTTTTATTCAGATTAGAGATCACTGGGTTACCTGCACAGCCTTATTTCACGTAACGGAAATATTCGGGTCGAATTTAAATATCGATAAATGTTTTAAAATTATTGTTTACATGTAGATTATTTCTATTGCATTCCTTTTTTGTTGAAGTTTAACATTTAATGATCTGAAATTACTTATAAAGTTTCATGCTCGCTCTTGTGTAAAAGTAAGTAAAAAACATGTTTTCAAAGTTTTTACAGTCTGCTGATTCGATCAATATAAATTTCTTGCAATCGATAAAACATTCAACCACTTCAAATCATTGATATCAAAACGGTGAGAGCGAGAGTACGAGACAAAGATTACTGTCAACAAATGACGACAAAATTGAAGTGGATTTTTCCGTCAGCAGTACACGTTTTCCAGAGTTTGGAGCCAGTGCTGTCAATTTACCATTATATTTAGGTATGGTTGATATTCCGGTGGTTCGCGAAGAATGTACACTGGATGACATTCTGCTTGAACTTCCAAATCGTGTTGCAAAGCCCATTCCGTCAGTCAAAGGAAAAAATTTCAAAACGATTTTCAATCAATTCACCGACTCATTAAAGGATATTCAAGTACAATACACTTGTCTTGATGTATCTAGCATTGCTCTAGCCTTAGGAACTAATGTCGGTAATGCTTATGTCTACCAAAGAAAACACCGAAAAATTGTCAATATCAATTGTGAGGTAATATCAAACATCAAATGGATTTCTTTTTAATGCTGCCTTATTAAAGTGTTTTTTTTCTCTCTTCTTAGACTAAGTATGTCCCAGCATTATGTATAAGGCTGGCTTTAGGGAGTGCAACTGTTGCATTTGGCCATGAATCTGGCTCATTTTGTGTTGGTTTGGTTGATCCACCTCAAAATGTGGTATGTGAAAACAAATGATGAAAATTTTACTTCAAATGATTGAAAAGTGAAAGAAGGTAGTGAAAAGGAAGGGTTTGACAAGAACTGTAAGTTGAAAAAAGGGATTGTCAAGGATTGAAAGTTATTAAAAAGAAAAGATAATAAGTGTTGAAAGTGGTTGAAAACAATTGAAGGTGTTGCAATTGTGTTAACAAATATTGAAGATGTTTGAAAGATATTGTAGACATTGAATTAGAGTGTTTAAAAAATAATCACTATCTGCTACATCTCATTTTTTAGACCTACAACTCGTTAACAGCTCAAGATATTCATAATTCTGCGATAACATGTCTGGAATGGTCCTTTGATGGCCTAATTCTTTATGCTGGTGACAAGAATGGCAAGATATCCATGTCTGTCGTCAAAATATCAGAGGTACTTGCAAATTCTAACTTATCTTCTAGTGGTTACCCAATGCTTCATTGCTTTTTTTTCAAGGGTATTTTACAAACTGCAATCATCCTCACTGAGGAAAGTGCTGTTGTACAACTATCGTATGCAGAGGTTGCTTTGCTGATTTCAACTAATAAACGTACAGCTCTGTGGTCTTTCGAAACAGAGGCATTAATTCAAGTTGGAGAAAAAGAGCGAAAAGTGTGAGAATGTGGACTTCTTGTGAATATATTAACATTCATTAACCACAATCATATATGACATCAACACTCATTTATTAGGTTTGGTGCTTTTGGTGGTTGCTTCATTACAGACCCAATTTGCGAGCCCACAAAAAAATTATATGCTGCACGACCAGGACTACGTATATGGACATCAGATGCAAATGGAAAAGTATCTTCAACATCAGTTTTCAAGACCCTACTGGGAAATAAACCTCCATTAATCAAGACATTGTCCAAAAAGGATAAGTTCAACAGCAATGGCCAGTTTGGAAAACTTTTAATGTTCCATCGTGAATATGTAGTCACATGCGATTCAAATCACATTTGGGTGCTTGATATCGAACAGGGTGTTGTCATAGGTTGTCATAGCAACTTGGGGAAAATCTGTTCAGTTTCTGTGTGTGGCCATGAGATCTTTGTCTTGTTGTATCAAACTGAATGTTTCTTGATAAGGTTGGTCTTAACCACAGAGAGAGTAGTAGAATCACCCTGTTTGGATGCTGTAGTTGCAGGATCCATAGCACCTGGTAATTACCAGCCAAGGGGTGCTATAAGCTATTGGCAAGAAACTGGTAAACAGTCAAAGGATGCCATGAGCATACTAGAAACTGGTGCTGTAGTTGAAAGTGGGTTGCAATTTACTTCACCAATCAACGTTCAGGTATTTTTCAGTTCGGATGTTCATTGGGTAAGACTGGTGAAGGGGTTATTATGCCTAACGCAGTATCTCTCTTTATCTCCTTCTTTCCTACTTACACACGCTCGAACTTAAACATGTACAATTTTATCATAGAAAGAGAATGTTGAGGAACAGTCGAAGGATTGTGAAGAATGCGATTTATCAACGACAGTCGAGACTCTAACTAGTGTCGGTGTGCCAAACGAACACGAGATCCCCAGGACGGATATTTTCGATAAAATAAATGCTATTTCACTTGAAGATCATGACGATGATATAGTGTTCACGGCAGCGAAGAAACGTAAGAAAAAGAAGAAGGCAAAACAAAGTAGGTGCTTACATAAAAATTCTTAAATTTTTGACGAGCATCAGTTCTAACAACTTGTTATCTCTTCATCTCCTTTTATTGCTTCACTCTACACCATCTCAGCTTTTGTTTTAGTTCTTTGCGTGCATGCTTATTTCATATGCAATCCATTCCACTGATAAGTGTTTGATACATTGTTTCGTTTACACAGCATCGAAAGAAGGAGAGGGGATTGGTCGCCAGAACACAAACATCAAAAGTCGAGAAGATGGGGCAATCAAAGACGGTATGACTAAACTCAGAACAACACAGTATGTCAGAATATGACCTAATATTTTTATCTTGTAAACCTTAGAACCAACGCAGGTACAGTTTCAAACAAGTGGATCTTCTTTAGTACAACAAACTGAAGATTCAATTAAACCACATGTGAAAAGACCTTACAGTTTGGAAATGATTGAACCAAGGGAAAATGAGTTCAGTGACTCTGCTTTGGAGAAACAAACCAATGACAAACGACTCCCCAAACCAAACAAACTTAACATTGTTGTACCGCAAGAGAAAGAAATTTTGGAAAGTAATGAACATGGAAATAGTAAAGTGATCAAAAGTGATCAGTCCAGTGGTTCTGTTAAGGAAAAGCAAACTGAAGCAACGAATGTAAATAGATTTCCGGAACAAATAATCTCTAAAAGTAAAAAAAGAGAAGAAATGAGTGAAGTCGAGAACAAATTAAAAGTAAAAAATGAATCAATGGCGACTTCTCAGGAATACGAGAGGAAAAATGACAAGAAACAAAAAGCTCAATCTTTAACAAATACGACTTCTACGACCGTAAAAGAAAACACGACTTCATTTCAACATGATTTGACGGAACCTATCGATATTTACCGAAACACGTCCGAGCATTCTGGATTTGAAAGTGAGGAGGAGATGCATTCTAACACAACAAAGGCTGGCATTGACTCCAATTCGTCCAAATTACTCCCAAAAGACTATCATGTTCCCCTACATTCAGACACATGGTCAGGACGTTCCTTACCCACGACTCAAAGTATAGAGCATGTTTCCGTCACTCAAAATATGTTTTCTGCGTGAATACGAAAGGGCAGTGTACTTTTGTGATCCTTACACAACATCTAATGGCGGATGGGAAAAAGCTGACTTCAAGGCTAAGCAATTGTATGCGAGTTCTACGTGTGATTTTATATGCGGTATTGAAGACGGGAAGGCTTTTGTACGAGGAGGTATTAGTGACGAATCTCCGGTCGGTAAATCATCCCATGAAGTACATAAAGCTGTTGTTCTACTTTCGATATGTGCAACCTACACATGGGCATTGTGTGATGGTAACCGCCTATTTTGTGCTGACACTGCAAGATTAAAAATGGTCCGTTGTGATGTGGACGAGAATATGTACTGGAAGTTTATGGGTTCTGTTCCTAATCTCAACCAGATTGTGTGCTATGATGATTTCATCTGGGCTCGTACTAATGATGGAACACTCCAGTTTAGTGAAGGTTTAATGTCTTTATTAATACGTTATTGAAGAAATTTGTCAATATTATTTTCATCGTTGGTTTCTTTATTGCTTAGGAAATAACGTCGGAAAGAAGGCCTCATGGAAGACCGAAGGTGAAGAAAAAAACATCTTGTCGTAATGGTGGTCACTTAATGGAAATCTTTCATGTTTTAACCTGTCCTCAATGTTGTTTCTTTCAAAAATTCACCATAAAACAATTTTAGTTCATTCTTTGTTGTCTGAACTGCAGTGTTTATAACTACACAACGTGGTTTCTATTTATCCAGATTTGTTCATTTTTCCCTTCATTCTTTTCTTTGATGTCTATTGTTCTTCTTTGAGGCTTTTTCATTTGTCGCTGTTGTGTCATAATGCTTTTATTTTATGTCCAAATCAATGCAGTAGAACATCGTCATATCTTCTTGTTTTTTCGTTTCATAAAATTTCATCAGTCGTATTTTATTTCATGTCTATAACATGTTTGTTGTCTTTGTTTAGACAAAAAAGCTAAATGGTTACACATGACTTGTGATGGTACTCTGTGGACTATAACTCTGGATGATGTCATTTGGTTCAAGCCTCAGGCCTCTACAGAAGAGGTCTGGTACCAAGTTACTCTGGGACAATACATCATCGACGATCCATCTCTTTTCGAGTCTACGTACAACTTTATTTCGTCTGTTGGCTCAGCTTATCGTAATGCGCGCACCTCGGAGTATCTTCGTCAGGCTGCCAAGGGTCTTCTCCAGTCCACCAAAGATATGGCGCTGTCGCTTTTCAGAGATGGCGGATCACCCAAACAGATTTGTTGTGACCCACATAGTGGTGTCTGGCTGTTGGACACAAAGAACGCTCTTCACGCATGTCGAGGGCATGTCACTGGTGGATGTTGGGAAATGGTCTGTCCAACTGGAACTGCGAGAAGTTCTACGTGGCGCGACTTCACTACTGGGCTAGCAAACTACGTGTGGGCAATACAACCAACCGGAGATTTGACCTGCTTTCATCCCAAAGGTCCAAGTTATAATGTTGAAGGTCCTAGCAATCGCGATTTGAATTTCGTAAGTGGTTCACCCCATGGTTTATGGTGTTTCAGTACTCAAAACAACACCAAAGTCTATATCCGTGACGGAATCTCCAAGGATTACCCACAAGGCTTTGCATGGGTCTCCCTGCATTTACGTAAGCAGGAGATTCGTAGCATCAAACATCTGAGTGTTGGTAAGGTCACCGTATGGTCGGTGGACAATGATGGTCAAGTATGGGTAAGGGTTGGCAACGTAGCTGGTGAAGAGTGTCGTGGACTTACGCAAGCCTGGTTACCCATCGATAACCCAGAGAAGATCGTATTTGCCAACGTGGAGGTGAATTCCACAGACTTGATTGTGTGGGGGACAGATGTCCATGGAGTGGTGTACGCCAGAGATGGCGTAAAAGAAACGTTTATGGTTGGTGAACAATGGCGCCAAGTGAAAGGTGTCAACCTGAAGAGGTTGTGTTTAAGTCGTTATCTTGTCTATGGTATCTCTACCGCGGGGGAACTTGTATGTCGATATGGTGTATCCGAAATGAACTGTGTGGGGGATTATTGGAAGAAGGTGCCCGGTTCTTATTCCAAAATTTCGGTCGACAGCGCGGGTGAACTCTGGGCCATTGATGAGGAGGAGAAGTTACATCATCGTAAGATTAAATTTCTAACCTTTGTAAGAGAAGAGCATAAAGCTTGTCAAAATGATTCGGACGCTATAAAAGAAAACGATGTCGTTGATGAAGATGAATGGGAGATGATATGAGGATTTTAGTTCATTCATTAGACTGACACCGTGGATTTATTTAACTGACTCCATGGATTGATTTGACAGACTCCATGAGTTCGTAAGGGTTCAATTATTTGATGTCTCGTTAGGGTGTTTAATCGTAAGATAGTCAATTGTATATATTAATTAAAACAATTCTTTAACTCTCCATATAATAGAAATATTGCAATAACACGAAATAAAGACCTGCTTTCAACAAGTTTCTCTATTCTCTACAACCAGATTAGGACTTTCTTCACAAAGAGGCTATATGTGTGTTATGTTATAACTATGACCAGTTTCAGAGGTGTAACATTTCATGTTCCAAAAAGCATTAAAAAAGAAATATTGAATAAATATATTATCTGATGCTTCTAACAGGTTAGACGCATCACATTGAAAGTTCGTCGTTCGCAACGGGCTTAACTTACATTGTTTTCATGCAAAAAGAAGAACTGTTAAATTGTTCGTGGTGTATTTTTGAGTTTTCTTACAGAAAGAAAAAAATTACACAAAAAGTTGGACTAGCTCTTGTAATTTTCGAAATTGGAAAAGGCACACTCAATGGAAGATGAAACTCGACATTTACACTGTATGTTACGGCTCAGTAGGTGTTGTTCATAGCAAGACAAATGTATCATTTCTATGTTAAACGTCATGTCGTTTTCTCTCCGACGTCAAAGTCAACAATTCCGCCATGAATACAATGTAAACTGAGGATCGGTCCATTTTTTCTGGTAACCTGCATGCAAAGACTCGTAATATGATGTGTCATGAACATTATCAGTGCACTCACTTGAGATCCATCATTGCTACCAATCATCCACCGCCTTCACTTAAATCCATTTCGGCAAGAAAACTCGAACATTTCGATTTGAGTATTTTAATGGCTTCCGAGACTAGAATATCGGGAGGAAGGGCGCCAGTGGATTCAATGGAAACTGTAACACAATAAGAGACACAAACAAGTATTTACACAACCATCTTCATTTTGCATCCAAAATTTTTACAAGGTTTTAACTCACAAATAAAATGATCCCGGACCCTCGACAGCTTAATTCTGTCTTTTAAATCCTAAAACAGAAAAGAACTTTTGATTCTTATGATGTTATCGTAGAGAGAAAGGTTTGTAGGTTTGTACGCGGTTACTCATATGGAGGAGGGAAGTCTGTATCATTTCTAACAACTTAAAAGACCGCTGTACACTTTAATTTCGTGGCTAAAATTGACCAAGTTGATGCAATATTGTTCAACATCAGGTCGCATCTTAGAGTCAAGATGACTGCCATTAAGGATGACAAAACGTCAGTCAACACCAACAATCTTTCTCTCAGCACTTCACAAACCTGGACGATGAGGATCTAACAAACAAGAACTAGGCTCCAGGATATAAACCAGTCACTTTGTTAGGAATAAACAATTTGTAATGTTCACATTATTCAAGGTTGTTAACAATACTAACAACGTTGAAAATATTGTCAGCAACTTTGAGCAATACGAGCAGCATAACAATACGAATAGCACCACAACTATTGAGGTCTCAGAGTTTCTAGCCGTGTGTACATCGATGTAAGTGAAACTCACTTCATGACGTAGAACTTCTCGAGTGTATGTGTCTTTTCTAGCATCAGCAACAACAGCAGTTTTTATTCCTGTACAACCACGCACACAGCACGTATGTAGAAAATATACAAAACGTCAATTATGAAAGATGTTCACGATGGACGGATTTAAGCGATACCAATTTCAAAAGGAAAAACAAACCATTTACGTTCTTGATCTTTATAACTCCTTTGGGAAAACAGGCCATAAGTTTTCCGCCAGTTCATTTTCACAAGGTTTCATAATCGTGATTTCCGGCAGGAGACGGTAAGATGCAGTTGCTAAAGAAAGATATTACTGCTCAACTTTCAGGTTACCTAGGTTGGTACAGTACACAAGCCCAGCCACCCACAACAGAAAACCTGCCTTCTGGAACTCATGCCCTACAATCTTAGCACACAATCCGTTTCATTCCTAGAGCTCAAACCCCAATGCACTAGAACAAAGTCTTTACCATCCAAGAACACAGGACCTTCCCTTCCAAAATACAAGCCCTACCCTTCCAAAACATAAGCCCTTCCCTTCCAAGCAAAGGCCCTGAACACATGCATCACACTTACCAACAGGAGAAAATTTAGCGTGATCTCTTCCAATTCCTTTCACACAAAACAAACGAAGGTCAAGTTCCTGATAAAACAGACCAGGATGTAAGCTTCGAGGATTAATAGGGATAAAGTTGAACAATAACTACTTTATGTCCTCACATGTCCAGGTCTTAATTTAGCAATAAGAATGTCATCATACACAGGACGGATGCCATCTTCACCAAACTGAAGGAAGATGAAAAGATTCTTAACATAACTATATAGTAAAATAAACTAAAGTAAAATTATATAGGTATGTTAACAATGAAAGATCATTCATCAAAAATGAAACTTTTTTTTACCTTACCAAGTTAGCTTGGTCACCCATTGGAAGCCATTTGAGATGTTTTGTTGTAACTAAATACAGACAAAGGTTTAATGTAAAGAATATAATAATAATAATAATAATAATAATAATAATGGACTCCGTCGATTTCGATGTATGAGGGTTCCACAAAGTGGAACATCCTGGTCACTTATAGTGAAGGCAGCTGACCAGACTACAATCACTTGTACCCTTCACGCAAACACAACGCTGATATCAGTGTGACACAGTGTGACAAGGCTGCAACATTGCAGATGCAGATACAGTCCAGTATTAAAGAAATGTAAAGTATTAAAGAAATAACAGATAGGATATTTAACATTCTTGATTCACCTAAATGATTGATATATAACTCATTTGGATCAGTTGCATTCTTTGAAGCATCTGGATTTCGTCTACATTTCACTTTGATTTCAAACTCAATAACATTATGCTCAGTGGATTCCTCCTCTTCCGTTTTGAAAGTGAACAATCGTGGATCAGCAAAGATTGGAATAAGTCCCAATCTATGAACAAGAACCTAAATGGACAGGTTAAATAAATAAATACACATTACATCTTGATTTAGAGATGATTTATTTAATTTTAAAATATACACAACAGTCATACCTCATCTTGTATTATTGTAGTGTTATTAAAGATGTGTATTTTCTCAAAGGCCATGGTCGGCACCTCAGCAAGGAGAATTCGACGAAATGCATTGGCTATGGATGCATCAATACCAATCATGTCAAATTGAATATCTTGATCAGTTAATTTCGAAATCTCTACGCGAAAGTTCTAAAGCCAGGGAGAACATTCATTCAAGATCCGAAACAAAACACGAATGGATTACAAGCTTTCTAAGTTGTGAAAACTTAAAACAACAAGATCACCTTCTTGAATTCTTCAAACTTCCAAGAATCATCAAAGCCATGATACGAGCCAGGATATGCTGTATTTTGTGTCTAACAAAGCATTGGATTCATTAGCGTGATTTTAAACTAAAATTGAATTTGAAAACCCTGTGCCAAATATTTCCTATAGCTGTCAATATCTTTACATCCGAATAATTTTCAATATTTTTACATTCAATCAATGAAATTCTTCTATATCTCACATTAATAAGACCGTGTTCTTGCAATGTCACTCTTGTTCGTATATCAGCTAACCTGTCGGCCATATTGTTTAATTCAAACATATGTATCTCTATATGATCTGTATTGAAGTATTGATGGTAACTTTCATTCATACCACTGACCAGAAATTGTCAAAATCTGTCATCTCAAATCTCACAGAAGTAGAAGAGTATTGGCAACGATAGATGAAAAGAATTAGTAATTGACAAAGTGATAGCAAGACCAGCAATGTTTTCATGTATTAGAAACAGTGGTAATGAGAAGAAGATAGGAGGTAGAGGAGCAGGTTGCAGAGGTCAAGATACTGAGGTAATGAGGTTTGTTTTGGCAGCGACCTGGACAAAATCAGGAAGGAGTATATCAGAGATACAGCAAATGTCAGACTACTTGCACTACTGATTTGCTGGTGAAACCAGGCTAAAATAGTAAGGACATATTCAGTGAATAGATAATACGTAGGCAGAACATTAATTGGGGGTGCCCATGTTCGTTAATTCATTTCATAATCCATAAAAAACAATGAAACGGCATGTCATGCGCACACCCAATTACGAATATGGGCACACCCAATTACCGTTCTGGCTGCGTGCCAGAGATAGTTTTGCTCGATGCTCGCCTAGATAAAGGCTAAAGAAGGGATGCATCGATGCATTGAAAGAAAACATGAAAGTCGTTTAGTAAGTAAGAAAACAGTAGACAGAAAGAGATGGAAAAACATTACAGATTTACGGTAGTAAACCCCGAGAGGAATGTCGAAAGAGAAGAGACATGTACTACACAACACTACAAGTACGCATGCGTACCTATTTTTTAATAAAAACCTTTCTCTTAATCTCAAGATAATATTTGATCGTTGTCCAAATAATATACGCAACCTTTTTTTCATTCTGTATTAGTGAATATAGTGTATATAGTGTTTTTTTTTCAATACAAAACTGCTGCTCTTTAATAATAATTGCTTCAATCTTTCATACAAATCAAAGGTATCATAGTATAACTTATAAGATAATAAAACAAATGCTCAAATTGTACAATCTAAGTGTCAAAACACCGAAAGATTAACAGCATCACTTATTGAGCAAGTCCGCACTTGCTTTCTTCTTTATCAGGCTTAAGTTGTCTGGCAAAGTAGAGAACAACAGCAATGTTTAGGATGGCAAAAACTATCATAAAAACCACACAGTTGAGAAAGGTTGGTCCTTGTAAATGATGTAAAATGTTACGACGATTTATCATATCGCTGTGTATAGCTGAGAACTCATCTGACGCTCCCAAGGCAGTGAAAACATGCAGAAAATTGTGACTGTTTCCAAAACAATCAAATGTACCTGGTTTCAAACGCTCTGGCAAACGAGTTATGTTAAAAATGGCAGCAAAGAGGTAAAACAAGGTATGTCTTTTGTGATAGGTGAGTGAGTCAAAATTACAATCGGTCGCTTCGACACAAGTATAGGTTCGCCATACGATCGGTGATATAATGAAGAGAAATACAAACACGAATGGAGTTGTACGAATCAAGTACTTTATACTAAGCCATCTATGCCTCGAAGCACAACATAGGAAATTCGCCGTTAGAGAGATCATCGCACCGATTCCTAGGAACAGCAAATGGTGTTTGTAAATCGCCACTTCGGTGTATGCCGGTCGACCATAGAAATAGAAAGCTTGTGATGCACCAAAGCAATATGTAGCAATGGCGGCATAATCAAAAAAGAAACAGATATCCCTTAGACGTGGTGACATACAATTAAACATATGTGCTCCACAACTCATTGAACAGAAGCAACAAATACACAAGGCAAAGCAGATTAATGGATAGTTGTACGGATCAGCTAACGAGAGACCAGCGATTACACGAGCAAAGCGAAGTATGAAAGCAAACAGCGGTATTAGATGCGTCCATATGTTTAAACTCTCATTACTCTGCAATTCAAACAAACTTAAAAAGCATTCCTGTGCTGTCGAATAAGGTCTACGATAGCCAGAAAGAATAAACGCCTCCTTATACTGATGAGAAACTTGATCAATTGTTAAGTACATCGGAGTAAGTTCTTTTGTGGCTTCTCGATTTTCTTGCCCTTCATCTTTCGAAATATCCACATTTAAAAGTACTTTTCGTTGGTGAACTCGTTCTTCAATGCTTAAATTTGTATCGCTGCTCTTTTCCATCACTTTTTTCCTTTTCAAACACTCGTTTTAACAAGAAAATGACAGATTAATTTCATTGCGATATGTGGGCGACCATTTTGAATGAGAAACAGGGAAAAACCAGCGTTACGTCATCAATAATTAATCAGCGTGGGCGTCTATTGAAATAGTTTTACTGTGTGATGAGCACGTGTGATAAGAGTCGAACCATTAAAAATTAAAACCCCAAAAATACTGTAGATCAGTTTTACTTAGAGCTTCAACTGTTATTTTTTGAAAAATGCGGAAACTGAGCATATACAATATAAGCATATTGATAAGCTTGCCAAATTTTCAATGTAGAAAGTTTGCCAAAGAGTGAGAGTGTTCGGTGGCCCAAAGAGTGATATATATTCGGTGGCCCACAAGTACATTACACGAACAGAAATAGCATTACACGAACACAAACAGAAGCACACGAACACAAATAGAAGTACACGAACACAAATAGAAGTACACGAACACAAACATAAGTACACGAACACAAATCGAAATACACAACCGCCAGTCCATATTCTGCTTAGTTTAACAATGACGAAAAAATAAGTATACAGTTTACCAGATTACATTTCAATTGCTTGCGATTTAATAGTCTGAGCTTGCAGAACTCGATGGATATGGTAATATGCTTAGGATATAGAGCTATTTGGAGGCGTTTGCAATCTAAGTAAAACGTTCTAGTACGTCGTTAGGTTATTGAAATAATGCTCAAAGGAATCGACTCTGAAGCATCGAGATTTCGACGAGCAAATAGACAAGTGTTTGAAACCAGGACGTAACTACACCTGGCACGCTGATGACTAACTGAAGCCGTATGGCTTTGCAGTTCATGACTACATTGACAAAATCATTGGCTATTCGATATCGGTAACCAAAATTATCGACATCGGATAATTATAATCAAAATTACCGGCTATCGGATAATTATAATCAAAATTATCGGCTATCCGATAATTATAATCAAAATCATCGGTTGTCCGATAAATATAACAGGTGAGAATTTTACAGTTAAGGCCGAGAGTATCACTTTGTTTTTTAATCATCAAATGTCCAGAATATATTACTTTCATAAAATGTCAAAGAATTTCTGCCATTTTTGCGTATAAATTTCAATGTTAGAATTTGACTTTGAACAGCATGATGTTCATCCATAGACCAGTTCCGCAGCTTGTGAAAGTTGTAATCTATGATTTGACTTAAAGTTTAGTATTGCTCCATCGCCACAGATTCAAGTTTTAGATTTACTATTGATATTCCATTGGAAGTACTTATGTTGCTTGTGCTTGAGCAAGGAGTTTTTCATAATACATCAAGACATAAAAGTTAGATAATTTTCACCTGCGCACTTTGACTATTTCATCATCATCAACTTTCTACGGTCCCATCTCTTGGTCTCAGGTTTGCAACACCCTCGATAAAAGAAGCGAAAAGACTAAGTTCGTGCTCAAGTTTCTTATGAATATCATCAACCCTATAAAAAAAAAACAAAAAGTGTAATTTTAAAACTCCAAGCAAATCAGATCAAAATGTTTCTTTTAGTCGGAATAATTTTTTCCTATGGATTTACTTCATTTCCCTGTCTTTCGTTTCTCCTTGAAGTTTTTGAATGTCCTCCAAAATTTTCTGGTCGCGCTTGGCATACATCTTCATTGGAAATACATACGTTTCGTTCACGAGTGAACAATGTAACAAGGACAATGGCGTATGAACGAAGTACTGAAGTAGTCTTAAGGAAGGAGGTGAGAGACAACCCATCATCATAGGTAGAAGAGGGCAACAATTGCCGATGATTGAAACAATGGCAGTTTTTATTGACATATTTTATACCGTCAACTGATATGAATTGACAGTTCAAACCTGATCTAAATTGAAATCTTCTTCACGAGAAGCCATTATTTCATCTACGAGATAAACATGTACAATATCGCCAATTACGCCAGAAACCAGTAATCTTCTCAACACAGTAATAAATGCAGAACACGCAGTTTCTGCATTTCTAGTCTCACCTTTAAACTGCGATAATTTTTCTTCAACTTTTCCTTGAATAACTTGTTTTGATTCACGCTGAACTTCTAGGAATTTTATTTCTTCTTGAGCTTGCTGAATGGCCTGAATAACGAAGATGACAAGATGTCAAACACAACATCAACTGCAAATCATACAAGATTTGAAACAACTTCACCTCTTCAAATCTTTCGATCAAAAATTACGATGGATCGTTTTAAACATCGGGAGGGAAAACATAAAGAAACCATTTAGATTTATTAAACACAATAAAATTTACCGGTGCGCGTCTTTTACCTTGCGTTTTCTTTTAAAACCCTCTGAAGCTTTCGACAACAGATTAAATTCTCCTTTTCGATATTTTTAATTTCTGCGTTTTGTTCGGCCATAACACGTAATGATTCGACTCTCGTCGTATTGATTTCCTCTTGCAGCCGTTTCTAAGTAAACAGGCAACAATGAAGGATCACAAAGGATCACTTTCGTGATACATGTATTGGGTATATCTTACACGAGGCTCTTTTGTCCTTTCTATTTCTTTATTTGTTCTTTGTATGGAAAGCTCCAAGCTCGCTTTTTTGTTCTTCAAATCTTCGTTTGAAAGAGATAGTACGACAAGTATTAAATTCGAGGCAAATTAAGTAAAATTATTCCATTAGATGAATGCAATTGAAAGCAATCCGATATTGAGTTACCTACCAATAATGGACTGCTTGAGTTCAGCATATTCCTTTGATTTCTCATCAAACTGTTGTTCTAGCAACTCATATGAAGGCTGTCAATGAAGAAATGTCGAACGTAAACAAAAAATATAGAACTACGTACACACACAAGCGAGATCAAAAACCTGTCTCTCCGCGAAAGTTTTTTGGTTTTCTGCAATGTCTTTCTCAAGTTGTTCAATCGATTCCTTTAAACAAAATGAAATGGAAAATAAGTTGATACCTTTAAATCACAATACATACATCTGTACAGAAGGTGATGGTTCTGACAAATCTTAAAAATATTCACTTTGTGGTATGACTTTCTTACTTTCAGTCAATTGAAGAAACAATAATATTTTTAAAAAAGTCAACTTTAAAATGACAAGCAATGGTTGATTACTAAAGAAGAAATGTGTACACCATCAAGCAAAAAGAAACCTGCAATGTTTCTAATTCTTTTTGAAGTGCCTTTTGCGTCTCTGCGTAGGACTCCTTAGCTTCCTTTAAAGCATCTTTTTTTTCCAATAACTCTTGCTCATCATCTCTCAAATTTTTCTGTAGTTCATTTCCTGATGCAGAAATTTCGGTAGTCAGAAGTTGTCAAAGGAGACGTTGTAAATGAAGATGTACTCAACAGAGGCATTATCAATAGAGATGTTGTCAATAGAGATGCTGTCAATAGAGATGTTGTCTTTAGAGATGTTGTCAATAGAGATGTTGTCCATAGAGATGTTGTCAATAGAGATGTTGTCCATAGAGATGTTGTCAATAGAGATGTTGTCTATAGAGATGTTGTCTATAGAGATGTTGTCTTTAGAGATGTTGTCTTTAGAGATGTTGTTAATAGAAAGATTGTCTATAGAGATGTTGTCAATAGATGTTTTCAATAGAGAAAAGAGAGATGTTGTCTTTAGAGATGTTGTCAATAGAAAGGTTGTCAATAGAGATGTTGTCAATAGAAAGATTGTCAATAGAGATGTTTGTCATTAAAGATGTTTGTAATTGAGATCTTGTCAAAGGACAAGAAAAGAGATGTTGTCATTAGAGATGTTATCAATGAAGACATATTAAAGTTGCAAAAAGCCAACACATACTTTTTCTGTCAACGCCGAGTGTTCGTTCTTAGCCGATTGAATGATATTAGACAAACTAATCATGAAGGTGCTGTATTCATTCTTAAAGTCACTGGTATCTTTTGCGAGATTTTCGCGCTTTATTTGAATGGACGCCCTAAAAAAATAAACGTAAACAGACGCGATAGAATAGTAGAGATAAGATAGAATAAGATAAGATGGAATCAAATTCTATAGAATAGGACAGGACAAATGCACAAACTTTTCACTTCTTTCCTTTTTTAATCCGGACTTCAAATCGTCAATTCGATGAGTATAAGCGTCCGCCATTGCTCTGACAATGAAAATGTAAACATCTCTGTAACAACAGTTTAATATTATATATAAATTTTTATCAAGTGAAAACCGAATGCTTTTAAAGTAATGCACGTTTAGCTCACAGTTGAGATCTCATAGAAATCATAAGCCTAGACTTTTCAGGAAATTGGTCCCCCCTGACTCCACTTTAACTTACTGATGGCTTTCCTTCAACTGTTTTATCTCGTCTTCAAGTTCATAGTTCTCGTTTTCAAACGTGAACATTCGTCAGTTTTACTCTTTAGTTGATCACGAGAACGGCGTATTCTAAGAAGTAAATGTTCAATAAATCATGCATTTTATTAATGTCACCATCTTACAACGTGAAAATTGACATAGTTTGATGCATAAACATTTTTCAAGAATTAAGGTTGCACTTTTTGGAGCAAATTTGGAGAAATGGAGCAATTCTCTCGCCACGTATTTGACATTTACACGGTTATTCTGATGCTTTACCCATTGGTGTAGTGTTGTTTTTCAAATGCAGGAAATAATTAAGACTTTAAAAAGATAAGATATTTGTTGTATCTTAGGATAGCTTTATCAGAAAACGTATGCTGTTATAGTTTTCCACCACCAATTATTCTTAGAAATATAAAGGCAAGTATGCTACGTTATGCGGTGTGTAACTCGCAAAACTTGGAAGTTTGCTAAATTTTCTTCATAAGTGCCTAAAATCTGTGAACTAAATTTAATACGACAAAATAATGAAAAAGACAAATAGTTTTGAACTTTTAACGTGCAGGCGTTTTTCCAGAGAATTGCTCTTTGCCATAACTTTACTTATCTATTCCGTACTTGCCTATCTAGTGGTAAATTCGTGATAAAATGTAGACATACAGCGCACCTTTCCACGTCGAATTTAGAAATATTCAAATGATTTTCAGATTGCCCATCTCAACAACAGAATCCTCTCGGGGAAGTGCAAATGTTGCCGTTAGATTTTAGAAAATGTTAGATGAATTTCAGATAGATAATACTAATTTCAAATTTAATCATACATGTATGAACCTCAAATCAGTTCAAAGCAATTTCACATGGTTTCATACAGCAAATTCAATTCACGAAAAAAAAACACAGGCGAATTTCAAACAAAGTTAACGTACTAGTATCAACCTTAAAACTGGTAAAAACAAAAACAGATTCATATAACTTATGCACATATACTTAGGTTTCCTAGGTCACCATTGACCATTATTACAATCCTTGCACTTAAGGCTGGTGCAATTCGCGAATAAGAACAACACAGCATTATTTCTCAACACAATAAAGAAATTGTATTGGTTTTAATGCTCTTTTGCATTGGCAGCTCACGTTTTTTATGTACTTTGTGAAAATCCAACATTTCTTGAGAGATTTCTTACTATAGTTTCCGAATATCTGCATTTTTTTTATAGGGTTCATTATCATTTGCAAATGACTGAAACTCCTTTGGAGATGTATGATTATTATTTAGAAACATTTAAAACACAAATGGCAAATCTAATGAATACTTAACGCTATCTGAAACTCATCTCGATATTTCTGATTTGGAGGTGGGAAAAGTGGAATTATACAATTACACTAAAAACCTTTGTTCGTTATCTTTGACTTTTTCTTTGACTTTCTTGCATTCAGTGAAAAGAACATCATGATCTATAACATCATGACAAGAACATGAAAGTGAACTCTACGTCGATCAATAATTGAAAATTAGGCACATTACAAAATACCCTGCCAAAAAGACTGCCAACAGCAGTCAGGCTAGGTTAAGGTTGTAGTTAGGGTTAGGGATAGACATTGGGTCAAGTTTGCAGGTAGTACAAGTATGTGGCAGGGTGTTAGGGTTAGGGATAGACTTTGGGTCAGGTTTGCAGGTAGTACAAGTATGTGGCAGGGTGTTCTATAATTGACTCAATTTTAACCTTCATCTAGGGTGACTTTTTTGGAACTCAGCCGTGTATGTTCGACGTTCGCCTTCTCCAATGAACTGCTTAACTATAAAAAATATATTATAATCATTATCATGAACAATGTAACGAATCATGTTACATTTACTATACAAGATGAGATAACATCTGTAGTCCGTTCTAATCAAAACATATGCATCTCTGCAGGCAAAATATCCGATACAGCGTTACAGAGTTACATGAAGGATCTCAACTCTTGTATATTTTAATTGATTTTAGTTAGATTTCGTTAAATTTTGTAATCAAGGAAACATGAAAAGACAAATCAAACAATATAAAACAAAACAAAAAATAGAAAAGAATGAGAATAGACAAAAGGAGACGAGAGGAAACGAGACGAGGTGGAAACAAAGTGTTTGCTATGTGTTCTTTACCGTTTCATATTCGTGTTCCAAATCATCTTTTGTTTTTTCAAGGTTGGTCAACGTCTCTTGATGAGACTTCATCACTCGCATCCTGGAGAAAAAAAAGTTGCTTAAGCTTTGTGGTAAAGCTGTGTTTATCAAAATAGTTCATAAAACCACTGGGACCATTCTGACCATGTATGTTCTTTTCATGACATAACAAAATATTATGGAATAAAAGAAAAACATAAAATTTTACCCCTCTTGTGTCAGGATGGAGTTTGATTTGATCGCTTTCTGAAGTTGACGACTCAACTGGACAGTCTGAGCCTCGAGTTTTCCTTTTGAAGTCTCAATGCCTCGTATTATCTAAAACACATGAGGTTATTGCGTTTAATATTTTTCAAAAATACTATAGAACGGTAGCTTTTCAGGGCCCAGTTTATCTAATACTATAATAGATGGGGTATTTAAAGATCAGAGCCGTACCTGGAACGTTAACTAGGAGGGAAGCTGTATATTCATGTATTCAGTTGTGTTCGACTGAGTTCTATTGAAAGTGAACTGTCTTACTGAATATATGAATATACACCCCCCAAGTAACGTTCTAGCGACGTTCATGTTCAAGATGTAGGAAAAAATTTATTGCAGGCTATGATTACATGTTTATAGATGTATATCATCCTGGTTAGCGGAGTCCAATGTCACCATCAGTCCCACGGAGTACTACACTAACCCGGACGATCTACAACCATAGACAAGTAACGTGTAACCACTGTACAAGCTATTATATTATATAAATTACAGGCTAAACAGGCTAAAAATCATCACAAGTTATAGGGAAAAAAATCATAAAACACACACAAACAAGACAAGGGCAGACAAAATTAAATTACATGTGCTAATGTGTCTTTAACTTTCATATCTTATGCACGTTTACATTGATTGTTGATATTGAGTAAAGTGCCGTTAAACGTGTTGACAAACACAAACCTTTCGTTTTGCCTCCAAGATTCCTTCGCTTTCAACCATTTCCTCTTGAAGTTTTGCAATTTGTCTGTAAAAAATGAATTCACAGTCATGACCACTTTGTTTAAAAGTAAGCCTTCTTCTCTAAATTTCCCTACATTTTCTGTTCTTCATTTTTTTCCTTTTGCTCTTTAACTTTAGCACGAGTTTCCTCCTACGGTAGAAGGAAATGAAAGTAAGAAATTTAGAGTGCATTGCAATGACAAATGAAACGATTAGTCGGGGGTGATTGAAGCATATGACATTATCATCAAACAAAAAAAAATAATAAAATATTGTCGTCTGTTCAATTACATATTCTCCATATTTAAATCAAACAAATGTAGGTCGGATCTGACTGCACGATATCTTGCAATTTTTTTATGATAAAAAAGGAAGAAAGAACGAGAAACTTGCGTATTGTCAATGTCAAATGAATACATAAAGTATCTGATAAAATGAAACATATTTCTCTACAAAGTCAGCTGAAATTCCCCCCTTGTCATGCATAAACTGTCTTTAACATTTTCTACCACCATAATAAAAACTGACATTCAACCAGCAGTATCCCCAGGCCCACACACCCAGGAAGACCGTTTATGCAATCATGTTTGACAAAGATCAGGGAAACACACCACAGCTTTCTTTAGTCTTTCCTTCTCATCAATGGTCTCTTCTTTCTCCAAAGCAATGTCCTCTTTCAGTTGTTCATTTGATTCACCTAATTCTTTGATCTACAATGAATCACATTTCACTAAATGAAACTATGGCCCTTGCATTGTCCAAAGTAAATAATTTCAACTTCTGCATAAATTAATAAAAGAAGGAATTGTACCATTTTGGACGTCTCACGTAGCGTGTCTCGGGTTTCGTTCAACGTTATCTGCTTGCTATCAATTTAATTACCATAATCAGCTCATAAATATAATCAATATAATCAGCTCACTACCAATATAATCAATATAATCAGCTTACTACCAATATAATCAATATAATTAGGTCACTACCAATGTAATCCCCATAATCAGCTTACAACCAATCTAATCACTATAATCAGCTCACTACCAATATAATCAATAAATCAGCTGACTACCAATACAATCAATATAATCAGCTTACTACCAATATAATCACTGTAATCAGCTCACTACCAATATAATCAATATAATCAGCACACTACCAATATAATAACTATAAATTGCACACTATCAATATTATCAATATAATCTTTTTATTATGAGAAGGTAAACTGATGTCAACCTAGCTTTATCTGTCATTTTTTCATTAAGTAAGTTAATAACTGTGTCATGTTCGCTTTGTGCTTCACTTTGTTCTGGTCTATAGAAACACAACAACATTTCATTGACAATTTGAAAAAGTGAAACATTATCATTATTTGGCATTCAGTAAGTAGTGCAACTTACGCTAATCTCAAATTTTCACTCAGTAATTTCTGATATCTTTCTTCAAGTTCTTTAATATTCGAGTTGATGTTGTTTATATTTGCCTAAGTTCAAACCAAATCTTGTGTTATGAAGAGGTGAAATCACTGGGTGAAACCTAACATATTTGTCTTGTAAGCAAAGACAATTGTTGCATATGAATAAATAATTTACCTTCAGTTGTTGAATGTCTGATTCGTTTAAGTCACGTGCTGAAACAACAGCATCTACAAGAGACATAACCATGTCAAAAATTCAACAGAAAATGTGTAGATTGTAAAGAAATTGTGGGACTGGGGCACAAACTGTTTTCTGGTCAAATGATGTTATGAGTTTCGTATCAGTAAAGTATAAAATCTGACTTCAATGAGCAAATTTATGGTTTTTTATAACCAGCCCAAATAATTTTTTAGGAGCCAAGGTGAATTCTATGTCTGGTATGTCAAATCGGTGTCCCTGCTTTAAAGTTGAATGCCAGAGCAAAATGACTTATAGCCTTCTATCTCCTACACTGCAGACAAACACAAAGAATAAAAGCTATGTGAACGAGCATGGATTCAATTTACATCTTTTTTCATGAACACTCTCTGTAGAAGATTTTTAGAAAAACGTACTTTGCACTTCACTTTTATTTGTGTAGGCATTATCTGTAACTTGAAACGTAGTGAACTAGCAAGTATTGTCTCCTTTTCCAATAATTCATGTAGTTTCATACGATCACGATTCTAAATTATATTTACATCATTGTAATACAAATCCTATTCCCAAAGCAACAATCTCCATCCATAAAGCATTAAAAGCAACTTAAGCAAAAGTTTCTATCGTTCTAAAGCAACCTACCCCTAAAGCAACAATACCCATTCCAAGAGGCTAGAGCATAAGAGCAACAATTTATAACCATTTACCCCTGTTTTAACTCCAAAGACAATTTTATGTCAGGATAATCTTACCAGACAATGACGAGTGAAGACATTTAGACAATAGACAGTCAATGAACTGAGTAAAGACTGATCACAGAAGTAATTAAAGTTAATCAACAAACCATTTCTTCAAGAGCTTCTATAATATTCTTAATACTTGAAGCATGGTATTCATCTTCACTGATGCCTTTTTGTGTTTTAGTAAATGTTTCTAAAATAATTCACTTAATTTAAAAAGAAAGTATTGCTGATAATTTATTCATCAACAAAAATTGATGTAATTTGCTGATATTTTGCTCAACAAACACTTGGTCTTTTACCCAAATCTTGAAGACTTTTGACAGCTTTGCTGACAATGCAAGTCAAATCTGATGCATTTACAAGGTCCATAACTCTTCCCGAAACGTGAAACGAAGTCAAAAACAGAAAAACTATAAATTTCTATCAGAATGTCCCTCACTAAAAGCCGCCATATTGCTTTTTGCAAATCACCGTGGAAACCATTGTGGATACGTTGTCATAACAACAAAGACGCGCTCTGTCATTGGCTACTTCTCTTGATAAAGTTGTGGTTTTGTTTACATTTTCATACAACTCATAGAAGACAAGTTCGCCTTTTCCTAACATTTCATGAGAAAATATGACCGACTGGGAATTCGTCTTTGATGGCGTTGTTGGATTTTTGACCTCGCCAATATGGAACATACCAATTGTGTCGTTCATCGAAAAGCATTGTATAGGTTTGCAAATTGTCTAGAAAAGATGTACTTTGTTTACGTATGCAATAAATTATTGCCTTTTTTGAACTTACGGCTGCTTTTTCGTGTTAATTGTTTTCTGGCGTTTTCTAAAATAGATATTTATGAGACATCCTATTGTAAATGGCATACAGCTCATTTTGACTAACAAATCGTCTTGCGTCTTCGCATTGCTCCCATACACGCCATACGTCGCATACGACAGCTGCAGAAATGATCGAGTTGACTTTTAATACCTGTTGTGAATTACATTTTATCATGAATAATTCTAGCGTATTGAGAACTTGACGTTTCTTGCAGTTTTCGATGGGAGTGACGAAAATATCATGGCCCTCAAGGAAATACACAAGGAGTACAGTGCTTTGGTAAGTATAATATATCACTGTTCATTTAACCTATTGCCAGGTTGTGTACGTAAGAAAGTCAACCAAAAATCATAACTTCAACTTTGTTCAATCACATTCATTAGCCACAACACATAAAACTCTCCCCTCCCCCCCCATACAATTACATTCAAGACATACGCAACATTCCAATAAAAATCAGCAAGTGCAGGGTCTGTAAATTCAAAACCTGTGGACAAAATTTTTGCATTTAGGTTGAAGAGCTACTGACAAGTTATTTGAAGGATGTCGGTATCGGTGAAGAGCAATTTGTGATGGCTTGTGATGCAGGGTCTACAGACAATGATCAAAGTAAAGCTAAAGACAGAGTATGTAATTTAGTAACACAGTGCTTTTTACTACTAGTTTGTATCAGGAGGTTCCTAAATTTAAAGTCAATAACATATGTGATTACAATGCTTGAAATTGGAAATGAATAGGAAATTTTATCTATTTACTGTGAATCAATGGGATTTGTCATTTGTGGGTGTTGTTTTTGATGATTTCAGCAATCAATATTTGAGCAAGTCTGGGCTGGAGAAGATTTTGAAATGTTTAAGAGCATGATGGTGAAAAAGAATTTGGATTTAGAACTTCAAGCATTAAGCATCATTCAACAAAGAAATGGTGTCCTACCAAAGGTTTTTGAGTCAGGTAAAGGTTGAACAGCCCAAGGTATAGGTAGAACAGAGTGAACAGATGAAGGTCTAGGTAGAACAGATCAAGGTTTACAATTGAACAGGCAAGGTATAGATAAAACAGGCCTTGGTAATGATAGTAAAAAATGTTTGATTTTACATTTTCCTGCCAACTCAAGCCAAAATTATGAAAAACAGTCTTGTTTCATGTAACCATGAATATAACTGACATACGTTTATGAGAAGCATACAATGTTAAAATTGCGTGACATTCAAACTATTTCTAATGAAGAAATGCCTCCAAGGACGAAAATTTCGTCACAGAGAAACGATAAGAACAAGGAAGATGAACTGTTAAAGGAAGTTATTAAATTGTCAGAGATGGAATATAAGAAAGAAAAAAACAGAAAGAAAGAGATTGAACGTATGGAAAAAACGCTAGCACTTTCATCGAAAGAAGAAAGTGAGAGGTAGCTATTATGAATCGGTTATTTTAAAACTGGATGAAAACGATAAAGTGGTGACTCTGCTATAATTAAAAACCAGACATAACAATATTTCTAGATTCTACTTGAGATCAGCTCAACATAGTTTTAATGACTTCTTAATGAAATGAAAATCACAAACTGTTATGTATGTATTATGGTTTGTTCTATGGGAATGACGAAATTTCCAAAGAAATCACTTTTTTTAAAATTCAGACTGTATCGGATGGCAGAAGATGAGCTTAAAAAAATGGAAAGAATGGTGTTGGAGTCATTAAATATAAAAGATAATGTTAACGAGAAGTACAAAAATGAGAATCAAGAGTCTTTAAGGGATAAAGATGACCAATCAATGACAATCTCATCAAGATCGAATGCAACAACCACCAAACCTACCAAGATTCATACCAAGGACATACCAACATCAGGTACATACATCAATGCATACCAATACATAACGTTGTAAATCATTGGTACATACATGTACGTTTCGGTACGTGCAGGTACATATATTGCTATTTGCGACGGAAACATGAACAACAACTGTTCCAACAAAACATTAACGACTGTTTAATCATATAATGTTTATATAGTTGGTAATTTACAAATGTAGATACAAATGGAAAACGGTCTTGACTTAAGCAAGCTCGAGATTTTACGTGAACACGTATTTTATAATTTTATTTTTCGTTCTCTTAGACTCTTTCGACCCGTTATCGTTGAAAGACGAAGCAATGGCCTCCGCGAAAAAACGAAACGAGGAGTCTTCAAGGGATGGAGCAACCAAGTGGAAAAACCAACATTCTAAGCTAAAATCCGTGCCAGTTACCATTCATGGTTAGTCTGTTCGCTCTTACACAGATCTATTATCAGTGAATGGATGAATAAACTCGTTTTGAAAGAGCCTATCGAAGTTTTACTATGATAAAATGATGACATATTTGTTGTATTCTAGGGACAACAAAAACAACTTTGAAGACGCAACAGAATAAAACTGCTATAAAAGCGGATACCCCGGCAGATGCAGCTAAGAACTGGTTAAACAGTGCTATGGCTGAAGCGAAGACGCCATCAGTAAATGTTCTTTCTGCTGTTAAGGTGTGCACTTGTGACATAAAGTATGGATAGAAATTTAGATAGAATCAGTGATGGATTAACGTAGGGGGTTACGCTACAGGATGGGTGCCAATTTCTGTATTAGTTACATCACTAAACAATTAGGAAAAATTAGTTGTGATTTGTGTTTAATGGAGCACACAGCGAAAAGAAGTATCTCCTTGTCATGGAATAAGAGTAACATATTTTAAGAAAAGAAGTCTTACATGGCATGTTGAGACCCGCTTTGTAGCCACCAAATTCCAATCCAATCTCAGACACCTCCCTACAAAATCATCCTTCATCCATCCCTGAATTTGATTGCTTTACAACCGACCTCGCCTAAAGTTTAAGTTTAAACTTACAATACGAGAAAAAACTGGCCGGAGTTGAGTTACTTGAGTAAACTTAAAATCTCAACTACCATATAGCGGCTGAAAACATCTTGAAAGCATTGTTAGTAAAGAACTACTCTTTGGTGGACTTTGATGCAAATTTTGTGACATTTAATCCAAACACACTTCCTCCCCAAGATCAAGCTAACGTTGTTAAAATACATCTTAACAAATTTAGATCGAGGATAAAACCTCAATGGACGAACACATTGCTCAGAGAGCCCAATACATGAGGATACAACGCGAGAAATTGATCAATCTTAAAAAACAAGAGAGGACAAAACGTCTTCATACGTTCGAAGAAGACGCTCCGAAACGTCCAATGTCTTCGAGAGTTGCGCGCCGCGTCACTGCAGGGACTGAGACAGAAAAAGCTCCATCCAATGAGATGGACGAACAGCAACAAAAGAAGTTGGATTTACGTCGAGCATTGGCGGCAAGATTGAAGAAAGAGGTTGTCAACGCAGAATGACGAATGAATTGGTAAAGTTTTGATGAAATTCATGGATGCTCATTTTAAATACCATGAAATTAATAAGTAAATTTAGATTTATTTTGATGTAGGTATATTGAACTGAACTGAAGAAATGACGTGTGAATATTTAGTTATTGTTTAAATTATCATGTTATTAGAAACAGAAACTATGAGAAATACGATGATTTTTGAATGAGAAACGTTTTGTGTGACAAAATTCCTAAAAATTAATGAAGACAAATTTATGTACAAAGATGGATTTGTCTTCGATATCAAAAAATTTGTCAATCTTGTTTCTCATACTATATAATCAAGAAATTTCCTTCTAATCCAACTAATTTCCATCATTACCTTCTTCGTGGTTCTCAGTTCTCAGTTGAAGAGCAGAAACTAAAGGCAGCTTCCACTTCTCTTCAGGAATTTTCTTTGCCCATTCAGGAATTGCCGAACTTGGCAATTGAATATTTGCCATTACAGATTTGATTAAATTTATTTCATCTGAAATAGAGGAGATGTTTTATTTGTTAGTTTAACGAAATATTCGCAGAGAGAAAATAAGTAAAAGTTTGTTTATTAAGAAAACAACAAGAACGTATATATATCGTACAACTGAGCCAGCGATTGTATAGAGCTGCGCCCGCAATGTCATATTAAAGTAATACTTGATAACAGTAACAAAATATCATAATGCTGAGTGTACATTTAATAATTCAACACTCCCACTCACTCAGCATCATACTACATTAAACTAAGTCATAGTTTAGAGCGAAGTTTCTCAAATTTTCCTTGTGGCAATGGTTTTGAAAAGATGTCAGCGATCATTTCATCTGTTGGACAGTAGTTTACTTGAATAGTTTCATCTTCAACTTTCTCACGAACAAAATGAAATTTAATATCGATATGTTTTGTTCTTTTATGCAAAACAGGGTTTTTTGACATGGCAATGGCTCCTTGGTTGTCTTCGTTTATTGTCGTCGGATTAGGATCATTAATTTTCAGGTCTTTTCGAAGTTGCCACAACCAAACACACTCTTGCGTTGCCAAGCAAAGAGCGATATACTCAGCAATACATATTACCAGCAAGACGACCTTTAGCAATAAGTTTTCCTTTAGCATTCTTTATCCAGCAAAGTGTGTGTCCAAATTGTACTACATTTTCTTTTGCAGTGACAGCTCGGGCACTAAAGAGATTAGCAGTTAGTTTGGGGACATATAGGACTTTTGCCATTGTTGACTTTCGTTGATACTTTTCTTTTGGTCCAAGGATCATCATGATTTGTATTTCTCCACTTCCACAAGCATCAACAGATCGACCATCTCCAAGAACGACGGGTTCTGGCACTGGGAATTCTTTATAGTTCTGTAGCAGTTGACTGTTTGATGTCATATGTTGCGAGGCTCCTGAGTCGATGATCCAGTTGTCAGCACCTTTTACTGTGTTCAGACCAACGGCAAATAGATTTTCACCAGAATCAGTATCTCTTCCACAATTATCCTGCACAGCCGCTGCATTATGTCTTGAAGACATGCCATTAGTTTTACAATCTTGATTTCTTCGATTCTGACGTCTCTGTTACGTGGGCAGTTTCGAAGGATATGGTTCTCTTCTCCGCATCCATAGCATTTGATATGCTTTCGAGGAGGCTTGTTGTGGTCTATGACAGAAGATCGAAGTGAAATACGCAGAAGAAAAGCATCTCGTTGTTAATGTTATCAAGGAGAAGTGGATTATTTTTTGTGGAGACAATTTGTTGATTTGTTTAATGAGTTTTATGAGGAATTGTTAGGTGTTAAAACTTTTCAGCTGCACTTGATTGTTTAGATATATTTTATTATCGAAGGGAATTTCGTACTATAAAACGTTCGTCGAGTCTTCCTCGTTAATTTTTACAGAAGCGGATAGTCGATAAAATGCCTTTGATCAATCCATGGATGTTGACGACATGCCCGAATGTAAGGATCTTGCAAAAGACGTGGGAGCTATCGAAGCAGAGATGGTGGAGATACACTGTACGGCCGCATGTAACGGTGTGGTTTTACCACAAATACCGAAAATTACAGGTATCTTACATGGGCACACGTCAAAGATCGCTACGGTATACAAAGGATTCAAGACGCGTTACGAGCGCTTGAAAGAGGATAACGACCATCTTTGGGAAGAAGTAAAACAAGGGAGAATCGAGAGAGATCAGGCGAAAAGCGAGAGGGATGAACTGAAGAAGGATAATGCCCGGCTCTGGGATAAAGTGAAAGAAAACAATAAACAAATGGAAGTGGAAGCTGCTGACTCAGAGTATGAATCACTAATGGAAAACGATACCTGGTGGTAGAGGTACCAGTTCCCAGGTATCGTTTTCCATTAGTGATTCATACTCTGAGTCAGCAGCTTCCTTCCACTTTGAGCATGTTCGCTTTCAAGAGCTATTTTCAAGGATGTAGGCTCTTCAACCTGTGTTACATAGAGTGCTGTATGGGTTGTTGTCGACACATTGGCGTATTCATCATGATAATGAATTGGCGGTTTCTTCTCTCTTGCTGAACGTCTCAGCATAGTAGACTTCTCTGTTTCCTCTTTCTTCAGGTACAACTCGTTCTCTTGGTCCAACTCTAACTGCACTTCATTGGAATGCCCAAAGTCTGTTTCCTAAAATTATGTCGCGACGAATGAAGACTTTCCGTTTGTTTTCGTCATACAATCTGTATCCTTTTGTTTCAAACTGTAGCCAACAAATCGCATTTTTTCAGCTTTTGGCTCCAGTTTCGGACGTAGTGAATCTGCAACATGAGCATATGCAATGCAACCAAAGACGCGAAGGTTAGAGACATCTGGTTTCTCACCATACCATCGCTCATATGGTGTAACTCCTGTTGCAGTTGTGACAATTCGATTTCTGATGTATGCTGCAGCTGAAATTGCTTCCCCCCAGAAACTCTTCGCAATTCCTGCATGTAAGATCATCGAAAGAGCAGCTTCCTGGAGCGTCCTGTTCATTCGTTCAGCAACACCATTTTGTTGCGGTGAATGAGGAACGGTTGTTTCGTGTCTGATTCCCTTTTTCTTGAGATAATCTTCAAATTCGTTGGACAAGTATTCACCTCCATTATCAGTTCGTAATGTTTTAATATGGCAGTCTGCTTGATTCGTTACTGCCAATTCCCATTCTTTAAATTTTGTCAGTACTTCTGATTTATATTTGATAGGGTAAACACTTACACATCTTGAGTAGTCGTCGATAAATGTCACAAAGTATTTTGCACCACCAAAACTTTCTGTATTCATGGGTCCTGCGACATCGCTGTGTACAAGCTCTAGCCTTTTTGTTGACTTAACTTCTCCCACTGCTTTGAAGGGTGCTCGATGTAACTTTCCCTTTACACAGGCTTCACAAAAGTCTAGCTTGTTTGTCCCAGAAATGTCAATACCTGTCACAATAGCTTTTGAAACCACTGTCTTCATCTGAGGTAAATTCATGTGACCCATTCTTTGATGCCATAGATTTATTTTTTGATTTGATGTTTCCGCCACCAATGCTTGCTTTCTTCCTTCCTCAACTTTGCAGTCTAGGAAGTACATATTACCAGCAAGACGACCTTTAGCAATAAGTTTTTATTTAGCATTCTTTATCCAGCAAAGTGTGTGTCCAAATTGTACTACATTTCCTTTTGCAGTGACAGCTCGGGCACTAAAGAGATTAGCAGTTAGTTTGGGGACATATAGGACTTTTGCCATTGTTGACTTTCGTTGATACTTTTCTTTTGGTCCAAGGATCATCATGATTTGTATTTCTCCACTTCCACAAGCATCAACAGATCGACCATCTCCAAGAACGACGGGTTCTGGCACTGGGAATTCTTTATAGTTCTGTAGCAGTTGACGGTTTGATGTCATATGTTGCGAGGCTCCTGAGTCGATGATCCAGTTGTCAGCACCTTTTACTGTGTTCAGACCAACGGCAAATAGATTTTCACCAGAATCAGTATCACTTCCACAATTATCCTGCACAGCCGCTGCATTATGTCTTGAAGACATGCCATTAGTTTTACAATCTTGATTTCTTCGATTCTGACGTCTCTTGTTACGTGGGCAGTTTCGAAGGATATGGTTCTCTTCTCCGCATCAATAGCATTTGATATGCTTTCGAGGAGGCTTGTTGTGCTGTAGTGCAGACTCGCCTTCACCAAATTCTTCACCAGTCAATTTACTGTTGTTTTGTTTACGTTTCTCTTCCTCATTGATCAATGCTTGATGCAATTGAGTCAAATTTAGATCATCTCCTCTTGCAGTCAAAGCAGTCACGACGGTATTATATGAGCGTGGTAGACTAAGCAGCAAAGCGACCATACGTTCATCCTCGGGGATGGGGGCTTGAATAGCTGCCAACTGATCAGTAATTACTTTCATTCGACGGAAGTGCTCATCCAATTTATCAGACTCTTTCATCTTTAAAGAGAAAAATCGTTGTTTTAGAAATAGCTTGTTCGCCATAGTATCACGCTCAAATCGTCCTCTCAGTGTGTCCCATATTTCTTTTGGAGTTTCACACCCAGTTATCAGGTATATAAGATCGGAGTTGATCGATGTAACTAACAGAGCTTTCGTCTTTTTCTGTGCTTTGTCAAAGGCTGTTTGCCTCCCAGAACTACCCTCTGATGTGTCAGGACATGTCAGAGATCCATCGACATGGCCAAATAATTCCTTAGCTTCCAATATGGCTTTCATTTGGTATTTCCATATTTGCCAGTTTTTTGCGCCTTCGAGTTTATCAATTGACAGTTTGTCTTCCTGAGCCATTACAACACAGTAAATCGCACACGATTAAATTTTACTTACTGTTGCCTAGCGTTAGCAATGTCTGGGCCCATAACCTGTTAGTTTAACGAAATATTCGCAGAGAGAGAATAAGTAAAAGTTTGTTCATTAAGTAAACAACAAGAACGTATATATATCGTACAACTGAGCCAGCGATTGTATAGAGCTGCGCCCGCAATGTCATATTAAAGTAATACTTGATAACAGTAACAAAATATCATAATGCTGAGTGTACATTTAATAAATTCAACATTATTTGTAACTCAAATATCTTATAATTCATTAGATATACTGGCATGTATGGTTTTATGATATTTGGCATGATCTATATTAATTGAAAAAAAACCAGTAACTTAGGATGGATCATCATTGATACATGGGCAATGTAAACATACATAGACTAAGATATAACACCCATATCTTAAAAGCTCACTAAGTAGATCTTCAAAGTCACCTCAAAGTTCTTTAAAGATGACATTTGCACAGCAATGATTGCTTGATTTGAAATATTCTACCAAATTATTTGCCATTGATTAAGAAATGATTTTGTCATTGATGAGTGGGAGCATTTTTATGTCTTTTGTCAGTAAGTGCAAGTTTTAGTGAGCTTTTCAGAAATTATTTATTTTCAGATAATTACTTTCAGACATGAATACCTTGGCCCATGGTTTGATGCTTAGATGATGAGAATGCTGATGTAGATGATGTATCATCTAATGTCAAATCATTACCAGGATCCATAGTCTCATCAAATACTTCATTATCACTGACTTTTGAAACATCTTCAATCTTCAAACCAAAAGTATGAAATGATATCAATTGGTTAGTATGTATACAACAGAATAAACACTTACACACCAACTTAGTTTCATGTTTTATACAATTTATCTTTGTTATGCAGTCATTAAATGCTCACACGAATGCATGATCTGTCTTCTTACCTCGTTGACCTCGTTATTTAAGGCAATATCATCTTCACTTTGAGCTAATGAAACGTATCCTTGATGTGTTTCCTCTACTGTATCGTCGTCACTCACATCCTCACCAGAAAATATTTCGTCCAGACCATCTTCAATGATAACGTAGCTCTCGATGTTTTCTATAACATCATCTTGCCGATTTGGTGATAAATCGTTTTCTCTATTGCGAGGACACATTTCTACCTTATTTTCCACTCTTTCTACTCGAGACATTTAACCGTTTATGGCAGAAAATACCTTTCATAACGATTACGTCTCGAAACAAACTGAGACATTTTCACTTAAATATATTTATCTGGCGATACTTCATATAACACAAAACATTTCGTGTAGTGTCATGAATTTAATTTAATATTCAATTAAGTTCACAAATTTAATGACAATTATAGTCAATTTTGTACATTTCAAGAAGGCTGAACTACATCTCATAGACTTATAATAGATACGAATGGTTTCTAATTCAACTGAAAAGACTTCTTGCTTGAGGGCAAAACTTTTTATTTTCAAAAGGTAATATCATGACGACATTAGATTAAACGTGTAAGCCATTTCACAGCAAGATTACTAAGGATGAAAAGAGCTGGGACCAGATTGGCGTATGTCCGCTAAATGGGATGTACTACGAGATATACGCTCTGCACCTGGAATTTTGGCCTGTTGAGAGAGATTATCACGCGACGTCGCTCGACTCAACTGCTGGTCGGCAGTTCCACCGCTCATTTTTTCCATCAAACGTTGTCCACGACTGCTTAATGTTTTCCGAAGTCGATGAAACGCTTTCTCGCGTTTTATTGATGCACGGGTGTCTTCGTCGCGCAATTCTATCTCATCTCTATCAATACCCCTATTACCAGAGTTCAAACTGACTGGAGATGAGCTTCGAGGGGAGCTTGTACTCGGAGAATATGACCCGCCATCGGAGAGGATCTGAACTACTTTACTTTGCCGTATCACGTCAAGAGCCTGGAAATGAATGACATAAATAAACAAGTTATGCATGGAACAAAAGTTTTCTGGATCTGAATGAAATGACATCGAAAAAATTCGCATGGCAGGAAGCAAAAAAGGGTTTTGTTATGAATGGATGCGAAAAAAAACAACACGAATGAAAGAACATCCGATTTTAAAACTAACATTTTTCTTGGATCTCAAAGCACATTCCTCTAAAGTTTCTGCTGCTTCGAATTTTCCCTGACGTCGATACAATGCACCCAGATTACGTAATGTTGTTGTCACTGTTGGACTATCCACTTTGGCAGCTTTATGCCACCCCCCATACTCGCCGTACGGAGCATTATCCCCACCCCGTCCTCGATCATCGCTTTTACCATCCGTCTCCGAGCCAAACTCGCGTTCGTGAGCACGCGTCAATACCTACAAGGATAAATAGGAAGACAATAAGACACTGGGATCGATGAGTGAACCATGACGATTCAAGCTATTTTCCACAGGATGGAATTTTCCAGACGTAATAGTTGATAAAAGGTCGGCGATGTCGTCACTATTTAGCCAATAATACAGATAGAGAGCCATCCATGCACAATGTTTTTAATTAAATGAAGATATGATCTTCGCACTTTTGCTGGACGATTTAAGCAATTGTCTCATGAACCTGAAAAATTCAGGTGACTCAACGGGATTCGAACCCATGAGTTGAGTCACTTCCCGTTGAGTCACCTGAATTTTTCAGGTTCATGAGACAATTGCTTAAATTGTTCAGCAAAAGTGCGAAGATCATATCTTCATTTAATTTCAAACACCGCAATGCATATAACATTCTTTCATAGCACAATGTTTTCTTGCCATGTCCAGCGTCATTGGTACCTGTTTATATAATGTCTCGGCAGCTTTATATTTTCCTTGTTTGAGATAAGCTGATGCCTTGAAATGAAGAAGAAACAATGAACAACAAAACTTTGCACTTTATTAAAAGGGAAATCATATCTTACCAAGTTGTTTTTTGTCTTTGCGACGTTCGGATCGTCTGGACCAAGTTTTGTCGTGTAAATCTCAAGAGCACGTTGATAATATTTCTCCACCTTGAACAAAATAAAAACATCCACTAACATAACTTCAAACAAATCACCAAAGGAAAAGTTAAATTTGCTCAAACAAGATGAAAAAGACCATGAAAAACGGTTCTGTGTTAACGGATTTCAATTTCTTTCTCATAAACATTCTCCAACTCGAATACAAAACAATGTTTCTTCTGGTATATCATAATAAAGCGCAAAAATCCTAACCTCTTCATATTTGCCCTGATTCTGACAAAGTAGCGCGAGGTTATTCAACTGTTTAGCTACATCCGGGTGATCGGCACCAAGAACCTAAAATTACAAGAAAACGGTTTCATGTTTGAGGGAGGATACCTCTGGAATTTTATTCCTCCTAAGGAAATTAGAGAAAGCAAATGCTTTTCCTCTTTTTAAAACTTTTTTCTATGGGTTTTTCTTACACCTCCGTGAAAATCAGCTTCGGTCGTCGGGGTCAACGTGCTTAAATAAAGTTATCCTATTTATCTATCTTCTAAAAATGGTTTCAAACATTCATAGTTATGGAATGGTATCCTTGTCTTCCAAACACTTTGGTAATCAATGTACAAAACATGAAATATCACTGACATGAACATCGTTATCATATGGCATCCTTCTCTGTTATATACTTTCATAATCCACGTGCACAACATGAAGTAGCTGAGACATGAACATCGTTATCATATGGTATCCTTCTCTGTTATATACTTTAGTAATCCACGTGCACAACATGAAGTAGCTGTGACATGAACATCGTTATCATATGGCATCCTTCTCTCTTATATACTTTCATAATCCACGTGCACAACATGAAGTAGCTGAGACATGAACATCGTTATCATATGGTATCCTTCTCTGTTATATACTTTAGTAATCCACGTGCACAACATGAAGTAGCTGTGACATGAACATCGTTATCATATGGTATCCTTCTCTGTTATATACTTTAGTAATCCACGTGCACAACATGAAGTAGCTGAGACATGAACATCGTTATCATATGGTATCCTTCTCTGTTATATACTTTAGTAATCCACGTGCACAACATGAAGTAGCTATGACATGAACATCGTTATCATATGGTATCCTTCTCTGTTATATACTTTAGTAATCCACATTAACAACATATACCGCTACCTAAACATTGCTATTACGAGTAAATGTTTTATCAACCTTCTCTCGAATTTCCAAGGCTCTCTTACACAATGGCTCCGCGTCCTTGTATTTCCTCTCTTTCCATAAAGGACTGCAAGATTATTTAAAGTCGCTGCGACCTAATAATGAAATATTGAACTGCTAAAATACTGTTCACCATTCGGTAACGTGCACGAAACAAGATTATTGCATGAGAACACAATTAATGACGTCGTCTGAAGAGAAGGTGAAAGGGGATAATTGCCTACTCCCAAAATATCTATCTTTCCCAGCAGAGCAACGCAACTTTTTTAAACAATTTTGTTTTTCACATACACAGTGGATACATCCACATATATGAGGATACCAAATTTTGGTGTGGCCCCGCATAAATATTGTATTTTTGGCTTATGTATCACCCTAGCTACAGAACTCTGGTGGAAACGCAAATACATTCAATACATGCATTTATATTTGACAAGGGCAGACAATATCAGCGATAAATGTGAATCTGAACGGACATGAAATCTATTCTTAAATCACATACTGCAGGATGATCTTCACCCAACGTCTTTTCTCTGATCGTGAGTGCATCGTGCAGTAGATTCGCTGCTTCCTTGTACTTATTTTGATCCCTGAAAGATGGAAAACAAACGAAAAACGTTTCATGAATAGGATACAAGACCCAACAAAGATATGTTAAGCATGTTAAGCACGAGAAATCAACAATTAAAGCAAACAAAAAAAATATTTATTTAGAAAACGAAACTTTCACGAATTGATAAAAAATTAAATATGCTCTGTTATAAAAATACGAGTTAAAAATCTACATTTATAATATACAATTAAAAACTTCAAAAAAGACTCTGTAAATATTAAAATGATTATAAAAGATTACTTCTCTTAGATACCAAGTATAAGTTAACTATTAACACCAAACATCTATTCGCTGTCACACCAATCACTCTCTACCCCACATGATCATAGAATATCACACATTTTACAAAGTAAATAACACAAAATCAATCACATAAGCAACTGTGTCCCATAATGTCCTCTACTATGACTTAACTACTACCCATGTGCACATCTTTCCCCCAATATACCCATTTAAGAAATAACACAAAGATTAAATTTCCATGTCCAGGAGCTTTCATAATGTCTACCACACAAGTTCAACTGGGAAGGTCATCGACTGGACAATAAAATACCGCTGTGCAAATGCTCAAACAAGCATTTCTCAACTGACGCATCGTGGAGTTCGGCACGTGACTGACACAGTCGACCCAATTCATCTTCCATCTTGCCGAGCGGTAGTTCAGAACAACCCACAAAGTTTGCATGCTCAGCATCAACTGGGCAAGCAAACGTAGCCTGGTGATCAATTTTGTTTCGGACAGGCGACATAACAAATTGGAGTATATCTTGTATTATGTATCTAGGGAGTTTGACTGTCTTGTGAACGATATTGAATCTACACGAAAAAGGAAAAAACGTGTCAGATAGCTAGGAAATTTTCAAAACTATCCAAAGCATTAGTTTTTCGCTGATGTTTCTGTCAGACAACATGAATATAAATCATTTGTTCTTATAAAACTTATGAGAAAATAGAATAAAACCATTTTTGAAGCTGGTCTCATAACTGTTTCTAAATCTTTAATTCAATGACACTACTTTCAATTGCAAACTTTATCGTTTTGAAAACAAAATCGACACGTTTTCTCCTCTTTAAAAACTATTTGAAAAAATCTCTCTAATCAGAGGATTCAGAGCCCTCTAACATCTAGCTCTAGTGAGTAGTGAAAATCAATTCTACAACAGGAGTGCTCGAAAAATTTGCAAATACCGTAGTATGGATGTCAAAAGTACAAGAATCCTGTTTCAAATCAAAGATGAATAAGAAAGGATTATTAGGGGTGTGTGAAGGTGAACACAACAAAAATTTTCTAGAAGGTTCTGTTGTCTATGATTGTAATATCATTATACTTAGTTAAAAATTGTGCAATGTAACTGAACAAGAGTGCAGTACAAATATATTTTCAGCCTGTGGCCCTGGTTTAACACACCAATGCACTGGAGCCCCTTGAAAGCACTGGCACCCCCTTCTATTGGATGAGCATAGATGTGTCTACCCTCTGTTTCAAATGTGATCCACTTTGAATGAAAGTTGATCTGTTATCAAACAGAATACATATATAGTAAAATCAGAGAGAACCATTCATAACAGCATCAATTTCTTACAAATAATCATACCTGTAAACCAGGGCGAGTATATTCAACATTGTGGCCACATCTGGATGATCATGACCTGATGTTTTCTCCAAATCCTCTAAAGCTTGTTTACAAAGAGGCACTGCGACCTCATAACGACCCTAAAAAGATAGTTCAACCAGAACATACTCACTAAAAATTCCCTCATTCTTGATTCTTCCAATTAAAATCAACAGATTAGTGAAATACAAGTTTCTATGATAAGTCTGTATGCAAAGGAAAGGCATACCTGTGAGGCATATTGTATTACTAAGTTATGGAGTGTTCGAAGTCGAGCAGGAATCTCATAGACACCTGCTGTTGTACCAGTTGATGTAGCTGACACTTGACTTAAAGTTTCATCTAATATGAAACAAATGTTAAAATGTTGTTAAATTCTTTTATCTAAAGACAATTTCAAAATATCAATAACTTGAATCAAACTTGAATTGAAAAAAGAAGGATATGTTTATTATGAACTTGTTCACTAACAGTAAATACAATATATAAAAATCTTACCATCAACTCCACCTTCTGATTCTTCATCTTGAGAGAGTTCTGCACTGCTGTAGTCATTTTCAATTCCTTCATCCTTGAAATGTTAAAATATATTTATAAACTTAAGACTTTAATCATAAATTTTTCTATTCCTTAGCAAACATACCTGTATTTGTTTATCCTGAAAGAAAACAAAGAAAGAAATAGTTAGATACACATCTGTAGTGAGGAAAGTAACATTTCATGAGAAAAATATTTTTTTCATACGAACATCATCATATTTGCTGATGGATTGCATGAACTCCAAATGTTGTTTCTCTTCCTCCAACTGGGCAACTTTCTGTTCACTTTCTTGAAACTTTTGCTGTGTTATAGACAGTTCTTCACGAAGCCATGCATTCTCTTGACAAAGGCGACGGACTTGAGCCTTCAGTTTTTGTTTTTCTGCTTCAACAGTGCTCAGATGACTACTCAATGCCATCATAACCTGGAGAGAGAAAACATACATACTAGCCAATTTTTTGAAAAAATAACCGTAAAATCATCCAGGGTTAGTGCTGTTGTGACAATTGACAAAGAACATTGGTGTTAGTGTTGACTGATGTTTCAATATGATATTTTATCCTTAGCGGTAGTCATCCTTTGCAGAAGCCATCATTTTACTTCGAAGATGATCACCAATAAAGATGTCAAAACATCCATCAACAACTTGATGATCTACATCTACAAACATGTAATGATAACCTCAGGTCTAATTCATTCACTTTAATAGAATCAAATCTTATTCATGGAAGGTTTAGATGAAAATCTAACTGCCAACTGACTCTGTCTGCGTCCAGTATATTTATGTACATGAATAACAGGAACATCATTGGAACTTTTTGATTCCGTTATATGATTTTTGGTAACAAATTACGTTAACAATCTATGTATATTGTATTAAAATAACATTTTCAACAAAAGGATCCAACATTTTCTAGCGTGGTCATTCATAAATTACAATGACAAATCGGAAAGCGATAAATCTATTAATTTTATCATAAAATAAATCAATTAAAGGTTACTGTACAAATATATACCTGAGCTTCACCGATTCCCAGCTCAATTTTCTCTAGTGAAGTTCTTATGATACCTGTTTTCATGTTTGCCGACTCATTCAAATCCGACGGTGAAAGTTCTTTCAAAATACCCGAGTGTTCATTCTTCAACGTTTCTAAACCTCGCACAACAGTCTTTGTACCATTGAGTATCTCATCTTGCGAAAGTTTTCGATTCTCGTCGTTCCTCATTGACATTTTAGAAAGAATTTTTAAAGTACAATTACATTAATCAAGAAAGAGGAGTTAGATGACGCCTTTGTAATTGCTGCTGTTTACAATCCACAACCCAAGATTTGCGTTTAATATTGTTCTTTAGGATTCATCCGATTCCTTATTTCATTCTATTTTATGAAAATATGTTTCATTGATGGCATTCGCGTGTAAAACTTGTATAAAACCCAGAAAATATACGAGGGACAAGCAAAGTTATCGACACGAAATCAATTTTCTTGTTGAAAGACACTTAATTCCATCTCTCGAACTGAGGTGACGTGTCTACGAATTTTAACGAATGAGTAGAAAAATCACTAAAAATTTAACTGACGAAACCTCAAACAACAAAGAAAATGCGTTGTTAGAAATACCATTGCAACTTCTGCAAAGAAGACTTAAAACATATTCTTCGTGAAATTTAATGTTTCATTTCTATTGAGGTGAGTTCCCGTTTGCTCCATCAACGGAAAAAACTTTTTAGTGTCAACATCCAAATGAAAAGTAACTAGAATATTGGCTTGGCAAGTATTTTCCAGGTAAACTCAACTGAATTGTAGTGTAGTGTATGGCCGTAATATGATTTAGTGCATCTTAGAAACCCAAATTGGTTTGTGCAAGCTACTTTTGCAAAAACGTCTGGCTTGTTTTGCGTTGAGCATTCTTCAAAATTTTTGCAAGATTTTAGGTTAATGTGCCCTGTTGTTTTGAAAAATATTGTAGACTTGGTTTTGTTTTAAACTGTTTGTGCATGTCAGTCTTAACGCACAATTTTATAAAAATGCTTAAAAACGGCAGTGAGTTTTGAACTTTGAGAGATCAGAGTATTTGAGTTTCGGTATATCGCTGAGCTATATATACAATATTTAACTGCATGTTTAGCTAATATTGCAGTTATTAATTACGAAATTACGCGAAGTCTTGCCAAGTCACGAGCGACATTATAAATACAGAATTCAGACAAAAGATCACAAAACAAAATAAACAAACATGGGCAATCGCCCCTTGTATAGCTTTCTCCTTACAAACTTCCGTCAGCCATTGAATGTACTGAAAATTGCCTCTGTTTCTTGCACTGGTTGAGTAGAACTTACAGACCATTCAATTGCGACGCTTACACAAAAATTACGAGAATGAGATGACCATTAAAGTAAAGAACTCAACAAAAACGACTAGCTATAGCGTGTATGCTCGTTTTCTCTGCTAAAACCTCCAAAACTGAAAAACATCACCCGAAAGGTGGAATTGAACCACTCCGACGCTAATCGGCTACAGGTTTGAAGCCTGCACCCCACACCAGTGAGGCTCATTCGGGCAATATTATGCTTGGTCGAAAAGTATAAATACTTTCATTACAATGACTAAGAAATGCATGTGGGACCGGGATACAATGACGCATGCGCATCTTAACAATGTTGGAAAACATTGACAAGAGCATACAAGAATAAGTGGGAAGTATTTTACTTAGGAACGAAGGAACACAAACCGTCCAATTTACTTATCATAAAATCTTTAAAATTAATCTAGAAAAGTCCATTACGGTTTTATTAGATTTTCTATTTAAAACTATAAATTAATTGTGCGATAGACACTTTAAGACGGAAAGATGATGTTTTAGTTTTTGGGAAGTCCGTTCAACAACAAATCCACCCTAATTTTCATGGATTTTTGTAAGTTAGCTGATTTTTTGCTATACGTTTCCCACTCTGTTACATCTTCGCACAAATAATTTTTTCAAGAGTCTTAAAGAAAGTCGAGAAGAAAGTTGCGGTAAAAAAATTTTTTAATCAATTTTACACATTACTTAAGATTAAATATTATATAGCTACATATGGCCTCAAATATAAGCTTGCTAATCATCTATTTACATAGGTTTAAATTACATAATTACATGGAAAAAGACTGTAGGATGACAGCCGAAAATTAAAATGAGACATGGTACTTGATGGGACCAAATCATTCGAATCTATATTTTGTAATGCTTGCCTATACAGGCTATACTTATATTAACGAACAATGTGATTTTTTCCCTCCTTTAATAAACGAGTATCTTCTTTCATTTCTTTAAAGGATGAAGCTCTTTAGTTTCAGAGATCAGGTGCTGTATACTCATTTAAGTGTGGGTACTTTTTTGCGATATGGATCGTATATGGGTGAAACACAACCCGTCTTATTCACACCTGAATATTTATCCTTCTACAGGAAAACCGTTTTCTATTCTATTCCATCATTTTTGCTGTACTTTCTCATTGAAACACCCTGTCTCATTTATTCTATGAAATTTAATAAATTTACCGTTCTTCTTGGTCCACGAAAGTCTCCGGTTACCTGACATCTAAGATCAAATCTCTCTCAACACTAAAGTTATAAATAAAAATTTGTAACACAATACTTTGTGATGAGATGATAAGGTTTATGAGGCGCCAGGTGTGAACGAGTGTAAATCATGCATATAGAATTTAATCTAAAGACATCAAACATAAAGACGAAACTTTATTAACAAACAACGCACTTTATACCGCAACTTTCACGATTGCTTGTTTAAAAGTTATATGTTGGACTGTTGTCAAATTTACATTAAAAATTTGCTCGCCACCTCGAAAATCTTTAACGACTGTTTACACACTCAGCCCTTTGCCTCCAGGGGCATAGTCAGGATTTATGAAAAAAGAGAGCAAGTCACAATAAGTTGTGTCGAAAAAAGCGACTTATACAGGTGTCCATTCGAAATTGTCTTGAAAAAAAGGGGCGTGGGGAATTGGTGCTGGGTCGCTCATTTATATTCATAGAAAAAAAAGTTAAAATGTGCTCGAAATGCCCGATTGAATTGAGTATTGTTTATTTGTAAATGGTCTAATTATTTGTGTTGTCTCCTTCAATATGATATTCTCTTGTGAAAGAAAAGAACTATGATCGACATAATTTATCCGACAAAGGGGTCAATGGTAGTCGATGCTCGTTAGACTTGATGAAACTGCCCTTAAGATCGTGATCAATGTCACCATTTCTAGAACAATAAAACGTGCCGTTGACAAATGATCCTTCGCATACGTAGCATTCATGGAATAATCGTCTCTCTTCACCTCTTTCATAAACTTAAGTGAATATGTATATACTATAAATATGATCCAGATGAGGTCGTCGTGTATCTCAGGAAACCACATGGGAAATGTACATGCATGGGCAGCAAAATGGAATTTGTATTGGCACTGTCAAATTGCCGTTCATCATAATTATATTGTATTGTTGTTATTCCCACGTCATGACAGAAGAAATGAGTGTTAATCACCTTGAGAATTTTTCGAAGGTTTTCAGTAAGGGTTTAACTTTAAGTTTGTCGTAGTTTTTCTATGTACAAATATAACTAGAAAACACGCGTTGTCAGAAAAGTAACGATGCGTGATGAAATATTTCTGGTCGTCATAACAAACGTTATAACGAGCGATACAATGTCAATTTGAGCATGCGCACATGGTGGCCTTTAAGTACGACTTCTATACAATGATCTCTAATTATATTTGTCGTTCTATCATAAATACATCCTGAAGTGAACTCTGTTCCCATCAGACATTATAACAACATTTCAGTTGCATATGATTACATAAAAGCCATTTATACAGTCTTAATACAATAATATAAAGTCTACCGCATCCGTTGCTCGCAGGAGATATATTTGTCTTTGAACTTCACCAAATTATTAATTACTCTAGTTGCGAATGGAATAATAATAACCCTTTGTTTCTCAATTAAAACCATTAAGTTGACTGAAAAGTATCCTTGCCGAGCAGCTAGTTAACCGTTTTGTGACTTTTGTCGAACTTACATTTGCGTGACATGTTGAGAAAAAAAATGGGCAAAGTCTTCATCATATTACGTCGATGAGTGCCATGGGCTCTAGGATAATATTTCCGAGTCGTGACGTAGAGTAAATTAAAATTCATTCATAGTGTAATCGCGTTTCAACTGACACCGTGTATAAAAGGGGTGTATGATTAAAATTGTCGAGAACGCAAAACATCCCATTGTGTGTCTGTATGAGTGTATGACCTGTAGCGACATCGGACGAGTGAAGATACCGGCACATATAGATATCCTTAGACATCTTTGGTGCGAGAAAATAGCGGGTAAGAGCGTCGTTTTATCTTTTTCTGTTACATTAGTTTATGTAATATGAAGTAAAGTAAGTGGCATTTAAAGAAATAATCCTGTTTATCATATTTAACTAAAACAAAAATTTCTCTGCATAAGTTGATCAATAATCGACCTTCTCAGGTCAATAGTTGCGGTTTTCATGATGAAAAATATTATATTTTTAGTTGATGTAAACGTCTATTTTTATATGTTTGTGCTCATAAAATACTCTAGAAAGATAGCTGGTTCAAATTGTATAATTCAATGTTTAACGGAGCTGGTGTGTTAGAGGTATGGTCCAAAGATCATCGTCGGTATTTGGACAATTTATTCCTACATCGTTTACTTTTAAATTCTATCGCATTTTTAAAAATAAAAAGTCTTTCAATTCAATGTTTTTGTAATAACCTAACTATTTATAAAGAACATCGCCAATATCACATGAGACATATAGTTTTTTTCTTCACAGCAGAACGTTTGATTTTCTTATGACTTTTTATGCATCGTAAAAAATATTTATTAAAGATAGAAACTGGATACAATTAAATACAAGTTATCAATTACATTATAATTGCTCTTCAATGATTTGCATAATTTGTTACTATTATCTGCCATAGAAGATGAATGAAAATACATTTCCATCTGAAGATTTCGTAGTGATCTTTAATCAGTTAAAATACAGCTTGTAATACAGATTACACACAAGACGCATAACCACCAGGACTAAAGGTCATACTTTCTTAAATTTTAAGAAAAAAAAACTGGAAAGCGAATAAGCGGACGAACAAAATCAGTAAATGACAAAATTCTCGCCACTTTTAAAATATTTCAAATTGCAACATTTCATTCGTCAGGATGTAGCTGTACCATATACTACTTTTGCGTTTAACAATATTATTATGAATGAATAAGTATGACTTTTGTTTACATATGTGCCGTGTTAATCTGCGTTGTAATAGCATGATAATACCTGTCTCTTTACAAATAATACCGGCACGAGTAGAATGTCTACACAAATGATTAACGTGTGATGTAAACGAGGCATTGGTGTGATCTATGTAGGCAAGATTGTTTACGAAATAATTTGAACACAGAAAGGTCTTCCCGCTGTACCAGAAAATATAACGCACAAATTTGTTTATTGTAAGATCTTTCATTGGACTGGTCTTTACAATACATATCCGTTATAAGGGGATTTCCGGATTTTCAAAACTAGTTATGTTGTCCTGGAGATAGCAAATTTCGTATATTGAACGTACAAGAACGTCGGTATTTTCACTATCCTCAGGACTCAGAAGCAAATATATCTCATCGTTTGTGTAGGAAATGAGGAATTAGTTACAAACAGCAAGCCTAGAATTGCAACATCCAATTATAACAATCTCCAATTTTCCTAACTATCTAGTTGTATTTCCCCACTCGCTGTCGAAAGAGGAATTCACGTAATCCGACAGTATGAATGAAGTTTATTTTTGTAAAAGATTTTTATCACTTTTTTTGGTATTCCACATTACTTTTTCTTCACGTGATGAAAGATCGACACGAGAGGAATTATAAGGTCAACGAAAGTCATCATCTTTTAGATCAACGTACACGTGAACGGTACTGCATCGGTATGCAGTACAATCACTTTAATACGAGAAACATTAAAACGCTCACAGTATGTTGTTGTAATCACACTCAGGATTGGTGCTGACTCATTCACAGACTGATTTCATTTTAAATTTACATATAAATATTTAATGTATTCTTAAGCTTCACATTTAAAAGATTACGTACACGGACAGTCGCAAGAGGGAATAACAATTGAAATAGGAGGAAACAGTACACAGTCGTCTATTACAGTGTTTCTACATACATACACACCATTTCTACTGCTAAGTAAATTAAGAACATTATCATAAATCTTCTAGGGTTACCTATTCAATAATTCAAATATGGTAGTATGTTGCAACACCAGGCTAATGCAATTGGTGTCTTTTAGGTAAAATGTTTGCTGATCGATTTTCTGATTACAAATCATTTGCTTGAAAAAAAATCAAAAACGCGAAATAGTAAAGTGAATATCGAAGAACTGTAATATCTTTTTGTGAACAATTCCCATCGTAGCTTAATAATATCAAATGGTAAATAATTCTATTGCCAAAGGGCTTGCTAAAGGCACAGGCGAATACATCTTTACATCTTGAATACTCTTGATAAACGCATAGTCAGACGGTTAATAACAAATTGTCTCAGTTTGATAAGATACTGGTTTTAACAAAACAATGAAAAATACTGAAGAATGAGAAACTCTTAAATAAACAGTTATTGATACTATTTTAAGGAAAGTTGACTCCATCGCGGGGTTCACGCTGTGAAACAAAAAGTGCAAATGTTCAAACAATAGTCTTAAAATTATGATTTCCACCTCAACTATTACAAATATGCAATCTCGAAAATCTTTTGTATTCCAATGGGAAGAAAAAAATTCAAATAAAAGGGTTGGAGGAGTGGTCATACATTAGCGAATCTAGCGTTGGGTAAAACACGTTGTTACAACAGTATATCGATTGGTATGATTTTAGTTTTTGGAAATTCATAAGCAATGTTATTAAATTTTTGAATTTAAAGTTCGGACTATAATATATTTTACCTAATCTTGCATTCGCTGACTGAGCTCATATATGCTACAATGTTTGTATCCCAGAAATGAACAGTGCATGTGTGCCCGTTTGAATTTTGTGTGCGAAACAATCTTTTCGCCGGTTCAATCAAAAATAATCGTTGTTGCTAGTTATTTGTAGAGGTACAAAGTTCACTTCCAATAGACTCAATTAGTGGAATTGTTTGGTATTGATTACTTTATTGAAACGAATTGTTCGCAGTTTGATAATTCAGACAAGCTAAGCTCGTGCAACAATATCAATCCTAAATCTTTTAATCAGTTTAAATAATATTGTTCAGCTGTCTGAAACGAGAAAAGGTATTGTCTGTCTAGTCTTTCAGTTTGATTAAATATTGAGTACGGTAAAAACGAATATTTAAAATCAAAACTTGTCAACCAGAAACAAGTGCATTAATTGAATACTGTGGAAGTTGTTGCATCAAACAAACAACTTTCTGGGAGAAAATACAGGATAAAAAACCATGACCAGCCGACAATTTAAAGAAATATAGTAAAAAGCAAATTTCGAAAAAGCAATACATCTTGAGATTGAAATATGCATCAAAACAACAGTTCGATTCTCGTCTTGTTTTGATGCATATTTTGCAATCTCAAGATGTATTGCTTTTTCGGAATTTGCTTTATACTAAATACAGGATAATTCTCCAAATAAAAAGAACTATTTTTTTTGGATGAAGATCTATGAATGGATCGTTCTAAGTGAAGAAGGTTTCCGATAAATTAATTTATCAGTGCAACTGGATTTAGAATTTGATAAACGATCAAGTTTTGTATCTTAATTATCTTATAAAAGGATGAAAATACAGTCCAGGAAGTTGGCAAATTTTTTCAAGATTGCTAAATCGAATGCAAAGCTAAATTTTTTGACTGCTCTTAAAACAGGGTTTAGATGAATAAACTAGTTTAATTACTTTTTTAAGACATTCATAAATAATGGAGCAATTCTACAGGCAAAGTATAAGTAAGTAAAGCTATTTGAAATTTTTCAGTGTAACAAATTGCACACGAAAATCAATGCATGAAAACGTTTCTCCATGGAAATTTGCCACGGCATAAGAAACACAAAGTAATTGAATTAAATAGAAGATAAGAAAAAATCAGTTAATCGAATACTAGAGAAACAAAACAAAATGAAGAAAAATTTTACAATTAGATATATCAGAACGATAATTAGGTATTTTAAAATCAACAGATTTACTTAACAACAATGTGTGACATACTAGTTGTTGGATCGTGTATTGCCTTAAATTTGATCAAGTAAAAAAGAAAACATTAATAATGATAAAACAACTATAGTTCTTTATGAGATGTATCATGTATCTCCTTTTGTAATTTGCAAATGTATAGATGCAAATGTACACAGTGTTTGACAAAAAATCATCAGTTTTCAGCTATAAAAGTCGTCTACAAGCATTATGTAATTGATTGCATAAAAATCTAGAATTTTTTTTTCAGGTTTATCATTTATATTTAATTTTTCAATTCACTTCATACTAGATGAAGAACTTCAACTCCTAATTTCTACATAAATAACTAATGGCATTGTCATAAAGGCATTTTAAATTTAAAATTTCTTTCTTAGTCTCTCTAGTATATCAGAACAACAAGAGTGTAGTTTGCGAAGACAAAGGCACAGAACTGAGAAAAAAGAACGTTTTCCACCAAAAAGAACGTTTTCAACTATGAAAGTGAAAATAGTGTGCTACCTTGTTGCCATAACATTAATAATGGTTAATGCTGCACCAAGAAGATTACATGTGAACTCACTACGACAAATAACAGCGCCAAAAACTACACTATTTGTAAGTACATTGTATTTCCTTGATGGTAAATTATGCTGTGTAAATAACGCGAGGCAATATAATATAAAATAAAATGCCATCAACTGTGTGAATAATGCAAGGCAATATAATATAAAATAAAATGCCATCAACTGTGTGAATAATGCAAGGCAATATAATATAAAATATCAAATAAAACACCATTCATTTTCTTTACAAATGACAAGTTTTCGCGCAATGGCAAATTATCTTACTCCCAATTTCAATTCCAATTTTAGTTAGATCTTTGAGAGCAGTTTGAAACACTGCAAAGAATTAACTTAAAACCTATTGTTTTGATAAGTGATAAATCACCTCTCTCTTCAGCCCTGATTTGGATCCTAATTCAAACCCATCACCAAAGATTATTCTAAGGTTTCTAAAACTGCTTTCTTTTTAGATAAAATGTCGAAAGACGTATCGTGAGTGTCTTAAACATCATGGGAACAAAGAAGTAGCTCAAAAAACAAAATTTTGTCAAACAAAATATACAACGTGTCTGCAAAGTACCTAGTTATTACAAAGAAAAGGCAAGATACTTGTAGGTTATATTAAAGCAAAGCTGTGGAAAGTATTAGTTATGATTTTGATGGATGCAAAGATTGGTGGAAGAAGTGCAGCAAGTTAAATTTCTCTGACAGTTGTATTAATTTATTGGGGGGGGGTGGATGGGTGAGAGGGAGAGTTAAAGACCGTGAAACCCTGAGTAGTGTAAAATAATTTAGTCATAACTAACTATATATATATATTTTGAATTCACCACAAGTTATTTCACTTATCATGAAATAGACAAAATATGTGAATTGAAGTCTTGACTATGTTGAATTACTTTGTTTTTTTCCTTGACATGAAAACTGATCAGTTGGCATCATACATCAACAGCTGCACCTTTTCAACAACCTCTTATCAACTTATGTCAAAGGTATTAAGTTGGTAAACAGAGGTATTAAGTTGCCAAACAAAATAAGCATGCACATCAAAATGTACCTTGGTTATTCAAGAAAAGACCAATCAGAACCTTACTTATTTTTTACATCATTGAAATCCTTTAAGAGTCCCTGCTCCAAATGCACATTTTGAATCTTAAACTGTTTCTTTTTTTGTGAGGACTTCTTCTTTTGGACAGTTACAGGTGGTTTCCTGAATGCCGAATCCTTCATTGTGCTTATACCATGATTTACAAGATAATTTTCAATGTCACCTTCTCCCATACCTTCAACACTTGAATGCCGCCAGAGTTCTTTGAATTTTTCATCAACTACCATTGAATGTTGTATGTCATTATGAAACAGAACAATCTTCTTGTCAGTTGGTCTTGTGACTTTAAGGACAATATTCTTATTTGTTGTACTACGAACAATCTTTTCAGCAGAAGGAAGACTTTCTTCGACGTCATCATATAACAATCCGCCTCTTCCTTCATTGTAATGCTTCTGTAGTACGTCGATAAATTGCCTTTTGTTTTTCATGTGATACACAGGTTTAAACAAGAACTTTCCACCCTTAATGGTTAGCCGATCGTTGTTTATTAATGCTTGATTTGCCAACCAGCTTTTATCATTTGGATCAATGTCCGTGTACTTTATTCTGTCTAGTATCTCATCGATAGATAACGGTTCGAATTCCCCTTCGAGATGTCTGCGTTTCATCTCGTTCACTATTGTTGCAAGAACAGTGAAGCGATTTTTTGGTCTTAATGTTACCGTTTTGTAATCGAAAGAGCTATTCGCTGTCTTAGGCAGTGAAGAACTTGCAGCACTGTAACTCCTTTTTTGTGATTTCTTGTTAACATCCTCTTTCCGTGATTTTATTTTGTCTTTGGTTTTTCTCGATTCCACCGATGGCGTTGCAAGACTTCGCTTTTTAAAACTTGCGTGCTCTTTTAGTAACCTTGGATCCATCTCGAATCATATACGATAAGCGATAAATCCCATAAGTTACCAGACAAACCGCGAAATAAAAGAACAATGAACAAGAAAAGCGGCCATTTTGAAAACGTTCGAACTATACTATGTGTTACGTAAAGTATTGGATTAATCCAATCTGACTGGCCAAAAAATTAAAAAAGACGAGGACTCAGGACAAACACCATGACCAGCCGACAGTATAATATAAAACAAATTCCGAAGAAGCAAGACATCTTGACATTGCAAAATTTGAATCAAAACAAGACAGAGGATGACTTTGAAATAAAGTCGAAAATTTACAGTTTACGTCTCGTCTTGTTTTGATTCATATTTTGCAATCTCAGGAGAAACGGTTTTCTCTTTAGTATTTTGTCTGAATATTTCATATTTGATGAACAAACCTTAGGAAAAATTATTTATTAGAATGGAGGATTCACTTTAATTCATATATAAATATAGTGTATATCACTATCTAATATCCATTTTATACATTACAAAATTCAAATTTCTAAAGTGTGCTTTGTTTATGTGTTACATGAAGTATGCTTAAATCAGCCGCTGTCCTTGAATCGCAATGCTGCATAAAATTATTATTGGCGGAAAATTGAAAACACTGAAAACACGAAGAAAGCGAAGAAAGAAGAATCAGGATTTATATTAAAAAAATGTCGGTTTCAGACTTGATCAACAATGAGGTACTTTCCTTTTGCGATGTCCTAATCCTTGAATATAATAGCTTTGTCTTTTAAAGTGGATTACCAATTCTCTTTTTTCACTATATAGCTTTTTACGTCAGAAAATGATTTATACGATGCAGAATTTGAGAGCGATGGAGATTCGAAACCTGAAAACATTAGAGACGAAGGAAGTTTAGTGGATGATCATGAAAATAGCAGTAGTAATGAAGACGTCGAGGAAAGTATATCTGCTATCAAACAGAGAGCTAAAACAAAAACTAAGGTTGGTGTGGTTGATTATATGACATTGTAAATAAGATATTAATACATAGTTTAAGGAGGGAAAGTGTATGTGTAATCAAAATTGCGCAGAGAGTACAAATGTTGTTTCCAGAATGAAGAACACTCTCAATTTGTTTGAAGAGACGTGCATATCTAGATACAAACTATATGCTATAAAATTTTGAGTTCAGGAAATAGCATTCAGAAGTGATATAATGACTCTATGTGCTCTTTGAATGAGAGGATTTCTTTTGATAGACAATATTACGTACAAGTGTTAACAAAGATGTGAGAAAACACAAGATGAAGAAAAATGACATCACAACACTCTATAGTGAAAGTGCAAAATTGCTTAGAGGTATTTTGTTTAATAGGTGATGAATTTAGCTTGTCGTATTATTTGGGACAATTTTCAACAGTGCTTGAAACTTTTTTAATAGAATCACGTGTTAAACTACCATATCATCAACCTGAGTATAAAGACATTTTCAGGCTCCTTAATAAGGTTGACATGAGTGATGGTACTGGGAATAAATCTGCTTTAACTGCTCGGTAAGTTCATTCTGTATGAAATGTTAGGATATTGTCATTTGTCAGCAAAATTAGTGGTCACTAATACAATTGAAATACAATTGAATTCAATTTTTATGTGAGTAAAATATCTTACTCTTTACAGAAGTGAGTGAATGTTATCCGAACATAAACATAGATATAATTATATTAATGTTCCTATTGCAAAGCTCTTTGTCATTTCTTTCATCAAACTTTATTTTTAAATAATCATGGGAACTACTATTGCCCCAGGAATGTGTTGAACATCCGGTCTTTGATTTCCAGATGTAATTACAATGTGAGGAAAGTTATGGATGCTGCGAAGAAACTACAAGGGAAAAGGCAGGAAAGCATTGCTGTCATTGCACCGATGAAAAATATCAAATCAAATGCTCAACCAAGGTTGTCAATGGATAAGGATGTCATTTTCTTTGATGATTCAACAAATTTCAAAGCTGGTGGGATGGATCATTTAATGGAAAGGTATTTCAAGTATATAGTCATTGACAGATTGTTGTATTTTTACTAAGGCAGTGGTGTAGACATTTCATCACCAAACCAAGGTAGAATATTGATTCTTGGAGGAGAGGTGGTTAAAATGTTTTTGGTAGCATTAATTTTAGTTGGGGTTTGAGGGCAGTCAGTGAAAACAGATATTTGAAAGTTTGCTATCCTGTAATCAACCTCTTCTCATGAAGTCCATCTATGCATGAAACACATACTTATTTAATTTTTACCTTGACTTAACTACGCATATGTAATGTTGTTCTTAATCACTGTTATTTTTTCTGGTTCCCCAGATTTATTAAACATAATAAAAACAAGACTAAAGCTGCTAAAATCTTCAAAGTTCACAATGCTGAGCTGGAATTGGTTGGTCATAGATCTGCAGTAGAGAAATCATCTAATGATGAGAAAAGGAACGAAGTTCCACATGTAATAATGGAATCAGGTAGCTATACAGTTCATTTATATACTTGTATTAGGAGTTCTAACTTCTTGCAAATTTTAATGCTCTTTGGTTGTCTTGTTAGTCTGCTTGATGTTGTTTGCACATCTTTAATAAATAAGAGAATGGTATTGTTTTTATCTCTGGCTGAGAATTCTTGATGGTTTGAGGCTCCGCAGTGGTTATTGGTCTGTTCTTTTCTATTTTTATCTATAGGTGATAAATTGCATAGTTTAAAAGGAAGACTTCTTGAAAGAATGAAACTCCAAAGAGCCGAAGTTCGAAAGGTCCATGAAACACAAAAGAAACTGGACAATGAAGAGGTCAGTGATGATGAAGAAGAAGAAGAAGACTTTGATGACTATGATGGTGATGATGGTGATGATGATGATGATGGTGATGGTGATAGTGATGGTGATGATGATGGTGATGATGATGGTGATGGTGATGGTGATGGTGATGATGATGGTGATGGAGATGGTGATGATGAAGGTATAAAAAAGTCTAACTTTCATCAACTTTTATGTACAAAACAATCGTTTTGCTCCAAATTAAAGTTAGATACTTTTGTTCAGAAAGTGATCCTGAGATGGAACAATGGAATGACGATGATGACAGAATCCAAGAAGAGAATGGGGCCGACAATAATGAAAAATCAAATGGCATCGTTTCTAAAAGAAATAGCGATGACGAAGCCTTTAATAAAGTTAGCTTTTCCACATCAAAAATTCCTCCTGACGATCAAACAATGGATCTGTTTCCATCTGACAACTCAAACCAGATGATAAATCGAAATTTTGATGAAGAAAGTCAATTGAATGATGGTGATAGTGTTTGCTCTGAGGAGAGCATCAAACTAAGACTAGAGACTGCTGATGATACACAAGATGGGAACATCGAAGATCAATCCTTAAGTTACACGAAAATAAATATGCCTTCAATGGAGAGGTCAAATATGATCAACGAGGCAAAAACTGACGATAATGATGTACTTACTCCATTTTCAAGAATACAAAGATTACTGAGCATGGAATCATCGTTCAGTAATGAAAAATCGGTGGGTCATTAAATTCTTTACCTTTGCACTAGTTATAATTGTTGAAGATTTACGTAAAGCATTAACTACTTGACGTGAAATATACGTAGCTTTTCATGATTTTTATAATTCTTTTAGCAATTCAACAAACCCATCTCTGAGCTTTCATTACCTATTGAAGATTCACAGGTATGTGTCGTTGTTTGGGGCTATTTATTGTAATCTTACGTAGAAGAAATATATAAGATTAGTTTGTTTTTTTTATTTTTTTCTTAAGCTAAATGCTTAGTTTTTGTTGTAGGATCTTTACGATAAAGAGGACGATATTAAACCAAATACCTTTAGAGATTTAAATTTTACATTGGACGAAGATACGCAGTTTACTCAGTTTGTTGATAGTCAAGGGTAAGTTGTATTGACGTAGCCAGCTCGAAAATTAAAAAGTGCGAGCAATATTCGTATATGTAAATGTTCTTTCCTTTTCAGTTCTTTTAAAGTCAGTTACATTTCGTCATTAGTAAAGTTTTAGTTTTCATTTGAGGGTAATGTCTGCAGCAATGACATATTCAACTTGCAGCTATAATCATGCTGTTTAAAAATTTCGGTGTTCAATCACTTTAAAAGATATATTTTTAGAGAAGTAAACATTGTTAAATAATCTAAAAATTGCAAAGCACAATCAAACATGCGGGCTGGCTATGCTACCTATATAAACTTCTAAAAACTTGAGTGAATGCTTTTCAATTTGTAGTAAAGGCATGTTGTGTAATCATCAATGACGTTTGCCTCGTCCTCGGTTTAGGTGTTCATGGTGGTTTTGGGTTTTTTTTATTTTATTCTGAATATTGCTTGTTTTATTATTCCCCCAGGTACTTGTTAAGTTCAACTAAAAAGAAAAAGAAAAAAGATTTAATAACATATGGCAAAAAACCCTCCAACAATATGATTGAGTTACTTGGACTGTGTAAGGGAGCTTCAGAAGAAAACGGATGTAAAAAGAATGGAAAGAATGATCCAAACGAGGCTCATAGTTCCTCTAACGGCGAATCTCAATATAGCATGCACGAACTTCTCGGCTTGTGTTCTGGTAAATTTACCAACGAAAGCAATGAAAATGGGATAGAATCAGAAATGGATTGTCAACATGTTAACGAACTTTCGCGTTTATCTTCGGGGTCTTTTCTTGATACCTCCGAAAGAAAACATTCATTATCGCTCGATGATGAACGGTCAAAGGGTTGTGAAGGGAAGGAAAAATTGTTAGTGGATGATTCTGAACAGTTTGAAAGAACGAAAGATATTTATACTTTTTCAAGATCATCGAACTCTGGTGATCTTTTTGAATCGAATGTTAGTGTTCAAAGAGACTCTACTCTAATAGAAAAACGAGAGATTATTGATCCAGTCCGCGAATGTTCTGGACAAGACAATAAGGAATCCGTGGGGAATCTAAGGAATGGTGGTACTATTGCACTGAATGATGGGAGCAAGAAGGGAAGACGAGGATTATTTGAGTTGTTTAATAAGGTCGACGATTCCATGGAAACGGACGATGTTCTTGCTCTTTGCTCGGGTAAAGTGAAACAGAAATAATAGCAGTGACTTCATTTTTATTTCTAAATAATTCTTTCGTGTTTAGGACAATTTCCTAAAACGCAAAGTATTGAAGAGACCGAAGAAGCAAAGGATGATTATAATGTTGAAGACGACCATATAGATAGTGATTCCCAAGGCACTTGCTCAGAGAAAGATGTGTTTAGTAGTGAGGAAGATGGTGAAAGTAACGAAACTGTAGAAATTAGAAAATCCGGAAAGGGTCGCAAGAAAGTGCAGTACGTTTTTTTTTGTGAATATGCTAAATGTATTTTTCCATTGTTCATCTCGCCTTTTGTTTTCTAGTTCAATTTTTAACAAAGATAATTTCGTCGAGGAAGAAGCAGAACTTTCCGGAAGTGAAGTAAGTTCTGATGAAGATGAGGGATCTGAAGATGATCAACTTGAAGAAGATTCGGATGTCGAAGATCTTCCGTCCGATGAAGAACTACAAAGACAAGTTAATAAAGTTCACATGTAAGGAAACATGCAAGATATATCATCAATGGTGTTGCAAGGATTTTGTCGATGAGGCACAAGCTAAATCACAATGTCTGGAGAAGGGGCTAAGCAAAGTTTCAAAAACAAATTTTGGGCAAAGCACTCAGTGCTGTGATCCAAGACATTCTCTTTAAAATTTAATCTGTTGGGGGGGGGGGACAGCTAACTTTGGAAAGAGGCACCTGTCCCCAGGCCCTCCTTCAGCGACACCAGTGCGTGTATTTGCAATTAATAAGTGTAACTTTAATTTCATGATATGTTAATATCTTCTTTAGATACGCATTTCATATTTTTCTAATGAGACATGATATGTCATCTTGCATTGAAAAAAAGTATATGCATAGCTTTGTATGATTTCATCTTTCAAGATCTTCTTCTCTTTTTGGTTTACAGGAAAACCATGATTGACGACGACAAACGCGAGATTCGCGAACTGCAAGAACTTTATCTTGAAGATGGTGATCTCTACTCAGAGAACGGAGGACGAGCGAGGAACTTTAGGTGGCGGGGACTTGACGATTCACAACGGGATATTTTTGATAATAAACTTCTCTGGGGAGATGAAGAAATTGTTGACAACGAGATTTTATCGCAAGCTGAACTAGAGCGAAGAAAAATGAAACACGAACGAGAATTGTTCCTGCAAGAGCAAGTATATGCATAATTTATTCTTAAATTATACATAGTTCTTAGGTATACATACATTAGAAATATATTATTCATACATATTACATATATTATACACACAGTATTCACAAATTATACTTACGTTATTCGTGCATATAATATACATATATTATACCTAATTAAATGTATTATATCCAACTTATTCAAAACTTCCACATCCTTTTTATAATATATTTATTATCTATATCATCATTCTCCTTGCTGTAGTTGAAAAGAGAGGGTGATTCACAAACGTCCAATGTTGATGAAAATAGTCAAACAATTTTGAATCTTATCAAGGACACAAGTCAAGTTGTTGAAGGTACTTTTTACATGCCTTACATCAGCAATTATTACTCACAATTGGATGATACTACGTAGCTCATTGTTAATTGGTTAAAAGTAGGGGACTTTATTAGGTGACAGTAGGGGACTTTATTAGGTGACAGTAGGGGACTTTATTAGGTGACAGTAGGTGACTTTATTAGGTGACAGTAGGTGACTTTATTAGGTGACAGTAGGTGACTTTATTAGGTGACAGTAGGTGACTTTATTAGGTGACGGTAGGTGACTTTATTAGGTGACAGTAGGTGACTTTATTAGGTGACAGTAGGTGACTTTATTAGGTGACAGTAGGTGACTTAACTAGGTGACAGTAGGTGACTTTATTAGGTGACAGTAGGTGACTTTATTAGGTGACAGTAGGGGACTTTATGTAGTTGACACTGCCTAAAAATGACGAAAAGCGTCAAAACGTCAGTCAAAACTGAACAGTGTTTCTCAGTAGTCCACTAACCTGTACAATCTTCATTTACAAACATGTAAGGATACTTGCGAGCTCAAACCATCCACTTTAATTGGTGAATTTATTGAGTGACTGTTGGTCACTTTATGAGATGACAATGGGTGACTGTATTCGTAGACAAATGATGATTTTTTTATTGAATTCTTTCAGAAAAAAAACCAGTTGAACCTACAGTTATACCTGTGAAATGCCAGGATTCAACATCTAAGAAATCATCTCAGGTACTAATCAGTGTGCGAATTAGTTCAGAAAAAACGATGTGCAATTTTTTTGACAAAAGTGTTTGTTTAGAGGCATAATCAAATTGATATTACGTTAATTATTATATAGCGCTAATTGCTAAATTAATATTTTTAAACGTGAACAAATTCATATGATTTACGACAGTGTTTTTCGTTAAAACCGCTTATTTTTGCACATCGTTTGAAAAAGTGATGTGCAATTGTTTTCATTTTAGCTAAAACGATGTGCAAATTGCACATTGCACACCGTTAATTCGCACACTGGTACTAATAAACATTGGAAACAAACTCGCGTTCATCTGTCGAGTCTTTCTGTTTTTCATGTATGTACGTATAGGGTGAGCTGAAATACAGCCAATGATTTTCACAACAAAATGTCCAACAAAATTTAATGAAAAAACCGGACTGAGATGTGAGATGTCATACAGTTGCTCTAAATATTACAATGATTTCATTTTATAGAAGCGTGGTTCGTTCTTGAATCGTGACAAAAAACAAATGTCTCGTTTGTCGAACATTACGGGCTTGAAAAAAACGCCAAATTCGACCTTTGGCTTTGTATTTCATACAGTATCTCCAAGCAACAAAGCCAAAGATGGCAACAAGATAGAGCAGGTGAGTTATATATTGGCTGTTTCTTTCTATGTATGGATTAGAAGTTTTTTTCAACTGTAAATTTTTTTTCATTCCATTCATCCTCATTCAATCCTTTGCTTTAGAAACTTCATCGGTCTTCACACATGTCTGAGCCACCAAATGCCAAGCGGCCTCGGCTGGACAGAGCTTTAAGTAGCCATTTAGTTACAGGAAGCCTGTTTGCAGCAATGCCTGTGTGAAACTACAAGTGTGCACGATAATGTTTCCTGTGTTGATGATGCTTTTGTCCATTTAATGATGTCAATATCTGCTCAGCATGGATTGAACATCAAAACATCAAACCAGCTTGTTGAATTGCTAATGATATTTATATATCAATTTTATCTTTGAGATGTTCCTTGATTAGATTTTTCATTTTTAGTAAAGGCTCATCTTTCTTGATTGGCATTTTCAATGGGAGAGTTCATTTTCCTAATTATCGCTGTTGAACATAATGAAATATGATGCAAGTGTACTGGAGTAAGTGGTGCCCAAGGCCTTCTTTGGAAAACAAAAGCCAAAAAAAATGGCACTTACATAGTAAACATAATTAATTTTTTTTAATTGTACAATTGAAGACTGTATCATCCCCCTCCTTTCCAGCACTACTAGTACACCTTACCACAACACATTATTTTTGATGCAATTTATAAAAATGTCATTGTTTATCTTAACTGAATGTCAAACAAATCAAAGTAAAGAAGTTAGCACTTATAAACAATACATAAAAACATACAATAGTGTTGAAAAAATTTAAGGCCCCTGCAAAAAGTTTTACAAAGTAAACATTTCTTCTGTGACATATAATTGTTTATTTATGGTTCTTTGTACAAAATAATTATTAGTCGTTTCAAATAAATAATAAAATCCATTCTTTAATTAAAGTCCCTGTATAGTCTAAATATTTATAATAACTTGATAACCATGTGTAACATTTACATTTTAGCTAGATGGTGACATGACAAACAATATGATTTCTCTTTATGATCATTATAACTGCAATAAATGGAAACATTGAAAGTGAGTATGCATAGCAAACAAAAAAAAACACCAGAAAAAACAGATTTGCCTTGTACCTTATTATTGAACACAGTGGACAAAAATGTTGCTCACACTTGAAACAGAAATTGTAACAGTACACACAGATATCCTTCTCACAAAAGAAACATTTTGTCATTTCCTTTGAATCGTTGGATCCTTTACAATATTGGCAAATACTTGTCCACTTGACTTGAGCAGTATTACCATTTGATAGATTTTTATCATAAGCCCTGGCTCCAGCTTTTAACATAGATTGTGTTTTATCTGGAAGAGCAAGTCCAATTGATGAACTCTTTTTGGTTCAATAATAGTACGTTAAACCTTGATACCTATTTTTCTTCACATGCACATCCATGATCCATTCTATTTTACTTGTTGTTAGCCAGTACCTTTATACTTATATATATATAATAATAATATATATAATATAACCGTACGTCCTGTGTCCCAAGTGTAGGAGTCACCATTTTACTATGGTGGTAGCCGGGAGGGCACATTGTAATACACTTTGTATATATAATAATAATATATTTATAAGAATTACTATTCTGTACCTTACCGTAGATTTTTTTCAAAGAGGCTTCGTTGTTGTTAACATGCTTAGTTTGAACATGCGTCTTTAATTGTACAGGTGGACAATGGTTGAAAGGAAAAGATCTTTTTGCCATTCCAAATTGTTCCACCTTTCAATTCCAGAAGTTGGAAACAAGTCTGAAGTCTCCCGCCAAAGCCCGCCTGTTTATATTTTGTTTTAAATAAAACCACGTGACTAATGGCGGCTCTCTTGAATTTGTTTACGACTCGTATTTTTCGTCTTTTACGAGATAGGTTTTCTTCCCATTTTGTCAACTTTATGAAATATGGATTAAAAATATTTTGCATTAGTGAACTATTTTGGAGATTCTTCAACTTTTGTATCCTAATATCACCGTTTCATTTTTGTTCTTGTATAAGTAAATAAATATATAAAATATGTAAGATGTTATGGCCAATATTTTAGAAAAAGTCATTCAAGGAACCTTAGATATTGAGGTTCTTAAAAAATATTTGAAAGATGAAAAAAAAGAGGTAAGCAAGGCAAAATATCCTGCATAAAAAGTAGGAAGGTAATATTATTAATTGGTAGCTTTTTCATTTTCATCGTGGTTGTAAATTCTGGGGGCTGTCAGGAAAATTAAGTCCTCTCCCCCCAATCACGAGAATCAAGTTATGCTCTTCATCTTCATGTAGCTCATCCTAAACCTTGAATTAACTTTTTAATTAAGTATTTGTTTATCTAGTGTTGCTCACATGACCTTAGTGTTGATATACCAACATTTGATGCTGGCAAGTTTGTTCCTTACTTCCTAAACTACATTCGAGAAGAATCCACGTGCCATTTTACTAGCGAACTTCCAGTCATTTCACCCAAGAAAATCAAGAAAAAGCGACGATATCCCAGGAATGTGAAATCCAGTTCAGATACAAGCAGCAATACAGTAAAGGCAAGAGAAAGTTTGTTTAAATCTTCACCATCAAATAAGGATACTTTGCCTTTGTCAGTAAACAGTCAGTATCTTGGAAGTTCATCATGTGAGTCAAAAAACAAAAAAGATCATCTTTTCACATCAACACCAGTGAAGTTCAATTTGGACGAAGACTTTCCAACGATTCATGATGTTTCCACAAGGTCAGTTGACAGCGGTTTTGTGAACAGAGAACAGGCCTGCTGAACAGCAAGGCTGGGAGAGAGAAGCTAAAAAAGGGAAATCATGATAATTTTTTTGTCTTTCAAGACACATTGATAAAAAATAGCTTGACCCCTAATCAACTGATTTAGCTATTTTATGAATGCCAGAGTTTTAGTGAAGTGTCATTTATTTGAAGATGGAAGTAATAAAATATCTACCCTTGCCAAAGCTCAACTTGTCTTGTATAGTTATGTACAACTTTGCTCATTTTTATGACAGAATACTAACATGGGTAATTTTTGTGTAACTTGTTGCCATTGATTTGTAACTGAGTTCAGTGAGCTGGTACTTGTAATAAAGGATATTGTTAGAATTTAGAGGGGTAGTTTTTCCGTCTTGATTTTCAATTTTCCTCTGTTTCATGTAGCAATCACAAATAGAGCTTGTAGCATGCTTACAAAAAACTAACAACCATCAACAACAAGTAAAAGAATTTTAAAAATATAGTATGAGATAGCATGCAGACACCAACTAAGTGGCCAGCTAAATCTAATCCAGACTAGAGCAACTCCCCCCCCCCCAAAAAAAAAATCATCCTCAATCCAATCCTGTGTAAAATTATACGTAAATACTCAAATTTTTTCTTGTTTATCATTTGTGTTTAAAATTTACCAAACTGTTGTGTTTTTCTCACTTTAGAAATAGCTATATGTTTGTAAATGATGATCGTCCAGGTTAATAAAGTCCTGAGAAGGACTGTTTTTGTTGTTGTTGACTGACGTTTCGACAACCTTGTCAGTCAACAACAACAAAAACAGTCCTTCTCAGGACTTTATTAACCTGGACGATCATCATTTACAAACATATAACGATACTCCCGGGTTCAAACCATTTACTTTAGAAATAGCGTAACTCCAACTCGACGTATTACTCCGACACCAGTAAGAACACGGCGCAACTCGTCAACTATCTTCAACAATTCCTCAACTTCATGTGAAACATCTGATGAATCAAGTCATTCATTCAGGGAAGAGAGGCAAACGAAAGGACAACATCATAATGCATCACGAAATACTTGGAATTCTAGAAAACATTCCGTGAAATTCAAACTTGAGGATTTTATGCATCAAGGAAGTAGGACACCAAACTTATCATCTTGCCAAGTCAAGGCGCCTTTTGGTCCTCAACATAATAAAAATAAAATTTCCCAGCTATCTGTTGATGTGAAGAACTGTTCCGATTCGTTGAGTGAATCAGAAAACAATAAAAATAGTTTGAATTCAAGTTTTCAAGAGAGTCCAAAAGAAGAATTATTTCCACCGAAACTTGATTCGGTGACGGATTCCGATGTCCTTGACAAACTTGCTGTTATTCATTCATTTTGTATTCTTGGTGAGTCATCGTTATTTTGCAAATGTATATCACGATGGTTCTCCAGTGTTTAATTTGTTCATAAACCCTCGGAATCCCGCATGATCTCCTGTAAGATCCATTAAGATGCTACTTTATCTTGCAAAATTAACATCAATACTTAATACGTTTGTTATTGATCATTTGTTGAATATTTGGATTATTTTTTAGAAAATTTGGTGCCTAATATTGTTATTGAAATGAGCTTTATTTTACAACTTTTGACGGTGGAAGTCAACTCAGATGTTGAAAAAGGTATATTTTTGTCAACATCGTGTTGTCTAACTATCTTTCTGAAAGGAAAAGATAATTTAAAAGCGTATTTTCTCTCATCAGAAGCTACAACAAAAGGTATCCTCTCTGGTCATCATAACTGTATGTATTATGCAACTGTTGCTCTTCAGAAACTCTTTGGGTAAGGTAAAACTTTGAAGCGACGTATTTTTATGGCTAATGCTTCAGGTTATTAAATGTTTGTTGGACTTAAGTTAAAGTCCACTTTCATGGCTAGTACTTAGTCCTCGCTGGACGTACAACGTTTTCGATGGTTTTTAGAATAAGCCTTGCATAGTCAGATTCGTGATGTTTCTTAGTATAAATGCATTAAGATGGCCTAATTTACCTTGTTCAGAATAATCAAGTTACTTGACAAAGGAACATTGAGGTTGCTGTTAGACAACAAGGCTGTAAGTTTCTTTAAGAAAGCACATACCTAATGCGTAATGTTTAAAGTATTGAACTAAAACCTCGCTTGATTAAGTTGAAGTTTTGGAATCTGAAATCCCAGAATTGCGAAAAAAATTAACCTTTCTCTGGGTAGAATTTCATGTTTTGACGTCACTCTCATTAGTGACATGAATCATGTTGATTGGATTTGGGTTAAATGTGATAAATCGTGCCTGAGTGAAGTGCCAATCAGCATAATGGATTTGGGTTAAATGTGATAAATCGTACCCTGAATGAAGTGCCAATCAGCATAATTTAATATTTTTTTTGAACGATAAACACTTCCTCACAAGCCTGATTTAAGTTGTAACAAGTGGCATCTTGAATTTTGGGATTTTAAAAAGTTCAATGTAATTTTTTCCTCCCAATTCTCATCATTTTCTTGTGGTCTTGTATTCGATTGTTTGTGTCGTAGATCATGGAATTTTCCAGGAGTTTCCACGATGATCTTGCGAGCTTGTATCCAACGATATCAATAAGTGAGGTACCTAATGATCTCTTGATGTACCTCTTAAGTGATGTACCTCTTAAGTATTGTACCTCTTAAGCTATGTACCTCTTAAGTGATGTACCTCTTAAGTGATGTACCTCTTAAGTGATGTACCTCTTAAGTGATGTACCTCTTAAGTGATGTACCTCTTAAGTGATGTACCTCTTAAGTGATGTACCTCTTAAGTGATGTACCTCTTAAGTGATGTACCTTATGATATTTTTTGTTTATTTACTCATACCTCTACATAAATCCCAGGAAGTTTTTATTTCTTTATATCCAGGTGCCATACTCCTTGCTAAAGTCGCCGTTAAACTGTGTTCCATTTCAAGTAAACTTTGACAATAGGAACAATTTTTCGTCCGAACAAACATTTCATTACTTTAAACGACAAAGGTAAAAAAAATTATTGCACTCGCAGTGAAAATGTTGAGTTCTTGGAAAAAGCGTTAGATATTTAACTCGTATGTTATTTTGATCTACAGGGACATGTTTTACGAAATAATACGAACGTGGGAATCACAGAATGGGAAATCTGGTTGGTCATTACCAGAGCATTTAGGTGATAGAATAAGGTGTGTTTTCACAGAACGCGTTTTATGCAATAAACTGTATGTATATATTACTGGAATGCTAATTTATAGTACGTATACCCGTAGTTATGTGAAGCCAAACTTTACCTCGGTGTGCTTGAAGGTAGTCCTCAGTGTGCCTGAAGGTAGTCCTCAGTGGGCTTGAAGGTAGTCCTCAGTGTGCCTGAAGGTAGTCTTCAGTGTGCCTGAAGGTAGTCCTCAGTGGGCTTGAAGGTAGTCCTCAGTGTGCCTGAAGGTAGTCCTCAGTGTGCCTGATGGTAGTCCTCAGTGGGCCTGAAGGTAGTCCTCAGTGTGCCTGAAGGTAGTCCTCAGTGGGCTTGAAGGTAGTCCTCAGTGTGCCTGAAGGTAGTCCTCAGTGTGCCTGAAGGTAGTCCTCAGTGGGCCTGAAGGTAGTCCTCAGTGTGCCTGAAGGTAGTCCTCAGTGGGCTTGAAGGTAGTCATCAGTGTGCCTGAAGGTAGTCCTCAGTGTGCCTGAAGGTAGTCCTCAGTGTGCCTGAAGGTAGTCCTCAGTGTACCTGAAGGTAGTCCTCAGTGTGCCTGAAGGTAGTCCTCAGTGTGCCTGAAGGTAGCCCTCAGTGTGCCTGAAGGTAGTCCTCAGTGTGCCTGAAGGTAGTCCTCAGTGTGCCTGAAGGTAGTCCTCAGTGTGCCTGAAGGTAGTCCTCAGTGTGCCTGAAGGTAGCCCTGTATTTTAGATTACTGTCATAGTAGTCTTTTTTGACTGTCTGTTGAAGGATTAGAACTTTTTAAATTGCTGGCTTAAAATTTCTCAATGAGGTAGCAGTCCAGTTATCTTAAGTTCAACGTTTTTCTGTTGTGAATTGTCTTTCTAAATCATGGTCGAAATATTAAAAAGAACTTTTCTATTGTCTTAATATCTAGGCAAGTCGTCGACGAGAAGTGTGGGTTAACGAACATTGTTCATTTCGTTCGACTTTTTCAATCTCAATTGATTCAGGTTGATTGAATGAAAGACAAAGAGCTCATATCTCACATTCTTTCACTTCCATTTGTATGAGATCATTTTTCCTTATTTATTTCTCGAAAACAGATGTGCTGTTATGAGAGTACGTTGCCAACCTTCAATGAAGGAGAGTCGCCCGAGTTTGTTGGCGAACTTTTCAAATCGAATCCAAAGAAGTTTTTCAGGTCAATTTCTGAACATCGTGAAAGTATATCTTGGTACATCTGGTTGATAATGAAAAATAACATCAACCTGTTTACTGTTTTACTTAGATTGAAAAAGCGTCTTGTTACTCCACAGTCGAGAACATCTGATCCTTGTCCACCCCCCGGTTTTACGGAAACCGAGGAGTTTTTTCGTACATTTATAGTCGCTGCAACGAGGCACGTCTAAAAGATGAACGCCATTGTTGGTGCATGCAAACAATAGTTTTTTCTTTGTGTCTTCCATTTTCTTGTGATAATTGTTGCATTGGTTTTGTAGCCCTTCATTCAACCGACATTTAATGGACAGTCTGTCTGTGAAGATCATTGAGGTAAGATAATATAAAACATAATTCTTTAAGCTTTCTTCTAATGATCTTCATGAAAGTCTTAATTTCATTTTTATTGTGACTATGTTGAGTACATTTTGTAGTGAGAAAAACGTATCATTAGATTCTCAGTTTATATCGTCGATGTTTTGCTTCCAGCTAAACAGTAGTATTCCATCGGAAAAAAGCCTCGACGAGTCCACTGATGACGATAGTGCTGTAGGGTACAGTAGGCACCAAGTACAGTTTACATCTTGTTTGATTACTTTGAGAACATTGGCGAAATTCCTTGGCTATCTTGTGTTTTTACCGTATCATCAAAATGAAGAATTACCAGCTACAACTAAAGAAACAATCATAAGAACCAGAAATCAGGTACATATTTTAACTTACTTGAAACAATACAATGGGCTTATGGATTACAAAACTTAGCTCCCAAATTATCGATCTGGCTTCACCCTTGCTCATAGGCGTGCTTTGTCAGCTTAAACACATGTTAGTGGCAAAGTCATAGTATAAATTGAATTTTAAAACAAAAAGTATAACACGTAACCTTGAAAACTTTGGGTGGATGTAAGAGACTTAAATTACATATTGATTACACTCCTCACACGAAAATTCCCGTTTGAAAACCTAAACCCCAAACTCGCAAAGCATGACTTCATGACGCATTCTTTAATTAAGATGACTCCAGATCTTGATGTCATGCACTACCTAAAGAAAGCACGTGACGAAGGAAGACTTGTACTGACGATACCTTGGGTTATTGAATATCTGAGTATGATTGATGCAATCAGTCCATCACTTCATTATTATGCTCAAGTATTTCACTTCTTATATCACATATACAGGTAAATCATAGTGATTGCCATGTACATGAATGATGGTATGATTACATGAAGTATGAATGGTTGCGTATTTTGTTTGCCATTAATGTTGATGCAGTTATGGATTGCCTTCAGTTTGCTAAGGAAAATTTTGTCTTTTTCATTTAGAAAAGAGCTGCCTTCAATAAACAAGAATCGGGAGAATTTATTGTTAACTACTGGTTTAGGGTGGTTGTTTGAGGTGAGCTCACCTTTATACTTATATATCCACACCAATCCATGAATCCTCTCTATGGCACTTGCGGGTAGGTCCAACCCGAATTTTTTACTCCTGCTGGGCATTTTTTTCTGCAAAATGATTATTTTTTTAGAAATGTAATTTCATTGTTTTTCCATTGAATCAATACAAAGACATTTTGGTACCAGATATAAAAAATGAGGCTAGCATCGTCACTGCTCTATTATCTGTTTTGTAAACGTAGATATTTTGTGTTCAATGTGGCATACATAGACTAATAGACTGTTTATTACTACCAATAGACGACTAGTAATGGTTTGGTTTGTAGACGAGTATCTCTTATGAACACTACATTCTAAGATTTTTCATGCAATTTCAACAGATGCCAGTTATTCCTGATGCAATGTTTGCCAAATACACCGAGTTTAGCGACAGGCACTCTTCATTGAAGATAGCGACAAGGACCAACTCCTTTACGGTATGTGGCAAGAATATTGTAAAGTCAGTGACTTCTGTTTCATTAACTTTTTGACTTGTTGTCTTTTGAGCGAATCGAAGACTGCTCATGTGTATTTCATAATTTGCGTTGCTTGTAGGGGACTGATATGGACATGGTTGATCAACATCTTCTGTACACGTGTTGTCCATATCTTGGTTAGTTTGATATTTTTCCCGATTTTTTACCCTCCCACGTTAATGTTGTCTTTGTGTTCGTGAAACAGGTGAGCTTCGGGTAATTCTTGCAGAAGCTGTTGTGGGAAAGGCTAAGAAAAGAGGTATTTTGTCGTTGAACTTGTAAATCTCATCTAGTCTCACAGCATTCATGAACTGAAGACAGCTTTGCTCAACTTTAATGTTTCTTGCAGGTCAAATGAAGAAAATTAAACCAATTAGTGCAGATTTTATGGAACCAACGATCAAATCGTCACCTCTTCAGGTCTATTGGAAGAATTGATGAATGCGCTTTTCTAGAATTGATACATTCGTTGTTTTTATGAATCTGACTACGATGAAGTGAAGTTGTTTTCTGAGCGCTTCTTTCTATGAATTGATTTTTAGACTCAACTTGAGGAAAACTTCTTTCGGAATCAACCGGAACATTTGAAAAAAGATGTTGATTTCATAACGTTAAGGTATTTAGATGCAGACGTCCGCCTCAGTTACATATTTTATATCTCACATTTATACTTTATTTTATTTATATATCAGGATATATCACAATATGATACAGTTGTTAAAGGATTGTGTAATCTCGTCGGAACACGAGCAAGCGAAACAAGATATGTTGAATACGAACTTGTTTAAAGATATAAGGTATAACTTTTTTGGTGTAACTTTTATTAATACCCCAACATTTGTTTTAGAAATGCTAAAGAATTTTTGCTATTCTTGTTACCAGAGATTGGCGTGATGTGAATAAGGATGAATTCAAGGTTTGATTAATTCACTGTTAACCTGTGTGCAGGCGTGACACTACTCCTTTTCCACCCCATTCCCCTTCTCATTTTCTCTGCATCTGTCGCTAAAGAGTATGAAGCGGGTTGGTTAGTGCCGTGTCTTCCAGTCGTTTGTCATTATGAAATGTTACATTTGTTGGTTCGGATCACGAATCAGTGAAGTTAAAGAGCACTTCACCAAACTGACGCTGAATTTTGATTTCGAAGAAAGCAGGCAATGATCACATGCTTATGATAACCCCGATTTTACATCACTCCCTCTTTTGCGGTGAAAAAGATCAAGCTACGCCACTTGCCGTCACAGCGCCTCTGGGGAGAGCTGGATGATGGTTTTATGTTCTCCTTTTTTCCACCAAGGTAAAATTTTTACTCCTAGTTTTTAGTGCAAAGTTTCAATGAAAAAATTATGCACATAAATGGTTATGTACACTACATCTTATGAGGGTTTACTTAAAATTTTTTATTTACCATAAAATCGGCGAATGTTCGCCTCATGATACACGAATCAAAATTGTGTGTTTGCTCCAAATTACTAGTCAAAAGGCAGTGTGTTTTTTGAAACTTTGCACTATCCTCTAGTTATTCTTTCCGCAACTTGGGTAAAAAGGAGACGCAGTAAATTCATTAAAGTCATGTCTTAAACCCACTCCCCACGCTTAATTTTGTGGCGCTGTGCGTGGCTTGCGTGGAATTTCGACAGCTGTTACATATTTGAAGTATCGTTATGTAATTTAATTTCAAAGGAGAAACACAAGGTGTTGCTCATGAAGATTAGTGATAGAATGACAGATGGAGTTATGGAAAGAATTTCCAACGAAGTTAACAAGTACAAACACATCTTTTTTTATAATAGCACTTATAGCATTGTACACATGATTATCCATGATGCCCATTGTCTGTTTTTATCTTGACTATCAAGATTTCTTTTGTATCATGTTTAGTGGTTAATTGTTGTGAATTTTTTATATAAATATTGTGGCCCAACTTATAACTGTTTAGTAATTGTAATCTAATCCAATAAATAATACAATGCAAATTTTGATGTACTTAATACAATCATAAATTTGCTTTCCGCCTGTCAAATATCTTGTGTTTTTTCTCTTTTCTTAAAGGAACTGCAAGTCGCGGTCGATCATGGCTGTTCGAAGTTTAGCATCGCATGACATGAATGAAATAGTAAATTTTTTTCATCGTGCTTGCTTTTCTCTGCTGACCATAGGATAATTTCATCCAATTTAATACTATATAGGTCATAAAGACTGTTGCTGGACTCGTCCACAAGTCGGCGATGAGTAAACTAATACAATGGATCCATCAAAATCTTAGTGGTAAGTTTCGTTTCAATTTTTCATCGAATTTCGCCTCCATAAAGTGGCAAAAATCACTTTGCAACAAAGTTCGAATTCACCAACAAATCTGACCAAAGTTTGGTTCGGAATCCGATTACTAAAACCAAGATAACATAAGGAAAGGATTCCCTGTCGTGAGAAATTTGACAACTTCCGATCTTTTGAAGAGCAACTAATCGCATTCTAAATGGCGCAGAATTTGGTTTTATGGCGTTATAACAACAATTCATAGTCGTTAGCAAGTTTGATAAATTTATTCCTTATGTATGCGCAAGTTTGTTTCTTTTTTGGAAAGGGAGTTTATTTCATAGCTTGGTGGTCACGCCGGATTTTTCACTACGAAAACATTCATTTTGAAGTCTTGCTTGGTTGAAGTTCTGATTGATGAAACGGTCCGCTTTCTGTCGGGCTTATTTTATCTAGGCATTGTCGATAAAACTATACGTAAGGACGTGGATAAAATGATTGCAAAAGAGCAAAATCTTGATTTGAATTCCTACCGTCTACATGCAAACGATCCTGAGCATCCTTTTAATTGGTTTTATCAACATCTTCTTCACAAAAACTCTGATACGAAACATTCGGAAGACGAACGCACCAAAATTACTGCAAAAGAGTGATGGCGAATGGAAATGGATACTGGAATGTACGGAAAATATTAAATTGTTGTTAGTAAAGTCGCACCAAAATTACTGCAAAAGAGACATGGCGTATAGAAATGGATACTGGAATGTACGGAAAATAATAAATTGTTGTTAGTAAAGTCTCTGAGGTGAATTAGAAGAAACATGGATCTTTGGTTGCATTGAGAAATTCCAAGGAAACGTTTATCTATGAAGAAGGAATCACAGCCTCTCCGTAGAACATAAAAAGAATTGGAATATATCATTTTGGACTTTTTATATTTAGTAATTTAGTGAGCTTTGTACATGTACAGTCATTTATTTTTATCTATCAACAAATTATTTTTGAGACAATGAAAAGCGCAACTTTTCTATTGAGCTCACGACGAACCTTTGATAAAAAGTTAAAATTTTAAATTAACCTTTCTCCCCCGCTGAAGGTTTCGATGATGATATAAGAAAATCTTTGTAATTAAAATATCATGCAAATTTCAATTTTTTCTTCATTGTCAAGACGCTGCTAGGTGTGTGCCAACAGAGATTTTTTTTAAGTATTCGAGAATTTGTCATCTCCTTTTTTGGCTGTTGCCATACATTTTTAGATAGTTGAATCACTTGAATGGAAAATCAAAATGGAATCGAAACTATTGCAAATTTGCTATACATTTGCAACATGTCTTTTGCAAGAGCTAGAGTTGAATGTCATCTCGCAAGTGTTATGATCTAGGACTCGAATGATGGCTTCGCATTTTTATATTTGATGACAATGTGAAATAATTCAAGTCAACTTATGTAGCTTAGTTGAATTATGCCGTGCAATCGCTCGCTCTATCCCCGCCTACGCACACATACCAAATTCCGTGCCATCACAAAATATCTGTCAAGTGTGAAATTGCCTGGTTTGTAAGTGCAATTATTTAGATTTAATCGTTTGACGAAGCAACGAAGGTCGTTAAGGGTACGCTAATTATCTGAGATCTTTATTTAGCAACTTAGTGAGGAATTTGACCCTTATGAAAAGCGAAGTACCCGTCGCTGTTTGCGTCTCATGCCAAATCTAACAACGTTTGTAAAGTGTAAAATAAAAAAAAATGTAACGTGAACATTATTTTATATCATACTACACGTCAACTATTTTTCTTTATGATAAATGTCGAGGACTCGCGGAATTTCATTATCATATGCCATGTAGTAATATAAAGTAACATTTTCACCTATCGTTTTTCACAAAGTCCTTCGTAATTATGCCATCGCTCAATTCACAGCATTCGCACACAGAGGGTGGCCATGATTGAGGAATATTGTGCCTTGAAATTAATAAGTGTTGACTTCAAGAGAATAAGGAATTATTTTACTGCAAAATAGGATAGGAATGCATCGAAAATTGATGTTTTATCAACTGAGATTTTCCTCGAGATTTCAGAGTAATTTGTGATTACTTTGAGAGTTCAATTAAGATGTGCGACCTTCGTAAATACTTCGCATATTTTTGAAATATCAGGTTTTCGTTCAATCCAGTCATTTGCATAGCAAATAAAAGATAGGAATGACACAATAACTTTGTGTCTTCCGATCTTCGCTGACGAACCGTAACGCACAATGGAGAATGTATAATGTCAACTGATAAAGTCGTTCATTTTCTTCATAAACAGACAATAAAGAGGGGACAAAAATTTCCATGTCACCATCTCCTCTTTATGGTCTTGTTGCCAGAAAACGTCCCAGATTGAACTAATGTAATGCCCTGAAAATGTTGATGTACGACACATACCGTGTATCATCGCTTTTTGTGGTCGTGTTCTTTGCACAGATCAACAATGTAGTCGCTGATCGTTGTTTGACAGAGTTGGCGTTAGCTGGAACGTTCGGTGGCGCTTTTGTCTTACTACTTATTGTCTTCTTGTTATATTGCTGTTGTTCACGAAGTCGTGATCTTCGACAGGGTTCGTATTCAACTGTATAAATAACTTTACACATCATCCTTTTTGAAATAACATAAACTAAACGAGCTTTCTGCCTGCAGTAAGAATGCAACAATATTTTCTTCAATAATAATGGATAATTATCCAGGATCTTGGTCCACACTTCATTTAAATTTTGTCTACAAGGCATGTGGCCGCGTGTGCTTGTGCGAATGTCCAATGATTTGAAATCATTTTTTTTTTGTTTATTAATATCTACTAATTCCTTGGTTCCATCCATTGTAGGAAATGCTCGAACTAAATTTACAAATACTGCTGGCAGTCTGAATATCGCAGTGGACAATGAATTAGAGATGAATGATAAGAAGGAATGGTTACAATACTATGAACGAAAGATACCTAATATTGGTATGTTTAATTTCTATTTCATTACTCCATCATCATATTATTCATATTTATTGCACCTGTTAAATGTAACTCAAAATTATGCTCAATTTGCTTTCCCGGCGTACATACGTAAATAAAAGAGAAGACCTCATGCCGAGAATCGTGAATCTTATTAGCATAACGCGTTTAAAATGACGATCTTATAATAATAGTACATGTGCATTCGTAAATGTTTCCATCAATTCAATGTACGTTTTCCTGAGAAATTCTGCTATCATAGATCAAAATATATTAAGGTCTTTTTTTTCTTTGCAATAAGTTTCATATTTTTTCCGTGTGGGCTGCTACAACTATCATTCTATAGCTTTAATGATTATGCGAACAGCTTCTTTGTTCACTGCAGCTGAAACATCGTTTTCATTTTTTAAACATTCGTATTTGGAGCATATATATAAAAATTATCCACATTGTCACACGATTCGCCAGGTGTAGTTTTCAATATTGCATGAAATATTATTTTTAGTTGCTATTTTTCACACATGCTCATTTAAGTCAAAAGGGAGCGGGGAAAATCTTTTTGCTTTTCATTCTCAAAACATTTGATGATAGATGCAACATTGTAAGAAATCCGATAGCTTCTGTAAACGCTTTTTACAGGGGTGGAAATCGTTTGCGTTTCTAACGTTAAGCGCTGTTATCGTTGATGTCGGAGATCTGACTTCGATATAGTTGCCTAAATAAACATGCATGTCTGATGAAGTAGAATCGCCAGGTTTTTATGATTTTTACGACAAATATGAACCAGGTTTAAATGCCAATCTGTGAGAAAGCATGTAGTGATATGGACGTACATCAAGATGACAAGATCTTGGCATTTCTTAAATTTTTAAAAACTGAAATCCCGCGCACCATATGTTAATTTACTGAGTGCAACTGTGCAAGTGCGCGTCGACTAATATGATCAACTCGAATCCATCTGGTTTATATTAATTTCAATAAAAACATCCCATTGTGAACGGTCATATACTATCCATAACATTTCTCTTTATTCGGGTACACGAGAGCACGAGAACTTGAGTGGGCATGCAAGAGACATCGGTACAATAAGGATATTTGGTTGATTGTTGATAATCACTTTCGCAGTTGTTTAATCTCGCACATGCATTGTATTATGACAATCATTTCAATCTGTTCGTATCAAGTATCAAAGGCATAGATAAATATTGAATAACCCAGACCGGAAATTGATCGTCATAATTCTACCGATTATAAATATATACATGCATATACGACTAAACAAAAAGTTAGTAGAGGATATAAACGGTAACATTTAGATGTAATTTTCGTTAAACTGTGTTTCACGATCCATATGTATTACAAAAATCTGTCACCGTGAAGAACATTGATTTTCTTCAGTCCAAGTGTACTTCGTTCTACTCAAGAATGGTTAAATGAGTTTCACTAAATTCGTAAATTTTACAGTTATAACTAACGCAGATTTGAAGTTGAAGCAAGTCTTAAGATTGCGAAATGTTTTGAAAGGTTGCTATGGTACAAATATTGTCTCAAAAGAAATTATGAGTCTTTGAATATTGTGAATGCACTGGAAGGAAAACATTGCTATATATCTAGAGTAGATAATCTATTGCAAGTTTGTAACCTATACTGGAAATTTTTATTTGTTTGTATGCTTGGTTAGTTTTAATCAAAGTTTCTTCGGCACTGTCAGGGGATAGAAATTTCAAAAATGGGTTGTGGGAACATTGTCGTCTACGCGTTTGTTGGTTTGCATCAGCAGTTTGAAACAGTTGACAGTCACATATACGAGCTCAGTTTGTAGAATATAATTTTGTTTTATCTTTGCTAACACGCTTATTTTTATAAATAAGTAAAGGTATTATATAATTGAATGAGAGAGTTTCCATAACTATTTATCAACCCCCACGCTAAATCCGCATAATGATCGTCGCCAGTATGACGAGTGTACCATGAAAACAACATGACCACGCGAGATATCGGAGATCGATGATAGGAATGAATGCTTTGAGAACCGGGAATTTTGTGTATTTTTGGAATGTAAACATTAAAATCATCACTAGTTGTCTTTTGGCAATAATATAGTGAATGAATTCACAAGTATTTCCACTTCATTCACACTGTTCTAGAAGACTAGAATCAAAAGTTCCAGATTGATAGGCAATTAATGACTGTTATCTCGACTTTGTTGCGTTTCTCTTTGTTGTCGAATTGGTTGATCTTACGGCATAAATGGAATAGCCAATTTTAGCTGCCCTGCATCCAATCTATACAATGATATACATGCAATATGCCTCCCAATATCATTGTCGTGCGGCTACTGTAAATTTTGTTCACGACACTATCGAATCTCTATGGACACCGTAATCATACAAATTAATATTTAAAATATAACAATTCAATGATATTTTCTATTAAGATACGTAGAAGTTTACTTATATATGCAAAACTTTGCGTTTTAAAATTAGTGAAAAATCAGCAATTTGAAATCCACCAAATCGTTTCCTCCTCACAATCGGACTTGATTAAAAAGGTTCAAGCAATGATTTTGAGATTTGTGAAGTCACGAATACTTTGATAAAGTACATTAATTTAAAACAAATTTTGTGCGAGTCCCATGCGATGATTTTGCAAAAAAAATTTAAAAAGGCTTTAAATGCATTTCATTGTTTGAATTCCAGCATAAATTGATTTTAGTTAATTGGAGAACAAACAAATCTTACTAAATTGGTAATTTTTTTCGCGTTGGGACTTTTTATTGACGAAAATTTCATTGAAATGCTTTTATAAAATTGAATATCGAATCGACTCAACCTCTTCTTTACAAAAAAACAGCTAATTAAAATAATATTTTATAACAAAAATACTGCATATACGTCAAGGTACATTATTACTGAGAACATAACCAAGAATTTTTTAGAATATGAGTAGAAAAGCACATCAATATTTTTGTGTTATTTTCAATGAAAATGGTATTTGCATGTTAAATACAATGATCAACATACCATGTCATTACGTCATGATTTGAATATTAAAATTATTAATTACTAAATTCCTGACTATTCCAGTCCACTTCAAATACGTGTTTGTGTCAGTACACGAAGGACCTGGAAAATGTTTTACCTTGCGTATAAACAATTGGAATGGCATAAACGAATTTAATAATTTTGAGTATAAGACGTTGTATAGAGGCGGATTTTGAGCGACGTATTTTATTTAAAGTGGGGTTTTACTTGGAGATCGTTTAAGGAGTGTTCGTAGCGGAGATTCCTACGAGGTAGGAGAAATAAAATGCATTTCACCGATAAATAGCTATTGAAATATAGAGTTTAGCGTTGTCATTTCAAATTGAAGAACGCGCTGTAGGAAAATATTATTTCGATACTAAATATGCACTCGGGCACTCACTGCTGCGTAGAGCGTTGTTTATGTCATTAAGGCAGGGGATAGCTCGAGCAAAGCGTGTGACTACAGTGTTGGAAGATCCATCACCATTCTTAAGTACATCAATCAAGCTGACTGTAGTGCAGAAGATGATCTTCCCAAACCAAAAACAAACTATAAAGTCGGTTGTGATTTATGAACTCATGCATGCCATATATGTTATGTTATATTATGTGCGTGTGAAATTTAAAGGTATAACAGTGTCAAAGGGCATTCTTTCTAAAGGTTTTGACTGATTTCTCGTTAGGACTCGCAAAGTAATAGCACTCTCTGCTATTTTAATTCCAACATGTTGGCTGGAACGCCTTTTTTTATTAAAGTTTGTAGATTTTCTAATTTCGCTGTTCCGCGTGAATGCATACCTTCGATAGTGTTCTTGAACACCTAAAATGAATAATTTCATGCATAGTTTTTAAAGTTATGTTGAAATCTTTCACGAAGTCTCGTTGCTTGCATGTGAGAAACAGATTATGAGTTATTGAAAGAGACTTATTTATGCCGAGTGCGCTTAAATTTTAACTAAAAAACCGTGCACAGTGAGATACAATACAATAAAAGGAATTCATTTTATGTACTTATCTTCATCAAAGGTATGCGAAAGGCGTGTACGAAATAGGGCACCTCAGAAGACGCAATCGGAATTTCAACTAACGAAAAATGAAACGCTCTTGCACTCGCTCTTGACTAAAGGACGCAGAGCTTTTAATCGTAGCGCAACAATATCCATAAATCGCTTCCAAAAACCTCACTTTGTTTAGCACAAATGCGTTCATGTATCGCATGTTTATAATTCCTAAATCCTGAGCACACATTGTCGTGTGTATGTATCATATTTTTGTTTGTGTGCCTCCTGTTGATCTATTCCATGGGTTGATTAACCATCTAATCTAATCCTATTGAATCCAAGGCAAACTAACCCGAAATATAGATACTGTGCTGGGTTGTCTTCATATTAACAATGTTTTTGTTCATTGAACAGCGTAAACAACAAACTTTATCTAAACAATATAATCAATAGATCTTTAAAATGTACAATGCTCACCGTCAGCTTGCGAGTATTGAATACGTCGGTAGGGGGCGCGTCATCTTGTCGTCAAATTTTTTCGGTAAATATCAACTTTGAACTACATCGCTACTTTAATTACGTTAGTTAAGCGTTTTGTCGGGAAATGAGCAAACGACTGAAGTCATCGTTCCGTGCCGTGTTATTCAGTACTTTTCGGTCTTTTGATTGACAAAAACGAATGTTAACAGTAAGAACCCAGCAGCAAGTGGTGCATATATAAGAGTAAGTTCTTACTTCTGAATTGTGGCGTAAGCGATGGCGCGGATGGGCTCTTGCTCTTATGAAAATGTTGCCACTTTTAGCTTGCATATTTTCCTATTTTGATAGCCTAATGGTTTATTTATGAAATGTTTAATATGTTGTTTTTATCGATCAATGGTGAACATGTTTAGCGAAATACTTTAATTGCATGTCTTGATTTCATGTCTTGTGCCAACACGAATGCATGTCATATGCCCAGCTGGCCAAGTTTCAAATGTTGCGTATTCGAGAAATCTATTTGGGGGGATCATGCGTATTGTTAAAGAGTGTGTTCTGAAATGTGACGAACAGATAGTGAAACTCTCTGTCCCAAAAACATCTTGTGTGAAGAATCTTTTTAATGCCATGCATCGAGGAAACTTTTTCTAGGGCCCTAAATATTTCCAAGGAAAAAGAAAACGAATAATTATTGTGAATCGTATTTCCGCAGAAGAAGTTTGAATTTCCTGTCGTGTATTCGTTGTTCCCAATTTTCAGTCGATATTTTGTCATTAGTCATGTGACTAAATGCGCACAAAAGTTCGAGAAATTTTAAGTTGTTTATTCACCTATCAACTCAGAACTTGTTGCACATTAGTCATGTGACTAAATGCGCACAAAAGTGCGAGAAATTTTAAGTTGTTTATTCACCTATCAACTAAGAACTTGTTGCACATTAGTCATGTGACTAAATGCGCGGAAAAGTGCGAGAAATTTTAAGTTGTTTATTCACGTGTCAACTCAGAACTTGTTGCAACTTGCAAATAATTCACAACGAGCTCCTGAAAAGACTTTGTTTGTGCTTTAAACCAACAGCCCGCGACGGTTATAGATTCCTTACTATACTTCTCATGGGAACATTGACTATGCTATAACATCTTCATTTGATTTCTTGAATCATTCTGCATAAAATTATTCCCTTAAGTTTTAATTGATTTCATTAATATGTGTGAAATTGCTTCAGTATCATTGTTGCTGTCATGACAGCGAAACAATAATTATAATTTCACAATCTGCTTCGTTTTAGAAATGGCTACGATAAAGGCAAATTTTGACCTATCGGCCAGTGAGGAGATATTGTCTACTAATGGTGATTTCTCTGGAACTGCATCCTTAGAAAATGAGGTAAGCCGAGTTGTTTGTCTTAAAAAAACGAGTTTGTATATCTTTAGTTTTTATTTAAAAAATACCTAGTACGAGGTCTTGAGTTGAACGCGCTAAAACTTTTTTTAAACACTGCAGTCGGTGGGTTTCTAACGCTTCAACCGATAATAACATTACGTTTTGTCATTTATGAAGTATGAAACGGTTACAATTTACTGGAGTTCTCCCATTGGCAATTATATTCGTCTGCCCTTACCGTAAACTGTCATTTAGCTTCTTCATTTGACCACAGCAGGGACTGCAGAGCTTGTTCTAAAGTGGGTCGGTCCGTGGGCCAAAATATAGCACAAGAATATACTCTAGATGGAAAACACTGAATTTTACCTGAAGAATTCCGTGAAAAGGATTTCCAACTCTGCGGTCTGTGGAAAGCCCACAAGCCCTATAGTCTGTTGAAAGCCCCCAACACCAGCTTCGTCGTCCCTGGAAGGGAGTCAGTTTTTTTATTAAAGTCTTAACTCGGGTATTGCATGACTTAAAAATTTGGTGCAAGAAAAGTTTAACACTTCATGTTTAGCAACATTTTTATCAAATGCTTTTGCCTCCCCCTCCTTTAATGGAAAGAAGCGTTATCTTCACAAGGTCATATTTTCTCTTTGTTTTATGTATAGCCAAAAATCTTTGTGTTTGTGAAGAAGACGCCGGGGGAAAGTCTAGGCTTGTATCTGGTTCCCTTTGGAGAGGAACCTTTAACTGGGCTTTATGTCAAATCAATTGATCCAAGAAAATCTGCGGCTAGTCTTGAAGTTTTTGATCCAGGTAAACAGCTATTGTCATCAATGCATGAATATTTCATGCTGGAGAACACTTTCCAGGTGAACTAGGGAGGTAATTTTTGTACGTTCTGGGATCTTTTTCTAGTGTCTCTATTTGATAGAAAACCCCACAGTTTTAGTTGAACTTTTTTCTTCATCTGTTTCTGGAGGTTCTCACTCACATCTACTTATCGTAATGTCCGCCCATGGATACTGCATGCTTAGTTTCTCATATACAGGGAGTGATGTAAATCTTATGACACGGAAAATAAATAAATACGAAAAATGCGATGTGTTGCAGTGAAATGCATCGTGGCTAATCGTGTTCAATGTTTGCAGCATCCTCACGCTAATCTCTCGCCCCAAAAATATATTCTCTTTCTTAATCGTGCTGAACGACTTCCTGGCTGCCTGCAGTCATTAAAATCATGACCATTTTTTTCGTCAAGGTGACAAAATTTTGTCAGTAAATGGAAAATATTTGCGTGGCATGACGTACCGCGAGTCGACCGATTTCATCCGGGAATGTCCTGGGCCATACGTAAACATGGGAATCATCAAGCATGCTCTGCATACAAAAGAAGGTACATTCTATGTTCTTATACGGTGTTGATATCGACATTGAATAAAATATCATATGTTTCTCGCACTGGAAGAGCGGACAGAGTGTTGTATTTCTGTTGCTGTGAAATATTGCTTTACTCGCCTGGGGCTGGTTGCACGAAGCCTGGATACCGTTATACATTGGATAGCAAAAATTTTCAAACTTATAAAAAAGGTGTTTATGTTTTTGTTACGACGAAGAAATCTCGTAATCTTAGAAGCAATATTTCATTTCAGTTATTGTTCCGTTCGATTCTTATATTTTTTTGCTTTTTAAAAGGTTTTATAAAAGTTTAAAAAAGTTGCTATGCAATGTATAACGCTATCCAGGCTTCGAGAAACCGCCCCTGCAATTCAGTAATAGTACATATGTATATGTATAAGAACCTGTATTTTGAGAGTCAGTTTGATTTCATACAGATAATACATATTGACATATTTTTATGGTAATATTATATAATTTATTTGGTAATTTGTTAGCATATTTTAATATATATATGCTAATAATTTATTCTCCTGACGAGTGTGGCAAGTTAAAAACAACTGCCATACGAAACAGTTCTGTAGGGAATAAATTTCGATGAAGTAATTCGTGGTTTATTTTATTTACAATTATATGCTAATATATGTTACTTTATATTAACTTAAACTGACCATTTGTACAATGGCTTATTTAGGCAAACATGAAAAATTTGGGTTCTTATACGTACTATGTAGCTATTACTGTAACGAGAAATGAGATTTTCAACAATCAAATTTGTATGTTTTCGTACGAATGATTAAATTGTTAAAAATTCCATACTTAAAAAAATTTACCACTATTTTGAACAAATTACGTTAAATGCTGGATTTGAGGTTCTTCCTCGGTTTAAGAGATTTCGAATTTTTGATAAATTTTAAAGTTTTTGTAAAAATTTGCGGTTGGTTTGTTCATTTAGAAAAAGAGATTAATTCAAACTAGCAATTTTTTTCATACGCAACTTAATAACGCTCTCTTAGCCTAAATTGGAGATTTATATAACGTTTTGCGGCGAGTTGATTTAGACTGCCAGCATTTTAACATCAAATAAAACATTGTGATCAACATGCAATATTTTAGCTTCGAACTTCCATAGAATTTCATCATGATATGAGATCAATCTTCAGTGTTTTCCATTTCTGCCTAAAGTTTCTATTCACACATAGTTTTTGTTATGAAATAATACGTCATATATTATATATCGCTTGCGAAAATCCCATTCGGATCTAGTTCCCATGAAGGAAATCATTTGTGTTTCTGTGTCATGAATATGACCAAATATCAGGCAAAATGGTAAAACTTTGTTTGACGTTTGGGTTTTTTAGCTGAAGAGGATAAAGGTAGGTTCAGGTGTTTTGATCATTTTAAGTCTTCTCGTGTCATTAAGAACGAGACTGGTTGGTGAAAAAAGACAAAGTATGGTTGAGGAAAATGGAATTCTGAGTTTTTTTAGTAGTTCCATTAAACAAATAAATTTTTATTAATCCTGAATGTAGATGAATTTTATTAATCCGGTGAATCTGTTGCCAGTATTTGAGAAAACTTAAGCATTGCTTCTAGAAATTACATTTGAATTGAAACATTCGTGCATGATAAAATATTTTATTTCCCACACATTTTAGATTTAGCTAAACTTCAAAGTGCGTCATTAAACGACGGTCGTTTTTCGGCTGGTGCTAATGTGGACGTACGTATTCCTGACGTACATGTAGGTGGGTCTGGGCCTATCAATGTCGAAGGACAAATGCCTAGTCTACCCAAAGTAGACATGGATGCTAGTACAACTAAACAAGTTGTCGTCGAAGATGAAATACAAATAGCTAAGCCGGACGTATCTTTCAATGTTGAATCCACTCCTGATGATTTTACTATGGATTTTGGGGGTATAGGCCTTGGTGGAGAAGGACCAAATCAGTTTTCCGGAGAAATGAATGGAAAAGGAATGGGTGGTAAAAGTGCAATAAATGCTGGAAACATAGACATTGACTATAGTGCACCGTCTGGTATCTTTGATACGGATATTGATGAAGGAAAAGGAAACTTCAAGGTAATGTCACCAGATACACATAAAATACACACTAATACCACAAACCTTAATATCGATGTTCCATCCAAGGGTGGTAATATTTCATTTCCGGATACAAACAAAGAAATGGGACCCAAGGGTGAGGGGGGAGCTAATATTAAGGCAAACGTTGGTTTCCCAAACATTAATTATCAGGGCAACAATAATATCGGCGCTGGGACAAATATTCAAGACTCAGACAGTGATACTTCGGATGGTAAAGGTGGAAGAATAAAGCGAAAGTTGATGCTCCCTTCTGGTGGATTTAATTTTTCCGGTGGAATTAAAGGAGATGGTGACAGTAGTGGCAGTGAGACATCTGATGGAAAAGGTGGAAGAATAAAACGAAAGTTAAAAATTTCGCAGCCTGCAATTAAATTAAATTTAGATGGAGACAAAACTGGATATGAAAGTGACAGTGAAACATCAGACGGAGAAGGAGGAAGAATCAAGCGAAGTAAAAAAAATCTAAAAGCTGGAGTGTCAGTCGAAGAAAGTGCTGACATAGACTTTGCAAAAGCAGGTGATAGTAAGAGTAAAAGTTTCAAGAAAAAAAGAAAATTTAAGTTCAAATTGCCAAAAATTCTGCAAAGAAAAAAGTCCAAAGGCAAGAAAAACAAATACGACGTGGAAGGTAATCAATTAAAAGCAAATATGCAAATTGCTGACGTAGGAATTTCTCATGAAATTAAAGGCAACGATGAAAGCAGTAATAGTGAGACATCCGATGGTAAACGCGGTAGAATTAAACGAAAGTTAAAATTACCGTCAGGTGAATATGGCATTTCTGGAGGTTTGAAAGGACCAAAAGGAGATGCAGATAGCAGTGACAGTGATACGTCTGACGGCAAAGGTGGAAGGATAAAACGTAAGTTGAAATTTCCTTCAGGTGGTATTGGCATTTCTGGCGGAATTAAAGGAGATGGTGACAGTAGTGGTAGTGAAACATCTGATGGAAAAGGCGGAAGAATAAAACGAAAGTTGAAATTGCCTTCTGGTGGTGTTAGTATTTCCGGTGGAATCAAAGGCGATGGTGATGGCAGTGGTAGTGATACTTCTGATGGTAAAGGCGGCAGAATAAAGCGAAAATTGAGACTGCCTTCTGGTGGTATTGGTATTTCAGGAGGTTTAAAAGAATCTAAAGGTGACAGTGATAGCAGTGGTAGTGAAACATCTGATGGTAAAGGTGGAAGAATAAAACGAAAATTGAAACTACCTTCTGGTGGCATTGGTATTTCCGGAGGTTTAAAAGGATCTAAAGGTAACAGTGATAGCAGTGGTAGTGAGACATCTGATGGTAAAGGTGGAAGAATAAAACGAAAGTTAAAACTGCCTTCTGGTGGCATTGGAATTTCCGGAGGTTTAAAAGGATCTAAAGGTGACAATGATAGCAGTGGTAGTGAGACATCTGATGGTAACGGTGGAAGAATAAAAAGAAAACTAAAATCTCCAAACGTAGACATAAAAGCCAAAGCAAGTGCCGATAAAGACAAAGATGGAAAATCCGGCTTTAACCTTCCTAAATTTCACATGCCCAAATTTGGTTTTGGTGGCAGTGGAAAGTCCAAAGGAAAATCAAGCAAAAAAGGAAAAAAGAAAGGTTTTGAAATGGAAGGAGACGTTAAATTGCCTTCTGGTGAAGTAGAAGGTGATATTCCCAAAGTTAGCATTGACACTGATCTTCAAAATGAACCACCTTCTCTCAGTTACAGTGGCAGTGATACTTCGGACGGGCATGGAGGAAGGATCAAGAGGAAACTGAAACTACCATCGGGTGACATAAACATTTCTGGACGTTTGAAAGGACCAAAAGGGGATGCAGATAGCAGTGACAGTGATACGTCTGACGGCAAAGGTGGAAGGATAAAACGTAAGTTGAAACTTCCTTCAGGTGGTATTGGCATTTCTGGCGGAATTAAAGGAGATGGTGACAGTAGTGGTAGTGAAACATCCGATGGAAAAGGCGGAAGAATAAAACGAAAGTTGAAATTGCCTTCTGGTGGTGTTAGTATTTCCGGTGGAATGAAAGGCGATGGTGATGTCAGTGGTAGTGATACTTCTGACGGTAAAGGCGGCAGAATAAAGCGAAAATTGAAACTGCCTTCTGGTGGTATTGGTATTTCCGGAGGTTTAGAAGGATCTAAAGGTGACAGTGATAGCAGTGGTAGTGAAACATCTGATGGTAACGGTGGAAGAATAAAGCAAAAATTGAAACTGTCTTCTGGTCGTGTTAGTATTTCCGGTGGAATTAAAGGCGATGGTGATGTCAGTGGTAGTGATACTTCTGACGGTAAAGGCGGCAGAATAAAGCGAAAATTGAAACTGCCTTCTGGTGGTATTGGTATTTCCGGAGGTTTAAAAGGATCTAAAGGTGACAGTGATAGCAGTGGTAGTGAAACATCTGATGGTAACGGTGGAAGAATAAAGCGAAAATTGAAACTGCCTTCTGGTGGTATTGGTATTTCCGGAGATTTAAAAGGATCTAAAGGTGTTAGTGATAGCAGTGGTAGTGAAACATCTGATGGTAAAGGCGGCAGAATAAAGCGAAAATTGAAACTGTCTTCTAGTGGTGTTAGTATTTCCGGTGGAATTAAAGGCGATGGTGATGTCAGTGGTAGTGATACTTCTGACGGTAAAGGCGGCAGAATAAAGCGAAAATTGAAACTGCCTTCTGGTGGTATTGGTATTTCCGGAGGTTTAAAAGGATCTAAAGGTGACAGTGATAGCAGTGGTAGTGAAACATCTGATGGTAAAGGTGGAAGAATAAAAAGAAAATTGAAACTACCTTCTGGTGGTATTGGCATTTCTGGGGGAATTAAAGGAGATGGTGACAGTAGTGGTAGTGAAACATCTGATGGAAAAGGCGGCAGAATAAAGCGAAAATTGAAACTGTCTTCTGGTGGTGTTAGTATTTCCGGTGGAATTAAAGGCGATGGTGATGTCAGTGGAAGTGATACTTCTGACGGTAAAGGCGGCAGAATAAAGCGAAAATTGAAACTCCCTTCTGGTGGTATTGGTATTTCCGGAGGTTTAAAAGGATCTAAAGGTGACAGTGATAGCAGTGGTAATGAAACATCTGATGATAAAGGTGGAAGAATAAAACGAAAATTGAAACTACCTTCTGGTGGCATTGGTATTTCTGGAGATTTAAAAGGATCGAAAGGTGACAGTGATAGCAGTGGTAGTGAAACATCTGATGGTAAAGGTGGAAGAATAAAACGAAAATTGAAACTACCTTCTGGTGGCATTGGTATTTCTGGAGATTTAAAAGGATCGAAAGGTGACAGTGATAGCAGTGGTAGTGAGACATCTGATGGTAAAGGTGGAAGAATAAAACGAAAGTTAAAACTGCCTTCTGGTGGCATTGGAATTTCCGGAGGTTTAAAAGGATCTAAAGGTGACAATGATAGCAGTGGTAGTGAGACATCTGATGGTAACGGTGGAAGAATAAAAAGAAAACTAAAATCTCCAAACGTAGACATAAAAGCGAAAGCAAGTGCCGATAAAGACAAAGATGGAAAATCTGGCTTTAACCTTCCTAAATTTCACATGCCCAAATTTGGTTTTGGTGGCAGTGGAAAGTCCAAAGGAAAATCAAGCAAAAAAGGAAAAAAGAAAGGTTTTGAAATGGAAGGAGACGTTAAATTGCCTTCTGGTGAAGTAGAAGGTGATATTCCCAAAGTTAGCATTGACACTGATCTTCAAAATGAACCACCTTCTCTGAGTTACAGTGGCAGTGATACTCGGACGGGCATGGAGGAAGGATCAAGAGGAAACTGAAACTACCATCGGGTGACATAAACATTTCTGGAGGTTTGAAAGGACCAAAAGGGGATGCAGAGAGCAGTGACAGTGATACGTCTGACGGCAAAGGTGGAAGGATAAAACGTAAGTTGAAACTTCCTTCAGGTGGTATTGGCATTCCTGGCGGAATTAAAGGAGATGGTGACAGTAGTGGTAGTGAAACATCCGATGGAAAAGGCGGAAGAATAAAACGAAAGTTGAAATTGCCTTCTGGTGGTGTTAGTATTTCCGGTGGAATCAAAGGCGATGGTGATGTCAGTGGTAGTGATACTTCTGACGGTAAAGGCGGCAGAATAAAGCGAAAATTGAAACTGCCTTCTGGTGGTATTGGTATTTCCGGAGGTTTAAAAGGATCTAAAGGTGACAGTGATAGCAGTGGTAGTGAAACATCTGATGGTAAAGGTGGAAGAATAAAACGAAAATTGAAACTACCTTCTGGTGGCATTGGTATTTCTGGAGATTTAAAAGGATCGAAAGGTGACAGTGATAGCAGTGGTAGTGAGACATCTGATGGTAAAGGTGGAAGAATAAAACGAAAGTTAAAACTGCCTTCTGGTGGCATTGGAATTTCCGGAGGTTTAAAAGGATCTAAAGGTGACAATGATAGCAGTGGTAGTGAGACATCTGATGGTAACGGTGGAAGAATAAAAGAAAACTAAAATCTCCAAACGTAGACATAAAAGCGAAAGCAAGTGCCGATAAAGACAAAGATGGAAAATCTGGCTTTAACCTTCCTAAATTTCACATGCCCAAATTTGGTTTTGGTGGCAGTGGAAAGTCCAAAGGAAAATCAAGCAAAAAAGGAAAAAAGAAAGGTTTTGAAATGGAAGGAGACGTTAAATTGCCTTCTGGTGAAGTAGAAGGTGATATTCCCAAAGTTAGCATTGACACTGATCTTCAAAATGAACCACCTTCTCTGAGTTACAGTGGCAGTGATACTTCGGACGGGCATGGAGGAAGGATCAAGAGGAAACTGAAACTACCATCGGGTGACATAAACATTTCTGGAGGTTTGAAAGGACCAAAAGGGGATGCAGAGAGCAGTGACAGTGATACGTCTGACGGCAAAGGTGGAAGGATAAAACGTAAGTTGAAACTTCCTTCAGGTGGTATTGGCATTTCTGGCGGAATTAAAGGAGATGGTGACAGTAGTGGTAGTGAAACATCCGATGGAAAAGGCGGAAGAATAAAACGAAAGTTGAAATTGCCTTCTGGTGGTGTTAGTATTTCCGGTGGAATCAAAGGCGATGGTGATGTCAGTGGTAGTGATACTTCTGACGGTAAAGGCGGCAGAATAAAGCGAAAATTGAAACTGCCTTCTGGTGGTATTGGTATTTCCGGAGGTTTAAAAGGATCTAAAGGTGACAGTGATAGCAGTGGTAGTGAAACATCTGATGGTAAAGGTGGAAGAATAAAACGAAAATTGAAACTACCTTCTGGTGGCATTGGTATTTCTGGAGATTTAAAAGGATCGAAAGGTGACAGTGATAGCAGTGGTAGTGAGACATCTGATGGTAAAGGTGGAAGAATAAAACGAAAGTTAAAACTGCCTTCTGGTGGCATTGGAATTTCCGGAGGTTTAAAAGGATCTAAAGGTGACAATGATAGCAGTGGTAGTGAGACATCTGATGGTAACGGTGGAAGAATAAAAGAAAACTAAAATCTCCAAACGTAGACATAAAAGCGAAAGCAAGTGCCGATAAAGACAAAGATGGAAAATCTGGCTTTAACCTTCCTAAATTTCACATGCCCAAATTTGGTTTTGGTGGCAGTGGAAAGTCCAAAGGAAAATCAAGCAAAAAAGGAAAAAAGAAAGGTTTTGAAATGGAAGGAGACGTTAAATTGCCTTCTGGTGAAGTAGAAGGTGATATTCCCAAAGTTAGCATTGACACTGATCTTCAAAATGAACCACCTTCTCTGAGTTACAGTGGCAGTGATACTTCGGACGGGCATGGAGGAAGGATCAAGAGGAAACTGAAACTACCATCGGGTGACATAAACATTTCTGGAGGTTTGAAAGGACCAAAAGGGGATGCAGAGAGCAGTGACAGTGATACGTCTGACGGCAAAGGTGGAAGGATAAAACGTAAGTTGAAACTTCCTTCAGGTGGTATTGGCATTTCTGGCGGAATTAAAGGAGATGGTGACAGTAGTGGTAGTGAAACATCCGATGGAAAAGGCGGAAGAATAAAACGAAAGTTGAAATTGCCTTCTGGTGGTGTTAGTATTTCCGGTGGAATCAAAGGCGATGGTGATGTCAGTGGTAGTGATACTTCTGACGGTAAAGGCGGCAGAATAAAGCGAAAATTGAAACTGCCTTCTGGTGGTATTGGTATTTCCGGAGGTTTAAAAGGATCTAAAGGTGACAGTGATAGCAGTGGTAGTGAAACATCTGATGGTAAAGGTGGAAGAATAAAACGAAAATTGAAACTACCTTCTGGTGGCATTGGTATTTCTGGAGATTTAAAAGGATCGAAAGGTGACAGTGATAGCAGTGGTAGTGAGACATCTGATGGTAAAGGTGGAAGAATAAAACGAAAGTTAAAACTGCCTTCTGGTGGCATTGGAATTTCCGGAGGTTTAAAAGGATCTAAAGGTGACAATGATAGCAGTGGTAGTGAGACATCTGATGGTAACGGTGGAAGAATAAAAGAAAACTAAAATCTCCAAACGTAGACATAAAAGCGAAAGCAAGTGCCGATAAAGACAAAGATGGAAAATCTGGCTTTAACCTTCCTAAATTTCACATGCCCAAATTTGGTTTTGGTGGCAGTGGAAAGTCCAAAGGAAAATCAAGCAAAAAAGGAAAAAAGAAAGGTTTTGAAATGGAAGGAGACGTTAAATTGCCTTCTGGTGAAGTAGAAGGTGATATTCCCAAAGTTAGCATTGACACTGATCTTCAAAATGAACCACCTTCTCTGAGTTACAGTGGCAGTGATACTTCGGACGGGCATGGAGGAAGGATCAAGAGGAAACTGAAACTACCATCGGGTGACATAAACATTTCTGGAGGTTTGAAAGGACCAAAGGGGATGCAGAGAGCAGTGACAGTGATACGTCTGACGGCAAAGGTGGAAGGATAAAACGTAAGTTGAAACTTCCTTCAGGTGGTATTGGCATTTCTGGCGGAATTAAAGGAGATGGTGACAGTAGTGGTAGTGAAACATCCGATGGAAAAGGCGGAAGAATAAAACGAAAGTTGAAATTGCCTTCTGGTGGTGTTAGTATTTCCGGTGGAATCAAAGGCGATGGTGATGTCAGTGGTAGTGATACTTCTGACGGTAAAGGCGGCAGAATAAAGCGAAAATTGAAACTGCCTTCTGGTGGTATTGGTATTTCCGGAGGTTTAAAAGGATCTAAAGGTGACAGTGATAGCAGTGGTAGTGAAACATCTGATGGTAAAGGTGGAAGAATAAAACGAAAATTGAAACTACCTTCTGGTGGCATTGGTATTTCTGGAGATTTAAAAGGATCGAAAGGTGACAGTGATAGCAGTGGTAGTGAGACATCTGATGGTAAAGGTGGAAGAATAAAACGAAAGTTAAAACTGCCTTCTGGTGGCATTGGAATTTCCGGAGGTTTAAAAGGATCTAAAGGTGACAATGATAGCAGTGGTAGTGAGACATCTGATGGTAACGGTGGAAGAATAAAAGAAAACTAAAATCTCCAAACGTAGACATAAAAGCGAAAGCAAGTGCCGATAAAGACAAAGATGGAAAATCTGGCTTTAACCTTCCTAAATTTCACATGCCCAAATTTGGTTTTGGTGGCAGTGGAAAGTCCAAAGGAAAATCAAGCAAAAAAGGAAAAAAGAAAGGTTTTGAAATGGAAGGAGACGTTAAATTGCCTTCTGGTGAAGTAGAAGGTGATATTCCCAAAGTTAGCATTGACACTGATCTTCAAAATGAACCACCTTCTCTGAGTTACAGTGGCAGTGATACTTCGGACGGGCATGGAGGAAGGATCAAGAGGAAACTGAAACTACCATCGGGTGACATAAACATTTCTGGAGGTTTGAAAGGACCAAAGGGGATGCAGAGAGCAGTGACAGTGATACGTCTGACGGCAAAGGTGGAAGGATAAAACGTAAGTTGAAACTTCCTTCAGGTGGTATTGGCATTTCTGGCGGAATTAAAGGAGATGGTGACAGTAGTGGTAGTGAAACATCCGATGGAAAAGGCGGAAGAATAAAACGAAAGTTGAAATTGCCTTCTGGTGGTGTTAGTATTTCCGGTGGAATCAAAGGCGATGGTGATGTCAGTGGTAGTGATACTTCTGACGGTAAAGGCGGCAGAATAAAGCGAAAATTGAAACTGCCTTCTGGTGGTATTGGTATTTCCGGAGGTTTAAAAGGATCTAAAGGTGACAGTGATAGCAGTGGTAGTGAAACATCTGATGGTAAAGGTGGAAGAATAAAACGAAAATTGAAACTACCTTCTGGTGGCATTGGTATTTCTGGAGATTTAAAAGGATCGAAAGGTGACAGTGATAGCAGTGGTAGTGAGACATCTGATGGTAAAGGTGGAAGAATAAAACGAAAGTTAAAACTGCCTTCTGGTGGCATTGGAATTTCCGGAGGTTTAAAAGGATCTAAAGGTGACAATGATAGCAGTGGTAGTGAGACATCTGATGGTAACGGTGGAAGAATAAAAAGAAAACTAAAATCTCCAAACGTAGACATAAAAGCGAAAGCAAGTGCCGATAAAGACAAAGATGGAAAATCTGGCTTTAACCTTCCTAAATTTCACATGCCCAAATTTGGTTTTGGTGGCAGTGGAAAGTCCAAAGGAAAATCAAGCAAAAAAGGAAAAAAGAAAGGTTTTGAAATGGAAGGAGACGTTAAATTGCCTTCTGGTGAAGTAGAAGGTGATATTCCCAAAGTTAGCATTGACACTGATCTTCAAAATGAACCACCTTCTCTGAGTTACAGTGGCAGTGATACTTCGGACGGGCATGGAGGAAGGATCAAGAGGAAACTGAAACTACCATCGGGTGACATAAACATTTCTGGAGGTTTGAAAGGACCAAAAGGGGATGCAGAGAGCAGTGACAGTGATACGTCTGACGGCAAAGGTGGAAGGATAAAACGTAAGTTGAAACTTCCTTCAGGTGGTATTGGCATTTCTGGCGGAATTAAAGGAGATGGTGACAGTAGTGGTAGTGAAACATCCGATGGAAAAGGCGGAAGAATAAAACGAAAGTTGAAATTGCCTTCTGGTGGTGTTAGTATTTCCGGTGGAATCAAAGGCGATGGTGATGTCAGTGGTAGTGATACTTCTGACGGTAAAGGCGGCAGAATAAAGCGAAAATTGAAACTGCCTTCTGGTGGTATTGGTATTTCCGGAGGTTTAAAAGGATCTAAAGGTGACAGTGATAGCAGTGGTAGTGAAACATCTGATGGTAAAGGTGGAAGAATAAAACGAAAATTGAAACTACCTTCTGGTGGCATTGGTATTTCTGGAGATTTAAAAGGATCGAAAGGTGACAGTGATAGCAGTGGTAGTGAGACATCTGATGGTAAAGGTGGAAGAATAAAACGAAAGTTAAAACTGCCTTCTGGTGGCATTGGAATTTCCGGAGGTTTAAAAGGATCTAAAGGTGACAATGATAGCAGTGGTAGTGAGACATCTGATGGTAACGGTGGAAGAATAAAAGAAAACTAAAATCTCCAAACGTAGACATAAAAGCGAAAGCAAGTGCCGATAAAGACAAAGATGGAAAATCTGGCTTTAACCTTCCTAAATTTCACATGCCCAAATTTGGTTTTGGTGGCAGTGGAAAGTCCAAAGGAAAATCAAGCAAAAAAGGAAAAAAGAAAGGTTTTGAAATGGAAGGAGACGTTAAATTGCCTTCTGGTGAAGTAGAAGGTGATATTCCCAAAGTTAGCATTGACACTGATCTTCAAAATGAACCACCTTCTCTGAGTTACAGTGGCAGTGATACTTCGGACGGGCATGGAGGAAGGATCAAGAGGAAACTGAAACTACCATCGGGTGACATAAACATTTCTGGAGGTTTGAAAGGACCAAAGGGGATGCAGAGAGCAGTGACAGTGATACGTCTGACGGCAAAGGTGGAAGGATAAAACGTAAGTTGAAACTTCCTTCAGGTGGTATTGGCATTTCTGGCGGAATTAAAGGAGATGGTGACAGTAGTGGTAGTGAAACATCCGATGGAAAAGGCGGAAGAATAAAACGAAAGTTGAAATTGCCTTCTGGTGGTGTTAGTATTTCCGGTGGAATCAAAGGCGATGGTGATGTCAGTGGTAGTGATACTTCTGACGGTAAAGGCGGCAGAATAAAGCGAAAATTGAAACTGCCTTCTGGTGGTATTGGTATTTCCGGAGGTTTAAAAGGATCTAAAGGTGACAGTGATAGCAGTGGTAGTGAAACATCTGATGGTAAAGGTGGAAGAATAAAACGAAAATTGAAACTACCTTCTGGTGGCATTGGTATTTCTGGAGATTTAAAAGGATCGAAAGGTGACAGTGATAGCAGTGGTAGTGAGACATCTGATGGTAAAGGTGGAAGAATAAAACGAAAGTTAAAACTGCCTTCTGGTGGCATTGGAATTTCCGGAGGTTTAAAAGGATCTAAAGGTGACAATGATAGCAGTGGTAGTGAGACATCTGATGGTAACGGTGGAAGAATAAAAAGAAAACTAAAATCTCCAAACGTAGACATAAAAGCGAAAGCAAGTGCCGATAAAGACAAAGATGGAAAATCTGGCTTTAACCTTCCTAAATTTCACATGCCCAAATTTGGTTTTGGTGGCAGTGGAAAGTCCAAAGGAAAATCAAGCAAAAAAGGAAAAAAGAAAGGTTTTGAAATGGAAGGAGACGTTAAATTGCCTTCTGGTGAAGTAGAAGGTGATATTCCCAAAGTTAGCATTGACACTGATCTTCAAAATGAACCACCTTCTCTGAGTTACAGTGGCAGTGATACTTCGGACGGGCATGGAGGAAGGATCAAGAGGAAACTGAAACTACCATCGGGTGACATAAACATTTCTGGAGGTTTGAAAGGACCAAAGGGGATGCAGAGAGCAGTGACAGTGATACGTCTGACGGCAAAGGTGGAAGGATAAAACGTAAGTTGAAACTTCCTTCAGGTGGTATTGGCATTTCTGGCGGAATTAAAGGAGATGGTGACAGTAGTGGTAGTGAAACATCCGATGGAAAAGGCGGAAGAATAAAACGAAAGTTGAAATTGCCTTCTGGTGGTGTTAGTATTTCCGGTGGAATCAAAGGCGATGGTGATGTCAGTGGTAGTGATACTTCTGACGGTAAAGGCGGCAGAATAAAGCGAAAATTGAAACTGCCTTCTGGTGGTATTGGTATTTCCGGAGGTTTAAAAGGATCTAAAGGTGACAGTGATAGCAGTGGTAGTGAAACATCTGATGGTAAAGGTGGAAGAATAAAACGAAAATTGAAACTACCTTCTGGTGGCATTGGTATTTCTGGAGATTTAAAAGGATCGAAAGGTGACAGTGATAGCAGTGGTAGTGAGACATCTGATGGTAAAGGTGGAAGAATAAAACGAAAGTTAAAACTGCCTTCTGGTGGCATTGGAATTTCCGGAGGTTTAAAAGGATCTAAAGGTGACAATGATAGCAGTGGTAGTGAGACATCTGATGGTAACGGTGGAAGAATAAAAGAAAACTAAAATCTCCAAACGTAGACATAAAAGCGAAAGCAAGTGCCGATAAAGACAAAGATGGAAAATCTGGCTTTAACCTTCCTAAATTTCACATGCCCAAATTTGGTTTTGGTGGCAGTGGAAAGTCCAAAGGAAAATCAAGCAAAAAAGGAAAAAAGAAAGGTTTTGAAATGGAAGGAGACGTTAAATTGCCTTCTGGTGAAGTAGAAGGTGATATTCCCAAAGTTAGCATTGACACTGATCTTCAAAATGAACCACCTTCTCTGAGTTACAGTGGCAGTGATACTTCGGACGGGCATGGAGGAAGGATCAAGAGGAAACTGAAACTACCATCGGGTGACATAAACATTTCTGGAGGTTTGAAAGGACCAAAAGGGGATGCAGAGAGCAGTGACAGTGATACGTCTGACGGCAAAGGTGGAAGGATAAAACGTAAGTTGAAACTTCCTTCAGGTGGTATTGGCATTTCTGGCGGAATTAAAGGAGATGGTGACAGTAGTGGTAGTGAAACATCCGATGGAAAAGGCGGAAGAATAAAACGAAAGTTGAAATTGCCTTCTGGTGGTGTTAGTATTTCCGGTGGAATCAAAGGCGATGGTGATGTCAGTGGTAGTGATACTTCTGACGGTAAAGGCGGCAGAATAAAGCGAAAATTGAAACTGCCTTCTGGTGGTATTGGTATTTCCGGAGGTTTAAAAGGATCTAAAGGTGACAGTGATAGCAGTGGTAGTGAAACATCTGATGGTAAAGGTGGAAGAATAAAACGAAAATTGAAACTACCTTCTGGTGGCATTGGTATTTCTGGAGATTTAAAAGGATCGAAAGGTGACAGTGATAGCAGTGGTAGTGAGACATCTGATGGTAAAGGTGGAAGAATAAAACGAAAGTTAAAACTGCCTTCTGGTGGCATTGGAATTTCCGGAGGTTTAAAAGGATCTAAAGGTGACAATGATAGCAGTGGTAGTGAGACATCTGATGGTAACGGTGGAAGAATAAAAGAAAACTAAAATCTCCAAACGTAGACATAAAAGCGAAAGCAAGTGCCGATAAAGACAAAGATGGAAAATCTGGCTTTAACCTTCCTAAATTTCACATGCCCAAATTTGGTTTTGGTGGCAGTGGAAAGTCCAAAGGAAAATCAAGCAAAAAAGGAAAAAAGAAAGGTTTTGAAATGGAAGGAGACGTTAAATTGCCTTCTGGTGAAGTAGAAGGTGATATTCCCAAAGTTAGCATTGACACTGATCTTCAAAATGAACCACCTTCTCTGAGTTACAGTGGCAGTGATACTTCGGACGGGCATGGAGGAAGGATCAAGAGGAAACTGAAACTACCATCGGGTGACATAAACATTTCTGGAGGTTTGAAAGGACCAAAAGGGGATGCAGAGAGCAGTGACAGTGATACGTCTGACGGCAAAGGTGGAAGGATAAAACGTAAGTTGAAACTTCCTTCAGGTGGTATTGGCATTTCTGGCGGAATTAAAGGAGATGGTGACAGTAGTGGTAGTGAAACATCCGATGGAAAAGGCGGAAGAATAAAACGAAAGTTGAAATTGCCTTCTGGTGGTGTTAGTATTTCCGGTGGAATCAAAGGCGATGGTGATGTCAGTGGTAGTGATACTTCTGACGGCAAAGGCGGCAGAATAAAGCGAAAATTGAAACTGCCTTCTGGTGGTATTGGTATTTCCGGAGGTTTAAAAGGATCTAAAGGTGACAGTGATAGCAGTGGTAGTGAAACATCTGATGGTAAAGGTGGAAGAATAAAACGAAAATTGAAACTACCTTCTGGTGGCATTGGTATTTCTGGAGATTTAAAAGGATCGAAAGGTGACAGTGATAGCAGTGGTAGTGAGACATCTGATGGTAAAGGTGGAAGAATAAAACGAAAGTTAAAACTGCCTTCTGGTGGCATTGGAATTTCCGGAGGTTTAAAAGGATCTAAAGGTGACAATGATAGCAGTGGTAGTGAGACATCTGATGGTAACGGTGGAAGAATAAAAGAAAACTAAAATCTCCAAACGTAGACATAAAAGCGAAAGCAAGTGCCGATAAAGACAAAGATGGAAAATCTGGCTTTAACCTTCCTAAATTTCACATGCCCAAATTTGGTTTTGGTGGCAGTGGAAAGTCCAAAGGAAAATCAAGCAAAAAAGGAAAAAAGAAAGGTTTTGAAATGGAAGGAGACGTTAAATTGCCTTCTGGTGAAGTAGAAGGTGATATTCCCAAAGTTAGCATTGACACTGATCTTCAAAATGAACCACCTTCTCTGAGTTACAGTGGCAGTGATACTTCGGACGGGCATGGAGGAAGGATCAAGAGGAAACTGAAACTACCATCGGGTGACATAAACATTTCTGGAGGTTTGAAAGGACCAAAGGGGATGCAGAGAGCAGTGACAGTGATACGTCTGACGGCAAAGGTGGAAGGATAAAACGTAAGTTGAAACTTCCTTCAGGTGGTATTGGCATTTCTGGCGGAATTAAAGGAGATGGTGACAGTAGTGGTAGTGAAACATCCGATGGAAAAGGCGGAAGAATAAAACGAAAGTTGAAATTGCCTTCTGGTGGTGTTAGTATTTCCGGTGGAATCAAAGGCGATGGTGATGTCAGTGGTAGTGATACTTCTGACGGCAAAGGCGGCAGAATAAAGCGAAAATTGAAACTGCCTTCTGGTGGTATTGGTATTTCCGGAGGTTTAAAAGGATCTAAAGGTGACAGTGATAGCAGTGGTAGTGAAACATCTGATGGTAAAGGTGGAAGAATAAAACGAAAATTGAAACTACCTTCTGGTGGCATTGGTATTTCTGGAGATTTAAAAGGATCGAAAGGTGACAGTGATAGCAGTGGTAGTGAGACATCTGATGGTAAAGGTGGAAGAATAAAACGAAAGTTAAAACTGCCTTCTGGTGGCATTGGAATTTCCGGAGGTTTAAAAGGATCTAAAGGTGACAATGATAGCAGTGGTAGTGAGACATCTGATGGTAACGGTGGAAGAATAAAAAGAAAACTAAAATCTCCAAACGTAGACATAAAAGCGAAAGCAAGTGCCGATAAAGACAAAGATGGAAAATCTGGCTTTAACCTTCCTAAATTTCACATGCCCAAATTTGGTTTTGGTGGCAGTGGAAAGTCCAAAGGAAAATCAAGCAAAAAAGGAAAAAAGAAAGGTTTTGAAATGGAAGGAGACGTTAAATTGCCTTCTGGTGAAGTAGAAGGTGATATTCCCAAAGTTAGCATTGACACTGATCTTCAAAATGAACCACCTTCTCTGAGTTACAGTGGCAGTGATACTTCGGACGGGCATGGAGGAAGGATCAAGAGGAAACTGAAACTACCATCGGGTGACATAAACATTTCTGGAGGTTTGAAAGGACCAAAAGGGGATGCAGAGAGCAGTGACAGTGATACGTCTGACGGCAAAGGTGGAAGGATAAAACGTAAGTTGAAACTTCCTTCAGGTGGTATTGGCATTTCTGGCGGAATTAAAGGAGATGGTGACAGTAGTGGTAGTGAAACATCCGATGGAAAAGGCGGAAGAATAAAACGAAAGTTGAAATTGCCTTCTGGTGGTGTTAGTATTTCCGGTGGAATCAAAGGCGATGGTGATGTCAGTGGTAGTGATACTTCTGACGGCAAAGGCGGCAGAATAAAGCGAAAATTGAAACTGCCTTCTGGTGGTATTGGTATTTCCGGAGGTTTAAAAGGATCTAAAGGTGACAGTGATAGCAGTGGTAGTGAAACATCTGATGGTAAAGGTGGAAGAATAAAACGAAAATTGAAACTACCTTCTGGTGGCATTGGTATTTCTGGAGATTTAAAAGGATCGAAAGGTGACAGTGATAGCAGTGGTAGTGAGACATCTGATGGTAAAGGTGGAAGAATAAAACGAAAGTTAAAACTGCCTTCTGGTGGCATTGGAATTTCCGGAGGTTTAAAAGGATCTAAAGGTGACAATGATAGCAGTGGTAGTGAGACATCTGATGGTAACGGTGGAAGAATAAAAAAAACTAAAATCTCCAAACGTAGACATAAAAGCGAAAGCAAGTGCCGATAAAGACAAAGATGGAAAATCTGGCTTTAACCTTCCTAAATTTCACATGCCCAAATTTGGTTTTGGTGGCAGTGGAAAGTCCAAAGGAAAATCAAGCAAAAAAGGAAAAAAGAAAGGTTTTGAAATGGAAGGAGACGTTAAATTGCCTTCTGGTGAAGTAGAAGGTGATATTCCCAAAGTTAGCATTGACACTGATCTTCAAAATGAACCACCTTCTCTGAGTTACAGTGGCAGTGATACTTCGGACGGGCATGGAGGAAGGATCAAGAGGAAACTGAAACTACCATCGGGTGACATAAACATTTCTGGAGGTTTGAAAGGACCAAAGGGGATGCAGAGAGCAGTGACAGTGATACGTCTGACGGCAAAGGTGGAAGGATAAAACGTAAGTTGAAACTTCCTTCAGGTGGTATTGGCATTTCTGGCGGAATTAAAGGAGATGGTGACAGTAGTGGTAGTGAAACATCCGATGGAAAAGGCGGAAGAATAAAACGAAAGTTGAAATTGCCTTCTGGTGGTGTTAGTATTTCCGGTGGAATCAAAGGCGATGGTGATGTCAGTGGTAGTGATACTTCTGACGGTAAAGGCGGCAGAATAAAGCGAAAATTGAAACTGCCTTCTGGTGGTATTGGTATTTCCGGAGGTTTAAAAGGATCTAAAGGTGACAGTGATAGCAGTGGTAGTGAAACATCTGATGGTAAAGGTGGAAGAATAAAACGAAAATTGAAACTACCTTCTGGTGGCATTGGTATTTCTGGAGATTTAAAAGGATCGAAAGGTGACAGTGATAGCAGTGGTAGTGAGACATCTGATGGTAAAGGTGGAAGAATAAAACGAAAGTTAAAACTGCCTTCTGGTGGCATTGGAATTTCCGGAGGTTTAAAAGGATCTAAAGGTGACAATGATAGCAGTGGTAGTGAGACATCTGATGGTAACGGTGGAAGAATAAAAGAAAACTAAAATCTCCAAACGTAGACATAAAAGCGAAAGCAAGTGCCGATAAAGACAAAGATGGAAAATCTGGCTTTAACCTTCCTAAATTTCACATGCCCAAATTTGGTTTTGGTGGCAGTGGAAAGTCCAAAGGAAAATCAAGCAAAAAAGGAAAAAAGAAAGGTTTTGAAATGGAAGGAGACGTTAAATTGCCTTCTGGTGAAGTAGAAGGTGATATTCCCAAAGTTAGCATTGACACTGATCTTCAAAATGAACCACCTTCTCTGAGTTACAGTGGCAGTGATACTTCGGACGGGCATGGAGGAAGGATCAAGAGGAAACTGAAACTACCATCGGGTGACATAAACATTTCTGGAGGTTTGAAAGGACCAAAAGGGGATGCAGAGAGCAGTGACAGTGATACGTCTGACGGCAAAGGTGGAAGGATAAAACGTAAGTTGAAACTTCCTTCAGGTGGTATTGGCATTTCTGGCGGAATTAAAGGAGATGGTGACAGTAGTGGTAGTGAAACATCCGATGGAAAAGGCGGAAGAATAAAACGAAAGTTGAAATTGCCTTCTGGTGGTGTTAGTATTTCCGGTGGAATCAAAGGCGATGGTGATGTCAGTGGTAGTGATACTTCTGACGGTAAAGGCGGCAGAATAAAGCGAAAATTGAAACTGCCTTCTGGTGGTATTGGTATTTCCGGAGGTTTAAGGATCTAAAGGTGACAGTGATAGCAGTGGTAGTGAAACATCTGATGGTAAAGGTGGAAGAATAAAACGAAAATTGAAACTACCTTCTGGTGGCATTGGTATTTCTGGAGATTTAAAAGGATCGAAAGGTGACAGTGATAGCAGTGGTAGTGAGACATCTGATGGTAAAGGTGGAAGAATAAAACGAAAGTTAAAACTGCCTTCTGGTGGCATTGGAATTTCCGGAGGTTTAAAAGGATCTAAAGGTGACAATGATAGCAGTGGTAGTGAGACATCTGATGGTAACGGTGGAAGAATAAAAGAAAACTAAAATCTCCAAACGTAGACATAAAAGCGAAAGCAAGTGCCGATAAAGACAAAGATGGAAAATCTGGCTTTAACCTTCCTAAATTTCACATGCCCAAATTTGGTTTTGGTGGCAGTGGAAAGTCCAAAGGAAAATCAAGCAAAAAAGGAAAAAAGAAAGGTTTTGAAATGGAAGGAGACGTTAAATTGCCTTCTGGTGAAGTAGAAGGTGATATTCCCAAAGTTAGCATTGACACTGATCTTCAAAATGAGCCACCTTCTCTGAGTTACAGTGGCAGTGATACTTCGGACGGGCATGGAGGAAGGATCAAGAGGAAACTGAAACTACCATCGGGTGACATAAACATTTCTGGAGGTTTGAAAGGACCAAAAGGGGATGCAGAGAGCAGTGACAGTGATACGTCTGACGGCAAAGGTGGAAGGATAAAACGTAAGTTGAAACTTCCTTCAGGTGGTATTGGCATTCCTGGCGGAATTAAAGGAGATGGTGACAGTAGTGGTAGTGAAACATCGGATGGAAAAGGCGGAAGAATAAAACGAAAGTTGAAATTGCCTTCTGGTGGTGTTAGTATTTCCGGTGGAATCAAAGGCGATGGTGATGTCAGTGGTAGTGATACTTCTGACGGTAAAGGCGGCAGAATAAAGCGAAAATTGAAACTGCCTTCTGGTGGTATTGGTATTTCCGGAGGTTTAAAAGGATCTAAAGGTGACAGTGATAGCAGTGGTAGTGAAACATCTGATGGTAAAGGTGGAAGAATAAAACGAAAATTGAAACTACCTTCTGGTGGCATTGGTATTTCTGGAGATTTAAAAGGATCGAAAGGTGACAGTGATAGCAGTGGTAGTGAGACATCTGATGGTAAAGGTGGAAGAATAAAACGAAAGTTAAAACTGCCTTCTGGTGGCATTGGAATTTCCGGAGGTTTAAAAGGATCTAAAGGTGACAATGATAGCAGTGGTAGTGAGACATCTGATGGTAACGGTGGAAGAATAAAAGAAAACTAAAATCTCCAAACGTAGACATAAAAGCGAAAGCAAGTGCCGATAAAGACAAAGATGGAAAATCTGGCTTTAACCTTCCTAAATTTCACATGCCCAAATTTGGTTTTGGTGGCAGTGGAAAGTCCAAAGGAAAATCAAGCAAAAAAGGAAAAAAGAAAGGTTTTGAAATGGAAGGAGACGTTAAATTGCCTTCTGGTGAAGTAGAAGGTGATATTCCCAAAGTTAGCATTGACACTGATCTTCAAAATGAACCACCTTCTCTGAGTTACAGTGGCAGTGATACTTCGGACGGGCATGGAGGAAGGATCAAGAGGAAACTGAAACTACCATCGGGTGACATAAACATTTCTGGAGGTTTGAAAGGACCAAAAGGGGATGCAGAGAGCAGTGACAGTGATACGTCTGACGGCAAAGGTGGAAGGATAAAACGTAAGTTGAAACTTCCTTCAGGTGGTATTGGCATTTCTGGCGGAATTAAAGGAGATGGTGACAGTAGTGGTAGTGAAACATCCGATGGAAAAGGCGGAAGAATAAAACGAAAGTTGAAATTGCCTTCTGGTGGTGTTAGTATTTCCGGTGGAATCAAAGGCGATGGTGATGTCAGTGGTAGTGATACTTCTGACGGTAAAGGCGGCAGAATAAAGCGAAAATTGAAACTGCCTTCTGGTGGTATTGGTATTTCCGGAGGTTTAAAAGGATCTAAAGGTGACAGTGATAGCAGTGGTAGTGAAACATCTGATGGTAAAGGTGGAAGAATAAAACGAAAATTGAAACTACCTTCTGGTGGCATTGGTATTTCTGGAGATTTAAAAGGATCGAAAGGTGACAGTGATAGCAGTGGTAGTGAGACATCTGATGGTAAAGGTGGAAGAATAAAACGAAAGTTAAAACTGCCTTCTGGTGGCATTGGAATTTCCGGAGGTTTAAAAGGATCTAAAGGTGACAATGATAGCAGTGGTAGTGAGACATCTGATGGTAACGGTGGAAGAATAAAAAGAAAACTAAAATCTCCAAACGTAGACATAAAAGCCAAAGCAAGTGCCGATAAAGACAAAGATGGAAAATCTGGCTTTAACCTTCCTAAATTTCACATGCCCAAATTTGGTTTTGGTGGCAGTGGAAAGTCCAAAGGAAAATCAAGCAAAAAAGGAAAAAAGAAAGGTTTTGAAATGGAAGGAGACGTTAAATTGCCTTCTGGTGAAGTAGAAGGTGATATTCCCAAAGTTAGCATTGACACTGATCTTCAAAATGAACCATCTTCTCTGAGTTACAGTGGCAGTGATACTTCTGACGGGCACGGAGGAAGGATCAAGAGGAAGCTGAAAGCACCATTGGGTGACATAAACATTTCTGGAGGTTTGAAAGGACCAAAAGGAGATGCAGATAGCAGTGACAGTGATACGTCTGACGGCAAAGGTGGAAGGATAAAACGTAAGGTGAAAATGCGAAGTTCTACTGAAGATGCAAAGTATTCCAGCAGTATTAGTCCCAAAAGAATGAAATTTAAATTGCCTAAATTTGGATTTGGTGGTAGCAAGAAGGAGAAGAATGCAGAGATTGTGAAAGAAGTGGATTCATCATCGTCTGAAGATCAGCTAGTTTTGGATAAATTTGAGATACCGAATTTTGATATTGATGTGAAAACCGTTTCTTCTGATGCTAGCAAAGAATTCAAGATCGATTTGGAACAGAAGCCAGCACCAGTTGTAATTTCAGCTTCACAAGAAAAGCCCGTTTTTACTGGTCCTACCCGACAATCATCTGCATCAGGAGATTTAATTTCATCCACAGATATTTCTATGAACGCTGACATCCCTGGTGAGTCTGTTTCGCCCTATGGTTCGACAATAGTTTGTGATGAAAAATTTACTCGAACATCTCGCGTGTTACCAGATTTACAGTACGATGTCGATTATGGTGATATTGACTTTGGTGATGTCGATTCAGACTTTCAACTTCCATTGTCTCAAATTGAAAGCAATATCAGTGTGTCGTCCGAAGGTGGAGGCTTATATTCAGCTCCTGGTGGAATTGATGCTGACTTTGACAAAAACGACGACGGCGAGCAAGAACGAAAAATACATCAAAAACCTAGTGGTCCATTAGTTTTTGAAGATATTACACGTTCCTCTCGCGATAAACCAGATATCAGCCATGAGGTTGACTTTAGTACGATTGATTTTGATTTTGATGTTCCATCGATTCAAGTGAAACAAAACTCGGGTGTTTCTCCTGCACTTCCAAAGGAAAAAGGAAAAATTGAGGTAAACTCAGGTCCTAAATCTTCCTTTCTTTCCAATATGAACACATCTACGACAAGCTATAGCACCACCAGCGTAACAAAATCAGTCACGTTGAAAACTACCATTGAGAGCAAAGTGGAATCCGGTGCTGATGTTAATGATCTCGATACGCAGATTAACGCTATGGAACCTGGAGATATTACGGAGTTGATAAGATCATCGTCTCGTAGCGGACGTTTGAGTCTGGAAACCAAGGGAGTCGGGAATAGCCGTAGACCTGTGTCCATGGACGTATCGAAGAGTGGAGCAAGAACTTTGCTAAGTATTGCCAATTCTCAGCGCTCTCTTTCTAGTGAGAATATAAAAGAAGAAACGACACGTCGTCCAAAATCTGTGACTGTGATACTTAAAGAAGATGATGGTAAAATGACAGCATCAGTAAGCACACCAAAATCTCCATCAATGCGTGTTTACACAAAACAAGGAAATCCTGATGTCGGTCTTCAAGGTCTGAAAGAAATCGCCGTGGAGGAACAGCATGGAGGATTGGACCGAGTATCTGTTCAGAAACAAGTGAGTAGCTCAACTACCTCGTCTTCAAGAACCACTGTGACGACACAAACGTACATTCGTCAAGGACCAAGCTCACCATCATCTTACCCTGAACTTCTTGACAAGGAAATCAGACAAGTAAAAGCGTCCTCCGAGAAGGGAAGTGATACTTTAGAAGAAAGACGTCGTTGGTCGATGGAAAAGCGGTCGCAGTGGATGTTATCGAGTCCAAAGTCGGATTCTGACGGAGGAGAAGAGAAACGGTTGACGCTGCGCGATCGCAAAAAACTACAACAAGTTGATGACGAAAACAAAAACCAACCAATCAAACGCTGACATCACTAACTCTCATTTAATGAAACACAAATTTCGGTACTAACATTTTTTTGGCTAAACTAGGTATATTAGTTATGATATATTTTCATATCGAGAAATCTTCGTATCATTAGTCTAGAAACAGGTTTTCATACGACCATAGTAATTGTTATTTTGTAAAAATATTTGAAACACGAGCCTTTCGATATTTAACTATGTAACGAGTTCGTGTTAACGTATTAGTTTTAAACTATTGTACGTTTTCTAAGATCCTTCTGTTCTAAATTTTAACATGTTTGAAAATGTGGAACTCGGAAAAGTACACTCAGTTTGAATACAAATGCGTTCAAAATGACGTTTTTTTCTAGAAAATATTTAGTGGAATTTTATGCATGTGAATTTTCAGGACTTGCAAACAAAAACGGTAAATATTGTTCGTAGACTTTTATTTCTTTTTTCCCTTAATACTTTAACAAGCAAATACTTTGAATAAAATCATATTTAGTCGTAAATTTTCTTGTTGTCTTTCTTTTTACAAAACTATACTGGCCCGCACATTTCTCCCCAACTATATTGCCCAATTATAGTAAAAAAATGTTTTTGATGGTTCTAAAAAGAGCTGTTTTAAAAACTAAAAGACACGACACATTTTGGCAGGATTACTCATCAGGTGTCAACGTCTGCTAAATGAAATGCCGTCTGCCGAAATGCATCGTGTCTTTTAGTTTTCAAAACAGTTCTTTTTACAACTTTTTAGCTTGTGTTTTGGTTGTCAAAAAGTTCTTTTTAGAAATCTTAGGTTATTTTGGCCATTCACGATGGCAATTGCTATCTTTAAAACAATTTTAGATTTGTCGCCACGACTAAGTCTCTATTATACTGATCAAATACATTGCTTGACTAGAATACATACACAAACGTAAATACAATATTAATTGCACTTGGACAAAATTGCATTGTTTTCAATATCAACAAGTAGAACGATTGTCACAAATCGAACCAATTTGCTGGACATGGTATTGACTGTTATGGAGAAACAATTGAAGACCTGCTGCAAGTCCATTGTACTGTACAAAGAAATGATCACTAAAGTGTGATTGATAACAAATGAAATCAAGGACATTGGCTTTAAAGTTTTATTACGTCGCACGTAACATGATAAATGAATTGATACACTCCAGCTATACAGATAAAAGTCAATTCTTGGCCTTTTGAGTGGAGCTCAGTTGAATAAATACCTTTGACAAGCGCCACCACAAGGTTTCAACCCGCGAGAGCTAATGGAAAATCTTGATGTTTTAGGCTACTTGGTAAGCCATTCCAAAGAGAACTATATACCTCTTTGCATATACATCGTACATAGTCTGGCTGAAACACTTTTGAGAACTACATCTTGTCATGATTTTATCCCCATACACTCTTTAACCACGTATTGCAAATTTGGTTCTCTTTTTATAATACAAATACAGCCCCAACAGTGACTTGATCATAATTTGCTCATTTCATATCGTCTCTTTTCTTCCAGGAAACTATGTCCGACATAGAGAATCGACCACTTGCCAATATACGTCGAAAGTCTTCAAAAACTCCTAGAAGATCTTTTTCAAGTCCACAGGTCAGACTACAACGATTGTCCGATATTGCAACTGTTGGCATTCCAACAGCTAAACATGTCCGTCATTTGTCTGATGACCGTCGGACGGACGATCGTGAACCAAGCCGTCCACCATTACTGACATATAACAACTACGCAATAGCAACGCCGCTGTCCGAATGCTCTCCGAACTCAAGATCATACCCTTTGTTCTATTCTATACCGTTATCTGACGAACCGAGCTCTCGTTGGCTTCATGGCAACATCGGAATGATTAGAAGCAAGTCATTAGATAAATTGGATGAGATTATGCGCAATGATCCAATCTTAGGTGAAGATTATCACCACAATTCTATGTCGTCATTAATGTCAATAAAAACACAAGAGAACGTACACAACAAAAGCAAATCTCGTCGTTCGCGCAACGATCGCCCGAGAAGCCAGATTTTGCCACCGACCTATCTTCAAGTACCCGCAGTAACAGGACTTTCAAACTTGGAAGTCGCTAGCAGCGAGAACATGCGCGTGATGCAAAGAACCGACTACCACTCACCGTCCCGAGTCGTGAGACGAATTCCACAGGACGATACGGTGAGTTTCTCGGATGCAGAACATCGAAGGTTATCAAAGGAGGAACAGACGCAGATCGTTCAACGTTGGATTAACGAAATGGTCGAGCAAAAAAAAGCAGAAGAGTTGCAAAGAGGGAATGCTACAAGAAATTTATCACGTAGACAAAGATCTACAAAGTTGAAGAAGAAGAGTCAGTCCGTACAAGATCATGGATCTCGTAGCAGAAAATCTGCAAGACGACACACTTTGGATGATATTGACTTTACTGCAGAAATAGACGATTCCAAATTAAGGCATTTTGGTAGTGATCCCAGTTTTAAAATCGAAATGACCACAGATGAAGGAAGAGCTAACTTCTGGGAAATGCAGGCAACGACATTAGGTGATGGTAGATATTCACAATCAAAGACACAAAGCACCTTAGGTGAAGTTGATGAAAGATTTGTTCCCGATCGTAGGAATTTGTTTCCTGATTCAACGAAAAGGTTAGGAATGTCCAACCCTGATACACCCCTTCTATCGCATCTTTTGTCAGGGGAGAGTAGTATATGCTAGTGTTGGCCTTACTTTAGTTTAGTTTAGCATAAAATTCACCCCATTAAAATCATAGCAGAATGTAAATGCACTTCCAGCGGATTTTATGATGAATGAAGCCAATGCGCAATTTTAAAGTCTAAAATAGTCCTAAAATAACGGGATAGACTTGCTCAAAAACGCTTCTGTTAAAGTAGATGTATATACAAGCACTCCTCAATACTAGAAGATAAACGTTTTAAAAAATCTGTAAAATGTCAATTCTTCATTTTTAATAATTTAATTTACTTGGAAAATGTAAAATTACTAACCACTGCATTGCTGTAGGATAACAAGGACATTTTTTTCTTTCCTCTGCGTTTCAATTCCAGTTCATCAATATCACTCAATATCCCCAACTGGAAGAAATTCATGAAAATGGTGCTCTCAAAGCGCTCCAAAGTATAGATTAGCAATGTCTCGTTGACTTTGAAAGATATAGTCTGTTGAGAATATAATAGAGTCTTTTGAGATACATCCATAACGAAGGCGAAGAATGTTATCATATTTGAATAAATTGCTGTTAAAGATTAGTGCGGAAGGTGAGTAAGTGATATTTTAGATAAATTATAGCGTTTAAGCGCTCTTTTTCAAAAAGGAAGAAATAGATAGTTACATACATACCCCCAAGAAAGTAAACAAGATTACAACTGTTACAAAAGACAAATTCACGATTTTTGATGTTTGTTTTTGAATTTTCAATTGAACTTTCAAATTATATTAGCAAATTCTTTACATAAATAAAAGTAATATTTTTTTACGATTTTCGTTGGCAGTCTTCTTGTATTGCAGGCTAGTGACGTCACATGGATTCCAAAATATTTGCCAACTAATTAGTGTTTCCACAAGTGAATTTCTAAATTGAAGATACCCTTTTGTCAAATTTCCTGCAAAATATTGTCGAATTTCTTTCAAAATTTATATAAAATGTAAGTAACACCCATATAAAAGTGGTTTTAAAAGCCCAATTCGCTATGACTTCCAGTCGATCTTATGCAGTACAAGTGCACATTTCCTGAAATTTTATTTGGCATCATATTTCCTGCAATGTGGAAACAACACCGACACCGCCATCAACAACAATCTTACAAATATTGTACTGTAGGAGAAAAAGTGTAAAGTCTTTGCTGGGACAGAAGTCTCAAAACTAATGGGATTTGTGTTATAAGATGAAGGTCGTTTCATTACATGGCAGATTGTCCTAAGTTTCGGTCAAACTCATTTTCCAGTAATAGCTCGCTACCAAGCGGCGAAGTAGATCATGTCGAACTGTTGTCATCTCAACTTGCTGTATTGCTTCAATCGTCAGAATTCACCGATGTGACTTTCATTGTCGAAGATAAAAGCTTTCCAGCTCACCGAGCGTTCTTGGCTTCGAGATGCGAATACTTTCGTGCGCTTCTCTATGGAGGTATGCGTGAATCATGGTCACAAAGAGAAATTGTGCTGAATGACATTTCAGCAAGGTCATTTGACTCAATATTGAAGTATATATACACTGGGCGAGTGCATTTACGTGACCTTGGTCATGAGCATGTATTGGATCTTCTTGGGCTTGCACACAAGTATGGCTTTCTGGCTTTGGAAAGTGCAATATCAGGCTACCTTAAGGGGAATCTAGATCTACATAGTATTTGGGGAATATTTGATGTAGCTTGTCTGTACCAACTTGATGAGGTTTTGGAAACCTGCTTGACATTTGCAGATATGCATGCTGTAGAGATTTTACGATGCCTTAGTGAATTTTCTAGTTTGTCGGAGGCTGCTGTTGTCAGTATGGTAAAGAGGGATTCATTTTGTGCACCCGAGATTGATATTTTTCGAGCAATACAATGTTGGATTGTGGAAAACCCAGATACAGACAAGAAGGTAACATCGTATTTGAGACTATCCTTAATCAGCTTGCATGATCTCTTCCACATAGTGAAGCCTTCTGGCCTTTTTACTGCTGATGATATTTTGGATGCTATACAAGTTCAAACTGAAAGTCAGCAGACACAACTCAAATTCAGGGGTCACTTGGGTAAGTGTTTTTGATGTTATCTGGGCTACTACATTTGCATTGATGTTTATTCCGAACTTTCTTATAAACATGCCAAATATATTATCCAATTCAAAAGTTTATAAATTTAAAATCAGGTCTAAAAACATGCATTTAAAATTTATTACAGTGCTTACAAATTGAGATTTCTGATTTGTCATATGTCATGACTTTTTCAGCAAGTTTTAGCAAAATTCACAATTTTTTCCGTGTATGACATATGCTGTTAAGATCAGCTATTTCTCAAACAAATATATCATACTGGGTGTATTCCTGTAAAAATTCATTTCCAATGATTTCCACATTTCTTTTCTGCAGATTTGGATGAGAATGTGGCATTGCCTCACCTTGGAGCGGAAGTGATTGAAGGAGAGTTTCCTGAAGCCTTGCTTGACTTAGACACAACCAGTTTTGATATGGACAAGGGTTTTACCCTTCATTACTTGGAGGAAGGCCGTTCTATTACCATCCGCCTTGGTCGTCCAACAATTATTAACACCATTAAATTGTTGCTTTGGGATCGAGACATGCGCTCATATTCCTATTGCATTGAAGTCTCTATGGACAATGTTGATTGGTTGAGAATTATAGACTACTCCAAGTATCTCTGTCATTCTTGGCAAACTTTATATTTCAAAGCTAGAGTTGTGAGGTATTGCTACTTTTTCATTTCGTCATCATAGCTATGTTGTGATTAAGTTGTTGAGTCTTACATGGAATACTATGATTCAATTGATCAGTGTTTATTTTTAGATACGTTCGTCTGATTGGGACCCATAATACTGTGAATAGAATCTTTCATGTTGTGCATTTTGAGTGCATGTTCTCTTCGCAGACCTTTGAGATAGGCGAAGACAACATCATAAGTAAGAAAATTTTATTTTTACTAGACATTGTCTCCCATTGTGATAAATTTGGTATAATCTAGCCAATACTTATTTCCATCAATGTAGTCCCAAGAGAAAATGTTGCAAGTACTCAGGCAAGTGCAACCGTTATTGAAGGAGTCAGTCGTAGCCGTAATGTCCTTTTAAACACTGACATCAAAAACTATGACTGGGACTCTGGCTACACATGTCACCAACTTGGCAGTGGTGCCATTGTTATTCAATTGGCACAACCTTATATCATTGATTCTTTTCGGTAGGTTGTCTTTGGAAGATGGTTTGTGTAAGTAGCTGGCCAAACTATGAAATTAACGCTGTGATTATTTGCCATTATGTTACTGCATCTAGACAGGAGAGTTCATCATCATTTGGAAGAGCTATACCTGTACTTTTTTTATTTCAGCTTGCTTCTATGGGACTGTGATGATAGAACATATAGTTACTATATTGAGGTGTCAAATGATCGACAAAACTGGGAAATTGTGTCTGATTGTACAAAAGAGGAATGCAGGTATTGAGGTTATTCAAAACTAATACAGATTATTTGGGACTGACAGTATTAAATTATATTTTTCTACATAGGTCTTGGCAAACTGCAAAATTTTCTCCAAGGATTGTAACCTTCATCAGAATAACAGGAACAAGAAACAGTGTGAACGAGGTATAGTGGTACTAGTATGCCAAATATGTATTCAAGAGTTATCTTTGTCCAATAAATGTAGAAAGTTTTTTTGCTTAGCATGTATAGCATAGGAAATACTAACATAGGAAGTTGGCACTCAAATTAGAGGTTGTTTGTTTCTTCAAAATATTGATATTTCAGTGTTTAACATTTAGGTATTTCATTGTGTCCATTTTGAATGTCCAGCCAGTGTAATCAAGAAAGAAAAAGCCAAAAATGGAAAGAGCAATAAGTAAATGAAAAAGAATTTTCTTGTTGCATATTATAATTTATACTTGGATATTTTGCCATGTAAGTTGTAGAGAAAATAATAAATTCAAAATACTATTAAGTTGTACTTAATAATAAATGTAAATATATTTTTGATGAATCATTATTTAAAGGTTCCTTCGTGCTTTGATAAATGTAAAAGTTACTTAGGATTGCACAACTATTCTTTGGCAAAAATAAAGCGATATAAGATATTTAAACAAAATATCAGGTACACATACAATGACATCAACAGGTTGTTTCAGAAAGCAAGAACTCTAATCAAATTTTGTGACATGTGACAAAGCACACTAATATTGTTACAAGAAATTAATTTCAGTCTTACCATTGAATTTATGTATAGGAACTTAATCTAAATTAACATAAATTCGAGAGAAAGACATGGTTTGAAAGACTCGTGAGTAAGAATTCCAAACCAATCAAATCTCTTAATTTTGGGGCAGCACATTTGATTCATTCTAGAGGTATACTCTGTGACATTTAGTGCTTTTTCCCAGAAACATTTCATTGTTCTCACATTCAACAATAACAATTAAAAAAGTCTTGAAAGACTTTATAATAAGGATATTATTTTTTACTTTAAGCACTGCAGATATGTATCGGTCTAAAACAATCACTCAGTCATCAAAATTCAAAAACCAACTATTTGTTTTGTCAATGCATAACGTTGGAATTTGAAATTTTAAACAGTAGGCAGCACTTCCGCGTTTACTAACCTCTAGTAGAATCCATATAATTGAGACAACTTCATGTAAGTTAAATCAATTGTCTCCAACCCACGGTGATAAATACGCAGAAGCTTTCAGGCTTGAGCACATTCTACTTGAATTTTCAACTTATTTAGCACGAATTAAGAAACAAGATATATATTATGGTCTAGCGATTTTACCATTTAGTGAGTGCGGTCGTATCAATTAATCAACTCACGAATGGTTGATTTGTAGAAGTGCACGGTTATTCTAACCAGATCATCAAAATACTATGCTTACAAAATCCGAAGCGGATTGATGTTGTCGAAGAATTGCAGTATGATGGCATTCATCTCAAGCGTGGATTTGATTTTCAAATTCTATATTGTTTTGTTATTTGTTGAGTCTGGCAAGAGTGAACAGTTGATTTATGAAACCACAGGAGAGGTTGGTGGTGGTAATATGACATATTACAGTCTGACGCAAAAGGGGTCTATCACATTAATCCTAGAAACAATACATGGTGATGCTGATATTTACATCTCAGAAACAAATGGAAAGCCTGATTATAATGACTATGATTTGCAATCAGCAACATGTGGCAAAGATGTTGTTACAATACCCATTGAATTTCACCGTCCTGTAGGTATTGGTATATTCGGACATGTGTACCATCCTCTATCAAAATACAGCCTATTTGTTGTGTCTGATTACAATGAAAGTGAATCAGAACACAACTACTCTCCTATGAATAGGGAGAACAATTCAGAGAATTGGTTGTTTTGGGCAGTTGTGAACATTTTAAAGATATTGCTTGAGATTTTGGCTTGAAAAAATTGATTTTTCTTTCCCTGCATACATAAGCAAAATACATTATCACAAAACTCCAAAAACAAATATTTAATCTAGTATTGAATCAAGCCAATCTTCCATCTCATCCTTTGTGTCACTAGAAGTTTTTGATTCTTTGGGAATATCACATGTTGTACTCATATTTTCTTCCTGGAAAAGATATTTAGAAAGATCAGAGTGGATGAGATCATTGCAATGTAATGAGTTAATTCATGAACAAAATTTCTTTTTACTTTCATTTTTGTCTGCTTTTCTTCATTTACAAGTAAATCATTTCTTTCAAATTGCTTCAAATATTCTTGTTTATTTAATTGGCTAGTTTCTGGGAAAACCTGTTGCTTGACCTCATGAACAGTTTGTTTTCTCACATCTTCCTCGGGACTAGAAACTAATTTAGTTTTGTTCAAAATATTGAAGCTTATTTTGTTGGACGATTCATTATTTTTTGACAGTTCTATGTAATCATTTCTTGTCTTGTCAATATGGAAGTGGAGACTAGGTGACTTCTCTGAATAGCTTGTCGAAGGTTTAAAAAAATTGTCTTCCTGAAAAGGGAAATAGAAAATGAAGTAAAAAAATAACCTAATGGTTAAATAGCATGTCAAATTTGGTGCTTTGAAGGACCATTCTACCTTTAAAATTGTGCAATATTTCTCTTCAATGTCTAGACGTTTCCCAAGTGGAATTTTTTTCAAAGATTCCACCAAAGCATCACAATTAATAGATAGAAACGATTGATCTAACAGATGAGAGAAATGTTCACACCTTCATCCTAGTTAGGATATTGAACTTTTAAATTGACTCGGTCTTCACATTGTTAATGGGACAAACCTTACTTGCTTCTGTGTTTATATTTTCCCAATCCTTTTCACTTTTGAATTGAAAATGAGATCCTTGACTTGCTTAGTTTTTAATGAATTAAACACAAAATGTTCTGTTTAATATTTAAATTTGAAAGTTATCCAATCATCACTACAGCTTACTTGCTTTTTCATGAAGAGTTTGGAAGTCTTCTCCTATTTTCCTGGAAGCACCATCTGGGTAATCTGAAGTGTCATGCAGCTCTTCATCTATTATAAACAAAAAAAACAGCATTGTCTTTACTCAAAACAATAGAAAACAAACAAGTTAAACAACCAGAACCTGGTAAATAATACTATGATTGGTAACTATACAACTTACAAGTGTTCTGTATACAAAATTATAAAAGCTTATTATGACATTTTACCATCAATTTCTTCATATCTTCGCCAATTGCTTTCTATCTTTCGCCGTGAGAATCCTCTCTTATTCTCTGTATCACTATCACCCTCGCTCGTTCCAGGAGCAGGAACTAATTCGTTTGAAACCACTGTCTGTTCTCTTTTATTTGTTGAAGAGATTTGCTGTTTTCTTCTATACTCTGCACTTTTCTTCTTCTTGTGTTGGTCGGGACGCATTTTCACCATCAATTTATGAAATCTATGCCCATTTAGTTGAAATCACAAATAGAAACACAACAGTCCACTGACGACTGTCCAATTATGGTGGACAAACTGGTAAGCATCCACTAAAATGACACCATGTCTTTGGGTCACATTCTGCAGGAATTTTAAAACCATTAATAACAAAAAAATGGTTCAAAGTAACTGAAAGAAACAAAGCTACTTGTAGCTGAAGTCTTTACTATTATTTTATGTCAATTAATATAACTCAATCAATGGTAACCATGATAAGATCATGTATATAGTGCTACTGAATAGCATCGTTCAAAACGAGCAGCACCTGGCGGATGTATATTTATCTTGACTGAAAATTGACTTCTCGCACTTGCAATTTATTTCTCTGAAAAATAACTGAAAATTTTGTCATTGATGTTTTGAAAAGGTGATTATTTTTGTTTTTTACTTAAGTTTTTACTTAAATGAAATTTACGTCTAGTTAACTTTACTTCTATTTTATGCAATTTTTTTCTCTTTTTTAACAGCTCCATTTATGATACTTTACCAACAAACTTGAATAACATCACAAGATAGATTGTGCTTAAGGTATGCCCATAAAGTACAGTAGATTGCAAGCTGCTGTATTCAGTTTGTACAGAAAGCTAATACGCAGCTGCAAGGGGCGACCAGGGTTTAAGCAGTACATTCAAGCTGAATTCCGTAAAAATTCAAAAATTCCCAGGACAAACATTATGAGAATTGAGTATTTAATTCGTAGAGGAGAAAAACAATTGAAAGACATGCAAAAGGAAGAAATCCATTCAATTAGCATGTTTCAACCTAAGAAAGGAAACAAGTGAGAAAATTGATGTTTCCACTTGTCATATAATTATGATATGACATTTTTTGCTTCTGAGGTATCAAATTGTTTTGTGACACATGCAATTGATGTTGTGAACAATATTTCTCACAAATATGTACATTTATTTGCACTGCAAACTGTTATGTGTCAAATTATACATTTCGTTTTGAATACACCAAGTTTATCTATATTTATATCTACTGTATTTATACATCTACAAATAATGCATAATCTTCTAAATTCCTTATCCATTAAGTTTGATCAGGAATACATGCAATATTTTTGTTTTCTACACATGTTGTTCTTTATTCTGAGCATTTATTTTCTCGCACATATTTCCCATTGCATTTTCACTTTTGCACAAGCAAATAGCCAGGAGGGCCTTCTGGATTCTTCTCCAGATTGCTAATGAACAACTTGAATTCTAAGATAGACAAACATTGGTTGAGATATGATTCATAATAGCAATAATAAGGCACAAGTATTGTCATCAAGAAACATCTTTGAATTTTTTATTACCATGATAATCAATGTAACCATCACCATCCAAGTCTGCTTCTCTGATAATCTCTTTTAACTCTTCATTGTTAATCCTCTCGCCTTGTTTTGACATCACCGTTTGAACTTCATTTGCACTAGAAAAAGTAGGTGCAAAAATTTGAGGAGGACCAAAACCACAGAGTCTGGTGGAAGCTTTAGCCTCTCAATATTTTGCAATAGTTAACCTTCAAACATGTGTTTGAATAGGTTATCTTAGCTTGATGATGACTTAGAAATAAAGTCGAAAAATATTGCTTTAAATCTTGTCTCTTGCTGTTATAACTTGAATCCTGAGTTTACAAGATTATGTTCTTGAAGTGCGTTTTATCATTTATTTTTTGAAATTGTTGGCTGGAGAAGTATTTTGTCTCATATGATACCAGTCATGGGGGACAGGATGCTTTCCAAGATCACCGAAAATTACAGTTATGTTTATGTGATCTGTTACTCATTCACAAATCACAACTCAACCCGCTTATTACGCTGTTAGTTTGAAGCGAAATCGTTTAACGCGAACAAGAAATTAGACATGTAAACGGTCAGCGGTGATTTAGTAAATAATATAATTTCTAGTAAAATTTCAAATTTTGATAGGGGAAAAATGACTACTGCTACTCCATCTGAATGAAATTCTCATCCATATAAAATCGCGACTAGTTTTAAGATTGGATGGAATAGAATTTTTCGCCTCGCCTTGACAAGATCATGTTATCGTATGACGAGCATAATCTCATTTTCCATTCGATAAATTTGTTTACGAACTGCAAAGATTTTGTATTAATGACGATGTTTTTCATTTACCTTATTTTTCCATCACTATTCATATCGAAGACTTGAAACAGTTCTTTAAGTTCGTCTTCGGGATCGATTTTTCTCATTTGTTTTTTCATTAACGTGAGAAATTCCTGAAAATCAACTTCTCCATTACCTATAAACGAGAAACGATACAGCTTATATGATTGGTGTCCCTTTGTGGCAACTTTATTTTTGGCAATTTTTCAGACCTCTTTGACAGTGACGGAACCAACCCTCAAGTATAGTCGCGCTATGAAATTTCCAAACTTTATCGTCCTTTCTTTGTTTTTACAATAAGCGAAATGTTAAACAGCACGGCCGAACTTGCAGGTTGATATACCACTGCTCTTTATGAAAAACGCGTTTATCTGTTGCATTTTTATCTGGTCTGCAATTTGTCTTTTGTTGGATAGAAGAGATTTGACGCTTACCGTCTGCGTCAGCCTCGGCTATCATCCTCTTTAGTTCTTCATCAGTTGACCGCTGTCCCAAAGAATTCATCACCACTTCCAACTCATCAATCGATATGGTACCTGAGCCATCTGCGTCAAACAGGAGAAATGCTTCTTCAAGTTCTACGAAGATAAAAAAACAGATGGTGTCTGGTCCCTAGCTTTGAAACTTTTTGCGCCGTACTTTTCCCAATGTGTCACATATTGAATGAGACTTGGGATGAAGCGTGGCTGTTTTCATTTGAAGTGATTGTAACTTGAATGCAAACAATATTGTTGTTATAAAGTAAATGGTTTGAACCCGGGAGTATCGTTACATGTTTGTAAATGTAGATCATCCAGGTTGGTATAGTCCCGAGAAGGACTGTTTTTGTTGTTGTTGACTGACGGTTCGACAACCTTAGCGGTAGTTATCTTTTGACTCTGAAGATGACTACCGCTAAGGTTGTCGAAACGTCAGTCAACAGCAACAAAAACAGTCCTTCTCAGGACTATACCAACCTGGACGATCTACATTTACAAACATGTAATATTGTTGTTGTTGCGTCTTGTTGTTGATAAGCTCTCGCTAAAACAACTTCCACCTGGTAACTTATGAATCGCTAAAATTTGAAAGAGGTAAAAAATTTTTTTCGGCTTTACATTTTTATCCTAAAACCTATGTCCATATATTATTCCAAAATCGTTATCAAGTCGAGAATTGCAGAAAATAAGGTAGAAGCATGAAGTAAAAAATAGGTTTATCTTAACTCAAAATTTGAGACAAGAGGAGACAGTCTTTGCGACAGTAATAAATTCAGAAAACTACAAAACTACTATTTTGTCCTTTCTATTTGAGTTGAAGTTGAATCTATTTTTGAAGTATGTTTTTGTGGATTTGTTTTACATAATGTTATTTTAACTCTTGTGTCTACAGACAAGGTGTTTTTTTTTTGAGAGCAAAATTGTTTACAATAACTTATTCATGTCAGATTGATTACACTGGAGATCTTTAATTTGATGTCGGTGATAATTGATTTTACAATGAAGGGAAAATTTTCCAATTCAACAACTTGAAATGCAATGTGATTGTCATCATAATACCCACAACACGTCAATGCACTTGATTTATGCTTCCTATATACGAGCTCAGATTTCCTTCATTTCATCATAAACAACAATAGGAAGTAAAATGTTGCAAAGTGTATTTTCATTCTTCCTACATCAAATATTCTCTCCGACCTCCTAGATACTCATTTTTTTTGTCAGCGAGGTACTATTTGCCACAAAGTCTTGTTCATGTTTTAACACACACACACACACATTTAGAGATGCAGCAAGATGTCATAAATAGAAATCCGTTTACCTTTAATCTGTTCTTCGCTCAGCTCTCTTTCGACCTGGACGAATGCAAGAAAAGTTATTCACTCTATAATCGTTACAGCTTAATTCTGTTAGTAACAGCTTGGCGCAATTATACTGCAAAGTTAGTTGTCACAGACAGCGGAAAAGTGTTTGATGGAAGACTTCTATTCATCTTCATATTTTGTTCAATTTTCAGCACAGTTTTGGGGGACAAGTTCCTTTAAGTCTTTGGACATGATTACATTTGCTGGTTAGTAAACTTAATAGATTATAAACGCATAAAAACCGTTCACTTATACTCCTCTTATGTTTTATAGTCGATAGTACTTGTTCCCTTATTTTTCTTACCATTATTATATTTCTTCTTTTCCGTTGTTAAATTACCTATTTTTATGTATAGGGTAAGTCAAATTCAATATGTACGCGCAATCTTTGGCGTAATGCGTTCTCACAACTTTCATGTATATTTTAGATAATGCACTAGCATTGAGTTCATATTGCGTTTTATAAGTCAAATCTTCGCCCGCGTTATCTTTATTAAGTATTTATGTCGCGAAAACATGCCAAATAGGAAGTGTGCACTTGATAGCCACCTGCTGTTTCCCTGGGGATATCAAAAAAGCCAATCTCATTGGATGGTGTGATTCTAATTACTGCATTTTATCGATTATTCCCAGTGGTCTATGCTTTGTGATTCTTGAGTTTCGATCAAATTCATTAAAAAAAACATCTACGGAGCAATTGATTTGTTTTATTTAAAATTGCTCAATGTTTCAACTGTGTTTATCTAACACGAGCTCGTGAGTTTAAAGCGAATCATTACTAAATAGCTTTTTATTTTCTTTTAATTGACCTGTTTTGTTTGGATTGAGTGATTGGAGTCCATAGGATACATAATTTTTTGTCACTTGTCGTGGACTTGAAAAATAGTAAATGAATGAAAGAAATGCAAGATGACAACAAAATTGGAACATTCACTGTTTATTGGCCAGAGTAATGACGGACCTAACGCATGCGCACAAAAAAATACCACGCGTTTCACCCGCGAGTTGCCCTTCTGTGTATTCTCTGTTCTTTGGCGGAATGTGGCTATTACTAGGATTCCTAGCTATTTTGGGGAGTATGTGTACTTCTATTATTATTTATCTGCTAAAGATGTTTTCACCCAAAGATCCAAAAGGTTTGGTTTTAACTATTAGTTCAATTATAGGTATCGATCTTGTATTGTAATTGCACGAAATTTCTTTCGATTTCTTCAAATTGTCTCGTGTTTTACGATTATTTATGAAAACTGGAAAGTACGTCTAACGTCTTGTTCAAATAGAAGACTTTCTTTTCTTAAATTTTATTTATACCAACCAACAGTGTTTGTGTTTGTGATTGACTTGCCAACTCGTTGCGTATTGGGCTTGCTATACTTTGCATTGGGCTTGTATACTGTATTCTATAGGAGTAATAAAGCTGGTTTTATTCTTTTTGTTTAAAAAACCATCAACGTATTAAATCTTAGCGAGCGGTTTCTTAGCACCGTTGAACTATTAAGTTTAAATTTTTCTCTAACATTCCAAAATTGTCAATGTGTAAACGTAAAAACGAAACACTTTCAAGCGTCGTGTGGTTTTCTGAGAAATATTATGAATACCATCAATATTTTTGCTTTCATTTTCGAACAGGCGTGTCATTTTGCAGTGATTTTGCTTTTTTAAATGAAGGGTGTGGGGGCACTACTCTTATTTGAAGAAAACTGAGAGGGACTTAGCTCCTTGCCCCCTTGCTTCCAATACCCCTGAAATGTCTCCTTTCTTCAATGGTTACATATAATTCAGTTATGAGCGTCATGCTTGCGCTTTCAAGCAAACTTCAACAAATTTTAAAGAGACACTTTATCACAAGAGTCTTTTAGCCCTGATGTAAATACAGCCTTTTACTTCTGATCAATATCAACTATTTGTTAAAACTGATCAACATTTTTCATATTACGTTTTATAACATTTTATAAACAATCTATTGCTCTGTGAGAGATTTTGACAAAATGAGTATTGCAATTATTAGCATCACAAACAATCTCAATCTTTCTCTCTAGGCAAGGAGCCAGATGTCAATAATGAAGAAACAACACATAATAAAGAAGAGACAAAATCTATAGACATGGAGACAGATAGCAAAAAGGAAGGAAAGACATCTAATAAAGAAGAGAAAAAATGTGTAGACATGGATACTGATGCCAAAAATGAAGACAAGACACCCAAAGAAAAAGAGAAAAATCCAGGAGAAAATGAAACAACATTTAATGAAGAAGAGAAAAATGTAGACATGGATACAGATGACAAAATGAAGAAAGACAAAAGAAAAGAGAAAAATCAGGCAAGGAGACAAATGTCATAAAAACAATAAAGACATGGATGGATAGCAAAATGAAGGAGACATCCATAAAAATCAACAAATCTAATAAAGAAAGAAAATGGATCATGGGAATCAAGAAAAGAAGAGAAAATCTGAACAAAAGAGGATAAATCATAAAATAGAAACATTAAGAACATGGATGGAAGGAAAACATCAAAATAAAATCACAAGAAAATCAGAAACAACATCAATGTAACATGGATACTGATGCCAAAGTGAACAAGAAAAATCAAAGGAGACAAATCAGAAACAACATTTAATGAAGAAGAAAAATGTAGACATGGGAAATCCAGGCAAGGAGACAAATGTCATAAAAGTAGAAACAACATCTACTGATAAGGAGAAAAAAAGTGTAGACATGGATACAGATGCCAAAAAGGAAGAAAAGACATCCAAAGAAAAAGAGAAAGCACCCGTAGGCAAGGAGACAAATGTCAAAAATGAAAAAAAGACATTTAACGAAGAGGAAAAAAATTCTGCTCACAAGAAGAAAAAATTCAAAGAAAAAGAAAACACTTCTACTTGGCAACAAAAAAAATCAGACTTCAAAAATATGAGTGTGGAAGAAAAACGTGTTCACTATCGCTGTGGACGAGACTATGTCATGCTGGAATCAATTTCTCCCTGGCCTGATTATGTTGATGAAAAACAACCCAAATTTGTAAAAAAAGGTGCAACTCAAACTCACGTCATTGAGAAGAAAGACTTGCCGTTGTTGTGATTTTTGTTTCGTAATTGTTTTTTAATATTTTATGCACTTTTTTATTTATATTATTTATTTATTTTATTTCTTTCAAATAATGTAGAGTCTGTCACTGAAGATGATGTTTTAAACAAGGTTTCTTTGTGGAGAGGTGATATCACACGTTTAGAAATTGATGCGATCGTCAATGCAGGTAAAATTCTGAAAAATAGTTTCTTAGTTTATTTTGTTACAAGTTCTCAGGCCAAAATAAGGACATATTTGTATGAATTACTGCTACCAGTAGCGTAGCCATTCTGCAAGTTTTAGTCCAGCTACGTTAATCTACCAGCTGCTGTTGTATTTGAGGTTTGAGTCTATGCTAAGATTTTTCATGTTAAATCTCTGTAAATATTACGACAGAAGTGTTTTTAATGATAACATGGATAACCCATTGAACTTTCATTTCTAATTTCAGCCAACACCAGATTGCTGGGCGGTGGTGGAGGTATGGATGACAGTTATTGCTTATGAATTTTGAAATTTGATTTTTCGAAATAGATTTGGAGACATTATGTTAAGGATCACACTCAGGTCTCAAATTGTTTAAGAAAAAGTAATGGGCAATTTTTTTCAAGAAAAACACGCCACATTAGTTGCGTTGGCATCCAGCAAGTTTTGGTCCCTGCTATGCAATTTTCAGAACATTATCATTATTCATTTTATTTGAAACCTATTGTTTTCTCAGTGAGTAAAGGTAGAAAAGTTTGTGTAGTACGACTAAAATAAGCTCACGCTTCAACTGATCACAAAATATGATGTTTTAGAATATCAGGTCAAAACATGCTTCTTAACAGTGTGTTAATTGCACGTTGTCATTTCAAATTATGATTAGATTTCACTCTATTTTGACTGCATTAACCGGTCACATAAGACAATCTATGGCCTATTGAGCTTTTATTTTTCCACAAACGAACCTTTTGTTGACAATTGCTGTTCCTTACCAAACTTCTTTGCCACCGACTTAACGTTACTGTCTGTTTCCTTTTCTTATCACATCTTACTATTTGATATTGCTTTTTTGCGCTTTACAAAAAAAATTTTCAGATAAAAATTTTCAGATAAAGTTGTTCAGATAAAATTTACCAATTAATTTATTTTCAAATATATTCAATCTTTTGGTTTTTGCATTTGGTTTCATGTTTGTTTTTGCCTACTTAAAACTTGAAAAGTTATAACCTCAACAGTTTAAGCTAAAAAATTTTCCAAAACCTTTATAAGGTATAGCTAAATTTTTGTGAAGCGATTTGCTGAAGCGTTCATTCTGCTTTGTTGATTTTCTTCATATAAGTTTTGGGTTTGTTCACGTTCAAGCACGTTCAAAAAAATACTCGGGAGATCCTAAAATTCTTAAATCTTTGTCTTTAGTTGATGGCTGTATACACCGTGCTGCAGGAAAGTGTCTTTATGAAGAATGTTACACGCTAAACGGGTGTGAAACTGGCAAAGCTAAAATCACTTCAGGTACCATATTATTATATGCCAATAACTGTCTGAATCTTGATGTATAAGTCCGTTATCCGAAAATGTGTTTGATTGTATATTTTAATCGTACTTAAGACAATGAGACGCATATTGCTAAGGAATTGAATTTCACATGTTGTCTTTAAATTCTTTTATCTTTTAATTGTCGATTTTTCTTCTTCAGGTTACAAACTTCCTGCAAAATGTAAGTTTATATGGCAAAGAAAATACGGAGCTCAAATCTCGTTTTCTCGTGAATTACTTTCACAATTTAGTTACTTTGTACTCAACGCTTTGTATTTCACGTGTGACGTTAAACTGTGACGTAACATCAACCACAGTGAATTTGACTCATTTCACGCTGGTCGGAAGTCAATTGCATCGTGTATGCAAGTCTTTTGAATGCATTGAACATGATTTAGTATGACTATATCTTGTGATTGCGAGCAATCAAGGAAACCTTTCAATTGTTTATTCAATTTATTATTTCAGATGTCATTCATACCGTCGGTCCTATGGGAGAGAATAAATTGCTGTTGAAAAGTTGTTATGAGTCCTGTCTTAGCATAGTAAAGGAAAAAAAATTGGAGTCTGTCGTATGTGTTGATGAAATCTTTCACATTTCTTTTGTATTTGTTAATATTGTGTAAATCTGGACGGAAGAAAGGTTTTTATTTGGATTGGGCTGTTACGGGTGAAACGTCGACCTTTTATCTATTCATATGCAGTTATAACAATTCTCAGACAGTTTGATTTCTTTTTAGGCGTTCTGCTGCATTTCAACAGGAATATATGGTGCGCTTTTTGATCTGTTTCTTTGTTTTATAATTTACGGATTTTTGACCTGGCGATTTTTACACCAATCTACAGGTTATCCCATTGAGAATGCTACAGATGTCGCTTTGATGACAGTCAAAGATTGGTTGGAAAATAACAAAAGCTGGGTATGATATGCGACCATTTTAAACGAAATAGTTTAACTTACTTTCCGGTTATATTGTTGACTGTTGAGTACTGTTTTATAAATTAACTATAGCTTTAATATGTCTACTACAGGGCCCCAATGAAAATCTCTCTGGCAAATGTGGGACTTCCTAAATAAATATTTATTATTTTATTAAGGAATAATTACCGTTTCTTAAAAATTGTAGTGCGGGTATGATGGGTATCTGCGGTCAAGTTACCGCACTTCGTTGTCATAAAGTTTTCTGTAGTCTGAATTTCAATTTTTCTAAACAATTCTCTTCATGAGGAAATTAAAATAGTACGTTGTGGAAACACTGTTTGTTGTTCCCTTGTTTAGGCAGGTCGAATCATCTTCTGTGTATTTTCAAAAGATGATTTGTATGTATATGAAAAGAAAATGCTCAAGTACTTTCCATTCACGAAAAAAACCAATGAACAAATGAATGTTGATAATGATGGTAGTAGAGCTGAAATTGACACCGGAAGTAAATCAAATGATAAAGATGAAACTAGACGTCCTTCACTAAGCAATAAAAGTGAAGTATTGACGAATGAGTTATCCATGGTCAAAGGAAAAACTTCTGAGACAAATATTTTAAAAGAAAAAGGAAACAAACGACTAGAATCAGGTGATCCAAGGGAAACCTCCGCCAAAAAATATTTGCGAACAAATGAAGAAAGTGAGCTCACTAACACAAATTTTTCAGAAAAAGAAGATGAACGTCAACCTTACACTATGGATATGACCTCTGGGAAGAAATTTACCAACATGAATTTTCCGGAAGAAGGACATGGAGGTAAATCTGATGTTATGGAAGCGGCGTCTGTGAAGATGACGGATGCGGGGTGCGTATTTTGACTAATAACGAACTTTTCATTAAGTTTGAATTGAATTGTTGAAAAAAAAGTGCATTAATTAATCATATTTTAGTGAGCATCTTCATGTTAACACTTATGCACATGACTTTTTCATTTTAATATTCTGGGACCGGTTGCATGAAACATAGATATCCATTAGATATGGTTTTTGTTTGCATCAGAATCTCTTAGAATGCAAAATGCTACGATTTAAACTTGACAATTGATAGAAAAAAACATTAATTTACACATAACAAAGTTTCGTTTTTATGAAGTTAACATAACTACCTTTTTGAAGCGATCGAAAAAGTCATTATCCAGACTCTATCGTCACTTCGTGCAACTGACCTCTGGGTGATACCCATAATACCACCCAAATTCCACAATGCATTTCAAATGCAAAAGTTATGAGCACCTAAAGGGTTTATGAAGCAAATTTTTCTTTTTCATTTATAGTTTTATTCAATAGAATTTTTGAATTGGTGGTAGACTTTCTAAAATCATTTATGAATATCTCCTTATTATAGCAGTGGTAGTGAAACATCTGATGGTAAAAGCGAAGGACTAAAACGAAAATTGGAACTACCTTCTGGTGGTATTGGTATTTCTGGAGGTTTAAAGGGATCTAAAGGTGACAGTGATAGCAGTGGTAGTGAGACATCTGATGGTAAAGGTGGAAGAATAAAAAGAAAACTAAAATCTCCAAACGTAGACATAAAAGCCAAAGCAAGTGCCGATAAAGACAAAGATGGAAAATCTGGCTTTAACCTTCCTAAATTTCACATGCCCAAATTTGGTTTTGGTGGCAGTGGAAAGTCCAAAGGAAAATCAAGCAAAAAAGGAAAAAAGAAAGGTTTTGAAATGGAAGGAGATGTTAAATTGCCTTCTGGTGAAGTAGAAGGTGATATTCCCAAAGTTAGCATTGACACTGATCTTCAAAATGAACCACCTTCTCTGAGTTACAGTGGCAGTGATACTTCGGACGGGCATGGAGGAAGGATCAAGAGGAAACTGAAACTACCATCGGGTGACATAAACATTTCTGGAGGTTTGAAAGGACCAAAAGGGGATGCAGATAGCAGTGACAGTGATACGTCTGACGGCAAAGGTGGAAGGACAAAACGTAAGGTGAAAACGCGAAGCTCTACTGAAGATGCAAAGTATTCCAGCAGTATTAGTCCCAAAAGAATGAAATTTAAATTGCCTAAATTTGGATTAGGTGCTAGCAAGAAGGAGAAGAATGCAGAGATTGTGAAAGAAGTGGATTCATTGTCTGAAGATCAGCTAGTTTTGGATAAATTTGAGATACCGAATTTTGATATTGATGTGAAAACCGTTTCTTCTGGTGCTAGCAAAGAATTCAAGATCGATTTGGAACAGAAGCCAGCACCAGTTGTAATTTCAGCTTCACAAGAAAACCCTGTTTTTACTGGTCCTACCCGACAATCATCTGTATCAGGAGATTTAATTTCATCCACAGATATTTCTATGAACGCTGACATCTCTGGTGAGTCTGTTTCGCCCCATGGTTCGACTATAGTTTGTGATGAAAAATGTACTCGAACATCTCGCGTGTTACCAGATTTACAGTACGATGTCGACTATGGTGATATTGACTTTGGTGATGTGGATTCAGACTTTCAACATCCATTGTCTCAAATTGAAAGCAATATCAGTGTGTCGTCCGAAGGTGGAGGCTTATATTCAGCTCCTTCTGGTGGAATTTATGCTGACTTTGACAAAAACAACGACGGCGAGGAAGAACGAAAAATACACCAAAAACCTAGTGGTCCATTAGTTTTTGAAGATATTACACGTTCCTCTCGCGATAAACCAGATATCAGCCATGACGTTGACTTTAGTACTTTTGATTTTGATGTTCCATCGATTCAAGTGAAACAATACTACGCTGGGAAGAAATTTACCAACATGAATTTTCCGGAAGAAGGACATGGAGGTGAATCTGATGTTGTGGATGCGGCGTCTGAGGAGATGACGGATGCGGGGTGCGTATTTTGACTAAGAACGAACTTTTCATTAAGTTTGAATTGAATTATTGAAAAAAAAGTGCAGTGCATTAATTAATCATATTTTAATGAGCATCTTCATGTTAACACTCATGCACATGACTTTTTCATTTTAATATTCTGGGACCGGTTGCACGAAACATAGATATCTATTAGATATGGTTTTTTGTTTGCATCAGAATCTCTTAGAATGCAAAATGCTACGATTTAAACTTGACAATTAATTTACACATAACAAAGTTTCGTTTTTATGAAGTAAACATAACTACCTTTTTGAAGCGATCGAAAAAGTCATTATCCAGACTCTATCGTCACTTCGTGCAACTGACCTCTGGGTGATACCCATAATACCACCCAAATCCCACAATGCATTTCAAATGCAAGAGTTATGAGCACCTAAAGGGTTTATGAAGCGCAAATTTTTCTTTTTCATTTATAGTTTTATACAATAGAATTTTTGAATTGGTGGTGAAATTTCTAAAATAATTTATGAATATCTCCTTTCATTGTTAAGATAATGAAATGAAGTGTTTGTAATTTCCGTCTGCACACAACCAGTGACGTCATATTGCACAATGAGACACCGAAAACTTTCCTAAATTCTTCAGTTTCCTGGCAATTTTTGGAAGAAATGCTTATTTCATATCATTAAAACTATTCAACGAAAGCGTCTTTGCCCCGTTGAAGAAAAATATCATCAAATATACTTGATAATTCAAATTCTCATTACACAATATGACGTCACTGGTTGAACACAAGGGGGGCTTTTTAAACAAAACAAAAACGTCAATATCTTGAGAATGACAAGTGATATTTATAAACTGCTTAAGAAAATCTACTGTCATTTTACAAGCTCTGTTTCATTAGACTGTAATTTCACAAGTAAAATTTTCTCTGCATAAGCATTTTAACAAACAAATTAAACGTTATGTAAGGAATTTTCTCTTCTTTTTGATAGACAAGCAAACTGAAATGAGTATGTCAAGTTATTGATCACTTACGAAAAGTAGGTAGCCTTATTTATTTTTAGTTGTTGTGTAGAAACATTTTTATGTTACAAGACAGTAAAAGTACAGGACAATTTGTTTAGCGAAAATAAGCCGCGATAAAAACACATTCTAATTCAAACATTTAGAAGTGAGATGAATTAGCAAAGGTTAACAAGTGAGTTCAGCATATAAACCATGAGCTATCGGCTGTTGGTGTTGCTAGCCAGCCAAATTTGGTTGTGTCACGTGAATTTCAAGTAGTAAGGCATAATTTTTTTCGTTAGACATCTATTGTTTTTACAGTGAGCGAAAACGAAATATTTAAATTGTGCGGGCTGGCTTGAGGTAAATTGCAAGCCAGTTTTACTTTTGTATTTATATGTCATACTGATTTATGAAAGTTGCGGTTGGTTTGGATTTGGCTTCTTTTCCCTCTCGTAATGTGTTTTCATCTCAAAAATAAGTTAATCAGATTTTACTGGTTTTTGACCTGTTTTGCGGTCATCAACATTATATCAGTGTTTTTTTATCGATATTTCTAACAAAATAACTTCAGTAAAATTCTACTTAATTAGTCAACAGACATGATGGCTTGGCATCAAGTGAAATCAGTCTGTTTCTTATGATTGATGTATAACTGTAATCAAAACTTGTTTGTGTAAGTTTTTGACGATCAATGAAAAAATTATAATATTTTTAATTGTCCTTAATTTGTTTATATGAACACTTTTGTGTTTCACACTTTCAATGTTTATTCCATTTAAAATATTGCACACAATAACACAATAAAATTTTCAGTAAAATTTTTATCCTTGGCAAAATGCCTCCTGTCCCCCTCCCCCCGAGGGCTCTGCACGTTGGCTTGGTAGCACAACGGTTTAAACGGATGAGACAAATGTTTTTCACTTTTTCCAGAATTGTTCTTGAAATCGTAGTCTTTCACTCTCAAACAATCGTATTTTCATTTATAAATTTACCATCAGATATATTGAAAAATAAAATCCCCAAAATAATTTCAAAAAAGCGGTAATATTAAGCTATCAAATATCTACTTCTGTAAAGTCTTCATACTGCTTTCTTAATGGGTCTGAAGGAATATTTTCCAGTTTCACAATCTCTTCTTTTTTTTCGTCCATATTGACTAAGCAATGATTCTTTTTACCTTTTTGATCGCATATCTCTTTAGCCATCATAGTCCCGTCATATTTCTCTTCCATGTACTCCCTTTCATCTTCCACTATTTTCATTCTCCCAATCTCCACTTTATCTCGTAAACCTGCAATCAGGCTTCTTCGTCCTTTTTTCCATTCGTTATTTAATAGCCTGTCTCGTTGTATCATCGCGTTTGCAACTCGACCTTCAGTTTTACAATTATCTTGTGCATCCCTGGGTATGTCACATTTATCTGAAATATAAATGGTTGAGTTGTCATAAGAATTGGCCATCTTAATACCCGTCACATCTCTTTCTTCTTGTGTAATGATCTCCATGGATTTACACGCACAAAAAATTTTGTTACGTCTTCTTCGCTTGTGTTTTTTACCACCGTTTGACAAAAATTGAAGAACTCTTGGAAAGACAGACTTTTTATTCTCGTGACTTTCTTTCGAAGAATTTTTGTGGATGGAGTTTTCAGTTAATATACTTGACGATAGCTTAAGTTCCTGTAGCTGAGAGAACATGCTCATTCGTCGTTGTCTTTGTGACGATGCTTTATCTTTTTCATTTTCTATCTCCCTTGTTGATGGAATTTTTGGCATGCTTATTGTTGGTGTATTACTCGACTTGGTAGTTTTACATGGTGCTTTAATGGATGCTGAATTAGTGGATGGTTGGTTTATTGATGGTATATTGATGAATGGTGTACTCGACGATGCTCCTTCAACGTTTGAAGTGAAGTTTTCATTTGCAGACAGTTTAATTTCCTGTAATTGTGAGAACATACTCATTCGTCGACCTGTTGTGTTTTTGTTTTCGTTTAAGACTGTCGTGTTGTCGTCATCGTTCGGATCTTTTTGTCGTGTTTCTGGAACAGACAGCATTTTCTTTTCACGAATCTCAGAGAGTGAACTCAAATTTTGGCCTCGTGATGATAAAATGGAATTAACGTTTGACGATGCAAGTGAGTCTATAGTTTCTGTATTGAACGTGAGTTTTGACTGATGCACGGCAGCGAACATACCCATGCGACGGGACCGAGATGTCTGAGGTATTTCATTAGCTGTCTTATTTAACGACTTGTCAATGAAGACATTTTCAAAGTTTTCATCATTGCGTTGAAGGACATTGTTAACATTCTTCTTGATGCGATTGCGTTTTGCGCTGACTGTGAAAACGAGCAACGCGGCTATGACTTCTGAGAGACGTAATCCTGTCTGGAAAACGTACCATGGCCACGCTTTGACCCATTTCACTTTGGAATAGACACCAAACACTCCTACAGCCGAGTAAAGAATTAGGGCGGACGTAAATAGATTGGCCGCGCTTGAGAAATAAATGAGCGAAAAATAGACACGATCGCCTCTCGTCTTTCTTCGTCCAACGGCCTTAAAAAGCACTTTGTTTATCTTATGAGCTAGAGAAAAGTACCACAAGCCAAGAAACGCCCCCCAGATAATGGAAAACACTTGACAAAAGAGAATCATAACTTTGGCGTTGCTGTGGGCGGACACAATAACTTCGGTGGTAATGACAAGGAAGAAGTGTAAAAAAATTACTATTAAGATGTTCGATAGACGCTGAAAGCGCTGATGTTTGAGATTTACATTAGCGGATTCTGCCAAAGCCAAAATGCACAAGGAATCCGATGCGAGCAGACATGGTGTTCCGATTGACCACATCAACTGGAGAACTAGCTTGTCTTTGAAAATTTTTCCTTGATGATATGGGTCGAGGAATAGTACAAAGGACCGAGTTACAGAAAGAATGAACATCATAAAGTTTAATGAAATGCTGAGATACTTCTTGTCTAGGCCATCTTTTACGTTGACGATGATGTAATAACCAGAGTAAAAGGACATACAAAGAAAGATTATTGCAAAGAAATACGTATGTGATGGCCATGCTTCCTGCCATGATTTAAAAGCTTTCTTCCATTCTGGGCTTGGTTCTGATGCACTCTCTCCTTCGTGTGACTCCGGTGTAATCTTTTTTTCAGGACTGGGTTGTACACTGTTCTTTTCCGGAAGGGGTTCTGCAATACTTTCGTTTTCAGGCTTTGGTTCTAATCCACCATCTTGTTCTGGACTGGGATGTAGTGCACTTTCCCTTACACTTCCTGGTAGTGATGTGTCGTTTCTTGTACTATTAGCTCTCTCCGAGTGTGGCAAATTTGGATTCGTTAGTGATCGTACACTTGTGATGTTTCTAGTTTTGAGTACGACAGTGTCCCGTAAAAAAATCTAAATCATATAAAGAGCCAAAAAAGAACCCGATTTATCATAAGTGCTTATTTAAGTTCATTTATGTAAGTATATTATACGCGTAATATATATAAAATCTCACCAGAATCAACAGAAGGAAGAAAAATGACAGACTGGTTGATTTAATCATCAGTGCATCTTCATAGGCTCTTTATTTTATACAATATTGCGCTGTCTGTTTGGCCTCGTTTTACCTTAGAGAGAAAACAATTTTAGAAATTCAAGAGAACCTTATCGCTGATACGTGGAAGCGTTTGCCGACTTGTGACTGAAATTTTTTGAAACTTGTTCATTACTCTGTTTATTAAACATTCAGTTCATATGGATACAATTTTATCGTCTATTTGAATGGACGGCATTTCACGACGCGTTAGTTACAATGAAAGATATTACTTTACGTTATTTTGTATAGAATACCGCTTCTTTATACCTACTCATCGTCAATGCTTTAATTTTTAAATATTCGACTACATTGGTTAAGCTTTAATGCTCGTATTGTTTTTGCAATTAACGCGAATGTAAGTTTGAGTTAAAATTTTTCATCCATTTTTGATAGGAAGAACGGTTACAACGTGACAAATGTCGTTTCACGTTCTGAATTTCTTACATCAATAACATATAGCCGAAATTGCCACCCTTATTGTTAAACTGCGGCATAAAATTTCACTCAATACGAGTTGAAAAACGAAAATCTTCGCAAATATACGCGTTGATGTCTATTTAAATATTTATATATAATTAAATTCAAGCTGTGGCTTTTGACATTTCGTACATTATACACAAGCTGCAAAAGTACATTATTATTTGTTCAGTATTTGAGATGCCTTTTCGTAACTCCCACCTTTCTTCATCTTAATGCAATAAGAGAATTGTGATATGTTTTTATCATGAAGTGTTATATGATTTTATATTTGCGTATCATTTCTCTTTATCATGTTTGTTGCACCTGAACATTCGTCATGTACATAAGGACTCTGTGCTATATATATTGCAAAATTTCTTGCGGCCTGCCCACACATCTTTGCTGTCTTTGGCTATTTAAAGCATTACCTGCTTTTCAAGTTTAAAAATCTCGAAATTTGCCAGAAAAAGTTTCATCATCTTTCTTCATTCAATGCGTGCACACGCTTGTGCAATTTTGATATGTTTTCTAAATCTCCCACTCTGAAACCACACGTCTCGTGCGTTGTATCAAGTTTTGATTCGCAATATGCTTGAAATCGTGAATTGAAAGATACGTGCTTCTACGAAAACCATTTATTACGTTATATGCTAAGGAAAACTTACTTTACAAATGGTTTACTTACTCTTTCAGCTTCATTTCTCGTTGAGGGGATTTTTAGGCAAAAAACTTCGTCTCTCAAATATATCTTATGTTAACTAACCCACCTGTCTTCTTTTAAAGTAATCATAAATGAATCGAATATCAGATGGGTTTTTGACGTATTTGCAATTTAAATGATAAAATTACCGTGATTTCGAGTAGGCAATAGGGCATCGTTTAACTGATATAGTACACAAAGTACTGGCTAATAATAGCCTGTGTAATTAATAAAATATTTTAAGCTAAGTTTCATGTGAGTGAAAATGAAAAAAGGTCTATGTGCGCGCGCATGAACTTTACAACTATGACGTATTAATTGAGAGGATGGAAAAAGTCGTGTTGGATGTGGAGTCAATGGTTTCACTCAAAGCTCATTTAAAGAATGTTCTGGCATTCTTACTGGTAAGATATGTCTTGCAACTTTGATACAGACTGTACTATACACGCGAGTTTCCATGCCCTTCCCACTCACTCTATATCATTGTTGAATGTTTTGCAAAGAAACTTTAAAATGATTCAATAAATTCTTCAATGGAATCATGGTGGTCACATATTTCCAGAGATATCTGATTTTGTTCTTAAAGAAAACAGCATCACTGTGACATCACCTTCGTTCACAATATTTTAAAGAACATAAATTTTCCTCGTCGATAAAACATTTTAATCACACGGAATACAACAGTTGAAAGAATACATATTTCGATGAAAATGTATAAAGGTACCAAATTAGGATATAATTACGACAAACTGTAGACGAAAACTGCTATTTTTCATAGCTAATTATTAAATATGATGTCATAAGAAAAATGAATAATAAACGCCTGAAATTTACGTAAAGCATGACTGAAACTTTCAGGCTGCCCACGAATATCAAGCATTTATTCGTTGAAAATTAAAATGCTCCACTGCGTTAAAACATGTGGATTTTTGTCCAAGCATTTTTTCTGAGCGTAGGGGCATTAACCAGGGGGGTGCAACCCACTTAAAATGTTGAGCAGAGTAGCAGACCGGCATTATTCGCTGGAAAAAAATGTACCGACCGCTTCCCTAAAAAATGTTTGCCCATACGCCATTTTGCATGAGCCATGTGCATATCCTATATACATATTTTATTGATGCGGATAATTTTCTCCGTGGGTACATTTGTTTTTAAGAAACTATGTTAAATGGTATGGTTAATGTTTTACACATGAAAACTTATTCATTGATCATTTTAACAAGCTTATCAAGTTTCGTCATGGAATATAAAGCTGAGTATATCATTATTCGTTTCTGTAAGACTTTATTTGTTTTTGTCTTGAGTGAACATTGAAATGCAAGATCAAACACGGGGCTGGCTACGTCACTTATTGATGGCGACGTTATTTTCAGTTGTGTTATATCTCAATCACTAGTTTTTTTTAACTTTAATTGTTTCCTGTCTCTGCAGTTCTTTGTATTGATCCAAAAATCCATCATCGTTGAATCAACTTTACACATTAAGTCATCAAAAAATGTTCCAACTGGCTTTGACGTGGACGTGGATAACAAACATCCGGGTCCGTTAGCTAATGTTGACGAGCCTTCGGTCACACGGGAACCCAATACTGATCCGGAGAGCAGCTGGCCTGAGCCAGGACCAAACTGGAAACAGGCCTTCAAAACGTGGGGAGCAGCTTGGGAAACGCATATCTATGTATTTGCAGTTTGTTTCTTTGTTGTTTTCGCGTACGCTTTATACTACGTTGTTGTGAACATCAAGGATGGTCTACAAAATAAATACTTAAGTGTTAGCTTGAACTTTATGATGGTTGTGTGCGGTTTATCGCGGTTACTGGTGTTGACCATAAACCCTTACCATCAAGGCACCGCCGTCAAGGCACTACCTACCGAACTCACTCGTATATTGTGGTCCCTTGCAGCTCCCAGTTTAACATCCGCTGACTGTCTTTGTATTCTATCGTTGTTGGAGACATACCAGATACCTATTGGTGCGAAAGTCTTTCAAAAACCCTCGACAATTTTTCCAATCATCGGTGCTCATTTCGGCTTTGTTTTTATCTCTGATCTCGTCGTATCAGCGCACGTGACAGCAAAAGGAATGCTTTTATTTTGTCAAGTACTTTTTATTATATGGTGTGGCTTTCTGGGTATTGGTTACTTGATCATCGGTTACAAGCTTGATAAACTTATCTTTATACATCCAGGCTCATTAAATGAATGTAAAGAGACTCAACGAGAGGGAAGATGGTACATTTATGTTATTTATGCTTCGGGAATTCTCAACATCATATCAAGTTGCATTTACATCTATTCTGCTGCTGGTGTATTTGGTGTTTACTCTGATGCCACGTACGTTGACTCCTGGTCTTGGTGGAGCCTTCAGACAGCCTTGCGCGTTACCGAGCTTGTAGCAGCGGTTTTGATATTTACTGTAAGCGCAAAACGAACCCTTCCTCAGGCTCGTGAGAGCGAGCTACCATCTGGCGAGAAAAGAAGCTCGTTCCAGGCCCATCTTGTGAGTCAGGATGGTATTGCCTTGGAAATGGTTGGAAATGAAGGCACAATAGAAAATAAATCTTTGCGAAATAAGGAGAGTATGATAACGACACTGAGGGAAAAGGTAAAGGAGGCTAGAAATGGTGACTCTATTCCTGTTGGATACTCATAGACACTCATGAATACTCAAAGACAATCATGAATACTCATAAACACTTATGAATACTTTGGTATTGTACCGCATCAACATTATTTATGTGAAACATTTTGTCTCACATGCAAATGGCAAAAAGCATTTTCGTGAAGGGTGTGGAATATTTTAATTGGATTGCATGACCCATGTTAGTAAAGTCTTTGTTTTAGCCATGCAAGTACTTTCTCTAAAAGTAGTTCTTACTTAAATTATGTGAGAAGTGTCAACATATGTCGTGGGTTTTTCTCTGTATTGGGTGTCTCATCACTTAAAGACATTCGGCGTCTATTCCACTTATGTCTTTCATTCATGCTGGATGTTTGTAATTCTCGAAGTCATGAAGTTCATTAAACTGTCCCAATATTGCTTTTAAATCGTTTCTCTTAATCCTATTTCCATAAGATTTTAAAGATTTAAACACCAAACTTGTACTCTGTCATCCAACCTAATCTTTTGTTTTCCGGTGCTCAAATGTATCAATATTATATCAATAAGCTTCTGCTCTTTTTCAAACAATAAAACTGGATTCAACTTGAAATGAATGGTGAAGACTGAAGACTTTTCCATCCCGCTGATAATTTTCTGTAAACATCCAATATTTCCATGTGCGCGGAAGTAGTTGCTTATTTTATCAATTAAAAGACTTTTATCTTAAGATCTAGTCACTTAATGGGCCATTTATTTAAAATGATAATTATTTTCCGACGTTCAAAGGTATTCACTAAGATTCCTGGCGTGAGAGAATGCAGATCGGTTGTACAATGTCTACTGCCCAAGATCATAGAATTACAATTTTGTTTCGATTATTTTGCGATGTTTTAACCATGTAAAAAGTCACTTATATTCAACGAAAAAGGTAAATTTGGGAAATACTTTATGATGTCAGTAAAAAACACAATAGCTTTTGTGATGATGCGCTCGATTTTATGTTTGTGCTTTGATATATAGTTTATGTGTTTACATCCTTTTGTTTGATAGAAAAGTATAGTTGCTATATCATTATTCACAAGATGACTAGGTTATATTTCAGTTTCCAGTTTGTAAGCGACAAGCCATATTGGTAAAGACATATGACGAAATAAAAAAGCGCTACATCGCTCTATCACACGTGCACACTTACGTGCTGCAAAAGACAACCGTTTTTACAACATTTCAAAGCATTTTACATGCGGAAGGAGGCGTATTGATAACTATAAAAGCTTTAGCTTGAAAGAATTACACGAAGGAACGAAAGCAATTATATATACATTCTGCTGTACAAGATAATTGGCCATATAATTTTCATTTGTACGTGTAGTGAAGATTTACAAAAAAGTAAGTGAAATATTTTCTTAATTGTATTCGGTAATGTAAAGCACAACACAGTTTATTCTTAAGCTATGATAACATTTTATTCCATTCTATTTCTCATTTAGTATTCTGTATTTTATGTTATTCATATATTTTGTATACGATCTGGCCGTACAATACTCGTATCTATACTACCTAAAGACTGCCAAACTAAACTATTTTTAACATAATTGGTATATTTTTAGAGGAAATTTTGTGTGAATCGTTGAGAACACGCAATCATTACTGGATTGTCCTTTAAATGCAAGTTAAGGCCAGTAGCCCTCTTTATATAGCTTAAACTTTTCACTTTTTCGCTTTGTATCTTCCAACGTATCCATTTTGTAGCCATAATATGTCAAGAATTCAATACTATATGCCTTGCAAATAATAACATGATAGCCAAGCTGCTTTATAGTTGGGCAGTAACAGATGACCAAAGTAAACCGACTGTTTTTCTCCGTGCGTTCTATACTTTTTTAACTTAACTGCCTTATAAATGTTTTCGTCGCAACAAAGTTGTTATCGTAAAAACTTTCTGAAAATTATTTTTCTCCTGTACCAAAGTCTGTCCTAATACGCTAATCTTATCAAATAAAATAACTCTTGGGTTATATACATTGTTTTCATCATAAGACTTCATTACAGAAAGGGAATTGCTCTGCCCCCAGTTGTTGAAAAGTTGACTTACACAATGTGAAAAATTCATGAACTTTGTTCGAACCAAATATGAAGCAAAACAAAATATCAATAAACATTTAAACAAAAATCTCTTGTACTCAGTGCTCCAAGTTCAATATTGCTGAATTGTAAAATTGCGCTGGCGTCTTTAAGTGGCCAGGAAAAGTTTAACAAAAGGACACTGTCTTGCAATATGTAAAATGATTTCATCTATGTGATTAGAGAAGTCGACTGTTTGAACCAGTTTGAAGCTTGAATCCACAACCAAAACAAACATGGTTATTTTTTGCATGTTCGTCATTGTCGCTATTTTTGGGCTTGAATTTGTCTGAATCTTTTCTGTCTTTGTGAATGTTAATTCGTGCTTACTGAGTGACATTATATTAATTGAGTATAAAACCAAGCAGGTCGAGATAAGGGAGAAGTGCTTGTCTTGAAATACAATATGCAATTTTGGCCGTTCTTACATCGCACATTTCTTTGAAATTTTTTTACCTTTCTAATTCATTTAAGTGCGCATGGTATCCTGGGTCCTGGGTGCGAGTTTAACTAGTTGAGATTATCAAGCCATCAAAAGCGTCCTAAAAGTTCTCGATTATTTCTCTCGTGATTGCAGCCACTGACAGTGGAGAACAAAATACCTTGACTACGGGCAATGGTAAAAATTAATTTTTTTTCATTGGCATAATTAAAGCAAAGTACGCACGGGTTGGCTATTCTACTACAATGAAAGAAATAACCTTTACTGACGTCACACTATATTTTTCCTGACGCTTTCTCAAGCAATTTTTACTACGCTCCACTCGATCACTCTAGATATTTCCATCTCGAGGCTTCAGATTGTCATATGTTTCATTTTAACCATCTTCTGCACCATTTTGTTTAACTAAGTGTTTTATCAGGCTGTTGGAGACTTTCAGTTCTAGTCATCTGTTTTACGTTATTTTTTGAAGAGCAAATAAAGCTTTGTCTTATTGTATTAGTTTTATTCTCTGCTTTATTGCCTGCTGATCAACTTTTTGGTACTCCTTTCTCGAATATGCTAAGACTGTCTCGATTCGTAGATACATCCGTTGTCAACAACAATTACCAACTCTGCATGCGTGAAGTCCGTGAGAAAATCGATGGGTATTTATGGCAACGAGTGTACGTCAAATACAAAACGCAATCCTAATACAACTCGGTGTTTTCATGTAGCTGGTTTCAGATGAATTGCAGGAAATGACGCATTGATATTACATGGCTTGTCGTTTTGACGGTTTTTAAGTGACACTTACAAAACATCTCAACAATTAAACGGAAAATATTGCATCCATCGAAAATCAGTGGGATGAAAATTAGGGAGCAGGATTTACGTGAGAGTTATTTTAACCATCATGCATTTCGACTAGTGATTTACTTTAAAATTTCTATTTGGGAATAATCATTTACAATTACACCACAAGAAAAGTACAACAAAAATTTCCTATGTGCAATTTGTTGTCTGGTTTCAATCACACAAATTAAACCTCAATCCTTTCTATAACTTAGAAATAAATTGCTAACGCCCGGTAATTGACCTCACTTTCAGTGCAATGTTGTACTTCTTTACTTATACATTCCTTTGTTGTGCACTGGTTAAACTTTACCTACTGATTGTATTTACACGAATTTAAGCTTCTTTAACAAGCTCTAGCAATACGTAACAAGCCATGTAGTTTGGATAATTATTCTGTTTGCATTTATCAAATGGTTTGATATATTGGTCATGGAACGTGTTGAAATCTTTTGCTCATATTTTTTAATATCTGTATCTCCTTTGGTTTTCTGTCAATATTTCCATGTTAATTTATTGTAATTTTATGATGAGGTTTTTCCATCCCATGAGAATAATCTTATAGCAACAAGAGTTTCGTTTCCTTTGCCGTGGAGATTCAGTTGTTTTCCTTAGACACTTTATAGCCAATCAAACGTCTCCCATTCCTCTTCGTGCTTTGACTTTTTCACGATGAAGAGACGATATTTCATGATACTCCCCATTCCCTGATTGAACACGACAACACGTCCTACTGAAATCCGTACACAAGTTTGCCTGTTTGTTTGTCTATCTCGCCGCGCTTAGTCGAGTGCCATTGTTTTGCTCTTATTCATAATGTCTGTGAGCAGATAGTGGCGTTTTATAAACATGCTTATCTATGAGCGTCACCTTCCTGTCGACTCTTATCGGATTTCTCAGCAGGATCGGTAAGAAAGCAGATGTTCTCATAGAGGCTTGTGATCCTGTACACCCGCCTATTGTTACAAACGATGTGAAATTAAGTGAATTGTAAATTTCTCAGCACAATATGAATTGTGGTAGGTTCTTATAATACGACCAAACTCCAATCTATTTGTTTTCTCTCTTCGTTAGCTGAAAAGTTCAAGAGCAAAATGATCTGGTGGTGTGTGGTTCTTACCTCCGTGCTTTGCTCTGGTAAGTTGGTAAACATTACATTTATTAATCTAATCAAAGTGCTCATATTATCCACTTTACTTTAGTATTAAATATATACTTATAATTCGAATTTAGAACGCTATAATTGCCTGCGTCTTATGCATTCGCAGTTTCATGTGCTTGGCATTCCATAAGAATAATTAGCGATTGTTTGGGAATTATCAGCAAAGTATGTGTTTATTTTACTATGCATCTGCCAGCGTACAAGATATACCCACCTGTTATGGTTGGCGGCTGACAGCAAATTTTACAACTAGATTTTAACAGTAAGCAATGGGATGGTGTGGCGAGACGTTTTAGAAATTAGTGTTTGCTAATGAGATATACTAGAGGAAACCTTACAGCTCTGAAAGAGACATGACATTTTTTAACAGTAGCGGATCAAGGGTAAATCGGAATACATTACAATAGGTAAATTTCAAATTCGAAATACATTATAAACAAGGCTATTGGTAATAATATGGCTCTAAATTATTCTTTTGAATACTATATCCAGCAGCATTGTTATTATAGTATTTTGAATTTAAAAGGATTGTTATACAACAATTCTCCTTTGTCCTTAATGAGCAAAATACATCAATCTTGCCCTGCCTATTTTGCGTTCGATTATTTGTGCAGATGCACTAATATAGAAATATTGCATTAATACCCTCCACCAGACGACCAACAATCATTTGACGTAAACGAAGTACAAAATCACTACCTTTCGCAATGGTAATTTTTTTTGAAGATTTTGAATTATTGATGTTAACTCGTACAATCCCAGTTGACTCTCATCGCTCATGATTCAAAAGATCTAATTTAGCTATGCTTCAATATTACAATTTTCCCTTGAAATGCAAAGCTAAACGTGCACATAGGTGTGCCGGCCATATTTTCTAAACTCAATGGTAGCTTACATATAGACACTTACAGTACCAAACAAAAATAAGATTGCATTGACATTAATCGTGCAATGTACACACATATGTACACAGGATCTTCCTGTATGTTGATCGTCGAACAGCGTGAATCAAAGCAGCCACAAAGAATATTTTTGTAACTATGTTTGTACCATTCATAAGCTTTTCCTTAGTGATATATTGAGTGCTCTTATGCTAGCCATGGTCCATGACAAAATATCCATGGATTTATTTACGTTTCAGACGTCTAACGAAAAAAGAGAATGAGTTTAGTTACCTTATTATCATTTGATTCTAATGCATTTGACAAATGAAAAGTTTGACTTTTGAAAGTGCGGCCTAAGCGGCAGCAATTTTTTACCGTAGAAGAGCATTTTGTAGCCTCATGTAAATCTATTTTAAGTAAAGACTTCTTCGCATAATTGCCATACACTTTTTTATATAGGTGTAACATTAAGTCTTCCTCTTGCAATAACACTAGATGGTTGTATGAGCATGACATTCTTTTACTTGTGTCTGAACTCTAAAGTATGACAAAAATTAATACAACAATAACAAAGACGCCAGAATATAGGTTTGAAAAACAGCACAAGACACGAAATTAACGAAACAATTTATCATTTTTATGATGAGTTTGGTTGGCTCTAGTTCCCCCGCATCTCATTAGGCTTTGTTTGTGGGAAAGAAGAGCAATGTCAACCAAAGACTTATCCTCTTACTTTATTTCATCTTTCATTCTACTTTTCGAAGTACTTTATTGATTACAGATTTTTACTCGATCTCGTGTTTAAAAAATAATGGGATAATGCACAATTGGTAAACTTATATTTGTTTAAATTAGTTGCCCTCCTGTGGTATAACTGTTCATCAAATGACTGCATTGTGCTTGACAACCTGAACGTAGGCCATAAAATAGCAGGCGACCGCTCGCACGCTCATATCAATGCCATTTCAATCAACATTTAAATTGGTCAAATGAACACCACCAAGGTAGAACCACCATATTTTATTAATCATGAGCGTTTCATCTGTCGCTTTGCTATCAGAAAGTGTTTAAATCGTTCGATAAGTCTGACCTTTTGACCCTCTCGAATTTTTGTTCAGAACGAGAAATTTAGCAACCGAAGCAGATTTCTTGGTTTGAAATAATCCCTTAATAAACCCTCAAACTCTTTCGTTACGACGTGTTTACTCAACACAGATGATCTCCATACTTCGTATGTCAAAGTAGATCTAGTATTTAGTATAAAATAGAGATCTAGACGCTGATATCCAACTGCTACGTTTTGTTTATAATTGCTTGTTTTCTAAATAACAAATTATTTTCTCATTATCTTCTTGACTGAATGAGAATGGTAAACTAAAAAATATTTATACTTAATCTCCTTATACTTATGTCATAGCGAGAATGGTGCTTGGTGCATAAGAAATCAATGTACTTGATCTCTTTATACTTATACCATAGTGAGGAAGGTATAAAAGAAATCTATACACTTGATCTCTTTATATTCATTTCATGGCGAGGATGGTTCATAAGAAATCTATACACGTTGATCTCCTTACACTTATGTCATAGGGAGGATGGTACATGAGAAATCAATGCACTTAATCTTTAAATACTATCTCATAATATGTTAGATGAGAGTGATATAAATTAGAAACCTCGTACTTGATATTTATGTTACACATAGTGACACATAAATGCCTGTGATGCTGATATACCGTTATTTACAATAAATTTGCGTGATACGTTTGTCATGTGAACTAAGCTTGTTCATCATTTCAATCTGCAGGTGTCCTATCAAGAAATAATTCCAGTCATAACTCACACAGAGCTCGGCAATTGAAGGTTAGTTTCCCAGACAGGGGTCATGCTCATGTTGTTAGCGTTCTCTAACAGACTTATGATATAATTACACCGCAGAATGCGCCAACCGTGAGAAAATAGCACGATTGAAAATGAAACATTCCGTGGCAGTTGATTGCGTTTTAAAATGCAATGAACGAATACAATCACAAACGCATTAACAACCTCTTTGCCGCCTTTGTGTTCTCTGCTTCATAAATTAGATTTCTTTCAGACCATTTAAACTCTTTCTTATCTATCGATAGACACTTCAACTATATATTAGCGGTGAACCACGTTATGAAATTGCTTTCATGTTGCATAATTGAAAGTGTCAAAACTAGTCGAGTCTCGGCAGGATGCATGAAAAATTTCTTTATGTTCTTTTCTAAAAGTGTATCTGAATATCGTTGACTCTGTAATCCAATATCGCTTTGGAATTTCAAATTCGTCTATATTTAGACAATAGAAGATGGCTTGACTGTCTTAGGCAGCAATCTATAATGGACATTTTTACGAATGTAAAAGAACACGAATGATCAAAGAACAATCAATTTTAGCCACAACTGATTAAACAATATTTAAAAAATGCGCTCGCTAATTTTTTTCATCCCTAAAATAAACACTGCAATCAACAGGAAATTGTGTTCGATTATATTGGTTTTGCATGTTCGAATGATATTAGATTTATGTAAAAGAGAAGTATGTCGACAGGTTTTTAGTTACATTTTTTGCTTAATCACATGGATAAACATTCAAGCACGTTGTCAGTCTTCTTGTTGGCAACTTGTTCCCGCTTAAGTTTAATGAAAATGCGTTTAACACGTGTCTTGTACTAAAATAAATTGATTTTTTTTATTCACGTCCTCATTATTGATGTTTCCCTCCATTTATTTGGATTCGCATACTGATCACTGCTTTTCTCTTTGTTAACACGCACGTGCGCAAAAAAAACCCCGCGAAATAGCGCTTGCTTTTCTCAGCAAGTTGTCTTCGAGAAATGGACCAAATAATTTACGTTAAACCAGAAGGCAAAATTAAATTATTCTCTGAGTTTTTAGTTGCATCTTATATAAAGTGTTACATTTTTAGAATCTAAATTTCAGCACCTTTGCTAGTATGTAAAACTGATTGAATGGAATAATCTATGCAGATGACGCATATAGTTGAATATACTGAAGTCTGTCCGCTTTTTACATTTTAATAAAGATGATTACTTTGGGAAGTAAATACCACGACTGCAAACCTTTCTTTGTAGAAACCACTAGTAGCTGACCATTAATTCACCAGAAATATACTGCAGACTACCAACCCCTCCCCCCACCCCCCACTGGATTATTCAATAAACATAAGCCAAATAGTTGATCTTGTTGGTGTACAGCTAAGCTATTCGCAAGGACGAAGCAACGATGACTGCTTTCTTAGGTACATGAATTGCTTAAAGCACCACGTCAATGTATTTGCTGAGCACTTTACTAAGTACGCAAACGTTTCAACAAATAAGAATGGAGGATGTGTGTTTCCAAAATATAAAACAAAGTTTATGGTACTACTTCTTTTTCAGCCAACAATTTCAAATAATAAAGGAAAAGAACATCAAGCTTTGAATCAAAAGCAAGAGACAAGCTTTGAATCCGATTGCTTTTATAACTCGAATCTTGAGTTTACAAGATGATGTTTTTCGGAGTTTTACTTCTCTACCATAAATCACCTTGAAGTTCAAAATTTCATTGTTTCAAGAGTATATATTATTGATCGCTGATTTGACATGCATGAAGTAAACAAGCTTTATATCATATTCCATAATGGTCCGATTAATAAACCTCATTTATCCTTCTAAAATCTGCCTTATATACTTCCAGCAAGCTTGCTGTTTTCAGTGTTTTGTGTTTGTTTTTTCCATTCGTTGATAGCGTTTGGGCAGGCGTTGAGAAATTTGTTTCGTGCCACCAAGTACCTAAGTGCACGACAAGCCTCTTTCAAATGTCCATCGAAAATTACGTAACACCTTGTTTTTACATTGATTTGAGGTAGTTGCTTCCCCAAAAACCCCTGTTACGCGACCATAACGAGTATGGTTTTAAGTGAAGTAAATCATTCACAAGTTGAGGATTTTTTCGTTCAATTAGGTCTCTTAAAATAAATACATTTCGCTTTACATAAAAGAGCACACCTTTACAAAGATGGGTAAACAAATCCAAATATAATCTTAGGGTGAAATTATAAGTTGCAAGAAACCCCTTTAATACTTTATGCGCTTCCTACCCGGGCTTCTCAAGGCTTCGTACTCAATTTTTGATTCCCAAGAAAGCAGAATTGGTTTAGCATTTCTGTTTAAGATAAAGATCGTTTGTTACAAAAAATGACTTCTTCCTCATTGCAGAAGCTGAAAAATTGTAAATGAAATCGTGTGCCTTTTTAATGTTATGTTAACTCCTTTCTTTCATGTACGACAGCTGCAAGTGATTGATCATCAATCGATATAATTCATATGCAAAAACCTGTGCTTTTTTCGCTCTGACTGTTATGACTTATGAATAAGATATTTAGTAGTGTCTCTTAAGCAATTAAATGCTTTCGTCAAATAATTTGTATAACGTGGCTGAAGACAATTTTTGCGCCAATCTTTGCACAGCCCTGGGTAACTTCTTCCACCTTCATTTTATCATCATCCGACGTAAATTTCCATTCAAAATCTTTTTGTATTTCTGCTCAATTGCGTAAAATCAATTATTTTATGATATTGTTTAAATCAACACCTGTATACTTTTGCCGACAAGGTGTTTACAAAAATTAAAGACGTTATTTGAAGGTTTTAATAGATCTTTGCAGCGCATTCGAACCCTATCGTTCACAAACTGAAAAATATGCTGAAAAATTTTTATTTTTGCCAGCAAATACTGTGTTCCACTTCAATTGTTGTGCAAACAAAACATTTAGTTGGTTCTTACCCATATTGATGTATCGTTTGTTTGATTTTCCTTTGAGTGTACTTTCACCGACCATCAATTTTTAATGCTCCGCTTAATTTGTGAAATGAGAAGAGAGAGAATTAGTTCTATCATCCTTAACCTTAATATTATAAGAAGCGAAGAGTCTCTCTAATATATTGTATCATGTTCAAAAGTCCTTATTTGTTTTTCTTTTGCGTTTTGAGATTTTTTGGTACTTGCCGCTAATGAAAAATTTACTTAGCTACATGATTTTTCCTAAAGTCTTTACATCAAAAACTTTGCGTAAGAAGAAAGCAACCATTGCAACAATGACGTTTTTCAATGACGTTTTCGGCAGTGAAACCGTGACTAACATAAGTAAGACATGTTTTTTTTAAATAATGATAAATTTACTAATGAAAAATTTATTTAATTACATGATTTTTCCTAAAGTCTTTACATCAAAAACTTTGCGTAAGAAGAAAGCAACCATTGCAACAATGACGTTGTTCAATGACGTTTTCGGCAGTGAAACCGTGACTAACATAAGTAAGACATGTGTTTTTTTTAAATAATGATATGTTCATCAGAGTTCATTCATCAAGCTCTTGTGTGTGTCGTGCTCCATTGCATCGAGCCTGGCGCGCAAATGAAGCCTCGACACACGTGCTCTTTCAGGAAAACAATGGACCAAATCCCACCACAAACAAACTGCCGTACATTTGCACGAGAACTTTTACAACCAGAAATTCTCCTGCAAATCACGCAAGCTCTTATTTCCATGTGTGAAAAACGACTCTCTCGCTTGTCATTTCTCATTTTCCATTTCGAAACATTCATCATTCGTCAACTTGCGGTAACCATGGTAATAATACAGGGCTTACAATTGCTTCAAAATATTATTTATTATTAGTATTTTGACATTTTACTTATGTTTTATCTCGTGATGCCAACGAAGGATTTATTAAAGCTAGGGAAAACGTATTTCCATTATTCTATACAGTCTTTTAAGCGGTTCATCTTGACCTTAGTACAAGCGTGTTATTCCATTTGGGGGTAGTTTTTAATTTCTTACGTCACGAGCTTTCATTACGCATGCATTGTACGCCTGCTCACATAGCAAAAAGTTTAATTGAGATTTTATGCTTATTGGCTTACGGTAGCAAAACTGAAAAGGAGCGACTTGTGTTGGCGATCTATAACTGACCGCTTTCATGTTTTTTAAACTTGCTGTTGTTAGATTAAAGACCATCTTATAACTTTGTTATGATGCTCTCCATCGCTGGTCTTGTTATGTGTTATATTTTCATTATAGTATCCGAACAGGTTGGTCTGTGTATGCAAGTATCCTAGATCTCTTCCGTTCTGATGTAGGCTACTACACATACTGACCTGACGCCAGATATCGCGCGCAAACCTTCTTCGACATTGACATAATATTTTCCTTTCTGCGTCTACAGGGCATCTCAGGATTTGGCCAATTTCAAGTTCGTTTAGTTGGAGTACAAAATATCGAAGGAGTAAAATATGACGGTTCATGTTGCGATGGCTCTCGTTCCATTGTTCACGGTTCATCGAGATGTCCACCAGAGAATTGTGATACTTTCTTTCGTATATGCCTCCAACATTATCAAGAGACGGCGGAGGAAAATGGCGCTTGCACTTTGGGTAACGCAACTACACCTGTAATAGGAAAGAACAGTTTCGACATTCCAGATTCTGCGACTAGACCAAACTCGAGTTTTCAAAATCCTATTTCGATGCATTTCAAATTTTTGTGGATGGTAAGTTTTGTCAGCTTATTAAATAGCAATTACTCTCATGTCTTGCTTTAAGCAGAGCAATAAAATGCATTGTGAATCCTTTTGTCAAGTGAAATTGAGCGTATTGTCTGTTTGACGAACACTTTTTGACAAATTTACCTAAACCCTGCGGGCCGATCCACAGTGACGCCGGCTGGCATCCCTGTCTACTCCGATCGTTTATTATATCACACAAGATTGTGCCATCAAGTAACACCTCTACTGAATGTAACTTTTTACAATGGTTCTGTTTTACTTTACTTAAAGTAGCTCTTTCCGTTAGAGTGACTAATTTTTCACTGCAAAACTACTGAGTTGCGTTCTGAAGCTTTCGCACGAACTGAAATTAGATGTGGCGGTTTCTGTGGCTCTATAATACTTGAACTTCCCATTAGAAATCATACCTCAAACATTTAATGCAACAGGCGATTAATGTGCCTTTAATCTACATGAACAATTTGGCTCGCTCATTTAAACTCCAACACCTTTCGGTATTAGTGAGAGAGAAGAAAACATGGAAATTATACAAAGATGTGCAGCTGTTACTGTTCATAAGTTGTGGCAGCCATTTGTAAGAAAACCACTCGAAATATATCTCTCTCGTGAGAGGAATTACGGAGATTGGATTAACGATTGCCTATAGGCCATTCGTGGCATTGCAACTGCTAACTGTTGTTTACGAGCTTATGTTTAAACAGAATTACCAACACGTGTTTTGAACAACGATCTATTTTAATTGCATATGATAATTATGTTCTTTTTCAACAATGGAGGTCGATATATAGGCATGCTGCTCCATTGAACATACGCGTAATATAAAAGAGGCACATGGCTTGTTAAAATATAGCACACGCCATTCAGACCTGTTATCGATGCAGCGGCTGCCAAAATCACTTGTAACTCATGACACAGTGATAAAAGAAATTGAAAATTTAATCAAACCAAACAAGAATCCGTCAACAGGCATCCTTATGGCGAAATGTTTGTTTACGTTTTCGTTTCGGCTCAACAACTTTCCATTCAGCATTTCGACGATTACATTGCCTTCACTGCTATATATGCATGCAACTGTTTCAATAAGGCATGCTGTATTGCTGCTAAAACAGGTTAAATATTTTACGCAAAATTGAGTGGTCCATAAACAAGGCATTATTGAGGTAGAAATTGCGATAACCTGCCGTGCACAAGATTTCGTTTTAAGCATTACAACGTTTATCGGGAAATTGCTTTTAATTCGTCAATGCAATATCGAGCGAAAAACCTCGTGTTGAGATTTATATAGCCATCAAAACATGTGACAGTGTTCAAACATGAAAAATACACATGTTTAAAAATAAAGAATCTTTATTTGATATGCTTTTATAAACTATTGAGGCAAACACATACTTATCTCAATGGGCATTAAAGAAAAAGGCGTGTGTTAGAATTTTTGCAAAGCCTTTATGGAACGCGCAAAGGGGATGCGTGGCTATGCACAAGTAGACAACTAATTTAACGCTTTCACTTAAAGTCTGCAAATGTTGAATTAGTTTCTCCGTTCTTGTTAACTATTCTTCCAACTATGAACGCACGGTTAAAAAAATGCAGTAATGCACTTTTAAACAAAAACAAACTTTAGCTTCCTTATCTATTTTATCGTTTTAAAGTACAGGTAGGATTGGTTAAGACTACCGAAAACGGCTCATCAGATCATGAAGGAAAACCCACAGCGTTTTTTTAATGATATGGCAATAGATGCCAATATTTCCCACGATTCTCTTGCCAAATTGTCGGGTTCAACAGGTTTGCTTGACTGCGATAAAACTGTCAAGTGTCCCTAATAACATCACAATTTATCTTTCTATACACAGCCATAGAGGTCAGTGTTTGTCGCAAGCTTTAAATTCGCCGGATAGCATGCGTTTTCTCATGTATATATATATATAAAGAGATTTCGACGTATAACATGATACAAGATTGCATTCTTTGTAAATTGCTTCGTGTTAAAAAGTAATTGTCAATGCCTCGAAGCTGTCATGTTTAAATTTGGGCCCCTAAACAATTATTTGTATTTTGTGTGTAGGCCTTGTCCCTCATTTTCTTCACGAGTAATCTTTGAGAAAGTTTAAACACATCAATCTTCATCCGTAAGATTAAGTTGTTTTTTCATTCTAACAATAGATCTCCTCTTTCTTCATATATAGCTATATATAAGGATGATGATAATGTGATCTGCGTTAATGCCTTCGACTCTTTTTTTTCACTTGTGAAACAAACTGAAAGATTTCAAAGACATTTTAATATAATGCAAATTTTAACAATTTCAGTCTTGAAATCAAGTTAACTGCAAAGGTGCATGCGCTCGTGTCATCCGATATTAACAATTTCCTTTGTAGACGTTGACTAATTTTTTTAAACTGTATTAGTTGAGCCGGAATGGAATAGTTTTTAGATGCGATTACAACATTAAATATTTTATGCAACGACTGATTCACAAATGATTGCGGATGTATGATTTTGGGATATCTTTGAGCATCGATGTTGATGGCTTATCTCGAACTTATTTTTCTTCTCATTTTTCATCGTATAACCATCAATTTGTCAAAGAATTTAGGCACTCTTTATGGTCAGGCATTGGCAGGTTAATCTCAAGTCGAATTTATCATTTTCTTTTAATCCTTTTAAGGAAATTTCAACTAAAATAACTGCTTTTTATTATCTTCTGCATATTCACTGCTGACAATTGGCGCTCTCAGTGTTTGTAGTTTACCTTGTAAAATATTTTCTGATGACATGTACGTGATGTAATTTGTTTTCATTTTTGTTTTGTTTTACAGCGCTTTTATTTTGTATGTGTTGATTCAGTGCATGAGGTCTGATAAGTGCAAAAGATGTGTGAAACGTCAAGCAATCCATCTCTCTCCATCTGCGATGGACAACATTTATTTCTGTATTATAAGATTTAACCAAAGCTACTTTTGAAATTACTTTTTTTTTAGTTTGTTGTTTACATCCTTTTTTGTAGATACGGTTTAATCTTATTGTGGAAGTCTTGGATCAAGACATCGAGTCTGGCATAGGTACGTCTAGACAATGCTCATACTGTATGAAAAATGAGAAAACTGGCGATTCATGTTGCTTCTACTTTTTATCCATGAGTGTACACGAGTTGTTTTTTTCATTTTCCGTCACTGCGTACAGCATATGGAATCTCGGGCTATCTTTAATTCTTCGGTTTTCAACCGCAAATTTTTGAAAAAATCTATATACCTCCAACGAATTATTTAAATTTCATGTTACGATAATATCAGACATCCTAGAGTTTTCACGTTCAATTATTCATTAACCGGCTCGATTCCTATCTTTAGACGAATTAATCAGCATGTTATCCCACCCTACATATCGCAATTTGTATGGAAATCATTGAAAGCACCTTTCTTTGCAGAAATGACATTGTCGTCCAATCCCTGCTCTATTTTTTTACGACTTCATTTTGCTGAGAGAGTTAAACCAATCATAAAAAATTATGTTTGCAAATGCTTCAATCTCATCGGTGATATGTATGTGAACAGATAAAGAATATTTTATTTTTACAGTTTCTGTAAGGTCTAAAAATCCGCCTCCATTAGTAAATATTTATTTAAAACTTGTTTCGACGAAACAGGTACCGATTAAATATTGATGAATAACATAGCAACAAGGAAAAACAGTTAAGAAGTTCATGGAAGATGCCTCATGCTATCGAAGAATCGAGAAAAACGTGTTGAATGAAAAACAAATGAGCCGATGTGTAAAAATATCTTACCATGCCGCTTTTATCCATCAACAACTTTTTTCAAACAGTCAAAGCTCATTTCCTTCATAATTAAATTTTCATTATTGTTTTCAGCTCAAAATATAACATTACAATTGTTGCTCATTTATAAAACCATTTCAGTAAATGAACAATTGGTCCATTGCATCATTCGTATGGTACATTTATGGTTACGCTTTTCTATGCTTGATACAGTGTAGCATGAATTCTTTTTATTCAATACATTCTCTATGGTTGAGAACAGTGTAATATACATTTCTTTATGGTTTATTGCAGTATAACATACACTTCTCCATGGCTGATTACAGTAAAACATACATTTCTCTGTGTTTGATAACAATATAACATATACACTTCTCTATGGTTGATTACAGTATAACATACGCTTCTCTATGGTTGATAACAATATAACATATACACTTCACTATGGATGATTACAGTATAACATACGCTTCTCTATGGTTGATAACAATATAACATACACTTCTCTATAGTTGATTACAGAACGTGAAACATACACTTCACATTTCTGACGTTACTTCATGTTTTAATAGAGCGCCATGAACTTATCGAGCGTGATGTCATACAGCGGCAGTTGATGCCAAACGTAAAATGGGTAAAAGAACGTCACAATGGTCAGAGAGCGACGATTAAATATGAATACCGGGTAATATGTGACAGCGGTTATTATGGAGCGAACTGTAAGACCTATTGTCAACCAAGAAACGACGAGTTTGGTCACTATTCGTGTGATGATAGCGGATCGCAAATTTGTCTACCGGGATGGACAGGCAAACCAAAATGTATTAAAGGTTTGTGTGAAGTCAAAAAATTTTCTCCTATATTAGATTAGTCCTCACGAGCAGTTGTATAAGATGAGAAATGGCAGTAGGTATGCCAGCTGACTGTGCGTGTGAAAAATCAAATAATGCAAATAACATGACGCACATATTTATAGTCCCTCCCCCCGTCCCAAGTATCGAGAGTCTGTTGCTCCTACATGTTACATGTTCAATATAACTTAATATCCATTCACAAACGGGGACAGTTAACACTTCCCGAATTTATCTACCGTTATCAAACTAAACATGACTTTATCTGCCTCTATTTAAAGACTGAGCCTCGAGGATATGCTTGGCACACTTCATGTTTATATTTACATGCAACTTTAATGTTGGAATTTTAGTCAATATTCATTAATTAAATATATTTAATTCGCATCTTGTTATCAGATTCCATTCCTTACATGTGAAAGCTGCCATTTTCATGGTTTTCTAAAGTAATGACCAACCAAGATGCAAAACTATGAACCCGAGACCCAAACTTTAAAGCTTTCTTTTTGTGTTCGTTGTTGCACACTTGGAAAACTTCTAATTGTTGTAGTGCATGAGAAAAAGTGTTTGGAAATCGATGATTGTCATTATGATATTTTACGTTTTATCTTCAGCTATATGTAAGAAGGGCTGTGATGAACAACATGGATCGTGTTTGTCACCTGGTGAATGTCGTTGTGCAAATGGATGGAAAGGCGAGTTGTGTGATCAGTGTAAACCGCATTCAAAGTGTGTTCATGGTTCGTGCTCAAAACCCTGGGAATGTGAATGTCACTCCTCATGGGCAGGAAAGTATTGTGACAAAGGTAATCATTGAATATGGAATTGGTCGATTGTAATCTTGAAGATCAATGCAAAAATTTTATCCTTGCCCATAGGTATTGGTTGCTTAAGTGTGAGTTAAGGCTTCGTGTATTACCAAAGTTTTAACATAAGAGCCAGGGGAGGCTCTCTGATATATATAATCTCTATCAAGCTTGACATAAACTTTTAACAAAGGAGCTAAGTGTTTCGAATCACAACCCCTTCTCTCCAATACACCCGTACTTTAAAACTTATTGTTTTTGCAATGTGATTTGGAAAACTAGTAACTTTGGAAATATTCTGAGTTAAAAAGTTTTTAAATGTTAAAGTGTTTTAATGATTTCTCGCAGACAATACACTGTCAATATTCACATTGCAGCCATGCGTATTTACCGCATATAAACGAGATCTTACTGAATTTTTAATGTTTTATCTCAATTGTAGCTTTAAACATGTGTTCCCGATCATCGTGGTGTCAAAATCAGGGAACATGCATCAATTCGGGACCTGGCGAATATATATGCTTTTGTCCTCCGGGCTTTACTGGAAAGAATTGTGAACAAGGTTTGTGCATAAAGCTTATTTTTGCATTCTCCATTCCTGTCAGTTGTAAAACATAAAGTAGCGTATAGCTATCCCCTTAAGTCCTGCTCAGAATACATGACGATGTTTTGAAGTTCTATTGAAAGACTAAAATTTGCGGCTAATGTTTTCGCACTGAGTACAAGACAAAAAAATGTATAGCATGACTGAACAAACGGGTTTGCTGTTTTTGTATGGCTGTTCGACTGTTTCTCACGTTCTATACCGAGCACTCGCCGTTTTTATACCGAGTACTCACCGATTTACACATGTTTCAAGCATATTATAACATACAATAAACTTTATTAGTAACAATATATTGGATAGCAGTATGGGTAAATGTTAAAAACTGTGTTATTTCTTTTCAGACATCGACGAATGCTTGTCTTCTCCTTGTCAAAATAATGGAACCTGTTCAAATTTAAAAAATAACTATACGTGCAATTGCATTCTTGGTTGGGAGGGAAGAAATTGTCAACTGAGTAAGTACAAAAATGTAAAAATAGTCTAGCTAGCTTCCTAGGGGAGCACCACCTCATAACGAAACAAAAATTTTATGAAAACATTGAGAAGCGATGATGTTCATTGAGGTGGGTTATGAAGTTTCCATTCTGTTTTCAGACGTTAATGATTGCCTAAACAACCGCTGTAAGAATGGCGACTGCAGGGACAAGGAAAATGATTACGAATGTGATTGTTCACCTGGCTGGGAAGGAAAATATTGTGAAAAAAGTACGACAAAGTTCTTGTGCCGACATTCTATAAAGATATATGTTGATGGATTTTAGAAATGTCCAAATCGTCCTCTCCCCTAAAATAAAATGCTATTTTCTAGACATTGATGACTGCGCTTCTAATCCTTGTGTCAATGCATTGAAATGTAATGACTTACAAGAAGATTTCAGTTGTGTTTGTAAATCAGGATGGAAAGGGAAAACTTGTAATGAGAGTAAGTGGTGTATACTAAAAACTTTACCGTAAATTTATAAATATGCTTGAATTACCAATGCTGCTTTAAGATCGAATTCATGGATACTTGGATCCACATAGAGGCATACCATTTATATTCCATTTGTACCTTTTTCTATTAAAAAGCCTCTAAAGTTCTTCGCTGAAGAGAACTTTTAAAATATAAGTTGACCTATTACACAGTCTGCATGTACCTATCTTATTTTATTCTTATGATATTGAGATTTTTATAATATCTTACAGGTGATGTACACTGTTTTCTCAAAAGCCTCTTTAGTGAAAATGTACTGAATTTAAATAGAAATGTTTTTGTTTAATAAATACTATAGCAATATGCAATCGACACAAGGAAGGGGTAATGAATTTCCAAACAGAATAATTTCCCAGTTCTTTTTAGCTCAAAATCAGAAGACTTTCATTTTTTAAGTTTTGCAGTATAACTTACGTCATCGAGTTTCATGTTTATCTAGATATAAATGACTGTCTTGGTTGGTGTCGACACAACAGTCGTTGTAAAGATTTGGTGGACGATTACGAATGCAAATGTCCGCCAGGATATACAGGTAAAAATTGTGAAGTGGACATTGACGACTGCTCAAGCTCGCCTTGCATGAACGGTACATGTGTTGATGGTGTTGATGAATACTCTTGCGTGTGTACAACCGGTTTTGAAGGTCCCAGATGCGCTAACGAGACCAACGAATGTGCTTCAAACCCTTGTGTTTACGGCTCGTGTTCGGATAAATTGAACGACTATACTTGTGAATGTAATTCAACTTACTATGGTACAAACTGTAGCAAAGAAATAGGATCATTGCGAGATAAATGTTACTTGGAAAATAGATGTAAACATGGATCTTCGTGTATAACGGAGGGAAACGGTACCAAATGCATTTGTCTTCCTGGATACACAGGAGCTCATTGTGAAGTTGATATTGATGATTGCATGAGTAGTCCTTGTGACAATTCTGGAACTTGCATGGATCGTGTTAATGGCTACGTGTGCATCTGCCCCATTGGTTTTGCGGGCGAAAATTGTGAAATAGACGTCAATGAATGCGATCCAAATCCCTGTCATCCTCTTGCAACATGCGAAGATCTTCCAGGAACATATAAATGTAATTGTTCAATTGGTTTTACTGGTGTGAACTGTAATTATAAAATTGATTACTGTGGTAAAGGCAGTCCGTGTAAAAACGGAGGTAGATGTGTTGATGGTCCGAGCAACTACACTTGCGTGTGCAGGTAAGCTATTGGAAAATCTTTCTTGTTTTGTCTTTTGAAATATGAACTTAATCTATATTGATATGAATTGTTGATTTGAGTTAAGGCCTCATTTGGTGTTCAGTTCTTAGGTTTTAGACATTTGACAGTTCAATCTAATTCAAATATTCCTATAGTGGAAAACATTACCATATTGTTAGACTTACCTTCGTTTGAATGAAAATATAATGAGATGGTCAGTATTTATCTGTACAGTGTAATTAGCTCATACCCAATATAGCAATACTATATCTTTATCGATCATTGACCATTATAGTCAAAAGTTCACTGGACCTCGTTGTGAAACCGCTGTTGACATATGCGACGGCAATCACTGTAAAAACCAAGGAATATGCGTTGAACTTTCCACTGGCTACAGTTGCAATTGTGCAGAAGGGTTCACGGGCTCAAACTGTGAATTTAGAACTGACCCTTGTGTGTCCAGGCCTTGTCTGCATGGTGGCTCCTGCATTCTTACAGACAGCTCATTTCTATGCAATTGCACAACCAGCTATACTGGCGAGCATTGCGAACAAAAGATCGACCATTGTACGAAGACAATCTGCCAGAACGGTGGAACATGTATTAATGGTAAGGTTGCTTTGCCTTTCACTATTTTCATTGGGCGAAAACTTGTAGATCACTTGGAATCTCTGAATTGATATTCATAGAGTATACATACCATTTTGTGTTGTGACTTTTATGATTGTCTTGCCAAAAATCACAATTATTGCCGTTGTATTTATGAATATCAAAATTTTGCACTCTTTCAGTTAAATACCTCACTGTAGTGTTAAATCTATGTCAGAATATAATTTTTGTGTTGACAAAAGCGCGACAAAGCGAAAGTCACTTGCTCGCCTTTAAGGTAAAACATTTAAAGTTCAATTTTATCTATTTTAGTCAATTCTACTGCAATGTGCGTGTGTACTCCTGGTTACAAGGGGGAATACTGTCAGATTGAAGTCGTCAGATGTCAATCAAACTCATGTCCACGAAATACAGCTTGTAAAGTTCTCGGTGATTCGATAAAGTGTCATCCAAAAGGTATGTGAAAGGGGCGCATTTAGTTTGGAATATCAAGAAAGGCATAAACTAGGGATTAGTTTCATGAATGATGAATTATACGCGGTAGAGGATGGAAAGCAGTTTTGTGAAAGTAATGAGTACTTCAATAGATAAATACAATTAATTTGGATTGAGAAATGAATTTGGTGAAAAAAAAGTTATTTGCGTATGAAACGTGAGGAACGTTTGAAGTTTCTAATCTTGTATGATAATAAATAAGAATAAAATAAGTCCAAAGAGTTTGGAGAATAAAATATGAGATATAATTTGATAATTCACACCTGTGGTTTTAACCCTACTTCACCTCTCCCTGGCAGTTACAACTCACATTGGCATTGTCAAATTTAATATGACATTCTTGTGTCTACTACCAAGAGAGTGCAGCAAATGTTTGGAGGTTCATGTCATTGTCGCAGCATTAAGATTGTTTCATTATCTTTAGCCATCCTGCCTTGTGACAACGTCATTGTTGTAGCTTTAAGATTATTTCATTATCTTTAGCGATCCTGCCTTGTGACAACGTCATTGTTGTAGCTTTAAGATTGCTTCATTATCTTTAGCGATCCTGCCTTGTGACAACGTCATTGTTGTAGCATTAAGATTGTTTCATTATCTTTAGCGATCCTGCCTTGTGACAACGTCATTGTTGTAGCATTAAGATTGTTTCATTATCTTTAGCGATCCTGCCTTGTGACAACGTCATTGTTGTAGCATTAAGATTGTTTCATTATCTTTAGCGATCCTGCCTTGTGACAACGTCATTGTTGTAGCATTAAGATTGTTTCATTATCTTTAGCGATCCTGCCTTGTGACAACGTCATTGTCGCCGCATTAAGATTGTTTCATTATCTTTAGCGATCCTGCCTTGTGACAACGTCATTGTTGTAGCATTAAGATTGTTTCATTATCTTTAGCGATCCTGCCTTGTGACAACGTCATTGTTGTAGCATTAAGATTGTTTCATTATCTTTAGCGATCCTGCCTTGTGACAACGTCATTGTCGCCGCATTAAGATTGTTTCATTATCTTTAGCGATCCTGCCTTGTGACAACGTCATTGTCGCCGCATTAAGATTGTTTCATTATCTTTAGCGATCCTGCCTTGTGACAACAATCCTTGTGCAAACGGTGCAACATGCCAAAATGTTGCTTCATATTTTACTTGCTCGTGTCCACCTAACAAGCGAGGAGAGCTCTGTGATCAAGGTAACTACGTAATTACTTGTGCATACACGATTACGAGTAGGAACCACGTCAATTTTGGGAAGGAATTTTATTGTAACGTCAGAAACTCATGAGGGTCACTAATTTAAATAAGAAGTTTTGTGCAAAACTCGTTGTCTCCAATACAAAGTCTTGAAAAGAAATGGATGTTGATATTATTTTCTTTGCGCGTAAAACTAACGTTTATTCTTGAAGTGTACGGGGAAGTGTGTTTAAACGTAGACTTTCTTGAGATACCTTTTATGTGAGGGTTAAAACACTGTAGAAAGAAATGAAATATGTAATAAGTGAAATAACTAGAATTTATCGTCGCTATTGTCTGATTGAGCCAATCAGAAAACCCTTTGGTATTTGCTACTTTACAGTTAATCACTAGTTATTTACAGCATTTTCTCTTTGGTTTTTAGAAATTAAACTTTGTGAAAAGACGATTTGTCACAACGGTGGAACTTGTCACGATGTACCTGGATCGTTCAAATGTGAATGTGCAGTCGGCTTTACTGGTGCTAATTGTAGTGTTGACATTGACGATTGTGCATCTTCTCCTTGTGTTGGAGGAGGCCGCTGTACAGACGGAATTAATTCGTTTAATTGTACCTGCCCCGAAAAACGATATGGTCATTTGTGCCAATGTATGTGACGTTTTATTTCACGAGTTCCAAAAGAGTTTATTTGTGTGTATGTCATTTCCAGTGTCAGAATGCTCACTATATACTTTTGCGTAGTTAATATGATTTAAACTTTTGTCATGGTGAATACTTTATGTTATATCATATGTATTTAGTAATATAACATGGCAAAAGATGATCTAATGTAGATCGTTTTTTCTGGATATTTCGTAGATTTTTTAATCTTTCTTAATAAACGTTTATATGATACAGTTGTCCAGGAAAATTTCCCATGCAATGGATAAAGTTGTGGTAACAAAATATTTCTCCTTTTACAGATAGAACACCGGACAACTGCTTGAGACTTTTTAACTACCATGAACATTCCAGTACTTGGCTCGAGGATTGCAACAAGTGCACCTGTAATGATGGTACCGTCAATTGTACCCGGGTTGTTTGTCCGCCAACGAACTGCATCTCACAGGGCTGTGGCGAGCCTGATTACGATTGCGTAAAACAAAACGAGAGCTGTCTACGCGAACCTTGCTCACCGTTTGGGGAATGTAGAAAAGAAGGAAAAGTACTGCATAGAAAACTCGAATGTCTTCCTGTAAGCGATGATTGTAGCAAAGTACATCTGGTATTTTTGAGGGACAAATTGCCAAGTGTGAGTTGAAGCAAAATATTACGATTTATTTCAGAGGTCGCATCATATATTTCAAAAATTGTGCTGAAAGCTACACAAACCTTGTTGAATACATTGGCGAAAAGCTCTCGCCATTAATTCATTAAAATAAGGATGAAGCGATGATTTCAAAGTCAGTATCTACCTGTATGATGAGGCTTTATAATTGGTTTGATGATCAATGTATCATCATACAGGCTTTATGATTGGCTTGATGATCAGTAAAGTACAATACGCTGTAGAAATGATAACTCTTACGAGAGAATATTGCTATTTGTGCAATTTCTTTGATTTACCCAATTCATATTAGTTACGTGGTTAATTGATTTTTGACACTAACGTTCATCATAATTTTACCAATACTCTTCTTCTGTCGTATAGGGAACTCTCCTACCAAATTTTTGTCGCTATCTCAGCTCTCTGGATCTTTTCCATCGTTACGCTAAAGATAAATACATCCAGGTCACGTGTGATGTCTCACCTTCAAATGACGCTGCCAAAAGCATGGCTATGAAGGATGCTAAAGTTACAGTTGTTGTTGTAAGTATAATTTGAATTTACACTTGTAATTGTAATGATGGTCGATTATAAAATAAACACAATAAATGCGTGCGCTGATTGGTCTAGAGCTGTGCTTGCATTAGCCAGTGCAAAACACATCTAAGCTCAACCAATCAAATCAATCATAACAATCAATCAGTCAAAGAGAATTACAAATCGATCATGAATACATTTTAAAGGTAGAATTAAGACGTTTGCTTTAAATTTGTCTGTTTCGCATTATTCTTATTTTATAAAAGAAATAAAAGGTGTTTTTCGTGTTTGCACTGGCTTATGCAAACCGCGGAGACGTTTGTGAGAACTCTCGAGCAGGTGCAACCATCGACCTTCGGTCTCGGGCTTGCACTGATCAGCTCTCGAGTTCTCCCAAAGGTCTCCTCGGTTTGCATAAGCCTGTGCAAACACAGTAAACATTTTTTATTTCTTAATTGATGCAAAAGTAAATACGTGATTGCTGATCAAATTTTGTCTTATTACATCATAACTGTATAGTTTCTTCGCTTGCAAACAATTTCGTATTATAATTAGGCGAGTGACGAAGGGACTGGAAATGCAGTAAAGGCAGCCACAGATTTGGCAAAGTTTGTAAAGCTGCAATCTGAATCACCGGCCATGGATGAATTAAACAAAACAATTGTCAAAATCATGTTTGCCATAACTAAAGTAACAATTGAACGTCCAGTTGTGTACGTTACCCGCAAAGGTCAGTAGAGTTGAAGTCTTGAGATATCTAACGAATGTTAGATCCATTGTTTGTACTTATCTACCAATGATAGTTAGTGCCTGTTTCAACCAATGAAAGTGATTGCCTGTTTTAGCCAATAAAAGTGATTGCCTGTTTCAACCGATGAAAGTGATTGCCTTTTATAACCAATGAAAGTGATTGCCTGTTTTAACCAATGACAGTGATTGCTTGTTTCAACCAATGAAAGTGATTGCCTATTTTAACCAGTCATTTTATTGAATTAAAGTCAATAAAAACTAAAGGTTGCTAATCTAAAATGTTAGACTGGCTGATTACTCCGTGATTTCTCACCATTCAACTTTAATTGTATAGAGTAACCCTGAAAATAATTCTCTTAAATTAGTCTTTATTCATCAATTGCTTTTTTTTAGAAAACCCAGTGTATATTATTCCGTTGATATTGGCATTGTCAGCATTGGTCGTGTTCGTGTTATGTGTCTTGCTGACCATTATTTTTTGTGAGAGGAGAAGACGTCGTTCAAAGAAACGCTATCGTCAAAAAATGTACGAGGAAACAACAAGATTGAAAGAAAGAGAAGGTGATGATGTCGAAGATGGCGTCGAGACTGCTACTGAAGCAGGTCGCAGTGCCCGTAAAAAAGACTCATTCAGTGAGCTACGAGATATCGAATCGACCCAAGTCGATGTATCCACAACGACAGAACGTGTCGTGGGATCCAGCATCGAGATACATTCTCCCGCACGTGGTCGTCGCGAGCATGCTCCTCCACGCGAGAGAGGCGCTCGTGATGAGTGGCGTAGAAGGGACGTGTTAAGATTAAAACGAAAATCTCAGGATGAAATAATTGTTTAGCAACACATTTTTGAGCTCCAAGAGCAAGATTAAATATGACTTATCCATATACAGTGAGAAACATCCTTATCTCACACGTTTCTTTATTGACGCCCTATTTAGAATTATTATATTGTTTTAAAGTATTGTTGCATTGTAGGATTTAGATGACGAAGTGGTGATAGGGCAGTGTTATTGACAAAAATTTGCCCGTGCTAATGTATTGAAACCACTCTAAATACTTAATTACTGTGCATAATCGCAATGTGAATGCGTAAATAATCATGAAAGTTTGGTTATCCAAAACAAATAAGTAAAACTAAAAGTTTGTAATTTAATGTTATGTACAATGTTCCACGAGAATTTCAAAATGAAAATCTGGCAAACATATGCACAAATGTAAAATTGTGCCAATAAAACAAACACATTGATGCCTGTGACTTTTTTAAGACAACGTTTTGTGGTTTTGACCTCAGAAAGAGCACTTGATGGCTTAGCTTTTCATTTTGAAAATGAATGAATAATTTTAGAAATTGCTTGTAAAAAAGATGTACAAAGTCTATATAATGTATTATTTAACTGAAATAGTCAATAGCTTAAGAATATTTAGCGTAAAATAGGATTGGGAACGTGTTAGTCAATGTGGGATTAACTTCTATCGTTGACAGGTCAGCTCCATTTTTTTATCTCTAAAAATTTTCCAGGCTCAGATTAGTGTTTATGTAATTATATGTTATAAATTAGTTCTCTCCGCATTGTTAAGCTATAAAGTATTACAATATGTGAAGAAAATGTATAAAAGCGTCCCGGTTTGAAGAAAGATTTCTCATATACGGAACACGTGATTACAAATTTTGTTTTCACGCGTTCTAAGTCTTAAGTGTGTCAATCTGGTTGTCTGCATTTAATTGCCATGAGAGGAATTGTTACATTCAGAAGAAACTTTCCACCTACAACATGCCGACACAGCATTTCTTGAACGTGACGATTTGATGTTCTAAATGAAGTGTCCTAATGATGTTCGATTCCTAGGAATGACATGATTCTAGGTCCCACTTTTAAAGATTTTAATCTGTTTATTTATGCAAAAGAATCCTTTGAGACTGAAGTATTTTAAATAAGAAAGCAGAGAGCCTCTAAAATTTCTTCCTGCGTTCGAAAAATAATGGCTGCATTATCTTCTTTTGCTGCATCTCCATTCATCGCCATAAATATATGATGTGTATCTTTATTGTTTGGTAAAGGCCTTTTATTGATGGATCCTAGTTCAAAGCAAAGATAAAGACAATGCTAGAGCAAAGAATGAGTTTGTCAGCCAACTTTAAGTGCCCATGCATGACTATACCTAGGTTGAGAAGTCATGTCTCGTTTATGACTTCAAGTCTTCAACAACAGTCAACCTCGACCAACCTCATAAATGGTTTACATACAATATCCTGAAAGATTTCCTATGTTTTGTATGAAGACTAAAGTTAGATGTTACAACTCTTTTACGGATTTAGCTAAGTAGGGAATCATTGTAATTTCAAACGAAACTTCGACATCACATACGTTCGTCTATTAAAGTGCAAAAACAAATCCTTCATTATGTGACGTCACAAATCAAATTAAAATGGCCATGTCGATGAATTTTTGTCGTGCATTCTGAAATAACTGTACTCATGAAAAACTAGTCGAGCTTACGTTCATTTGAGGGATGGTTGCGAGACAGTGGGATCGCGAAGGTAATAAATTTTATTATCTTGATTGACGTGGTAGAGTTAGAGATTGCTGTGATAGAAGCTGGCAGTTGCATTTGATGATCCTGCTGTATGAATAGAAAAATTGGAATAAATATGAAACATACGATTTGGACAAACAAGGATTATGAGAAGTTTTGTCATATCCATAATTTCCAAGTTGACCAGGCTAGCTGTCTTTGAGATACAACAAGATTATCTTAACTTTATGTATGAACTTATATTAACTATAAAAACTTGTCAACGATGACTTTTGAAGTACAATATAAATTTTTCTGAAACTGTTCTGGATCAGGGACTGCAGAACCTGTTGAAAAGTGAGGAAGAGTGTGTGCGATTAGCATGAGTGCATACACTATACGTCGAACGCTCAACTTGCTAGGGAAGAAGTTGTGGATCCATACCCCCCCCCAGCTTCGCGGTCTCTGTAGAAGAACAGTTGAACTGGCGACATATTTTATCATCAAGTTCTAAAACTTTAAATGATCTCTTATTATTAGCCGAATACTCACCAAGACTTCAAGGTGATAGGATAGAACCCAAGCCAACAAACGCCGTTTATATTATCCTTGCTGTGTCAATAGTAGGATTTCTTTTTGTTGCTTGTGTCGTTGTCATCTGTCGTCTCATTATTGTAAGCAGAAGAAGATCGAAGCAGCTAAGAGATCGCTTGTCAGTAAGCTATAAATATGACCCACTTCATCGTGGAAGTGAAACATCGAGTATCATATATGATCCCTTTGTGACCAATGATCTGGAGTGAGCTGGAACAATTCTCAACAACTTTTCATGTCGAGATGTCGAGATATAATGATAATCTAAGTATCTAACACTTGATACATACCAGAATTTGCCAATGTAAAATAAAAAGAAACTATTAACTTTGTAGAAGAAATAGCAATGGAATTTTCTCAATAAATTTGACTAGGTTCCTAGTAATAGAATTTTTGAGATTATAGTTTTTATATACACATTTTCTTTTTTATTTTAACGTAATACTTCAGTAGCTACAGTTATGTGTTGAGATCAGTTGGAAAACGACGAAGATATTTAAAGTTCAGGAAAAATGGCTGCCCCATGCGAAATACGAAAACGAAAATATTTTCGAAAATTTCTCCTTGATATTGACACGAATTTGCTCGAAAGTCAAACAAATGAAAAGTTTTTTTCTTAATGCTTGAAAATGAGTGCGGAAATCGGACTTCGATGGAGACGTGCGTTCGAAGAGAAAAAGGATTTGAAAGAACATATTGAATTGCATCTGAAGGAAATCGCTGTTCGTTCCTACGCCATTTCAAGAGATCCTGTGCTTCAAATATCTCTGCGAGAGGAACTCGTACAACATGATGTTTTCGACGTGTTGGAGTGGTTTGTTTTTGGAGATGAACCTGATTTTGGTAAAAGAAAGCTGGCAGATCTCAATCAACCACCTTCAATTTGCGGTAAAATTTTCAAAACCAACGAGCCAACATACTCTTGCAGGTACAAATAATATAAATGTTTGAATATGTACAATTTTTAGCAAATGGGAGCATATGCATCACTTTTAGGATGGGTGGAATATGTCTGACATTTTGTGCAGGGCCGCAGGGGAAAAATTAAATTGTTTTACTTTACGAAATTTGACTAAGGTTTATTTTGAAGAAAGGATGGTATGCCTAACTTTGGTGCGGTTAGCTTACAAGTTTGGTCATACTACGTGAATCATTATGATTTATTTCTTTAGAAATTTACTGTTTTTAAGGTAAGCAAACACCAAAATGTTTGCATAGCACAACTAAAGCTATGGGTTGGTTATGTGACAGGGAATGTTAGAACTTTTGAAGAGATCTTATTCCTAACTTTTGCAATTATTTACCCACATTACCTATATATAATAATATATGTATGTAAAGTAAATGGTTTGAACCCTGGAGTATCGTTACATGTTTGTAGATTTAGATTGTCCAGGTTAGTATAGTCCTGAGAAGGACTGTTTTTGTTGTTGTTGACTGACATTTCTACAACCTTAGCGGTAGTCATCTTCAGAGTCAAAAAATGTCATTTGTCAAATGACTCTGAAGGTGACTTCCGCTAAGGTTGTGAAAAAAACGTCAGTCAACAACAACAAAAACAGTCCTTCTCAGGACTATACTAACCTGGACGATCTACATCTACAAACATGTAATGTATGTGTGTATCATTCTATGTCTTTGGTGTAGTTATTGATGTGTTGTTGTTTTCTGAATATGCATTTTTAGTTAGGGATCTGTGCTTGTTTAGGTATTGAGGATAAATTGTTTTGATGAAATAAATTATGAAAAATATCATAATTTCTTTCATCAAATTACCAATAAATTTTTATTTCATGCAAATAGTAACATAGCAGTGAAGGCAATCATTTATTGTAGTCCATCCTTATCAACTTGCTGGGTGCCATTGCTTTGATTTATTTGTAAATTTGAACCTATACTCTATGTTTAGGGATTGTGCAGTTGATGGAACATGTGTTTTGTGTATGGCTTGTTTTGAGAAGAGCATTCATAAAAATCACAACTATAGGGTAAACTACAATCTGTATTATATTTTTATTTCCCTATATGTATCCCTATATATATCCCTATCTGTACCTATATGTCTCTATAATTACTTACCTTTTTGAAAAAAAGCTTAACAAAATGGAAATTCTAGGTATTTAAAAATTTCATGAATTTCATGATGGTATTCTCTAGACTATTTTTCCTTTTAGCTCTACACTTCAGCAGGGGGAGGCTGTTGTGACTGTGGAGATGTGGAAGCTTGGAAACAGGGGGCAGCATGCGAGATCCACGCTAAGAGATACGATCATTCTTCAGATGAGGTTCTTTTGTGCATAAATCTATGTCTTTGTAATGTGATTATTGCTAAATAAACAAACTTCGTCACTTCAGGATTTGCTCAAGATTTTGCCTCAGAATGTTGCAGATCAAGCAAGATTTTTGTTCAATGTTATTTTGGATTTTTGTGTGGGCATGATTTGTGATCCGAACAGAGCATGTGAAGAATTTAGCATGTTAAATAAGTATGATGATTAGTTTTACACATTCATGTTAGTGCTGTGCAAACTTCTGGGGTTGCACTTGCTAAAGGCAATGGCTAAAAAACTCTGGCTTCCCAAGAAAGTTTGCTTGTCCAAAAATTCATGAAATCTTGAAAAAATTAAAATTTTTTGTTGAATGAATTAAAAACCATGGCCTTCTACACATCATATGTGATATAAATGGCTTAAAGATAAAGCATAACATGACAGATGCAATATGGCTGAGGTTAAAATATCTTATTAGTAATTCATGTTCGCTTCAAGGTTTTAGTGTTGTTCATCTGTTGGAAGGGGTTAAAGTGCTAGGCATTTGTTATAGACAAGTGACAATTTCATAATTTGTTTTTTTAGTTCACATAAAGATTCACATGTTGTTATGCTTTATAATGATGAAAGTCACACATTTCAAGGAGTAAGTAGCAAGTTTCACTTCAAAGAGCGTTGATCTGAGAGTTCTAGTTCCAGGCCTTTCACGTGAGGGCTCAGTAGATTACCTTGGATTACATGATTGAAGTTATTTTTGTTGACTGAGCATGCGCGACACTTATCAATTTCTTTTTTCAGGTGATCACAGCGCTGCAGAAAGTGATACCCCAATGCTCAATAAAGTTGGGAAAAGATATTGCCACTGTAGTTGACAGAGAGGTTCATGGGATATTGTTTTGATAGAGCGATTGATGCATTCGTTTCATTAACAACAGAATCGTTGTGTTTTAGGGACGTTCTAGTGTTTACTTTGGGCCGCACAATATGTCTCTTGAAGTTTCGCGGGATCTTCGGGTAATTTGTTTTTTTTGTACTTCATGTATTTAAGCTTCAAAGGGTTTCATCGCTTTATAATTTGCTTTATTTATCTGTAGAAACATAGCAGAGGGCCTACAGGCCCATTGCGTTGTGAGGCGATTCACATTAATGTTGTTGCTTACCAACTTATGGCGTTTAAACTCATGGAATGGCTTTCAACTTTCATAGATTGTTCAGGTGAAATATCTTTGTTTGTTACAAAGTTTTTTTATGACAGTTTTAGGCGAATTTCACGACACGTTTTGCAATGTAGCTATTAAACAAAAGTAAAAGCTTGAAGATCTTGAATCTACTTTATTCATCATAGACTTGAATATTTGTGTTCACTTTAGTTTGATTCACTCTAGATTGAACAAAAGTAAAAACGTGGAAATCTACTTTATTCATCATAGACTTGAATATTTGTGTTCACTTTAGTTTGATTCACTCTAGATTGAACAAAAGTAAAAACGTGGAAATCTACTTTATTCATCATAGACTTGAATATTTGTGTTCACTTTAGTTTCATTCACTCTAGATTGAACAAAAGTAAAAACGTGGAAATCTACTTTATTCATCATAGACTTGAATATTTGTGTTCACTTTAGTTTGATTCACTCTAGATTGAACAAAAGTAAAAACGTGGAAATCTACTTTATTCATCATAGACTTGAATATTTGTGTTCACTTTAGTTAGATTCACTCTAAATTGAACAAAAGTAAAAACGTGGAAATCTACTTTATTCATCATAGACTTGAATATTTGTGTTCACTTTAGTTTCATTCACTCTAGATTGAACAAAAGTAAAACGTGGAAATCTACTTTATTCATCATAGACTTGAATATTTGTGTTCACTTTAGTTTGATTCACTCTAGATTGAACAAAAGTAAAAACGTGGAAATCTACTTTATTCATCATAGACTTGAATATTTGTGTTCACTTTAGTTTGATTCACTCTAGATTGAACAAAAGTAAAAACGTGGAAATCTACTTTAACTTAAATCTAGAAACGAACGAAAACAAATTCCGAAAAAGCAAGTCATCTTGAGATAGTAAAATGTGTAACAGTACAAGACGCAAATAAAAGATGGCTTCTTTTTTTCGGAATTTGTTTCTTGCTTTTCTTATTTGAGTTGTCGGCTAGAAATTGTTTTTTTAATGTTCACTATAGTTAAATTCATTCTTTTTTAAACAAAAATAAAAACTTGGAAGACCAACTTTAACTTAAATGTATTTTATTCATCATAGAAATGAATAGATGATGTTCACCTTAGTGTAATTCACTCTTTGTTAAACAAAGAAAAACTTGGAAATCAACTTAAACTTAAATTTAGAAATAAATGGACAATAAGAACAAACTAGTTTCAACTAATTACACAATGGTGTATTTCTTGATGTAAAATAATACGTCGTGCTTGCTAATAATTTCATCGTTTATTTTTATTAGACTGCCTTCGACGTCTTCACGCTGACATTTCCACGACACCACGGCACGGTGAAGATAGTTATCTTGCTAAAGTACTTTGCTCTGATGCTAAGCTTTGGAAAGGTAAATAACTTTTTATTTGATCCCCAAAGACGTGTTAAAATTATGGAACATACGTTTTACTCCTACCAACACACGATCATTTTAAAAGATTAACATACCATCATTAAACGATCTTTACACGATCAACATAAGATCATTAAACGATCTTTACACGATCAACATAAGATCATTAAACGATCTCTACACGATCAACATAAGATCATTAAACGATCTTTACACGATCAACATAAGATCATTAAACGATCTCTACACGATCAACATAAGATCATTAAACGATCTTTACACGATCAACATAAGATCATTAAACGATCTCTACACGATCAACATAAGATCATTAAACGATCTCTACACGATCAACATAAGATCATTAAACGATCCTTACACGATCAACATAAGATCATTAAACGATATCTACACGATCAACATAAGATCATTAAACGATCCTTACACGATCAACATAAGATCATTAAACGATATCTACACGATCAACATAAGATCATTAAACGATCCCTACACGATCAACATAAGATCATTAAACGATCTTTACACGATCAACATAAGATCATTAAACGATCTCTACACGATTAAAATAAGATCATTAAACGATCTCTACACGATCAACATAAGATCATTAAATGATCTCTACACGATCAACATAAGATCATTAAACGATCTACACGATCAACATAAGATCATTAAACGATCTCTACACGATCAACATAAGATCATTAAACGATCTTTACACGATCAACATAAGATCATTAAACGATCTCTACACGATCAACATAAGATCATTAAACGATCTCTACACGATCAACATAAGATCATTAAACGATCTTTACACGATCAACATAAGATCATTAAACGATCTCTACACGATCAACATAAGATCATTAAACGATCTTTACATGATCAACGCAAGATCATTAAACGATCTCTACACGATCAAAATAAGATCATTAAACGATCTCTACACGATCAACATAAGATCATTAAACGATCTCTACACGATCAACATAAGATCGTTAAACGATCTCTACACGATCAACATAAGATCATTAAACGATCTTTACACGATCAACATAAGATCATTAAACGATCTCTACACGATCAACATAAGATCATTAAACGATCTCTACACGATCAACATAAGATCATTAAACGATCTCTACACGATCAACATACGATTATTGAACTCTCTTTACACGATTCACATGCGATCATTATACGATCATTACACGATCAACATATTTTTATGAAAGGAATATTTTAAGCGATCATTACCCGTTCATTAAACCATTAACATACTATCAATGAACAACCTTTTCGAGCATTTGCTAAACGAATACTTCTCACTGTATTTGATATATTTCTTTTTTTCTAGTGGCAAGATTTCATACTCATCAATTGTTTATGCATTCGTAAGTTTAATGATGAAATATATCGTTGCATTGAGTTGTGATCATGGTTTGTCGGACATTCCTATTAAACCATTGAAATATGTGCTACAGTGCATATCATCTTTAGGTTGCTTAAAGATTCATTCGGAAAACGCGCTCTTGCTATCGAATTCACCAAGGTAGTGGGCAACTTTCTCTTTGTGCTTCCATTTCATTCTCGTATCATTTCACTGCAAGTAAATTTCGTCAATAGCTGCTGTAACTTAATCAAATGTTTTTACATATGAAATACTAAAGTTTAATGCGAGAGCAATTGTTGATGTGGCGATCCGACTGTGTTGTGGCTTGTTTTTCTTTCAGAATTATTCAGCTGTTCTCAGTGATTTCTTAGCCGATGACCAGGACCATTCTATCTCTGTATAAACATGATTTTTTAAACAAAGATTTAAGAACGTCGATCTCGAATAAAATTGTCGTCTTATATATTTTAGGCGTCTTCGTTGTCTGTTCAAATATTTACTGTCCCTAGTCTGGTATGTACTTCATTTAAGTCCTTTTTTTAAACTCGTATCTACAGTTGATGTTACGTCCGAGCACTTTACTAAAAAATACGTGTTGCTAAGAAATATCATTTCAATCATTGCTTTTCCAGGTTCAAATGCTTGCGGTGAACTGCGATCTGTTGGAAGTTGTAATCGATGTTCTTTTGAAGAAAACTTCTCCTTTTCTTGGAGGTACGTGAATGCTAAGTAAAGTTGAAGCTCAATTTTTTTTTGTGAATGCAAATCGTCACAATCGTACATTCCGTCAATTAATTGCCTCTTTACGTGATTATGATGGTAAAGGTTGTTGATATATACGTATGTTTAGATGATAAAATCATAGATTTAAGTCGTGATGAACGCAGGAAATCAGGACGCTTGTATTATGTTATCCACGACTTAAGGTAACGACAACCAAACATGATTTTTTCTGTGTTTGATATAACTTTACTTGGATTTAGGAGATCAATTTTTGATATAAAAAATATGTTCTTATGATGACATATATGAACAACTACGAACGATATTAGACTTTTCATTGCCATTTCTGAGGCCAGTTTTACCGTCCTGGATGGTCCCCACTGAGCTGGGTCGTTTTAACTTGAGCTGGATAGTTCCCTTCTGAGATGGATAATTTAATGAGCTGAATAGTTCCCCCTGAGTTAGATAGTTCCCCCCTGAGCTGGATAGTTCTACTAACCTGGATGGTTTTACCCTGAGCTGGATAGCTCGACCCTGAGCTGGAAAATTCCACCTGTTGTGGATAGTTTTCACGGATCTAAATTATTCCACTGAGCCTAATATGCACTGGACAGGGACTTTCCAAACTTATCAGAAAGATAACATTCCAGGTTTCAAGCAAATCAATTTTAAAATTTAAAATGTTACTCTTTTTATGTTATTTCTTCGTAGATACATCTTGCAAAATAAGCCCAGCTCTTGGACTGATAGTTTAAAAATGAAATTTTACAATTTTCTTGAACGTTACCTAAATCTTCTGCAACGTTTTCAGGTATTGTAATGTTTACGTCATTACGGTTGTAGGTTTTGTCTAATTGCTCACATTGCAACTTTTTTGTTAATTTCAGGAAGTGAACATGATAAGGCGGGCCACAAGTGTCCATGTGGAAATTGAACCGGAATGGCATTTAACGTTTGACTTTGCTATGCGTCTTTCATTGCTTACGCCTCACATAATGCAATGGTGTGGTAGTCATGTAAGATTTATTGAATGTTTGTGTTTTTATGCTAAATGGAATTTGTTATTTTGCTTTTTGACTCTTCTGTCCATCTCTAACCGTCATAATTCTCCTGTGATCTCTCGTACTCCCTTTGATACATTCCAGCGACTTTGTCCTTCACTCTCCATAATGATCCTATTCTGACCGATTGATTTCTGACTTTTCACTCTGATTCTCTTTTCATCAATCTCTTTCTAACGCTTCTATCCTTGTTTCTCTACTTTGATCCCTTCTCACGCTCTAATCTTTCCCATCTCTGAGGCTTCCTTCACGCGTATATTTTTAAACTATCCTCTGCTATTATGATCGTCTCCTGATGCCTGTATTTTTAAATCTCACTATCTTTATCTTTTCTCTTTATTCTACGTAATTAGTCTAACTTACTCTTCAACAAACTGTAAATTTATTCGCCTCATGTTTCGATTCTTTTGTCTTTACATATAGAGAGATATTTTGATAAAATCCATCGCAATCACATTGAAATGTTTGAGAGACGTGACGCGATCGTTCGGCGCCAAAAAACATCGAGGTATTATGTTGTTTTAATTATTGCCTATTGTTATTAAAGTGCTGGACACACAAATTATTCTTTTTCAGAGGGCGAAAAAACCATGACCTTATTCAACTTTGATGTATCTTCTGAAAAAGTCTCTGTACACATACCGATCGTTAGATTTTTAGCCGGTCTGTGTTCGATTTTACTGGTAGTGGTCGAGAACACTTTGTTTGATTATTGCTTCATTATTTTAGGCTTGATTGGCTGTTGTGCAAAATACTCGCTTGATGCGCAAAATATGTTGGAAATAAAAGTTTGTATCTTGGATATTGCACATTTGTTTTATTCATTCTTTTTCAAAAATAGACAAGCTTCTCTTTGATGTTCCATTTAAATACGTTCTACAGATGACATATAGATATTTATAAAAAGCATGATTATTGTAGTTATGAATGATTATGAATTTAAACATGCATCCAATGAAGTATACCTTACACAGTTCTATATTCTTTTTGGACAACTTTCAGTTTTAGTTATCCAAAGTTGTTTCACGGATTTAGAATTTCGATAAAAATTAAAGATATGTATTCAACAATAACAAAGCCAGCCCGTTGTAATTCAAATTTTTCAGCGAAATTGCTGTTCATTTCTTTAAAAAATTCTATTTATTGTTTTTCCAGTAATCAAACATAAAAATGTTTGCATTGTTGGAGTATAAACTGGCTGGCTTTGCTATTGCCAAAGTATAGTGTTTATACAGTAGAGCCACTCCTTTTAATTTTTTTGTGCCACGCATATCTTATATTACGCATGTGATTACCATAGTGGCAGCCAGTCAATTGTCTTTTTTGACCAATAGGAATGATGAAATGGCTAACGGCTACCAGTAATGTAGTTAAATATACGGCAGCCAATTGCGCAAGAAATAGACCTACTGTTTATTCCCTGTACTCCACTACTGCTATACACATGAAAGATAATCTTCTATGAATGTTTCTGGCAGTAGCGGATCCAGTGTTCGTCCAAATAAATTATACCTGCTTGATTTTAAATATAAAGTACTTTCACAAAAATACTATCGGGTTTGAATTTTTAAAGAATGTAATTTACCAATGTACTCTAAGGCACTAAGGTGCTTAGAAATGTAAATATATTCCAAATCGTGCAGCAGTAGTTTATTTTGACGTACCATAGGTCCATTACCGGTTTGTGAACTGCAAACCTCGTGGAGTCTTGTTCGCTTGCTCTGTTGTCTGTGGGTCTGAAGTATCTTTATGTGTTTGATAGGGAGATGACGATTTATTAACTTATATGGCCTATCCGTTGAAAGTCTTAGTGTTTGCTGCTCAGGTTAAATCGGGAATGTGGAGGAGAAACGGTTTTTCTGTACAACATCAGGTACAGAAAGAACACAATACTGCCCAGGGTGGTAGACAAAAGAAGTTATTTGTCCAAATTTTTGTACAATATACCTACTGTTCTGATTTTGATTAGATGAGATACGTCTAAACAAGAAAAATATGATTGTCGTCACTCTGATTGACCAAGTCATGTTTATTTAACACAACGTACATCTAACTCAGCATATTACCTAACTCAACATATTACCCAACTCAACATACTGCCTACAATAACTCAACATACTGCCTAACTCAACATACTGCCTAACTCAACATACTGCCTAACTCAACATACTGCCTAACTCAACATACTGCTTAACTCAACGTCTTACCTAACTCAACATATTTCATAACTCAACATATTACCTAACCCAACATATTACTTTACTTAACATACGTATTATCTAACTCAACATATTACCTAACTCGAAATACTTCCCAGCTCATGATGTTCAATTTTACTTCACTTAACATATTACTTAATTATCTACACATATTATCATTTCTTGTTAGCAAATCTGCTTATATGATGCGTGAAGTCCTACTCTACACCCACCCACCCCTCCGTGTTTTAATTAATATTAGTAACTTTTCTGCATATTTACCCCTCAGCATGCGTGCTTGTCTGTACTTGTACTCTATTGGATGTAAGGCTTAATGAAATCTGGTGTTTCGTTGTCCGATGTCATATGTTTTCGTATACTTTATAGTTGAATGGAAATGTTTCTTTATTGATTTAGATTCATGCTTATTGTCAAGATACTTGCGCCTGCGAAATGTACGACAAGGATATTTTCTTCATGCAGGTACATCTATGTATACTGTTGGGTCTATGAGTTCTTAATTCATGTACATCTATGTGTACAAAAAGTTCTAAAATACTGTGGTATATATGAGTTTTAAATGTGTGAAGTTTCCATTGAGATATATATGTTGTAAAAGTTGGCAAACAGAAAATTTACGTAGATTTATGTGCACTGTAAGATATACAAGCGTTTCAGTTCTAACAGTTGACCAAAAACCACGAAATAAATGTTTTGTTTTTTACATTTATCTGATACAAACCCATACAATTGTACATAACATGAAAATGATTTGATTTGTGAAGTGTTTCTCCGAGAAAAGTACAAACCATAATCTGTGTATTACTTTACGTAGGTCTTGGCATCTTGTATGGATAAAGAACATTTTTTTCTTATTTTGCTTGACATGTTCCAACTAACATCTTGGGCTTCGTAAGTTTCTTATTATGAAAATGTTTTTCATCATTCATCATGAAAATATTTGTGTATTTTATCCACACCTGGTTACTCATACGTTAACTTGCTTTGTTTAGACAGGTGGATTAGCTTAATTTTAGACTTGGATTATTTAAATCATTACAGTTGGATTAACTTAACACTACCTATCCTTATCTTGCCCTATTTTTGTCCGATCCTATGTAATTTAGGATAACGTGGGAATGTATTAGTTTATAGTGTTTGATTTGGGGGGATCTTATTTTGTCTTTGTTGTGTGTACAGGGAGAGCTACAGTGTCAATAAGAAGGACGAGGTTCGTTTGAATTTTTTTTGTGTTTTTTTTTTGACAGTTGGTTTTATGTGTAACCCTTTGTTAGTAAATTTTATGTGTTTATGTTTATTTGCATTGCTTATGTTTATATATCACAGAGCACAATCAATCAACAGCTTGCTTTGGCCGCTGAATTTCTCCATCTTTTGATCATATTATTGGGTAAGACTACCTCCCGTTGACAAATACTATCAAATGATTGAAAGGAGTCAGTCTAGAATTCAGGTTTACTTCGTAATTCCTAGTGCTGGATATTTGTGATTCGCCACCGATATCAGTGCCATCGAGTGAACTGTAATATCAACTAAAACGTTAACTACGCCGCCATTTTTGAAGCCTAAAATGAAGCTTGTTTTTCTGAGTTTTGAGTAGTTTCACGATATTATTTCAGAAAATCAACAACGATTTACATTGAACACAAAGGCACAAATTGCCATGAAAAGTTCTGCAACACACGATTTTGTAATAAACCTAAAAACTCTCATATACATACATCATAACTCGCTTCAAAATGGCGTAAAGAACTATCATTTGCGTTCCACTTTATATTAAAGTACACTGGTGTCTCTCCAATAATCAAAACATAACTGACCCATTGATTGTATCCTACTATTAAAAGCGTTACATTCGCTCCTTTATCTTTTTTCGTTAATTTTTTAGGAGAGAGATACAACAGCACTATTGGTATAGTAGACAAAGACAGTGAAGTTAGACGTGAGATTATTCACAGATTGTGTTTGGGCGATGTGTCGCGCAGTGAGTTGTTTCGTGGATTGTCTTTCGTGGAGTCTGAGGTAGAATGGAAACTTTCATACACGACACGTACAATCAATTAAAAAAATTTTTTTATCATCTTCTCTGTTTGATGCAGTATGAACGTAGGGGAGAGATTGATGGCATCATCAATTCCGTGGCGACTTTCAAGTACGTCAAAATATAAAAGAAAGCCCGGCATACTAAAAAATTTCCTTTGGTAAAGTTTCTTTCACATACTTTTAAACATTTAACTACATTTCCGTCAATTTCAGAAAACCTGCCCGTTCTGGTAAGGGGATATACAAACTGAAGAAAGAGTGCTTGTCGGAGTTCAACCCGTATTTCTACCATTATACGAAGAATCTACAATCAAAGGTTCGTTAATTTTTAATTAGAACTGCTACTACGTTTTGTCAATAATGACAGTTGGAATTAGTGACGTAGCCAGCCCGGAAGTGTTTTATAAATTTCGAATCGTTAGCATTATTTGTTTTTTAGAAAGCTATTGTTTTTGCAGTGAGTGAACTCACATTTATTTATATAGTCGACACCAATAATAGTTGTGGCTGTAAATTTCAGTCTTCCAACTTTAAATGAAATAATTTGTCTTGTAGTTTAATTAATGAATAAAAAATATGCAAAATTGTAATTTATCCCGATCAACATAAAAAATAGCAAAAATTGTACATTTTTGCAATGGCTATTACCTAGGCTGAAGATTACATGAAGAAAAGATGCAAAGAAGAAAAATTACCGGAATGTAAATTATTAAGTTTATTGCTTACAATTGTCATATCATAAAAAACTAACATCACCCATTTTCACGCGAATTACTGAGCTTCTTATGGAAGATCGCTATCCCGCTCCATCGTGTTTTTTTTTGTAGTTTTTGCTCCACCTGCTCCCGTCGACTTTCTTTCATCATACTCCAGTATCACTAAACTACTGATCTCAAACAAGATGATTCAACTGTTCACCATCTTGATATGGCGGATCAAGAAAGGCAGTCCCCGATCATGGACGGATCGAATTTTCCATGAGGTTTTTTATCCGATATATTATTTAATCTTTTCAAAAAGAACTCAAACTATACTAGCTATATGTGCTTTGTCATTTTTGATGTCACCATGTCAACTGAACGTTTGGCGCTATTGAATTTGATAAAACGAAATCCATATCATTTTTGTAGATTTTGTACCTCATTTGTTTGGGTCTTTGCGAAGAGAAGAAACAAAGAAAAAATGGTCGTGTGTTTGGCTTTGTCAGCGCTGCAAATGCGCGAAACCATTGCGGTAAATAGGTGTCAAAATATTGTCTTCTGAAGGACTCGATATTGGGAAAGATAATGGCAGTCCATTTTGACATAAAGTTGCTCGTGCTTGAGTTGTATCTTATATCATTTTAATGTTCTTAGCTCGGTCAAACCTGTCTTTATTTGAACGTTTAAAAGCTTTGCAAGGTGAACCGATTGTTCAAGGTCACAGTTCACTCCTATGTTACACAATCCAGGTTTGTTACTCAATGCTGTGCCTAAATTATTTTGTATGTATTACCCAGTGTTCCTGGTTGTATTTATTACCCAATGTTCCTGGTTGTTTTTATTACCCATTGTTCCTGGTTGTTCTTATTCACCCATTGTTCCTAGTTGTCTTTATTACCCAATGTTCCTGGTTGTCCTTATTACCCAATGTTCCTGGTTGTCTTTATTACCCAATGTTCCTGGTTGGCCTTAATACCCAATGTTCCTGGTTGTCTTTATTACCCAATGTTCCTGGTTGTTCTTATTACCCAATGTTCTTTTAGACAAATTTTATTGTAAAACAATAAAAGTTTCGTTTCAAATAAGTAAAACACTTCTTGTTGTTTTTTTTTTGTTTCAACACAGAAATTTCGTGAACAGTTGGGATCAGAGAGTGATTCTACTGACTCTGGTGCTATACTTCCTCAACCAATGGACGTCTCAGATGTCAAGTCATGTGACACGGAGAAAATTATGAAACGACAGGCCTCTGAAGAAAGGCGGAAAAGAGTTTTACAGCAAATGGCAAATATGCAGAAAGCATTCATTAAACAAAATTCTGACCTATATTTGTCGACAGAAACTGAGTAAGCTGTAGGAATATTAAAGAATGTTATATGCAGTGCGGTGTTTGAAATTAAATGAAGATATGATCTTCGAACTTTTGCTGGACAATTTTAAGCAATTGTCTCATGAACCTGAAAAATTCAGGTGACTCAACGGGATTCGAACCCATGACCGGCACCGCAGAGGTCATGGGTTCGAATCCCGTTGAGTCACCTGAATTTTTCAGGTTCATGAGACAATTGCTTAAAATTGTCCAGCAAAAGTTCGAAGATCATAACTTCATTTAACTGTAGGAATATTGTTTTAGATTTCAGTCCAGGTTATCACAATTCATTAACATATATTTATTCATATATCTTTGTCATAACTATTGGTTTACCAACTGGAAAATGAATTCTTTGAATAAATACGGTTGCTCGACATTAAATGTTAAAGAACATCACAATGGCGTTAATAAAAGATTTACGTTGGGCAATCGTATTTATGCCATTTGCCTGAAGCATGATCACAAGTTCATTGAAATATTTTCATTTCAGTGTTAGTGAATCTTCTAAAAATGAAGTGGATGCATTTCAAGGATTAAAAAATCCACAAAAGTCTGTGATTGGAATCGGAAACAATCGTGATTCTTCTATTACGGTGCCTCGCGAGTCACTTATTTGTATATTATGTCAAGCGAGCCCAAATTCTTCCAATAAACCGCTGGTGTCGTGTGCTTTTGTACAGCGGTCGACCGTGCTATCAGACAATCACCATCAGGACCTTGAAGAAGGGGATACAGCAGATCCACTGCTATCATATAGGGATCGACGTGTCGGGGTCCATGTGGGCAGCTGTGGTCATGTAATGCACGGTGATTGTTGGGTACGGTTCTTTGAATCTATATTAACCAATGAGCGACTTTCATTGAGATCACGAATACTCAACACGTTTGATTTGACAAGAAGGGAGTTTTTATGTCCTTTATGTTCTGGTCTTTCGAATACTGTCCTTCCTTTGGTATCTTCTGTTGTTTCTACTTCACACGAAGGAAGCGGGTAAGGGTAATATTGTTTATTCAGCATTGTCTACTTAGACAATTTTAGGGAATGTAAAATCTGTTTTCATTCATCATCTTTTGAATTTATCATCTTTTCATTCATCATTTTTTCATTCATCATCATTTCATTCATCATCTTTTCATTCATCATCTTTATTCGATGTTTTAACAGTGGCATAGCAAGTTTGATAAAATTGACGAGGGACATCATTCTGATTTATTCATTTATTTCAAAATCAATTGTTATTACAGATAAAATAAAGTATGTATATATATGTGCGGGCTCTTCTCTCACCCTCCTCACCCCTCACCCTCCTCACCCCTCACCCTCCTCACCCCTCACCCTCCTCACCCTTCTCACCCCTCACCCTCCTCACTCCCTCACCCCTAAAGCATTAGGTCTGCATCAATGCTTGTTCCCTCCATTTGTTTTAGAGGATCATACACATTCTGGTATGACACTTTTCAAAAGATTGAATTAAGATTAACACCAGAATTAATCGATTTCTGTAAGGATGGTGAACATAAAGCAGGTCAGTTGTTTAGCACAAAATTCTACATTTAATTCACAGAATACGATCATATTAAAGTTCATGTTTACTGATTTTTATTTGAGCGCTATACGCCATTGATCCGATTCTCAGGTAATGCAGGAAACTCGCTCAATTGTCCTCTCTGGATAGACTTTAGTGAGGCTGTCCTCCAGGCCATTTTGGGTGTATTTGAGAGGGTGATTGCATCCGTTTTTTGTTCTGGTAGAGTGGCAAATCAATGATGTAAAGCGCTTGAAGTCGTTTAGGTGTTAATATTTTGTGGTAAACTAAACACACATGTTTTATATTAGATTCAGTTTGGAAAACAGTGAAAGAGAAAATTGCTCATCTACTCTACGGGTAAATCATTTTGTCTTATCTTCTCTTTACGCTATACTATAATGTGGAAGGATTCGTCTGAAGCTCAAGCTCAGTTTCGATTTTTAGGACGGATCTTTCCTCCGATATGACATCCATGATAACAGTCTTCACTCGAGCAGCCTACATGGTAATGAAATTCTTATTTTATTTTATTGCCAATTAGGACTTATTTATTATCCGTAAGCATATCGATGAAGGTTGTGTGCTTTATTCGTCTTTTTACTTATTATCGATTCAGTTGTTGATTATCGGTTGAGCAATTGATAATCCGTTTCACGTCTCTTATTATTTAAGTAGAGTTAAAATTTGATATTCTTATAAATTAATAATAAAAATATAAACTAATCTTCTATCGACAATTTTTTCTGCGCGAACAGCACAAATATAATGTATGTAGGTGAAACAGTCAATACAGAATCACATTTGGTTATAGTCAGTTGGTCGGATTTTTGGTAAAGTTATTCGGTTCCAAAGATATTCATCTTATTTTGGAAATGTGCATTATTAGTTGGAAATATATTTATGTTTTTAAACACCTCAAAAGGAATTGGATTTTTTGGATTTTCTTTTGAAACTCATAAGCAATAGTTTTTTCGTAAAGCTATTTTTAATTTGAAATTGTACTGCATTTATTTATTTTGCCTACCGCTGAATCTTCTATTGTGTATTTTTTTAATTGACTCGAGTTTTTATTTTTTATATTTTGTGTGGTAGTTCGGTTTGAATGTGGAACCCGACGATGAAAACAGCCGAGTTTCGTTAATTGCCTGGGCAACATGTGCCTACACTATACAATGTCATGGTTTGTCGTGCTGCCATTTGTGTCGCTTGACTTCATTTTTTTCTTACATCAATGAAGTATTATTTTTTCCTTAGAGCTTACACTAAGAGAGAGTTCAAATCAAGAGACTTATCCAAAACGCGAGGTTAGGTTTTGTCCTTCTTGCGTAGCAACGACTGTATTGTATGTTGTTTTGTTGCTGTCTCAAAATAACTTTGTACGCAATGCGAAATGTTGTAGACTTTTTTCATAAAGTTAAAAAAAAACAATTGAAAGAGAAAATCCGTAGATAGACTAAGATAGTAAATGTTATTATCATTATTGTTATTACGTTATATTGACTAAGATAAAACATCAGGGAAAGATTACTGTTATCGACTCCTATAGTAAACATTCTTGATGCAAACTAGAATGAAACTAAGCTGAAAATACTAAAATGATATTATTACATTTAAAAATATTCCTTCGATGCTTTCTTATATTGAATTAACTATTTATTAAATTGACGTGCCCGTAATAATGAAAATCAGATATTTTACATTCGTAAATACAATGTGCAACAATCTTAACTTAGCAACTGAATTTGTTATTTGAATAGTTTGATATGATTAAGTCGCTGGTTTCTCTGGCTGGCACCGTGAGCTCAATCAGCAAACCACGTGACGTTGTGAGTCATTGCATCCGTCTTTTCTCTGTGATTAGCGGGAGTGATAAAGTACCTCAAGAAAAATGGACAATTGTGAATATAGATGTTTTTGATTGGATGGTAGGATCAAGACTAGTCCTTCTGATATTTTGTTATCTTTGTAATCGACGTTTATATAACATATATGATTTATTTTAAGGTGAAAATGCGATTCACATTGCCTAGTTTGGATCTTTTAAATTATACTGAAATGACATCATCAAGAAACGGTGACGGATTGTCGTCGATGGAAATGGATGGTTTTGTATTTCATTTTGCCCTCACGGCTTGTATCACTCAGATCTTGCTAACGACGTCGGGAGAGATACCCTCAGGTATTTATTGGTACAATGATGGATAAGAGATACCATCAGGTACATATTGATACAATGATGGATAAGAGATACCCTCAGGTACATATTGATACAACAGGTATATATTGAAAACATGATGAATGTAAAAAATACCATCAGGTATATATTGATACAACGATGGATAAGAGATACTCTCAGGTATATATTGAAAACATGATGAATGTAAGAAATACCTTCAGGTATTTATCGATACAATGATAGATAAGAGATACCTGAGATATTTATTGAAAGCATGATGAATGCAAGAAATACCTTCAGGTATATATTGATACAATGATGGATATAAGAGATACCCTCAGGTATATATTGACAACATGATGGATATAAGAGATACCCTTAAGTTTATATTGATAACTTGATTGATATAAAACGCAAAATTTCCTTGGGATTCGATAATATTTGATGGGTCAATGCAATGTTGAACTTTTTCAGATGAAATGGACGACCCTCCTCAAATGAACGACGACGCCTCAAAACATTTAGCTAATTTATGGAGAAAAATTCATCATTTACGGAAGTAAGTGTAGACTTGATTACTTGTGTTTTGTGTTTTTCTGATATCGAGACATGGTTTATATGATGTTTAACGTCTAGTGTTGTTACTTCTTTTCTTTTACAGTCCTTCTGTGCAGACTCACAATCACCCGAATGCCCAAAGACTGATGATGCACATAAAATTACGCTTGTTACCATTCCTACGATGTTGCGTAATATTCTTTCATATTTTAAACAGCACAAGAATTCCTTTGGCTCTTCGAGGTACAACCAGAGTTCTGTTTCAACGGAGCTCCTTCCACATTAAATTTTAACAAAATTCTTATGTCATTATCGTAGAAAGATTCCATTCTTTTCACGAGGAATATGACGCTTTGGCAACATTCCTGGCGATACCTCGCTCACTGACCGATTTATTCACCTGGAATGATTTAGAGAGTACCTTTAATAGCAAGACAATTTCAAACATCGTTGAAAGGTATTCTCATGCTGTTATGTTAACATGGCTACTTTGTGGTTATCGCTGCATCATTAAACACAAATCACAATTACTTTTGCATGTTACATTAATTAATATGTTATATGGATATTTTCACCCTTCCTGCACCCTCTCTATGTTCTATTCAAAGATAGAAAGGGTGTGCACACCACAATTTATGTGCATTGCAAGACAAAACCACCATGGGCGTAGGAAGATTGATCACTGGCAGGGGGGGGCTTAATATGTCCTTTGAAAACAATGCTTTGAAAACAACAGATTTCAAAATAACTTAGCACTGCATGTCATGAATATATGAATATTACCGCGCCCCCCCCCCTCCCATTCTATACATTTACAAGAAATTATGACTGTTTATTTTTTGTCAGATGGTGTACTAAAGCGAGAAGTGAAATTTACATTCCTAATCAACTGAGGTATGTTATGTTGCTCTATTAAGTACATACTTTAATAGGAACGAGTTTTCTGATTTGGTCAATCTGACAACAGCAATAAATATTGTTCTTTGAAACAATCATTAAACATGATCCTAAAGTAAGATACCAATCCTAATATTCATTTTTTCATTAGTTTTTTTTTGTATTTTCATCAGCTTTGAGCTCAGCAAAAAATTGTTAATTCAACTTCCTAAAGACTTCAGTGTACTAATAAATCAAGCATCACAGTACGAGTGAGTACGGCACAGTCACGAATGTTAAAGATATTTGTTTCATTATATGCTTTCATTACGCGCTTTCATACATCACCTGAACTGCGTATTTCGGTTTTATTTAGATGTCCAGTGTTCTCTGGTATAGAAAACAGTGTGCCTGCGTTATGTCTGATCTGCGGTGCCTGGTGCTGTTGCGAGGGTTGGTGTTGTAGGGAGGTTTTAAGGGGAATAAACGTCGGTTCTTGTACTGCGCATGCCTCGCGATGTGGTGCTGGTATAGGAATCTTTCTTCGTGTGCAGGATTGCCGCGTTGTTCTTCTTAATGGTATAGGCAAAGGATGTTTTCATCCATCGCCGTATCTTGATGCTTACGGTGAAACTGACCCTGGACTGAGGTGACCATTTTTATGTGAATTACTCACTTTCTTTACTTGATATTACTAAGACAAATAAATGTATTCAGATCGCAGTAGGGTATCCAGATTTTAGGAAGGTGCACCAGGTTTTCTTGAGCATGAGCATCAAAGATGCGAGCGTCCAGTCGAGTTGTGCTTTGGATGGGTGTGAGTGTTGAGATAAACACCATTTGCAGTACTCTAAGGGCAGTCCTAATAAAGAAATTATAGCTGCTTTAGTATAACTTACTGAAACTCGTGACTTCATCTATTGCATATTGTGTTTGTTTAATTTCATGTTTTCGTGGAATTCACTAGAGAAATTCACGACGTAGTAACACTTGAAGTGATTTGTAATAGTCTGAGAGATGAATAAAAAGTGTGTTGATGTTTAGAACAGAAGTCATTTTTCAGGAAATTCTATTTAGTTAGAGCTATTTATGTCAATCTAGTTTAGGCACTGAATTCCAACATGCAGAAGGTTGTCTGTAGTGATGAATTTTGTGTGAGCGCTGTTGTCTTAATTTGGCAGTACAAAGAACAGAAAAAAGTCCCCTTTAGTTTTTAGTGAGAATGTTTTGTCTCCTATTTTAAATGTATTCAAAGGTTGATTACCTTTGAGTCGTGCGCTGGCTGAGGGGCAAAGCAATGATTTACAGCGTTCAAGCAATAATCAATGAACAATAAGTTATGTTAACTATGGGTCTAGATCAATGAGAAGTTTTCTTGTTGTATGTCGAACAAAAAAATTGTGAACTAACTGATATACTTCTTTCTCAAATTAAATAAAGTTTCTCATTCAAAAAATTGTTTCATTTCAGGCGTGGAAATCCACTATATTTATGTGAAGATCGTTTCGAAAAACTGCGCAAACTTTGGAGTAAACATGGTGTTTGCAGTGAAATAGTTCGAACTTTGGAAAGTAACAGACAATTAATGCAAATAGACTGGGCTTCTTACTAGAGCTACATTAAACATAGAAATACTGTATGTTATAGTTGTTGTAAGTTTCGTTATCTATTCTAGAATATATGAAACAATTACTCTAACTATGTTTTTTAGATTTCGTGCCATCAGATAGTAATTACTCTGCATAATTTGTATGTATAATACGTTTTGTTTTCAAAAATTAGATTCGATAGTTATCCGGTAATTTACTCAAGTACAAAATATGAATTTGAAATAATATGTGGAACAAATACACATATTGATGACACCATGCATACTGATGACACCATGCATAAAGTTACAATTCCCTTCAAGTTTTGACACATAAACCACGAGGCGTCATGCAAAGCAGATGTTGTTCATATAAAATGGAACATGACCATACACATAGGGAACAAGAATAAAGATTTGTGATTGTGCAAAGCAAAATAAAGTTGTTGCCTTCAACTGTCATAGATGACAAGTTACGGAAAGACGTCTCATTTGATTGCAGATGTCTTTGAAGGTGTTGATAAATTATCAAGACCGCGAACATCTGTGAATGCGACTGAACAAGAATTGGAATCTATGACTTTGAAGAAACTTTTTGGAAACATATAAAAATACGATTGAAAATACGTTCATAGGACCGAAGTAGCTACAAAAGAAAATATAAAAAGATTGGTTTGTGTTTTTTCAACACTCTTGGTAATAGCCAATAATTTGGGCATAATCATAATCCAATCAACAGCAAGAGGGCCTTTTTCGATATTTGTGAGAAAATTCGGTTGTTAAGATACCACGAGGAGAGGAGAAACGAAGTCAAGTGAGTTTGGAAATAATTGTCAACGAAACCTGCATGCGAACTTTGATATCTATCAACGCAGAGCTGCAACGACGTCAATCATAAATAAACTGTTTCAATGCGCACATATCGCACCATGTTCATGAACCTTTGAAAGCCACGATCTACAGTTATATACTATCAGTATCACATACAAAATGTTAATAGCAACTGCAAAAAGAAATTTGAGCGAGGAAACCCCTTTTGAAATGTGTTACACCATGTTGCGCACGTACTTGCTTGTATATATCATGTATGAAAATATGTGACATAAGCATCGACCTTAGCGCAAGCACAAGGAAAAATTTCAAGCATAAGCTAAGAGAAGAACAAAAGAAAAACAAAAAGAAGACTTAAAAAAAAATCCCAATTTCTTTGTCTTTATAAATCTCTAGAGCAATAGAAACAAGTCTCGACGTTCGTGCTTATTTTACTCGTGTGAACCAGGCTTAAGCCCTCTCCTAACCTTAACCTAGCAAGATATGACTGCAAGATGAATTATTTTTTTTATTAAAGACGGATTACTTATTGTCTTTGTGAAAGGTAACATGCTCCTTAGGAGCCAATCACAATAAAAAAATTTAGTCATGACGTCAATTAAAGAAATGTTAACATATTTAAATTCGTGTGTTTTCACTTCAACGGAAAATTAGTCACTTTAACTTTGTAGAAAGAAAGGTAAATTCTGGTTTTTTTTTTACTGAGGAAGTAAGTATGAGTTACTTGGAATAATCAACTAGTCTTAGTGTAGTCCTCGTAATATGAAAGCTTTCACATTAAAATGCTTTGACCACGATGTTAAGCCTTTGATCGCTTGAAAGTTCTTTTTGTATCGTTCAAACTCAACTGACTAAAGCTAATCGTGCAATGAAGGTGAATGTTCTATTATTTGGATGGTCAAACAGAAAACATATTACAATTAGTTCATTCTCAATATATCTGATTAAATGACCAAACTACCGTCATATATTCAGAGTTATTCATCATGAAATCTCATACATGTGTTTCATATTTTTTATATTGTAGATCCCACATGGATGGAGTTGTGAAATCCTTTACCACCTGTGTCATTCACATCAATTACTCTTACTAGTTTGTCATTATTCATGTGTCATGGTGATTCATGGCCAAGAATGTTTATTTGTAGTTTGGATTCTTTGTTGATGTCAGTTGTTTGTTCATATAATGATGATGGGCCCCATTGTTATATGAGCCCACCTTAAGGTGGTCAGCTGATAATCGCAGAAGATCAACTCTGCACTAAGCATTCTTTGAGTGATGATATAACTGGAGGTATTGAAGTGATCCCTTTTCCTTCGCTCGAAGTTACCATAAGAGTGCATTATGGCGATCCATGATATAGAAGCTACTTTATTGGTCAATGATGCTGGTTACTTCGTGTATGGAATGGTATTAACATGTTGAATGGGCAATGCATAACGGCATATGTACGTATGTACGTATGAACATTTACATTGCAGTGATTGGGAATATAAACGGACTATATTCTACGAAGATGGAGAACAAGTGAGTGGCAAAACACGATCCATGTTTCGTGGTTTGTAAGTTGAGTAGATAAGTGTCAAAGTAACTTGTATGAATAACTGCATGAAATAGTTAAAAAGGATCCTGATGGTCTATAATTTGAACCTTAATTGTGAAAAGCACCAAATTTGAAAAAAATGTCAATAAAAGATGTTACTTGCTGTGAGAAAATAGCTGGCTTTCACTTGCTACCATTTACTAAATTTATTTCATGTTTATGAAGAAAATTGCAATACAATTGAATTTCTAAGATAAAAGTTACAATAAATTTCTAAGATATGCGCGTTAAAACTGCGCGGTGAAAAAAAAAGGAAGAAAGTCAAAGGAGGAAAAAAACAAAGTCACCTTGATCAAACTGACCAGGAAAACGTTTGGAAATCGGGTATAAAAGTTTTGCTCCTTTCAATAATTTAATTTCTGTTTTTGTTCGTTCATTATGCTGACATTTATAACGTGTTTTTTTAAAGAGTAGCTATGTCTGTGGGCCTACTAACTGGACAATGAATGAACGACCAAGGCGGACCGTCGGGACCGAAGCACCAAGAAACAAGCGTCCTTATTGAAAGATTCACCTTTGCGACTTTTGTTAGGCATAATGTTTATCATTGTAACGCATTTTCAAATTCTAACGCTAAAAATTTTCGCACATGTTAAACTTTCTGAAAACACACGAGTGAAAGCCAGCTATTATTAACGAAGGTCTTAATCAAGCAACAGTAATTTTGAATCGAACGAAGTTTAGTAGACATCAAAATTATTTTCATGCAAGTCATGACGTCACAAAGTGTGCATTTCTTTTTGTTCGAACACATTATATTTGCTGTGTCAATGGGGTAGTCAGCCCGCTTTTTTGTCGCTCTGTAAATTTGAATTTTTTTTACGACTGTATAAGACGCATGATTAGACTACGCTGCATGTTAAAGTAGATCATCGGGATCATTGAAAACAAGGAAAATATGAAAAATCTTAAAACTACAAAAATTCATGGAAATTTTACTAAATTTTTGATGTTTTCTTTTATTGGAGGGTTTTTTTCCCGGATCCACCGGTTTTCCCTCCCATTTCGTTTTGTTTTGCAAAAAAACAGTGTCCACATTTGGAGCCAAGCGAATCATGAATATCGTGAATATTCACGTTTCTTTTTCATTTCTTGGCCTTTGGGTGTATCTCCCAAAACACTGCGTTTATTAAATACAATGGCATACATATAAAAAAATAGGTACGCGATGCATACATGTTGGTAGCCTGCAAGTATGTAGCTACTGAATGAAGCAGATTTGATCAATAGTTTAAATAAAATTATACATTTAATACTACATCATCTTTTCAAAAGTTTTTTTTGAAAAGTTGTTCATGTCGTCTTTTTTAAATATTGTTCATGAATCATGTGGTCTTTTCAAAATGTCGTTTATGTCGTCTCTTTTACAATGGCAATTTATATTCTTGCAATAAGTGGGCTCTAATGTTTAATATAAGTTAACCTTTTACACCCGGAAAATCTATTGCTACTGTTATAATTCGTATGTATTATTACCTAGTTCACTGAATTACCACGCAAAGATATTTGTAACCATTTTGTAACCAGTGATCGTAACCACTTCAAGAAGTTTGATTGAAAAAGAACGTTAAAGTCACGATAACGAAAAAATGGACGGCTGTCTGAAAAATTCGCATAGCAACATGTGAATCGGGTGGTAAACAAGATGGTGCGAAGTAAGTGAGTTCTTGGATTTTAATCACGATTTATAACTAAAATAAATGTGATAGTTCTTTAAGTTTCAGAGGATCTTGTACGTAAAAGAGCAGAACACAATAACTGTGAGTTATCAACACTCGAGGAAGTGTCGTTACATCAGCTCGACATAGAAAGGTAGATCGTAGCTCATCATGGATGGGTATTTAATATTTCCATAATTTCTTAATAGCACATATACATATCCAGCATTTCAAGTGAACGACAAGTTTTTTTTAAAGTAACCATGTTTCGGCATGCTTATGCCATCTTCAGTACAAGGAATGACAATTTTATCTATTTACAGTTATATTTATGTTATTTAAATAAGCATGCCGAAACATGTTTATTTTATATTAACGTTGATATGTCAATTTAAAGAAATACAAACTTGTATTAGCAAAGAGTATGAACAATTGATTTTATTCTAAGTTTTCCCAATCTTTGAGCATGTTTTCACCTGATTTAGACTTGAATTTCTTGATAAAATTTGCCGTGAGCTTAAAATACTTTATCTGCAAAGTAATCTTATCTCTAAGATTGGTAAGTTTTTGCGAAATTGACTTACAGTTTGTTTTGTTTGCTTTTCTTTGCTTCAAAATTCCCGCTAAATTTTAGCTTATTTCTTACAGAAAACGTTGGAAGATTAAAGAAACTAGAATATCTTAATTTGGCATTGAACAATATTGAAATAATCGAGAACTTGGAAGGTACATTGTAATATTGATTTGAAGATCAATTTTCACTTATTACTATTCGTAACATTTTCCAAATGCAAAAACAAATCAATAAATGACTAAAAAGGTGTGTCTTGTTAAGCTCATGACATAATATGTTGTTTATATTGGAGAGTGCTGAAATGAGAGTGTATTTCAATTGAAACTTGTATCCGTCCTTTCAATAAAAATAGTAAATTTTATTATACATCTTTCATATTATACTCATAATCTAGTGATGCAAGCAATATTAAATTTTAAGCAAAGTAAACTTTTTGCACAACTTGTTTTCCTGTTATCTAGGTTGTGAGTCACTGCAAAAATTAGACCTCACTGTGAACTTTGTTGGAAAGTTGACCAGTGTGAAGTGTCTTCAAGCAAACTATCATTTACGTGAAGTGTAAAGTCATGACTTCTTATGACTTTGTTTTGCAGATTGAATAAATCTTCATACTTGGTTTTCTTCAGATACCTAACAGGAAACCCTTGTGCTCAGTTTAATGGATACAGGCAGTATGTTATTGTCACATTACCACAGTTAAAGGTAGTTGCACATATATAGTATCTGATGTATGCATTTAATTCAAGGGCTGAAATCTTGTTCCCAATAATATGAGCAACTATTATATTAAATTGTATTTTTACAACATTCATTTTGTCCTTTTGTATTGCAAAGCCTTTTATTTGTATGAAAGTACACTAAAAGTTTTTTATTTTAAAAAGATCAATTTTTGTAAGAAAGAAAACGTTTTTGCCTCATCAACACCAAATTTGTCAACCTGTTTATGCAACCAATAAACCATGTTTTTTATGTTTATGTGTAGACTTTGGATGGCCGAGAAATAGAGAAATCTGAAAGGATATTAGCAAAACAGGTTAAAAAAACTTTCTCTATCAAAATTGATATGTGTTTGACAAAACTCCATGAAGACAACTTGCGGTTATTTAGACTAAAGCTTGTGATAGGTTTATTAAAAATGTTGAAATGAATTCATGAATGAAAAAAAGAAACTTTCTGTTTTGTTCTTCTGGTCCTTACATAGTATTTTTTTAAACATTTATGCCTGCAATAAGGTGGGCGTTCACCTGACGTTAAACAAAAAAATAAATCCCAATGTATTGGTTCATTGGTATATAAAGTTTGTGGTGCATAAGAAAGGACTGAAAGAACCAAGTTTTTTGTTAACTGCGTTACTCTATACCTAAAAATCACTCCCCTTAATTACCATCTGATCTCTCAAATGAAATAAGAGAAACTATGCTTTTCATCAGGGAAAATTGACCATATGTCTAAGGAAAATATATCTTATCTTTGTTGGTTCTAAGTATCGTTAACAGTTTATAACAAAGAACGAATTATTGTCCAGAACAGAAATACTTGAATGAGGGAGAGAGGGGTTGTTTGCAAATGTTCAACACACTAGAGTCTCACTTTCATGTTACCATACTGTTAGGTTTACGAGAATATCACTCAAGATGTTATTGATCAAGAAAATAAGTACCAAGAAAAGACGGTAGTTGTAATCCTACTCCTAATTATCCGTGGTGTTTTGTTTTTCGCTGGTTTGTGTCTGTTAATGTATTTTGGAATGTTTATTGAATTCCAGGAACAGAAAAGAAAGTTTGACAAAGAAAATAAAGAAAATGAAAAACTCAGGTTCAATGTGAACACACAATAAATTAACAACGATTCAAATCGATTTATTCACTGTAAGTTATAGACTGGAATTTTTTCCACCTGTTTTTCCTTAGAAATGAAGCAACACAAAACGTTGGAGCGGAAAATAATGAAAAAGATGATCAAAGGTACTTTTGTGTAGCTCATAATGCTTCAATGAAGACAATATAGGAAGGTCTTCTTCATTTAATTACGAGTTACGGTTTTTATTGTTGTGGTTTGTTTGTTTTAAACACAAATGAACGCTTGGAGGTTAATTTGTCTTTCATTTTGTCAAAAATTTTGTTGTTTCGTACTCTCTCACAAGCAAACGCTTTTGAATGCAAATCTCCGCGTAAATCAACTTTGTTTATCTTATGAATGAATGGATGGTGTTAATTTGCGTGAGATTACCAAAAAAGCAACAAGAATCTTTTTTACTCTGCCTCGAGTGAAATGGATGAACACTACCTTAACCAGGGCTGCGTTTACGCAACTCGGGTTTATCTTTGCTAAGGTCTGTGGCATTTTTCTTTTGCGTGGGGGCTCTAATCTATTAAACAACTATTTTATCCTGTGATTTTTATCAAGTTGTATTTGCCAAGTTTATTTCTGCTACCGTAAAATAATTTATAAGAACAAAACTGTTAAATTATAGCTGTAGCTATCTCACCATGAGAAAAATATTGCACGATATTTTGTGGAAATTATCAAATTTCTATCATATTTTATTAAAACCAAATCATAATTTTTCAACAATATTGTTGGCTGTTTCTTATTTTTTAAATTTATTACTTATTCATAGTTTTTGGCAAGAGGAAGTCGAATACACTCCCGAGTCTAGGATAGAAATTCACAAACATTTAGAGGAACAGCGGAAAAGGAGAGAACAGACGGACAAACGGTAATGAAGGAAGGGATGTTTTTCCTTTTTTTTGTTTTTTTTTGTCAGGGTTTATGCTTAAAATATGACGATACAAAAAAAAACTAAATTATTAGAGAATCTTTAGGGGTGAAAATACGCCAAAAGAAATAAAATACTTTGCTAGTGATGGACGACCCTTGAACATGAATCGGGGAAAGTAGGTGAACTATTTATAAAATTTTATTAATTCTTATGTCAGTAACTCTCGTCCAATGAAATCTCAACAATATTTATTGATCGTGATGTCATTAACTCTCGTCCAATGAAATCTCAAGTATACATAGTTATTGATTCTGATGTCAATAACTCTCGTCCAATGAAATGCCAACAATAGTTATTAATCATTGGTGTTTTTTATAAAGTACATGTCGTGTTTTAGACTTGATTTCGAGTTTACGGAAGACGAGGAGAACAATGTTTTTATTTTTGATCTATCGTGTCCGAAGTAAGTATTTTGCTTTTACAAAAACATTTTCTCTTCCATTTACGTGGTGGTATTTGACAAGAGCTTATAGCGAGAATTCTTGTACAGTACCTCGTGAGCTTTGTATTTGTAATGTTATGAAAATTTCTCTGAATTCTCAGATATTTGGACACATCATTGATCAACGTTGATCTTCAGACAACTTATCTTCGAGTAAACGTTAAAGGAAAGGTGAGTCTAGACAGCCCTAGCCATACTGTAAACATATGCTCTCCCCCCACCCACTGAGATGCCCGCTTCTTCAATATTCATATTCAGATCATGCAGCTGGCATTACCCGAAGAAATTATGCCTGACTCGAGCACCGCAAAAAGATCTCAAACAACCGGACATCTTGTCTTATCTATGCCGAAGGTAAGGAAAACCAGAGTTTTGTGCAGGGTCTGATGGCGTCATGCTTCTGTGTGATGTAAATCTTATGTTGTCGTGAGTAAGATTCGAGCATGCGCTGATGGTAATTTTTGCAGTAAATTTTTTATAAATGTTGCAGCTGAATGCTGTCGTAAGACCGAAAAGTATGAAACAGAGCTTAGTCAGACCAATGCCTAACCAGAAGAAAATGTCGTCGAGGTGCGTTGCTTTATTACTGTAAAGTTTATGTTCATTTTACGCCATTTCTCTCGCATTCATCAAAATGTCCGAACAATTCTCACTCTTTTTACTCCTTGTAGTCTTTATAATCTGTTGTTTTTCTTTTTTATTTCTTCAGCAGCAGTTCAAATAAGCTTGAAGTCGATCCCAGCGTTCGTAAAGATATGGATTTTAGCAACATTGTAAAAGAGACAAGAAAAGAAGTGTTCACATCATATACATCATCAAAGACACAAAATGAAGACTTTGTTGACAATGCAGATGTTCCCCCGCTCATCTAATTCATCAACCTTCCCTTCTCTTTTCATTTCTCTGGCCTTGACGATCATTTTCATGTTTCATCTACAAGAACTAAGCAAAAAAGATCCGCGATCCAAAATGACTTTATTTCATTCCTTTATCCATTATATTTTGGAACAGTGATGGATCTAGGGAGGATTTTTTACGGGGGGGTGTGTGCTTGGCTTAGTGATTAGCTAAGTTTCGGCGGTTAGAAACCAATTATGTATTAACCTACTCATTATTAATAATTGGTGCTAGATCAACATATTAAATATCATTCATACCTTTTGATAAAAATAAATACCATTGAAAGTCAAAAAACTTTAATGACATAGTCCATAAAAGCTTTTTCCATCAAAATTAGGATAGATTTAAATTTTATTTTTGAAATTTGCACCCCTCTATTCACTCCTGTTGACCATTGCCTACAGAGGTGAGCCCCCCTTTTCATCCCCCCTCTCCGCCCCCGCAACAAATCCACCACTGGTTTAAAAACCTCGTCATTTAGCTGTTTCATTCTTACATTTTAAAACGAACGATTGAACTGATGGAAGGTTCACTTCTGTTTTCTTTTCGTTCTGTAATTTAATTTTCACACGTCTATGTTTAATTCATTAGGTTTGGTTGTTTAAACGTCCAATGGATAATCCATTGAGTTAATCGATTTAATCTTTATCATACAAAGTGTGTTAAGAATCACTCTACTTGTTTTAGTGTACTAGACTAACTAGAGTATAGTTATTCATGGTTTTAGTATACTAGAGTGCAGTTACTCAATTTACCAGGATATTTCACGATAAATGTCAATGTCAATATTGATTTTATTGAAATACATGTTTTCACTCACGGTGAGCGTAAATTTCGCCACTAAACTATTTCCGTGTTTCCGTTGTTTCCGTATTGCTGTTGATCATTATCCGGGTCTCTCAAACATGGCCGCAGCTGCGGGCCAATCAGGCGGGGTTTGTTTATTGGAGGAATTTTGGTTGCACGCGTCGAAGGAAGTGTGTATGCAGCTAGTCAAGAAGGAATATTTGCAGATTTTACCTTATTTTCCCCTTAATTCTATCTCCGTTGGTCTCGCCGATCTTGTAGGCCGTAGAAGGGGAAATAGCTAGGTTGTCTTGCAAAAGGAATGGCAGATATGCCGGAGGTAAGTAACAGTAAAATTGTTGTTTCTTTATGACGAGTCGTTGCGACGATCACTCTGTTGTCACTGTTTGTACAAACATACTCGTTGAATTATGATTGCATTGTCTTGCCTGAAGCGGGCGGCAACGGGGACAAACGCTACGCAAAACAGCACAAGTAGTCATGCAGACCCGTTTCATCGCAAATCACTACGTAAACCGCCGAAAACTGGCCAGAGAAAGCAACAAGGGTCTTCAAAATTTCGTACTCAAGTTAATGTTGAATTACAATCGTTGCCGCTATTAAAAGGTGTGTATATCTTGATGTTATTTGCCTTTGGTTTTCGCGTGTTAGATGTTGTAAAACTTATTATTATTGTTGCCGTCCGTGAAAAATTACTTTTTATATTTTAGAAGCGAACACTGGAGATCAGCAAGAACTTTTTGTCAAAAAATTAAAGCAATGTTGTATTATTTTCGATTTTATGGACCCTGTAAGCGACCTTCGAGGAAAGGAAATCAAACGATCCACGCTCAACGAGCTTGTGGAATACATCACCTCTGGTAGAGGAGTTCTTTCAGAGCCAGTCTATCCCGAAATTGTTAGTACGGTGAGTAAATAGCACTTGTTTTTTTGAAAATTGCATCCGCTAAGAATATGCATTCATAGTATTGTTTTGTTTTCCTGGATGAATAGACAGAGGCAACTCATTGCCAAATAACGCTTTAAAATATGTGTTATTTAAAAACTTTCCATGGAAATCTATTATATTGTTTGCCAAAGATCGTTTTTCATGCGTTTTAACCAGTAGCCTTATATTGAGGAATAAATCGTTTGTGGTGTATATGTTTGGGTATCTGGCGTATTTTCTTTTGATCAACTTCTTTTGCAAAACAGAGGATTTTACTGTTAGATTGCTTTTCTACTTGTCAGAGTTCGCGAGAACCGTTGCAAGGAAACTATTCTGTAAAGTGAGGGAAAGTCGAACAATAAAATGTTTTTAATCTACACTAGGTTAATCAAGAAGCATACGTGAGAAACATTTGTTGTTACAGGACAGATCTTCCTCATTTATTGAAATGTACTTCTGATCAAATTCTACAGACTTCAACTTTCTCAATCATTTCCTTGCTTTTGTAGTTTCATTCCTCCTATTTTTGGTACAGCAAAGCATTCAAAAATGTTTATCTAAAAAATTTGATTCTTTGCACTAAAACACACTCCATTCAAATTCTCATTCATTTATTCTCAAGCAACACTACAACTGGTTAAATATATAAACCAATGTTCCTATCTTTGTACTTTCAACTCAGGGCCATGCAGGTGATTTAAACTTGACTTCTATCCAATGGCAATTCAGAAAAATTTATAGATAAATTTCCTCAAAAAATTAATGCAAAATAGTTTGACTGCATGTCATACTCAACTGTTTTTGATGCAATAAAATTAGTTGAGAGTCAAAATTAACTGCAATCTATTGAAATGTTTACATATTTTATTTTTTTTGAGCTCAATTATCAAATTTTTCAGGTTGCATGTAATATATTCCGAACACTTCCTCCATCAGAGAATCCTGACTTTGACCCAGATGAAGATGACCCTACTTTAGAAGCATCATGGCCCCATCTTCAGGTAGTTCTATCACTATTTATATTCCAGCATGCACCAGTCTCTCTTTCCCACTTGGTAGGTACTAGTCCCTTCCTCCTAATAGAGACCAGTCTCTACCTAATTTGTTGTAGATATCTATCTATACATATTTTTCAAGTACCCATCCTTATATACCTCTTGTTAGCTACCAGTCCTCTCTTACCAACCCTTTATCATCTGTTATCATTGTCACATTTTTTGTTTGATCCATCTTTTTGTTATCATTGTCATATTTTTTGTATAATCCATCTTTTAGATTGTCTACGAATTCTTCCTTCGATTTCTTGAGTCCCCAGAGTTTCAACCAACAATTGCCAAAAAGTTTATCGATCAAAAATTTGTCCTACAGGTTAGTTCAATAACCTGTGCATATGATTACCAAGAATTCTGTTTTTATGTCTCATCTTTGTTTTATTGTAGCTGCTGGACCTGTTTGATAGCGAGGACCCAAGGGAAAGGGATTTTTTGAAAACTGTCCTACATAGGATATATGGAAAATTTCTTGGTCTTCGAGCATTCATTCGCAAACAAATCAATCACATTTTCTTGAAGTATGTTTAATTTAATTTTGCATGTTTAATAAATTAAGATAATGCATTTTAAGTCAAGATTGTTGTCTGATACAATCACTTTCTATGCCATTTTCCTCAGGTTTATTTATGAAACTGAACATTTTAATGGTGTTGGTGAACTGTTAGAAATTTTAGGCAGGTATGTCAGAAATTTTTCTTGTTTAGACCGTAACACAAGTTGATAAAGAAAGTTTGACGTTCTTTGAACTCTGCTTGTTAAACACTACAGAGCTATGAGCTTGCAATAATGGCTGTGCTGTATAAATTTCAGATCATAATCGTTATTCATTTCTTTAGAAATCTGTTATTTATACAGCAAGTGAACACCAAAATACTCAAATAAAACTATCTTTAATCAGTGCTACAAAATAAAGATAATTTCATCTATGATTTTAATGTTGTATGATGATAAAAAATTGATGTTGTCTGATGAAATAAATGTAGGAATGATATCAGTAAGAATCATCATCTAAATTTCTGCAATTTATTTTTCTTTTATTTTATTATTAGCATAATTAATGGTTTTGCATTGCCATTGAAAGTGGAGCATAAGCAATTCTTAAATAAAGTACTTATCCCATTGCACAAAGTTCGATGTCTTGGACTTTATCATGCTCAGGTGAGTTTGTGAAAATCTTTACAGTGTTGAATCAAAAATTTATTTGATTTATGAATAATGTAACTACATCTGTCATTGACCTTTGTAGCTAGCATACTGTGTGGTACAGTTTCTGGAGAAAGATGCTGCTTTGACTGAACAAGTAATTTTTCTTTGAGAGTTTTTCTCAGTTACTTTAACAATGTGTATTTCAAGTACATATGATTAAATGTCAAAGTGAAGTGGAAGTGTACTGAGACTGGTGGTATTTGTTGCATGCTGCTTACCAAATACATTGTTATTAACGATAGGTTTTAAATAGAAACCATTTTGACCACAAAGCAATTAAAAATATGATATTTGTTGATTTTTTTAAGGTGATCAAGGGCTTGTTACGATATTGGCCAAAAACAAGCAGTCAAAAAGAGGTGAACAATTGAATTTCATGGAGCATTCCTATTATAGAGAGAGTTTAATTTAAATATATTCTATTCTGCTTTACTTGTCCTTTATAAATACTGCCATAATATGTTCACAGCTAAGATTTTCTTAACTCTGCCTCATAATATCCTAAATCAAGACAATAGCACATGTTTATCAGTGAAAGGAAACTAAAAAACTTGAAGAAAACCTATGTCTTTCTACATCATGCAGTCTTGGATATCTGAGATGCAAAAGACATACTTTTATTGCTGTTGCAATGAACTACTATCGAACTTAAAGTACCCCTATCAGCAAAGTTTTTTATTGGTGTTATTATAACTAGGTCTGATTTCTAGTTTATTTTAAAAGAATTTTTCATTTTGGTATAACTGTCCTCTTTTTAATTTGGTTTAAAGTTGTATATCAATGAACCTTGTCTGTTGTAGCTTGAAGTCTGGGTCTAGCCAAATTCTGATGTCATCCAAGGTAGTTGTTGCAAGTATTTTGTATCGACGAGTCCCTTGGATGATGTCATAAATACAAGTATTTCCAGAATTTTCTGAAGACGGACAAGGTCCATAAAAAAAAACATTTCTTGCCAACTTTAAACCAACATAAAAATGGAACGATTGGACCAAATTAAAAACTTTTTTACTGATGTTTTAGAAATCACACCTAGATTTTATGTCTCAATTAACAGATTTTGGTGAAAGAGACACTTTAATCTTTGGATGTTTTAGTCGATTGATGGTGAAATTTCTTTGTTTGTGGATTGAGTATTAGTTGTTTAGTCTTAGGGTTTCTCCATTTTTAGGTGATGTATCTTGGTGAAATTGAAGAAATTCTTGATGTAATCGAACCACAACAATTTATCAAAGTACAGGCACCTCTTTTTAAACAAATTGCAAGATGTGTGTCAAGTCCACATTTTCAGGTAAGAATTTCAACGAAGGTAATTTAATAGCAGTTAAATATTCTTATGTGAAGTAACCACGTTATTATGTGGTTTTATGTAGGTTGCTGAACGAGCTTTGTATTTTTGGAATAATGAATACATAATGAGTCTGATCGAGGAAAATTCTGATGTCGTTCTACCAATAATGTTTAACAGTTTATACAGAATATCCAAGGATCATTGGAACCAGTGAGTTTCCTTTGAAATATTTTTCATTTTCTGCTAGTCAGTTAAAATAAGAAAACTCTTCAGTTAAGGGGCGAAAAGATTTTTTCAAACCATCCACTAATTATTGAAATCCTCAGTGACCAACTATTGCAGCTTATTTCATTTCTCGAATTTCATTCCATGTTTTGCGGAATACCGGATAGCTGGGCTTATGAAAATTGTTTTCGTTACGTACAGAGCAAAAGAATTTTCGATTATAAAGTATATGGTTGAAATATATATTATTTGGTTTAAAACATATTTCTGACAACTACAGGCAATTTTCGTCTCTGTTTGTTTAAAGGTTTATTCAAACTTACATATGCATAACACGAAATTAGGTGGAGAGCGAAAGATACGAATGCAAATTATCATTGAAGGGGTTGAAACATCAATGCAGGTGTGAGGGAGGAGGGAGTGAAAAACGAATATCAACTTTGGGAAAAGCAGATCAAATACGTGTTTGGGATTTCCCGATCTAATGCCATTTGAAAATTTGTAATAAGGCTTTTTCAACCTTTTTAGAACGATCGTAGCGTTGGTTTATAATGTTTTAAAGACGTTCATGGATATGAACAGTAAATTATTTGATGATCTCACTTCATCATACAAGGCCGATAGACAGAAGTGAGTGCTGAATTAGTTGTTAATGTTTGGTTAAAATTCCAATTTTTCAATTCTTTCAACACTTACATTCTTTAACTTTTCATACCTTAAGTAAACGTTTCGTTTCAAACTGTAATTCCATGCCTCATACTTCAATCTTCATTCCATCTTCAAAGTTTCTTTCCATTCTTCAAAGTTTCATTCTATTCTTCAAAGTTTCATTCATCTTCAAAGTTTCATTCCATGTTCAAAGTTTCATTCCATTCTTCAAAGTTTCATTCTATTCTTCAAAGTTTCATTCATCTTCAAAGTTTCATTCCATGTTCAAAGTTTCATTCCATTCTTCAAAGTTTCATTCTATTCTTCAAAGTTTCATTCTATTCTTCAAAGTTTCATTCCATCTTCAAAGTTTCATTCTATTCTTCAAAGTTTCGTTCCATTCTTCAAAGTTTCATTCCATTCTTCTAAGTTTCATTCCATTCTTCAAAGTTTTATTGTAGTATTCTTCAAAGTTTCATTCCATCTTCAAAGTTTCATTCCATTCTTCAAAGTTTCATTCCATTCTTCAAAGTTTCATTCCATTCTTCAAAGTTTCATTCCATTCTTCAAAGTTTTATTCTATTCTTCAAAGTTTCATTTCATTCTTTAAAGTTTTATTCCATCTTCAAAGTGTCATTCCATTCTTCAAAGTTTTATTCTATTCTTCAAAGTTTCATTCCATTCTTCAAAGTTTCATTCCATCTTCAAAGTTTCATTTCATTCTTCAAAGTTTCATTCCATCTTCAAAGTTTCATTCCATTCTTCAAAGTTTTATTCCATTCTTCAAAGTGTCATTCCATCTTCAAAGTTTCATTTCATCCTTCAAAATGTCATTCCATTCTTCAAAGTTTTATTCTATTCTTCAAAGTTTCATTCCATCTTCAAAGTTTCATTCCATTCTTCAAAGTTTCATTCCATCTTCAAAGTTTCATTCCATTCTTCAAAGTTTCTTTCCATTCTTCAAAGTTTCAATCCATCTTCAAAGTTTCATTCCATTCTTCAAAGTTTTATTCTATTCAAAGTTTCATTCCATTCTTCGAAGTTTCATTCCATCTTCAAAGTTTCATTCTATTCTTCAAAGTTTCATTCCATTCTTCAAAGTTTTATTCTATTCCTCAAAGTTTCATTCCATTCTTCAAAGTTTCATTCCATTCTTCAAAGTTTCATTCCATTCTTCAAAGTTTCATTCCATTCTTTAATGTTTTATTCCACGAGTCAATTTTCCGTTCCATCGTTTAACGTTTGATCTCATCCTTCAATTTTTCATTGCATCTTCAATCTTTTCATCTTTCCTTCAATTTTTTATTACGTTCCTCCATATTTTTGTTCCACTGTTGTGCATTGTGTATCAGTATCAAAAAATGCGTTACAAACGTATTCTTATGGCTTTCAGAGAGAAAAGGAAAGAGAAAGAAAGGGAGGAATTATGGAAATCTTTAGAACAATTAGAGATTGATCATAAAATGAAGCGAAACTTTTCATCGTCTAAAACGACAGACGAGAACGTCACGATTGCTAGTGATGCTGCGCCCGAAGTAGCACCGTCCGAGGATGATTGTACAGCCTGAAGTTGAATACCTGAAATATGTAAAAATATCAGTTATTGAGAGATTGGTCGTGTCATTCGCCGGATGTTGTCATTTCGAGCGAGAATACGAACATTGCTCTCGAAATCCGAAAGCGAGTGGTAATTAGCATAATTTTACGCTGGACGCAAACGAACCAACAAACCGCGCGTGCGCGGTCACCTCAATTTTTAGAGATGGATACGTAAATATATATATGAAAAAGTTGTTTGCCTGCACGCAGGTTGTACTTAATTTAGGTGTAAATTACAAAGTCTAACATGATTTCAGAGCTGTTGTAAATACAAGCATGTTGTTCTTGAAATATGATTGAAGGATTCTGAATGCACTTAATCAGATATGCTACCGTCAATCTCACTTCTGTATTTGTTGAATTGTGTGGACAAAATAATATGATTTTCCTCCAATTTTATTAATCTTTGATCTTTGACAAATCAACAGGAAAAACGGAACGGGTTGAAGCAAATTATTTCATTAGAAACCACGGGAAGCTTGCTTTTGCTTTAGGCACACACAACACGCAAGACAACGATCACTTAATACTTCTTTAGATGCACTCTACGATTTCTCTGAGTAACCGTCTTAGTTGCGCTAGAAAGGTCAGTTCCATTTTGGTCTTCCTTTTCTGAAATGGTGTAAGAAAATTCTTTAACTTGTGCACAACACACGAAGAAAGATAATTTCTCATTATTTAAAGCAGGAAGCACAGGGAATATGAGGATTTGTCCAAACCTGAAAAAAACATTAGCATTTGTATAATATTTAGCTAATCTTTTTCCAACGAAACAAAGCCTTCGACCTTTCCCCAGGCACATTCAAGTCGTTAATTGGACGGAATATCCAAATAGAATAGTGATGAAGGATAATTCGTAGGCAGACATCACAAAGACTCTTATGTAATTTGCAGAAATTTAAATATAATCATAAAGGATGTTTATTCAATGTCCACGACTTTACGACTTCCTGACTCATAGAAAAATTCTAACCCCGCTTTCATGTACGCGATCCTGTATTTAATGCGAAACTACGACACTGGTACCTTGAATACTACCTGCAATTCGGTTACTCGACCATTTTGTTGCAAATTTGGACTTGCTTGGCTGCAACGGCTGAGATTGATATTGCAAGCAGAAGGAGGAAGCAATTTACTTATTTAATCAAATCGTTCTCTTTGACTTTCTTCGCTATTTGTCATCTTGATTTGAACGCTGGACAAGAGCAAACACGTCAAAGGTATGAAAGAATTGAAACGTTAACATCGCTCGGTTGACATGTGACAAATGTGAAGTTTGTATGGGCCCAGTTATGTTTATTATATAAAGACTGTTTTTTAAAACAACGCCTAGAGTAAGTGCAAACTTTGGGTGATGTTATCACAATCACAAAGAGATTTTGTTTCATAATTTTCATTTGGAGCTTGTTCCATGCATGCAAAAATGAAAAACATACATGTGGTAGAACTATGGACTTATAGTGCGCAAGACAATCTTGTGTTCTTGTTGTGAAACTATACTTATTCACAACGTGAAACTCGTTGCTCAATACGCTTACGAAATGAATTACAACTCAGCCTCATTCTGAGTCATGAGCAAAGTTTATCAAAAATATTGTGAAATTTTAAAACCATTTAACAGACGATTTTCATACGAAAGCCGAACATAAAAAAGATGGATTAATTTGTTCACATCGCTGACGCTTCACTCAAAACTCACACACACACAGTAAGTGCAGCTTAGTGTTCGATTAAGTACTTTCAGCTTTGTGATAATTGGTTGGATGATGTTAATCGGTAAATATTTACAAAACAGCATTTGCACAAACTGTTAGCCATTATATTTAGAGCAAATGTTGGAGACTTGGAGGGGAACTTTCGGTTTGTAGTGTAGTACGTCTTTGACCTTGGCTCTTTTAAATTGTGTATATTTAATGAATCATACATACCGGAAAGTTCTCGCTTTTACCAACTTTTTAATAATATGAGTGATTTAACAACTTGCGTTAATGTTATCATCAGACTAACCATGCTTGCATGTGAAAAGTCTTGAAAATGTGATAACAGTGTGCAAAAGGTCTACTGAAAAAAAACCACTGACTGACTGCAAAACACCTCAGCTTAGGTTAAAACTTTCCTCTGTTATAAAGTATATGTTCATCGTCAGGGAGCTTGTTGTTGCTTTTAGAAAATGCAACTACAACTGAGAGATTTTTTGTTTTGAAATATGACATTTTAGAGTCCTTGGTTAGTATGTCTGCTATGCATGTCTGAGAATTGCACAATACGCTTGAAATGCTATTTATTTGTTGCATTCTATTTACAGCATGCATGTGCAGAAACTGCATTTATTGACGTTATAGCACCTTGCATAATGACCATTGCAGAATGTGCTAGTAAAACTTATACGTTCACAGATGTTTAGAATTATAATAGACAAAGGTCACGTGAACATTCACATTCAATGTGTTCGGAGCAGCCTGGAAAATATATAGTCTTTGCTTGATGTCGTATTCTCTTGGCATGGGGGTGAAGTGCAAGAATGTCAAAACAATGATAAATTCGTTGAAAAGGAACTTTAAGAATTCCAGTTATTCCGGGGCGGTCACGAAATGAGTGTCTGCTATGGTTCTTGTTACAATATCACGACCTTGGAGATTAGAAACTTATAATCGTTTTCTACGTTGAAATAACCGTGTCTAAGCTTTGAAGTTTTTTCGCCATCGAAGATCCGCAGGGTCAACACACTTTGCAAGCAAGTGTAAGCTTTGGAAACTTTTAAATTCCATAAAAGGCCGTCCAACTTACTTATGTAAGTACCATTATATGCAACTGTTTCCCGCCTCGCTTTGTGCAGTTTGTTCACGTTTCAAACAGCTGTTGTAAAAGCGTTGCGTGTTTTAGTATTTTGTAGCGTTTGCAATGCAAAAATGGCTACGGGTGATTTATAAGTACGATCCATAATGGTCGTCAACAATTAGCTTCGCGTGTTTTTACAAAGAGAGAAGTTTATGTATGTATTCGGCTGGCGTAACAGGTGATGCAACTTCCTTGTAGCGAAAGTCATCAAAGTTTGCATTCAATAGATATTAAGGTAAAACGCAAATCCTGCAATGACGTTAAGCAATTTAAAGTTATGTGTTGCTATATATTATGTTGGCAACCCTCAGTCTCGGGAGAAACTAATAAGGCCAATATTTCTGTTACTTAGCAACCATGCAAGATTTTGTTCAAAAGACTTTTCCGTTTTCATTCAACGAATAAAAGACTGCCGAAAATTGCGCACTGACAAAATTTTATGCTTATTAACAGGAATGTCCCTGGTTAAAAATGCTGCCAGCATGTTATTAAATGGATATAGAATTATTTGTATCGTATGTTAGTTGTGTATCATTTCGTTTATCTAACGCCCACAAACGTCAAATGACGAAGGCTTTAATGTAGAATGTTGCTCAGTTTGTAGTGACATTGACGATTTGCAATCAGTGAAGAATTTTTGTATCAAATTTTAACAGCTTTCCTGTAAGCTTCAATTTTCTCAAGCCTTTGCACACATTTCCGCTGACGAAATAACGTGTAAATCTTTATCTGTCAAATCCCCTCTATAATGAACCATGATATATTTGTCATTTATGAGAAAAGTTATCTGAATATCCTATATCCGTAGAGTGGTCTTATCACTATCAACCAATAACGTTAAACCATACGTGGTGGTACTGCACTGCATCATGGTTAACAAACTTCTCACCCCCCACTTTGCATAGTCAACATTCTTCGATATCGATGCAGTGATTGTTCTTGCAATTTTGCAAATGGGCATTAAGCCAATTGTCTAGAAGTTACTTTCACCTCAGTCTGTTTTGAAAGTTGCAATGCGGCAGCTTTATCATTTGTTATATGTCTTAAATGGTTTTATCATTTTTTCACAGCCTTCGTAGAACAATCCAATGTCCAATATTACGCTTTCTTACCTAACCCTTTCTTACCTAGCCCATAACAAGGGCTAGGTAAGAAAGGGTTTCCTTATGAGGAAAACAATGCGACAGCGAACGACTTTCCAATTCTCCTTATGAGGAAAACAATGCGACAGCGAACGGCTTAGAGTGTAATCAAATGCAATTGTTTGTTGGGATTGTTTCCTTGACGATTGCACACTTTATTTAACTCAGTGTGTAGCAAGTACAAGCGATCCTGTCATCTGGTACCGACAATAGTACCGACCCAAAACTTCATATTAAGCAAGCATTGTATGAAATTTTCATCTTTTGTAACACAATGCACGCTGGTGTTTGTAGGGCTTTGACTTTCAGGAAAGAGGAAGAAAAACTCATGCATGTTGATGTTAACAAATTTAAATAACCCCCTCCCTCGCCGCATTTTCTAGCATCCCTGTTTCAGTAATGAGTTTGGCCAATTGCCATTCAGCAAAATAACAACCCTATGTGTTTTTTCAAAGCACAAAAATTTATATTTGTGTTTGCAATGTCTATTTTCAAATCCTGGACGTGGTCGTGATAAAGATTCTTTTCAAACAAACTCGATCATGACAACGAACGTCTCAAATTTCTCTAACTACTCAGTCGTTCGTCCCGTCAACCTTGTACTCGCTGATTTTTCATAATTAGATTTACTGAAGTTTCCATTTGTTATTTTCCAACAGGCAAGGAATAATACGCCATAACTTGTTTCCTGATTTATCGGCCCAAGCTTAATTGCCTTTATATAAATTGCTACAAATTGAAGGAATTAGTGTTGCAGACATTTATAATGACGTCAAACATGCTGCAAATACCCAGATTTATTTCATCCAATCAGCGCTCATCAGACCACGATGACGCCGAATAAAACCAATTTCTGGATCGTGTCAGATGAAATATAATCCCTGTAATCAATCGAGACCGTTGAAGGTCAAGAAAAAACGTGAAACAAGGACGTTGCACACCAAGCAAGTAGCTATTCTTCCTCGAAAAGGGACGGCTAATTAAAAAAAAAGTAAATGAAATGTTTTTTAAATGACGATATTGTCTAATAATTCTATGCATTTTGCAATTGCAAGGCGGTTGCTGTGCAGCGCAAATAACAACGTTTCCGCCCATGCATTAACCCACCCTAGTAATTAATTTTCCGACGCAACGATTGGCCAATTTGCTAAGTGCCCACGAATTACGTCAGGGTACAAACTCATTCAGCGAGAGTTGCGTTGCGTCTGTTGATATTCTGCAAAATAATGAGTCTAGAAAGCGATAGCGATATTGTCCGGCAGATTTGTGCAAAACAATTGATTTCCTAAGGCTTAGCCAGAGAATTTTAAGTCAATTCAACGTGGAAACAATAAATTTCGACTTTGTAACGCTGTGAGCGAGAACTGTTGGCGATTTTTAAAGGTATGTGTGTAAGTGTAGAGTGCTACGTTTTCGGTATTGATGAATTCTGGACAATTATTTTGTCTGTAGTAAGTAAAAGCGTTTTCCGAATTCATTTCGCTTTTGAAGGTAGTCCAAGATGTTAAATATTATGTCAATTTCATATTGTAAGAATTGTTTCTGTTATTATTGTAATGAAACTTGTTGCAGTGAAGCAAGATGTGAGAAATTTTCTATGCATGGACACCATTTCCGTTTTCTCTCTGTGTCAGATCTTACAGGCCAAAACAACACGTGCGCCTTGTTACCATCTAAATGTCGCATTTATCTGCATTTTCTGTTCTCCAATGTCGCAAGTACATTATAGTATTGCGTTAAAACTGTTTAACCGCATTCAGAGGCTTCCACGTATCTGTTGAGGAGAAAACTTTGGCAGATATTTGTTATGTACTCGCTACACAATCGAATATGCCACGAGAACCGCAAAAATGTGTTGCAAAACATTAGAAAGACTTTTGGATGACTATTGCAATTCCGGTACTTGCAACTGAACGTGAAGTGTCGTTTTTGGTTTTGACAAGAAATACCTGAATTAACTATTTTAGGTTACATGAAATGTGTATTAACTGAAATGTCAACATAAACACCAGGTGAATTACTTCTTTACGAAAATATTTCGCTTATAGTATGTGTCAAATTAGTTTTCATTTGCAACTATTAAACCGCAATTTTATATTGTGGCCAGGAAGTCAAGAATATGTAAACTAGTATTCGAAGCAATTTTTGCGAACAAAGTTGACTCTGAGCACGGTATGTATTAATCGCTTTCCCACGCATTGCACATATGTGGCGCGACACGTATGTTGAAATAGTTTCCGTGCTGGGAAGAAGTAACATGCCTTAGCAAGCCGTGATTGTTTACTTGTATTTTAACATGTGTCTTCTTGTGTCATGTATAGGCTCTTCTTGACAGCTCAGTACGGTCGATTTTATACTCATTGAATTGTATGTGAATTTCCGTATGGATGTCAGTTTCCCGCCTACAGAAAGTTATCAGTCTGAAAGCCCTGCAAGACTGAGCGAAGAGGTCGTTCATTCGCTCTACGCAGATGAACTGCCTAACAAGAGAATGATAACATCTCGTGTAGAGCAACGTTCCAATTTAGCAGAGACTGTGAGCTTCGAGAATAACATTATGTTAAATCCAGAAGATATAACGAAAGCCGCTCCGCGCAACATGAAAGACGACAGAGAATTCTACAAAGCCTTTGGTAATAGTAAAATGTCAAAGTTTGGTGTTGGAAAAATTGGATTGCAAAAAGGCTACGGTTATGAAACTATTCGTGAAATGGATGGCCCCTCCAAGAACTCCACGCCAGAAGCTCGAACGTCCGTCATAAGAGAGATGTCCAGCACTCGACCGCAATTCTCAGACAGCCATACGTCCATAAACGATAGAGATATGGAATCTGGTGAATACCCAAGTCTACGATGTTACGAGAAAGTTGAGTCAGAAAAAAATGATATTGCTTCAAGAAATCTACGTATTATGCAAAAGGAAAGTGTTACAACGCAACCAGATACCATGGGTCAAAGGTTTTCTGATAAACATTTTCGTACCTCAATTTCTGGTAATCATGCGTTTCAGATGTCCAGCATCGAAACGAGGCCCACGAATCAATCGTATTTTCCGCATACAATGTCTCATGCAACTTATCGTGTGCAACTCCCCCCCGAATTTGATTCTCGTTCTGAGGGCCGGGGAAACCATTATATATATGATGGTTCTGGTCATGCGTTAGCGTCGTCTGTTATGAGTTACGGTGGTTTAACCTCAAACTATATCGCAGATGGAAAGTTTATGCAAAATCATGTCGAACGACCTAGAGGTAACCCTGGACTTGGTTTATTTGATGGCAGACCTCCTGTATCTAGCGAAAGTCTGCAGAAAGTGAAAAACATGCCTCAAGAACAGGACAGCATTAAAATTAACGGTGAGCTGAAAATTTGTTAAAGCACTTTTCAATAGCTGTAATTTGAGTTTTCTTTGATGTAGGTGTTGTGTTTCAGGCTGTTGACATTTGATTTGGCAAAGTTTTCAATGGATTGGCAATATTTTGTTTATTTCCGCGGCAGTCATTCACTATTGTCCGCTTTCCCTTTTATTTTGAAGCATTTTGGCCGAATTTCAAACATTAGTTTGTTTATTGTTAGGAGTTCACATAACTTGCTCAATAAAAACAGTACCTAATTTACGAAGTACGATGTTTGTAATGTAAAACAGTTTTGGAATTGATTGGGTTACTAATTTTGCGTTGCTGTTTGTGTTCAGTAGAGAGAGATGCAAAATATTGAAGAACGGAAGTTCATCAAAAGTCTTTTGAATCTTTCCTTTGTCCTTTTTGGCGAAGTATCATGCATTGATTTGCATACGCGTTTTTGAAAATCGTTAATTTCGGTGTATTGGTCAATCACGTTTTCATGTTAAGGCTGTTGAACAAAGAGGAACACATTACATGGATTAAGCTCTGTTTACGCATCGCATAGATTTTTGTTTGCACCAGGAAAACTTTTACGAATTTCATTTTTTTAACTTGTTTTAAAGAAAGCCGGTCTTACCTTATTTCATACCCTGTCAAGTATTGAATGCAACGCGAATGAGTAGCGAAGCTTATTTTTCATAATTTATTTGCGGGAGAACGGAGCTAGGTATTTATTGCGACGCTTGTTGCAAATTATCACCAGCAAGAATATTTGAGCATATATTTGAAAGCTATCAGTTTGACGAATAAGGTCGTTTTTGGTCAATATTTTCATTTTATTGAAAAGCGAGAAAGTATTGAAAGCCATCTTTTATCGTGTTCTAACTTTGTGCGAGATTTTTACCTTGCACTTTTTTGAATAGATAAATTGATTTAGTTTTTCAATTTTGTTTCGATTGAAAATGGAAATGCACCCATAATTTATGTATTCACTTGCAAAGTTCCAAAGGATGATGCATTTATTGAGCAATCGATTCACTCCGAATTTTTCCTTGGGAAATAAATTATTCATTATCTGTATAGGAAGGCTAAAAATTTGTTTTGGTTTTTGCAGCAAGAGAGTCCACCATCTCAAAAACTGTTGAAGAAAAGAAGTCCAATGGGCAAGGTTTCCTGGAACAAGAGTCAATGACACATGGAAGTAAGGTTTTGAAAGGAGAGAATAGACAGATAGAAGACAGCAAGATGGCAAAAGGCAAAAGAGGTGTTAGTGGAAAAACAGATGGCTCCGTTGAGTGCCAGCAATGTCGCAAGAAGTTTGGTAGCTCTAGTGCATTGGCAAAACATAAAGCCACACATAGTGATGAGCGCAAGTACATCTGTCACATTTGTGAAAAAGGATTCAAAAGACAAGATCACTTGTGAGTATTCAAGATTTTCATATATAATATGCTAGAAAATTGTCTGTTGCATTCCGGTAAATCTTACTTTTCTTTGTATGTATGATAATAAAGAATACATACATGTATGAGCACATGTGGTATGCTTCAGTTTGCAAAAATGACCAACAAAATGCATTGTGTTTGAAGATAATTGCTTTTTTCTAATCCTTAATTTGGTCATTCATTGTCAGTGCACAATGAAGAAATCTCTAGTGTGTTTTACAGTTGAAATTTTGTTAGAATTATTAATTGTTATCACTCATAGCTTACCTTGGGGCATAGTCCATGTATGAATGCCTGCAGACAACTACACCCCCGGGCCTCAATTATATAAATGTGTTTTCCTTGGTTATGCCTTTGCCTGTTGATAAGTTACGACAACAACGTTGAAAAACACCGTTTTGCTTCATGAAATTTTTATCTGCCTATAATTTCATCCGTATTTGCCTTTTAAAACACGTCGCTATGCTCAATTGAGTGCGAAATTGCGAAGCACTGTATGCGGAGAAAGGAAACTCCCTTAAATTTTTATTGCTAATTATAGATGGATTTATAAGATATTCTTTTGAACTTAAACGACAAATAAAAACTCTCAATTTAGTCATGTGACGTCAATGATGTGGTCAACCTTTGTTGCGCTTAAGTTGAGGATAGCGACAACGAGTTAGTTGTGGAAGACAATAGATTATTTGGTATTCAACGAAATTGAATGAAAAACATGTTGGTATTTTTTGTAAAACCCTTCTTCTTACCTCCTCTTACGATAATGTAAAAGTATGAGGACATTTATGGAAGGGAAAAGAAAGGGACAGCCAGCTTCGTATTTAAAGCATTCCATTGGTTCTAATCATCGCTGGCTTGACGACATTTTCAGAGAACTTCCTTTCAATAAAAAAAACATATCATCAGAGGATCTTTAATATGTGCAAATTGTGGTGTTAACAATTATGATAAGACTTTTGCGAGGTTAATGTTGTAAGTTTAGTTTAACATTTTTGTCTTGAGACCATTAAAGTTAGATACAGATAGAGGTTAATCAAGAAGCCACAATAACCACGTATATTAAGATGGTCTTCACTTTTAGTTTGAAGTAAATTTATTGTTTTTGGCTGAGCTCTCATGAAGATAATATAGCTAAACCATTTCGAAGACACTCGGGCAGAATTAAACAACACAATTTAAAAATTTCTTCCATCTTAGTTTCTTAACCGTCACGTACAACTAGACAAGTAATGGTCCGCAAAGTAGATCATTGAGATTATTGGTGCTTTTTGATTGTGTAGAAATGGACATTTGATGACACATCGAGATAAAAAACCCTTTGAATGTCAGTACTGCGAAAAAAGTTACTGCGATCATAGATCCTTGAAGAGACACTACGAAAATTATCATCCCAATCAAGATCGTGTTAAAGTAAACCCTGCGCCATCTCACCGAGCGAACACGGAGATATTACGCCCGGTTCAAATCGAGGGAAGATTCACACCTGAAAAAGATGAAATTCGTTGCAGTCCTATGGATCCTAAGTTCGATCTTCAACGTAAAGAGAAGTTTGTCCGTAAACGAAACAGCGATAGTATGTGTTCCAACAACTCTGATGATATTGCTAGACGCGCCGATAACGAATCTCCGCGACTTGTTTTTGACAATTCACAAACGGCCATTGGAATGTTGAAACAGGTCATCGAATCTCACGAGCAAAATAAAGAGAAAAATATGGTTGAGGGTTACCCTCGATCTGGGTATTACCAGTATCCAGACCCACAGAGATGGCTCATTCCCTATCATCAAGCTCATATGATGAAGCTCATGCAAATGAACCAACCTCCTATACTGGTACAGCATGGCAATATTCCTCCAATGAACCCATATTGTTCCACTGATCCTCCACAACTTGTTCCTATCTATCATCCTGTGAACCAGAAGCATCCTTCGAACGAACCTCTTCATGATGATAACGGAACGAGAAAGGGGGATGATGAGGTTTATGAATGTATCCGAGAAACTGCTATTCCTACTGATCCCACGTCCGTGGCCATCATCAATGCAAAAGAGGATCAGGATGTCTCTACAAGACATTTGCAGTTAAAGGATGACTATCCTCGCGAGTTCCCACATTCAATGCAATGGAAAACTGTAAGTATTATTTTACGTTGTTTATATGTAAGTACTGTTTTATGCAAACTCGGTAAAGATGTACGTAATGATTGCGTGCTTGGTCGTGATGTGTACGTAAATATTTATGATTAATTCTGACTGGCTTCCCATAAGATGGAATTGCCATCTTATTTTGCAATTTTTCTGGTGTTCTTTCTAAAGGGAAGTTTTTACAACAGCATTTTTCATGTTCAATTTTTGGATATGAAAATGCTGTTATGACGTGTGATATTAATGTCATAAGTGCGATGTACACTTACCCGGAATTTTTTCTTTCTGAAAAAACCGGGTTGGCAAAGAAGATGAAATGTTTTCAGGTTGTCGGTTGTGTTTGCTAGCTTTGTGTGTGTGTGGGGTGGGAGAGAGGAGGAGAGTTGAAGGGAGTTAAATTTTGTCATAGTCTTACTAACGTGATAAAATGACGTTTCCGCTTTCCATTTAAGCTTGTGTCGAGAATATAGTTATAACTACAGGTTGTCAAGGTGAAGCAAGTGTTGACTTCCTTTCTTATTTTGCGGTTAGAGTTAAATTCGACAGTTACTGGGGGGTATTCTCGTGGTTGGTTGTTTTCGTCCGCCAATCGTTAACTTATGTGAAGAAGTTAAAGTGCTTCAACATTCATGCTTTAGTATTGTCTTATAACTAGGTAAAAAATTGCTTTCAACAGCAATAGTTATTATATACAGGATATCAATGTATTTACATAGCATGCTCTGATTTCCGCTTGGTCAAAAAAAGATCAGATTAGACTAAAATTAGACCTGACCACGGTGTGACTTTGTATTGTTGTGGTGTAATGACCTTGATTAGCCGGAAGTTCGTCATCGACTGTCGTCATTCTACGAATAAGATTTCCAAATTGTTTCGTTTGCTTTTCCCTGTGAAATGCTTGTTTTCAAGTTCACATTTCATAAAACCCTTGATGTGTGGATTATATAGGAGATTGGGAGCCAAAAATCAAATTTTCAATACAATTGTAAAATCAATAGTAAACGAGCCTGCAAAATATATATTGAAGACTGACATTCAACCTTGTTTCCAATTCGGCTATTAACTTTTCTTATTTTACGATATTGGCGACACAGTGTTGGTCTTTTACCATTATAGCCAGGTGTCGTTACCTCTAGCTTGTAGTAGTCTGATAACACATTCTCATTGGTTTAATATTAGTCAATCACCACTCTGATTGGTCCGAACTTGACTTCTTTGAACCTTTTTGTTTACATATGAAAATTGACTTCGTAGTTAAACCCGGTGGCGCAAATTCTCATCGCGACGTCTCTTTCTCTTTGCTTTCCCGTTTATTTTGTTTGAAATTTGATCGAAAGGTTCAAGTCCTTGATAGCTGGATATTTCTGCGGTATCTTAAAGCAAGCATACTTTAAATGCAAGCAATTTACTTGGCCTTGCATTGCAAGAACAGGTTAGTGAGTAAGCTGACATTGGAAGGCGACCACAAATATCAGTAGGTATTCACTATCAAAGGCCGTTTCGTATGCAGTTGCACAACTGCTAACTATTTGTTTTGATGCGGGTGTACTTGTCCTCAAATAATACGGTTATGTTTAAGACGATCCTTGTAATATTTGTTTAGGATTTCGTATCTGCAAGCAAACAGTATATTTCTAGATATACATACATTATATATATACTTCAATGCTGCAATTAGAGTTAACCTAGAAATGTGTTCGTATTTTTTAATGGATGCCTTACGTAAAGCCTTCCAGCATCGTACGAGATACATTTAAAGGGCTTTAGCGAAAAAATTGCGACAAATTGTTGCCTTTAAATAATGATAATAGCTATGACATTACGCACGATTCAATGTCGACGTCACTATTGTGTCTTGCGAATTTTCCAAGCAGAAAGACCTGTCGTATGAGTGCGTGTTACAGATCTTTTATTTTTTTATAAACATTGATCATTTACGTTGCGTTCAACTTTTCACTCGACATAAAATGTTTCCAATGTTTAAACACCTGCGTTCATTGTTACGTGTTCATCGTCGAATTGTATAATCATCCTCTGTTCACTTTCCGCGTTCTTTTGTAGACTTTGGTAACGTTCATTGTTACGTTTTCATCGTCGAATTGTATAATCATCCTCTGTTCACTTTCCGCGTTCTTTTGTATACTTTTATGTAACGCTAGCTATCAGGTGTCTTTTGCCTTATGTATACGTGAATATTATCTTCCCTTTGGTGGCATTTATCCAGCTTACTTTCGTATCCGCCTCTACCAATTGTGTCCATGTTATCCTGGTGTAAAATGTTATATCACTGTACTGTGTTCAACTATTGTAAATCACTAGATATGCAATTTGCATACGTGCAGATTCTACAGAATGAGGGGAATCTTCATGAAATCCAAATTATGCTTGTTTTTAAGCCTTATTTAGTTTCATGAAGGAGGCATTCGTTTTTGTGTCCAAGTTGAAGGGCTAACGTTGTCTACGGTGAATGTAAAATGTTTCTTTTAATCTCGTTTTGATTGATGATATTTCATATTTATATTGCAAGTATTTTAAATTCGTTCATTATTGAAAACGCTAAAGATTCAGTGAAAGTCATGAGTTGATGAAACAAGACTGGCTTAAGTACACATATGCAATAAAACGATAAATCTCTCTATGCATAACAGTATCAATAATCGTACCGTTCGTACAATTTTGACCGTCAGCTCACTTAATCAATAATTTGGCAACCGAAAAAGAATAGTTCATTCGAAATATAGCTCGGCAATGGAGATAATGCATTCTAGTCTGCTTACAGTTTCTTCTTTCCGTTCGCATTTACATGACAAACGTCATCATATAATGGGCTGTGTTGTGACGAAGGGGCGATTAAACCGACGATTTTGTAGTATTTAGTTTGGGCAGGTATAGGCATTCAGTTTACTTAACCCCTCTTGCCAGTAACTTACAGTGAATGCTTCATGCTGGCAGTGGAATCGGTTGAGCCCTGAAGACGACGTAATTGTATGTTTGAGTGGTCGTCTATGGATGTTTAAAATTGACCTTAGTAGACAGAAATAGTTGACAGTATGCTATAACTCTTGCTAATTTTCAGTTTCTTCTTTGTGTTGTGTGTATGGGAGGGGTGGGTGGGCATAGGCAGTAGCGGATTCACTTACTAAAATGAATTTCCAATTTAAAAAGTTTAGAATCAATACTAATGGTATTTCAGCCTTAAATATTCTTTAGGAATTTTTTACCTAATCTTTAAAGCTTACATTTAGATACGGTTTAGCATGGAAAACGACTGACTATAAATTCTCTAGTTTGTGTATCACCAAATCTTCATTAGTAGCTTCAGAAGTAAGCATGCAATCATTATCATCGTTAAAAAGCACGTCCATTTTAAGACACAAAATTTCTTGTCGTGGGGGTACTACTACGCTGAAATTTCTGCTCCTGTTGTCAACATATATCTTAATTGTGTGGAACGTTTGTGTTTAGATAAAGGTGCCAAACAATGGTATGGCAGTACAATCGATGGGTAACATTCAGCAATCAAACATGATCATAACTAGTCATAATAGTCTAAAACGAGAGCGGCCAGCTGAACTCAACATACACATACCCAATAGTCAAATCGATTTCCGTCCTCACGATGTGGTTACTTCCTCAGAGCACCAAGCAAAGCGATATTGTCCTCCGCCACCCTCTCCTTCATCATTAAATATGGCAAAGAAGGTCTACTCAAGCTAGCTGAACCTTCATTCAAATCTGACGAGAATCAGGACAGGATGTTCAAGAACCCACCGACTACCCCAGTACGCAAACCTCGCCATCGACCCAGCCCCATAAACATTTCGTGCTCGAACTTTCAATACGATTCGCCTCCTATATACACACCACCGCCAATGCTGAGCCCGCACAGCATTTTTCACACTCCCAGAGTAAATGGGACCCCTATAACTCCCGGAGGAAGAATTATTCTTTCTGCCGGAGCAAGGAGCCGTAAAAGTGAGTGCATCGTAATTCATCAATAGTTTACTCCGTAACACCTTAACACAGGCGATGTAAAATTTCTTGGCGTTTAATGCAAAATTTCTTGACGTAAGTAACATGTTTCACTCTGAACTAAATACTCAAGTTGCGGCAATTAATCATTGAACTAAATGTCACTGGACGGTCGCCTTCTGTCAAAATTTCTAGCCAGCTATTTAACTAGTCACAATCTTTCAACGCACGTCCAAAAGAAAGATTACTGCGGTTTAAAGATGAAATGCGGGAATTTACCTCCAGACATGTGTATAATTGTGATGTATAATTTTGCTTTGTGTATGTATAGGAATGTTTACATAAAGGTAGCCTTCCAGTCATGTTAGAATGGCAGTTAGAATGGCGAACGAAGCTCTGAAAGATATAACTATAACAAACAGAAAACATTTCAATTTTTGTGTTAAATGAGGCAGTTTTTCCATTTTCTAGATAGCATTGATGAAGATAACGTTAGCGCAGGCGCAGATGGCTCCAGTGAAGTTATAGTACCTGAACCGTAAGTGGGTTTTTTCCTGATATATCGAGATTTTATTGACTTACATGTGTGGCGTGCTCTAAACTGTGTGATGTTCCATCCGTGGAAAATTAGATCTTTTTTTTTCGTCCGGTTTTCTGCAAAATCTATTCATATATTCAGTAAAGTCAATATATGTTGCCTTATTTCCAGTAAAACCAACATGTGTCGCCTTATATAAAGTAAAATCTTTTTATTTCCTCTTATTTTCAGTAAAATCAATATTGGTCCAGCATTTCAAGCGAACGTGCCAACCACGACAGAACCTCGCGAGAGAACAAGTTCTGATAAGCACAGGGCGGCTGTCTGCTGGCTTCCCTTCGAACAAGAAACAAGGAAACGTGCTGAAGAAAGTCAGTATTTCTCTTGTGTGTTTCGAAAAGCAAAGTAATATCTCTTGACGTTATTCAATTTTTTGTAGTTGAAGCGTACCTTGAAATGGCTTGTTCTGTCGCAATGTTTGGGGGTGGATCTAACAAGGAATACGCTTTGCATGTTCTCTTCCGATTAAAAGGAAATATTAAGGTAAACAATAACGTAGCATTTTATTCACAGCACTCTATCATTGACAGCGTCTCTAAATCTACCTCTCTATTGACGACATCTCATTGGCAACATGTATATTACAACGTCCATTGTTGATATTTCTTTTAAAAACATCTCCATTGAAGACGTCTGTAGTGACAACATCTTCATTGAAAACATCATTGAAAACATCTCTATTAACAACATCTCTAACAAAAACATCTCTATTGAAGACATCTGTACTGACAAAAATTCTTTTGACAAAATCTCTTCACTGACATCTCTATTGAAAAAATGTCCATTGACAACATCTTTATTGCCAACATTTCCATTAACTATACATCCGTTACAACGGCAGTATCTCTTTTGAAAACATCTTTATTTCCAACATCTCCATTAACTACATCCGTTGTAGAAGCATCATCTCTTTTGGAAACATTTTTATTGACAACATCTTAATTGAAAACACATTCATTGATAACATCGCTAACAGCAATATCTCTATTGACAAAATCATTTCAACAGCTTGCGGTCAAACATATCCTTGCAAATAAGAGTGCTATCCGAAATGAAGACTGCCTGGCTGATTATCATTACGAAGGCTCAGACAGATGGTCATCGAAAGAAAGATTAAAGTTCCGAGAAGCGCATGACAAATACGGAAAAAAATTCCACGAAATCGCAAAAGAGGTATGGGGCTTGGATTTAATATCAAAAGACGTGTCGTCTTATGGATTTTAAAGGCTCTTTTTTAAAAATTATAAAATTCTGTGCCTTGCAGATAAAAGGCAAGACCGCTCAACAGTGCGTCGAATTTTATTATCTATGGAAAGCTTGTCGTACTGAAGGCACCAGATCAAGGCGTGGATATACAGAGGAGATTGAGTCCGAGGTATGTTTATATTATCGCGTGTTAGAAGCGTTTATTGCAAGCGTTTATTGTGTTTTCTCCTTGCAACAGCATGAAAATGTAGATATTCCTAGCGACGATGAGAGTGAAACGTTTTTCTTTGTATGTGACTTCCCTGAATGTAACTCGGTACGTCGTGTGTTTTTCTTTTTCATCCTATCTGTATCCTATGCACCACTTAGTTCACCTTGTTGTATCTTTTTACCACCCAAGTCATTTCATCTGTGATGTTTTTTATTATGTAGAGTTTCATATCGCGCCAGGCACTAAATGGACATATCAGAGTTCACGGTGGCAGGTATTGATTTGTTTATTTTTGCTTTTATTTAACGTGGTTTCGTGAAAAAAGGTATTTCATCCTTTCCCATAAAGCAGCAGGATATTTCTGAATTATTATTATTATTACTTCATCGGTTGAAAAACAATTCAGAAGTGATTAGACTATTTACTTGTATAAGAATCAATTCAGTTAAGGTTTCTTTCAGTAGTAACAATAGTAGTACTTCTATAGAAGAAATTGTTTAGAGTAATCAATGTGTGGTTTATGTTTCATTCAGAAGTAGCATTAGATCAGCAATAGATGATTTATACTCCATCTGAAAGAGAAATTGTTTAGAAATGATAAAGTAATCTAGATAATAAGTTTAGATTTCTTTCAGTAGTATCATAACAATAGATGATTTATACTCCATCTCAGAGAGAAACTGTTTAGAAATGATAAAGTAATATAGGTAATAAGTTTAGATTTCTTTCAGTAGTAACATTAGGTCACCAATAGATAATTTATACTCCATCTCTAAGAGAAACTGTTTAGAAATGTTGGAGTAATCTAGATAATAAGTTTAGCCTGTTTGACTTTTCTCCAGTAGTAACATTAAACAATAATTCATCTTTACCGTGGCAGTTCACTAAACTAATAGAACCTACATACTGTGTTTTCTCTTTTAGGAAGATGATTAGAAAAGAATTGTATATTTTTGCAAACTCATGCATGGTCTCTATTATATTTTAGCTTTATGAAGCCGGAACCCAAACGAATCAAAGTACGAACGACAGCAAGTTGTGATAGCAATGCAAGGACATCGGCATCTACAAGTACAAGTCGAGTGACAACGAAGACGTCAAGAACTGTTAAAACAACTCCAGCTGAACCAGTTTTAAATAGCGACGGGACTTTAGCCGAATTTCCGTGTAAAGTTTGTGGAAGGTTAGAAATTTCTTATTTCAACATCACGGCTAAGGTGTTTTCACAGGATTGCTGCGCCAATGAGTGGTAAATAAGGATGTGCCGGATACCAATTTCCGAATACCGGTTTGAACGACTAGCTATTGACCGGATCATATCGTTTACCAGATTATTGCCGGATATTTATAGTACATAGATTTTTGTAGTTATTAGTAGTTCAACATCAGGGGACTGGGTAGGAGTGATGAAAAGTTTTTTCTCTTGATTAGTTCATTTCTGAAGCTTTTTTAGTTGGCTATTCTGCATCACAAGCTGCTATGTTTAGTTTTTTACTCCCGAACAATTAAGCTACTTTGTCTTGGCCCACTGATAGATTGTTATGCTTTACGATTTTTAGAGTTTTCAATAAAATCAAAAGTCGCTCGGCTCACATGAAGACACATGTGAAAAGAAACGATGACAACGGTGGTAAGTCGAAATCGTGATGGTGATCCCGTAGTTGAAATGTGGATTTGATTGCTTAGCATACGGTCGTTTTGAATTACTACAAATTATTTTGTGCAAAAGTTTTAATATATTTACGTATTAAGCGTTTTTTTTGTATTCATTGGCAACGTTACGCTGAACTTTTATACAAGTTTTGTATAGTGTATATAATATAGACTATCACATGTTGATATCAATTGTACATTACTGTACATATTTATGTATATAGAGGTATATATAGATGTGTTGAAGTATTTCGTTTACCTTAATTTTGTTTTGTTGAAGTAAGGAGAAAGAGGATTTTATTGGACTGTTAAACTATCAAACTGAATTTGAAAACGAGCAATCTAGCACTGCAACTGGGAAGATCATAGTAAATTTAGTGGAATTGAAGTGAAAGTGGATTAGATAGGCTATAACTTATTGATTTTTGATTAAGTGAAAAATTTCCATTATTGTAACAATCTTCAAAAGCGTCCAACAATGTCAAACAAAAATCTCCTTTCTCTTCTATTCATATATCGATATTTTGAATTCATATTTTATGTTGATTTATGATCTATTTATGTTTTGGACAGCGTGGCCGATAGAGTTTCTTTATATATCTTGATGTGATTTGTGTAGGAAATTAAATGCTGGCATTTGAGTATTACAAATGTAAAAATTTTATTAAGTTTTATATCTGGTATAATAAATATTTATTGGGAATAATCATACTCATGTGTAGTATTGTGTAGACATTTAACATGGATCAGACCTGTAGAAAGATGCAAATCCCTTCTATTTCAGTTTGTGATATATCGTTGATAAAACGTTATTCTTTGCAAGGCAAAGAGACCAATCAAGAAGGCGGCGCGGGAGTTACGATTTAATCTCTAAAAGAGAGCTTAGCTGAGTTAAGGCAAGTGTTCGTACACTAAGTTCTAGTAATTTAGCAACACTGCCAGATAAAAATCTCTCGATACCATTTGCTTTACCACAAAGAAGTTACGAAGGTCGCGGCTCACAAAGTAATCGTGTAAAACACCACTTAACAGCTAATTGTTGGAAAAAATTTTGTGCCACAACCCTTGGTAGCATAAAACCCAATTCTTGTCTGGCAAGCTATGTAAGTATTAAGTTAGCTTCATCGGGGAAGTTGTGTGGTTTCTTCAATTAAAGTGTCTCTTCGTTCTCTATTACTTCGTGTGAAAGCTAATCAGCAGGTTAAGCTAGGACTGCTGATGAGGCTAGCTTTCAAAATTAGTGAATTGACTGAATTCAGCTGAAATTCATCTCATATCATTAGAAACAAAAAAACGTCAACCAAACGAAGCGTTTCAATTAACAGTTTTACTAGAAAATTCTCGTATTGTACAGTAATCAACTATTACATATTTTGTGTGACATCCTAGCTGCCTTGAGAAAATGGTAAGAAATCTACAAGCTATGACAGAGTGCACTTGATGAATTTGAAGGTGTGTTGCTGGGTTTTTTTTTACAATTTCAGTACTTTTTTAGGAAAGGCCTTCAAGGAAGGTGTTACAAATATAAAATATGATGTAATCAATTCCTCATTGTCATAATCAAAACCCCATTCCATCAAATGTCTGCTGATTTGGGGTGTTAGTTATCAGAGGTCTTGTTTATTTACTTGAGAGTATTTGAAAAAACGATAAAATGTTCGTGTTAAAAATAAGGCAGTGGGAACCAGTCCTTTCTCATCATTTTTGTTTGAATGTCAAGCAATGTCATAAATTGTTGTTGACGACATTTTCTGCTTACAAGGTGCTTATTAAAAATTAAGAATTTATTGCTATTTATTTTAGTTATGGTTAGTACAGTCCCGAAAGGGATTATTGGTGTTGGTGTTATCTAAAGTTTCAACATCCTTAGTGGTAATCACAAGTCAATGAAAACTAACATCAACATGCTTTTGCATGACTTATGACTACACAAACCTGGACAAAAAAAATCTACTGATATATAAGTAGTTGTTTTTACTATTTTGACTTAGATTTCTCAAAGTACTTTTGATGAAAGACAAGTGATAAGTTTGAAAGAAAACGGTGAACACAAAGATGTAACAAACCAGAACAGAGAAGAGTTTATCAAACTTTATGTAGACCTATCTACTCAATTCATGCATTCAACCGCAATTTTACGCATTCTCACGTGATTTTCATAAGGTGACGTATGTTTGGTCAAATTGTATGTTTTGTTTCCGGGCAATTATATTGCCAGACCAGTGATCTCTTATCATGATACACTCCATTATTTATTAACATCTCTCTAGGTTTGATGTTTATAACAGTTTGATGTTTATAACAGGAAGTGATCGTATGCCACTGAAGGGACTGGGCAACTTTACATTTCAAACAGTCAAGCAAGGTGAGAATACAAATCAATAGCTTCAACTTGTTTTAATTAACTCATGCTGGCTAAGTATTCATCCGAAGAAAATTTAAGAAAATTTCTTTGCCTTGCAATTCATAATAGTAAAGGATTTGGTCTCACATGATCTTGTCACGTGATATTTTCTTGTGACAATGCGATAACCAACTAAACAAGTTTGTATTTATCATCTAACTCTTAAGGTTGGATTTCTTACATACCATGTTGAGAGATGATGAAAACTTCTAAGTGCTATGGCAGTAGTATAGTAGAGGTCATAAGGTGCTTCTCATTTGCTTGTTTCGCATAATCTTTTATAACCATTTCCAGTTAATATAAAGATAATGTTTTAATGAGTGGAATTAGACCATGAGTGTTTGCACAAAGTCTTGATTGCACTATATATTGGATTGCAACTTTCTCAAGGCAATGAAAAAGATGGTTATGTTTTTGTTGACTTTGATATCCTAGAACTCAGGTTTTTATTGATTGCCTATTATAAATCTTAGCATTTTCTTTTTAATACATATATGAAACCTTAGTGTAGAGCATTCCAAACTTCATGTAACTGTCCCCAGGCTAAGAAGTTTCAAAAATCTTTACAACATTACAGCAGAAAATCATGATGAAAGTATATTGATAGTTTGGTAAAGCAAGCTTGATCAAACTGAAACATAACTGGTTAATATAAATATTAATTATTTAATTCGCACAAAAGACATGTGCAAATTATTTTTCTAGGGTTACAATTGTAAACAAATATTGTTGATAGAGCTATTACTTTCCTTGTTAAACATGTAAGTGTTGTCCAAATATAATTCAGTGTAGAAATCGAACTGCCATTTTTTTTTCTATTTCTTCTGTTTCCATTACCTGTAAGAAAAATCATGAATTTACAAATTTTCTGTTTTTGTAAGGACTGAAAATAATCAAGACATGGCTGATAGTGCTTTGATTGCTCCTCATCTTACCTTTTTAAACTCTTCAAAATTTATTGCATCGTCAATGTCACCATTTGCATCCTTAATAGTTCGATGAGCAATTTGTTCAAGTTGGTCTTTTCCAATACTAACACCAACCATCATCTCCAAAATCTTTATTGAAAAGAACAAGATTAAAATAGTACGAATTATTTGCTATGTGATGTATAACACATATACATATTTCAATTTATAAAAACCTTTAATAAATCAACTTTTGTTATATTTCCATCATTGTCCAAGTCATAAATGCGAAATATAACTAAATGTAAAAATAGGTAGTGTCTTGAAATTGCATATTTTAGATTGGTAATGATTTTGACAGGAGGAATTAAGTTAATGTTCATTTATGAAGAATGATAATCAAGGTTTCATCTTCAGTCTAGATTGTACCTAGAGACCACATATGATACTTAGTTCTCTACTAATGATTACATCTTGCAAGTGTCAAAAAACATATGCCAAAAAAATATATGCTTTTCTTGATAAGTGTCATACATTTTAATTTTTCTTCTGCTGTATTTAGTGGATTGTGGCCTTTCTTACTAGATCGACGAAAATGTGCCAAGGTTTTCATAAATTCTCTAAAGTTACAACCTTCTTGCTCACTAAAGAAAACAATTAAAAAACCCTCAGTTTGTTTTTAATAGGTTGTTATAAAAGCTTCTGTCAACTTACTCATTTTCATCACTGTTGAAGTAAAAAGAATCAATGATTCTTTCATTCAGAGGATTTATAGCGAGCTCTGGAATTCGTCCAAAGTCCTCTCGACTTAAAAAAGATCGAAATAATATAACTTTCATTAAACAACAAGTAAATTTTAAGGCAGCATGCATCTTCACGGGTAAACTTTGTTTAGTTTCTTTACACAAGCAAATTTAGCCAATCAATATATATTGTTGTGTGCATTGTCTTGTCAAAGTACATGCATCTTCCCGTGTACAGTAAATTGTGGACACTCTAGATGTGCCCTTCGGAGTTGTTTAAAATTAGCTTACACTACCTGAGTAGTCCACAGCCTCTTGAGTCAAGATGTGAAAATCTGACATATAGTCTTTTGATTTGCTTTTCTGAAACTAAATAACAAATATTCCCATTAAAGACTGAACACCGTTTACGAAAAGAAACATTACAACGGCAAGGAGGATGACCGAGGACGTACATCCAGTTTCTTTTTTGATTTGTTCTATATCTTCGTCTTGAAGCATCGACGAAGTATTTAATCCCATTACTGTATAAAATACACACGAAAAAAAGTATCGTGATTATTTCTGAGAAGATTCACATCAAAGATTATATAACTTCGCGTATTTGTTTCGGGATACAAAATATTATTTCGACAGTTCTTTTGTTTTGTCATTTAAATTTTGATGTGCAAGTTATCGCAGGCTCAATATAAGTTTACGACCTATACTTTATTTCACCCGAGTTATCGCGACTGGGGGCGGTGCACATGTTCACCAACACCACCAGTGCAACAATAATATGAATTGAAAGTTATACTTCTTCACATTCGCAGTCACGAATTCAAATACCACCATACTTATAATACAATATGCATGACATATGGCAAAAGTGGAAAAACGAATTGAAAGTGTTGAAATAGTATATTCTGTGTAGTAGATTTGATTGAACTTAATACAAAGTGCCGAAATTTATTTCATAATCAATTTTAAATCTGATCGACCTGACTTTGAATTTCACAATTAAGGACGTTCAGACCCTGGTTCAGACGTTCAGACGCACGGTCATTGCAAACAGACAAAGTACGTCATTCAAGAGCAATGTTTTGATTGGTGCTGAGTGAAATTATCGATTATTCCACGGCATTTGACGAAGACGAGCCCCGGCCATTTTTGGAACAATTCACGATCATTATTATCACGACGTCCAAATCTCTAAGAAGAAAGACGGCAATATGGCGGATCAGCAACATCATTTGCCCGGAGTTGGAGAGGTTGAGGTCGAAGTGGAAACGATGATCGAGCCTCAGCAAGAAATCCAAATCGAAACGCAGCCGATGATAGCTCTACAGCCACTTGCAGAACCTGAACGGGAAGAAGTTGTTGTGCAAACGTGCGAAGAAGTCATTGACGATTCGAGAGAACATGAAATACTTGATTCTACACCGACACGCAACAAACGCAAGGGAAGACCAGGAAGATACAAAGGAAAGAAACTACAAGGTACGCGGGCACGTGGGGTAAAAAAGGAAGATGACGATGGTGATTTTGACCAGAAATATACGCGAAAATGGGAGCAGAGGCGAGTACAAATAAAACGCTCGAAGGCGAGTTTTCCGTGGTGATGTGGGCGTCCGGTACGTGATTTTATATTCCCTTGCCTCCATCTTCGCTTATGTTTTCTAGTCAAGTCGTCTTCCGTGAACTGCGCAAGTGCTGTTCCCTAAAACAGTGTAAATTTTTTTTCTTCGTAGAGGACAAGAATAACGATATTGAACGAGAGGACGAGCAGCCAGACTTCTCCGAGTACATGACAGGCAAGAAACTGCCACCGGAAGGCTTTCCTGGCATCGATCTTAACGATCCAAAGCAACTAGCCGCGTTTGCAAGGTAAATTTTGCTTTCGGACAGAGATCTTATTCTCATCCGCCATTTTGATCGGCCATGTTGCGTCCCTTTTAAACATGGCCGCTTTTATCAAACAAATATGGCGGATTTTTCGATTTTCCTTCTGCAGATTGCCATTTCTTTTGGTTTCAATATTGCTATTGCATTATGATTTATTTAAGTTGGACTGTCCAATGGACCAAGGAAATTTGTTTACTGGGGTGTTTTGTTTAAATACTAACCAGTCTTTATGAGAACACGTCGTCACGCGTGTTGTTAGTTTTTTAACATATTGAGTTGTTGTCTGCTGCTGCTGATGCTATTGAAAACTCTTAATAAGATGCTTTTTATTTCTCTGAATTCATGGAACTGAGCAAACGAAAGTGACCTTAAAAGGATAAAGCAAATTATGATATTTCCTAGGTTATGGTTTCTTAAGCCAACTCATTCCAATTTTCAAAGTTGAACAAATGCCAACCATTGCTAACATGTTAACAATTCGTAAATATTTTGCAATTATTTTAAATTTTCCTTGACATGTATACAACTGTATTATACATGTGATGATTGTGTTCTTTCTAAACTGGCATCCTGTGCCCTCATCCTTATGCCTTACTGGCATTTTTTATAACTGATCAAGCATTTCTATGAATGTGAGACATTTTTCACATATTCATCAATTAGAATGAGACCAAAGAAATCTAAAGATGATAATGCACCTAGAACGATAGCTTGTCCTCACAAGGTAAAATTTTCTTTATGAAAAAATACCTTTTAAAATTTCTTTTTGTGTTTTTTACCTCTAACAACCATTTCATATACATGTCTAGGGCTGCACAAAGATGTTTCGTGATAATTCTGCAATGAGAAAACATTTACATACACATGGACCTCGTGTTCATGTTTGTGCAGAATGTGGCAAGGTAAACACTCATTTGACAGGAGGGGTACAGATTTTCCAAGGTGGTTGCGTCATTATCAAAGCTTAAGTTCCAAGGGCCTCGGGTATTGTGGATTTTTAGGCTTACAGACGAGTGAACTTTGTGTAATGAAATTGTTATTACATTTGTAAAGAAATTTTATTTGTTATGTGTGTTTAGTAATTTATTTCAATTTTAATGTTTCAGTGCAAATGTGCATGGTAACACCAATTGCACATGATGGTAGTATAAATTAAGTAATTGCCTTTGAAGTAAGAAGTTTTACGTTTATTTAGTCTTACTGTACAAATTTCATAGACTCTAATACTGTTATATTATTTGTCCACAATACATAATAGCCTTTTCGAATTTTTCTTTGGAGGAAATGCTGGAGAATTTCGGGGTGCACCCCCTTCCTTCAGAAAATCCACCCCTATCAAGTTATAGTACAAACTGATATTAATCACCTCTATATAACGCTTCTCATTTTGTTTATTTCAAGGCATTTGTTGAAAGCTCTAAACTAAAGCGACATCAACTTGTTCATACTGGTGAAAAGCCCTTCATGGTATGGTAATACTCGTGTATTTAGTTAACACTTTTGAGTGAATTTTATAGTTTGTCTAATCCGATTGGTCAATCTACAAATTTTTATCATTATAAATGAGGGTGTCCTTGTACTCACACATCTTATGTGTACAATATTATATTCATGTTTCACAGTGTACTTTCGAAGGCTGTGGAAAGCGATTCTCACTGGATTTCAATTTGCGTACACATGTTCGTATCCATACGGGAGATCGACCGTACGTCTGTCCCTTTGATTCGTGTAACAAGAGATTTGCCCAGTCAACAAATCTTAAATCTCACATCCTGACGCACGCAAAGGGTAACAAGCAACAGCAACAACAGCAGCAACAACAGGCGTTGGCGCAACAACAGGCTCTACAACAGATTCAGGCAGAACAATTCGCCCACTCTGAAGAACAACCCACGTCGCTAGAGCAAATCTAGTGGTGACGAGATGTCATGCTTATTCGTGTAAGTTATCCTGTAATATGAGCAAGGAACGTTTATTCACGGTGTTTTGTTGTGAGGGCCACAAAAACCATTTACTGCTGCACTTGAATATGGCTTTATTTATCATCAATACGTCCAGGCATCTTTGGTCATGATAGATCAGTGGACTCACGTTTTCTGTAAATCTTAAAAAGATTCTCGTGATTAACCTAACAAGAACTATAGTCTTGATGAGGGGGTGGGCTCATTTGTCCCAGGAACATTCTCGTATTGTCTGCAACGTATCTTTTGTTAGATAGAAGGCTTGATAGTTTATATAAAGCGCGTTGTCTTTGATGCAGAAGCATGGAAAGCTGCAGGCGTTATAGCTCGGCTGGGTTGTACAAAATTTTACTCACAGCTAGATCGATGATTTGTCATAAAAGATCTCGCGCGAAGCATCATGGAAGTTTATGAACAAATTCGTCTAACAGGTAAAAATATGATGACCAAACAGGGGAATGGGGTGGAATAGGTATGATATCAACTTGTCGTGCGTTATTTACAAACTGAAATGCTTTTTTGGAATCTCCGAGAGCATAAACCAAACCTTTCTTTTCGTTTTGGAATGAAAAATGACCCAAAAACGTACGTTGTCTGCTTGTCCTCTTCGCTTTTAATCAAACGTATTATTGCTGTATACTGTTCACAAGATACAGAATATATCGTGGAAAATCGCGATTTCGCCCTATGTAAGAGAACCCGTTGTAATGTTGGACACCAAATTCCATAGCTAGAATTTTGCTGGATTTCGGATTTCAAAAAATGGATTCTGAATTTTTTACTCGTTAATTTTGTATTGTGAACCTTGAATTTTGATACATTACGGATTCCTTTACATAGGGAGAACAATCAATAAATCTCAGCATATTGTAAACTAGGTCGTCTTCATCATGTGGTCAGTTGGACATAGGGACTGCAAAAGAACGTTCACAAGCGCTATCATCGTGTTTTTCCATTAACACAATGATGTTATTAACATGATCCATCAATTTTTGTCACAAGGTAGATTTAAGTGAAAGTTGATATCTGTTTACTTTTATGCTTTATACCCCCACCTTGGCGAAACTAATCTATTCTGATTGTTCATATTTGTCGTTCACTTATCATCCGTAAACAATGAAGTGCGTTTTTATGGAAGTTTGTTGTTCTTCCTTACTTCCTAAAGTTTTATGAAACTATCATTGTGTTTTTGGAAGCCTTGGCTTTATACCAGCTTTTTCAACGTGCTTTCAAAAAAAGATTTTATTGTAGCGGATTGTGTTTCATAGTATTTATTGACTGTTAGTTTTCAAAGCAGCCAATTTAATGTACATATCTGTTTCTAGTGAGGACATTAAAATAACTTTATAACGAACTTTTATGACTTTTCTAATTGGATATAATGATATGTTGTCTTTTCTTTTTCTCAATGTATTTTGGTATTGCTAGTCGGCAACATACCTGTACATGGAAGGTAAAGTACTTCAATATAGTTCAACCAAGCACTTTCCTAAGCACGCAAGGTAAAGTTGTTGACAAGGTGTGCATCTAAGGACATACCTGTACATGAAATATATGATGGATGGTCGAGGGGTAGATCCATGTATTTACGTATTCATGCGAGATAAAATGGTTTTCAAGCACTGTTAAAAAAGTTTATTAAATTTTCTAGTACATATTTGTACCTAAATGGTTTAATTTATTTGTGAAGTTGATGGAGTCATAACTTACGGTGGCTCACAAGGGCCACCACACAAAATAAAAATATTAATACACACACAAAATAAAAATACACACGCAAAACAAAAAACACACAAAAAATACAACACAAAATAAAATAACACACAACAAAAAAATACACACACAAAATAAAAATACACACGCAAAATAAAAATACACACACAAAATAAAAATACACACACAAAATATGATTGCGGGCGCTTGCAGTGTCGGCTTACTCGGAATTGCTCGTAATTGATCGCATTTGTTTTCAAAGTTCTAATGGTTCCAACTTCCAGAGTATATAACAAAATTCACTGATTTCACTGTGATCAATTATTTCAAAGTTGCTTACGATATTGCTCCCCGTATTCTGGTTAAAATTAAGGTTAATGTGTTGTCCTTTGAAAGGACATTATTGCTCTAGCCTGTCCTGTATTTGTTATAAACAGCTTTGGGGTACTTGAAGTTGAAGTTAACGGACTTGCAGAGCTCGAAGGGCAACTGCTTGAAGAGACGCTACTCGTCATTGACGCTTCAGAACATTTTGGCAAAGAAGTTAATCTTCCCAAACGCACACCGCATTTGTGACAAAAAGAAGCTTCGTCAAGTGATTGTGCACCACAGTTGGCACAAAACATAATTATGCCAGGATTATGCAAGAGCTTGCTTTCGATTCCTTTCCAAATGTAATTTCAAATGTTTCGCTGTTGAAACAGTTAAATACGACGACAAGTCGACCACATGTTAAAATCACAATTAGTGAATTACACATATCTGATTACAAACTGATAATATGATAGTCAGACCATCCGACACTGCAAGCGCCCGCGATCATATTTTGTGTGTGTATTTTATTTTGTGTGTGTATTTTTATTTTGTGTGTGCATTTTTATTTTGTGTGTGTATAATGTATTTTGCGTGTGTATTTTTATTTTGTGTGTGTATTTTTATTTTGTGTGTGTATTTTTATATTGTGTGTGTATAATGTATTTTGTGTGTATTTTTATTTTGTGTGTGTATTAATATTTTTATTTTGTGTGGTGGCCCTTGTGAGCCACCGTAATAACTCAGTAACTGTATAAGTAGTAAACATTAACACTTCGCTGTTCGACTTGATGTTGTTATATTCAAATAAATTACTGGCTAAAATTGGAATCTCTGTTCTTATTTCCATTTATTGTGCAAATCACGTGACTATCAAATGCGTCAGATTTTAAAAGACTGTTCAATATACTTTGATTCAGCGTCAAACATAGAAAATTTTCCTTTTGTACTTTCTATTATGTTTTTAGACATCCATATATGTATGATATATATTTATATGTATAATAGAATGCTTCAATGATTTAAATTAATTGGAAGTCTGACTAGTAAGAATTGGCTTAAACATAGAATGTTGTCGAACATGAAATTATCAATGCTCAATGTTTTACTTCTTGATTTTTTACTTCCTTTTTGAAGCAATGAGTTGTTTTTTTCCATGCAGGGAGTCTATCGATAGTCCTTCCAAGCGCGAGCTCTAAAAAATTTTGGTGAAAGATTTCATAATACGCATAAAAGCCGCTTTTCAAAGAGATTCCGATTGAAGGTGATGTGGCACTAATGGCAAAAATAACAAATTAAAATAGACCTTAGGGTAGGCACTGGGAATAAACGAATATCAAAAGTTGCTGAAATGAACGCATGATTGCACTGCGATTTGTGATATACATGGTAAGATACCAAAACAAGAAGAGATGTTAGAAAGGTATAAATTATCGAGAAATATTTCATGTTTTTCCAACTGTATCATTACCCAATTCTTTGGAAATCGAAGGTATTTTGCAATTATTGGTCAGCATAAAGATTATTCGTCATTGTTTGTTAAGTTTTTTGTCACGCCCTAATTTATGGTACATTGAGTAAAATGAAAGAGGATTTGCGTAACGATAATTACTAATCACAATATTTGACATTTGTTACGAGCTCCCATCCTCACACGGATCTTTTAGTTCATACTTACTGTGTTATTTTAAGGGTTTTGAACGTTTGATAATAAAACAAGTGAACTCTGTCGCACCTGTGCTCATTACTAAGTAAACAGTTTTGACTCGAATGTTCCAACCACAATAAATACATAACATTGCATGCTTCAATGACGCAGTGGAATTTTATTTTTTTACAAAGTCCTACCAAAAGCTGCGAGCTGTGTTGACATACATCATATTCTAATAGTAGCTGATTTATTTACGTTACAAATTGACTGAAACATGTGAAAACTGGAATAATTAAAACGGTAATTGTTTGATTGACTGTTCTAGTGCTTTTAGAAGATTTATTCAAAATATGTTGCATATTTGAATAGATATTTAAAGAGACGTGCCTCTCCCCAAAGACAGTTCTAGGTTGTCGCTGAAGCAATCTTCTTATTTGGTCACCAGCAAGTTCGTTCAACGTCAACTAAATAAAATGGTTAGTATGTAGGTCGATATTTGTCTGCTTGCATTGGTTGTTAGTTGTATGAAATAGCAATCATTAAATGATCTCATGATATTTTTATTTTTGTTCTTTTCTAGTCTTTCACACAAGCTGGTGAGTTGTTCGATTTTGTTCACGAATTAGTACGGACTATGGAGTAATATTTATTTGCTTTCATCGTTAGATAACGTTGTGGGACAGTAAAGAAATATCTTGTTCTTTTGTAGAATTAGCAAAAGATTTGAAATTAATGCATTCTAATGCTTAAAATATAAAAGCCCTGCAGAGTGCTACTAAATGTAAACAAAATTGTAAACAGTTTTCTTGAACAGTGTGACTTTTCGTCTTCAACTCTAGAGATATGAGACAGCAATTACAAGCTAGGTGGAGAATTGCAAGCTTTGTTAATAGTTATGACTGCGTCTCGCCCATGAAGTTTTAAAACACTCAAAAGTTATGAGTATTTACATCGTATTAAATTTCATGGGCGAAACGTTACGCAGGTCAATATGACAATAAATAATACGTTCGTATTTTATATTTCTTTTAAAGTCACTCTAGCTGTGCTTTAACTTTAATGTTTATTATCGCTTTCCGTCTTGTATTTTATTTGTCATTATTTTGAATTTGATCGTTATTGACGTGTTTCATTGACGCTTGAATAGTTGGTAACATTTACGAGGCGACTATGAATAGTTTGTGAGACAGACGTACAAAAACTTCCAGTATGCCTTGCAATTTCACAGATGTCGACGAAGCGTTCAAAATGTTCGATAAAAATGGTGACGGAACGATTTCTGTTGGTGAACTTAAAGCTGCTTTGGCGGCTGTTGGCCAATGCCACTCTGACGAGGAAATTCAACAAATGATTAAAGCCGCTGACGTTGATGGTTTGTAAAGTTGTTGTTGAGTTTGACAGAACCTTGTGACAGCTGATGTTCTTATATTTTTTTACAAATAGCAAGTGGTAGCCTCTCAAAGCAGGAGTTCAAAAAAGTTTTGATTGAAGGTGATCCTAATATTAAAGAAATAAAGGAAGCCTTTAAAGTATTTGATTCTGATGGAAGTGGCTACATTACTCATGATGAACTGAAGAAAGCAATGAAGGATACAGGTGTCAAACTTACTGATTCAGAAATTGACGAAATGATTGCTGCAGCTGATACAGACAGAGATGGAAAGGTTAATTTTGAAGGTAATAAACTTGATTATGTAAAGTGAATGAACATTAGAGATTTGATCATTTGGGAAGCGAGATCTTTAATGTCATGTGTAACGTGTAAAAAAGGTAGATGCAGTGGGGTCGTCAGGATTTTATTGGGGGGGGGCAAAACACTCCAAAATGTCATGTACGTATACTACGCATTGTTTGATGTCACTAAAAAAATTTTCAAGTTACATATATAAAGACCTTTATATGGGAAATATTGGAAGGGTACCCCCCCCCTCCCTTGCCAGCGCCTCTCGGTAGATGGAAACGATACGACGTACAACCATTTTCGAGGGGCTTAGTCTTCCATCTGGATAATTTTTTCTTATGAAAAATTTTCATCACTTTTCGATTTTCGTAAAATAAGTGGCCAAACATTTTATCATTTAGTATGAGCTGGAAATTATTTATGTCAACTAAATAACGAAAATGATGTCAATCGTATGAATATCGAAGTAGCATTTCTTTTAGTTGGGAGCAAACGAGAGCATAAAGAATATTATAAACTTAATGTATGCTCCCGAGAGAAATGGTCAGTTTTGTTTTCTGCGAGTCCCGATGTTCACCGATGTTGTATAGGGAAAAGGATCATAGATTTCGACAGCTATTCGATATAAAATTAACTTCTTTCGGGGGAGATTTGTCCGGCGAAATTTCCTTTCAAGGCTAACGACGGCATATTTGGTGGACTTCGAAGTGTTTTTCTGAATCCTTTTTTTATATTAATGAATGAATTTCGTCGCTTAATAGCTCGAGAAATGTTTTTTTTGTTTCCGTCGTGGGCAACAATTTTTCACGGGGTGTAAATTGCGTTTAAGTCATGTGAGTAAGAATGAACCAATCACGTTCAACATACAAAAGCACCTATATAAGAAAATCGAATATAAAAAAGTAGGTCAACTTCGCTGCACAAGTTGGTGCTGTAACTGCATAAATTTAATTAGATTGCTGGCTGCCATTAGCCATGTCATCATTCCTATTGGTGTCAGAAAATGCAGTTTACTGCTTTCCACTATGGTAATCACATTTAGGCGATAAAATATTCGTCACACAAAAAACTTCAGTAGTTACCTATTTAAGTGGTCATGTTTAAGACACGAAAACAAAATAGGCTTACAAATCACAAATCCTTGTAGACTTTACTCTTATGAATTTTTTCTCATTGGACTCAAATGTAATAACTACCGCTCCAACACAAATATTTGTTTTACGTTTTTCTGCTATTTCTATATTATTTTGAGTGTGTACTCCATGAGCGTTATGATTGAAAGGAAGTTTGTTTTTCTTCATTTTGTAGAGTTCAAGAAAATGATGTGCGGAGCTTAAGTCCTTCATAAACAGTTACTGTAATGTTTTACTGTTTTCTATCATCAATTAGCTGCGTTTAGTTAGCAATAGTTAAAATCCAAACATTGAATTTCTTCGACTTAACCATTAAACAATGTTATTTATTAACAAACTGTTTATTGCCTGTATTATTTTTTTGGGCGTCTTAGTGGCAGCCAAAGAAAAGTTTGGACACGATATCAAGTATGGAATATGGCAGTCGTGATTGTTTGTATTTTGATTTTTGATGGCGCCAGGAATTCCTCGACACAGGGGGAGGGACGGTGGCAAATTATATTTGAAGGGGTTCATATTCATGGGTTCATATATATGTTATAATCTGTAGTCACAATTGATTTCAATAGAAACTAATAAAATTAGAAAATGCATATATAAATATTACCCCCTCCCCCCCTCTCTCTCTCTCTCTCTCAATCATCAGTCTTTCACCGTCCCTAGCCTTAAGTCTCCATATTGATGTTCTGAGTTCTCGTTACTTCCTCCCAAAAAGTCGTTTTTAAATTGGGATGCAAAGGACAACGGATGGTATACATGCATAATTCGAAGCAATAAAAGTATGTATTGTCTGACAGCGATTCGTGAGAAGATTTCGTATCCATCGTTCAAAAGACAATAGAAAAAATTAGCAAACACGACATACCTTGTATAAAAGTCGTGAAAATCTTGGTGATATGGCCAAATACGAATAGATCAACATAATTTTTACGGCTTTTTAGACGGCACTTATCGTTTGCCAAATTTCTCTAATATCGTTTTGAAGACAGCATTGCAAAATCTGCTGCTGTATGGCCTTGTAAATGGTAAGTGCAGAGTGATATCATCAAACAAGTCAACAACTATAAAAATTCAAAACTCTCATATTATTTGTACCGTTCATTTCTCAATTCAAAACTGGTCGTTTTACAATTGGTGATTTACGATTCTACAGCGAGGTCATAATCTCACATTCAGCTTTCCCGAGTCTTCATGCCAAAATGACTTCAATTTTATTCATGAAATACTTAAAACACTTTACATATTTCTGACCATACAGGAAATAGTTCGATTCGTATCACGCCTTTATGCGAGTCCCCGCTACGATTGCTCACACTTGAACTGCAGAGGTTAAGCGAAGGAAGTGTATCGGAAAAGCTTAGAAATCTGTGACGAAAAATCACCATTCTCGGCTGTGAAAATGGTAAGAAAACACGACCAAGGATTTTCAAACGTTTCATTACAATAGGATTGGCAAAAAATGCGGAAAAATAATAGAAGAACCACTTTTTTTATGAAACATAGAGCGTGCACGTCTGCTAGTAAGTGAATCACTTGGAGCAACTGTGCAATGCGCAAGCGTATAGCTAAGTACTTAACCTTGTTACAATTAATGAAAGTATGGAAAGGTACTCGTCTGTCAGTTCGGAAACCATGAGTTAGTCAATTTGTCAATGTGGCTTAAAATAGTTTAGTTTAAGGTTGGCGGCCATAGTGCAAAAGTATTATTCTCACGCTGAGAGAGAAAAAAATTCTGTCGTTCAGTTGATCATGAAATAGCTATGCATTCACAAGACCCTGTGAAAGAATCTTATTACTTTTTGTTCAAATCACAATACCTATGTTCTGTTGCATGTATAATACATTGCAAATTATAACTCGTTTATTTTTAAAATAGATATATTATTGATATATATGCAAGTTTGGCAAGTAGCTCTGGTAAATTTTTGAGCACAAGTTCGCGTGCTGGTAATTTTATCATCTTATATAAAACTGTTTAATGCATTCTGCTTGCAAAATTACAGACTTCATTTCTTTCTCGTTGAACATGATATTTTGTATGTTCTTGTCCGTTATTTTATAGTTGAAATGTGAAACCAATTGAAAAAATTGTTTTGGTAGGAAAGAAGCAAGCGTGCATTAACCATATGCTGGCTCTTAACTGAGGATTGAAGCAAAGATCTTTCTTTTCAACGCTTTGAATTTTTTCCTTTTTACTATAAATGACAGTTATACTCGTTTTATCGACTGCAGCTGTCGTATTCTATCAACAGGCGTGATATGTCTGATGATTTCATTGTTCTGTTGTCCAACAACAAGCAATAACATTGTTGTAAACTGCAAAGAAGTATTTACTCGTAAAATACCGATTGTTTTTTTTGTGGCTGTACAAAAAAGTGCGTCCACGATAGTTTTCATGAAGAACTTCAGCTGAACGATACCTGTTTGAGATCGTTTGTCGACAAAACGATAATGCGATTAAACAATCCCAAAATGATTATTTCAATCCAAAACAATCCAATTCCATTTATAGTTATTGCAATATATTATTGCATCTCAATCCCCCTGTCTATGGCTTTTATCTATGAAAGAAGAGCTTAACAATAACGCACAGCTTGCTTTGTCAGTGTCTCGCAATAAACTTATTCATTGTCTGAAATGCGAAAGATGTGGGTTCGAGCCATTGGTTCGAGCATGCATACGACTATAAAACGGCTATTAAGACTTGATAATTGTTTGGAGAAGATATTCAAAGTGATCTTACCGTTAACTCAAGTGTAATATAGAGAAAATCGTGATTGAAAAATGATGGTACGTACGTGGACTTGATATTGTGGAATGAGCCCATAATGTTGAGTTTAGTTCATCCAATAAAACGAAAAGTGGAAAGTCGTTCAACGAAAATAAATTCGTGAGCAATGTGATTTGAATAGAATTCAATCGATTTACAAAGCGTGTCTCTTTCATTTTAGACTTACAACATTTCAAACGAGCAAAAGATGGTAAGTTATTTTGTCAATTCAAGTCCTTTTGAATCTAGTTTCAATGGTTTTATAACAGTACCCTTTGTAATCCTGCTAACTGATTACTATTCAAACATCGGACTTTACTTAGAATTCAGAGAGGTTTTTAAAATGTTCGATGTGAACGATAATGGAACGGTTGGAACTGAAGAATTGAAGAAAGTGATGGCAAAGCTTGGACAGAATCCCTCCGAGAAAGAAATCCAGGAGATGATTAATGAAGTTGACGAAGATGGTATGTGCTTGTTGCTTAGCAACATCTTTGCTTGAATGTCCAAAGACAAATTTAAATTTTCTGTTATCGTGTTTAAAGGAAAGAAAATGAAACAGTTATTTGTAGTATGAATTCTTTCTCAAGACATAATGATCAAGATCCTTAGTTTAAATTGATTTCAAATGACGTTCTTAATTATTCAATGAAAAATGAACTGTCGTTGAACTCTGAATAACGTAACTAGTACAAAACTCACAATGAAGTTAAATTGACTCATATCCACAACCTATATTTAGCAAATATGAGAATTTGAAACTTGAAATCTTCAAGCTGGACAATTATTTTGTGAAAATAGGCTCCGGTGCAGTAGATTTCGATGAATTCTGCCAGATGATGGCGAAACAGCTAGCAACAGCTCTCAAAGAGGAACTCAATGAAGCGTTGAAAACATTTATACCTGGTGGTAGCATCTCGGCGAAAGAATGGAGAAAAATACTTTGTAGTTTATCAGAAAAAATGTCCAACGATGAAGTTGACGACCTCCTAAAGATTGCCGATAAAAGTCGACGAGGAAACATCAAGAATGAAGGTGAGAGATGAAAATGTGTACAAAAAATATGATGATTATTTTAGGTGTAGTAGCGATGAACAACAGAAAACGAGAAGATTCTTTAAAACGTGTGTCAATTTGGAAGTGATGAATGAACAGCAGAGAACAAGATCAGCTTTTACACAACCTAAAATACAAACTAAGATAACTGTTTCAGTATTTGCAACATAAACATTAGCAAAAGCGCAAGATTATCAAAACCCTCCGTTCATTCAAGTGAGAACACTTATGTTTAGGCATTTGATGTTTATGTTGAAAGTGAGGACACTTAGGTTTAGGCATTTGATGTTTATGTCGAAAATGAGGACACTTACTATACTTAAGTGCACACACTCATTACTTGCTTTCTGGACGCAAAATTGATATAGATTTGTCTTTTCAACTTCGTAGATATAGTGAATGTTCTCTTTGGTTGATTTAACATCAAAAAAGAAGGAAGCCTTGAGCGAAGTCGCATGGAAAGAATTATTTCTGTGTTTCAAACAATTTAAAGATATTTGGCATTTTTCAATCATATATTTAGAAATCAATGATTGCTTTAATGAATATGACATTCATGTTTTTTTATAATTATTAGGTTATTATTTCATGCTGTATTGATAGAAATTAGAAAATAAAATTCAAAATTAATTGACTACTGCGTAAATGGTACCAATGTGGTACCAACTTCATAAATGATATCGCCTTTTGATAAATGGAAAAGAGAGTAATTTCAAAAATGGCGGACGAAGATTACGCTTTAGCTTTGTCTCTTCAAGAGCAGTTTTTAGCCGTAGAAAACGTAAGTGCGGAAACTTCTAGCACGAAAAGAAAGAATCCCACATCTATCGTAGATGACTGCTGGGAGACAATTGATCCGACGCCGGATATTCGAGATTTATTTGTGCAATTTAACAACTTGTATTTTGACAGTAAGTTGTCGAGTTGTGAAGTAAAATGGGCCCCAAGAATGACTCTGTAAGTTTTAAAGTTATCATTTAATTTTCATTGGCTTTATTTTCATTTTCAAATTTTTTTAATTCGGTAAAATTACCGTTTATTCATGTGCATGAACATGTATGAAATTCACTTCACGCTATAATTTAATAAATTTATAAATCTCGTTATGCCAACGTTGCCATTGTAGTTGTGCTGGTGTTTGCTGTTACGAAGGACGTGGTGGGCTGTGCACCATCAAACTGAGCATGCCACTCTTAAAGTTACGTCCAAGAAAGGATTTAATTGAAACATTACTGGTCAGTAATTTGGCATACATGTGTGACTCTTGTTGTGTTTATTATTTTCTAGCTGGTCTGTGTGAATAAGAAAAAGATTTTTCATGAGAAAGTCATCAAGAAAAATCTTGTCCAGATATTAAAACAAAAAAAATGAAACTGATGTCACAATAAAATAGCTAAAACTACAAAGCAAGTTGTTTAAATAATAAACAATGTATAAACATGCTTAACCTATCATAAAGTGTTTTTCAAGTTCCTAATTTGGCAACTGGCAATGGTGTTATTGTGTTAAATACACTCATGTAGCTTTTGATGTCAACTCCTACAAATGTTGTTTATTTATAGCACGAAATGATTCATGCTTTTTTATTTGTCACACATAATAACAAGGTAGGAAGAAATCAATGTGGTTTCATTATTCCTCTCAAAGATGTCTTAATTTTGCATGTTTTTTTTGTGGCAGGATCGTGAGGGTCATGGGCCAGAATTTCACAAACACATGCATAGAATCAACAAATTGAGTGGAGCAAATATCACGGTAATTATATTTTAGTTTGTTTTCTTCACAATGTTAAATGTTTTAATGTTTTCTGATTTTATGTAGGTATATCACAATTTCCATGATGAGGTGAGTGAGATATGCATGGAGTAATGGAATTTAGTAATTTGGGTGAATTAATGTAGTGGATAATGAGATAATGTATTTGCTTGGGTAATGGCATTATAGACTTTCCTTGAGGAGCAATGTAACCCTTTACATGTCAAACCTTATTCAATTGAATATTCATTTTAAAACAAAATGAGAAGTTGGAATAAAAAATAGAAGATTGTAAAATGATGATCACTCGTTCGTTAGAAATTCTTAATTAAATTTATGTCGATGAATTTCTGCAGGTTAATTTATATCGTCAACATTGGTGGCGATGTGATGGCCCATGCCAACATCGTGCACCATATTATGGTATGGTTCGTCGTGCCATGAATCGTGCACCTTCACCTCAGGACCCCTGGTGGCCCGACCATCAAAGAACATGTGGGGGGACCTATGTTAAGGTGAAGGAGCCAGAGAACTATAAGATGAAGAAAAGAAAGACAAAAGATGACTTTGGTCACTCCAAATCGAATGCAATTAAAGGCACACCAAAGATTTATGATCTCTGGAATAAGGTAACAAGCAAAAAGAACGAGGAAACGAACAAAAAGAACGAGGAAACGAACAAAAAGGATGAGGTCAAAACGAGGAAAAACGACCAGAGGAGTGGAGAAAGTTGTTCAAGTAATGGAAAAGAGAATGACATTAGAAAAATTAATTTTGCTTTCCAGCCGTTCACGGGAAAAGGTCGCGTTTTAGGAGATGGTAAAGTGAGCACCATATCTAATGGTAACCACACTTTATTGTCAGGCTTAGGTGAGACTAGCCAGGCAAAAGTAGAATCGTCTAAAGATCTTTCAAATTCTGTGCAGAAGAAACATTCTGGAAATGAGTTGACAATTGTTGATGCATTTAGGAATTCTTGCGGTCAGAAAGTACCATTAGTCATGCTAGATTCGACGTCCAGTGAATCAGAGTATGTCACGTGTCCAGTGTGCACCAATCAGGTTAAGAAAAATTTAATAAATAATCATTTAGATTCTTGTTTGTAGATGTGTTTTTCTGTTTAGATTGTTGTAAATGTTTTGTTTTTTAATTGAACGATGTATTTATTTGAATTGTACATAAAAATTTTGTTGATATTGAACGATATATTTGTATATATACGTATATATATATAAAGGCATACATTCAATATAGGCATTTATATATTTCATATATAACATAGAAAACAGAAAGTGTGATGTTTTTTTTTATGACTGTGCGATAAATTTATTTTGGAGAACATTTTCATTAAAAAAATTTCATCCACTGTATTAACTACGAAAGTTGCCTCAAATTCTTTATTTTTTGAACAATGCCAAAGATGGCCTGCCACGAAATAATCTAACATCAGAATGAATTTTTTGGCCATGTTAGTTCCTTACAGCGTGGTAATGCACTGAAATTTTTACAGCCTTGACAGGAGTTTGCATAAATAGTGTCGTAATCAAGTTATCAATTTATAGTAACTTGTTTTAACCCGTGGGCATTGTTTTAGTTAATAGATGCATGTTATCCTGGTTAGTACAATCCTGAGAAGGAATGATTGTTGTTTTGACATCCTTATTTGTCGTTTTCTTGACTCAAAGGATAACTACCACTGACGATGTAGAAACGTCTTTCAACATAAACACCTATCTTCAGGACTGTAGTAATCATCAACATCTACCAACATTCAAGTCATCAAAACTTTATCAAAATTGACAGGTAAAATTCATCACGATAAATCCAAATACAAGCCTTCATTTAAGAATAGAAAGTATATAATTTTATGCACTGCTAGAAATCAAGCATTGAGCGATATGTACAAAGCGGAAAGGTTTAGTTGTGCTCAGCTTTCTTCTTCATCATCATCACCATCTTCTTTAACGATAGTTATACCTATAAAGTAAATACAAACAAATACACACATGAGTAAAAACTAAAGATTGTGTCGAAATACTCCTTTAAATCTCTGTCTCCTGGGTTTGTACATTCGAATCTGGAGTCAACAAGATGATGATTTTGGGAATGCATATGATATATATTTTGATAATCTAACCATCAAGCTTCTTAAGATTCGGTAATCTTCTAGTCACTTCCGGCCGCCAAGTACCGTCTGAGGTCTGTTTTTCTTCGAGAGGATTACCTAAAGATGGTGCATATATAGTGCAAGAATAAAGATCTCTAAGAAAGAAAAACGCACTTTAAATGCGTTCATAAACTGCTTATAATGTTTTCTTACCAACCATGAGTAACTCTTGCAGCTGTGGTAAATCGGCCTAAAAACGAGTTTAAATTTGAGTGAACTTTTGCAGATGCGAAACAATAGGACTTTCAACAACGACTCTTCTTCATAATGAGTTGACGGTGGCGAAGCGTTTTAGCAAAAGGAGACGTTCACTTAAGTACAATTTGACACAGTTCTCAAAATCGTATTTTTTCTAACCTCATCGTTCTGCCCTCATCGTTCAAATAATCGTCTTAGTTAAATGGGATAAAACAAAGTTTCACTCACGTAGCTAAGACGATTTTTTAAAACCAAAGTTAAAAACTGCGCCACAATGGCACTCCTATCGTTGATCAACATTATTATACGAATCAAAGGTGAAATATCGAAGAGAGAGTGATGTCAAATTTTTTCTTTTTGTCTTACCAGTTTTTGGAATTCGTCAAATGACTTCACTTGATTGTTTGACATGTAAAGAACCTTGTTTATTGGAAGAAATTACAATAATTCAATGGCAAATAATGAAAATTTTCGAGGAAGCTGGCTCATGGGAAGCATATTGGACCTTCAATTTCTTAAGGACGTTAATTCCTTTAAGTTTTTCAATGTTGTTGTAAGATATCCACAGTTCTTCAAGCGTATCTGAAACCGCTTCCTAAAAATGTGTGAACAAGATAAATTTCTTTGGTTTCTTTTGTGTTAAGTTTTAAAAGATCAAGTACATTTACCAAGCCATTTAGATTTTTGATATTGTTGCGTCCCAAAGATAGGATTCTTAATTTTTCTAAACAAAATTTTGTTTAGAAATTGAGAAAAATTCTATAAAGATAGAAAAGTCGATGACGCTAAAATACTTTAAGATATTGACAGTGGGATGGTAAAAGGTTTATTGTCTTGTTTAGATGGCAAATGGGAATTTTTACTCTTGCATGCCCCTCTTCATCAACTCAACTTCAGTGTGACGGCCCTTTGATCAAAAGATGAACAAAGTCCTGCACACAAAGTAAAGCATTGAATGGTCTTACTTAGTCCGTTCAAGTTGGCAATTTTCTCAATACAGTTTGTGGAAAGTGATAGTTTCCTAGACAATAAAAATTATTTGATATAACCAGATGTTTATGAAAATGGCAGTTACACTTGTGAGACTGCAGCAGTAGGCAAACCTACTCGCAATTTGCCAAAGTCGACAGTGATGCATCCATTTTTTCAATTGGAGGATATTGGGCATAGAGTAATATTTCTGTCGACTCCGATGGTTTCTTGCCATTTTTCTCCTCCTGTCTCACGAGGAATAAGATATTAGAAGGATTAAATAAAATGTTTAATGATTCATCGCCATGTATGAGCTAGACAAACGAGAAATTTGTTCTCGAAGTTTCACACAAACCCATTTTGCCAAAGCATCTTTGATCGTCGTTCCTTTGTTCTTGGAGATAAAAAAACCAAAACAGAGATTTTGACGTATATGAAATCCTATAATGAATGCATAGTACTCAGATCAGCAACGAACATACCATTTTCTAACACTGCAAAGAAGAAAACCCTTTAAAAACTAAGAAAAATAACATCTTGTTTGGCAAATCTTTCAGAACCAAGCTGTTTCCATAGCAACACCTTCCGCTTTCTTTTCCCAAATTTTATAACGTGTAAAAACTTCAATATTTTGAATTTCTGTTTAATTGTCATGTCTTCTCTTCCTTGGAGTCTTTCATGTCCTAATGGAGAAGTTTATTGATGCTGTCCAAGAAAGATGTGATCTAGATATCAACTGCAATGTATGGAAAATAAATTTGGCCATTAACATGATGATTAAATGAAATATTTGAATAATTTTTCTTACCTCCACGTGGAGTTGTTTATGACCTCGGACCTCCCAGCTCAAGATGCTCAGCTGCCTTTCGATTCAGGCTTATTCATTGATTTCATTCGAGAAGGAGGGATGGATTCATTTAGTTTCTCAAAAATATATTTTTGTAAATTATTTCTGTGAAGTGATTCAAGACATTTTGTAGATTTATCTTACTATTTTGAAACCTTGTATGCCAACTGTTTTGGCAGATTGGAAAGTTTATCTTTCACAACGGATTTCTCCCTTGCTTTCATTATTTTCAATACCTATTCTCTAATCAATTTGATAATTTTCATAATTGAAAGAGGAATTAATATGACTTTGTTATATTATTAAGGAACGAACATGGCTGCAAGAGTTATACAAAGTTTTATCAGAAGACATTTACAGGAGGTCTTTGTTCAAAAAATCATGTGTGCAAGTTGCTATTGATGTTGTTAAAGTAATCTTAGAAAAAAACAAAAGAGACGGTTTACCCACTAATCACAAAGTTCTGTCTGTATCTTCTCTCTGTGCCACCTATAAAGATAAAGAATGTTTTACTGGAATATTTGGAAATTCAGAATCATCTCTTTTGAATTCCTCAGAAAATTTTGGTATGTAGTGAACTCCTACATTTTTCTTGTAACACGATAAAAGTCATTCAGGTAACTTTCTTATGTTGTATAAAATTATTGGAGTGAAATGTCAATGTCATTCACAACATTTACAATATTAGGTATAAAGGCAATCTTATCATTGAAGTAATATTTAATTGTTCATATAAATTATCCATAGCCATACTTTTTACTCAAAACCAACCATAATGTAATCCTAGGACCACCCGTGGCACCATATAAAGAATTAGAAATCTATCCTATGATACTATTTGGTATCCTCACAGATGAACCTTCGTCAGATAAATCACTGGTTTTGGAGGCTGGATTTCTCTACCTTGAGGATTCTAAGACTGCAATTTTTTGTAATGTATGATATTTGTGGGGAATGCTACAGGGTGTAGAAATAGTACATTATGACAATGTTGCTTAGCAACAAAATTTACTCTTGGTTCTCTCAGCTGTGCTGTAAATACATTCTGGTAATTCCTTAGATACTAGTCCCATTCCCCCATGCCACCACATGTAACAAGATTACACAATTTCTATCAAGCCATTAATGTATGTATTAAATAATTTAGTTCACAGAGGATTGGTATCCACAGGATTACTCCTTCAAGAAACTGGTTATGTTTACAAAGTGGAACTTTATCAACTCATTTTTCCCACTCTTTGTTTTTGAAAGTAAGAATTCTTGCTCACATTCATTATTTTCAGTACCAACAAAACACTTTAAAACGTTGTCTTTTAATAAAAGGCAGTGTTTTTATTAATTTTGCATTATCCTTTGATCCTAAGTTATCCTTTGACTTTTCACATTGACCATATTTATCCTTTGACTTCTTTGATTTGCACAGCCATTTATGCATCGCTGTCTCTATGCTAGTATTTCTTACCTATGTTATATTTGTTAACTTTAGGCAGCAAAAGAACAAAATCTGATGGCAGAAATCGTTTAAAATACATAGAAGTTATAGAAGAAATAGTTCAACTTGATGGGCAACCATCTTCAGTAGCTCCGGATGCAGTTTCCATAGACACGTACATCAATTTGGAGAATAGTTCTGTGTAGGTTATTTCAAATTTACGAATACAAATACTTAGATTCTGGATTTTTTAACTCAGATTAAAATGAATTCTGGATTCCAAACAATGTGTGACTAGGGATTGGGTGTCTCAAATGTTTGAATCCTAGATTTCATTGTCTGTTTTCATTTATTTAAAACAGATTCCATCTTACTTTAGACACCACAGCATTTTATAAGATTAAATTTCGGTTTTCTTGTATTCAGGAAATTGCCCAGCGAACGTGTGAATATCTATGGAAGTTTAGTTCAACTCAGTTCATCTTTTTCGTAAGTTGTTGGTCTTATAACGTGGAAAGTTTACTTCTCGTTGTTTTTGAAAAAAAACTAAAACTTTCTTTTCGTCAAAACTACCAGAGTGAGTGGAAGGAAACCGTACTTTTTTGCAGAATTTCAATCGTGCAGAACAGAAAAGCGAATTTCTGTTATGTTTAGGGTAAATATTTTCGGTGAATAATAATTAAATTATCATTTAATAGTACTATTATTTGCTATTTACGTAAACATTAGATTATCCCGACAACCTTTACATACACGAGACTGGTGATTTAACGAGATGCCCATTTTCTAGATGACCGCTTTAACAAAGCCGCTCTAAATTACGCTCTTGCCACTTTGTAATTACATATTTTTTATTTTAGCCAAAGATAGAATCATCCCTCACAAAACAAAGTTTTCTTTAAGTATAGCATCGCTTCTTCTTCTTCAGGGCTGTGAATTTGCATCGTGGTATAAACTTATGAAAATTGGTGAAACTTATGTTGTTAGTGATGTGAAGAAGGCCACATTTTGTGTGGAAAAGGCAAGGGTTTTAATGTTTGAATGATAAAATTTTTTTCACTTATTATCGATTTGTTAAATTCAGTTTACGTATTGCTATCTATTGTAGGAAAGTTCATACAAGATAATTATGTTAGGGGCGATCAAAGATACCAAACTTTATATCAAAAATGATGTCAATTCTTTGCATTCGACGCAGCGCAGATCATCTAATGAACAAACACTACTTCAAATGAATGTAACTAAACGGAAAAGATCTGAGACCAAAGATAGTTTGGTACGTCATAATGAGGGTGATACATAAGAAATCAATGTATTTGATCACTTTATAGTTCTACCATGGTGAGGATGATACATAAAAAATCAATGTATTTGCTCACTTTATATTTGAGTCATAGTGAGGTTGATACTAACTTAAGAAATCAATGTACTTGATCACTGTATACTTCTGTCATATTGACGATGATGCATAAGAAATGAATGTACTTAAACTCCTCTTTCTTATGTCAGAGTTCATATCATAACCAGATAAACGGGCTGGCTATGTCACTGTTCACTTATTGCAATTATCAGAACAATTGTTTAATCCAGACGCCATCAAAAAGAAGAAGGGATGATACATGTTCAACAGAAAGGTTTACAAACGAACCAATAAGAAGAAATCAATATGTTTTCTCACCGCCAATCACGTATGAGGTAATGCTTTATTCAGTGGTCTTTTGGTGGATGAATTCAACTGGTTGCTATGACATTTTTCCCTTTTTAGGGAGTCATTACAAATTCGGTGAATGCTGATTTTGGAATCTACGAAATCGATAACCGATTTAAGTAAGACGTGAATTATTTAATGTAGTTCAAGTTTAGGTTTCAAGTGTTAGGTGAACAACCAAGTTCAATTTTTGGACAAAATTTTTTCTTGACATACTTTTTTTGTTTTTTCAAAACGATGACGTAGTGCTTCGTTTCAATGCCAGTTTTTTCTTTTCATTGCCTTTCCTTGTTTTGTGCGTTTATTCAATTAACAAAGACCATTAAAATATAAGGACTTAAGTTTATATGTTGAAGAATACAGTAGTTTATATTTGTGAACGTCAGTCATACATATCAACGTCTTTTGTTGTTTTTTTCCCCCGTGAAGATTGTATTTACACTACGCTCCGTGTAAACATTATGCGTGTGGCTTCAGGATTGGTATGACAGTAAAACTCTACAACGTTCATCTTTGTAAACATGGTGAGGTAAGAAACGCCTTTCATTAAGCATTTTTCATTGGCCTTTTCTTTATCGAAGTTTGTTGAGATCTGTAATACTAGTTTCTGAATCGTCGTCCTTTATAGAAAATTATTGGTTTGGTGGCTTGTTATCTATCGACTGTACGAATTTTGAAACACTCCAAAATCAATTCACCATTTCAGGTATAGTTTAATAGTTTCACAAGCTAAGGTTTCTTGTCTTTTCCATGTTGCCTCATCGCTTGGCGTTGCATCGTAACGATAGCCACTGTGAGTCTCAGATTTTCAATTAATGATGAGTATATTTTGTTGCAGTACTTCATTCCTGGATTAAAATATTTGACAACTACTTGCATTCGAATGTCCTTCATCGATTTTTTAAAAGTTCTTGATCTGGTCGAAAGTCTCGGGAAGAAATTCGACACAAAATTGAGGTGCATTTTCTTTGCTAGCATGAGATGTCACCTGTGTAATTTGACTTCAAAATTTAAGTGGTAATTCATGATTCAAATATTTTATGTTGTAGTGAGGCTGACATTCTCGCTCCAATGAACTTCAGCGACAGGTACATATCTCCTTGACAATAAAATTAACGTTAGTCTTCAAGTCTTGGTTTACTTTGAATGACTTTAACTCGCATTCTTGACAGAGGCAGACCATCAATTTTATCGCATGTTTTGTCCATGGATTCATTGAAGGTGAATCGAGATATTCATCAAGAGTTCTTCTGTCGACCTCATCAGTGTATTGTGTTATCACCACCCCGAGGACTGGGGCTGCCATGCGCACCAACGTTACGAGATATTCTCAGTTCTGTCGATAGTTTGATGAACAGCGACACTAATATGTCAAAAGCTCTGTATTCCTGGAGTCATGAGGTGTTTGCTCAGGAAGATTTAAAGTTGAACGAGAACTTTGTGAGTAGTTTTGTACAGCATAACAGCTAGATATGCAGATATATTTTGTACAACAAAACAGCTAGCTCTTTGAATAAACACGAAAAGCAAATGAGACCAAATATTGGGGGTCTGGTCACAGCATTATATTTAGAACTTTGGAGTGACGGAAGCGCTTTTTTGTTAAAGTTTATTTTAAAAGAAGTATTTCAAAGTATGATGTTAGATGAGAATAAAAACTTGTCGTTTTCGACTTTTGTTGATATATGGAGCCAGTTCTCACGAGGATGTACATAGAACTTGTACATATTTATTTTATAGGTGTTACTTGGATGGTTGGATCATGAAAAGGACAAGGGAAGGTTGTATTATTGTGATAATACTGCTCGCATACCATGTCTGGTTACTTATCCACAAACATCAAAAGTAATTCACGAATGTAGTGATGAATGTACTATAAGGTGAATATCCAGTTTTTCAAACATCGGTCAGTTGGTTTTGATTATACATGAAGTTTTCATTCTTGTGGTCTGTTACACGAAGCCCGTATAGCGTTGCTGAGCGTACTTTTCACACGCAATAAAAGTTTTTTCGCTTTATTCAATCAATCAGAGTAGAACTAATTTTATTTTTTGACAATTACATTTAGTCGCTAGGACGAAAACGTGCATAAAAGAAATCTTGCAAGATATAACTCAAATTTTTGTTCATCCATAGGCAAGTCAGCAAAAAGAAAATTTTTGATGATGAACTGACGACAAATTGTCCTTTGCTACAGACAAGGCACCTTGGTGCAATACTTAAAGTTGAACGCTTTGAAATTATTGCCGAACGTTTTAGCTCCCTTAAATTGATACACCGAAGAGACATGGACGGCGAGAATTCGCTCAGGAAAGTTTATTTAAAATTTTCAATTCCAGATGTTAAAATGATCGGGAGTGTTTTAAAAAAAACTGGAAAAAAGGCACCTGGTAATGACGTATTAACGGAGGTCGCCTCTGGCGGAATGAGCCCGCTGTCTCGAGGCCAACAATCATTGATCCTTGTCATGTTATCTTCCTCGTACGCTACAAGGATTATGAGATGGTGAAAATTACAGACGACCATTCTACAACAACTGCATGTGTACATGGTTTTATCCTTCAAAAACATACAACCATTAATAATCCAAAAAGGGGCAATAAGTCTGCCAAAGCACGATCCAACATGGTGACTTTCACATCGTACAAGAAACAGCAGGTTGTCATTGAACTAAACAATAATTGTTACTGGCTGGACTTGCTTCATCCGGGTCGTTTCTATTGCATTGTTGATAATAGTCATGGGAACAAGGAAAGCCCAATGGCTAACGCATTAAAAGCTCAGACTCCTGTGATTCGTATGAACTTAGATATGAACATCTCAGAAATAGACATAAAAAAGATTGGCGCCAAAGATGACAACTCGTGGCTTTGCTCGTGGTATAAGTTAGCTAAGGAACAGATCAATGTCGATAATGTTCGAGCTGTTCTTCTGTCTTTGGAAATTGAAAATCCTTTGAATAAAACGTCTCGGTAAGTTGTTGATTTTGTCGAAGTGATAATTGATTACACTTGGAGATTTACGAAGTCATCATTAAAATCATACTGTATCGTATGATTTGTCATGATTTCATCTTGGAAGCTCATCCCTTCTTTAGATCGTTCAGCAGTCTCATCTCCTTTTGTGGTTTAATCTTGTCACGTGATACTGTTCCATCCAATGATTTGGTAAAATTAGAATGCCCTAGCTTACTTAGCAATCAACTGTTCGTCCCTTTTTCTGGTCGAATATCAATTGCAAGGGCTTCTGACCTTTCACTGGGATTTTATTACCTTGGCAGACGTAGGATTGTATTGACCATTCGTGATGTCATCACTAAAGATACTGTAAAAGTGTATTTAGATTTCTCGAGTCGTACATACCCCATGGGTCTTTTGCCGGGTGCTGTCGTCACATTACGTCATTTAAAACAACATGTATCTAGACAAGGTATGATATTATTCTGTTGGTTTGTTTTAGCTATTTTATAACATAAGAATTCATACTCGTCACATTGAAAGAAAAAAGAAAAAAATTTCAAAAATTCCAGCGAAGATCTTTAATATACGAATGTCTTTTAGGAGTTTCATCAGTAAACTTGAATTTTAAATTTAAGTTCATCAATAATGATTTTTACTTTGAAAATTTAAATGACTGATGGTGTTTGTTGGATGCAGACAATAGATCGTACATGTTGATTGATCTCTAGCAAAGATAACTGGGACACTGCCAAGTCTGTGTTTCGTTTTCATACTTTTCATACAATAACATTACATTTGTTTGTATTTTTTGATATTCTATATTTTTCTTCTTGCAGGCAACATTTACTTTACATTTGAAGCATGCTCGAATATCGAAGTCCAGAGTTTGCCATCAACGTCATGTCATGTGACCGATGACGTCGTGGAAGCTCCAACTAACATCCCATGTCGCTACATTATCGACTACTACAATCTCCAAACATGTGGCAAAATATTGTACTCGTTATCTTACATCCAGTGCCGTATAGTCGCCGTACAGAAGGTTTCACTAACATGGACTTGCATGAAATGTGGTTGGATGCCTAACCTTTGCTATTGTCACGTGTCTGGAACTAATCAAAGTTGGCTTTTTAAAGGATCAGTGAGGTTAAGTTATTTTCTCGAAGTCCAGTAACTCTTAATCTTATCCTAATATCCTTTTTTAGTATCACTAATATGCTGATTTATGACTTTAGCATATTGGTACTTAAAACTAACCCATAATTTTTCATACTTGGCTATGACCGACATATTTGTTAGAAATTTGGTTAGAGATGACTTTTGTGTATTTGTCGGACACCCATTCTAGGAGATCTGTATAGCTCGATGTTGAAATATTACTATGAGATTCTGTTCATTAAAATATAGCATTTGTTTCCGTTTAATAATATTCAGTTTCAAAAATGTTTTTCTTTCTTGTTTTAGTTGTGTCGTTGAAGATGGTTCGGGTGAAGCGACAATTTATTTGATGACGAAAACTGATAAGAACGCTGTTACTTATCAATGAATCAAAATGGCGGGAACTTATACAATTGGCTAAGGAAAACGATGGCATTTGTTATCAAAGATCAGCTTATTGGAAGGTATTGTCTTTGCTGAGATTTATCATGATGAAAAATCAAAGTATTTATTAATAAAAACTTTTAGGTCTTTGTTCAATTCTCCACTTTGCTTCCGCAAATTTCTAAGTTGTACAATGACTCATTGCTAGCAAGTGAAACATTGTTATTGCAGAACTGCTTAACTTGCTTCATCACGACGAATTTGATGTTCTCTATGCCTCTGTTTAACTTCGTTTAATGTTCACTTTACTTCAGTGTGAAAGAGCTGAGCGCGAAAGTAAGATTGACCACAAATTGTTCGCTGTGGTGACGTCGTCTAAGATCTTTCGGCGAATCAAAGTTTTATGCAAACAATTTAAATTAACGCCATTGGAAGGTTTGTAATTTTTGACATGTACAATCCATATAAACTATTGTTTGTCCATTCTAGTGTCATCATCGGGAGCGATCCTATGTTGAATCTTGAGTCCATATGTACGCCAGTCTAGTGTCTTCATCAGGAGTGATCTGTTGTTGAATTATGATTCCTTATATACTCCTGTCTAGTGTCTTCATCAATAGTGATCTGATGTTGAAACTCGAGTCCTTATATACTCTGATCTAGTGTCTTCGTCAGGAATGATCTGTTGTTTAATTATGATTCCATGTATACTCCAGTGTAGTATCTTCATCAAGAGTTATCTTATTTTAAAATTAAGTTCATATATACAGTCTTCGCTAGACGTAATTTAATGTCAATCTAATTCTTTTCTTTTTTCTTATGATTATTGTACTTTTTTCATTATTCCGTGTTTTATTAGGCAAAGACACGAGAACTATTCGAGTGGATGGTAAAGAATTTACAACAAATGTCCCGGCAAAAATTACGTTAAACGCACTTGAAGTTCACGAAGTACAAACATTAAATGACATAAGAAAACACGTCGCTTCTGTACGTCTTGGGAAGAATTAATTTTCTGTTATATTTGCCATGCATTATTTAAGTTTTGTTTTGTTCACTAAAATTCACAATAATGTAACGTAATTTAATCGATTAATCAGTTTAATCATTGATTAATCATTAAATAATGAACGTGATCAATTGATTATTCTATGTTTATTCACTAAAGCTAATAGTCAGTATTTTTTGATTTTTAAATTTAATATATAGTATTAACAAGAAAATGAATAATAAATTAATTTTTTGTATGACGGCATTTATTGTCTTACGTGCCCACAATCCTTGTGAGCTGCTGGCTGCTGCTGTAGGTAAACTTCATATAATAATTGTTAATGTATTGTTTGTTTATCACAAGTACAGGTAAATATGATGGAAAGTTCTTCTTCCGAAAGTGACGGAGACATAAAAATTGTTTCCAAATCTTTAAACACGAGATCAAGGCTTGTTACTGACGATGAAGACGATGCAACAGCCACAACTACATGTAATAACCAGGAAAGACTGGAATTAAACCAAAAAACTCCCGAGCGTCAAGATGTTTTTATTGGTACAGCTATAGGTACTCGCAGTTCTGAACGCCTAAAGAAGAAGTTACAAAGAGAATACAAGCCTCCATCCAAAAAAAAGATTTTGGACAGTATAACGGGAAGCAACATTAATTATACAGATATTCGATTGCTACGAAGATCAACAAATAAATTCATAAAAGGGTAAACGCTCTGTTTAAAGTTACGATATATTACAAGTAAGGCCATCTTAACAGTTAAACGTACATAAAAACAGTAAGTAAAACCAGCATGGTGTAATTTTGATGAAATACAGAAAATGTTGAATTAGTTTGATTTGGTAATATTGAATGTATTCATTCAGTCAGGCACAGCTGAATTTGAGCAGGTTGGCTCATAGGCCTTCAGGATTTTTAAATGAGGTTCATTTTTCTACTAATTATTTTAGTAGAAAATTCAGCAGCACAATGTCACTTTTAATTTGATAAACAATTTTCTACAATACACTCCGACTCTTCTACTGCCTTTCCAACAACCTTTGCACCTCTATAAAACAAATATACACCTATTTTCAACCAGCACATTATCACTGTAATGTTTTTACATATATGTTTCTACAATGTGTCCTCTCCCCATTTTTGTGATCTTTTTAATTTGCCTAGTTGTAATTGAATTGTGGTAGTGAAGATAATTTATAAACATCGGTCTTTAAGACCTTTCTAAATGAATCATGGAAAATGTGTTATTGATATAAACAATCAATAATACATACAATGATATTTAGAAACAATCAAAATTATGCATACAATGATGTTAAGAAAAGATTTCATTTTTAATTCCAATACAGGCACATATGCCTTATTGATTTTTACCACTAGTATATTATAATTTTCACGGCGCAATTTTAGACAAAGTCCCTATGTTACGGACAAATATGATATCTACAGTACGGACTACAGCGATCTTTCCAATTTTATTGATGACTCTGAGCTGGTAACAAAAGTACAAAGGAAAGGTTCAAAATGTTTTGAAAAAAGTTTGCCAAATGATAAAAGAATTGTGGATAAAATGGAGAATGATTTAAACTCTGCTTCTGATAATGATAGTGATTGTAAAACAAAAAGGAAAGACAAGAAAAAGAGAGTTGAACTCACTTCTGATGAGGATAGTGATTATAGGACAAGAAGGAAAGACAAGAAAAAGAGAGTTGAACTCACTTCTGATAGTGACAGTGATTGTAAAACAAAAAGGAAAGACAAGAAAAAGAGAGTTGAACTCACTTCTGATGAGGATAGTGATTATAGGACAAGAAGGAAAGGCAGGAAAAAAGGAGTTGAACTCACTTCTGATGAGGATAGTGATTATAGGACAAGAAGGAAAGGCAGGAAAAAAGGAGCTGAACTCACTTCTGATAGTGATAGTGATTGTAAAACAAAAAGGAAAAGCAAGAAAAAGAGAGTTGAACTCACTTCTGATAGTGATAGTGATTGTAAAACAAAAAGGAAAAGCAAGAAAAAGAGAGTTGAACTCACTTCTGATGAGGATAGTGATTGTTGGACGAGAGAGAAGGTTGAGAAAAAGAGAGCTGATAACTCAGACTCAGATAATGGTAATCCGATATCTTGTAAGCAAAAACAAAATTCAACTCAAACACTTCTATCAAGTGAGGATATGGAAAATGAAAAATTGATGTCACTGGAAATACAGCGTAGGCGATCTAGCAGGAAAACATCTCAAAGAAAACGTAACGAAAAGATTCATTTGGAGAAGTTTGCCTTGGAAAGAAAGAAGAAGAAAGACAAACAAGAGCTCCGTAACAATTTAAATCAATCGAAAGATATTGTTGAACAGATGAATTCAACGTGTGTTGACGTTTATGGTGAAGATGATCTTGATGTTATAATGGACGAATATGAAGTTTATGGCAGTTCTTCTGACGTGTCTATAGACAACGATGAAAATGTTGGACGTTTTAAAATCATTGAAGAAAATGAATCAGATAAAGAATTCATCGTTGATGACAATGGTGATGATTTGGAGACCGATAGCGATATGAAAAAATCACATTTGAATAACGTTAAGACGTATGAAAGACTTAAAACGTTGGAAGAGTCGGACGATAGTACAGACGAGATAATTATCGATAAGACGATGTTGGGTCTATTCGAAGCCATTGAAAGAAATGACGTGACCTTTGTCAAAACAACATTGCAAAGCGATCCTAGTTTTATCAATGAAATCGGTTATAAAAGGCGAACTCCTCTACATCATGCTGTGATACATGGATCAGTTGATGTTGCGAGACTTTTACTTGATTTCAAAGCTTTTTTACATGCAGTCGATTCTCTTTCTTTGCTTCCTATTGTCTATGCAATTTGCTTGGGACAAAGTGAATGTCTTAAAGTTCTTCTCGAATATGAAGACCTGAACAATGTGAATAACATTTGTCAAGAAAGATTAAAGCAAGGTTTGCTGCATGCTGTGATTTGTCGTAGAACTATTTTGTTAAAAGAATTCAATACAACTGATGATGAGATGTTGTTGGCATGTATCAAGATACTTAAAGATTACAACTGCATAAGTTTTTTCGAATTAATGGCTGAGAAGGACCATCAAGGATTTACACCGTTTATGGTCGCAATTGCAACTGGAAATTCGCAGGTAAACGATCCTTTGTCTTTTTGCAATAAAATAAACCATCTTGTGAAGGGGCATTCTCATCTGACCTGCATGTGTCAGTGTAGTTAGTGCATTTACAATGCATAAAGATGACTTCATTGATAGGAAAAATTGCTGAGGACTAAGGATTAGTCTCACCAAGAGTATCTTTTTATTAATGTTTTTTGTCTGTGTAGTGCGTGGAGTATTTTTTGAGAAATGGTGCTTCACTTGATGACACAAGTTGTTGCAAAAATGGAGGAAGCCTGCTTCATTTTGCCACTGAGCATTCTTCTTCAGTGGAAGACCCAGATAAAGCACTTTGTCTTAAAGAGTTACTCAAGACATCTTTGCTGACGAAGATTGATGATAATGATGACTCAGGTCTCATATTGTTTCTTTTACACTTCTTCATTCAAAGGAATCATATCGTTTTGCAGTCATATAGAGTTTCATTCACTGAGTAGTTGTAACATTTACGTACAATAGTGCTCATTTTTTATTTTTTTTTTTTGCCAGCATGTAGACGGTCTGTATCAATCGAAACAGGCTTTGTTTTTGAAACAACTCCAACAATGTAATAAAAAGTACATTTGTCGTTTCAGGATACACACCATTGATGTATGCTGTCCAGTGTGGTTATCATTGTTGTGTTTCGGCGTTGTTGGAGGCAGGAGCTTCTGTCCATTGTAGAGTAGGTATCTTCCCTAATGTCAGAACTTTGTCCGCTAGAATGTTTTATATCAGTATAGAAATACTTAAACTCACAGGAAGTGGTCTGAGAAAGAATCATTTGTATTCAAAATATGATGTAAATTAACAAATTCTTTACAGGACAGTTATGGAACGACAAGTCTTCATCTCGCTGCCGCCAGTGGTGACACTTGTTGTGTTCAATTGCTTCTTGATAGCGGTCATCAAGTTGACTGTCTTGATTGCCATGGCTGGCCTCCCTTACTTTACGCTAACTTTGCGGCTCAAGAGAGCTGTGTTCTTTCTCTTATGAAACCAAATCCAAGACAGATATTTGTGCTTGGAGACTTATTAGAAAGGGGAAAATCTGAAGCAGCAAAAGAACGAAATTTTAAGGTCTGTTGTCAACTTCGAGCTGTCCTTCAAGCATATCTTTTGCTGTTTATCAATTTCCAAAGTAAACCAGGGTATCTTTTCGTGTGCCCTGAAGCCTCAAAAATTAATTAAGTATATTAGTTTAAGTAGTATTGATGGCTTTAATTATCAGACTTTCCTGACACAAACGTTTCATATTTTTTCATGCTCTTTATGATAAATAGAGTGCTCTGATTCTCTGTTTTCTTCATTTTTTTGATACTGACATACTTCATCCTCCAAGGTTGTTAAAGATTTGCTCGTTGCATTGGCAAACCAAGACGCTTATTATCGAGTCTTCAACGATTTTATTCGACTCCATCCGGGGTTTCTCGATATTCATGACTCTGGTTTACTGCACGATACATGGAAGGCGTTACTGGACTATGACAATAAACTCAAATGGTTCAGTAGAAAGTTAAAAAAACTAAAGTAAGTCTTGATTAACATCACAAGTCAACCCAAAATTTTGCAGTGACAAATCTAGGGTACTTCAAAATATATTACTGTATCTGATTTTTGCAAGTCTTTACATTCTCAAAACCAATAGTTTTGTTCTTAATGTATTTTGCATTTAAAATTGATCAATTTAAAATTGGTCGTAGTCATTGCAAGTAATCTGACGTTGAACTGTGTCTTCTGTGAATTATGTAATATCGAAACTTTAGTCCTTTTGTCAATACTTTAGTGTCTTCATCAGAAGTGATCTGATATTAATACTTACTTCATTTGAATTGATCTGATAATGAAAAAAAAATGCTTTCCTTACACGTCCCCTTATGCAATGCTTCATCAGGAGTGATCTGATGTTCAAAATTCAATCTTTGTAGCCTAGTGTTTTCTGTGTAGTCTATTTTTACGTTCGGCAATTATTTTAGATTTCTTTCATCCTAGTTTGTTTTTGTTGTGTTTAGCAAAACTAGTGGCGATATTATACACCTAAATGTTGATCGTTCGACGATATTTGAGAGCGCTATGAAAAAACTTCAACATTACGATGGTGTAGCGTTAAGGAATAGTAATCTCATTGTAACCTTCAAAAACGAAGAAGGTGTGTACATATATGATTTTGGAATTCACTGTACTGACTATTGCTTGAGATTTGAGATCAAACCTCTTAATTATTTGCTGTCGCGTTTTCTAGGGATATGTACTGGTCCAAAAAGGGAGTTCTTTGTAAATGTATGTAAAGACATTCTGAATGAACGTTACAAACTATTTTATTGTAATGACGATAACCAATACAGGTTTGTAAAATTTTCATTTTTATTAATTTTTATAAATATTTTAGTTTATTTTCTTTTTTTACTTTGATGTAGTTTTTTTCCAAATACATACTTTATAAATGAACATCGTGAGCCAAGCCTGTTAGCGACTGAAGATGAGAAGTTCAAACATCAGTCACGAAACTTGCCCAGTATTCACGAAAGTTCTAACAACGGCATCAAATGTCGTATAGAAGCATCCGAGATAAATTCCAAACGACTCAGGGTTTTAGGAAATATTATCGGAAAGGCGATTTTTGATGGCTTTTTTGTTAACTTCCATCTTTGTAAGCCTCTTGTAAAGCAGGTATGTAAAGGTAACAAATATTTTATATTGCTTTCCGTTTGGAGGTGACGTCATTCTCCCTTGTCTTCTCTATTAATAGAAGTAAATTTTGGTTTTCATTTAAGAAGAAGTTGCACGTGATGAGAAGTTTGCCTCAGTGCATCGTTTCCTTTAATTTTATTGCTATCTTTGTTTTGGATTTGTAGCTGTCTTTGTTTCGGTTTTTAATAGTTTTTTTATAAACTGTTCGTATTCACCATGGCAAATACGTTATTTGGGGCAAAATTTAAGTTTTTATCACAAGCACGAGTTTGTTTTAGAAATATTTTATACGACTAATGGTTGCAGTTGATGAAAATGAATTATAAAATAAACACAATGAAACGCGTGCGCTGATTGGTCTAGAGCTGAGTTTGCATTATCCAGTGCAAAGCACACCTGAGCTCAACCAATCAAATCAATCTAAACAATCAATCAGTCAAAGAGAGTTTTCAAATCGATCATGAATACATTTTAGAGGAAAAATTAAAATGTTTGTCTTTTTTCGCATTATTGTTATTTTATAAAAGAAATAAGAGATGTTTTTCGTGTTTGCCTTGGCTTATGCAAACCTCGGAGACGTTTGTAAGAACTCTCGAGCAGGTGCAACCCTCGACCTTCGGTCTCGGACTTGCACTGATATGCTCTCGAGTTCTCCCAAAGGTCTCCTCGGTTTGCATAAGCCTGTGCAAACACAGTAAACATCTTTTATTTCTTAAATGAAAGGTGGCAGACCAATGAAATGTTACACTAAGTACAATTCTTTCAAAAAATACGAATTTCTGTTTATTCGTTAAGATTACTTCTGGTAATTTTATTTGTGAAAGCTCTATTACGTATTAAATTCTTAGTTTCCTAATCCGGAATAATTATTGCTTGTGGTTTTCTGTTTTGTTGGTAATCATGAAAAAAAACTTTTGTGATTTTTCTACTCATCTTTATAGATTCTTGGAATTAAACTCAAGCATCCTGATGATTTGATTTTCTTGGATTATGAACTACATAAGAATCTTGTTTATGCATTGGAAAATGACGTTGATGATCTTTATACTTCATGTTTACTTGATGTAAAAAATCCGTGGAACAATGAGGTTTCGACATTGGAACTTTTTCCATCTGAAAGAAACGAAAACATTTTGAACAATAAAAATAAGGTATGTTATAACAGTTATGACATTTCATACTTTTTTTTTATTGATTTTGTTTGATTTTTTGTTCGTTTGATTTTTTATTTCTATATTTTTCACAATTTACTAGTTTGCCTTCTAAAGAATGTATTACCAATATCTCACATAACTTACTGTGCCTGCCTGTTTTCCTATTCCCTACCTATCCTGCCCAATTACCTTCCTTACCTGCCCCCTTTTAAACTTTGTGTGGCCCATTCCCCACCTAGTCTGTCCCATTCCTTACCTTGTTTTCTCCATTTGCTATGTAACCTTTCCCATCCCCTTTTTTGTCTCTCCCATTCCCTAGCTAACCTCTCGCATCCTCTACCCCGTGTGATCCATTCCTTACCTTATCAGTCTCATGTGCCGGGTCATTCCTTACTTTATCTGCTTTATTTTTTATTTCAAGTGCATTAAACTTTTTTTTCAGGTGGAGTACGTTAATTTAGTATCCCGTTATAAACTCGTTGACCTCATTGCTAATGAACTGATAACGCTTCGTGAGGGAATTCACGAGGTCAGTTGTTTATCAAATTGATGAAAACATTTCAGTCACTTTTTTTGTGTTCAAAAGTTTAGAAATGTGACAAAACTTGATGCTTTTCAGGTGATACCAAAGTCGTTACTCGGTTTGTTCACTGCTGATGAATTCTCTCTTCTTATAAACGGAGTCGAGAAAATTGACGTTGAAGATTGGCGAAATAATACCACTGTAAGTCATGGCATCCCTAACATTAGTGTGTTCACAACTATTCCACTATCTTGTTCTTATTACGACATCATCTGTATTTCTATTTCATGACCTTATCAGTATGAACCGAAGGACGCAGTCGTCACATGTGAGGAAGTCAAGTGGTTCTGGGATGTCGTAAGCAAATTAAAGGAGGACGAGAAGGCCCTTCTGTTGAAATTTAGTACGGGTTCACCATGTTTACCTGCGGGAGGTTTTGCCCAGTTGCAGGTTTGTGAATTTTGTGTAGGTTAAATGTTCATAGCTATATATTTGTGATGATCAATTGGACCTTTTTGAGTAAATCGTTTCAACCCGGGAGTATCGAAACATGTTTGTGGATGAAGATCGTCCAGGTTAGTAGAGTCCTAAGAAGGACTGTTGGTATTGATGTAGACTGACGTTTCGACAACCTTAGCGGTAGTCATCTTCGGAGTCAAGAAGAGTCAAGTGACTTGACGAGTATTGTGAATAACTTATATGAAATTTCCTTATTGAAGTTCATGTTCCTTCATTCACAGGGTCTTAATGGGACAACTTCATTTCACGTGAGGATAACGAATGCAGTGAACAAGGTATATGAATTTTTTTGCAAGGCTGAGCAAAACAGCCAGTGTTTCTAGTTTTCAAACGCGAAATTTCGTTTATTTTTCTCAACAGCGCTGAATAATAACATGTTTTTCTCATTTAGATCCCAACATCGTCGACGTGTTTCAATCTACTGAAGCTACCGCATTATAGCAGTCGAAAAGACTTGAAAGATAAGTTGATGATAGCTATTAGACACGGCACCGAAGGCTTTTCCTTTGCATAATATTATACTGCACAGTTTACAGTGCGGGGAAAGCTCTTCAATAGCATAGGCATGCACTTTTTTAGACAGCAGGTGTCTGTTGCGAGAAGTCTGGTTAGCGCTTTCCATAGATTTTTGACTTTCCTAACAAAACAAAAACACTTGTAACAATCAGATTATAATCCAGTATTTCGTAAATTTCGCATATGTATTTTGAAAAATATGTTTGCTACTACAGTCGGCAGTTGACAGACTCTAAAATTTTCATAAACGTTATAATCTGTGCATTCCCTACTGCATAAACTGGAAATGATTATACGTGCGCATGCCTCATAAATAATATATTAATAATTTATGCATGAAAACGTCAATATATATATTACTCTTAAATTGCACTTTAAAGACTTAATTTCTTTATATTTCGGTATGCTTAAAACATGCTCCTGCAGCACTCTTTGGAAGAACCATGCATCCTAACGCCGTTGTCTTATTTGTAATCTTTTTAACACCAGGTCTCTAATAGTTTTTTTCGACTCATTATTCATTCCCTCAAAAATCTAAGAATAATAATGTTTCTGAAAATGGCTTAAAATAGGAAAAAATGTTGCGTTCTATTAGTTTATTGAATTGCTTCTGTTCTCATATTTCAAGTTTTTATTTTCAGCAAACTTATTTCTCACTCCGAATAAAATGAAGAATGCTGCGCATCCAAAGTAAACTTTATTATTATAAAAGGGTTTTTTTGAAAAAAGATGGAAACAAGGCATATTTTCAAATATGTGTATTTTGCAACAGAAAACTACTCCATACGGTTTCCTCAAAAACTATGAACAACGACCTCTTTAGAGATTCGAACCAGTTAGTAATTCTACTTTGAACAAATATTTATTCGCTGACATATACAGTCAGCACCATCGCCGTTTGTATCTATCCTCACATGTTCATTATTCTCCGTCCACATTATCAATACTACTGTCATTCATATCTATCCTCACATGTTCATTATTGCTTCGTTCTGAATTACCATAAGCCTCTTTGGCTGAGCAACAATGAGCATTAGTGGTACTTCGTGTATCTATCTTTACCCTTTGATGAGATATTTGTTTTCTTCCTCGATCTGTTCCGTGTCACTTTCCTCCGATGAACTTTCAATGATATTATGAACCTTTGCCTTGTGTGACCACAACTTCTTCTCCGTCTTAAAAACTTTCTTACATTCCTGGCAACGATATTTGCCGACATCACCGCCATCTTTATGGTTTGGATCACAGTGATGTTTCGCGATGCGATTGCTTGCGTCGTCATTTCCACACATTTTTTGTCTTTCTTTATCGGCACAATCCTTGTTGATGCTATTCATTGTCACATGATTCCCCATCATAGAATTCTCTCGAATATCCATATATTTTTGTCCAACGCATTCTTCGTGCCCATTTGTTAAATCAATGGTCTCGTTTGCGTCAACTGTTTTCTCTAAGTTCCCAATTTCATCCTGTTTATCATGCACGTTCCCTGTTGTACCCCAATGATCACCATGAGCGCTGGATATAGCGCAATCGCCGTTACCATTTTCAATTTGTTCCATAAAAACAACCACCTGCCTAACCTCATCACAAGCCCCATCATTTTCCCATTTTTCATTCATTTCTTCCATTTCTCCTTGATCTTTTCCATCTTCTACCATCTCGACCTCAATGATAAGCTCGCCATTCTCTATCTGATGATCATCTTCATGCTTCACTTTGTTTACGTCACTATCTATTTGAGATTTATCAACAGAAATGGATCCTTCCAAGTTCTCCTTGTCATGCCTACCACACACTCCATTCTCTTGGACTACATGCTCTTCATAACCTCTATGTCTAGAAGAATTCTTCCCATCATCATGGTCTTCATTATTCCCTTCATCCATCTGAACCTCACCTCCTTCATCACCTCTACCTTTAGAAATGTGCTGCTCCACCAGATTTTCACTTTTCCTTTTATTTGTTTGAATCCTACTTCGTTTACTTACTGAAGTTTTTGTTTGTGGAATGACGCTTTCGTCAAAATGTGATTTCTGATGCTTTTTTAGTTCACGAAGGGTCGCAAACCTGCTTGCACAAGTGTCACATACATGCTTGGGATGGGTATGTGCTTTTTTGATGTGAGCCTTTAAAATCTTTTCGCGTGTATATTTTCTCGGGCACAGATGGCATTGAAAGCGTTTGACGTCTGGTTGTTCATGAATCAACTTGTGTTTTCGTAATTCGTATCCAGAAGTGAAATTCTTTTCGCATTCATCACATTTAAAGCGTTTGTTAGTGCCATGAGTTTGTTCGTGTCGTTCGCAGTTATTGCTCTGTTTAAACGCTTTGCCACAGTATCTGCAAGAGATTGAGTTATTTTATGATGTTGTATAGGTCTGTTAGAACATGCTGGCTTGACATAATACATGATAAGTTGAATACTATACTATATGATAAATATAAATGGTGAGAGAAATGCAAGGAATATAAAGGGGAATGCAAGGAATATAGGGAGAGAAAAGGAAGGAATATAGGGGAGAGAAAAGCAAGGTTTGCAGAGAGAGTAAAGCATACAATTTTTAATGAGAAAAATCAAAGTTGGTTTTTCAAAAGAACTTTTAAAACACTGGTTTTGCTGTAAATGAGACATTATTGAAACGTGTCAAACCATGCTACAACATATGCATAGATATCACCTGCATTTGTAAGGTGTTTCTCCACTATGAACACGTTCATGCTTTAATAGGTCATCACTACGTCGAAAAGCTTTATCACAGTTTCTGCATTGGAACGGTCTATTCTCAGAATGAACAATAAGATGTCTCTTCAAAAGCTTCTCATTTCGAAACACCTTACCACATTCTGTGCATGATACAGGCACAGCATCAGTGTGGATCCCCATATGTCGCCTAAAACTGGCTTTACATGAGAACACATGTTCACATATGGTGCAGAAGAACTCTGATTCTGTGAAACCAGAACATTCTGGTATATGTGTATTAAGCTCTTGCTGAGTCTTGAATCCTTGTTTGCATAACTCACATTTGATTGTTTTTACATGAACTTTGGTCATGTGTCTATTTCTGTTTTCCTCACGGTAAAAGCTCAGACCACATTCTGAACAAAAGTACTGTGGTCGGGAAGCTTCTACATTTTGCATTAATTGCATACTAAAACAAAGAACATATATATGTACATTACTGTTTGAAAATAAAAATCACTCTGTTGGAACATATACAGATAAGTAGATCAATAACCAACAAATGTTTTTTTGACACCCTTACATCACTGGCATTCAAAGAATTTTTCACTTAAATTTCAGATATTTTTCAGGGAATAACCAGTCATCTCTGGCAGCTAGAAATTCATTCAATGGCAAGGGAAGTAAATAGCATAAAATATTGTTTTAAGGAAGCCTTTAAAACAGAATACAATGTCCATGTTAAGAAGGTAAAGGAAGTGTTGAAAACCTATAGAAGATCGTTCTTAAATAATTTGTAGGTGAACTCATGCTAATTATTTTACCTGTTTGTTCCATTTTCAATAGCACTTTCTGTGTTGTTCTGTTTGCCACTCAATGCAAGTGGCTGTCTTGCAACAACAGTTTCATTTTCTCTTTCTGTTGAGGGATTACTGTTGCCATCAAGGGATGGTTGAGTACAGCTTACTTCATGTGATTTCATGTGTTGATTAAGGTTAGCTACAATGGAGAATGACTTATTGCACAATGTACATGGATACCTTTTTCCATTGTGATCTCGAGTTATGTGATAATTTAATCCTTGTGAAGATACAAATCGTTTGTCACATTTTGGACACTTGTAAGGTTTGCAATCCGGATAATTGTGAATTCTTTCATGTTGTTTTAAGTCACACTCCTTGTAAAATGTTTTATTGCATGCACTACACTTGTATGGCTTATTTTCATCATGTGTCAGTTCATGCCGTGCTTTGTTTGACAGTTGATTAAATGTCTTGTCACAAAAAGAGCATTTGAATGGATTTTCACCAGTATGGATCCTATAGTGTATCTTGAGATTTTCCCGACTCCCAAATTTTTTCTTACAAACATCACATTCAAAGTTTCGCTCCTTATCATGTTCTCTTCTCACGTGATCCTTAAGTCTGAAGGCAAAATGATAGGCTTTATCACACTGTGAACAAGGGAATTGTTTTTTTTGTCTGTGTGATACCAAATGTCGTTTGAGGGCATGTTTCAGAGTAAACTTCTTCTCGCATATGAAGCATTCATATTCATTTGGATTTGTATGAAACTTAGAATGGGTATTGAGCTGTCCCTTGGTACGGAATGACTTACTACATTCATTGCATTGAAATGGTTTTACATCTGAATGTGTTCTAATATGGCGTTGTAAATCTCGAGGTCGAATGAAAGCTTTTCCACATTGCTCGCATGCATGTGGTCTTACTGTACTGTGGGATTGCTCATGATGGTTCAAGTCTGGTTTTGTTTTGTATGTATTGCCACAAGTACTACATACATGTGGACGATCGGTCCTGTGTATCTTCAGGTGTTGTTGATAAGATGTCTTGTTAGCAAATATCTTATCACATATGAAACATTTGATGATGTCTGGATTGTCGGCGTGATTATTTCGAATGTGATCAGCAAGTATTGTATTTGATGCAAAGGATTCGCTGCAGAATTTACAACTGAAGCCAGTACCAAATGAATGCTTGACCCTGACATGTCTCATAAGACTTGAGTAAGCTTTATAGACTTTTCCACACTCTAGACAGGGAAATGTATCTAATTTATCAGAAACTTCAAGATCATTGTCGGTAGATTCTGCCTCAATATCGATACTCGCCATGGTTTGCAGATTTTCAGATGAAATGTCGGAGTCCATTGGAAGGCAACGGCACCACCGTTAGCAATGCTACTTTAATATAATTTCATGGAACAAAAATAATAATTTTCGAATTCATCCCTCTTTCTACAGTCCAAACAAACACCAAAGTATTCCTTTTGAAGGTAAATGTTCTTAAATCTTAAGTATTTGTATAGTAAAAGAAATCGCTTTCACTAAACCGTTGTTCAAGACAATCGACATTATTAACGACACCCGATTCATATACACATGGCTAACGTCAAAATATGATCAAAATTGGTGAGTAAATTTTGATTAAATTTTGTTTTGGCTCATTTTTCTTTTTATTTTAAAATTTTTTATATTCTATATTTCAAACCTTTTAATCTTTTTAGGTTAACTATTCAGGCAAGAATAAATTTGCTTATCCTTTTTACAGGCTCTTTTATTTGAAAATAATTTTGACGACGTTTTCGACTATTGTCATTTTAACGGATGTAATCACCTGATATTCCGACCAAGGGCACCATGCTGCATTGTTCTTCGCCACGTCGAAATGTATTTCATATATCGTGAAAAAGAGTGGAATGTTAAATAGCAATAAACAGCTGGAGATAGCTTGAAACGTGGATTAACATATAATTGGCGATGGTACGTATGCATGTTGCATGAAAAAAATACAAGTCTTAGTGATTTAAATAAATAAATTATTGTCTTAATGGAGAACTTTAAGAAAGCAATGAATTATCAGCAGGCTCGACAGGAAAGTTTGCGGTCCTCCAAGGCTTTTCAAGATCTAGCTAGGCAAGATGCAGAGGAATTGATGGCAGAAGAGCTTGAGAAGTTACTCATCACTGCACCCAAAGAGACAAAGGAGGTAAGAAATTGTCTTCAACTTTAGTCCAATCGCAAATACACTTCATCGTCAAATATGCTATAACATTTTTTCCAACACTTTACATATGCATTAGGTCTTTTAACATTTGATGTTTTTCTTGCTTTCGTTAGGAGTTGTGGCATTTAATTTTCGCCACTAATATGCAATTATACTTTTTGTATAGAAAAGCGCGAAGGAGTTTAACCAGTTTCAAGAACTGTTTTCAAGATTTCTCCACGAGACCGATAATTTGATCGACTGGAGCAAAATCAGACCTCCCCCAGATAACACTGTACGTTTTGAGCTGTTTTCATTTATTTGCTATGATTACTGTGATTTTTTCATGCTTATGTGGGAAATTTCCAGCAAAGAATAGCTGATAATGGGTTTTAATTTTCACAGTAGGAATTGTTTTGATAGACGCAAGGATAGAGAGTATTCCATTGTGGAAAAAACTAACACTTCAATAATTTTTTAACTATAAAAGCTCTTTGATGAGTCAAATATTTTAAGGATTTTATTGCTCTTTGTGTCTTTGTTTATTAACAATAGTTTTTAATAATGTCAAATTGAAAACAGCACAAATGGTAGAGAAATTTAGGTCCTGCCTCCTCCTTGCACCGAAATCTGATCCTTGAAAACCATTTATTGAAATATTTATAGAATTGTTACTTTGCAACTTACTTAACTACCTGCAAGACTGTTCTAACCCTAACCCTTACCCTAACCCTAGCCCTAATCTTTTTCCTGATAACAGCCTATCCTAATTGTTGTTGGAGGTTATTGTGCCTGGGTTATTCTATAACTTTGCTCATTTTTTATGCCCTTTAGATTATTCCCTACAATATGTTGTCTGTACCTGACAATAATAAAGCAGCAATCAAAGCTCTTCTGGATAAACTTGTTGTTATCAAGCTTAATGGTGGCTTGGGTACCAGTATGGGTTGTGTTGGTCCAAAGAGCTTAATCTCTGTAAGAAATGAGTTGACATTTCTAGATCTCACAGTTCACTTGATTCAGGTGTGTGTTTGTTTTTGTTTGTTTGCTGGAGTGTAGAAAAAAGAAATGTTTGATAGATAACTTTCTCATTGCATTCATAGTGATTGCATTTATTTTAGTTGCTGCATGAACTATGTGTGTCCTATGATTTATGGCACTTGGGGAACAATTAGAGTTATGCAACACATCAGAACTTTGTATTTTTAAAGTTCATTATTCTTTGAAACAATATGCTTTTGCCTGTTACATGGTTTATGCCTTTTGATTTCCTTCACAGCAACCCAAATTGTTAGACCTCTACATTTCATGTGGTAAATGCTGAAGTAATGATATTGAATGTTTAATGACGTTTAGTGATATACTGTTCAAAGTTCTTTCATCCTGTGTAGATATTTAATTACTAATAACCCAAAAGTCACTTAAATACAGCAACTACTGTGCATTAAAATCATTAGATCAGCTCAATTTTATTTTTATGTATTGTTTATAGAAGGATCAATGATTGTACTATGTATCATTAAGCATTTTTGTTAGGATAGAGAAGTGCTTTGTCATTTTGTTTTAATGTCTTTTAGAAGCTAAATCAGAAATATGGTTGTGATGTACCTCTTGTCTTGATGAACTCCTTCAATACACACGAGGAGACCATGAAACTGATAAAAAAATATGAAGTGTTCAATGTCAGTATTCATTGTTTCAATCAGAGTTGTCATCCTCGAATCCAGAAAGAATCGCTTCAGCCAGTTGCCACCACCATGGATGGTGGGAAAACAGAATGGTAGAGTGAATATCCTATTTAAAAAAGTTTTTTTGTGTATGCTATTGGTTTTGCGAATGAACTATTTCTTCATCAGGTGGTATCCTCCAGGTCATGGCGATACTTATCAGTCATTTTATAATTCTGGTCTACTTGATCAGTTCTTATCTGGAGGTAAAGATGTTGTTTTCATATCAAATATTGACAACTTGGGAGCCACTGTTGATTTGAGTATCCTTTTCAGTCTTTTTTGCTTCGTTACTTTGGAATAAGGGTACTAACTGTTAATCTTCTATGTTTTCTTCATTGAAAATGTTATTATAAATAGGATTTATCGGAAGACATTTTTAGCTAATATACCTTCAAATAATACTTTGCTTCTTAACGAAAACCTCCCAGATATTTTGAATTACATTGTCAACCCTCCTAGTGGAACAGTTGAATTTGTAATGGAAGTGACTGACAAAACAAGATCTGATGTCAAGGTATTTTGTCTGTTTAAAAAATAATCACATGTACATAGGTCTGAGTAAGTGATTTCTTAAAAACATTTTTTATTTATAGGGTGGAACATTAATTGAGTATGAAAACAAAATACGTTTGCTTGAAATTGCTCAAGTGCCAAAACAACATGTAAGGATTAACTCAAACTATAAAAAAGTTTGTTGTTGTTTTACAGGGATCAAAGTAGCATGTAGGAATATGTTTTGTGTATAAATATTGTCTTGCTTTAGTTTCGATGGTTTTTCTCTTCACTCATTTTCAGGTAGATGAATTCAAGTCCATTTCCAAGTTTAGGTATCATCTTTTAAAGTTTCACAGTAATGTTGAACAAGTAGTTTATGAGCTTGCTATAAGGATAATTTTGTAGTTGAGTATTTATTTTGACTTTGTGGTTAGACATTATTAGCAGTGTTTTGATTGGTGCTGTTTTATTGACTATTGAACTCAGAAAATCTATTGGAAATATTATTTCAGCATGTACTGTCAAAATAAAGATGAAATATCATTGTTTTTTCAGGATATTTAACACTAATAACCTTTGGGTACGAATGTCTGCGATCAAGCGATTACTGGATGCAAAGAAAATGCACATGGAGGTTATAATAAATAACAAGGTAAGAAAGATATAATAATTCAAAGTTTTCTCTTGCCATCATATAGTATTGGTATCCTACATGTTATAACATGTCCCTAAACATACCCCAAATGCATGTTCCCATCAAATCACTTCCACACTTATTATAGCCAAAACCTTAGGACTTTTTTGGTTGTATTTCATGTGAACAAAAACAGCAAGCCTTTTTTAAATTTTTTCTTGTTCTTGTTGAATTTTGATCTTTGCAAACATCATTTTCATCACTTTGTTTGTTATGTCAGAGTTTAGAAAATGGTTATAATGTTATTCAACTTGAAACTGCTGTTGGAGCAGCAATCAAGAATTTTAATGGATCTATTGGTATGCATTGCTTTTTAGATTTCTTTTATGAATAACACATTTCTAATCATTTACGTAGATTTAGCAAAAATGATTCATTTATTCCCAGGTATCAATGTACCCCGAAGTAGATTTCTTCCAGTAAAAAAAACATCAGATCTTCTTCTTGTCAAGTCTAATTTATACGAAACAAATGATGCTGGTGCATTAATGATGAGCCCTAAGCGACATTTTGCCTCAACTCCATTTGTTCAACTAAGCGGACCTTACTTCTGGAAGGTTAGAAAAGTAATCGTGCTTCTTATTTTTCACTTTACTCTTTTTTGTGAATTTACACTACAGATAAAGTGCAATTTGCTTTGCCATTAAATTTTCTAGAATAGCTGCGTTAGTTGATTTTCATGTACATTTAGAGTTAGTAGCGTATTAATTTATTTTTGTAAAAGGTCTCTACATCATTTTTATTTAAATATATTTGTTGTGTGTGTTTGTATGTGCAAAAAAACATCAAAAACACTCAAATAGAAGACATTAATTGCATAGTTTGCATTCTAGGTTCATGCTTTTAATCAGAGATTTCAAACTATTCCTGATATTTTGGAGCTTGATCACCTTACTGTATCTGGTGATGTTACTTTTGGTAAAGATGTCATTTTAAAGGTAAATATTAAATAAAATTGACTCTAGCATCATAAAGGGTACTTTGTGAAACATTATTTTAGAATAGTGAACAAGACATGCAATATTGTCAATATGACATAGAGTCATCAAGTTGACAATTTCTTGTGCACCATGCCCATTTTGTTGCACATTGAAAGCACATTAAATTTTGCTGTACCATAATTATTTGCACAGCAGTGTATAGGTCTTTGGTATGTTGTATAAAATTGTAACAGGGGTCTAACCAGGCCTAATACAACTAGCTACTGGTAATCCATTTTTTCATAGTGTATAGTCTAAATACTTACAAAAGACAGGTATACCCAACATGTCTTTATAATGGTCACATGTCTTGAAGAATGGGCGCTTAAAGTTGGCTCCTGCCTCATCTAAACAAACAAAACCACTTTCATATCACAATCATTGTCATATTTAGGGGACTGTTATTATCATAGCAAACCATGGAGAAAGAATTGATATTCCTGCAGGTTCTTTTCTTGAAAATAAAATTGTGTCTGGAAACTTGCGAATATTGGATCATTAAGAAAATTCAGTTGCCAGGTACACCACTATATGCTATAGAAAATTATGCTATGTGAAAGATCAATAATAATTCTTAATTTAGCAGAAAATAAGGTGGGAATGTGAATTGATGGTAATGTACATAGCAGTAAATGCTGCACAACATGTGCTATCAGCTTGTGAATGAAGTAGATTATATAGGAAATTATTTTTGTTACATATATATTTTTATCATTGTTTTCAAGGAACTGTTTCTTTTTGAGCTTTTAACATCAGGCATTGTGTTAATCATTATTGGAATGTAATCAACCCTAAATTATGCAAACTTATTGTAATCTTAAAAATGAAAAGGATAGCAGAGAATAGAAAGTCAGTTAAAATGGATGGCTTAAAACCATGTCAAAAACATTAAAGAGAGAGATATCTTTTCACTGTTTACTCATTGTTTTACTTGGGCTGTCTTGTATTAGAAAGACTTCTGTAAGCTAAATAATTTAGTGTTAGATAAGAACTGTTGTAAGAGGAAAATTATTCAAGGTAAGGTTAATGAAGAGAATAGTCTAAAAAAGTAGATTATTTAAGCACTTATTTTATTCTGTTTAAAATTATATTCTAGAAATAAAAGCAATTGTGTAAATCTTCAATTTATTGCGAAAACGAGTATGCCGTGCAGGCATATCAACTTTTTTCTGTATTTTAATAACAATAAATTTGTAGCATCCATACATCAATTTCTGATCACAAATTATGACATAAAATGACAAAATCACTACATTATGATGATATTTCAATATGTTGTTTATAGTTTTGAGTAATGTATTTCATGTGTAACCATGATCTTGGAAATTTCATCAATGCTGGAACAACCTGTTTTTTGAAGTATAAATAATGTGGAATATGAAATAAAACAATTACACCCAGACATTATCTGCAGACATCAGTTTCCTTTAAAGCAGAGAGAAATTACAACAAGGTATTATTGTATTTTACCTGCAAGTCCCATGGCCAGGTGAAACTCGTCTTTCAATATATTTAGAACCGACACAACACCAGCCTCACCCTGAAAGTTAAATTATATAAATCTCGCTTTAGTGAGTACTAATTTCCATGAGCACTGTATGTATGTACCATGTACTCTACTTTACCTTATAAGCAAGACCCCAGACAATTGGTCTGCCAACAAAGACTGCTCTAGCACCAAGGGCTAATGCTTTGAAGACATCTGAACCATACCGTATACCACCATCTAGATACACTTCACACTCGCCATTCACAGCTGAGATAACCTCAGGCAATGCTTCAACCTTGAGAAGACAGCAAAATAATACATAAGTTAAGACAACTTTTACATAAATAATACTACTAAATTTAATCTCTACCTCTGAACTCAAAACTTTTAAGTCTAGTTACTCATTGTTCTTAGCTAATTAACACTGATCAAAGAACAATTATACAAACTGTTTATGGCTAATAAACATGTTACAAGAATCTTACTGTAGCTGGTACAAAGTCAAGCTGCCTAGCTCCATGATTTGACACCAGAATACCATCAACACCATAACTAACAGCAAGCTTTGCATCTTCTGCTGTTAAAATACCCTTAAGGACAATAGGCAATTTTGTCACAGACTTCAACCAAGGAATGATTTTCCATGTCAGTGAGGAATTGATCAATGTTGCAACAAAAGATGCCTGACCAGAATCTTTGTCACTTTTTACTGCAGTAGCATATTTCTTGGTATAATTGCCTAACTCTAAATGTGAGGGTAGGGCAAATTGGTTACGGACATCGGCATATCTTCGTCCAGAATATGGAGTGTCAACTGTCATTACAATTGCCTTAAATCCAGCTGCTTCTGCTCTTTCAATCAAATCCACAGTAACAGATTGATCTTTGCAAACATACAACTGAAACCACTTTAGACCAGAAGAAGCATTCCCAACATCTTCAATAGAAGATGTAGACCATGTGCTAAGAATCATACATGTTTTTAATGTAGCAGCAGCTGAAACAACAATATGCATCCTTTAATCATCAAAAGCAAGTACTGTTTAACTGTATAGATCAACACATACCCTTTGTAGTGGCAACTTCACCATCTGAATGAGCCATTTTTTGCAATGCCGTTGGTGCAACACATATTGGGAAATCAATTTCCTCTCCAAGAATAGTGGTAGACATGTTGATTGAGGAGACATCTCTCAAAATACGCGGCCGTATTCTCAACCTGGTGCATAAAGAGGAAAAGATGTAAATATCACATGGGTGATACATTTCCAAAACGTCAGTTGGGGAAAATGACAATTCATGGTACGTTGAAATATTTTTAAAGCTAATAGAGTTATTGTCTTATCAGAGAAGCCAGCAATGAAATGATTTTGGCTAACCTGTCAAAAGCTCGTCTATTTTCTTTCAAAGAGACACAAGCGTTTGCCCCCGCGCTAAAATAATCCCAAGCATTCTTTGAAAGAAATTTTTCGGCGTATTTTTCAAAATCTGAAATGCATACTGGTTCCTGCATTGGTAGTATTTCACTCATTTAAATTCTATTCAGCATCATGGTTGGAGCCTCATAGAAACAGGAAGAAAATTTTTATTTTTGTAACACATTTGAACTTTATTTCTTGAATTTTGATTACTTCTCATGCCCTATAGCCGAGCGGAATGTTATTGTGCAAAAATTCAAAAGTCATAAAATGAAGAGTTTAAATTGGAGGAAGTTGCAGTTGATTAAAATTTATTCTTGAAATAACAACTTTAAAGAAATCCCAACGCCAACAGCTACAAAGAATTTAAGACTTTAGAATAAAATGCGCAATTTAGCGCAGTAACTTGTGTCTTTATAATATTAACCCGCAAGAACATGAACCACCCGCAATGGCCTAAAGAATATGAGCTTTCCGAAAAGAAAATGCTGGGCTTTTTTGAAGAAATTGGTTGTTGTGTTGATTTTTGCATGTGTTTGCAAGTCTTTATTAAATTTTCTATGTTTTGATGGTGTATGTGATGACAACGAAAACCAGAAAAACGTCTTCTCGTTATTGAGCGATGTTGTTTTGGAAGCAAACAGATTGACAATTGTCGAGCATGAAAAACCTCGGTTTTCTGAGACGGTAATTTCAGCATCTATTTTCAAAGGGACGACAGGTGAGAAGTTATATCATTGACATAAATGTCTTGACCACCCTTTTCTACATGTTTTGTGCCGAGAAGATTTATTGGGGGATGTAGTCACTTTCCATTGAAAATGCACCCTAAAATAGCACATTTTAGAAAGAGGGACCAAGCCAAGCACCGTATGTTGGAGTCTTACTTGGGTGAGGGGGTAGTAGCATGCTCCTGTTTTTACTTTTGTGTTACTTGGCTGTTTATTTTGTTATCTAGAATCAAATTTACGCAATAAAGTGCTCAATGTTACTGCAATGTTGCTTTCCATGCAGATGAAGTCATTAGATTTATGTCCATCACAGGATGACTTCTTGAAAAATGGAACTTTGATGACTGGCAAAAAAAATTTTGGGAAAAAAAGTAAGACATTTTGGTTCTCACATTTTGGTCATTTGAAGAGTTGGATCTCTTATATGCTATTATATCATCTGTATACTTCTCCACTTTCTCTTAATTGATAATTAGAATTTCTCTCTGTTGGCTTCCAAGTATTTCAAGAAAAAGAAAGTCTTATCTTGAGACGAGTCTCACCAGCATCATGGAAGCAATTGCTGACAGAAAACGAAATAATATTACAATAGTTGTATTTCTGGCAGATCGTTATCGCAGCATAAAAGAACAGCAATTAAAGAAACTTATCAATAAGTTTGGAATCCACATTTCTTCAGGAATGTTACAAATTATAGAGGCACCTGATGAATATTATGCACCTCTTCACAATCTCCATCGAAGTCTTGGTGAGTACAAACAGAATACTTTTTTGTATGAATATGTTTGAGTTGAGGGCACTGTCAATTTAATATACCAAAGTTTGCAAAAATATATGTCCTTTGTCAGGACAATTACTGTAGACATAACTTTTCAAGTCCTGGTTTTTAAGAAATTCTGTGGAAATTGTTATTTTATTACAGCCAAACTGTCAAGAGATTAATGATCTTGTGTGCCATTTCATAGGGGATAAGATGAACAGAGTTCTGTGGAGATCAAAGCAAGCTTTAGATTATGTCTACCTAATGTGTTTTTGTTCATACATTTCGGATTATTATCTTCAGCTGGAGGATGATGTCACAGCAAGCCCAAGATTCCTTTCCAAAATTGAAGACTTCATTCATTCACAGAAAACCAGTTGGATCTCTCTCAATGTGGCTCTACTTGGCTACATAGGTAAACTATATCCAAGAAAGGAAGTTCAGAATCTTGCTTCATATCTCAAGTTGTTTTATGATGAGATGCCAGTTGATTGGTTGGAACCATGTTGGAAAGATTACAGAGGGCAGGACCCAGCTACAACTCCAGTCATAGCTGCATCATTGTTCCAACATATTGGTCGTGTATCATCATTTCAATATAAAGAGTGGCAAAGGCCAAATACTTTGAAGGAAAAAATATTTGATAGGTTTGATCACAAGTATGCAGGCCTCAACCCCCCTGCTATAATATCAACTGATCTCACTCCCATAAGTGGCCAACCTTCAGATGCCTACAATAAAGGCATTGGTGTAGGGCATACATAATGTTGCTGCTGTAACAACAGGCATACATAGTGTTGCTGATGTAACAACAAGGCATACATAGTGTTGCTGCTGTAACAACATGGCATACATAATGTTGCTGCTGTAACAACAGGGCATACATAATGTTGCTGATGTAACAACAGGGCATACATAGTGTTGCTGCTGTAACAACAGGGCATACATAATGTTGCTGCTGTAACAACAGGGCATACATAGTGTTGCTGCTGTAACAACAGGGCATACATAATGTTGCTGCTGTAACAAGCCTAGCAATACATTCCTTAAGGCACAAATGAGGCAAACTGGGGCAGGTTGCAAACAGACATTGAGGCTCCCTCGCGCCTCGGGTACCTTCTAAGTCAGTTTCAAATTCACCACGTACGTAATTGGAAAAAGCCCTAATGGTGTCTTTAATGGATTCTTTCGCGTTGGTTAACGTTAGAATTGTCTCAACGTATTGCAATAAAACTACAGTTACAGCACAAAATGCTAACTTACAAACGTTTGTAACTAGTGATTTTTGTGTAAGCGTTATACGCCAATGGTTCGCCACTCAGGCAGAGTAGAAAACAGATGCAACTATTCCCTTCCCCCATGATAGTTTGTCGTTAAAATCTTCCGTCAGCCATTTTGAATGTGTTGGAGGTATTTTGCACTGGCTGAATGACTGTGAGTGACAAATCAATGCTTAGACAAAATCACTGGATTTGACCTTCCGTAAGTCAGTATTCTGTGCTTCTTGAACACACGTTAAGCAATGAATAATGATTACCTTTGATGTGTTGTCTGTAGGTTGAATGTTAGCAATTGTTGGAAATGTTCTTGTAAACTTAACTGTATTCGTCTTACTTGTTCGTGTGGCACCCGTATTTCGTGGAAGAAAATGTTTTTCTCCTAAAAGACTCGGCTAGAACAAGTGAAAAAGTAATGTAGCTACAATTCAAAACAGTTTCATAATAATCCTTCAATGATGAATATTTGTGTTCCTACTTTTTGTTGCAAGTCGTCTTGTGGCAGTTTTTTCTAGAAAACGAGATATTTAACATAAAGTCAACATTTAGCTACTATTTGAATTCACTTAAAGATGTGGACATGTTTCGGATGGAACTTTTCACTTTCAAAGACACGTTGGGTTATTCTTTTACCTTTGTTCTTCGATGTGTTTTATGTTTGTTGAGTGTTGAAGTATTTATTTTGGATTGTTGGTCCGTCAATTTATTTTTGTCTTTCTCTGCGGCCGCTGCTTTTCTATCTGCATCCCTGAACACACAAGACGAGACATGCTAAGATTTTGAACGCTTTTCATTACAACAACGCCGTTATTGTCTGGCTTCTAAACAATGTAGAAGCTTGGTATTCTCGAGTAGGAAGATTCAAAATTTTCCTTTGACAATGTTGCACAACATGTAACATACTTCGTACTTACTTTTGTTTCTTGAAATAATGATTTCGTAGAATCTGCCTTGCTGAAATTCTGACACGAAAAAAACACGGGACATACTTTATGGATTATATTTAGATTATAGAGTGGCATTGTCTACATGACAAACCTGTCATCTGGATCGTAAGCACACATGAGTTCGATTAACTCTACACATTCCATCAAGACATGAGGTAGGAGTTTACGTATCCCTGTTCCTTGCTTTAGAGGAAATTGAAAATTGATGCTTCGAGATTTACTGTAAACAAAGTGAGATTTTGTTTGTTTATCATTATTATAACACACGAAGACAATAAATACACAAAACTGTGACTTTAGAAATATCTCTAGATAACTACAGGCTTCAGCCTGTTGCCACCACCATGGATGGTGGGAAAACAGAATGGTAGAGTAAATATCCTATTTAAAAAAGTTTTTTGTGTATGCTAATGGTTTTGCGAATGAACTATTTCTTCATCAGGTGGTATCCTCCAGGTCATGGCAATACTTATCAGTCATTTTATAATTCTGGTCTACTTGATCAGTTCTTATCTGGAGGTAAAGATGTTGTTTTCATATCAAATATTGACAACTTAGGAGCCACTGTTGATTTGAGTATCCTTTTCAGTCTTTTTTGCTTCGTTACTTGGGAATAAGGGTACTAACTGGTAATCTTCTATGTTTTCTTCATTGAAAATGTTATTATAAATAGGATTTATCGGAAGACATTTTTAGATAATATACCATCAAATAATACTTTGCTTTTTAACGAAAACCTCCCAGATATTTTGAATTACATTGTCAACCCTCCTAGTGGAACAGTTGAATTTGTAATGGAGTGACTGACAAAACAAGATCTGATGTCAAGGTATTTTGTCTGTTTAAAAAATAATCACATGTACATAGGTCTGAGTAAGTGATTTCTTAAAAACATTTTTTATTTATAGGGTGGAACATTAATTGAGTATGAAAACAAAATACGTTTGCTTGAAATTGCTCAAGTGCCAAAACAACATGTAAGGATTAACTCAAACTATAAAAAAGTTTGTTGTTGTTTTTACAGGGATCAAAGTAGCATGTAGGAATATGTTTTGTGTATAAATATTGTCTTGCTTTAGTTACGATGGTTTTTCTCTTCACTCATTTTCAGGTAGATGAATTCAAGTCCATTTCCAAGTTTAGGTATCATCTTTTAAAGTTTCACAGTAATGTTGAACAAGTAGTTTATGAGCTTGCTATAAGGATAATTTTGTAGTTGAGTATTTATTTTGACTTTGTGGTTAGACATTATTAGCAGTGTTTTGATTGGTGCTGTTTTAATTGACTATTGAACTCAGAAAATCTATTGGAAGTATTATTTCAGCATGTACTGTCAAAATAAAGATGAAATATCATTGTTTTTTTCAGGATATTTAACATTAATAACCTTTGGGTACGAATGTCTGCGATCAAGCGATTACTGGATGCAAAGAAAATGCACATGGAGGTTATAATAAATAACAAGGTAAGAAAGATATAATAATTCAAAGTTTTCTCTGGCCATCATACAGTATTGGTATCCTACATGTTATAACATGTCCCTAAACATACCCCAAATGCATGTTCCCATCAAATCACTTCCACACTTATTATAGCCAAAACCTTAGGACTTTTTTGGTTGTATTTCATGTGAACAAAAACAGCAAGCCTTTTTTAAATTTTCCTTGTTCTTGTTGAATTTTGATCTCTGCAAACATCATTTTCATCACTTCGTTTGTTATGTCAGAGTTTAGAAAATGGTTATAATGTTATTCAACTTGAAACTGCTGTTGGAGCAGCAATCAAGAATTTTAATGGATCTATTGGTATGCATTGCTTTTTAGATTTCTTTTATGAATAACACATTTCTAATCGTTTACGTAGATCTAACAAAAATGATTCATTTATTCCCAGGTATCAATGTACCCCGAAGTAGATTTCTTCCAGTAAAAAAAACATCAGATCTTCTTCTTGTCAAGTCTAATTTATACGAAACAAATGATGCTGGTGCATTAATGATGAGCCCTAAGCGACATTTTGCCTCAACTCCATTTGTTCAACTAAGCGGACCTTACTTCTGGAAGGTTAGAAAAGTAATTGTGCTTCTTATTTTTTACTTTACTCTTTTTTGTGAATTTACACTACAGATAAAGTGTAATTTGCTTTGCCATTAAATTTTCTAGAAAAGCTGTGTTAGTTGATTTTCATGTACATTTAGAGTTAGTAGCGTATTAATTTATTTTTGTAAAAGGTCTCTACATCATTTTTATTTAAATATATTTGTTGTGTGTGTTTGTATGTGCAAAAAACATCAAAAACACAATCAAATAGAAGACATTAATTGCATAGTTTGCATTCTAGGTTCATGCTTTTAATCAGAGATTTCAAACTATTCCTGATATTTTGGAGCTTGATCACCTTACTGTATCTGGTGATGTTACTTTTGGTAAAGATGTCATTTTAAAGGTAAACATTAAATAAAATTGACTCTAGCATCATAAAGGGTACTTTGTGAAACATTATTTTAGAATAGTGAACAAGACATGCAATATTGCCAATATGACATAGAGTCATCAAATTAAAAATTTCTTGTGCACCATGCCCATTTTGTTGCACATTGAAAGCACATTAAATCTTGTTGTACCATAATTATTTGCACAGCAGTGTATAGGTCTTTGGTATGATGTATAAAATTGTAACAGGGGTCTAACCAGGCCTAATACAAGTAGCTGCTGGTAATCCATTTTTTCATAGTGTATTGTCTAAATACTTACAAAAGACAGGTATACCCAACATGTCTTTATAATGGTCACATCTCTTGAAGAATGGGCGCTTAAAGTTGGCTCCTACCTCATGTAAACAAACAAAACCACTTTCATATCACAATCATTGTCATATTTAGGGGACTGTTATTATCATAGCAAACCATGGAGAAAGAATTGATATTCCTGCAGGTTCTTTTCTTGAAAATAAAATTGTGTCAGGAAACTTGCGAATATTGGATCATTAAGAAAATTCAGTTCCCAGGTACACCACTATATGCTATAGAAAATTATGCTATGTGAAAGATCAATAATAATTCTTAATTTAGCAGAAAATAAGGTGGGAATGTGAATTGATGGTAATATGAATTGATGGTAATGTGCATATGAGTAAATGCTGCATGACATGTGCTATCAGCTTGTGAATGAAGTAGATTATATAGGAAATTATTTTTGTTACATATATATTTTTATCATTGTTTTTAAGGAACTTTTTCTTTTTGAGCTTTTAACATCAGGTATTGTGTTAATCATTATTGGAATGTAATCAACCCTAAATTATGCAAACTTATTGTAATCTTAAAAATGAAAAGGATAGCAGGGAATAGAAAGTCAGTTAAAATGGATGGCTTAAAACCGTGTCAAAAACATTAAAGAGAGAGATATCTTTTCATTGTTTACTCATTGTTTTACTCGGGCTGTCTTGTATTAGAAAGACTTCTGTAAGCTAAATAATTTAGTGTTAGATAAGAACTGTTGTAAGAGGAAAATTATTCAAGGTAAGGTTAATGAAGAGAATAGTCTAAAAAAGTAGATTATTTAAGCACTTATTTTATTCTGTTTAAAATTATATGCTAGAAATAAAAGCAATTATGTAAATCTTCAATTTATTGCGAAAACGAGTATGCCGTGCAGGCATATCAACTTTTTTCTTTATTTTAATAACAATAAATTTGTCGCATCCATACATCAATTTCTGATCACAACTTATGACATAAAATGACAAAATCACTACATTATGATGATATTTCAATATGTTGTTTATAGTTTTGAGTAATGTGTTTCATGTGCAACCATGATCTTGGAAATTTCATCAATGCTGGAACAACCTGTTTTTTGAAGTATAAATAATGTGGAATATGAAATAAAACAATTATACCCAGTTTATTCAATCTCCATATTCATCACTCTGAAGACATCAGTTTCCTTTAAAGCAGAGAGAAATTACAACAAGGTATTATTGTATTTTACCTGCAAGTCCCATGGCCAGGTGAAACTCGTCTTTCAATATATTTAGAACCGACACAACACCAGCCTCACCCTGAAAGTTAAATTATATAAATCTTGCTTTAGTGAGTAGTAATTTCCATGAGCACTGTATGTATGTACCATGTACTCTACTTTACCTTATAAGCAAGACCCCAGACAATTGGTCTGCCAACAAAGACTGCTCTAGCACCAAGGGCTAATGATTTGAAGACATCTGAACCATACCGTATACCACCATCTAGATACACTTCACACTTGCCATTTACAGCTGAGATAACCTCAGGCAATGCTTCAACCTCGAGATGACAGCAAAATAATACATAAAAAAAGACAACTTTTATATAAATAATACTACTAAATTTAATCTCTACCTCTGAACTCAAAACTTTTAAGTCTAGTTACTCATTGTTCTTAGCTAATTAACACTGATCAAAGAACAATTATACAAACTGTTTATGGTTAATAAACATGTTACAAGAATCTTACTGTAGCTGGTACAAAGTCAAGCTGCCTAGCTCCATGATTTGACACCAGAATACCATCAACACCATAACTAACAGCAAGCTTTGCATCTTCTGCTGTTAAAATACCCTTAAGGACAATAGGCAATTTTGTCACAGACTTCAACCAAGGAATGATTTTCCATGTCAGTGAGGAATTGTACAATGTTGCCTCAAAAGATGCCCGACCAGAATCTTTGTCACTTTTTATTGCAGTAGCATATTTCTTGGTATAATTGCCTAACTCTAAATGTGAGGGTAGGGCAAATTGGTTACGGACATCAGCATATCTTCGTCCAAGATATGGAGTGTCAACTGTCACTACAATTGCCTTAAATCCAGCTGCTACTGCTCTTTCAATCAAATCCACAGTAACAGATTGATCTTTGCAAACAAACAACTGAAACCACTTTAATCCAGAAGAAGCATTCCCAACATCTTCCATAGAAGATGTAGACCATGTGCTAAGAATCATACATGTTTTTAATGTAGCAGCAGCTGAAACAACAATATGCATCCTTTAATCGTCAAAAGCAAGTACTGTTTAACTGTATAGACCAACACATACCCTTTGTAGTGGCAACTTCACCATCTGAATGAGCCATTTTTTGCATTGCCGTTGGTGCAACACATATTGGGAAATCAATTTTCTCTCCAAGAATAGTGGTAGACATGTTGATTGAGGAGACATCTCTCAAAATACGCGGCCGTATTCTCAACCTGGTGCATAAAGAGGAAAAGATGTAAATATCAAATGGGTGATACATTTCCAAAACGTCAGTTGGGGAAAATGACAATTCATGGTACGTTGAAATATTTTTAAAGCTAATAGAGTTATTGTCTTATCGGAGAAGCCAGCAATGAAATGAATTTGGCTAACCTGTCAAAAGCTCGTCTATTTTCTTTCAAAGAGACACAAGCGTTTGCCCCCGCGCTAAAATAATCCCAAGCATTCTTTGGAAGAAATTTTTCGGCGTATTTTTCAAAATCTGAAATGCATACTGGTTCCTGCATTGGTAGTATTTCACTCATTTAAATTCTATTCAGCATCATGGTTGGAGCCTCATAGAAACAGGAAGAAAATTTTTATTTTTGTAACACATTTGAACTTTATTTCTTGAATTTTGATTACTTCTCATGCCCTATAGCCGAGCGGAATGTTATTGTGCAAAAATTCAAAAGTCATAAAATGAAGAGTTTAAATTGTAGGAAGTTGCAGTTGATTAAAATTTATTCTTGAAATAACAACTTTAAAGAAATCCCAACGCCAACAGCTACAAAGAATTTAAGACTAAAATAAAATGCGCAATTTAGCGCAGTAACTTGTGTCTTTATAATATTAACCCCCAAGAACATGAACCACCCGCAATGGCCTAAAGAATATGAGCTTTCCGAAAAGAAAATGCTGGGCTTTTTTGAAGAAATTGGTTGTTGTGTTGATTTTTGCATGTGTTTGCAAGTCTTTATTAAATTTTCTATGTTTTGATGGTGTATGTGATGACAACGAAAACCAGAAAAACGTCTTCTCGTTATTGAGCGATGTTGTTTTGGAAGCAAACAGGTTGACAATTGTCGAGCATGAAAAACCTCGGTTTTCTGAGACGGTAATTTCAGCGTCTATTTTCAAAGGGACGACAGGTGAGAAGTTATATCATTGACATAAATGTCTTGACCACCCTTTTCTACATGTTTTGTGCCGAGAGGATTTATTGGGGGATGTAGTCACTTTCCATTGAAAATGCACCCCCAAAATAGCACATTTTAGAAAGAGGGACCAAGCCAAGCACCGTATGTTGGAGTCTTACTTGGGTGGGAGGGTAGTAGCATGCTCCTGTTTTTACTTTTGTGTTACTTGGCTGTTTATTTTGTTATCTAGAATCAAATTTACTTAATAAAGTGCTCAATGTTACTGCAATGTTGCTTTCCATGCAGATGAAGTCATTAGATTTATGTCCATCACAGGATGACTTGAAAAATGGAACTTTGATGACTGGCAAAAAATTTTGGGAAAAAAAGTAAGACATTTTGGTTCTCACATTTTGGTCATTTGAAGAGTTGGATCTCTTATATGCTATTATATCATCTGTATACTTCTCCACTTTCTCTTAATTGATAATTAGAATTTCTCTCTGTTGGCTTCCAAGTATTTCAAGAAAAAGAAAGTCTTATCTTGAGACGAGTCTCACCAGCATCATGGAAGCAATTGCTGACAGAAAACGAAATAATATTACAATAGTTGTATTTCTGGCAGATCGTTATCGCAGCATAAAAGAACAGCAATTAAAGAAACTTATCAATAAGTTTGGAATCCACATTTCTTCAGGAATGTTACAAATTATAGAGGCACCTGATGAATATTATGCACCTCTTCACAATCTCAAGTCTTGGTGAGTACAAACAGAATACTTTTTGTATGAATATGTTTGAGTTGAGGGCACTGTCAATTTAATATACCAAAGTTTGCAAAAATATATGTCCTTTGTCAGGACAATTACTGTAGACATAACTTTTCAAGTCCTGGTTTTTAAGAAATTCTGTGGAAATTGTTATTTTATTACAGCCAAACTGTCAAGAGATTAATGACCTTGTGTGCCATTTCATAGGGGATAAGATGAACAGAGTTTTGTGGAGATCAAAGCAAGCTTTAGATTATGTCTACCTAATGTGTTTTGTTCATACGGATTATTATCTTCAGCTGGAGGATGATGTCACAGCAAGCCCAAGATTCCTTTCCAAAATTGAAGACTTCATTCATTCACAGAAAACCAGTTGGATCTCTCTCAATGTGGCTTTACTTGGCTATATAGGTAAACTATATCCAAGAAAGGAAGTTCAGAATCTTGCTTCATATCTCAAGTTGTTTTATGATGAGATGCCAGTTGATTGGTTGGAACCACGTTGGAAAGATTACAGAGGGCAGGACCCAGCTACAACTCCAGTCATAGCTGCATCATTGTTCCAACATATTGGTCGTGTATCATCATTTCAATATAAAGAGTGGCAAAGGCCAAATACTTTGAAGGAAAAAATATTTGATAGGTTTGATCACAAGTATGCAGGCCTCAACCCCCCTGCTATAATATCAACTGATCTCACTCCCATAAGTGGCCAACCTTCAGATGCCTACAATAAAGGCATTGGTGTAGGGCATACATAATGTTGCTGCTGTAACAACAGGCATACATAGTGTTGCTGATGTAACAACAAGGCATACATAGTGTTGCTGCTGTAACAACATGGCATACATAATGTTGCTGCTGTAACAACAGGGCATACATAATGTTGCTGATGTAACAACAGGGCATATAGTGTTGCTGCTGTAACAACAGGGCATACATAATGTTGCTGCTGTAACAACAGGGCATACATAGTGTTGCTGCTGTAACAACAGGGCATACATAATGTTGCTGCTGTAACAAGCCTAGCAATACATTCCTTAAGGCACAAATGGCAACTGGGGCAGGTTGCAAACAGACATTGAGGCTCCCTCGCGCCTCGGGTACCTTCTAAGTCAGTTTCAAATTCACCACGTACGTAATTGGAAAAGCCCTAATGGTGTCTTTAATGGATTCTTTCGCGTTGGTTAACGTTATAATTGTCTCAACGTATTGCAATAAAACTACAGTTACAGCACAAAATGCTAACTTACAAACGTTTGTAACTAGTGATTTTTGTGTAAGCGTTATACGCCAATGATTCGCCACTCAGGCAGAGTAGAAAACAGATGCAACTATTCCCTTCCCCCATGATAGTTTGTCGTTAAAATCTTCCGTCAGCCATTTTGAATGTGTTGGAGGTATTTTGCACTGGCTGAATGACTGTGAGTGACAAATCAATGCTTAGACAAAATCACTGGATTTGACCTTCCGTAAGTCAGTATTCTGTGCTTCTTGAACACACGTTAAGCAATGAATAATGATTACCTTTGATGTGTTGTCTGTAGGTTGAATGTTAGCAATTGTTGGAAATGTTCTTGTAAACTTAACAGTATTCGTCTTACTTGTTCGTGTGGCACCCGTAATTCGTGGAAGAAAATGTTTTTCTCCTAAAAGACTCGGCTAGAACAAGTGAAAAAGTAATGTAGCTACAATTCAAAACAGTTTCATAATAATCCTTCAATGATGAATATTTGTGTTCCTACTTTTTGTTGCAAGTCGTCTTGTGGCAGTTTTTTCTAGAAAACGAGATATTTAACATAAAGTCAACATTTAGCTACTATTTGAATTCACTTAAAGATGTGGACATGTTTCGGATGGAACTTTTCACTTTCAAAGACACGTTGGGTTATTCTTTTACCTTTGTTCTTCGATGTGTTTTATGTTTGTTGAGTGTTGAAGTATTTATTTTGGATTGTTGGTCCGTCAACTTATTTTTGTCTTTCTCTGCGGCCGCTGCTTTTCTATCTGCATCCCTGAACACACAAGACGAGACATGCTAAGATTTTGAACGCTTTTCATTACAACAACGCCGTTATTGTCTGGCTTCTAAACAATGTAGAAGCTTGGTATTCTCGAGTAGGAAGATTCAAAATTTTCCTTTGACAATGTGCACAACATGTAACATACTTCGTACTTACTTTTGTTTCTTGAAATAATGATTTCGTAGAATCTGCCTTGCTGAAATTCTGACACGAAAAAAACACGGGACATACTTTATGGATTATATTTAGATTATAGAGTGGCATTGTCTACATGACAAACCTGTCATTTGGATCGTAAGCACACATGAGTTCGATTAACTCTACACATTCCATCGAGTCATGAGGTAGGAGTTTACGTATCCCTGTTCCTTGCTTTAGAGGAAATTGAAAATTGATGCTTCGAGATTTACTGTAAACAAAGTGAGATTTTGTTTGTTTATCATTATTATAACACACGAAGACAATAAATACACAAAACTTTGACTTTAGAAATATCTCTAGATAACTACAGGCTTCAGCCTGTTGCCACCACCATGGATGGTGGGAAAACAGAATGGTAGAGTAAATATCCTATTTAAAAAAGTTTTTTGTGTATGCTAATGGTTTTGCGAATGAACTATTTCTTCATCAGGTGGTATCCTCCAGGTCATGGCGATACTTATCAGTCATTTTATAATTCTGGTCTACTTGATCAGTTCTTATCTGGAGGTAAAGATGTTGTTTTCATATCAAATATTGACAAGGTTAAATATTGACAACTTGGGAGCCACTGTTGATTTGAGTATCCTTTTCAGTCTTTTTTGCTTCGTTACTTTGGAATAAGGGTACTAACTGTTAATGTTCTATGTTTTCTTCATTGAAAATGTTATTATAAATAGGATTTATCGCAAGACATTTTTAGCTAATATACCTTCAAATAATACTTTGCTTCTTAAGAAAACCTCCCAGATATTTTGAATTACATTCTCAACCCTCCTAGTGGAACAGTTGAATTTGTAATGGAAGTGACTGACAAAACAAGATCTGATGTCAAGGTATTTTGTCTGTTTAAAAAATAATCACATGTACATAGGTCTGAGTAAGTGATTTCTTAAAAACATTTTTTATTTATAGGGTGGAACATTAATTGAGTATGAAAACAAAATACGTTTGTTTGAAATTGCTCAAGTGCCAAAACAACATGTAAGGATTAACTTAAACTATAAAAACGTTTGTTGTTGTTTTTACAGGGATCAAAGTAGCATGTAGGAATATGTTTTGTGTAGGAATATGTTTTGTGTAGGAATATTGTCTTGCTTTAGTTACGATGGTTTTTCTCTTCACTCATTTTCAGGTAGATGAATTCAAGTCCATTTCCAAGTTTAGGTATCATGTTTTAAAGTTCCACAGTAATGTTGAACAAGTAGTTTATGAGCTTGCTATAAGGATAATTTTGTAGTTGAGTATCTATTTTGACTTTGTGGTTAGACATTATTAGCAGTGTTTTGATTGGTGCTGTTTTATTGATTATTGAACTCAGAAAATCTATTGGAAATATTATTTCAGCATGTACTGTCAAAATAAAGATGAACCATCATTGTTTTTTCAGGATATTTAACACTAATAACCTTTGGGTACGAATGTCTGCGATCAAGCGATTACTGGATGCAAAGAAAATGCACATGGAGGTTATAATAAATAACAAGGTAAGAAAGATATAATAATTCAAAGTTTTCTCTGGCCATCATACAGTATTGGTATCCTACATGTTATAACATGTCCCTAAACATACCCCAAATGCATGTTCCCATCAAATCACTTCCACACTTATTATAGCCAAAACCTTAGGACTTTTTTGGTTGTATTTCATGTGAACAAAAACAGCAAGCCTTTTTTAAATTTTCCTTGTTCTTGTTGAATTTTGATCACTGCAAACATCATTTTCATCACTTTGTTTGTTATGTCAGAGTTTAGAAAATGGTTACAATGTTATTCAACTTGAAACTGCTGTTGGAGCAGCAATCAAGAATTTTAATGGATCTATTGGTATGCATTGCTTTTTAGATTTCTTTTATGAATAACACATTTCTAATCATTTACGTAGATTTAGCAAAAATGATTCATTTATTCCCAGGTATCAATGTACCCCGAAGTAGATTTCTTCCAGTAAAAAAACATCAGATCTTCTTCTTGTCAAGTCTAATTTATACGAAACAAATGATGCTGGTGCATTAATGATGAGCCCTAAGCGACATTTTGCCTCAACTCCATTTGTTCAACTAAGTGGACCTTACTTCTGGAAGGTTAGAAAAGTAATCGTGCTTCTTATTTTTTACTTTACTCTTTGTTGTGAATTTACACTACGGATAAAGTGCAATTTGCTTTGCCATTAAATTTTCTAGAATAGCTGTGTTAGTTGATTTTCATGTACATTTAGAGTTAGTAGCGTATTAATTTATTTTTGTAAAAGGTCTCTACATCATTTTTATTTAAATATATTTGTTGTGTGTGTTTGTATGTGCAAAAAACATCAAAAACACAATCAAATAGAAGACATTAATTGCATAGTTTGCATTCTAGGTTCATGCTTTTAATCAGAGATTTCAAACTATTCCTGATATTTTGGAGCTTGATCACCTTACTGTATCTGGTGATGCTACTTTTGGTAAAGATGTCATTTTAAAGGTAAACATTAAATAAAATTGACTCTAGCATCATAAAGGGTACTTTGTGAAACATTATTTTAGAATAGTGAACAAAACATGCAATATTGTCAATATGACATAGAGTCATCAAGTTGACAATTTCTTGTGCACCATGCCCATTTTGTTGCACATTGAAAGCACATTAAATTTTGCTGTACCATAATTATTTGCACAGCAGTGTAGGTCTTTCGTATGATGTATAAAATTGTAACAGGGTCTAACCAGGCCTAATACAACTAGCTACTGGTAATCCATTTTTTGATAGTGTATAGTCTAAATACTTACAAAAGACAGGTATACCCAACATGTCTTTATAATGGTCACATGTCTTGAAGAATGGGCGCTTAAAGTTGGCTCCTGCCTCATTTAAACAAACAAAACCACTTTCATATCACAATCATTGTCATATTTAGGGGACTGTTATTATCATAGCGAACCATGGAGAAAGAATTGATATTCCTGCAGGTTCTTTTCTTGAAAATAAAATTGTGTCAGGAAACTTGCGAATATTGGATCATTAAGAAAATTCAGTTGCCAGGTACACCACTATATGCTATAGAAATTATGCTATGTGAAAGATCAATAATAATTCTTAATTTAGCAGAAAATAAGGTGGAAATGTGAGTTTATGGTAATATACATAGCAGTAAATGCTGCACAACATGTGCTATCAGCTTGTGAATGAAGTAGATTATATAGGAAATTATTTTTGTTACATATATTTTTATCATTGTTTTCAAGAAATTGTTTCTTTTTGAGCTTTTAACATCAGGCATTGTGTTAATCATTATTGGAATGTAATCAACCCTAAATTATTCAAACTTATTGTAATCTTAAAAATGAAAAGGATAGCAGAGAATAGAAAGTCAGTTAAAATGGATGGCTTAAAACCTTGTCAAAAACATTAAAGAGAGAGATATCTTTTCACTGTTTACTCATTGTTTTACTCGGGCTGTCTTGTATTAGAAAGACTTCTGTAAGCTAAATAATTTAGTGTTAGATAAGAACTGTTGTAAGAGGAAAATTATTCAAGGTAAGGTTGATGAAGAGAAAGTCTAAAAAAGTAGACTATTTAAGCACTTATTTTATTCTGTTTAAAATTATATGCTAGAAATAAAAGCAATTGTGTAAATCTTCAATTTATTGCAAAAACGAGTATGCCGTCCAGGCATATCATTTCTTTTCTGTATTTTAATAACAATAAATTTGTAGCATCCATACATCAATTTCTGATCACAAATTATGACATAAAATGACAAAATCACTACATTATGATGATATTTCAATATGTTGTTTATAGTTTTGAATAATGTGTTTCATGTGCAACCATGATCTTCGAAATTCCATCAATGCTGGAACAACCTGTTTTTTGAAGTATAAATGATGTGGAATATGAAATAAAACAATTACACCCAGACATTATCTGCAGACATCAGTTTCCTTTAAAGCAGAGAGAAATTACAACAAGGTATTATTGTATTTTACCTGCAAGTCCCATGGCCAGGTGAAACTCGTCTTTCAATATATTTAGAACCGACACAACACCAGCCTCACCCTGAAAGTTAAATTATATAAATCTCGCTTTAGTGAGTACTAATTTCCATGAGCACTGTATGTATGTACCATGTACTCTACCTTATAAGCAAGACCCCAGACAATTGGTCTGCCAACAAAGACTGCTCTAGCACCAAGGGCTAATGCTTTGAAGACATCTGAACCATACCGTATACCACCATCTACGTACACTTCACACTCGCCATTCACAGCTGAGATAACCTCAGGCAATGCTTCAACCTCGAGAAGACAGCAAAATAATACATAAGTTAAGACAACTTTTACATAAATAATACTACTAAATTTAATCTCTACCTCTGAACTCATAACTTTTAAGTCTAGTTACTCATTGTTCTTAGCTAATTAACACTGATCAAAGAACAATTATACAAACTGTTTATAGCTAATAAACATGTTACAAGAATCTTACTGTAGCAGGTACAAAGTCAAGCTGCCTAGCTCCATGATTTGACACCAGAATACCATCAACACCATAACTAACAGCAAGCTTTGCATCTTCTGCTGTTAAAATACCCTTAAGGACAATAGGCAATTTTGTCACAGACTTCAACCAAGGAATGATTTTCCATGTCAGTGAGGAATTGATCAACGTTGCAACAAAAGATGCCAGACCAGAATCTTTGTCACTTTTTACTGCAGTAGCATATTTCTTGGTATAATTGCCTAACTCTAAATGTGAGGGTAGGGCAAATTGGTTACGGACATCGGCATATCTTCGTCCAAGATATGGAGTGTCAACTGTCATTACAATTGCCTTAAATCCAGCTGCTTCTGCTCTTTCAATCAAATCCACAGTAACAGATTGATCTTTGTAAACATACAACTGAAACCACTTTAGTCCAGAAGAAGCATTCCCAACATCTTCAATAGAAGATGTAGACCATGAGCTAAGAATCATACATGTTTTTAATGCAGCAGCAGCTGAAACAACAATATGCATCCTTTAATCATCAAAAGCAAGTACTGCTTAACTGTATAGACCAACACATACCCTTTGTAATTAAATGAAGATATGATCAAAAAACACCGCACTGCATAAAACATACATACCCTTTGTAGTGGCAACTTCACCATCTGAATGAGCCATTTTTTGCATTGCCGTTGGTGCAACACAAATTGGGAAATCAATTTTCTCTCCAAGAATAGTGGTAGACATGTTGATTGAGGAGACATCTCTCAAAATACGCGGCCGTATTCTCAACCTGGTGCATAAAGAGGGAAAGATGTAAATATCACATGGGCGATACATTACCAAAACGTCAGTTGGGGAAAATGACAATTCATGGTACGTTGAAATATTTTTAAAGCTAATAGAGTTATTGTCTTATCGGAGAAGCCAGCAATGAAATGATTTTGGCTAACCTGTCAAAAGCTCGTCTATTTTCTTTCAAAGAGACACAAGCGTTTGCCCCCGAGCTAAAATAATCCCAAGCATTCTTTGGAAGAAATTTTTCGGCGTATTTTTCAAAATCTGAAACGCATACTGGTTCCTGCATTGGTAGTATTTCACTCATTTAAATTTTATTCAGCATCATGGTTTGGAGCCTCATAGAAACAGAAAGAAAATTTTTATTTTTTTAACACATTTGATCTTTATTTCTTGAATTTTGATTAGTTCTCATGCCCTAAAGCCGAGCGGAATGTTATTGTGCAAAAATTCAAAAGTCATAAAATGAAAAGAGTTTGAATTGGAGGAAGTTGCAGTTGATTAAAATTTATTCTTGAAATAACAACTTTAAAGAAATCCCAACGCCAACAGCTACAAAAAATTTAAGATTTTAGGCTAAAATGCGCAATTTAGCGCGGTAACTTGTGTCTTTATAATATTAACCCGCAAGAACATGAACCACCCGCAATGGCCTAAAGAATATGAGCTTTCCGAAAAGAAAATGCTGGACTTTTTTGAAGAAATTGGTTGTTGTGTTGATTTTTGCATGTGTTTGCAAGTCTTTATTAAATTTTCTATGTTTTGATGGCGAATGTGATGACAACGAAAGCCAGAAAAACGCCTTCTCGTTATTGAGCGATGTTGTTTTGGAAGCAAACAGGTTGACAATTGTCGAGAATGAAAAAACTCGGTTTTCTGAGACGGTAATTTCACCATCTATTTTCAAATGGACGACAGGTGAGAAGTTATATCATTGCTAAATATTCATACAAGACATAAATGTCTTGACCACCCTTTTCTACATGTTTTGTGCCGAGAGGATTTATTGGGGGTGTAGTCACTTTCCATTGAAAATGCACCCCCAAAATAGCACATTTTAAAAAGAGGGACCAAGCCAAGCACCGTATGTTTTAGTCTTACTTGGGTGGACGGGGGGGGGTAGGAGCATGCTCCTGTTTTTACTTGTGTGTTACTGTTTATTTTGTTATCTAGAATCAAATTTACGCAATAAAGTGCTCAATGTTACTGCAAAGTTGCTTTCCATGCAGATGAAGTCATTAGATTTATGTCCATCACAAGATGACTTCTTGAAAAATGGAACTTTGATGACTGGCAAAAAAAGTTTTGGGAAAAAAAGTAAGACGTTTTGGTTCTCACATTTTGGTCATTTGAAGAGTTGGATCTCTTATGCTATTATATCATCTGTATACTTCTCCACTTTCTCTTAAATGATAATTAGAATTTCTCTCTGTTGGCATCCCAAGTATTTCAAGAAAAAGAAAGTCTTATCTTGAGACGAGTCTCACCAGCATCATAGAAGCAATTGCTAACAGAAAACAAAATAATATTACAATAGTTGTATTTCTGGCAGATCGTTATCGCAGCGTAAAAGAACAACAATTAAAGAAACTTATCAATAAGTTTGGAAACCAAATTTCTTCAGGAATGTTACAAATTATAGAGGCACCTGATGAATATTATGCACCTCTTCACAATCTCCATCGAAGTCTTGGTGAGTACAAACAGAAAACTTTTTTGTATGATTATGTTTGAGTTGAGGGCACTGTCAATTTAATATACCAAAGTTTGCAAAAATATACGTCCTTTGTCCGGATAATTACTGTAGACATAACTTTTCAAGTCCTGGTTTTTAAGAAATTCTGTGGAAATGGTTATTTTATTATAGCCAAACTGTCAAGAGATTAATGATCTTGTGTGCCATTTCATAGGGGATAAGATGAACAGAGTTCTGTGGAGATCAAAGCAAGCTTTAGATTATGTCTACCTAATGTGTTTTTGTTCATACATTTCGGATTATTATCTTCAGCTGGAGGATGATGTCACAGCAAGCCCAAGATTCCTTTCCAAAATTGAAGACTTCATTCATTCACAGAAAACCAGTTGGATCTCTCTCAATGTGGCTTTACTTGGCTATATAGGTAAACTATATCCAAGAAAGGAAGTTCAGAATCTTGCTTCATATCTCAAGTTGTTTTATGATGAGATGCCAGTTGATTGGTTGGAACCACGTTGGAAAGATTACAGAGGGCAAGACCCGGCTACAACTCCAGTTATAGCTGCATCATTGTTCCAACATATTGGTCGTGTATCATCATTTCAATATAAAGAGTGGCAAAGGCCAAATACTTTGAAGGAAAAAATATTTGATAGGTTTGATCACAAGTATGCAGGCCTCAACCCCCCTGCTATAATATCAACTGATCTCACTCCCATAAGTGGCCAACCTTCAGATGCCTACAACAAAGGCATTGGCTTTTTTCATGCCCACTTTGCGTCTGCTGGTAATAAGATGTATATGATCTTATTGAAGAGGGAGACTAAACTAGCGCGGGTTGCAGTAGAAACTGGGGCGAATTTTTCTCGACGCGATGTCATAGTGACGGCGTCACTAGAGATCAGTAATGTCGTGGGGCCAATGTCAAGATGTGAGGATTATCAAAAGGTCGGGGAGTTTCATTTTGGCAGAGTTGATGTGCCTTTGAATGGTGTGAAGGTTCGATGTATTCGCATAAATATAATTTATCAAGGATTGTGGATTTATTTAAGAGAAATTAATGTATGGCCACAGTAATTTCCATAGCTATATGTTAATCACTGCCATCGTCAACCAATCCTTCAACTTTTTCCCATCTCATATTTGAATTGTCTTTAGTCGCATGTCTATTTTCTATTTAAAATGAGCTGGTTCACCACTTTTGATAGTTGTAAACTGAAGATACTTTTAAGAAATGTTGTAGATGTAATGGTAAACTATACTTAATTTAAACACCTCTGTTTATTTTTTACTTGTAAGTATATTTAATGATAGAATTCAACGAAAATACAACACAAGATGTAAATTTGATAAATGAGATAAAAGTAAAATTACAAACAATAAAAAAACCGACGAAATACATTACATTGCACGTATATTTACAAAAAAATATCTTTGATAATACATTGAATTCAACGTTGAGTTCCGTTCTTGTTCTAAAAAAACTTTAAATTTTTGAGTACATCACGAGAAAGGAAAACTGAGCTTAAGACATCAGAATTCAATTGTTGCGTAATTTTTTCCAAGAATCGAAATAACTTCTTGATGCAATTTTCCATTTTATTGTAGATCTTCTATATGGTGAACTGAATGATCGTTGTAATGCAAATGGTGGTGTTCCATTTCTTTTTTGATCTCACTGTCCGCCGTGTTTTTCCAGCGCAGGTAGAGTGTAATGTGAAAACATTGTCTTAACGTTTTGTGGCTAAAACATTAAATGTTGATGTAACAACAGGGCATACATAGTGTTGCTGCTGTAACAACAGGGCATACATAATGTTGCTGCTGTAACAACAGGGCATACATAATGTTGCTGCTGTAACAACATTGCTGCGGCAACTTGCTGTAACAAGCCTAGCAATACATTCCCTAAGGCACAAATGAGGCAAACTGGGGCAGGTTGCAAACAGACATTGAGGCTCCCTCGCGCCTCGGGTACCTTCTAAGTCAGTTTCAAATTCACCACGTACGTAATTGGAAAAAGCCCTAATGGTGTCTTTAATGGATTCTTTCGCGTTGGTTAACGTTAGAATTGCCTCAACGTATTGCAATAAAACTACAGTTACAGCACAAAATGCTAACTTACAAACGTTTGTAACTAGTGATTTTTGTGTAAGCGTTATACGCCAATGATTCGCCACTCAGGCAGAGTAGAAAACAGATGCAACTATTCCCTTCCCCCATGATAGTTTGTCGTTAAAATCTTCCGTCAGCCATTTTGAATGTGTTGGAGGTATTTTGCACTGGCTGAGTGACTGTGAGTGAGAAATCAATGCTTAGACAAAATCACTGGATTTGACCTTCCGTAAGTCAGTATTCTGTGCTTCTTGAACACACGTTAAGCAATGAATAATGATTACCTTTGATGTGTTGTCTGTAGGTTGAATGTTAGCAATTGTTGGAAATGTTCTTGTAAACTTAACTGTATTCGTCTTATTTGTCCGTGTGGCACCCGTAATTCGTGGAAGAAAATGTTTTTCTCCTAAAAGACTCGGCTAGAACAAGAGAAAAAGTAATGTAGCTACAATTCAAAACAGTTTCATAATAATCCTTCAATGATGAATATTTGTGTTCCTACTTTTTGTTGCATGTCGTCATGTGGCAGTTTTTTCTAGAAAACGAGATATTTAACATAAAGTCAACATTTAGCTACTATTTGAATTCACTTAAAGATGTGGACATGTTTCGGATGGAACTTTTCACTTTCAAAGACACGTTGGGTTATTCTTTTACCTTTGTTCTTCGATGTGTTTTATGTTTGTTGAGTGTTGAAGTATTTATTTTGGATTGTTGGTCCGTCAACTTATTTTTGTCTTTCTCTGCGGCCGCTGCCTTTCTATCTGCATCCCTGAACACACAAGACGAGACATGCTAAGATTTTAAACGCTTTTCATTACAACAATGCCGTTATTTTCTGGCTTCTAAACAATGTAGAAACTTGGTATTCTCGAGTAGGAAGAGTCAAAATTTTCTTTTGACAATGTTGCACAACATGTAACATACTTCGTGATTTACTATGTCACGCACTATGTACTTACTTTTGTTTCTTGAAATAATGATTTCGTAGAATCTGCCTTGCGGAAATTCTGACACGAAAAAAACACGGGACATACTTTATGGATTATATTTAGATTATAGAGTGGCATTGTCTACATGTCAAACCTGTCATCTGGATCGTAAGCACACATGAGTTCGATTAACTCTACACATTCCATCGAGACATGAGGTAGGAGTTTACGTATCCCTGTTCCTTGCTTTAGAGGAAATTGAAAATTGATGCTTCGAGATTTACTGTAAACAAAGTGAGATTTTGTTTGTTTATCACTATTATAACACACGAAGACAACAAATACACACAACTGTGACTTTAGAAATATCTCTAGAAAACTTACTTTGTAAGTTTATTGAGAACGTTTTGTGGAGGCGTTCCTAGAACATCATGAATTTTGGCGATTTGATCGACTTCATTTGAACCAGGAAACAATGGATGCAGGCTGTTGTAGAATAATAAATACTCAACAACGACTAATATTGTAATGTTCTTGTACTAATGAAAAAAAGAGCTATCCCACACGAAGCATTTTTTTGCTGCCTCAAAATTTTATTGAAAACCACTAAGAAATTCGACCCTTACGCGAATATTTCATGAAACGATAACAAACATAAAGTTTAAATTGATGAAAATTTTTTAAATTCATAGAACGGGACAGTCATTGATTAAGAGGGACAAATATTGATACAGGATGACATACCTTGATCAAGGGTGACAAGTTTGAAAAGAGACGACATTTGTTGATGATATAGAGAGACATTTATTGATAAACCACCTTACCTGAGTACTTCGAAGAATACGCATCCCAGGCTCCAAATATCCATTTTATAAGAGTAATAACCATCTGTCAGAAGACATTCTGGGGCACGATACCTAAGTAACGAAGAAACAACTGGAACGATGCCATATTAAACGTTATTAAGTGAGTGAAATTAAAGATTCACTACTGACCATCGAGTTGAGATGTATTCTGTGTACGGTTGCTTGGAATAAACGCTTCTGCAGGATCCGAAATCAGCCAGTTTTACAATGTCGTTCTTTATGAAGTTGAAAGTACATATAAAGCATAGCATGGTGAGATTAGATGCGAAATTTGTTTTTCAATTTTAAATGGTATATTTTTGTATACCTTTATTAATATATTTTCAGGTTTCACATCTCGATGAAATATGCCGTTCCTTTGATGAAAAGATGAAGATACACAAAGGGTATAGTGGAAAATAGGGGAAGTGCAGAATCTCCACATAAATATCGTAAGAAAAACTGGAAACTGGTAAAGACTGTACTTCTGTATTTTGCCTTTTCATCACTTAAGTAAGTTACGACATCCACTATAATCAATTTCAACTTAAAACTAAATACCTATCACTAAAACACATTCCTTTCTTGTTTTACGTGAATGCCTGATGCCAGCGTAATTACTCAACTGCACTGAATATAATAGATGCTGGATCTTTGACAATATCAAAGCATGTGACTATTCATAACAACCACAGTCCTTTTACCATTTACAAACTAACCTATGCATGTGATCTATTGATTTACAAACTTGATACATGTAACTTTTCACTTCCTCTTCTGGTAAATACTGCCTTCTTCCTGTAATGTTGAAACGAAACACCACACGTTTGCTATGTGTAAAATATCAAACTCTCAACAAAGCGCAAAGTTTGTGTCATGCATCGTCATAAATTGTCTGACAATGTGGAACAGATGTAAGTTATATTTAGCTAAAGAAAATTGAAATTTGTTTTGACTTGGGAGAAACTAAGCGATTATTTGTTCAGCTGCGCACATGAAACAAGGTAGCAGTCGGAAAAACAAACCGAAATTATGAATTACAATGGAAATTGTAAAATGAATTTGCTCCCCAAGTACTACAAATGCGTACACAGCGCAAAACACAGCCCAAAGGGGATTTATGTTTAAGCAATGAATTTGTGTTAGCCAAAACAAGAAACTGCAAATCGTGAAATTAGAGGTTTTCTTTTATGATGACCAAAATTTGCACTGGCTTCAAACTTTTAAAGGATCTATTACCAGCAGTTTTTGTGCAATTCAAAGGTCTCTGTAGTTTGTTCTCTATTCTTTAGATGCATTTAAAACGATACAAAAAAAAAAGTTAAGGTCACTAAAACTAACCCCTAATAAATTCGTAAAGGTTCATGTCCATAAGTTCACAAACCAACGCTAAATGGCCACTTTTTCGGTCACTGAAATGCAAAACATTACATTGTGTTTTATATGAAAGCAAGATTCTAACGTTTCGTGCTAAACTTTCAGCTTTATGCTCACTAGATTACTTCTTTCAAGTCAATGACATTTGGATGAGGAGTTAGACGACGCATGGCTTGCACTTCACGTAAGTTGTTCACCTGTTCTAGACTGTAAATATACGAAAATTTATCAGAAATTATTCAAATGCACGACATTTTACGCGCAACAAAAATACTTTTATTCTATCCAACCTGTCGTAATGCTGTTTCATTTTTTTGCAAGCAAAATACGAGCCATCGCGCACATTTTGGATCTTCAGCACTTCCGAAAAAGTGCCTTCACCTTTCTTGCCCAAAATCCGATACTCTGAAATCAAATGTAGTCTTGTCAAGACGTGCTTGTGTAGCCGAGATAGACTAAAGCTTAAGAAATTTCACCCGTACCAATATAATTTCAATGATGTATCGTCCAACTACTTACTTTGCATTTTATCATACAGCATTAAATTAATATTTGTGTATATTCGAAGAACATATACGTAATGGCAAAAAGAATTCAATCGTCGAATTGAGCATGGAATTGACTGGTGTTTTGGTAAAGACTTCAGTCCTTCATAGTCTGTTTTTTCATTGAAAGTACGAACGAAAACCGCCGATATAGTTGATCGCGTCCTTGCCTTTCACTTCAACATCTTGATCAATATTAACCAAAGCTGACCAAACCAAAGTTTCGATTAACCAACACTGGTTGGTTGCTATAGTTACACTGTGGGATTTTAATAATCGCGAGCTGAATATGAATTTGTTTCCTCATTTTTCACCTAAAATATTATAATTTTGACTTAGATTTTTTCATTAATAACTATAAAATTCATTTAGAACGGGAAAAGCAGAAATTTTTGCAGTAATAAACAATTATAAATAGAATTAAAAATTAAGCGACGAGGATGGGATTCGAACCCACGCGTGCAGAGCACAATGGATTAGCAGTCCATCGCCTTAACCACTCGGCCACCTCGTCAGATGAGAAATGGGGAAAAATTAACTTTACTTAAATATAATCTATTTTTCAACAATCTTTAATGGATGGAAATCAAATAAATATAAAGATAGTTTTGTAGCAGGTCACGTGGTTAATTTAAAAACATGGAGTCTAAAATTAATGCAAATAATAATCCTTTACGTACTAAAATAAAACGCAAACGCGTTAGTAAAAAGTCTAAACGAAGCTGGAGGAAACATATCGATATTAAAGAAATAGAGGATTACTTGGACGAAGTAAGAAGACAGGAACGGACTGGGTAAATATATTGTTCGTATTTCTTGGTATACCACTTGCTTCACTTTGGTTGTGACAATGTGGGCCTCCATTGTATTTGATTTTACACGTGATTCATTTCTTCTAGAGGTGTGATATCACAGAAAAAGAATGGAGAGCTGTTTTACATGGATAGAGACCATTCAGGAACTGAAATTGGTACGCCTGACTTGTCATTTTTATTATTCAGATGTCATCAGAAAATCATATGAATATGATTATGGACCATCAAAAATAGAAATACTAATTCTTCCCCAAGCCTGAATCCCACATTTGATATGCAATAGTAATTCTGTTCATTTTACATGTCTGCTGTTGGAGATCAAGTTTGCTTAAAGTTTTGAGGAAACTCTTTAGTTTTACATATATGTAACATATTACAACCAACATTTACCATAGCTGATTTTCAAAGTTGCCCTCTTTTGATAATTTTTCATTTTATTTTTAATGGTGTTTATTCATAAACCTATTATTGACATCATAAAATTTTTTGTTTAGGTGAAAAGGAAGAGACAAAACAATACCGAAAAGGTGTAAAACTAAGGAAAAGCAAGCAAAAATTGAAAAAGGATGGCAAAGACGTAGATTCATCAGAAGATGATGAAGCAACTGCTATATTACCACAAAAAATCCTCAAGAAAAAGGAAGCTAAACTGGAAATTTATGATTTATGGGGTGATTCAGGTATTAATTTATATGGGATGGGAATATTATGGGTTACAATGAAGGGTCACAAGTATGCAAACAATTTTGTTGATTGACAATGCAACAGAGATTTAATTGGCATGTTTTTTTTGCTGTTGACCAATGAAAGTTTATTGACATGGCTTCATAAATTTGCTCCAGTTAGTTGCCATTTGCTATGATAAATTTAATCATCAGTTGAATTAGCTTTCATTTTTGTCAAAAAAAAGTTGAACAAGAATTTGACTTTATTTTACTTTGTGTTACAGGAGTTTTATCTAAATCTAAATCCTTTGAAGATGAACATTACATGAAAGTAACACAAAAGAAACCAGCCAAGGTATGAATAAATAAATAATTTTATTTTTTATTCATGCATGCCTAATGAATTTTTTATGATACTTTTTACCATAATGCCAAAGTGGTTTTTTCGCAGTATTATAGTTTCAAAGTGAAATTTAATTTTTTTAAAATTGCTTTAAAAGCCAGGTAAATTGTTCATAGTGAAAGCAAAATGTATTCAGATGGTAGTTATCATAGCGAGAAAGGATTTTACTATCCAGGCAAAGTAAACTTTTAGAAAAGAATTCAATTTTAGTTTCAATATCTAGCCACATCGGCTATTATACTCAGGCTGCTTTTGAGACCTTGTGAAAATATTTCTTTCCAAACCTACCTCTCTGCAACTAAATAACTAATTCACTGATAATCAACCAAAAAATTTTCTAATCACCACAGGTACCCTAGGTACCATACACAAAAAAGAACACTGAATAAAATTGTGTAGATCTTGCCTCAAGTATTTGTCTTGCATAAGTAGTTTTAAGAAAAACATTAAAACAATGATAATTTCTTATATTTTGAGTTATACCAGCACCATAACCTGCTTTACTCTAATCGGCTGAATTGAATATTTGTAATTTATTGGGAAAAACTTCACACTAAGCTAACAATATCTTTATCAAAACTAAACTTTGACTAGTGACATACAAGATTTAATATGATTTTAATTGGGTATAGTGTATATTGTAAACAATAAAAATGTTTGAACTACTTGTCTGTCATCAAAATTGTTACTTGTGTTTGCAAAGATTTGAACAGTTTGATTTTGACATATATCCACAGCAACCAAGGACTGTATACAAAGTTCGAAGTACCATGCCAGCATTAAGTGTTTGTCACCCTGGAGCATCATACAATCCAACATTTAATGATCATCAGGCATTGCTGTTTGCTGCTTGTCAAGTTGAACTTTTTAAAGAGAAGGAGATTAAGAAATTACAGCGACAGTTGCAGTTTCCATCAGAAGAAGAGATGACAAAACTTGTAAGAAATAACTTAGCTAGATTACTACATGCTTATACATAGTTTGCTATCTTTTAAACTACATTTTGTCATGATTGAACCAGAGTAAATGTGGTTTGGCATATTCTGGATGAGTTATTTAAAGACTTTTTTAAGCGTGAAAATATCATTTGAAAAATTTTTACTATTTTTGTAACTTTGGTTGTTTGTGCTTGATTCAGCCAAGTTGGGAGGAAGAAATGCAACAAGGATTGTTTGGTGATGAAAGCAATGCTGAATGTAGTGATGATAATGATGATAAGGAATGTGGAGTCATGCTCCCTTGTTTTTCTGGGAAGGAGAGAAAGACAATTAAAGAAAGACAAAAAGCAAAGGAAAGGAAAAAAGAGGTAGGAAATGCTACAACTTGTTTTGTAATTTGATTTTATTCCTTTTTCTGTTCAGAATCTTTAACCATTTTTTATTGCTCACAAATTGATTTAATATAGTTCAAAATAAAATTATATGTTGAAAAACCCTTTCAAAAGTCTTGTTTTGAACAAAATTTCATCAATTTATCATTTTCCATGTCAATTAAATCTACTCATTGACATAACAGGAGCTCTATTTCAAAATACAACGAGATGAAAAAGCAAAAGAGAATGAAGTATTCAGGTGATTGTTATTGCAGATGTATCTCGAGAGATTAGGATGTATTAAGTTAAGTATTCAGAACATACATAATAGCCCATCATTGCTTTCAGAACATACATCATAGCCAATTATTTTGGCTCCAGGAAAGGTTTCATTATCAACAAATGACATAAATACATGCACTTGGAATTTGATTCACCAAAGTCTGAAATATACAGCAAGTGGTTTTATATTTTGTTTGATGCCTTTGTTTGTTCTCAGATGTATTTTGTTTGATATGTTTAGAGTCAAGTCCATCAAGAAAGAGTTGAAGAAAAGCAAAGAAAAAATGCAGGAACGTTTGAAGAAAAAAGAAGAGAAAATCCTAAAGTCTTCATCAAAACCAAAACGTTTAGGAAGACAAAAGTATCCAAAAAATATTGTTTTATTGAGGACACACTATGTCTGTTCTACAAATTGTATTATTATATACGAAAAGATTTTCTTTGACAAGTATCAAAAGATTTGAAGAAATGAACATCGAAATACAATTGATGGACGAATTGAAGGGCAGTTTACGAAATTTGAAGGTTTGTTGTCTTATATTTATTTGGCACTGTCTGTGGAGCTAGGACTGCCTAGCTAGAACTTCAGAGCTAGGGCAGCGGAACTAGGACTGTGGAGCTACGACTGCCTAGTTAGGACTGCAGAGCTAGGACAGCGGAACTAGGACTGTAGAGCTAGAACTGCCTAGCTAGGACTGCAGAGCTAGGACAGCGGAACTAAGACTGTAGAGCTAGGACTGCAGAGCTAGGGCAGCGGAACTAGGACTGTGGAGCTACGACTGCCTAGCTAGAACTTCAGAGCTAGGACAGCGGAACTAGGACTGTAGAGCTAGGACTGCCTAGCTAGGACTTCAGAGCTAGGACAGCGGAACTAGGACGGTAGAGCTAGAACTGCCTAGCTAGGACTGCAGAGCGAGGGCAGCGGAACTAGGACTGTAGAGCTACGACTGCCTAGTTAGGACAGCAGAGCTAGGACAGCGGAACTAGGACTGTAGAGTTAGGACTGCAGAGCTTGGGCAGCGGAACTAGGACTGTGGAGCTACGACTGCCTAGCTAGGACAGCGGAACCAGGACTGTAGAGCTAGGACTGCCTAGCTAGGACTTCAGAGCTAGGACAGCGGAACTAGGACTGTAGAGCTAGAACTGCCTAGCTAGGACTGTAGAGCTAGGGCAGCGGAACTAGGACTGTAGAGCTACGACTGCTTAGCTAGAACTTCAGAGTTAGGACAGCGGAACTAGGACTGTAGAGCTAGGACTAGGACTAGGACTAGGACAAAAGAAGAACAGCAGAACTAGGACTGTAGAACAGAGCTAGGACAGCAGAACTAGGACTGTAGAGCTAGAACTGCCTAGCTAGAACTGCAGAGCTAGGACAGCGGAACTAGGACTGTAGAGCTACGACTGCCTAGCTAGAACTTCAGAGTTAGGACAGCGGAACTAGGACTGTAGAGCTAGGACTGCCTAGCTAGGACTTCAGAGCTAGGACAGCAGAACTAGGACTGTAGAGCTAGAACTGCCTAGCTAGGACTGCAGAGCTAGGGCTGCGGAACTAGGACTGCAGAGTTACGACTGCTTAGCTAGAACTTCAGAGCTAGGACAGCGGAACTAGGACTTTAGAGCTACGACTGCCTAGCTAGGACTGCAGAGCTAGGACAGCGGAACTAGGTTTGTGGAGTGTGGAGTTAGGACTGCGGAGATAAGACTGTAGAGCTAGGATTGCGGAGCTAGGACTGCGGAGTCTAGGACTGTGGAGCTCGGACTGTGTCCTAGAGTAAAACGTCTTTCTTCGTGTTTAAATTTTTTTGTCGTATTCTCGCCAGAAATTGCCAGATTCTTATCTTATCTTTGGTAATTTTTACCCAGCCGTATTTGTACATGGAGCACCTTGTCTAGTATTTTTTTTCACCCTTTATATTTTTATCCTCAGCCTAGAATTTTTTGTTATCTATGTCGTTACGTAAAAGAAAAATTTTTTTTCAAAATTTTTTCTATTTTTTGTATCTTGGTAATTGTCATTTTTCAGCCGGAGGGAAATCTTTTCGAGGATCGTTTTAAAAGTTTTCAACGTCGAAATATTATTGAACCTCGACGTCCTATCATGTAAGTGTTGTCTTTTGATGGAGTTTGATTTATTTTCTCAATTCATTATTTTATCGTGGTGTGTATGTGTATTTAAAAGGCCGTAGAGACCGGGAGATATACCAAAAACATTATGGCTTTCCTACATATGTTCTCCCCTCGAATTGCGTCGTTTTCATTTTTAATAATAAGCAGTAGTTATTATTGTCAGCGGTGTAGCGGATAAAATGCCATGATATGTGCTTATGGGTGGGGTAGGAAGGCGAATCCCATGACAATTCACAAAAGGAGAAAGGAAGGGAAATTGTTAATTTTCAACTACGGAAGACTAGAAGGTATACAGAAGGTATTCTTCAGCGTTTTTGAAAACTTTATGCCATTGGTTTGTCACTGAACGTGTGCAGGAAATACATTCGAGATTCCTGACTGAAGATTTAAAACAAGGAACTATTCACTGCGCAGTATGATGGCGACAAATCACTGAAAAAAGATTTCATAAAAAGAACATTAAAGTTGACCTTCTTCGTGTTGTTTTTTTTTTGTGTGAATTTACTTCTCTTCTCCATTTTATTCTGTAGGCCGCATCGGAAGTATAAATTGAAAGAATACGAAAAGCGCTCCTATAAGAATTTTGATATTCAAGAGAAATCGAAAGAGCAGAGAAAGCGACGGTGATGCAATTGTTGTCAGGTTAGTTGAAAATCAGTCATATTATGTTTGTCTAACATACTTTACGTGCATGACGTGGAGCGAGGTTAAACCTGGCTCTTCTCTCCTTTTGCGAGACTAAGAAAGTACGGAAGTGACTTGGAGCGAGGTTAAACCTGGCTCTTCTCTCCTTTTGCGAGACTAAGAAAGTACAGAAGTGACTTGGAGCGAGGTTAAACCTGGCTCTTCTCTCCTTTTGCGAGACTAAGAAAGTACAGAAGTGACTTGGAGCGAGGTTAAACCTGGCTCTTCTCTCCTTTTGCGAGACTAAGAAAGTACGGAAGTGACTTGGAGCGAGGTTAAACCTGGCTCTTCTCTCTTTTTGCGAGACTAAGAAAGTACGGAAGTGACTTGGAGCGAGGTTAAACCTGGCTCTTCTCTCCTTTTGCGAGACTAAGAAAGTACGTGCATGACTTGGAGCGAGGTTAAACCTGGCTCTTCTCTCCTTTTGCGAGACTAAGAAAGTACGGAAATGACTTGGAGCGAGGTTAAACCTGGCTCTCTCTCTTTGCGAGACTAAGAAAGTACGGAAGTGACTTGGAGCGAGGTTAAACCTGGCTCTCTCTTTTGCGAGACTAAGAAAGTACGGAAATGACTTGGAGCGAGGTTAAACCTGGCTCTTCTCTCTTTGCGAGACTAAGAAAGTACGGAAATGACTTGGAGCGAGGTTAAACCTGGCTCTCTCTTTGCGAGACTAAGAAAGTACGGAAGTGACTTGGAGCGAGGTTAAACCTGGCTCTTCTCTCCTTTTGCGAGACTAAGAAAGTACGTGCATGACTTGGAGCGAGGTTAAACCTGGCTCTTCTCTCCTTTTGCGAGACTAAGAAAGTACGTGCATGACTTGGAGCGAGGTTAAACCTGGCTCTTCTCTCTTTTTGCGAGACTAAGAAAGTACAGAAGTGACTTGGAGCGAGGATAAACCTGGCTCTTCTCTCTTTTTGCGAGACTAAGAAAGTACGGAAGTGACTTGGAGCGAGGTTAAACCTGGCTCTTCTCTCTTTTTGCGAGACTAAGAAAGTACGGAAGTGACTTGGAGCGAGGTTAAACCTGGCTCTTCTCTCTTTTTGCGAGACTAAGAAAGTACGGAAGTGACTTGGAGCGAGGATAAACCTGGCTCTTCTCTCCTTTTGCGAGACTAAGAAAGTACGGAAATGAAGTTAAAGCAATGTAATTGGTACAAACGCGACGATTTGTTTTGAAAGTAGAATGTTAGCACTCTTTTGACACCAGCTTTAAACGCAACATATCGATGAACCTTGCCATGCCACGAAAACTGTTTGCATTATTCGTTTGTTTACAAATAAGGGAGATTGCTTAACATGTCGTTATTTCACGTCCATTCTGGATTTGAATTTGAAGAAAAACAAGTGCAAACATTATTCAGCAGCATTCAAACATTTATTTCGAAATTACTAAAAATTCGTCATCAAACCAGTTTACGAAGACTAAATCTAGGTCGATATGGCTATAATCTTCTACAATATATAACATGAAAGACTCCACTATGAAAGACACAGGATAGTGATCCATAAAACACCTGTTATGACATAGTCTGTAACGAATATATAAATAAACCAGGTTTTTTTTAAACCGACTAATTTTTACCCACAAGTATATGCGCATATTTTTATATTTATAACAGCCTTCTATTTATCAATCAGTTTACTTTCTGTTTTGTATTTCTACACTTCAATTTGTTTCGTCTACTCTCGCAGGCCCGTATTTTGCCGACTTAAGTACTTTATTATTCTTGAAGTCACCATTTTCTGTATTTCTTTGGCAACCTGATAACGTGATAGTATTTTCTCTGGTCGTTTGTCTGATTCTTCTTTGGTTAATGAACGTAGTTAAGTATGTCAGGCTGGACAATTGAGCTGTAATTGGCTGATGATAATGCGATAACGTGTTAATCATTTATATTTACTTTTTCTTTTGTCACGTATATGGTAAATTATTGTTTCCCCATGGTTTTAAAAATTTTCCATTGCCTATAGTAGTGTTAACGTTTAACAATGATGTCTTTTCTTCGTTGCCACTGTCGTCTGAACAACCGTTAATAGTGATTTCTATGTCGCTGAAAGGCACACTGGACGGTCTTTCCATCGGTGTTTCCTCTTCCTTTAGGGAAATTTCACCCGACGACGCTTCGGACGTGTTAATGCTGTTCAAACTATTGCGATAATTTCCTTGGAGAATGTCATTCAGTTCTGAGCAGCTCTTTGCCATTCTCGGTTTCGATAAATGCGTTGAACACGTGCAAGTTGGACAATTGGTCTTTTCCCCACATTTCACATCTTTTTCTGGATGTTTGTCGCAGCGATGGAAACAAACTAAATGTAGTTCCGCATTAGAAGTGCATTTTCTGTTCTTTCCCAGTTTTTTGCTCATCTCTTGCCGCTGTCTTAATGATTTCAACGATTGCCTGATGCAAGCGGGAAAGTTCGAATTACTGCTGTCGTAGATTGTCGACGACAAGCTTCGTGAACTGATCGAACCAGGAGCAACCGCGCCTCGACGTGAATATAATGGATATGTAGCGTGAATGTCTAGATGATGAGGGATGTCTTGTGTCTGTGATTGTTTTGAGGGCTGCGTAATTGCACCGAACATGCGTGATATGGAGTTGCTAAGGAAGGATTTTTTTAAACTTTTACCTACAGGAACCTCCAAAAAGTCAAAATTGCATTCGCGAAAGGACGGCGCGAGATCATTGTTTGAGTCTGCTTCTGTGCTTGCTTGAACATCCTGATCGATAGAATTGAGTCGTCCATTTTCTCTTTTGGGGCCAGAAAAATTTGAATTGTCTTTAGTCCTTGTATTGTCCATGCGCTGCTCAATTAAACATTCCAAACTACTTTTACCCAAATTACTTTTTTCGTGTTTTCTTGCGGTGGAATTGCAGCTGTAAGTTGAGCTATTTCGTGCATCGTCCGATATCTTCACTTTTAGCGTTCTGATCTCTTTGGAAAACGGTTGCTTCTGTTTTGCTTTTGGCGGGAGGTTGAGCCGAGCTTTGGCGTACGTGTAAAATAATGTAAAGTTGGTTCCTACCACTGAGACTGGTAAGGCTATAACCAACGCACCACATAATGCACAGCAGGCGCCAAACATCTTACCCAACCATGTGCGAGGATGAAGATCACCATAGCCTACCTAAACGATACGGTTGAACGATAATGTTTGTGTGCAAGAGCTTTTTTGTTAAGATAAAGATGGATTTCATGGAGCTCTATATAGACAATGGTGTAATACTGGGCATTCATGTATTCATCAAGTTAGGTATCACTGTGCATCCAGAGGCAGTCAATATACAGCAAAGATCCTTTGTTGAAGTTGATATTTTTTTGTATAGGGATAACAGAGGACACTGATGTATTCCTAAGATGGTGTGCAAGAGCTTTTTTGTTAAGATAAAGATGGATTTCATGGAGCTCCATATAGACAATGGTGTAATACTGGGCATTCATGTATTCATGAAGTTGGGTATCGCTGTGCATCCAGAGGCAGTCAATATACAGCAAAGATCCTTTGTTGAAGTTGATATTTTTTGTGTTTAGGGATAACAGAGGACACTGGTGTATTCCTAAGGTGGTTATGACATTACATGCAGAGGCATTTAACATAGAGTAATGATCCTTCTTTGGGTTGGATATTATAGTGTTCAAAGATGTAACAGGGGCTATTTTGTATTTATTCTTTTGATTTTAAAGTACACACCAAGAGGCTAGGTAGCATTAAGCAAGGATGTTTCGATGATATCGTATTGTTTAAGGTTTAGCAGAGAGTGTCAGTATAAATATGAATATGGTCATGCTATATCATTAGGAAACATAATTATCAAATTGTTAATGGTGATGTATGTGTTGTGTTATGAAACAAAATGAAAACTGTGATTGTTACCATACCGTTGTCATAGTGATGATTGCCCACCACAAACAGTCAGGTACACTTTCAAACTTTGTATTCTTATCGTCTCTCTCGATGAAGAACAAAATCATTGAAAAAACAAAAGCCTGAAATACGACCACGATGGTCAATAGTCCCAGTTCCCTTGTGCTAGCTTTGAGAGTGTTGGTCAGCACTTGAATAACAAAACTGTACGTTAAGAGATTTATCAGTCGTATCGCCTTTAGAAAAATCAATATTTCAAATGGTTGAATCGTGTTTGGGGTTGCGTGAATCTTTACGTGCACGATTAAAACGCAAACAGAGATTAAATCCAACCATTGAATGACTTTCTTGAAATGATTCCCAAGAGATGGAGCGGAAAGAAGTCTGAGAACGAGATCCACTAGAAACCACGTGACCACAAATATCCTTACACTGCTCAGTGCGTTAGATCTCCTGGTATCTTGTCGAAATGATTGCAAGGTGGTAAGACAGAACTGGATGATTGTAATGAAAAATATGATCACGTTCAAGATAGACACGACCTGTTGAACGCGAAATGGATTTAAGTTCATTTTATAACTGATATAAAATTCCTGTGTTTATTTCTAAAGTATGTTTTATATGGCCTTGAGTTGGTGAGTCTTTGGGTTGGTTTGATCATGTTTTTATGAGCTCTTGTGTTGGTGAGTGTTAAGGTTAGTTTGACCGCACCAATGTTGTGGGCTAATCTCATTACAAAAAACTTTCGTCTGTTTTGAATTCTGGTGCATTTTAACACAAAGTTGAAAAGATTTACCTTGGCTGGCGTGGATGACGCTGGTTTCTCTAACAACAAGTAGGCTTTTTTTCTCAATTTTTCCCAACACGAGTGGCCGCGTTCTTCATTCTCTTCATTATCTTCATCCTCGGGCGTTTTGAAGTATTTCAACTTCTCCTGTTTTTCCTTGTGTTGCTTGTAGCTTTCCCAACAGCACAACTCCACCTATTTTTGTGGTCAGCAGAGATGACGTTTATAAATTGCGTTTATTGAGGGTGATTTTGAATGGCATTAATGATGTTCAATGAGGCTGGTCATAACTGTGAAGAGTAATTGTTGATACACACGTATATATGAGTATCGATATGGATTAAACATAAATATGAATACATGGAGGTCAACCTTGAATTAAATCTACTTTTCATCCTTGAAATGAATTTGATAATGTTCACTATTGTTTCATATTTTAAGATAACTTCCATATTCCTACCTGATTTTCATCTATGCCCCAAAATGATAACTCTTCTTCAAAAAGAGGGCCACACACATCCAGTGGACAATGAAGCTTTCCCGTTCGATAATAGTTGACAATATGTGCAAACACACCGGGATGTCGGTCAAAGAAATATTCTTTCTTATCGGGATTGTACTCAGGGCTCTTAGTCGACGTATGATGCTGTTCGCTTATCCAATACAACCTTACGTAATTGAAGAAAACGATTTCTTGTTTAGTTGTATTTGTAAAATTGTGTTTGTTCAAACACATTATTTAAAAGTAAGGTTTGTTTCACAGTAGCTGTTTTCATAATAATTGCTTGAGGTCCGATAATTTGCCGATAGTTTTAAGCAATAATGCCACACTGTCTTATTTGTTAGGTTTTTCATTGAAAATCTTTTGTTTTGTAACGACGTAATGTTCCAGATTTATAAATAGATCAACTCTTCTTACCTCGTATCTGGACGATTTCGTAAAGTTGTGAGATACGTTTCATGACGAATTCCTCCGACATTGATCGTGATCCGTCCGTGAACATGGCCGTTTTCTCTCGATCGTTTTTCCATCACATCACCGTCGAACAACTGCTTGTGCAATAAAAATAGTAAACAATTACGTAAAGTTTGTCGGAACATTAAAATGGTGCTTATCGGCCGCGTTGCTTTATTTTTCATTTGCTTAAATACGCGATTTTTTTACTCTTCGATAATTTTTGCACCTTGTAGGCACAATGTTTTTTTGTTTTAATTATAAAACTATGAACCGTTTTACTTTGTGCATGTTTCGTGTTAAGTCCATCTCATCAACACCTTTTGGTATTATACAATTCAATGAAAAAACTAGAGGAATATGAAGAATTGCATAGTCGATAAATGATGGGATATGTCTTCACATCGTATTAAAACATAACTGTCTTCATGCATGTCAGATATATTCTTGCTAAATAGGAGGAATTTTGCTAATACTATCAAATAAAATAATGTATCCTATGACGTTAAAACTATTTATTATCCCTGCAGACCCTCAAAGACTCAATTGTGAATCTATTTTTTCAAGAAAAATCTATATTTCTATGTGGGCATATAAGCTTATTTCTCTTTACTTTATTTTTTTTCATTAAAATTATGGTGGCCCCCAGCCAGCCTGTATCGTCTCTCAAATTTTGCAATATCCGTATAAGAATGAGCCAAACTTCCAACAAGCTAGCTGAACACACTTATGAATAAGACGAAAAATGTCTTACCGACTCAAAGTCCGCACAAGATGTTAACATTATGTCATAAAAATTGCAGGAAAAGTTCTCTATGCTGTTCAGAAAATTTGTTAATCAATTTCGCTTCGTATGCGTGAAGAGACAAAGATTTTCATCCGACATTGCCGTCTTTGAAGTACAAAATGCTTGATAATTTGCATTCGATACTTGTTTTTCAATTTATTTTTAGAAATGTTATTGGCTTAGCACATTGCTTGTCCTTGACAACTCATTGTGTAGCACTGTTAGTAATTCTTATTGGAAACGGTGCTAGTTAAATGATGCTTAAAGATATGATAAAGATGAAACAGGCAGATGTATGTTACCATATGCTTTATGCCCATAGATTCGAGAAGATGACAGTCTTTAAAACTATATGTGGTGTTCATGTTAGAGAGAAATTCTGAAGAAATCATGTTTTCATGCATTTATTTATCCAACCACTTAAATTTACGAACTCGCATTTCTAGATGTTATTTGTTAAGTTGTAGTTAAGCAGAGCAAGTATTTTTAAGGTCAGGTGCTTGTCGAAACTTGACAGTTTATATCGCTTTATAAATAATTATGAAAATTCTTTGAAAATCTTTTCTTGGAAAAAAGAATTGCATTATGTCACAAATGTTTTCTGATTTGCTTTTTTCCCGAGCTGTGAGAACGTTTTCTCACTGTTCGCTATACTTTTCAGAATTTCATGTACATTTATATAAGAATTTTTACATAGAAGATGTTCATATTCTTCCGATTGGGCTGTTTAGTACAAATGTGCAAAAGACGCAACATATTGTCTCGTTTAAGTGTTATTGTAAATAATTTGCTTCTGGTTTTCAATTGGTATGAATGCTCTTGCTTACATAACGCATCTTTAGCTCGTTTTATATAAGAAAGAAATATATCTTTGATAAACTTTTTGTCCATCGCTCCTGTTTAGCGAGAAACGGTTAATTTTAATTTTTCAAGAGCGTAATGTAATAAAGTGGCCCACAAGCACCTGGTTTGTTGGGCAACCGATGTTTACGTATTACTACATGATAATTGTTTTTATGAACTTAGCAGACGATAATCAAGTACATGTCCTCGTGTAGACAGGTTTTTCCTGTTTATCAGTTTAAATCTATAGATGAAAAACAACAATATCTGTTCGAATTTAATTATAATATAGTCGTGCTTGCTTGCATATGTCGCTCCGATTGTCCATCTTTCTTGAATCGTTATGGCTCTCTCACTAGTGCTTACTCTCTTTTGTGTTTGCCAATGGAATTTGCATACAGAGACGTGCTTTTATGTCTCTTGATCATTAATACTTATAGGGTAAAAGATAGCCATGATGAGATGCTTTATTTTTGGACTTTTAAAAATGACTTTATATCCATGTCCAGGTACTTTGTCTGTACACTCTTACTCTTCCTGTTTGCAATCACTTTGGACCTTCCCAGTGATTGACTCCACTCATTAAGCACAGGTGTAAGAACTCTGTCCTTTCTCCACTCATTCTGCTTTTAGACTGTTTGATTGACTTCAATGACATCAATTGATTCCAGTTACTGTACACGTTCTCGGTCACGCTGTCTTTCTCGTATCATTCTTTTACACTTATTTTCATACTAGTCGTTGTGCACTCAATCTGTCTTTTCACAGTTATTTTGATCGACTTCAGTCACTCTGCTCGTGCGCAGTGCACCTTCAATGCACTCTATCATTCGTTCGTTCCCAGTCATTTTCTGCTCTCAGTCATTCTCCTCTTTTCTGGTCACATTACTCGCTTTCATGTTTATTACGTAACATGCAGATGATTACAAAGGCTAAACGCTCATTTCCAGACAGATTAAATTTACTACGTCTTAACGTGACGTAGGTCAATTGATTTTTCTAAGTCTCCATAGCATTCCAAGGCACCTGCACACCAAGCCCCCTTGCGCGCAGCGCAGTATTCAATGCGAAAGTCTGTATGCATTTAAAATTAAGTGTATAAGTTATTTACAGCCGCTTACTTAGTCTATGCATGTGCAAAATAGACGTGACTCTTGCTCACAACTAGACCGCGAGTAGATGGTTTGCTTGTAGTGTGTAGTCGTTCTTATTTTACAATATGATGTGAATGTTTGTAATGCGTTCGTTTGTGGCAGGTGTTAATTTTAGATCATTGAAGCACTCTGACAAACAGAGAACGCAAGTCGTAATTAAATGCATTTTATCCCTCTTCAATAAATTTATATATTATTTTACCCTTACTACTTAATATTTTTCTACACTACGATGGATAAATTAAAAAGGTTTTGTATGCCAACAAAATGTTTTCTTCCTACTCACTCATTATGCTTGTTAGCTAACACCTTTGAGTAATCTGTCCTCCAAACTTATATTGACGTATGTAGTCATGTTGACAAGTATAATGAAAGCTGCATTTTCAAAAGGATTAAGTATCTAATGAACAATTTTTCAATAAGCAATTGTGTATGAGGCATATATATGTACGCCATGTTATGTCTAAATGTAATTCATATCTGAAAACATTGTAAGTAAAATTAATAGCATGAGGGCAGAGAGATTTACGAAACCATGCATGGGTTTATAATTGTTAGTTATTCACGCGTCCTAAACCGAAACTACAAAAGAAAATTCATAACGACTTTTAATCATCTTTGACTCTTTGTTATCAAAGCACTTCCGAAATAGAATGTAATTGACAATTTTATGTTAAAAAGAAACACTTTTGTTAAGGAGTACATTTTAACACTTTTTTAAACCAATTTTTTGGCCTTATGTTATTGTGAATTGTGGCGTTGCTACCTTTCCAATTATGAAACGTGTTTTTTTAAGAAGCAACATTGCAAATACATACTACTAAATAAATATATGTGAAAACTATTATAAACTCTAAATATAGTAACACAACATATATGACTTTGTAAGTTATACAACGATGAGTATATATATGTATAATTCTATTCTCGATAGCAATATTCCTGTATTGTGGACAGTAAATATACTTGCACATGTACAAGTGATAGCGGGTTTCATCATACCTTCTTAACACCAAATTTTGTGTCGATGTTTCCGTGTATAGTACAATTCACTTAACCTTTAAATTCAGCGGGTAATAAATGTTAGCCAAACTTCCTGTTGTGTTTAGCTTAATGAAGATTTCTCCGCCTTGCTAGAAACACGCGCTGTTTTTCTCCAGTAATTTTTTTCTGCATGGTTTCCCTTCCCCCCTGATTAATGACGCTTCTCATACTTCGGTTGTACGCTTTTGGCCAACGTTTCTATCAAAACACCTCGTGATTTTTCATTATTTAAAAAACTCTTGCTGATGTATTTCTTACTGTACAAATGCTCAACGCATTTTCATCCTCTTCCAAACGTTTTAGACACCAGTTCTAAAACTCGTTTTGCAAAAGTAAAAATGATTTTTTGCTATTTCGACAGCATAACAAAATACAGGGTTAAATTAAGTTAAAGCGAAATTATTGATAGGTGTGAACAATTGAACCAAGTCAAACTACATGAAACAAAGAATGTTTTACGAACGTTCAATTGCAATTCATTTTCAAATTGTGTATGAGTCGCTTGCGATCTTTGCTTGATTATTCATTGTCTTATCTTATTGTAATTCAAATTTTAGATATTGTTTGCTTTCTTAAAACAATAACATGATGGAGAGTATCGTCTTGATTAGTGTATCTAGGAATTCTTCAGAACAGAGAGGATCATTTTTATTGGAGTATTTATAAATTCTTCCTTATAAAGAGGATCATCTTTATTGGTGTACCCATGAATTCTTCAGGATAGAGAGGATTGTCTTTATTGGTGTATCTGTTAATTCCTCTGGGTGGAGAGGATCATCTTTATTGGTGTATCTAGGAACTCCTCAGGATGGAGAGGATCATCTTTATTGGTGTATCTGCTAATTCCTCAGGATGGAGAGGATCATCTTTATTGGTGTATCTATGAATTCCTCAGGATGGAGAGGGTCCTCTTTGTTGGTGTATCTGTGAATTCCTCAGGATGGAAAGGATCATTTTTATGAGTATATCTATGAATTCCTCAGGATGGAGAGGATCATCTTTATTGGTGTACCTGTGAATTCCTCAGAATGGAGATTTTTGTTAGCCGTTATTTCTTAACGTTCTCAATATTGAGTAGTAGTTATAAATAACAAATGGCTTTACCATTTCAACTGTTTTTGCGTCCTGTAAAACTCTTGTTCGTATTACACGGCTACAAGAAATAAAAGCATATTCATTTTGAAAATATTTCCAGAACGTCTTTGCATTAACACATTCGTCTGCAACAAAAACTTCTGTGATTCTCCGAGAAATTTCTTTTCTCAAAACAAGGGTCACGCAACTAACACTTGCCTCTGACACAATTAAATCTAATCCAAAAATGTTCATCATTAAAAGTATGTTTGGATATAATAGTTTTGTTTAACTGTAGCTTTCGAGAAAAAAACTGACAAGAGGATATGCTCCATGTTATTTAATATATATCCATTTTCCCAATAGTTAAATATAAATACATTAATGTCTTTTATGAGTGCAATTCATTCAACAATAACATTTAATTTGCGACCAGGTATTCTCTTAGATAGGAAATGCTCAGCGGTTGGCGTTTTGAAATCAGATTAACAACTGTGGATGGCAGTGATCCTCCGAGATAAACCTGAAAATATTTTACATTCAATTTGTTATACATAAAAACCATAAAGACTTTTCGATCAGATTGTTTATGTCTATGTTTGTAGTGGCTCATTTTCCAGGTTATTACTGGTATTTACTGTCCTGTGAAGAACTGTTAGAGTTAGGGTTCACTGATGATTGGAAATCCTATTCTCGTGGATTATTCGTGGCGCATATTATTTTTCTTTACCTGTGTCATGTACCAAACTAGCGAGCATGATCGTCCGTTGATTGTAATTTGTTCGATCACCCAACCACTGGACAATATCTGAGGTAAAGACGTTAATATAAATGTGGACAACATTTTTGGAATATGAAAATTCCGATTAGAATGTGTATTTTGGAACTGTCAAAATTATTTGTTACCTTTCCTCTTTTAACTCCTTTTACTTCAGGACAACTTGGATGATCGACAGATTGTGAAGCAAGGACAAACTTCCCGTCCTGCAAGGGATATATGAACTTAGTTATGACGTCTTTTTAAAGCCCGCTCCAGTCACCACTCTTACCTTTTCTCCGTCCATTGCGACAAGACAAAAATCTCTTGAAGTTTTTAAAAGACACCTTTGTGTTTCGTGCATCATATAAACTGCAAGAATCAACGTGAAAAAACGGGTCAATCGCTTTCTCTCTAACCATCTTATCATCATCTCAAACAGTTAAACATACTTATGGCCAAATTATCTGAAATCTTGTCCACAATGCGGATATTCTACATTAAAGAAAATTAGACAGTCACACCTTCAATTCATTGGTTGTTTTGACAAAAAATTATGAACAGGTTAAATCCCATGTGTAGAAATGCACGTGGCATATGTACCTTAAGCATGCGATCATAGACAAATCTGGACGGCGGTGTTGCAACAGTTTGAAGTACTGTACGTGGTGTCGCTCGAATGATACCACGACCAAGAAAACTGTAAACACCGCACGGCACATCCTCTTTCCGTAGCACGTGCACATCTCTCTCGTTGGTTTCATATCTGAAATCGAACGTAAATATCGTTAATTGGCAAAACAACGTCCTAAAATGTTCCATTGTGACCTAGTGAATCCCACCTCCATCCTCCGCAGTCCAGTTTCGCCGTCTCTACACGATTGATTGCAAACTTTGGATGATGAGAGGCCAGTTTAATTTCTTCAAGAATATTAAGCATAGCATCGCTTGCAATTTTTGCATAGACTGAATTTCCTACAAATAAGTTTTTTTCAGATTTTTAAGTCAATTGTGGTACAGACTTAATGTAAATACTTTACGTTTTTCATTCATTTTTATTTAATTTTGACTTTCTTTACTTCCTTGTTTAGAAACAAAAGTAATACGTGCACAGTAAAAGTCACTTTATCATGTGAGTACATTTTGCTCATTTATTAAACTTATTACGCGGATTTTAAAGTGCTTATGCATGAAACTGAAATTTTGCTATTTAAAATAAGGTATCATTGATCAGACCTTTTATGACGGTGGAATTTCTTAATCAGTTCTTTAAAAGTTTTGAAAATATAATTCAAGTAGCAAATTTTTCTTTTCATAATCACTCTGATCAATTTTAAAAATAAAAAGCATGTTTGCTGTTAACGGCTAGTTTCATTGATTCAAACGAAGCTTTTCAACTTACCTAATGGTTCGAGAATAGCAAAGTCCTCCGTCCTATTTTTAGAAACAAGGCGAAAAATAATGAAACACATTCACAATTTGCAAGCAAAGTTCATTATAAGTAAAGCATTTTTAGGGTTGGTTAAATGCTTCAGTGTTCTCTTGCGTGCAAATTAAGTTCCAACTCGTTAACAATGGGTATAAGAAATTACGTCTGCTTACTTCAGTCGTTTCAAATACTCTTCAGCTTCTGTTTCTATCATTTTCCTAATGCCTCGAATCTCTCGATCAAGTTGTCTTCCTCGTTTGTCCAATTCATCCATTTTATCACGAAATTTGGCTTGGTTAAACTCATCCTGCTGTTCCATCAACGCACGCAAATTCTCAAATCTTGCATCCATCTTTTTTTTCTGGTGTGTTTTCAAAGCTAACTTGTCGTCCATTTCCAGTAAACGTTGCTGAGCGCTTAGCAAACTGTTAGATTCACATTCGTAATACGTAAAGGTCTCCCCGCTTTCCGTCAACTTGCGTAAGTGATTAATCTTCTCTTTCAAGTGCATTTGCTCGTCTTCTCTTTGTTTATTCACGGCTTGATTTAATTGGTGATAATCTTCTTCGTGCTTATTTAATGTTTTTCTTTCCTCCTCACATCGACGCACTTCTGTTTGCTGATAATGAACCTCGAGCTTTTTACTGGCGATCTGCGATTGAAGCGTACCTTCTTCAACACCTGGAGACACACTGCGCACCAGTTCGAACACTTGTGCTTTGACATTCTTTATCTCCGCATCTTCGTCATCACTAGAATCAAAATTGTCGCTCACGATCGCTTCTACGACACGTTGGTGCTCTAAATGTGCACTTACTAACAGCTCTCCTTCTTTTTCTATCTTTACAAGATCCGTATCTCGTTCTAAAATTATTATGTTATTATCGTCGTTCTCTTCATCTGGGCACTCATCCGAAGCGACCAAAGCCTCCTTTGCAGCAGCCATGGCCGCCGAGTTTTCTTTTATTTCTGAATCAATTTCTTTCAAGACTTCCTGTCGTTCCTCCAGCTCCTTTTCACAAAGTGAAATTTTTTCTTGTCTTGTTGTAATTTGATTTTCAAACATCTCCATATTGCGAACTAATGTTTTTATTTTCAACATAATTTCAGAAATATCGTCATCATTATCAACTTGATCTGTGCAAAGTTGATATTGCAGCCATTCTAGTTTCACACACTTTTTCCAATATGAATCGTTATTTTCTTCGATTTGTTCGGTTAATTTTGTTGCTTGTTCCTCAACGTTCTCGAAATCTTTTTTCACCGTTTCGCTTTTCTTCAAAAGATTATCTAAGGTTTCCTGTAAACATTGTATTTTCGTTTCAAGTTTATGGCGTCTCCTTTCTCGTTCAGCTTTCTTTTTAACTCTTTCCTCTTTCAACTTCTCGTTGGCATCCTGTATTATTCTTCTTTTTTCAGCTTCAATTTCGATAAGTTTCATCTCACATTGATCAATTCTCGACCATTCTCGTTTTAGTTTTTTTCTGAATAGCTTTTTTCGTTGTTCATCTTCTTCAGTCGAGTTTTTACCTTGCTCGCTGTTTCCATTTTTCATTCGAATGAAAATATTTTCAATTTGTTGAATGAGTTCGTTTCTCGAATTTTTCTTTTCTTGAGAAAGTTGTTCTCTGAGTTCCTGTAGATCTTCCTGGTGCTTTTGTAGAACAACCTCATGTTGTTCCTTTTTCTGTAAAATCTTCATCGTTTGATCTTCGATCTCTTTATCTTTTTCTTCCAATTCCCGTTTGCTCTTTTCCATCACTTTCATTCTCTCAATCTCTGATTGTTTATATTTGGCCAACAGTTCTTCAATGCGCAACCTGAACGAGAAAACCATAATTTACTTAAATGTATGACAAAAGACATAATCCGTTTCATTAATTGTATTAATTAATTGTATTGATTAATTGTATTGATTAATTGTATTGATTATTCTCATTCAGATGAACTTCTTACATAAATCTATGTCATATACAATGGTGCAAAAAAAGCGGCGAGGAAAAACCGTCCCTTTAAATTAGCAATGGCAAAATTTCCTTATTAGAATCATAAACATGAATTTCGTTTAAATGTGTTGTCGCTCTTATTCAAATGTAATGCATAATTACGCCAAAGAGAGCTCAACAAACTTTAACTCTTCCGGATCATTTTCGTCATTGCCATCGTCTGTACTTTGCTCACTTTCAACTCTGTAAGAAAGAAAATGCTCTTTAGTAAATGTTATAAATGCCATGACGTCGTATTTCCAAACAATAGCACTATACTTACCCTGATTCTGGTGATAACGGTTGCTCAAAGAACTCTACTAACTTATCTGGCGAAGGCGACTTATGCAGCGATCTCTCCTTTAAGAAAAATCAAACTTTAAATTAGTTTTCTCTATTTTTTGCGGGTTTTGTAATTTTTGATGTAGTAATCATTTGACGATGCTTCAATATTACCATGGAACGATGGGTTTTTCTTTTCTTTCTGAGAAAAAAAGCTTCTTGTGGATTGTTGAACTTCAGACGAAATGTTTGATCAAACATTATAATATCACCTGCAATGTGTTTAAATGAGATTAAAAAGGACGTAGATAATATCCTAGTTTCTCACTCTCTACTCTTTATATATCGAACCTTGTGATAGCTTCGTATCTTCAGTAACTGTTTTATTGTTTATCTGACACTCGCCATCCAGAGGTATCAAGATCACTGTTTTCATGTCAAATGTAAGAATGCAATGTCTCTTTTCTTGTTCTTCTTCGTCAAAAACTGCAAAGAATGACATACTACATTGCTCAATGTCATCAAACTTCTAGTTCATTTCCTAGTGTTCTAAACACTGTAAAAGTTAACTCTCTATCGTGAATTTGCAACGTTCAAAACAAAACATTTACCTAAGTGCAATTCATCTTCGATCTCCATGCTTCCAATGGAGTTTTCTCCTTTCTATAAAAATGTTTAGAAATATGTTTAAGGAACATGTGTATGATAAATATCAACCGGGTTAGAGCAAATAATTTGCTTTTCCACGGTGCTTCTTTAGGTTCATTATATTCTAACGTCACGTGTAGACACAAATCAGTTTTCTTAGATCTTTGATAACTCTTTACAATATTCCTAATGCCATACATCATTATCGTGCGAAACACGACGATATACACTCAATGTAGTGACGGTTAAAGCGTTTGCATACGCTAGGCATCCAAATTATGGTTTAATTTGCGTTTAATTCTTTTTAATTGCGATTTTCTTAAGACCTTCATCACTTATTCATGTTGAGATTAATTTGAACTCAAATGAACCATCGGTTTTCCACCAGAGCTTTTTGCAAATGTTGCGCGCTGATGACTTCAGCGATGTTTTCCAAACCGTTCAGTTTTTTTAAGATACACCCTTTATTGTGGATGATCAGGATTCTCAATATACAGTACCTTTAAACTAAATATGGTGATGCTAGTGTTGAGGACGTCATCGTCCAGGACGACAAGATGTGGTGGGTCCATATTTATTCGCAACGCCGAACGATATTTATGGAGTCCAAGATCATTTTCCTACATAAAGAAAGTCTACAAAGTTAGGAAAATTGGAAGAGAATTACGTTAAATACATCTTTAATACCTCCATTATTAGCATCGTATCTCGCCATTTGTCGGCCCATTCCCTCAAATGTTGCTCCATTTTGCTCTCGGTTCCTTTAAGTAGTTTTTGAGCTTCATTCACTGTTTCATCTTTCATACTGTTCTCAAACTAGACGGACGAGATATAGTGCAACTTTGTCAGTAATCTTGATCATTGATTTCAACAATATTGAACATCATTGTAGCAAATTACAACTGCCACGTTAGAGGCCTAGAGGAAGGCCAAAGAGGGGAGGTTTGGATGAACTGAAAAAGAACTTGTAGTTTGGTGGTTTGATTGAAAATGACACAACAGATAGAAAGAGATGCACGCAAATAATTTGCTGTGGCTACCTCTGAGAGGAAAAACCAAAAGAAAAGAAATATTGTGTCAAATTTTAATCTGTTAAACTCTTTCTACCATCACCTGACTCTGGTCTGTATTCACAATTGATTTTAATCTTTCAATTTCTGCCTTAAGTTCACGAATCAATTTCACATTCGGATCCTAACAAGACAAACAAAAAGCTAAATAAACGACTATTACGTCTTCTTTTATTACAACGTGAATACAGTGATTTCAAACCTCGTTGATTGTTGGAGCGTTGACAATTTTCTTTGCCCTGACTGCGAACCTCAGTGTACTCAATGTCTCGCCATAGTGAAGATCTGTCGGGGCGATGGCTACACAATAGACAAACAGTTTGTAATTAAGGCGATATGTCGATGTTTCTGAAGCCTGTAGAACGTGATTGTGAGTTTAATCCAATACAAAATATACATAAAATTATCATTTGCTATAGGTGTAGCAAACGCTTGTGTATGATTTTTGTAAAGGACGACATTTCATCGGCCTTTATGATTTCATTTCCCAGTATGTTTAACAATGTATAATGTGTTTTAAACACGCATATACTGACCAGCTATCATAATTGTCTTTGAGTTTCCACCCAGACTGTCCTTCAATAACCAAGTCAGTATTGAGTTGCGGTACGGAACATGAGGTTTCTTTACAATTTCACCGTCGCGACTGGACGTCTCTGATAGCGCGGAGATTACACTTCCAAGAGTCGTCAGAGATTTGTTTATATTTCCTCCTTCTCGCAGCCTTTCACCTGTTGCTCCGCTTTTCGATGCTCGTTCACTAAAGTAAAATTTGTTATTGATGAGGAATTTGTCAGCATGAGTTCTCATTTACTTATGTTGAATATTTGGAGTCTAGTATCTACTGAAGTTCTTTAGAGTTTTCATAACTTCTTGCTATTGTAAAAACTGGAACATGGTCCAGTGTAGTGAGCTCTTTAGGAATGATCTGATGATGAAACTTGATCATGAGTTCCAATACACTCTAGTCTAATGTCTTTATCACACGAGTGATCTGATGTTGAAATCTTATTACATTAGATTCTTATAATGTGTGATTCTTATATACCAGTGGTTTTATGTTGAGTGTCGTTTCAATTGTGAAGTTTTCTTTCATTTCTATGCATACTTTACCTTCCTGCCAAATCTACTAAATTGATTTTGCTCGTTAGTTCACTTGGTAATCCTGTAATAAACTTTGCTTGAGTGTATGTGATGGTAACGATAGCATGAGATCTACTGCTGTGTTCGTTCATCTTTGTCGCTTCCGTTTTTCTATGAAAGTAAACGTTGGATACGTTTGTTTGACAACATCAACAGTCTTTGCTATTTGATCAATATTTTTGAGATATCAAACCTCATCTGGTTTCCTTGTTTTAAAATACTCTCGATTGTCGCGTAATCTGGAGCATTCTGTTTCATAAGACCTTCAATAAAATACGAAATGATCATTTCCACATTCAACTAAATTTGTGAACCAAAATCATTGCAGCTTGAAGCTGCATCCTCAAATCCATAAACGTTCATAGGTCTAGCAAATTGTCGTGACACTTTTGCAGTTTGAACAATGTCATTACTTAAAAATATAAAGTTCCATCGGTTGTATTTTGTGTATTTCAAAATATTTATTGACTGCACCGTAAAAAGATTTGGCCGCACTATTGATTTTTTATGCAAGAATCTTTTTACAAATAATATCAAATGTGAAACTTTCTGGCGTTGATATGCCAAGTTCTTTGAAAAAATGAATTTGCTATTCAACTGACCTTGAACATACGGTCCTTCCTTTGGATGTTCGCGCACGCGCAGTTTTTGTGCTGACGTACTTCGTTTGCTTTGAGTTTCAGATCGAAGTAAATCCAGCACTTGTTCATTGTAGATCTCTAAATAACTAAAATTAAAAACATATGCAACAACAGCTGATATAATCATCTATCGCGAGTCATCGAAAACCTGCGAGATTTATCGGAAGTTTAATCCTTTACCAAAACCTTAATCCAAATCTCTAAACCTTAACCTCTAACCAACGGCTGTTTACACTATATTGAGTGAAAAATATTTTGTTTTTGTATTGACATTTATCGTCATGTTTACATGCAAATGGCCAATGGTTTCCTTCTTGTTGTAGTTTATCTTTACCTCACTTCAATCCTGAATGACTCATGGTTGTTGGCGTTTGCTGAAGCATGTTTGTATAAACCCTGCGTTTAAAATAAAAATGAGTAGTGAGTTGAATGTTCTCTTTATCAACACAGCTCCAAGAATTCATGATGTGACTTTCATTGACTTAAAGTTGGTAAACTGAAATGAAATACACTGCTCATGTTGAAATTGGCGGAGATTGTAGCTTTGCTTCGTTACCTCGCATATTCTTGGAATTAGTCCGGGATCGCTCTAAACAAGCACAACATTATGTTACCATATAAGTAATTATCTGAATGTATACTTGTCGGTGTGTGAATGGGCTAAGTCGGGTATTGATAATTGAGTTTAGTTGATTTGGTTAGGAAAACCGTTTGATTCTGAGAGATGAGTGCTAATATATATATGTATATTAATACCTGTGTTCCCATCATTGTGTAAGTCTTTCCTGCTCCTGTTTGACCATACGCAAATACGCATGCGTTATAGCCTTCAAATGCCGCATCAAGAACTTTAGTGCCAAGATCATTGAAGACCTGAAATGGCAATCAACATATTTTATTTACATAACTAAGGAAAACTTTGTGACAATAGCATGGGTGTGATGGGAGAGTCAACATCATTGCATGTTGAGCTTTGTTGCGCAAATAAGTTATGATTGAAAAGAGTTTCACGGCGTTGGGATAGAAAATATGTAAAAAAATTGCCATTAAAGTCTTTTCTTTGAAATTATCTTTCCGCCGGCTGTCGTGAACCAACTTTGCATGGTCGGAGTGTTGCCAGTTCGGCATTTTTCAGCCAAATAAAATAAATTGACTTTTTTGATCAAGTTTCTTTTATAAAGAATAAGGTGGAAAGTTTTCTTGGGTGGGCTAAAGAAAAACGTGCCATTTTTGGCATTTTCAGCGAGAATTTATCATTTATTTCGCTAACATCACTTGATAAGCATAAGAATAGTTCGCCTCCTGATGAAATAAATTGCCTCGTGTTAATTGTTTACTATATATACCTGTTCTTGCGACACGAAATGAGGATCAGTTTCATTCACAGACCAGTATGAGTAATCGTACACAAATTTTCTTTGCGAAGGCTTGTTGTTTATTGGAATGTGACTGTTATCCAATGGTTTGTGCTGTAGGGGAAAAAAATTATGTTGAGTGTCGTCAAAGCAACAATCTATCTCGGAGAAATTTTATCTCTAAGACGAACTTAGAAAACGGTTTGAAGCTACTCGGTCTTTTAACTCTTTTTTCTCTTTCATATGTTTCATATTCACATTACATATTGAGTTGTGTGCAAAAATTATAAGTGAATCACTTGTACATATGTGGAAGGTTGTTGAATTTTCGAAAACGTGTTTTTCAAAAAAAGTTCTAAGCTATATCACCTACGCAACCTGTTTGAAAGTTGAAACATTTGCACAGGCACAGTGTATCGTTAAAAATATTGCAATTGATAGAAATGGTTAATTTGCATGAGATTTTTTAAATTTTTGCATGTGGAGAAGCCTTTTCAAAAAGCACTCAACTATAACAAAATATTATCTATTCTTTTGTTGTCCACATAACAATGTATTCGAAAAGTCGAGAAACTAATAACAGACGGAATGCAAGTGTGTGGTTACCACTTTTGTTTCGCTTCAATTCTCCGTTTATAAATGTTGTCATTGTCGCAATTATGACTGTCTTCGAAATTCTACAAAGTTCTGGAAGTAGATTTTGTGTTTGTAGAAACTAAATAAACAGTGCTATCGTAATATATTGTGTGGGTTGTCTTGACAAAGAAATGTTGAAAGTTCTGAGGAATTTATGACTCCAACTTTATTATTTTAGAGTGATCACAAAAAGCGGTAGAAAAAAATCCTCCCCAGATTATAAACTTACAAAACGACAAGTGTAATAAACGGGATTTTGGTTCTAATTTCTTTATTGTTTCATATGTAAAAGTGGATAAGACAATATAATCATGACAATACGAATAAGGTATGCATGTTTTATGATCTGCAATAACCAACAGCATACCATAAAAAAAACGAATCGAATTACTGCGCAAGTCTTACCTGGTCTGTCTGAATACTTGTTTGATTGCCTGTCATACTGATGATAACGTCAGAATTCATCTCTCTGTTGTTAGAAGTTAAGACACAAGATAAGCAAGAAATTCATGAGCAAATTGAGCATCATAATCAACGTATTTGAAGCATGTATTCCGAAACATATAAATCAAGAAAGTTATCATACCTTTCGTTTAGTGGGCGAACGCGGACGGCCACTTTGACGGAGCTTTCTTTCTTGTTCATCTTTTTATCATCCATGATTGAATGAATGCTGATGACAAGATAAAACTCAAAACTTGACAAAAACTGTTAATGAAATGATGTAAATACACGATTTACTTGACTCTTCTATGTTTAGACTCCAGTTGCCAGATTTACTTTGAATTTCAAAGAATATGGTGCTCATCCGCAGATTTCAAAGTAATCAAAATTAGACTTCAATATTTCTTGTGAATCATTGGATGGAACTTCTGTTTCAATACATTCACGCGTCTGCCGATGACAATTGGCCCTATTGCATGACGGCTAATGCTATTCACGAGACATTGTAAACAGTTTTACTAACGTGACCGGAAGCATCTTACAGCATGCATACAAAAGAACAGCTGAGTTGCTCGATTACATAAAATGATAAATGATCGAGCTTAGTGACTTGAACCGTAACATGGTTCTGCATTTATAATTAGATACAGACAAAATAGACGAAAAAGGCATTGTGATGTGATAATTGTAAATTGTTGCTGTTTACTCCTCGTGAAAATAATATATTTTAATATTTAAATACTGGCGTAACCAGCGCGCAAATTTATTGCTGTTCTGTGAATTTTTCCATATCACTCACTGTGAAAATAATAGAAATGAACAATGATAATGTTCTGAAATTAATATAGCTAGACCAAACTTGAAGGCTTGCTCCACAACAGGAATTAGGCGATAAAAATTAAAAATCGAGATTTTTATTTCATCACGTTTTGGTGCACGAATTCTTGATTGAAATAACCAACAAAAGATTATCACAAAGATTTGACGTGTTTCGTTGCAATTAGGATTTATTGATGCAATTTAATGACAACACAACAGCTGATAACATGTTTATACCGGTGATTAAAAGGTTTTTTCAATACCGTCAAAGATTATCAAAGCTTTTTTATTTTTGCTTTAAATACTGTCATTATTATCATTGATTTGGACTATACATCTATCTATAATCTATTTATAAAAACACTCCCATTTTGTTTCGAACCCATTCTTTGCAGATTGTACTCTAAATATTTCTCTTACACCAAGTATTGAAAGTCGGACAATGTATTTTAGACTTTTAGACATTTCTCGTATTTTTAAAATTATTTTTACGTTCTTTTCAAAAGCGTTTATTCATAGGAAAGACAGCTGGATTCAAGTGCTGTTGATTTCATGAGCTTTGTGGGAGCAATGCTATCAAAACATGCTGTGTGTGTTTGTTCAAATGTTTATAACGGCAAGTGAAAATGAGTGCTGAAATTATTCAACTGAATGTTGGCGGAAAAAGGTAAGAAACAGTTTAAGCGTCGCGAATGTTGGACTTCGATGAGTAATGAAATTCACATAATTGATCGAAGTTTTGAAGTAATTGTAATTGTTCATAATTTTGAATAGCCGTTTAAGTTATTTAAATTTTCACCATGTTTAAATGTTCTCATATTACCATGTAATGAATTGTTAGATTTTCTACATCAACTCAAACATTGATATGGGTGCAAGACTCGTTTTTCTCCAGGTAAGCTTTGTAAAAGTGAGCTAGTAGAATTGTAATTGTAATGAGCATACATTTGCCAAGTTTGAAATTATATGGAAAGGATTAGAATCAAATTATCTCTTGTTTAAAGCAGAGAAAAAATTTGATTCTAGTTTCTTTTATCCATTATCAATAAGTATTGGTCAAAACATTGGTGTGAGATTGGTTTAGGGACCTGTTTCAATTATTTGTAGAATATGAAATTCAGTAGTAAATCCAGGGTTAGGCAAAATAAATTAAAACCACTAATTTTAGATTTAAAACATCTGTATAACAATGTCACTGGTTATGAATTTCTAAAGATTAAAATCAACCAATCGACATGTTTAAGTGATTTATTTTGGCTTAAGTTGAATTTAATTTGTACACTACATAAAAAACATGTACAATCCTACTTTATGCTGAATATACCTTATTTTGTTTGGAGTTCGTATCTTTGGCTATGCAAAGTGTTGAGTTGCCTTGATAAAGATTCTCATGACTACATCATATGTCAACCTATTTTGTGTCATGTGTACCATTTGTGCAACTTTCAGGTGCATTTCTATGCCACAAAAAAGTTTTTTTTCGTGCCAAAAAACCAGTAAATTTTAAAGCTGAATGCCACTTTCCAAAAAAACATTTTCTGTCTATAAAAATATGTCTAAATCTATAAAAAAATTGTCAGATCAATCATAAATTGACCTGTTAAAGTTTGGGTATAGCTAATTAGGAGATATGCTTCAAACTAAAATACAGGAATAATATTCTCAAAATAAAGTCTCTTTTGTAAAATGTTTAATTTGGTATAATTACATTATCTTGTCATGGTAATAGCCAGTATAGTGTTTGGTGCCACTTTGTCAACATTGTTAATCTTCATCTTATTTTATTGACTTGCCATGTCTAAAAAAAATGACATCATGACTCAGAATAATGATTTTGTTGCTCTTTTTTAGTTTATTAAGTGGAAGAATTGAATCAATAAAGGATGAAACTGGCGCAGTATGAATATATTACTCACTTAAATGACCTATGTATTTATTGAATAGTCTGCATTTTATTCTTGTTAGTTTTCTGTTAGGGCTATCTTGACTTTTATTTCTTTCTTTTAAGATTTTTATTGATAGAGATCCTGATGCTTTTGTGCCAATCTTGAATTTTTTGAGGACAAAAGAACTTGACTTGAGGTATATTTATGATTCATTGCATCCTGTAATTCTGTAGAAACTTTGTTTCATTTAAAGGAAAATGTATTATCCATGAGAAAAAACTGGTTTTTTTGTTACATTTCTTATAATCTGACAAACTTTTTTTCAGGGGCTTAGATTTGAAAACTGTAAAACATGAAGCAGAATTCTATGGAATCACACCACTTGGTAGGATTTAGCATGTGTTTAGATTTATAAATTACTCCTCACAGTGTGAGTTAATGCTCTTTACTTGAAAAAATAGTGAAACGTTTGACATTATGTGAAGATATCAATGCATCAAAGTGTGGTAATGTGTTTTTCCATGGATATATTGATATCCCAGGTAATTTTTGCTGTTTAGTCAAATAATAAGTTTTACTTTTTGGAAAACTTCATGTAGGTAGTTTACTCATTTTAGCAATGCCGTCAATTCCTGGGGACATGTATTGTAAGATGATTCTCAATAAAGACAGGCTAGATACTTCTTCCTTGCCAGCAGAAGATGAAGAAAGAAATTGTGTCAAGCTCAGAGAAGTTAAAACAGTTGCAGGTAATTGGGGTTGATGTTTATTGTCTTGTGGTTGGTGTTAATTGCCATTCCTTCACGTATGAAATTATTGACATTTGCCATGGTTGAATGAAACTTCCACTTCTGAAAAATTTTATCTATTTTAATTGATCATCATAGGATTAAATTTGGATAAATGTAGGATTTAATGATGCATAAGAATCAATACAACATTAATATCGGGGGGGGAGGTGTTTGGTTGTTCTTCCTGGTTATTCTCTTTGTGTGCATTGTGTGCATACATATCATCCTTATGAAAGATGTTTTTAGATTTGAAAAGAGTCATGTTAATCACTGGACATCATAATTGGCTTGCAGTTGCCTATCCAAGATGTGTGTGTTGTTTTCAGTAAGTGGAATTCTATTCATAATTTGGAGTAAAGCTCATGAACCGTATAGTAGTTGTAGTTTGGTGTGCCTTTTTGTAGTGAGCAATTATTTTATCTATAATATTTTAGGTTAAATGATCATAAAGGATTAAGAGAGCAAGTTTTTACAAGTCCTTTTCTTGAGGAAACAGTAGAACACCTCACATTAAATACCAGAGTTGTTGGAACTTGGGGGGATAAGTTGGTTGCTGCTTCATCAGGTATAGTTATTTACTTCATAATGTTTATTAATATAAACATAATGACCGAGCGCGAGGTCTTTACGAACAAATAACGGACCAAGGTGTTTTTGTACAGACCGAGCCCGTAGGGCGAGGTTTGTGCAAAAAGACAGAGGTCCGATATTTCTCAGTAAAGACCGAGAAAGCGAGGTTATTAAAGGATTATTATGTGGCATTATTTGACCTGAAACGAAGCTTGCTTTCTTTCTCGTCCTTGCTTTTTTTTACGGGTTGATTTTCACTTTTCTAGTTTTCGTCCATAAAAAATAAATCGTTTCAAATTGTATCGTCTGGAAAGTTTAACTGTTTTCCAAGTGTTTTTCCTTCGAATCACATTCGTAAATGGTTTTTTGTTTCGTTTAATTTGCGTTTTGCTGTTTGCTTTACGAAGTTTGTTTGCATTTGACTGTAAAATTACGCGTTTTTGACCGTGGTCGATTGCGGGAAAATAATGGACCGGCAAAAATGTTTCTGAGCCAATCAAAGCGCATCATTTAGCCAGAAGTGACGCTTGCCATATATCAATATAAATGACCGTCGGGTACATCAAAATCCCCCAGATATCTCTTGCCATTTTCCTATATTTTCTATATCATAATTGTATTTCTCATCAAACGTTTTGTGATTGAAATTAGGGAGCAAATTTCAATTATGGAATATTGTGCAAGGAACATCCATTGGTAAGTTAAGTGTTCAAAGCTCTACATTATTTTATATTTGCATGCCACTTGTTTGAATTTCATGTCTTATGTATTTTTCACTTAAATTTACTCATTAAGTTGTCTTTATTTTATATTTGCATGCCACTTGTTTGAATTTCATGTCTTATGCATGGTTCACTTAAATTTATTCATTAAGTTGTCTTTATTTTATATTTGCATGCCACTTGTTTGAATTTCATGTCTTATGCATGGTTCACTTAAATTTACTCATTAAGTTGTCATTATTTTAGGAAAATTTGATCTGGGTGTGCAGATAGATGCTCTGTTTTTTGTTAGTAGTCAAGTTGTTGCAATCAGTTTCACAGGGAAGGTTGGGATTTGGAATTCGCGTATGCCAAGGCTATGGCAGGTAATTGGGTGCTTATTTTAAAAGAAAAATTATGTATGAAGCTTAAATTGCCACAAGTGATTATAATAGATCAAATTTGTTATCAATTTTTTTAGAATTTTGATACATTTGTATATATTTATACGGATGTATAGTGTAAATAAGAAGGCCGGCTGTTTATCAGTCTATTTGAATGTTTTCATTTACCCTCTTGAAATAAAGTTTTTACTTTCTTACCCACTAAAACTGAATTGTGTATTTATAAATTTTAATTTGGGGGAGGTGTGTGTACGTTTTTGCCAGGGGGAGGGGTGATTTTGACTTTATGAAGAATTTTACATTTTATTACGTATACGTTGAGTTAAAGATGATATTAATGTTTAGTTATTCTTGTTACATGTTGTTCTAGGTTCAAGAGGTGTTTCCTATAACAAGTTATGATACTGGTGGGACATTGTTGTTGCTGGGTTGTCATAATGGATCAATTTATTATATAGGTAAATGTTAAATGACAATAGAGATCAGGGGCTGGTTCCACGAAGCCTGGATAGCGTTATCCATTAGATAGTAAAATTTTCAAACTTATAAAAAAGGTGTTTATATATTCGTTTCGTCAAAGAAATTTTGTAATCTTTGAAGCAATATTTAAGTCAGTGATTGCTCAGCTCGAACTATATATTTTTCCTTATTAAGAAGTTTTTTAACCGTTTGAAAAATTTTGCTATCTAATGGATAACGCTATCCAGGCTTCGTGCAACCAGTTCCAGAGATTAGCAAAGTCAAAACGCTACATGGAAATATTAGGATACCTTTAATATTTTTTACAAAAGCAATACTGAAGTTTAGAGCTTTAGAAGGAATGAAAACTACTTACATACTACATAGAATGAAAACTACTTACATACTACAGAAATTTTTTGAAAATTTTTTGAGTTGAAAAACATTCATTTGTTTTCTAATGTTTCATTTTCGCTTTTCACATTGTTTAATCTTGTTGAAAAATGAAGAACTGTAATATTTCTTTTTAAGATATGGAAAAATTTCCTTTGAGGATGAAAGACAATGATTTGCTTGTAACAGAACTGTATCGAGATCCTGCTGGCGATAGAGTCACCGCGCTTAGTGTATATCTCACGCCCAAGTCATGTTAGTGATGTTATTAGCTATGTTATGTCAGTTTAGATTCCTTTCGTTTCGTTTCGTAACATTCATTAATAATGTTACGAAAGGAAATATGTTGTTGTTCTAAAGACAATCTGTGCTGCAAAGACGTTCAAACAATGTTGTTCTCGAGAAAATCTGCACTGTTTAAAATGCAAAGATTCGCGTTATTTTTGATATGGAATATGGTATCTTCGATCGCCTCTAACATAATTATCTTGTATGGACTTTACTACAAGATTAAAATACATAAACTGGATTTGATAAATCGATAATCGTTGAAACACAAAGTTAAACACAACTTACACTGTTTCCTTAAAAAAAATTTTTCAATGTCCTTTTTATGAATAACGTCCAATCTACAAATACAAATACATATCGGTCACATTGAGACATTGATTTTTATATACCATTCCCACTATGACATAAGTATAAGAAAATCAAGTATATTGATTTCTTAAGTGCATTTCAGGTATCAGTGGGGGTAACTGGATTGAGATTGCTTATGGTACTGAGTCAGGTGTGGTGCGAATCATTGTGCAGCATCCAGAAACTGTTTATGCTGCTGGCCACGGACCACAACTATTTCAAACGTTTACTGTTCATCGTTCACCGGTGATTAAAGTCATGTTAAGTGAAAAACACCTTATATCAGGTATTTCATTAATCTTTATGATCATCGCCTTTCTGAACAAGAAATTAATTGCCAAATTTCGCTGACATATGTTTACGTTTTTCTAACACTACACGTTTTGAGATCACTATCTTGCCTTGTGACAAGAGTTTTATTGTAGTAAGCACAGAAAGGGCAAAGGTAGAAAACCATGTAAAGTATGTATTTATTGGATTGGTCGGTAACCGATATAAATAAGCAAACGTTTGTCAGTTTTGTCGACGAAAAGACTTTCCTTATATTTACAGTTTGTTCGGACTATAACCACGTGCGGACATGGAATGTGACGAGATTTCGTGGAATGTTATCTACACAACCAGGATCTGCACCTTTGGCATCGTTTAAAGTTGTGTCGTTAGAGCGGTCCGAACCGCAGCCCAATTCTGCATCAGGAAATTTACTAGGTTAGTTTATCATGGATTATGAAACTGTTTACTTTAAATTTTGCAAAATCACAAGAAGAAGTTGTAAGGAAGATTTCGCTTGGAATTTTGACAGATAATACAGCAGTATGCTCATTGTAAGGAATCTCTAAAATGGACGTCTTTTCTCCTCTTTCATGTGTTCAATTATTTCATCAAAGCTATTTTCGTGTACTTCTCTAGTACAATATTTCTTCAGCTAGCTCTTTCTCTACAATTTCTTCTCTGCTAGTCTCTAGCTCTTTCTCTGATGAGCTCGAGATTCCTAGATTTCGATAGACTGAGATGCCGATCTTCGATGATGCCGATATTTGACGCGATTATTTCGCCGATGCCGAGATGCCGAGATCTCGCCGACGAGATTCCGAGATGATTTTACGATGATGCCGATGAGATGCCGAGATGCCTTTGACGCCGATGCCGAGATTTTTCCTTTTCTTCTGAGATTAGCTAACTCTTTTCTACAATATTTCTGCTAGCTTTTCTACTATATTCTCTGCTAGCTCTTTCTCTACAATACTTCTTCTGCTACCTCTTTCTCCACAACAATACCCTCATTGACTTTGCGTGGTACTATTTCTTTTCGCACAATAATGAAGCCATCTACCATTTTCAGGACCATATGGCGAACGCGATGACCAACAAATATTTGTTCAAAAAGTTGTTCCAGACTCGGATCATTTATTCATTCGTCTTGTGTCCACAGGACGACGAGTTTGCACAATAAAATCTGTCGACGGTAGCGCGATTATTTCATATTGCGTCAACGAATGTGATGGGTCGAGTGGAATGGGTTCTAGACCACGTAGATACCTGTTTACTGGACATGCGAACGGCTCTGTTCAGGTTAGATACGATGATCTGTTTACAATGTTTTTTAGAGTTTTTGTTAGGAAGAAACTTGACTATTATTACAATGAATAGTAATAACTGACGATGACTCAAAAAAAAACTTTATTGTAATCACGAATTGGTATTTAGATGTGGGATCTTTCGTCAGCGTTACAACAAGCCAACAAACTTAATGGTGAATATCTGCATGCACACCTGAATGTTTACATATCTTCTGTTTTTTTTAACTATTTTCTATGACTGTTTAGACAACATAGGTGGGCCAACTCAAGATGAATTACTTCAAGTATTAGATAACTGTGAGCTCAGCAACTCACGCTGTACAACCCCAAGTGTTTCGCCGGCGGTATCGTTGTATAACACCGCTGGCAGCTACCGTTCACGACGTGCAGGTCCGGCACTCTACGATAGCCATTTGGAGAGTAGTATTGAAGAAGAACGTGACGTAGAAATTGTAAATGATGAACACGATGATTTAGATGAAGCGACGGGTGGTGAGAGAGGTGATACATTAGTTAATAGACCAACGTATTATGTTTCACAATGTTGACCATTCTAGGGATTTTGGTAATTTTTCCACTCTTCTCCTTCAACGAGTGTGTGTGTAAGGCACTTGTATTAATGCGGTATTTATGAGTACATTCGTTATGTAAATTTATGCATCAATTGTTTTGTAATCATATAATTTACTATAAAGGTGTAGTACGTCATGTTATCATTTGTATTCACTAAACATCATTATGATCACTAATAATTGGACAAGAAATTGGTCGACAGATCCAATCAATAAACCATAAATACTAATCTAGAATAAATGATATTGCTAAATTTTTCCAAGTCTAGCCATGAAAAGGCCAGCGACTTTAACATCGTTTTCAACGTTTTCATCGCATGATCCCCATATATTTTTTTATCTATCTTATTAATGATAAAACTCAGCTTAGAAGTCTGTCGCCCAAATAGTTGTCGATGGTCACATAATATCAGTGGCGTGGCAAACTTGACAATTGGGGGGAGGGGAGGGGGGCATATTTTCGTCCGTATTAAGTTCCTTTGAAATCAATTGTTTTCCTACAGGGTGCTACGCCACAGCATAATATTTTGGGATAGGTAAATCTTCGTTGCAGAATCGTTAGTGCTTCAATGCAATAAATGAACTTCAGGTCCCTGTCGGCATATGTAGGGATTCAGAAATTGAAGAGCCTTGGTAAGTCGTTCCATGTCTTGTTTTTTTTTTGAAAAAATTTAATAAATTTCAGTTTCTAAGTCCAGTTTGTCATGTTGGAGATTATTTTAGGGGCCTGTTCGAACAAGAAAAATACATTTTTCTGTTTTGTTGGTGACAGCTTATTGATCAGTACAACATGTTGTATTCAATTCAGCACAACGATGGATATATGTATATATATGATCTGCTTTGAGTTTTCTATCATTTATAAGTCAACTTGACCTAATATTTGTTGAGTAATAGGCATTTTAAACGGATTTTCTATTTAGTGGACTTTGTGCGATAGGTGTGTTTGGGGGCAAAACAAAAACATTACGCTGTCCTGCAGTGGCATATTATTTTCATCATGTGATCAACTTGAAGGTAATGTCACATCAAAACATTCTCACGTGAATTACGTCAGAATTTTTGCTTGTAGGCTTTCGTCTCGTTGCCATTTACCTCAGGCACATATAACACATATATAAAAATTGTCGATGTATGAAAAAGTTGCGATCATAGAATGCTTTTTGCATGGTTCAATGTCCCTTGACATGCTATCGTATATATACATTTATGGGGTAAGGCGTTGTGACTTCAGCGGGTAGTATTGGGTTGTATTGACCGACGTTCATTCATTGAAAGAATGTTATATGCAGTGCGGTGTTTGAAATTAAATGAAGATATGATCTTCGCACTTTTGCGTTGAATCCCGTTGAGTCACCTGAATTTTTCAGGTTCATGAGACAATTGCTTAAAATTTTCCAGCAAAAGTGCGAAGATCATATCTTCATTTAAGTTCATTCATTGAGTTATTGATGATAAATTCACTACATTTGTTATATCATGAAAGTTAAAGTTCATGCTAAAGAAACTACTTTTGCGTGTTAAGCTTCGCAAAGTGAAACATACCCCACAAAAATGGTCCGTGTTTGAACTAAACATTTGAATAATGCCAGAGAAAGACAATTTTGGAGCGACTGCGCTATTTTGTGCAATCATGCACTTGTACATAAAAAACTAGGCATTAAGAAAACGGCCAAGTCTACAATAACTCAAAATATGACATTTTATGAAGAAGATGGCATTTGTGAAATTGTTTTCAAATAAAAAAATGAGGAGGAGAATTTTCCAAAATTATTTATAAAGGAAAAATTCAGGAATTTTTTTACAGTAATATCCATTCAGTATCTAGATATTCCTTTCAGTATTCTGCGATAGATACCGAATTATGAAAACGCCTAATATCGCTTAAGAGGAATGCCAAACTGTTACAAAAATGGAAAACTGAATATATTTGTATGGAAACCAAAACTACGCGTTACTAGCTATTTAGTGTCTGCCTTTTTAAATTGCTAGTAACTGTTCCCTTTGGAAATGACGAGCGAACAATATTTAATTGTAGAGAAACTCTTGAGAGGAGTAGCTAATCAAAATATTATATCACAGTTAAGATTTGTACGGACGAATTTCGGGATGTTTTTTTACGTTAACGAATGAGGGAGTTATTTAGGAATGTAGGATGTTGAAAATTTCAAACAAATTGATACGAATCATGTGTAAATCTTGGTATTTTGTCGATTACCTGAGCACTCTCGTGAATGAACATGCGCACTCCTACGGGAAGTCTGACCAGCTGAGCCAGTCTGCTCTCTGTTACAGATTTGGAACACAAAATTCATGTGACATTTCTAAATATACCCATTGTTGAGTACAGTTTATTATATTTTTTGTGAAAGGTTCAAAGGTTGCCTGAAAGTTTTTCAATTTTGCCGCCGGCTGCTTTTATAGTGAAAAGACGCATCGCATGTGATTCGTTTGGACGCTCGCGAAATATATATAATGAGCTGTGATATACACTTATTTAATGCAAATATCCAGTATTCTTCGCAATATGCTTCAACGGAGAGGCCATTCAGTTGACACAACAAGTGTATATGTGTAATCTATTAAAGACTTGATATACATGTTGCGTACGAAACGGTGGTAAGCTTATTTTTCTTATAGCAAAGTTTTTGATGGGATATAGTGCCAGTAAGAAAAAGACATGAAGAATTACGGATGATAAAAATTTATGGAGAGGTTGTGGAATTGAAGTTCTACAGTCACCATAGTATAGTCTGCTAGTGATAAACAGAAAGGCACATTGTTATAGAAATTGTACGATTACGACAACTGTAAAGATTGTTATACTTATGCACCACCGCTATATGATAGCAACGAAAACCACGAATAACTTATTCCATCTTTTTTATATTTTTAGATTTATGAAAAAGCTGTGACACCTTGCGATTTACGCTTTAAACTTCTCTACTGATCACAAGGCAAATTTAGAAGACAATATGCGGTAATTTTCATATCATTATTTTTGCGTGATCAACACTCCCCTACAGTAGATTTACAGTAGATTTTTTGTATACATTTTGAGACATTGTGTCAGGTATAAAAAACTAAGAGAAAGAGCACTTCTACTATAGTTTCATTCATTTCACTTCGTCTTTTGCATTTGCTTGTTGGTTGTTAAGACATGGATTTTTTATATTAGTACCTTTCAATTAACCCGTTCACATTTGCATATCACAAAACGAACATCTTAATATCAGTACATATGATCTTCGCACTTTGCTGTGAAGTGCAAAGTGCGAAGATCATATCTACATTTAATTTCAAACACCGCACTGCATATAACATTCTTAATATCAGTACTGTGATGGCTCTTCTCTTCTATTGTTGATCACATAAACTCGTTGAGGAAAACAAAGATTTTTAAAATTTTTGAAGTATTGCTGTATGTTTTGATTGATCTGTTCTAATATAAAATCTTACAAATAAGGTGTGTTACAGTCTTACTGTAATGAAATATCGAAAAAGGAACCTCAACAGAATACCTTGATACGAAACCATTTCAGGTTTTTTGTTTGCGATGAATATACTGCTCGATGACTACATAAATAATCGTTATTGCATGGCTACTGGGTGGGTTGGGTTACGCTTATCTGTTTGTGGCAGGGTATTGTGTAGTTTCTCCATTATTTTGCTGAATCGGCCACTGAACATCCGAACAAATATATAGGCAATTATATGTTCAATAAACCATACAGTGTATCTATGAAGAGTTGTACCTTCTAGTCCAGCAAGTGCTCTCTTTAAGCTTAATTACGATGTATTTGTTATCTGGCTTTTCCTTCAAATTATAGCAAAACTAAATATTTCAGCTTGATATTTTGTGATTAAAAACCTAGCCAGACGTACTTATTAAGTATATTGTTTCAGTATATTGCCCAGTGCATAATGCTCTTAATGTTGTAAAGCATGCAAGCTAGGCCCTTTTAAACATCGAACTCGTCATGCGCCAAGTGCATTAGATATAAAAGATGATAATTATCGAAACTCGTTATTTTCTGTCTTTCATGCTTTGGGATGTTTGAAACGGGTATAAGAATTCTGGCTTCAACTGCACGCAACGTGCAACACTGTTGTTATAGATATATAAATATGTATTTTTATTGTATAGACAACATTTACACCCACAGCTAGACCAAGTTAGCAAACAATAGCTTTGTCGTATGTGAATGGCGTTCAGTCAGTGAGAAAATTTTCCATTGGAGGTTAAGTTTAGCCTCGGCACCAGTCCATTCTCTCTGTTCCGAGACTTCTTGTTCGGTGAAGTGGACGTGCTCGGATTCGATTTCTTGACGCATGTAGGTCATTACGAACCGGAAGTATGGTTGTCCAAACACTTGTTTCCAAATCATTTACGCAAAAAAATATTTTAGTTTTTCCCATATATTCGTGTTCAAGTGTAAAACACCTGCTTGTATAAGAACGCCTTTTAGTACCTAGGTAAAATGCAAATTTGTGCGCAGCCTCGGTGAAAATATTTCCCACACTGAAGATTGTTTTGCGAACCGCCCACGAATGTCCCACAACGTCATTAGAAGTTGATCGCGTGACCGCGGACCAATCAAACGATCGCTTTGTCATCGAAAGGTGACAAAAACTCGCCAACCTACTGTGTCTGCCTCTTTTACGCATACCTTCATTGTGATTGTGACGGACTAGTCTATCTTTTTAACTATTTTTCTTTTTAACGGGTTCAATTACCAGCCTCAAAATACCGCCTCTACGAGATCTCGATCAGTTCCAGTATGTCTCCTATCCAATGCGAGCAGGCGACGTTAAAATGGAGCCTACGGACTCCTTTTATCCGTCGTGCCGTAATGCAACGGGTAGTAGACATACGCTGCAACAACAACTGCAGCAATCTCAACTACAACAACGACAACTGTGGCAACAACACTTTGTTAACAACGAACAATCGCTGGAGAACTTGACATCACCGAGTAGCCTTGATGCAGAATTTGGTCTCAGCTTCTACGATCCATACGTCTGTGAACCATCCTTGGATTTGTCGCCGTATCTCGAGGACATCGACTTAGCAGATACGAGTCAGCAAAATGAGATTTTTGATCTAGTTTCAAGCGTTGTTGCAAAGCATGAACCAAAACCTTTGCTGCAGCAACAACATGGTTATCCGGTTTCGATGCCCGATGGCGATTTTGAAAGATTTCTGGAAGAGAACAGGAGTTTCATGGCCGGCTACAACAACGGCAATGACACGTACTCGAGTCAAACCGTGCCAGCATTTTCGACAAAAGCTGAAGTAGAATGGCGCGCGTCGTCGTCAGACAGCAGTTCACCTTCCACGTCTCCTGAATTGCCGTCAGACACGCGAAAACTGAAAATTCGTCGTCAACGTGGACGTAAAAGCAGTTGCAATGGTGTTAGCAAGTCGAACTTAGCCGCTTTGGACAAGAGCACGTACGAGTATCGAATGAAGCGAGAGCGAAACAACGTTGCGGTTCGAAAGAGCCGCATGAAGACGAAAGAGAAACAGGTCGCCATATTTCGAAAGGCGACCGAATTAAGTGAAGAGAACGAGGATCTGCAGTCGGTTGTCGCTAGCCTTACCAAAGAATTACAACGCTTGAAGAGCTACCTTGCAAAGTCAGGACTCTCACCTATGGGCTTGCCTATTGAGGCTTAAACACAGGCAAGTGCCATAGGCGATCAACGAGGACAATATTGAACCCATTGGACGTGTCGTAAAAGTTTATAAAATGAAATTGGATTGTGACTTAAAATAAACGATATTGACTTTTGTGTAGATAGCATGAAACACTGCATACTTCACTTTTTCGTGATATGGCAGACGCCATTATTGTGCAGTGGTTTTAGAAGTGTCGATCATCATTTTGATGGTCGGTTATAGTCGTTTCATATGGCATTCTCCGTAGCTTAAACTTGGTCGATGGATATTACGTATGTCGCTGGATTTTTCTATGATAGCAAATTATGTACAAATGTACCAAGATTTTCTTTTCAAAAGATCGATGGACATTTGTACAACATACAGCTTTTTCTAATTAGCAGGAGCTGTTATCAACCCTTGAAATTTGAACCGTACATCGAATTGTTTTTTAATTATCATCGACAAATTCAGTGACCTCGAATATCCCTCGATCATATAGAGGAAGAATTTGTTGACTTAAACAGCGGATTATATTTTGCCGTAGTGTATTATAAATATTTATCACATCTAACGTAGCTTGACATATTTGTTGATCTTAAGATTGTAGGGAAGAGCGTAGGATTTTTGTCGCAGGTTTTGTATTGATGACTGATATATTCTAATATTGGGAATTACTAATTTAACTTTTTAATGCTGGAGCGATTTCGCGCCTGTCGCGACATGTAACCCTCAATTTAACCATAATATGTGCTGTAGTTCTACTTGCAATCATCGCTGTATAAATTGGACTTTCTAAAAACATGATTTGTGACGTTTTAAACAAAAGTTGTCGTTTTTTGCTGTTTGATAAAGGATACATATATTGCATTTGACTTCCGTAATTTTTCTACCGACTGCCAATATCGCCTGCTGAGCGTTGCTTGATATTTGTTTAGATACAGAATCGCTTTTGTGTGACCGGAGTATTACTGAATGTCTCGGGAATATTACTTAGCTATATAATAGCTCTATTTGTGATATGAACAATTTACGCTTCGGGAATGTTCTATTTGGCTTTACAAATGGGAAAACTTTTCCAATGACCCGGAAACTCTACCGTTGCATCTTCTTTATCCGTAGGGGATGTTTCAAATTTTTGCACATACTAGATCCGAACTCCCAAATTTAAGTATATTTTTGCTGTGTTTGCGGCTTTTAACGGTAATAACAATCATATTGATATCGTAGTAATTGATTTCCGTCTCAAAAATCTTGCTTTATATGTTTGCTTGTTTTGCGTGACCTATACGCGGAACATTTCTAAAGTTTTCATTGTATCACATTCATTCATTGTGAGCGTTTTTCATAACGAAAGGGTGACTATCTATCTCCTTCGAGTGGTTTTATTGCATGTGCATGTCGTATCACAATTTTAAATGCGGCGTGATATTTGCCAGAGTAGCCTGCTGGCTGATGTTTTAGCAACGAAGAAAATAAACTGCCTTGGTAACTTTTAACAAATAATGCACGCAGTGTGGGATTTGTATCTCCAGTTGTGCATGAACATTCCTAGCTGCACATATATTCTAAATCTGAAACATCAAATAGCTGAAAGACTATAGTGAACAGGAACCTATGGAATGTCAATGTCATTCAAAGCTCTTTGGCCGGTAAATATTTTGTATGCAATATGTCGTGCTTACTATGCAAATGCTGTAGACAAATGTTCAATTTGGTATATCATCCTATTTGCCCCATTAACATTGCCTACCTTTCAAATTAATGCTAGTTTGGACTGCTGTGGGGATAATCAGAGAATATATGATTCCATTTCTACATATATATATGTAACATGCACATGAGATGCCCATGAACTTCATGGGTTACAAACATACATGTTTTGTAGGAGTTAAATGTACCATAACCGTATTTTGCCTTTACTTTCGTTGCCAATTGCGTTGTGTTATTTTGTTTCAGGACGAAGTACCAGCTTAACACCTTAGTATATCACAGGCCTTAGGCATTCATTCGTTATACCTTAAGGGCTTTGAGCTATCAAGTTGAAACATGTATACCAGTTATTGAATAATAGATTAACTCTAATTACAAATTTAAAATTTTCAACACACATACACAAAAAGATAAGCCTTTTGTCGCAGTCCCGAATCGATAAAGTAAAAATTAAAAACTTCTATTTTTCCATCCGTGGATTAACTGGATTTGGATTTTTTGTGGTCGGGTCGTCCTGATCATACTGACCTTCGTTGGCCATACTGTTTCAAATCAAGATCCAGAAATGTACACTGAGCTCTACTAATATCAATTGTTCAAATCAGAAATTTAACACATATATTCTTGTGCAGCTAATTAAAGGTCTTGACCTTCTTTTGTCAAATCAGCGAGAGGGCGAAAGCAAACTATGTTAACAATGGAATTAATTTGTCTCCCGGGTATATTTTCTTCTTGTTTTAACAGCCAAGGCCTTCGGAATTAGGGGCAGAGAGGGAGGACGTGGCTGGAGCCCCCGCTAATTTTTTTGCATGAAAGGAAAGAACACAAAACAAGAAGAAAATTTGTTACAAAGAAGTTAAGATGTATGAAAGATTTTTAGGAAACCTACTTACTTTGACATCGATTTGCCATTTAGCAAGTACTAGAAGTAATGGATTAAGTCTTTGTCGAGCCCGTTCATCTTATGTATTTGTTTACATTTGTTCGGCTTGTATAGCTAAGTATCGTGCAGCCATAGATTCACAAATCGGAAAATGATGTCGTGATAAAAGACTTGATCAAAGACTTGTAATTTTCAGCTGTCAAAAAAAAGACCGGTGTAATTTAAGCTGATCTATTTCACTGTAATTTGACAAGCATGTAATTACGCTAGTTACCGCAGTGTGGAAAGCAGAAGACATTCATGAAATGCTTAACTTAGTTGACTCAAGTAAGACTTAGTTGGATAGTTGTTTCGAAAATAAGTTTATGATTGTTCAATAATTATGTTTAAAGGTCAACTTTTAATTAAAGTAAAAACACTACTAATTGTATGCTGAGCTGTTTGTCATCAGTCATCATTTTCATGACAATCTTTGGATCATTGTTTAAACCTGTCATTAGATTAGAAACATAATTTTAAGCCTTAACGCTTCTGAAGACTGATGGTGTTTCATCACTTCATATGTTTTCAATTGACATCAGAAAATGGGTGACGTTAAAAGCTCTCTTTTTCTTTTACGGGAGCATGGCGAGGCTTATACCATTGTCATGGGATTGGAGCGATGTTGATTTTAGCTGTGATTATTCCGCACAAACATACGCCAAAACAATTTTGAAGGCTTGTTCGTTTTTCCCAATGAGAATTAATAATATTGTTCTCTTGTTAGTTAAGCAAGGCGTAGCATCAGTGAATCTTCTCCCTAGTTAGAATAAAAAGGCAATTTTCATTTTGCATGGACTTAAATGCTTTAGGCTGGAAAACGTTCGCGAGAAAACAATTAATATATTACATTTTTCAATTCTTTAGCGCGTGTTTGCAATGCTATTTGCGGCAGATATTATCATAATACGCAAATGTGAAAACAAGACCGAATATTTATTCAAAGACAAACTTCTGGCATTATTTTAGTTATGACTGCGACACTGTCTTAGCAAATCAAATTATAACTTACATTCAACAATATATCTTATATAAGATATCGGGAATGTTTACGACCAGTAATTAAAATTATAAATATGTATACATTATCAAATCATGGGTCATCAGTTTGCACAGGTCACATTCGAACCAAAAGGTTTTCCTATTTTAGGTTGTCGTTTTAAAAAACACATTATAACAAATACGCATGTTAGCAGGGAACTTCATCACTCGGCTGATGTTTGACAAGGTTATCCGTTTTTAAAGAAGTATTTTTATAAAAAAACAGTTTGACAACAATATAGAGTGGAAACGTGCTTCAGCTTGTATACAAAAGTTCATGCGAAGAAGCATTTTCCATTGATTGGCTGTTATTGATGTAAAATCTTGAAAGTCACGATGTAATTCATGAGATTTAAACCATTTTTAAACCACAGTCATCTGCCCATCACAGCATCTTTGATTACTACAGACTTGTGACCATTCTATTGAAGTCGCTGATATAAACAAAGAGGATGGGACTTGGCATGCTACAAACAAAATGCTATCTTTATAAAGTTGCACTTTGCATTATCAAACTAATGTATTTACCAGATATTTTCTGTCTCTTTAACTGTTGTCAAAAAAGACCATTTCAAAGACCATCAGTGATGTCCATATTGTAAAAATATTTTTATGATCCAGCGAATGCTGTCATCAACCTTTGGTTGTTTCGTGCTCAAATAACAATGGGCGCCCTGCCTTGAGTTGAAGGGCGGCGTGAAGATGTCGAGACTATGGAGCAGTTTTCAATTCCACATCCCGTAATTCAAAATTAAGAGGGGACTTAATAAAGAAAGGGTTTTAATATGGGGACTTACTCATACATGTAGACATGGCATTTTGGAGCCGGTGGAACTTAGAAGAAGAGTTTGTCGGATATATGTTGTTTTTATTGTGCAAATGCTTCTTCCGCAATTGATGCCCCTTAGAGTTTACTCCAATTAACTGGTCCAAGGTATTCAAAGAATAAACTCGCAAAATAGCAGGAGAACTAAGACATGTCAGTGCAGTACCCTAGAAAGAAAGTATCAATAATAGCTATTTAAAGTACAGTGGTTAACAGCATGTAGGAATTATGATTTAAAATAAATGTTGCTCCATTGAATTTGCTTTCATAACCACTGTGGTTCTTTGTTTCTACCACTTGACCAATTTGACAAGATAGAAAAAAAAGGATTTTCAGGATTTTTATGAACCAGTCAGTCAATCATATTTGATTATAATCGCAAAGTTGTTGACATGCGCATAGCTAGATACTTGTAATAGTAATAAGCTCATTTGATCTTACTTACACGAAGTAAAGAAAAGTACTGGTGGAATAAAAAAAATATAAAAAGAATGATAATTAATAAGAAGATTCGTTTCAATGCATGTAGCTCTCAGACCGCTTTCTCGCTTAAATAAGTATTGCAAATTAATAAAAACTCGTTGTCAAAACTGGTGTGTAAGCTTTAATTGTTTAAACATGTCCGAAAGCAAGTCAGAGAGCAAGCAAGAGCCTGAAACAACTCAAGTCAAAGACGAACAAGTCGTGAACATCGAAACAGTCATTGCAACAGATAACAAAGGAATTGATTATGATAAACTGATTAGTAAGTTGAAATTGTTCATCAACTGGTAGCTAACCGTTGTGATGTGAGTTAAGGGTGGCCTTTCTGCTATAACTGGTGATTGGTTAGACTCAGAGGTGGCAACGTTTCTTAGTCTCAGCTCAACCCAAGCATTTCTGTTGTAGATAAAGATAATGGGGTGTTACCAGTAAGCTTTAGTATCAACAGTTAACTAGATGTAACATAGATTTCTTGCCAATTAGTACTTTTGAATTGTTGAGAAATCTTCACCAATCACAAACCTATATATTAGAATTTAGTGCTTTTTCTTTAGAACAATTTGGCAGTCAGTATGTTGAACAGAGCCATATTGAACACATTTCAAAACTTAGTGGTAAACCTGCACATCATTTTTAAAGCGTGGTATATTTTTTCTCAAAGGTTAGTTTTAAAGCTGTTATTTAAGACCATGCTCATGTAAATGTACTCATGATAAGCTAGATGTTTGAAATCTTAGTGTAATTAGGATTTCCTTGGGTTTGTAATTTTGAAATTGAACTCTGAAATTATTTTTAATGATCTTTTTCAGAGATTTGAAAATGATTCTTGATGCAGTTGAAGCAAAGAAAAAGTTCTATCTTTACACAGGAAGAGGGCCTTCTTCAGAAACAATGCATTTAGGCCATTTGATCCCTTTCATTTTCACAAAGTAAGGTTGAATGAACTTGTTGAAGGAATTAAATAATGTACTCTGAAAACCAGAGGTAGACTTTTGAAAGTGGAGTTTGGGACTCCTCTGTCCCTCTGTATGATTTGCAGAGAAACACTTATTACATCACATACATTTGACAAGTATCATATAATTGATTTAACACCTCCACCCATTTATATTTTGTCAAGTGTCCACCACTGGTGGTAATATGTGATGCGTTATGCGAACCCCCATTGTACCTACTATTCCTTAAAAGTTCCTCTAAGACACATTAATCTATCAACTGCACATACTGGACATACTAACAGTTTGTTAATGGTACATTAGCAATAAATACAAACTATTTTCTCTTTAGATTTATTACTTCTGTTGAATATTGTGCTTTATTGCATTTTGAACCAATCATAAACCAGGATGTTTAGGAGTTTCATCTCCTACAACATCCGCCCCATTAGCTCTTTCACTTCAGCAATAATGTCAAAATCCTTTTCTGTTTGTAGATACATGCAAGATGCGTTTGATGTACCTTTGGTCATTCAACTAACGGACGACGAAAAGTTCTATTGGAAAAATTTGAAACTTGAAGAAGCAAATCGGTTGGCATATGAGAACACTAAAGATATCATTGCATGTGGATTTGATGTAAACAAGACTTTCATATTTTCTGATTTGGATTTTGCAGGGTACGTCTTCGTTGTTAAAATCCGTTCTCGTGTCTTTGTCGAAATAATTATATAACATGCAATTTACGAAGTGTGCCATCAGCAGGGTGTCAGAAATGGATAACGTTCACCTTCAGGGAAGGGAATTTGTAGGAAGTGAACATTGATCAACTCAGATCAAAAAGCGAGTGATGCACAATCACAATATAATCACTGTTGCAAGCCAATGAATAGTACCTTATTACAACATTTATTGACGTGAAAAGAATCTTTAACATGTTAAGTACATATTTTGATGCAAACATACCCCTTCAATGAATTTTGTGCTTATTTCATGGTTTTTATTTACAACCTGGAAAATATTCAAACATGTCTCGATTTTGGCTATAAAATCGCGAGGAAGAGCAAAATAAAATTTAACAGAAATGTTTCTTTCTTACTTTGTCTGTCGTTTTCTCGTTTATTCCATCATTGCCACTAAAAATCATGCAAAAGTTTTGTACTCAATCTTTTCCTTTTACTCAATCTTTTATTTTCATATATTTAATTGTACAGTAGTTGCAAGGAATTTCACAAGAACGTACTTAAGATCAGGAAGAGTGTTACATTCAACCAAGTAAGGTCGATTTTTGGATTCACAGACAGCGATCCAATTGGTAGGTTGAGCACAGTTAATCGAACGTAGCTATAATTGTGTTTTTTCCAGTTTCTTGTCATTTACCCTCCCCCCCCATCAATAAGACGTGGTGATTGACATCCCTCTATCGTATGAAGCACATCAGACTGTTAAAGAAGTATTCACAACTAAAGATATAAGCTCTTTTTTCAACCTGCAATATTTAATCATTTTTTTACTCTGTTTTAAAATCATTGTTAAAACCAAACCAAATTATTTACAAGGTTGATAATGAGTCAAAATATCACCAAATGAATAGCTACATAATTGCGTTTTTGAGTTTGCAAGATGCCTTCAATGGTGGAAGTTTGTTTCATAGTGATTTTTTTAATCTTACGGCGGTAAAATTTTGACATCTTTGTCATACAAATATTGTATATGTTACTAGACCGTCGTTTTTCAAGGTTTTGGGACATATACAGTATCTGTATATTTTGTATTTTTGTTTAGGTAAGATATCGTTTCCAGCCGTTCAGGCAGCACCATCATTTAGTAATTCATTTCCACAAATATTTGGTGAGAGACACGACGTGCCATGTCTCATACCATGTGCCATCGACCAGGTTTGTACAGAAAGTAGCGAACTTGTTAACAACTGATATCTATTTTCTTACCTGGATGTATATGGGTGTTAAGAATCGTTGCAAAAAGCGTGCTTGATTTTGCTACAATATTCGCAGCGAAATAATTAAAGCTTTACAATACTTTTAGAAAAACGAATATATTTTAGGTTGTGAGAATATCATAAAGGGACGAGTCACGACTTAACGCTATTTGTACGATATCCCGAACTTTTAAATCATCATTTCACTGGCTTCGGAGTCTAGAGTCTGATTCAAACATTACTACCATTTTCTCTATGATTGCCTCTCAGGAAACACTGACGAAGCTTTAATATATTACAGGATCCTTATTTCCGTATGACACGTGATGTCGCTCCAAGGTTGGGTTATCTCAAACCAGCCCTACTTCATTCCACCTTCTTTCCCGCGTTACAAGGAGCAAAGACGAAGATGAGCTCCAGCGACCCTAACTCCTCCATCTTTCTGACTGATACACGGCTCAGATAAAGAAAAGGTAGATTACAAATGGTTCATCAAATGCATCTATGTACTATATTTCCTCACACTATCATTCAATTTACATATTTACATATATGTTGAGTTACATTACGTGCATATAATTGAAGTGATCCAAAATTAACACTACACGGAGTCTAAGACGTGTTTTTTTTTTATTCTAACCATTTTCATCTGCTGTGTTTTCATATAGAAACCTGACTTCTATATATACTAGTCAATTCTAATATTCTGTAGGTCATACATTTTTATGAATTTATATAGATCAACAAGTACGCATTTTCTGGTGGTAAAGACAACATTGAAGAACATCGTAAATACGGCGGAGATATTGATGTAGATATAGCTTATCGATATCTCACATTTTTCTTAGAAGATGAGGAGAAATTACAACAAATAAAAAAGGACTATACTAGTGGTAAAATGTTGAGCGGTGAAATAAAGAAGGAATTGATATCTGTAATACAACCAATCGTGGCAGCTCATCAGGAGCGAAGGAAACTGGTCACTCCAGAAATAGTGAAACAGTTTATGACCCCGAGAAAGTTGAATTTTTAAAATTAGACAAAATCCAAGATATAGTATTTGATGTACACTTGGAAAAATATTGTATTCTTATCAAGTAAGAAAACTCCAAAGGGAATGTCAACCCAAGGGAAATTAATTTTCTTCATCTGAAACCTCATCAATCAAGCATTGCTTTATCTGTTCCTGTAATTCCTCACTTATGTCATTATTTACCAAGTTGATCTCCCGTGATGATGTTGGATAATTAGCCACTACATTAAAAAGTAGTTCAGCACCCGACTCAGTAATGTCACAACATTCCAAGTCTAGCTTTTCCAAAGTTCTACTTGCTGCAATGGCAACAGCTAAGACCCTGCCCCATAATTCCCGATTTTGTTGTAGTCAATGTAGAGATTTTGCAACTGTGAACTGGCAGCTATTGCAATAGAAAGGTACGACCATCCCATTTGAGTAATATTTTTGTTTCCAGTTAAGGTCAAGGTGTGTAGACATGTTTTTCCTCTTGGTGGTAAAGGATGCACAGCTGTTGAAGATCTTCATCAGTGAGTTGGCAGTCACCAACATCTAAAGTGGATATTTTGGGATGGGATTGTAGAGCATTGACCAAATATTTTACACCATCATCACTCAAGTTATTACCATGTAGTCTGAAAAATATAAAATGACAAAACTAGAGGCACATGCATGGTGGCCTTGTTAAATCAACCATGCCATGAATGTAAGTCAAAATTAGAAGCTATAATTTGTTTAGATGCCATAGTCGTTTTTTCTACTTCTGATTGATACTTGACTAACTTCATGGAAAGATAACTATTATTAAAAACGTACAGTAAAGATGATAAATTCTTGTTATGTTTTATTGAATCACAGAGCCATTTAATCCGTTGTTTGCTATTTAATACTCCAAGACTAAGATTTAGCTGAGCTAACGAAACATTTGTCTTCAGGGACTCAGAAATTCTTTTGAAATCGGCGTCATCCATAGAACAACCTCTCAACGACAACAGGCGAACGCTGTCACTGTTGAGGGAATGACAAACGTCGTTCACTTCTACATCGCTTAAGTCTTCGCCCGCTATCTGAATCGTTCCTATCATTTTTAAAAATGTTTTTGAATTTCCGCAAGGACGAATTAGAGAAATGCGACGTTTTGTGAACCTCAACTGTGCTTGGATTTGTAGACCTAGTTTCTATGGATACGAAACAGGTGTGCATTGAATTTCTAATTTCCATGAACGAAAGGACTAAATTAATTTTTGTCTAAAGAAATTGGCAAATCCTGTTTTTTTATATATTGAACGTTCGATCTTTTTGCAAGCTTATATTTTTGGAAATTAATGGACAAAGAACATATTGCTTGTCTTAACTGCTCTTCAGAAAAAAAGTGGCATGTTTTCGACCTGTCATTGGTCGTCTGGAAATATTTCTTAGTCATTTTGTAAACACAGCTTCAAAGAAATTGGAAAGAGAACTAAATCTAAAAATATATAGTATTGTGTGTTTGAAAATATGGTAATACGTGCGACAAAAAAATGCGTCATTTAAATACACCTTAATGCTCAATAAGGAAATAATATTGAAACATTTTATAAAAAATTCATTATAAAATTATTTTTCATAGATAGGACCAAGTATCATCCTCATCATTGGAGCTAAGACAGTCACATATATCAAAAGATGATCCCCCAATAACATCAGAAAGTAGAAGTTGAAGGGTTGACAAAGATCCTACAACAAGAGAATAATATATCTTCTTCAGCGGTCAATATTTTTGCAGTAAAACTAAATGAGAAAATATCAACATACCTAATGAAATTGGTGATGTATATGAATACTTAGATATTTGTTTGTTCTTTGTTGAACTGGTAACTTTGGAAATCCTTTACGAAAAGAAAATTCATTTAAAATATGTTTATTGTGCATCAATGTATATTTTGCATACCATTTACGGATTGATGAGCTGGATAAATGTGCTTTGTCAAACTGTAGAATTCCTAATATTGATAGAATAGTCTGCATATTCATATGATAATAAAACAGCTTGAGATCTGGTCAGTTAATGAAAGCGCTTAGTAAAAAATGATTCCTGCATAAACAACGTTTTATACAGTGTGGAGGGAAATTGGCATGATCTTAAAATTAGGATCCCACACTCCACAAAGGCCAAAACATAAAATGATTCAGCATGCCAAAATATTCCATTACTGACCTGAATTTAATATCTCCATCATTTTTGGAACACATTGGGAGGGAAATAACTCAAGAGGGTGGATGGAAGGTGGGTACTATTTAACATTGGGAGGAAATAACTCGAGAGGGTGGATGGAGGGTGGGTACTATTTAACATTGGGAGGGAAATAACTCGAGAGGGTGGATGGAGGGTGGGTATTATTTAATTAATGAAACACTGTGCACACACTTGTGCACACCTACATATTAAATTTTTACCTTTATTTACACTCCTAGAATGTACCTGAAGAAAAGATGAAAAGATTGATTAAGGCCCTGCTTACTCTATACCAGATTGCTATGGTAGCAGGTTGAATATTCTTTGTATTAAAAGGCAGTAAAATTTTTCAACGTCAGAAACACGATCAAATAGACTAAATCTAGCAATTTAATAAGCTTTACTCCGTACAGTTACCCCTTTAAAGCAAATGAAGATGTCGTGATGAGCAAATCCGGTATAGTGTAAACGCAGCTTTAAATGTTCATGTCATGGTTTGTTGGATATCATTGTGTATTTTATATACAACAAATATCTATTATACTGACGAATTATGAATTTTGCAAATCAATAGAAAACTTTTATGGACAGTATCTTCATACTTTCACGTTAGCGCGAATATCCACTCCGACAACGCGACTAAAGCATCTTATTCCCGACATCGTTTGCCTTTTTTATCTGTTGGATTGTAAATAGAAATTATTCCTAAAAACAAGTTTTAAATTGTTTATCTTTTGATAGTGATGGTATTGAATACAAGAAGGACAAAGTTCAATGGGAAAATACTTGATTAGTAGTGTGATTGTTTAAATCCAAGATCCTTTGTCCATGCAAATCCATTAATGACCTGTTGCTTACCTAGATGTCCCACAACAATCATGATTCATAATTTTATAAACTAAAACATGTATGGTAGCGGATTATTTTTTGATAGAAATGGTCCTTTGAGAAAGGCTTTTCAAAGCTTTGGTCGTGAGTAAGTATGCGTTGTATAAAAACGCGTAAACTGCTCGCCCTGCTTATAGCAGCATGGCTTGTTGGTGTAGTCTATTTTCTTTCTGGAATGAAAAGCCTACAAGTGCTATCTACCCACGACAACGACGACTTACTTGATGAATATGATAGGTTGTTGAATGAAGAAGAATCTCGCGAGAGGAGCACGGAAGCTACCGTAAAGGTATATAGTTTTGCAATTTGCACATAGTTTTACGAGTGGGGACAAATTAGGTATTTCCAAAATCTAAACAGTCTGAGAGACTGATACTGAGAGTCGGTCAAGTCACATCAACAGATCAAGTAACATCAAAGATTACTATTAAAGTTTTGTGCCACGTTGCAATTAAGCATTGTTTCTTAATTGACTTGTGGTATGTAATACTGAAATTTTTCACCTCTCATGAAATGCGATCAATTTGGCCCAACCAATGTCACAATTTACACAAAAGATGGCAAGTTGTCAAAGAATAAAAGCATTATATTTACTTTTCGTATTTAGTCACCTCACCTAGACTCCAATGGAAGGTTAATGGTCGTCAGGGCAACATATTTGTCGTTTATTGTTCAATAACAAATTAGCAAACTCATTTTATTTACTCATTTGTAACTTCAATGATAAATATGTATTTGGCAAGGACTTTTACCTTTGTTATATATATATTTTTTAATTTTGGCATACAGTTAACATGGAGGTTGCATTGAGGTTTTAATTGCTAATTTGAATTATTAATTAATATGGGCATTAATTATCCAGAAGAAAGAGAAAGAGAGAACCTAGGTATCATTGCAATCATTCCTCTGCACCAGATATTGATTTTATAATTATGCCATTCTACTTATTTTTTGAAATTACCTTGAAAATAGGGAATTTTTGTTTTTGTTAAAATGCTTTCATTGCAACTTGTGATTTTGCATCTCAAATTTATAAAGTGTAAATGGTTTGAACCCGGGAGTATCGTAACATGTTTGTGCATGAAGATCGTCCAGGTTAGTAAAGTCTTGAGAACGACTGTTGGTATTGATGTAGACTGATGTTTCGACAACCTTAGTGGTAGTCATCTTCAGAGTCAAGTGACACTACTTTCAATGTCTCAGGACTCTACTAACCTGGATGATCTTCATCCACAAACATGTTACGATACTCCCTGGTTCAAACCATTTACTGTATTATACATGTATGTGTATTAAACTTTATTAAATCTGGATCTTTTTTAAGGTTATAGATTTCCAAGTCAAACCAAAGCCAGGCGTACCCAAAGATGTCAGAACCATAGAGAACTTTGATGCTGAAGGATATCTCGCTGGGGGTAGGCTAAAAGAAGGAGAGGATGCTTATGCCAATAATGCCTATAATCAAAAAGCAAGCGAAGAAGCTGCATTTAATCGCAATGTACCAGATGTACGACATGAACAGTGAGTAAGGGCCAAGTGTTTACATTTTTTAAAAAATATTCGGATGTATCCAGTGGTTTTCAAATTTTCCATCCCTCTTGTTGATATAAGATGGTCATTTATACAGTTTGATATACTAACCCATTGATTGTCATTAACTGCTAAATTTCTCAATATTGTTTTTTTTCTTGATAGATGTCAATCCAAGGCTTGGCCCATAGATTTGCCAAGCACAAGTGTCATAATATGTTTTCATAATGAAGGAAGAGCAGCATTACTACGAACTGTTGTCAGGTATATCTGTGAGCAGACTGTAAGACATACTTTAGACGCCAAAATTTCATTGTAATTTTGATGGCCATGCAGACATAAAACTCAAGGGGCAGTTGTAAGAAGCCTGGACAGCATTATCCATTGGATAGCAAATTTTTCTGAACGTTTATAAAATCTCTTATAAGAGAAAAATATACAATTTGAACTGTGGAATCACTGATATGAAATATTGTTTTGAAAATCACAAAATTTCTTTGTCGTAAGAAAAATATAAACACCTTTTTTACAATTTTGAAAATTTTCGCTATCCAATGGATAACACTATGCAGGCTTTGTGCAATTGGTCCTAGGAATGTTGGAGAAATTGAGAATAAAGTTGTGATTTGCCAGAGTTTTGCATGGTTTTTATAAGCCAAGCTCTAAAGTCTTTATTTTTCACACAGTGTGCTACGTCAAACTCCTGATCACTTGCTATCAGATATAATATTGGTGGATGATAACAGTAAAGACTGTGAGTGTTTTTTTGAGATGTTGATAGGGATGTTATTGCATATATTGCATACAAGTGCTATTTAATTATCATGTTTTCTTGAAGTACAAGTGCCTTTTACTTATATTAATGTGCGTGGCTGAAAAGGTCGTTTATCCATTTGTAAAAACAAAGGACCTGGAGACAAGTTAATTCAAAATCTTACAATTTTCTTAGTTTCAGTCCTTGTTAATGCATTTCTTCCTTAGCAAACGACGGAAAGCTACTTGAAAAACTTCCAAAAGTGAAAACAATAAGAAATGAAAGAAGAGAAGGTTGGCATGGTTTTTGTGATTAATTTGATTTCAGTGATACTTTATTGTGGCTTTTTGGGTGCACTATATGTCTGTATTTTTCATCATTACAGGTTTGATACGTAGTCGAGTGAAGGGAGCAGACATCGCCCAAGGAGAGGTGTTGACATTTTTAGATAGCCACTGTGAATGCAATAAAGATTGGATGGAACCTTTATTGTTGCAAATTAAAGAGGTGTGCATTGCATTTAATAAGGAGGGGATGAAACTCTTACAAATTGTGACGATTTGATCAATGTGTTTGAGTTGATCTTCATCTTATTTTGTTAGCATCCTAAAACTTTAGTATCGCCCATCATCGACGTCGTTAACATGGATAATTTTCAATATCTTGCATCTTCTCCTGATTTACGTGGAGGTAAGAAAATGCGAAAGAACCTGTTTGTTGAAAAAGCTGTACATGGTCATAAATGTTTTACAACTTCGGTCACGAAACATTTTCTAAAGTATATACGCCCAAGCAGTAGCTCAATTACAATCCACCCTCCAATAGAAAAAGCATTGATTTATTTAAAAATCTCATTAAACACCTTCCTCTTTCAACCGCCGAATCGTTTTTTTTAAAATAGAATACGCTACCTGGGTGGCTGGTTATATTGGAGGAAATACAGTACAGAAATTATTCTAGTTAACACCTTTTTAAATGAACGCCATCCAAGATCTTGTCGAACTTTATCAACCTCTGTCATGTTGACGGTGGTCAAAATTTCATCCTTGACTTATTGAAGACTTTTTTGTGAATCGGTCTTCTTTATATATGTACTTTTTCTCACTGCATATTGGGTTCGATCCCAGGAATTTTGAACTTTGGCTTAAGGTTTTTCATGCTTTCATATTTTGAAGGATTTAGTTGGAACATGAACTTCAAATGGGATTATCTTCCACAAGATGTTTTAGCTGAACGACGAAATACGCCAATTGCACCTATAAAGTAAGATTTTTACTTTTGTCGGACTTCGTTGGTTTTATTGTATTTCACCGTTTAATTTATCATTCTAAAAGTTCTGTGATGTTGCCAATTATATTATAAAATTCTGTGTTGCCCATCATAGTACAAAGTTCTGTGTTGCCCATCATAGTAAAAAGTTTTGTGTTGCCCATCATAGTACAAAGTTCTGTGTTGCCTATCATAGTAAAAAGTTTTGTGTTGCCCATCATAGTACAAAGTTCTTTGTTGCCCATCATAGTACAAAGTTCTGTGTTGCCCATCATAGTACAAAGTTCTTTGTTGCTCATCATAGTAAAAAAGTTTTGTGTTGCCCATCATAATGTAAAGTTCTGTGTTGACCATCATAGTATAAATTCTGTGTATAGTATAAAGTTCTGTTTTCTTCATCATAGTATAAAGTTCTTTGTTAACCATCATAGTATAAAGTTCTATGTTGCCGATTGCAGTATAAAGTTCTGTGTTACCCATCAAAGTGTCAGACTTCGTTTATAAATATCAATTATCTGTTTCGAGTGGCTTACGTTGATGTAATACTATGTATTTGTTCAGGACGCCTGTTATTGCTGGTGGCCTCTTCTCCATTTCCAAAAAATGGTTCTCTGATATCGGACAATACGATCTTGATATGGACGTTTGGGGAGGAGAAAACCTGGGTATGAAACAAACAAACAGGCAATAGCATGTTGCAATTATATATTCACTTTATATTCAAATTAAACTAAGAGTGGTAGCTACGAAGGCGTTAAAGGCATCCTGCGCATGTTCCACATAACTTTATAATTCCATATTCTTGTAGAAATCTCATTCCGCGTTTGGTTATGCGGCGGGAAAATGGAAATATTGCCTTGTTCTAGAGTTGGACATGTTTTCAGAAATCGACATCCTTACGACTTTCCTGGTGGAAGTATGAATGTCTTTCAAAAGTAAGAAAACATGCGTCTTTTTGAAAGGGCGGGGAGACACACTGACATTTGGATCTTTCCACTGAAGGAAACGGTGGGTAGGTCTAATGAAAAACGTACTAAAACAGACTAAGTGTTTTTGCAGCATTTAGCCTTACCCATTTCTACGTTCTCTTTTGAAGAAATAGCAGGAGAGCTGCTGAAGTGTGGATGGATAATTATAAAAGATATTACTACGCTTCCGTGCCTTACGCAAAAAATATTCCTTTTGGAGAGTAAGTTTAGAGAAGTAATATTCATAGAAATTGCTGCTTGGAATTTTCACACTCTTTTTCAAAGACTGTATTCGTCTTTTGTCTTTGGCTCCTTGCAGCATTCGAGGACGTATTGATTTGAAAATGCGACTTGGATGCAAACCTTTCAGTTGGTACGTTAAGAATGTTTATCCCGAATTAAAGTAAGTTGAAGGTTCTATTATTAATACTCTAGCTACGTTCCCAGAATTCTATGTATAAATTGTTCAAGCTTATCACGCCTCTATCTTTTCGTATTCTCTTACAACCGTAGTGTCGTTATATGGCTGCACCTCCTATGCTTCACCATGCTGAGGTTGAATTCACCATGCTGAGGTTGAATTCACCATGCTGAGGTTGAATTCACCATGCTGAGGTTGAATTCACCATGCTGAGGTTGAATTCACCATGCTGAGGTTGAATTCACCATGCTGAGGTTGAATTCACCATGCTGAGGTTGAATTCACCATGCTGAGGTTGAATTCACCATGCTGAGGTTGAATTCACCATGCTGAGGTTGAATTCACCATGCTGAGGTTGAATTCACCATGCTGAGGTTGAATTCACCATGCTGAGGTTGAATTCACCATGCTGAGGTTGAATTCACCATGCTGAGGTTGAATTCACCATGCTGAGGTTGAATTCACCATGCTGAGGTTGAATTCACCATGCTGAGGTTGAATTCACCATGCTGAGGTTGCATTCACAATGCTGAGGTTGAATTCACCATGCTGAGGTTGGTTGCATTCACCATGCTGAGGTTGCATTCACAATGCTGAGGTTGAATGCATCCCCCCTTCACCAGGCTGAGGTCGCATGCATCCCCCCCTTCACCAGGCTGAGGTTGCATGCATCCCACCCTTCACCATGATTAGGTTGAATGCATTCCACCCTTCACCAGGCTGAGGTTGCATGCATCCCACCCTTCACCATGATTAGGTTGAATGCATTCCACCCTTCACCAGGCTGAGGTTGCATGCATCACCCCCTCACCATGCTGAGATTGCACACACCTCCTAAAGTTGCCTGGACACTCTTCCTTCCCAGTTAAAACAATAAAAATCGATTCTACCATGGGAATAAGTGCCTCTTAAGAAGCTTGTTTACCAAAAATCGCTTCGTTTCGTAGACTACCTAAAGAAGAGGACGTGCAAGCATTTGGTGATATTAAACAGGGTTCGAACTGCGTGGATACGTTAGGGCACAACACTGTGGGGGGAAGTGTTGGTCTGTTTAAATGCCACGATTCAGGTGGTAACCAGGTGTGTTGGACTTTGTTTTTGCATACTATATTTGCATACTATATCCTGCTTTTTTTTTAAGTTAAATGTTTTAGTTCGTGTGGTTTGATTAGGAAAGCTATGCCTTTCCATTCTTCAGTCTAAGATCCAGTCTAGTTTCTTCATCTATAATGTGATGTTGAAATTTGAGTTTTTATACTCTTTAATTGTCTTCAAGTTCTAACTTGAGTCCTTGATACTCGAGACTGCAGTTTTTGTCAGGGGGGATCTGATATTGAAGACGCGTTTAATGTAAAAATATGCCTCCAAATATGTGAACAATATAAGGGAAATCCGGGTTAGTTAACCTGGGTCAAACCATATTTTGTTTATATCGTGTGAAGAGGGCTTAATTTATGAGTGTTTTATATTGATAAGCTTTGATTATTTTAATTCTTCTGTGTTAGGATTGGATGTTTACGAAACATGGTCAACTTAAACACGACGGATTGTGTTTAGCTGTGAAGATAGGTCGAGTGAACGAGGTTGTTCGATTTCAACCTTGCTTGGAAAAGCATCCTAATCAGGTAGAACAAAACCAATGCAGCAAGACTTTTTTCTTTTCCACATTTGACGCCAAACAGTTATGGCTAGTTGCTGTCGAGTTGACAACTCGTTAACAGGGTTTTCACCGCTAATTTTTTTGAAATTAGCCAAGTACCATAAACCTTCGCCTGTAAGCCCTCTCGTAAAGAAACCCACCACGATCGTGACGCTCCACTCATTCCACATACCCAACCGCTTATGAGACCGCATATTCAATAATGTAACGGTTATAGATCTTTGCAGTATAATATATTCCATCCATTACCTCCCCTCTTTAGAAAAAGAGCTGGCGAACTTACCTCAACCCAGGGCTTACAGGTTTATGGTATTATCTTTCCAACATTGCTAAACTACACATATATTTCAGCATTGGGTTTCGACGATGGACAAACAACTTCGGTTTAAAGGTTCGAACTTCTGTCTGGATAGCCGTGACCATCGTGATAAGGGAGTAACAATATCAAAATGTGACTCCAGTAGTAATACTCAGATTTGGAATTTTGGCGTTCAGTTATAACTTGCCCGGATGCAGATCTCTTATCTTGGCGTAATGGTTTTACTGCCTGAATAAAGCATTAAAACGTATCCTTGACTTGACTCAGTGTTGAATTTCAAATTTGAAATGTTTTTTAATTGGTAATTATAAATATATGGCACTCTAAAATGCAACGAGCCAACGACGTCGTGTTTTAGACAGGGCATCGAGAAAGAAACTGCATCCCACTTTACCCACCCCCCGTCTTTCAATGATAGAAAAAGACACGTGGTCTGGCGTATACCAATAAACTGAATGGAGTGTTTTCATGTGACGTCAAAGCGGCCATGTTGGAGAGTTACATCAAATTGCCGATGCTCAACAGAGCATGAAATCAACAGAAATTCTTTTCACCATATGGTATTTCCCCCCAACATGGCGACTGACGAAAACAATCTATAGAGAAATTATCAAAGCACGTATCGTGTAGTAAAATTTGTACATAGTTAGGAATGCTTTTTGAAAGGAAATTCATTAGATTAAACAGTAGTAAAATGCTGTTGCCAGTGAGTAAAAAAGAAACGGGGGGGAGGAGTGCATATAAATAGAATTCTGTATGACTGTAATTGAGAAGAATTCAAGACTCTTTCCATAGATATTCAATCTAAACCTTACAGAACAAATTGATGACGATCGTTCTTAGCCAAGTTTTTGGCGAGAAAAGCCTTTGAAAGTTCAAAACAGAATGCAAAGAAAAACAGCGGTTGAAAATTGTACCCAGCACAAATTTGTAATCAACTTGTTCCAGATTTTAGATTTATTGCCCAACAACAGTAGTATAATCAGATGACTTCTTTTTTCTATTAGCCTGTTTTCTGCAATGGTCTAAGTAATTGTTCATGTCAAATGTTCCATTATCCTTAAGAAATACAGGCTGCCCATTATGAATTTGATTTGTGTGTTTTCTGTCATCTTTAGGTACGTTCGATGAAACAACCTCGACCGGTTTGATGGATATCAGGTGTTTTATCGCGTTCAATTGGCCATTCACTGACGGAGTATTTTTATGAATCACAGTTTTGTGTAGTTTTGTTAATCCGAGAGCCTTTAACGTTCGTTTTTCCCAGTAAGGTTGTCGAATGCCGCTGCGAATCAACGTAACTGCAAATAGTTTAGGAATTTCTTTTGCTTTCGCTGCCGCCATGTTTGAAGATGAGCACGAGAGGAGATCTGAGAACGATAGGAGTTCTGATTGGTCAATAGTTTATCCTGAAGCCTTTAGGCGGCGGTGTCATCAATTTTCTTGAGCAGGAATTATGTTTGGGGCTTCTTTTTGAACGTGAAAAAAATTGTTTTGCGTATAAAAAAAAAAAAATTTATTTATTTTATCCGCTTTATAATAATCTATTAAAACTGCTACTATACCTGTGAAATATGCTAAAATTAGCGTGTTTATTCTTCATTTTTGGCGTTTTATTTGGCCGTTTTTCAACGCAACTTACAAGCTGTAAGTGGAAAATGGACGTTGTCGAAATGACAGGAGAATTTAGTGAGTTTCGAGTCTATGTGGGTGCTTTACAAGTGGAAGATTCATATTTTATAAGACTTCGCATCACTTGTCGAGACGAGGTATCGTAAGTTTGAAGGCAAGAAATATTTCGAACTGAACTGAACACCTTTCAACCATTCTTTAAACACGCGGTTTTCATGGTTGAATAATTGTTCAATATTTTAACCTGGATTCCACAGCCATTATATAAATACTTGCAATCAATTAAAAAGTTAAATCCAAATAATAATATTTGTAAAAAGATAATCATGACAATAATTCGCAAATTTTTTTAAACCTTCATAGTTCATCCTTTTTTCCCAATTTAATGTTCATTCATTTCATTTCTTATGTATTTGATAATAGGTCCATCCGTATTTAACAAGGTCCTTTGCCCATTTGGGTCACAAGCCTATGGTTAGGTTGGAATTTACAGGATATGGTCTTCATGATGTTATGAACACCACCAAAGTGTTACTTCTTGAAGGGGCTTTGGTTCAGTTTCAACATTCTTCAAATGCCAAATCTCCTCAAGGAAATTTCCTTATTTTGTAAGCATTTTAGTTGTTTTGAAAGTCTATGGGGAGTGATGTGATCCATATATGTATTTTAGGGGGGAGATGGGACAGGTGGGACTTCAGTTGAAGTTACACGGATCACTTATAACCATTGGTATTATGAATGACTCTAAGTTAGAGTTATATAACATTATGCAATGTGAACATGACATCCATACAATGTTTTATAACTTTAGATGTATTCAACACATAAAGTTTATTTATGGGTAACATATTAATACTCACTGTCATGTTGTGTTGAGCCTTCTACACCTGTCGTGAAGATGGATTTCAGTTTATGTGCCGCTTGACAATGAACTTTCCTCGATAGGTGGATTGAAAAATTTAGCTCTGTTTTAATAGTACTTATATGACATATCACTAAACTTCATTGATTATTTTAAGGAATAATACCAGTGTCAATATGCCAGTATCTTCAAGTTGCACAGATGAAAGCATGAACAGCGACATTCTGTTAGATAATCGTGAGAATATTTACAGTTTGAACTGCAATGGAACGTTTCTATGTGATCCGGCTTGGCTTGTACCTTTGACCATACACGAGGCAAACGTGGTTGTCACGTGTTTCATAACCAACCCTGGCGAGCTTTTATACACTAGGTAAGTAGCTTCAATACAGAAATGAGAAATTCATTTTTCTTCATATGCAAGATTAAAAGGAAATGCCTACAGACAATAATATCTGCAAAATGTTGTCAAAGGACATCATAAATTCATCAGACCTATATGACTGCAAGCCTGCAACCACTCCAATAATAAAAAATCATCCCTTAATTCAGACTGATTTTAAACTTGCGCTGATCCGATTGTCGTTTACAGATTGGAAGCTTAAAACGTGCATTATCAATAAAAATTATTATCTTTCTAGTTTAAAAATACACTCACGAGGATTTTCTGACTCCGATGAAAACAAGATTGGGGCAACAATCCATGAGTTACCTGTCGGAATTTCAATTGATGATAACATATTAATCAATAACTTAGCGTTGGCGATGCCTTTTTGGCTGACTAAGTCCTTTCACAAAAGTGACTACGCGTTATTCACTGACTCAGAATTTGATAGATTTTCCATTGAAGGTAAAGGAAGAATATGGTAAACGGAAGAAATTTTCGTAATTTATATGGCAAATAATTCTCTGCGCTTCTAATCTTTCTATTTATATATACTGTCATTGCCATGTCGTTTTTTATATGATGATTCGAATTTTCATTACATACTATCATTGACTTGTTTTTTATATTTGTTTCTAGTTTTCATTACATACTATCGCATTGTCGCGATGTTTCTCATCTTTGTTTCTAGTTTTCATTACATACTATCACATTGTTGCGATGTTTCTCATCTTTGTTTTTAATTTTCATTACATACTATCACATTGTCGCGATGTTTCTCATCTTTGTTTTTAACTTTCATTACATACTATCATTGTTTTTTTTCATTACATACTCAACATTGTGTTGTTTCTCGATGTTTATTATATTTATTTCTAGTTTAAAACGCTGCTTGTCAACTTTTTCTCGACAGTCATCTGTGTCCACAAAGCTTTACCTCCCTCTCTCAAACATGTTTACTTTCAATTAATTAGGTCTGAAATGTGTATTGATATTTGAAAGTTAGCAGTTATTCAGCATATGTCTTGTACAGATATTTCCTAAACAAAAAGTAATGAACACGTTATAATTTTTATACCTGTAGGTTCATAATGTTAGCGATAAAGGAGAATCCAAAGTCTGTTCTAATCCATGTGCTGATGATGAAATAAGAGGATCGTTAGTATTGTCAGACAGAATTCTTCTCAGTACTTGTGTAAGTGTGACTGTGTCAGCTAGTATACGGAGAAAGCCTGGTAATTTCGCGTAACTTATATATTTTTTTCTGATTATGTCATTACTGTAATGAAATTTGACCTTACCGTGTAAATGTCTCGACTCTGCTCACGTGCTACGCCTGCTTTCGTATATCATTAGGTTTCTGTACCTGGTGATTCTACGTGTTTCAGTTATTTTATTCCTATTTGGGAACTAGCTCTACTATTTTCCCACGTTTTTAGGTCTCAATTTACGTCAACTGACAGCGTCATACATACATTTATTCTTTAAATTTACTCTTACAAAAAAACTAGTTGTAATGTTTGTACTTGTCATGAACGTTCATTATTGTAGTGCATGGAGCATTGTTGTTTAGACTGCATGCGATTCTTTATTATCTTTATTACAGTATGGAATACGAGAAATTAGAAAGAAACAAATGTCGAAATCGTGTAAGTTGATAATTATATGGAAATCAGTTAAGGTGGTTGATCTCTAAGTCCTGATCTTCCACACGTTGCTTTAAGATGTTTTTCGTTCTGTGTTGTTGCTCGAATTATTTTATCTCTTTACAGATGAATCTAAAATCGTCCTTCGTGCTTGTGTCAAAGTGATGGTTGCGCCATCACAGGCGTTTCCTAGAACGATAGAGGTTCTTGCGATTGCAGAATCTTCATCATCGATTTTTCGGTCTGTTTATCGTTCACCAGGTTCATGTGCTTTTTATCGTTTATCGTTCATCGGGTTAATGTGCTTTTTAATGTTTTTTAAAGATTCTCTTGAACATTTTGCTATTTCTTCTGATTTTTGTTGTCAACGCTAAATAAAAGATGGTTTGCTCTTCTCATAGAATCGTCAATGGAGTTTTTTCCACTTAACGATAACTCAAATCGAAGTTTATGCGATTTTCTTATGTCTGGTGTCAAAGGTTAGCGAGCTTTTGAATTGTTTAAGTTCATATTCCAATGATAAAGATGCATGCCGGGAGTCGTGGGACTACCTGGGATACGAATGTATCTTACGTACATGTGGTGTCGTATATTTTCTTTTTGCCTTTATTGAGTTAAATTTGAAAACTTTTGTTTTTTTGGTTTTTTTGTTACCAGTTACCTCAATAATGCTCTCACACCCCCTGCTCTTTCCCGTCAATTATAAACTAACTATACTCCAATGTTTTTGTTTTATAGATAGCTGTTCTATCTTGGACGCAACCATCAATATAAATCTCAAAGTTGTGTACTTCTTTTTGGTCCAGTATTCATCAACATACTATATTATGAAATATAATGGTAAGGATCTATATAATGCACGAACATGTGCCAAAAGATAGTTATGATTACGGATTAAGTTTACTCCAGCTCTCGATCCCGAATTAGATTTCATATCTGGGTGAAATTTCATTTCAATTTAATATAAATACGTTATTCTTGAAAAGTGTTTCAATACATGTTTATGTATGGGCCGCAGCAAATGTAGCTGTGTAAGAGCTTTTTGTGTGAAAACCATCCATTGTCTCTTTTTAATTGTTGCGCGTTTTGTGATAGATTTACACGTTAATCAAACATATAAATGGCTCCAATGTAAATCCTCGAATTATTTGCAATGCCCCACAAAAGCATTCTTTGATTTTCACACTTAATCCTATTTTCCTTTTTTGTTTTCATTCAGACAGTAAATGGACGCAAGTATTTGTTTTTCCACTGTCTTTGCCAAACATCACGCAAGGTTAGTTTCCACGACTAAATTCATTGATTGACCTCTGAAAATGTTGCCATGGATACTATACAATAGAACAAATACTAAATTCTTAGAAATTTGAATTAAGGCGAGTCATCGACATATCACCCTCTTCGTCTTTCATAGTAAGCATAATTTCAAGAATGATCTTACCGTAATGAGAAGGACTGGGACTAACCATATTGCCGCCTTTTATTTCAATCATCACATCACATTCAACTTTATTTTTGTGTATTTTTGTGTGCAGGCAATCGTAAACATGGGGATCGTTGGATATTTGTGGATTCAAAGACCTCAGGCGATTTGCGTGTGTACCTAAATGGTCTTTCATTTTCTCGAAACACAGGTAATAACCTGTTTGCTTGGGGCAACATTTTTTGCTACAGGTAAGGAGGTCTATTATGATCAAGTGTTACGTTTGTGAAACCTTTTTTTGTGCTGTGCTCATGATGAGATCCTTTAGGTCATTTGTCAACCACAAATTTCAAGAAGACACACATTTCATGTCAAAACCACAAATTTCAAAAAAAACACACGTTTCATATCAAAACCACCCATTTCATGTCAAAACCACAAATTTCAAAAAAACACACATTTCATATCAAAACCACCCATTTCATGTCAAAACCACAAATTTCAAAAACACACATTTCATATCAAAACCACCTATTTCATGTCAAAACCACAAATTTCAAAAAAACACACATTTCATATCAAAACCACACATTTCATGTCAAAACAACAAGATTTCATTGATATGATGTTCTTTTGTTGTTTTTCCACTTGTAGTCCGAATGCAGGAGAAGATTTTTTATGGTTGCTGGATTGCTGTGGTCAGAAATCTAATATAACAATGTTCACGTCTGCTGAAGATGGATCGTATTCGTTTCTTAATGACTTGCAACAGGTAAATTATAATGTGATTTCATAGATAGGTAAAACATTTTCTTTACTAGAAATTTCTCACGCAGCATCAGAGATACATGAAACTGCGAAACAAAAGAGTCGTTTCGATGAACTTATCCAATGTTTACTGTGCATGTAGCTCATAATGCAAGTAAAATGTACTTTGAATATCTTGAAATACTTACTTTTACACTGTAAATGGGGACAAAAAGTAGCCACCCTCCCCATAATGAAACGAAAATGAAATGTTGACAATCGTCAATTATAATTTAACCATTATAGTAACGGCTGTAATATTGTCCCGGCATTGTATTAACAACCGGACAACCAAACACTAGTGTTTAATATAATAATATGTAGTTTGAGCGTGTGTCTTGTAATCTATTAAATAAACTTTGCACTATTCTTTGATCACTTGTGATTATAAAATGTTGTCATTAATTGTAAAAGATTTAGTCTTGGACTTTATTTTAACATTAAATGATACAATGTAAGCCAATAATCCTTGATTGCCCCTCATGATACATGAAACAGTAAATAAGAGAGTTAAATCGTGAGCGACATAATTGGTTTGTAAAACATTGCTTGGTTATAAAACATTGCAGTTTCCTTGAATATCATATCGATTATTTTATGAGAAGAACTCTTGCAAAGGAAAAGCAAATTTCATAATAAAAAAGTCCTTGCCTCACAATATCCTGGGACAGGAAGGGCCTTAAAGCGTAGCAGACACAAACCATTCCAAGGGATGAAATCTTTATTATATGTGACTATTCACGTCTCAAATTTTTTTATATTCTCCATCCAGATATGGTGGGGTCACACTGACTTTGCATTTCTTCATTACCTGGAAACAGCAAACAAATGGAACGTTGGTTTGATGACTGTTGGAAACATCTGCAAGGGATCTCACAAGATTCTTTCGATGTTCTTCGATTCCTTCGGCAAACTGTGGAAAGTAAGCTCAGGAACATGTTGTAATAAACTTAGCATTGTTCTGGTTATATTTTCTGGTGGAAATTTATAATTTAGCTCTTGACTGGATTAAAATGGAAAGTACAGTCAGCTTTCATTTAAAGATAACTGATAGAAAAATTAAAGAGAAACCTTTCTCGAACATTTACAGGTGGTGAAATGTGATAATCAGACATCAAAGTTTCCTTGCATCTTAAAACGTAAGGTCGCCATCCTAGACATCCTATCGCACTCTCATCTTATAAAAGAACAGACATCGTTAGATCATGACATCCACGAAATATCTACCATTCTGGAGCATGGTGTCGAATCTCTATCCCCCAAACATTGTTTGACATATTCCATCGTATACGAGGCACCATATACCAGTCGTTATCTTCAACAAGTTGTTGATATAGTCGATGTGCCTCACATGGTGAACACATTACCTGTGTCTATAGACTTTCTCAAGGTAAGCTTATGATATTTATAGTTACACACCAAACTCTTAATAAGAAAACTCGTTCTTTAAGGGTATTTTAAAATATTTTGAAAATCGAATCAGCAACGATTTTGCGCGGTGTACATGTATAATGCCCGCCCAGACTTTTATCTTTATGCACACTATGATGCGCCCGACTGCGTAGCGACGCCAGAAACTATCAAAAAGCCCCCCAAAACAACAGACATATTTCATTTACTTTAAAGAAAATTCATTAGAGACAACTAATGAACAAACTTATTTTTAAGCATTGCTTATTAGAATTCTCAAGCATTGTACGTAAACATGCTAAACATGTAAAGCTTCAACGGCAGTTACATCCAATCAGATGTTATCCCCTTTTTATACAAAAAATATCAAATGTTGTACTTTTCACTTATGAATACATGTATCTTGGTACTTTGCACATTATTTTGTATGGAGAGATGAAGATTTTGAATTGGACCTATTAAGATGTTTCCGTGCTCGTATATCATTGAGATAAACAGGTCGATAAATATAGTTTAATTGACTATCTCTTTGCAAAACATATTTTGAAATATATATTTAAAATATATATTTTTGGAATGCAATTGTAGAGGGCATACACAATATTTGAAAATTGTAAATGTAAAATATTTTAAGTATACATCTTTCAATACGTTTCAAGAAATATTTGAAGAATCAACGGGCCTCTCTTATTAACCCAAGAGCTGTGAAACAATCCATGATGAAACATTCATTACCGAAACGAATTTATCTCACCAAAGGCGAAACGTACAACTTCACTGTCACCTTGACATTAGACGACAGCAAACCAAATTGTAAGTACCATTATTCTCACATCATAGTTTGGCTTAATTTAATCCTAGAAGTCAAATAAAGGACCCGTGCCACCATCAGGGGCGAATATAACGTTAATTGGGGTATATATTCATATATGCAGCTCTGCTCTGCTGATTTCTTATGTTTGCGATGTTAATTTCAAAGAAGTCAGCAGGGCAGAGCTGAATATATGAATATCTACCCACAGACACACAATTAACGTTCTAGTTTCGCCCCTGGCCACCATCATACGAATGGCTATAGGTCCGTTTTCAATGCCTTTCTTAAGTACTGTTTGGCGATTGTTTTAACGTTTATAAACTCCTGTATTCTCCTTTATGTATAACTTGTAAGGTTCGTACCACAATCCATAAAATATACTTGCTTTGTAATGATGACCCTTTAACGCTTGATGCACGGGCTGGAATCCATGTTTATCTGTTATGTTAACGTTTGCACCATAGTTCATCATTATGCGAATACCGTCGATGTCGCCTTCTGTTGCTTCCCTGTGTATAGCCGACTCTCCTGTATGGCTGAGCGTATTTATGTCTGCTCGTGTATCTGTCTGTATCAAACTCTTTACGTCACTGATTGGCTTATTTTGAATCGCCTCACGAAATAAAGAGTTGTCTGGAGTCACCAAATCCTTTAACGGTTCTTCATTATTTATTGAGCGCGTGTCCGCGCTTTGAATGGGATATACTTCTCTTAATCTAATAATTGCATGAACCATCAAGGACAGTCTCGAAGATTCTTCGTCATCTTCTAGTATATATGCCAACTCTCTTTCTTCATCTAAGAAGTACTTACGATTTTGAACAGTAGTTCTATATGCCATCTTGCTTTTCTTGTCCGAGATGGTTGGATTGGTTTGACTTTCAGTTTTGTCTGCCGTTGTGTTGCAACTTTTTATTTCCTGGAATGTGCTCGGAAACTTTTTTACTGGGGTTTCGTTACCACCCGTCTCAAAGATGCTCAAAGATGCCTGGTCCAATTTGCTTCCAAAAAAAAAAACATATTGCATTCCGGACTGTTCTTTTGAGCAGTTTTGCATAGATGTTTTTTTTTCTCATTTTTAAAGAGGATACTCAAATATCTGTCTGTTAAATTGTGCAAAGGATCCTTTTTGTTCTTAATTGGAAGACTATCGTCGTTCTCATGCCATTGTTTTTCAGCTCTGGCAATGTTGTATTTTCCTTCACTGCTCTCAGGATTTTCTGTTAAATATTCTGTCCTAAGCATTTCTGCTCGCACTTCATCTTTTTGATTCCCCTTAGATTGATGTGGAATATTGGACAATGACCTGTTGACTGAAGAAACGTTATATGGCCTGTGAAAATGTTCTGCAAAATAAGATATGAATTTAGTAATGTTCTTGTCTTCATTGGCTTTATGGTTGTTTTTCGTTATCTTATTCTCCGTAGCTCTTACTTCATCTGGAGATTTATTTGAGTTATTGGAATTGACTTTTTTATCATTGTACTTCTTTGAATTTTTGATGTTCTCGAACACCTTGAATTGATATTAGTTAAATTGTACTCGTATTTCCTGAAGTTGTTGTTTTAATTGACATTTTCATACATTGGAATAGTTGTGTGGGAACTTTTCTCAATAAATGGTGTGTTGATGACACGATTTTGTTTTCGTCTGGCATGAATATTCTTTTTGTCCCAATTTCCTGAATCTTGACCGAACAAATTTATTTCGGACAATGGGCAAGTGGAAACATGTGATACCTGGAGTCTTTTTTTGAAATTACAGCTGATCCCATTTCAATATGCTTGGCCATAACACCACTTTGATCAAAATCAAGTAAATGTAAATCTCCATTGCTTTTATATTTGCGTGATGTCGTAAAAGAGCTCCTTACGATATGTTCATCTTCATGGAGGATCTTCATTAGATCTACTTCTATGTCCAATTTTATTTATGAGTTCTTCATCTGAATTGATGTTGTAAAACTCAACACTCAGTAAGTTCTTCTTCTTCTTTGATCTCTTAATTTTATTTATGAGTTCTTCATCTGAATTGATGTCGTAAAATCTCAACTCAACGTTCAGTAAGTTCTTCTTCTTCTTTGATCTCTTCATTGGTGATTCATCGATGGTTTTTACATCTTTCATAGGCAAAGTGTTTGAATAATGATGAGACACCTTAAGATTGTTGAAGTAATTCTGTGTTAAGTCACTGTTGTATCTATGCAATGAAAGGGATTCAAGTTGAAATTTTGTTTCTTCTTCTTCTGGTGCAAACGTTGTTGTTGTTGGAGTGAGAGCTTTGGAAGTGACATCGAACGTTTGAATTCGTGAGTGTACTGATCTATGCTGTTTTGTTGATCCCATGTCGTTTATCCCATGTTGGCATTCCTTTACATTTGCAGCATGATTACTTACTGATACGTGTTTCTTCTCGTGATTTTGATTTTTCCCTTGCTTTGAAAGACTTGCATCAATGGAATTAGTAAGTGTTGGATGCCGTTCTCCTGTGTTTTGAAAAGACTTCTCATTATTTATTGGGTATAAATATGCAGAATGTGCATCAACATGTTGAGCATCAAGGTTGTGGTTTTTGTTGCTCGGTATGTTTCTTGTTTCTTTAACTGTTGTTGATGTCGAGCGCTTCTTCAATCTAGAGGTTCCAGTCAGATATTTCTTATCATTTGAAATAGTCTTAGGGTATTCTCGTTGCCGTTTTACATCATAGTGTGTTTTGATGTCATGCGCAGTGTGTATTTTATGTCCATAGATTGTTGTGTCATTTACATTGCTTGAGTTTGTTTTTGCTTCGTTTTCCGGTTGATTTGGTAATTTGTATTCCTCTATTTTGCCATCGTTTGATGCCAATTCTCCCAATCTTTTCCATCGCTTTCGTATCTCTTCATAAGGAATCTGGACGTTTTTTTCGTTATTCTTTAAGTCTGAATGTTTAGACTGGCTTCGTTCTTCTTCATTTTTATCTGTTTTTGTTGAGAAATTGATGTTTAAATTGACGTTCGTGTGCATTGCATTTAATGTTATTGGATTTTCATCATTGAACCTATGTGCGCGAACCATTTTTGATTTATCTTGTCCGCTCGTATTAAAATTGAACTCGTTTTTACATTTCTCCAAAGACTTGCCATTTTTATAATTGGGAAAAGATAAAGTATTTCTTTTTAATGAATGTTTTGAACCAGATGTACCAGCTGTTTCTCTTGGTGTAGTCATATTTTCTTGAGACTGTTCACTTTTCGTGCATTCTTTTTTTTCTAATTTTTCTTCATTTACTTCAATAGATGATCTGCTACAGCTTATTATACCATTTTCCTTTGTTAATGGATCATAACCACGCTGTACACTCAGACTATATTCTGTAATCGCCCTGTATATATTTCTTGTTCATTGAGATTCACAGCAAGAAAGCATCAAATGTGAGTTATACCTTCCCTAGTTCTCTTTCTTGTATGTCTTTAAATGAATGATCTGTACTTTTCACATTCGACACCTAAAGTTCAAAATTAAGTTGCACTTAGTTCTTCCTTGTTGCTTTACTGTGTATAATTCATTCCAATATTCATGCTCATTTACATTAATATTCACATTCATCATGCTGGCATGTTTACTTTGCACAGATCCATACATTTATTAGTTTGTTTGGGTTTTTTTTTGTGTAATCTCCGTAGATTACTTTGATGAGATGATTGTTCTTTATGATTAAAATATGGCGAGGAAATTGGTGAGAAAGTTTTGTTCATTAGATTTTTTGGAAAACCAATTTTTACCCTCTCAAATCCCAGCTCATTTTAATAGTGCTTGCTGGATCATGGAAGTTTCGGAAACCACTGACTGCCAGCTCAATTCATCACATGTACAATCAACTAATTTCAGTTGTGACTGTTGTGTGAAATATTTTGACTCATTTTTATAATAATGTGTTAATACCTCGATTGTATTGTTATATAAACATTGTGTTGTAATCTCAGGATGGCTCATTCTATTACCTCGGACGCCTTTAGAATCATCAAGAAAGATAATTTAATTTTTCTGTATTAGTCTATCCCATGTTTTGTATGTAAGACATACAATTTTGTATCTCCAGCTCTCCTGCTCATCTTTTGAATCGTTGTTGTCAACTACGTATCATCATAAACTTTCACATGCTTTTATTGTAAAGGAATGTATTTAGGTATAACCATCATAGTTGCCTTTACTCTGGTATCACCGAAATGAACTGGCACAAAGCTACGGAAGCCAACAATAAAATTTCTTTTGCTACTTGGCACAATAAATTTATAAGAGTTCTCTTGTATTAAAAAAGTTCACATTTATATCGAGTAATTCCTAAATGATTAGAAACTGAAATTTATTCATTAATTGTTACTTTTTTATTCGTTTATGCGCTCAAGTTATGATAAATATATTTTGGGATCTAAGTTGCATCCAAAAATATATGTTCTTATTATTGAAATAGCCTTCAAATAAATATTCTCTTTCTAAAGTACATTTACCTTTTTGCGTATTTACGTACAATTAACTAATTCAATTAATTAATTAATTGTACGTATTAACGTACAATTACCTTTTTTGCGTGTGCTTTATGATTGTGGTCACCATTCCCAATTGCCGCCATTATCCATGAAATAAAATTTTACATCTTAAAATTGTATTTTTTTAATAGATGGAAACGTGTTTTGGTCTATTATGGATCATATGATATTGTCGCATAAGGTCTCTGACTTATCCTCCCTCAACGTCACAGCTATAAGAGCCGTTTTTAGACACAAAAGAACTGTAAAGTACCAGGTGCGTGATAGTTGTCTTTGCTACAACCAATTCTTCACAAACAGGTGTTCCAATAAAAGTGACGTCATTCAAAATACAAAATTGTTCAAAAATGCTATATGTAAGAAAGCGGAGGGAGAAATATAAGTAATCATGTAAAATTGGAAAGCCTTGTGTATAATATTAATTCAGACTGAGATAAAGTTGTCGATTCTAATCCAACTCACGAATAGAACAGCTGTCATTTGCACGACCACATTAAACTGCCTGAATAGACGGTTTAGTTTTACATGAACATGTCGGCCTAGTTTTAAGATGCAAAGGATGTTTGAATTGAGAAGCTTGTAGTCGTTACTATTATTGTTGTTCAACTGTATATCATTAGAAACCATTTCTAATTCCCAGAGACTTGAGATTTATTGTGTTTAAAAAACAATATGCATTTTATAGATTAATAGCTGAGTGGTTACCTTTGCATGTTCTTTAGTTTAAAATGGCCTCAAAATGTTCAACCTCTAATTATTTTATCAAATATAATACAATAGAATGATTTCAGTTACGTTTTAAAATGCGGCTCATTGCAAATAAAATGATTCGCGTTTTTTTGCTTCTTTTTGGTGAAATAGTTCAGTTTGAAGGACAGTGGTCTTTTCCCGGGAAAAACAGCGCCAGGAATCGCCCTTCGTCCAGTTCACTTTCAAGTACAGGTATAAATAACATTTTGAGCGATTGTTAAAAAACCTATATTTATTTCATACGACTTGTTTTGTACGATTTTTCCATTATTGAGATTGTTCATGCGCTGGATGTATTCAAAGAAGAAATAACTCAGTTAAAGCGCTTCGAGACCGAAACCCCAACATATCTGACATGACTTCATGTGCCTAGACTCCTACAGATCATACCTATTTTCAATGACCAATGAAATTGTTCATTTTGTACAACTTCATTTTCGTTTAGCCTTGGTTAACCGACGGGACTTGTGTGAAGGAAAACACAGGGAAAGGAGTTTTACAGGTAAATACAAACATGTTTTTGAAAAGCTATAATTTAACGGTGCCGTAAAATTTTACACGTTGTTCACGATCTCTTTTTTCAGGGTACCGAGTCGATGACGGTGTTATTGGGTTGTCCTCCCAGCATGAAAGTCGTTTTCGATCCGGAGGCTACCGTTAAGGCCTCGGGAAAGAATCAATTTTGCAATGAAAAAAATGGAATCGCGTGCTTTCTCTTCGACCTCAGTAAGTCGTCGTCTTAACAGATAAATCATCATGAATAATAGTTCATCAATAAATGGCACATGTTATTAGTGATGAAAAAATGCTGGGAGGGGGAAATATTTTGATTTTTGTTTGACCTTTTGGTCATAATGATATTAATAATAATAAATAAATTTATTTCACGAGGTGAACACATAACAGCCAATGTTTACAAAGCAGTGGCCCTCCTAATCTAATAGTTATACACTACTGACAAGACAAACGTGGCTTTGACTATAGGAAAATTACTATCTTTAATTACCAGTTGTAACCACCATCATATGCTCTGTCCTGAATCCGAAAACGACTTTCCTGGGTAACACGTAGATTTTACAATGGTCCAATGAAAAGCCAAAAAATATATACCATAATACAACTTTGATGATCACATTAAAGAACATCATAATGTTCCCTTTACAGCATTTTATCCAGTGTTTAATATTGTGGACGGAACAACTGGTAATACGTCTGTCTTTACTGGAAAATATCAACTTCGTATAGTTGGCGGAGGCAAAAAAATAAACTCTATCAGAGAGTACGACGATGGTGAGATTGCTCGTTATAACTTTCATGATTTTGCTGAGTAAGTATAAGTTTTTTACGTTCGTTAGTCTAAAGAAGATTTTTGAAGATGTATTTTTGATTTGGCGAGAAAAGAAAAAAACTTTACTCATTCGAGTGCTTTGTATGCACCAAGAAATATGTTAATAGAGAGCTTTAGCTAGAATATGACTACGACTATGAGTGCAAAGTTCGACGGTGTCAGTGCACGAGTCACACTCGTGCTCCTTGCTGAAGTCTCTAATATTTCGATTCCATTGATCAGTTCTTGCAAATTGTGATGATATATATATATATATATATGTTATTTCCGCTTAGGAGGTGCGGATGGGAAAATATTTTCCCGACGTCTCAACAATATTGCCTAAGCTGGACACAAATCATTTAACTTTATAGCTTTTTATGAATTGTTCAAATTTCAAATCATTCGTTTTGTCATCTTCATAGTTGTATTTATTAATGGAGCCGTAGCTATGTCCTGATTCAAACATGCTTTCGTTCACAGTTCAACGTCAAGTCTTATCTGGACTCCTAAGGAGAAGAATTTGGCTTCTTTGCCATCATTCAACATGTCCAACAATGGATTTCAGTACGTTCAGACGAATAGGCATTTTCTCGTCCTTTGAGTTCTACTTTGCTATATGTTTTTGACCACTAAATGGCTATCAGATCACTCGCTGAGGCGCGTTATGCCACAATTTGTATATAAAGATATTAGACAAAGATTTCTGCATGCATCAGATCAATTTAAACACCAAATGAAGTCTTATGAAAACACAAAAACAGAGTATCAAAAAAACATAATTTTCAATCATCAGATCACATCTAATGAAGACACTAGACTGAAGTAAACAAGTAAAAGATTAAAATTAACAATGGACAACTCCTTATCAAGACATTAAACTAGCACGTTTTAAAATCAAGCCATAATTTTGATTGATACATGTAGATGGCTGTGTGGGAGAACGAGTCCATGTTCACAAATATCCCCAGTGTTCCCAAATTCACCGGAGTTCTTCTTCAAAATAGAATTTTCAAACAGGTATTTGTGACGGTGATGTATAAAGTGGAATGTAGAATGGCTGGTCTCATAATAGCCAAAGTATAATCAACTATAGTTAAAAAATCTGAAATCCATTACACTTTTTTGGGGAGAGGTCTCAAATGCATAACCAAATAACGTTTCACAGCTACCAAGGTCAGTAGGGTAGATGTTATGCATAAGAGGTGCCCAGTTAGAGAAATGAAGATCATTAAGGAAACCTGGAAAAAGCGCGCTTCTAAAATAATCTCTTTTTTTAACTTCTAGGCATGCTAATGATGAAAGTCTAAATTGTGACTTGACGGCGCAATTCATTATTCGTATTCATGGTTTGCCCTTGGGCTCGTTGTACCCTGCTACAGTCATTGTTGCTGTGAGTGTTTTATTGTTAAGAATATTGTATTTAACTACAGTCATTGTTGTAACTCTTGTTATCAATATGATTAGACTTGCATGGCTATCATCACAGCTTATGTATTGGCAATGTTCTCGTTGACAAGAGATAACCACAAGCAATGGAATATGATACGTGACTTTTTCCAAATGAAGAAGAACTCAGCGTTGATTTGGATACGCCGAAGGTTTAATGTTGTAAAAATAAGACCAACACCGGATCATTTCATTGAAGAATGTGGTAAGTTTTGAGAAACGATTCCATTCTTTTACTCCACAAATTCCAGAATTCTTAAGGTGGAAAAGATGTCGGATGTGGCATTTTGAGATTTGGTGGTAAAACACACACCGCGAGCAGCTCTGTCACTGAATTTACTACTTAGTTTGATTTCTTAAGGTCCTGAGCCATCCTGTTGTTCACATTACAATATCGTCAATTTGGGGTTTTATATTTTTTTTTCAAAGGCACTTGATTGTTATGAGGACATGTTCAAACGCATAGCAAGTAAGAAGCTTAGTCATTTTCAATATTACTTTAATTTATTTACATGAGTTTTTTAGCAGGTATTGTAGATCATGCATGTTTTTTTGATATATTTATTGCGCTCTGGTGTAACACAGTCATCACAAGTGTTATTTCAGATTGATGTTTATAGAAAGGCTTTGAAATTTTTTTGATTAGCGACGTCATTTTTATGCAGCGATTTTTTCATTTTTCTCCTCGAACTCTTCGGTGTTTTTTTTTCATTTTTTCTGAAATTTGATGACTCTCATATTGATTCGTCAAAGATCAATTATCTTTCTTTCAGAAAGATTAGAAAAATGGCATACACATCAAACGTCGAAAAATAGAAATGTATACATATATGTTAGTGTCAATTTGACATATTATATTTTACTACATTTAAAACTAAACCACAATTTTACAGTTTAGTACATCTAAAGCTACCCCACATTACAACTTGACCGTCAGCTCTGCAATTCACTCCATAACACCATCCCGACTCATCTTTCCCACGTGTTATTTCTCCCACCGGATAATTTCTACCGTTGTAATCACATGAGTTTGGTTGCGTGGTAATGGTGGTTGTGTGGTTGTGGTTGTCGAAGGACAGTTCCAGTCCCCCCACATGTACAAATGTCCGGTTTCTTCACAAACTACTTTATAACACCACCCAGTTTTGTCGATACCTTGAGTTATTACTCCTGCAGGATACATCATTCCTAAAACGATGTCAGCAATGTTCTTTGTTGTTATAGTATGATCAAGTGTGATCTCAGTCCTTATATACTCCAGTCTAGTGTCGTCATCAGAAGTTATTTGATGTTAAAACTGTTTATCAAAAGTGATCTGATCTTGAAATTTTAGTTTTTATGTTCTCCAATGACTTCATCAGCACAGGAGTCTTTAAAACCTGAGCTCTTATACGCTTCAGTCTAGTGTTTCCATTATAAGGAATCTGATGACGAAACACGGGTCTTACATACTTCATTCTAGTGTCTTCAACAGCTTTTATCGAAGTGTGATTTTCTATATCAGGAGTGATCTCGCTTTGGAAAGTCAGTTCTTATATTCTCCAGTCTATAAATGTCTTCGTTAGAAATGATCTTTAAAGTTACTTTATCCGAGTTCAACTTGTGTTATCAAACTACTTTTTTTTGTTGATCTGTTCCTTCGAACAACTTAACCGATTTAAGATGAGTGAGTTGAGATCAATAATTAGTTAAAAACACCAAAGCTACTTCTGTCTTACATCGATGTTGTTAGTGACCTCACTTGCTTCAGTATACTATTTCTGTCGTATATATCTATAGTAGCGTCGGTCATCAGTAAGTTTTAGTCGTGCTGTTTTAATGTCAGAACATTATGTATTTCATTAGAAATCTATTGTTGATTGTTTTCGCTGTGAGGGAGACAAAAGCTAGTTCTACTTTGAAAGTAAAGTTGGTCATAACAATTCACATCATATAAAAGATGAAAAAATATTACTAACCATTGTACAAACATGATTTTGGTTTCATTGTTGGTGGAGTTGTGGTTTTTACTGTCGTTGTTCTGTAGCAGTTGATGCTGTTCATCGTGACAATATTACCTTGGTTTGTGCACACAACGTTTACACACCAATTACTTCCATCAAGTACACGAGTCACTATTCCAGGAGGGTAATATTTATCACGATATATACACCCAGGTAGACTGGATCGAAACTCTGGTGTTGGAGGCTCTGTTGCCTCACACAAAGCTGTCACCCATTGAATTATTACTCCAGAAATGTCACAAACTACTCCAAAACAGCGGCCGTCCCTTAGGACACCCTTGGTAACATCACCCGGTGGATATAGCTTGCCTTCATAAAAACAGTTTTGCGTTTCAGGTGGTGTTGTTCTTTTTCCAGCATTTGTAGTGTGTGCAGCGGTGTTTGGGTGTTTAGTTTTAATGTCATTCTTTATCGATGTGCGTAATGGCGAGACCGTTTCTTTTGGGGTTGTGTTTAAGAGAGGAAGAGTTGCTATCAGCTTAAGAAATACTTTTCCACTATGTTCAGTTGTTTTGAGGGGTGCCATTTGTGTATTTGGCGTTTCTTTCAAGCTGGGCCGGATCATTGTTTTCTTTTTTGACAGTTCATCAGTTTTCGAAAGTACGTTAGGGGATACTTTGGGACCTAAAGTGGTTGTGACTCCTTCTTTAATAACCTGAAATTGGAATGAGTTGCTTTGAAACTTTTCCTTGAGGACGCACTTGTAGATATATTATTGCCTGTAATGATGGTCGATGTCTTTGTGGTCTTAACTTTCGTGCTTCTTAAGGACTCGTGTGTACTTTCGTAGGAGCTTTCGTAAGTTTCAGACGTAGCTTTTGATTGCCTTGAAGAATGCTTGGTTTTGTTTACATTTGCTTCACAATCACTCAAACTCAACATCTTTCTGTTCTTGCATATCAAATAAGTACACCAATTATCCCCAATCGTTGCTACATCCCCTTCTTCGTAGTATCTTCCTTTGTGCAAACATATAGAAGGTTCGGGATTGGGCAAGTTATTTGGAGTGATTGGTTGAGCAATTTTATTTTTATCCTTACGATCCTTAAATGTACTTATACAATCAATAGGTACCATCTTCTGGTCTTTGCAAATCCATCCTGAACACCAGTCATCTTCTTCAAAATTCTCTGAAACCATATCACCTAAGGTTAGAGATACAATGCCTTCATTATAAGTGATTCAATATTGCGCCACTAACTAATGGGTGAATGATCTTGAATGAAGGATAATCTGATGCTGAAACTTGAGTTTTTAAAAACTTCATCAAAGAGTGTTCATCAGGAGTGATGTTAAAACTTGATCTTTTACTAAAAAATGTTTTCTTTGTTAAATCTGTTGCTTTAGACAGTTTAGTATTTCTTCGATATCAGAGATAGCTTTAAAACTCAAAATATGTTTTTAGTGCTCAAGTATGGTGTCTTTATTTGGAATGATACCATTAATTTTAATTGCTTGTTTCAAGTAAAAAAAAGTTGAAATGGTCACCTTCCGCATAGGTATTTCCTTTGTGAAAACAAAGCCTAGGTGGCTTAACTATAAATGAATTTTCTTCTGTTGTTGATATTTTATCAATTTCTGTTTTGTACAACTCATCGTTCGTGTTTGGCGTGACAGTAACTTTTGTAGTTCGTGGCGCTATCGTTACAGTCTCATTAGATTTGATCAAAACAACCGCTGACGAACTTTCTGTAAAGTTTTCAGCCATTATCATAGTACTTGATGGAGCAGTTAGAAAAGATGGAGGTGTTTCTGTTCTCGACAAAACCTGGATCGTTTCTTTTGAGTTTTTATCTGATTTTGCTGGTACTTTGGTTGTTGTTTCAGGTTGTATATTTGTGTGATGAATAAGATGTTTTGTTGATAATGTATCAAGGTTATTCACATCAGTGGAGCGTATATTACTTTTGGAAGTCGTGGTACTCGATCCAAACGTTTTAGATGTGCTGTCGCTAGAATCGCCACTTCCTTCGAGAGGAACGATGGTGCCCGCGGTACAGTAGAACATTGTACAATCTCCACTTCCCTCGCTGTTGATTAACTCGCCCTCTTTGTAATGTACTCCTTTATATAAGCACACTAATTCGTTCGTTGTCGTGGGTGTACTCAGAGGCAGAGTAGTTGGATTTGGGCAGTTGTAATCAACCCAGGAATCCACTTCGCCTTGGTTGCAACGCCAGCCTGAACACCAGTTCCATCCATGATGAATCCGAGAAATGATGTCACCATCCTCAAAATAGCGTCCTTTGAAAAAACACCATCCTATATTTTCTCTCGTTGTTGATGATACAGTGCTACTGGCCTTTGCTGTAGAGTCTGAGACAAATGGAAGTGAGGACAGAGATTTTTTGAAGTTTGTATAATGAACATTTGTCCCTACACGAGCCATTCCAGTGTAGATTTTTGTTGATGTTAAAGTAGGCTTTTTAAAACTAGCTTGACTATGAGTTGTCTTGTATTTTTTGTGTTCGCCAAATTCTTTGTTATTTGAAGTAGCTGTCGTGAACACACCAAATATATCTGGCGAAGACCTTCCTTTTGATGACTTTTCTGATTTTGTGAGAGCTGATGTTGTCAGCTCAGAAATAATCGAAAGCTGTTTTGACTTTTTTGTCACGTGTCCTCTTCTTGTAGTCTTTTCACGAATATTAAACATCACTGAAGTGGTTGAAATTTCAGTTGCAGATTCTGCCTTGTTAGATATATTTGTTGTGGGTGTGCTTTTGTTTTCCAGTTTTATCGCTTGTGGTAAAGTTAGTACACCAATTGTAAATTCTTTCGTGCGTGTATTGGTCATAGTAGTTGTTCTAGTCTTGGTGTCTTGAGGGTCTGCAGAGGTAATTAGTGGGTTTGTGGTGGTATATTGTGGGTCTGAGGTGGCATATTGTGGGTCTGAGGTGGTATCTAGAGGATCTGGGATGGTATGTAAAGGGTGTGCGGTGGTATCTAGTGGCTCTAAGGTGCTATGTAGTGGGACTGCATTGGTATCTAATGGGACTGCAGAGGTATATTGTGGGACAGTGGTGGCTAGTAGTTTTGCGGTGGTATCCGTAGGCCTACAATTCCAATCATCCCATGCCAAGATGTTTCCATCCCAGGAACAATAAAGACCGCCACACCAACCATGGTTATCTGTTTCCCTGTTTATTTCTCCTGGTGGATAGAACACACCATTGTACTCACATCCGTTTGCACGTGTTGGAATGGTTGTTTTTTGCTGATATGTTACGGCACGTTTAACTCTGCTTTTCTCGATAGTATTATGTTCTTTGTTTGGTATGGTCTGTGGAAAATTATCTGTTACAGGTTTCGTATGTAGAATGGGTAACAGGGTGAATAATAGTAAGGCGATGTACATTGCTGGATAAACAATAAGATAAATTATAATTTCATTGACATGACATTTGAAAAGTTATGTTAAATTCTAGTCTGTAGCTTCATTTGGCGTGATTTAGTTATGAAGTATGAAAACATATACTCCATTCTTGGAATGATGTAATTTTAAAACATTAGTTCCTTTTTACTTCAATCTGTGCCGAATATATTTGGCGTTCATTATTGATGACGCCGAAATATTCTCTTTTATGAGGAGGGGAGGGGGACCTCGAAATCGGCAGTTTAAAATAACGAAATTGCCCCTCCCTTGTCGTAGCCTTTGCGTTACAGCAAGATGACGGTTTGTTTTCTGCGATGTTATTTATTGCCATCGATTGCATTTTGCAAGATAATCGTTCATCGATACAATGAATTGTTTAGGTTAATCTTCAACCTTATCCAAGCTGTACCATGAACATGTGTTCGTCGACCAAATTACTGCCGCTGGCACTTATATATATGACAAGATCTTAAATGAAGATTAAGTCCTGCTATGGTATATTTCACAGCATGCATGATTCGAGTTGGGAAGTTATGCCTTTTATCGATAGCGTGTCTCTATTAGTAAATTTTTGTGAAATTTGAGAGTCTGTACTTATATATAAGGCACAAAACACTTACATTTTCTTTTAGGGTGTTCTACACCAAATCTATGTATTTGTTTTGATTTCATAACGGATATTTCTTTTACAAATTGCTTGTTGCAATTTCATGGAAAAAATGAGTTTTACATCGGTTTCTTGCTATCGTAGCGAACGAGGAGTTTTTTGCAGCTTTAATGTCAAGCTGAATTTGACATTGTAGAAAAAGATTTCTATACGGTCGAAGTAAAACCAGCTTTGATGTACGCTTCGTTAAAACAACGACGCATTTTATTCAGATTAGATGAACGGATTAGATGTAATTGAAACTATATGTATATCAGAATCAGTTCCGTGCGTTGATTAGAAAGGTACATGCTGCCTCCTGTGCAGATTTATCCAAACGTGCAAAGAGATTTTCAAATGAAATCTGATTTATAGATTGTCAAGTCTTGATTAAATGCTTTTTTTGCCTTACATGCAAAATCGTGTAATGAATGGCATTTGTAGACTTTAGAACTTGATATGACATTTTTCTCTCACACATTAACCGTATTTCAGCTGCTATACAACTGTTCGTCATTACGCGAATTTATCTATTAAAATTACGCATATTAAAATTAATTCCAATTTGTGGTGCGTCCCATGCGAGGGCGATCATGGAAAGTTGCACACGCCAAGTTTTTTTAATAACGTGTGAAAAAGCAATAAATATATCATGACATAAGAATACTTACCAAATTTAAAATTCAATTCCACTTCTCGATCAAAATTCAAATGATCTCGCGCGGGAACATTCAAGAAAGTTGGAATCGAAGCTGATTTTTCGTCCTCTTAAATATCGGCTATTAACTGTTTAGTGTTAATACATACGTAATTAGGTACGGCGCTCAATAAATTGTGTTGCACTAGACTAATGTCGTTCGTCAAATAACAGTTTATACGGAAAGATCAAATGTCTAATGAATGAGAGAGTCATACTATATTTGATGCTAGACTTTTTTTTATCAAAACATCTTATTACTCATTAGGCGAAGTATTGTTGACGTGAATGTGATCAAAGCCATTGAAACTTGTAGTTAGCATTTAAAATGAGTTTTAGCGCTGTTTCCATTACATATCAACAAACAAAGGTTGCTTGTAATAGTCCAGACAAAAGTTTGTGTCATGTGACTTCCACTTTCCTTTGACCGTATGGGTATTTTAAAATAGTTAAAGTCAAAAAACATCCTTTTACAGTACTAATCAATAGTTTATTTCAAATCTACTCCTGACTGTTTATACTTTTCTCGAACAACTTTTTCTGAAAATATGAAAGGTTATACTCATGCTGTCTAGAATTATCATTTATTTACTTCAGTGATGATGGCAGGGTGTGAAAGCTAAGGTGGAGAAATGAGTGCCCAACCGCCAAAGGTACGATGAACATCTAGAGGGGCTTAGCACGTATTCTCCCCTGAAAATTTTTGAAATTTATAATCGCTAAAGTCCTTGTGCTGAACTTTGTAGAAAGACTTGAGATGGACATGTCCACGACATGGCGCTGCCTAATTTGATTTGTTGCATTCAAGAGTTTAAGATGTAAGAGATGTGGTAAATGCTATTCAAAATACCACACAATTTTTCAAAAACAGTGGGGTGACAGAAGTCTTTGGAAATTTTCAAAAGCAGTGGGGTGACAAAACTCTGGAAAATTTTCAAAAGCAGTTGGGTGACAGAAGTCTTTGGAAATTTTCAAGAACAGTGGAGTGACAGAAGTCTTTGGAAATTGTCAAAAGCAGTGTGGTGACGCAACTCTGGAAAATTTTCAAAAGCAGTGTGGTGACACAACTCTGGAAAATTTTCAAAAGCATTGGAGTGATAGAAGTCTTTGGAAATTTTCAAAAGCAGTGGGATGACAGAAGTCTTTGGAAATTTTCAAAACAAGTGGGGTGACAGACGTCTTTGGAAATTTTCAAAGCAAGAAAGATGTAAGAAAGTGACATTTTACAAAAGAATGTTTTAATTACTCATGAATTTATCATCTCTCCAGTTTTCATGTAAAAATTTAACGTATCTTATTAAAATGGCATTCGTATTCAAGCCATTCAAGATTCAGTTTTCAAATAACAAAAAAATTTGTTCTTTGATTGCATCATCTCTCTTTTGGCGAGAGCTCAGTTGTTGTTTTAGGGCGTCACGCTCATGTTGACACAAGGCGATTTTTTCATGGAGTGTTTCCATCGAAGCGTCCTTCTTTGCAATCCTTTCGTGCAATTCTTCTTTTACTGCTTGAACTTCTTGTTTTAGCTTCAATTCCAGCGACTCTATGTCAGCTTTACACTTTTCATTCTCAAGCTATGAAAAGGTTTGACAAGTTTTAGTGCAGCTAAACCATCGATGCTATTTTTCTTTATTGCATGTATTTTATGCATTTCAGAAGTATGATCATGTACCCTCTCACCCTTTTAATTTTTCAACATCAAGGAGGTTGAAATGAGTAAGTGAAGTCTAACAAAAGGGCTTGCACATAGATTTCAGATTCTCTGCTCATGATCCGAAAGAATATGACATGAGATTTTTTAATCTATTCTGGATTATCCGAGACTTGATACATTACTTGTTGTCTATAACTACATAATTGACCCTAACCTTTAACTTCTCAATGTAGGACTGAGTAATCTTGTCCGCTGCGTTCTTCTTTAAAAGATTTTGTCGCATTTCCTCCTTTTCTTCCTTTGTTTTTTGATATTTTTCTTGACATGACTCCATCTTCACTAGAGTCAAATCGTTTTCTTTTTTCAACTCGCTCATTTGGTACGACAGACGATATTCCGACCTCTTCAGTTCCGTTAACTCCTGACTTAGCGTGTCACGCTGCACAACTAAATCGTTCAGTTGTTTATCTTTGATTGCAAAAAGACTGCGTAGGCAGGATCCCATGCCCGATAAACTTCCGCGATTGCTTTTGTTTACATCATAGTCAATTCCTGTTGGGTAAATTTTGAAAACGGTGCAATGCTAGTTTTATGTCTTTGCTGTATAACTTTTTTTTTACTTAAATGTTTGAGTTAGCAAGAATGAAAATATCACTTTACAGACATCTATGCTAACATTTAGATTTTTCCGTTCATGTGTTACTCTCTATTTCATGTGAGTGTTATCTACAAATATTGTTCAAAAGATTCCCTTTCTTACATACCTACGATACTTTCCAAACTCGATAATTCCTCGTCTCTGATATCAGATTGCTGCAGTATCTTTTGTATATCAACAAACAATTCAAACTTTTCCTGATCGATCTTTTCATCTTCCTTTTCGCGAAGTTCTTTCAAATCTTCGTTTTCCTCCTTCTCAATGTTTGCCTTGAGCAGGTTTTTGCTTTCGTTTACACTCTCCTTGAGCAGGCTTAGCTGTTCTGTTGCCTCACCGTAATTTTTTACAAGAACTTTGAGTTGCTGCTCTAAATCTTCGTACGCTTTCTTTTTTTCGGCTTCTTGCAAGGTTTTGTTGTTACTGAAACGAAATTTTTGGAATTTAAGTCAAGAATTTGTAATTGCAATGTCAAGGTATATGGATATGTCAGGATTTAAGTTTCAACATTATGCTGATCATGCTCGACGAAGACACTACGACCAATACTGAAATTCTTTATTACCTCATTTCATCTTTTTCTTGTAAGGTAATTTGCAATAATTCAATTTCATTTTCGAATTCAACTTTTTCTTCTTCCAATTTAGCAACGTATTCTTTCAAGCTAACGTTTTCGTCTCTCTGTTCTGTCAGCTCCTTTTCTAAACTCTCTATTTTTTGGCAAAGATCGTTGTTTTCTTTTTGCAGTAAATTGCACTTTTGCCATGAATCTTTTACTTGTTCATCATGGTTTACAAACTTTTGTTTGGATTGACATATTTCTTCCAGAGTTTTTGAAATTTCTTGACATAATTGCTCTGACGTCTCAACGAATTGCTCAAAGAAACATAAAACGCAACAAAATTATTTAAAGTCCATGTATGGTTAAAACATTACACTTTTTTGTGAAATAATATTAACGTGCCTTGAAAGTTAAGATAACTATGATTGTATAAATTTAAGTACCCTCTCAAATCAGAGGCCCTTGTAGGTTGTAGGCTTGGGGCAAAATACCCCCTCCCTGTACCCCTCTCTCGGTGGAGTTAAACTAGTCACTAGACAATGGAACAATCCAATTCTTTTGATGTGCATGTCATGTCATTATACTATTTATATTCATGTTTGACTTGATAGAAAATTCTTTTACCTTTGCTTCAACAAGATGCTGTTGCTCGGTTTTTTTTGCTTTAGAAACTTCGCTATGTATTTTTGTATTTTGCTTATTAAGCTCACTCGTTTCTGCTATCAGTTTGGTGTAACGTTCTTGCTCCGTTCTTACTTTGGCTACTTCTTCTTCAGTACTTAACAAAACGCTCGACATTCTATCGCGCAAAATCTCGTTTTTTGACTCCAAATTGCGAACTGTGTTCAGAACACTATCACAATCACCTATTTGCGTTTCTGCTTGGTTTAACTTCTTTGAAAGTTCGTGGTTTTCCTGTTTCTTTTTCTCGTAAGATTTTTCAAAAAACCCGTTTTGTTCTGTTAGTCTTTCTTTGACTTTGATTAATTCGCTTATTTCATTTCTAAATTCTTCAGTTCTCGCTTCTAAAAGTTTTATTTTCTCTGTTTGTCTTTTGTTCTTCTGTCTTGATTCCTCCAGGTCCACTTGGCATTTGTGCATTTGTAGAATCAATCCTTTGATGGTATATATACATAATGATTTGGTAAATATTATACATTAATACTACATCTCAGAAAAAAATTCTTATCAGTAATATCGTGTAAACACAATTTATTCGTCTCCTTATTCTAGTATCTTCATCAGTGATCTGGTGTTGATTAATGGACTTTTTATATTTTAGTCTAGTGTATTTTAATCATTAACTATTTAACGGAACACATAGACTGACATAGTCCTTACATATTGTATGTTGTCTTACCGTTTATACTACCGATGAGCTGCTGTGGTTTGACAACCAAATCTTCTTCTGCTTTGTTCTCCATTGCACTACCGCTATACAAATGGAAAAAATAATTCTAGTCCCAAAATAAATGATTTTACAATCTAGATCGTAACATTTAAATCAACACTGCGATGTAACAGATAGAGAGGTTATAAGGAAGTGGCGTACTTTAAACTCAGAGCTAGAGAACACTGGGATTTCTGGTTGAACAATGGTCAATGTAATCATGTAATACATGTAATCAATTTTTTTTTGCAAAGAGATAAATATTTAGTGGTGTGGTGGTCAAAATAGTTTGACAGAAATACTTGTCTGAATTAATAATCCTTTTATGTATAGACTAGCGATCTCGATAAAACTACAGAACTTACCTTGAATAGATAAAAACACGACGATATCAAAACCAGCGGTAAGAGTATATCTCTATTCTAAAGCTCTGCGCTAATCTTTAACGTCGTGATTATGACGTCATTAAATGAAATAGACGTCACTTGAACAACGGTGTGACACTTGTCTACTGACGAGACGACTCGCATTTGAAGTAAACTTAGTAAAGTGTATACTGTGTTCGACAAGTATTTTAGTGAAACTTGTCACGCCATTTGCGTGTTTACGTTGATGTTTTAAGTTTTCTAAATACGTATTTTCAATTAAAAGTTTGAATTAAGCTGCATAAGCGATAAGTCAGTGTTAACAGTTGTAAAGATCTTCCTTCATTAATTATGAAAAAAATGGACGATTGACTTCCAATATAATATTGACCGAAGAATTTTTAAGAAAAAGCCGCCAATTTCTACATAAGTTACAGCAATTGATATGGTATTGATGAACTGAAAGATGGTTTTATTGGGGTTTTTTTCACCAGGAATTTAATTAATCCTTCAATGATTAACCATTAATGATTGTTAGTCTTTTGATCAGAACCTCTTATTTTGTGAATACTGTGAATACCTAATCGTGTTGAGCTTGAATTGGTACGAATAATCAATAAAGCTCTTAGTGATAGTTCGAAATTTGTCCCTGCTTAGACCTTGCCATGCTGCGATTTATTGTATAGAACATAAAGTAATGGGGTGGGTGCAATCTTATCGCAGGCGTGAATTCATGCTGAATTTGCATTTTACTCTTAATTCTAAAGTCCTAAACAAGTGTGGAAGTGTGTGGTGAACTCTAAAAAAGTGTGTTACTCTTTGACATTCGGGCACAAGAATTAAAGAACGGAAGGTAGTAACGTACTTTACATTACAACGATTCAGGTGAGTCAGCGGAAAGTTTGATAAATTGTAGTATGATAATGCGATTTTGAATTGCTGTTTCGGAATTTCCTATAATGTCAATTTGTTTTGAGTTTGGATAAGTGATTTTGTCTTATTGTGTAGTGTAAGTTTACGGTGGTGAATGATCTATCATTAACTGGCTTATGCATTAATTTTAGTAGGTAGTCAGCTGTCTTATGTTGCAAGATTTACTTCATTTGCTGCAATCATGGTTACAATGAGAAACCATCCATGGCTGAATAAAATATACGTTATTTAAAACTGGTTTACATATCATAAGGTTGTCGTTGTTCTACCAAGTGGTTTATAAGAATTTCAATTGATTTCTACCTGCTACATTGTGGTATCTTTGGGTAGCCTAGCTGTATGATGATAACATACAGCTAGCCTGGCCAAAGTCACTGCGTGTGGCATTTACTAATTGAGGATGCAACCTAGTTTGATGGGGCAAAGTCATATAGCAAGATGTCTTTGAAAGGATTTGCAGTCAGGATTGGTGTCAATTGTAAAACTTTCCAATGTATCGTCAACCATTTTTGGTCATCAGTTTGAATTAAAATTTCAAATGTTAAAGTTTAAAGAAACTAGAAAGAATGCTCAGATGAAAATCATGCTTGTTATAAGCAGAAAAATCACTAGTATAACATAAATCAGTACACAGATTATTGTATAAACATGCAAACTTTATGTTATACTAAGAATTTTTCTGCTTATTACTTGCTCAGTGTTACTCTTGGCATGCAATTTATTTGCATACAAGTAAACAGAATATTAGGGAAAAATTATAATTTAATGTATACAATGATAATTTGTTGTTGATTACATTACCTAACATATTAAAAGTCACTAAACATCAATAAATAATCACTGAACAAGTAATTTTCAGCTAATCTGTTAACAAGTTTTAGTTCTACAATGTTGTTTTGATACATTATATTCCTATATTATATACAATGTTTTGATACATTATATAAGTATTATGTTTTTTTTATATAATGTAGATTATGGAGCTGAACGACTTTTTGAAATGTCGTTTAAATCGTCTTTTTGAAATGTCGTTTATGTCGTGTTGTCTTTGTTCATGTCGTTCATGTCATCTTTTTGAAAAGTAATTATGTTTTTGAAATGTCATTTATTTCGTCTTTTTGAAATGTCATTTCTTCGTTGTTGATGTCGTCTTTTTTGGAAAGTGCTCATTTTTTTCGTTCATGTAGTTTCTTCATTGGTCATGTCGTTCATATCTTCATATTTTCTATAAAAGAGAAGGATGGCATGGCCATCTTATGCAGAAAATAAGACGAACCGAGCAATTTGCATAATTATTACTAAAATGTGGAATATTTAGCGGAAGCTTGCATGCTAATTATCATTTTCGCCAATTGAATCAAGTTAGGGTTCAACAATACTTACAATAGACACTCTATTTTTGTGATTCATGAATCAAGAGTCCCTGAAAAAATCAAGATTTCGCTATTTTTATTTGTCTGACATTATTGTAAATAGAAGTATAGGAATAATTTGCGATATTCCTAAAGAAAATGACGGAGAAGTTGGAAGCTAGGAGCGACAACATGAATGGAGAGATGAACGATTTTGACATCGTCATGGGTGTTAGACCGGTTCAAATCGTCGCCACTGACGAAGAAGAACACGTTTTTACATTGAACGAGGATGCTCTTGAAGAAATTTTGTTAAGCGACAGTAGAATACGAGACAAAAAGGTTGTTGTGATTTCCGTTGCTGGGGCTTTTCGTAAAGGAAAGTCATTTCTGTTGGATTTCTTTCTGCGTTATCTGGATCGAAAGGTACGAAAAAATGTGGAATTGATTTAGTGATTTACTTGTGGATAATCGACGTACTGTAGTACATAGATTGATGAAATTTGCAAATTTTAAGTCGCTTTATTTTTGTTTTTGAATGGAAAAGTTTTTGCTTTGATTTTGTAATTTCTATGGTAAAATTCTTCCTAAGATTTTATAAAATAAAATCACATCGAAGTTAAAGAGGTCTGTTTCGTAATAATAAACAAGCCTGGCGCTTGTTGTCATTCATGCATCATTTTTAAGATATTGTTGCTTCACTGTAGAATCATTAAAATCAACACCTGTTGGCAATTGCATATTTTAGTATTGTACTAAAATTTGAATAATAAACTAACATTCTTTTCTTGGAGTTGGGAATGCAATGGCTATAAGTTACTGAGATTTGGTTTACATTTTTCTAATCCAGCTATTATCTTCTCTCTCGTTGATGTAGATTTTTATTTAACTAAATTTTTTGTACTTCAATTATCAAAAGAATACATAGCACATGTCTACTGTTTGCATAAAGTTATGAGTTTATTTTGAATAACTTTGATTTCATTACTCATCCCTTTAACCATGTCATACTTAGGAAAGTCCAGACCATTGGCTTGGTGATGACAAAGAAGTGTTGACTGGTTTCTCATGGAGAGGTGGTTCAGAGCGTGAGACTACTGGCATCCTTCTTTGGAGTAAACCCTACCTTTGTACATTATCTGATGGAGAAGAGGTTTGCAGCTTCTTCTAGCCAGAATAGTTATAATTTCAAATTTGTCAACAATGGATACATGTTTATTTATGCCTAGGTTGCAGTTATTCTCATGGATACTCAGGGATCATTTGATAGCTCATCAACTGTCAAGGATTGTGCCACTGTTTTTGCCTTGAGCACAATGTTGAGCTCAATACAGGTAAATGGATATAAGTGCATGTGCTGATACCTTTATAATGTGCAAATTAACGGTGTGCAATGTGCAATTTGCATGTCGTTTTAGCTAAAATGAAAATAATTGCACATCACTTTTTCAAACGATGTGCAAAAATATGCGGTTTTAACGAAAAACACTGTCGTAAATCATATGAATTTGCTCATGTTTAAAAATATTAATTTAGCAATTAGCGCTATATAAGAAATAATGTAATATTGATCTGATTATGCCTCTAAAGAAACACTTTTGTCAAAAATATTGCACATCGTTTTTTCTGAACTAATTCGCACACTGCCTTATAATTAGAGATATTGTTTTTGTTGTGAGTAATATTTACATTACTGTCAAATGTACTTAGTACTATTCAATTTGTAAAAGTTTAAGGCTTATAGTAAAAATAGAAATATGACCTAACATTTTAATTACTATGTGGCCAGCCAAGTGAAATTTTGCAAGCAATTTATATTTTTGAATTACCAATTGTTGATACCAGCTATATTTGTTTCCATTGCAATCACATGTCATAGTCATAATCTGAGATAATAATATCATAGTCATAATCTAAGATTTAAATTTACATTTTCAGATCTACAACATTACTCAAAACATCCAAGAAGATGATTTGCAACATCTCCAGGTTAAATTATAAGCCTCTTTCTATGTTTATTCTTTGTATTCTACATCTTGGTGTGCTGTAATTCAGCTAGTATGTGAATCATCAATTTGCATTATGCAATTTACAGATTGTTTTTGCTGAAATTAAAAAATGCACATCTCTTTTTTAAACTATATGCAAAAAAAGTAAATCTTAGACATTGATTTCTAGACCAGAAATTGAAATATAGTTTTCAACATAAACTTTTACTGCTCGTGTGTTAGGCAAGTACGATGTATGTAGTACAAGTATTTTCAATCAAATAAATGTACCATTTGAAAATATTAGTTAACTGTTGTGCACATCATAATTACCTACAAAGTATTTGTTGGAATGAGACTCCAAGTTAGTAGTATCATGTTACATCAATCTCATTCTGATTCTGGTGGTACAGTGAGTTTTCTTGAAAAAAAGTTGTGCATCATTTTATTCAACTAACTGCACGCCGCTGTAACTGAAATTTTGTTCTGTGTTATATATAAAGCTCTGTGATATTATACATATGTATATGCTTGTATATTGATATAGCTTTTCACTGAATATGGTAAACTTGCAATAGAAGAAAGCCATGCAACACCATTTCAAGTTAGTACTTAGTTGAATCCTATATAGTTTAATGAGGCTTTATATGTGTGTTTTATCTTTACATCATGGGCATTGAAGAAAACTTCATTACTGTATGTATAGTCTTAGCATACTTTAAATTAGGATTAAGCTCAAATTTGTTTGTTTGGGGCTCAAGCCAGGTGTCTTCATTGTGTGATTTTGCTCAATTTTGAATAGTCTGACGATATATGCTACCACTCGAGTGGTTGTTTATTTTTGTGCTTATTGTTTTTGTTATTGTGACTGTGAACACCGAGCAGCTAATTCCTAGTGTGAGTTGCATAAACAGAAGTTCGCACAGCTCTAAGCTCAGCATCTTTACAGTTAGTCTTATGTTAGCTTTCATAGCTAAATGAGGAGCTTTAGCCCAACTTTCTTCTTTTGGTATATTGTTTACGATCGTTGTTTTTTTTTTGTTTTTTAGAGTTTGTTGTTTTTGGTTCGTGACTGGAGTTTTCCATACGAGGCCCAGTATGGGTACACTGGTGGTGATATGATCCTGAAGCGACGCCTCGAGGTACAAACCAAACATATATGTAGTACCTTTGTACTTGTATGTTTTTACATTTTGTTTTATGCTATACATCTTCATCAGTTCTGTTTATACTTTATTAAGCAAACATTAAGCATGCATTCGTAGATATTTGATTAAATTTAAAAAAATCGAGTTTATTTTTAGAACATTTGTCATGTAAAAAGTTTGTATGCCATAAAGTTCCTGTCATATTTCTGTAAACTGTTGCACACAGGGTTAAACCTTTACGACATTAATATTTACACGTTTATAACATGTCTTCAATGTTTGTAATTGCACATTTATTTGAATTCTAGTCCTTTACTTTAAATTTCTAAATCCTTATTGGTGTTTTATCCCATGTTCAGACAAAGCCAAAACAACACAACGAATTGTTGCAAGTTCGAAATCATATCCGATCATGTTTTGATGATATCTCTTGCTTTCTTATGCCACATCCTGGTCTTAAAGTTGCAACCAGCCCAGAATTTAAAGGCGAACTTTCCGGTACGATGTAATAATATGTAATATTTAGAGTAAATTTAGTGGGCTTGTGGTCGGCTTGTTAGTGTGAGGTTGTTTATAACCCTACCGTCTTGATGAATGGACATAGAGAGAGAGAGAGCACTATTGTTAAATTCATGCTTTATTTTATTGATTTCTGAAGAAATTATTAACCCTATGTTATTAACCCTATGGATAATAAGTTCAATATATGAATATCCCCCTTACCCCTCCAATTAACTGTCGATGATAAATTGCAATTTACGTCACTGCTGGTTCTTATTTAGATATCCATTTACACGAAGGTCGACGGTCTCTCATTTATATTTCTTTATTTTTAAGATATTGGCGATGACTTCAAACATCATCTCAGCCAACTTGTGCCGTCCTTACTAAGCCCTGAGAATTTAGTTATCAAAAAGATTAACGGACAGCCCGTCACTTGTCTCGGTCTTGTTGAGTATTTTAAGGCAAGTGTATTGAGGGCTTTTTAGCCTCGTCCCAGACCTTTTATCGCCGCCAATATTTTCATTTGGGAATTGAAGAGGACGTGGTTAAGTTCTTTGTTCGTTCACCAAGAATTTCATATAAGAAACATTTAATTTCTTGCTGTTGCTCTTCATTTTGTTATGACTATTTTTTCGCTTAGTGTCGAGAAGCTTGATTTAAATTTCTGAGTGCATGTTTTGAATTTTCATGTTTGTCCTCTAACTATCGAATCAGTATGGTTACGATCATTTTTGATTGGAGGATGTATGAACACGTGGGCATGTACTTGAAATGTCGACTGAACTTTGCAGTGTTACGCCGAATAGTAACGAGAGATTCATTGAACATCACCAATTTATATTATACCATTATAAAAGAAACCGTTTCAAACTTTTGCTTGTCATTTTTAACTAGGCTTACATGAAGATCTACCAAGGCGATGAGCTACCAGAACCCAAATCTATGCTTCTTGTAAGTAATGATGAATTGTCATTCATTGCTAAATAATGCTTGTGATTAACCTTTCTAAAATGCTTCTTTGAAATTGTGTGTAATCAACTGCATGCATTACATAGGCAATGTATCCATACTACGAATCTGTAGTGAACTAAAATTGCTCATTACACCTGAAGAAGACTATAATTATAGCTTGTAGTTGTAGTAGGAGCTGGAGTTGTAGTTGTAATTGTAGCTGTAGCTGTAGTCGTAATGCTGTTGTTGTTTTTGTTTTTGTTGTTATAGTTTTAGTCATATATCGTTTTCTGTAACTGTAGTTTTTTTCCTGTCTTGTTATAAGACGTCTTTTTTCTTGTCGCAGGCGACTGCTGAGGCAAATAATTTGGCAGCATTAGCAAGTGCAAAAGATCATTACCTGCACAAAATGGAAAAGGTCAGTAGTGATTTGCTGCCGAAGCATCTATTTTTTATCTTTAAGGGTGTTTCGTTGTTTAAGCTATACTCCATGGAGACTAAGGTCAGCAATAGAAACCATTTGAACTGAATATATGCCTGATAAACATGCTCTACTTGTACTTGAGCAAGCTCCCGCTAATTATTATTTGTATATTATTTATATTTCACAATGACAATGCGTTTAGCTTATGTTGTTTTTCAGTTGACCCCTCTCATTAAATTGTCGTGTAAAACTACAGTCGTTTTTTCGCTATAGATTTGTGGGGGTGACACTCCATTCCTTGCCACAGATGAGCTGGATAGACGACACGAGAAATACAAGTCTGCAGCCCTGGGTATGTTTCATACCACTCGGAAAATGGGAGGCGAAAACTTTAGCAAAGAATTTGCTGAAAGACTTGAAACGAATATCGATGACGCTTACATAAACTTTGTCAAATTGAACGATGGAAAGAACATCTTTAATGCTGCGCGAACTCCGACGGTTTTCTTCGCCATCATGTTGTTGGCGTATCTTTTGTCAGGTCTTTTTGGAATCGTTGGTGTCACGTCGTTTGTAATGTTGTGTAATTTTGTCATTGGTTTCTCGTTGCTTGCGATAATCGCGTGGGCCTATATCCGATTTAGTGGCGACTTCCGCGAGATAGGGAAACAATTAGATGACGTTGCTGAAGTGGCCTGGGACGAGGTATATTGCTAGATAACGTGAATTTAGTTTGACATCAGTTTCTTACTTTATGTGGTTGGCTTAAAGGTTTTATTCAATCGTCATGTTTCTCAATTTTTTGGTTTTAGATAGGCTCCATTGTTAAACAAAAAGACCACATGTAAAGATACAAATCTTGCATTTTCTCTTATTTCACAGGTAATGACTAGAGTTTATCAGAAAATACTGGACAAAGGGAAGAAATCAATTACATCATCGATAAGTGGAAGTGCAAATACCAGCAGGGCTGATAGTAAGAAGAAAAAGTAAGCTAGAGTATTTCATGCCCGAGTTATATTTTCAGTGTCCTTAATTACATCGGGATTATCTGTAAAAATAATCTGTATGATCAAGACTTTAATCATGCAGATAAGAAATATATGCTTAAGACTATTGGATCGTTTAACATTATTGATATTGGCTTCCAAGTCGTGTAACAATAGTCATCTGACTTCGATTGTCAAATAATGCTTATTGTGATTGTGAGAAGTGGAAAACTCGTGTAATTCATTCAAAATTTACTTGGTTGTGAAGTAGAGCGAACTGGAACCAATATTTTATCGCCAACCTCATCGTTTAGCATTGTTTTGAAAATAAAATGTTGTACATATTGAAGTTATTTTGGGATTTTTGTATGACTAGGTCAAAATTCGTTTTTATGGGTTTTCTTCTAGCAAGTAGGTATCTTTTATTTTCGTGGGGTGTTATTTTTGCTTATTTATGTATAGCGACAGTTTTGCTCCATATCAGTCTGCTTAGACAATGGTGATTGGTAATGATGCAAATGAATGAACGAGAAATATGTTAGGCTCTGTTGTTATGGCTTGATGGTAGAATCTTTTCCTATGCACCAGTATGAGTATCTGTTCGTGGGGTGTTCTACAGATGTCAGATATGTTTGACTTGCTTGTTCATACACACAACTACAGTCTTTTGAACTACAGTCTTTGGGAGTTAGGTGTATGAACTATAACAGGAAGTTAGTGTTATTAATATTGTTATTAATTGTTAGAGCAATCGAAAACAGCTTGTTCTTTCATTGGTATTGCTCTCGCTTGTTGTGACAATGTTGTTGACGATTGTTGAATGAACAAGGCCTGAACAACATTGTTTCAACAACAGACATTAAGCTTGTTCCCATGAACCATGTTCACATATTGTTCAAACATGTTGCAACAAGGTTGATCGTTAGGACGTCGAGGTTTGGCAGCTGACATGAATGTACGTTGTACTCAGGCACGAATTACGTTTGTGAAGCTATTTGATAAAGTTTTTAGTCTGACAAATCTTATTGAGGTTGGATTGAAATTTTCTAACTTAACGTTCAAAAATGCGTGGCTTCATGTCTTTGACATTAATGGTTTGGCCTATCAAAGATTATCATTGTATAAACTTTAAAGTCTTGGACTCGTTATTCATTTCGACGATTGAAACAGTCGACGAGCGTTGTTTTTCATGTTCATATAAAAACCGTGTTAGGATTAATGTATTATGGATATTCTCTGATGGTTGCTTTGGAATATACCAATATAAGAAGGTTATATATACCAAGATAAGAAGGCTATTTAAAGCTGTATAAGTGAATGAATGAGCCACTGTGGCGTCAGTTCCCAGTCCACTTAGCCGCTCCAATTATTGAACTCGACGATATTTACATTTTGCGTTTACGGCAGCGGAAGGGTTTGTTATCCGTGAGGCTTTGCCGTCTGTAAAATATTGCAGGCTTGTTAACAAATATACGTGCTAAGTTGGTGGGATATATTTTGCTGAAACTTTTCTTAAAGACTGAAAGTAGTTTCGTTGCTACATTGTAAAGCTGGATTTCATTGCTTACAATGTCAGAAACGTATGGTAAGAAGAAAATTTTGTTTGAATTGTTTTGACGAAGTTGCATCTTTAGTATTCATCCAACGTACACCTTCCCCCTGAATTTTTTCGGCTCCTCCATAAACATTGATTATAAAGAAACTTTTTAATGTTTTTCTTTAGATTTTCTTTTTAAGTTCCTTGTCATTGGAAGTGCAGGCACTGGGAAGAGTTGCCTGTTACATCAGTTCATTGAAGGAAAATGTAAGAATCTAATGATTTCCTTTTTTATGGAACTTAACTTGGTACACGTTTTGTCGTATGTGTATCATGTATCAAGGTTAAAATGCTAATCATTCAACACTTAATGCCTTACATGTCAATAGTTAAGCAAGACTCAAGTCACACAATTGGTGTGGAATTTGGTAGCAGAATAATCAATGTTGGTGGGAAGTCAGTAAAACTGCAGATCTGGGATACTGCTGGACAAGAGCGATTTAGGTATGGAGTTTTTATAGGCAAATACCATTGTGTATGTCAATAAAACAAAGCATAGCTATGTATTGCAAAAAGAACTTTCATTTGCTCAGATCCAAAAAACATTGTATGTTTCTTAGATCAGTGACGAGAAGCTACTATAGAGGTGCCGCTGGAGCTCTTCTTGTTTATGACATAGCAAGGTACACAATAAGTGCTAATATTTCAGGGAGATGGTAGAAATCCAGGAAGTTGTCAAGTAACCAGTTGCAAGAAATACTATTTCAATAAATTGAATATTAACTTATAGATTGTTATATATTAATTTATTAAGAAAGTATTTATACAATTTCTCATCAGTCGAGAAACATACAATGCATTGACGAATTGGTTAACAGATGCAAGGACATTGGCCAGCCCAAACATTGTCATAATCTTGGTGGGTAATAAAAAAGATTTAGATGCAGAAAGAGAAGTCACTTTTATGGAAGCCAGTCGATTTGCTCAGGAAAATGGTATAGCTTAACATTTTATTACTCCTTACATTTTACCCTTAATTTGTTTATTGATAGCCATTTCTAACTTTTGTTTTATGATTATCTTTAGAGTTAATGTTCTTGGAAACTAGTGCATTAACAGGTGAAAATGTTGAAGAATCGTTTTTGAAATGCTCAAGAACCATACTCAACAAAATCGACACAGGTTAGCTTTGATCAGAAATATGTTACATCTACTTTTACTTAAGCAACACAAAATAATTTCTTTGAATGGTGAAATTTGTGTTTAAAAATAATGTGAAGAATTCAAGCTCTTTCATTGGTCAAGTGCCATGATCGATTAGAGGACGATTGCATGGAAAGATGTCACAGAAAATGTCTTGTGTTTAAATTACAAAAAAATTCCGAATTTATTTGAATATTTACCTGAATTTTTCTCAGACTTTGAAAAAGACCTATCAGGAAGGTGGTCATAGCCAGATAGCCCTAGTTAGATATTGTACAAATTTACAATCCATGTATTTTTTGTTAATTGCAACATATAAATCACAGAATTACACCTATGTATCACAAACTTTATGTGACCTTCCTCCATCAAAATTTGCTGATTTTTCCCTTGATTAGTCTTCTGTTGAAACTGGGAATCAACAATATTACTTGAATTGTTTATATTTCCAACAGGGGACTTAGATCCTGACAGAATGGGGTCTGGGATACAATATGGTGATCCATCTAAAAGACGAACTCTTCAACCAAGAAATACTGATGGCGGAAAGTGCCCTTGTTAAATGGTAAAAATGCCACAATTATTACCTAAGTATTTAGGTTTAACTAATGTATGCTTGCTTTTTGTCTTACGTGTTCTAGAATGGTTATATTTGTTTTTAGGAATCACAAGATGCAAGTTTTTTATTCTTCAAAGAATGAAGATTAAGTGCTCTGAAATTCAGACATCTAGTAGAATAAAAATTTATCAATATGCATAATTAAAATGCACTTTACTAAACAACTTTCATAATTACTCAAGGTTCATGAACATGTCAAAATCATAAAATTCCAATTTTATCTGAAGCTAAAAATCATAGGATGATTTCAAATACGAACTCTTTGAAACTTAATTCAGACCATTTAGACTAAGCACTGATATGTATACATGTAGTTATGCTGAGTGACACTTGTCGTCCTGGATGTATTTATGTATATTGCATCACATTGTCAATTATAATTATATTATTACAAACTACAAACTAAATTTTTAGAGTTCTTGCAAGAAAATTTGACAAATTTAAAATCTTAATTAGACATTTGTAAGATAACACTTGAATTGCAAATGTTTTTACAATTATGTCATCTGGGTCATTCCTCGATACATTCATGGATCCCATTCACCACTATCATTTGCTAAAGAGGATGCAATTGGATTGCTAGTGGGAGGAGGAATCATTGAAGATATCTTGTCCATGGCAGACCCTCCACCTGCATCTTCAGCAGATTTATCTCCTCTCGATCCTGAGATACCCTTTCTTCTCATTGATAATTTTGCAAAAAGGTCACTCATAAGGTCTCCACCTCCACTGCTAGGTGCTTCCTTTTCAGCTCGCTTTTGCTTTCTCTCTTTTGGGTTTTAGCTTAGCTTTTCCAGCTCCACCTGCATTTCAGATTGCCGCCATAAGGTCTGCTCGCCACCATCGCCTTCTATAGCAGTATTTTCAGGTTGATTGGCTTCCACACCTATTGGAGATGCATTTAAGGTTAACTATAAATAAACATATCATATAAATACCCAACTACCATAAAGTTTAACTGCATCACACTATAAGATGTTCTTTTTTATGAATGTGCCTTTAAGATTCACACCAAGTTGTTGCTTAAGGCCTTCTGTTTGTTCTTGCATAATGGTGAAAACCTTAATCAATAGACCACATTCACCAGATAACTTTACAAGAAACTTACCCGAGATAGATGGTCCAGTACTCTCATCTTCTATTGGTTGTGGTGGTGGTGGTGGTGGTGGGGGTTCAATAGGCTCAGGAGGAGGGGAGGAGGTGGTGCCAGAGTGGATTCTGGCATATCACCTACATTACGAGTAACTAAAGGAGCAGGTTCTTCAGGGATAACTTCAGGTAGTTCAGGGATATTTGATCCTGGTAATGATGGTGCAATAGATTGGCCAATATCAGCACTAAAACAGATATTAAACTAAAGTTTTGACCAATAGAGCTATAGTTATTTGATAAAACATCCAACCAACCTCCAAGCAAGATCATCTGCAATTCCTGGCAAGTCAGGCAAGTGTACAGGGACATCTAGTTCGGGCACATCACCAAGATTAGGTGTGTAAAAATAGTTTGTTAAACCAAGCAACTCCATTTCTTCACGGTTGGTTATTGTAACAGGAGCAGCAGCTAAGTCATCTGTTTCTTCATCTAGGCCTTTCCGTGTTTTTGTTATGGCACCTTCTAAAGGATCCAAAATCACATACTTCTTATATGGATTCTCAGTTGTGTTAAAAAGCAGCAACGAGCTGATAGAAGAGACATCTTTGGGTAATCCGCCTAAACCTTGATCAGATTTGTCTGTCTTTTTTTGATTGACATTCAGCTGCACATTGAAAAATTGCAACTTCTCTTTTATGCTGTTGTGGTCAGTTTTACCAAACGTACTTGTCACATGATAGTCTTGATTAGTCCCAGATATCTTACTGGGGTCTGGCTTTAATCCATCACAAACATGTAACAAATTGTACTCTTGTAATTTATCCGGAGCTGGATATTTCGCACTAGAGAAAACCCTTATTGCCTTTCGACTTCCACGGATCTTGTCAATTTTCGCCATAGCAACGTTCGCCCGTCTGTCGATCGCTGCAATTTTTTTGCGATTTTCTGCGACTTGTTGGTCAATTTTTGCAAAGACATCGTTCGACACTTGTTGTAAATACTCCAAAACGTTCACGATTTGAATTATGGACTCTTCTTTTCGTAGGCCAGGTAAAATCAAAGGCACGTCATAGGTTAAACTGGGCATTTTCCTGATTTTTTCTTACGAAAATGCTGTAAAGAAGTTTAGGTTTCGAAAAGAAAATACGACATTGGCAAAAAAAAGACGTATCCGGGCTTACCTCCCCCCTGAATGCAAATGGCTGTAAAGGTGAAGTCAATCGTAAAGACAGAAAAGAGACGTCATACGTCATACGTCATCGACATGTGTGGAAAATGCGCAATTACCAGAGAGCATTTTTATTTCATTTTGCTGTCATAATAAATCTTTTCTAGGTAACACATTTTTAATTTTCTCCCCGGAGAAAAATATTTCACCTTCTTTCTGCAATATTATTGACGACCAAAGTCTATTTTAAAAAGCACAAATCCCTAAATCCTTACCGAAATCACTGATTGCAATCAAGTTAATCCATACAAAGTACTGCATGCGCATGTTCAACACGTGTTGTTATGTAATGTTACACAAAGTATTTACCCGCACGAAGAAAGTTTATTACCTGGGTTTATTATGGTAAAAGTACAACACGGCCATTACCTTTCACATTAATAGTTGAACTATGATCAACAGTTGGGGAAATTACTATAATATCTGACGGAATATGTAACCTGAGTTACCTTGCATTTAACCTCGAAATTTCAAGTAGCAATTGCTCGTCACTGTCGAAGCTTCTTTTCCAACTTTCGTGGACGTATTCAACAACACTTTATTTTCAAGATGCCTCCAACGATTGCCCAAAATCGTCTCAATTCTAATGGTATATCCAAAGGTAGTAAATTCCATGTACTTGTTCATTTGAAATTTGGAAATTGCCCATGTTTTCAGCTCATGCATGGCAATATTATTAATACTGCGTGTCGAAGAACCCACAATGAATTACTTTTTGTTTTTCACATCCATTTTTTTACTGTGAAATACTTAAGTTTGCTTTGATTTTCTTGAGGATTAAAAACAACATGGAAACTTAGCGAAAAGGGTACAGTCATTTAAAGCTATTCAGTATAAAATAGGCTGAAATGCAGTATTTCTCACTGTATTTGAACAATAATCTGTGATGTATGATATTTTGGAATAAAACAACAGTGAATTTAGGGTTGGTTGGAGCATTTATAAAAAATTACTTTAAATTGATAATGCTTATCACCATTGTTACAATATTTTGGACTTAAATTGACAATAAACGGTGTATTGTATTCTGATCTACCCTTTACAGGCTTGAAAACACACAGAAAACAAAGTGTAATTTGATTTTATGAATATTGATATTGATGATTATGTTTTAGACATATTTCAATATCTTAATGATACTCTAAGCCAGAGGATTATGATCCTTGATGGTCCAATGGGAACAATGATCCAGCAACACAGTTTAGATGAAGATGCTTTTCGAGGTATTACAAACCTACAGTATTTTTCAAACACTTTGAGCAAGTTATTACAACTCTTTCCTAGAAAATTTTACGGAAAAGTTGAAAATTCTCTATCAACCACTCATCACATTCAAAGTTTCAAATCAATATAACTTGAAAATAATCATTATGGCATTTAACACTTTTTCTCCAACAGCAAATGTTTTCAAAAGAAGTTTTATACATCTTTTTCATTTCAGTAATTATTTTCTTTTTTCTAAAACAGCAAAATTATTAGTAAATATCTGCTATTTCTTAACTCTTTTACTGTAGTCAATAAAATCCTTCAGATTTTCTTCTAGTGATAATGCATTGACAACATCCTCCCCTTTACCATCATTCATCCATGACTTTATAAGCTCATCGGGGTTATTATTGGACTCTAATGCTTTATAGGTTTCTAGGATTAAGTCCAAGTCCAAATTATCTACTGATAGTTGCAATTGTTGTTCTTCCAATGAGTCTTGTGATAGATCATTTGTATTGTTCTCTACATTTTCCTCTTTATTTATGTTTTTTGTTTGTCCACTTGAAAGAATCTGACTCTGCTCCTCTACAAACACTTCAACTTTAGGTTTATCAATGTCAGGAATATGTATAATTGTAAAGCCTTCATCACATTTAGTTTTTCTACAATCCCATGAGTTGTCGTCTGGTTGTCTTTGAGGATTTTCATATTTCCTGCTATTGTCAACTTCTTGAACTGTAGATGTTGTATATGCCTTATTTTGATGCCATCTACTCTCCATAGTTTTTGTTTCAGTGATAGCAGCTTTCACTAGGAGGTAGAAAATAACACTATGGGTCATCATTTATCATGTGTGGTTTATTAAGGATAGTAATATGCAGTGACCCCTCTTCACCCCCTAGTCTTTATTGTGGTAGGGATCAAAAGTAAGATCCTTGACATCTTGATTTAAGAAATCATTCAGATAATATTTTCTTCTCGATTATTTGGACTTTGTAATGTTCTGTACTCATGTGATTACATTTCTTTTAACCCTGTTTGACTAGAATTTCTAATATGCTTCAAATCACCCATCATTACATTGGCATTTACGCCCTGCTGATCTTTGCACATAGTCTGGATTGTGAGATCCTTTGGTTTGTCCATCTATTCATTGGTTAATGCTGTCTGGGTGTCACGTGACTACCCCCTGGTATTGTAAATTGCTACATTAAAAACTTTCTTCATACCTCCGGTGTTCATTGAACTATGCAACATTTTGTCTATATTGTTTGGTTTGGAACTCTTAGATGCTCTCGTGCAATCACTGTCATTGCCGTCACTGTTGGTTGATGTTTTAAGTTTGCTAATTTTTTTCTCACGAGCTCGGCGATTTTGAAACCAAATTTGAATGGTCTTGTTGGGTAGTCCCAGATCTTTCGCAAGTTTTTGTCGAAGTTTTGCGTCCGGATGCTTAACATCTTTAAAACAACTTTCGAGGACTTTAAGATGATTGTCGTGAAATGTTGTTCTTTCTCTTTGTGGTTTGGTTTGTCCATTGTTTTCTGTTCGAAAACGTTGTTTATGAGTGACGTTAAGAAGCAGTAGGATTATTGAAGATTGTGAAGACACAGACGATATGGGTGAGAATATTGACCTATAGGAACGGACCAGTGTGGTCAGGGGGATTTATGAGGATATTGACAGATATAGGGACGGACCAGTGTGGTCAGGGGATTTATGAGGATATTGACAGATATAGGGGGACGGACCAGTGTGGTCAGACGGATCGGTGAAGCAAAGTAAGCCGCAGTAAATTTAGTAAATATAAGTTATAGCCCCCCCGGTTTAATTTTGTGGCGCTGTTTTTGATATGACGCAAAGAGTAGAAGCCCGATCATAAATATCTTGAACGATATAAAGACACATGTTACAACGTTGAAAGATGCACGGTGAGAAACACGACCATTACCACGTTGAACGATATGAAAACACCACCCCCCCCGATTAGTTAAGATATCCTTACTGACCAGTAAGGATGGCAATGGATAGGAACAATACAAGGCGTTAGATACGGGAATGTAGCGCTTGGTATATTTCTAAGATCAGAAAAACTGTGTTTTGACTTCAACACGTGGAAGAAAATATGAGATACAATGTTCTAGTTTCTCTCCTTACCATATCCATTGAAATTAATAAATGGTCCTGATAAGCTATCGCACAAATCATACAAGAAGCCTCTCTGGTTTGTGTGATGGAACTCTTGTTCTGTGTTCTCCAAATCTGCTATATTACAAGTATTTGACGCATTTGCCTTTAACCATTCAGCCAACTCTGTTAGTCTTCTGTCCACAGAATGATCTTTGTTGTTCATTTTTCTTTTGCTTAAGATCTTCTTGCATTACTCCAATTAGTCATGCTTTATACAGTGATCTAAACTTTTTCATATCAGCTATTTGTTGCGTCACTAATTAGACGTCTTGCACACGCGTCTTCGTGATTGGATTCTGGCGTTTGTGTTTTTTACGCGCGTTCTTTTTAATCTTGTCTTCATGTCGTCGCTGTTGGCAGCCACGTAATGTGACTATTGTCATGAAAGTAAACTAAAGTTCACTTATACAGCGTATTAACGATTCTGTAGTATCGTGGGGCTCTTTTCTTTATGATAATGACTGGTCATTGTTGACAAATGAACCACAGAAAACAGAATATTGACGCTGAGCTAACGTTACGTTCTCAACTACGTTTAAGGTAGCGAGTTTAAACAACATCCCAAACCTTTGCGTGGAAACAATGACTTACTCAGCATCACGCAACCAGACCTAATCTATGACATTCACAAGGTATTGAGAAACTTATTGTCTTGTAAATCATGCAGCGAGATTCTGTTAGAAATTTTTTGTGGATCAATTAAGTTTGATGGACTGGATCAGTTTTAACACGAGTTTTCAACAATTTCACGTGGTTGACCAATGTTTTTTTTGTACATGAGCTTGTACATTTTGTTTTGATTTATCTTGATTTGTCCGAACTATATTCTTGAGAACACATGAAAATAATTTGTTCATCGTCTTTAGCAATTTCTTGAGGCCGGAGCGGACTTTGTCGAAACAAATACATTCAGTGGAACGTCTATAGCTCAAGCAGATTATGGATTGGAACATGTTGTAAGTGGGTGTATATTTGTGCTCGAGTGCAGTTTAGTATGCCTTCATACTTAAAATTCAGCAGATACGCTCTCAGTATTGATTTTTCCTTGAAGAGAGGTAAAGCTGAATATAACATTTTACAATCGTATTCACAAATAAGAAACTTTCATTTTACGAAATATTTTCTCCACTTTTCAATGAATTTTGAAAAAGAATTCTGAGGATATTGCATTTCTGCTTTCTTTATCACCACCTTTGTTATTACTTACCGCCTCCCTTGCTATTCTTTACCATCTCGTCTTATGATTTTAATGCCTTTTTAGGTCTATCGCTTGAATAAAGAGTCTGCTCAGTTGGCTAAGAAGGCGGCCGTGGAAGTCGAAGCCAAAGATGGTGAGAAATCAATAACTACTTTCATTCTTCAGTGGCGTATCTAACAACGCGGCGATTCCAACTGATTATTGCTTCTTATTGCTCTAACGTCAAATATAAACATTGTTTGGCGTTTGTTATTTGCAGTTATATGAAAATAGACATTTATTGAACTGAGTTCAAAGAATCAAGAATCGGTGGAACTGCTTTCTTGTGGGCTCAAGAGAGCAACACAGTTAATTTTCGGATTAAGAAGACATTTCGGGACTAGCTCAATGTATACGTAGTTTTATAGGATTAGCGATTTACGTTTTGTAGGTATTCCTCGTTTGGTTGCTGGTGCTATTGGACCAACAAATAAAACGTTGTCACTCTCCTTCGGTTGAAAATCCAGGTTATCGAAATATCAGTAAGTCGGTTGTTCATTCTCTACTCATTTATGTATCAATTCTGTCTGTACACGTCGAAATCGAATATTTGTTCATTTTCACACATTAAGATTAGACTTGACGGCTAGTTTGTTTATGCATTTAACTTTAGGTAACCTCGTTTCCATGTCGTATATTTAACCAATCACGGGCTTTGTTTTCAAATTAATTCTAGCGTTTGATGAACTTGTGGAAGCGTACACGGAACAAACACGAGGTCTCCTCGACGGTGGTTCGGACCTTCTATTGGTCGAGACCATATTTGATACTGCGAATGCAAAAGTAATATTACTTTACGACGTTTATTTATGATTGATGGTGTCGTATCTGAACATTCCTCGTTACGATTTCAACATGCTCGACATATAGCTATTTTTGTCATTTTTAGGCTGCTCTTTTTGCTATCAGTAATGTTTTTGAAACTTATGAAAAAGTTCCAGTTTTCGTGAGTATTGTTTGTGATCTTAAGGATAATGATCAATCCATGTGACAGATGATACGAAAGTGTTTTTGTTATTGAAATTTGAGTGTAGATTTCGGGGACAATTGTGGATAAAAGTGGACGTACATTATCTGGACAAACTGCTGAAGCTTTTATTACAAGTGTATCTCACGTTAAACCAATGTGGTACATAGATTCTCTGTATTTGACCTTGCATGATTTTTGAAATACTAAAACATCTGGGGTTGGTTTCCCGAAACCTGTATATTGAAGTACATAAAATATAAACCTTTACGATTTACATTAAAAAATCAATTGAATAAAACGTTTATAAATATAAAGGTTCATACGTAATTTTCTATATCATGTTGAACCCTTACATGATTTTTCAAAATGTCTGCATCTTCTCTCCGGATCTTGTCTTGAAATATGCTTTCGTTGTATGTTTTCTAGTATTGGACTAAACTGTGCATTGGGTGCAGTTGAAATGCGACCTTTTATTGAGCTGTTTGCCAAGGAAACTGACAGTTATGTTTTGTGTTACCCAAACGCCGGTAAGTTGATTTTAGTGCACCAAGTTTTTTTGAGGGGAAACTGCCCTGATAACACTGTAAAATAGCTAGGTGTTGCAATCAGGAGTCGTTTGCTCGGAGCACAAACAGAATTTTAAATTAGAAGAGATCGAATCGCTCTCACCCCTTAATTATGTTAATCTACGTGCGAATATTGAACTTGTAGGACTTCCAAACACATTCGGTGGCTATGATGAATTGCCAGACACGACAGCAAGTTATTTAAAGGTATTGAAATATATTAAAGTCAACTACTTAAAATATACATCCGCCAGTTTTCTATTAAATATACTGTCACCCACCCCACCCCCTCCCAATCAAACATATTTTAGTTCTAGTGGTCGAATATCTTTATGTTTTTATCTCGTGTACTTTCTATGATGTTACAAGAAACATTTAGCTTCGAATTGCATACGCCAACTCCATAATAGTTGAGCCCATTGTTTCTCTATGCTAGAGCATCTGTCTGATTATATTTTTCAATATTAAGCACTTTGTTATGGATGGTTTGGTAAATATTGTTGGCGGATGTTGTGGAACTACTCCTGAACACATCAGGTTAGAAAAGCATATTACGTCAGAGTTTTCATGTTTTTATTTTCATACTGTCTGCGATGTAGTATAGATATTGCCGATATATTGACGATAGATTTGCATTTCTAGTTTTTCATTCGTTACATGCATATCTTGTATAAAAACTATTATATAGCAACCATTTTATACCATACATCATGTAATAACTATTCGCGATACAGTAACCATTATACAATTGTACTGAAGTTCAGACATTGACAAACAGGTATTTAGGTTTAAATTCAACCCACTGTCATGAATATTTTTCATTCTGTATTTTTTTTCTTAGACTTAACATTTTATAGCCATTTTCTCTATGGGAGAAACATTTCGAATCGATGTTTTTATATCCACCGATTACAGGGCCATCAAAGAAGCTGTGACCCCTTTCGTGCCAAGGTCTATCCCGAAAGATCTTTATAAGGATACTCTTCTTTTATCTGGTATGATAATACTAAAGTACTTAGATTCTTGTTTTTGTTCGTATACCAGGGGCGGGTCAATGCTCATTTGACAGGAGGGGTGCAGATTTTCCAAAGGGGGGTGCATCATTGTGCTCGCTAAAGTTACAAGAGTCTCTATTGCGGGTTAGATATGAGTCAAAAAGTGTTATTACCTTTCAAAAAGAAATTTTGTATGTTTTTTTTTTATTAAAGAATGTGCATTTACTAATTTATTTCAATAAGAATAAGAATAGTTATTAAAAAATAAAATAAATTTAAAAAATAAGAATAGTTTTCATTTATATTGCTGGTCTTATTTCAAAGGTCTTGAGAGGACGCTCGTGGCAAATTTTTCGATATTTTTAAACATCGGTGAACGATGTAATGTGGCTGGTTCTCGACGGTTTGCGAGGCTGATCCGAGAGGGGAAATACGAGGTGGGTGCGTGGCATACTATGCCTTTATTGGCAGTTGAAGTTGTTTGATGCTATTTACGGCTCTTTTTCCTATGTTCTGTGCTATTCATGACGACCAGGAAGCTTTGAACATTGCCAAACTTCAAGTTGAGAACGGTGCTCAAGTACTAGACATCAATATGGATGAAGGACTTTTAGATGGTGTCTCGGCGATGACAAAATTTGTCAATCTCATTGCCTCCGAACCTGAAATAGCTAAGGTGAAGTTGTCCTATCTAGATGAATTTACGTTTTGTTTTGTCGGTGTTCACCATTTATTATGAAAATACTTGATTGTATTATACTGTCAATGTCAACTGTGAAAGTTGCAATATTAGATTACGCTAGATGAAGATATTAGGCTGGTGCAAGAACTCAAGATTAAACATCACATCATTCATGATGAAGACACTGTACTTGATATTAGGACTCAAGATTCAACATCAGATCACATTGGATGAAAACACTACATTGCAGTACATACAAACTCAAGATTTAGCATCAGATCACATTGGATGAAAACACTACATTGCAGTACATACAAACTCAAGATTTAATATCAGATTATTCCTGATGAAGACACTGGACTAGAGTATATAAGAATTCAAGATTTAACATCATATCATTCATGATGAAGACACAAAAACGAAGGATTTAAGAATCCAAGAATCCTTAATGAAGACATTAGATTGGTGTTTAAAAGAACTCATGATTCCACTACATAATCATCTTAATGATTTCATATTCGAAAAAAAAATGTTTAGGTTCCCCTTTGTATCGATTCATCAAATTTTGCCGTCGTTGAAGCTGGTCTGAAGTGTGCGCAGGGAAAGTGCATCGTGAACAGTATAAGTTTGAAAAATGGCAAGAAAGATTTCATCGAAAAATCCACTTTAATAAAGAAATATGGTGCTGCTGTTGTTATCATGGCTTTTGACGAAACTGGTCAGGTAAAACAATTGGAAGAAATTTTCAGAGCTAAATTTTACAGACACGTATTTGAGGTAGCACGAATTTCGAATTTAGTTTGTATATGAATATAATGATCAATGTCGATATAAAACATATGAAACCAGATTTTGAAATATACACACGACAAGATGCTACTTTGCGAAAATTGCTTGTGGTGTTCATAGTGGAAAATAGCATATTTTATAAAAAAATCATCATGGTGAATTTTTTGGTTGTTAGAATTTCCTGATTATTACGTCAATTAAGGCAAAGGAAATGCGTTGTCTCTTGTGTATTTGTCATGAAAGTTCTGTATTTTATATGATTTCTACCAATTTCAATCGCCAGTAGACCATAAATATCTGTTAAAAAATACTTTAATGTATCTTTAATACATTTGTACGTCCTTACGTACGTAAATGCTTAAAGCAAGCATACATTTCTGTAATTTTTCTCAATGGTTGCATATGCAATTTGGATTATTCAAAAGAGTTTTTGAAAATACTTTCCAACACAAATGTAGAAACATATTCGGATCATTCCAAGGAGCATGTCTTATCTCATTAAATTAACCACCCTGACACAACTTCACTTTGAATACATTCTTTGTTTTGACATGTTTAACAGGCCGCTGACGTCGATCGAAAAATTGAAATATGCACTCGTGCTTATAATATCTTGGTGAATGAAGTCCATTTCAATCCCAATGATATCATCTTCGATCCTAACATACTTACTGTTGCCACTGGTATAGAGGAACATAACAATTATGGAAAGTATTTCATAGAGGCAACACGATATATTAAGGTAATTATGTTTGATGTACGATGCTCTGGTTATATAATTGGCAAATTATGATCACGTTACGTACATTAAATAACCATTTCTATTTAGACACACCTTCCACACGCTCGTGTCAGCGGTGGATTGTCGAATTTCTCGTTTTCATTTCGTGGTATGGATGTTATTCGAGAAGCCATGCACAGTGTTTTTCTTTATCATGCAATCAAGGTTCAAGTTTGCGTAGTTGATAGTTATTACCATTTGTTGTGTCCAATCTCAACATGTTTTATTCATTTCTTTCATTTTAGGCTGGTCTTGATATGGCGATAGTAAATGCTGGCAACTTGCCTGTCTATGATGATATTGAGAAAAAACTTCTTGAGCTTTGCGAAGCTGTATTGTGGAATAGTGACCCGAATGCAACAGAAAAATTGTTACAACATGCTCAGGTAAACGTGCATTGTTATACGGTAACTTGTATCCTTATATCCTCTCAGTCAAGTATATTTATTACGAATCATCTAATGTTAAAGGTTTAGCTCTTATGTTCTCTAATCTAGTGATTTTTAAAGGAAAGTACTTGTCTAATTCAGTTTAGTTGGAGATGTTTTTCTCAGAGATGATCACCTCTCTTTAATGGTGGGGATCGTTTGATTTGAGATGATGCGGTAAAACGTTGGTTCAATGCCAAATGATGAAATATCAGTTTTCTCTATCAGTCATTAGGTAAGGGTGCGAAAAAACAAGAAGTGAGCGATGAATGGCGAAGTGGAACTCCAGAAGATAAACTTGAGTATGCCTTAATTAAGGTTTGTGCTCGAATTGAAATTTCAAGCAAAACAATTTCATTAATATGCATCACATTCATAACCATATTAAAACTATAGGGTATTGACAAGTATGTCGTAGATGACGTTGAAGTATGTCGACAAAATTTCGAGCTCTATCCACATCCTTTGAAAATAATTGAAGGTCCCTTAATGAAGGTTTGTCTTTTAATGATGTGATGCCGATAATTTTTATATGTTCATGCAATAATTGCAGATAATACAGAAAAACATGTTCAATTTCGAGAACAATGAGAAAATTTTACATTATAATGGCCAGAGCAATGCTTTGAAGAATACCCATAACAATGAATAAAACTATTCCTCGTTGCGATGCCCAAAACAATGCCCTCAAGAATGACCTGAAAAAAGACCAGACCACAAAAGTTTCCTAAAATAATCCTCGGACTATGCCCAATCATTTCTTTTTAATTCTCAGAACAGCACTTAAGACTTTTGAAACCCTATAGATACGAGTTGCATCAATGATTTTTCAAGACAGACGCGGGCAAATGATTTTAATCCAATAATGTAATGTCAGTCGATTCTAAATATGTTTTCTTTGTTGAATCAAATCAAATCTTTTCAAGGGCATGTCCGTCGTGGGAGATTTGTTTGGTGCCGGAAAAATGTTTTTACCTCAAGTAGGTTGACGTCACACATACCAATACATGGTTTTGTTTAATAAAGCTCATGTGCTCGCTGTTCCGTTCGTTGCAGGTTATCAAATCAGCTCGTGTGATGAAAAAGGCCGTTGGCTACTTAATACCTTTTATTGAAAAGGAAAAAGAAGCCAAAGAAATGGAGATGAGAGCTGAGGGAACCTGGGACGATAATGTATGCATTTTCAACCGTATTAAACTACACTTACACGGCTGTATCATAAAGTGAAAATTTTTGTTTCTAATAGAAATAATGGAAGATTATATTTGGGGTGTACAAAATTCTGAAGGTTTCTTCAGTAATTGCAAGTGCTGCGTTGTTGAAGGGATACCATTTTTTACCTTCTCGATTGATGGGTTACCAAAACAAAATTGGCAATCATATTTTTGATCTTTTCAAAGTTTTCCAATCTCTTTGTGCAGCATCATTCCTTTATAATTTTGACTTAACCACTGAAACCATCTAAACGCTTTTACAAGTTCAGTAATTTTGTGGGCTATCACACATCGTGTGTTCTGATTGGCTACACCCATTACTGTTTAAGGCCACTTATTATCAGCGAAAGATCAAATAGCATGAAGTTTGCGTTATGAGTTAATAGTAATACTTTATCATGTATTTCTTGATCATGTTTTCGAGTTTTAAATACATGATATAGTCAGAGGCGAAACTAGAACGTTAATTGGGGTATATATTCATATATTCATCTCTGCCCTGCTGATTTCTTTGTTTGCGATGTTAATTTCAAAAGAAGTCAGCAGGGCAAAGCTGAATACATGAATATTTACCCCAATTAACGTTCTAGTTTCGCCTCTGGATATAGTTTATTGTTTGACGACTAGGACTCAATCACTGTATGAACAGACACAAGTCATACCTGCGATTGACTGCTGTTTTGCGTCATAGTTTCTTTTTTCTTTCTTTGCAGAAACGATTCAATGGAACGATTGTTCTGGCCACTGTGAAAGGTGACGTTCATGACATCGGGAAAAATATTGTTGGAGTTGTTTTACGATGCAATAATTACAGGTGATTTTTGCGATTATTTCGTAATTTGACACGAACTAGACAAAAGAGATTGGTTCTAAAGTTAAGATTTGTCCCCCAGACTTACGGCACGCGATCTATATTTTGACTCATTGGTTTTATAGAGTTATCGATCTTGGAGTAATGACGCCATGTGAGAAAATTTTACAAACTGCCATAGAGGAAAGAGCAGGTTCGTTAGAGCTTTGTTCTTTATTAAATCTAAGTCCGTTTTGATTTCATGCTAATGTATTTTCATTTTTACGGCTGATATTTAGAGGGAAAACTGTAAAAAATCTCGATGAATACTCCGAAATTGTTAAAAATCGCCAAAATGTCGAGAAACACCTGAAAATACTTAAAAATGTGTAGACATATAAAAAATTCTTTCGAATCGCAAGAAAACCCTAGAAATCTTGAAAAATCCTTCAAACACTAAAAGTTTTAAAAAAACACTTAAAATCACCACAAATCATCAAAGATTTTCAATAACTATTCCTAATTTAGATATCATTGGACTTTCGGGACTCATCACACCTTCCCTTGAAGAAATGATTCACGTTGCCAAGGAAATGGAAAGACAAGGTTTTAAAATCCCTTTGCTGATTGGTGGAGCTACCACGTCAAGGTAATACAAAACAAGCTTTGTATTGTTTGTGTACATCTTTCATTGAACATCTTACTGATGAAACTAAGCTGAGGATTCTGGCTAGGGTGGCACAATTATACAAGTGTCATGTGCATTTGCTCGTTCATTTCAGGACACACACTGCTGTAAGAATTTCTCCAAGATATTCGGAGCCTACGATTCATGTTCTGGACGCATCGAAAAGCGTCGTAGTTGTAAGTTGAGCCTAAATACGTAAAGGCTGACGCCCAGAACAATCACTTTGCCCTTGTATTGCCAGAGAAGACCATCGAGTATCTCAGGCGATGGTTAACCACTTTCAGTAAACTAATATAGTTAGTCCCAATGTTCTTGGGAAGTCAGTTGAAGCTGATGCATTCTCTCCTCTGGGACTGGGACTTGCTACACAATCATTATGACACAATTACTACATTGCTTACTCACTTAATCTGTTGTTAACGTGAACATTTTGCCAATACAGTGTGGTATGCTGTTGAACGAGGAAGATAAAGAGGAATATTGTATGGATATTAGTGAAGATTATGATATATTGCGAGCTGATCACTACGACAGCATCAAGGTTTGTGCTGTGATTTGAGAGGGCAGTTGTCCACTTTCCACCCAGCCTTTACACTTTTGTTTCTTTATTTTACTCGTGTTGATGAAATGTACACAAGGCGTGCGTGATTCCAGGTCTTTTAATCGTGAATTCTTCGTCCTTGTGCCATTTTGATACTCACAGTCTCATTATGCTTCCTTTCGAAATATGGTTGCTTAGCCGTGTCTCAAAACGATGATCGAACATGTTTATCTGGTTGAAAAATCTGTCTTTTGCTCTTATATTGATTTGAAGATGCTCAACGGAAAAAAACATAAACACTTGTCTAAATTTCTCTAAATGATTATACTTGTAAATTACATAGGGTAAAAATATGTAACCTCCAACAACTTTCTTTACTTGGTTACCTTAGGATCGTAAATACTTAACTTTGTCCGAGGCACGAAAGAAAAAGCTCAAAATTGATTGGACTTCGTTTAAGCCAGGTATTAAAAGTTTATACTTACTAAGGCTACTCCATAGGATGACATGGAATGAAGTTATGGTTAAAGGTTTGGCGTTGATGAATAGCCTTTAGGATAATATGGGATTGAAGTCACAGTTAAAGGCTATTGAAATGTGGGTAGCTTTAATTTGCTGTGGGCATTGTAGCTAAATTTGATCTGTTTTAGTTGACTCAAAATTTTCTCTCCAAGGGGCATTTTAATGTTTTCTTCTTTCCTGTAAGAATGAAACTTTCTTACAGGTTTTTCATGAGCAAAAATCCTGCAGTTACGATATGCACCGATAAAAAAATGTGTAACCAATGTAGGAGTTAAAATGAATAACAACGTAATCAATCAACAATTTTCCTTAACAGTTCGTCCTAATTTTCTTGGTACGAAGGTATTTGATGACTACGACATCGAGAGAATTCTTCCTTATATTGACTGGAAACCATTCTTTGATGTCTGGCAGTTGCGTGGAAAATATCCCAATCGTGGATACCCAAAGATTTTCAAAGACAAAACTGTCGGTAAGTGGCATCATCATGTTTAATATTGTTATTTTGATCGCCTATCGGTCGTTTCCTGAACTCATCGCATGAAGAGAAAGCGTTATTGTTATCACATTCAATCAACAATTGTCATAGAGAGTCAAATAAACAGCTTTTTTGTGTACCGTCTTCAATATGACATAACTATAAGGAGATCAATTACATCGATTTCGTATAGATTTTTTTAATAAACCGAAGCAATGGTTTTCTTTTGGCTGCTTTCTATTACGGATGAAAGGGGCACGCCAGGCCATAACGCTCACAGAGATAACGAATTTTAAAATGCATTTGTTGAAGTGAGCTGAAAAAGACAGACTACATAATATATGAGTTAAACTAGTGCAGTCGAATCCACCAACGAATAGAGTTCATACCAATCAATTGGATATTCTTTCATTGCTGTGGGAGAAACAAACTATTTAAAATATCATCTGAGCATGCGCTGCTCACTTGACCAACGTTAGAGTTCATAGTCATGGCAACAAAAACTTAATCTAGTTGCATGACACGAGGCAATATTAATACCATCTTCGGGAAATCTTCAAACTTTCTTTCATTTGTTTTACCAGGTGTCGAAGCCAAACGTGTTTTCGATGAAGCCCAAGCATTGTTGAGAAATATTCTGGACAAGAAAGAATTTCGCGCGGTGGCTCAGTTAGCGTTTTATCCTGCCAATAGTGTCGAAGATGATATTCAATTGTATCATCCAGATGGCGGCGATAGCGAAATTTTGGCAGTGTTTCATGGGCTTCGGCAACAAGCTGAGAAAGAGCCTGGAGTAGAAGACCCGTACGCCTGCCTGTCTGATTTTGTCGCGCCAAAAGAGAGTGGGCTTACGGATTACATTGGTTGTTTTGCTTGCTCGTGTTTTGGTGCCGAAAAATTAGTTGAAAGGTAAGTGCTAAGTTTTATCTATGTTTTTCCCAATTGGATTAGACAGTGGACGATTATCGGTGAAATCTAAGAGTTAGGTTTTAGTTTGATGCCTGTGGAGAATAACGAAAAACTCGCTCCTGGTTTAGTTCTTGTCAATTTTGGCTTTTGTCCGATTTTAAATAAGTATTCTTTCATCTCTTGCTGAATTTAACTACTCTTTTAGATATGAAGCAGAAGGCGACGACTACAACGCCATAATGGTTAAAGCTCTTGCTGATCGACTGGCTGAGGTAATTAAATAGCAAAAAAAAACTTCTGCGTGAAGGATTTTTGTATGCGACATTTCATGTCAAAGCACTACAAAAACTTTTACACTTGGACATTTTGTGTAATGTGTAATAATAATTCATTGACTTTGACGACTGCATCCATAAAGCCAGCCTTAGCTGCATCTTTTTTTGAAACAACTGCAAACTTGTCTACCATTATGTGTGGTGGGTATTATCTCATCGAACGTTTGAAAAGTGTTTCTTTAGTTGCTTTCAAACGGCGTCACTTGTAGAATAGGCTATCGTTAATGTAACATGATGGCTGAATTTTCCTGTCTAGTTTTAAAATGGAGAGCAGGTCTCCCTTAAATCAAGCACCATGGCTAAATGTTTTGTTTCCTTAACAACCAGAGTTAGCATTCCACGAAATTGAAATACTTGTGTTGTTATTATAATAAACCTCTGTGTCGCAGTAAAATTTCTACACATGTCACAAGAGTGCTACATAGTGTAACAGCGCCTTCACAGCCCATATATTCTTGACCGAAACTACAAAACATCTTTAAAATGCAGAACAATTATTTTATAGGCCATGGCTGAAGAACTTCATGAAAGAGTTCGAAAAGAATTTTGGGGGTACAGCAACGAGGAACAACTTAATGCGAAAGACCTGCATTCTATAAAATACCAGGTGCTGAGGATGTTTTCTAGTACTTTTATCAGGATTGAATTTATGTTGAAACTATCGTGTTCTTATTTACTCCAGTCTTGTTTCTTTGTCGTGTATAATCTATGTTGACTCCAGTCTAGTTTCTTTAAACAGGAGTGATCGGAAGTTGAAACTTAAGTCAAATTCTCCTATCTTTACAATAGGGTATACGCCCTGCCCCGGGTTATCCTAGTCAACCTGATCACACTGAAAAATTGACAATGTGGAATTTAACGGATTGTGAAGGACAAACTGGGATCAAACTGACTGAATCCCTGGCAATGAATCCCGCTGCGTCTGTGTGTGCAATCTACTTTGCGCATCCTAAATCATTTTATTTCTCCGTGGGAAAGGTGACAGAAGAACAGGTAGGGACAACGTTAGACACGTTTGAAGTCAATTTATATTACAGATGTATAGTATAGTATTAGCAAATTAAGGCATCTGGAGGAAGTAATGTCATGATCAAGATTCATTTCATTGTCTGATATTGATTCTCAGGTTAAAGACTACGCCAACCGAAAGAATTATGCCGTTGAAGAGATAGAAAAGTGGCTATCTCCAATTTTATCGTATGAAAGAGGAGAGGATGACGTTATGGCTTGATTTTTGCGGTATTTGATTTTTAATGAATGTTTGTTTACCTAAAATTATACATATATACATAAAGATTTGTGCAGGTCAGGTGACATGTTAGTTATGCACTTGACCATTTTATTCACTTGAAACTACTTAAACCTTCCCGTCTTCATGGGAAATATGAATCGGAAACACTTTATAAAGATAACAGCAATAAACAGGACATACAGATATCAAGAAAACGAGATGCCACTATTCGGAATTTGTTTTAGTTTATTCTCTTTAAGATGACAAGAAAGCAACTCGTTGAGTGACGTTTTTTCCTGTGCTTTTGAGCTCTTTTCCGCTTCCAAACGATCCCACGGTCTAGCCCATAGATCATGAAATATATTTTCTTCTTTTGAATTTAAAAGTGTTTGATAACAGAAGATCAGACGCGTTTCAACAGAATATTAGTCCTTCCCCAGCACTCTGAACCATTTGCCATCATTGGTGTTTTCAATTGCCCATACTCTTTAACAAGTGCATTTCCAACTGTTCTTGTCATTGTGTCGTCTGCATCGTTCTTAACTTATTCTTCTCCAGATTTTTGCCACTTAAGCCTTAAAGTTATACAGCTAAATGCCCTTCTGAACCACCCTCTTTTAATTGCTTCTTACGATACTCAGAGGATACGTTGGGCCTATTCTTAAAAGCTCGAGCCTGCAAGGGATCCATAAAATCGTCTTTTTATTGTATACATACAACCTTCTGATCATTCTTCTATCACTTGTCCGTTTTTGAGTGAATTGGGAATTCAACCCAACAACCAGTTATCTTTACAAAACGATGTTTTTACTCATAAGGCCTTAGTTATGTTTACAAAAGTATGTAGACTGCCTCTATCTTAACATGGTTGTGGAGTCAAAGAAGTGACCGAAACAACATACATTCTTATGAAAAAACTGTCTTTATAAAATACCGAATCGGACATGAACCGCCATTTTAAAGTCGCTATCGACATTTGCGTGCTTTTTTTTTGCTTTTGCGCATCCTTAGCTAACCCTGTTGATCAGTGGCATGAAATAACCGATTTTAACATCAACCTACAAACTAAGCTTCATAAAATATATTGAAACAAATCTTTGAACGTTGAGACACCTGCAAAGCAATGTTAGTAGCCAAGCCGAAAAGGAACCTAAGGAATGGGAACCCGCCTTCCTGGGCCCTTACACATTACCAAACGGCGTGCCAACCAATCCTTGTGTCCAACACTCGATCACCTAGGTACCAACTTGGTACCGTTTGCGGTTATTTGTACCTGAACTTGCTCTAATGTATCAATGAATCAGAGCTCGAGCAAACTAACTGGCTGGCTACGCCACTGGTTAGGTGATTCATCAGGCGTTGTGGGACAAATTGTAATTTTTGCGTTGCGATTTGTGTTTATTTGCACACACCGCGCTTGCATTTTGCATTTAGATTTTAATATATGGTTGTACTTTTAGATTTGGAATATGTTCATACCACGACCAAAACTCAAAGAAAACCCATGGTTATTTCTTTGAACCTTGAATCGTGTATTCTGGTGACGTCACCGATGACGTTATCAGTTACTTTAACTGTGAATTTCCTCATTCGGGCATTCAAATATCAGCAATGTGAGCTGTTTTCAAAAGCCAGAAAAAATATTCTTACATTGCACGATATTTAAGTGAAAATTTTCGGCAATGCAAGATATACCGTCATTTGCTTGCTATATAATGCTCGCGCCGAAAAGCTTGTTGTGCGGCGTCCATGAAATGAAAACAATTCGAGATATCTATGAGCACTAACAGGAATTAATAGAGCCAATAACTTTATTTTACAATTCAGTCATTGGTGAATTATTTTCCTGTCAATGCTGATCACGAGAATATTAATGAAATGTAAATCATTGCACCTTTATTTCCATGACGTAATCCATGACATTCATGATATAAACCACGATGTCCGTAGTGCGATCCAAGATATCGACAATGTAATCCACGATTCGCATATGTAATCCACGATTTGCATATGTAATCCACGATTTGCATATGTAATCCACGATTTGCATATGTAATCCACTATGCGATATTGTCCGGTGTTATCCATGATATAATCCATACATCGATAATTAAATCCATGAAATTTGACTTTTAATACACGATTTCCATCATGTGGCTAATTCAGGAAGTTTTTAATAGAATCCATGACATCTACTCTACGACATATACAATGAAGTCCATAGTGTCGGTGATATTATCCATAATATCAGTGGTCCATCATATCATATGTACTCAATGTCATTTACGATAATAATTCACAACATCGATGATTTAATCCATGATGCATATATGCATGACGTCATCTATGAAATCCATCATAATTTTATAAATAAACATGTATAATAAAATAATAAAATAAAAGTTAATTTTACAAAGGAACGTTTACTATTGTTAACCTATGCGAGGAAAAATAGAACTGAAAAACGTCGAAGAAAAATGTGCTTTAACCAAAAAAACAGTTTTAAATTTCTGCACCAGTAAACTGGTGTATAAGCTTTATATAATCATGTTCCTTTGCCCCTGTGAAATTAAGTTAATTACACTTCAAGTAAATTTCATCAAAAATATCGAAAGAAACAACAACATTTTGAAGTTATTACTTTGTAAATGCGACAACAGTATGAAGCATTGCAGAAATGGCAAAAAAAATTTGTGGAAAATTGCAAAATTGTAACCAAATATCCTATCTTTGCTCGGAGCTTTGCTTTATAAATTTTATGCTCTCTTACGTGACCAGACAATTTTTTGAAAGTTTTTACCTGGGCAAGGGGTGAGGTGTTTTGGAGGGAAGAGGTCGTAGTAATATTGAAAATATACCTTTGTTAACTTTATGAAAGTGCAGAAATAACTTCTTTCATCAAGATTTTTATCCTTTTTGTCTTATAAAAACTCTACAAAATAAAGCAAAAATTTCGAATCGTATTCTTTCGAATGTTATATTGTGCAAAATTTGCACCCAGTCTCTGCTATATTGTGCGCGGCGGAAAATTGGCGCCTAAATTCGTTCTTCTTACAACAAAATATAAACCATCCAACAAAACCAGTGGAAGTGGTCACATCTTCGTGCTAAAAACTGAAAAATTTTAACTAAGCTGTACTTCCAAATGTTCCAAAACATTCAAAAAAGGACGAAGCAAAGTAACTTTGCGAAAACGTTTACTAAAATATGAAATACTACGACAAATTTTCATTTTTCTAAGGTCTGGCGAAATTGACAAACATGCCGAACTCCTTTGAGCGCTTTTTTGACCTTAAAAATATAATCAACTGTTATAAAAAAATCTCTAGATCACGAGAACGTCGTTACCTTCCATCCACTCGTAAATACTTTCATCGATTTTTGTTGTTTCTGTGATTCCTCTTCAAAATTTTATCGAAATTTCACTTACGCGAGGTCTTTTAAAGAATTGTAATAAACGAAGGAGAGCTTTGGTTTGGTGACTGGTCTGGTCTGGTGTCCCGGAAATGTACCAGAAGTTGTACCTTGTTATTTCAGCATGTCATTGGTTTAAATTAGCCAATAAGTTTATAAAATGCGACTTTGGCGGGAAGTTTTCTATATATTTCATATTCCTTCATATTCCACATAAAGACAAATTGTCATACAACATTTACCATTATGTACCTTAAAGTGATTATTTTGAGCCCCAGATGCACACTCAGGCTTGTGCCTGGTCTGGTTACTCTGGTACTCTGGTAGCACCGTAGCACTCCGAGTCCGAGTGCACGATATTCTTATTCACAAGTTACTACTCAGTCAACTGTCAATTCTTACAAGTTATAGCGGCTTTTTTAGCCATTTTTCTCAAGGATTTTGATTTAAGGTTTGGTCCTGAAACAGTAAAACACCAGCTTGTCTTGAATGAAAGCATGAAGCAACCTATCTCGAACGTTCGTTTCTAACGCCGAATATGCCGTAGCCTGTGGTTGGTGGCAAAGTTTATGATGCAAGCAGTGGTAATTAAAGCTGTAGACGTTATACTGTGCATGTTGTTTATGGCACCTCACGTTTTGAGTTTTGTTTTGTTATTTTGGATCAACCATCACCATGGTCTGTGGTGAAACCCGCCCAACAGCCCAATCTTTACCTCCAGTAAACTGTGGTTGCCTTATCAACATGGCTGCTTTGTCAAAAAGTTTTTCTGTACTGAAAAATGAACTATGTCAATTGAATCAGTGCAATATAATAAACAATGGCAAAGGAAGTCCAAATTTTTACTCCTACAATGCAATTTTTTAGCTAAATTATTGTTCATTCCTCTATTCATTGTTTTTCCAGTGAATGAACACAAAAATATCTGCATACGTGGAATAAAAAACATGCTTGCTTTGCTATTGATAAAGGATACGTGTTGTCATGATGATCACAAAGCATTTTATTTTAATGAAAGTTGTATTGAAAACTAGTCCTGTTGATGGCAGTGTATAATATACTGTACTTTATGGAGAAGAATCAATCACATTCAATCAACATTTTATCAATCTTGATAAAGACACTAGACTGTAGGATGTAAGAACTCCAGTTTCAACAACAGATCACTTATGATGAAGACACAAGACTGGATTATATAAAGACCTAAGTTTCAACATCAGATCGTTCTTGATGAAGACACAACACTGGAGCATATAGGGTCTCAAAATTTGACCTGAAATTATTTTCCATAGACAGTAGTGTAGACAGTGGTGAAGCCTGCTTATTTAGACCTGCTATGTTAATTTTTTATATACACTCACTGTGAAAACTGTAAATTAATGTGAAAGATACATTGCTGGACTAAAAGTTTCTGTCTGCTTTGCTATTGCTCATAGAGTATTAGAGATGCAAAATTGGAGTATATAAGAACTCAAGTTTCATCAGTTGACTTCTGATGAAGACATAAACTGGAGTATACAAAGTATTCCTATGTCAATGGCCTTTGCTTAGTGTTGCACCAAATGCTCTACATGTTTTTTTCAGTGAAAGAAAAGCTAACAAAAATTGATGCAAACCAAACAAAATGAGAATAAAGGAAAGAAAAAGGTGCGAGAAAAAGGAATTTTTACACTGAGTATTTACATATATAGTTTACTGGGGAGGAATTTTTTCGATGACTTTGATTTAGGGACATTTTTTGGGTCTCAAGAATTTGGAATGGGAACCTAATTTTCCCAGGAAAGAGCATCATATAATTTTGTATATTGATGCTAGTAAAACTGCTTTTTCCATAAGATTTCAAAGATTATAATTAATAATGTTTTACATTTTGCAGGACAAGTATTAACCTTTGCCCAACAAAACTGCTCACCACTTAATTTTTTTTGGGAGGGGGAGCAAGCTCCTTTCCACCCCCACCCCCCAGGATCTACGTCCCTGCTTTGTCATTTGAAATAATTTTTGTTAGGTTTCCAAATCATCTGGTCTAGTGATTTTGCTGGCAATATTGGTCAAATTACGGAGATTGGTCTCGCTTGTGTTGTGACTTGTGACCCTGACAAAACAGTAAAAGTGCGATAGTTGCTACGCTGTCATATTACTGGTACTATCAGGAACAGCGCTTTCAGAACAAGAAATAGAAGTGCCAAAGATAAAGCAATATTTTCAATGGCTATACAAAAACGCAACCGGATAAAAATTGCATGTGTTGAGGTTAACATCATTGTTGCGAATGTGTTCTTTGCTTTTTTATCAATTGTCGGACAAGTAGGACAAAATGTCAGCCTTCCATTGTGGATTGACTCCACAATTTCCTCTCACGGTACGCAGCCAAACAAAACACAAAGAAACCATTCGGCAACTGGCTTCGACCAGAAATCTGGCATTCGTCCTTATTTCACATATTCATCAAATTCTTCCGGTGGTGATAGTGGTAGATATGAGCCTCGTGTTGATTCCTTTTTTGTCTACTCGTTCGCTTGCTTAGCTTTCGTAGTTATATTTGGAGTAGCGCTGATTTGTATTCGCTTGTTTCGGCCACAACTCTTGGGTGACGCTGAGAGAAACTTTCCTCATTCGCAACTATTTCTTGTTGGCTTTTTCGACGCTCTCAATGGCGTGCTTGTCGTGTTTGCTGGTAGCGGAAAACGAACCGCTCCGTATCTTCAAGCTATTCTTGGAAATTTTATGATTCCTCTCACGATGGCTTTGCGGTGAGTTATGAGAATTTGCGTTTTTGTTTACATAGAAAGTTAATCGTTGAAGTAAGTTTAATTTTTATCGTGTTTTGCACAGTTATTTCATTCTTCGCAAGGCTCCTACTAAGCGAAAGTTTTTTTGTGCAATGGTTGTTCTGGTGTCGTTGTTCGTCTGTCTTATTCCTAAGATATTTACTTCGATTGATCCAAGAGAAAACAAGTCCAGTGGAGAAGGAGCTAGTGGAGTTGCTGGCGTTCTTTGGCCACTGTGTTTCATGTTTGGTTTCGTAAGTGTTCATTGTCTCTTTCGAAAAATAATCACAGGGCGCCGGAACGGGAGTTGGCTGTGAAGCGTCCCCCCCTAGCAAAACAAAAAATATATTTAGACTGAGTTAAAATTATTGTTTAGAAGTGTTTTTTTAAAACACTATAGTAGAATTGAAGACTTTAAAGCCTGGTTCACACGAGTGAAATAAGAACAAGCACAAGCGTAGACAAAAGATAAAACAAAGACAATTAACGAAGCATGTGACATAAGCATCGATATAAGCGCAAGCACAAGGAAGAAATTCAAGCATAAGCTAAGAGAAGAACAAAAGAAGAGCAAAAAAGAAAATTTAAAGAAAATCCCAATGTCTTTGTCTTTATAAACCTCTAGAGCAGTAGAAACAAAAGTTTCGACATTTCTGCTTATTTTACTCATGCGAACCAGGCTTTAAGCCCGCCGCACACTGGTGAACTTGCCGCGCGTACTTGTTATTCGTGACAAGTGTGATCGACAAAAGTTCCTAGTGTGCGCGGAAGTTTTGAACAACATTTGTCATTCGTGTCAGATGAGTCAAATATCAAACTCAGTTGATAAAAAGTAAGATCCACTTATGACCTATAGCTATAAAGCATCACTGTGTCACATCACACTCTTTTTGCTTTTCAAGCTGCCTGCTGCTATAATGAACGTTATCGAAGAACGTGGACTAAAGATGGAAGTAACACCTGTGAGAGGTCGTGTAAATCTTGTCTTCTTTTTGTTCTGGACGTCTGTGTACCAGTTTCTTGTCGCTTTGTGCCTTTTCTGGGTCGATTTTCTCCCAGAATTTGGATATGCCGACAGCATTGACCATTTTTGGGATAAGTATGTCTATTATTGTATTGTCAAAATGAAATGCAGGTGGACGATGTCAGTCTTGCGTTATCTTGATCGTTATAAGTCCATTAAACTAAATGCCCTGATCGATTTTCTCTTTTTCATGCAAAAATCGTTTGTTTTCGTAACGCCGGCCACCGTCCTTCAAAGTTAGCGAAAATTTCATAGCCAACATATTCTTGGATTGCAACCAACCTCCCGAAAATTATCGAACAACGTGGCTCGCCCATGATGGCTGGTGCCCAGAATAGCATTAATAAAATATTCTTTTGTATTTGACCACCAACATGGCAGTCATGACGTAACATGCAATCAACCTATTGCAGTGATGTGATTGCACTCAGGGCCTGGGGTGTATCGGCTATTTTTTCAGGGTGGCAATCGAAACATTTCCACAGTTCCATAACCGCGTGTTCACCTATTTAGCCGACTATCCAGCAAAAATTACCCGACTGGCCTTGTCTACCCAAAAGTCTGCAGCCACCTTCCCTCTCTTCCTTTCCTCGGCCGCTACGCTCATGAAAGCATTGTCATTGATCTTGGTAAAATCGGCAGCTTCTTGTTCCTGCACTTCGGAATTTTAGATTTTGTGAACCGTTTTTTTTTATAGCAAATACAATTACCCCATCCACTGAATGTCTTCATTTTGACTTGTGACTGGAAAATGGGGACATTTGCAAATTTTTTTAACAATTCTGCGTCAATTCATCAAGTTCTAGAAATGAGCTATTTTGTGTCTTTCATCCACATAATTTACAATATGGCAATGAGCTCATATAAAATTATTATGTATGTTATGATATGTGTTGTAAAATTTCATCTGTTTTCTGCAGCTGGTCGTTTGGTTTCAAGTGTTTCTTTGGTTATGCTGGATGCAGTTCTACAAGTGGCGTGCGAGGATCTATGTTTATTCTTATGTACACAATAAGTTATGTTGGTGGTGGAAACTTAATGCGTTTTTCAGAAGGTGCCACTCTCCTTGCAATTGTTAACGTAAGTTTCTGTGATCGTCCGCTGACACATTAAATTTTTCGAACCTATTTTGTTCATTTGTCCATAGATTTATGTTTGATTCCTTGTATGTTTTATTGATAAAATTATGTTCCCAACTGCATGTATTAAGAGGAGCAGTCTGCTTCACATGGGGTAGTGGAAATTAGGGACGGAAAGACCGTCTGCGTTCAGGGAGGGTAACATGGAAAGCAGATAAATTAAACCCTGAAATACTGTGAAATGCCCTTTTGTATGCCAGTATAAATTTGTTCATTTGTGTGCGCTTGAAGATAATTATACAGTAAAGGCAGCACTTAGGGAATTTATGAAGGTTAAACACCACCTCCATCGCGCTGTTTGTGTGGAACACCAAAGCAGACTTTGCAATTGTGCTAAGACTAAAGCAGCTATAAACGCAGAACCATTTATCTCATTCAGCTTGGTCCACGTCTTTTGGTTGAATTTCTCTTGTTATATAAACTTTCCTTTGTTGTTTTTCTAGTCGATTGTTACGCCATTGGGATTTCTTTTTTGGACGCTATTCAGAGAAATACCATTTGGTTTCCATCCAGCAATCCGCATAACCACTTGGTTCAGCATTGGTGCTCTAGTACCTATGGTGCCAGCAATATTTTTGTACAACTCGGGGTACGTGCTGTGCAATGTCATTAAGCTATATAATCTACAATTTATTTGCTAAGCTTGCCGTTTATCAAATGAAGAACGTAACTCCGGTTTTCGTTTCAACACGAAAGCTGGCTACTGGCTCACACTAACCTATTGTTTCATACGCTATACACTGTGTTTTTTATTGTTTTTAGGCCAGAAGAAATAGATAAAACTATCGTGTCTCCTGTTCAAATACCGATACTTGATGATGAAGACATGGTAGTTCAATAAAATTTGTATAAATTTGAATAAACACATTTGAGGAATAGAAAAGGTGGGAGAAAGAATTTTTTCCTTTTAGTATTTACGCAGCCATTTACTGGGTGTAACTAGAAGAATTTATTGTGTGACTTTGATTGACCTTTTTTTATTAAACATAAGCGAAATATCAGGTCTTGTGATTTTGTGTGCTACAAAATCAGATTACGGAAAATAGTCTCGTGAGGGTCGGGGCATTAAAATAACAGTCAAAGTGTATTATCAAGATGTGATATTACTGGTACTATCATAAAACATCACTTTCTGAACAAATAACAGAGGTGTGCACAAACGAAACATTATTTTTAATGGCTGTGCAAGAACGCTATCGGATGAAAATTTCATGTGTTGAGGTTAACATGATTGTTGCAAATATGTTCTTCCCGTCATGCCTGTAGCTATATTTACTTTGTTTGCTGGTAGCCAAAAACATTTTCAATGAGCGCCCTGCGCTACCTAAAGTCATAGTGCGAACTAGCTGGGCTAGGATTTATTCTTGTTATTCATTACTATTTGCTAAAAAAGTCTGGTCTGTGTAAATTGCATAATGTTATGGGAGAAATTTCTATTTTGTAGCCTTTTTTCTGTTCTTTTGATGACGGTTTGCAGTTAGTTTTTCAGGCACTTGCCGGAACGTAATACATTCCCTCGCGGAGGTACGCGGCAAAAACACACAGAAACTATTTGACCCAGAAATTGGGTATTCTCGTTTTGATTTTTTTGCAAATTAATGAAATTTCTCCAGGGGCTAAATTGGTATATATGAATCACGTGTTAACGTCTTTTTTCTCTTCTCCTTTTATTGCTTAGCGTTTGTTTTCGACGCTTTTCGTAGTAACGATGGATTGCGAAGCAAAAATTTCATTGTGTGCAGTGACTATCTTCCTTGCTATTAAATTAACCAAACATTACACAATAGTTGAAGGAAATGACTGTTCACATTCCTTGACCCGACGACAATTTCATTAGATATAAAATAGAACATAATCCGAAAAAGGACATCTTGTAAACTTAGATTCAAGTTATATATTTTATTTCAAAATCATTACTTGTCAGATGATGGCTTTGAAGTAAAACCGAAATATTACACTTCCAATTGTTTTGTTTTGATAACTTGAATCTAAGATGTCCTTCTTCGGATTATGCTTTATTTTATGACTTTTAACATTCCTAATTAGTTTTTGCTTATTCTGCAACGAGTCAATTTCACTAGAGTTCATCCCCTTCAAAAAAAACGTCTTGTTAAACAAATATTTCGAAATTTTATAAATACTCCGTGTTACAGTGTTTCTTTTCTTCTTGTTATTTACACCACGTATATTTATAACTTTTTTGGCCACATGAACACGACAAAATAACCCGTGATCAAAACTGTTTTGTTCAAAATTCGCGAGTTGCAATAACGTGTTTCGTCGATGTTGGCACTGGAGTATTGGGCAATTCGATGGCATCACACAGCGGTTTGGTTGTTAAAGTGAACAAAGGAAACTTAAATACTTCTTATGAACGGAAGAAAAAGAGCTTGAAGATAGGATGTTTTCGAATCACTTGTTTGATGATCGCCAACACGTTTTTTGCTGTTGTGACAATTCTTGGCGAAGTGGGGGAAAAGGCTTGTCTTCCATTGTGGATTGACTCTAATAATGCAGAAGTGGCAAATTCTTCGACTTATTTCAACAAAACTGTTCCTCAAATTGATGCATATTTTGTGTATTCGTTTGCTTGTTTGATGTTTGTATTAGTGTTTGGTGCCGCGTTATTGTTCCTTCGTCTCTTTCAACCGAACTTACTGGGTGAAACGGAGCGAAAGTTTCCTCACTCCCAATTGTTTATGATTGGGTTTTTCGACTGCCTGAATGGGGTGTTCATCGTATTTGCGGGCAGTGGATTAAGAACTGCTCCGTATCTTCAAATGATTCTTGGGAATTTTATGATACCGATGACGATTGCTTTCCGGCAAGTATTGTGTATATCACTTTACGAAGCATGCTGATCATCAACCTGCCTGCTTGTTACACTGAAATAAAATAAATTTCATAGCTCTAGTGAAGTCAAAGTTTAGTAAACAAACTTATAAGTTCAAATATTTCAAGGGAGAAGCTTGCGCAACATCCAAAGTCATGTTGAAGCATGCTTAGACACGATATGATTTAATTTGAAAACACCATGGGTGGCAGCTAACAATGTTAAGGTTCACTTAAAAAACAGCACATTTACAGTCGCGCGTTAAGTACTTGTCGCGCGTACTTTAGAGTTGCGCAAGACAGCGCACTATTTATAGTTAACGCGCCTTACCGACATCAATGTCAAATAGCATAAGTAATCGCGTTCAAACATGGCAGATGGAGCTCGAAACGAAATGGATCACCTTCTCGATCTGGAAGAAGAACGCCTGTGCGTTTCACTTTTCCTGCTACAGCAGGAAAAAAGAAAGCCGAGAAGGTGGTCTTCTCGACCACTTTACTCATTCAGAAAAAGAGAGGTGAATACGTTCTTGTGCAACAAATGAGAGCAGAAACCTTTCTCGTGCTCTTTGGTAATTGCATAATCTGCAATGTCAAAATACTAAAGACGAACCTCCCCTTGAAAGAAGCCTTTCAACCAATCACAGTGTGCGACTATGCGAAAAATCGTATGCGACCTTCAAAAGTTTTGAATGCACGTGACGCGACATCAAGTAAAAGCGCCATCAGGATACACTTCCGTTTTAGTCGCAATTACGTCAGATCTACTATGCGCCATGTGCGACGCTTTTCACTCTAAATTCACGCAAATGCACTCAATGCATAGAACCAACAGGAATGATGATTAGCTTTTCTTCCTGCAACAGCATGACAATGCCCCAAAAACTTTGTTTATGCTGATTTTTGACAGTTTTTACCTTCAAACATTGTCGTTTTGACATTTGTTTTCTTCTTTTTTTCAGTTTCTTCATTTTGCGTAAGCTACCAACGCGAAGGCAATTTTGCTGCGCAATGATTGTTTTTTTCTCCCTCCTAATCTGCTTTATTCCCAAGATTGTCCCCTCGATGGATTCGAATTCCGAAGACTATGGTGGAGCAAGTGGACTTCCAGGCATCCTTTGGCCAATATCCTTTCTCCTTGGCTATGTAAGTTATATTAAGAGTTTTGCATAGCAGCATGAAAAGACGTTGGATGAAGGATGGATTTAGGGGAGGGATGCATATCCCTCCTAGCTTTGTCTAGAGAGGGTGTTGGAGGGATTGCAGTTGGTGATGAACCAGTCGAGGAAACCTCACATTTGCCGATCCGATATAAAGGCATATCGGTTGATTTATCGGTAGCAACAGATAATTTGAGAAAGATATTCTGGTTGCAAAAAATATCAATACATAGTCAAGGATATATTTAGTTGTTTATATTTCTTATAAATAACCCTTCCCCACCCCCCTAATAAAAATAATTCTATAAATTTGTACAAATAAAAATGAACTTACTAAATTTATAAATTCATGTCTTAGTATGCATTGAATCGAATTTGAATCAATACATTAGCAAACACAGTTTAGATTACCTTTGGGTAATATAAAATACCCAAAAGCAATGAAACATAGCGTATTATCACGTAATTTTGACACTTCAGTTAAACATGACTGGCCAAATTGTGAAAAATTACGTTGACAGGATCGTAAATTTTACATTTAATTGAGGACGAGAATCTCTCTGAAAAATATCATTCTGCTCTTGATTATTAAAAGCAAATACTGTTTTAAAAGCAGTTTTTACAGCCCTAATTATTTCTATCTGAAGCCGATTTACGTTAATTTGATCGGCCGATTATCGGCTTTACCGATGAATTTCCGATATCGTTACATGTTTGTAATGTAGTCTGAAGGACTGTTTTGTTGTTGTTGACTGACGTTTCGACAACCTTAGCGGTAGTCATCTTCAGAGTCAAAAGATGAAGATGACTACCGCTAAGGTTGTCGAAACGTCAGTCAACAACAACAAAAACAGTCCTTCTCGGGACTATACCAACCTGGACGATCTACATTTACATGAATTTCCGATAATTGGCTCATCACCAATGACAATTTCCTTACAAAATAATAATATTTCAAGGTTAAGAAAAAGTTAGGAACCCCCTGCCTACAAAGCCATCGTGAATCCATCCATGGACTGGATACGCTATTTCTTATGAGAAAACTAATGGAATCTTGAATTATAAGTTCATAGTGCAAAAAATACAACGAGTGCTCGAGCATTTTTACACATCGTAGATTCCTGCAGCAATCATGATCGTGATAGAGGAACGAAGTTTAAAGTTTCGCGACGACTGTTCGAATGAACAAGTAAACATAGTTTTTTTTTACTTTTGGACGTCTTTCTATGAAATGGTTGTTGTTTTTTGTTGTTTTTGGATGGACATTATTCCAGGATACGGATACGCAAATGGTTTGGACGAATTAATTGAAAAGTAAGTGTTTTTATTTTGAAAATTTCGCAGTTTAACCGAGACACTTGTGAGAACACCAAAAACACTCGAAGATCTTAATTAAACTAGAACACCCCCTCCAATGTAATAGAGACCGGGGACATATCTTCCCTCTACTTTTTCCATGGACACGCAAATAATTGGGTGAAAGTTTGTGTAACAAATGAAGAGTAAGTTCTCGCGTTTTTCTCCCCTCTACCCAACTTTTGAACAGGTTCTGCGGTTCCTGCATGAAAATTTGTTTCCTGATTTCGTTAATGTTTTGCTTTTAATAATGATACAAATGTTTTACTTTCTTTTTAGTTGGATTTTTGGCGTGAAATGTTTCTTCGGTTTTGCAGGCTGTAGTAGCAGTGCTGGCACAGCAGGGATGTTGTATATGGCAATGCACATTTTATCCCACCTGACTGCAGGTCTCTTAATGAGATTCTCCGAAGGTGCCACATTACTTGCTATCGTGCAGGTACTTACGTTGTGCTAATTTAACAACAGTGTTCACTATGTCGCAATTTAGGGACTACTTATGGTTTCAGGCTTTAGTCTCCCCGTTTGGATTTATCTTCTGGACCCTATTTCGCGAGTCGCCATTTGGTTATCAACCAAAAGTCCAAACAAGCACATGGCTCAATACTATTGCTATTCTGTTGATGGTGCCAGCGATATTCTTGTACAACATTTAGTAAGTTTGTCTGCTTCTTGTAAGCATTCAGAGTTTTTTCTGGTTTTTAATTTCTTAAGCCTTGCTATTTTACTTGGTGATAAATGCATGGGACTTGTTAAGATGATGGACGGTATAAAATAAGTTCAAATTGAATGGTTTGAATCAAGAGTATCCGTAATATGTTTATGGTTGTTGGTTGTGCAGGTCAGTGTAGTCCTGAGAAGTCATTGATTTTGAAGATGACAACCTTTAATGAAGCATCATTCAACACTGTTACACTAAGATCAACAGTCATGATCTCTCTCAGGACTACACTAACCCGTCATTACCCAATTCCCTTGCAAAATTGCTTTGGAATATTAGCATGTTTCAACTTCATTTTCTATACCATTTTTTTCACATTGCATTTGGTCATGTTGATGCCCAACCTGATCGGAATGCTGTTTTGATTTTTACAGCAGTGATGAAGAAGACAGGTCCACAATTGATTGCGAAACCACACCGCTAATCCATGATAACATGCCCAGTCTTGTACAAGGTGGTTACTCTTTCAGTGTTTCTGAACACTCTTCACGCAGTCCAACGCTATTTAGTAATGGCACCCTCAGCACATTCAAGCCTACAATGTTGATGTAAATAAGGGTTCCACACTCATGTATTGCATAGTAATCCTTGGGCTTGAATAAGTTTGTAAGCATTTTATTATAACAAAAGCAATAGATCAGGGATTATATACAAAGGGCTTGCTAACATGTAAGATAATATGAGTTAGGGTAACAAAGTATTTATATTTGAATAATAAATATGAAATTGTTGCAAAAAATGCAATATGCAAAATTTTGTAAAATTTTGAAATAATTTTCAATATTGATTTTAAAGCTCTCATATATTGAAAAAAAAACACAATTCTGCTGATTTTGCTGATTATGCTGCTACACCCATAAACTCATCAAGGAATTTGCCAAATAATTTAGGATCTCCAGGTGGAAAAGGTTTTAGAGACAAAAAGTCTTTCTTCTCTAAGACATCTTTAAGGTCGTCACAAACACAGTAAATTAAATATCTGTCTATTGCAAGCTGCTTAGCTAGCTCAAATTGATGATTGTTCATCAGTTTTTCGTTCACCACAACCACTAGTGGTTTTTTCAAAGAAAGAGATTCGGTTATACAGCCAGCACCTACCAAATATACACAAAATATATTGATAGTAAAGAAGCACTACTCTACAGAAAATTGTCTAGCGAACGTATCAAATAAAATATTTTTACCGGCATGACTGATAATCAAAGATGCAAGACTCATGTCATCTTTTAGCGATTCTTTATATCGATAATATTCCAAAGCAAAATCCTTGCTACGGAAAGACTCGGGTTCGTAGCTGCCTCGTCCTATCTGAATGATTAATTTTTTGTATCCTAAACGTTCTAGTGTATTCAACACTGGCTTCCTGCATAACGTTTCAACTAGAGAATCAAAGCTTGTTGTTCCAACCGTTGCGAAAACTATTCGCTCATCGGCCATTATAGATTTGCTTGAGGGTACTTCATGTAATTCGTGGGTATTGCAAGTTTTCAAGATGGCGAACGAGGACGTGTTTTTGGATGGTTATAAAATTGGTTTAATTTCTTCTTCAATCTGGGCGGATTCTAAGGGTAATAGAAATAAAAAACGATCCATTAGTACATCCTTGTTCGATAAAGAGTTGATAGCCCCAAAATTCGTCCCTGTCAAGAAACAGGTGAGATTTATAAAACATCACTTAAAGCGATCATGAACATGTGATTGATGTCAACATGACATCGTTTTATACATGCATGAAAACAATCCTTTTGTTCAATAATCCTTGTAATTGTGGTTTCTCCCAATTAGCATTGATGTATACGTCTTAATGAATAGTCGAACTTCAATGTACACCTTGTTTCGTCCAATTATTTATTAATCTTTCGTTTGGTAATTACGTTTAACGTTGGTAACTTTGGTGTCTCTCGTTACTCTGCCACAGACTTAAAATTACTTTTATTGTGCTTAATCATCACTGTGCTTATTGATTTGTTGAACTGTTCTAAGCGTTCTTTAATCTTTTCTTTATAATTTGTTCGCTCAGAAAAATGTCAAAAAAGAAGATGATGCAATGATAGATTTTCCATCTAAACCAGCAGGTTTTTGTTTTATGCCTCTGTGCCCTGCCTTTTAAGTTCCTTTCTTATTGAAATATCAATAATTTAACAATTTCTTCAGTGCTTGAGGATGATGATGTATGTAAGCATCAAAATATGACCAATAAACAACCCAAGAAGAAATCATGCAATGATGAGCCTGAAAGACTGGCCAGAACTATATTTGTTGGAAATCTTCCCTTATCAATTAAACGAAAGGTATCACAGTATTTAAATGCTGTTATTTGTTGTTAGTTGCTGCAATTACTATAGCAAGACGTCTTTGTATTATGTAAAGGATTTGAAAAGAATTTTCAAACAATATGGCGAAGTGGAAAGTACAAGATTAAGATCTGTGGTAAGATAACCAATTATTGATGATTTTGCTTCACAATACAACTTAATGAGAGAAAAAGGTTTTGGTATTTTTTCATTAAAAATTCACAAAGACATGAAGTGTATCTGCAATAAACACACATTTTTAACGTCTGTAGCCTTATGCAGTTTTTCATGACTTTCATCTTTTCTATATGATTCTATGTATAATGCAAATGTCTAGGCAGTTCCTGATCTAAAAACACCAAAGAAAGTAGCTGTAATAAAGTATGAATAACTTCAATACAAGTGAATAAATATTTGCTGATTTGAAAGCCACGTTGTACATTTCTTTAATTATGCTTGTTATTGCAGAAGAACGTTTAATTCAAATCGAAGTAATATCAATGCTTATGTTGTGTTCAAAGACAAGGACTCTGTTGAAAAGGCGATAACAAGGTGCAGCTGTAGACCGTTATAACAATGTGCCCCTGCAGTGAAAAAGAATGTCTAGAAATATATAATCAAAAGAAACTTTATTGTCCATGTTTGCATCCGTACAATTACGTGTTTTTGTGATTTCTTAATATGTGATTTCTTCTAATTTATTTATCCCCAGTCTAAGTTAGTGTGAAAACTGATTCTTAATAATGTGAATGTTTGATTCCGTCAGTATTGTTTGTAAAAGACGGATGAACATGGACGATCTACATCTAAAAACAAATAACGATACTCCCGTGCTTAAACCATTTACTTTATTAGCATGAAAGCATTTGTATCCAATATATATTTTTCACGAAGTTTTCTTTTCATGTATACAGTAATGGTTTGAAGATTCAAGATCTACATATAAGAGTGGATAGAGTTGATGATGGCGCTAAACAGGTGATAAAATTTCTAGAGACTCTTTTAAACTGTTTCCGTTGTTTCAGTATGTTTGGTTTGTTTTCCATTCTGTTAGTTTTTGCTTTTACTATTTCGCTTTTTCTATATCCGAGCAATGCTATTTTTTGTTCCTTTTATCAAACGGTTCTAACCGTGTCTTTTATAATGGCGTAGCTACATCGATCAATTTGTTTCGTTTCATGCCTTTAGTATGATCACAAGAGATCGATTTTTGTTGGAAACCTCAAGTTTGGTTGGTATAAATAATTGTCTGATTGTCATTTCTTCCAAAATTTCAGTTATTTAGAAGTGTATTATAGTAATTTAGGACGAAATTTATTCTCGAAAGAACGTTACGATTGATTGTTGGCAACTTTTGTTATTGTGTTGTTGATGACGTTTTCTTCCAACAATTTCCATGTTTATAAAAGCATTCAGAGCTCCGAAACTCTTTTTATGGGAATTCTTACTCATCAATTCTTACGTCGTGTAGATATGGAAGAGAAGAGCTTAAACGAGTTCTTTTCGCCGTGCGGGGAAGTGGTCAATATTCGTATCATAAGAGATTCGCGCACAGGAGTCGGCAAAGGCTTTGGTTACGTTCTTTTTTAAGGTATTGCTAGCCAGTGCTTTTAACCTTGTAGTAACACAACAGCATTTTCTTTTGAACGAGGAATACGTCTGGAAAACGTATTAGAATCCACGTGATTTCCTTTTCTCTAGTCCAATTGTGTTGAGGTGCGATAATATGAGTGAGTATAACATTTTTGCTAGAAAAGTAACTCTCCCCCCCCCCTCTTCACCTTGAACGTATTTGAGACATTTATTTTAATACCTGTGCATTTTGCACTATATTCAACAACAGTTTGGTTCATATAATTCTCTACGCATCTTTCTTCTTATGTTTCATTAACGCCTTGATATAACCATTGCATGAGACTAATTTTCTTTTGTATGCATAAGCACCTAGACTGATGACGAGGACGTTTTGTGGATATCAATGCTTTTATGTTCAATGATATTTTTTGTTTTATTACTTTCCTTTTGCTTTTGCCAGGACACGAGCTCTGTATCACTTGCTGTAAAAATGAACAATTCCGAACTTTGCGGTAGAAAAATTCGAATCCAGCGATCACACGATGTTTCCAAAGGTAGTATTTTGAAGTTTGTATTTGGCTAAGATGTTGTGCTGGATTTTTCTTAGCCATTATTGTTTGCAATTTATTTTCGTTTTGTCAGGTCCGACCTCCAAAGAAAGGACAGCAAACAAATTTGGCGGTATGCAAGCGAAAGAAAAATTTTACCATCAGCGCAAAACTTTCAAGAGGTTTGGTTTATCAAACAAAAACAATGGTACGGCTAAAGTTACAAGCAAGAAAACTTATCGCAAACGTAAAAGAAAACAGTAGCATCACCCCTAGTTTCATAAAGAAGCGTTGCTAGCGTGGAACGAACCGTCGCGTTTCTGACGGTATCTTATGGAAGATGAAGAAGAGCTGTTTCCTCACTGTGTGAAGCTGCACATGGAATGGTACGATAGCAAATATTTTGGCTGTAAAAACTGTAATTCCTTTCTTTTCCTCCTCTGCTGTTTAAAAGATTCGCGGATTGTTGGTGAGTTTGGAGATGGTTGATTAGAAACATAAAAGGTTACATGAAGGAAACATGAAACGTTACACTCTGCTAGTCGCAACAATATTATATAGAAGAAGCTAATCTCTCTTCTAGTTTTCCACTTTTTCTATAAAATTTTTAATGATGCTTGCTTAGTGTATGTCTATAATGGTACAGAAACGTATCCTCGTAGCTTGTTCATTTACTTGTTCACTGATTTGAAAATCAATGTATTTAAGAAATGAAATATGACCATCTTTTGCAATTTGCATAGCATGACCAAATTTGTGGTCCTATTTAGTAATATGGGAAAGAGAAATAAAAGCTCTGATGAGTACTGTCTAATTTTTGATGCATTTCAACTGGTTTCAACCCCACAACAAATCTGTACATGGTGCATCACGGGGGGGTGAGTGACAGAGTGTTGAAGAATTCACTGGAGAATGAAGTTTTAAGATGGCTGCTTCGAGAGACGAGGAAAATGAACTTCCAAACGAAATATTCTCTGCAATGAAAGATTTTCACCACTCATTTGGCTCTGTGGAAGAGACTTTGGAACCACTACTCCGTTCGTCAAACGATGAATTACATGAAAAGGTTTGTTCTCACATTTTTTTCAGACAAAAATCGGCGGTATTTACAAACATCAAGTCACCAACGAGCAACGTAAAATATAGTCTTGCATTTTTTTTTATCAGTGATAAAGATAAAATCTTTATCTATTTTATGTAGTTAGATGTTCTAGATCGGGCAAAATTGGATCTGATGGTTGTTTATGGCATAAATACGATGTTTTGGAGTAAGTGCAAATTTAGAAATTCGAGGTTTAATACTGAATAGTTGTAATAAGTGTTTTTTTACAATTTTTGTTTAGTTTATCTCATAACTCAAGGTGTAAATCCGAAAGAACATGGAGTCAAGCATGAATTGGTGAGAAAATTAAATTATTGAAAAAGAAGAAACAAAAATTATAGTACATCAGAATAATGGGCACAATTATCAAGTAATACCCTTCCACACGACAGCCAACAACCTTCAAGCTAGGGTTAGGGTTAGGTTAAGGCTTGCAGGTATTGCAATTGTGTTCTTTAATTACTATGAGTAATGTTCTGCGAATTGACATAAACAAACTTGAACTGATCATCCACAATCCTAGGATAGAATAAAGAACTACATGAAAAAAGTAAAAGATGTCAGTGAACGAAAGAAAGGTATGATGGAATTTCTTTACTAGATATCAATATAGTCATAATTAGATCATTGTACTTATAGCTTCAATGAAGATTGACAAAGATGCTGCTCGAAGATTTGTGAAAGGTGCTCTTGCAAATCCTAAAGGTGTGTTTGAAGTGCTTTTTATTTGGAGTATATTTTTACAGTAGCCAGAAAAAAATTTTGTATTTTTGGTTCCATACTTTTATGAGATATTTTAGTAATGAAACAAGTTTTCAAGCAGTTTTAGTTTTTGTTAAACTATGTTCAAACTAAAGTTCTTCTGATAAATCAGTCACAAAGATGCTTTTGCATTTAGCATCTGAAGTGGTATCTGACAAGGAAAAACGGGCAAAAACAACCAAACAAAAGAACAAAAACAAAAGGTGGAATAGTGGTTGCTAAAAGAAACCAAAAGATGAAAATGTTGGACAAGTTATTGCAGAGTAGCCATAAAGCCAATTTTTGTGTAGCTGTATCCATGAACCAATCATATGAACCTCCCCACATTATTGACTTTCTTATGCCAATGCTCTTTTTATTTTTATATGCAATCACAAAAACAGGGCTCTTTTTTGTGGTTAATCAAATATTACTTACAAAAGCTGTTTAAGTCCACAGCAACGTTGAAAATTTTTCATAGTTTTCTCATACCAATTGTAAAATTATAATGTTAACCATGATTTCTCTTATGCAAACATTACGTATCTTTGAAGAAGTTCATTACAGTTTCAGAAGATGTTTGCTATAAGACGATAAAAATTTTCTTGTTACGGGCATTTGGAAAATAACAAATGAGAAACAATCTTTAGTTGTTAAAAGGTTATTCATTGCACTATTAGCGAAGCTTGCCGTTTTTTATTTCTACTGCACAAATATTTTTCTGCTCGATCAATGGAAAAACAATGAACGGAATTAATTTTCGAAAAGAATGAATAATATTTTTACTGAAAAATTTGCATTTGAAGAGTATATAAGCTAAGGATAATGAACTATAGAATGGCCGTTTCCACTTGTCCTAGAGGATTTAAATTTTCAAGATTTTCTTATCATTTTGCCCCCAACTCCAACATTGAAAGTGAAATTCCAGGCGTGCGATTTTTCATGCTTTAGAGACTAAGTTCACTAAGAAACATTTCAAATTTCTCTTTAGACTTCCTCTTTGCGATTGGCTTAAAACAAAACAGTAAATGGAAAATTTGCGCATATCTTATTACGCATGTGATTAACATAGTGGCAGCCAGTCAATTGTTTTTTTTGCCGACAGAAACTCTGCGATGGCTAACCGCAGCCAGTAATCTAATTTAGTGTACAACACAGCAGCAAATTGCGCAGCGAGGATTGACTTCGTTTTGTTCCCACACTGTAATAACGTCATCATTTTGAAAGCCATTGAAAAGTATATAAATCATTTGCGTAAGGAATTGTATTCATTCTTGCGTACTTCAATATACTGGTTGGTGGCGATGGATAGCTGTGCATTAACAAGCGTAAGTATCGACAATTTGCGAGGAACTAATTTGCTACTTTCATCAAGTTCGTTTGTATTAAGCTGTGCTTTCACGGGCAAAACCTTCAAGTTAAAGTTTTTGCTTAAATGAGGATTGTTTTGTTCTTTGTGCGTTACACTTGTATGATAAGTTGGTATATGGTAAGATATCGCAAAAACGTTAAAATGTCCTTACAAATTGCTGAAAACATGTATAATCTTTGTTCTTTTTTCTATTTTGTTTCCAAGTTGGTCATGCCCTACAAACGTTTGCAGGTAAACACGCACGTTTGTCTTAAAAGGGTGTATTTTCACTCACCACGGCTGCTTTGATTTCACGTGACTTACATATACTATTAAAAAATAACCTTAGCGTTATCGGTATTAAAATATTTTTCTCAATAGAATGTCATCTATTTGACAAGATATTATGCTTTGTACTGCTGATGTTTTTTGTTACACAAAAAGTGGTTTTCATGTCCACCATGTTTGATGGTTCCAGTGAAGTCTAAGGAAACAAAAGAATGTCACTATGTTTTATTGTTAACCGAATGCATGGGGAATGTATGCCTTTTCATTAATTACTAATCCTTGAATAATTGGTGGGTTGCATGTTACGTCACGGCCGTCATGTTGGTTGAATTTAACAAATGAATTTTAACCAAAATAGTGAAAATCTCTATGATCTTTGATTCTTAGGGGAGCAGTTGCAAGCCACCTGCGCATGAAAAGAACAAACACAATAATTAACCGTATGTATATTTTTTTGTGATTTAGAAAAATTCGCATGAATTCCATCGCTATAAACCAACAATGATATGACAATCTTGGCATGGATTTTCTGTGGTATGGATTCTTTGTGAATGCAGTCATCTGCACATGTTACAGTAATGGGGCCCCACTGTTGCATGTGCGGTAAGCTATCATTCACTTTGAATCTGTTCCACGATGAAAATTATTGTAAATGGAGGTATGAACTTGAGAGGTATCCATATTATGTGAAAGTATTATGATGAAATCTGGTGATTGCCACTGTTGGTTGATATTTACGTTGAATGTGGACGTTTGCTGGTGATGCTAATCAATGTTTTTAACACAGTTGTATTATATCACGAAAAATGGCTACTAACTGTGCTGGAGATGACGGTAATACAACAATGGTAAAGTAATGGAATACACGGGAAAACGGCATACGCGGAGACTGAACTTGCTGATGGGGATGGTGTTGTATAAAGATGGATACTTTCTGTGGAAGGTTGTACGAAGTGTCTCCCAGAAGATGAAAGAGAAAATTTCAGGTTTATAGTGTGTAGGTAAAGTAGTCATAGCTATAAAACCGTGCATATTCACGTGGCTAATGGCCTCGTCCACAAGGCCTAATGCATGTATTTTTATAGCCGGAATATTGCATGCAAGAATAGTTAAAAATTTATCTAGAAAATGTTTCCTGTCGCACAAAATGTTGCTGTGCTGTGGATGATGCGATGTAGAAGGTAAAGAGCGGATTAAATTGAGTTACTCAGCAACCTTTATGGCTTTATTAGATTGACAACATTTATAGCTTTTCCTGCTGGCCAACGTGCGATTTAAGGTCTGGCATGATTTTTATTTTTGCAGTTTTTGCTTTAAAGGTTTTGCAGTCGTTTACGACTCCACTTCTCGTCAAATCTCGAGCTATTCAGTAGCGCAGATGAGTTCTCCAAGTTGAAGGAATAAAGGATATTTACGTTATTGGTGATTGTTCTCAAGTTTATTGTAGCCATAGGAGTTAAGATTCAGGAACAGTACCTCCAGCAATATCGAATTTTCAGATGACGAGAGAGAGTTTGTATGACGCGCACTGTACGTTTACGTCATAATTCACATTAGACTTTCGTATTGAATTTTCTCAACTCTTCTGGTAAGTTCTTTCATAATTTCAACTAATACACGTGATTAGACTCACAATGTCACACAAGTATATAACCGATACGTGCATATTTTTCTTTTTCTATGGAGAAAAATTCGAACCCGGTACGTCGTCACGAACAACGCTATCCAGGGATGTTTTTCTGTTGGATTCCTCATGAATGCAGTCTAGCGAACATGTAACAGTAATGGGGCCCCACTGTTACATGTGCGTTTGACTGTCATTCACTTTGAATGTACTCCACAGTAAACATTCCCTGTGTATGGAGGCGTGTTTTGGATAAGGCTCATAATCTGGTACCTGGTAAATTATATGTAAACATGTTAACTGTGTCTTGTATGCAAGGAATCGATGCTCAGTGATGTTACTAATGCAATTTTTCATGATAATGCACTGTGAGCATCACTCTGATATACGTACGACATAAACTTTAATCGTCTATTTTTATAAGAATATCATCGCGTCGACATATGGGATTGAAAATAGTTTGTTGCCATCTTTTATCTTACGAAAAAATCACGTGATTACTATGAACGTTTAAAATTGCGAAAATTATTCATTTGATAAAAAACAAAAACTCATATTCAAAATTCATTTTGTTAGAAGTAAAATGACGAAGCATCATATGCCAAAGCATCTGGAGAATGCCAGCGAGTTTCGACATTTCGTGTACGAACTTACAGAGTCCAAGAGTTTTGGTGCATTCATTTTGTTCGTGATTTTAGTAAATACAGTCATCCTTGTCGTTCAAACTGACGAAACAATATCAATAAAAGGAGGTAAAATATTATGAGCATGTCTGTTTTAACCTTTTTGGTGTTTTGGTAGCATCGTCGTACGCTTACAGGACTTTTTAAAACCCTGAAGATTCCAAACTAAAGTGAATACGTGAATTTTAACTGAAATTGTCGGCAATCACTGTTTTTTTAGGGTTTATAGTAGTGATTAGCCATAGCAAAGAGACTGTTTGTCAGAGATCAAACTAGGATAAAAAACTGATGCTTTTGCTATGTTTCACAAGAACTAAACATTGTAAAAACAATGGTTTGGCAAACGAATACGAAGCACAATGTGAACGTCACGGAATGTCAATCATTTTGTGTTTTACTTAAAATACTTTTTCGCAGTCGTAGTTTCTGGCCTAAACAGAAATTGTTTGTTGTTGTTTTTTAGGTTGGTATTTTTCTGCTATGGACAACGTATTCTTGGCTATTTATATTATGGAGTTAATTCTCAAACTTTATGCCTTGGGCTCATTATACTTTAGCTCTGGTTGGAATATAATGGGTAGGTATGACTATGAGCACGATTACTTTTTGTTGTGTAACCTCCTGATATTTATGAGAAATTACTTAAGATGTTGTTTTAAAGTTGTTTCACGTAACATCGAGCTATAGACGAAAGATAATATGTCTGTCACACAAACATAAGTCTATGATGTAATAATTCTTTTCGGGAACACATACATCATTTTAAGATATACAAAGGAAATAGTTTGAACCCGAGCCTATCTTTACATATTTGTAGATGTTGATTGTTTAGATTAGTACAGTATTGAGAACTGTTGGTGGGGACTGATTATAGTAAGGTTTATTTTCAGGCAAATTTTTTTTAATAATTTTAGACATGCTTATCGTCCTCTTCACGACCGTCGATTTCCTGTTACCGCTAATCGTTCGTAGTGTGGGCTCATTTGATGTTGCTGCCATCTTTCGCCTACTGAGGATGTTTCGCGCTATCCGAGCGTTGCGAGCTCTCAGGGTATTGAGGACAATAAGGTGATATGCAACATGTTAACGGGAATAGTGTCTGAATTTAGATTAATTCCATTATTTTTTTTACCTTTCTACAGATTGTTAAAAAATCTTCAAGTCATTATGACGACTATATTCAAATCGTTTCGAGCGCTCAGTACAATTGTCTTGTTGATGCTTTTGTTTCTCTGTATCCTTTTATGTCGACCATGCTTGATTCTCATGATATACTCGAAACTTTTATCAATACATAAAGAATCACTGCTGGTTTTATTTGGCGTTTACAACTACTAATTATTAAGAGACGTTTCTACAATTTTCCATGGATCAACGTTGGCTAATACCGTGTTACTCTACAGTACGAGGTCAGAAAGTTTACCATTGATTTATTGCAAATGGCTGACACTCCATCAAGCTGTACCAAAGTAAAAAAAGTAATAACTTAGAGAATATGCATTCTTGAAAGTTTCCGACAGTTTCCGTCAATATTTTCCTCCCTTAAAGAAGTAAGTTTCATATTAGAAACATGTTTCTCAATAGGGAAAGGGAAAAAGCGTCGAGTTTATTATAAGACTTATAATTATTTGTTGACATCGAATTTTCACATTTAAACTACACTGCATTTAATTTTTATTTCATCCTTAACTGCAATAATCATTTTAGATATGTTTGCAGTAATCGGTCGCGAGTTGTTCAGCACAGTCGATCCGAAGAGATTTGGTACTTTGGCCAAAGCACTCCTCACATTGTTCCAGCTCATAACGTTAGATGATTGGTTCTACATGTACACGGATATTATTGCTGTGAATCCCAGTAAGAACTCGTGTTTTAATGCGGGGCTATAGCAAATCGTGTTTGCCTGAAACAAAGATTCACTTTATGTGAAAGATTGTTTTATGCAGTGCGGTGTTTTGAAACTAAATGAAGATATGATCTTCGCACTTTGCTGGACAATTTAAGCAATTGTCTCATGAACCTGAAAAATTCAGGTGACTCAACGGGTATCGAACCCATGACCACTGCGGTCAATTGCTTAAATTGTCCAGCAAAGTGCGAAGATCATATCTTCATTTAAAGATTCACTTTGCTATTTGAACTTAGATTTGGGTTTGGGTGAGTGATGTATAAGAATCGGAGAAAGTAGAAAATCAATCGTTATGCTTCTCATTCCAGATTATGGTTACGTGATAATCTACCTTGCATTATACATAGTTTTGGAGAACTTTATCTTTATGAAGTAAGTTCAGAGTTCCTGCTCTTAAATCCAAGGAAAATATTTTCCGATTATTTTCGTATATTTTTTCAATTTAATGCAGCTTATTTGTTGCTGTGCTTGTCGATAACTTCCAACGAACTCTATCGTCGACGGAAAAAGGGAGAAGGGGAACGTTGACAGTGTTTCCGGTATGTTACAGTAGTTTTGCACGATCTCAAATTAAACAATTAAATTTAATCTTTATATGAGGATCCGTAATAAAGGAAAAATACCAAACGATTTTAGTATCAGTGTTACATTTCTTCGGTTAGGGTTTAAGTTAGGATTAGCATCAGGATTAGGTAAGAATGAACTCGAATGATTACATGCAATATGTCATCCAATTTTTTTCTCATTCATGAAGGCTGAAAATGTTGAAGAAAGCGGAAGTGAAATGCAAGAAGAAGAGGAGGAAGAAGAAGAGGAAGAGGAAGATGACTTCGAAGGTTTTAAGCGAAACAATGGCTTTTGAATATGTTCGCGCGTGTTCATCGAGTTGTAACACCAACTGATGTTCAAATAAAATGTCGTTCATTTATCCTGCAACATTTATAAGAATTTGAAAATTTTGCCAACTTTAAACACGTACTTACGAACTCTATTTTAGATAACGATCTTAAGCTTGATACAGCAAGGGACCGAAAGGAGCCGAAAGTTCGCTCGATTGAGTTCTTCTATCCTTCTGTTAATGACAAGTATAACTATATCCTACATGCTACAAGCGATTCCATTCGTATATTTAAGTTATTTTACGACAAACGTATCAAAATAAGAGGAATAAATAGGTCGAAATAAATTAAGTATGATATATGGAACAACTTTTATGAGTACATTAAAGAATTGCCGTAATACAGCAGAGGAAAAGTTATCCTCGCTCCTCGCTTCAGTAAAAAATCTTGACTTTTGTTTTTTTTAGGAAGGCTGAACTTCTTTCAGAATACTTTCAAATAATGGCTTCACTTGATTACAACTACTACCAAATATCGAATCAGTTCAAGGTGCTTGATGATCTAACTGACATCACTGCTGATGTGAGTGGATTTGTTTCACCTTGTTCCCTAGTTATCTATCATGAGTTGATAACGATTTTGATTGCTTTTATAGATTCCAGATGTACCAGAAGATTTGATATAAATTCCTGTGTAAATATTTACTTTAACAAAGTTTTTTAGAATCTATAGATTTGGTAGTTTAGACTCCTGTGAAAACACTTGATGCGGGTAAAGTTTGAACACGATGTTCAAAACAAATTTTCTGAAATGTGAAAATAGACACTTATCTTTCCTGCGTAAACCGACGTCATTAGTTGACGTAAATAAATCGGTCATTACGTCATTACTTGTGCGAAGCCATCCAAGCAAGCATTTATTTAGACGGGGAAGATACACGTTTTACTTGTCAAATCAAGACAACCGTGACTTATTTTATTGGATCAAATTAATTTCCGACTTTGGTGAATTTGTCACCGTTATATTAAATAAAAATATTTGTTGCAACTTTTTGAGCTTGGTTTTCTTGATTTTAAAAACTTATCGTTGGGTATGTTCCTTATTGTGAACATTAAACAGTGTTTGATTTGTCGTAGCCACGTCTACAAACCAGTGCCACAAATTAGAAAATGATTTCTAATCCAATGATGATTTCATAGATCAGTGCTAATGTTTGTATTGGATTAGGCTAGATTTGTGATCAGGGTAGTTATTCAAGGCGGAGTAATGAGGCAACTCCCGGAAATCTACAAAAGCCATCTCACCACCTCATCACCCGTATTGTCATAAATACGAATTTTAATTACTTGTGTACATTTCTGTGCAAGGTGCACTTGTCGTCGAATGTTGATTTGCCTTCGGTATCTCTGTTTGCTTTATATATTCAGTATATTCTCGGTTCCCTCTGAAGGAGATGGCGCAGAAACCATTGAGTGATTTGGAAAGGAAAAAATCTATATCGCTTCGCAAAATTCCTTTGGTTGACAACGTTGTCGGCGTGAAAGATAGCTTCAACAGACACTTGCATTTCACACTGATCAAAGATAGGATTGTTGCCACCAATCGCGATTATTTTACAGCTCTTTGTCACACAGTTCGTGATAACCTGACGGAAAAATGGATCAGAACTCAGCGAGACTACTATGAGAAGGATCCCAAGGTAATATCATTGAAGAAATGTAATATTTTGGTAGATACACGTTTTCCAAGATATTCACACAGGAAGAACTTGTTTATTTGTCTACATAATACCGGTATGTTGTTTGGAACTATTGAATCTATACATGTGCTGGCATTTGAAGTGTAAACGACGAATTAATTCAACCCAGCGCATCTTGGTGTAAAACTGTTGAATGTGTTATGTAATTTGTCTGTGTTCAATGATCCGTTACTATTTTGATTATCTGAAATGATATTTGCAACATCTGAACAAAAACTGTTTTACAATACCAAATACTAAATACCTGATGTTAAATTTTGTTTTTGTTCCATGGATAAATAAAAATGGCAAAACATACAAATTACTAGTTTGAGATTTTAGCTTTCTGTTTGGAAATTGTCTTGTATTAGTTGCAAAATTCAGTTCAGAATTTGATTAGAGACACGGTCCTAGAAAAGAGTTTTGAGCAAAGCTTGTGAAAATCAAATATTCCGAGGAAACAGATGTGTTTAGTGGGTGTGGTCATCTGAATACAGGAAACTACTTTGTGGTTATTACACTCATAAATTTTGTCTCATCTTACTTAGTAGTCAATGCTTTTTTTATTGTCAAGTTGAAACTTGGACATTTTCATGTGCTCTATTGTTTGGTTTTTCAGCGTGTGTACTATTTGTCAATGGAGTACTACATGGGTCGTTCTCTGGGCAACACCATGGTTAATCTTGGTATTGAGGGTGAATGCGATGAAGCATTATACCAGGTGATCAATGTTTGATCACAGAGCTTTGGGGGATGTAATGCAGTTTTTAACAATGTAGTTTTCACTTTAGCTTGGCTTGGATATTGAAGAATTGGAAGATAATGAAGTAGATGCTGGTCTTGGTAATTCATTGTCTACTTCATTGATCCTGCTGACTATCTTACTATTTTATTTCTTACTGGAAATTTAAAATGAATGTTTGTTCTGTAAAATGTAATGTGAGAACATTTTGTTGTAGGAAACGGTGGCCTTGGTCGGCTTGCTGCATGCTTTCTTGACTCTCTTGCTACACAGGGTTATGCTGCGTATGGATATGGAATAAGATATGAATATGGTATCTTCACACAGACTATTAATGACAAAGGAGAACAGGTATTTATATACATATATGTATATGTACATACAATGTATAGGTGTTTATTGTGAATAGAAAAGTTTACACAACCATTTAGAATCAACCATTTTGATAGGTCGAGATACCAGATCATTGGCTTGAGCATGGCAATCATTGGGAAAAAGAGAGACCTGAATATCTTCTCCCAGTCCATTTTTATGGTCGACTGGAGTCAGATGACAAAGGCTATCACTATAAATGGGTTGATACTGATACAGTGTTTGCAATGCCCTATGATGTACCCATACCTGGATATATGAACAACACTGTTAATACAATGAGGCTGTGGACTGCCAAAGCAAAAAAAGGATTTGATCTCAACTATTGTAAGTTGTATTCTTTATGTCCCATGATGTCTTGGTGACATGCTTTGATGTACCATATTTTTTTCTTACCCCCTCCCCACCCCCCATCTAATAATTCCCATTGAAAGCTGGCAAAAATAATAAAACTCCTGGGAAGTGGCTAAATAGAGGATGTACAGTAAGTGGGGGATAGTTATTGATTGTAAACAACAAGTTGAACAAAAGGGATTGTTATTGATAGTCATTTTTTCCCCAAGATGTATTTTTTAGTTTTATGTGTTGTATGATTTCTTTCCAGTCCAAGGTGGTGATTACATTGGCGCTGTTCTTGATCGAAACAATGCTGAAAATATCTCAAGAGTTTTGTATCCAAATGATAATGTAATGCCTTTGTACTCAAATACTTTTACTGTTTGCAAATCAAACTTAGAATTGTTAGACTCTTTCTAAGTTTTGAAATCAGTGCCTTTATCAATCTCTGATGTCAATAACGGATCCATCATGCCATAAATTAGCAAGAGGATATCAATATCCTTAGAATTTTCCTCATTTCAAATTACTGAAATATATTTACAGTTTTTTGTTGGCAAAGAGCTTCGTCTTAAACAAGAGTATTTCCTTGTATCGGCTACACTTCAAGATATCGTTCGCCGTTATAAAACGTCGCAGTATGGCTCGCGGAATCTTGTCAGGACCGACTTTACAAATTTTCCTGATAAAGTAAGCAGCAGTTGTTTTACTTAAAATCGTTTATGTTGTGTGCAGCTAAAGAATTTTGCAAAACTTGAGAAAGAAATACACAGAGTTTTGTACTTATAAGATTGCCTGGGTATTTCTTTACTGAAATCATCTTTTTCTTACTCTTTTTGAAAATTGATAAAGGTTGCCATTCAGTTAAATGACACGCATCCTTCGTTGGCAATTCCTGAGCTCATGAGAGTATTTATGGATGTTGAAGACCTATCATGGGATGAGGTAAAAATGATAATTTCTATGACGTAAAAAACTTGTGAAATATCACCAGATCACTTCCAAAAAATAAAGGACTCAGATTTCAACGTCTACAAGGAGTGATAACGACACTAGATTGGAGTTTATAAGGATTCACGTTTCAAGTTCAACATCAGATCACTCTTGATGAAGACAGACACTAGACTAATGTATGTATAGACCCAAGTTTCAACATCAGATCACTCTTAATGATGGCACTAGACTAGAGTATATAAGAACTCACGTTTAAATATCAATTCAGTCTTGATGAAGATAATGAAATGGAGTATATAAGAAACTGAGTTTTAACATAACACAACTTATAATGGCTTAGATCGCCTTATGATGAACATCCATTTGTGACATTAGGCTTGGAAGATCGTCACCAAGACGTTTGCTTATACCAATCACACTGTTCTTCCGGAGGCTTTGGAAAGATGGTCATGCAATATGTTAGAAAAGATTCTACCTCGTCATTTGGTTATCATTTACGAGATCAATTCAAGACATCTAAAGGTACTAGGGTCAGAATCATGTCTTGCAGGGTCTAAATTAATTTATATATACCGTGGTTTTGGAGGGCAAGCTAGTCTTTTAACTCTAAATTATTGATTGTCGAAGAATGTTCAACAACAATGGCACTAACAATAATTTTGTCTTACTATGAGGCAAACCTCACACCCGGTGAAAACTAGAAATAGCGCACTTTTATTAAAGTTAGAATTTGGCCGGCGATTGCTTTCCTGTAATGTAATGGTTGCCCGTTCCGAGAAAAAAAGTAAATAAATCTCTAAAGTAAAGAGAAAGTACGAATTTTTCATGCCTTGCAATTAATCTTCCTTGTTCGGTCTTTGCCAAGAAGTCTCAACCTCGGTTTTTGGTAAAAACATTGCTATAAGAGCTCGATGTTCTGCATAAAAATCATGCGCTTTATTAATAAAAGCTTATTATTGGAAAGATAATCAAAAACATGGAATTGGTGTTGCCAGTTCTAATTCTAGACATTTCCAGTTCAAGCTACAGGTTTGTTTGGTAGATGTTAAAAAGACGGGCGGCCAGTGAGTTTTTTTCTTTAGAATATTGAACGCCTTTATCCCGGGGACATGGATAGAATCAGGAGGATGTCATTGGTTGAAGAAGGATACGATAAACGTATCAACATGGCACACTTGTGTATTGTTGCCTGTTATGCCGTAAATGGTGTTGCCGCAATACACTCGGAGATCATTAAAGATAGCATGTGAGTTTAAATTACGTAGTAAAGGGCCTGGGGGAGGATAAAAAGAGTTAAATGAAAGTGGTCTCTGGAAGTATCGTGAATATTTTAACACATGCGCATACGTTTCTTCTGTTTTTCTGTTTTGATGTAAATGTATTGTGATTGTTGTAATTTGGATGAGATATACTGCTCAGAGTACACAACGGACGTAATGACAATTATAAAGAAATGCGCATGCTTCTAATATACCAAGTTTGTCACATAAATTATTCACCCTTAACTATTTTTACTATCCTGATCATAAGATGATGACACTCGATATGTTTTTTTTTAGATTTAAAGATTTCTACGAAGTGTGGCCAAAGAAATTTCAAAATAAGACCAACGGTGTCACGCCAAGAAGATGGCTGCTAGTCTGTAATCCTATTTTGTCGGATCTTATTTGTGACGTACGTATTTCAGGCTTAATAGCGTAACTGTTGCAGTAAAGACCATGAATATCTAATATTGGTTACCAAAATGTTCGTTGTTTGTGGCTCAACCAGTCACCAACAAATGTTTTACAACAACTTCCTATTCCTTGCAAACCTTTGAAAACCTTATAGTTTGAACTGTTTATCGTATTTAATCGTTCAATTTCTTGTGTTTGAGAATAAACACACTACTCAAACTGCAGTTTTGAAAACGGTGATTTATATTTGAATTTGTGTAAACTCTTTATCCATCCTCGAGCCACTGATCCCAGTTTGACTGGAAACATGTCATTTTTGAACTTGCGTTGCGAAGGATGTTTTGAATCTTGAAATATACCACTCTATAACAATCACAGAATAATGAATTTCTAGTGCTGAAATACACGAGAATAAAATATTTGCCTTAAGCTGCCAAAATCTTCTTACATCACGTGTCAGTGTCATGTTCCACTCTACTTTGATGAAGTTCAAATGAAGAAAAACAAGTAACACTTTTTTTTATCTATAATATTGTTTCTTTATGTTTTTAAGAAACTTGGTGAAGATTGGATAGTGGATCTTTCTCAGTTACGACGTTTGGAACCTTTCATAAAGGAGAGACGTTTCACTGAAGATTTCATTAAAGCAAAACAGGTAAGAGTAACGTACTTATACCGTGATGCTTAGCGAATGAATTGTATTTCTTTAAAAAAAATGTTGTTAGTTTGGATCAAGGAGTAATATACTTGATCGACAATTTTCATCCCACTGAACATGGCTTTCCATGGATCAGGTTGTGAAATGTCATTAACAACAGTCCTCTGAACCATAATCACCCCTATGATCCTTTTCAATCAAGTGATATTTCTCTTAGCAATGCATTTAACTAGTTTATTATTAACTACGTACGACTATGGTCTCACTTTATTTCTGGACTGCGTTTTGCATGTGATTATCCATCCAGTCGTCGATGGAATCCAATAGATCCAGCGGGATTTTCGAGCGGGAGCGGGGTTTCCTTTAGTATAAAGTGTTTGGGATAGGATATCAGTAAGCAATGACATATTTCACTGGAAGAAGTTATCAATTTAACAATATTTTCATTTTGTACGTACCATTTTTACTGGTTGATTTCTTGATCGATAGGAATTCTTATTAGAAATGTCTTAAAATGTAGGATGTCACCCCCCGTGTTAAGTTACTCCTCCTCCTCCCCCGCTAGTCTCCAGAATCATTTTATTTTTTTAGCAAAATAAAGACAAGTTAGCACGCTACATAAAAAGTACGTATGGCATTGATGTAAATTCGTCGTCCATGTTCGACTGCCAGTTCAAACGTATTCATGAATACAAACGTCAACTGATGAATATACTTTACGTCATTGTCCTCTATAACCGTAAGTATGCACTATGCAGTTGAACTTTATATAGTTCAGTTACAGTCCATCATGCTCTTTGCTTTTCCATGCATGCGAACTTGAAACCATACGAAAATATTTAGTTGCTGTTCTTAAATATCCATGATGTGCATACTGTTTCCTTTTGTCTCTGTCCTTGTATTCGATGTCTTCTGTAGACCTCTATAAATAACAAAGTGTTTACCTCTGAAGCGAAGGACTCTTCTCTTATACTTATATTTTAAGTAAACTTCATATAACATAGACTTTTGCTTATCTTAAATTCTGCTTAAAATTCTCATGCTATTTATTCCCCGCATAAACGCTCTCATGCACAATTTCCCTCTCCAAATGCCTGCAAATTTATCTTTCCCAATACATGCAAACTTTCTCTTTCTTTGATTAGGCATCAAGGCCAATCCCAATGCAGAGTTTGTCCCGAGAACTGTTTTGATTGGAGGAAAGGTAAATGTTGGAAATGATTTCAACAAACTTGAACTTAAGCTGATTATTAAGTTTTTTGATGCGGTTATATTAATTTATGATTATATTTAGGCTGCACCGGGATACACTACCGCCAAGGAAATAATCAAGCTAATCAACTGTGTTGCTAAAGGTAAATCGCAATAACTAGCGGAAATAAGCGTTACGCAAAATAAATTATACCCGCTCAATTTTCATCTCAAAATGTGTAATAGCAATGCTATTATCATCTTGGCCATCCAAGTGCTTTTAAATCGTTTTGAAACGAAAATAAATCGAAGAATGAGTTATTTTAATTCGTTTTGACCAACGCTGAATCTGTCACTGCAACGCTGAATCTGTCACTGCTTGTAATAAATACTTGTGCTTATTGGATAGAAACTTTTTGCATTGTTTGAACATAATTTCATTGCTTGCTTTAACGTTGGTTTCAAAGTAATGGTTTGAACGTTCATTCAAAGATAACGAAGGTTCAAGTTATTTTATTGCAGTTGTGAACAACGATCCGATTATTGGTGATCGTCTGAAGATTGTCTTTGTCGAAAATTACATCGTCTCACTGGCGCAAAAGAGTATCCATTTTTTCACGCAAATGATCCTCGTTTGCAAAATGTTCCATTTACATTTTCTCCAGTATTATTGTTAGGAAATGGGAGTTAAAACACCAGGAATTTAAGATACGATAATGTCGTAAAGTCAGTCATTGAAGCATTTACCTAGGTTGTTTTTGAAACAGAGTGTCGAAAACAAGTAGTGTTTCCCCTTCAACGTATTTAACTTTAACGCAAAACTTTAGTAATACCGGCAGCTGATCTTTCACAACAGGTTTGTTCCATCGTTTTAAGACGTAAATTTGCTTGTGAATAGTAATGGTACATTTTGTTTGTTTAGATTTCTCTTGCTGGTACCGAAGCATCTGGGACAGGGAATATGAAGTTCATGGTAAATAAGTTTTTATCTATTTTTTTTAAATTTGAGTGCTTGAACATAAATCTTTGGAATAATCACGAGTGACTCTTATGTGAGTCCAGTGTCTTCACAAGAAGTTGTCTAATGTTGAATCTTGAGGTCTTATTTACTCCAGTCTAGTGTCTTCAACAGCATTGATCTGAAGTTGAAACTTTGATTTTTATATACTCTGGTTTAGTGTCTTCTACAGGATTGATCTGAAGTTGAAACTTTGATTTCTTATATACTCTAGTCTAGTGCCTTTTCAGGATTGATCTGAAGTTGAAACTTTGATTTCTTATATACTCTAGTGTAGTGTCTTCTACAGGATTGATTTGAAGTTAAAACTTTCATTCCTTACATACTCCAATCCAGTGCTTTCGTCAGGATTAATCTGAAGTTGAAACTTTGGTTTCTTATATACTCTAGTCTAGTGTCTTCTACAAGATTGATCTGAAGTTAAAACTCTGATTTCTTATATATTCTAGTCTAGTGTTTTCGTCAGGTTTGATCTGAAGTTGAATTTTCATTCTTTCTATTCTTCGGGTTTAGTGTCGTCGTCAGTAGTTTACTGATGTTAAAGCCCCATTCCCTATCGTTTTCCATTGACTTTTTTTAGTTGAATGGCGCATTGACCATTGGAACGTTGGACGGAGCTAATGTTGAAATGTGCGAAGAAGTTGGAGAAGAAAACATGTTTATTTTTGGAATGAAAGTCGAAGATGTTGATAAACTAGGAAAAATTGGGTAAAAGCGATAGTTTACCTATTCCTGTCATAAATTCTCTGTTTTGTTCTTTTGGTTTAAATTCTTCCTAATTAAATAATGAAATAATGTTATGCGTACTTGCAACAGGTATAATCCAAGAGATTATTATGAACGGATTCCGGAAGTGAAAAAAGCCATTGATCAGATTTTGAAAGGATATTTCACGCCACAAGAAAAAGATGCTTTCGACCATCTTATTGTAAAACATTTGTTAGACAACGACAGGTACATCTTACTTGAAGTAGAGTATACATTGGTTAGTTGCACTAATTTATCGACCTTTTGCCTAGGTTTTATGTCTTAGCTGATTTTGAAGCTTACGTGGAAGCGCAAGAGAAAGCAAGCGAGTTATTTAAGGTTATTTTTATTTTTATACATAAATATGGTCTTGCTGCACGAACCGTAAGCCAGATTATGAGTGATCAAATGTTCAAACGTTGATACTTTATAACGTATGTGCACTTAAGTGTCTTCATTAGACATAACCTGTTGTTGAAACCGGAGTCCTTATATACTCCGGGCCTTTGTCTTCATCAGGAGTGATCTGATGTTGAAATTTAAGACTACGTACTGATGCCATCGTCGAAGTTGTCACTTGTAACTGAGTCACATAGTTTAAAACATTTTGTTCTGATTAGATTTTATCATTAAATGCTAAGAGGCAGACTTAGCTTCTTCAGGAGAGATCCGACGTTGAAACTTTTCATTCATTTATAAGAAAAGGAGAAAATTTTTTGGATGAGCTGATGCCGTTATTTCGTTTCAAATATTTTTAGAATCCGACAATTTGGTACAAGAAAGCAATCCTAAATGTGGCAGCTGCTGGCAAATTCTCTAGTGATCGCACTATCCGACAATATGCAGATGAAATATGGAATGTTAAACCGACCCGGAAGATTTGGTCTCCTACAAAAACCATACAGAAATAATCGTGTGGAAGTGATTAGTTTAGGCCAAAGATACTCTACATAAATGAAAGAAAATAATTTGTCTTTTTAGCATCGGCTAAGTAGTCTAAAGCTTCGTGGTAATTCTTCAAACTGCAAACATATAGTTTACTTTAACTTTGATTTAATAGAATGGACTTTCCGTGTGTTATGCCGATGTAAAATGATGAAAATTATAAACAATATAATGTTATTATTACTCTATATATGAATGTTATTTCTGGTTAAAGTTCCATGGTTAGAAAGAACTGCACGAAGCCATAAGGACAACGTTCAACAACGTTTAACGACGCCAAACCAGTTTGAACAACGTCTAACGATGCCAAACAAGGTGAACAACGTCCAATGATGTAAAACAGTGAAGAACAACGTCTAACGACGCCAAACCAGTTTGAACAACGTCCAATGATGTAAAACAGTGAAGAACAACGTCTAACGATGCCAAACCAGTTTGAACAACGTCCAACGATGTAAAACAGTGAAGAACAACGTCTAACGACGCCAAACCAGTTTGAACAACGTCCAACGATGTAAAACAGTGAAGAACAACGTCTAACGACTGCAATGTTAAGCAACGTCTAACAATGAAGAACAACGTCTAACGACTGCAATGTTAAACAACGTCTAACAATGCTGAACAACGTCTAACGATCTAACATCGCAATCATTACTGTTTCACGTTCTCTGTATTGATTTCATCACGACTTATAGTAAAGATAATGGAGACTGGGAGAAAGCAGTGAGTTGCCAGAGCTGAGGCCGCTGAATATACTGGAGTTAACAAGTTGGCAAATTTTTCATACACTAGGTATTGAAGTGAAAATAGTTGTCAACAATATCTTCATCTTCTTGATAATATTTGGGTATGCGCTCACTGCCCTTGAAATCCAAATCTACAACAGCAATTGAATAATTAAAAACCTTTCCACTGAAGACTTCCTTAAAGCATTTCTTGTAGTTTGTATTGCCTTGAGTGATTTCCTGAAATGATATCATCACAGAGCAATCCTTGGAACTGGCGGAAATAAGATATTTAATGAGTGCTTCCATTTCCTTTTCTTCACTAGCATGATATTGATGTTCACCCTGAAGTCTTCTGGCATTTTGGTTCAACCTTGGAGGCTTTTCAAACCTTAATGTCATTCCATTAGTGGACTTGTTAACATCATTCTCACTGGTATGCATTCTGGCATTTTCCAGGCAAAAGTCTACATTATCTCGATGACCTTTTTCACAGAGATTGTTGAAGATGAGCAATGCCTCATTACTGCCAATTTCATCCAATTTTTGTACATTCAAGATCCTCTGAAAAACACCATAGTTTCCAAAGGAAAGGTTTTTAGAAACAAGTTCTTCCGGAATGCTTTTACTATTTTTACTTCTCAAGTACCGACTTCCTTTGCAAATTTGAGGAATTTGATCACTTTCAGATACATCTTCTGTTGTGTTTTGGTTGGAATCATGTATAAGTAATTGTAGCAAGGTGGAAAGGAGAAAAATTGTTGAATTAAGATTAATGCCATCTTCTAGCGAATGGTCAAGATTTGTTCCAAAGACTTGGCCACTGATAAGTGTATTATTAAGATCTTCCTCAAGTTGGATCAATAGTTTCTTGTATTGTGATGTCATAATACTGAATGGTAGTGTGTTATCACCACTAGTAATGCATTGCTGATACTCCGATGGTGATGTCAGGTCACCAGAGTACATTGATATGCCATCTTTGAAGATTTTCAAATTGTTTTGAGGATTTTCAAGCAAACAGAGCAGAGCATGCCAGACTCGGTGAATATCAGCAGAAAAAAGATCCATGGGACAATAACCACTTCTTTGCAAATATTTACCATCTCGGTTAACTTTTGTCCATTGCGTTAAACAAAACTTGCATATAGATGTTTTAATTCTAGCCTTGCACCCCACTCCACGAAACATGGGTAGAGTGGCACACTTGGGTTTAATTTCAACACAAAATGTGGGTAACAAATTTCCAGCAGCACTCATGGGTGTGGTCATATCCCTGGGGCTTGAGATATCAGTACCATAGCTGCGAACAAAACAAAAGTCAGGCATGAGAACTGCAAATTTGTTATACGGGCTGACTTCCTTCATGAGGCGATATTTTGGTCTTTCTTCGTTGCTAGACGTGATGAGATCTGTTATATTTTTAATAAAACTATCGGGAAGTTCAATAATCGAGCCATTTTGAACGTACTCAGCACCTATAAGTGGGAAAAACTTGTTCGCCCATTTTCAAACCTTTCTGTAAACTTTGAAGAGTTTTTGCCCTCCAGTAGAGTAAGGACGTTTCCTCTTTTGCGCGACACACATTTGATTTCGGAAGACGTAGAACCGTCCTGTTTTCTGGACTATAAATAACCAATGTATTGTTTCCTTCACCGCGGTAAAACCATTTTGAAAACAAGAAAATTTCTTCCATACTAATTCTCTCCAATTTTCTAAAGAAAAAAAGCTCTAAAGGAATAAAATGACTAATAATTTTGAAATTGAGGAGTTTAAAAATTATAAGTAACTTACATGACGTTCTGCCGTACATATCACTGCTGTCTAGTAGTTGTGCGGTTGCTGAAAATCCAACATGGTGGCCAAGAAGAAAGAAAGTATTGGCAAAAAACGAAAAAAAGATTTAATAAATCCGCGATCAGTGCGAAACGAAGAGTATTTAACTATAGAGAATGTTACAAAAGCTGGTGGAAATCAGGTAAAGGTTAAAATAAAGTAATATCTTGTATCCTTCTTTCTCTTTCTGATTCTAGAGAGTAGAGAGAGACAACTTAATCAAAATTTGTCATTTGTCGATTGATATTTAATAATGATACATTACCAGGCAGATTTTGATGTCCTCAAAAACGTTGATGATGATGAAGATGTCGTTGTGGGTGAAGAAGAATCTGATCACACACCTGAAGTAGAGAAAAATGAGGTTGCAATCTTGAAACCCGTTACCTTCTTGACTTCTTTTCTTCCATTTTTATCCTATTTCAAAGAAATTTTTTTCGATATTTGCTTATCTGTTGCAGAAAAAAATCTTAACCATACTTTATACTGTATGTTGCATTGTTTACATATGACTTTTCAAGGCTGGTACAAATCAAGCTGTTTTAGTTCTAAAAAAACATTGACTGCATTTGAAATTTACCACAAAATTTACAAAATTTTACAAAAAATTAATATAAGTTGAAAAATTGACATGTATTTGGATAACATGTTTATTGGTGAAATAGGAAAGTAACATCTTTGTGTTGCATGCATGTATATGTGTATCTATCAAGGGTACTACAAGTGGAGAGTTAAGGTAATTTAAAGAACTATTAATTATTGAACTACATTCCATTAGAAATTTTCGTATTTGCAGGTACAAAGCCTTATTAAAGAACTTGGTCTCAGGTAGTTTCAGTTTTTGATTGCGAAATAGTGAATTATGAATTAAAGTTTATGTGGTGAATGTTTACAATTAGTGAAACTATTTTTGACAAAGAAGAGTCGGATGAGAAGGAAATCATGCCGAATAGTGAACCACTAACCAAACAAAGCAGAAAAGACAAAAAGGCCAAAAGGAAGACATGCAATGTCAAGACAACTGTCCAGAAAAGTAAAGATGACTGTCTTTACCCAACATTTCAAAGCCGACTGCTATTTCCACCTGTTGGACGATGGTATGAAGAGGTATGAATATAACTCTTGTTGATATTTACATCTTTCATCAAGCAATACTTGTAATACACCAACGTGAATCCATGTACTCTACTGTAAGATCTTCCTTGTTGTAAAATTTCACGCATTCGGGAGGAAGAAAGCTTCAACGCGGAGCCGTTTGCAATTGTTTTCAACTTAAATATTTGCTTTGTCTTGTGAATATTGAAATGTTCAAATGAAAATATTTACTTCTATTATGTAAACGGAGATACGACAAACATCGAAGAAGCAATATAAACGCAACTGTCGTAAAAAATAATAAAAAAATTTCTGTATGAGTTTTAGCTACTCATCACAATAGTAAACCTTAAAAGTTCGTGCCCTCGAGTAAGGAGCAAGGATGTTTCCTCTTTCGGAGATATATCTTTGATATTGGAAGACTTAGAACCGTCCTGTTTTTTGGACTATATGTAAATAATAAGATAATCAACGTATTTGAAACTTTGCAACTTTGCGCTAAGCGACAGTACATGGTAATATTACATATCTTCGAAAACACTAACAGAACAAGCACACGTTGTTTTACGCAGGACTTTACAAGTTTGCAACGATTTGTCATCATTTTTTTAATTTTTGTGCATTTGTATTGTTCTTACTTTTTGAAAAAGTGAACTTGAAATTTCTGGAACCGCTAAGGTCTATTATTAGCTATTTAATTCTGTTTGACAGGATTTAGCTAGATCGGCTTTTACAAAAAATCAATCTGAAAAATTTCAAAGAACTTTTGTGGAGACGTTGAAAAAAACTGCTGAAACATTATTGGACAATGAGTCAGCACTTTACAAAACAGGTGATAGAAACAAACCTTTTAAACCTTCCACAAGGGAGTGAATTGATGCGAACATCGAGCTCTACTGGTTTTTTTTCTCGAGCAGAACATGAACGAAGAAAACCATCGGATGTTGAATGGTTGAAAACTATTGCTAATTCTGGAACACTTGGAGATAAAATTGCTGCATTGGCTTTACAAATTCAGGTGACCTAAATTATTATAAAGAACATCTGATGTTGCGCGAATTTTTCGCGCGAAAATTTCGCGAAATTTTTATGAATTCCCAAATACACTTTATTAACACCTATTTGTGAGCTAATTGAAAAATTTACGGTTTTAGGAATCTCCATTACACCACATTAGGACACTCGATGTTTTACTTGGTATGGCAAGTAAAAAAGGAAGGAGAGAATCTATCTTGGCAATTGGTAAGTAAGGATGGGCTTCTATGCCGTGCGCATGCTCGTTTGAGTAAAAATATCAATGATAACAGACAATTGACAAAGCCTCTTATATCGCCCTTATGATAAAGTACAAACACTAGGAAGACGCCCGAAATGATATGACTTGTAGCGGACTCAGCATAGGTCAAAATAAATTAAAGCATCTCAATTCTAAACTCAACATGACACTTACATAACAATGCTATTGAACATGAAGTTCCAAGCATTCTTGTCATCTGCTATCTACTGTCATCCTCTTGTCATTTGCAAGTTCTTGTCATCTGCTGACTTTATTTTTTCCCTGCGCTTTAGGCTTAATTGCTAATACAAATACCCACATGCTACCTTAGAATGCAGAAATTTTTAGAAAGTCCGTACGTTTGTAAACTGTTTTTTTTTATGGCTGAAGAGCTACAGCAATAAATTCAAAGGATGCATGAAACTTACAGAAAAAACCCCCCAGGCATTTTATTATTTTACATTGCATCACATGTTTTATTTCACAATTTATTTATGTAGACACTCTGAAGGATTTGTGGCTGATAAACCTGCTGCCCGATGATAGAAAACTAAAAAATTCTCTGAGGTGACTTTTCGCTCTTATGTCGATATTTTACAATGACGAACGAATTCAGAAACAACAAACAACATTGGCTAACTTTTTGATTCACCATCACATTTCAAATTGTCCAACAGTTGATGCTTCAATGACAACTACGCCAATTATAAAAACATGTTTTTCTTACACATTTCTTCAGTTTATCAATTGTTTGTGTTTGCAGTTTCCATTGAAATCTAGTCCTGTGAAAGAAAACCGAGCAAATATAGAGGCCTGGAACAAGAAATTGATCTTGTGGTATTTTGAAGACCAATTAAAACAGCGATACGAATCATTTGTTTGCGGACTTCAGGTAGACTAATACCTGAATAGTATGTCGTGTGAAACTTAGGAGCTTAAAACTCATGACGTAATAGTCACGTGTCTTATCTGAACCATTTAGACGTAGTTTTGGGGATGGCAAGGGAGTATATGAAAATATACTTCGATAGAGCGCTGACCAATGATATGTGATGATTGCAGTCAGCAATTTCTTTTTTCAGCGATTGTTGCACGATAACGTTGAAAATGTGCGTAATAAAGTCGTTGGTGAGCTTATGTTTCCTTGTTTTCGCAATCGGTTGTTTGAAAATTTTGGTTTTAGAATTTAAAAATCTTATAAGCTTTACGTGTGTCTTTTATACAACAGGAGTTGTTTACGAATTACTTTGTGAAAAACCAGAACAGGAGAAGGTACAGTTTCGTTTGTTGGCTAACTACGCCATTTTTAGCTTTCATAGTGATTTATCTTTGCCAAAAAAAAACTCCATCAATTTTCACCTTCATTTATGCAGACTTTGTTAATGTATCTGGTGAACAAAATTGGTGATCCTAATCGTAAGATTGCATCAAAAGCCAGTCATTTACTTGGATGCTTGGGTAAGAAAATATGTAATGATACTAATTTTCAACCACTGGTCAAAAACAATTCTATAACTTACTCTTCAATCTTTGGTATCTTTCACTTAACTGTTGTATACAAAGTTTGCATCTGTATTTTGGTGTCTTTCACTTAACGATTGTATATATTGTATGTATAGTATTGATACATGCTTGAAATTATCCTTAATTGTATTTTTATTAGTGCAAAAGCATCCGAACATGAAGAAAGTTGTAAGCCAAGAAGTCGAGCGTTTGCTTTATCGACCTAATGTGGGTTTGAAGGCACAGTAAGTTGCAAAGTATCACCGAAAGTTGCACAGTATTACATTAAGTTGCAAAGGATCGCAGGAAGCTGCAAAGCATCACAGGAAGTTACAAAGTATACTGAAAGTTGCTAAGTATCACAAGAAGTTGCATAGCATAACAATAAGTTGCAAAGCATAACATCGTTACAAAACATCACAAACAATGAATTACCTAAACTTTTCATCGCTTTCTTACTTTCATTGTGTGACCGTTAATTGTCTTTCCTTTTCTCGACATTGTTCGTTTAACATTTAGATATTACGCCGTGTGTTTCTTAAATCAACTAATACTGTCAAAGAAAGAGAGTCCTTTAGCCAGTAGCTTGGTGTCTGTATATTTCAGCTTATTCAAGGTACTAAACGCTACCTGAATTGTATATGCCCTTTCATTGGTAGGCATAAATTCGCCTCTGGTTTTATCGCATCTTGATATTTACATATTTGGTATTTTTCTTCATTTTTTCATCCAAAGGCTTTTGTGGATAAGGGACAAGTTGAGACTAAAATGTTGAGCGCTCTTCTCTCAGGCGTAAACCGAGCCTTTTATTATGTTCAAGGTAATTAAACAACTCTGATTTATTTCGATTCCAAGAGTTTTTCGGAGTGTCTACTTTATTGACATGGAGTTTTTGTTTTTACTATCTTTTAGACGATGATGACCAATTTAGTGAACAAGTCAACATGCTTTTCAGGATCGTCCATGTCACTCCATTAAATACGAGCGTTCAGGTTTTGCTGTTGTCTTTATTTGAATATCTTATTTAGTGATGGCAGTTTACATGTTTACATCATATTTATATGTGTGTTTTTTCCTAAAATTTTGTTTATCAATACATATTACGCTCTATATGTTTGTTGTTTAGGCCCTTATGTTGCTGTTTCAAGTAATGGATTCCAGGTATTATATGAAATTCAGCTTCGAGTCTTCTTCAAATATTCTAGCAAGAATAACGTAGCATGGTTTGAAGCATGACTGCTTAAAAGATATACCAAAGTATGTGTATCAAGGGTCTTCACCAAGAAAGTTGAATGATCAATATTTACATTCTCCTGAAGAATTACCTTCCCGCAAAATGTCAAGAAAAAGTTAACTCTATATGCTTTTCGAATACGAAATGTTAGATAATGTGATGTGGAAAGCAAATTTTGTAGCCATTGCTTTCCTTTCGACTATTTTTTTGAAAAAGGGAGTGTTGTTTGAAAATCAAAAGCTCGTTATAGTATCTTAAATTTAGTCGCTCTATCATCTTGTGTCCTATTTCTTCAATTATACGAAGGTTTTTTTTAACAGACAGTCAATATCTGATCGTTTCTACCAAGCACTTTATGCAAAACTTCTTGATCCACATCTTAGAAGCTCCTCAAAACAGGTTCGTTTTCCTCAAACATTTATCATTCTGAGTTTGTCTTGTGTTCAAACGAAACTTCAACATTAAATTCCTAGTTCATTAGATTTTCACCGCTTTACAAAAAAGCGTTGAAAATTAATGTAATATTTTGAACCGTTCCTAGATGGCGTGAGTCTGTTCGTCTTCTCTTTTTTAGGCGATGTTTCTCAACATTATTTATAAATCGTTGAAGATTGATACTTCATTAAAACGCATAAAGGTAATCCTTGAATGCTGGGAATTAGGATGTTTGAAGCAATTTTAAAGTAGTTTTCTTTTAATACGACATCCGTAACTTTGAACACATAACAAGAAACCATTCCAGAGCATGGTTTCCATATCACGCCAGCTTCGCGTACTTTCTATGATTAGGCAACAGTTCATTAATTTTATATCAATTGAAAATCGTGATGCTGTTTTTCTTCAAATCTATAGGCTTATGTGAAACGCCTTCTTCAAGTTTCTTTAACTCAACCACCAACATTTGTCTGTGGTGTATTGTACCTACTGTCTGAGGTAAAAAAAGTATGGTTTCGAACTGAGATAGCAAGTAATGGACGACTTGCATGAAGCGTTTGCTTCAAACCTATCTGATAGTTACCCCATTTTTTTTGTCAGGTTGGAAAAATTAAACCTGGAATGAAAACGTTGATAACCCAACCAGAGGTAATGGTGTTTGCTGTTGAACCAAACCGAAATCTGATGTTCCTGTTATATAAAGCACTGCATTTGATTTTGACTGATTTATTTTGTTCATATATTCGGTTTTCCTTCATTTGAAACTTAACATTGTGATATCGTAATACTGAAATATTCTGTTAGCTTAGAAAATTCATCAAACCGTTTGGTTCAAGTTGATTCATAGATATATCACCCTAATGAACTGCGGTATTTCGAAACAAAATGCTTTTGAGCAATTTTTCACTCGGAATCACAGAAGGGACGAAATACGAAATTAGCTAGCGTTTAAAATGAAAACAAAGAATATGAGACAAAGCAGACAACACTGGCAAACTCATACGAGTGTATCGAAATTATTTGGTCAGTTTTATATCGAATGTGTAAAAATGCAAGACTATGGGTAAACGGGCTTTATATCATGTTAGTAAAAAAATGCAAATGTTTCAAATATGGTTGTACACTACTGTCAATTAAACTATGTAATGACTACGCATGCTCAATGCGTACGTAACAAGACTTACTGCTAAGAGTAAATTTGTGGATATTTTCATCAATGGAAGCCTTGAAGTTCCCGTTGAAACACAAAAATCAATATTCTAGGAATCTGATGACGAGGAACATTTTATCGATATTAGTGATCCAACAGAATCCCCAGATGCGCCTTTATCTTCTCGTGATGACGTCACTAAGGAAAGAAAAGATGTTACTCATGTGACATCATCGCAAGGACATGTGTTCGTTAGCGATTCCCGTACACGTGGTTATCAAGCTAACACGCGAAATCCTCTCTATAGTGGTGCTGAGAACTCATGTTCATGGGAATTGATGAAGTTATCCGAACATTATCATCCTTCTGTTAGACGTTTTGCTCAACACTTACTACAGGTAATGACGGTAAAAAATTTCGCTTGTGTGTATCTAGATATCATTATACGATTTTATGGAAAATTTTGTGAGTTTAATTTGAAACAGTTATAACAACAACATGCATTATTGTGTTGCCTTTTTTCTATTTGATAGCCAAATGTTTTGACGATATTTTTTGCTACGAAGTCTCGGGTTTGCTAAATTTACGTTGGTTTAGGTTTTAGATTATTTAATGCCCCCCAATGGCTAAATTATCTGTCAATAAGTTGTTATCCCCATGATTTGATTAAAATGTGAAAGCGTCTTTGACAGCAAGTTTTTCTCTTGTCTCGTGAGAAACTGTTCTTTACAGGTTGTCTTTATCAAGTGTTTTATTGTTTAGGATGAAAACATTTCCTACGATGGTGATCCACTGTCAGATTTCACGTTGATTAGGTAAAATATTAGTTTCATTTAAAATCTATTAAATGTTCTCCTTTCGCTTATCAAGGGACTGTGCATGCATTGGGGTGGTTGCTATGGCTTGTCAAGGACATCAAGGGACTGTGCATGCATTGGGGTGGTTGCTATGGCTTGTCAAGGACACGAAGGGACTGTGCATGCATTGGGGGGGTTTCTATGGCTTGTCAAGGACACCAAGGGACTGTGCATGCATTGGGGGGGTTGCTATGGCTTGTCAAGGACATCAAGGGACTGTGCATGCATTGGAGTGGTTGCTATTTGCCTAGCAAGGAAGTGTGCATGCATTGAGGAAGTTGCTATGGCTTATGAAACTTTCTCAAATACCTAGCCATTCCATTGTTCAATTATGGTCTTATAATATTCTTTGAAATTCACTACCAATAGTACTGTTATATAGTGAAATGTTCAGCACATGCCACTGGTATATGTAGACGATAGTATATATTCATGACGTCATGATTGCTTACTCAGATTATAAGCTGCGTATTTCCTGAAACTAACTATCGCTATTTATACTATATCCATACAGGTTTCTCGATAGGTTTGTTTACAAGAATCCGAAAAAGAAATCTCAAGGTACAAACAATTATATTACGTCCGCAAATCATAAAAAGAAAACGATAATATAGAAAGCAATAATACTACAGATATTTTAAAGTTCATTAGTATTGCCTTTTGGGTGATTAAGAGATTTATTACTCAAAAACGGAAGTATGTTGCATTGCTCATTTTTTTGCTTTATGATGTTATTTCACGTGACGTCAAAGCGGCCATTTTAGGCTACTTTGAAGAGCAACTAAAATACCTAAATAATCGTGCAAGTTTTTATTCAATTCATTAATTTTCATTAATTTTCATCATTAGATCATGGTGGTTCGTTGATGCAGGTAACGATGAACGGGGACGCCTCCCTCATTAAATATTGTTTTGAAATTTATCTTGTTTTTAGTAAACAATAGGCAATCACTTATGTATGCTTAAATCTGTTTCATATTTCCTAGCCAAAACATGTTTCACAAAGGCAGTTTGAACAACCTGGTATGAATAGGCTTTACTTCATATTTTAGAACTTTTAGCATGCATTTTGAATAATGTTTTTAGATAGTGCGTTGTATTATAATTTAAATATTCGAAATATCAATCAACATCTTTATTTTTATGTAAATTTTTCTTCAGTGAACACTGCTGCGTTTTTGAACAAAAAAGAAGAAAATATTCGTGAAGATGAAATATTTTTCTACAGGTTGACTAAAGATGTTTGCCCTTTATTTCTTTTTCACTTCATTCTGAAATCGTCTCAGTGAATCGACCCTAATTAAAATATGGCAGCATCTTCTATTTCACGTAAATCCTTTCAAGCGTATATTGTTCAAAAGCCTTTTGAAGATTTCATCAACTTCTCTTTGTAATAGATGATATTCTGAATAATTGAATGTACCTTGCTAAAGAGTTATCTGTTAAGAGTTATGTCAATTAAAATCAACGTTTTCTTGCATATCTTAGATATTTCAAGGAAAAGGCGAAAGACGATAAAGGGAAGAAAAACATGGAATATGAGGAGCTAAATGAAAACGAAGACTTAGGTAAATTTTTTCTACTACACGGATGTGTTTGGTCTTTGGTCTTCTTGCTGAAAACAGGCTGAAGATTCTTTGATTTATTGTTATTTGATGTGTTTGTTTCTGATGTACATACACATGCCCTGTCACGTGACTTTTAGATATGTTTGGCGGTGAAGATGTGCAATTGGATTTTGTCAGGTATTAATTCTTTAATATTTTACCATTTTCCTGGTTTGTTTTACCCGAGGACCATTGTTGCGTTTCCATCATCATATCCACATTTGTTCTACCATGATCATTATATCCATATTTGTTCTACTATAATCATCGTATCCACAATTTTAGAGATTTTGCAAAGTCTAAAGTTAACAAACCAAAGAAAAGGAAAGAAGGCTCGGAATCTGAGGAAGAAAGCATGGACGGTGAAGGTACATTAATGAATACAAGTATTATAATTGTTGGAGAAAATTCGAAACATTTTTTTTGATTTTCTCTAAGAGTTCAACTACGACGACATGAGTTTTTCTGAAGACGAGGAAATGGATGTTTTAAATGGTAGGTCGTAGCGAAGAGAGTTACTGACCAGATTACTAGAATCTTTTAATGCTTTGGGTGCTAGGTTAAAGTTCCCGTTTAATCAACGAACAGGATGATTAACATTTAAGACGTCATTTGATATTTTATTTTAGAAGAAGACGAAAAATACACGGACAAAGATTATGAAAAAGTAAGTGAAGTAGTTAGACATTTGCTGCCATAAGAAAGAACGATTCCTTTAACCTCGCAGCTTTAATCTTGGAAAAAGCGCTGCTGCCTCAAGGAAATTTTCACAAAATTACTCGCAGGAAATACTTTGTATCTCGCCTAAATGTTTTTGAAAATATAGAGTAGTAAATGTAGAATATACTGGTGTATGAAAATATAAAGCAGACTACACCATTATCTGCAAAGTTAGCAAAACCGTTTAAGGGAATTTATAGGCCACCAGTAAATGTTTCTTGCTATCGCTTGTTTTCTATAGTTATTGAAGATAAATTTTTGCTGAAAATATTAGGTTTTGAAATTTGCTGCTAGAAAGTGATTCTTTATCATGGAGTTCAGCATTTCTGGTTATTGTTGTAGAAATGGTTTGTGGTTTATAATTAAGAAACTATACATGGACAGTCGCACGTTTAATCTTTTGTCTCTTATACTTTACCGATTGTAGTTACCATATTTGCATGTATTAGAAGTGATCAGTCAGTGTTATACAAAAAATCATTATGTATATCCACATAATTTTAAAAACTAAGGCTTTGCTTGCTTTTTATCTTCCTGTTGCTTCTTTTTTTTGTTCTTCTCTGCTTCTTTTTTACGATTTTTAATATACTTTGAACTTTAGGTTTTACTGGAAAATCTTAGCTCGGATGAATTCAGTGAAGTGGAAGATAAACCTACCGCACGAAAGAAGAAACCACGACCAATGTAAGTTTAATTTTTTTTGCTCTCATCTATGTTGTTTCAGCAAATAGTTTATTTACTAAAGTAACTTTATATGAATGATATGAAACATTTTTGTTTCATTTAAGGACTTCTGAAGACTCCTCTATGTTTGCCGATGCTGAAGAGGTGCGAGAGGTTTTATTATTTATGAATTCGCATTTTTTGTTGGGTTTACCGTGTGTATAGTCCTGCATTGAAAATTTTCAAACATGTTCAGTATTACAGTTGAACAGAATTTCAACTCCATTCTTATAAGTATGACGAAAGAAGTATACGTACATTTGAATATTAGTTAAACTTTTAATTTCAAAGAAAATTCTTAAACTGACACATGCTTGAACATAAGTTGAACGGAATTCCGTATGATTTGAAGACAAATTTTCTAACACGTACAGTTAAACTTGAGTTTAACGCATTTGATATAAGTGGTATAAGTTGATTGTGAAAGAAAAATTGCAATTACTTAGAGATATACGTGCACCAACGTGATTCAAATCGCCAATCACTCATTCTATTTCGAAGACGACTTATAAAATCATACATGAATTCTTGTTGAACAACCTAAACCTCTTTTGGTTTGGAATTTTCTTTTGTTTTGCAAACAAAAAATTACACAACGCATTACACATTAAGTATACAATATTTACTTTTTGTTCAATTTCTCTTTAGTTTGCTCATTTACTCGAAAGTGAAGGAAGTTATGCTAAAGGCGGAAGTGACGATGTAGACATGCGCGGAGTAGATTGGAAACAACAGCATTGGGAAATGAACAGAATGCATCAATATGCGTCTCCGCGACCAAAAAAATTCAAAGGAGGACATAATCGTGGAAGATTTTCGAAGATCGCAGGACAATCAAGGGGCGTGGAAAGTTTTCAATCAATCAAGGTCGATCATGGGCAAAGAAAGGCAAAGGAAAGCTAATAGACCCGTTTAGAAAGAGAAAATATGTGAGTAAAACTTAGCAATCGATAGTAAAATATTGATATGTATAACGTTTTTTCCCGTTGATCGCTTTACGCATAACGTAGTTCACTTGAATAATGGAGAAAGAAATATCTTAACCCATGGGTGCTAATCACATTTAGTATTTTGAATTCCACTTTGAATTCTTTTATCGTCTTTACAAAAAACTATATGGAAAGATGATGTTGGCTAAATATTTCTGCCAAATATGTGACGTAAACAATACCTCGTGAATATAACGTAAATAAATATGACCTAAATAAATATGGCATAAATTATTATCTACAAAAAAATTTACTGTCTACAAAAAAAAATTTACGGTCGATTTAAAGATCCCAACGTTTATACAAAGCACTATTTTTGAAAAAAATTACGTATGCTGAAATCAAAGTATAGGAGAAGAATGGTCGTCGTTTATTTTAGTGTGCTTAGTGGTAAAGATGTACTTTATGAAAGATCTTCAAAGTCTGGAGTCTGACAAATTATCGAAACATGTAATACATGAAGTATTGTTGAAGTTTTTTAATTTTTCTGGCAATTCAAATGCTTTTTGGTGCAGTTATCTGGCGTGTGAGTAACAACCTTCCAAAACGAGAACCCATAACGTTTATATTTTGTTGAGAATAAAACACTGCAAATGTGCCTTAGAAAACTACTGATTTGTTTTCTAAAACATGAGTAGTTGGTATTTATAGATATTACTATATTATACTGTTGTATCGTAAAAGAATATGCCATAACTTTAATTTATTTTTCAGTTAGCGTATGATTGTAATAAAATCGCTCAATTTAGTCTGTGAACTTAGCTAGTGCAAGTAGTTTTCACTTGTGTCAATAATGAATAGTTGTTCATTGAAAACACGCCTGAATAAAGAATTACGTAAATGACATAATTTTTCACAAACGTGCATTTGAAAGGTATTTTGAAAGGTTTTAAGATGACATTTACTCCGCATGAGAAAACAATAATTTATATTAATGAAACAAGTTTGCTCTTCATTTAGATTTCATTTCTACGTCTTACGCAGAAAATGTTTCTTTGTGACAGTATTAATAAATTTAGGATACTCATTATTGCTTTCTATTACCATGCTACTAACAATGACGACAGAAAGATACTTGGCTCTGTTTCATCCGTTTCTTTATCAACATGTGACAAAGAGAAGAATTGTAGGTCTTTTCTGTTTGTTCCAGTTGCCATACATCTTATCATACATTATTGTTAAATGCTACAATTTTAAAGAGCGCTCCATCACAAACTTTACTACTGCTTTCACAATAATAGCGCTGTTTGCCATATTTTTTATGAACTTCAGATTATTTCGCCTTGAAAGAACCATACAAAGCCGCATGGTCGTATCCTTAGGCAGTGTTGATGTTGAAAATCATCAGAATACTGAAGCAAAAGAGACGAAAATCTTGCATGGAAAGATTTCCACTTGCATTCTGGCGACATTGTGTTTAAGTTTTTGCTTTAGACCACATTCTGCTTTACATATAATAAAATTACTTGTGCATTTAAACATGAGGATGGTAGACCTTTATATTCTTGAATTATGGGCAGTGACATTTTTGACTCTAAATTCTAGTTTGAATTCTGTTATATTCTTTTAAAAAAGCAATGCCTTACGACGCTATGGAAACATGATCTTGATTAAATGGATTTGCAAAAAATGATGCCTCTCGTTTGTAATTATGGTGCAAATATCTAAACCCACTTTAAAAGCTTCCAAAAATTCAGGACTGCCCACACAGATGTGTATGATGAGCATGATCGAAGAGACAAAGAACAAAGAACTTGGGTATATACTTCTCGATGTAAATACAAAATTGCAAGCTTTATCTAAATGATTTTAAGACACAGTATTTATTTACTACTTATTGAAACACTGACATGCGTTGAAGATTAAGCCAAGTGAAAATGGCTTGTTTAGCGTCCATCTCGATAAAATTTTGCAGGACATGTGAATGGACTAAACGAAGTATTTTTGACACATATTACTTCCAGTGCTCTAAAGTCTAAACCCTAGACTAGTTGTTGCTAATATTCGTGTTTCCTTGTTCATCCATCATCGATTTAGCTCAGTTTTGATAATTCTTTAAATGCAAGAAGAAAAGCAATGCTCAAGCCAAGACTAACCTTATATATACTTACAGGAACAGTATCAAAATGTTACTAGTTACTACATAAATAAATATAAATCAAGAATCAATAAGTTGTTTTAAAGAGATATGTTTTTTTATTTTGTAGTCCTTGGCAGCTAACTCCTCAACAGACTTTAATCTTGTCTTCCTTTGAAAGAGTTTAAAATATGAATGAAACACTCGGTGTATCAAATTGCTGCTGAGCTTAATCAAATATCGTTTCAAACGTAAGGATTTTCCGTCTCAATTCAAGCCATAATACTATATAATACTATTTCATCGTGCAAAGAATAAGTCATATTTTATCTTTAAATGTCCTCTTGGAATAGAACTTTTCAATCTTCTAAAGTTGGCCATCATCATTAGATATGACAGAACTGGCCACAGAGTCAATGTTTTAATAACATAAAGTATTACTTATTATAACAATATGGTGGTCGATTGGCGTTGGATTTCGTGGAGAAAAAGGCTAGGTAGCGGAGAAAAAGCTTTTTTAAAGTTTGGATTACCTATGGTGGTACGTAAACTTCTTACTAAACAATTAATAGTTTGCGAACGTGGCTGTATCTATAGTTTTCATTTTAAATAATCATCAAACTTTTATACCAGATACTTTCTTGTAACGACGTTTTCATTATTTTGAAGCTGTTGGTTGTGATTGGCTCCGTAGGTCTGTCGGAATTCACAGATATTAAAATAAAAAGACGAGATGAAAAAATTCGTAAGGTAAGTTTTGGGAGCCTGGCGTACTGCTGCTGTACTGCCTGTACGCGTTCCACCCAACCATATTATGATATTTGGTAATTAAAGCTTATGCTTGGATTTTCTTCAGATGAACTACGAAGAAAGCCAAACATTTTACGTAAAGAAGAAGAAAAAACCTTTAAGCTTAGAAGAGGCTTATAATGTACTGTAAACTTCTTGCGTTTATAATTTTATAACTCCCAGTAGTGTATTGTTGTAGCGTATTGTTTTGCCTATAGTTTACCCAGACAGCATTGAGGACACCAGGCACCTTTATGATTTCTGCGACCCGTGACAACTGTGAAAAAATTTCAATCAACAATACCAATACAAATTCTGCTTTGTTCTATAGTCAAGATTTTCATTGAATTTGAGTTTGCAGCAAATTACATTTTATTTTACAAGCCTAGACCTTTGCTAACAAAAACTGCATTTGTACATGCATTTTCTATTTTCAGGAAGTAAGAACTATTGATATTGATGAGTGGGAAAACAAACGAGTGCCGCGACCTTGGACTGATAACTGATAATTCTTACTTGGTCATGTAGATATATCATACTAAGTGTGTGATGAAATTTCAATGGTGTTGCCTTGAACTGCCTGTACGAAAAATTTCTCAAGGCAATACTGTTAATTTAAGGTCACTTAAACCGGCATCATTCAGATGTTCAAAGTCCAAACTGAACTTTGGTAGTGGTGGTGGTGGTAGAACAGGAGGTTGGGGATTAAAAATATTGCTATTTGTATCAAAGTTTATAATGGGATATTTGGAAACAAATCACGTGACTGTGCTGTGCTAATGATTGACCATAGAGTGTCAAGTATAAACATTATGTATTTATTTGTAGAGCATTATTTGTCCATGTCAATATAGCTCAGTGAGTTTAGCAGTATTTACTATTTAAAATTCAGTATTTTGCTACTAAGACTTTGCAGATTGGGTTATCGTGATTATTTTTCGTTGATGAGTTGATGATTGACGAGCACTGTAATTACGCTGACAATTGCTGTATTAATCCCTCAAAAAAAAATTTCGATCGTTGACTATTCTTATCGGAAAAAAACATGGAGTATTCCGTTAAATTTTCTGAAAATTGTCCTAAGGAGCTACGTGCAACAATACTCGATTGTTTTAAGTCTGCAGGATTAATATGCGAACTAGTAAACGAAGACAAAAATATAGTTCACGTTTCAGCTACATTCAAGGCATTGGTTGATCAGGTGTGAGTCCGTATATGAGCATGACCTTATGACTTTTAATATGTTTATAATTCTCATATTAACTGATTTCTGTTACATTTTAATAATTCGGTTATTTCTAGTTTACAGTGGCACAAATGTTACATTTGTGCAAAATTGTTCAAGAATTTTTTTTTTTTGCATTTTTGTTTTTAGCTCCACAAAAATTTAATATCTTTGGTTTGAATGGGTTAATAGCCCAGCACAGGGGTGTGTTAAGTTTTCTTGAAGTAAACTGTTTTTGTCTTTGAATATTTTAGGCCATGAAGCTAGGGATTTGGACAGCAAAGAAAGGAAAGGATCCACTGGTAAGAGCCATTCAACCCTTTTTCCTCTTATGTTCATTGGTAACCAAATGAAGTCAAGCTGATTTACAGAATAGTTGCTAGTTATTTTCAGATCATGTGTTATTTTCAAAAATCAATTCATTTGCCTTGATTGTGGTTAATTTTTCATGCTCACTTTTTTACTATGATGTTGGTCTGAGTGTTTCACCTTTATTTTTACATGTAAGATATTGCAAGAAATGTCAGTGGACCAACTTGAAGAATTTCAAGACATTGAAAATAAAGAAACTTTCTTCTCCCCAGCAGAGAAATCACAACTTGTTTATTCCTGTATTATTGGCATCAGCAAAACGTCTGTATGTAAAGTCTTGATTTCAGAATATTACAATTTCTGTTGCTTCTGGTCTGATAGATCTCTTTGATGTTTTTGATATCGATGTTCTGATTTAGGTACCACTGTCAAAGTATAATGTTGGATTATGTGGGATTGAGGAGAGTTTAGTTGTTGCTCTGCAACACAGTGAAATTCAGATCATCAGGGAAGTTCAGGCACTTCATATCAAGGAGGAAAAAGATCGACTGTGGTGCAAAATGAAAGAAAATTGGTTTGAATGTCCAGCAAATGATATCCGAAATTACTTTGGTAAGCATTTATTTTTTTATATATATATCTCTTCTTTTCTCTTTACAATTGTCAAATGTCATATATTTATGTATAGTTGGCATGCTCTCTCTATTTGCCATCATTGATCTTAATATAATGCTTCTCTTTCTAATTGTTTGTGCACCTCTCCAAAAAATCATCCAGTTTTAATTTGTCCACTGTCCATGTTTTATCCTTACCATTCATGCTCTTATTGCATCTACCACTATCTTTCTGCCACATCATTCTTCATTCTTATTGTCCATCTCCACTATTTTTTTCTGCATTTTATCTTCATCTCTCCATTTTGTCCATCTCCATTCCTGCCCTCTTGTTATCCATTGTTCACCCTTACCATCTCTCCATTCCGCCTCCTACCTTCACTGTCTCATCATTTTTCAGTCCACCCTTGAATTCTTCTCTTACTTGGTAGTGGTCATTTTGTTTCTGTTCCATAAAGTCTTAAGACACTCAGATGATATCATTTTAGGCGAAGAAATTGCATTTTACTTTGTGTGGATGTCGTATTTCCGATTGGCGTTATGTATCCCTTCAGTGTTGGGCATTTTTGTGTATTTTTGGCGAAATCCTGGCATCACCGTTGATGATAATTTTCTCCTTCCATTTTACGCGCTTTTTATCGTCATCTGGGCTGTTTTCTTTATCGTTGTGAGTATTGATTATGTAAAAAACAATTGCTAAGCAACTTTTAACTATTGTTATGTCAGAGCGATTGGTAAGAGAAGGATACATGTCAGAGTACATTAACTTTTTCGTGGTCAGTGGAAAAATTGAGTTTACCTAAAGTTTTTTGCTTTCATATTTCAATCCTCTGTCTACGAAGCATTCCATAATGGATATTTTACGTCATCAAGCTGTAATATTTCCTTCTTTAGACATGTATGTACTTTTTTAAAATCGCGTTCGCTTTCACCCTCAGTTGATTGATTTAAATAAGTATTAAAACCCTCACATTATTGCAGTTTTGCCGGGAAGTTTTAATAGCTTAGTAACTACATTCTCATCGGGCAAGAAGTTTCTAAAAAAGTGGATTCAACTGTTGTTTCATTAGAAAATATTTGCATTGATAAATCTACCTACCATGACTGGTTTTAAATATACAATTAGATTGAAATCAGTCATGAATTTCCTAAATCCATCAATCCTGATTTCTTGGAAGGTTTTAAGAAGAAAGAGGAAAAAAGGGAAATGTTTTACGTTGATTGAATGATAACATAGAAACGTCAGTGGGCGTCAAATTGTGTACGTATCATCGTAAATGCACGAATTTAACTGAGACTTATTATCAAGTAACAACAGAATATCTAGAAAACAATGATCAATTTCTGGAAGAGATTTATGCTTTGGCCGAAGCTTTTCATCCACCCGTTAAAAATGCAATCTGTGATCAGTTAGAAAAGACGTGTGTCCACTTAGAAACACCAAAACCGTGTGTCATTTATTTTCCAGCTCCATTCATCAAGTGAATGTGAGAGACGTTCTGGAATACTGGAATATGTGTAAAAATGTATCGTCATTTTTAATAGGTATGGCGAAGGCGCGAAGCTGAATTGTCCTATCTTTGGGGCACGTATGTTTACCAAGACGAATGTGAGATTAGGCCGGAATTCAATGGTGCAATACGAATTAGTCCAGTTACAGGTAAACTTGAAAAATACTTTCCCAGGTGGCGCCGTTGGTTGAGATATCTTGCCAGCTTTCTATTTACGATGCCAATGTTGATGGTTGCTGTTGTTGCTATGATATGTTCTCTTAATCTCAATGGATACATTAAAGACAAACATAGTCCCATCTACTTCTCATCTCTGGCTTATTATGCTGAACCGGTATTATAATAATATACCACCTCTATCGTTTAAATGTCGCTATCTATTGTATGTCCAACATATTTTTGTACCCGCTGTGTATCCATCAGTTATCCTTTGTGTGCCCAGCGAATATCCTCTTTATCCATCAAATATCCTGTGTGTGCCCATTGAATATCCTGTGTGTGTCCATCGAATATCCTTTGTGTATCTATGGAATATCCTCTGTGTAGCGATCGAATATCCTCTTTGTATCCATCGAACATCCTCTGTGCATCTATCGAATTTCCTCTGTGTATCCATCGAATATCCTCTGTGTATCCATCGAATATTCTCTGTGTATATATTAAATGTCCTCTGTGTAACCATCATTCTTTTTTTCCATGTAACATCAATTGTATTTTCCCGTCTCGTATATACCGTACATATATGCTTCAAAAACGTTGTGCATGTTTTAGTCGATACTGGAAACTGCTCTGAGATATCTGACGCATTTTTCCCCCTTTCCCTTGTCATATTCCAGTAATTGTCATCTTACTCGATAGTCAACAATGATGTCATATTGGTATTTATTATGACGACATTATGATCATCTCTTTAGGGTCACATATTTGCTGGTGATAATCCATATCACGGCTATTTAATCCCAACAGTTGCTCACTCAGTGGTAATCAATATCTTCAACACGATCTATAGAAAAATTGCCAGTCGCTGTACGGATTTTGAAAATCACAGGTTATGCCTACCACTTATTTTGGTTTTTCCCTCAAGTCACTGGGGATGCAACAGGATTTCTTTTAAATGGATTTATCAATAAAATAATGCATTGGTAAAACTAATAAAACTGGTCAGGTCATTTTAGCGAACATCTAAAATTCTTGAAAGCCTTATTCCAATTTACACCAACTTTTATCATTTTTTAGTTATGTAGTTCATTACTGGATTATCAAAATTTTTATGTATAAAATAAAGGAAAGTGTTGTTTGAAAAAATACAAGTAAATAATTCGTCAAACATAGAGCAGACACGACAGAACACACAAAAATAGGAAATGAGGTCGACACAACGCTAACTTGAGGTAGCTCGTGGGTAATTCTCTATCTGACCACAGAATACTGACGAATGCTGACGAAAACTGACGAATAGAATCATCTAATCAATTGTGCTTGAAATCTTCTGGAATTATCCTAATTTTAAGAAATCTTTTGAATACTTTTTGAAAACTTTATTTTTTTTTCATTTTTATCAGGACAGAGTCTGAGTGGAGAAGATCGTTGATTGTGAAACGTTTTGCTTTCGAAGCCTTCGACTGTTTCCTGCCGTTGTTTTATATTGCTTTTTATCAACTGAATGTTGTTAATTTACGCAGGGAACTCGTTGGTCTGTTTGGAGGTAGGATGTTCGGTTGAATTTTGAAAAATTTTCAACTTATTCAATTGGAGATAACTTACTTCTTCTATTTTCATTCATCACACTGATTCATGATCAATTGTACGATTAAAGTATAAGAGAAACCTCGTACAAAATATATCCATTTGGTTTTGTTATTACAGGAACCTCGGTGCGGGTTGAGATATTTATTAGGTAAAATTTGGCGTCCCTCTTATGAGTATCTTTTTGTGCTATTCTGCCTCCCCTTCCCCTTCTTTGGGACAGGCTCTGCGGTCACTGTTGTAAAAGATAAACATAGAGATAGTGTGAAGTTCTTTCAAAGTTCTTTTTTATTCGTAGGAGACGAAATACGAAGGCTGGTCGTGGAGACCATTATTCCATTCGCGACCGAACATTTTTCCCAATGGCGAATTAAAAGACAATTCAAGAAGATAAATAAAATATCCCAAGTACAAGAACAGGAAATATCCGACTCCGTTCTCGAAGAATACGACCAATTCGATGATTACTTGGAGATGGTCATGCAGTTTGGAGTGAGTTTCACTTTATTGAAGCATAACTTCACGAACCCCCAATATCAGTGGCGTACGCGAGGAGGGACTCGAGCCCACCCTCCAAATATTTTGAAAGATTAAAAATCTTGCACCCAATAATAACTATTTGATAAACTTCTACACTGAACCCGTGCTATCAGACGCATTAAACCTTCTTGTGTGTGTAGGATTATGTAAGTAGGAATCCTTAAATCAATTTCTGGAGATTAAATTTTAAAAGTATATCTATAGGAATGGCCCGGGATCTCCCTAGAAATCTCATGCCTTCAAGATTTAGCCCCTCTTATATTTCATAAAGTTTCCGCCACTGTCACATACAATACATATTCCAGTCTTTAACGGTCAGTGTTACGGTTTGATACTTTTTCTACACCGGTCAGCATAGTGAATATTCATTTCTTCAGTGAACGAGAAAAGAAAATTTAGTGATAGAACAACAAAATAAAACGGGCTGGTTACGCTCTTGTTTCAAGTTCATTTTTAAATTGCAGCGTAAATAGCAGCGCTTTATCGCGCATGGAACTGACGTGTCCTCTACATTTTATGTGTTGCATATTATGAAACAGGTTGTGTTGAGGGTGAAGAAATCCAGTTACTGGAATTAATGAACTTTTAATTTCAATTTCAGTATATAACATTGTTTGCATCAGCATTTCCACTGGCATCTGCTATCGGCGTTTTATTTTTGTTCATCGAAAGCCGTTCCGATATGTTCAAACTACTTTTTATATATCAACGACCCAAAGTTATGAGGTATATATGACGTTGTGCAAGTTGATCAACTTCGATATATTTCATCGATATTTAAAATCTCTTACAGGACATGCGATATAGGTGTTTGGTACAATGTCCTTTGGTGTATGATAGCTGTTTCGATGTTAACCAATACTGTAATAATGGGTTTCTCCTCCGAACAGCTTGCCGAATGGCTTCCGTGGATGTACGAAACAGCGGATGATGGCGACCAGTATATTAAGCTGGGATATGGCAGGTTTGTTTAGAACATGGAAGGTTTTGATTTAGCATGCTAGGTTCGATCCATTTGTAAATGGCAAGTACGTTTATGTAGAAGATCCTCCTGGAACTTATATAAGTTTGAGATTATGTTCCTTGATTTCTTATGTAGCATCCTCACTATGATGTATGTATAAGGAGATTAAGTTCTTTGATTTCTTATATACCATAGTCACTATGGCGTAAGCGTAAGGAGATTAAGTACATCGATTTCTTATTTACCCTCCTCACTATGACATAAGTATAAATAGATCAAGTATAAATAGCAAAAATTTATCAACTATTTTTAAGGTACATAGTTGCTTCAGTTTTTGCTTTCGAACATTTTTTGATCCTGTCTGCGTTGTTTATCACGTGGTTTATTAACACTCAACCTAAGTGGGTTCGGATTGCCAAGGCCAAGGAAGAACATCAGAAGAAACTGGAAGGAGAGATGGCGATACTACAGACCAAAAAACTGCAGTAGGTAATATACGTGCGCAGCTTGTGTAACATATAATAATAATCAAATTTATTGAAAATAGAGTTATTTGTAGTAATTCTAACTAAGGAAATTGACGTACATTTTGCGTGTTGGTTTTCAATGTCGGTTAAGGAAGCATTACCGCAAGAAATTGTTCGTCACTTTCTAAATATGATAAAATTTCATGAATCCTGGATTAGGCTGAGCCATCTTTCTCTTTTCCTGCACCAACTTTAAGGCGTCGTTCAACGACAACTTCTTACTCGCCATAACGTATGCGATTACAACAGTCGAAGAACGGGATTTTCCCTGTTTTGTTTGAAGGTAGAACATGTTAAAACAGAGTTTGGGCTGGTATTTTCAGTATGTTTGGTGAAATTACATGCTGTAACTTTGAAATTTAAACGCCTATTTATACTTCGTATATTGTTTCATTTTGTTACTCCTTTATGAGAAGAGAATTATAAACTTTAGCTCTTATATACGCTAATCTAGTGTCTTTATCAGGAGTGGTCGTATGTGGAAAGGTCATGATTTATATACTCCTGTCTGAGGTTTTTGTCATATGTTAAACTTGCGTTTACATAGACTCAGTGTTTTCATCACGAGTGATCTGAGGACGACTATTTATGATTGCTTATCTGCGTCAGATGTAAACTCAAGTGAATAAAAGACCAAAAGTTAGAGAAAACCTTACTTCAATTGAAAATTTACCTGAGCACAATGAACCAAGACATTGCCTTTTGTAAGACCGTTGTGAATAAAAGAGATTGCTTCCATGACATCAGTTACAGGAATAGAAAAATCTTCATCATCAACCCAACAGAGTGAGAGATACTCTATTTTCAGTTCGCGTACGATTTCTTTCACTGTATTCTTAATAATGAAAAACATCCATCTGTCGAAGCATATATGAATATTATATCGACAAATGCAAGCATTTAAATTTTCACTCACTTCGTATTTCGGCCCAAAAAAACTTGCGAGGTTTTTGGCAGCGTTCACGATATGGGTAATTTGATTGTCGACGATGAACTTTTTGTTCATTGAAGATTTGTAACCACCCAAGTATAACCCGCCAGTTTTTGATTCGCCATTACTTGGTAATATTACACTTCCAAGTTTGTCGAACGACTGACTATATTCCAATGCCTTGAAAATTGTTAATTGAGATTTGTTTTAGTAAAAAACCACTAATGTCAAGATGATCTTAAACGACAGGAATTTTTGTCTGTCTCCTCAACGAATCAAAAGAGATCTCCTTCATTGAGGAATCTGAGAAGTACGCTACTAACAGGATTTGTATATATGTATATTTGTATATATGTATAACCGTACATCCTGTGTCCAAAGTGCAGGAGTTACCATTGCACTGTAGTGATAGCCGGGAGGGCACATTATATATACACTTTGTATATATTTGTATATACGTTTCATTTTAACATGGCCTTTATATCTAATAATCCATTATCAGAGATCATTGAAGGCGGCAATTTCCCCCTTCCAAAGTCAACCCTCTACAAACGGGCACAGATAGTTGATGCGCTGATGAGAAACTTTCTAACCCCTCTTTACCACCCACCCACCGCCCTTCCCTCACCCGAGTTATTTCATGTTAAGGGGATTTTTGCTAAGGATGTCTATTTGGAACTCTTATTTCTTCAATGATTACATATACAGTAAATACTTATGACAGTAAGACTGAGAGTTTCATAATCAGAGAACATTATTCAAACTAAAATGAGTGATCATCATTCGTTGGAACAGTACAGCGCGTATTGTATTAAATGTGTTACCTTCATTAAAATTTCTTGACTACGTATTGAACTTGCTTTGTGTTTGGATATTTCCTTGCAACAAATCACGCATATATTTGCTTTGAAAGGGTTTGGCTTAAACTCTTCACATTGTGTTTCACCCGTGAAATGGACTTGCTTCAAAAAACTCTCGTTCATTTTTCAACAGTGGATAAGTGCCTTCGCTTTTCGCTTGAAAGACATCAATCATTCATGGCCAATACTTCTCAACTATAGTTTTCTCCACCATATATTTAAGATACGTTTACTTAAGAACGTACACAATGTCAGCGAAAATCGATCGATGTCGCTTGATACAAAATAGGCCAACAAAGATTTCACAATAATAAAAAGAATCGGTAGGAAAATTGGGAAATTATTAATGTCCTTTGTCACAGAATAAACACACTACTGAGGCATAAACAATAGCAAATGTGAAAGAGATTTTATGTGTGATTATATTACTTGCAATGGTTTCCTGCCATTATAACGATGTGCGTCAGTGATGTGCGTGGTTAGAAGTCAGTGCGTCAACTAAAAGATTGTAATACGTGCCTTCACTTCTGTTGGTTACCTGTACTTTGACCCTAAATGTTTTCTTTGTGCAATGTTTCCCCAAAAAGTTGAATGTTTTAGTTAAAACAGTTACTTCTCTCAAATATCGTATAGTACTGAAAAGGTGTCTTAATTGACAATTGTCTAATTAAAATTTGAAAAACAACTTAATTTTCAATTGATCATTAGTCATTATTACAAAATCATTAAAGTAACATAAAGTACCGCATCGATTCACCACAAGACTTAAATAACTCGACCTTTTTGTACTTAAAAATTGTTGTATACTCTTCAAACTTTTATTCTGTAACTTGAGCTTCGTTTCGAATGAAAGCCATCTTGATATGTTAATTCTCTTTGAAATGGAAAAATGATTATAGATTCCTTAGAAGGAGAATACCAATTGATTTTATGCGATGGGATGTCAATTATCTGTTGAAAATGCTAAAAATTTGGTTGTGACAGAGCTGGGATTTGATAAAGCAGATATACAAGGATGGCAACGAAAAAATGGTTATGTTGAATGTGTAGCTTTGGTATGTAACTCTTTTAGCATAGAAATATTTTATGACAAAGGCTGAAGACTGCAATGGAGTATGCCATTGCAGTCCTGAGATAAAACTCGTCGTAAGCCAATGCCGGTTAAGTGTTTTTCAAATTAGTTGTTTGCAAGTTGCAGAAGTCTTTTTGACTATTACACAAAGTTTACAAGATGACAGAAATTTCATTCATTTTGTAGTTTTGACATTGAAGAGAGTATAGTCTTTAATGTAGTTTGCAACAATATTTTGTTCTACATTCATAGTGTAAATTATTACTGATCAAATTAAATGTCATGAAAATATATTGAATCATTGGCTTACACAAATGTAACTGTAGTTCCTGGCTGCTAGCATTAGTATTACAAATCACTTTGTAAAATATTTTTTTATTTTATATATTAAGACTAGTTTGAATACTTCCACAGGTGAACCAGAAGTGGCTGAAAGAGCTTGAGAATGAGAGCTACACTTTGCCAGATGCTTATCCCAGCAGTTGTTATGAAAGATTTCTATATCTCCAGCGATCCAATCATGAAATACCAAAACCTTGGACTCAAGTTATAATAAAAATATTCAAGAAACCTTTAAAAACTTTGTGGTAGGACAATTTAAATTATGTATCAAACTTTTGTTAACATAGCATCAAGTATTTTTACTTTTGTCCATAAAGATTTTATTTTCATCATTGTACCATTGTTACTAAAGACACTAGAATGAAGTATTTAAGGACTTGTGTTTCAACATCAGATTACTCCTAATGAACATACTAGACTGGAGTATGTATAAAATAAAGCTTCAACATCAGATCACTTTTAATGAAGACACTAGGCAGACAGGTAAAAATAAGGACTCAACATTCTACATCAGGTCCCTCCTGAAGAAGGCACTAGACCATACTATACAGTCAAACCTGTAGTAAGTTGGCCTGTATTAAGCAGATATCCTGTATGAAGCGGACACTTTTTAAAGTCCTAAATTTAATTCCAACTTGCTAATTCATAATTATAAAACTGCTATCAAGTGGACACCTCCATTAAGCCGACACTAGTCTGTTCCCCTAGGGTGTCCATTTATTTCAGGTTTGACTGTATATCTAAGGACTCAAGATTCAACATCACATCTCTTATGAATAAGAAACTAGACTGGAATACATATGGACTAAAGTTTCAACATCAGATCACTTTTGCTGATGAACTACATAGATGATGAGCATAATTCTGAAGTATTTACATCACAATGAAAATTTTAGTGTCCCAAAGACTCTCAAGAGCTCCAATTTCCCCTACACAGACACATTTGCTGATTTAATGTCGTACGTTTCAACGGAGAACTTCAAAAACTACTTGATTCAAGCTCGTAAGAAGTACAGCAGTACTCCGGTCAGTGGAGATATAGAAGTCCAGGAAAGGAAAGGAAAGGTGATAGTGAAGAGTTTTTTGCAAAAAGCGCGTTTTTTTTTTCATTGAAATTATTTTTGTGAGAAGGACAAGGAATGTATTATGAAATTTATCGAATAAATTGTATAATTTACTGTATTTTGTAAACATCTTTTCTTAGGAAATCTTGCAAAGTATTTGTGAAAAATGGCTTAAAATAAAGATCATTAAACTTCACGATGAACCTTCGACCGAACAAGACAAGCGAAAATCGTCAACGTTCGAACGTACAAAACGGGATTTGTACGATTTAGAAAGCGAACGACGTTTTTCAGGAATCCAAGGAATACATGGAATATTGGAATCTGAGAACTGTTTCTTTATTTTGGAATATTACTCCCCACACACACTTCAAGATGTCGTTTGGTTTAGTCCCAGTGTCATATCTTCCACAATAACCAAACCATTGTTTTTATTTTACCAAATTTTAAGAATGTTTGAGAGCTTTCACGACATGGGTTACTACTGCGGTGTGTATAGTCTGGAGAACATCAAGCTAAATAACTGTTTGTGGTTAAGTTCGAGCTTAAGTTATATAAATTTTGATGGAGTCAAAGACGACATTAAAAATAATGGTAAATCGACAAAGCTAAACAAAAAAGAACTGCTTTCAAACGGTGCATTACATGAAGAAAATTTGCATAATGCGATAAGCCTACGGGAACTTGTCGATAAATGGGTAAAGAAAGAAGTTAGTAATTTTGACTACTTGATGGCACTCAACTCGATTGCTGGCCGTCGTCTAGGTGACCCCAACTACCACCCCGTGTTGCCATGGGTTACCGACTTCACAACTCCTTGCGGCAAGTACAGAGATCTTACGAAGTCGAAGTTTCGTATTAACAAAGGAGACTCTCAGCTTGATGTCACCTTTAAGAACGTGTTGTATTCCGATGATGGAGATCACATGGAAAATCCTCCGCATCACGTGTCTGGTGTGCTATCTGAGATCACGTATCACGTGTATTTAGCACGCAGGACGCCAAAGAATGTGTTGACGAAACACGTACGTGCTAAGTGGGAACCGAACGAATATCCTTGCAATATGGAACGATTGCAGGAATGGACCCCGGATGAATGTATCCCGGAGTTTTATACCGATCCCACGATCTTCAAATCAATCCACCCTGACCTACCGGATTTAGGAGTACCTGCCTGGGCTGACAATCCCCAGGATTTCATAGGGTTGCATCGTAAAGCGCTCGAAAGTGATTACGTCTGCGATCATCTACATCATTGGATTGATTTAACGTTTGGATATAAGTTAGTCGGATCTGCAGCTGAAAAGGCGAAGAATGTTTACCTGCATCTGGTTGATCAACATGAAACAATAAGTAATCATGGAGTTGTGCAATTGTTCATCCAACCACATCCTAAACAAGTAAGGCATCATCAAATGGATTTGTATCCCACAATGGTGAACCTAGATGATGAATTGGAACACGAGATACTTGGTGTAAATAGTGATGGTATGTGGACGGTGACCGCTATGTATTTGATGTAAACTGGAGGGGTGGAGGGAGAGGAAAATCCCCCCGATTATTCATAAGTTGGAGGACAGTAATTTTTTTCGTGTCATATTTGGGTCGATATAGATCGTAGTTACTGTTCAAGGTGCTAATAATTTGTATCAAAAACAAAAAAATGGTTGCTTATGAGGTTTGAATTTGGCTCAAGTTACATTGTATTTTGGTTTCAGTTTTGTGTTCATAGCGGAAGGTGTTATAACAATCCTATTATTTGTATTTTATGTATTTCATAGCTCGAATGCTTAACTTCGTGACAATTGTATTACACGTCTTGAAATTCCTTCAACGGCGACAGTTGACATTTCAAAACTTTTTTACGTAGGTCAACGTGTTTTCATTGAAGAAAGCCAAAATGGTTTTGAAGTACTTCATACTTCATGGGAAGATGTGGATGGTGAAATGAAAAATGAGACAGCAGAAGATGAATCTGGTAGTCAGAAGAAACAAAAGATGTGGCAACGTACCAATTTAACGTCGTTTCTTCGTCTAAAAGATAACGTTGATTCGAGTACAGACGTTCTACCATCCATCGACAGTTTACCCATCTCTTTGGCGATTGGCTATGGTCCTCTTGAAGAGTTTAATCAAGTAGAGTTGTTGACAAAATTTAAGTTACAAGCAAAAGAAAACACTGTTTCGTATGCTAAAGATTTATCTACTTACAGTGAGGTTGGTAAATCGTTTTCACTTTCAAAAGAATCTTGTTGCGTCGTTATGTACTCCAATTTGTGTCTATCAATCGTGACCTCATGTTAAAATTATTTATCTATTGGCTAGTGTCTTCATCAGAAGGGATCTGATGTTGAAACTTGAGTCCGTATAACCTACAGTGTAACGTCCTCATTTTTATTTTTATGCTACAGACTAATGTCGTCTTCAGGAATGATCGGATGTTAAAACTTGAGTCCTTATATATTCCAGTTTAGTTTCTTCATCATCAGTTATTTATTGTTTAGCCTTAAGTCCTTATGAGCAATAGGATGTTCAAAATCGGGTCAAAATTCTCTAATTTGGAGTTTTACACTCTGTTTTAACATATATATCTATATATTACGTATCTGCTTATAGGTTGCTATCTTACCGAGGTCAGAAATTCCTGAAACTACTCGTCACAGGGAGATCCAAAATATTTGTACAATGCTTGTGGAAATGTTTTTGCCAGGGAAAATGCGACTTTTGTCACCTGCTATGACACAGAAAGAGCGCTTCATCACTGCCAAACGAATATTTAGTTCGACCAAAATGGCCGTGCCTAGGTTTGTAGCTTTCCTTGTCATTTTGTGGTTGTTTTTTTTTATTTCATTCTTGTGTTCCTGCTTCGATAAGGATTCATCGTTTTCGTTTAACATGTGGCGTTTTTGGATTGTGTCTTTTTTATATTTATGTGTGTTTTGTGTGGAAAGACCGGCTCGAATTTTTTTGCTGCATGTAGCCTTTCATATACATTCAGTTCAAAGCATATTTAATGTAGTAGAATCTGAAAGGTATGAACCGTAAAAATCAGTTAAAAAGAGGGTGGTGGACTTTAACTGGACTTTTTCGAATTGTACAAGACTCGTACGCACTCGCTTTTTACTGAAATTAATATCCTCAAGTATTACTTAAGTGACTTATTAGCTTTAACTGCATCCTTTCGAAAATATCACGACTATTTAAATGAGGGAATGTATTTGTATGTGAATGCAGTTAATTAAGTAAAAATATGTGTTTGTTCTTCTTTTCACTTCTACGTGTAGCGCTCTTCGCGATGGGATGAAGACATTGTTTGATGAAGGCTGCGGATTCAACAAAAGACAAGGATTACCACCTTTAACTCCAGAACTATTAATTCAAGGACATGTAGCCATTTTCCCGTTTCCATCCTGTTTCAAACAGTTTTACGAATTTCTAGTGGAGTTTCATTTGGGAAGTCCGTCCGAAGAGAACTGCTTAAAACAGTCAAAAACAGCTGTCACCTCTCCTCGAAATGGTGTGTCCTATACTATTGAACAGGTCCACATAGCTGTGAAGTATTTGCCGGATTTGGTCGACGAATTAAACAGCGAAGGTCTTGAATTACTCATAAGCTATCTCATTCCGTTGTTTTCCTGCGAACAGACACAACTGCAGGCTTTTCTTCATTTGTTTGACCCTATTGCCGCTTTCCTGGGACCAAGACAAACAAAAAGGACATTTCTAAAGAAACTGTTGCAGCATTATGATGTGAAAAAGAGCAATGCATCTTTCCTGCTTTTTCATCAGTCGTTCTTGTCGAAACTTATCATGCGATTTGGCATGGAACCATTTTTGGATCATTTTTTAGCGTTAATTGTTGACGCTTTAAATCTCTCAGACAACGACATGCAGGTAGTGTTTCATGAAGAGAAATGATTATAAAGCTAGGGGTATGCAACCGGCAGGTTGGTGACATGCAGGTAGTGTTTCATGAAGAGAAATGATTATAAAGCTAGGGGTATGCAACCCGCAGGTCGGTGACATGCAGGTAGTGTTTCATGAAGAGAAATGATTATAAAGCTAGGGGTATGCAACCTGCAGGTCGGTAACATGCAGGTTGTGTTTCATGAAGAGAAATGATTATAAAGCTAGGGGTATGCAACCTGCAGGTCGGTGACATGCAGGTTGAGGTAGGCAACATAGCTACAGGTGGGAGCATGCTTGTAGGTGACATGCAGTTGGGTGACTCATTACTTTTCATCGCTTTTGTCTGATAATGCAATCTTAAATCCGTTCACAATTGATATGTAGGTATTTACTGCAACGAGAACAAATATAGCACCGACAAGTATAGTCAGGACTAGTCTGCTGTATTTGTTCTATTATGCTTTTCAATCTTTGTCGTCGGAATTCTTTCTCACATTAGGTAAATGCGGACACTTGCAGTCAAGATGAAGCTCCTGGGGTATTGACTGAAGATGAAAGAAAGATAAATCTTAATCACGGACACTCGCTTGACTATGAAAATAACTCGAATGACATTGGTATGCTTAAAATTTCTTCCATCATATTTCTTCATAGCGTTGTCTGCACTTTCGTAAAAATTTGTAATATCCTATCGAGTGATTTTTCAGGGAGAAATGTAAAACTATGAAAGCCTAATAAAGCCATATATAAACAGTACTTTAAAGACACAAACCAGTAATTTTTTCTTTGAAGAAAGCGAATCTTTGAAAGATGTTTTGGGAGATGTCGACGGACATGATTTGGACTGGAAAAACACAGAGGGAGAATTGTTTCCAATTACTGAAAATGATAAAGGAGATTTCGGTGTGTTGTCTGGTACGTCAACTAAAACTAAACTGTTTCGTTAGGAAGCTCTGAAGTAGCACTTCGTAATTCAGTGACGTAGCCAGCCCGCACGTTTGTTCATGCTATATAAATTTTCTGTTGTCCTATCATTTCCAAAAAAATTTCTAAAGAAATGAATTACGCCCATGAGGAAAAAATCAAATAGCATGACCAACTTTGTGGGCTGGCTACGCCACTGTTGGCAATACACTTTACCTTTACCAAAATATCTTTTACACGGAATCATTAAATATGTGATATTTTACGGGACCATTACAGGCGAGAGTCAAGATTTGAATGATGTTGATTCACATGGAATGTTCAATTACGAAATAAATGACGATTTTAGCAAGTTTGATCGCCATGGTGATGATGATGACGAAGAATTGGAGTCGATTGAAAGAAATGATGCTATTTTTCACAAGTCGTTTGCGACTGTATCCCGACCCGGTTCTGATGAAGATTGGGATGGAGTTGCAGCAACTGATTTCAGTTTTGAACGGTCTCTTTCTTTTAACTCGGAGCGTGTAGATGATGATCAGAAAGACATAAGCATGGATTCTGGAGAAGTATGTTGTGTTTCTTATACGAAAGTTTGAGTTAATATTGTGCTTTGTGTTGTTGGTATCTAGGTAGATAGCTAGGTTTGTAGGTAGATAGGTAGGTATGTAGGTAGGTATCTAGGTAGATAGGTAGGTATCTAGGTAGATAGATAGGTAGGTATCTAGGTAGGTATCTAGGTAGATAGGTAGGTATTTAGATAGATAGGTAGGTATCTGGGTAGATAGGTAGGTAGATAGGTAGGTATGTAGGTAGACAGATAGATCGGTAGATAGGTAGGAATCTAGGTAGATAGGTAGGTATCTACGTAGATAGATAGGTCGGTAGATAGGTAGGAATCTAGGTAGATAGGTAGGTATCTAGGTAGATAGGTAGGTATCTAGGTAGATAGATAGAGAATTTTTGTTACAATAGTTTGATATTGTGACTTTCCTGTTTTAAAACCAGATTGTGTTTAATACATGTTGACAGGTTTCTGCGAGTGAAATTTCTGAAGCAGCAGCCGATAGTATCTGTTGGCTTGCACCTCGTCTTGGTCCTTTGTTAACGTCGAACCACATCATAAAACCTTTGCTAGGCATGCTGGTAAACTGTTATGTTGGTGTCGTTGCTATGGGTGATAAAGGGATGGCTGTTGGTAAATCGAATGCCAAATGGATATTGCATTGTCTGGCCTTCTGCACTAAAGTATATGGCGATGCGATCATATTTGATCAGTATTTGCCTTTTGTTTCCTCTAAGGTATTTCTAATGTTGTTGTGTGATATACAGCTGCTTGTGTAAAAAATAAATCAAAATGTGTTAATTGAAATCAACCGTACTTTTGAACTTAATTTGTTACTCTACTCTATAGGTCAACATTTCATCATCGCGTGTTAGTGTAAAAGGAGAAGCCAGTATGGCCGCTTCACTTGTCCTTGTACATCAATATATCTCTTCTTTCTCTGAAGTTTCTTTATTGCAACGCTTTGAGGTATTTTTTCTACATGTGTTGAGTCATTTGACATTAGTTTAGTTTGATGGAATACCAATCACTGAGAGAAGCCAATCTGAATTTTTAGTCTACTATCCAAAGTTTTCAGCTTACTTGTTTATAAATGAAAATTATTTTTTGCTTTTTCTGTGAACGAACACCAAAATGTTTTCATTGTAGGAGTTGAAAATTGACCTGGCTTCCCCATTATTGCTTGTTTCTCATGCGGAAGCTTGAGTCATACCTATTGGTCTGTTATTTTGATGCTTTCTCAATTTAGATATTGTGTAGCCAACCTCTTCACCAGGTCCTCTGTCTCATCTGTTCACCGTCAATATCGTTTGCCAGCGAAAAACATGCTCGTTTATTTATGGCTTTGCTCATTCTTGACATCTTCAAGTTAGTATGTGAAATTCTCGAGCGACACTCGGCCCAGGACATGCTCTCGTTGTTGATAAACACGTTCTTTTCGTGTTTTGAACCTCTCGATGAAAGCGCTTTGGAGCAACCTGGTGCGAAAGAAATCTGCGAAACGTTTGATGCAGCTTTAGCATATCATGCATACATACCGCTGTGCAAATGTCTCGGTGACACGTACATTGAAACTACCCTAGATAAGAACAATGATCTGGTTTGGCAATTATGCTGTTCCGTAGACACCGGACTGTCAAATCACATGCCTCCAAATAGTCAGATGCAGTCAATATTTATTTCATCACAGGACGGTAATGCTAATACAAAGAAAGGTGAAGTATTCGATGTGGAATCTCGAAATGAAAGCAAATCTTTGTCCTTGGATAGATCTTTTGCTACGTCTAGTCAAATAAAAACAAGGTGAATTTGAGGTGTTATATTGTTTGAGGGAGGGTATGTAAGTTTGTAATTTTGATAGTTTTTGTGTCGTGTCTTTATAAATTGCTTATCTATAAATACTTGTTTTAGACCAAAAGATATTTTTGTATCATCCAGACAGCATTTAGCTGGAAACTGGTTGAAATATTGGAAAAATCATTTAGGTACTATGCACATTATTTTGGTATTTAAGTTATCCTTATGGTATCGTTTTCGTACATTAGACATCTTTGGGTACTTTATACATCATTTAGGTACTTCAGGCATTCTTAAGGTACTTCGTGCATCATTTTCGTATGGTAGAAATCTTTAAGTACTTTATTCATCATTTTGGTACTTCAGGCATCCTTAGCGTACTTCGTGCATCATTTTCGTATAGTAGACATCTTTAGGTACTTTATACATCATTTTGGTACTTCAGGCATCCTTAAGGTACTTCGTGCATCATTTTCGTGTATTAGACATCTTTAGGTACTTTATACATCATTTGGGTACTTCAGGCATTCTTAAGGTACTTCGTGCATCATTTTCGTATAGTAGACATCTTTAGGTACATTTTGTAGTTTGTGATGTCTACTTTTCTTTCAGGAAAAAGAAAACAAGTTGATGGCAATACATTTTCTCAATTACGACTTCAGACATTTGCTGGTAAGCATTAGGTAAATTGCATTAGCTAAATTATCTTATAAAATAATATGTATGTAGTACGTGTTTGTTCGATCGATACTATTGTTTTGGTCAGCGGCAAACTTGGGATGCTTGAGAGATTACAGCCTTAATTATTCTACATTCATCTTACGTTTAAAAAATGAGAATTTTTTCCCAGGTCACAGTGATGTTGTCAAAGATATTCACATTCAAGACAATGAGCACTTGTTTCTCTCGGCGAGCCGTGATAAGACTGTTAAACTTTGGCTTCTCAATAACTATGGTGACGGAACGGGCCAATCGGCTTCTTCGTGGACTGCATGTGATCATCGGAAATCTGTATTTGCCGTTGATGTTATTGACGTAATGAGACAAGCTGTGTCTTGTGATGGATCTATTCATGTATGTTTGTTGTTACCTAAGACTCCGTTACATTTCCGATTTTTTGAATTTCTTGCCGCCAAAACATAGAACTGATTGTTCATATAGAAGGTTGAATTAGCTACTTCCCGGGTGCTATACCACGTGATACATTTCTCTTTTAAGTTATCGAGTGTTTACATTTGAATTGAGAAATAAAAGATGTTTACTGTGTTTGCACAGGCTTATGCAAACCAAGGAGACCTTTAAGAGAACTCTAGATCATGACTTGAGGAAAAGACTTTGCAATAATTTCATATTTTTGACATAATGAAGAGTTTGGGGTAATTTGATTACGTTTGATAACTGATACTGATTATGTAGAGGGTTGGATATTTTAGTTAACTGTTGGGTGAGTGTCTTTTTTATCATTAGCTTTGGGATCTTCCTACTGGCTCTTCCGTTTTGCGACTCAAATTTCCGAAGAGCAATGAGGCGGTTTCTATGGCGACTCTTCCTAGTCCCAGTCCCTGTATCGTGGCTGGCATGCAGAATGGCACAGTCAGAATGATTGACCCTCGCCAGGGAAATTTTGGCCATACGTGGAGAGTGACTAGCAACAGTTTAGCAGGTATGTATTGATAAAAGTATTGACTTACTCGATAAAGCGCTCAATGTCTCAATGTTTAAGTGGCTATGGCGTAGTGAAATCTCTATATTGAAATTTCCAATGCATTAACAGTTGACCAGAGAAATTTAATTGAAATTCAAGATTTTCAAAGTTCAATATGACATTGCACTTTGAAAGTTTTTGTTCATCAAGTAGATCTAGTAGGCTTATCACATCACCAGTGACTTACTAGGAAGAAACTCTAGAAAGTCTTTCTTAACAATTGCAACTCCAATGCCCCTATCCTTGAAAAAGCATTATTTTCTCTTTGCAGGTTACATAAGATGTTTGTGTGTTACCCCAGACGGTACGTCGATGGCCATCGGCTTTGCAAGTGGTTTTATGTCAATAATAGATCTTCGTGGTGGAATTCTTACGAGACAATGGAAGGCTCATGAAACTGATATTCTTCAGGTTAATCATGATCCGTAAACACAGATTTCTCGTTTTCACGCTAAATGTTTGAGCTTCATTTACATTTTCCTGGATACACAATATAAAGTTCTTGTTTTGTCTGCTGGATAAAAATATCAGTAAAATGTAATTGCCATCATTTATAGGGTATATATGTCTGAAAGTATGTTGTAAGAAAGTTGCATGCTTTATTCCTTCACAATTTCTCAAAAATTTTCGCGCTAATTATTTCTTCAACGTTAACTTCACTTATCCTATTTTATTAAAAAATTGCGCAACCTAAAACCCTTTAAATAGATCAGACAACTTTCAATGTGTTATTTGAAATAGGTTTGGTTAAAAAAAATATTTGCGATCGATCGTTTAGATTCAACCTTACACTAACACGAGTTTTGTTACATCGTCATCAACGCAAAAGATGCAACTTTGGGGTCAAGATGCGTTGCGTTTGCGGACCTTACCAACTGTAACAGGTGAATATTGCCGTTTGGCTTATTTATATAATATGTAATACTTATATATGTTTCTAATGAAAATATCACTGCATTCGCATTGTACATCACTGTATCCACATTGTACATCACTGTGTCCACATTGTTCCTTCACTGTGTCCACATTGTTCCTTCACTGTATCCACATTGTACATCACTGCATCCACATTGTACATCACTGTATCCACATTGTACGTCACTGTATCCACATTGTACATCACTGTATCCACATTGTACATCACTGTATCCACATTGTTCCTTCACTGTATCCACATTGAACATCACTGCATCCACATTGTACATCACTGTATCCACATTGTACATCACTGTATCCACATTGTACATCACTGTGTCCACATTGTACATCACTGTGTCCACATTGTACATCACTGTATCCACATTGTACATCACTGTGTCCACATTGTTCCTTCACTGTGTCCACATTGTTCCTTCACTGTATCCACATTGTACATCACTGCATCCACATTGTACATCACTGTATCCACATTGTACGTCACTGTATCCACATTGTACATCACTGTATCCACATTGTACATCACTGTATCCACATTGTTCCTTCACTGTATCCACATTGAACATCACTGCATCCACATTGTACATCACTGTATCCACATTGTACATCACTGTATCCACATTGTACATCACTACATCCACATTGTACATCACTGTGTCCACATTGTACATCACTGTATCCACATTGTACATCATTGTATCCACATTGTTTCTACACTGTATCCACATTGTACATCACTGTATCCACATTGTACATCACTGCATCCACATTGTACATCACTGCATTCACATTGTACATAACTGTATCCACATTGTTCTATAATTTCTTCATGCGTTTAAGGTTCAGGTGAAACAGTGCAAAACATTCATATTCACGATAAAGTGATCGTTTCTCTTGCGGGGAACAACCGCATTGGTTGGCATACAATCACGGACAACGAGGTATTTTTAGGATATACCGACGTCAACTGTCTACAAACAAGTTAATAGATCTTAGGCAGTTATTCTTTGTTATTCTTTTAACTTTGTAAACCAAGCTGAGGAATATCTCCGGGGATTCTCTTCAATTATCACTGTTTTCATATTGCAGCCAAGCTACACACACATTCGTCTCCGCAATGATGTATTCAAAGGTAATTCCACATGTTTTGGAGTCCTACCTTTGAACAGAGCGTATTTATTTGGAGGAGAAGATGGAAACATTACTTTGATGGGATAGAACTTGGATTTAATAACTTTGAAAGTCGTCTCGTCATTACGTAAACATATGAAGGATTTTGATTGAACGATAAGCTCGAAAGTATAATTTTCAACAAAGATAAAATGAAAAGTATTGATTTAGACATTAATATATTACTATGATGTTCTTTAGGGGGTTTTTTTAGTTATCTGGGGCTGTTGCATGAAATCCCGTGAAGGGAAAACTGTAAAACTAAGCTAGACAATCAATCGAATTAAACGTTCGTCAAATCTAAGTTGTATAAACGTGTGAATTAAATGTAATCACTTTTTTAATAAGCTTGGAAAAGGGATTATCCAGTGGACAGCGATATTTGGGCATCATTTGCAACTGCTTCCATCATTTTCTTTGCTTTAGAATAAATTTTGTTTTTAATTTCCAGTTTATTTGGAAAGGGCATAATTTTTTCCTAAGTGAATTTCTGAACAACATCTGATCTGTTTTGCTCGGATTTGGATCGGATTCGCGTAGGTACATCTAAAATGGCGGCTCATTCGAGAGTGTTTCTTCAATCGTTCTCTAAATTCATTACTCCGTTTTTGCCATTCACGCGTACCTTACAGTCAATACAATACAAACCACTTTTCGAAGTGCTGTCGTGTAAGTGCTTTTACTTATAAACTGTTCTTTATTAAAAGTCTTACTTCAATATACAAACTTATACAGTAGACTTCAAACTTTAAACTGTTTATCAGTTAAAGTCTTACTTCAATTTCAATATATACATTTAACAAAAACTTCCTGATTGCATTCTAAAAAATGTTTGTCTTATGTGGAGTCAGAGAGGCTGATGGACATATCTAATGGCTCATGTATAATTATAAGTATATTTGTTAGTATCAAAGATGTCAACTTCAGTTGTTAACGTGTATTTTGTCAAACCATTTTTTAGCCAGACGAAAAATACTAGCAAGAAATGCCACAACCTCATCAAATCAGAAGGAAACTCTTCAAAGGTGTCCAATATCTCGAAGAAATATAAAATTTACTTATAAGGTTGGACTGGTTGGTCAGATCTGGTGTATGTATCACAAGTTATAAATGTTGAGCCTTCATATTTCTTTGTGTGATAAGTATCCAACTAGGTGACAAGTATTCATAAGTATCCAACCTTCCATCAATTAAAGAACATTTCAAATTTCAGGATGTTTTATTGCTTGCACAATTCATTTCACCTGAAGGAAATATTTTAAACAGACGGATAACAGGTAAAAAGTCATCACAACTATTTTTCAATTTTTTGATATTTTTCTTTACCTACTCATTATTTGACTCTAGGAGTGTGTAGAAAACAGCAAAGGAAGTTGGAAAAAGCCATTGAAATATCACGAAGAGCCGGTAAGCTTGTTATGTAAGTTAATCAAATCAATGTTAATCTAATGTTAATCTAATGTGCATTAATCTAAATTTAATCTATCTTGTATGACTTCAATGAGTTTTAATCCACCTAAAGCTAATTAAACCAACATTTATCTGATTAATGTTAATTTGATTGAAGCTAATGAAACAAGTGTTTGTCTAACATAGGTTGATCCGACTAACAGGAATCCAATTAATGTTAATCCAGTTAAAGTTGTTGTAACTACCGTTAATCTAAGAACTGTTAAATTATTCATCCACTGATGTGACTTATTTTATTTGAGTGAAAAATTAATTGAATTTTAGATTTTTTTAAATTTACTTATTCTGAAATTTACATTTGAAAAAATGTTCTTGCATAGGTCTTATCCCAAAAAAGCCTCCTGCCTTGATGTATGAAATCAATTCCTCCAGAAACAAGCAATAGATACATTCTGTTGACAAAAATGTTGCAATGACACATACAGCATGAAAGGTATTGACCATCAAATATTAATGAGGATTTGGGGGAGTCGGAAGAGGCTATTACTGGAAGAGGCTTGATGCTTTGGGGTTCAAGGTTATGCTTGTTGGTTCAACCCTCTGATAAAGTATACAACTCAAACCAAATAGTGGATTACAAGATTTGTAATCGACTTAATACAAAATAGAGGGTGATACAGCAATAGCATAACAGTACCTGTATTTATCATTTATTATTCAATTTATGATATTGTTCATTTAAACTTTGATACATATTTACAACATGAATGGTAGATCTAAGTTCTTTTCTCCTGTACCAACGTAAATGCGTCCGAACTTTCTGGTTTCGGGAACATGATAAAAGACGAAACCTAGCCAGTGTAAGCTTCTTAATGTAACCAATCCACAACCTTTCTCGTATTGAATACTCCATGAACCTAATGGAGGTCAAAGACAAAATTCTAACCACTTTACCAACTCGGACTAGATATATTTCTATCAATATGATCAAATGTGTTGGCTATATGATCTCCAAATGATATGTTAAAGAATTTTTCCTGTGTACTGCACAGAACACGACAATTGAAATGAAATGTACATTGATGAAATAAGGCAGATTTTTAACGACATGTCTTCGTGAAACCTGTTGCTGAGGTAATCAAGTTTCTTATTAGTAGTTCAGTTATGTTAAGACTGAGCTAAGTAAATTGTAAAGCATATATATAATATTATAAATACCTCCATTTGGAACGTCCGCATCGATTGGATCAAGAAAATCAATACTTTTGTCGAGCGAGGCCTGGAAAAGAAATCACATATTTTGCCTTCGACGACCACATGAAAACATTGCATAGTGCATTACACGCACAAATTTCCACCTCCATATTAAAGCACAACACAACCCACCCCTGATAGTGCCTACTGTAATATTACCTACTTTAACCAAATTATAAATAAAGTAAATGTCGTTTCATTTCTCTATAGTGTTTCATACTATCACAAGGGAGTGCTGCTCTGCCCCCCTCTATGGTAAAAAATTGCATGGTACAATCAAATCCCTCTAGGACCACCTCTTATTGTAAAGAATATGTAGGTGGCTTCGTGTTCTAGCGTATATTGAAAATTAGCTTGGTTTCATTTGCTATGATTGGTGATTTGAATGATCTCTAACTTTTAACGTTGTGTTGGCTTGGTATAGTTCACCATGTTTAGAGCTTTCTTTCGGATTCCAGACGTTTAAAATCAAACAGACATTGTGAAAGGTTTTACTTTACTGTGCTTGTGTGCTCCATCTCCCAACTTACAAAGCAAGTGTAGCAACCACGTTTTTTAGCAGAGTAATTAATGGATACCAACCTTTTGCAACAGGCTTTTCTGATTTAAGAGGATGGGTTCGCGGAAATGGAAGTAGGAGCAAAGTTTTGCTGCATCGGCCATTGTTAGTCCTAAAATATTGAAAATATTTAATCAATAACTTCAACTGATAGTAAGCTTCAAGTAACTATTTCAACAATGATTTAAAAATGCCAATGGAAAGGACAAGAAATCTGAATGGTTTAGGATGCTGTTTCCTGGTAATATCATCGTTAAAAATAGGTTATATGAACATCAAGTATGTCAGTTACATTGCAACCTTCAAAACTTCTATTGGAGTAGATGTTGCCATCAGCAGATCTTAGAAATGAACCCCTGGGTACAATGGCCACATCATAATTGATAGCTGCAATGACTGTCGCCAATCTGTCCTCTTCCTTAACAAGTACCTTAAAGATACACAACATTGTTTTGAAGCAGATTAAAGTTATATAAGATCACTATAGCAAGAGAGTGTAAAAAATTTGATATATCATTCATATAAGCATCTTTCGAGAATTTATTTTTGTTGCTTGTTTTAATACTGACTGTTTTTTCTTCTTCAAGGTCTGCATCTGTTTCCTTTTCCTCATTTCGTTTTGTTTCTGTGTGTTCATACTCATATGAGGGGTCACCAGTGAAGCGGCCTTTTACAAAAGCACAATTTGCTTTCATTTGTTCTGTAACATGTGGCAATAGACCCCATTTCACACAATCCACGCTACATAGAAAACGTTTAGATACTTACAGGTGTTTAAAATATAATGAATCTTATAGATTAAGTGGATCAGATCAGTGATTAATCTGATTTATCAATCCTTGTTCCACAAATGCAGTCATATGCAGTCGAACTGATGGGACAAAAATATTTTACGCAAGTGATCATCTGGAAAGTCTTATTTTGTTTCACTCTAACCTGTATAAAAGATGTCTGTCAGTCATTTCATCTTTCCCGATACCTTCGACGATAAAATAGTCATCTCTAACGCCGAGAACTTTTCCCCAAAAAAATACTTTCTTGTACTTATAGTTACTTTTCAAAATCACCAGCGACGATTGAAAGGCAGCCTTTTGTTCCGTGCTCAAAATAACGCCACTACTGCCGACATAATCGATGTTTAAATGCAAAGCGTCGGCTTCCATCGTCGTATTTTCTTGCCTTCTTTTAATTTCAATTGTTTATATTGTTGCATAGCAACAGTGTAAGCGTACAATTATATTCGGTAATTTTATCGTAGTGAAAGCGCGAAAATTTTAGCGTAAAGATTAACGTGACTTCCTAAATGCAAAATGGTTGGAAAATCAGTGGTTGACAAACCGGTGAGTGGGTGAAACAGTGGGTGAACTGCATTGAAAAGGTGAAAATAAAAACCACAAATAAAAGTTATTGACGTCATATTGACGTGCATCACCCTTATCGGGAAAACAATGTCTTGGGTTTTCGCTTTGCTATTCCATTTCATCTGTGACATTGGACTTTTTTCCTCCACATTTGGCAAACATTTGTGATCATGAGATTGTCGTTCCCGGGCACCGGGGGTACTAATATATTCAACATAGAAACTATTTATGTTAATTAACGTAAGTCACAACATCAAGTTATTTTGTATAGACGTGGTCATGTCGAGTATTTTAGAAATGGATTAAAGAAGGATTGGATGAATCGTACGTTAGTGGGAGACAGTGGATCTTTATCCACCCCGATAAAGCTGGCTTTCTGGCTCAGCAAAAAGAAAAAATATAAGTTAAACTTCGAACGTTTTCTGACAATGTGCAGGTTCGTGTTGTTCATAAAAAATTTATGTCATATAAATATTTGTTGGTTTTTTCATCGTAGAATTTGTTGAAGCATGAATTTTTAGTTGAAACACGATACTAGTTTTCTTTTATTTTTGTAGGGAAGCCGGCCTCGAAGTTTATGAGGTATGTTACGATGCTATATTTACATGTAATATGTTGATCAATGTTGTTAATAAAATTGGGAGTTGTTGGCCTAATTTGCATTTCCTAGTTTTTCTTCCGTCGTCGTTTTTAGTCAACATCGGAATCACATGATCAGATTATTGGTATTTATAAAATAAATACTATAAAACGCGTGTGAGGGGTCAATACTATAAAACGCATGTGATAGGTATATACCTGTGTTTTCATAAGCCTGTGCAAAAAAAATGCATAAACACAGCAACTGCCTTTTCATTGCTTAAACATATGAACTGCCTTTAAATTAAATTTGGCTGGGTAGAAATTGGTGGGAACAAGTATATTAGCTTCTCGTGCTGTTAATTAAGATGACTGCACAAGCTTTTGATCTGTAACATAGTTTTTGCTTTCATGGAGGCAAGGAAATGGTGACTCTATTTGCAGTATGTAGAGACTTTCAAATGTACATATTTGAAACAAACTGTGTTGATTCATTCCAAAAGTCATGAGCTGCTGCTCTTGTTTGTCATACTACTTGAATGTTTTGTGTGTTTTTGAGTCATTGATGGACTAGACTGGATAGTTTGTTCTATGCACCTGAGATCTTGGGTGGGCAATTTTGAGAAAACTGGGCCATTATGTGCCACAAATTTTAAATCTTGGGTGTGCCATTTACAAATTTGCCAGTTTGATTGATGGGCTGTATGTTAGTAAGAATAAATTTTAGCTGCTGAAATTTTAATTTAAAATACCTTTATAACAAGTTCTCGGTCATCAATTTCTAAAGAATATAACCAATCCTTGTTGAATGAACAGGACATTAGCATCATTGCCAAAACAAATAGAAGTGAAGTAATGAGACAAATGAAGGAAAACCTCTGATCTATTTATTAGCTAGTTAAAATTGTTTGAATTTCATTTAATTTTGGAAAATTATATTCAGATGCGTGGGCAGCATTTATGAAAGATCTATTGTCACTTAGGAAGTGGCTAAAGTGCCTAAAAAAGCAACTTATTATTGTGAATTTGAAATTGTCATAAAAAAAGGGAGGTGTCCCTTTTTCCCCCTGGCTATGTCCCTGTCATTGTCTTCTGAACAACTATGTTATTTATTGTTTTTAGCCTAAATTTCTGGCCACAAGCTGTGATTCCAAACACAAAAATAGCATGACATGTGTTTAAATTGAGTCGACATAAATTTTAATCTATGCCATAAGAAATATTACCTATGAAAAATTTCAAGGCTATATTTTGTATTTAAATTTGTCATCATGAAAAAATACCTATTTTCTAACAAGAATTAAGAGATCTTAATACCCATTGTAGTTGAGAAGTGTGTTGTTTTATCAAGTTATGATGTGCAATTGATAATTTGTTTATTACTCTTTCTGTAGATTGACCTTTCAAAACCGTGGATAGACCAAGGTCCTGTTGACATCTTGATTCACAAAGTAACTGACTTTATAGCTGCTGCAGAAAATGGCGACTTGCAGGCATTCAAAGCTGTGCAGAAGATTGAGGTATGTTTTTAGAAACAGACTTTGGATGTCAGTTTTGCTGCTACTCTTCGTATTTATTGCAATATTTATATTGTTTTAGTGGCCTTAATCAAGCTTTGTAGGCATTAATTGTAAATATATATTCTCATTGTTGCATTTAAAGTACATCATTGCCAAATCAATAACATGTTTGTTTAAATAACAGTCAAGTTATAGGGTTATTGTGAAGTTTTCATTTTTATGCTATTTAAAAATAAAAGTTAGATTAATTAATGAACTTCATTTTTGTTTCGTGTTTTCCAGACATTTGTTGCAGATCATCCTGAAGTCATTGTAATTGATCCTATTGATTCTGTTCGTCTGCTTAGTGACCGATCTGTTTATTATCCTATCATAAGGCAATGTGAAATTCAGGACGAAGGTATACTGAGCTTTGATTGTATCCTGTATTCTTGACTTGCAATTCAGCCATTTTGGTGGTCTGATACAAAAGAATATTTCATCACAGTTATTGTTGGCACCAGCTGGTGTGGGCAAGCAACATTGTTAGGCAAATCTCAAGAGAGTGGTTGCAAGTCAAGAAATGCATTTTGGAGTCCAAGTAACAGCAAGTGCAAACCTTTAATAGGAATAATCATTTTCATGCTTACCAGCATTGAATTTCAGTATCAAGTTTTATTGCTCAAACTTTGCACTTGTATAAGAAGGCCTTTTTCTAAGGATTTTCTTCTTCTTTGCGCCAAAATTTTTGTTTGCTACTGGACACAAAAGTAAACACATAACTAATGTAGAATGTACAAAAATGTCGACACAAAAGCAGCAGGGCTGTTTTGCAATTACTAACCTAAAGTAGACACAAAGGTCACTCTAAATTTGGTAGGTAGAGGTAAATTGTTGGTAGCACGTGATTAACTTGTTGATGTGCATTCTGCTATCTTTACTATGCAAGACCATAGTTGCGAAATTTCTGACAAAGTAAGCACAAAACTGGATACAAAGGTTGATAGGTAGAGATCACTCGTTGATAACTCGCTGATCTGACATTCTACAGTGTTTGATATGCAAGTACTGTGTTGTGCCACAACTAACATTGAGATATAAATATAGATGAAAAAAATAAACACAATAGTTTGTAGGAAGAGGTAGCTTGTTGGTGACTACAATTGGTAGATATTTTTCTTCGTAACTGACTGACTACACAGAATTATGAATTTTGTTTCTTCTTGTGCCGTTCTTAGTTAATTTGATAATATCATTTTTCAGATGGCAAAGTTTTCATTCCAAAATTCATCAGTTTAAAAAGCCAAGATAGTAGGGAAAATATAAAAGCGTTCCATCTTGCCAATATCAAGTTTCCCTTTAGTAAGTACATTTATTTAATTCATAAAGAAAATGACAAAATGTGCTCAGGATGGCCTTAAATTTTTGAAGAAAATCACTTACGGAATAAGAAACTCTACAATTTGTTCACATTACATATGGCCAGCTGGTTATATAGTTGGTATGTCACTCTTTATATTTAAACATGTGATTTTTTACTTTAGTATGCAAAACAAACGTTGCTCATGGCTCTGACGAATCCCATGAGGTATTTCAACTTGTAATCTGTATATGATTTGAAAATCAAAAATTTGCTTGTATCCCAATCAAATTATTATAGCTATTTCACCAGCGCGCGGTAATTCTTATTGCTTAACGTTATGAAAGCTCTCTCTTCTGCAGTATGAAATCTGTGCTGACGAGGCCGTTATGAAAACAGCCGTTTTTGGTGCAATGGGAGTGATAGGCGTGCGCATGTTTGAGCGATTTGTTTTCATTCGCCCGTTTTATATTTTATAGATGAGTATTATATTCAATGAAGAAGGGCTTCAAGATATTACTTCACCTTGCGTTTGTCAAGAGTTCATCAATCATGATGCCATTTTGTACAAGGTTTCTTCTTTTTGCTTTCATCATTTTTTGATCCTCTGTTTATTTGTGTGAAGATGTCTGCTAGTTTGTTGTTATATCTGTACGAGAAAACGTTTTTGCTTTGTTAGCATCACTTCGAGCATTCAGGGAACTCACAGCAAAATCAATTTGTGTTAAATTTTTTACATAATTCCACATTATTGTCATATTGTTAGACTTTCGTGCCTTATGTAGGTGTTTGTCATTGGTAACAAGCATTACATTAGCGAAAGACCTTCAATAAAGAATCTGCAAGCAGGAGGTAATTTTTGCCTTAAAGGAATGGATCAAGTGTGATTTTGTTGTGGGAGAGGAAAAAGGGAGGAGGTTTTTCACTAGAATCACTAAGTCCATCTCTGTTTTATTGAGTACTTTTATCTATATTGTTTTGGTAACTTTACCTGTGAACGTTTTTAAAAACACGTGTACAACATGCGTGCCTTTAAATTAGAGAAGAACTGTGATTGGTCGAAATGGTTGCGTTTACTTTTGGTTGACGTAGAATTTCAAGTAAAAACAAAGCAAATTCTATATTTTGTTTGGTTTTAAACAAAGCAAATTCTATATTTTGTTTGGTTTTGTTTCCATAATTTTCGGCATAACAAATTCACTTCGTTACTAAAAAAACTATGCTTTCAGCCTCTTTACCAAGTTTACGGCATCTGAAGTCGTATTTTCAGACATTTATTGCAGAGTTTGTACTTTTTTCATGAGTTTCGTTAATTTTTTTTAGATTACGAAACGATTTTCTTTCACAGTCATGATGTTTCAAAGCCAACATCATCTTCTTTTCTTAACCAGGTAATAATTTCTTTCTCTTTACTTTGTCTTGACGTACATTTTGTGAAGTGTTGATTTCATATGTTTCTTTCGTTCTATTTAGTTGGAAAAACCGATACTCTCGCCATTGCCACCGGATGAAAAAGTTGTCAAGAAACTTGTGGATTTACTTAAAAGACGAATGGTCAGTGCATTCATCATTGGGAGGTTTTGCCTAAAATTTAATTTTCATATTATTTCTCTATCAACGATGCCTTTCTGATTTTTATTATACGACGCTGTATTTTTAGCGTCTGACTCTCTTCGGTGTTGACGTCATAGTTGAGAGAAAATCAAGGCGAATAGGAGTGATTGATATTAACTATTTTCCTGGTATTTATAAACATTTATTGCAGACTTTGTTGCTTTTTTAATTTGAATACATGTAATTATCTCCTCTTCTGTCATATATGTGTATTTTATAACTTCGCTTTCTTTAGTCTATTTTTTGAATGATTTGTCTCAAGGGGAGAGGGGGAGGAGGTTCATCATTGGGTTTTTTTTTTGACGTGAGTAGTATTTAACAAAATACCTTTCTTTGGTTTAGGTTATGAAGGTGTGGATAGCGCAATCGAAGATCTATTTGATCACACACTACAGTCAATTAATAAAAAACGAAAACTTCACTGACTTTCCGTCATTAAATGTTGAGAAAATTTAGTTGATGTTTTCAATTTCATTGTACAAAGTGTTGTTGTTTTGCAATGGTTTGTACGCACATGTGCACCGTGTTTACCGTTATAACCGCTTGAAATAATTGAAAGGTACAATTTGAATTAATCCCTTTTCTTTAGATCGCTTTTGTGATTCGCTATCGTCTGTGATCATTTTAATATCTTATTTAATATCAATTTAATTCATAGTTAGTCATTAATCACTAAAGAGGAATATTTAATAGTTTAAGAAATTTGCAAAATGCCTTTGTATGTAGGTGTAGAGAAACGTTTTTACTGCTAATAAGAATCAAGAATTTTGTTATTTGATTTTGTAACTTTGTGCAATTTTTCGTGTAATGTTTGGTTGAAACTTTGCAGCATTGTGTTTCACGTGCGAAAACTGGGAATAAGTCGGATAATTCAGTCAAAGCTTGGCCTGCCTCGATGATTACTAGTGGGAGGGCGTATTCATATACGCACGTGTTATAATTATTGGAATACTACCCCTTTTTCCTATATTTCGAACAAGCTACGCCACTGCATTTCGTCATAATGTAAAGTTCCCGTGGGAGCTTTGTAATCCGTATTATTGTGATTTTTTAATTTTTCTTTTGTCTTCCCGAGCTTTTCTCAAAAATTAAAAAGACCAACGACTCAAAGATGTAAACACTCCACTTCTTGTTTAAGTTGTCTTCAAAGGGTTTAGGTGTGGAATGTGAAGATTTTGATCTCTGTAGAGCATGGTGCCAACTTGCAATGAAAACTTTGAGATACAGAACATACGCAAAGTGTTGTGGTTTTCGCGTTTCCACGAAGTTCAAAGAAAACTTCAATGCTTTCATATGACAGAATAACTTCAAGTTACTAGAAATGTTTTGCAAATTCATGTTTAGGAATAGGGTTAAGGTCAGGCTTGCAGGTACTACAAGCATAAGGAAACCTTGCTCCAGAACGTGTTCTACTTCTGAACAATTAAGATAATGGTCTAGTTCATTAACTTGTAAAAGCTTTTAAACAGCCTTCAATTTATGTAGGACTTAATAAATATTCACCAACACCATTTTGTGTATTGATGGGCAGTTCGACGGATGGAAAGTGGAATTAAAATGTTAGTTTCCAGTCTACCAACGTAAGCGCGGCCACTAAGAGAAATTGATATTATGGAAACATAACTTTTCCAATCTTTCTTCTTTTGTTAAGCGTTTTTATGTAAAAATCGCTCGATGTTGCGGCAATTAAGATGCCGTGGTACTTTCCCTGGTCTGATTCAATCAAAAAAAGGGCTTGTAGATACGTCTTGCAGCACTATCTTGGACAATTCTTACAAGAGCAACTAACATTAGATCAACTCACTGTCGATCTTTTCAAAGGAGAAGGCATTTTAAAAGACGTCGCTTTGGATGTTTTGGTATGTAATTACTGCGTTACCCATTCTTTTAGCAATATGATTTCGTATTTATTGCTAAACGATGAAACGAAAAACGTTGGCAAGTGGTTAAGTGGTTATGTTTATGGTTACGACAAATAGAAATAGATATTTCATTGCCTTTTGATATTTGAAATAATTATATGTGTGACGTAACATTCTATTTGTTAAAAAGATGTCTTTAGTACGGTGTCAGATGCAAAATTTGACATTTTTTAAGTTTCCACAGCTTCCTTGAGTTTCCACAAGTTTTAGTATTAAGTCTCTGAAAGTGTGAATGGATATACAATCAGTTACAAAGATAAATTTTATTGAGAATGGTCACTTTATTTTTATATTTTATGATAAATAGTTGGCATATCTTTGCCATACATCTATTTGGAATGCAGATGAGAATGTCGAGTTCACATGATGAAGCCATATCAATTGTTTAATTTTGTTAATCATGAACGAGAAGAATTATTTTTGTATTTTACTCATGTGTGTTTGTGTGTTTCTAGGCTTTGAATGATTTACTTGAAGGGGCAAATGCACCAGTTCAAATTCTTGATGGCTTTATCAACACCATTTCTGTATCAGTCCCATGGAGCTCACTCATGCAAAAGAATTGTGAAGTTACTGTCAAGGGTCTTGAGCTTGTTGTGAGTTTGAAAAAAAATGTTGATGTTGGTAAGAAATGGGGATGCTTCAAAGCTTATTGTCATTATGTTGATGTTTGTGATGTTTAAGTAATGGAACAAATTGTATTGTGCCACTGAAGGATACAAAACCTCCTGATAGATTAGTGTTTTGACTACAAAAACTGTATGATTTATGTACTTTGATATTTGCTTAATAAACTCAAAAGTAAGGTATTTGTTGAATGATATAATTAACAACTATGTGGGGGAGGATGTGGACCTGTAAATGAACTGTGTTATGTGTATTTGCTAGCTTGATAGTTATGCATTTGGATTAGTGAAACATATAAACAATGCTTTTCACCTCAAAGCAATCACATAACTTTGTGCTATAGGGCCTTGCAGTTAAGTTTTCTGATTATTGTGTTTTGTACACAAAACCAAAGGAGAAACCTTGTCATGGTTATTTTCTGACATCAAGATGTTTTATATGTTTTGTTTGTGTAGTTCCAATCCATTTGTCAAGTTGATCATTCTAACGTGTACCTATCTGTACATAGGTGGTAGTATCATATCTAAACCATTCTAACGTGTACCTATCTGTACATAGGTGTTAGTATCATATCTAAACCATTCTAACGTGCACCTATCTGTACATAGGTGGTAGTATCATATCTGAACCATTCTAACATGTACCTATCTGTACATAGGTGGTAGTATCATATCTGAATCATTCTAACGTGTACCTATCTGTACATAGGTGGTAGTATCTCATCTGCACCATTCTAACGTGTACCTATCTGTACATAGGTGGTAGTATCATATCTGAATCATTGCTGTTCAGTTCCATGACAACAAGCTTACAAATTGCACAGGAATGTCTAAAAGATGACGAACCAAATAATGAAGATGAGATCTCACCCCAAGCATTTGATGGCCTGGAGTCTTTTGCTCAAACAATTGAATCAGGTATTTCTATAAAATCAGGTGCAGTCTGGGCATACCCTAGGAGAGGCAAAGGTAACAATAGGTCCCGACCACCAATATTTTCCAAATATATACACATTGTGTTATTTTTTAGTCGCCTAGACTTAAAGTATTTAAATAAATCATCCTCCGAGACCCTCTGTTCAAAATTATAAATTATCTTTTGACACATCATCAAAAGTCCCTATACTTAAAACATTGATATATTAAAGTAATTTTGTAAATAAAATCAACCCGTGAACATTAATGCCTAATAGTGAGGAATTTCCTTTTTAAGTCATTTTATTTCTGGAGGTACAATGCAATCGAGCCTTCCACTACGATGTTTTTTTTGTGATGCTTATGTTTTTATTCATATATTTCTAGTGTTGTCACGATTGAAGGTGAACATTGAAGACGTTGTTATTCGCTTCGAGCATTTGTTTTCACACAAGAGATCTGGAATTGGTCTTGAACTTCATATAAAGAGGTCTGTGATTATTGTATTTGGCTGCATAAGACTGTCTCATCACTCGCGTCAAAAGTATTTAGAAATCATTGCTGAGTTTTGTCTAAATTTTTCTCAGTATCTAACGTAGCTAGTTACGCTAATTTTTAAAAGTGGCCACCAGATATTTGGTTCAGGCTTGCGTTCTGATAAACATTGTTATTAATACGACTACTATTGATCAGAGGTGCCATCAGTTGAACAACCACTAAGTTTAACTTCTAGGTTGCCAGCTTTATGGCTAAAAGTGGGTTGTGAAAGAAAAAATTCTTTTATGAATATCTTAGGATCCAATATTCAGACTTATCAAGTGATTTCACTTCGGACGACCAAGAAAATTTTGATGTATATAATCCACCGTCCATTGCGAACAAAAATCTTCGCATTTATGGTCTCAAGTTAAGCTTGGATGAGTTTCACGAGGATTCCCGAACCGTTCTTCGAAACACGCCGCTCAGACCCGAGCCCGTATCGTCGCCTGAAAGCGTTACGTCATCATCGCCAGTGTCGCCATATCAGAGTGCTATATTTAACCAAAGCCTGTGGATGAAACACCTGAGCCCGAAAGATCTTTTACCTGCTGTGGTGGTGCTATCTAGTGCTGGCGAACAGGAAGTCAATATCAAGTGGAAGCTGAACGTATCTTGTCCTGGACCAAAGGTATAAAAATTATCTGATATTATGCTTTATGATCTTTTCTTGGTAATTTGACGTATAATAAATCAATTAGGTGTTGATTGCGTGTGAAAAAGATATCCTTCCAGGTACTAATAAACGAATACTCAATTCATCCAATTTTGATTGATCTTATTTAGGTCGAATGTCAATATTTTCTCGGTACTGTGAACATTCTTCTTTTTCCAAAACAACTTCAAGTTTTGAAAGAATTACTGGAAGACATATGTCGGCTTCAGAATACGGGTAGGTCTTGGTTTTATAGATTGAGGATTTATTCAAAACCGTTTATAGTTCATTATTAGCTTTCAATGTACTGCACAAGCTCTGAGATTCAAACTGTCGAAAAGTTTTGTTGCTGGTATTTTCAATATGTGTTTGTTGCAAGTAACTCGATTGGTAACTTTAAGAAGTCACATGACTAAAAAGCATTCGTTTTGAGCCTTCACTTGATTATTTTGTGATGTTTCTTGTTTCAGACAACTTTGTTTCCTGCAAAGATGGCGTCGTTAACAAACCTATGAAACCAGAGGACTTTCGAAGGATCGAAAAAGAACTTCAGGAGCAAATGAATGACTGTCACAAAAATCAACTCAGTAAGGTCGATCTTTGGCGTGCGGATTTTGACAACGCTACCGGTTCTCATGGTGAGTGTTCAGACTCTTTGACAAATGAAGAAACCTTTTATTCGTTGTCGGATAACGAACAGCATGTTGTGGAACCTGTTGGGAACTGTCTTTCCCCGTCACTACGTCCTCAAAGTTTAGTCCAGAAGGTCTCTGATGCTGGGATTTTTCCGTTGATAAATCATAACTGTACATCTGGTGTTTCTAACAATGGTAAGTTTGTAATCTATGTGTCTTAAAGACAAGCGAGTTTTATTATATTTCAGCTTTTTTTTGCTCGTCTGACTACGCAACGTGATCGTCTACATATAGGTTTGCTCTTTATCACAGAAGCGCATTTGGCTTAGAAAGAATTGTAAAAGTGAATATTTTTCATAGTCAACAAGGGTGGATTACCAGTGATAAAGAAGCCCTCTTAACAAAAGTGTTTCTTTAAAGTTAACATGCTGCGCAACCCTTTTTAATTTGTAAATCTGCATTGCATATTACAAAGGGGAGTATAATGTTTATTGTTTTAAGAGATCGTTGCACATTTTTTTACGGTTGCTGATTTGAGTGCAAACTTATAGTGCGGGCGAAAACTGCGTGCTGTTTCATTTATTACACAGACCATGCAAATCTTCTGAATCAATACAGTAATTCCTTTTAGCACGAGGCTTTTGAGCTTGTAGAAATTTAAGCATTCTATTCCACACTATTTCTTCGTTATTTAGCATCAAAGTTACCTATTTTGAATCGTGGTCTTGCTGTAGTCTCCACCCTTGATGACGACCATCTCTCAAAAGGACAGTTGAAGTTTAGTGGTTTATCAGTGACGTTACTACTGCGAAATCCGCCTTTGCACAGTGATATTTCCAGCGACAGTGGTGCTTCTAAAAACAACACATTATGCTTGATTGCCGACCGATTCTTTGAGAAGTTGTCGGACACAACGTTTGGAGGAAAAGATGTGGATGCGATGCAAGAGATTCTCAACAATGCCTGCTCTCAAAGTCATCTGAGGTTTGGTTTGTTGATTTCATGAGCAAACTCCTTGTTAATCATTTGCTTTTGTTGTCGTCTTGATCCAAATATATGGGAATATAGGGAGAATTTAGGAAAAACGGCGTGCACGAATCCAAGTGATTTTGCAGGTTTTCCGAGCAACATTCCTAAACATTTGGATCAAGACATGACATGACTTGAAAACCATAAAGAACGATTTCCTTGGGTTTGAACCAATCAGAACACGCGTCATATACAAATCATTTTACCATGATGAATAAAAAGAAGCTCATTGCCAGACCTTGTTGTGTTGTATGACTATACGTTTATCTAAGAATGCTAAGTCATCAAACTTTAAGAGAGAAAATGGATGAAATGCATCCCCATTGTTTTTACTGCGAAGATATATATCTTCCCGTATCCAATTTAATGTTTTTTTTCTTGTGTTAATATCTTTCAGATTTCTTCTCACGACTGTCAGCATATCATGTGAACAATCAAAGTCATCTGCTTCTCAATGTGTCAACGTTGATATTACAGTTGGTATGGCAAAATTGATGGAGTGTTTAGTGGATGATACAAATTCTGATAACGTCACGTCTGTAACGCAGGTGAAAATTATTTCATCCGTTGCAGCTAGTCCGGCAAGTGCTTATGGGTAATTCTTGCTAATTAGCAGCACTACGAAATAGGGCATGCCTAACAACATTTCAAAACTACCTGTATAATGTGTTTAAATAGATTAGTGTGTCTATTTCAGTTTATATTAGGTTTTATTTGATGTAATATTTCATGTATTTTACATTACTCTGCCGTATTAAAGTTCATCGAGCAAACTTCCATTTTTTGGGTAACGCAGATGACGTTGAAAACCGTAACAGGATGTGTTTTCATATAAAGTTACCCTAATACATAATAAATATTCTATACTTTACTAATAATTATTTTCTCATTTTGGAGCGATGAAAAGCAACATAATTTTAGTGTGAATGTTAAGTCAGTAGTTTTTCTTCAGCTCGTTATTCACATCTTTTTGTCTTGTAATTTTTTAGGTATTAAGTTTAAGTGGTGACGAAAACATGGAAAACATGAATGGGAATGGCGTTAGTTTTTTCAAACCGTGTTTAAAAGCAAAATACGAAAATGTAGGACGCAGCATTTCACCAGTGAGTTTGCCTGTATACCTTTTCTCAATTTGTAAATTTGAAAAAACCTGAAAATAATATTGCTGACATATTTGTATTGCAGGCATCTGTTCTAGGTCGTTATAATGTTGCTCCAAAGACTGCTATCCAAATTGAACTTGGACATACAGAAATTGAAATCGATGTCACCATGATAGATCGCATACATGACGTGTTGCTTGCATTTTCAAATGATACTGACCAGCCCAGACCGTCGTCTCAATGTTTTCCCTCGGCCCCCATGCACACCAATGAAGTAAGTTTCGAAGTATGTAAGAGTGAAAAGATGCAGAAGACATCCTTACTATAGTTATGCCTATTTCTCCTACTCTAGAATGAAGAAGCCCTGTTTTCAAGAACAATGAACGATGGATCTTCTTATGAACATAAAATTGATATTTGCGTTCAGTGCTCAAATATTAAGGCATTATTAAGGTAAAAAAAATGCTGGCTTGTTTTAAGGCTGTTTGTTACAAACGCCATAACGACTAGCAGCTTCAATATTACTATGAAAAAAGGAGATATTTTCATTATTTTCCTAGCCAGTACGAGCAGTGCTCACAGAATCAAAACTGAAATATATAAGAACGCTACCGTTACTTTAGTGACGTTGTACAGTTTGCGTTATAGCGAAATGTCGTTATGTCTTCTGTACAAGCCAGGCTTCAACAGAACCTCCGTAATTTGACAAGAAGTGTTTTTAATGTTGTATTTGCATTTTTTTTTCTATCTAGATTTCCAATTTTGGATTTGCGACCCCCGGATACTCGTCCTTGTCAACCGCTCTTTCAAAGGAGATTGCATGAGGAAATTTGTATGATCCGATGTTTCGAAATGACGTTTGAATCTTGCTTACAATTTGGCGAAGCTACAGCGAAGTATGAATTCAGATTCAAAGCAATTGATGGTAGGAGAGCCACAAACTAACTTGAAGGAAAACTTTAATATATTTACTTCCAATGTATTGGGTGTTTTTTGTTCCCTTGTTTGAGAGATCTGTGTAACTTCCTTTTCGTGATTATTTTTTTCACATACACGGTTTCTATGAAAGGGCTCTGCTCTTAGATGAACAGTAAAATGATGTAAGGTTAACAAAAGGACAGTATGTGCATTATTAGTAACAGTCTCAGGTTGATTATATCCTTGTGAAAAATGACTGCTAGATTGTTTTTGGTGACGAGTTTCTTGTTCAAATGTAACTGTTAATTGTTTGAAATAAATGTAGGTTACATGAAGAAGGGTAAGGAAGAGACTCGATTTATTCACGTGTCGCGAAAAAGCAGTGATAACGATGATTCCAATGACTTTAATTTAGCAAGGTAAGTTTTCGTGCATTTTTTCTTAATGTTTTTATCGTTAACGAAAAAAATTTTAAGGATGTGGCGTTTCAGGCGTTAATAAACCTAATCATGTTAGAAATGTTAGAATGTTAGACTAACTAACTAAAGTAACGATTTAATGTATAAACTTATTGCATGTCATAACGAATCAAGGTAGCTACTTACCATCGCAACATTGACAACACTTTAATGTGTGCATCGCTTACAAATATCCCATTAAGAAAATTTCATAACTTATGATCACTAATACGTTGTAAGATTTTAAAATGTGTGTCATTTCAGAGTTGTTGTAACAGTTCAGCAACATTCGAAATCCATGCTTGAAGAGAATGGTTCATCAGAGAATAGTTCAACCGACAGTCTTTCGGACTCATGTTCAATGTTCGAAAAGGAGACGTCGCCTTTCTCTTCGAAACCTCACATGTACGATAATGAGGAGGTATTGTATTCGTTTTATTAAAATATAACGACCATCTCATAGCAATGGCTGTATACTGGACTGTATTGATGGCATTTGCACGTAATTTCATAGTAAAATACTTTAGGAATTGGGTAGTTAATAAACCATTCTATATTGGAAATATATTGAGAAAAGATTCATCAATTAAATCCAATTCAATCAGTATGGTGTTTCTTACTTCTCGTGCATTAGTTCTCTTGTTTTGCAGCTTGTCGTACCCGGAGAGCCTCAAGAAATGAACGATTTTCAGGAAAAAGCATCTTCCACGTCACGACTTCATGTTGAATTGCATTTCCCGGAAATCGACTTCAACTTTCACGACGCTTCATTCATTGAACTCATATACAACAGGTGTGTAAAAAATGTAAAGACAAAACCAAAGTTGAACTTTCAAATTTGGAAAAATGCTGCATGATCTACATGTCTAACATTCAGATATTTTTGGAAAATTCGGAAAATTCACATAGCTGCTTGTAGAAAATGTCTTTTTGCCTGGCAAAGTAAAGCAATTTTATGGTTCACTTCTTGATAAACGTAGTTGTGTACAAGTTGTTTTGAAAATCTACGATGGGATTGCCGTAGTTTTGCCTCACGTATAATGCTGTGTATGTATAGTCTTGGCTGCTTACAGCTTATGTGCTTTCCTACTTAGAATATTTTAGTCAATCTTGAGCATTCTTTCGACTCAACAGCACTGTTTTATTCTCAAGGTTTGCTAATGATTTATTACTATGGGAACCATCACGTGCACCAGTCGTGAATAAGCCGGAGTACAATCCTGCTCTTGCAAGTAACTTGTTCGATGTTGAGATTGCTGCCAGATTAAAGAATAAGGAAAATTGCCAAAGTACATTTCTGATTTGCGGATCTAATGATAATCAAGGTGCGATAAAAATGTCTTATTGTATTCAGTATGTTTATCAAGTATCTTTATTCAAATTGCTTACAAAATAATTTAATTTAAAGATCTCACTGTTACTTACTGTCGTCATCACTATGCGACTTTTATACTTCTGTCTAATGTTTTTTATCTGTTGTGATCTGATATTGAATCTTGAATGTTGATTATCCCGATACCTTGCGTTTTGTGATGGACATTGACCAGTTATTCTTTAACATAGTTAATGTGTTTGACCAACTGACTTGACGATGAAATGTTAAAAAAAAACATTCAAATGTTAAAGAACCTAGTCCTGAACAGCGGGGTGTTTAGATAGAAATCCTTTTGATTCACTCGAAACCATTGCAGAGTCCTTATCATCTGAAAATAGCGAGGGAAGGGTTCTTGAAACAATGGAAAAAAAGCCAGCAACGAGTACCTTTGCTTTGACTTTGAACACTTCAAAACTTCGAGTTGTTTTGTTTCCTTGCAGCAAGGTAGGAGTTAGTTATACCTTACGTCATATATTTTGTTATAGCGTCATCGTGTGCTATTATATCGTAATATCTACATGTTTGTTGAATGTAGATCGTCTAGACTATTGCAGTCCTGAGAAGGACAGTTCGTGTTGGTGTCATATTCCTGACATGTACTAATCGCTTGACTCTGAAGATGACTACTGCTAAGGTTGTCCATACGCCAGTCAACACCAACACCAACAGTTCTTCTCAGAACTACACTAACATGGACGATCTACTTCTACTAACATGCATCAACACTCTCTTGTTTAAACTTCGTTTACTCTGTTTACTTGTTACTGAAGCACTGTGTTTTTTTAAATTGATATCACTCTCCTGCTTAACACTTCATAATATTGATATTTTTGCTTGTCAATGTAAGTATTGTTTTTAAAAGTGGGCGTTATCAAAATTTCAAATGAATGTTTGTTCATTTTATTAATTCACAGTTCGAGAACAAGGACAGTTACGGTAAACTTCTTCTTCTCTTCGAAAATGCCTTGTTGGTCTACGTACTTGACTATAATGGTGAGCCTAATCTTAGCTACATTGGTGCCCAGTCTCAAAAGTGCTCCCTTCATCAAGCAGTTTATGTCGAAAAGACCGAAAAAAATATGACAGACGCGGTTTTTGAGCCCGGAGGTCTCAATCGAATTTTATTCGCTTCCGATGAAGGACTGAAAGTGGCAGGGAGTAAAACAAACCAGGAAAGCCCGCCACATATGTTGGCAGTCGCTGTTAAAAGTTCTTGGAACTCAATAAAAAAATCCAAAGTAATAAGTTAATGTATTTTGTGCCGTGGTGCTAGAGTTTACTTCACCTTTTTAAAATGCGTTCTATTCCTCTATAGGACAATATCGTCGCAATCTCTTTATCTGGCAGTACGTTACATCATCGTATGGTTCACGAGGGACAATGGTGGATACTTCAGGTAGTAATGGGTTCGTTGTGATATTTTTATTGAGCTATACATCATCGTATGGTTCACGAGGGACAATGGTGGATACTTCAGGTAGTAATGGGTTCGTTGCGATATTTTTATTGAGCTATACTTGTCACTGAAAACAACTTTTTCTGGAAAACCCTTTCTCTTATTGTCTCCTGTGCTGCTCTTCTGCTGTAGCTTTAAGAGACGTTAAAGAACATTTATTTACTGATGGCAATCTGTTTAATTATAGATGACAATTTTATTCTGTTGCAACCTGTCATTCAACTTTTGTTTTTGTTTTGTGTTCAAGATGATCGAGTATTTTGGCGTGAAAGACGAAGAAGTTGTTGGATTTGTACCACCGACAGTCGTCACAATGTTGCACGTGCATTTTTGGGATTGTGCTTTGTATTACAGGTGTGTTAACGACTGTGGAAAGCTTTTGTTGTAGATAAAAATTAGTGTTCTCTTTGCTACAACGCACAATCTAAAATTTCGTCTGTCCTTACGTAAAAATTTATATGATGTAACACACTCTCTGACGATCAAAGATATCTTGTGAACTCAAGTTATAAATTAACAGTAAAACTGGCTACGATTTTTCTTGTTTTTACTCTATTTCTGAAACGTTTTCAAACCAGACTAGATTGATAATGACTTATTTACAAGGTTGACAAGGATATAAAATCTAATTGTCACTGTCAGCAATATTGCTCATTTCTCGTGTCCTTATTTTACAAAATATTTTGGACATTGTATGCTGGTGAAGGATTTTTTATAGTCATAAGTATTTAAATACTTAGTATTTTCGTAATTTGCAACGTGCATATAGTTTGTTCTCATGTTTTATCCTTGACCACTAACGATATTTGGTTTTGTTTTTTAGACCACTGCACATTCCATATCAGTTATTAGTTTCAATTGAAGGATTTAGCATATCCAGTAACATCTTATTGGATTCGAAAGTTTCTGTATTGAGGTAGGAATATGTGAAAGATGTGTTAGGAAACTTCATTTTCATGGGAACTAGAGAGTCTAAGGAAAGTGTAGAGTCTAGGGAACTTCCATGTGTATAATGTGTCTAGGAAACTTCATTTTCATGGGAACTAGAGAGTCTAGGGAAAGTGTAGAGTCTAGGGAACTTCCATGTGTATAATGTGTCGAGGAAACTTCATTTTCATGAGAACTATAGAGTCTAGGGAAAGTGTAGAGTCTAGGGAACTTCCATGTGTATAATGTATCTAGGGAACTTCTGTATCATTGTTGAAACTGTGTTACGTATTTATTCTGTTTTGGAACATCTAAAAGCTTTAACAGTTCGGTAAAATGCATTTAAATTCGTGTTTGAAATGTAGGATTCTAATGGGCACTGAGTATCCACATATTAAACATAATGAGCACACTCTACGTGACTCTCACGTGACTCTAACGTGAGAAAAGGCATACGGGCTTTAGAGAAGACTGGTACTGAATATTTATTTTTGACTCTCATTGTGAATAAAAAATAGTTTCAGATAAAAGTTTTATTTTCATTTTTTGTTGTGTAGGTGTGTGAAACTTTTGGTTTACGTGCTATAGTAGATTTGAGTATATTTGAAAGGCTATATTGATCAAAATAAATTTGTTTCCATTTACATAGATTTATAATAGACAATGCCGTTTTATTGATTTCAAACAACAAAGAGGAAACAGTCGACATCCTTAAAGGTAGGGTAATAGTTAATAAAAACTACCATTTATTTTTTCTGTCTTTTAGAAAAGTTTTCTGATCTTTTGCCAGCTTAATGAGCAACAGATCAGGAAAGTTTTGAGACCATCCTCATGAAACTCATCTTCTATCCCCTACTGCATAATGCAAACATTTTGTTCTGTTGATTTAATGTGGCTAACAATGTAACATATCGCTGAATAGCAGTTGTGTTGATTAGAAGATACAAAGATGTTTGTTGTCTTGCTAAATTATATCTTATTTTGTGTTAATTGGTCGTTTGTGTTCATTTTAAAACAATACTGAAAGTGAATTATATCTTATTTTGTGTTAATTGGTCGTTTGTGTTCATTTTAAAACAATACTGAAAGTGGCTTTAAACTTTTGGCCTTTTTTGTGTTTTAAATCATGCAGGTTGTATTTACTCTTTTTAGACTATGTTTCTGTTGCTGACGTTGATTTGCTGGAAATTTCCATAGAAACAAAAAATGACGAGGTATAAGGACATACAACAACCCTACTTTTTATTTGTTATTTATAAAATTGAAATTTTTTACTTTTTTGAAAAGCATAAAGTATTTTTGCTATCGTTATTCACATCATTTACAGCTTTATGTTCTTTTTTAAATAAAAAAAAATGTTCAGGATTTCCCAAAACGTACCATCACTTTTTCAAACAACATCGTCCATCTTCGAACGTGTTCCGATTCGTTGTCGGCTATTGTCGAACTTTTGCGCTACATCGTGAACTCTGGCGACTTTCCACAGAGTCCTTTGCTTGAATCACGTCAAGGAAATAACAGTGAAGTAATATAGTATAACTGTTATTTACTTTCGTTGACATCATTGTATTCTGCTTTTCTAATTTATTATTATTATAGACTCTGCTGATTTCTAATATCTTTATGCTAAACATTGTGCTAGTTTCTAATATTTTTACGTTAAACTAATGTGCTACTTGTCAATAATCTTAATTCTAAGCACATTGCAAGCCCTCAAATTTTTGGCTAAAAACATATGAACTTTAAAAGCTTGCTTTACTTGTTGCAGCGGCTGAATGACGTTTTTGAAGAAACTCCACTTACGCAACATACAGAGAGAGAAAATTTTAAAGATTTGATGTCGGATGCAATGGATGAAAATTTGGAGGATGCAGAGGACAAGTTCATGGATAGTTCACCTTCATTGGAAGTACGTTGTTTATTGTTATGATAATTATCATATCTTCCCCCAGATTGTTATACAACATCACAAAGGTTTTAACACGAAGCATATCGCGACTTAAACACAGGAACAATTGCTCATAGAGCAACTTAAGTGTGTACTTTAAATCAAACTTACATACTTGAGCCTGTTTTCCTGCTCCCACCAGTCCTCTTCATAAAAATTTCTGTTATCCTTGAGAGCGCATTTTCTCTTTGCAAAATATCTTAACAAGTATGCTCATCACTTTAATGTATGTTTCGTTTCTTAGGTTAGTCAGTCAAATGCACAATCAAACACAGACGTATTTCATTTTTCTGGTGAATCACAAACAAGCCAAATATTCGATGATGAAGCGGATGGCAACGATTGTTTGTCTGATGACGAATTCTGTATCATTGAGAGTACCGATATAGAAACTCAGGTAAGTATACAGTTATAGATTATATCCCTAGGGCTGAACACTATTTAATGGTGTTTTTAGTCGGCTAATTTAATGGTGTTTTTCAGGTTGTTTATCAAGGACCGGAAGTGACGTCGTATTGTGATGACATCATAATAATCTCTGATCATTTTAAAACTCCTGTAAGTGTTTATTGAGAGTGAAAATCTTCAGCGATGAAGTTTCTGCATTGTAAACACGTCATTATTGTAAAATACGTGCATTGTTGACCTAAGATATCGTTTATTGTATACAATTTAGTAAATTATTGAAAGCTTGCTATTTTTGAAAAGATTTGAAACTTTAACTTACTTTGAAAGATGAATGCGGTCCTTAACAACTTGCACAAAAAATCTTACCAATTTTACCTCAACTTTGACCAACATTATTCTTTGTTTTTGTAATGGACGAAAAATTTAGGCAATTACTATGGTTAGCAAACAAATAAAACTAGTGAATTTATTTAATAATTTACTTATTAATAGGTTGGTGGTTTGGACCAGTTGAAAGCTCCAGATCATTATCCTACACCTCTATATGTTTATACGGTCAAAGAGATGTCTATTGTCTGGCAGTTGTTTGGAGGGAGTGATTTTCAGAAAAAACAAAGACAGACGTAGGGATTTTATCATATTTCGTTAAAACGCTTGTGAATCTCGCACACTTTGACATGTTTTATTTTTTGTTGCTCGGCATGTAAAGAGGTGTAATTTTTTAGTAGTAAGTCTCTTTTTAATGCCAGTCATGTTACCTTTTTAAAAACTGTAATCTGGAAAGACTCAAATACCAACGTGATGTATGAAAATCGCAGAAGAAACTGCATTAGAAATGCAGCTTGACTAAACGAAATTGTAGCAAACACTTCATTTTGTTGTTATGCACACGTAATCCTTTTTTGTCTAGCACAAATTGTCATTCCTCGAGTTCCGATCACTACCGAGCGTTTCACGATGATGATTTAGTAGAAGATGATCCCGTTGTCATTGGTGTGCATGACAACAAGAAGAAATATTCCAGAACAAAGTTGAATTGGAAGACAAATGCTGGCGAGTGTCGTGACCTAAATACGCTAGTGGAAATTCAAGTTACTAAGGTATACGGGACACACTATTGCGTTGTTTACAAACACAAAATTGATATAGGGAATATTTAGGAATAGGAATTAGTCAGATAAAAGTCGACAGTCAACTGACATCAAAGAAAATTAATTCATGTGTAAAGCTCTACGACATCACCATCTTTTCCTCGAACTTTTTAAATTAAAGTGGTGACCGACAATATCCACAGTTAAAATTAAATTATACGAAAACTGTATTCGTGCTGCCATTTTTTTCCAGGCTCGTTTTCAATGTGAAGAGTATCCAGAAGAGGCGAAACAGGCCTGGCGTCATGTGTTACTCGTACAAGACTTGGAAATTCGAGATAGACTGTCGTCATCACAGATCAATAAATTTCTCTATCAGTATTCGACGGAAGCTAGACCAAAGCAGAGGCACTCAAATATGGTAGATAAAGTTTCTTATAGTGATACAAAAAGTGTTAACAGCAGTGTGACCAGACTAATTTTTATCACCATATCCGCTCTGGTGCGCTTAGACAACTCTACCTGCTTTAAATAAGTGCCATATTTAGAAGGCAGTCAGAGAAGATCAAAGCAGGTTTGGTAATAAATTATGAATATTCGGCCACAGTGGTTGATGAAATAATAAATCTCAACCAACTTTTATCCTACTCCCAACTTTTTTGAGTTCACCAAAATTTTTATTTGGACAAATGGATCAGAGGAGTGAAATATTTTATCGATCTTTCAACGTCCGTTTGTCGTTATAGGTTTCTATAAAAATGGTTGGTCTAAATCCAGAAGATGCTATTGGGCCTAAAGAAGGCTGTCTTCGAGTGTCTATAAAACCTCTGCGTCTAAATATTGATCAGGTAAATTTTACATCCTTTCATGATACATTGTTGTGACTCAATGATTTAGAACCCATTCCTCTGGATGTCTAACTACCGTGTCAAGGTGAGGCAAGGTGGCAAAAAGCAAAACTCAAAATGAAAAATGAGTTTAGAACAAAGTTTAAAAAAGCCATCATATGAAACATTTTAAAAATTAAACCTAGACTATCAACTTTGCGACTCTATATCAACTTAGGAAAAGTTTATATTAATCGTAAATATCGTCAGTTTTGCCACCTTTCAAAATGGCGGCTTGCCTCACTCAACTTTACAATTTCGGCGGAGTCAGATATTTAGTGGATTGGGTTCTAGGTCATTGTTGTGATTGGGATCACATCATATTAACTTTACTCGCTTAAGCCCGCACACAGGCAGTAGCTTTACATCAAGGAAGAGGGAAATCATCAGCATTTATGATTGATTTTCTGGATTTTCGGCAAAGCGGCTGACAAATATTATGATTTTTATGATATAAGGCGTTGGCAACACTTTGAAAAGCAAAGTTTATTTTATTAAAAATTTAAAAATACGATTTCTCAAATGATATCCCATCCACCCTTTCAATCTTGTGTTGGTTTCTGTCATTACATTTTCTCACAGCCTTTGATTTGTTTTCAATCCTCTAGAGCACATTGCTTTTTATTATCAACTTTTGTAAAGATCTTTGGACTGCTGATGATGCTAGTAAGTGTATGAATCATGATTAAGCATATACATTCAATGTATCATATTCTAAATGCTTCCAGTGTGCGCAAGGGGTGTATATTATATTACAATGTCTCAGAAAAGCATGTGGCTCCTACATATGCTGACATAGTTCTATTTTATGACCAGTTTATTGCATACTAATTTTATTTGTTGTTTTGTAGCCATACAGGACGATGAGCAAGGCTCTGAAGCACCCATGTCAGCCTGCGATCACAACGTTCAGGGATGTTCAAGCCAGGATATGCAAATCTTCTTTCGGCTGGTCGAGTTCTCATCAGATGTTCCCATACGGTTGGACTACCAAGGCAAACATGATATGGACATGGGTCAGGTTAGTTTTGTGTTATTTAAATTTTATAATAGTTTTGCCTCTGAACTGAGTATTAGTAAGTATTTTAACTTATCCTTTGAAAGGCAAGACATTATGCATCGCAACCATCAGAAATATATGTGACCTTTAGTTATGGTTGTTCAAAGCTCAAATAGCGCTAGTCACTGCATAGTTAAGTTTTGATCATTTGAGAAACTTATAGAAGCCATCACTCACAATATAAACATTCCTGTAAATGCAATGATTCACCATTTCCTTCATTTAAGTATTTTTTAATTTGGTTGAAAAAAATACTTCAAAGTTACATACTTTGGGCAGTTTCTGCTACCCGTTTCTATACGTCACTCAGAATTTATCAATCTTTTCTTAATCTCTAGCGAAGTCTTGCTGGCGTGTTATTTGCATTTGCTCAGTTAAATTGTTCTGAGATTACTCTAAGAAGATTTTGCTATCGTAGTGGTCTAATGGGTTTTAATCGTGTTATGAATTACGCTCTAAACGAGTGGGGAAACGACATCAAGAAGAGACAAATTCCTGGTATTGTACAAGTTTTTATTCACTCTTCACTCATTAATGATTTTGTCATGACATTTTATTGAAACGTTTTGTGATGAGAGCATCATTCAACAACTAAGTTCTGGTAGAAAAGCCATCCTTAAGCGGGGGGGGGGGACAGACTTTTACCACTTCCCCATCGTCTATGAAAATGACGTCTCCCCCCCCCCTCATCGTCCTATTTTTTTTGCTTGCGTAAACAAAGGGTAATTATGTGTCCCAGGTATCTTGGGTGGTGTTGGCCCCACCTATTCTTTGGTACAGTTGGTCCAAGGTTTTAAAGATCTTTTTTGGTTACCTGTTGAGCAATATCGCCGTGATGGACGGATTATTCGTGGTATACAACGAGGTGCAAGCTCTTTCACAACGTCTTCGGCAATGGCAGTCATTGAGTTCACTAATAAACTCGTACAAGTTGTACACGTAAGTCATCCATGTAAACATTTCAATATTGTCAGCCATGCAGTGATTGTTCATGGAATAAATACTTGGAGAACACATCCGCAGAACATTGGAGAAAATCTAAACGTGTTTGCCATGCCGGTGTAATTATTAAAATTTGTTAGTTTTCTACTAAAGTTTCTGTATCATTCATTTAGGGAGCTGCCGAGTTAGCCTACGATGTGGTAAGTCCAGCTGATGCTACAGTGGTCTCTGGAAGTCATGGCAAGATTGTCAAACATCGTGGAAATTCTGAGCCAGCGGATCTACGTCAGGGAATTTCTAACGCTTACAACGTTGTTACAGAGGTAATCATCGAGTTTTTGCATGAATTTTTATATAAATTTTTTAGACAAGAATGAAATTGATCAGTGATTACTTTTTTTGCGTCCATTTTTATTCTCAGGGTTTTGGTAAGACTGCTACCAATATCGTTCACGTAGCTAAAGAAGAACACGAGTCGAAAGGTATGACGGGAGCTGTCGGAGGAGTATTACGTCACATACCATCGGCTGTTGTACAACCAATTATATTAACGGCCGAGGCAGCGTCGAACGTCCTCGGTGGTGTACGTAATCAGATCTTACCTGATGCTAGACGGGAAGCTGCTGAAAAATGGCGCGTGGATTCGTAAGTCTATATTTGTAAGTATTGTAATTTTAAATTTTAATGGTAACATGCACAAGAAAAGTACTGGGAACCAGTGAACTTTGAGCGAAACGAAACGCCATGTTTCAAGTGTTTAGAAACACCTGTTTTCTAATGCAATTTATTCTCCTCTACATATTAACGTAATCTTTTCTGCAAAGATTCAATTCTAGTGCAGTTTATTATTCAAGAGAAATATGAATTTTCGTGATGTCCTTTCTCTAGCAATAAAAAATACAAGGTTATGGAGAAATATTTCGCACTAAAACTATATTAAAAACCGTCAATTATGTTCATACGATAATCATTATTTGTACATATTTTAAAATGTTAATTTCGTTTCCAGTCTCCGACATTAGTGCTCTGTTAAAGTTCACTGTGGCTCGGGTGAAAGATTCGTGTTTCAATGCAAAGCAATTTGCGTTGTGTAATACATTACTGTATGTATTGTATATATAGAGATGTTAACTATTCTGTTGACTACCTGCAATAGGGTGGGACGGTGTATTGCGGTACGAATGATTTAAATTGTAATAGCACAACTTAAAAACACTTTGCATTTGTCGTGACATGAAGGTAGTCTAGTTTATCTTGTCAATATTTTAATGATATATATCATATGATGTATGTTAATATTTTTTAAATATTCCACTCTGTCTTTTTAAGCATTGCTGAAACCAACTGTACATAAAATTGACTTGACCTAACTATTCTTATTTGTCTGCTGGTTTTTCCATCCAATAGATGTTTTCATTGTCATATTTCGTGATGAATGTTGGTTTATACGTTTTCTGTGTGAATAAAGTACCACACTTTGTTCATACATTATCTAAATAATAAGTTTACTCAAATTTCTATGTACTATATCAACCTTTGGCTTCCATGTCAAAGAAAGTGTAAATTATATTTCTTCAAGAGTTACGGTTTTATCGAATATAATTGTGCATAGTGTTCGTGCATGTTATATATATTAATTGTTCGTGTACCAAGGCTTTCGAAAGTCTGCCAGCATGAAGCTAAGAAATATTTTTGACCTTACAGGATATTGTTTCGGAATAAAAAAACATACAAATTAGTTCATTTATGTCATTTATCAAATGAAAAAAATGAACAGTTCAAAAGTGTATGAAATAGCAAGTAACTAAACTAGAGATCGCGATCTTTGTTGCTGACTTTAGTGCTATGACATGATTAAGCACATAATTTTTGTGGAAATTGTTAGCATAAATGAACATCTGCTGCCAGGGAGAGAAAGATTTGAAGGAGGCTAGCCATCTAGCTAATAATGGTAGCAGTCATATACAAACATTTAGATTGTGTTAAGAAATTATTGAAACGCCATTTCCAACTTAAGCGCCTTGTCCATGTCATTTCAGGCCTAGCTCCTAATATGTGCAAATAAGCCAAACGTTTTTACTTCTTTATTACTATTACTTTGTTTACTCTACTAACGATGTAGTTAATTAAACTTAATGCGATGCGATATGTTGACCAATGGTGTTCATTCCATATTCCATTCTGGATTTTGCTATGGCACTACGGTAATTTGTAAGTTTTTTGGCGCATCATTTCGAATATAACGCTTAGTCGTTGCAACAGTTCTATTTAGAAGAACTTGATTACTTTCAAAGAACAAATGACTGCATAAAGATCTCTTTCCTACGTTATTTGGATGAGACAAAAAAAAATTTCAATTGAGTGTTTAAATAGTAGATGCGCTAAGACTGAAAATGCCGCAATATTTTGACTTTGGTATTGTTTATTTTGAATTGACAGATCGCCTTTTTTATCGTAGTACATTGTTTTTGTTTTGTATGTAATAGTTTAGCCACAAAAAAAAAGAAACTTTTACCCATCGTACCCTGCGATGAAATCTTAACAAATGCGAGAAAACTTTTAGTATATGAAGACAATTATGCTTCTATGGAGTTTGTTGAAGTATTGATATGTTAGTCCATCATTTAGGCACAGTGGGTCAACTGTTTTCTAGATTCAGAATGTGCTATTATCGCCTAATGGGGGTAAATATTTAATTATGCGGTAATCATCAAGCAAAGAGAATACATATATAGACAATATTTGTAATTAAACGACATTAGTGTAACATTTACGACAGCGATCACTACACGGTCGAACGGCAAGCAAGTGACATATATATGTAAAGATAAAGAAGCATTTCAGAGCGGGAAAAACATGAAGCCATTTGATCAAGGCAATTCAGTATCGACAACAGCAACAATGTTCCTAAAACCTACTGTGAACGGTTTTTTTCCTCTTCCTGCAAGTGATATGAAGCCTACGCTGCATTATTCTCAACTTAGTGGTGAGTTTTGCGTAAGATAATTTTCTTCAATTAAATTGCAATCGTCCAAGGAATGGCGTGCTGTAAACTAGTAAACAGAGAGATGTTGATAAGATCTTTTTCTGCTCGTAAAAAGCTTTTTATCATCCGTGTAAATTTTTTTTCACTGTAAACGCCCATTTACTTATTAGCCAGTAACTTGTAGTAATTAGGACTTTGTTTATCTGGTTGAATTATTTCAACCTGCGCAATAAGACTTTTTGAAAATTGAAACATTGACATACGATATCGAAGCTGATAGGAAAATGACAAGTTTAATTGTATTTGGATTGCCTTAATAACTCCATCGAGTTTTTAAAAGCGATAAAATGTTAAATGTACTGTGGTAAATTTAGTTAATACGTTGAATTATGAACAGAGTGTACTGAATTGTGAGTTTTGCTTACATTTTTTACTCATGTTTTCTCTTTAGCGTTCTGCAAGAGAAAACACGAAGAAGATGAATTAAAGCAGTTAACTCAAACGAAAAAGCGAAGACATCGGACAGTCTTTACTCGATATCAACTCGAACAAATGGAGATCGCCTTTCGTACGTGCCAGTATCCTGACGTCGAAACGAGAGACGCTCTTGCAAAGGAAGTGAATTTGGAAGAAGGACGCGTTCAAGTAAGCTTGCGTGACGATTCATGTTTTCATTTTTAAGTTTCAAAACACGGTTGTCATAATCAACATTGTTTTCCAAAACTGTGGTTTCTTCATGGCAAGTCATTCAGCCTGATCTCAAAGAGTATTCATTACATCGTTTTCTTTATTATTTCATTAAAAAAAGATAGTAGAAGATCTATTTTTATGATACTTCATCATGTAATTAGAAAATTAGTCTTACAATTGTATCATATTCATCCAGGATTCTATTTTGTGATGCAACAAATTATCTGTTTCTTTTTATTTTTATTAGGTATGGTTTCAGAATCGTCGTGCGAAACAAAGACGCGATGAACTGCAATGCTTCCCGGCTCCCGCAGAGCATCCAACACACGTGACCAAATATCCCACAAACTCCTCACGAAAGTTACGTGCGATCAACTGCTTCTCTTGGACCAATCAGAGTTTTCCATTTCATCCGACGTTATCAGCACATCGTGGTTCGAGTTTGGTCTCAAGTCATTTCCCTAACCCCCCTGCCTTTCATCATGCTTACGACAGAGTAGCAAACCATCCACTGCCATCGTTTCATATAACTTCTCAAACTGGCATAGCAAGTTATAAGTATCCACTTCCATGGCTTGGTCAGCGGTCTATTAGATGATTATGGCGACGTTGGACTTTTCAATAACGAACAAACCTACCTGAGGCCCGTTTCAAACTTCCAACATTTTCTGCGCTGTATCTATTTAAGGCAAAAAATAACGAGTTTGAGCAATAAAACTCTAATGAGTTAAGCACGTTTTAATTACAAAGTTTTGTAGGGGCATAACAAGTCCATATATACCACTTGACACTGTTGAATAAAGCCATTAGCGATCAGTGACTTTGCTTGTATATTTTTTTCTTTAAGGTTTGACGAGTCCAGGAGCTCGAATTACATTGATTAACTATTTATTGAATGAATAGATTATTGTGATAGTGATCGATTTTAGATAGTGTAAGACCATAGTTAAGACCATAGTAAAGTTTTCCCCGATAGTGTGCTCGATTTTTGACATGTTTCTCGTGAAGTGCTTTGAGGAAAATCATTTTAAACTGACTAAAATTATACAAGCACATATTTGCCCAAAGTGGCAGTCGTAGACCGAATAATTATCTACTCGGTTCGTATTGCTTCTTTGTGGCATCTTTTGAGCTAAAAATCGTTACAGTATTTAAGTTGACGCATGAAACATAGAATTACTGAGTTGATGTTTACATGCATGCGAGTCAAAGTGGTCAAAGCTAAAAGCCTCTAATTACTAATAATCAGGGGCCGGTTGCACGAAGCCTGGATAGCGTTATTCATTCGATAGCAAGTTTTTTTAAACTTTTATAAAACCTCTTAAAAAGCAAAAAGTATAAGATTCGAACTGATCAACCACTGAAATAAAGTATTGTTTTGACGATTACGAAATTTCTTTGTCGTAAGAAAGACATAAACACCTTTTTTGCAAGTTAGAAGATTTTTGCTGTCCAATGGATAACGTGCAACCGACCCTGGAGTACTAACAATGACCCGCGCGAGCTTCGAGAATCCAACATGGACGATCTCGCAAGCATAAAGGTTGTTGGAGTTCTCTCCACAATTTTCTTGTTTTCACTCACCGTTTCTAATTATTTATCCAAAGAATTTGGCTTAGTAAAATCTCCAGTTTTCAGTCTTAAAATATTTTCTACTAGTTTCGTACTTTTGTATTTTACATTCCTTTTTGTTGCGGCAAAAAAGTTCGACACCGTGTTGCCATCACGCACTCACTCAAAGGTAATCAAAAATTTTTTGCTGTTTTTTTTTTCGGATAAAATCATCAAAAATACTATAATTTATAAGGCTTTCGCATTCTTATTATTATGTTCATTTTTAAAGGGATATTTTTTCATTTCATCATTACTTAAATGGTTTGTTGGAGCTTTGGCATTTCACTGTGGAGCTGTAATCTATGGTGCTGCGTTATTCAAGTAATAATACTGAAATTTTTTAAAATTTGTGCGCGCTTACACCTGATATATTGATGACAGTATTCCATCAATCCCTTCTATAAAACCATTTTTATCTGTCCACATTAGAGGTTTGTTGTATAGAGTTGAATCCATTATCCATAATGGCAGCATGCAATAACATTGCAACGTTTTTATCTTTAAACAGGGGAAGTATTTCTTGTCCTTGCACAAAACCCTTATATGACCAGCACAATGCAGGACAATTTAAAAGCTCAGATTCTTTTTGCAAAGCACTGAAACTGGATTTTGTTGTCTAGTTATGTTGAAGAAACATTTGTTTGGTCAGTGATGATGTCGACCTTAGTGATCCTACCTTTGCTTTTGACTGAAGTTGAGGAAATTCCTTTCATATTGCAAGGTGAAAGGTGATAATTTAACATTGCAAATGAAATCCGCCATATTTATCGTTGTTCAAGAAAGACTAAAGTCAACAACAACAAAAACAGTCCTTCTCAGGACTATACCAACCTGGACGATCATCATTTACAAACATGTAACGATACTCCCGGGTTCAAACCATTTACTTTATTTACTTTAAAGAATATGTGGTTGCCTTCAAAATACAAACAATGAAATGTTTTCTTAATGCTTTGCTCTTTCTGTTATTAACATTATTTTGTATTAAGAATTTTAAAATGTCGAAATCTTATGTGTATCTGGCTAATATGAAGAGTGTAGTCACCAATTTGCCAACTGAACTTCCATTTACCCAATTGTCCATAGTAAATTTTCCTACAATTTTGAGGACTGCCATTTCCATTTGCTTGGTATGTCTATTGCTCAAATTTTGTGGATTTTGTATTTGATGATTTTATTTTTGTCTCTTCATATAGGAAGACAGTTGATCTAACATCTTGCATGTGTGGCATTGTGATATTTACTCTTTTGGGAGCCTGGTTCGGAGCATTCACTCTTCCTTTGGACTGGGATCGAGAATGGCAGGTAGGAAAAAGTTTAGAAGTAAGAGCTGGACTAGGTACCAGGCTACCAGCAATCCTGTTTATAGATTTGTCACATTTAAAAACTTGCCAACAATTTCATTAAACAAGGCAAATGTATAAGTTTTTATGTCTAGGTGTGGCCCATACCATGTGCAATTGGAGCGATTTCTGGACATTTTATTAGTTTATTATTGTCGGCTTTGTTATTATTTTGGACGTACGTACAAAGAAACAAAAACAAGATTGTATAATATATTTATGTATTCTTAAATTACTACATTTGATCTTCGTGCAAATTTTTGTTTTGGAGATGTCAATAGCAACTCAGATAGTTTACTACATATATTATCAAGTTACGTGAAAGCGGACAAAATGTTTAGTACTGAAAAGTCCGGTTACAGTTTACCCTAATGATCTTTACTATAATAACTATAGATTGTGTTCAAGGTTGAGCTGCTTGTATTTGTGGGAAACGTAATTGTTACATGAGGTCATATAAGCATGAAATTCACGTTAATTCTCTTCAATAGCTTCGTACATGACGGCTGGTGAAGATATTTAAGTGAAGATTTTTTGCAACATCCCATAAATTTGTGGATGTTTAGTTATGATTGGACAGTGTTTTTCATATATCTACTGTACATACAAACAGATCGATAACCATCAACCCCGAAATATTTTTTTTACTACTTGAAAGTTGAGTTCGTGGTTTTCCAAGACACTAGTACGAACAAATATGATGGATCTCACAACGACATTTCGTGCCAACTCCACGCGATGAATGACTTCTTTATCTTCTCCCTTTACTGGAACACGATACTCTGGCAAGTCAGGTTCACCATCCATTCCGTCGTAGCTTAGAAAAACAAATGGAAAATTAGTTTCTTAATTGATTTTGTTCTTTATCTGCATAATATTTGTTGGAAGCTGTGCGAATACCGGAGGTTAGGCTTATGTTGGAAGCTGTGCTTATGCTGGTGGGTGGAGCTTGTACTTATTTTGGAGATAGAGGTTGTGCTTATGCTGGAGGATGGAGGCTGTGCTTATATTGAAAGTTGAGATAATTTAACTACACAGATGTTTTGCTTTTTTTTTCAAAGATAAAAAGAAGTGCTGTATTGTACCTCAAAACTGTTGGATCGTATGCCTTGTAACTGTCAGGTCGACAGTAAACTTTCAGCAAGACGCTCCATTGCTCATTTTTTGACATAATTCTTTCTGAATATACTGGGTGAGCAGAGTATAAAATACTTGGTGAAACAAAGATTGCAGCAGCCCAATTTTTGATTCCGAGAAAATCTTTGCCCAGTTGAATGTGACCAGATGGTGGCTTTACACCGTTTGTACCAGCAGGCAGAAGACCGTGTTTCATGATAGATTCTAAGTTCTTGAATTTAGTGCCATGCCATACCAAATCCCAATTTTTAACGATGGACGGTAATAGGGATCTTGTGCATTCATCCAATAATCTTTTATCGCGTATTAGTTCCTTTGCAATTACTTTATCTTTGAATTCAATTGGTCGCATACGAGAAACCAAATTCTTTCGCATAAAATCAGTTTTCAGCGAGAAAATGACGTCCGTTGATGCATTTTTTATCAAACTCTTTACACTATCTAAACTACTTTCCACTAATGCGGTATTCCCCCATCTGTTTTTGATATCAGTACGTGCACCATACTCAAGAAGTAATCCAACGATCAACGAGTGACCATAATATGAAGCAACATGAAGTGATGTACTGCCATCTCTTTGAATCTTATTAATTTCTGCTCCTTCGTTCAAGAGCATTTTTGCCGTGTCATAGAACCCCGATTTACAAGCCAGATAAAGTAATGTGCGGCCGTGCTCATCCGATGTCGTCTTCAACTTTTTGTTTTTCTTTATCATATCCTGAAGCTTTTTAGTGTCGCCTGACGCTACAACCGTGAAATGGTCATAAATTGTGATGGAATACATGTTGCCATTCCTTCGGTATCTTGATTCGGTAGAAGTTAAAATGTGATTGGCAAGCGAGGCAAGTGTTCGGTTTTGACGCACTGGATTGTTGATCTTCTGACTAAATGCGTACTTTATTTGGTCTTGAGAGGCTTTGTTTGAAGTCAATCCTAAGATAAACCATGGATTTAGGGGAAATTTTATATTCACTCGACCTCCACCTGCAGCCACGTATATAATACTTGTCATTGTATAATCGTTGAAAGTTAAGAACCGACTACCCTAACATGAAATCACATATGACAGAAATTACGCGTTTGATTGTTTAATGTATAAAATATCATACCGGTTTTCATGACTAATATAAGGGGAAGCCCAATGATATGGGAAAACCCTAGATTGAGCATAGTAATATGCACCAATAATAAAATTTGAAATTTGTGTAATTTTTACACCTATTATAGATGCATTTATAGACATTTATGTCATAGATAATCGTTGGCTGGTGAATAATGAACGCTATTGGTAAAATTATGTTCTTTAGAAATTAAAAACCAATAGTGCTTTTCTGAAAGCAATTTGAATTTAAAATTGCGGAGCTATAATTTATTTTGACGTACACTGGATCCGCCACTGATGAACAATGATACGCGATTAAATCGTAAAATTTCGTTCGCTAATTTTAACATTGAGTGACATAAATTTCATGGAGGGAAAAAATCACTCAATTTACTATGCTTCAATGCTGAATATGAAATAATGCGCATCTCAACACCGTCGATGGGGACTTTTCAGTAGACATTTTAAGAAGGAAGTGGTTAGCCATCCGACACCGGATGTGTTTACGGCGATAATTCTGAGAAAAGTATTTTTGTACCATCTTTTTAAAAATTACGTTTTATTTACTTTAGTTTATATATCGCCCGACCACAACGTTTTAAGAAAGCGTGATTCCTTTGGCAGTGGCGTAGGAACGGGGGGGCATGTTGCAACAGGCTCCACCTACAGGAGACGCCGCCACCTAATAATTTTGCCGCAGATCTACTATTAGAAGTAATTTGGTAGTTTTAAGTAAAATACTTGGTATATTATGTTGTGATGTTACATTGATTGATACAGTTACTGACTATATTACATTTGTAAAAGTTGTGACTTTTTGTATTATATGTAAAATGTATATTATTGTTTCCCTCTTATACTTATGATGCCGGACTGTGCCCTCTCAAAAATTACTTCTTTCTTACGCCACTGTTTGGTAGATGTCAAATTAAAGACAAGTTTTGACAAGTTTTGCATGTTTTCAATTTATTTTAACAAACAACACATGAGTTGATACAAGTGTTAGTCGCTATTCGACTGAAATCATTTTAATATTTACAAGCGACGGTCAACTCTAGTATTTTTCTGAAGTCAAGGATGATTGGAGACCAGAAAAAAATCAGTCATATTTTACTGCCAAACTTGTTTTTTCTTATGTAAATGATAATGAGGGTACTATGGGGATTGGGGTATTAGCCTTTTTAACCTCCCTTTTGATATATGTATGTAAACAGCGTTGTTGTCTTGCACTTAAGCTGAATTCCTTTGCAAATTTTCTCTTACAAAATCACTCATAAAGGTTTTTCAGTGGAGACTAACGACCACTGCGTAAAATGTAAATGCAATTGGTCATGTGAACATTAAAATGCTCTTTGTCGTTGACAATATGAAAACGGTAAACACTTATGCGGTTACGAACTATTAAAAATAGCGTTTTGTTTAATTCCGTTAAATATATAGTTGACACCTGCTACGAAGCTAATGTTTAAACCTATAAATTTTGTTTATTGTCTGTTTGCGTGCTCGGCTTGCACTCAATATACCTCTGAAGTAACTTAAACGTGCTTTCGAGATTTTCACCAAGCCGTTTAAAGTCTTTTTTAATCATGTTTTGACAATCTGCTATTGATTGAGTCATCGCGCCATCGCCCGAACTCTTACTACTCTTGACATTAACTACTGGCAGAAAAATTGTATCTGTCTGTTCATTTTTGCCGTGGATATTCTTCTTTTTTGGATTAACTCTTTTGTTTTCTCGTATTTCTGGAAAACGAATGGGTATTTTCGATTTAAAATACCTTTCTCTTTTCTTGCTGCTCTCACGAGCATTTGAATTTGTTTGCACATAATTCGGCAAAGGAGATACCATTGATGACTTGTCGTATAAAATACTTTCGTCTACTTCGTTTTGACTAGTTTTGCCTTCAAGCGTTTTTCTTGGAACGCAGTATTCAACTGCCTTGTGACTGGTTATTTGTTGAAACCTTTTGTTTTGTCTGGTATAGATCAGGGTTGTGTAAAAAATACCTTTTCGTTATGGAGACTCCTTTTATTCATGTTGGGCTCATTTGAGTGTTCATTGTACTTGGCTATCCTTTGAGCTTTTTTGTTGAGTTCTGAAATAATTTGCTCCTTTTCATTGTGCTTTTTGGCAGCATAAGAAGAAACTATTCCTCTCTCTTCATTTCTTTGTTTGTTGTTTAATTGAAAGTTCGTCTTGGATTTTTCTTGAGCTGTTTTTACTTCCGCTCTATTACTTGGTAGTATTAACGGCGGCACCCTATTTCGACTTGTCTCCGTTGTTCCACAATTTTGGGCTCTTCTCAAACGCTCTCTTTGTGATGCTCGCTTCCTCGATTTGCTTGTTGCTAAACGCCATTCTTCATTACCCACGCTTTCATTTGGAATAAACGTTGGAACTCGCGTAAACATTATCACGCCATTCATAAAAAGTAGTATTACAGGTTTCGAGTTATTTGAAGCAGTTTTATTAATGACCTGCGTACAAATAAATGATGTTTACTTTGCAAGGCAAGAGAGTCATTTACTGATAACGCCTTTGCGTGAGAGCAAATTATGAACCGTTGTTGTAAGCATCGACCGCCTTTTTAGTATCTCAAAAGACGTCAGTTGCTGTTTTATGTTTCTCGCATTGATGAGTTTTCGTGAAATACAGCTGTTCCAGTCGGGGACACCGGCAAGCTGTTGGCCAACAGGGGGCGATATTATGGAATCGAAAGTAAAATTATTTGCACATTGATGAATGAAATAATTGCGTTTGCAATGTAAAACTTTCCTATGCACCCTGATTAGTAATTGCGCGATACTACTTATACATTAGAAGTTAGTAAGTGTGAAAGAAAAGTTCTAATGAAACAAATGTCTGGTTCTTCGTTTCATAGAACAATGGAAGCAGGCTACGGACACCTCGTGTCTCTGCATTGGAGTGTCTTTTTAATGTTTTTCATGAAACTATTGTTTTATATGAGATTTTGATTTTTTTGGTGTAGCTCTTTCCATTGAGGAGACTAGTTTTCGAGAATTAGCTTACATAACGGGATAAATTGTCGTTAAAATGGTTATTCGTATTTGTGTTGCTATTATCCATGTAAATATTTGTATGTTGCCGTTAGATACCGTATCTTTAACGAATCAACGCCCTCTATTTTTTTGTCAAATCAATTTTAATCTTTGACTTTTGTTCATTTGAAAATAACAAAAACATTTCATTTCCCTTGCTTACGTTTACTATGATTGACCTAGAATCGTATGAAACCAACCAACAAATTATTTTTTGTGCTTTGGCTATGCTTTTTTTCTCGAAACTTCGATGCACTAACTCAATCGATCACTATGTGGAGCTCATGATTGATAGTTTAATATCCGGTTTGGAAAGTTGGCTAGCGGTTTTAAACATAGTGATAATCATGCCTATTCAGATAAATAATTAAAGTGTTTTAGAGAAATGTGAAATTCATGTTTATTTCTCTTAGTGAAATGTTTTTGAATGAAAGAAAATCGATTTACCTCATATGTTTTGTTAAGGAAACCTTAAACTTGAGAGTAAAGACGAGTTGGCGTCCTTTCGCTTTTGATTAATTAATGATTTATGATGAATTAATGTTGAATTCATGATGTTCGGTTTCCTCATTCAGTAAAAGATATCATTAAATTTGGCTGTCAAATGTCATATGCATGAAGCATTCTATTTAAGGCGTGCTATTTTATCTTTAAGCAAGTCTTTCTTCACCTGAAGCATTTTCTTTACATTGATTGTTTTTCATCTTTTCATTAACATTTATTCAGCACGTGTCTGCTCCTCGCTGGTGTCATTTTACGAAGATTTTACTTCGTGAAAAACACGAAGGGCGCACAATGTAATGAAGTTGGGTTGAATAACAGTGGCTGAATATGTAAATATTTTTGTCCGCCGTAATTCTTCTGCTCTTTTTAAAGCATTGATAAATTTATGCGACTCGTTAAAATTTTTCGTGTCGATTTACCTAAGATTGTCTCAACTGTTGAAAAATGAGACATCATTTTCAGACATGAAATTAGCAAAAAACGTAGGCATGCGCAAATGCATAAGTACAACTTCAAAAATCTGCATCCAGTCAACACGTATAAGATCAGCGAAATCACGGATTGCAACGATTGCTCCCGAAATAGTAGCGACGACGTTGTTTTAAAGTTTACAGCAGGTTTACAGTAGTCTTGCTTTAAAAGACGTTGAGTAGAACCAAAAAGATTTAGTTTTTGAACTTTTGCAACAACAAAAATAAGGAAAGATGTCTTCCCTTTTAAGAATCGTCATGTCTGTTTTATTTTACGTCTTTGCAGTGCTTAGATACGTATTTTATCGTGCCATTTCATCTTTCCTAACAGTTATCGTGCTTCTACTTGTATCCATTTTAATGTTCGCCACGTTTTATCAAGCTTATATGCCTGTGGTTTCTCACGTCAAACCTGTATATCTTCAGTTCAGGTAGGCAAAATTGGTTTATCGTCATTAAATGTCGAGTACACGCTTCCTGTCTTAGGACTTAACTTGAACTTGTTTCTTTAGCACTGATTGTAAAGATAAGATGTCAACGCTGTGCTCTTATCCTGAAGCTAGAGTCATGTTTGGCTCGTCAAATAAAGCTAACGAACAGAGGGTAATGTATCATCAAAGACGCGTATTTGCTCTACATCCATGCAATAAATTACCAAATATATATTACGGGGATTAAGTTCAATGAAAAGGTTTCGATGTTTTATTGCCCAGAAAGATACGCTAAACCTAACAATTATTACCGGGCAGAAAGGCATGTCAGTAGCGGGATAAATATCGTAATTTTTGGTTATTTTTGAACATATAATAAAACAAGAAAGCCATATCTTTCCTGCGGAAAATCGAACTGTCTTGTTAGTATTTTAGGAAGCTAATTTGCATTATTTTTTTTGTAAACACGATTAAAAATGCAAACGAATTCACGTTTCACAATTTTATTTTTCTTTATGTTTCCTCAAAATCGTCATGCTGTAATCATTTAGACATTTACGGAAGCTAAAAAGGGTTTAGGTTAATACTCGCTTTAATTATAAATTTTCCCAATATTCATCTTTTTTAGATGTTGATGCGAGGTCAAGCATATAAAGTATTTCTAGACATCGAAATGCCTCCATCGCCTATAAATCAAAAGTTAGGTAAGCTGTTCATTTTAAGGTTATTTTGCTTTTCGCCCAAATAAGCATTTTGTATTTTTGACTACTCTACGATCAATGGATGCCATGATGTTCAGTGCGCTTCCAGAAAACAAACGAGATAGCAATGAGCATTCAGGCATTTTTTTTCTCGAATTGTTGTATTAGCACTGTAGTTTTGTCGTTAGCTGATGGCTGTAAATGTACTCTTGTATGTGCATGTTATATTCGAATTGGATTCCAATAATTTCGTTAATTACGCATAATTTGAGCCAAATGATGCCTTTATTAACTTGACGAGAAAAGAAGTTGTTTTATATTTACGAAAACAATAACGAGGCAAACGAGGGACTTTGATCGGGTTATAAACATAAACGGTCCATTGCGTGAAAACCTTAAAAACCTCCCTTAGTAAACACTAAAAGTATTTTTTAATGTCAAATAATGCACCTCACTTGCTCGGTCCACTAACAATTATCAAACTACTTTGCAATCTTTCCCTCGCCCTGTTCGCTTGGTTAGAACAAAAAACTCCGTCCGATAGTTATAAAAAAGTCCATAAAAATCTAACCCAAGTAATCTATAAAATAAGAAGTTGTGTTCAGACAGAAATCATTTTAACGTCAGTGTCTACCGTCTATAATAGAACATAAACATACTATCTCTTTTATATTACAGGTATGTTCATGGTAAACATAGAATTTATTTCTGCAGATGGAGTGGTACTAAAAACATCTTCACGTTCCGTAAGTGAACTTTCACATTTGAAAAAACGTTGTTCTTTGATCTTCGCCTCAAACTTTATCATCATCATGAACGAGATTCGCGAACTCGTCCTTTTTTTTCTTGTAGTGTATGCTACCCTATGAGTCATATCTGGTGAAACTTTTTCGCACATTTTTTTTCTCTCTTCCGCTTACTCTCGGAATGACTGAAGAGAAACAAAAGATTGAAATGATTTTTTTCGACGACTATGTTGACGATTCCGTAAGTAAAACGAAAAACGTTTCCAAACTTCGAAAAAGGTCTTAACTTTGCCAAAAACGGTATAGCTATGTATTGCTGCAAATTGCTCTATTTCATCATTACCTACAATTTTATCATTTAAAACATTCCCTTCCCTTTTCTTAATTTTATACTCTCAAGAATGCTTTAAGGCATCAAGGCGTCAGCTCGCATCATCACGGTGTGTGGATTAAGAGGGTGGTGGTTATAAATTATCATTGTAATTACTGGTATTCATCTTCCCCGGCTTTTATACTAACAGTAAGCTTTTGATTTTATTACACAAGAATTTTTTTTCCGTTAGTACAAACCTGCTGTCCAGGCTAAGGTTGTCATCTTGACGAAACAAATCGAGATATATTCGTCCACGCTTCGTCTCCAGGCTTCATTCACTGGATTGAGGTACGTGGCTTTTTTTTTACAAAGCATTAAAAACATTCATATATTTTCTATGTGACAAGATATTTCGACAAATCTATTTTTCACCTCTTTATTTTGTAGGTATCTTATTTTCAACTGGCCTCTGGTCTTTTCATTTTTTGCCATTTTTGCAAATTTTATTACTGTCACCTTACTGTACTCTGCATGCGTAAATCAACTCGCACCAAGTTTTTATGCCAGCAACAACTCGCCGCGTGCTGAAGCAAGTACACCACAACGTGATACCGAGCTTCGGAACAACCGCAACGGTTCTTCGACTATTGGTAGAAGTTTAACTCCTGCTTCACTGGAGATGCCTCAGGCTGATGCTAATACGGTCATATCCAATGGTGTAACTGAGCTTATTTCTGATAATTTGAGAGAAAATTCTAGTGCTTGTTCAAGTTCAGAGCACAATGAAGACGTTGTTTCTAATTTGTCACATGTGCAAACAATGCCGTTGCCTCGGCGTAATAACAGGAGGCCAAATGTGGATGCAAGATTTGAGGACGTTGCCATTCCTGGAATTTTGCGAAATTTCGGAATTGTCCACCTTCATCATACGGCATAGGAAGACGTCGCTATGCTCGAGTTTCTTCTGTGAATCTTAAATTCCATCGTAGGAGAGAAAAAATTCATCGTACATCTTATAAAAAAGTTGATAAAATGAAATCCATGGCGCGGAAAGAGGCACAGCAACAAGTTTGCCATAATTCAAAGGAAATCGTAGTCGATCGTGATGTTATGGATACTGGCTCAGAGGTTCACGATCCTCCTTTATCTTGTCCAAATGTAAATAACGCGTCCTTTGATGGAGTGTCACTTAGTCATCTCAGTAGTTCGACTAAAACAGCGGACAGTAATAAATTGAAAAGGCGTAAAAAGCGCATGGACACAAATCACACAAAGCCTACTACAGCGCAGGACAGTAAAATAAGCACTTTTACACGAAGTGAAATACTTCATCGGGAGATTGTCGGCTGGCAAACACGTCGTAAAAACAAACAGTTTCGTTCTGACATGAATGAAGAAACCAGAGGGATTTCTCACGAACCTCGTTGAATAATAGGAAATCTTTATGGAAAAGTTTGTGTCTTATACCAAGCTGGAATGGATTCAAACTACCTCGAAGATCTTGTAAATATTTTCAGGGATCAATTGGGCCTGTTGCCCGAGGTATTCGAAACTGTGTATCAGATTTGGAGTTGACTACAGTGGAAAAGCATAGGCTGAGTGAGCTTAGTGGACAGAAAAGATCTGCAAGCACAAGTGATCTAACTTCTTTAGAAAGAACAGCTATCTCTTTATAGTCATAAATAAAGACATAACCAACATTTTATTATTATATTATTTTATAAATTAACCATGGAAGGTGAAAGGTAATTTGTTTTAAGTTTTTAAGAGATGTGTTAAGCACCTGTTTACAAATAATTTTATTTATGGTTTTCCTTGATGTGTACGTTAATGCAATCGAGCAGACTTCTGATTTTTCAACTCCAGTTTATTTTGAATTTTCAAAGAAATACATCTTTTTTTTTATATTCAAGATCGTAGGTAATATTTCATACTTATTTCAAAGATAAGGTTTTAATAAGTTATCATGTTTGATGACGTCTTTGTAATAGAGACCTCCGTAAATGATCTATTTAACGCTTGGGGTGTTAAATAAATTCTAGCAGTTATAAGGTGGTCGAGAGAGGGAGGCATTTATGTTATTCAAATCACCTTTGTGTGAAAAGACAAAAACACTCTAAGTAGACTGTGTCTGAGCCCAAACTAGAAACTATTGTGATAATGATGGAATAGTAATGTGGAAGCGGAGGCTATTAGAGACTGGAAGTTTACTTAAAGGAGGCCTCTGTTGGAAACTCACGCTTCAAAGTTCAAGGAGAGCATCAATTGGATCATGCAAGGGCTATTTGCCATTTTATTACTCCAGTTAAACATCGGTCAGAAATCAGAATTCAACATGGCTGCAGAGGAAAGCTTGTTTTCATTAGAAATATTTGTAGAAAATGTTGAGTTAATTCTTGTGAAGTGCAGGAAACCAGTCATAGCCTTTCGACTTCTCGATTTTCAAATGATTTCAATTTCTCCAGCTGAAAATGAACCAAAATGCTGCCATGGAATAAAGAAAATTTGGTCGGGAAAGTCGTGCTTATTCAAAATGAACGGAGACAACTTACAGCAAAGACTTCAAAGCTCTCCTTTGTATATCATGTTGCTAGACAGCACTTCTGAAAAAATGCTCCTTTTGGCCAGCACTTTAATATCTTTGGTAAAATGCTACGAGAAGGTTTTCAGAAGCATACAAGATAATGGCTTGGATTTCCCTGCTGTTTCTGGCGATCAAAGTACATTCGAAATGTTTAACTTGATGGGTTCTGTTGTTGCTATGATAAAACTAAGGTTAAGGTTATTTAGCTTTGGCTCAAGCTTAGGAGAACATGTTGATATCAGCATTGCAAGAGCAAATCAAACTGATGACTATGATAAAGGTACTGAAGACGATGAAAAAGTTCCTGCGGTTTTACAGACGGCTGTTGGTGACATAAAAACGCATTCACTGGAAAGCAAAACTTCTACTTCTATCATAAAAAAGGATGCATACGAAGCCTGCAAGTGTAACTCTATTGTAAAAGCTAATGCTCAAACTCAAACAAGCGTTAGGAATCTAGTAGAAAAGCAAACAGACTTAAACACTTTATCATCATCTTTACAAACTGTTTTGATTCCTGAAGAAAGGATTAGTATCACACAACACAACAATATTGTGAGACCCCCGCCATTATACTATAACAGTAAGTCAACATTTCCTATGTCAAATAGGGAATTCACATCAACCAATGACAGGGTTCGCCATTCCATGCAGACTAGTGGCAAAGCATTAGAGGAAACTGGAAATGAGTTATTAGGAGGTCAGATTGACAATGTTGATATGTGTTTAATAGAACCACAATATTGTGAACCAACATCATTAAATCAACCAAGTGGAAAAGGTTCAAGTCAGTGGGTCCAACCAAAGCCATCTAGCTACAGCAACCAATTAGCTCTACCTTTGATTGAAGCACTGCTTAAAGAACTCTCACTGATTAGGGATAGATGTGTGGAAAACTTTTCATCTCCACCAAATAATGGAAATGTGGTGTGTGCCCAAAGTAGAAACAAGTCAACAATTTCCGACACAAAAGTTGTTCATACAGTAACAAAGAAAACAGAACAACAAAAGACTACTGACAGCAATAAAATGACCAAATTTATTCCTCAAAGAACTTCAGTAAAAAGCAAATCTCGTGAAAGTAGGCCTAAAGGAGTGTTGATCTCAAGACGGATGCCATTAATGTACAAACAAACGCCATTAAGATATGGAACAACTAAAACACATCGACTACGACAGGCAAGAAACAAAAGGATAGCTCGTGGCGATTTGACAGAAGACCTCCAATTACGAGAACAAAGCCAGAATGAGTAAACAAGGCGTTTAATAGTTGACGTAGAAGCAAGACAGCGTAAAAATAATTTTTCTTCAAATGTTGCTCATTTTGAGGATATAAAAAGTTACACAAGTAATGTTACGAAAAAAGTACTTCCTCTTTGTGAGAATTATTAACAGGAGTGAAAGAAGGCCGTTCATTCATTTCAAACGGAGTTTTGTTTCTTCAACCATATACACCAACAACATTTGGGTCGTCAGCAAGGTCTTCAAAATTTATCTACAACATCCAAAATTAGTTACGGAAGGACAAGACATACAGGAAAGATTGGTTTGAATTTTTTAACAACAATTCTAGATATTGCCTTGAAAAGTTTATGTACTTCATTGCGAAAGTTCCAATAATGTTTAAGGTTTATCGCTCCGTTGCTTGAAGCAAAAATCGTGAAAATATTTGAATTAAGTGCTAGAATTTTTGCAATCAAACAATCTCCATCACGTAAACCGAATGTGTTGACGTATTGTCAAAAATTTCAATTTCTTTCGTTTTAATAGAATTTGCTTAAATAAACATAATATGGCAATATGAATAGAATTCATTACGCTAATAGATACAAGTTAGTGGAATTTTGCTAAGCTGATTACTCTATTGCTTGTTTTTACGAAATAGGTCTCGTGTTAGGCAAACTTAGGATAGCTAGTCTGTCTGAACCCAAGGTATATGAACTGCATTGCAGTTTCAATACTACTGTTCAACCATTTGTTGAGTTGCATCAAATGTTACAATGCTGCATTTCCTAAAACGATAGTCATTGCTTAACATAGTTTGGTAATCTTCATGTTTAGGCTTAAGCAACAACTTGACAACAACTTGATCGTTTTTAAAAAACTCTAGTCATTCATCTCCATTTTTCATTGATGCATTTTTATTCACTGTTTTAATTGTAATCTCACGTAATAGTTTTCATATCAAAAATATTTTTTAACGAAAAAACTCATTCGAAAAAATCTATCTTTTCATCGATATCCATATTATCGTCATCTTATTAAAATGATGGTCAGATGCAAGGGTGAGCAGGCCAAGTATATCAATCGATCTCACATCGTACATAGAACTCTCAAATGATTCAAATTTCATGTTCACACACACGTTCATAAGAACGTTTACCTGAAATATTTTTTTACGTGTGTAAATAATCAGTTATTCGTTTAACCAAAATATCCGTGAGCTCATCAAATCAGCTTTGCAATTCTTGATTTAGGATTAAGTAAATCAATCAGGAATCGTTAGATTATGATATTTTCGATGATCAATATGGCGGTCATATTTAAAATGTTATTATAATTTTTATGTAATTCATTTCGATAAGAGAATTGGCGTGTAGAGTATTTTATCATATTCAAAATATTTTAATTTTACGATGTGTTCTTTCATTAATGTCTTACGTCGTATGTATTCGCGGACATTTAAACAAACATTGTCATGTTACTATTTTTGTTCAAGATTCTTTGGGAGAGCTTACCAGAACAAACATACATATCCTGTTATTTTGCCTCGAAAATCTCGCGAGATTTCCATTCACGGTCATTTAATAAAGGACGAATACTCATGGCTAAGATATCTTAAATTATCCGTAAGCCAACGCAAAAAAAATTTGATCTTTAACATGTAAATTGATGAAACTTGGAACTGAACTTTCGTTATCAAAAATCGTTCTGTTTTTCACATTTGCAGCTCTTTTTATTTTAGGAAGCAAAGAGGTTGATGGGAATAGAAAACCGGTATGTTTATAACTATGTGTATAGAATGGTTTATCAAACCCTTTAGTTTTCATCAATAGATGTGATTAAGTTTTGCAGAGAACTTCATGAAGGACACTCAGCAATTTCAATCTGATTTTGCGAGAAAAATGGAGAAAATTTTCAAGAAATATGAGAGTCAATTTAATGAAGACCATCTTGTGGTAATAGACTTGTTTATTTTAGTATTCAATATTGAAGTGAAGATCCCTCTTCACCATGTACAACTTGAGTATATAAAACTAAAAAATGTGCAAATAGTTTTGGCCTTCATTATTCATACCCATAGCTTTCCTGTTTCATAAGGCTATCTGCAATGGCCAATCCTGCAATGGTCAAATAAATAACAAAGCTTGCTGCATATGCCTGCATTTCAAAATATTTTAAAATGCATTTTATTTTGTTTTAGAGATACGGAAATTACCTATATTACACCAAACAGTCAGAAACCAATACAGATTTCTTAGTGCATTATAGAAGACATTTAAATGGTTGGTAGCATATCTCCTTTTATATTTATTTCTACTTCAGTAATTGCAGAATTTGTAGTAGTTGTAGAATATTACAGAATTTGTGTCTTTTTTATCATTCTTGACTATTAGGTACCAGTGAAGAATTATTGCTTGATGAGGCAAACGTCGCTAGGCTTTGGGATCACTTTGGTGTGAAGGTCATGAAAATTTCACCATCTCAAAGGGTAACATGATTTTTATCATATTTAAAACTATAGATTTATATTTACAACAGGAGGTGTAGCCACCTCGGTCAGAGTTTGTATTTTGCAAATGTCAGACGTAGGAGCGACATTGTTTGAACAGGTCCAAAATTCAGATTAAATACTTGAAATTATTGCTTCCACCGGAAATATGCATTATTTCCATGAAATTTGTGCAAGTTTTACTGACTATAATCAAGATGCTTTATGTTTATATTTCTCCTGACGTTATAGTCTTGGCTTTATTGTCTAATGGTCATGTGTTTTTAGTATGTTGGGTTTATTGTGGATATATCAGGATGTGACACATATTGTGGGATTCTTGTGGACACTGTAAAAAAACCTGGTACAATTTTGGAACAGCTATCAAGTGTTAGCTTAGGTAATACTAAACATATATTTCTCCTGCTTCTCACGCTTGATGCTTTTTTGGAAGTCTTTGAGTACTGGCAGTACACATTTTAGAGATAAAAATTATGAGAAAATGGGCCAGAATTTCAAAGATATTTATTTTAGTCTCTTTTGGTTGTGTGTAATTGGCATCATGAATGTGTGGTAGAAATATCTTTTTCAATGTTAGGTACCTTTGTCAAGATCATAATTATAACTTTATTTCCTATAATTTTTCTAAATCATTTTAACTAAAACTACATGCATCTTATTATTGTATGACGAAATCATGAATTTTCTCAAGCAATTTCGTCTGTTGTAATGAAAACAGTTAAAATAAACGAAAATTGACCATTTTATGTGTAGTAGCAGTTTTTCAAAGTAATTTTTATCATATTTTTATCATATTTATTTTCATTTTTTTATCATACAGCAAAGACATAATTTCATTTTCAAGAACATTTTGAACATTTTTAGAATGGTCGTCAATGGATGATATTCTATACTATTCCACATTTGATAATCTACATCGAGCTGATAAAGTATGGAGGCATAGAATTGGTACAGACTTATCTTCTGACGAGTTAGTTTTCACAGAAACTGACCCCAGGTTGTGTATGGTTTGTCTTGTACTTTTATGCGTCAGTTTTCTTTCTGGTTGTAACTTGTTGTACTCTTTAGGTTCTTTGTCGATGTGAGTTCAACAAAAGACGGTCGTTATGTGACCATCAATTCAACTTCGAAGACCACGTCAGAGGTATTTTTATTTTGGGAACTTTTACGATAACTCATTGAGTTTAAGTTTTGGTTGCCATATGGAAGAACAATGTGAGATACAAAGCATCAAAAATTGACGACGTATTGGACGATATGGATGTATCATTATGAAGTATAATTGCTAAGGAATTAAATGGTGTGTCGAAAAACAGGGATGGATGTAGGTGAGGGTGTGTGCATCCCTCCTATCGTTTGCTAGCTGGAGTGCAAGAGAGGTGTCAATTTCCCAACAAAATACTAACATACCAAAAATTTAGGCATTGTGATTAGCGTTTAATTGATCACACTATCAAAAATCTCCCCCTTATGCATAATAAAAAGGCAACAGAATTAAAGAAAAAAGTTTGACATGGTACTGCTATAAGTAGCCACCAAAATTTTTTCATTTACTGCTCCTGCACTTTCACGAAAACGTTCCTGGATTTATTCCGAATTTAAGGTCATCCATCCGTCTGTCTGTTAAACATTAAAAATGAAACTATTTGGTCTTTTCTGCTTATATGATATTCTTTTCTTTTTTTTTTGAAAGGTACATTTGTTAGATCCAAAAGATGTGCACGCTACTGCTAAACTTGTGTGTTCAAAACAGCCTGGTATTGAGTATTTTATCGAGCATTGTAATGGTCTATTTTACATCCTTACAAATCATCCAGACGGTGGAAATTATCGAGTAAGTGGAACATTTACGTACATGGTAGTGGAACATTTACGTACATGGTAGTGGAACATTTACGTACATGGTAGTGGAACATTTACGTACATGGTAGTGGAACATTTACGTACATGGTAGTGGAACATTTACGTACATGGTAGTGGAACATTTACGTACATGGTAGTGGAACATTTACGTACATGGTAGTGGAACATTTACGTACATGGTAGTGGAACATTTACGTACATGGTAGTGGAACATTTACGTACATGGTAGTGGAACATTTACGCATGGTAGTGGAACATTTACGTACATGGTAGTGGAACATTTACGTACATGGTAGTGGAACATTTACGTACATGGTAGTGGAACATTTACGTGCATGGTAGTGGAACATTTACGTGCATGGTAGCGTCTATTTAGTGCGTATGCATATGAACGGGGCGTGGACAATGCGTGTAGTTCTGTGTAGAAGATACCTACGCTGTTGCTTTGTACACATGACAGTTGGGAATCTGAAGTTTTGAGGTTTGGTTTCTGAAACAAGCATGCTAGTTGTACATGGTTAAAGGATTATGCGTGTTAATAGTTCTACTTATGCCGGCTAAGATAACAGAAATCAGTTAGCTAAGCGTCAATTGAACATTGCTTTCATATATAAAAGCTGTAAAAGATATTTCTCTTGTAGGTCTTTTCAGCGACGGAGAAGGATCTTTTTGGCAAATGGACAACATTTTTAAATGGCTCGAATCGGGTATTTCAGTCAATGGTGTATTTCTTTTCCTTGTAAAAATCATATTTTATCGAAAGTTATTGCAAAGTGAAAATCAAAGTCCGTTGTAATTGGATGGATAGTGTTGAACAGTTAAACTTTCAAACGGCGTTGTAACATTATGTCATGAAATAATATAAAATTGACAACGATTATTGACTGATTTTCTATATTCGTATGAAACAAATTGCATTTGCTTTCAAGGTTGTTCTCGATGATATTGATATATTTTCGGAGTATCTTGCTATTTACGAAAAAGAAGATTTGAAACCGAAATTAAGAATTATTCCATTACGCAACACCAAAGATCATTACACGATTGAGGTACTTTGCTCTGCTGTCGTGTTTATTGACTTATAAATTGAACATTTACGTGTTCATTGAACAATGAATCGGCACAAGTCACTATCGACGTTCAACTTGAGAATTGACGGGTTGATTTTTCATTGTCGTCAGTGTGTTTTTGGCTGGCATAAACTGTAAATCATTTTGATATCCAGCATTGCCTTATTTCCCATTCTTGAAGTTTTTTATTTTTTCTCCAACCTTTCTTTTAGTTTGATGACACAATTAGCGTACTCACTCCTGGTTGTAATATGGTGAGTTTTACTCGTCGAATTTTACTATTCACTCTCACTTCTCAGTTGACCATTGCAAAAAAGGTTTTGCAGGTTATGAAAGCTATGTTGTCTTTTTTCCTTTTTGTAATTGAAGGACTTCAAATCCGATGTTATTGAGTTCATTACATCATCTCCTGTGGATCCGCCAAAATTGATGCAGTTGAACATGCGTTCAAGAGAAATGGTACGATGAAATTAAAGTAATAATACAGAAATAAGATACTCCTTGACTCCTTTAAATTTTTTACATGATTATTATAATGCCACGATAAAGTAAATGGTTTGAACCCGGGAGTGTCGTTACATGTTTGTAAATGTAGATCGTCCAGGTTGGTATTGTCCTGAGAAGGACTGTTTTTGTTGTTGTTGACTGACGTTTCGACAACCTTAGCGGTAGTCATCTTCAGATTCAAAAATGACTCATTTTTTACTCTGTAGTCACATTTATACTCCTTCTCAGGACTATACCAACCTAGACGATCTACATTTACAAACATGTAATAATGCCACGATATTGTCAAAAATTTGAAAGAAACAAGAAACAAAACGACATTTTTTAGCTTGGCACGCTTCTTTGGAATGAAAGGAATAACCAGATGATTTACTAAGTGTTTTGAAGCCTTTATCTAAACACAGAAGCATTTTGTTGAGTGTTTAGTATAATGTCATGTCATGACTTCATGATACTCATTCTCTTGTAGAACATTCCTACCGAAAACTCAAAAAATGTCAATGGTATTGAATCACGGTATTGTCGAACAACAGTTACGGCTGTCAGTCAGGTGATCATTTCCTTTGAAGCCGTAGGGTTTGAATAGAAATACAAAAACCATTTCGTTGTGTTTTTATATAGGATGGAACGAAAGTACCTGTGACGTTGTTTCACCAAAAAGATTTACCTTTGAATAAAGCGCATCCTTTGTTAGCTTTTGTTTACGGTAAGAAAACTGTTTTCTCATGAAAGGTACATAGATAGTAAAACTTCATTTACCTGTGCTATCAACCATTTTTGTAAGTGTTTGGAAACTGTTTTTCATGTTATTGATGCGTGATTGTGGCAAAACGTTTGCTCAGAAAGAGAGTAAACATTGTTAAAAGATGACTGATACTGATAGAATAACTATTTACTTACTAAAACTAAAACTGGAATTTTAACTCATGTTTTTTAGGATCGTATGGCATTAATGTGAACGTGGAGTTTCAAGCAAAGAAATTTCATTTGCTGCAAGAAGGATGGGTTTTGGCGTATTGTCATGTAAGGTAGCGCCTATGCTATGGATGGTTAACACTTATGCATTATAAATTATCGTTGTGTCGTTGCCGGACTCACAGGTTTGGAAAAAACAAGACAACGCGATATGAGTGGAGAAGAGTGCAGAAAGAGGAGTGGAGGAAGAGGAGAAAGAGGAGTCAGGAGGAAGAGGGGAAGAAGAGTGAAAAGATGGAGGAAAGAGGGAAGAAGGAAGGAAGGTGGAAGAGAAAAGAGTGTAGAAAAGAGTGTGGAGAAGAGTGTAGAGAAGAGTGTAGAAAAGAGTGTGGAGAAGAGGGTAAAAAGAGTGTGGAGAAACAGTGGAGAAGATGAAACAGTGCAGGAGACAGTCTATGAGTTGAGCTGCAGCATTTTTTCTTTAATACTACTGTTGAGAGGTAGTCATGCTTTTATATTTTTATTAGAGGCGGTGGAGAAAAGGGTCGACATTGGTACCACCAGGGTCGACATAAAAATAAGATCAAAACATGTGAGGTATTTATGTAATACTTAGGTTATCATGTTTATGGTTGCTGTGTGTTGCTATGACCCGTGTGCTTATGATCCATAACTTCGTATTGATTGAATACAAGGTGATGACAGATAAATATCTTACCGACGTCTTTTTATTCACACCGAGACTGCATGTGTTCCGTAAAGCACATTTTACTGCTAGACATATTTCTAAGCCAATCCCAGAGAGTGATTTTACTGGAAGAGAAGATTACCATGTAATGAATGATCCAAAACAAAGCTTTGGACAATTATGGGGCTTCTCACTGGACCAATCACACTTACTCTTTATTTTTTAAAGGATTTCGTATCGTGTATAGAAGCGATCCATAATGAAGGCTACTCTTCGCCTTCATTAACGGCTATTTTTGGAAGCAGTGCTGGTGGATTTCCTGTTGCAATGATGTGCAACAAATCGCCATCTCTTGTCAGAGCAGCAGTTTTAAAGGTAGCCAATATTTTGGTATCATTTCTGCAGAGATGGAATATTGCCTGACTGACAGACAGAATTATGTAAAACCGTATTTGGTTGAACTAAAATTTCTATAGGTTCCATTTGTAGATATGATGACTGCTATGTTGGACGAAGATTTACCCTTAACTGCGCAAGAGTACGAAGAATTTGGCTGTCCTAGGTATGGAATCTAATGGCAAAGTTCTATTTTACCTTGTTTAAATTAGTTATTATGAAGTAATTCTATAGAACACCTTTTTTTTAAATTGTATTATGATCACAGGACTAATGCTGAAGACTTTGATAATTTGATGTCTTTGTGTCCATTCACGAATATAACAAAACAGGTATGTCATATTCTAGCTACGTGTTATTGTCACTGTCTTTTCAAAACCATTAATGGTGAACTATGTAAAATTAGTGATTTATATAAAACGTCCAAGTCGGTTTATTGGCCAAAAGATAAGTCTTTTATTGTAGCTGTTTAGCCTAAAGCACACTGGGCACTCGCTTCGGTTACGCGTCCAGAACAAGTTAGTAGCACACCTGCGTCAGCTAGCTGATCAGAATATCTTTGATTGAATGGTGCAACGTCTTTTTCATGAGCTTTCTATATAGGTTTGGGGAACGAGCTAGCTAATGATATGCTATGCACTAAAATTGAACTCCTGGTTAGTGAATATAAAGTACGTAGCACTTGCATGTCCGATATTTTTCGTCCTAGGAGTATCCCAGCATGCTTTTTGTGTCATCTGTGAATGACGTTAGAGTACCATTTTGGATGTCTCTAAAGTATGTTTCTAAACTTCGTAATGTGAACGAATTATCGGAAATATCGTATTCTGGAAAATGGATTCTACTGAAAACCGATTTCGATGGTGGACATTTTGGTAGCGGGTCATTTGAACAGGTATAGCGTAAGTTTGGCTTTTCCTAAACCGTATCATCCTCCAATATAAACAAAATTGATTGAATATGTACCAATTTATTAGTTTCAAAACTCCGCTCCTACTAGTACTTGAAAAATTTCAAATGATACATGTGGATATTATGAATGAGACACGTAACGTCAGGTGTGGTTAGCTGTCTGTCAGATACAAAGAGAGTAAAGAAGTCTAATCGACTCATTAAATTTCACAACTGATTCCACCTTTCAGACCATTTTGGCGTACTTCGATCGAATAAAACATAAACTCTAAGCATTTTTTACCTCAGAATGGTCTATTACATATAAAAACAAAGTAGAAAGGCGATTCCATGTGACAATGAATCATCCATCTTCTCGTCCACAAAGAAATAGGCTAAAATAGTGTTTGATAAACAATTCTTTTTTCTTCATTTCTTTCATTCAAGTTTGTCTTCATGTGTCTAAATTCTTTTCTGTTTCAGACCTCTTTTATCTATGCTTTTCTGTATAAAGCTTTTGGACTAAAATGAAGGCCATTTTATATGGAAGGTTAGTTCGATTTCACTCATCCCCCGTGTCGTTTTATGAAAGAATATATTTCCGGGGAACTGTAGTTATTTGCATTTCCAAATTGCCTCCTGGCCAATGCCTGGCCACAATAATCAGCAGCATAACATTTCACGGATCATTAACTGATTCCGTTTCTTGTTAAACTGAAAAAATTCGGTTGCTGTTCTTCTTTTCACATATTATCATTTTAATGTGTGAACATGTAAGATGCAAGATAATATCGATCTTCAGTCGCTTCATGTAATCATGGTTTAAAGAATCACATAATTTCTTGTTAATTACTCCGATTTGTATCAATTAATTTGACTATTTATTGCCGACACCAATATGGTGGCCCCATTTCCTTTGGCGAAATTGTTGACTTTGGTAATGCGACAAACTGCAAAGCCAGTCGCCAAAGGAATTAAATCTTTGGCGAGAAAGAGCGCTGTATTCAGGAAATATGTTTGCGTGCTACCCGCCCAAAGTAAGTGGTGCATGATATGTTTGCGCTTAAAGTATTTCATTGAAATGTGTGCAACTCCACGTATAGCTAAGTCAAATGCTGACATGTATTACTAATTACTTAAGAACGTGCTGTTTGTATAAAATACTTCTCTCATGTCAAAGAGATGTTAAAATGACAATGTTTTTAAATGACATTCTGTCATCCCACCATGAAATATGCCCCTGTATGGTGTTTGAAACATTTGACGTGCTTTCTAGCTTATCATTGGATGGAAATGAGTGTAAAGATGCGGTTTCTTGGCCATAAAGGAGTACCAGAGATTAAACCATTGAATGAACGCAGTGCTGTTGAGCTGGGTGCTGAAGCCCTTGCCGAGGGCTTGGTCCTTGGCATATGTATGACTCTCATATGTATTGAGTTTCGACGAGGTAAACTGAAAGAAGCTCGTAAAGAGAAGGCAAGTTTAGATGAAAAAATTGCATTGAAAAAACAGGTAGAGGATTTGGAATTGAGGATGGATGCTTTTTCAGCAAAGTTTGAAGACAAAGCAAGTAAGGATAGCAAAGAATAATTGGAATGGTATTCCTATTCACTCAAGTCTCTGCATTTGACTTCCAGTGCCCATATACAGATTAATGAAACATATAACGACTGATCCAATTTATGTTTTTAATGCAAATGGCCGAACACTGTTATGTCTATCACTAGCAAATCCAGGGAAGTCAAAATATGTTACTAAAAATATATTTCAAATTTTAAATACTTTAAAGCTAATCTTATTTTCTAATATTTTTCAGAAGATTCTAACCAATAATGTTGTTATGAAGGTATTTTCAATGTAAAATGAGCCTTTAGAATTTATTTTGGTATATCCTAGATCAGTCCATCTGACTCGGATGTCTATGATCTTTAAATTGAAATCTCTAAACATCATTTAAAACCCTAAGCTTTGTTTGTTTTGGAATTAATGTGCAATAGCAACTATTTGGGCTTTATTAGGATTAATAGGGGAATTAATTTAGTGATAGTTCATTTTATCGAATGATATTGTTTTACCACCATGACCATGTTTTTACTTTCCTAATTTCGTTATATCAATTGTTATGGATTTTCCATCTTAAGTGAGCCTTGTTTTTTAGTTTGCATCTTTGACAGTAATTCAGTTTTTGAATCATTCAATTGTCAATATTCATTAATATATATTAATAATTTACAACACGTCACTATGAAATCAAGATGGACGACTTAGTGGCGTGACATGGCGTGACTGTATCGTGATCGTTTGGATCGTTTTTGCCCGGCCGTGTTTATCATGGTGTAAACCTATAAAAAAAACTTGATGATTGTATTTATTCTGTGATACTATGTGTTTATTATCTACATATATTACGTATAACCTGAAGATCGAGTTGGTTTGCATATTCAAATTTCAAAGCACTCCTCAGTGTACGAACAGTATTATTTTACTCCTTTTCGGTCGGGTCACAACCATTTCGTTATTTGTCCTTATTTTTGCATTTCAATCAACGGATGTATCGATCTAATCGAAGCCTGGCGTCAAGACACGTACCTAGTTTTTGTAATTAGTCTGTCAGCTGCTTTACCCTGTGAAGGAAGCGGAAGTAAAAACAAACAATCGCTAAGCAAGTCGCCAATCAGATGTCGTTGTTGTGAAAACAACATGTCATGATGTGGTGTGACATTTGACTTTTTTGGACTCAAATTTCTTTAGCGATAAAACATGTTGTCGTTTGTTTTAATGAAATTCTGTCCGATGGCATCAGCAAAACCAATATATTGAGTAAATTAAGGGGCACAAGCTGAAGTTTTAAAATGGAAGACTTAGTATTGAGTTAACAAAGAACACTGGTGAGAAATGGCCATCTTGCCTTACTGAGCTAGTCTGTAGAGGTTTAATTTTGTATAAAAAATAAAGAAACTGAAATACTGCAGACGGTTAATTGCGTTAATTGAAAATGGGCTGCGAGGATAATGCCATATTTTATTTCGTTTTTGCGTCGGTGACGTTTTTCGTGTTTATGGATATGAGTTTCTTTGGAGAGATGCAAGAACAAGGTCTAGCAGCGAACTCATCAGCTGTCAAAACATCGAAATCAAGGTTCCCTATTAAATCGGTAAAGTTACGAATGCAGGACCATATTAGTCATTACGTTTGGCTGCCTTTATCTGAGAGCGTTGATACTAAATACGAAATCTCCAAGTATTCTTGGGTGAGTCCGAATTTAATAAGCGGCCTTCATTTGATCGTCGCCATAATCGCTGCACGCCTGATTTACGAAGATAACATATGGGTCCGTCGAATCGGTTGTATAGTGTTTGAGTTTCGCTGTTTTCTGGATATTTTCGATGGCGTAGTTTACAGAGCACAATCTAACATGAAAACTTCTTTTGTAAACGGCTGGGGGACGTATGGCTATTTTATCGACGCAGCAGCAGATTTCATAGGCTGTATTCTTGTTTTATGCGCGTGTATTTTGTATTTCATGAAACATCCACCAGTTAAATACCGGGAATTTTCTAACGAAGACTACGAGACGGCACTAATGATCGACTATCGTGGCAATTTGAATAGTCAGTTCAAGGAGAAACTGGTCGTATTTTACGAAAACAAGAAGAAAGTCCTTATCATGATGATCGCTTTTGGCGTTCAAGTGTCTGCGCGATCGTTTTTCTGGGATCATTTCCTATACGAATATCATACGTTACTGGAAGTGAAGTCAGACGCTATTTCACCGGTAGGCGTGTGCAATATTACCTTATCTCTTTTTACCTTTTTATTCCGCTTTGTTACGACGCTGGCTCGCACTTGTGTGAATGAACTTTGTAAATTGCGTGTAATTTTAAACGTGTACAAACAAGCGTGTTGCAATCATTGCAATGTTGTAATAAACACATTTTGTTAATATACAAACTGCGTTAATAATCAATCCGGAAATTAAGGTTTTCGTGGAAGAACAAAAATACTTCTTTGTTCATGCGTCAACGGAAACTGTTCTTCTACAATCTTGTTTAGTAAGTGTAATATTGGTTATAAACAAATATTTCATATGAATGAACCAATGAATAGCTATCGAAGCAATTGCCATTTGCCTATTTCTTTGTTGTACTTTAAAATACTCATCAGTTGTTTAATTTAATTATGCCCATGGACAAGGACAAACTTAGAGAAAATATATCTAGCTCCTATGCGTTAGGACATCTTTTGTGCCTCTAAAATTCACTGCAAATCGATTTATACGAAAAACGACATTGTATTTTTTTAGCATATATATATATATATATATATAGACCACATCTTTTGTGCTCGAAAGTCGCAAGTTCGAGCACGTAAGTGGCCTCTTGTAATCATTAATATGCATAAACTTTAGGAAGTACTCATTGTGACGCCTGTTCATGCTGCACATGATACTTCATATTTTGACATTTGCCATAATCGAGTATTGTATCTTTCTTGTTCCTTTCAAAACTCTTCAAGTTTATGGATTATCTTGAACTTTGCAGACATTGCAAGCCGAAGCCTTGAGCTTCCACAGTACTTGGGCTGCTCTCTGGCTCTGGAAAATATGTGCTGCAGACATATTCCTGGAGTTGACAATTGTATCGATATTCTTCAACAAACTATGGGTGCGTGTAGCTAATTGTGTGATTGCGAAAATTCATAGGTTAACTTTTAAAAGGAAGGGAACATTTTAAGTTATTGATTGATATTTTAGAAATGGGTTGTACTTGTGAATTATGCCGGGCCACCTGCTTTAGCGATCGTCGTCGTTCTGTCGCAATTACATGTGATAATGGTAAGTAAATAGCCTGAATGACCACTTCCCGTCATTCACTTATTGTTCCCGGATTCTTGATAACTAAACACACTAAAATTCATTGTTGAGAGACCGCCACGAGTATTTTTGCCTAAAATTTATCGACATATTTTGCCGACCTGACGTAACGCAATGAATTTCAATGGTTTGTCTAGTTGCAGAGACCGCTGAGGCTGGTAGATTACACCCCTCTCCCTGTTTCATTGAACTTTAAAAAATCATGACAAATATATGTTTTAAGAAAATAAAGTGGGAGCAATTTCGCGGTTCATTTCACCCACCTCCCCTTCATCTAAAAAATGCTTCGCGGTCCCATGTTTTGAATGAAATTAATTTTAATAATTTCATGACTTGACAACTCTATCATAATGAGTGTATAAAGATCTTTCTCACTCATTTCGTTTCAGGTACGACAGTATCTTGGTGTTTGATGTAACTGAAACGTCTTTTCAACACTTACCTTGAAATATAAAACAGAGATTTGATGATGCTGTTCTTCCTTGAACTATTTTAAACTAATTTTTCCTGTAACATTTTATTATTATTAATTAAAGTTTACCTCATCAGGCGTCGTTAAAGGTGGGTCGCACACAGAACGTTTCTTTGTGTAAGGTCACGTGACCATAGCCACGTAGCGACGTCATGGAAAGGAGGCTCTCTTGTTTTTACTAGAAAGCATATTAAAGTAGTATTTTGTATCTCAAATTAAAATTTAATTATATAGCTATGACCATGACTGCTTAATTTACTCTTATTCAATGATTCTAAAGCATTGTTTTTTACCTCGTATAAAGAAAAACAGTGGCAACAATGCTCGAGTTCAATTTTGGTTTGTCCAGTGAAAGTCCTTTATGTTGAACGATATCCTTTGTGTTCAATGTGTAATCATTGAGTATATTTTTTGGTAGTGAACACCTCTTTCTTTTATTCTCGTTGCTATTATCATATAAATGATCCAGAATAAAACTGCTGGTAGATTGCTGTGCAATTTTCCCTTTGGATATGGCTACTGCCTTGTTTTATTGTAGATTTGACAGGTTAACCTTGTAATTCACAAGGTCAAGAATAGTTCGGTGTGAAGTTGTTGAAAATTGGCAAGTATTATACCAGGCGTTCAAGGGTAGAAGCAGATAAACGCATGTTAACCTGCCATGATTGGTTTTAAAAGGATTAAGAAGCTTCTTTAAAAATGTGTGGGTGGTCTTCTTTATTGACGTTTTTTTACTACTTTTATGATAGAAAACACATGATTTGCTCTTGTGAAGCTGAATAGTGACTAGCATTCAAAACGGTTTGTCAGCAAACTGACTGAGCATTTTCTGATAGATTGGAAAAATCTTCTGGAAGAAAAAAATATCCTGACAAGCTGTGATTCCAAATTATCGATTCTATTCATTTTTTTCCAAATGCTAATGCTTTATATATTTCATTAACCATATCACTGAACCACGCCGATATGTTATGTAAGAACAGCTGAGACACAAAAACGGCGACGGAAGCAAGCCTACGCGTCTTCAGGAGACATGGGAAGATTGCAGTGCTGTGCTGTCAGCTGCCATAACGTTTCAAAATCATTTGCAGTACTTCGTGTATACTTATATTATAGCTGTTTTGCTTGTTTAGGTTTAGTCACGCTTTAAAAAACTGTTTCTCGATGACGAATCTTTCGTCCGCTGACGACTGACGTCAAATCTCTTTCGTCCTTATTCAAAGTAGTAAATGATAATAGAGAACGGATGTGTCACTTGAGCTGTCATCTGTCATTCTTGATCGATTTTGTAAATGTGATATCATTTCAGTTTTAAAATCTAAATTTTTTTCGTTTAATCATTTTGTCTTCTTTTTACGTTTATCCTAGGAAAAAGTGTAGATATTGAACGGATCGAATAGATTATGTCATAGGCAACCGATAAATTTTGACCTAGAGGAGACAACTACTTATCAAAGAAACTCGCTAGCAATTGGCACAAAGACAATGGCAAACTGATATTTAACAAGTTGAGGTTTCTGGCAATAATCACATTCGTATTTTGATTGACGGCTGATATTGGCTTGCATCATTTTTATACTTATCTTCCACGCGACCACGATTTGACCGTATACCGCGGGCCGGTCAAGGTCTTCGTGACGTCATATTGAGACAACTCATTTGATATTCATGTATGTCGTCGTGATATAAACAAGAAACTGAACGATAGAAACGATACTCGATTCATCTGCGCTTCGCAGTTAGTCGTACTTTAACGCGTGTACTTTTGTAAAGGCTTTCCAATGGTTTTTAGAGACTTTTTTGTGTTGTGAATATGGTTGAAAATGAGCAAAATGATGCCGTATCAACGTTGTGTAAAAATTGTTGCTCAACGGGTCTCGGAAAAATGGAGGTTGGTCCTGACGAAGAAGAACGACAATTTATTGTCGAAAATATAACTGAATCAAGTGAATCCAGCTGCTCATATGAAAATTCCCGATCAAGGTTAGTAATTCTTTACTTGAATATCCTTGAGGATGACATGATATCTGGCTAAATATCGTAAATTTCTATGTACGTAGTCTGGCGACGCTAGTTCTCGTCGAACTATAGATGTTTACGTTTAATTTTATTGTGGCAAGGTGTTTTGTCCTCGTGGACTTTGAACGTTTTATGGGTAGATTTCATCAATCGTTAATGGTGGTACAAATTTCAAAGCTTGCATTTTATGAGTGTAAAAATGCTCTAGTCCATGACTTAGAAAGATGTATTTTTTCCGGATAGAAGTTGACGTTGTAACCGTTTTCGAGGTATCATGTATCTTGTGAGATAAGAAATTCACAAATAGACTGAAACGTTACCACATATGTTCTTGTCGCCGAGTCACCGAACTTGGCAGTACTTTTTGGCTAGTTTTTAAGCGGCACATAGTTCACCTTCATAAAAGATGCTTGTCGTGATCCACGCCTTCGCACTGCCCAGAAACACAGTAGCAAGTTTCTAAAGAAATTTGCTCACAAGCGTGACGGAAAAGTAGGCAAATTCATATCGTTTTGCAGCTTTGTGAACTTCCAATCTCTTTTCTCAAACAGGACGCTTAAGTCTTTTGCCATACTTTTTAGTAAGAAAATAAGAACGAAATTAGATAAATTGTATGACACGGCAATCTCCACGTTCTCAGTTGGAATCTAGAACATCAATAAATTTTATTTGTATCGTCTTTGATTCTTAGACTTATCGAACTCCATGTTTTTCTTCTTGGGGCTTTTCAATGTATTCGTTTGTTGTAGATATTGTATTTTCTGCCAGATACCAACCACATTTGACTGTTTTAGGAACTAGAGCAGTATAACGTTTTTAAGTCATCTCGCTCGTCTTTTTGTTGTGTTTAGCAAGATAATATCGCCATTGAAAAGCTTTCCCAAGTTACATTGCCCTATTAAACCTCATGGAATTCAAACAATATACTTTTGCAATAGATCTTGCCCTAAAAATTACGACTGCCAAAGAGAATTAAACATTATACAACACAATATGTGACGGCGACTGTTTTTGGTTTTGATTTGTAAGAAATTTAGCATAAGCACAAAGAGACAGTTTAATTAATACATAGTGCAAGACTGCGTTCTCCTTGTAAATTTTCTCAATTTTGTCAAAAGACTTTTTTACAATGTACCTACAAAAGGATATTGTCCTTGTAATGGCTTCTTCGTGAACATTTTTAGCAGAGTAAATAACGTTTTCTGTAGATGTCAAAGGTAATGTCGAGGATCCGAAAAACACGTAATGCTTTTACTGTTATATTCTTACTAATATGTGACTGGATTGGTCTTACTTAATATGTTTTGGATTGGCTTTCATTTTCATGAACACGTTCTACTTTTTGTTCGTTTTCTAATCAGAATGTCGATTTCTAGTCGGATGTTGCTATTACTGACCGTATTTGTTTAATTGTTATTTGTGTATTATGTAATTGATTGTGGGCCAGTGGGAGGTGTGTCATGGACCCTAAACACGTGTTTCTTCACGTTGAGAAATGCAAATGAGTCACTTTCTAAATGGCACCAAGCTCTTTTTAGGTATGAGCGCGATGTTAGTTATTTACGATATTCTAATGCGCCCAACGTTGCCAGCCCAGTTCACGATATCCGTGTCAGGAAACTGTGTTGGAATTTTCTAGTCAATTTACCATTAATTTTTTTTTACTACAAGCTGTAAACCTTTGATCCCCCAATATTTGAATAACATATGAAAATAATATATTTCCAAAATGTAAAATTGCTCGCTTTTAAAAGTTTTATGACCTCTTTTTATTACGTTTTAATGCGTAATTTTGACGCATGACTTAGATGTATAGTTTATGTAATTGAAAAATTGAAACGATTGCAATGGTAATCAAGCCGGTGGCGTGATTGGTTAGTATAAAGAATTTGATGGCGTGATTGGTTAGTATAATGAATTTGATGGCGTGATTGGTTGGTTTAATGCAGTGGTGGCGTGATCTTATTAACTGTTAGGACTGGTTAGATAGAGGATAGGTTTGCACGCTATCGAACCTATGGTTAACGTTTGTCGTCTTATAACTTTATACTATCCTATTTTTTGCAGAGGAACTGCTAAACTTTTGTATTGATTTGCGTATTGCTTCTGCTTTACGCAAACCATAAATTTTATAGTTCATCTGACATTACATGGAAGTTCGGTGTGACTTATGTTGAACATATCTTCGAACATAGAAATTACCGGATAGACTTACAGTGTTCGAACGTAAACGTGAAAATATTTAAAAAATGAAATACACGAGACAATGACTTTCCTATTTTAGCATTTAGAATGCTATGCATGCAGTCAAGTGTATCTGCATTCCTGTTTGTATTAATGAGAATGCAGTCTTGCGTTCTTTTAAGTCTGCTATGTTACACTATGTAAATAATACCAGCTTTTATTTTGTTAAAGGTATGCAGCATTCATTGTGAAACATCCGTATGTTGTTCTATTGTTGATCTTGGTTTTGGTTATATTATGTGCATGTTTCAGTCTCATTCCACAGCTTGGGGCTCAACCATTGCCCACCTTTGATGAACCCGTTAAGGTGAGAACAGCACACGACACCACTAAACTTATCTCAATTCTTGTTGCTTTTAAAGGATCCTTAGGGAAGGTCGATGATAGATTAGTTAGATAAAATTAGTAATGACAAATATGTGTAAAGGATAATGAGGAACTTATGTTGTTGGTCAAGGATATATTTTAGTCGTCATTGATAGCGTTCGACAAGGCAATCACAATATGTTTGTAGGATTAAGATCAATTGCTGTTGATTGATAAGTTGGGAATGACCTGCAACGAAAGAACTATCTACAATAAAAATATTCTTAAATGTAGAAAAGCATTCTTGTAGGAGCTATACGAAATAAGATTAATAAAATTTGGGAAATCATCTGTCAAAATACTGATTTAAGACTTCATGTGCTTATTTCTAGGGGTTTGAAGCTCGAGGTACACTTATCAGCGATCGCTGGCTCAGTCAATGGAATCTGTTTATGAGTGAGCGTCAGGGTGAAATCACGCGAGTTCCTCCACGCTGTGGAGTTGAAAATCCCATCAGTCAATTGAAGATCGGTGATGCTCCTGCAATTTGCACGGGGGAAGAGACGTTTAGTATGGGTAAACTTACAGTGAAATTGGTGTTCGAGACAAAGAATGGACAGAATCTTTTTACTGCGACAAATCTCAAGTCTATTTGCAATTTAGAAAAAAGAATAATTCGCGATTACCCCAAATTAAACTCTTACTGCCATACACCCAATGGAAGCAAAGAATGCTGCCCCAGCTGGTCGCTTGGTCACTATGTGGCATTGTTAAATGGTAATTCATCTTGTTTAGACATTGATGAAAATCAAGTCGAAAGAGTAAAAAACTTGCTCCAAACTTGCTCGAGATTTTATTACAACGGAAGTCTGAAGCCAGATTGTTGGAACTTTAAACGTAAAGCGGTCGGTAAATGCGGGGCGATTCCTAAAAGCTGCACAAGACTCAATGCTGTTTACAATATCCTTCATTATCTTACTGATACCCAATTTCTCAAGGGTAGTGTCAATAATACATTCTTAAAATATAGTTTGGTCCTGGTACCCGTGAAAGAGATTGAAAGCTTTCAGGTCGATGTCTATGAAAGTCGACTTCAAGGTATCATTAGTAACTCAAACGTCGTCCTCGCTGGATACGAGCTTAGCCGATTAAAATACGAAATGTTCAACGCTAAAATGTTGGAGGATCTCTACCTTGCTGCCATTGCAATGTTCTTTATCATGATTATTCTATGGTTGTATACTGGATCGTTGTTAATCACTTGTATCGTTGGCGTCATTATCGTATCAAGTTTGATTATCGCGTATTTTGTCTATAGCGTTGTGTTAAGAATGAATTTCTTTCCGTTCCTAAACGTTCTCACGTCCGTGTTCCTAGTCGGTATTGCTGCAGACGACGCATTCGTTTACATGGATATTTGGAACCAGTCCACTCGCGAACAACAGAAGAAACGCAGCAAACCTCCATTAAACGACGAGGAACGCAATGAGGAGTTTGTCTCCATCACTGTGAACACAATGCGACACGCATCTGTGTCTATGTTTGTCACCAGTTTCACGACATCATCCGCGTTCTTTGCTGGTCTCACTTCTGATATTACGTCTATACAGCTATTTGGATTGTACTCTGGTCTATCCATACTCTGTATGTTTTTTCTAATGATTACGTGGTTTCCAGCTGCCGTGATCATACAACAAAAGATGTACGGGAATCAGACGTGCTGTTCCCGTAATATTCTTTCAAAACCGTATCTGAAAGGCCCGCGAGACATCGTCAATAAGCTTGTTCAACTTCATCAGACGTTCTTTGCCAAATCCCTGCCGCGCATTGTAATTAAGTGGCGTTATTTCTGGCTGTTACTTTTATCGCTTATTGCAGCTGGTGGCTTTGTTGTGTCAACGTATAAACCCGGTCTCAAGCTCCCTTCGACTCAGGACTTTCAAATGTTTGTCGATTCTCACGAATTGGAGAGATATCCGTTGCATCTTAAGAAATATTTTCACTTTGAGACGACAAAACGTTCCAGTTTTCCCCTTTTCTTTCTATGGGGTATAAAACCTGTGGATAATGGTAACATTTTTGACCCTTACGACACGGGAAAACTAAATTACGACTCAGATTTTGACATGACTAGTAAAGAAGCTCAACGGTGGATCAACTCTTTTATCTCGCGCTTAAAAAAGCAGCCGTTCTTCGCAAAAGAGCAGCCTTTAACAAAGCAATGCTTCATCGAAGAGTTTTTTACATACATGCGCCAGAATTGTAGCGAAGGCAACCAGATTTGCTGTAAGAATTCTGTTTTCCCTTACAACGCCACCGTGTTTAACGAATGTTTACTTCAAATGCAGTGCTTGAAGATCAAAGAGGCACAATTTCAAGGACAGAGCATCGAGGACGGTGCACCTTTGTTTGACAAGAAAAACAGACTACGTGCGGTGTCTTTGAAGTTTGACAGCAACGTGTCATTCACGTGGTCTTATGATCCCGCCGATCGGTTCTGGAAGGATGTGGAGAATTGGGCTGATAGAGAGTTCAAAAATGCATCAGCTGTTAGCGGTTGGTTTATCAGTAAACTGAGATATTATGATCTTCAAAAAAGTCTCTCCACGGGAACTTTTCTTTCGATGAGCATTTCGCTTGGTATTGCATTTGGTGTGATGCTCCTTACCACCAGAAATATATATATCAGTGTGTTTGCCATTATTACCATAGCATGTACTCTGGGTTGTACGGTTGGTTCGCTCGTACTATTGGGATGGGAGTTAAACATATTGGAGTCAGTCACTTTTTCTGTATCTGTCGGGTTATCTGTGGATTTTGCGCTGCATTATGGAGTAGCGTACGTTCTTGCTGAAGAGAAAAGTCGTAGACAAGACAGGGTCTCGTTTTCTTTGATTGGAATGAGTTCTGCGATTACTATGGCTGCTTTCACCACATTCATAACAGGTTGGTGACGCAGTTTTTCTGTGAATATTTGAAAGTATTTTTGAAGCTCATTGCTTTGTTCCAGAGTTATGTTTAAGTGTTGAAAATTTGAATCCATTACTACTCCAGTCTAGTATCTTCATCAGGAGTCATGTGATGTTGAAACTCGAGTTCTTATTTACACCAGTGTTTTCTCTTCATCAGAGAGATCTGATGTTGAAACTCGAATCCTAATGTACTCCAGTCTCGTGTCTTCATCAGTAGTAATTTGATGTTGAAACACGTGTCCTTGTTTACTCCAGTTTTGTGTTTTCAGTGAAAGTGGTGTCATATCTTTATGTCGATTCTTGAGTTTTTCATTGATTAGCAGTCATGTTATGTTGAAATTCAATCACTTTAATTTTATCACTGTTATAGGTACTATAGTTCTGCGTTCAGATGTTTTGTCATATATTCAAATTGGACAATTTCTAATGATCATCATGTCCGTCAGTTGGGTCTACGCCACGTTCTTCTTCCAAGCGCTTTGTTGCTTGTGTGGACCTGAGAACGACTCAGGTCAATTGACTGTCGCCAAACTGAGATCAGGATATCAGAAACTGCGATCGCTGTGCACCATTGCAGAGTCAGATGAACATAGAATGGTGCCGAATGGAAAAGGTTCGAAAGAAATCCGTGTGATTTACATAAAGTAATAGTATATACCTTTGTATTTACCACTGTTAAATTGGTTTTTCTATTCCAAGTTTCGATGCAGAGTTTATATTAGAACATGTTTTATTCCGTAAAATTATTAATGAATTAATATTTTGACTTCGAGTGTGGGGGTTCCACGTGCAACTAAAAACTATTTATGTAATTTTCGTCAATACATTTGTATTTATTGGCTGTGCAATTTGTAAATAATTTTTGATGGATGTAAGTAATTGAGCATTTTGTTAATATACTGTAGTATACATTTATTATTCGTACTCTCTGGAGGGGCACGGGTAAGGGCTTCGGCTTGGAGACATACCGTAATCGACTTTGTTTACCCAGAATGCACTGCGCTTTTACATTATGGCGACTGCTGTGAGTAAAAAATATTAATTCTTCGTCAATAAAAACAGCGAAGTTATCATTTTAAAACTATACGAAGATACAAAATATATAGGCACGGAAGGCAGCGCTACGCTACAACATAATACTAGGGGCGATATTCACTTCTTTAAATTCCTATATGAAAGCAAGAATAATCATCGCTGTTTTGATATTATTGTTTACAGCTTCCTTTGCTTGAGAGATTCTAGCACTGCAATTTGGCATTTGGAAGGATTTAGCTTTCATAATTTGCTAATAATACGTGTAACACTACTCTATAGTTGATCAATTAGATGGCTGATGGCCCGACCAAACACTTGGGAATGTTGCTCGAATTAAGAAACCGTAAAAATTACTCGCCCTCGGCTCATGTTTTCGAACATTCTTTCATGTTTTGATCAGATTGTCAAAGCAGAAATTGTTTGATTACCAGAGAACGAGTGTACGCCTGAGTAAGCGTCTTGTTCATTGTTCAATGTCTTCAAAAAAACATTTTAACTTGCACTAAGTCACATACCTGAAATATTGTTATTTACAAACTGTCATAATTACTTAAAAAATAAGAGGAAGAAACATGCTCCAAACCATACATCTTATAGTCAAAAGTACTATTTCAATTCAAGCATCATTCAAGTATTCACGAAAGAAGACGATGTAGAAAAAAAAACTAGCCTTGGCCTAGCAATATGGAAAGAACGATTAACTCCAGTTCGTATGCCTAGTGCAAACAATGATTACATAAGCAATAAAGAGGGCAAACAATGAATACATCAACAATGCTTGTAGCTGTGCCGCCTGACATACTGCACACAACACAAGTACAAGTGGGTTAGCACTATTTTCCACCCAGCAAACCGCCCTTTACTTTACACAATCGGAAATAAATTAAAGATGGCGGCTAATGGGAAAGAACCAAAAGCTAAAAGGAAACCATGCATGCACTGGTGCTAGGTCGTTTTGAGATGGCGAGTAATTTTATATTTTTATAATACAGTTTTTAATATCAACATATGAAAATATTTACAGATAAATGTTGCAGTATAAATTTTCATGCAACCACCTTAAGTTATAAACTTATAATCCAGGCTGGAAAATATGTCGTTTTTCGACGATTGTGTAAAATATTATATAAAATATTATATTGCGTAAAATATTAGATTGTGTAAAATATTATATTGTGTAAAATATTATATTTCAAAGTAAAGGGCGGTTTGCTGGGTGGAAAATAGTGCTAACCGTACAAGTGACACAAGAGAAAGTTTATATTCATAACCACGTGATGTCATCTGTTAGTTTTCCTTCCCAGAAATCACTTCGTACTTAGAAGTCAAGTTGTATGAAAGTTGTTTGTTCATGCGTTGTTGAGACGTGGCTTTGCAATCGGCAGTGAAAGTTGAAATACACGGCTTGTATTTGCGAATTCTAAGCAAGTTGGACGATGTCTAACTTTGGTAATTTCAATTTGAGTTCGCTTAGCTCCATGAGCACACTGGGCAGTTTGGCGCAGTCGGCTCAAAGGCTTGATAGATTAATGGCAGGTAACCGTTCAAGACAGCAAGATACTGGCAATAACGCCCGCAGATTGATGGATAACGACTTCTTTGGTGCTCGAAACAACGAGCGAAACCGTGGAAGATCCCCTTCACCTCAAAGGGTATGTTTCAAGAAATTTCAACCAATTCTTTTTTATTACGTAAAATGCATTTCCAGTTAAGATGTCACCTCCTCCATTTAAATAGTGTAGGCTACTTTTCATAACGTTAGTGCCTCACTGATTTTGAATTCGTTTGAAGACACGAGAATTTACGTTATCTTAAGCCCTGTTACGCAAATTTTTAAAACATTCAAAAAAAGCTGCTGAGTCTCTCGGAATCCAGCTGTATCACGTTTGTTGTTCTTACATATCATACAGCTGTTGTTACGTATGGAAACCATGAATTTTTATCTCTTCTTATATAACACCGCTGTTTATCTTGGCGAACGAGAAATCTGGAAAGTCATTAATTGCTCATTGAAGCAATAATTTTCGTCTTGCTTGCCACGTCATATGTTTATTAAATGGACTCAATGAAAATTAAGCTGTAGTATGCTATCTCGTCTTACCTTCATGCTCATTGATTTGAAATTGCTTTTTCTGAGCCATCATTGTGACAATGGTGGTGAATTATGAATTTCATAAATATGTCTATTGGTGCTAGTAATATCTTTGTTTGATACAACTTTGGATTCACTTGAACTTTTCCCAAACTTAACATCTGAAACAAAATCTTGCATTGTAAATGTTTCAGTCATATGTCTATCATGCAATTGCTGCCAAACTGATTTTCATTTAGAAAGTCAATATTATTCGAAGTGTTTTCAGTTTCAACTGTTTCATAAACAAGAAATTGGAGTTAACCTCTTTTTCTTATGTCAAGTTTGAATGCTTGTCAAGCTTGCTTCCACTGATCATTTATTTATTTGTGTTATATTTTTGCAAATTAACTAGATTTGCTCCAGCTGACTATTAGCTGTCTTTGTAAAAGATTTTGTCTCTCAATTTTTTTTGACAAATGATAATCATCTCTCTCTCTCTCTCTCTCTCTCTACAAATTCTTCCATATGGAAGTGTTACTTTGCTGATATTTTTATAAGTGTTGATTGGTCTAGGTTCAATCTGCTGATTGTTAGTCAGCATAGTTTTTGTCGTATTCTTTTTTTCTCTGGAGTGTTGTGCAAGCCAAGTTTGTCACATGTTATACGATGTTGGCATATTTGGAGTTGCTTGCTTTCAATGCGATGGAAACTCTTTCAAAACAGTAATATCTCCAAATATTTCATAAATCTATGCTAGAATACTTAATATTGATAACCAAGTAGCTGTAATTTTGTGTGAATTCCCAACAATTGATTTCCTTTGCTGTTTACTAAGTTTTAACAATTATGTATCTGTCATTTCATGATATAGATACATTGCATCTTATTGTTTATGAAATTTTCCTCTTTCAATTAAGCAAAGCAAAATGGGCACTTCTTGTCCTTAAGTGTTCCATTCAACTTTCTGGCTATGTCGTCACTTTGATTACACTCTTACAAACTCTTTTTGATACACTTCCATTATTTGCCTACAACAGCGTGCTAATCGTGGCGACAGACGCAATGCCAATCGTCGTGATCGTGTTAATGCCAGGAGAAAGAGAGATGACAATTTTTATGGCCCAGCAAGTGGTGCCGGAATCTTAGGTGCTGCACCAAATAGGAATGGCAGATCATCAGGTTTGCATGTTTTTATTGAAAAATTACTTCAATATTTCGTGTAACAAATCACCACGAAATTAAAATTTACCCATGACAAAGATCTTCCATAATTGTACTTCTTGTAATCTTACTTGCAGAAGGTGTTTTGGTCTAAAATGCTTCATCATTTCTGTTTTGGCAATCAATCTTGTACTTCACTTCTCTTCTCATTTGGAAGCGAAATGTGTTGCACTTGAAATTGTAGTTTTTAGAAAGTTATGTAACAGAATCCTTCCATTTACCTTTACCCATTTTTCTTTCTAAATTCTTTTCATTAAGTTTTTTCTTCACTTCTTTTCATTGTGTCATAAACTGTTTTTCAGTTTCCTAGATAACGAGTCTAAATTGTGAAATTAATCACTGCTTCTGTCATCTTAACTTGTCAGTCTTGGTTTTGCTTTTCAGAACATCTTTAGTCATTCGTTTAGGTATCAAACGCGTCTTTTATTAGCGATGAAAGGATAATGGCTGATGGCTTCTGTGTGTTTTTATGTGTTTTGTAATGTGTAACATGTGTTTATCTTGAAGGTACAGGGGATGACTCAACATGGAATGAAAGTAGCGGGAACCAACCGCAATTTAATCAACAGGCACAGCAACTTTTAAACATGATGCAGACACAACAGCTCTTGGCTGCTGTGCAGGCTCAGGCAAAGTTAGCTAATCAGCAGCAGCCACCAAGTCTGATGAGTAGCACTGTGTACCCACGTCAGATAGGTGGTCGTATGTCTAACCCAAGGGGTGGTCGCTTTAATCGCAATGACAGATCACGTCAAGGAATTTCTAATCGTCGAGAAGATCGTAAACGAAAGCACTCACCCCCTTCAAGACCTTTTAGACGAGATCGACGTGGTGATAATGAAAGGTCTATTATCTTGTATTTCCAATCCTTTCAACACTACCATTTTCTGCTGTAGAATCAACATTCATTATCTTTATGTGTGCCAATATCTCCAAATATGTGTTCTTGTATGTCAGTTATTATCCACTTTGCTCCGTGCTCCATACGCTGTATGTTTTTTCACCAGCGTATATTCATTTCCTTCCATTATTTAAGTGTATCATTGCCACTATATCATTTCCTACCATTATTTTCATTTGATTATTGCCATTATATCATTTATATCCATTATCCTCGGTTCATCGTTGGCAGTATGTCGTTTCCTTCCATTATCCTCAGTTCATCGTTGGTAGCATGTCATTTTTCTTCATTATCATCAGGATATTATTGTCTTTCCTTTTTCAATTGTGTATCGATTGTTTTAAAAGGTCTTAAAATTACCGTGTTAATGTAAAGCAAGTGGTTTTGATTAGCCTTTGCAAGTCAAACGGATAGCCAGTCCGCTAGTTTTGGTCCTGATATGTAAATTTCTGAACATAAACATTCTTCATGCCTTTGTAAACATCACTGTTGTTTTAACGTTGTGTGATCTCAGAAAAATTTACGTAGCTAGACCAAGTGATGTAGTGTATCCATGACATAATGCCACTAGAATGAACTTCTTGTTTGCTCGACGTTTAATCTTATCGTAGACGTAACTTTTGAAAGTTACATTCAAACATTGGGTAAAAATTTTTCTTTAGTAAATATCAACCAATACGAAAACTGTCAAATGATGTTTCTGCAAAAAAGAACGCGACCAAAGAAAAAGATGGTGTGAAATAGATTTTATCTTTTTATTTTTAAAACCTGTTTTGATTTTTTCTTTGTAAGTTCAGATGTAAACTTTTCTCTATTGTCTATAGATGTTGAGGCTTCAGCAAAGAAACAGGAGGAGCCTTCAAAAATTTCTAGGAATGCAGCCGGGGAAGATATAGAAGAATTGATCAGGACAAACTTCGATGGCAAACGTTATTGGTGTACACTTTGTAAAATTGTTTGCATCAAATTGAAGGTCAATTGATTTCACGTGACTCGAAGAATCCATTATTCAATGCGTTTGTTTGAGTTAATGGTTTTCCAGAATCAGTGTATTTCTTATGCTTAACGTTACGTAAAATTATTTAGAATATCCGAAAACACTTCTTGAGCGAGCGTCATGTGAAAGCTGTTTTTGAAAGAGATGGAAAAGTGTTTGATCCAGAAATCATGAAAGTGAGTTTGGTGAACACTCTGTTTTGCAGTTTTCAATTATTGATCCATGACTTAAGTAATGTTTAATCATGCAGTAACAAGATTGATCCATGACTTAAGTAATGTTTAATCATGCAGTAACAAGATTGATCCATGACTTAAGTAATGTTTAATCATGCAGTAACAAGATTGATCCATGACTTACGTAATGTTTAATCATGCAGTAACAAGATTGATCCATGACTTAAGTAATGTTTAATCATGCAGTAACAAGATTGATCCATGACTTAAGTAATGTTTAATCATGCAAGATTGATCCATGACTTAAGTAATGTTTAATCATGCAGTAACAAGATTGATCCATGACTTAAGTAATGTTTAATCATGCAGTAACAAGATTGATCAGTGACTCAAGTAATCTTTAATCGAGCAGCAACATTAATTGATGACTTCTTTAATCATACAGCAACAGGAAATAAAAGAAGAAAAGCCGAAGCCAAAGGATATCAGGGAAGTCTTAAAATATGTTTGCAGCACAAAGCAAACGGCAAGGAAAGAAAACAAGGATATTTACATATCGTCTTTGACTGATTGCACCGTAAAAGTCACAGATTTCTCTTGCGAGGAAGGCTTTATGGGTAAGTATATTTGTGAAACTTTCTTGGGTTTATCAGGCCTGTTCACCGTCTCCTTTCCACTGGTTTTTACAAAGGAGCAATAAAAAATTACTGGTACTTATTGAGCACCTCTCTTAGGCGATAAACAATTGCTTTTATGCCCGAAAAATTAAATTTTAAATTTATGAGACTTCGTCAAATGTGAGATTCTTTTCCTCGAGGTTCTGAATTTGTGAAAGCCGTTTCTGGATTCAAATGCCAATTATGTAATGTTTTCATGAGACAAGGAAACGATATCATTCAGCATCTCAAAGGCAAGAAACATCAATATAATTATCAGGTTAGTGTTGAGATAAAAGCGAAGGACCGGTTCCATGAAGCTATTCCCACTTTTACACTCTCCGCTCGATAATGACTTTTTGTGAAGTCGTTATGTTTCATTGACAAAAATGAAACTTTTTATTTTATCAGTTATCCTGTTTAACTTGTTCCTTTTTGCCTTAAAGGAAATTTTTGAAACAATCAAAAATATTGCTGTCCAGTTAGTATTGCTGCTTTAAATTCATACTAAATATCCCCTTGGTAAAAGTGACCTTATACCTTCATACCCTTTAAATGGAACTAATTGTTGATATGTTTGTTTGCATAAATCAAAGGCATATTTGAAAGAAAATCCGGATTATTTGGACAAACAACGGGAAGTGAACAAGAGATTACTGAACATGTTGATGAAAGATGAAGGTCAGGAGGTGGTCTTGCAAGATTGTACTGGAGACAAGTTTGCTGACATTAATCTTCCCGAAGAAAAGGTAGAATAAGTCTCACTTTTGAAAGTGTTGTGTCTATTTAATTTGTTCAGGGAATATTCCCAGTTTGCTTTGCAGTTCTATTTTAAAGTGAACTAATATCAAACGGCTGCATTTAGTAATTTTTAAGAATTTGGTACTACACATTCTGAAGATTCAAGGAGCTTATCGTCCATAAAAATTGATTACTTTCGTTCAACCAAGAAAAGAAATTTTGTGTACTTAAAATATCTCCAATAAAAGAGAAACTATCTCTGTAATAAAAAAGAAACTATCTCTGTAGTAAAAGAGAAACTATCTCTGTAATAAAAGAGAAATTTGTTTTGAAGGAACGCTGCTCATTCCATTTCGAAAAAATTATTTTGTCCATTCATGGAATTTGGTGAAAATGATTCATTGAAGCAAGAAATACTTCGGCGATCATTTTAATTTTTGCTCGTGATAATTATAAACAAATGGATATCTAACTTGAAACAACTCGCAAATCATAAATTATTCCTTTAATGTATATGTATTTTTGATGTTTTATGTTTAATGTGAATTACATGCCAAAGTCAACATACTTTTCTCGCACCCTTGAGTGCTTATTTTGTCTTTGACGCGTTACTTATCCGCCTGTTTTGCTTTACTCTCATAATCACTTGTATAAACGGACCTTTTCATTTCAATTAATTTTTTAGCCCGACGACGTTGATTTTGAAGTGGCTGGTCGTGATTCAGTTGACGTATTGAAAACATATGACGACTCAAAGATGGAGAATGAAGCAGAGAAAGGCGCTGCTTTAAATAAGTCCGACCTTGATAATGTTGCTGTTGATGAAACTGAAGACATGAAAACAGTAGATAGCAACGTGGAGAAAGAAGATAATGAGGAGAAATCTCAAGTTGTGAAAAATGTCGATGAAAAAGAATTGGAAGTAGAAATGAAAGAACATGATGACAAAATTGTTCCAGAGGAAAAAATGGAAGACGAGATGACGAAGGAAGAGGCAAATTCTGAAGAAAAAAAGGACGTCATGGTGGAAGTTGGTGTTGAAGATAATGACGTCATAGTGGAAGCTGGTGTTGAAGAAGATGACGCCAACTTGGAAACTGGCGTTGAAGACGATGAAGTTAGTGTTGGAACGTCAGCGTCATTTGTTGTGTTATTGTTTTGAAAGCCTTGTTTAAAATATTTGGAAAAAATCATGCGTTTGTTTTGTTTTTAGTTTCCTCTTGAAGACTTGTTGCCAAAGCATAAAAGGATAAAATCTGACCATTACAACAAGTCCGATACAAAGTCCTCCGAGTTAAATGTAAAAGAGTCCGATATTGTTGTAAAGACGCCCGATATGGATACGAAAACGCTCGAAAATGAAGAACAAGAGTCACCCGAAACACCCATGTCCAATGATCTTGCTGAGGAGGAAACTGAAAATGTTACGCCCAAAAGAGGGAAAAAAGGAAAGCGTGGCCGCGGAAGCACCAAAGCTACACGCGGGAGACGCAGAACAACCCCACGCACAGTTAAAACGTCAAAGAATTCTGCTGAGAATATTGAGATGGTCGAACGTGTGAGTGAGTCTCCAAAGATGATTTCTAAAAAGCAGAAGGTAAATGGCACCAAATCGTCACAAGTTGTTCAAGATACATCCCCTGTAAAGAAATCAGAAGCTGAGGTAAAGGCAGAACTTGTAGAAACAGGAGAAACGACTGTGGAATGTGTTGCTGAAAAGTTTGAAGACTCTGAACCTATCAATAAACAGGAAGATAACAAAATAGGAGATGATTCGAAAGAGGAAAAGAATTTGGAACAACTAGAAAGCATGAAAAAGCCGGAAGCTGTTGAGGATCGTAAAACTGAGAAAAAAACAGAAATTCTTAAAGAATCGAAAAAACGAGAAGTGGGGAAAGAGAAGAAACGTCTCAGAAAACCCAAATCAGGTAAATTTGCAGAACCTGAGAATGAGGTCAGTAATAAACCAGAAGTTGACATAGAAAAAAAAATCGAGAAAGACCCAGAAGTTAAGAAAAAAACTGAAGTTAAAAAGGACTCGAAAGTTCAGAAAGAAAACGATGTGGAGAAAGAGTCAGGCGTTAAGAAGTCGGATGTTATAAAGGAGCCAGAATTTAAGATGGAACCTGAAGTAAAGAAGGAGCCCGAAGTTAAGATAGAGCCCGAAGTTAAGATAGAGCCCGAAGCTAAGAAAGAGTCTGAAGTTAAGAAAGATCCTGAAGTTAAGAAAGAGTCGAAATGTAAGGAAGAGTTGAAAGAGGAAGAACTAATGGATACGGGAAATGAAATCAATGTAGTGGAAAAAGCGGAAGTGGACGTCAAACAAGAATTGGAAAATGATTCAGACGTTGCCAAGGACGTTGATAACTATGAAATACTGGAAACTGGTTCAGAGTTATCAGACGAAATCCTGCCTTTACAAGATTCTGTAGCGATATCGAAAGACGAAGACGACGATGTTGATGCTTTTGAAGTGATAGATGAGGTTGAAAGTGATAGTTGTGAGTCGGACAATATATAGACTTAGTTCGATCAACAATCCAAGTAAATATGTTTAGTATAGTTTAATTCTATTATATTTGAAGTGTCTTATTTGACTATTTCAACTTGTCAGAGTAGTTTTTACTGTAATTTGAAACAAAAATGTAATATGTTTCAAATATAGCTAACAGTGCATCATTAAATATGGAACTGCTTATATGTTTGGGGGACCTTCAGTTTATTTACTTCATTTGAAACTTGGAGATAGATTATTTATATTATCTATTTCATTATCCAATTTATCGAGCCTGTAATACTAAAGCCATTAGCTCAGGCTGGTGAGCTGATCTTCTCTTGTGACATTTGGCACAAGCAAGTTTCTCCAGTGTTTTCATATTCACCAAAATTTCGACAACGTTGAATAATTTTTGGAAAATTTTTGTGTGTCTCATTGACTGAAGTTAAGTCACAGGCGGCCACCAACTACGGTTTTTTTTATTAAATAAATACATTTAAAGAAACCCGAATGTGGGTCGCGGATGGTTGAGTTTGCATGTGTTTGGTACACATGCAAGAATTTCGATGAACGTTAATGCATAAGAAAAATTTTGAAATTAATGTGTTGAGTAGAAATGCTTAAAAGGTAGATCTTCAAGATTCGCGTTTCCCGTTCAATTCAGTGAAATTTAACAGCCATTAGTGTACAATATTTTTAATCCTTATGTGTATCTTTTTTTCTTTATTGTACATGAATTCTGCGTTTTTAAATGCACTACTTTTGCGTACTCAGTCCGTTTTTACCACATCACAGTTCATCATCACCTTCATCAACACGTTACTCAACACATGTAATGGTATCACACGTAATCAAGTCAAGTATTGTCGCGACAAACTATTTTGTTTGAGCATTCGAGCAGTCTTGCATAGATACAAAGAAGCGCCCTTGGAAAGTACATCAAAAGAGAAATTTTAAGTTGCATTTTTGTGAAAGCGTAACACATCGGGCGGTGTTTGACTTGGTCAACTTTGATATGAGTTGTCTTAGATCGATGAGCATTTTAGGCAGTTTGACAGAGTCTGCGCAAAGGATTTAGTTGTTTTATGTCAGGTAAACGTTCAATAGAACGAGTTAGCGAAAATAACGCTCACATAGCTTGATAGACAACGACTTTTATGGTCTTCGACACATTGCTCAAAATCTTCAAATATGCTCTCTTCAGTTGTTTGGTTCGGGTAGGTTTACCTTTGCAAGTTCTTGATATTTTAAAACAAATTGTGAAAATAGAATTCTGGCTAAGATGGCTGTTTCATTGTTCTTTCTCACTTCGGCCAGCAAACATTGTGTTCAATCTACCGCAGTTTAAATAATTTTTCTAAAATTCTTTCGTTTTCTCAGAATTAAGAACTTTTCTTTCACTCCTATTTTTACTTTAATCTTTTTTCCCGTCAAAATTTCCAAAATACAAAACAGCTGCGTGTTTTGAAATTTCATATTTACTTTCAGTCTTTACCCCTGCTACAAATTGTTAATTGCCAGTATTTCAATCTTATCTTTTTTATCAAATTCATATTTTTTTCTCGCTTAAGTTTTGTGCAAGCCAGGTTTCTACAGCAGAAACTATAACGACGGTTATAAGTTGATTTTAATGCATTCGTTAGGTGCATGATGGTGGAAAACGATATGATTTCCTAATTATTCGTAAATCTTTCCATCACCATCTTTAGCTAATTGATCTTAAATTTTTCAATCAAATTCTTCTTTAAATCATAATTTAATCTTTGATGTTTCTTGCACCTTTTATACTTCTTTCATTTTCGAAGAAGCAAAGCAGAATGGAAAACTCTTACATCAAAGTATATATTCCAATTTCTGGTCATGCCATCACCTTGAAAACATCAACTCATCTTTGACAATATCTCTTTCTTTATACAATGCATTATTTACCCATCATAGCGTGTCAATCGTCACCACAGACGCAATGTTAAACTCAGTGATTGTGGTATTGTCAGGAAAAACACTGTGAACAATGCATATGCTTCAGTGAATGACACTGATGGATGTCAGATGCAGCACAAAGGAAAAGTGGATCAGCAGGTTTGCAGGTTTTTAGCCATTTGAACAAAATTGGATCAAATCCAAAGTGGTCATCTATATTCGTCTTCGAAATATATATTTACTTTCAGTAATGTTTATATCTTGTATTAAAATTTTTTGTAGTTTTCAATTTTTTCAATGGAAAGTCAATCAGAAGCCAAAAATTTAAGGAAGAGTTCCTTTTTTGTCTTCTCTTGAATGGATGACAATCATTATCACCCACTTCAGTTTTCGTGCGATCTTTAAAAAATCGATCTGGTTTTAGTTATAGAATGTTGGGTAAAAAATCGTTCTGTATCCTTTTATCCATTTCTGTGTTCGAAAAGTTTCTTCATTTTTGATTGCATTAATCAATTGTCTGGGACTCCTCTTTATCTAAATTCATTGTTTTCTTTTCATTGGACAATTCCAACGCTTTTCTCTTCACCGCTGGCTCACATCTAATAACTTGTAACAAAAAACTTGTTACCTGGATAATACAGATTCAAAGTATAATATGACTATTTATGACATTGTAGATAAGAAAGGTTGTAAATACAAACTTATTTTGTTGATCTAAATTAACAGAATGTTTTCATCCTTGTTTCTTACAAGTAAATTAAAAGTGCGAAGAAACAAGACGTCTTTTTAGCGTGGTTATTGAACTTATTCCATCGGCCAAATTTCTGACATTATTTTCTTGACACTCGTTCTTTGAATGTTGATGTGAAACTTGATGTATCCAGTATCAAGATTTGTGTTAAAAGACTGGAGTATAAGTTTCTGCTTGGCTACCAAATGATCTGTATCAACAAAAGTTAGTTAGGTTTGCCGAATTGCCGATAGTACAAAATTTTGACCGTCGTCATTATGTTTTGTCATAAATGACGTATATGTGATTTTACTTGGTGTCACTGACCGTCGACTTTGGCTCAATGGCCTCAAACCATACTCAAACCATTGAGTTCTATAATTGAGTTATTATAGAACTCAAAGACTCAAACGCTCAAACATTGAATTATAAATGGCGCCATATTTAAGTTTTTGAAGAAAACTTTTATCGATTGCGGGCTGTCGATTTTTATCAAAAACCGTGGCTATTTCTTCACAAAAGAGATCATGGCACTTCAATTTAATCCACCACAAAAGGTGCGTGGTATGAAAATACTTAACCGTGAAGCTTTTGCTGTAAATTATAAAGTTCCAGCTCTAAAAATCGATGCTCAATTTTGCTCAGTCATTTTGAAACAATTAAGTGGATGCCTATTGAATAAACCAAGGCTTAAAAACATTGTTCCAGATTCAGATAAAGACTCGAAAAAGAAGATTGTTCTTCTTGATCCGACAACTTCATTTTCCAAGAAACAAAAGGTGTTGATAAAAGATGGTAATTGCGAAGAGATTTCATACGAAATTGTCTTAAATTATGCATATTGGAGCACTGATCAGATACTCAGGGCTGTCCTACCTGAAAATATTCCAGAAGTTACTACTGCATTTGAGGCCATTGGTCATATTGCTCATATGAATTTACGGGATTGCCACTTGGATTATAAATATTTAATTGGTAAGAACCAACAATAACTTAAGTTTTAGCATTGAATACTCCTGTTGATTGGACTATGTTGTAGAACAAGAGAATTCAGTTTTTTAAAATCAGTTCTTTGCTGTTAATGACATGAGATTGGAGTATATAAGGAACAAAGTTTCGACATGAGATCACTCCTGATAAAGACACTAGAATGTAGTATAAAAAACTCAAGTTTAACATCAGTTTACCCTTGATGAAAATTCTGGGTGTGCAACATGATAGCTCCATAGATAGATACAATTATTCACTAATTACTTGAAATTCTTTAGGCAAAGTAATTCTAGACAAAAATTCTCCTCAAATAAAAACTGTCGTCAACAAGTTAAACACAATTGATGAAACATATAGATTTTTTAAAATGGAGTTGTTGGCCGGTGAAGAAAACATGATAACCACAGTAAAAGAACATGGGTGTACATTTACGCTTGATTTTTCTAAAGTATATTGGAACTCTAGACTACAAAGCGAACATAAGAGGTTGGTTGACATTTTTCAAAAGGATGAGATAGTATGTGACATGTTTGCCGGGGTTGGCCCCTTTGCCATTCCAGCAGCTAAAAAAGGTTGTGTTGTGTATGCCAATGACTTGAATCCCAACTCGTATGAGGCTCTTGTCCAGAACTGCCAATTGAACCATGTCAAAGACAAGGTTCATTGCTATAACATTGATGCAAGATTGCTACTGAAGCATTTACTGAAAAATGACAAATGTTTGTATTTTGATCATGTGATCATGAACCTTCCTGCTACAGCTGTGGAATTTCTGCATGTCTTCCATGATTTATACTCTGATGTTGAAGGTGTAAAAAATGATGTTTTTGACGAAGTCAAGCTAAAACTGCCAAAGATTCATTGCTATTGCTTTTCCAAAGCTCATGATCCCATCAAAGATGCAAAAAACCAAGTTTTGTTACAATTGGGTGTGATGAACCTGGAAAATTGTACTGTTCATAATGTTAGAAATGTTGCTCCAAGGAAACACATGGTCTGTGTTACATTTCAATTGCCTCAATGTGTTGCTTTTGCCCAACATCGTGTTGCAGGTGGATCAAAAACGTTGCGAAAGTGAAGGTCAGTTATTATTTCTTGTATTCAATGAAGTCCAGTGGCTGTTAATTATTGGCCAGATAGAGCCTTCCATCCGCTACTTCGTCAGTTGTCTATCCATTGTTTCTCATAAGCCAGATAGAGCCTTCCATCCGCTACACTTCGTCAGTTGTCTATCCATTGTTTCTCATAAGCCAGATAGAGCCTTCCATCCGACTTCATCTGTTGTCTATCCATTGTTTCTCAGATAGAGCCTTCCATCAGCTGCACTTTGTCAGTTGTCTATCCATTGTTTCTCATAAGCCAGATAGAGCCTTCCATCAGCTGCACTTTGTCAGTTGTCTATCCATTGTTTCTCATAAGCCAGATAGAGCCTTCCATCTGCTGCAATTCGTCAGTTGTCTATCCATTGTTTCTCAGATAGAGCCTTCCATCCGCTGCACTTTGTCAGTTGTCTATCCATTGTTTCTCATAAGCCAGATTGAGCCTTCCATCCGCTGCACTTTGTCAGTTGTCTATCCATTGTTTGTCATTAGCCAGATAGAGCCTTCCATCCGCTGCACTTCGTCAGTTTTCTATCCATTGTTACTCATAAGCCAGATTGAGCCTTCCATAATCTGCACTTTGTCAGTTGTCTATCCATTGTTTCTCATAAGCCAGATAGAGCCTTCCATCCGCTGCACTTTGTCAGTTGTCTATCCATTGTTTTTCATAAGCCAGATTGAGCCTTCCATAATCTGCACTTAGTTTGTTGCCCAGCGGCTGTTTGTTTTAAACTGGATAGAACTTTCCATCTTTTGCACTTCGTAAATCATTTAAGACACATTCTTACGATTGAAACTTAGCAATTATCAGGAAAAATCGATCAATTCTTTTAAGGTTTTTTTTTCAATTTTCAAGTTAGCAGTGTATTAAGGCTAAATGTAAATTAAAGAAATACAGCAAGTTCAGCGGTCAACAACAGCAATTGTGTACCACAAATTTTCTCGTTGTAGTTTGCCCTACACGTCACACTACTAAATAATGCTTTGTGCAGTTCAACGTAACCTGTGGCTTGCTATTAGTAGTTTGGTGTTAAGTCGTTGTTATTGTAAAAATTATCTTTGTCATAGAAATAAAAGCATCCCTTTACATTATATATGATCTCTTGTAAGCTTACGCACGTACACTTTGTGTACTATGTCCTGTAACACGTATTATAGTACCTGTTGTTCGATCTTATTTTTGCAAATGACGCCTGCTTTCGGCTTGATGAAGAAGCCTAGTGAAGCCTGCCGGGAAAATGGTATTTTTTCCCCTTTCATGAAGAGTTATTTTTAATGGCCATCTTTTGCTCTTAAGCTTTTCACTATTTTTTGAAGTGTTTAAGTAGTTTATCATCATGAGAGTTGGTTGTCTTGCTATCATGCAAGTTGTACCCGTATTTACTTTACAATTTACACAAGTCTTTCTTTATACTAAAAAACTTTATACTGTTTGATACAAAACATGTCAAGCAAAACTTGCTTCTTGTCAAAGGCTTTTGCATCCTAACAACTTTACTTAGTCACTCGGTCTACTTAATAGATTGTAATTATTTTAAGGCTTTTATGTGGCTATCTCTATAGTACCTGCGTGCTCAAGAGAGTGGTTATTCAAGCTGTGGCAAGACAGTTTTTTGTACTGATTATAAACGATGGAGGGTTTTTATATGTGTTGATGAATCATCTTTCAAGTCATTCAATATTTCGTTGCCAATTTTGTGATATTTTCCTTCAACGAGGTCACGTCGTTAATAAGCGTGTAATATTAAAAATGAGCTGCGCGGCATTCTGACCAACGACTTATTAATGCCTGGTCAATGTATGAAAATATATTTAATCTGCAATAATTGTCTGCAATATAAATTCGGTAATGTTACGATGTATATAAATGAACAGGAAGTTATTTCAGCGTATTCCAGGCAGCTTTTAGCCGTTAAAGTTTTATAAACATCGAATAATAAAAAGTGCCTCGAAGGGCTTGCGTGTAACCCACGCAGATTGTTGACTCGTATTGACCACTAAACCTGTAAATGATTGCTGCAATGTTATATACATTAGCTACAATATCTAATTATGCTGTTTTTTGTTGTTTTTGTCGCTTTACTTACATATAGTCATATACAAACTTGTGTAGACTAAATATTTTCGAAATTTATACGTAAACGTTTTCATTTATGAAATGTTTATCGATCTTTCTTGTTTTTTTCATCAAAAATAAAATATCATTGTGACGATGTACTATGAGTTTTAATAATTTAAAGTCACATTGATAATTCAAAACTTTGACGGTTTTTGAAATTTAAGTCTTTACATAGCAAAAACTAGTCTTCATCTGGAGTGATCTGATGTTGAATCTCGAATCTCTGCTTGTACACCTCGTGCACATTCGTGTCTTTATCACAAATGATTTGATGTTGACCATATTCAAGCATGGCGCTGCAAACTCAAAGTATTTTATGACAAAATGCAGACGTATTTATTATTATCTACGAGCCTGCCATAAATTTCATGTACTTAATTTTTTGTATCGAGTACATTTAACCTTCTCATGTATGGAATAAAATTATCTTTATAGAATTGACGTATTCCGATGAGTCAACAAAGAGAACTAAAGTGACCACTTAAACTTTTTCCAGGTAAGCTGCAATTATTTCAACTATTAAGATAATTTATGCATGTATGTAGTAGCGTCCACCTGATTTTGAAGGTAGACTTGTGATTGTCGAGTCGCTTTTTTTTACTTTTTTTTGAAGAACAATCGGTTCGTTTCAAACGGCGTAATTTTATGCGCCGTGTCTAATACTAATTTGTACAACTTCAAAACGTGCTTTCATTTACAATCATTATCCACATCAACTATAAAGGCATGTCGTATGTAGCTACAGATTTGGCGAAAAAAGTTTTTGGATGAATAATCATTTTTTAGCTAGAGCCGTTTGATGCATCAGTAGTATTATGTTAGTATGCGACATTTTGTAAACGAGAAATAACTTTGGTGCGAGGATCGAGGGAATTAGCAATAAATTACTGCCTTTTGCCCCTAATTATTTGTATTTGTACAAATTTTTACTTCGTAAGTTTAGTCTTTAATTTGTAGTTTCTATTTTTATGATGAAATGTGTGTTTTCATATCTGCTATAAAGCCAGAGCTTTTATAGCACTTTTAATACTACGCTTCACAGCATTATTTTCTATCTATAAGTTAATTTATAGCTAAATTATCGCCACTTAAAAAGAATTTTTCGTTAAAAAAGATATTAAGCCGAAACAATGCAAATAGTTTGTTTATGTTTTAAAAGGTTTACCAAATGGGTTGCTTGGGAAAAAACCAACCTGCAGTACAGGAAATGTATATGTTTAAATTATCGTACATTAATACATATCGGCAAATTTTGCACCTGTTTTCCAGTCTAGAATCTTTAGCAACTTATCAATATTTCACTTATCTCCGTTATTAACTACAAACCGTTTAATGCATTTTGTTATATATTGATAGTGTATAACATTAGTCATATAGCCACAGGAAAAACTTTGAAAAAGCAAAATATAAAAGTGTCGATGCTGGTAATTGGGAGGTTCGGAATGAAAAGTTGATAAAGACATTTGTATTTCATACAAACAATTAATAAGTACTCTTGATTCGAATTCTCAAACTTAAATCTTTGCCTGGCCATATATTTTTCCTGTTTTTTGAGCATTAACTTTCATTTCCTATTCCATTTCGACTTATTCTCATGTATCTTTCTTTTCGTAAAACCTCTCGTCCTTTATGGAAACCTTCATAGAGAACTTCGATTAAGTCATGTGACGTAAGCCACTTGTCAAAAGTGTTAATTTTGGTTTATATTACATGTTGTTATAAGTTTAGCTGATGTTTTGAATTCTTTCTTCATGGACAGCGTGCTGGTGAAACTATCGCCTCGTATGCATTAAGTGCTGTTTAGCCATACTGCGTGGATTTGAAATTTTTACCCGTGCTTTCATAATGCAGTCTATTTGAAGAAATTCTATTTTCTGACAAAGTCTTAAGCGAAAAAGTATCATGAAACAAAAGCGCATAAAAAGGCAGTACAAACATATAGTCTACGTCTTGTGTTTGTTGCCTTAACACTCATTCAGACCAATATCGTACAATTCCATTCTTCCTTTTATGTATTTGTTTGCTTTGATTAATCCCTACAAAAATAGATGAGTGTGTCCTTGTTGTCTTTTAAGCACTTTTTAATGAACGTTGAAGTAGTGTTGAAACATTTACGAGGGTGGTATATTAAAGACATCTACAAAAGCCAGTGATAAATCATCCGTCAAATCGTAATCCCTGCTTTTTCTTTACCTGTATTAATGTGAGTGATAGGTTATTGCAGTTGTTCATCCTTGTTATACCTGTACACATTCAAAATATGTTTTGTACATACAAGTCTTTATATTGGTTGAATGTAGCTAAGTAAATGCCAAAGTGTTTTGATACCAAGGGCGCTCACTTTTTTGCGGTTTTAAGTGTTCCGTATATGAATTTGTTGAACGACAACTTGTATAAACGTAATTTGTCGTCATTATGAGATCGCTTATGTTGAAAAGCGTATGATAGCTTTTGTTCGATTGTTTTAGCAATTCTTTGCAAATGCGTGCACAGCTCGTTTGTCATTCAACTCCTTTTGACGCTGATTTAAGTAATTTTCGACGCACATCTTCCCAATTGCATTTACGCAGCTAATGAGGAGCGTTCAAGATGGCTATTTACGTGTTGAGGTGGGAAAAGCCTTTACAAAGACAGCGAATATAACAGGCCGTAATTTTGACGTTGCCTCTAATTGATGACAAATTTTCTTTGGCGCTCTCTATGCAATATCTTTGCCGTGTTAGAGACCGTGTTTATTCACATAGTTCCGTTGCACAGGGAGGTACAGAAACACAGTGTTTTTTTCCACCAGCGGGGCATCTATGTAGGAAGGCGTTTAGAGTAAGTAGGTCACCAACAAGCACACACTTGATATTTTGGTCACCTGCATCGCTTTTGTTAGTTGCACTTGTTATGCGTTCCTGTTAGCTGCATACTATCATAGCTCTTTCTCGTTCGCTCGCACCGACCGAAGTATGCAGAAAACACAAAAATCACCGCCTGTCTTTAACGACAAATTCAGTATACGTAAAATGCTTGCGATCGATTTGGAAGATGAGTTGATGAGTCAGAGCGAGGAGGACAGCGAAAAAACGCGGATATCTGCTAAGGTCAAAGACGCTTCTAACGGTAGCTGTGCCGAATCACAACATAAAGAAGGAGAAAGTGTGTCAAAGAAAGATGAGGACGTACCCGTAAAGCCACCATATTCCTACAATGCCCTTATTATGATGGCGATAAGAAACTCGCCCGAGAAAAGGCTAACCTTAAGTGGTATTTATGAGTTTATTATTAAGGTATGTTAAACAACACAAGTATATACGTAAATGCATCAATATATTAACTCATATGTTTATCAAATATTTTTTATTTTTTCAACATTGTGACGCTCTAGTTACAGTCGCCTTAAATTACGATAGCCAAGTACTATCGTGTATTTAATATAGAATAGAGCTAATCTCGTCGAATACGCAATTAATGACAACGGTGCTCAAGTGTTCAGAATCTCCTAAAAACCTCACTTGACATTTAAATACAAGAGTTACAGAAATATTGTTTGTATTTAGGTATTTTCTTAACGTTATAGTTCCTACAACATACTTCAATCAAAATTTTTTCGTCTTACATCTTATGTCGAATGTGTGTAATAATTCTAAGTAAAAATTAATATGTACTAGCTAAAAATTCATAATCGAAGCTCGGGTAACCTGTATGTTGTTTGGTTTTTGATGTTAGCTATTTGTTATTTTTGATTCGTGAAACCTTGAAAAGTATAAATGCTGTCAAATCGTAAGGAAGGCGTGCATGTAGCTAAATGGCAAGTGTGGAACAAAAGAAGAAATATATTTTTCACATGAAAGGTTTTAATGTAAATGACTAACTTATTTTAACTGTCACAAGTAAAAAAATTTTTTCATTTTTTTCTGCTTGACTCTTAGAATATTCTAATTTATTGTTTCAATGTTCTCATTGTTTTTTTGAATTCATCTAGAATTTTCCGTATTATCGGAATAATCGGCAAGGATGGCAAAATTCGATCAGGCACAATCTGTCTTTAAACAAATGTTTCGTTAAAGTTCCACGACATTATGACGATCCTGGGAAAGGAAACTATTGGATGTTAGATCCTAGCAGTGATGACATAATTATTGGCGGCACTACGGGAAAACTGAAGCGACGAACAAATGCAAATCTGAAACACCGTTTTGCTCTAAAGCATCATGGCTTCATGCACTTTCCCAGTTGGTATTACACATCCCAGGCAAGCAACTATTGGCCTGGTTATTCACAGTATTACCCCTCGTGGGATCCTTACTTAAGTAGAGCAGCGTTAGAAAATCCTGCTTTCCTAACTCGTCATCCACAAGATTCCAGTTTGAACCATCATCGATATTCTGGCGTGGAAGAAGTGAACACAAATCCGATGAGATATTCCACTGGTAACTACTCTACATCTCGTTCTCCTTACTCGATTCTACCCTCGACATCTGTTTCCCCTCATGGTAGTCTCGACGAAAGTCTTGTTGCAAAACAGCGCTGTGTTTGCGATAAGAAAATGATAGATGTTGGCCGGGAAAAAGGGGAAAATTCTTGTGAAACGTCTACTTGCAAAAGCTCATGGTCAAAATCGATGCTGAGTTCTTCGCCTTCATTGTCACATGAAATCACCAAAACTCTTTTTTATTCGCCGTCAATAAGTTGTAATAGATATGCATAGGTCATTTTGAACAGGATTTATATGCGTAAAATAGTATATCCTGAACTGTATTTCATTGCTGTTTGTGTAAATCTCTATTCAAATGTATACGAATATCTTACTTTTAGAGAACTCTGTGTAATTGGTTGCTTTAAATTGACCACTGCATCATTAGTGTATGTATTTGTTCTTCCATACGTCTGTAAATAAATATAATATAAAATGTTAAGCAAATATATCGTATTTATTATTGATTTAGTCTTGTTTTTCTTCACAAGGATTTTACAGAATTTTTGACGATTATAATGGCAGCATAAATAATTAGCAAACATGCACAATGTTAAATCATGGCCCATTTTTACAATTTGTAAAATACATAAAAATGGAGGATGTAATTCGTATCTTCGTGGGTGATTTGATTACAAACGTTAATGGTCTGGATTTTAGTTTAGTTTTAGTAAATATATGTCTTACTTGAAGAAGGCTTTTTAAAGCCACTTTTATATGCATGGTTTGCACTTGATGGTGTACGCTATGACTATATATTAGACTATTCTTGTACTGTTGAGGCCAACGTACATTGAAGTGTTTTCTTTAACCCTCTATTTTAAGAGTTGAAAAATATCGAAAAACATTTAGCAATAACATTGATCAAGTTTTTTAATATATTTTTTTGCAACTCTGTGCTACACGATCAGAAGGATCATCAGGCCATTCAGCATGAAGTTTACGGTTTATACGCAATTTAAAGATATTTCAACTGCCTGGTTATTGCATGACGATAAATAACTCGCACATTTTAATAGTTATCATATCCCAGATTGCGTGGCACCAAACGACTTTCTTGAAGTATGTACGCGAGAATGTTGTGACGCGACAGGTGCCAGTAAGCTATTCTTAAGTGATTTCTTGACAGTTTTAATGTATTTTTCGTGCACAATAAGCACGCTAATATTTGTACTATATCACAGGTACCTGAATATAAAAGTTTGTTAGTATATTAACTACCTGACAATGATGCTTAGAAATATATAAAGCATCGAAGTTTGAAAACAAATGTGTTGTGGTGCATAATACTAAATCGATAATGAAACTGTTCAAAAGTAGAAAAATGTACTTTGATACTTTAAACTTTTGCTTGTTTTGTTTTACTATATTATAAAGGAACTATTTGAGAGTGATTTTCCAATATTTTTGTAACGTAGGAGAGTAAACATTAATCTTTCTATCCGTTCAATGTATTAAGTATAGAATAGTTTAGCAGCAGTGACCGACTATTTATCTCCAATATAACAAGTTTATGATAAATTTCATATTTATTTGCATTAATCTGTTTGAGTTGTGTCAATAATTAAGTATGCCGATACTGCATTACGTATCTAATAAAATTGTCCTCATAACAATATCGATAGTGGCATCAAAGAGGTTTAACATTTTATCGCACAGACCGAAACGCTTGCAATTTTTTCTTACATAGCAGCGTGATTCGGATAAGAAAAGTAAGAAATAAGTTATTTCTTTTCATAAGTGCACATTGCAATAAAAATGGCGTGGGAATTCCCTCTTCTTTACCAGCCAATCAAATTGTCTAATTACTTCACTCAGTGATGTAAACCAATGATAAAGTTAATCATAGCTATATAGTAGATTTTTAGTGTCTAGTATGAAAATGACATGTTACATCTGACTGAGTTAATATTTTACCATTTCCTATTTACTTCTTTCTTATTGCTTGTGATCTTACCACAAGTTTATAAGTATCTAGCGATGTAAGCGTTCCTATTGAGCAAGCACAGCTTGAGCACAGCGGTCACGACTAGCGTGGTAATATTACTGCAACATATTCAAATAAACAATTATTTAATTAGCAACTTGAACAAAGCCTTAAAAACGCACGATGCATTGGGCGAAATTAGAAAAATATACACGCTGTGTATTTCATATCATAGTTTCTAACGTTCATATTCATTGATATTTATGCATTTAAAGTCCGATTGATTTCCAATGGAATTATGTAAATATACCAAGGGGAACGAGACTGTAGTGAAAATATTTTAAAAATGTAAACAAGTGTTTCATCAAAGTTTTTGAATACTGTATACTTTCAAATAGTTAAAAAATTGCGAAAAGTTGATATTGAAGTATCTTAGTTTTGTTCTCTTCCAGTCGAAAAGTAGAACCTTTTGGTTTAAGGTGCACTGAAACACAAGATTCCACCATTAAACAGCTGCATTTAATGAAGGGTGAAATTATTGTCTCCCTTCTGAAATTATTGAACAATTGGTTTTACATAACATATAATTGCTATTTATATAATGTTCAGTTTTCACCCAGTGCTATTTGTGGCACCTTTCATTTGCCTGTGACCATCCACTGTATTGAATAAAACTCTTTTGTCACAGTTTCAATCAGCCGAAATTTTTTCCTTGTGTAGATAAATTGTTTAAGCATAAGTCTTTGATAAATCAAGTGTTCAAATTGTGTTTATGTAGTGTTATGTCATAATGAAAACCATTAACGTGTGTTATTATTTTTGAATGTAAACTTGTGGAAATATTTACATTTTTTCTTCATCTTATCGGAAGACGTCAAGCGGATGCGACCAATGGCATTGCAGGCATCTCAGTTTGCCTTGTGTCCAACTACAACATGTTAGCATTTGTTTGTGTGCTGTGTTACAATATCCCAGCATGCGTGCTCCACCCTCTAGTGTCCAAACCTCTCAAGTTGATATTGTTCTTGACGCACTGTTGGTCCATCAATTTAACGATTTTTGAATTAACCATTCAATGTTAAGCGAAGCAGTACTTTTAACCACACGTAGATTGTCGAGCTCTTGCTGATATGCATACCTTAAGATATTGTTGGTAATTACAGACCACCATCGGTGTAATTTTGCAACAAATTGCTCTTGTTTCTCGGTAGATAACGTTTAACTTTCTCGCGTTTTGTATTTCTCAAATTGTATTCATGGGGAAAAGATATGATGGAAATTTCATACAAGACAAGGATGACTTGTTTCTTTTGCTTACAAAAAGACTATTCAATAATGTCAATTGTTTCACACCGGAAGCTCACACTTGGAGCATATACATCATGACTCAACATAATTTTCGTTATGGTTCAGTCTTGCAAGATGATCCTTATCCTATCATTTAAAATAACTTCTCAGTTCCATTCTGATATGAATAGTATTGGCAATTGTGCTTGCTATAAATGAGTCACTTAAGTTAATTTTTGGTAATCTTTGTGGATCATAATTTTGGGTAACTTCCTCCTATAAACATTATGTTGTATTTTTTTTTATATATTTCGTACATCACGTCAGCTCATTATAACGATTTCTGCAAACTACATTATCATTATGCAAACATTTGTAGGTTGTCGAGATATTTTAAATAGCTAACAGTTGAGTTTTCTACAAATATAAAAACAACGTATGCATTAATTTCCCGTTTATAATCATATCCTACATTACACTACTGCAGTTTTGTAGTCAAAATCATTTCATAAATTGCATATTACAAGCATCTATTCTGGTGAATTTTCATTTCGAATATCTTTTCAAGCTTTTTATGTTAGTAGAAAACCTTCAAGTAATTTGCTGCGCCGTAGATATGCGTTGTTATTGTATTCATTTGCTCTTCGATTCTCCTTCGTGTCTCGTTTGATTTCCTTTCTTGCACGAGCGCTTCACACAAGCCTGGAAATATCTCTGTTTTGTATGAATTTTTGTTGTTCAATCCAAAAATGACATGTCTAATGAGGAAAGATGATAATTTACCCCATTTGTTAGAGCCAATTCAAATACGCGTTGAAGAAATCTTGGAGACGGATTTTTTTTTTGGCTTCTTCAACTATATCATTTACCGTCAATGACAAAGTAAATGATATGGACAAGGAATATTGTATTGGCTTGCAAAATTTTTTTTAATCTTACCAACCTATCGTGGGATGTTTATGGTATTCAGTGAAAATAAGGACTTACTAAATTTTTCGTACCTCGTATGTAGTCGACCAAACACTTTGTTATTACTGACAAAGCCTTTCTCTAGCGTCATGAGCTTGTCATTGAGCATGCGCTTTGTTAATACCCTGTTAGAATTTGATTGATACACAAAGTGAGCGTTATTGTCATTGCGTATGGATTAATGCGGGGGAGGGGTAGGTGAGTTTTTGGGTGAGTTTTTGTCATACCTTTTCTTACTTGCATTACGTATTCTTTCGTCCAGTGCTTTTGCTGAGGCTATGAATGACTTTATTGCCTCTCTCAAGTACACTATTAAAGGGAGATAACTTTACTTAAATAACACTATCTCACAATTGTTATCTAAAAATGCGGTTTTGTAAGATTGTGAACGTTGCTATTCTTAACCTAGAGTGATTTTATTTTAGCACTAAACTAATTTTATACATCTCGTGCATGATTCCATTCATAAGTTCTCATAGACGCCAGTCCAGGGCCTTAATCTGAAGTTACATAATGTTGAAACTTGAACCAATTGTGGTATAAAAACTAGTGTATCGGAAGTGCTTATTTCCAACCTAATGTAATGTTGTTCTTCTTCAATACAAAGCCATATTTTCTTTTGAAGTCATTTAATCCACGTTGGAGTTTCTCTCCGTATTTACTCGCTTTCATTGGTAGTAGCTCATTATCCGCTAGTGCCAGTGCAGTGCGCGCCATCACCTTAGCAACAGCTCGATGGATATAAAAGTGGGGATCGACAAAGGTAGTCACATAGTGGAAGGTGTCATGCAGGGAGTGATAGGTCGGATATCCAAAGTTTACCTTTAAACATATTGAAATGGCCATTCTTTTAAATTAAAAAGTAACAAATGATTAAAAGGAAGTTGTACGCAAAATATGGATTTTGTCCGTTTTGACGACTGTGAAATGCACCTGTAAATCCTGTTTGTTGAACACAAGCGAAATGCGAGAAATGATTTAACATCAGACCTGTGCCTTACTTTGCTTGCAACATATCTGATCTCCGCACTCGGAACGCCCAGATGTTGGTTGAATGACATATAATCGCTTCCTGCTGCAATATCACCTATCCTATAAACGTAGCAGTAGTCAGTGCTTTTTTACTATATGCTATACTTCATTTACCTTATAATTTATAAACATAGTTTTACTAATTGCCCTATCAGTATATACTATACATTACATAAAAGAAACTATACATATACATATACATATACGTTTGAAAATTTGTAATCCAGGCATTTAATACATAAAAGATAAAAGTTTCTCCGGATTTAAAGTGAGTTTTATTAAAATGTATAGTATAAAGTATATGTATATACATATACATATACTTTATACTATACATTATATTTACCTTGGATCATTATTATTTCCGGATGGAAGATTTCGGATCCATTGATCGTAGATTGTTTCTCGTTCATTGCTAGGGTTATTAACCTGGAAATAGTGTTGGCGAATTTATGAAAAATTAAATCGATAGCAATTGCATGGATGGAGAGCGAACAGTAATATTTGGAATTTCATGTTTATTTTCATTGAAGCTCGATCAACTATCACAAACATTACATTGCCTCGTCATGATTGGCATATGTTTTCTTATTGAAATTCTCGTCTAAAGCTTGCTTTTCTAGTTTTGAACTGTCAATGAAATATGGGCTTTAGACTTCTGTCCTGACAGTTATGGGGGCTACCAAAGCATTTCATTGCCATTTGACATTAACAATTGTATGACGTTACCTTTTTTGCTGCGCTGTATAAGACGTCGTATAACATCGGAGACGATTTTGCATACAACGAGTAGTTACCTGAGACGTGAAAAGTTTTATTGATGACACAGATTTACAAAGGAATGCAGAATATTGTCTTGGCAAACAAGTTATTTAGAGCCATGCAATATTTGAAAATTAGACCCAGGAATTAAAGATGTCTAAGTAAGTCTAGTTAGCCCGGCAAACAAGTTATTTAGAGCCAAGCAATATTTGAAAATTAGACCCAGGAATTAAAGATGTCTAAGTAAGTGTAGTTAGCCCGGATTGAGTTAGGAGTTCCTAAATGATAACTTGTCAAATTAAAATTATCCTATGTATATCGTCTGAAAATATTAACATCATCCTGTATTTGCGAATGTCTAAGTACAAAATGGCAATAGAAAGATCTTGCATGGATTAAATAATTATCAGTTGCTTGAAGATGAAATGAAATGGTCCAAATAATTGCTGAAAAATGACTTTAGATTTTTTCAACATCATTTCACACTTAGTTTAGTACCGGTCAACCTCGGGGGCTGAGCTCTCTTTCAAATTATTTTTTCTATCTTTTTTTTACCAGTTTTCTGCTTCATTATCAGTTAAAATGAATTTTTATATATTCAGTTAAGCTATTTATCGATAAAAATACCACACCTCTTACGGGCGAGTCTATATTCAGATAAGCGACGCTCTCTTCACGTAGGATTTGCGCAAATTCCTATTATAAAGATGATAAATGTTTGCGATGAGCCATCACATGAAGGTCTCGTTACTTTAATTTGCACAGAATTAATGATTTTTTTTGTCAAAAATTTTGTGCGATGTTCACATTGGTGAATTTCTCGCTCTGAAAATTTTTGATTGAGGGAATTGCATATTTGGTCTGTTATGTTATAATTTGATAGTGCATGCCTAAATAACATATATAGATATTAACATTTACTGATGAAAATTCAGTTATAACAATTTTAAAGATTACCTCTACGTATTCTGTTGAGCCAATCATTCCATATTCTTCGCCTCCCCAACTTGCTAGTAGAATGCTTCGACGGGGGCGCCAGCCTTCAAAATTGAAAATTGTCGAACATTTTTATTGAAAACCTTTACTTATAGAATAAGTTTATGTGCAACTAAGTTCTGTTGTTAATGTCAGGCGCTGCATCTTCTTTATCAGGCTCTACCAAATAGAATTATTGCCTCAGTGACGTCAAGATGACGTTTCTATGGTAGATTGATAGACATGGGTTCGATTGTTTGTTGATAAACGCTATCTACTGGATGGCAATAATTTAAATTGTTTCAAAACTTTCTTTCGTGACAAAAAGCTACAAATAAAACTCGGTGATCCACATTAATCAAAAGATAACAAAGTTGACAATTTACTTTCTGTGGTATATTTGTGCTATTACCTTTTTTCATGGCTTTTCCCAGAGCTTTGCCGATCTCGATCAGACACGCAGTTCCTCCACTCGGGTCCACTCCCCCAAATATCCATGCGTCACGATGGTTTCCTATGATGACATAACGATCTGAAAGTGTAGTGCATTTTTTAGTTTGTGAGTTGCTGTGTGTGTATAAAACGCGATGTATTTTTCATACCTAGTTCATATTTCCCACGTATTAATCCAACCACATTATAGATATTTTCCCGGCTTTCTTCATTGTGCACCTCGAGACGAACTTTCCTGGAAAAAACATAAAAAATTCTGGAAAAAGATTTCTCGAGGTTTCCCGTATTAACATAACGGCTACAGGATTTACTTGCTTCACAAATAATGCTTTGAATGTATTTGACATTTAGTGATATAAATTTAAGTCAATTTAAACAAAATAAAAAATGTTTACCGTGTTTGCACAGGCTTGTGCAAACCGAGGAGACCTTTAGGAGAACTCGAGAGTTGATAAGCGCATGCCGGAGATAGAAGGTCGAGTGTTGCTCCTCTCGAGACTTCTCACAAACGTCTCCGAGGTTTGCATAAGTGATTGTCTTAACAACTATGACTCACCAGTGTTGATATGTCTTCTGAAATCCTGGTCCGATATTATATGTTGTGTTTAAACCACCTTTCCAGGATTTGGGAGTTGCTACAGTCTCTTTCAATTTGCTATATATATTGTAACATAAAAAAGAATGGGCATTGCACATATCAATGATGTTGATATAAGTACAGAAAAGCTGTGTACTTCGATTTTAATTGGGTTTGAATTGGCTAAATAATGTTTTACAAGACTAATTTTGCGACAAACCTTATGAAATGAAATGCATCACAAGCCGAAATAGGATAAACTGGAATTGCTGAAAGATTTTCTTGGCCTCTACTCGTTCTGTATATGCCATCTACAAATGATTCAAGAATCAATTAGTTTACATGTTGATTTTTTAGGATAAGAAAGATCGGTTATTGTAGTGAAGATGTGTGCATTATCGAAGTTAAAGTGGAAGAATTTACGGGTATGCTTTCATAAATCGATACGTGGATTTTTGTCCTTGCATGGGATTCTCGGATGAGAAACGAGTTTTAAACGTGCTTAGCAATGCGAAATTCGTCGACAACTACAAAAAGTTTGGAGTCTTCTTTAAAAGTGTGCGGTCTAAGTTGAAAGTACTTTGTGAACTGTATCTCATCTGTTGAGTTTTAAACACCAATATTAAATAAAACGGCAAAGTTGCATCATTCAAACCTATTGAGGGGTAACCGTGTGTTTCAGGATCACCAATTCCCATGCGAAATGCTCCACGTTGTACCCCGGTGCATGGCAGATATTTGCTATGTGGGTAGGTATCAGAGACTGGGGCGAACTCAGCTGGATCATTGTAAACCATAACACCAATGGCTCCATTCTCACTAGCCATTCTTACCTAAAGGTGTAAGGCAGTTTAATTTTTGCGTCGAATTGGATATAAACACGGTCAGCCAAAGTTGTAGCTATCTTTAATAGTAACTACAAATTGTCATATACTTAAAACCAAGGACATATATAGTTTTTACGTCCTGTTGTTATTTCTATCAACAGTAATGATAATGCATATAGTTACGACCATTTGTCACAGGGAAACGTATAGCGGTTAGTTATATCAACCTTATCTCCTCGAAAGTTTTTGCCGTATCGTACGATGACAATTTTTCCTTCGCAACTCAAATCGTTTCTCCTCAAATAATCGAAGTCTAGATCGGTGCCGTAGTTGACGTAGATAAGATCAGCCTATTGTGAAAGAGCTTTTTTTATAGAGAGGTTTGATGGGCTTATGGAATTGGTCCTTTTTGTCGTTTTTGATCTTGTTCCCCTACTTTTGTGTATGTCATAGCAAGGATAATAGAAACAAAATCAATGTTCTTGATCTCTTATAATTATGTCAAAGTGATGATGGTACATAAAAAATCTATGTACTTGATCTCCTATAATTATGCTATCGTGAAGATGGTGCATAAGAAATCAATATACTTGATCTCTTATACTTATGTCATAGAGATGATGGTACATAAGAAATGGATTGAATAGTTTTGTGGCGTTTTCGTACTTACTGTAACATTTCCTGATATAGAGTAGGCGGCGAAGGACGGTAAAGCGTTGTCGTTTTCCTCTGAAATTTCAACAGGCTTTTCGCGAGTTTGTGTTGTAAATTTCACCTTACCATTACTGTTTATCAAATACCCTCCGCTTTGTTTTTCTTTTGAGGGGAAAGATAACAAAACATTGTAGCGGATTAACTTGGATGGAATGCCATATTCTTTTTCCCATTTGTTTTTTATGTATAATGCAAGTTGGTAATTTCGTAGCGTGCCAGCGCTATGTGGTTCTTTTGTTAAATATCTATAAAATTAACGAGAGTCTTGAATTATCTTATTTTCAAACTTCAGTCCTTGCATAGTTTAGAATTAATCGAGTATGACTGTTTTCATCAGGAGTTTTTCAATGTTGAAATTGTAGTTCTTATACACTCTGTGCAGTGTCTTCATCAGAAAATGATCTGATGATGAAACTTGAGTTCTTATATACTCTAGTCTAATGTATATTAAATCGTGAGTTATTGTATACTCAAGCTTAGTTCTTCGTAAGGATTGATCTGATGTTGAAACTTGAGTGCTTTTATATACTTCATTCTAGTGTCTTCATCAGGAGTGATCTGGTGTTGAATCCTTGAGTTCCTTATATACTCTATCGTTATGGTGCGTGCATGATCAGTTGAAGGTATTCGGGCATTAATAAGGATCCATCATATTATTTACCTCAAGTGTCTTTCAATATCTTTTCTGTCAATTTCATCCACAATTTCTTCATGGCTCATGTTAGGCTTCTGACTTGTACATGCTTCCTTTGATTTTTCGACATTCTTCAACTGATTTCCAATCCAATACCCTAAAGCCAATCCTACAATCAGTATTATGAGCGCAATCACTGGGATGCACTTGATAATTGCTCGTAGCTTTCTCTTTATCTTTATTTGGGTATCTTTGTATATTTGTCTGGGCATTTCATGTATTTCCTCGAAATTATTTTGGGACGCCCGCATTTGATGATCGTAATCCATATTTCTACTGCATGAGAGCAATGCTTGGACTATATGAGTATCGAGCGACAGTGTAAGTTTACCTTACACTGTCTATTCTTGCAATTTTATATTTGCGTTGCCTAAATCATCTCATTGTTTGTTTTGAATGTGATAATGGTCTGTTGCTTGCTTTCACGGCGTCCTTACAACAAGAGGGATTTTTATGTCCATTGTCTTCGATGAAAGGTGACCAAGTCATAAATACAACTGCATGACAGCGTTTTTATGGCGTCTTTTTATAGTTGGAATCTCGTTAACACTTTATCAAAAAGTCGAAACTGTAAACTATAGATTTTGTAGTTTGTACTCCTCCAACACATATATGTACTATAAAGTTTTGAAAAACATGAAAGTTAGAAGATGAAGGCCTTATTCAAATTTATTCGTATAAATGCAACGTATAGTATTTTTTACAGAATATATCTATACAAAAGACATAATTCTACAGGAGAAGAACGTGCGGTATTGTTGTAAAGATCATATATAAGTTCATTATAAACCATACAGCCATTGATTAATTAATTTTATAATAAATTCTGAAAAAAGAACTGTCAAAACGATATTAATAAAATTTAAAAGTATAATGGTCAAATATTTCTTTGTGTTTTTTTTAATTGCTGATAAAAGAAGATTTTTCGGCGGCTGTAAGACTTTTTTTTTGACTCTGAAGATGACTTATCGCTTTTGATTTTTTGACTCTGAAGATGACTACTGCTAAGGTTGTCGAAACGTAAGTCAACAACAACAAAAACAGTCCTTCTCAGGACTATACCAACCTAGACGATCTACATTTACAAACATGTAACGATTCTCCCGGGTTCAAACCATTTACTTTAAGACTTCTTTTATTTTTTTTACTTTTTACTTTTGATTTCTTTCAAGAGAAAATTAAATAAAGAAAACATTTATGAACTTTATAAGCAGAAGAATATACCCTTTTATACCAGTTGAGATTGGAATATAACTATGTTGAACAGTAGTGTAGAAAGTCTAAAAGTGTGACACAAAAATGTCATATTATGTCCCGATCCTGTCAATGTCATCGTATATTTTTGGAATGCCGAAAGTATTCTTTCATTTCAAAAATATTCTTTTATTGATAAATGGATTGTTTATTGATAAAAGGACGAGAAAAAAGATTTATTTTTCTGGAAAAAAATTGTGTTATCCAACCTTGGTTTCAAATTGTCATATGTTTTACTTCATTCGTCTTAATTGTATTACTTGACGTAATGAAAAAACTCGAAATATTTGCAGGCGCCGTTTCAATATGGTGGAAAAAAAGGAGAAAATAATATTAAAGTATCTTTTATAAATGTAAGTTTTTAAACAGTAGCATCCATGGCTTGGCGTAGTTTACTAACAAAACATGTTCGTGGAAATTTTCATAGTTTTTCATCTATCACTAATGCAGGTATTGTGATTTACTCAATTGGCCTAAGTATAGTTTACTTTTCAGTTTTCAATTTTTGCTAAGTTTTGCTTACTCTATCAGTCAATGCGCACCATGCCTAAATAATCGTTTGCCATTTTGGCTATTTTAGGAGTCTTCCGTGGTAACGTATTCATAAAAATAGCGTCATTAAACAATGTGAAATTCAAGCAACTATCAAATGTAACAGGTTGGAGACTTGGCTTGGAGTAAAGTCTGTAAAGACGTATATATACCTCATCCTTTGGTCAACACAATTTTGATTGCTTACAACAGATGTTGATTTTTATCTCATATTTAATGGTGTGTATTAGGAGAATATGAGAAACTTTGGAGTGCAGTTACTGGTGGCCGTGGTACAGGTCGTGGAAGGAGAAGAATGAAACCAAAAGACAAAGAAACCATCCCAACAGGATTTGGTAATTATTTTTATGTGTGTGTGTATTTTTGTGTTTGTATATATAGTTTTTATTAATTTTGAAGGTAAATTTGGTAAGATATGGCCTGGATTGAACACAACAGTAGAGATCACACCTCAAAAGAAATTTAAGAAAAGATTCAAGGATGGTTATCTTCTAAAACCACATATGTCAGAGGTATCTGCTGCCAAACCGACAAAACGGTCTTCTCCTACTTCAATACTTGAGAGGGAAACAAAGACAGAAGAGAAAATGCCAGCATGGAAAAAAGCATTTTTGAAAGGAGAAAAAATGTATGGACAAGAATTGTCTAGTAGAGGTTGGAGTGGTAAAACATGGCGTGGAAGAGAGTTTAGGGCACCAGAGACGGTCACAGGAGGTGTGCATTACTTTTTGCTGTACTTTTACTTTGCTCTGGTATTACAATGATGGAAGTTGCATTTGCTTATAGAGCCTCTCCAAGATTTCAAGTCTATTGTCTTGGAGGTATATCTACATAGAAGATGTTACTAATAAAATATGTCCAAGTTTTGACTTGCCATATATCTTCCTAAATTTACTATATTTAGTTACACTTGAAAACTTTTTTAGTGAAATACTCTATCCACTTTAAACACACAGCTTCTCATGATGTGTCATATTATTTATATGACATTAATCACGAGAAAAACATTACGTTTTTTTTAAACCAAGAAACAATCGAAACTGGAAATCTTAAACAAATAACTGTATCACTATACAGTTGTAACAGACATCACATGTACTGTATATTTTCATGTACCTTGCATCTCTTGGACACAAACACCATTTGCTTTCTACTCTATTTCCACTTCATTCAGTTGCGACGTGTCAGTAACATGACTTCCGGTGGCAGAAAACGTTCACAGCGCGCTATTGTTGTCGTAGGCAACGGAAATGGTGCGGCTGGATTTGCTGTTGGTAAGGGACAAAATGGTATCAGCGCTTTGAAGAAGGTTAGTGAGGGTGCTTACCAGAATATTATTGGTTTTAAAGAGGCAATTATTCGTAGAAGATTAATTATTGGAAAGTTACGCACTTCTCTTGTATTATAGAATACTAGTTATTAATCTTTTGTTATTATTTTATACACTCAGACACATATTGCTTTCTATAAAAGTGCATTACTTCCATATTTTCTCATTGATCGTAAAAGTTCATTCATTACATCACTGTATTTAGGCCAAGAACAAAGCGGCAAAATATTTATATTATGTGAATCGTTGTGAAGACCGCACAAGTATGTTTGATTTCCATCTATTTGTTATGGGTATGGATGGTTGTGCATTGTATAGTGAGGGTTTATGATTGGTTGATGGATGGTTGTGTATTGTATAGTGAGGGTTTATGATTGGTTGATGGATGGTTGTGTATTGTATAGTAAGGATTTATGATTGGTTGATGGATGGTTGTGTATTGTATAGTGAGGGTTTATGATTGGTTGATGGATGGTTGTGTATTGTATAGTGAGGGTTTATGATTGGTTCAATGTACATTGAAGTACCACAATACGTTATTGAAATGATAAATTAAAAAAAGCGATTTATTATTTCTTATAACTCTTGTCTTGTTGATGTAATCGAGAAACCATTAATATTTGGTAGAGACTCGTTAGAATGTATTATCTATCTGCGTATGTATATGTGTGTGATCTCTTTTTATTTCTTTTTTAAGTATTTCATGATTTTGTGAGCAAACATCGCAAGACCATCATACGATTTGAAAAAAAACCTCCAGGTTGGTTTTTCATATGAAGTTTTCTCGTCATTCGTTTGTGTAGAGGTTACATGAGAAGATTTAACAGGATTTTCGTCTTAAACCAGGGTTCGTCGGTGTGTAGCTAAATTTCTACACTTATTAGATTGAAATTCTCCAATTTTTGATGTGTATTGCTCATTTGGTAAATCACAACACAATGCATTGTCAAAAACAATTGATGGAAATTTCTCGTTCATAATCAATTTTTCGCCTTTCACTTGAATAATCATCTTACGGCTTTTGTCGTACTTAGGTTATGGTCTTAGATGTCATCGAATAATCCGTGCCGTCTCGGAGGTTCTCGGTATTGCGGACATGCGCTGTAAGATTACCGGGTCGACAACACCCATCAGCGTTGTTCGTGCTGTCTTTCAAGGATTGTTGAGTCAGGTAAACTGTATGTAAAATCTTCGTTGGTGTAGTGTTTTCGTAAAATGTTTGGAATTTCATTTTTGGCATTTTTTGACTGTAAATTGATAAAATTTGAGTTTCTGCCGTATTATTAGAAGAATAAAAAAACAGTAGATTGAACATAGAATTTATCTTAGCATTTTGAAACATCAACATTTTCGAATATATAAGTTCCATTGTTTTTGTAGGAAACACATCAGCAGCTTGCTGAACGCAAAGGTCTGCATGTGGTTGAGTTCCGACCGGAGAAAAGTATGCGACCGGTGATAGTTGCATCTCCGAGCCCGCATGCTGCCAAGGAAGCGGCCAAAAATGGGACGTCAGAGGACAGAGACTACGATTTTGATGAAATTTTTGACCCATATAAAGGCGCCCATCGACCCAGGAAAGTGAAAATATGATTTTTAAAAGCTTAGTTTTGATATAGTTTATGATTATGTTTAGAAGAGGAAGAGACTGTATGTTCTACATTCATTGCTTTACCGACTACTACTGTTTTTAAAAATGCTCACATCTCTTTAGTTCTGAACTCTGGATTAAGTCATGGATGGTGGAATAAATATTTTGTATCCATCTTAAAAATATGTGTAAAAAATGAAGAATAAAGATTTCCTATGACAAAAGTAAAAGGAGATCAATACATTGATTTCTTATGTACCATCCTTACTACGACATAAGTATAAAGAGATCAAGTACATCGATTTCTTATGTACCATTGTCACTATGACATAATTATAAAGAAATCAAGTACATAGACTTCTCAGCGTTTTCAAATTCCTCCTGTTATTTGAAACGATAAGCCATTCCTGTTCCCATTTAATCCTTTATGATTAAAGTACTCCCTACGGAAAAAAATTGCGTGCAGTTTAATGGGAATAGATTTCAAAACGAATTTTGATTATGTTTTAAATTTCAATCTCCTGCTGAGAAATCCATCTGCACTATCAGAGAGTGGACTGTGACGCAGGCTAAAAATTTATTGTGACGTGACACAGTCGGGTATATCTTTCCTCTGAAGTGTCCACTATTTTCGTTTTTCATGAGTAGATTTCGATGGCGTTTTTAAAACTGTTTTCTTGTGCTTTGGTTTTGTTGTGCGCAACATTTTTGCCGTTTGCGTCGAGTCATTTTCGCTTCCGCCGTGTGTTTGGAGGTACGTGATTATTGATTGTTGTTTGAGTTTGTGAATCAATGCCAACTTAGATTTTAGTTTTAGAATGTTGTGATCGTTGTTTTACTCTGGATTTTTTCAAAGCCCGTGAAGATAACATGAGCTATTTACGTAACTGCGTAAGAGCTCTATTGTTAGCGCGTATTTATTAAAAAATAAACATGTATCAATATTTCAGAGATGCCATCTTTAGTACAAGTTACGATGTGCGTATTGTTCACATTATACTTTTGGTTTCATTTGATAAAATATAGATATACTTATATTGGGTTTATTGCATGAAATCATCAAAAGGTTTTTTCCTTGCAATGGGGTGCCAACCTTGCCATTATTTCACTTTTACAGTTAAGTGCAACTATTTAGTTAATGAGTTATATTTTAACTTTACATATTTTACGGTTAAATGCAACTATTTAGTTAATGAGTTACATTTTAACTTTACATATTTTAATTTTCGCGTGAGCACATGATGATGCAGCGTATATAACTCAGTTCATTCCCTTTTTTTCATCAAATCCCAAAGCTGGATTCATTTTCTCTTTTAAGGTAGAAGAGGATTTCCTGGTCCACGTGGTATGACTGGACCTAGGGGGCCTCGAGGACCTCCTGGTTATTCCGGTCCACCGGGAATGAAAGGCGAACCAGGTAAGCTTTGATGAAAATATACGAACATGTTGAACTGCCATTACGGTATTTGAAATGTTGACGTGAATAAATATCTACAGATCGTTTGAAATGTAATTGGCTGCGTTCCAATTTTCAGTTTTAAAGGTTTTCAGCAATATGTAGTATTACTACCCAGCTCGTAAACACGAACAATGTGCTTCGTACATCACATTGATCGTGTTTTTATTTTCATGATCTTCATAGTTTTTCACTATTTTCTTCTTGTACATTTATAACATAGGAACACCAAATGGACCTCCAGGACCTCGAGGAGAAAAGGGTGACATGGGTTCTCCAGGATTCGATGGATTGCCTGGTGCGAAAGGAGATGCCGGGATGAAAGGTGACGACGGTAAGAAGGGGATACCTGGAGTTCAGGGTCCACCAGGACCGAAAGGAGAGTCGGGTAATATAAACTTGTTGTTTTCTGTAAATCTTCTCGTGTGGCAATTTCAACTAACGGAAACATTCTCGAAACCACTTCGAAACAATAGCGTTATCTGTTTTAATTTTTCAGGATTATTGCAAAAGTTGAAATGCTCTTTTTCCCAGACTCTTGGAGCCGAACACGCATGCCCAGACGTAAAGCACGTAGCGACGAGTTGCTCGTGCTACCCATCATGCACTTCCTGGTATCTTATGGATTTTCGCACTTGCCGTTGTGAATGCAACGTAAATGCCACTATAGCTCAAAACAAGTATTTCAAGACAGGCGCCATTTGTTGTAAATTGGAATCCTTGCTTTCCACTTTGTAAAATGAAAATTTTCTTTTAGAAATCAACAATGTTCTATGTAATAGATGAGATCACATTGTGTTTACAAAATATTTTATGGCAAATTAAAGCTTTCAATGTTTGATGAAACAGGCTTGCAAAATGGGCTTTTTTTTCTTGGCGTAGTTGTTCAAAATAGAACCTAAGACAATCATTATACTCAACTCCTCTTTTTCAAGTTTTATTACAAACACATCATTCAGCAGGTTTAATTTGCATCTCTAAATTATCTTGATGTTCCCTTCTTTACTTTGGTTTCAATAAACAATACATGCTTGTTCACTAGAAAATGTAGAGATAAAATCCAATGAAGTAAATAAAAGAAAATGAATACTTGTGATCAATTTGATATGTAACATTAGCAAGTAGCAAGCAATCATGTACCGATTGGATCATGTTTCATTAGCATCAGCTTATCTGGCCTTGTTCTGTTTCTTCTCATGGTGTAAAAATATCCAGTTCCCGCTGCACTCACCAAACGCACCAAAATGCTTCTTCATAAAAAAGCAAACAAAATAAACATTGCATTTGCCATATTGCCTTTAAACGACAATGAACCATAGCAATGTGCACTGGATTATGTAATGTTCAATTTATAAGTACTTACTTGCCTTTGCCTTTAGCCACTAAACAAAAAGTCGATTATATTTTTTATTAGTTATAACTGCCATGAAAAGTTGACATAATAAAGACAGCTGCATTTATAATTTTGTAAAACTACACTTACTAATGGCACAGACAGATGAAATATTCGATGTTTGTTTGATGTTTTATAATTTAGTTGCCCACGAAATCTCGTAAATATTACATTTTTCTATATAAGAAATACTTGGGAAACATGCACTTAACTTTTTTAGCTCATCCTCCATATTGGACTAGTGTGCCGCAAAGAGCTGTGGGATATTGCGTATTTTTGCCATGATTATTGCCGGGAAATTTAAATTTAAAAATTCAAAATAGTAAACATGGCGACAGAAGATGCAAGGTGCCATTAAGTTTTACAGTTATTTTGCTTTTTCACAAAGGTTTTTATATACTGTTTGAAAAAATTTTATACTTGAAGCAAAACTTCCGTATTTTTAAAGGCTTGTCACGATGATACAGAGGCTGGCAAGCGATATAATATCGGAACTCCGATCAGATGTAGCATTGACTAGTCTTGCACAATGTGTGGAGGAACTGGTTTTGAACTCAATTGACGCCAATGCCAACAGCATCACTGTCGACTTGAGTTTATCAAAGATTTATGTGGAGATTTCTGACAATGGACATGGATTGCTTCGAGAGGATTTAGATCGCATAGCTCAAAGATATTTTACAAGCAAATGCCACGACGTGAACGATTTATCAAATTCCTTATCATATGGTTACCGGGGTGAAGCACTTGCTAGTTTAGTTGAAATTTCGGAGCAGGTCGAGATAACAAGTAGACGCAGAGAATCGAATCGTACTTATTGCAAACTATTCAAAAAGGGTCGAAGCATTGGCATTCACGAAAGCCCCACTATTCGGTCGAGACATGGGACAACTATCAAGGCAAGCGATATATTCTACACGCGACCTGTTAGACAAAAACGTATCTCCGGTAAGGTAGAATTGGAGCACATAAGAAGACATATCTTAGCCATCGCGTTGATAAGTCCCAGGGTATCTTTTCATCTTCGCAATCGGGAGAGTGACACCACTATCTTACAAACAGGTGCTAGTGCATCTGCGATCTCCGTTATAGCCCAAGTTCTTGGTCCCGAAATAGCGACGTCATTCCAACCAATTCATCATACTTTAGGAAAATTTACCGTCACTGGTTTTGTAAGTATGAAGGGCTTTCCTAACCGTAATTTTCAGTTTGTCTACCTAAACAGAAGACTGTTGTTGAAAACGCGTTTGCACAAAGTCGCCAAACACATGTTATCAAGACTGCACGAATCAAGTGCACGGTTAGATTCTGCGTCTGAGACCTGTGGGCGATACGCGGGATTTGTGATTGATCTCAAATGTCCCACTAAATCCTACGATGTCGCGTTTGATCCGAGAAAAACATTTGTTGAATTTCAAAATTGGGATGAACCAATCACATGTTTAGAGGCCTCCTTGAGGAAATTTCTTACGAAGGAAGGTGTTCCTGCTGAGAATCTACCCTTATCTTTAGCGCAATGTGATTCGGAAATCTCTTCCGAAAGAAGACGGCTTTCGTTGTATAAACGATCCATAAAAGCTTGTGATATGAAGCGAAGCCTTCATTCCTCCACGGCAAAGCGAAGGTGTGAAACGGCACAAAAGACCAGCAGTTTGGTAGTTTCCTATAATTCAAGTATGGACAGTGGAGACACGCGCAATTTTTTTACTTCTTCTTTACATAACCTCATTGACTTAAAAACACTGAAAACTTCGCCGAGCAATGCTTCCAGCAAGTTTCCTCGTGATTTGTCAGTCGAATCTTTAACTGATGAAAATTGCTCAAGGTCACGGACACATAATGAAGTTACATTACGAGAATCTATTCTGAGAAAGTTAAAAAAATATGGGGAACATCCAACTGCTGTCAAACGAAGTTCCTCTGTTTTGGAGAGGTCGCCTGAGTTTAGTTCTACGCCTTGTTATCTTCGAAAGAATGAAGAAATGCGGAAAGATCTTACGGAAATATCAATAAACAATGAGAAAGATAAGAGACGACTGGGATATAGAAAACAGCCTCGTCAACTTTGCGATTCAAGTGAAGCACACTCGCCTGATTATATCGATGAAAGACACGATTCAGATTGCTGCCATTTGGTTGAACCTACCCGACAAAACGTGAAGAATTTGGCAATGAAAGGTTGTAAAAATGTAAAAGAAAATACCGAAATGAAAGACATTTGTTTCATTCATAGTGAAGCAGAGGGCCTTTTCCCAGTTCCCGAAGTGGCCAGTTGTCCGAAAAGAGATTTCGACAAGAAACAAGTGGAAGGAGATGGGGAAGTTTTCACTACTGAAACGACATGCAAACAAAAGGAAGCATCTTGTGGAAGTGAAGTGGTTGAATCTTTTGGAGACTTGAATGAAAATGTTGATATGTACTTTGGCTCGGGTGCTCCAACAGCGGCCCTTGACACTGACATGACAGAGAATGAATCTGATTGGATGTTACAGCCCAGTCCTCACAGTGGCCAGCGGTTATACGTCAACTTGCGCACAGGTAATACAAAGTTTGACTCGGGCACTCCATCCCTTGAGGCAGAAAGAACAGTTCACCCTGTCAAAATGGTGTCATGCGTCACAAAAGATAACAAACAGGGGGGTAATATTTGTCCGTTTCGCGAATTCCCTCCTCATCTGACGCGTGATTTCACAAATGGATTGCCTAGAAATAATGTAAAATCAAAAGTTGTTGTAAGCGAGCAGTCCAGTCATGTTGCTGTGATGTGGGATCAGTGGGTAAATCCTGTTTTCGAAAGAAACGAAACGGTAAGCAGGAACAACATGAGTAATGGTGTTTTTGAACAACTGTTTTTCTGCATTAAAAATATGAAATTACAAGAAATTCTTCTTTTTGTTTTACTATTGACGTGTTTGGAATTCAACTGTTATTAAATCGTTGATTTCAATATTCTAGCATGTTGCTGACGTTAGTTTCACTCAGACCAGCAAGACCACGTTGTTACCACGTGGTTCCTCTCGTCCATTTAAGTTCACTAAGGACTGTTTCGATCGACTGAAGGTAACTGACTGAAGATGTAGAAATGTCTCCTTTTCCATCAAGTGTGACATGCCGACGCATATTTTCTTTGTATTCAGGTAATAAGACAAGTCAACGACAGATTTATCATGTGCTATTTCAAAGGTATGTTTTTTTGGGAACTTAGTTTTGAAGTCCACCAATTGATGTTTGAGAGCGAAACAATGGTTGGTGATATTTAGAAATTGTTAAAGACCTGTATCTTTATTGCTCATATTCTCCTGGTACTGCAGGTATTTTTCCCGCAGTACAAATCTTCCTTATGGTATTTTTCCCGTAGTGCAAATCTTCTTTATTCTTCATACCTCTTATAGAATGTGTAGAATTTTTTTTTGTTCATATTTGCACGACGAACAACAGCGAGTTGATCATTTTTCCATTTTTATTCAGGTGTTGAGGACTGTTTTCTTATTGCCGTCGATCAACATGCAGCAGACGAACGTGTTCGATTGGAACGTTTCTCAAAAGGTGAATTCTGCTGACATAGATATATAGAAAAAATCGGGCCTGCCTGATGTATTGAAATATGACATATGATGTACCGAAATTATGTTATTATCATCACTAGAAGGTACTTTATGTTCCTCTTTCTCAGTGGCGCAGGGATAATAGCATAATTTTGATGGGATGTATTTTTCTTGTTATTTTTACAATGAAGAGTATAATCTTAAAAATTGTAGGGTATGTGCAGCAAATGTCCCAAATCTTTTGCTACAGCTGTTTCTTTTCTATAATCTCTTAACAGGATGCTGTTTGTTTGGTTCCCGCAAGGCACTTTTATTCCATCATGATATAGTCATGACCAAGGAACTAACATGAAGCATGATCATATTTTTAGATGTGTTCAAACATATTTCATCGACCAGAGTTGAGTTAATGTCCACGCGTTTGTCTGTACCATGTGTTCTCTCCATGTCGTCACATGACATTCATATGATGTTGACCCTCCGAGATAGGTTACGCCAATTGGGCGTGGTGTTCGAAGACCCAAGACTGCAATCCAGTGACTTACAAAGCTCAGTAGTTATTAGGAATGTTCCTTCTGTATTTTCAGTCAGCAATGATTCAGAGGGAAGGGAAAAACTGCGATCCGAAATGAAGAATTTTATCGAGGTGAGATTTTGACCGTTTATATGTGAAAGTAGATTTTTAGTCAATCAAGATTTTTTTTAATCCTATTAGTATGTTTCCAACGAGTTATTTTTGCTAGAACTTTTTAGTGTGAAACTGCTAAATACATTAGAAAAAGATTTCGAGATGAAAGTCTCATAATTAAAAATCATATTCTTTCGGCTTGGAATTGCCATCAAAGTTATTCTTTCATCATGTTTATACTTGAATTTTTAAGACTTTGAATCGAGTGTTATATGTTTTCAGGATCTGGTCAAGGAACAGATAGAGGTATGTCGGTAAACAGTTATAAACGTTTCAGTGCGCAATTGTTTGGAGTGCCAGCTTATTTAATACTCCCGTGAATATTATGATCTTGATGTTATACTAACATGGGCGAATTGGTTTTAAAAAATTTAGAAAATGCTCTTGTCCAAGGGCGATTCTTCAGTTTCTTCTCTTCCAAAAGCGATCACAAAAATTCTGCACTCTAAAGCTTGTCACGGTAAGTGTCATGTGAATTCGAAACTTGCCAGACATTTTCTTTATGCTAACAAGTTTGTTTTTGACGAATCAACTTCCTCATTTTCATGGCAAACTTGTTTTCGTTCGACGTTCGTTCGAAGTTGATTTTCTCGTATTCATAGCTAACACGTTTTCCTATCACAAATCTAATTAGTAATAACAATGGCTAACCAATTTTTGTTTAGGCCACTATCAGAACTAAATTTCTTGGTTGAAAAGCTGTCATAGTCTTTTCTAAAAAAGGCTTCTATCACGAAGATCTTAGCAAACTCTCCCCTTATACTACAAAAGTAAATTGATGAAAAAATATTCAGGCATCTTCTCACTCTGAGCATCGTTTCACACAATCTGACGAAAATCAACCTAATTTCCTATTCTTTCTCACCGCAGGTGCAATTCGCTTTGGTGATCATCTTTCCACAAAAGAATGCGTAAATCTTGTAGCGTTGCTCTCTAAATGCGATTTGCCATTTCAATGTGCCCACGGAAGGCAAGTGAAGTACAAACAAAGACCGTAAAATCAAATGATTTTTCTCACCGTCCCATAATGCACCCGTAAGCAAAGTAAACCGCCTGAATCCTCATTACAGCGTTTGTTTTTTAGACCTTCAATGATTCCCTTGATAAATACCCAGATTATTCAACATCAAAAAGCTTCCGAGGTATAATGACAGATTTATGTGTATACTTAAGCTTTCTAAGAAGCTTGTTTGTAACGTGTTTTATTATCATATGTTTCGGTAATCGCCCGGCAGCTGGCGAAGTAATTTGTCTGATAAATTCTTCATGCATTCGCTGCAGGGATCTTTTGATTGCCATTTATTATAATTTAAAACTTAAAATGTTTCAAGATTTTAGACAACGACAAGCATAGTTTTTATGGCATTGTTTGAAATGGAAATTACATGGAGAATGCTGATTTTCCCCCCCAGCTGTTTGTAAGTTATCATGCCAACGGCTTGGAAATCAGTGAATCAATTAAAACGTTCATGCTTAATTGCTTACAAGGTTAAATATGAAATGATGGGAAACGATGATAAAGTTTAAAAACCCATAGAAATGAGACGATTGTTTTTGTGCGATCATAGACATTTCACTCTATGAGAGTGCGTAGTGCCATCGACATGATTGCCGTAACTCACGAGAAGGTTGTGCACGTAATTAAAATATGTTCTTTAATTTATCTCATTCAAACAGCTTGGGCTACTTTGCTTGTGTGTCTCTTTACAGATGTCGAAGTATCCTCGAATCTCAAAGATAAGAGAACGGATAACAGGGAAGTTAAAAAAATAACCTGCTGTTTTTTGCTAACTACGATGTATTTGAAGTCGCTTTTAAATCACGTGAATTTTCTCATTTCCGTGACGACTATGTATATATGTGGTGTTTCTGTCAATTATCACCATTCTATTCCATAAAGACGTTAAGATATATATAGATGCAGCTCTGGAAACATCTGAGAAGCAAATGTCACGTGTTTCATGCCACTAGCGCATGTTTCCCGACCATTACAATCAACTGTAACTCGTTATGGATACAGGTTCCCGAAAGTATATTTATCGCCCACTTATGACGCCCTCGCTCAACACTTATTCAGTTTTATATTCAACGCATGTAGAAAAAAAATGTAATAATCGCTTGAGGGCTGTATGAAATTTGTGGTTCACCTGCCCTTCGCGTGACTCTTTAACCGTCTGCATTTGTGTTCGTTTGTATTGTTTCAACATGCAGCGACCAATGCAGTGACCACCTGCGGCATACCCGCATACCACAGTCATCACAATACACTTAATAAAACTCTGCAACATATTAAAGAGCGTTTTGCTAATGACAAAATTATTATGGCGAATGAGATGAATACTTTGGTAGCGCGTGCAAACAAATGCAGCACATTGCTCAATATGGAGAAAGCTGGAAGCATTAATTGAGTGCGCTTTCATTTTGTATATGTATATGTCAAGCCGAACAGGGAACAAAACGCCTTTCTTATCCGAAACAAATATTGCTTATAACAAATAACTATGCAAGCCATGCCACAGCCTGTTGATGAAAACCCACTGCCAACTACCGAATCTCGAAACGATGTTATCAAATTCGATGTTGTCGTTGTCGGTTCATGTATGACTGATCTTGTAAGGTACGATTTGCTCTAATGTCTTTAGTACGTCTTCGCGAAAGATAAACCTTGTTCGTTTGTTATGTAGCTATGTAACCCGACTACCAAAAGCTGGCGAGACATTGCACGGAAATAAATTCACGATGGGTTTTGGCGGAAAGGGAGCGAATCAATGCATCATGGCTGCTCGATTAGGTTGTGATACGTCAATGGTTGCAAAGGTACATTAAATAAATAAAAGTTTGCCCCCTTTAAATGCTCGTTTTAAATCTTTTCCCGAAAATCATCTTTACGAATACATTAATCTTATAAATTGGAAAATCCTCTTGCAATAGTTTAATCTGTGTTTGTGTTGTGCTAAATGAGGTATTGTCTGATGTCACGCTGGTGTAAACACATTTACGTATGTATTTATTCTCGCTTTTTCAGACAAAATTAAGCGAGAGGTGAGGTTTTCCATACTGGAAAATGCATTGTGTGTATTTCTAAATTAAATGTGAAATTCACAGAGTGTTTTCCAAAATGAAAATGGTTAAAAAACTTTGCTATCCGTGTTGCATTTTTAAACTGCCAGCCAATTTATGCCTGTATTCTAATTATTTCATAATTATTTAATATTGATTGAATACATTATAACACGAGCTCAATGGAACTTGAAAATTTGCCTCGTCCTGTTCTGCATATTAAACCATCGACACATTTATACACCAAGCATCATTGTTTTATTAACGTGCGCATTATATTGACATTCATGAAATCAAATTGCCCACCTATTAGTAAATTTTTTTGTTTCTGCAAATGCTATATACGAATAGTATTGCAATGTTGACATTACGACTGTCGTAAACAACACCTGTGCGTTTCTGGGAACATGCCGCTGTTTTTGCCAGATTACAAGCCCCCCTGTCTGCGAGGTATTTGTGATTGAAGGTCCTGTCATCTGGGTTCCTTAATTCACCAAACCCTCCGTAACGTTTGTCACCTGAGTATTCATTGGATTATGAATTACAGACATCCTGTCTTTTTGAGCTTGTAGTTTATTTTAACGATACAGACGTCCGTTTTTTCGTTGCGTCTACACGTGCATGACTTTTCCTCAATACGAGTACATTTTATGTGACATTAGCTTTGAATTCTTGGCAAATTGCAATAGGATATCCCACAATCCACCATATCTTATTCATTCTACTTCTGTTTCGACAGTTGACTGACCGGCAATTTAAATGACTACCTGCTGAACTGCAACTCAGTAGTTGACGGCCCAATATGACTTCAGTATATAAGCCGCGTAATATTTTTTCTAACGTTGCTGTTTACAATTTACAACTCTATTTTACAAATGTGTATAAGTCGTTAGCTTTTTTCCCAATAGAAGCGTGTTGGCCACATTTGAACAATCCAAGTTCGATTTATCTTCCTTGCGCCGGTCCCACAAAATCTTGATAACTATATTCATTGAATATCTATATTTTCTATTGCTTTCACATTACTTGAGGATAAAACACAACAACGACATATCTTAAATACAACTGGCTTAAAAAGTCGACATCCAATGTTCTGCATTGTCATGGCGTTGCTCAACACGCTCACGTTTGTTTGGCCAGTAACAAAACCAACTGGTTTTTTCCTCTTAAAATGCAAAAATGATTGTGTTTTTTCACTGCTAAAACAATAAATGGAATGAACTTTCTAAAAAAATTGATATCGATTTTGCCGAAAAATTTGTATTCACTTCGAGCTGGCTTTGCTATTGCCTGTATCTTAATCCCCGTCATTGATGTTGTGGTAACACATACTCAACACATACTTTGGAGAATCAATGACGTAATATATGTGTGTCTTTATTTTTAGTTGGGTAGAGATTCCTTTGGCGAAAGATACATGCAGAATTTTATCGACAACAATGTCGACGTTGGTAAATCATGATGTTTTAAATTGTTAATTGATCGACAGCTCCGTGTTTCTTGTGAAGAATTTTAAATAACACATCCACCATCTCTAAGTTTTTAAATTTTTATTGGTTCACAAGCATGTGCATGTGAACGATCACCCTTTAAAAGTGGAAGACTGGGGACGAAAACATCTTTTGCAGTGACTACAAGAATAATATTACTTTGTTATAATTCCTGCCTTTCATTTTTCATATAGCGTTTGTTGGTGTAACAGACAAAGCTTCGACTGGTGTCGCTCCGATAACTGTTGATACCAATGGTAATATGCATGAAAAAGGCCTACATAGCTCGTTGTGTACGTTTCATTTCATATGAAAAATAGAATATTGGAGGCTTTTGAAAAAAGAGATCTTTCGTGCAACTTTTGCGCCAGTATTGCCCTAAAATATAACTCAATTTTCCCTCTTATTCATGCAAAATTCTACAAGAATGCATACCCATATCATGTATTTTGTAGGTGAGAACTCAATTGTTATTATCAGTGGTGCTAACATGCACCTGACTGAAGATGACGTTAGAGCAGCGAAAGATGTGATTACGTCAGCGTCCGTTGTCGTTTGTCAACTGGAAATCAAACCAGAGGTCACACAACTTGCTTTATCAATTGCAAAGAAGGCAGGAGGTATAAGTCACCATGTTACTGAAGTCCTTTCTTGAAGAAACCATTTGTTAACTCATACGAGACACACTTAAACACATACAACACAGGGACATATTAGTTTACAAGAGATGCTTGTAGCCCTTACTAATCAGAGAGTTTTGCTCCAAGGCACGAACTTCCTTTAAATATCATAGCAGTTGAAACGCTACCTAATTTTTAGCATTCATACTTTTAGTTTTGATGACTTAAAAGTGACATAGTGTACCACATTATAATGTACTGATCGTGTTTTCCCCAACTACACCACGTTACGTAAGATGTAATGGTCTTCATATTTTCTAGTGATAACGATATTCAATCCTGCGCCTGCGCAGTCCTGGTTAGATACCGTCTTTTACAAGGATAGTGATGTGTTTTGTGCCAATGAAACAGAGGTATAATCTTACACAGTAAATCTGTTCATGCACTACCCACAAGATTTCATGAAAGCTGTAGTTGTTTACCATGATCCAGCATTAAGATAAGTCAGACTGCATAAGTCTTCACAATGACCAGCATTAATATAAGTGTGACAGCATAAGTATTCATAATGACCAGCATTAAGATAAGTCAGACTGCATAAGTCTTCACAATGACCAGCATTAATATAAGTGTGAACCATAAGTATTCACAATGACCAGCATTAAGATAAGTCAGACTGAATAAGTCTTTAAAATGACCAGCATTAAGATAAGTCATAGAGCATATGTCTTCACAATGACCAGCATTAATATAAGTCTGACAGCATAAGTCTACAATAATCCAGCTTTAAGATAAGTCTGACTACATACGTCATCACAATGACCAGCGTTAATAAGTCTGACAACATAAGTCTTTACAGTGATCAAGCATTAAGATAAGTCTGACTGCATCGTTGGAAAAGAATTTCTGAAATTCAGCGTTTTTAGGCAGAAATCCTGACAGGCGTTAGCATTGTAAGTATCGAAGACGCTTTTAATGCGCTGCCTGTGTTGCTGGGTCGGGGTGCAGACAAAATTGTCATTACCTTGGGTGAAAATGGATCAGTGGTTGCAACGCAAGAGGATCCCACTCCACGTCATGTACCCAGTAAAGAAGTTAAACCTTTGGATACGACGGTTTGTTGAAATTTTTTATGTCACATGAGTGAATGTTGCTACTTGGAAGCATTTGACGAAGGAGGTTCAGCAAAATGAAAAAGTACTACGTTCTGGAATTCTTATTGTTTCTGCATAATTACCAAAATATTATCTTAATTTTCATATCATTTGAATGAATTTTTAAAGATTGGGAACTTGTTGTGGTTCACACGATCCACTTTTCTCTTATCAAAATTAACTTCTGACATGTGAAATTTTAGTGAGGTTAATCGTTATCGACATAAGCTCTTACACATTTACTTTGGTTTTGTCTGCGATATACTACAGATTAACAAAAAACTGCATTAAATATCATTCTCATTTGCAAGATGAGTTAGGTTTCTAGGTGTTTTTTTGTTCAGTTTGTATGCTAAACAGAGGTGCCTAAATTGTACTATACACTGGATATCAAATTTTCAATCGTTTCAAAGAGCTGGTTATTGTTTTTCGTTGAAATATTGTTTCAGCCAAATGGCATTGAAGCAATTGACTCATAAACAATCTCTAACAACAGACATTTTTTCATTTCGTTTGTATTTTTCTCATGTTAAATTTACTTCGCTAGGGTGCAGGAGATGCATTCGTTGGAGCTTTAGCGTTTTACTTGTCCAAGTATAAAGGACTGACTTTTGTCGAAATGGTCCGAAGAGCGAACGAGATCGCTGCTATATCAGTATGTGGGCCTGGTACCCAGACAAGTTATCCTACAGTAGCTAAATTGCCACCTGCACTTTTTGATCCGCCCGGTGTCAATTCCTGTCCGCAACGTAGCCCGAAACCAGACACCACAATCGTACAATGTCGAAGGCTGTCTGAGGATAGACGACGTGGATTGAGCTTAACTAGTGAAGGTGTTCAAATGCGTGAGAGTAAAGCACGAAGCCCAAACGATTCTCCGTCGAAAGGCCAGCGAAGATCTAGCGGTGACGACCCACATTCGATGTCAAAGAAGACCCGAGGTTTTTTTGGCCGTCGTCGAAGCGAGGGCTCAGTCGGCTCAAGAAGACAACTAAACGAACAAGGCAAAGCAAATGGGAAGGTGAGTAAAGAAGATAATGATGATGGGAGTAGTGATACGAAGGAAGATGCTTGTGGGCGAAGAGGAAGTGTTCCTCAAGTACAAGGTGTAGTCTTGTCTCGGGTCCAATCTACTGATCGTGAGACAACGATAAATTTTTGAGAAATTTCAACAGTTTTACGTGTAGATTAACAGGCGCTGGCGCTTTTTATCAGATGATATTTGCGTTTATAGATGCTCATAACGTATTCTTATATTCAACTAACGTTAACCAAAAATATTAACAGGATTTTCAAATATTGCATACAAATAGCTTTGAAAAGTCAGAAAGGGAGCGTTGTTTTACTGTCTTCCAGCGTGTTTTCTAAGTGCATTGCATTGATTACTTCTGGTTTGAACCTGACCTTTACAGTAATTCTTGTTACATAAAAGTAGTCTTTAAAGCTTTGTCTGTTTCACACACCGTCTCATCCTTGAAATTTTCAAAATCTACGAACGATTGAAATCATCAAGTTTGATTCATATCCAGGAACGCGACTTCTGTCTCGAGTGATTCGCGTTCATCTGATGTCATATAGATATATACACATGTAGCTGTAATGCACGTAGTGTGATATAAATTCACAAAATATTTTAATTAAATTAATGTCATTTGAAAGAAGTCATTTTTCTTCATTTTCGTTACTCTATTTTAGTAAAACACAAAACAATAGACACTCCGTATAAAGTAAACATTATTTAATGTAAACAGTGTCTATTGTTTTGTGTTTTACTTAAATACTTATTGGCAGTCGTAATCATTGTTCATAATAAGTTACTCTATTGCTCTATGAGATTGGTCCAGGGCAAGATTTACTTTACCGTGTCTTACTTCAAGTATGGCTCCATGTTTACATACAAACGTGTTGTGGGCTCGAAATCCTGAGATTAACATAACAAGGTTTTGTAAATAGAAACTTCGGTTGGATTTGTAATTTCTGTCAAGTACATTGGGAAAGAAACTTTTGTTTTTTTCAAAATGACGCAGTTTTCCGTCTAAAGATGCCACTGTTTGATGTAATAGGTTTTGGAAATGAAAAAATTGCTGTTGTTCTTGACATTGGCGAGGCGTATACAAAGTAAGAATTGTGTGTACTTTTAAGATGTTTACATTACATTTGTTTATGTCTTTATATTTTATTTGTTTGGCTATCATTGTCTCGAAATTAACTATTTTTTTATGACTGTCTCTTCCATGTACCTGTCTGAAGGTTTTTTGTTTAATTACGTTTAGCATTTGCTCTGTCTTTAATAGATGTGGATTCGCCAGCGAGGTCTGTCCAAGACATATCATACCCAGCATAGTAAGAAGAAACATCAATGGAGAGGTAATAGCTTTATCGAAACAACTAATCAAAGGTTGAGGATTCTGTTCAAAAATACAAGTTTGGCTTTATTAACATGTTGTGGCCAATGTAGGTGAGCGAGGAAAAAATTACACCGAATGTGACAAGTAATACTGATGATGGTCAACTGTACGGGATACTTCGTGACTTCATTCATAACATATATTTCAGGTAGAAGAGTTGATGATGTTTAAAAATACTTTGCTCCAAGTATTGAAATCAATGTGTTATTGCACTAGATACCTTCTTGTAAATCCAAAAGAAAGGAGAGTTGTTATATGTGAATCACTTTTGGTGTCGACAAGATTCAGGGAGACACTTGCAAAAGTACTTTTTTATCACTTTGAGGTAATTGGTTGAATTTTATTTTGAGAAAATTGTTGAATTCCTTGAGGGTGTGCATAATGATATTATCTTTATCCACAGGTACCTTCGGTTCTTTTTGCTCCAAGTCATTTGATGTCCCTCTTTACTCTTGGTGTCTCCACATGCCTTGTCATGGAATGTGGCTATTCAGAAACCACTGTGTTACCAGTATCTATTTTAAAGATCATGTCACTATTTCATAACATGTTTCCACTTCTGATTTCCATTCAATGATGATCTTTAATTATGTTAACAGTTGTTATGCACACAATCTTTTGTTGAAGTTTTTTTTTGGAAGTTTTTCTTGACTGTGTTATTTTAGATATATGATGGTGTACCTATGATAAATTCAATGGAATTTCTACCTATTGGAGCTAAAGTCATTCACAAGTATGTCAAGAAAAATTCTCTACCCAAAGATAATTAAATATACACACAGATTTTTTTGAATATTTCATTAGACGCCTGGAATCCCAGCTCATGGAGAAAGGATTAGTGCATATTGGAACTGGAATCAAACCATTATCATCAGTGATTGGTAAGTCTATGAAATAACCATACTCTTGATAAAATTCTGCTATAAAAATGTTTCTGCACTTTCTCATTGCAAGAAAGAACATATTTCTTGTTTTATAATGATGTTGTTACTCTATACAAAAAGACTAAAACATACAGGCCAGCTATGCGACTGAATGAGTTTTTTGAAAATTAAAAGTATTTTCTTTTGTGCTTTCTATCCTTTTTGGCAATAGGTGGTGGCCAAAAGTCATACAATTTCTTATCAAAAGCATAAAATCCTCATAAATAAATCACTAAATGAATTAATGTCATGAGAACACTAAAGAAAAAAATTTTGACAATATTGATGATCCAGCCTCCCCATGTAATCACTGCTTTTTCTTCTAAAATCTGTGACATTCCATTCTTCAAAATCTTTCAAATTTTTTTCCATTGCACCAATCATTAATTTCAAAATCAAAACTTTTTCACTGTCGTATAAGATATTGGAAGGAATTACTAGTTTTATAAATTCCTTTTGCGTCATAGGCAAAAGTCGAACAGAGTAAATCGCATCTCCTAGCACTTCTCTTTTATTCTCGAGAGTTTATGAGAGATTTTTCAAAATAATTTGATGATTGGACCATGGCAAAACAGCTTTGAAAATTTTTTTTTGAAACTTTTTCCATGTTTTTGTGCAATTCAAGATTTTATATTTTTTTCTTTTTTTTTTCTTTTTCAAAGATACTCTTCCGACAAAAGTGCTGGAAGACATAAAAGGTATGGTTTTTTCCACAAAAATAGAAAATTAGTCACCATTGAAAAAGGTTGTCATTTTAGAATGGGTACATTCAAGTGTTAAAGAAGATTGAAATAGAAATTATATGAAAATTAGTGAGCTGAGACTCAAACCAAAGACGAAAATTAAATTCCCCTTGTTTACGGTTGTCAAAATTTGTTTGGCCATCGGCATAAAATAGAAAACTCAAACACTTAAGAATATCTGTCAATGAGAAATAAGTTTGTCTTGATGACGTAATCCTTAATTGTTGAACGATTCTCCACACTGTAGGAAATGTCAAAAATAACCTTTCCTTTTTGCAGTTCGAACTTGCTTTGTCGGACCCAAGATTAGCATTCCAGTTAACGAAACGAGACCCCCGTCGACTGTTCATTCTGTGGATTATCCATTGGATGGCGCTAAAATACTTCGTGTGGAAGGACAGATAAGGTGAGTAGTCAGAAAAATGTTTTTGACAAAATCCGAATTAACTACATCGTGTGCATATGGTCGCAAAGCCTGGGGATGAGGCCTGGAGAATTAGGTTGGCGTGCTGGCTTGACTTAGCTGATTGAAACGATCTGTTTTATGGGGTAGTTGTAATTTATACACTTCTGAGCGAAGAGTTTATTTATATAAGTGATTTACGCTTACCTATTGAAAAACCAACCTGAATTTACTGTTGCTATGAATTTTTTTAGCTACGTTTACATTGTTCATTTAAAATATTAATTTTAACGATTATTTTACTGATTTTTCTTTGAAACTGCTTTAAACAGAAATGGAAAACAGAGTTTAAGTTCTATGTCAAAATATATTGACATTAACGAATAGTGTTTCCACTTTGGAAACTATTCGCAATGATCTCTGTTTAATATTTGTTCACGGTTTCTTCTCCATCGTATATTATGTGACAGAGAGCAAACGTTTGATGTGCTATTTGAAGTTGATGAAGAGGAAAAGTCCATTGCAACGCTTATGCTGGATGCAGTCATCAATGTAAGCTTTTAAGTATAGAAAACAACATACGTTAAATTTCATCTCACATTCTGTGATAGATCAATGAAATTAATCGCATCCTACGTCATCAATTTTCCTCTTTATATTATTCAATTTCCATTCAGAGTTAACAATTCGAACGCAACTAAGTATTTTGATTGGTCAATGTTTTTTAGTCACCCATTGACACAAGAAAAGAACTGGCCGAGAATATTGTCGTCATTGGTGGAACATCTATGGCTCCAGGATTTACGTACGTTAATCTCTTTGGTACATTTTGGAACAGATTGTGGTTTGAAATGGTGTACTTTATGTTGTTTGAATTATAATTTCTTGCAGACATGCATTTGGCTACATTAGACGCCATACTTATAGATTTACAATTTTTTCACAATGTGTCAAAAAGTACACTTGAATATCAAGTAAAACATTCCTCACGCAGCTGAAAAATTTCCATAAAAACTGCTCGTGCCGTTTTTAAGGTGGTTAGCCCTAATTTAATTCTTACCACGCCAAAATTTACAAGTAATGTATATTTTTAGCTTTTGAGACTCGGACCAACTTCATGCGTACTATATCAACATTTTTTATTTTCAACGAAGTTGTATTTTTTGGAAAGACAAATGAATTTATTCGAACAAGCAACAACGCGATGTATAACTACTATTTGGGAAGCGTCATAACGATGAGACTCCTTCAATTTATTTCTTATTAAATTCTCAAAAAAATCTAATATATCTTTTGAGTTGCATTGATTTATATTTTGTTTTCTTTATCTCCGTTTAATACCATTTGTTAACCATTGAAAGTGGATATGATGCTCCAAAGCATCCTTAACTTTTCTTAATAAAAGAAAAGAAAAACATTAAAAACGTTTGTTTATTTTACAGACATCGTCTTCTTCAAGAGCTTCATTCACAGCTTCAATCGTCAAAATATCAAAATCGTCTGCACATTAAAACATTCAAATTTCATAATCCTCCCGTGAAAGCAAACTGCGTCGTATGGTTTGGAGGTATTTTTGTTATGTTGGTACTTTAGTATCGTATGGTTTGGAGGTATTTTTGTTTAGTTGGTACTTTAGTATCGTATGGTTTGGAGGTATTTTTGTTTAGTTGGTACTTTAGTATCGTATGGTTTGGAGGTATTTTTGTTATGTTGGTACTTTAGTATCGTATGGTTTGGAGGTGTTTTTGTTATGTTGGTACTTTAGTTTCGTATGGTTTGGAGGTATTTTTGTTAAGTTGGTACTTTAATGTCGTATGGTTTGGAGGTGTTTTTGTTATGTTGGTACTTTAGTGTCGTATGGTTTGGAGGTATTTTTGTTATGTTGGTACTTTAGTTTCGTATGGTTTGGAGGTATTTTTGTTATTTTGGTACTTTAATGTCGTATGGTTTGGAGGTGTTTTTGTTATGTTGGTACTTTAGTTTTGTATGGTTTGGAGGTATTTTTGTTATGTTGGTACTTAAGTGTCGTATGGTTTGGAGGTGTTTTTGTTATGTTGGTACTTTAGTGTCGTATGGTGTGGAGGTATTGTTGTTATGTTGGTACTTTAGTTTGTACAATAGTGAAGGCTGACTGCGCAGTATCGCCTTTACATAAAAAGCACATACTTATAAACATAGAGTCCGCATTTTCTACTTTATGAAGGACAACATGAAATGGTGTTTCGTTAGCTCTAAAACGAACTGTTAAAACAAAGTATAAAATAAGAATTTAGGCAGACAAGTAATTAGGCGTTACTTCGTCTACTAGCTGATGAAATTCATTGTGGCTACCATAGTTTGCGTTCACTATTTTTATTCAACATCTTTAGATTTGTCCCCACTCCTCACGACTTAGTCTCGGTTTCATTACTTGAAAAGATTAGATAATTTTGCAGTTGATTATTTTATTACTAAATCTATGTCACATTTTCTATTGTTTTCCTCTTCAGGCTCAATTTTCGGTTCGTTGGAGGTACTTGCGGACAGATCTGTACAAAGGTTAGATTACATCAAAAAGCCATCGCTTCCGGATTGGTCCTCGTTTTCTTCCCACAACGAAGATAATGGGGATATAGGCGAAAGGAGGCTTTCAACGACACTAAAAAGAGGAGATTTTGGAAGCCTTGGAAAATAACGTTGATTCCATTGAATTTCAACTCTTGAAATGACTTTTTTTTTCATTTCATGTTATCTGAAAAAAGAAAAAACATACTCCGAAAATGGTTTCATCTCAGATACAAAATTTGAGAAAGGCAAATGCTAGTTTTATATTTACCGTCATATAAGTATCTATGAAGAATGTGTATGCGTAAAAAAATTGTTCTTGTATCATTTAACCACGCTTGTGCTTGTACATTGACTAAAATTTTAGTCTCTGTAAGCTAATCTGAGATTCTGAAGATAAATTGGCAAAAAAATTGAAGTGTTGTTATAATCTGCCCGCTTTTTTTCAAATTTATTCCTGTTCGACATGGCATGGAACGTTTTTTCGGCGTTTGTTTTCTTTTTGTATTATCTGAAATTATTGGCTAGAAACATGTATTGTAATAAGAAATCTTCAAACATGTAACTACGAAATTATTACACAAAACCTATTCAAAATCCTCTTGAGACCACTGGATGACACATATAGTTAATCGCAGGCGCATGGTCAATTAAATCTTGAATCAAAATGTCGCGAGGAACCAGTGCAGGATTTGACCGTCATATAACTATATTTTCTCCCGAAGGACGTCTCTATCAAGTTGGTAAGCATATCAGAAATTTCTCTGCCATGTATTGAAGACGTCAATTGAAAATTTAGCTTTCTTACGTGAACAGAATACGCGTTCAAAGCTATTAACCAAGGCGGACTCACAAGTATTGGAGTACGAGGAGCGGACTCAGCAGTCGTTGTAACACAGAAAAAAGTACCCGTAAGTTCACTTGACGTTTTCTTTAAGCATTGTATTTACCGGTGAATTTGCAGTAAATTTACATCAAGTCTAGAATAGGACAACCATTTACTACTAAACCCACAGTTTGTCAGTCTATCATATTGTATTGTAAGTGTGTTGACAGTGTTGTGTGTGTTGTATTTGATAAAAAGTGCATTTTATTGTAAATGCAGAAAATGGTTGGCATATGGAATATTAGAATTGCCATATCAAAACTTTAATATGTCTCCTTGGCCTATACTATTGAATTACCTGTTTATTATATGACTTTGAACAACAAGACTAGAAAGTTTGTAATGCACACCTAAGTTCTCGATGTGCAATTTCGAAATACTAGGCTTTATGCATGAGTCAATTCCAAGAGTTACCATCCCCCCCTGGGATACCCCTGGGCATTTGCCCTGGAGACCTTTCTCAGGGGTCGGGAATTTACTTCGGCTATAATACACCTGGGAATTTGACCCCAATTAAGTATGCGAGTCGCGACTGTTGATTTCTATTAATAGTGACATTAAATAATTAAAAAAGGTCGTTTATTGGTATTAAATAGGATCTCTCGTGTATCTTGTTTAAGAAAGTATTAAAAAGATGTGTTAGTTTGTCTGTGGAAGTGTTCCTAATTTTTGTAATTTAAAATTAATTGGTCCCGAGAGGGGCATTTGCCATTGGCAGCTTGCCCGGGGGCTGAGTAGTTGCCTTCTTGCCTTTCCCAGGGAAATTTAACTATTAAAACGAAAAAAATCAAATGCCCGGCCAAATTCCCAGGGGAGAGGGTGGTAACTCTTGGAATTGATTCATGCATTATATGCGCAAATTTTGAATCTCAGTTGTGCAGTTTACAAACTTTCCAGTCTGGATGAACAAGACTCTGAGACTATGGCAACTTGCTTTTCTTTCCATTTACTCCATTTATTTATTTCCTTTGATTATGTACCACTAAGTATTTGTTCATGTTCATGTTCATGTTAAGCAAATTGCTCATTCATAGTACATAATTCATAGGCAAAGTTTGTCCATTTATTTCGATTTTTTTGTTTCTTTTAGGACAAGCTTATTGATGCATCTACTGTCACCCATTTGTTTGAAATTACCGATAAAATAGGATGTGTAATGACAGGGCTTATTGGTATGGCAATGTTAAAATAACTTTTATGTATGTCCATTCTTTTGGTTATTTGACTGTTTGTTTTTGAATGTTTAGCTGACTCAAAATCTCAGGTACAGCGGGCTCGTTATGAAGCGGCTAACTGGAAATATAAATATGGTTATGGTATCACAGTGGATATGTTGTGCAAGCGTATGGCTGACATTTCCCAAGTTTATACTCAGGATGCAGGAATGAGACCATTAGGATGTAGTGAGTTTCATATACCATTTTTAGTACAGATGATGTTAAGGTTATATCTTCCTAGTTACCTCATTTTGTTTCTTTAGCAATGATATTGATTGGCATAGATGATGAGTTAGGACCTCAATTGTTCAAAACTGATCCTGCTGGATACTACTCAGGTTTCAAAGCTTGTTCTGTTGGTGTTAAACAAACGGAAGCTAACAGTTTCTTTGAGAAGAAAATGAAAAAGAAACCAAATTGGACACAAGATGAAACAATACAGGTGTTTGTTGTATTTTTAATTCTTGAGTTCCATTTCTATATAAAGTACAAACTCCTTAAACAAATTACTGTGTTGTTGGCAAATGTTGCTAGTTATTAGGCTAGCATTTACCAAGAGCTCTCAAGATAAAAGTTATCAATTTACTTTGTCAGCACCCCCTCAATCTTTAGCTGGTACATTTTTCCTCTCAACTATGTTATTATGAATCCTTGCCACTGCATTTTTATGTTCATTTTTATTGTATTCCTTAGATGGGTATAAGATGTCTTTCTTCCGTGTTATCTATTGATTTTAAACCTACTGAAATTGAGGTGGGAATTGTAACCACGGATCAACCCAGGTTTAGGTAAGTTTTGAATTTATTTCTGAAAGTAAACTGCTGTTTACCTGATGATGAATTTTTTTATTCAGATCCTTAAAAGAGTCTGAGATAGATGCTCATCTGATTGCAATTGCAGAAAAGGATTAAGATTGGTCTAAAATTTTCAAAATGTCTGATCCCTAATGCTATGTGACTGAAGGAAATATGGCACAGTAATAATATTAAAGAGAAAGAAGAAACCCTAAATTGTATTTTAAAACCATTTATGCAATAAACGTTCGCTTTTTTGTTTTGATATTTGAGTTACTTATTACAGCAACCGCATATTTGTTGTTCTTTATAATGGTACACTACATGAAGTATTTGACTTCTGGCGCGAATTGGCGGCAAAGATTCAAAATGGCGACAATAACCAAGAAAGACTTAACTGATGAATTGGCAGAGTTTGATATTACAGTTGATGACGAAGCTGTCTTAGAAAAGCGTAAGATGCTGTATTTTATTCAATTGTACTTCATCTATTTGTTTTCGAAACGTATTTAGTATTTGACGGATTATTTTATTTGCTTCTTGTCGTTGTCTGTCTTGCCTGTTCGTTATTCCTGCTATCAAAGCTTTCTAATATATTTCTTCTTAACGGACTTCACCATTACTATTCAATAATAATATTTGTCCGGTTGTATATTTCAGTGAAAATGATTTGCTATAAATACAAGTTGAGTGCTGAAGTTGTTGTCAATGAATGGGTGGCGTTTTCTGCAAATTCAATTGAGTTGTCCCTAAAATCACTGGATGATTTTGATAGTAAGGTACAAAAAGCTTATATATGCAACGACTGATGCAGTACATAAATTACTTTTTAAGGGTTTATCTTGAATTCTTTAGTTGGCCTGTGATCGAAAGAATAAACCAGAAAAATTTGAAGATAAAAGTGTCAAAACATATAACAAAGACAATATTGATACATTGTATCCTTCTCTGTTTCTTATTACTCTTGCTTTGTGTCTGTATAGTTCAAACAATTGGTCTATTTGCCAGATATAAAAATCTTTCTCATGTGTATTCAGAAGTTTCACTTGCAAAATAATTTGAAGAGGAGGGGCATGTTATAAAATGTGTATGTCATAATCTGATTTTGAAGGAACTAATATGTGCATGAAAACCCCCTCCCCTAATTATTGCTATGGTGGTGCCATTGTCTGTATTTCATTGAACTGCATTTATGTTCCCAAGTATATTTAATGTTAATACATTTTAAAACACTTGGCATATCTTCTTGCATCGCGTAAAACTTGTTTGATAGTTTGGTCAAGTCTTCGAATGAGCAGATATTTTCACCTGATGTACAAACTCATAGGCATATTAGGCTATGGGAAAGAGGGGGCAGTAACCCCCTAACTATTGGGCAAACTAAACTAGATGAGCAATTCTTCCTGCAAAGTTATGTACATTACGTAGGTCATGTGCCTTTCATATACCAGATGTACCTTTTACATACTTTCAAACAGTGTCACCAGCAAGACCTTATTGAGGGTGAAAAATTCCCTAAATCCCTCCCCCTTCCTTGTTGTACCTTGTCATTGTGTCACTGTAACCTGCTTTTCACATTATGTGTTTTTTATACAACTTATATGAACATAACATCTTCAAGACTCCCAAACCAAGCTGCTACCATATTTCAATATTTTTTCTGCCTTGATTCAATACCCTTTTTGAATAAGCAACATTTCATGTGATGTTATAGTTGATCAATTTAACCTTAACTTATCAAAGAATGCCTGAAGATCTCAGCATTTTGCAGATGTATCAGACTCCTGAACATATGGTATTTAAGAAGAGTTTAGATTTTGCTTTTAGAAAGAGAAAAAAAAGCTGATTTGCTATATGTTAATCATTTACCTTTATTTTTCTATTTGTATGTTTACATGATTTGTACTGAAGTGCTTCTTTGTATTCAAACATAGATATCAAATAAAAGGTTTCGCACCACCCCGGAATCCAAGAACAAAATGATTCACACAAAGTTTGGACAAAGAACCCCTGCTATTTCCCCTGCCAGCTTGCCCACCCCAATCAGGTAGGATAATGTAATTGGTGCAATGGTTGCACTAAATAAGCTGTCGTTTTTGGTGATTATATATATTTTTTTGTATTCCGGTAAATGCCAACGACAAACTTTAACAAAGCGAATTAGAACGACTTACGCATGATTTTGTATTTGTCGTGTACAAAGCGCGCCAAATTAGTTCAGTTTTGATTTTTTACTGCCTTTAGTAGCACGCCGGCAAAACGCTACGAATCTAGAGAAAATGCTGGTGAAGTGGTGACGACCTTCAATCCAACTTGTGTCTTGGACGAGAATATATCATGGAGCCGGCAGCAGGATGTTAAAATAAAGAATGTTGTAGACGAACCTCTTACAAAAAAATACAAATACATGTTTCAAAAAATCATCGACAAAACGCAAGGTAGTTTTGTGCTTGGATTTCTTTTATTAGAAATTTACAAAATAACATAGTGGCGTGATTTCTCGCTTTTTATTAATACTTCCATATTTTTGATGATTTTGTAGCTTTAAACGACCGCATTGACAAAATAGCGTCCTTTTTAAAAAAATCTCTCGGTATTGATGAGTTCCAATCTCCTGGCATCATACATCAGGTGCAGTTTTGTGAACAAGTTCTTGATGTTTCTGCAATGAACAAATCCCTCTATTCCATGTTTTGTATAGCGGCTTTAGTGAAACGTCAGTTTAGCAGAAAAAACCAACATTTTTTTAACCCTGGAGTTTATTTTAACTATATAAGTATATATGTTAATCTTATTTTCTTTTCTTGAAGAATGAAGTGTCTGTTGCCGGACGTGTTTGTTGCGATACAAATGGTAGACTAAACGCCAGTTCACTCATCCTTCGGGAGTCTGGGACCAACGGCTTTGGTTATGGCACTTCAGTTTCTCTTTCCATAAACGACGTCAATAAATACAGCTTGTTTCCTGGCAAAGTGAGAGGACTTTTGTTTTTTGTTGTTCTCTATTCATGACTTTATGACTGGGATGGGTTTTTTTTCGTTAAGGTTATCGCTGCTAAAGGAAAGAATCCGACAGGAAAACAGTTCATAGCTTCCTCGTTTTACGAGGTTTGTGTGTCTAGTTTCTCCTAATTTGGTTTATAGCCCGAGGCTGTATAGTAAAATATCAAATCCTTCGATTCTTGTTCTTCAAATCTCTTGGTTCTTGTACATCAAATCTCTTGATTCTTGTTCATCAAATCTCTTGATTCTTGTTCATCAAAAGTTTAATTCAATTTTTGAACATTTAATGTGTTGAAGTTTCAGAAAATATTTGGCAGATATAATCATAGAATACTAACTCGGAGAAAGTCATTTTATGACAGTATTCTATGGTATATAATTTTCTGCATACATTTTCATGTCAAGGTTGGAAATCGTACTTTTCCTGTTAAAGGTTTTAAAATCCAAAAACGCTTTATAGCTACTTTTAATACTTAGGAAATATCGCCATCACCTGCTGAACCAGCGAGGATTCCTTCAGGTATTTATCCATGATTTGAAAAGAATGGCTGCTTTTATTTTTCATCCATCCTCATCGTAAATATGGCACGAAATGCTAGAAAGCAATTGAACTTTACTAGTAAAATATTGGTTTAAATCGATTTGGTGTGTTTTCTTCTCGTGATAGTTGCAACGCTCTTATCTCAAGAGTACTTTCTGAAGATAGGATAGTTTTGAAGCACAAAATGGCACAAACAAAGATATATTTCGATTTGCATGTAATGATTTTTGCTAAGATCAATTTTGCTTTGGTTTGTTTGTAGACTCGTTAAGCATATATACTGCCGTCGGTCCGTTCACGACCACTGAAAGTGATTCCTACGAACCCTTGAGAGATTTCTTAAATGAAGTAACGTCGGTAGAGCCTGATGTCGTTATCATGGTATGTTATAGAAACCATTAGGTCTGAGAAAAAGATCTCGGTTTGAAAGCTTAAACAATTTGTACTATGTTTTATTGAAATCCACAAACTTGCCTGCGACAACCCGCTCGCGATTTTGTTTGTGAAACATCGAGGACCCCTTCGTATTGTTATAGAGAATAAAAGTCCCTTCTTCACGCATGTATTTGATTCGTTGGTGTACTCGGAACTGAAACGTTTGTCTTGAAATTTATTGTTTTTTAGATGGGACCGTTTGTGGACGTGAAAATGAGCTCGTTGAAGTAAGATAATAATTTTCTTTCGAATTCGTATTTTAAGGCAAAACTGATGAAAAAAATTCAAAACGGAGAACTCAGAAGAAATACGATTGTCTTTCGAAGAACTCTAATGTCAAGCCGAAACTGATAAAACTGATAAAAACAAATAATACACAAGTTTCACTTTATCAATAAGTGCGACCGTCTTGACTTTTGAAAAGAAGATTTCGTGAGATTTTCTAACTTGTCTTTTGCTATACTGCTCACGGAACTAAACTAAATAAACTAATGCATGGACTGAGGGTTGATTTCGATAAAAAATGTTTGGTGCTGTTGTTTCAGCGGAAAGCTGTTTCTCTGAAACATTGAACTGTGTTTGCGAATAAGTTGTAACTATGGTTTTCTGTTAATTAACCTGACGACTACTCTGATCTCTCTATTTGAAATTTCATCGATTTTCTTCTAGAAATGCCAGATAAACGAAAGCTTTGACGAATTGTTTGCCAGGAAAATTGTGGAGATTGCTCAATGTGCTAAAAGGTAGTACAGAAAATAGTTACATGAATGCTTCGTGTTTCCTATTCTTATAAAGGTGTTTGATATAACTTTTCTTTGTGTATTCTTTTAGTATATCAACAAAATTCATCATTGTTCCATCGCACAGAGATGTTCATCATGATTGCGTTTATCCGCAGCCTCCATTTTGTGTGAAAGATATTACAAACACTTTTGTTCCACCCTTGTAAGTTGGAATGAGTCATTTTAACTTATTGTTGTAAATACTCATTGTATTGAGATAAAATTTATGATAAGGAGAAAATTGCCTCTGAACATCGTTAATGAAGATATTCAACTACGGGACAGTGTAGTTGGTTTATTATTTTAGATGTTAATGTCTGTCACTTAGGATGCCCCATTTCTAACGTTGCTATTTTAACGTTGCTATTTTTCGATCAATAAGGTAAAATATATTTGAAATTTGTTTTAGAGGACAAAGCCGAAATCAAAAGAAACAGTAAGCACATCATAATATTAATGAGCTGTGATTTATATATAATGAATATTTTTGTTCAACCCCGATAATGAATATTTTTGTTCAACCCCGATAGTGAATATTTTTGTTCAACCCCGATAGTGAATATTTTGTTCAACCCCGATAGTGAATATTTTTGTTCAACCCCGATAGTGAATATTTTTGTTCAACCCCGATAGTGAATATTTTTGTTCAACCCTGATAGTGAATATTTTTGTTCAACCCCGATAGTGAATATTTTTGTTCAACCCCGATAGTGAATATTTTTGTTCAACCCCGATAGTGAATATTTTTGTTCAACCCCGATAGTGAATATTTTTGTTCAACCCCGATAATGAATATTTTTGTTCAACCCCGATAGTGAATATTTTTGTTCAACCCCGATAATGAATATTTTTGTTCAAGTTACTCACAAAACAATTGAAATCGAGGCGGACAAATTTCATCGTCTATTTCACTTTTACCCTGAAATTTTGTCATCATTTATACACCCATTCTATATCTAAATTTATCAAAACTATCTGTACGATTTTTCCATACTTTAGGAGAGCCAAGAAATTGAAAAGATTGTACGTATGTCCAATGGTCAAGTATAAAATTTATATTAATATATCATGCAAGGTTTCCCCTGACCTCATATATACTGGATTGCAGATTTCTGCTCTGCATTTCTTCTCGGATCCCTGCACCATTGAGATCAACGGATTCACTATAGGAATGACGTCAACAGATGTCATGCTTCATATGGGAGGCGAAGAAATTGTTAGGTAGGCGAATTAAAGCTACGTTTGAGTTTTTAAAATTTGTCAATAAAATTCATTGTTTGAAGCAACTGTAGTCAGACAAGCGCGCTATGGTTGGGTTTTGACAATTAAACAATCGTCCGAAAAGGATCGACTTAAAGATCAACAGTATGGAATCGGTTAGATTTTATTTCGATCGCAGGAAAGTTTCAGTATAACATAGTTGTGAGTCGATTTAGCCAGAAACTTCGCATAAACATTTTCGTCCAAATAAAACAAATATTGGAAATTGGCACGAGCTTAACAATAAACAGAAGTTATGTATTTTGAAAGTGATGTACATTCATGATGTTTTTTTTCTTTAGTCCTCCAGGATCTACTGACAAAATGGGCCGACTTATTCACAATATACTTACACAACAATGGTAAAGATAGTTTAGCAATTGCTGTTTGTATTTTATTATATCAACGATTTTGCTGTTGTAACTTTATATGATTCTTCCATGTTCCATGATAAAGTAAACATCCTGAACATGTGTTTACATTATGATGGTTTTAAAAGTTTATTCTTTTTGCTTGTCGGCTGCATTGCATTTTTTGGGGTGTTAAAATAAGTTTCGACTGTCGTTGTGTACATTCTTTGAAAAGGCATAAAATAGTCGTAGTGATATCTTTGGTCAATATGTTCTTAATTTTCTTTTATTTTGATGGCTGATCCCATTTCTCTTAAATCATCGTGAAAATAAAGAAAACTTTATAGTCGACAAGATTTTTTCATACAAGTACCTCGCCACAGCTTATCTATGTATTTTTGAAACTCATACAACATTTATTATGTAGTTACTATCCGTTGTTTCCTCCATCGGAAGACGTCTGTATCGACTACGAGACATTTGCTGAGCATGCGCACTTACCATGTAGGCCGGATGCGTTTATTGTGCCATCAGATCTGAGATACTTCGTCAAGGTAATCAATAATAACGATCAGTATGCTCAATAGACACTGCGCAGGCTCGTATAGGTAATCTAATACTATTTTTTTAGGATATCTTGGGTACGCTGTGCATTAATCCCGGTAGGTTAACGAAAGGATTAGTCGGAGGGACATTCGCTCGCTTTTTGCTTAGAAAGGATCAAGGCGAACAGTCGGTGGTTAGCAAATCTTATGTGCAAATTGTCAAGATTTAAATTCATTGAGATAAGTGGAATATTGCCTAAATAATCTATGATTTCATTTGTTTTATGTCTTTGACAATAAAATGGAGGAAAATTCGCTCACAAGCGTAAACAATTTTCAGTTCTACATCCAAACACTTATTATATTTCTAGTTTTATGCTGAATGAATTCATCCTATTCTATTCATTTTTTTTGTTTACATTGTTCTTGGTTTACTTGTTAAAGTTCTCCTTCTGTGAAGTTTTCTTCAACTGCTCTTTTTTCTTTCCATTTTGTTTCTTGTCTTTGTGATGGCGGTTGACTTCCGGTTCTTCTTCTGGCTCCGGTTCAGGTTGTGGTGCCGGTGCCGGTGCCGGTGCCGGTGCCGGTGCCGGTGCAGGCATTGGTGACGGCATTGGTGACGGCATCGGTGACGGCATTGGTGACGGCATTGGTGACGGATATGGTGACGGATATGGATAAGGGTATGGTGACGGAGGTCCTATGGGGAGAGCGGATGGCAATCTGCTTTGGGGCTCAACATCTTTGTATACAGTACAACTATATTTACATTTTCTTTTCACATCGTCATTCACTTGACAGTACCCCATTCTGCCCCATTCAGGACACATTGTGTCGTCATCAAATTTCGTGTCCTCGTCATCTAAAATGTCATTATTTTACATTATTCATATTTCTTTTGAGTAGATTTTCTTATTTAGCTGTTGGGTCTTTGTCTTTGTTGACGTTAATTGAAAGGTAGTTTATGCAAGTGTATTTCAAAATCAAATATAATTTGAGTTCAATTTATGTCATAGCAATTATTCTAACCTTCATCACACATTAGGCAACTAGGTTTGCATTGTCGTGACATGAAGTCAGGTAAACGGAGACAGTCGCCATTATGGGCCCAATTGGCACATTCCGATTGTTTGTCTTCGCATTTTGGCTTTTTGCTGTCTGTAAAAAAACGAATGGTTGGTGACTTTCAACAGGTTAATCGACTTTCATATGTTTAAGGCACCCACCATCCTCCCGTCGAAAGAAGAAGGAAATACATTCAATGTGAAACTGGATGTATTTCCCAATTCTACTTATCTTGTCTACTGCCCATTACTGTGGCCTATATAAATATCTCTAAATAATTTTTCTTTCAAATCGAGTACCCGTAAACTATATGAGATCGCCCAAACCCGGTGCCTTTTGTTCTTTTGTTAAATTTTTCTCCCTTGTGGCAATTTAATGTGAAAAATCCCTAAATTGGTTTGAGATGATCTCATTAATAAATAATTCCATGTCATTGTTTTGATAAAAATGAATCAAACTGCGACTAACCAACTGAATTACTTTTAATTAATGGAAAATGATGTGCTCAGTTGGTTGTTTTATAAATTAGTTGCGTTGTTTGCAACCTTTAGTCTTGGCTACGGAAGATTTCCTAATACTTATATCGTAGTGTACATAAGAATGATTTTACATAAGAAATTTATGTACGTGATCTCTTTTAACTTAAGCACGAGGCTGATGGTACTTAAGAAATCAACACGTGAATTGCGAGACATAATAGCTTAAAAAATCTTTCAGAATAGTGAAACCAAAAAGAGCGCGTGTTTTTTCTACAGTCTTAGAAATATTTTAAATTAAAAAGATTTTGTCATTTTGTGATTTAGAACGTTAAGTGAAGCACAAAGTTGATTTTCTCACCAATCCAAGAAGTGTGTGTTAACGTTTTGAAAACGAACCTCTTAACGAAGAACCCAAATGTTTGTTTTTTTGTTGTGGCTCAACATCTCTGAAGATACCACAACTGTATTGACATTTCTCTTTCACATTTTTATCTGCTTTACAGTAACCATTTCTGCCCCAATCCGGACACTTTGTGCGTTCATCAAATTTCGTGTTTTCATCATCTGAAATATCAATATTTTACATTATTTATTTTTCTTTTATTTAGATTTCCTGTTTAATTTTTAGATCTTTATGTTCGGATAGTTGGTTAAAAGGTAATTTATTTCAGAATTTAATATCTTTCTATTTTTGTGTTACAAGTTAGCTACATTCGTCAATTTAAATTGATTGGTATTTAATGGTATACTTGAGCGTTTAGTAAACGGTTTCTAATTTTTCACTGTAAGCACTCTCAACTGTTGGAACTGTTTATTTCCATTGAGAAATTTTTTTATTCACCACTGAAACTTTAGTGAGCATCTTCTCTATTTCGTAATAAAAATAAACTCCTACGACCTGCATGCTGCTTAATGGGCTGCTGCTATTGCCAACTTTCGTCTTCACAACCCTGTGGTATTGAACATTAACGCTAATTTGTACAAATTAAATGATTGATTCAAACCTTTATCACACAATAGGCAACTTGGTTTGCAATGCTGCATCATGTAGTGAGGCAAACGCAGACAGTCGCCTTGTTGGGCACGATGGGCACATTCCGATTTTTCGTCTTCACATTTTGGTTTCCTGCTGTCTGTAGAGAAGAGAAGAAAACAAATGATTGGTTAGTTTTGTGACATGGGTATTTTTTCTTGTTATGTTCACCCTACCGCAAGAAAAATCACCATGTAGCTACTATAATGTGACTCAAATGTTCTACATTGACAATTTCGTCCACTGGCTATAAGTTTCGAGGAGAAAACGAAAGTTACATCTTGCAGAGCAATTGTCTATTTTTACCGCTGCGAAACGAATGTTTTTTGACGAGACTTCTTTGAAGAGTATCTTGTTTAAAGATTAAAGAACAAACATTTGGAGGTGGTGTAGCAATTTTGATCATGCCATGTAAATATTAGGTGTTCACTACAATGGATTTTTAAAGAGTAAATAATGCTATAACTAAACACAACCAAACTTGCGGTTTCGCTTCGCATTGAAGAAATTTTTAATTCACATCACTCTTTTCATTGTGTGAGAACAATACCTTTCTGATTTTTTGCATCATGTTGTTCGTGTTTTTTCTTCGTTTTCTCCAGTGATTAACACACAGAACGTAAACAGCAAAGAAAACAACGCTATATAATGCATCTCTCGATTTTATTTTCTTCTTAACGTAAACGTTTTGATTTATTTTCGTATATGCACATTCATAAACTTGCACAGGAATGAATTAAATATTCAGCGTCCTAAAATATAAGAGAACGCCTGAACAGGGTGCCTTTTGTTCCGTAACTTTACGCTTTTAGAAACTTGGCGTGAAAATATTTTAACAAGTTTGCGATGCTCAACCATGCGAAGTTATTGTTTTGATGCAGTTTTGAGCTCCTTTGAAATTCATTGTTCTTAACAGGTTATATACCATGAATATAAGCTTCCCTATTTGTCGATCTTCTTACACCTATGCAAAGGGCCATGTATGTTTAATCTCTGTCATGACGTTTCCTATAAAACAAGGTTTTAACGTATGTAGAATATGAAGTTGCTGCAGCGCTCATTTTTGGCATTTTAAAAAAAATTTGCGTTTTGTGCAAATGCGCTATCTGGCTAAGAAATAAATCAGCGTCTAGTAAAACCATAAACTATTGCTCTAAAGATGATGTTGTATCAAAACATTCCCTCGTGATGTCTTTGTCTTTATGTCGAATTTCTTATACGCTTTTTGACTTTTACAACTTGATGTGGAAATCCGCGATTTGTTCTCATTGGGCAATCACGTGGTTAATTTTTGTTGAATAAATTATGATTGGATCAGCCAATTTTCGAGGCGATGTATAAACACGTTAATTACCCCTGATTTTTTTCTTTAAAATCTACCCATGTCCCAAATTGACGTTTTTATGTATTTCAGAACATAAAGTAAGCCTCTAATTGCAAATTCAAGAGGTGTTTTGAATATTATTTCCTGGATGTTACAACAAAACGCACAATTAAACCTTGTCTGAACCGTGAAAATAGGATTTTGTAAGATTTTCTACCTTGTCTTTTTCGTCAAATGCTCAGATTAAGGGATGATTTCTTACAGTCTGAACGATAAATGGAAAATTTTTGCAATCCCTACACCACACATAGGAACAATTTTACTTTTGAGTAGCTTTAACGAGATCTTTAATTAAACTTCGTCTTTATATCATGTTTATTGTATTGTCAACAAATATGTTTATATTGTTTTAGGCTATCTGGGGAAGGATTAGTCGAAGGGACATTCGCTCGCTTTTTGCTAAAGAATGATCAAGCCAAAAGTCGGTGGTTAAAAACTCTTTCGTGCAAGATTTAAATCTTTGTGAAGATATCAATTCATTGAGTTAAGTTGAAATTTGTTGCCAAAACAATCTATGATTTTATAAAGTGGACGAAAATTCCCTCACAAGAGTAAACAATTATCAGTTCTACATCCAAACACTTATTATATTTCTAGTTTTATGCTGAATGAATTTATCCTATTCTATTGTTCTTTTTTTTTTTTATTCACGTTGTTCTTGGTTTTCTTGTTAAAGTTCTCCTTCTGTGAGGTTTTCTTCAATTGCACTTTTTTCTTCCCATTTTGTTTCTTGTCTTTGTGATGGCGGTTGGCTTCTGGTGCTGGTGCTGGTGTTGGTGCTGGTACAGGCGTTGGAGCGGGTGTAGGATATGGTGACGGTGAAGGGTATGGTGGCGGTGATGGTGATGGGTATGGTGGCGGTGAGGGGTATGGGTATGGTGATGGTGTGGGGTATGGTGACGGTGTGGGGTATGGTGACGGTGAGGGGTATGGGTATGGTGACGGTGAGGGATATGGGTATGGTGACGGTGAGGGTATGGGTATGGTGACGGTGAGGGATATGGGTATGGTGACGGTGAGGGGTATGGGTATGGTGAGGGGTATGGGTATGGTGAGGGTATGGGGGCGGTGAGGGGTAGGGTGCGGGTGAAGGATATGGTGCTGGTAGAGGATATGGTACTGGTAGAGGATATGGTGCTGGTGGAGGATAGGGTGCTGGTAGAGGGTTTAACACATTTTTATAGATTTTACAACTGTATTGACATTTTTTTCTCAACTCCTTATCTGTGTTACAGTAGCCAAGTTTGCCCAAATCAGGACATCTTGTGTCTTTATCAAATTTCGTGTTATCATCATCTGAAATGTCAATATTTCACATTATTTATATGGCATTTATGTATATATTTTTTTTAATTTTGGATCTTAGCAGCAAAATCAGTTGAACTATAGTTAAGAGTAATAGGACAAGTTTGAGTACAATGATGATTTATGAGAAAGTAATTATTCCTACGTTTATCACACAATAGGCAACTAGGTTTGCAGTTTTCAAACATGAAGTCAGGTAAACGGAGACAATCGCCATTATGTGCCCATTCGACACAATCAGATTTTTCATCTTTACATTTTAGCCTCTCGCTGTCTGTAAAAAATAGAATAAAATAACTGAATTGTTATTTTTTAACAGGTAAAGCGCCGCAGAAGATCTAGGAAACACATTCACACGAGTATCATGATTTAAGTATTATAACCGTTTTATCTACTGTTATAAGTTTTAAGGAAGAGTGACTTATAAATATCTCAAAAAAACAATCTTTAAACTCAATCAATCAAACTTAGAGTATATCCGTAAACTATGCGAGATTGCGGTGGGTTTTTTCAGTTGAATTTTACTAACTTGTGGCAACTTGATGTGGAAAATTCTATTGGTTTAAAATGTTTTCAGTAAGAAGTATTCCATCTTATTGTTTTGTTAAAAGTGACGTCAATTGCGATTAATGAACCGAATGACTTTAATAGTTGGAAAATAATACGTAAAGTTAATTGCCTTGGTGTACTTTGTGTGCTTAGCTACTCTCGTCAATCCAAGAGTTGTGTTAACGTTTTGAGAACGAACCTCTCAATGGAGATCCAAATTGTTTGTTTTTATGTTGTGGCTCAATATCTCTGAAGACACCACAACTGTATTGGCATTCTCTCTCACATTTTTATCTGCTTTACAGTAACCATTTCTTCCCCAATCTGGACACTTTGGGCGTTCATCAAATTTCGTGTTTTCATCATCTGAAATATCAATATTTTACATTATTTATTTTTCTTTTATTTAGATTTCCTGTTTAATTTTGGATCTTTATGTTTGCAAAGTTAGTTAAAAGGTAGTTCATTTCAAAATTCAATATTATTCTACCTGCTACACTTAATTGTAACAAGTTACTTTGATTGTGACAAGTTAGCTACATTTGTCAATTCAAGTGGTTATTATTTCATGGTACATGCATGAACGTAAAGATTTTTTTCATAGATGATCACAGTAAGTACACTGAACTGTTTGTTTCAACCGAAACAACTGTAATACTAACGCTTTATGTCATTTTAAAGACGTGATCAATCTAAATTTTTGGTTAATTGCATCAGCTCTTTGGTGCCTTAAAATATTTTGACTATCGAAAACTCCTCCGAAACTTTAGAATCTCATTCTCGTATGTTAATTCATCTCAATCACCCACACCACACACCCGCAATTATCAATTCAATTTAAAATTACAGTTATATGTAACCTAATGTTAACCATGGTTCATACCCGTTACATTAAATGCTACGCGTTGAAAGGTGTAATTTCCTGTTCTCACTGTAATCTTTACACCATATATGCACCGTATTGTTATTTTATAGAAAGGTCACTCAATTGTACAACCATTTGTACAACGCATCCTCAAGCCCGCCATTATTTCAGCGAGTTGATTAATGTTTTTCCAATCACTAAAATTATATGACGTCATTTCTGTGTGATGGAATTTGAGAATATTTAGACTTGAGAAATGACATTATAGGTGATTTAAGTAGTTTGAAAAAAGTGGCATTGCGCAAGAGCAAGAACATCAAATTCTCCGACAAGAGTGACCATTCTGTATTTTCCTTATTCTGTGTTATATGCTTATGAAAGGCTGTCTGCCATTTCGCTGATCAATTGTTGCGGCTCTTTAATTGTTCCTCATAGTCAAACCAATATAAATTTCTTTTTGTTAGTGAGAACATATAAAGGCTTGGATATGAACATTATTTTTTATTGATTAAATAAATGGTTTAAACCTTTATCACACAGTAGGCAACTTGGTTTGCAATGTTGCATCATGTACTGGGGTAAACGTAGACAGTCGCCTTGTTGGGCACGATGGGCGCATATCGATTTTTTGTCTTCACATTTTGGTTTCTTGCTGTCTGTAGAGAAGAGAAGAAAGCAAACGATGGGTGAGTTTTTGCCATGCAGTCATATTGATTTCCATATTTTTAATGCAACCTCACGAAAAATACATTGGAAATACGTAAAATATTGACTATGATTATATGTGTTAACAATTTCATTTAAACTGTCCATGAGTCTTAAAGTGCTCACGAAAGAAAATTTTACCTTGCAGTTTTCCATGATTGTATTGACTTAATAAATATTTTAAATAAAATTATACTGTTTTACTTCCTTCTATCGACATTGAACTTTGTCCATTTGGCAAATGTCATCACTGTGATATGAATCATAAGACATAATTAGGTTTATAAAAAGTTGTTTCTGTCGACACTGTGTCTTGTAATATTTACCTTTGCCACCCACATATTTATCGTGTATTTATTAAAATGTTGTTCTTAACAATGTTTTTACAATGCAGTAAAAGCACAATGTTTTACAATCTCAAAAAATTAAAATAACACAGTTCTAATGAAGTCATTTCTAATGTTGTTTGGAATACAATCAAAAAAGTGCGTGGTAAACTTTCATTTCATGAACACTTTAAGGAGAAGGACGAAAATTTCTGTTACATATCTCAATACAATTATCTATTGTTACCGCTGCGAGAGTTTGAAACAAGAATTAACTTGATTACATACTGAAGTTGTTTTCAACAGTTTACAGCACTTAAAGAGTATCTTGTTTAAGGATTAAAGAGCAAAAATTTGAAGAATCTTTGGTGGAGACAACCCCTACATCATGCACTCTCTTAACTCGAGAAAAAATTTACCTTTTTGATTTTTTGCATCATATTGTCCGTGTTTTTCCTTCGTTTTCTCTCCAGTGATTAACACACAGAACGTAAACAGCAAAGAAAACAACGCTATATAATGCATCTCTCGATTTTATTTTCTTCTTTAAGTAAAAGTTTTGATTTATTTCCGTACATGCACATCCATAAACTTGCAAAGAGTGAATTAAATATTCAGTGTCCTAAAACATAGGGAATCGCATAAACAGGGTGCCTTTTGTTCCCGAACACTACACTTGTAGAAACCCTGGTGTGAAAACGTTTTAACAGGTTTCGGATGTTTTCAATAGAGAATCGTGCAAAGTTATTTTGACGAAATTAATATCAAATGCAATTAGCATGGGAAATGAGTTATGTTTACAAATATTGCGCGCTTTTTTTCAATAACATTACCTGAAATGTACTTGCTACTATAAAGGTTGAGTCTCTACTTTCAGCATAGTGGGTTTTAAATGCTAGGATATTTATTTTATTGAAAGTCAATTACTATAGAGTATTTCAAAATATTTCATACTTTAGGATGCATAACCGGTTTTTTTTCGACTCACAATCACACAAACATCAAATAATGATGCATGGGTTTTTTGTTCATTAAATGTTAGTAAGAATGAAACTTGAAACTTTTATTATGGTCGTATAAGTTATAGCAGACAAAATAATTAACAATTGAATTTAGAATGGAAGATAATGCTCTCACAAATAGAAACACACCAATTCTACGTAGGATGTATATAAACTTTCATGCATATTGATTTGGTAGTAGCTATTTTAGATTTGAAGTTCATTTTATTACCATCGTTATGCTCTTTCATTCATTTCATGCTTTTCTTTTTTATGGTGCCTGTGCTTCCTTTGGTAACGGTGGGGATATTCTGTTGTTGACCCCGGAGGCACTGTCTGTGATGGTTGTGGTGGATTTCCAGATTCAGGTGGGGGCCCGGGTTGCTGGGGTTGAGTTGGAGATTCAGGCTCCGTTGGGGGCTCCGTTGGAGGCTCCATTGGGGGCTCCGCTGGAGGCTCCATTGGGGGCTCCGTTGGAGGCTCCATTGGGGGCTCCGTTGGGGGCTCCATTGTAGGCTGAGGTTGGTTCTCTGGTTGTGGAGATTCGGATTCTCCTGTTTCGGGCTCTGTGACTATGGTGCCCTTGCTATCTGTTGGTTCAAATACATTGGAAATACGTATAATATTGACTATGATTATATGTGTTAACAATTTGATTTAAACTGTCCGTGAGTCTTAAACTGCTCTCGAAAGAAAATTTTCCTTGCAGTTTTCCATGATTGTATTGACTTAATAAATATTTTAAATAAATTATACTGTTTTACTTCCTTCTATTGACATTGAACTTTGTCCATTTGGCAAATGTCATCACTGTGATATGAATCATAAGACATAATTAGGTTTATAAAAAGTTGTTTCTGTCGACACTGTGTCTTGTAATATTTACCTTTGCCACCCACATATTTATCGTGTATTTATTAAAATGTTGTTCTTAACAATGTTTTACAATGCAGTAAAAAGCACAATGTTTTACAATCTCAAAAAATTAAAATGACACAGTTCTAATGAAGTCATTTCTAATGTTGTTTGGAATACAATCAAAAAAGTGCGTGGTAAAATTTCATTTCATGAACACTTTAAGGAGAAGGACGAAAATTTCTGTTACATATCTCAATACAATTATCTATTGTTACCGCTGCGAGAGTTTGAAACAAGAATTAACTTGATTACATACTGAAGTTGTTTTCAACAGTTTACAGCACTTAAAGAGTATCTTGTTTAAAGATTTAAGAGCAAAAATTTGAAGAATCTTTGGTGGAGACAACCCCTACATCATGCACTCTTTCTTAGTTCGAGAAAAATTTTACCTTTTTGATTTTTTGCATCATAGTTTCCGTGTTTTTCCTTCGTTTTCTCTCCAGTGATTAACACACAGAACGTAAACAGCAAAGAAAACAACGCTATATAATGCATCTCTCGATTTTATTTTCTTTAAGTAAAAGTTTTGATTTATTTCCGTATATGCACATCCATAAACTTGCAAAGAATGAATTAAATATTCAGTGTCCTAAAACATAGGGAATCGCATAAACAGGGTGCTTTTTGTTCCCGAACACTACACTTGTAGAAACTTGGTGTGAAAACGTTTTAACAGGTTTCGGATGTTTTCAATAGAGAATCGTGCAAAGTTATTTTGACGAAATTAATATCAAATGCAATTAGCATGGGAAATGAGTTATTTTTACAAACATTGCGCGCTTTTTTCAATAACATTACCTGAAATGTACTTGCTACTATAAAGGTTGAGTCTCTACTTTCAGCATAGTGGGTTTATAATGCTAGGAAATTTTATTGAAAGACAATTACTATAGAGTATTTCAATATATTTCATGGATTCATAACCATTTTTTTTCTACTCACAATCACACAAACATCAAATAATGATGCATGGGTTTTTTGTTCATTAAATGTTAGTAAGAATGAAACTTGAAACTTTTATTATGGTCGTACAAGTTATGGCAGACAAGATAATTGACAATTGAATTTAGAATGGAAGATAATGCTCTCAAATAGAAACACACCAATTCTACGTAGGATGTATATAAGCTTTCATGCATATTGATTTGGTCGTAGCTATTTTAGATTTGAAGTTAATTTTATTGCCATCGTTATGCTCTTTCATTCATTTCATGCCTTTCTTTTTTATGGTGCCTGTGCTTCCTTTGGTAACGGTGCGGATATTCTGTTGTTGACCCCGGAGGCACTGTCTGTGATGGTTGTTGTGGGTTTCCAGATTCAGGAGGGGCCCCGGGTTGCTGGGGTTGGGATACAGATTCAGGTGGAGTTGGAGGCTCCATTGGGGGCTCAGTTGGAGGCTCCATTGGGGGCTCAGTTGGAGGCTCAGTTGGGGGCTCCGTTGGGGGCTCCATTGTAGGCTGAGGTTGGTTCTCTGGTTGTGGAGATTCGGATTCTCCTGTTTCGGGCTCTGTGTCTGTGGTGCCCTTGCTATCTGTTGGTTCAAAATCCGGTAAGGTTTCACCTGGTTCTGGTGTAGTCAATTTTGGGGTTGGTGGTAATGTGGAAACTTTTGGTGGTAGCGTTGGTACTACCGGTTTGTCTATTGGTGGCTCCTCTGTTGGTCCTATGGTGGGTGTCACTTCTTTGAGTGTTGTGTAGGGATAGTAGACGTAGAATGGATAATAGTAGAACGCATCCTTGTAATCCGGGTAAAGTCCGTTTTGTGGTTTGGTGTCTTTGTGAACGTGACAACTGTGTTCGCATTGTTTCTCACTTCTTCCTCAGTTTTACAATAACCGACACTAGCCCAAGTGGGACACAAAGTATCTTCATCAAATAATTTTTTCGTCATCTAAAAAGTCCGTATTATTATTGGTTTGTATTGTGGAAAATTTTCACTGATTATTCGATGCCTTAATTCTACAGAAAAAAGATTCGAGTATTGTATTATGAGTACGTACACGGTGTATCAAAGAAATGTGTTTAAAATCGGTGGTTACTTTAAATGCAAGAATGTAGCGTACAGAGCTAAAAACGTGGGCTTTGTGCAGCATTCTGCACCAAAAACCTCCATTGTTTTATGCTTTTTGCAGAGAATTTCATTTAAAATCATTGCAGAATCTATGTTGGTTTGCCCGTGTAGAAGGGAATTATTTTGCCGAGAACTAAAATGGCTTTCAGTGATTATTCCATAATGTTTTAAATGTGTGCTCTTATGTTAAATTATTTATTTTAACCTTCATCACACATTAGGCAGCTGCGTTTGCAGAATTTCGACATGAACTGTGGGAAACGTAGACAGTCTCCTTGACTGGCCCAAGCGGCGCACTGCCATTTTTCGTCTTTGCATTTTGGCTTCTTGTCATCTGGATGGAATAGAAGAATTGACGACTTGTGAGTTTTTCAATATTTTTCTATCTATTAAAGCCAGTATATTTGAGCATTTTCCAAAGACATCTTGGAGGTAGAGCCTTCTGTCTTACTCGCTTTGCTGCAAGAGTCGTGATAACTTTGACAATATGGCGCTCAAAACATTTTCTCTTAGTGGAGCATAGGGGGTTTAGTGGTATATTTGTAAGGTTCATCGATATACCTAGAGGATCGTTGTGTTCACTTACCGTCTTTTCCACAAAAGCGACATACCAGTGGACAATTGTTCTGCATGTCGTAGAAATGTAAACTGCACCAGCCTTGCCTTTCCATTTGATGACAGTAAAAAGGATAGCGGTTGATACAATCTCCAGGTTTTATGTAGACTATATATAGTAAAGTTAAATAAACTTAAGTCCATGCGTATTGTATATTGAAATTCAGGAAAATGTGCTACTGCATGGGTTTGTGCATGCAGTGCAGGGCCGGAGATGAATGTAAAATACTGCGGCACCATAAAATTTTGTAAACTTACTTTGTGAAACATCAACTCCAAACTTATGCCATTCTGTGTTTTCCTCGACTTAATTCAGATGAAAAGACGAAATCAATGATATTTATTAACGAGTGACATAAATTTCAACTATACTGACTAAATTACCTATATATACAGGTTTTGTTTATAACTGAAGAATTAACTACGGAGTTGCAGATATTAGAGATGTTAAAAACACCCTGCGATTGTGCATGAAACTTCGGGAAATTGATCAATTTAGGCAATGTTTACATATTTTCTTAAATCATGTTTTATTACAAGCATAGTATATAGCATAATAGCTATCTACTGAATTTCATAAAAGGAAGCGAAACCTTGGAATATCAAATGCCATTTATAGGTAAAAATTTTTATTTTGCCGAGGTTTTGCTGGAAGTAAATCTTACCGTCATGATGTTTCCCACGACGAACTTGATTTTCATATCTTGCTGTTGAAATGAAAACCAGAGCATAAATATAATCATAAAACAAGCTTTAACTTGACGCATTCATGTAAAAATAAAATTGGCCGATTAGGAAATTTTTACGATTTTACCTCGATGGTTTTGCATGATAATCTCTGTGTTTATGCTTTATTTTTCTCCCTGTTATTAATAAAAGTAAGTACACAATAAAGAAATACACGTGACGAATTTCATCTTGCTCCCTTCCAAGACGTGCTCAAATTTTCTCCAAAATGCAAGTGCACCAATTGAATAAAGAATAAATTCAGTTTCAAGCAAAACCGGTAAACTATTGTCGAAAGATCATTTTGTATCACATCACTTCTACATGGTGTCTTTTGTTTTCATGTCACAGTTCTTACACTTATGGATTTTTACAACTCTTTGAGCCAAATTTGTGATTTGTTCTCGTTGGACAATTCGGATTACCACCAGTGATCATCACACTTCTAAACTACTTCAAACTTATGCCAAATCTTTTGTGATTAATATGAAGATAAGATATCATCGTGCTAGAAATTTCGTATGAAAAGTTGAAAGTTGTAATTGGCCATAAGCAGAAATCGTTATAAATCTACCTTAATGTTTATGTCTTCAACTGTGAAAATATTGTGTCCATATTATAAATTTAGGAGGAGCAAGACAATGAAATATGTTTATTATATATAGATCAGTGAAAGTTTTCGCTCCAAAGTACGCAAAATGTTCAAGAAATACACGTTAATTTTTCTTGAAAACGTAATCCGACGTCAATGAATGAGAATTGGCACTTCCACACCGGTTCTAGAAGTAGGTTATAGTTTAGGTACTCGATTTTATCCACTAAGGTACTGAGATGTTTGTAGATGTAGATCGTCCAGGTTGGTATAGTCCTGAGGACTGTTTTTGTTGTTGTTGACTGACGTTTCGACAACCTTAGCGGTAGTCATCTTCAGAGACAAATGAAGATGACTACCGCTAAGGTTGTCGAAACGTCATTGAATATCAATACCATCCTCTTGGTAACTTTGTGACATGTTTGTTTGGTAACTTTGTGACATAAAGTGCTTGTTCTTGGTAACTTTGTGACATGTTTTACACACATAAAGTGCTTGTTCTTGGTACCTTTGTGACATGTTTTGCATAAAGTGGTAGCTCTGAGTAACATTGTGACATGTTTTTACCTGATATGTATGTATAACTTTATGAAATGTTTTACCAGGAGTGGTACATCAGTTTTACTTCATTTTAACGACATCTTAGACGGCTTCCCTGTTTGCGTAACGTTTCGGTATTGTTCTAGAGGATTATTCTTTCGTTTTTTCCTATTTACAAACAGTGCAAACGCCACTTGATTATTGCTTCATTAAAAGAAAACGAAAAAAATGAGTTGTATAAAAGGTGGAAAAGATTTAGGTACGTGATATTTTCCAGAACTTTGTGTGCTTATCAAGGTTTACGTACTTAACATGTCAGCCTGGTCCTAGTCTGGTTATGCCGTATCAAGTATCATTGTACCTGTATTACAGGCTCCTCAATGGCCAACGTCGGTTAAAATGTTTACTTCATAATTTGCATTTAAAAATAGTTAATTTCTGTCGAACAGTAAATACAGGTGCAGTCTGTCTAATTTGGAGAATGCCATCAATTTTTTAATTTGCTCGGCGGCTAAAGTCATTAAGCATTCATGAAGAATAATGAAAATTTTTCGACGCTTAAAACTTTCTACATTTCTACCGCTGGCTTTTATAGATTTATTTTTACATCTCATCAAATATATCTAATTAGGGGTTTTCTCCCAAGAATTATTTATACAGAAAATGATGCTGAATGAAAAAAAGAAAAATGATCTTATCTCTCCCTCCCCCAACACACAAACCAATTCTTTGCCAACCGTGTGGGGCAACTGTTGAAATATGTTCAGTTTGCAGTGCGCTTATTTTCGGAAGAATCTCCGATGAGGTCGCTACTATTTCCCGCAATTGTTGGTAAATGAGCTTCAAGACAGAAATTGAAATTTGTCACTGCCAAATACAGTTTGTTATTACATTCTGAAATTTGTTATCAGCTACTAAATCTGTTACTGGCTTCTAAAGTTTGTTATTAATCACAAATTTTGTTCCCGAACACTACACTTGTAGAAACTTGGTGTGAAAACGTTTTAACAGGTTTCGGATGTTTTCAATAGAGAATCGTGCAAAGTTATTTTGACGAAATTAATATCAAATGCAATTAGCATGGGAAATGAGTTATGTTTACAAACATTGCGCGCTTTTTTCAATAACATTACCTGAAATGTACTTGCTACTATAAAGGTTGAGTCTCTACTTTCAGCATAGTGGGTTTATAATGCTAGGAAACTTATTTTATTGAAAGACAATTACTATAGAGTATTTCAATATATTTCATGGATTCATAACCATTTTTTTTTCGACTCACAATCACACAAACATCAAATAATGATGCATGGGTTTTTTGTTCATTAAATGTTAGTAAGAATGAAACTTGAAACTTTTATTATGGTCGTACAAGTTATGGCAGACAAGATAATTGACAATTGAATTTAGAATGGAAGATAATGCTCTCAAATAGAAACACACCAATTCTACGTAGGATGTATATAAGCTTTCATGCATATTGATTTGGTCGTAGCTATTTTAGATTTGAAGTTAATTTTATTACCATCGTTATGCTCTTTCATTCATTTCATGCCTTTCTTTTTTATGGTGCCTGTGCTTCCTTTGGTAACGGTGCGGATATTCTGTTGTTGACCCCGGAGGCACTGTCTGTGATGGTTGTTGTGGGTTTCCAGATTCAGGAGGGGCCCCGGGTTGCTGGGGTTGGGATACAGATTCAGGTGGAGTTGGAGGCTCCATTGTGGGCTCAGTTGGAGGCTCCATTAGGGGCTCAGTTGGAGGCTCCATTGGGGGCTCAGTTGGAGGCTCAGTTGGAGGCTCAGTTGGAGGCTCAGTTGGGGGCTCCATTGTAGGCTGAGGTTGGTTCTCTGGTTGTGGAGATCCTGTTTCGGGCTCTGTGGTGCCCTTGCTATCTGTTGGTTCAAAATCCGGTAAGGTTTCACCTGGTTCTGGTGTAGTCAATTTTGGGGTTGGTGGTAATGTGGAAACTTTTGGTGGTAGCGTTGGTACTACCGGTTTGTCTATTGGTGGCTCCTCTGTTGGTCCTATGGTGGGTGTCACTTCTTTGAGTGTTGTGTAGGGATAGTAGACGTAGAATGGATAATAGTAGAACGCATCCTTGTAATCCGGGTAAAGTCCGTTTTGTGGTTTGGTGTCTTTGTGAACGTGACAACTGTGTTCGCATTGTTTTCTCACTTCTTCCTCAGTTTTACAATAACCGACACTAGCCCAAGTGGGACACAAAGTATCTTCATCAAATAATTTTTTCGTCATCTAAAAGTCCGTATTATTATTGGTTTGTATTGTGGAAAATTTTCACTGATTATTCGATGCCTTAATTCTACAGAAAAAGATTCGAGTATTGTATTATGAGTACGTACACGGTGTATCAAAGAAATGTGTTTAAAATCGGTGGTTACTTTAAATGCAAGAATGTAGCGTACAGAGCTAAAAACGTGGGCTTTGTGCAGCATTCTGCACCAAAAACCTCCATTGTTTTATGCTTTTTGCAGAGAATTTCATTTAAAATCATTGCAGAATCTATGTTGGTTTGCCCGTGTAGAAGGGAATTATTTTGCCGAGAACTAAAATGGCTTTCAGTGATTATTCCATAATGTTTTAAATGTGTGCTCTTATGTTAAATTATTTATTTTAACCTTCATCACACATTAGGCAGCTGCGTTTGCAGAATTTCGACATGAACTGTGGGAAACGTAGACAGTCTCCTTGACTGGCCCAAGCGGCGCACTGCCATTTTTCGTCTTTGCATTTTGGCTTCTTGTCATCTGGATGGAATAGAAGAATTGACGACTTGTGAGTTTTTCAATATTTTTCTATCTATTAAAGCCAGTATATTTGAGCATTTTCCAAAGACATCTTGGAGGTAGAGCCTTCTGTCTTACTCGCTTTGCTGCAAGAGTCGTGATAACTTTGACAATATGGCGCTCAAAACATTTTCTCTTAGTGGAGCATAGGGGGTTTAGTGGTATATTTGTAAGGTTCATCGATATACCTAGAGGATCGTTGTGTTCACTTACCGTCTTTTCCACAAAAGCGACATACCAGTGGACAATTGTTCTGCATGTCGTAGAAATGTAAACTGCACCAGCCTTGCCTTTCCATTTGATGACAGTAAAAAGGATAGCGGTTGATACAATCTCCAGGTTTTATGTAGACTATATATAGTAAAGTTAAATAAACTTAAGTCCATGCGTATTGTATATTGAAATTCAGGAAAATGTGCTACTGCATGGGTTTGTGCATGCAGTGCAGGGCCGGAGATGAATGTAAAATACTGCGGCACCATAAAATTTTGTAAACTTACTTTGTGAAACATCAACTCCAAACTTATGCCATTCTGTGTTTTCCTCGACTTAATTCAGATGAAAAGACGAAATCAATGATATTTATTAACGAGTGACATAAATTTCAACTATACTGACTAAATTACCTATATATACAGGTTTTGTTTATAACTGAAGAATTAACTACGGAGTTGCAGATATTAGAGATGTTAAAAAAACACCCTGCGATTGTGCATGAAACTTCGGGAAATTGATCAATTTAGGCAATGTTTACATATTTTCTTAAATCATGTTTTTATTACAAGCATAGTATATAGCATAATAGCTATCTACTGAATTTCATAAAAGGAAGCGAAACCTTGGAATATCAAATGCCATTTATAGGTTAAAATTTTTTATTTTGCCGAGGTTTTTGCTGGAAGTAAATCTTACCGTCATGATGTTTCCCACGACGAACTTGATTTTCATATCTTGCTGTTGAAATGAAAACCAGAGCATAAATATAATCATAAAAACAAGCTTTAACTTGACGCATTCATGTAAAAAATAAAATTGGCCGATTAGGAAATTTTTTTACGATTTTACCTCGATGGTTTTTTGCATGATAATCTCTGTGTTTATGCTTTATTTTTCTCCCTGTTATTAATAAAAAGTAAGTACACAATAAAGAAATACACGTGACGAATTTCATCTTGCTCCCTTCCAAGACGTGCTCAAATTTTTCTCCAAAATGCAAGTGCACCAATTGAATAAAGAATAAATTCAGTTTCAAGCAAAACCGGTAAACTATTGTCGAAAGATCATTTTGTATCACATCACTTCTACATGGTGTCTTTTGTTTTAATGTCACAGTTCTTACACTTATGGATTTTTACTACTCTTTGAGCCAAATTTGTGATTTGTTCTCGTTGGACAATTCGGATTACCACCAGTGATCATCACACTTCTAAACTACTTCAAACTTATGCCAAATCTTTTGTGATTAATATGAAGATAAGATATCATCGTGCTAGAAATTTCGTATGAAAAAGTTGAAAGTTGTAATTGGCCATAAGCAGAAATCGTTATAAATCTACCTTAATGTTTATGTCTTCAACTGTGAAAATATTGTGTCCATATTATAAATTTAGGAGGAGCAAGACAATGAAATATGTTTATTATATATAGATCAGTGAAAGTTTTCGCTCCAAAGTACGCAAAATGTTCAAGAAATACACGTTAATTTTTCTTGAAAACGTAATCCGACGTCAATGAATGAGAATTGGCACTTCCACACCGGTTCTAGAAGTAGGTTATAGTTTAGGTACTCGATTTTATCCACTAAGGTACTGAGATGTTTGTAGATGTAGATCGTCCAGGTTGGTATAGTCCTGAGGACTGTTTTTGTTGTTGTTGACTGACGTTTCGACAACCTTAGCGGTAGTCATCTTCAGAGACAAATGAAGATGACTACCGCTAAGGTTGTCGAAACGTCATTGAATATCAATACCATCCTCTTGGTAACTTTGTGACATGTTTGTTTGGTAACTTTGTGACATAAAGTGCTTGTTCTTGGTAACTTTGTGACATGTTTTACACACATAAAGTGCTTGTTCTTGGTACCTTTGTGACATGTTTTGCATAAAGTGGTAGCTCTGAGTAACATTGTGACATGTTTTTACCTGATATGTATGTATAACTTTATGAAATGTTTTACCAGGAGTGGTACATCAGTTTTACTTCCTTTTAACGACATCTTAGACGGCTTCCCTGTTTGCGTAACGTTTCGGTATTGTTCTAGAGGATTATTCTTTCGTTTTTTCCTATTTACAAACAGTGCAAACGCCACTTGATTATTGCTTCATTAAAAGAAAACGAAAAAAATGAGTTGTATAAAAGGTGGAAAAGATTTAGGTACGTGATATTTTCCAGAACTTTGTGTGCTTATCAAGGTTTACGTACTTAACATGTCAGGCTCCTCAATGGCCAACGTCGGTTAAAATGTTTACTTCATAATTTGCATTTAAAAATAGTTAATTTCAGTCGAACAGTAAATACAGGTGCAGTCTGTCTAATTTGGAGAATGCCATCAATTTTTTAATTTGCTCGGCGGCTAAAGTCATTAAGCATTCATGAAGAATAATGAAAATTTTTCGACGCTTAAAACTTTCTACATTTCTACCGCTGGCTTTTATAGATTTATTTTTACATCTCATCAAATATATCTAATTAGGGGTTTTCTCCCAAGAATTATTTATACAGAAAATGATGCTGAATGAAAAAAAGAAAAATGATCTTATCTCTCCCTCCCCCAACACACAAACCAATTCTTTGCCAACCGTGTGGGGCAACTGTTGAAATATGTTCAGTTTGCAGTGCGCTTATTTTCGGAAGAATCTCCGATGAGGTCGCTACTATTCCCGCAATTGTTGGTAAATGAGCTTCAAGACAGAAATTGAAATTTGTCACTGCCAAATACAGTTTGTTATTACATTCTGAAATTTGTTATCAGCTACTAAATCTGTTACTGGCTTCTAAAGTTTGTTATTAATCACAAATTTTGTCGCTCCCGCTAAAATTTTTACTGGCTATTTCAATTTTTCACTGGCTTCTAAGATCCCAAAATAAGTTAACGAAGGAGACAAATTTCCATATTGCTGTTGTTGATCGTCTCAACACATTGATGTATCAACTTTTTCATTTTATTCATTGTTTTTCATACACACATATCGGTCTGGCCTATTTAATTAATCTCAAACATATATATGCATGAAATTATGTGAATGTATGAACTTTGTCTGTTTAATTGAAGCCGTTATCTCAGAATCTGAGGTACGTTTCAAACGTCGAACTTTTCATGTGCCGAATGCATTAGTGTAATTATTTCATAGTGGTTCCTTATCTTTTAATTGTGATGAGTTCGGCAGAGGAAATGTTAAACGTTTAAAGCGCACCGATGTTTGTATGGAAAAAATGTTATCAACTGGGAATATGCAGGTGTATTGTTGCGTCATTTGCAATGCAGATATACGTCATACCAGCTAACAAGTCAAACGTGTAAACTGTTCTCCGTCTCTGTAGTCATTCACTGAACCGTGTAACTGGTGATGCTGACCTTGAAGACGTTGAAAGATATATCTATCTGAATGTGTATTAAAGGAAAACTGAAATAATTCACTGTTGGTGTAGATCTATGGAGTCGAAAGAATGTTTGGAGGAGGAGATAAAGCTTCAAAGTTGATCAACTCCCACCAGAATTACGCGAGAACGGACTGTAAACACTCCCAAAGACAACTGAACGATGCGAATGACAATAAAAGTACGTATGAAAGTCTTTGAAGCGCATCTTGAAAAATGTGAGCATTTTAGAGCGTTTGTTGTACTAATGACCGTGCGAAATAGTCTGAAACTTGAATTGATCGTCAAAAGCATCGTAAAACCTGGTGAATGAAAGTTGTTATCGTATATAAGCATAAAATTTCCAATCTGAACAATTTGTTTAAGCACAGTCAACCTTTAACGGATATGCATACACGATTCTTAACGGGTTCTCATTCTGCGCAACTTTCATTTCTAACATTAGCATGAAAGTTTTAATAAGTTTGGATAGTTTTCGCACAGTCAGATGCGGTTTCAGAGCCCAAAATTAATTCTCGAAATGAAATGCGGGTTTTTGTGTAATGACTGTGTGTCAAATCAGATGAACTGTAGTGTGTCGTAGACAATGACATGTGACCAGTGGATGCGACGTGTCTGTATATCTGTTTGTCAAGTCGAAGTTTTTTTGGCAAGGAAAATCTTTGTCATAAAAATTTTATGGAACAAAGTCTACATTTGTCATGAACGCATTTTAAATTATACATTATTGTGGCTATTCTAGTTATTATTCCTTGCGCATTATCTTGGCTTTGGGTGAATGTATTTATCAATGATAATGTTTAATTTAAAAATGTCTAATTGACTGCATAGTGTTGGCATAAGAAGGCTTGTAATTTTCAGCATAATTGCACCTGTTCCCTTATGTGTCAGTGTCAAGTTAGTAAATAGTAATTTCTCGACTAGTTTCGAATTTAATATACTCTATAACAGCGTTACTTTTAAAGTAAAGATTACTTTTGAGGCGTCTTCCCTACCAAGTGGCCTACAAGTTGCCTTTTGGAAAAGAAACAATCCCTTTCCGAACAATAGTTCAAAATTTAATGCTTAATCAGTTTAAACGTGTGTTGTTTCAATTGTGTCGCCCCAGTCTGATTGAAAACCTGGATATCAACATATAGATATCACATTTATGTTTATTTTTCTAGCGCGAATTTTGCCTCCAAGAACAATGATAGCTACTGTGTCCATAGGTGTAGGAATATCGATAATTGAGGGGGGGGGGGTAGGGGAGCGGTAGGCTCATTTTTATACATGCACGCTATAATCCTTTGAAAACAACGGACGGACTTATACACCTAATTAAGAATCTTCAATTAATACTGATCAAAACTTTGCACGTTTCCAACATGAATTTTTGATATGTGATTACTTTAGGCCAAAGTGAAATGGAGAAGGAAAATACCAATTGTAATGAGAAGTTAAAGAGGCTCAATATCCCCTAACTGGTGAGACCTGACGAAAATGTGCAAGTATTACCTTCGCAAGAGAAAGGCTAAGTTTCTACAACTCGTTTTACGTACACATCAGACTTGTCAGTCATGCGCATAATTGCACGTTGTTCCCCAACACTGTCAACTTTTATGGCAATTTCGTTGAAATTTTGAAATTGTCAATCGTGTCTTATAATATATACATTTTCACATAGGCATCCTGCATCAATAAGTGATGAGCCTGAAACCAAAGATTTGCTCTGCGTTGTACGACAATTCTGTATGGTTAAACCAGTGACCTTACCACCGGTGACCTACAGTGAAGCAAAACTCTGTTAAACTTGACAGTGGCAGCTTATTTGTGTTTTTTTTATGATTTTTATACCGTTCGAGTGATATGTTCATTGAATTGGCTTGAAAAATATTTATAGCTTTTGTTATTTGTAAAAGGATTTAGTTTAGTATTTGTAGTATTCGTTGCTTCATTAGTCATCAAGTTAAAGTATTTTTTAGCTTGCATTTCTTTCGGTAATTCGTTGTGTATCGTTAATTCGTTTTGTCAATTCGTTACTAGTTTTTAATCTTTTCTTTATTTTTGTTTTGGAAATGAATACGATTGGTTTTACGTATTAAAGTTTTACATGGAGTATGAGCAATAATCGCGTGTGCTGTGATTATTGAAAATCTACTTTTGTACTAATTTCTAGTACTTCAGCTTTTCTCTTCCTGACTCCAGCAACTATTCGTTATGAGTGTATGTTGTGACCACTGGGTGTGCCTTATCTATGGATGTGTTTCGAATTTCGAACGACGTGCCAGTTTTCAAGCGAGGACTGGCAACGACATTATAGATCACGTGACCATCTAGCGTATCTCTCGCTCACTTCGTGATCTTCGTGATACTTGAGAGTTGTCAGCCTAGACGTAGTAGTGACAGCTGACAAACTAAAAAAAGTTTGTGCCTTTTGTTTAAAGTAATGCCTTATACTAGCATTGGCTTATATGCGGTGGTATCTCATATCAGTTTGCTAAACTAAGGTATTATCACTTACGTTCAAGGAGATGGTTACAAACTATTAAATTGTTATTGAACAGACAGAAGTACCAAAAGGCAAAAGAAGTTCACTCTAGTACAATTTACTTGCAGCAAAGATCAATTTTTGGCAATATTTATGACCATGTGAGTCTGTATTGATGATAAATGAGAAGCTGACCTATACATATTCACAGTAAACTTCATCTTAACATGTTGCTGAATAAATTATGTGGACAGAATACAACGTTTTCTTTTATTGAAGATGGGTATATTGCACCTTGCTTTATCGAATTGTGTCTCGTTTGCCCAATTCATATGATATTTGCTGGTGCCAGTGTATATTATATCACGCAAGGTTTGGTCTGGCAAAGAACTCAACACAATCGGCTTGTTAGAGCAAACCAACTTGTATCATTGTTAATTGTTGCGACAATGTTAGCAAAGATCATATTCTCCATTATGAATACTAAAGCAAGATATGGATCATCCAATGTTCTTTCTTTGGCAATTGCAACATTTTCTTGGCTATTAATTGTGATATATTTTCAATCAAAAAATAGACCACCCTCTTTTCTTTGCATCTTCATGTCTGCTTCATGGGTTGTTTTTGCCATCCTCCTGTCTTCACAAATTTATGTCTTACATTTTCAGAGGAATTCACATTTTGATTTTTACACATCTATTGCTCATGTTTTTTTACAAATTTTAGCTATCATTGGGATAGTTGTTTTGCGGCAAAATTGGAAATTAATGCTTGATGTCAAAAGGCTTCAAGCAAGAGATATTCAAGCGGGCGCATCTGAGGTGGATAGACTTCTTTCTTCAACAGACTTTGATGTTTATTACAGTGGATTTAATCATGAGCAAACTAAGAGTGATTTAAAAAAGGTTGATGAAAATTCAATGCTACTGTCAAGGCTCACATTTCATTGGGTGTTTCAACTCATGAAGAAAGGAATTAAAAACCAACTGAAAACTGCTGAGGATACTTTCTACCTTCCTAATTCATTATCTACAAAGGAATTGGCTATTTCATTTCAATATACATTGAACAAACTTAAAAAGCCATCTCATTCCAAAAGCTGTCATGCTACTGACTCAAATGCATTGCATGCTCAAGTGAAGAAACGTCTGTTGTTAAGAGCACTTCATCAAGCATTTGGTCTTCGGTATTATTCAATTGGTGTATTAAAGTTCTTTGGGGATTGCTTGGGATTTGCAGGACCATTGTTACTCCATGCTCTTGTGTCTTTCATGGAGAATAGAAAAGTAAGTGTAGATGTGTAATTCAGTTTTTGTGATGTTCATGCCTTTAGATGAAGACAATCTACCATTTTGCCTTGTACTAACCTAAAAGTACATTTCTATTTCTTTGTATTTCCACTGTCTATTTTAATTATATTCAACTGAAGAGTTGATGACTGAGGCATTTATTTTACTGTAAGTTTTGCATTTTCTCTTTGCACCTTTGTTGACCAAACTTTGCACAAGAGCCATACAATTAGTTAATTAAGTGGAATAATCTGAGTGGAATAGTCTAGGACTTAATTGGTTTGGGATGAATTTTAAGGCAGTATTAGGGTCTTGTCTATGTAAAGGATTCCAGTATCCAATTTTGAATTATAATCGCATTGTTAGCTGCTGGCTGCGACCAGCCTGCAAATTTAGTCTTGTTATTTAAATTTTAGTGTATTATCATTATTTATATGTTAGGATGTCTATTGTTTTTGCAATGGGTAGCACAGAAAAAATTCACATAGCAAGACTTAATTAAAGGGATAGCTGCATTATGCATTTGTTGAGAATCCATGATCAGAGATCACAAATCAAACATCAGTTTGTATTTCATCATCAACTACAGCCACAAGACAAGACTGTGAGATCATCGTTATATCTGGTTTTTTTTTACATTACAGGAACCCATGATTCATGGTTACTATTATGCATTTGGATTGTTTGCTTCAACTCTTCTTGGTTCATTTGTTTCAACACATTACAATTATCTTGTGAATAAAGTTGGTCTACAAATACGTGCTGCTATTATTACAGCTGTTTATCAGAAAACTTTATCTGTGAAAACCACACAGTTGCTCACATTTTCAACAGGAGAGGTAATTATTCATTCCTATATATATCTTTATATCTACCTAATGATCATATTGTATAGATCATATATACTAATTTGGTACTCATTTCTCACTGTATACATCTTTCTCACTTGCTAAAGATCATATTTATAGAATATATAGGTACATGCTTGTTTATCCCTGTATGTTTCTTTCTATCCTGCTAAAAATCATACTACATCATATAGACTATATAGGTACTCATTTGTCACTGTATATATCTTCCTTTCTTGCTATAGACCATATTCTAATTCTGTATGGAATGTATTTGACGATGTTTTCTAGGTTATCGTTTATTCTTTCTGCCTGCAGGTTTTCTCAGAAATTTGTCTTTGTCTTGTTTTTAAGGTTGTAAATTTTATGAGTACGGACACCGATCGGATCGTGAACTTTTGTCAAAGTTTTCATCAATTTTGGAGTTTGCCCTTTCAAGTAGCTGTTTCTCTGTATCTTCTTCATCAACAGGTATAAACATGGATCTCTTTTGTTAACTGGTATGGAGATATGTTATCGCTTCTTTTGCGACGATAAAACCATAGTTATGCTTCTCAATCATGTCATTTGACTTGCTCAATGGCAGTAATTCCATTATTTTTTGATCATCAAGAATGCTGAACCTCGGGGGCAGCTATTCTTCCTCTTGTAAACATATATTTTTGGTGCACACTTTTTTTAATCCGACATCAATTTGTTTTGAACATTTGTTTTAATTGACTTATCGGAGGTGCCAATGCTTGGGGGTACGCTCAGCTCCCGCCTTCTCTTGAAAGGCAAGAATTGCCCATAAATTGTCTGTTATATGTTGCTTAAAAGTAGAAAGAGTGGCTGAATAGCAACACCATACAAACTTAGCTAAGTTCCCTATTTAATCAAGCTGCTCCCTTTTGCTCGTTCATTTTCTCTGCTGTATTATTTCTCACTGAAGTCACTTGGAGTCGTTCGTAGGGCTGGTCTAAACGAGGTCAAATAATATAATCCAGACATAAAATATGTATTTTTAAGAAGATGACTCATGGATAAGCTTACACACCTTGAAATGTCGATTTACGTAGGTTTAAATTCACGAATATAACGTTGCGTTGTCTTTGAAGGTTGGTGTATCGTTTCTCGCTGGATTAGGTTTTGCTTTCTTACTTATTCCCGTTAACAAATGTGTGGCTGTCAAAATTCGATGGTATTCTGAAAACATGATGGCAAAGAAAGACGAGCGAGTCGAAGTAGGTTCTTTTAGTCACCTTGAGTAAGTTGAATTTTTTTAACAAATTAAACATGAACGCATATGGAAGTTTACATATCACAACAGTTTTCTTATCCTATAATTATAAGTTATACATAATACAGTCTACATGATACCTTCCCGATACACCATATACACATTATACCGTTATTCACTTCTTTCTTTTAGCTAATGAGCGAGGTTCTTCATGGTATCAGAGTCATCAAGTTTTATGCTTGGGAAAGGATGTTTTCGAAGAAAATCTCCGATTTAAGGTACAGATCATGTATAGCCGCACATTATTAACTTTTAGCTTTTCGTGATCCTTATATCTATGAATTGCTTTCCATTGTTGTACTATATCTATCAATTGCTTTCCATTGTTGTACTATATCTATCAATTGCTTTCCATTGTTGTACTATATCTATCAACTGCTTTCCATTTTTGTACTATATCTATCAATTGCTTTCCATTGTTGTACTATATCTATCAACTGCTTTCCATGGTCTTAATGTCCATCTACTGCTATCATCCACAGTTGTACTATGAACTGTTATCATATATCATTAGTGATTCCGTTCTTTGAAAGTAGTAAAATAAAGGAAAATACCTTGGAAAATCCATGACTGTAAATTTAAGTTGCACTCGAATTTTTTTTATTAATTTAGTATAAGAATGCTCAGTCATGGATATTTCGAGAAGCAGCGCATTTAGTGTTACGTACTTGCAAAGTAGAAACCTTTTTTAATCGTATCTTCAACATGAAAATATAAAGCGGATGATTTAAAAACTATTTCATTTTGACACAACCTCATCAATTCTTTTTAACAAGAACGAGTTTTTGCTCTTAAACTGTTGCTGTTGTTTGATCAGTTTGTTGAGGAGTTTGCTTTAGTTAAGGAGTTAAGAATTGGGTGATTTTAAATTAAAACTTTTAGATCTGACGAACTCAAGAATTTGAAAGGAATGAAGTATCTTGATGCATTATGTGTCTTTTTCTGGTCGACAACACCTGTATTAATTTCCATCTTGACATTTTTCACATACGTTTTGTTGGGAAATACTCTTACTGCAGCCAAGGTAAGTCAGCGTGTTTTACTTTTGAATTTTTTCAATTAAAATTCTAAATTGAATTAAAGCGAATACGAAGACAAGTTTACTAACTTTTTTACTTATTATACAAGGCATGAAAACAGTGGGGAGTGCAGGTCATAAAAAGCTCATTCTAGAAGAAGCCATGAAAAGGGAACTAATGTTTTTGTACCTACCCCCATCTAAGTAAATTTGAAAGGAATGTTAATTAGTCTTACGTAAATAGGTCAAACTAAAAAATCTATACTCCACCCCTCCCCCCCCCCTTTGCGCTTTAATCTTGTTCTGTCCTCTTCGCTTATAATTTGAACCCAATTCTGCTTAGACTATGCATCAGCTCTCAACTTAAAGTTTTTGATCTCCTTAAAGAGGTATAGAAAGGGTTGCACCTTCACTGCTATGGATGGAGACCTTTGTTTATTTGTTTTGATAGGTTTTCACCAGCATAGCTCTGTTTAACATGCTCATATTTCCACTCAATGTTTTTCCTTGGGTCATCAATGGTCTTATTGAAGCTTGGGTATCATTGAAGCGGGTAAACCAGTTTCTTGAACTTGATGAGCTTGATTGCCAAGATTATTACATTGCAAACGTAATCGAAGGTGATTCGGATGATGATATCACCGTAATGGTGAAAGATGGATCTTTTGGGTGGAATGTGGATATGTTAGAGTGTACTCAGGAAACGGATAATGTAAGAATCTCGAAAGGATTTTTGAATGAGAACAAACGATTTGAAACCAAGCAAGCAGAAAGTGAAAAACTCAGTTCATCTCAAATTTTGCGAAATATTGATTTGACCGTAAGAAAGGTTGGTAATACTGCAGTTGAACGAAAGCTATCGTTAGAAGCACGTCGACAGCACATTGAATTTTTTTTAAAAAAAATTGTTCTTCTACTTAATTTGTGCAGGGTCATCTTGTTGGTGTTATTGGTCACGTGGGCTCGGGAAAAAGCTCTTTACTTTCGGCGATTACTGCTGACATGGCACGGACTCAAGGCAAGGTATTTATGTCCATGCTATGTACTGTAGGTATATGTTTGTGTAAATATGTTAAAGCAAGAACAAACTTGCAGGCTAGCTACCCCACCGTGTATTGCAGATCGATTTATTTAGCTTTTTTTCTAACAGATTTATGCGGCAAACTTAAACGAAGGATTTGCTCTTGTTGCTCAGGTGTGATTATTTTCATAAATTATCATATTTTGCATGAATTCGTATGGTTTGAATAACTTTGATTGTGACGTATAACCAATTCTAGATATTTCCTAGAAATGGCTCGTGATTTAGGTTAGGCATTGCCCATTGCTAAAGAATAGGCATTGCTCACTGCTACGGCATTGCTCACTGCTAAAGGTTAGGCATTGCCCATTGCTAAAGTTAACGCATTGCTCAGTGGTAAATGTTAGATATTGCTCAGTTTTAAAGATTAGGCATTGCCCAGTCTTCACATTGCTTAGTGGTTTAGGATAGCCACATGTTTAGAGTTATACATTGTCTCATGGTTCAGGTTAAACTATGAGTTCAGGCAGGGATCATGTGTTTAAAATTTACGCTTGATTTCTCGGTAGCAATTGCATCTTCACCTAATTCAAAGTACATGTTCGTTTTTCCGCACAGGAAGCCTGGATTCAACATGCCACGGTGAAAGATAATATTTTGTTTGGAAAGTTATTCGACCATCATAAATACGAAGCCGTTCTGAAAGCTTGTGCCTTAAAAGAGGTGTCAAATATTTTGTTCTCAACAGTTCCTACGTCCCCCCTTTTTTTGCCTCAGTCTCTTTTAGCTTTATATTTGTGTTTTCACAGGATTTGGCTACATTTCCCGCTTACGATCGCACTGAAATTGGGGAAAATGGTGTCAATTTAAGTGGAGGACAAAAAGCTAGAATTTCACTTGCGCGAGCTGTTTATCAGGTACGTATAAAACTTTTTATTTTAACGAATTTTTGTTTTACGAGGAACAGACTCATTTTTGTTGATAGGACAAAGAAATATACCTCCTAGACGATCCGCTTGCCGCTGTTGATACTCATGTCGGCTCACATATTTTCTCGCAGTGCATAATGGGTGCTCTCAAGCACAAGACTAGAATCCTTTGTACCCACCATTGGAAGTATCTGCGTCATGCTGACGTGATCGTTGTCATGCAGAACGGCACAATTGCTTGCCAAGGACCTCCACACGAAATATTGAAACGCAATGATTTGATCCAAAATGCAACTGATGAAGGTTTGATGTTACCTTCAACAAATTATGAATTTCTAACCCCAGTGATTGAGTTGATTCATTGGTCAAAAGATCTACATCATGTTCAATATGTTCAATGCAAGCATGAAAGAACAAGTCTTCGTTGAAATAAGTTCTTTTTTTATTGGAAACATTGATATTCAATTTACTGGAAAAAGTTATTAAATACATACCTTAATTTTTTTGTATTAGTTTTCGAAATGCCGTAGCCAGTTCATGATTTGTGGACACCAATATTCGTATTTGCATATTTTGTTTTTTTCATTTCTTTTGAAATCAATTTTTATAACGGAAAGCAACATAAAAATGTGATTAAACCACAAAGTCTCATTATCGACGTTGACAACATCATTATATTACTTTGAAATGGAAAAAACCCGATATAAAACCGGTTTTACGTTCATTTTAATAATACTATAACTGAGCAAAGTTTCTCGCTTATCACTTCAGGAATAGGCAACGTTGATAATCAGACAAACGAAAGTGAAAATACGGCTGGAAACGGACCAGGTTTAGTAAAAGAAGAAACTAAAGATGTTGGTGTTGTAAAATATGATGTTTATCGTTCATATTGGAGGTCTGCTGGAGTTTGTTTAACAGTCAGCATTTTACTTTCATTGTTTTTGATGCAAGGTACGTATAGAATTTATATGACTTCTCGATACAGGTTAAACGATAGATAGTGGACGCTTTGTGCACAGACGCTATGTATAAGGGGTGGGAGTAAAGAATCTGCTATAGAAAACGTATGTGTGGATTTGTGATGTTTGTGTTACATACATTGAAATAATTTTTGTGCTTGTATTTAGTATCGCGAAACATTAGCGATTGGTGGCTAGCTTATTGGATCTCCCATGATAAATTGTCCTCCAATCATACGTCTCCACGTGTTCAGTTTGCCAATCACATTACTCTACATGATCACATATTTGTCCATGCACCACAGCGGGTATCTATCTCGTTACAAGTAAACCTATCAAAAGTTGGTGCCTTTCATTTCAATCAAATCAGAAAAGGAAGTCTGACTTTTTACTTGGTCATTTATGGTGGAATAGCTTTGGCAAACACGGTATGTATTCACTGAAAAGCTCAGAACTCAAACGCGTGCGGGAATTGCTCAATCGAACAGCAGAGAATGTGAGAAGTGTGTCCGAACTAGATAAATGTGTACGTCATAAAATTCTCGCTCATTGGCGTTCCCATTTTCCCATAGATTTTCACATTGTTTCGGGCGTTCCTGTTCGCCTACGGAGGTGTAAAAGCAGCTCAAGTTATCCACGAGAAACTGTTAAGGAGCATTCTTGGGGCACCTGTTTACTTTTTCGACGTAACACCGGTATTGCAAATACATATATATCAGGAATATGACTTTTCTTCTTTTCTTTCTTATTCTGTATTCAATTGACGTACATTTTTATGCTGTTTTAGATTGGTCGGATTGTTAATCGATTTTCATCTGACACTGTGAGTAGTTTTCGTGTTTCATAATAATAGTAATGGCGATGAGAGTTGTTGTCAAAAAGGAACAATAAGTTTCCTTTGACATGCATGTGACGCTTGATGGTTGTTTTTGAACTTATGCAAAAATTTTCGATTAGTTTGGGTATAAACTTTAACATAAACGGTTCTGATAAATCTAAAGTCAGTGAAACACTTCATGCACCCATAATTTAGTCACTGACTTCTTTCAGTTAAGGTTATCTTCAATGTCGTTTTACTACTTATTGCATTGAATAAAAGCATGCAGTTTTCCCAAGTTTTTCCAGAAGAATTATTCACCTCTAGTTTAAACGAAGTACGTAGCATGGTTTTTATAAGTAAAGATAACGCAATAAATTTATTATTTTAATAATGAAGTGTACGTTTATTCAGAAAACTAATTATACCATTCAATTTCACTGTTGATATTCAGTTTTCCATTGACGACTCACTACCATTCATGATGAATATCTTTTTGGCTTTATTATTTGGTGTTGTTGGAACAATCTGCATCACATGTTATGGTCTACCATGGTTTATTCTTCTACTCATTCCTCTATCGTTTCTCTACTATAAAATTCAAAATTATTATCGAAAGACATCAAGGTTTGTTTATATGGAGATCGATATTCATTGGTTGTTATGCTGGTGTATTTGTTTTCAAAGGCATGCCGTTGATTTTTAACTTTGACAACAATTTGACGGCACAATTTCTATTTCACGAAGTGTATAAGTGGATGGTGCCGCTGACCTAGTTTACGGCACTATTCGTATTTTAAGGAGTTGAAAAGTGAATGGTGCCGCTGACCTAGTTTACGGCACTATTCGTATTTTAAGGAGTTTGAAAGTGAATGGTGCCGCTGACCTTGTTGAAATTACATTAGTTATTCAATTTTGCCATTCAGGCAAACTGTTTTTGATGCATTTCAAACTCTGCACAGAAGGGCGGCGGAACAATGATAATTGGGGGGGGGGGCTATTATTCACATATGCATGTTTTACTTTATTAGTTTCTATTGAAATCAATTGTCTCTACGGATTATAACATATGAATATAGCCCCCCCCCCAATTATTAATGTTCCGCTGCTACTGTCTGCACATTTATAAACTTTCTTTGGTTTGTTTTATAGAGCGATAGTTCATTACAACAGCATTAGATTTTGATTCTCGTATATATTTTTTTAATTCAAATTCAGGGAGGTGAAGCGTCTAATGAGCGTAAGTCGCTCTCCAGTTTACGCACATTTTTCGGAATCTTTGAGCGGCATAGTGACTATTCGAGCGTTTAGAGCTTCCTCGAGATTTATGAGCGAAAACGAGAGAAAGCTGGAATTGAATCAACGTGCCAATTTTTCGGGTAATGTCTTTTGACTTGCAGTTTTCGATGTTCTACTCGATGTTCTTATAGATCGATGTACTTTGTTGTATATTCTATTTCTATCCTTTACATATTACAGGCTTAGCAGCCTCTCAATGGTTAAATCTCCAGCTTCAAATGCTTGGTGTTGCTATGGTGACATGCGTGTCTTTTCTTGCTGTCGTGGAACATCACTTCAGTACAATAGATCCAGGTCAATGATCATATTATTTATCTAATGGATTGGAAACTAGTTAAAAAAGCGCGTTTTCCACTTTGTTTCAGTGTTCATCGTGTGATATTTATGCTACATATGTACATGAGTGGATGGTTAGGTACCCATCCGACTTTTGAATACTTTGGAGTGCAGGCTCATTTTTAAACCTCTTCATTACTAACTAAAAAACACTACAGATCTACATCTATCAAATCAATGTGAATGGTCTCGTGCTCTGGTGCTCGCGACCGACGATTAGCTTTGGCTGTTCGATTACCTTTGGCTGTTAACTTTGTTTAGCGCCTGACCTCACGAATACCTTCATGGCCAAATGATCCAAAATTTTACAACAGAACTTGCAATTATGGCTTGTTTTAGGTGCCCTGTGGGCCTGTACACTGATGGACTTTTTCTGTTTCGTTGTGGTGTTCTCAATTAAAGTGCATATATGTAATTGTTTCTTTACAGGTTTGGTTGGACTCGCCATTTCCTACGCATTGACGATCACCAACCAACTTTCTGGCGTCGTCACGTCTTTTTACAGAAACCGAGAAACAAATGGTCAGTGTGGAGAGGGCAATGCAGTATGTCAGCGGTGTTCCACAAGAAGTTGACGGACTAACTATTGTAAGTTTCAAATTCATACTCCGTGATTGGTGTTTTTCTGGAACTTTTGAACAATACAAGTGGAATAGAATTCTGAGAAATTATTCAGCGATTTACATCAATATTGTTTGAACTAAAACTCATCTGTGAAAAAAATTTGCCGGAATTTTCCAAGCTCCTCTGTCTGCGACTTATCAAAATAGATATTTTTTTACACACATCTGTTTCAATTTTGTTTATTACATAACGCATTTAATTAACCTTATGAACTCGACATTAAGTAATTGGGGACTGATCTGCGATTTTCAAATGTGAAATTATACTCTTGCACGAAATTCAGTTCAGTAGACGTTTTTTTGTACCTTTATAATAGTTGCTGTCAAGGGTAAAGCGCAAGGATACCCAAGTTCTCTTATGTCTGTTTAACTGTGATTTTTAGTTTGCGATAACTTATCAGCTTTTAAGTCGGCATCAAATTTAGCTAGTAAACATTGTTTAATGTTACATAATGTTATTAAAATGTCTGTTTTGTGTATTAGTGCTTCGAAATTGTTTCTTATTGCAATAACATGTAGTGCTCATGTATTAATTGAAATGCTATATTTTTAGCCACCGCAGTTCTGGCCGCGCGAAGGAAAAATTGTCTTCTGGAATGTAACTTTAGTCTACAGGTATGAATTTTTCTTGCATTTTATTGGTTGACACAATCACCAATTTCTAATTATCATCCGTTCAATTAATCTATGCGGAAGAATTTTGCGAAATTTTAATTCGAATTACATCCACTAACAGAAAACATACTTCTGCGGGATTCTTCATGCGTACATCTTTGTTTCCCTTAGGATATCAAATTTATAAAATGATATTTAAAAAACAATTATTGAATGTTCCCCCGGAGACTTGTCAAACCCCTACCTCACCCACATCACACCATTACGACCCTTCTAGTTCTTTGTAAAATTTACGGAGTACCCATTCTTGGGTGTATGATGCACGGCAGTACTGTAGGGAAACTGGAATGGTTAAGCCCTACCACTTTTTTGCCAAAATAGAGTTTTTTTTAGCTACAAGCATTTACTAACGTTGAGTTAGATTCACTCCTGCGGTTACGTGATGGAATGTTTACGTAAAAAAACACGCAACACCCTCGAACTATTTAATTTTATATTTCCTGTTTGTATTGTTTGTGCATTGTACATACTTTGTACATACTTGATACATCTACCGTATTTTGGAATGCTTGACTCTAATGATAGCGTCTTTTCACATTCTGCGGGATGCGAAAGACAAATTTTCACTTCCTCATATACTGTAAAACGCAACTATCTGTGAATACTAAACTGCTTTGTGTTTCTTGTCAATGTTTGACATTAACTTTAATAAGATCGCAGGTGCCATGACCTCAACATGAAAGAAAACAAAAATAATTTTACTGTGTTGAGTTACAGTCATTTCGTTTTCTTTCAAAGTAGTCAGTTTTGCCAACGATTTATATGGTATCATAGCATCGTGGAACTCTAATTTAAAAATCGATCGTCCGAATTATGTTGTTTACGATCTCCTCTGTGACTTTGTCTTACAGCAGTCTATTTTTGACCTAATTATGCACTCACTAAACCAGTGTTGATGTCACAGGATTGACATATAGTATTGTCATTCATCTAAAAGGTCAACTGTAATGGACACGACTTAGATTTCGAGGCTCTTCAAGCCAATGAGAACGTGCTGCACTTAAGTAAATATTGACATCTGCTATCGAAATTATATGCAAAAATGTTCAATTTTAAAGAAACAAAAGAGAGGGTCAGGAGAAATTTGTTTTTTACTTAAACATGGATTTAGTTCTTTTTCTCTCTAAGACGATTTCGTAGGAAAGGACTTTCGGCTTTTTTGGTGCTATTTAAAAATAGCCTCGAGAATAACTCGAAAGAAACAGAACAGCTCCTTTCTGTTTTAAATTACTCTTGTATTAAAGATCTTAGGCAAACAATATGGCTGTCTGTTTTCACTTTAATGGCATAAAGATTGCCTCGACAAACTTTGGCGACCTTACTGCGTTGAAAGGGACTTTTAGGATAATAACGTTCCCAATATGGATTGATAAGATCGAAAAAGCATGTGTAATATGTTGTAATGTGCGCAATTTGTAGTAATGTGTGCAATTAATACGTCAGAAAGATCTTTCTATACAATAGAAAAACAGCCAAAGGATTATCTTCCTTGAAAATATGAAGTATAATGTGCATGCTTTTGAAACATGAAAACCTCTCATGAACTACGATGGATGTTTCAATCAATTGTTCTTACAATGTTTTTCACTGAGGGTAATCGTCTTTCAGCGTGCATAGAATATTGGAAATGAAATGACTTGTATATGTTTGTTGCTCATTCTTCCGTGTCTTGTAATAATTTGCCATCTTTAATCTTTCTATTCATAAACATTTTTTACAACTATATTTACAGTAATTGCAGGAGGGTTCCGTCTTGTAGAAATATTTACACATTAATAGGACACTATATGGTTCAATATTATGGCAACTAGTATCTATATAAATCAGCCTTAATATTGTATATATTACGGGGCAGTATCATGTGTCGTCAAAGTTTATTATTATTTCACTTTGTTTTCTTCACATTCAATAAACGATTCTCATTGTCCTTTTGTTAATTTCCCAAACTCTGCAACACGTCTTCGGTTTGAATCTGCGTTTACGCATGATTTAAAATAAAATGACCGTGGTTTATATATGAGTGAGAGTATCATGCTGGAACGTTGCCATTCATCCTTCTTTTAATTTAGTGTTAAACTGATTAAAGAACGCCTGCTCTCCCTTTTCGGTATTTTATCGAAAGCCGGAACCTTCCTATCATCTTCCAACAATGTTTATCAATCATATGCCATAGATTATTCTTGCCTTCTTGTAGTCGTTATTTCAAAGCAAACATTTCAATCTATATTCGGATGTAGCTAATTCATGGCTAATTTGAATTTGCAACTGCCACTGTTTCAATACGTTAAATATCGTTGTTGAAAACTGTAAATGATATGGGCAACTGCCATCAATTCGATTTCCATCTGGTGTTTGTCTGTTTGTTTTGGTGCTGTGATAGAGATGAGATAATTTCGAGTACTGCTCATCTTTAAAACATTTAATCATGATGTCTAACTTTGTTGTGCACTCGTCGTCGACTGTTTTTATTGTGTGTTTTGAATATGACCATATTTATTTATACACGTAACAAGTTGGTTCAGTTTTGGAAAACTATTCATCTTTTATCATGTTTGATACTCCGTGATTTACGTCGACGTTGGCAATAATGTCCTTCGTTCATTGCCCTTTCTCTGTGCAAGCTAGTCAAATCCATTTCTTGCTTCTTCCGTCCGTCGTCCTCAGAATGCTCTTTGATTTCTTCCAAGCTTGGATTATAGCTACGGAAGACACTGGAACGTCTTCTCTTCTTTGCGTCCTGGCTCACTTTTTTCAATGCACTTTCCATGCTTTCCGTAAGAGATTCAATCTGCTTGAGCAGCTGTGTCGTATCGCCCCCCATGTAATGATTCTTAAAGTAAAAGGCCTCCGCCATCGGCAGCGGTATGTCTTGCAGAATATCGGCCGGTTGGACATCCATAATCATCTTTCTAATCTACTCCTTCGCATTCACGACTTGTATTTGTACACCAAACTCATATGTCAATTAAAATTTGTCCGTCCGTTCCCATGACACACCTCTCTTCTTATGCTCACATGATTTCTTCCTTGCAGTCATTGGATTGGTCTGCTCTCTATGGTACTTGAAAGAGTAGCCTATGAGATGACAGAACTGTGTCTACGTAATATCTTGCTAAGCTTGACCTCGAACGACACAGTACTGTACGCATAATGATTGGCTTGTTGGAAGGCATTGTCGTATTTTTGGCAATGTCGAGCATTGTGGTTGGCCATTCAACTGCATTGTTATGGCGCAATAGGTATGCTTTGATCTTTGGCTATGATAATTATCCGCATATTACACAGCAGGACGCACGCTGTTTTTCTTTGATTTAAGCAGTATGTGGTTCATTTTTTGGATATCATATACTTTTTTCATGGCATTGGAGAAAGTTATTATGACATTTACCCTGTACATTAGTGTGAGCAACATACTTTACTCTTTAGAAAGCTTGATGAAAAATGCTAGTAATTCAAGCCACCGCTTGTGCGTTTTTCTCCATCATTTTCTTGTCGGAAAATTAGGGAAACACAGTCGGAAATCAAACCAAGTTGTTTACTCTGAATTAAATATTTTTTGATTTATTTCTATAGACCGGGTCTTCCGCCAGCCTTGCGTCATGTGTCTTTTGAAATACGTCCCCGTGAGAAGGTAAGAAAAGTTTTCTCTATCCTATGTATGTCTTTTTGGATCCTGTTGAGTAATGACAGATTTTTCAACTTAACAGTAAAAATTTTTTCTGTCAACAATTTTTCCCCAAGTTTCGTCAGTTCATGTCTGTCTTGTACAAAACTTGAAAATTTGTTTTTTCTCGTGGCCGTCAAAAGTATTCGTTTCTACCACCTTTCCATGGAAACCATGAAAACATCTTGTGAACACTTATAAAGCGTTTGTTCACTTAGATTATATCGATCATATACAATTTCTCCATTCTCTCGTTCTGTTTTTTTTATGACATGAAATTTTACTGAAGCTATAATTGACAGTTTGGTCTGTCAAGCATACGGAAGAAGGTTGCAACTTGACTTAGGGAGATGGGTCACATGTCTCACTCATCGAGTCTCACTCTTTGCCTCTATACCCAATGTTTGTAACATATTTGGCATCATGTGATTTAGTATGTGAAAATTATTAAACGGATTACGACAGAATCGGATTACCGCAACATCGGATTATCACCTTATATGATCTAGTCCTAGTTACATGATATAGTAATAATGACCGGATTATTACGTCTTTTCACCGTGGAAATGACTTCACAAATAATCTGCTATAGTTCTATGTATGTAATATGAAATGGTTTAACAATTGTTGGTTAATATTTTTGCTATCGACAAAATTTACTCTTTGTTTTCACCCTAAAATACTTTCGCTCACATTTTTTACTATACACAGGGGCCATCTGAGGTGAAGTAAACACTTCATTTACTACCGGATTAAAAGGAAATTTGATTTGCAATGTTTACAAGTGTAATACAATACAAATATCACCTTAAGGCAAAATAAACAGAATTCTTCGTTTGCAGATGATTGAGTGCCCCTCTGGTTTCCATCGTCTACAGTTTTCTTCTGTAGAAGATCAAAAAGTACTGTTTTGTTCTTTATAGATTGGTATTGTTGGCCGCACAGGCTCGGGAAAGTCGAGTTTATTTTTGGTACTGTTTAAAATCGTCGATATTGAAGGTGGTCAAGTAACCATTGACAATGTTGATATAGCTAAAACACAGTTAAAAAGGCTAAGGTATGCGACCTTTGGTTATCTTGTCCGACAGTCTCGTCTATAGCTCTTCTGTAGTTCGTTTTACTGCGAAATAGTTAGATTTGCAAGCTGCAGAACTGGGCGTCGCGTGGAAATTTTTTTATTTAGTGGCGATTTATATTTTAATAGGTCGTCTTTGGCGATAATTCCACAGGATCCCTTCTTGTTTAGAGGCGATGTAAGAAAAAATTTGGATCCTACGAACGAGGTTGGTAGGAAATAAGAGCGTTTATTCGATTGTGTCTCCCCTGTTTTTTTTTACTATTGCGTTTTTTTTTATTTTACAAACGTTTCGAAGTGCTTTGTTCATTATCTTTTTTTCAGTTGAACTTTTGCAACTAGTATATGATGAAATACATTCAGTTTTTTTTGTTGGTGAATATTATTTCCCGTGGGTGCATTTATTTATACTTGAATGATCCCTGGTGGATGTTGAATGTTGTTTGCTCTTCATATTGCAACTGAATTTGTATTAGCCTGTTTTTAAGACGATCTGAGCTCAATCGATTAAATCAATTAAAGAGAATTTACACATCGATCAATGCATGTGTTAGAGAAAAAATCAATACATTTGTTTTACATTTATCTGTTTTACATTATTGCTATATTTTATAAAACTTTCGAGCATGTGCAAACCCTCGACCTTCGTCTCCTCGGTATGCATAAGCCTGCGCAAACACAGTAAACTCTTTTATTTCTCACAAAAAGTTTCTTTTTTACGCAGTTTGATGATGCTCAGATTTGGAATGTTTTGGAAAGATGTTCTTTAAAGAAATCTATTGATGAACTCGGTAAATACAATTAATTATTTTCTTCTGTGTTCTTTAAAGTTGTCTAATTCCTTTACAATCTAAAGAGCGCTGTTCTGCCTGAAATAACAGAAAATATATTTGTCAAAATATGTGCATACTCAAGATTTGCCAACTCAAGCACAGAAATTCTCCATTCTCCATTTATATTTTTCATCAATTGTCATTTATGTAATTGTAGTTCTTGTTTAACTGTCATTTTTTTTGTTTTTCCTTTGTTTTACTGTCTTATTATAAGCAAAGTTAGTAAAGCCAAACTGGAATTTCCTTTTTTGTTTTTCCCTAACAACTCTCTTCTTCCTTATAATTTCTCACTTTTTCTTATTAGGAGGTCTTCAAGCTAATGTAGGAGAGCGGGGAAGAAATCTCTCTTGTGGTCAAAGACAACTTCTCTGCCTCGCTAGAGCGTTGTTGAAAAAAGCCAATGTATGAGGAATATGAATTTCTTATGCCTATCGTGTTTTTGACATATTTTCCTTATTGTTTTGTTTAACAAGACGTGATATGATATTTTAGATTTTGTGTGTCGATGAGGCAACAGCGAGCGTGGACTTTGAAACGGACAATTTGATTCAGAAGACGATACGCGAAGAATTTCACGCAAGCACGGTTCTTACTATAGCACACAGGTTCGAGCTCCTTTGAACAGACAAGTTAAGCTCGCTAACCTTGTGTTTCATGTGGAATTTTTTTTATGCTTACAGAATTGAAACGATTCTCGATAGTGACCGCGTTCTCGTAATGGATAAGGGACAGGTTGCTGAGTTTGATTCTCCATATAATCTCCAGCGGAATGGAGAGTCATTGTTTTCAACTTTAGTACGTAAAAGCTGAAGTCAAACGAAAAGTTTACAAAACAGAAAGAACACTTTACCCTCTAGGTGTGCTCTGGGGACGAGTGCTATTTACCATGAAAAGTACAGGAATTACAAAAAGTTTATGATTGCTTCGCCAAGTGGTAGTTTTAATTGCAAAAGATCGTAATTAAACATCCTGGCAATTCATGCATTTTTTCATTTTTTCTTTCTCGCCCATCCTCCTAAAATTTTCTCATTTGTCCTTCATATATCCTCAAAATCCATAGTTTATCCATCAGAATTCCACTACGAAGGTGTTGCTCCCACGAAGTGCGTGGGGCACACTAGGCTAAATATTTGTTGCTAAAGATGGCGGAAATGACCATTCACGTAAAAATGCGTTATACTTTCACCTTTATCAACTGAACTGGTGAAGTTTAACCTAAAATAGAAGTTTTTATGTTTTGCCTGTATATTAAGGCTTCGCCTTGTCCTTAGCTCATTGAATTGTGGCTTGGGTGATGGATAAGATTTGTCATAATTTTATTTATTATGAACTTGCTATTTTTTGGAGCGGGTACGTAAAACTGTTGTGAGGACAACATACAACAAATTATGTATTCAGACTGGGTTTCTTTAAGTGAAAATATTCGAAATGATGATAGTGGAAGAAGTGCATTGGAACATTATCCAAACTCCGTTGGGTGGGATGTGGCAAGAGCAGTTGTCAAAAATCTTGTTGACGATCCAGTCGAGAATACACCTAAGCGTGTCATGTCGGTAGAAGATGTAAAATGGACTATGAATGTAATATGCTTTGGCTTGGGAATGCCTTTATCAGAGGGAGATACTGTAAAAGGATGTGTACATACATATTTGGATTGGTTAGGCTGCTTATCATCTCAACCTAAGGAAACGATACCCAATGTAATTCTTAATGACCCAAATATGTACTGTGAGAGGATTTTACTGCATTTTAAGAATTTGTTCATACCAAGGACCCCAGGTTCATTAGCATTGCAGGCTTCCTTATGTATGAAGGTATTACAAGGTGTTCAACGTATCTCACATGAATGTAGCAAGATCAATAAAAAGACCATAAATGCAATGTTACGATTTTTGTTATCAATATCAGACTCATTGTTATCTCCACCTTTTGTACCTGGTGGACTCACAGAACAGCTTTGTAAGTTGCTAATTGAAGTCTTGTTTGATGTTTGGCTCCAAGCATGTGTATGGGCATTTCCTGATCCATCTCTTTGGCGTACTTTGCAAGAAATGTGCTCCACATGGCGACATCATGGTGATTTAGTCATGCTTTGGAATAAAACAATGTTTTCTATAGCAGTCTGCTGGTTGAATATGGTAGTACTTTTCCTTTGTATCCTCTTCATGACAAGAAGCAGAAATTCAATTCCCATAAGTCTCGATAGGCAATGTTTGATGCAATGTTGGTTTAGGTTTTGCACATCATGGATAACCCTGTGGATTTGGCTTAAAAGTGATTGGCAACATGCCTAAATTCAAGGAGCATGCTTTGGTGAGACAGTCTCTACAACTGTCAGAACATCCTTGTTTGATGTCAATGCCTCAAAATTTTTACACAGCCATGAAAGGAATAGCCACCCTGGCTGACACATTGCTAGGAAAAAAGTGTACATGTGATTCACCGGTTATGTACAATGAAATCATACATGATGCTTCCAATTGCTTGGTTTTAAAAAATGGAATTAAAGAACCTCTGCATAATTCTTCTTCCAATAATCAAATCCTCAATATGAAACGAAGCTTTGATTCAAAGAGTCAAGGACAAGTTGAAGTTCCAATCGGATTTCTCTTTAACCAGCCAGATGGCCGTAACACAAATTTGTTAATGCCTTATGAGAATACTGTATTGCACCTTCTTGGATCATGGCTTTTTGAAGCAACATTGACCCACGTAAATGTTCAAGCTGTAAAAACTAAACTTCATCTTATTTGGCAAATGTACCACAGGTCTTCAGAAACATGGTAAGATGATGTTAATTTTGCATGATAAGACTAAATATGTTGCCTATGTTTTCAATAAAGGAAAAACTTAATAATTCCATCTGAGATGTTGTATGTATTTATATGAATTACAAAATATCTATATATCACTTTATAAAATTATGTTAAAACTGGTACAATTTTCAAGAAAAGACAACTTAGATTATTTAATCAAATTTAAGTTGAAAAGTTGAATGTATAGCAAAATTGCAAATTAACTAAATTGCAAATTTATGTTTGCTGTTTAAAAGAGCTTCTCTTATCTCTGGCTGTCATTTGGTTTGTTATTTGATCATTTTAATTTGTTTTCATTTACCAGCAGCAAAAGATGCAGATGTTAGTGTGAGCGAAAACAACAAATTTGAACAAGGAAGAGCAGAAGCTTTTGGTGCATTATGCAGGATCTACTGTAGCCAGATCAGGCATGATTTTACCCATCTATCTGTCGAGGTTCTATTTTTCACTAGCTGCTGGTCTCATATATGTGAGGTAAATTAATTAAAGTATTAAGGACAAAGTCCTCAGATTTCAGATCAAAAGTTGAATTTTTACATTGAAAATGCCAATTATCCTATACTATTGCTCCTTGGCATTTTTATTATATTTCATTTATTCAAAACCTTCAAAATCCAAGACTTATTTTAATGGATCTTTATTGTCTTCAGTCTTGTTCAGGACATGTGCTGTCAAGCATTCTTTTGAACTCCACTGATCTACTACGTGTTAACTTACCTGGAGTTGATGTAATTTTGCCCCATTTGTTGGCAGCTTTGGAGAAAGTTTTGGGTCACAATGAACTGAGTTTAAAGTAAGTTGTTAAAACTATTTCTACTATTGAATGTATACAACATTGCTCTATTAAACATAACAGGAAATCATGAAGTAAAGTTTGACAGATTAATGGAAGAACAAAATTTCATCACATAATGTTGCATATCATAAGAAATGAAGCTCTATTTACTTGGCGTGAGCCATGTTAATTATAAAGAAAACATTTACACATTATAGCCATCATTGTTTGGAGTTTATTCGGTTTCAAGAAATGTTATTTTAAAGTAATCTTTCCTCACAGTTTGCCTTGACCATTGTCAAACTCAAATCTTACAAATAAACTAGTTTAGTAAGTTATTCGATATCAATGAACAGTTTGGTTTAGCATCAATAGTTTTGCTTTATGAGAGTTTTGAAATATTTTGCTGGTTTTGTGTATTTGTGTTTGCAAATTGAAAGATCTTGTCCTTTGTAGGTGTAATGTAAAAATGGTACAACTGCAAAGAGCCGCCATTCATTTACTACTCTCTATGTTATGTCTTCCTGACCATTTTGCTGATGTATCTATAGCAAGTAAGGTGTTTATGGTTGTTGAATAGAGCAAGTCATGTTTTTTCTTATTTTTTATTTTTCATAGATAAGAAGGTGGTACAGAAAGCCTAGATCAAAATAACATGTGCATAGACACAAAATTAGAAAATATTTCTACCTTGTACATAATGAATGTGAATATGTTAATGGTGTAAAAATCAACCATATGACTTGTCCGCTGAAAATGTGTGACAAAGCAAAGGATTTTGTTGTTTTTAGTACAAAGTTACAAGGAAAGCTGCATTTTTTTGGTGTTTTTTTTTTTTTGAAACTTTACACTATCCTTTGATCCCTAGTTTTCATCATTTTGGTAGCATCGTATGAAAGTTTATTTGTGTTTTCTTTGTTATGTCTTAGATCTCTCAACGAGTGAAAAGGTTTTGGATGATCAGACAGTATCGTTTCTTTCCTTGAAGCCAACTCTTAGAAAACTCTTGATAAACGCTTTGGAGACTGAAACTGATTCACATAACACACAACTTTTACTCGGAGGTAAAGCTAGACTTTTGAAAATGAGCGCAATTTTCTTTTAGGATCGTTCATATTATAGATCGTTCTATATTTTAGGAGTCATGTTGTTCGTTCAAGACAGCGCTTTCGTGGAAGAACAATGTAACACATGTACGTCACTCTCCCCAGGCTCCCTCCATCAACCTAGAAAGCCATACATACAGGAGGAAGAGATGATACATGATAAGGAGGACGTTAATCAACCCGAACATTCCGAAAAGAAAGATTGTGGTGCTGGGTACAACGATTTAGGTAATCGTTATGTTTCTCGTAGAAGCTTGGATTTTAATGGTTAAACCAATAAGGAGGGAGGGGTAGGCATTGACAACCGAAGGGGCACCTTGATTATTTTTGTTGAATTTTGCCATCAACGTCCTGAAAGGCAGGAAAATACTTTATTGCCAGGATCTTCGACGAGCGCTTTGTTTGGATATCTCAATAATCTCGTAAATAAGAAATTGATATTCGGCAGTAAATGGAAGACAGATATTCACGTGACTCTCTCCGCATTTGAACTAATGTCAGCAATGGCCGAGACACATTCACAACATCAGTAAGTCGCCATTGATGGCGTTTTCTTTTCTCGTGAATAATACTTGTGTATAGAAAAAGTTATAGGGTTCCTGATATCAGGAGGGGTAGGGGATCATACTATGAAAGCGTACGTGATATCAGGAGGGAGTGATTGCATTATAAGAAGTTGAATGTTAATATATTAATGACTTATATATAAATTTGTTTACATAAATTTGTTTAGATAAAGAGGAGTGCCGTCGTACGATCAAATGGTTATGTGATTACGTGGAATATCAGGCAAAGCAACCCGCTCCCTTTCATACACGTGATCTTCATTCAATGATGGTTGCTGCATTTAATTGTTTATTGACTTGGATCTCGTCACATCCTTGGCTACTGGATGGTCAGGTTAGTTTTTATTAAATACACGCTTCACTTTATCACGCCATTCCCGTTTTCGTGGTACTTGTCCACGTTTGTGGTGTTGAAGGATTTTGTTTGTAGATGGGGTGTCTGGGGTGTTTAGTAACTTTACAGTGTTTTGGTAACTTTGGGGTGTTGGGGTAACTCTGGAGTTTTGGGGTATCTCTGCAGTTTTGGGGTAACTCTGGGGTGTTGAGGTATCTTTTGGGGTGTTGAGGTAACTTTGGGGTGTTGGGGTATCTCTGGGGTGTTAAGGTATCTTTTGGATGTTGCAGCATTATTTACATATATTTAGATTTTTATGGGCTGTTGGGATATTCTTAGGATAATGAAATTCATTCGTCAATAATCAAAAGATAGTATGGGGAACTCATATTTGAAATCCAATATGGATAAGAATTGAAAAAGAAATTTGCAGAGTATCTATAATGTTTCAATGCATTATTTCCTTTCATAGAAAAGTCTTCAGGCCATATTGGAGGTCGTGGAACTTGGAATTTCAGGAACGAAATCGAAAGTACGTAAGCAATGCGAGTGTTGCTTTCCATCTTGAGGACAAATTATCATTAGAGAAGTTAATTGTTATCGTTTTCTAGAAAAAACTTTTTCATGTGGCATAATTTATAGACCTTTGATAGAGAGCTGTTGATGAGATAATTGTAATGTTTAAGTTTGATGTGTTAAATGTTTATTGAAGGCAAACGAGAACCATGAACAGCTCGTTGAAGACGTCAAGATCCTTCCTAAAGGAGAGAAGATTTTAAGACCTGCGTCATTTCGCGTACGAGAGGCGGCTGAGGGATTACTGAGTTGTATTATGGATAACGTTGGTGCATTTCCTTCTCCATGTGGTCCTGCTTCATGTTCTGCTTTGATGGATGAAGACATTCTTATGGAATTTTTACCAGAAGATGATCAGGTTGCGTTATTATGTTTTGTGCTATGATGGGAAATTTACTTTATTACTTTTGTGAAAATCTTCACTTTTCCTCAAATCTCTTTTTCAAGCTTCTTGTTTGTGACCATTTGCAAAAATTTTTAAGAGCACAAATATTAGACTTTACTTCCTTTTCCATTCTTTCACACCCACATAACCTCTTCGTATTCTTCCCCCACTCATACCTGTTCACCTTTTATGTTCCATCTGATCCCATCCCGTTAAAACATTCTATTATTACCACCCCACCCCCCACCCCATCTTGGATTTGTAAATACTTAGTCAATAAAAACTCGTGTCGATATGTCTTCCTTTTGCTGATCTGCTAGGAAAGGCGAAGCATGTACTCCACATTTCTTTCTCATTGTGATTCATAAATCTATGTAATTCATTTTAGAATAAACGTTTTCAATATTTTGTTGTCGAGGACAGTGTTATAATGGGCATACTGCAGGAGTCCGTGCAGACACACGATGGTAAGCGTCATTAACACTGTGTTAAATATTTTCCCGGCATATAATTTTTGTTTGGGATACGCGTTTTTTTTCACTGATTTTTTTTTCAATACTGTTATCCAAACATTTCTGTGTTTGATTGACTAAACAAACAGTCATTGAACGAAGTCGATTTACTTAAGAAGTGAATTGCAGTTTCGCTTTGCAATTATACTAGCTGGACTAAAAATTTGATTTTCGTGTTTTTATGCTGTTTATCACCTGACACGCATTTTTACAAGGTATTCGTGTAGCATTCTTATTTGTATTTCACCTGACACACATTGAATGTGTTTTACAAGGTATTCGTCCAACAGCGACGATTTTACTGCGTGGTCCAACTGGCCGAACATCTTGGACGGTCGAATTGAGGCAAATACCTGACTGCAAAAAGGTTAGCGTACGTCCAAGACCAGTTTCATTGTCGAAGAAAATTGTCTCATTAAAATAAGATGAGAGATTTTTATTGGTTGTTTTATTACTATTGTTGTTGTTGCATTCAACTAAATGTCCTATAACATCCTGTTATACACCTTTACCACCCAATGATTCATCGCATATGAGGTAGTTCAGTGGTCATATACCATGAATTATAAATAACTCTTCCATTTACTATATTTTGTAGGATACTTTAGGTGTATGCCAACATGACGCTCCAAAGAGACCTGAACCTAATCTTGATATTCCTGTCATTCCGCCGTGTGTTCGCCCCCATTTCCCAGCTGATGTTGAATGTGTTACTTTGACTAAAGCGTAAGTATCAAGGATGCAAAAGACTTTTTATCGTGAACGCATCAAGACGAAAGGTTATATGGAGTATACATCTACAGTATATATCTTACATCTACTTGAGTGCAATTTAAATACACTCTATGCTCAAAGAAAGACAACTTATTTTACGTCTCCCATGTAGAGTTTTTGCCACTGTTATCAAAGATGTGATTTGTGCTAGTCAGAAGGCTTTCATATAAATTTTATTTAACTTGTGGACGTGTGACGTGATGAAGATCATTTTGATGTTGTACAGTTAGTCAACTCTGTGTTTAAATGTTTCATGCTTTTGTTTATTTCTTACTCTCTGTTGTCAATTGTACAGTTAGTCAACTCTGTGTTTAAATGTTTCATGCTTTTGTTTATTTCTTACTCTCTGTTGTCGATTGTACAGTTAGTCAACTCTGTGTTTAAATGTTTCATGCTTTTGTTTATTTCTTACTCTCTGTTGTCAAACAGGAATTTAAGCATTCCATGTATCGATCAAATACCATGTGAAAAATTGTCGCTCGAAAATGAATTCTTTCAAAATCTGATTGACCAACAGGTATGCTTGGATTATGAAATAGTTTCACTGTCTTTTATGAATATATTCTTTTAACTGTCAGTGTTAAACTCTTACGGTCATTGATTGAATTGTGTTTCACGTTTTTCAAAAACATGCACCAGTTCGTTCACATTAATTTGATATTACTATAATAGTCAATTTTATGTTTTGCAATGTCTTGATTGAAAGTTGGAAAATTGGTGTTGCTTTTATGAGTGGTTCTAGTTTCATATTTGCTCAATAGATCCATGGGATTAATGGTAACAATATACGTTCATTGGCAAATGTCTTTTAATTTTCTTTTGCCAGAAAGAGGAAGAACTTACTGCACAAGAAATGGTACTCAACGAAAAAGAAAGTTCTTCGGGTTTCCTAGTGGAAACGAAACCGCCAAAGTAAGTGCTATATAAATAGAAATGAGACAGAGCTATGTGATAAGTTTACAACGTTGAATTAATTTCCGATGGGCACCTCCAACGTTCGTAATTCCCTCTTATCCCTTCTTTCCTTTTATTTTACTCGCATTCAATTAAAGCAAATTCACAGTTATACAAACAACATGATCATCTATAAAATTCCAGGTCAGTTTGTGAGTTCAGTGCTTGTCGTATGATACTGGCTAGGCTGGGTCTTCTTCGACCCGACAATGAGAAAGTGCGATCGATGGACACACCTAGCTCACTGACCTCGATAAGTCGCCTGGACACAGTTGATAACACACTTCGTGATTCTTTGCGGGAACTGGACCGACTGCCAACAAGATGCTTCGACACTGTATACATTCTTTACATGAAATCAGACCAAGATGATGCAAAACTGATTCTAAGAAACGAGGTGAGGCTAATGTATCGTGTATTACGAAGGTTATGCTGTGTTCTTTCGTTGATTCTGAGCCCTTTATTATCTGCATCTTTGTACGTTATAAATACTAAGTCCTTAAAGTCTTTGTTAAAGAAATATGTATCTTTCAAAAGATCCTGGTGTTGTCATTACCGTTTTGATGGTTCATGTATACTTAAAGTTCAATTATTATATTTCTCAGATAAAATATTGCGAATACAAAGATATGTTCTGCGAGTTTCTGCGCTCGCTTGGCTGGCCTGTGGACATTGAAGATCATCCTGGGTGGACTGGAAACATGAATACCAGTTGGAATTTGAATAACTTAAAAACGTACACGTCATCACATCATAACAACTCCCATACACTTCCTAGAAAAAGGTCATCTTTAGACTCAAGCTGCAGCGAACCTCTGACCGCTGTACTCGAGGAGTCGGAAGGTAAAGATTGTGAACTATTTGTAGTAAGCCTACTATAAGAACTGTTTTTGACGTATTGTCGCTCGATGTGATTAATAACCTATGGAAGCGATATTTATCTGTGAAGTAACTACAAATTAAAAGACGACAACTCACAACATTCAATTCATTTCTTGTACAACGAAACAAATTAAAAATATGTTGTATATGTTGTACAAAATTAGAGCAAGCGATGTCGGAGGGTGGATTGGGCATCAAAATAACAACTTGGAAGGGTTTCTTACTGCCAACTTTACCGTATTTGGTATGTTTGTTGCCAAAAGATTTTTGTTGTGTGGGGGAGAAAGTAAAATTTGGGAAGTATTCTTCATTCGCCGCCATTGTTTGTATGAAAATTTAATGTATATGAATAAACTTGTGCTTAGATTCAAAAGATGGTATGGCTGCAGATTATCATAAGATAATATATGCCGACTATCAGCTATTTCCTCGCGTGGAAGCCAAACGCAGGAAATCACGCCCTATCACACAAAAACAAAACGAAAAGTGTATGCAGAGAAACGAACTCAAGCGTCTCTAGTCTTCCCAGTGTAAGCAGTTCATCCAGCTTACTTGATGTTTTGCCGCCAAATCGAACTTTAACTCTCACTAGAAATACAGCGGACACTGGTATAGATCTCAGATATTTATCCAAACTGAATACTCACTCCACTTTGTCTGAGATTAACATTCTTGTGGTATGGTTGGAGAAATTTCTCGATCATGACTTGTTTCCAAGCAGATATTTTAAATGAGTTGGGAATTTGTAGCAAAGAGCCAACTGCTGTGACCAGTCCCAGTGGGAAACCTGTGGAAAGAGAAACGGCAGTCATCTTTATTGCTCCCTTACACAATGGCTTGTTTCGTATACGAACGAAATGTACTATGAAGTAAGTTAAAGCACGAGAGTAAGTTGTGATGTTAAAGCACCGTGTTTTTCTCTACTTCGCTCGCAGGCTAAAAGAGCCTGGGAACTAAGTATTTTTTGCGTGAAGTTGCTAGTGTGTACTAATTCATGCTTCAATGTTAATTTGATTTTCTATTTGTTAAAATACGCAATCCAGTATATGCGTGTGTATTTATTTTTGAAAAACAACCTAATGTTTGGCTACCTTTCAAGTGAGAAATTATTAAAAGTCGAGCTATATAAAGCAACTGCGGTGATTGAAAATGTTAATATAAGCGTGGAAACAGACAAACATTGATTTAATTCACGATAGCATAAAAGATAACGAAAACTGCTAGATGTTTCAAAGGAAAGTCTTTTATAAATACCCAAATGTCTTTCATCAGTGGAGTTGAATATAAGGTCTTTCATCAGTGGAGTTGAATATAAGGTCTTTCATCAGTGGAGTTGAATATAAGGTCTTTCATCAGTGGAGTTGAATATAAGGTCTTTCATAGCGCAGAGATGTACGAGGATTTTTCATCATGAGAACACTATTATGAAACGAAACTATTATCAATATATAATTTATTGTAGTTTGTGGTCATGTTTTGAATAGTTTTAGTGCAGGCTACTTACGCTTATCAGAGATGGAGAAACAATATTCTTCCATTTTCAGGTCTCCGATGGCTGGTCCGTTGGTCGACGGTATGGTAGTGAGCCAGCGATCTTTGGGCGCAATGGTAAGACATACCGCCGTCAATATTGGGTGCAGGCGCCGTCTTGATATTGACAAGTAAGTTTGGTAGTTTTTCACACATTTTCTTGACTAGTACACGATGATATACGAGTGGAATTTTTCTGTTATCATTCTCAGTTACTCTTCACCACACGTGTACAGAAAGTTGAAAATTCAAGACATTATCAGAAGATGTCGACAGGAGATGACATTCCCCGAGTTTTATGCATCGCTATTTAGAGGATAAATCTTTCTTCATGAGGATCTTTCGTCATAAATATGATTCCATTTGCAGTGTAATGTATCCTTTCGCTCGAGAATAGAAAACTTTAGTTATTGCACGAGGAGATCAAATCATAAATACTTTATCATTCTCAATCCTTAAAGACACTTTCATCATCAGTTTTGACTATCCCAAGTTCTTTGATAGGGCTTGGCATAAAACATTACTCAATTATTTAACCGTGCTTGAAGAGATCGAGAAGCCGGAAAGAACATGTTAAGTATTGTGTGATTGCTGAGTTTGAGAAACTCTAGCTAAGTATGGTCATGTGGAGCTCAAAAAGTTTTGTATATTTTTTATGTCACCCACACTGGAAGATCGTTTTCATTTTGTGACGATAGTTTTTCACCCTTAGCAGTCTCTTGTAAAGGCAACTTTATATGGTAGTGCATTTCACGTTTTTGTGTTGGTGACAAAATCTCCACGTGACTTCTCTTGTTTCTAACTCCGTTTCAAACGTAAGCAAAGTTAAGTTTCATTTGGTAGATAGTCGGCGGATTATTTCGTTATGTCACAATTGTTTCAATCTACTCCATGATATACATATAAAATTCAATTTGTGTTCGTAACGCAGCTCTTAGGTTATTTCATAATATAATATTATACTCAATTAATAATTTATTATTTCAATCTGTTAATTACATGAAAAATTACTGGCATTTGCCAGTAAAATTTCAAAGGCTTTTAGGCCTCGTGTATTCATATTGTGCAGGTGGCTCAGTTACAAGTTAGTTATCAAGATATTTAAGTATTTTACTGCATATCGAAATAAATGTTTTATGTTTTATGTTTTGGCACTTGTCTCGAGTGTGTAGGGTTTAAGAAATAATTGTTTTGTGTTATATTTGTAGAAACTAGAACATAGCGTATATTTATTGGAAATATTGTGGAATCGTAATGAAGAAATAGCTGAAAGATACTTTACAATATTTTTCAGTCCAAGTCTTTTAATGTTGTTGAGGAATTAAAAGAGCATAAATAAGCAGAATTTTTTCAACGATATGTAATTTATGCAATTTGTCTCGAAAGAAGACATGAACGACATTTCAAAAAGACGACATGAGGAGATGCTGCCCGTCGAATCGACGATGGCTGTCTGCAACTGTCCATCTAGTTGATGGACTTTTGATTGCAGACTGCATGCACAGTGAGAAGAGCATGGTTTAGCAGGCCATGTTCTATTAGCTTGGCCACGCGGTTCCATCTTCAGTGGCACAAATGATCGTGACGACTGTGAAACTACGCGGTTGCAGGGAGAGGCCGTCGACACAGTTAATCCGTGAGCGCCCTTTTCTGGCGTTTTTCCCGTTACGCCGAACACCATTTACCCATGGCTGGGGACTATTTAATCCATAGCTGGGCAAACCTTGTCAGACAGCAGGGCGTGTCCACACGTTGGTGGGCCTGGCCTGTCGTAACTGCGGGGGGTTTGTCCTCCGGAGGTTTCTGTCAGGGTTACCTCACCCTTAGCCTTTGGGCAGTCAAACCCTAACCGCAAGACAGCGGGTTCCAGTTGATTTAACGGCGCCGGAAATTCGCCCCTTGCCAGAGCCCCGTTAGCCGAACACAGGCTGCAACAAGAGAAGGTGGGGTTGGCTTGACTGACAGAAGCTTTATTATCGCTTGGAAATTTGCGGCACTTTTAATGCGCGTCCGTATAAGTCCTTACAACCCAAGACGACATGAACGACATTTCTAAAAGACGAAATGAACGACATTTCTAAAATAAGACATGAACGACATTTCTAAAAGAAGACATGAACGTCATTTCAAAAATCAGTATCATGTGGTTGGTACAACACGGAAATTCAAACAAATTATTTCTTAGAAACTATTGGTTCTAAGTAATTAATATTTGGTAGCCACAATATAATATTCTTTTGGAGAACGGCGTTCTTCCACGTTTGATCTTTCATAAATGGAACGCCGTTTCCCTTCTTACACGATTACACTATTGCTTGATATTTGCATGATATGCGTGAACTATACAGTGTATATCAAAAATATTCTAACCCAACTTTGTTTGACTTCTGCCTACAGCATACTTGAGTGAAGCATATATGTTTTACATGGTAATAAAAACTAACATATTGGGTTTCTGTATCATTTACTGACGATTTTGCCAAAATTAACCAGGTAAGCTTCCGTTCAAATTTGTAGCTTGAAACAAGATTTTTTCGCAGATGGGAATTTAAAGTGAGACGTCAAAATAGAAAATAATAATGCAATTTTTTATTTAAGAAGTTGTTTTGAATAAAATTTACATAATTTTGTTTCGATTTAGGCTTGTTCCATTCTTTTCAAATTTTCGCACGTTGTACGAGTCTACCAGATGACAGATACTGAAGGCGAAAGTTTGTCGTTCTGTAAATCTTTGTTTAAAGTGATTGAGTGCTTGTTGTAAGCTACCGGTTTGACAAAAAAACGTTTTCAGAAGAAATGTGCCTTCTCCTATATTTAATTGGAAATATCGCGTTTGTGAAGCATACGATACAATCAGAGGTTAAATTTGCGTTTAATTTGCTGTGATGATTGGCATTTAAAAGTCGTGTAGGGCTAAATTTGAAAAAAAAATTGCAATTCCCGTTGGCGAAAAATTTAGACTTTATTAACTTCATTTGTGGAAGAGAAACTCCTCATTTGCTACTGAAATATTCCTACAACATGTCGTTTGAAAGGTAAATAAATCGACTTAACAAAGGTGCAAAAACAAAAATGCAAGATAAAATGTATGAAAATGCGTATATAGTCTTGTTGTTGAAATATGCGAAAACTCCAGACTTATAATCTTTTTGTGAAAACTGTGAAAATGTGTGAAAATTCGCGAATTATAGTCTTTGGTGAAAATGCGTCAACTATAGTCTTTTGCATGAAAATGCGTGAATTATAGTCTTTTGGTGAAAATGCGCGAACTATACTGTTTTGCATGAAAATCCGTGAATTATAACCTTTTGGTGAAAATGCGTGAACTATAGTCTTTTGCATGAAAATGCGTGAATTATAGTCTTTTGCATGAAAATGCATGAATTATAGTCTTTTGCATAAAAATGCGTGAACTATAGTCTTTTGCATGAAAAGCGTGAACTATAGTCTTTTGCATAAAAATGCGTGAACTATAGTCTTTTGCATGAAAATGCGTGAACTATAGTCTTTTGCATGAAAATGCGTGAGCTATAGTCTTTTGCATAAAAATGAGTGAACTATAGTCTTTTGTATGAAAATGCGTGAATTATAGTCTTTTGCATGAAAATGCGTGAATTATAGTCTTTTGCATGAAAATGCGTGAATTATAGTCTTTTGAATAAAAATGCTTCAACTATAGTCTTTTGCATGAAAATGCGTGAATTATAGTCTTTTGGTGAAAATGCGTGAATTATAGTCTTTTGCATAAAAATGCGTGAATTATAGTCTTTTCCATGAAAATGCGTGAATTATAGTCTTTTGGTGAAAGAAGAAACTCCAGACTTATAATCTTTTTGTGAAAACTGTGAAAATGTGTGAAAATTCGCGAATTATAGTCTTTTGGTGAAAATGCGTCAACTATAGTCTTTTGCATGGAAATGCGTGAAGTATAGGCTTTTGGTGAAAATGCGCGAACTATACTATTTTCCATGAAAATCCGTGAATTATAATCTTTTGGTGAAAATGCGTGAACTATAGTCTTTTGCATGGAAATGCGTGAATCATAGTCTTTTGCATGAAAATGCGTGAATTATAGTTTTTTGCATAAAAATGCGTGAACTATAGTCTAATTGCGAAAAGCGTGAACTATAGTCTTTGCATAAAATGCGTGAATATAGTCTTTGCATGAAAATGCGTGAACTATAGTCTTTTGCATAAAAATGAGTGAACTATAGTCTTTTGTATGAAAATGCGTGAATTATAGTCTTTTGCATGAAAATGCGTGAATTATAGTCTTTTGAATAAAAATGCTTGAACTAGCTATAGTCTTTTGCATGAAAATGCGTGAATTACGTCTTTTCGATGAAAATGCGTGAATTATAGTCTTTGCAAAATGCTTGAACTATAGTCTTTTACATGAAAATTCGTGAACTATAGTCTTTGCATAAAATGCGTGAACTATAGTCTTTTGCATGAAAATGTGTGAATTATAGTCGTTTGCATGAAAATGCGTGAACTATAGTCTTTTGCATGAAAATGCGTGAATTATAGTCTTGTGGTGAAAATGCGTGAACTATAGTCTTTGCATGAAAATGCTTGAATTATAGTCTTCTGCATGAAAATGCGTGAATTATAGTCTTTTGGTGAAAAATGCGTGAAATATAGTCTTTTGCATGAAAATGCGTGATTATATTATTTTGTTGAAAATGTGTGAACTATAGTCTTTTGCATGAAAATGCGTGAATTATAGTCTTTGCATAAAATGTGAACTATATTATTTTGGTGAAAATGTGAAATATAGTCTGCATGAAAATGCGTGAATTATAGTCTTTTGGTGAAAAATGCGTGAAATATAGTCTTTGCATGAAAATGCGTGAATTATATTATTTTGGTGAAAATGTGTGAACTATAGTCTTTTGCTTGAAAATGCGTGAATTATAGTCTTTTGCATGAAAATGCGTGAAATATAGTCTTTTGCATGAAAATGCGTGAATTATATTATTTTGGTGAAAATGTGTGAACTATAGTCTTTTGCTTGAAAATGCGTGAATTATAGTCTTTTGCATGAAAATGCGTGAATTATATTATTTTGGTAAAAATGTGTGAAATATACTCTTTTGCATGAAAATGCGTGAATTATAGTCTTTTGCATAAAAATGCGTGAACTATAGTCTTTTGCATGAAAATTCATGAATTATAGTCTTTTGCATGAAACTGCGTGAATTATTGTCTTTTTGTGAAAATGCGTGAATTATAGTCTTTTGCATGAAAATGCGTGAATTATAGTCTTTTGCATAAAAATGCGCGAATTATAGTCTTTTTGTAAAAATGCGTGAATTATAGTCTTGTGGTGAAAATGCGTGAATTATAGTCTTGTGGTGAAAATGCGTGAACTATAGTCTTTTCCATGAAAATGCGTGAATTATAGTCTTTTCTATGGAAATGCGTGAACTATAGTCTTTTGGTGAAAATGAGTGAATTATAGTCTTTTTGTAAAAATGCGTGAACTATAGTCTTTTGCATGAAAATGCGTGAATTATAGTCTTTGGCATAAAATGCGTGAACTATAGTCTTTTGCATGAAAATTCATGAATTATAGTCTTTTGCATGAAAATGCGTGAATTATTGTCTTTTTGTGAAAATGCGTGAATTATAGTCTTTTGCATGAAAATGCGTGAATTATAGTCTTTTGCATACAAATGCGGGAATTATAGTCTTTTTGTACAAATGCGTGAATTATAGTCTTTTGGTGAAAATGCGTGAATTATAGTCGTGTGGTGAAAATGCGTGAACTATAGTCTTTTGCATGAAAATGCGTGAACTATAGTCTTTTGCATGAAAATGCGTGAATTATAGTCTTTTGCATAAAAATGCGTGAACTATAGTCTATTGCATGAAAAGGCGTGAACTATAGACTTTTGCATAAAAATGTGTGAAGTATAGTCTTTTGCATGAAAATGCGTGAACTATAGTCTTTTGCATAAAAATGAGTGAACTATAGTCTTTTGTATGAAAATGCGTGAATTATAGTCTTTTGCATGAATATGCGTGAATTATAGTCTTTTGAATAAAAATGCTTGAACTAGCTATAGTCTTTTGCATGAAAATGCGTGAATTACGTCTTTTCGATGAAAATGCGTGAATTATAGTCTTTTGGTGAAAATG